CAGACTATTCCTTAGTGGAAGAATCCAGGTAATCCACAGATTTCACATTGTTAGAAGTTATGGGCTGGGGGCCTATAACTTTTACAGGTAAGGCCCTTGCCACAAAACTAAACTCCCTTGCTAGAAAATCCTTAATATCATCTTCCTCAGCCTCTCGTACGGCTTTTTTAGTTGGAGGCTTTCTGGATAGTCTGTCTGCTGCTGTGTTTCTTATCCCCGGGACATGTACAGCCAAGAAGTTAAATATCTAAATCTATGCAATCCATCTTGCTACTAAAAACCCTGGGAGGTCCGTGGCAGTGCGATTTAACTATGCAATAAGGGTAACTATATCCACCTCTAGAGTAAAATATATTTTAAATAGGTAAAGCCTAAACTTTTTTTAGTGTTTTTAACACTGCGCGATATTTCTTTTTTTCTAGTATTATAATTAGATTCCGCAGTATTCCAGAGTCCGCTTTTAAATCTTACTGGATGCCGCTTTGTCCTATTAGGTTTAGTTTGTATTAATACTCCTTCCTATCCTCTACCACTACTATTGCATGCCATAATAATTTCCCCTACTACCTTTACAGTCCTATCTTCTAGCATTTCTAGATACTCCAAAGACTTTAGTGCTGGGGCACTAATAAGCTTTTCTTTAAAAAGATCTATAGCTTCCTTTTTTTTTTTATCCTATTAAAACTTAATATCCTTTTTTGTAAGTACATACAACGGTTTAGCTATTATTATAAAATCCTTAATCTAGATTTAATAGTAAACCACTACCCTAACAAAGGCCTTGACTTCAGTGACACTATTACAGGGTGGCCAGTCTAAGATTTTAATAACCTTAGACTTTTTAAAATACCAGCCCTGATAATCACAGATATACCCAATTATCTTAATAGCTGGGACCGCGAATTGTGTCTTTTCCCCTGATATTATTAGTCTAGCCAATTCCAGGCTATGCAATGTTTTGTTTAGGGACTAGAAATATTTTAGTATAAACCTCCTTACTCCGGGCAGTGCTTTTTCCTTATTATACCTGTTTTTAGGGCCTTTTACCCTAATATCGTCAAGGTATACATCTGCATCGCCCGGGATGTTATTATTTAAAATAATTTTTATAATCCTTATAAAAATCAGTACTGTATTTGTCCATCCTTAAGGCAGCGTGGTTATTCGAAGAAGACCTAGACTAGTTATAAAGGCTGTAATATTTCTTGACCCTTTCTCTAGTAGTATCTAATTATATCCTAAAAACAGGTTAGCTGCAGTAGCTACTACTATTCCAGCAAACTTTTTTATAAACTTATTTAAATTGGGAGGGAGGTTCGCATCTTTCCAAGTTACCTTATTAATATTTAGTGCTGTGTTAATTAGACAGTATCCCACTTTCTTAGCCACCAAGAACTAAGGATTCTGGTAAGGTCTGTTGCAGTATTCCAGCACTCTGTTTTAAAAATATTCTTAAAAAATCTTTATTATAATATCTCGAAGCGCTCTAGGAACAGAATACCCTTTCTCTTACCAAGGGTTATAAGAAATTATCTTAATCTTAACTAGTAGAGCTACTTTAGGCTAAACTAGCCCCTTCTCTTCGAATGTCCAGGCCAAAGCCTTCTCCCTGGTAAACAGAACTTCAAGGAGAAATGCCCTCTCTTGTAGGGTTAATTCTTTACCTATTTTAAGATATTCTATCCTTTTAAATATTAACCTCGCTCCTCTTACTATCCCCAAGACTTTCAGAATAATAAATAGTAAGTAGTTTGTCTGTGGTGATATATTCTTTTTCTAGTTCTTGTTTAATTTTTATAGTATTAATATTTTTTAATTTACTTAATTCTCCAACATTCCCCCCAATGGTTTTAGAGTATTTACAGGAAGTATCTTATCCACTTTTCTTTTATATACCGTGTTAACCCAGTACTAATACCTTATTATGCACTAGTTAGTCCTTAATAATATTCTCCCTTCTCTTGTCGCTTCACTCGAAAACCTGTATTAAATGGGATAGAAGTAATACCCAGGCTCCTTGTAATTTAGAAGTTATAGGCCCCAGCCTATAACCTTACTTTCTCCATGCAGACCACACTTTGCGCCAGGACTAGGTCTGCTTTTTATCCTAGCCCCTAGTTTTCCTGCACATCTTCCTCCTTGAAAATATCTTCCCTTATATAATTCCTTGGGTTTTAAAAAGTAAATACTTGTATCTTTACCACTTACTTTTTATTTTGGCTTTTAATTATCACATCCACCGATCTGTTGTTTTTTGTGAACTATCCTATATAAGACTAGTGTATAAAAGGTCTGCCTAATATATATTTATAAAACACTGGGCTGTCCACTATAAAAAAGGGAACTCTATATTTAAATCCTCCAATCTGGGTAAGGACTTCCTTACAGACTCCGAGAAAGCGTGAAGTCCCTTTATTGGCACTTTTTATAGATCCCCTAGTAAGTATAGTAACCAGTAGTCCCAAATTATTAGTAAAGTCCTAGTGCAGTAGATTAATTTCTACCCTGCTATTAATTATAACCTTCCGACTTTATAAACTGTTATAAGCTTTAATTGTTACTCTAACCTCTAAGGTCCTAATAGTATAATATATTAAATTACATAGTGCTTTAAAATATTATACTTTATTTTTTTTTATCTTTTTTTTTTCGAACGCTACTTTATCCACTTTTGGCTAAAGCTAGCTCTAGTAATCCTGCAGCGTGAATATTAACTTATACAATTCTGGGAGATATATATAAGCTTTTTTTAGTAGTAAGTTTAATTTTTTACTGCAATATTTTTCTTTTTATCTTCTTAACAGGCCTATTCCTTTTAAAAGGTCTGACAACTTGACTTTCTGTATTTTTAGAGCTTAATCCTTCTTAGGTCCCTTTTAAAGGCTAATTATTCCTTTAGATTTTAGTAGGTAATCCTTTCTCCTCTTTTCCTTTAAAGTCTGGCCTCGAATATGCTCCGGGTTGATATGTCTTAATAGCAGGTATCTTTTTTTTTTTCTCTCTTGCTTCTTTTTTCTAATCTGGCTTGTTTTGTGGCCGCAACTGTCCATGCAGGTGTGTTTTGTAAAGTTCTGGGCCTGGAGCCCACAACTTCCAAATCTTCCTCCTTAGTCCCCGACGATATTCCTTCCAATATGATAAGGTTCGCGGAGTAAGTCTTGTCCCTAAGACACTCTTGTACCTGCTCCAGCATTGGTTTTTAATTTGGTCCTTTTTTTAAAGGTTCTTTTCCTATACCCTCCGGTCCCCAATACACTCTCCTATCCGGCCTGATATGTACCACTGATTGCTTTGTATACTTATCTAGCTCCAGACAGCGGTCCATGAAGTATTCCGGTTTCTGCGCAGAATCTGCGATTGTATGTATAACTTCCTGTGTTGTTCCTATTTAAATAGCCTTCCTGCAGGCTTAGGACCAATTTCCTTAAAAGCTTTATAAAGCTTAACTTAAGTTCTTTTATCTACTTGGTTAGTTTATTAAGCTTAGTATTTTCTATTCTACCTGCTTCTAATTCTTTTGCCCTTTCTACCTTTAGTGGCAGTTCTTTATTAGGCTTAATTATTACTAAGCTTTGCTGTTCTTAGGGATTTATAAACTCCGTGAAGTTAACTATTTTTCCTGTTAAAGTAATTTCTTCCTTAAACTGTTTAAAGGTTCGAGCTAATTTCCGAAGGTCTTTAACCTTTTTCTTAATGCTTTTGTAATCAAGCTTCCTAGGGTTAAGTTATTTTTTTTAAATAAAAGTCTGTTATATTATTTCCGGGAGTCCTTTTAATAACATTCTTGCTTTAATATAATTATTCAAGTGACCCATTTTTTCCAACTCCCCTAAGATATAATAAAAATATTCTTAGGTACTTGCCTATATTATTATCTTCTCTCCTCTCTTCTTCCACAAACTTGGTAAGCTAATAAATATTAATTATCTTCTGTATACTATCTTATTAACTATATTCTTTTTTAACGCACTAGCCACTCCTTCGAAATCTCCTGTTTTATATTTTGTAAGGGTACTAATCCACGTTGCTACCATCGCACTTAAATAGTCGGCCAGTAGTTCCAATTTTTCCTTGTTACTGTTAATAAGGTATTGTTTAAAAAGGTTTTTATTACTTGCAGGAAGTTCGTGACTTCTTGACCTGTAAAGTAAGGCGCTCCTAGAGTACCAGGCACTGGCATGCTGGCTTTTAGTGCTAGCCAGTCCCTTTTTTAAATCGCTTGGTAATAAAGTCGATATTATCTTCCTTGGGAGTATTAGCTCCTGCCCCCTCTAAGCTATTTTCGGTAGAGAATAACATTTCCTTCTGTTAAGGAGTTATCTTAGTTGGTCTTGCTTGGTATACTATTTTCTGGGTTTTCTTTTTACTGCAAATTATACTAATAACAAATAGAAAATATAAAACTGCCTTTAGTAACTGGTTATTTTCCATAATCAAGTTCTTAAGTCTATTATTATTCTGCTTCTTGTTTTCCTTTTTTTTTTTTAATGTCGTCCCTTTTATTCTTCTGCCCTTTTTTCTAGTTTTTTTTTTTTATTATGCTGTTTCTGTCTTTTCGTGTTTTTTCCTTCTTATTTGTGACCTGTATTACTATCTGTCGTGCTGTATGCATTCCTTCTTCGTATTTTATCTTAGCTCCGTGCTTGAGCTGTCGGACTTAACAGCTCTCTTCTTGGTAACCCATTTCTCGCAGAACTTCCCCACCAGACCCTTTAGTCGGTGTTCTTTCTTAGGAAGCTTCCTTAGGAGGTGCTGTCCCTTCCTGATTATTAGGGTTAAATAAACTTCCCACATTTTAAACTATCTTTTTTCTTGCTCCTTGCAACCTTTTCTCAGGGTAAGCCTCTCCCTTACCCGTAGTCAGAGTCCTCTCCTGGGACGCCAATATGAATGAGAGGGAAATGGTAGAACTCCGAAGGAGTAGGTTAAGGAGACAATCTTGGGCAGTTTAGAAGTTGTGGGCCCTGAGCCCACAAGTTCCTGGCAGGAGAAAAGACAACATGCCCTTTACGCAACTGCGTCCCGCGGTCTGTGAGAAGGTTGTTGATTGTCTCTTACCTCTTCGTATGAGGACTTAAGATAATAGCTATCCATACAAATGTCACGTGCTAATCCCCGAATTCCTCCACTACAGTACACAGCCTACCAGGCCAGGCAGTTTTAGCCTGTCTAGGTCAAGATATCTAGTTTGTACAGGGGTGTATTTCTGGATATTAAATCCTATTTTATTATTTTTTTATATATAAATACCCTCCTAATCTAATCTCGCGGTCGTACGGTAGGCGTGCCGTGTTTGGCCTGTAGGCTAGCACAGCTAGGCTATTATCTATTCCCAGAGTGTTGCCGGGTTCCAGGCCACTTTAGTGGAGCTTGTGCTAATTATAAATAGTGTGACTATACTAGTCACTGCTCTGTATAGTTAGGAGAAGAGAATAATCCAGGAGATAATAAACCAAAGGCACCCTTGGATAATATTAGTAGCCCTGCAGACACTCCTGGGGATTATACACTACCAGCGCCAGGTTCTTCTCCAAAGAATACTATTATTATTATTTAAGTATATTCTTCCCTTTTGGCGTACAGTGTTGGTTGGCGTTTAGTGTATAGTGTTTAGTGTTTTATATTTTTATATTTTTACCTGGGCAATGGCTTGCACCTCTTTGTGGTACTTAGGACTAGTAGCCTTTATAGGTAAAGCTAAGCAAGCCTAAGTAGATATATACTATATTATATTCTCCTAGTGGAATATTAAATATAAATCAAAGCATGTTATTCTGTATTCTGCCGGCAAAAACTTAGTCACCGGATAGAAAAATTAGTTTTAAACTTTTGTCCTAATGGCTTGCCGTACTGATCCCCTGTCATAGCGCAGTAGAGTCACCTGATAGTGAAGCTAGCGGCGTGCCCCTCCTGCTGAGAGCCGGACAAATGGCCGTTCGCATGAAAACGAGACGACGCATGGTTCTTTGATCATGGCATCAATATCGTTCCGTGGCAATAACCATGGGCTGCAGATTGGAGATAACCGTGGTTCGATCAATGCAGAGTTCCATCTGCCTCCAGGTAAGTCAGGAACCAAATAAGGTCAGGGTCGACTCACTAACCAGCGCTTTCCACCCTAGAGCGACCAGAAACTCCACCCGGCCCTTTATCAACCGTCCCGTTTGCGCGCGATCCAGACTTTGTCAGTCGCGATACACTGCTTCGTTAGATTTATGACAAGACCTAAGTCCCCGGATCAAGGATAGCGCTTGTTGGCCTCGGTGGTGTGGGGTTAGTGCAGAGCCGCCAGAGGATGGTTTGTTGCTAACAACTCAAAGGAAATCGCAACTCGCCATTGAGTACTCCTACCAGGTCCGATCCCAATCGCCAGCGACATGGGTCTTCTGGGTCCATGCGACTAATGCGGCCCGCTTCGAGCAAAGCTTTCGGGACATAGCGGACCAAGTTAAAATCCCGGAGCGCCGGGATGCCCAGGTCAATATATTCAGTCTGGTCGAAAATTGGCTCAGGGATAAGAAGAGAGAAGTGGGTTCTTATTCTTGATAACGTTGATGATTGTGAATCCCTTCGCATTTCCCCGGCCACAGGCCAGTGGACCCAGAAGGACGATCTAATTAATACCTCGCCAAAGCCACTACTGGAATACCTCCCTCAAAGCCTAAATGGATCTATCATTATCACGAGTCGAAACAAAGAAGCGGCGTTACGAATGATCAATCCCACGAACCTAATTGAAGTTAAACCAATGGAAAGGCCCGGGCAGTAGAGCTATTTCAAAGGAAGTTTGGAGTATTAGAGGGCCAAACGAGCCTAAAGTTAGTAGAAGAGCTTGAGTTCATGCCACTAGCGATAGTACAGGCCGCTAGCTTTCTTAGAAATCGAGCGCCTCGCTATTCGGTGTCGCAGTACCTAAGGGACTTTCAACGGAGTGAACGCGAAGCAACAGAGCTGCTGGAAAAAGAGGCAGGCCACTTCTACCGGGACTGGGAAGCGAAGAACTTAATTCTGGTAACATGGCAAATATCGTTCGATCATATTCGTCGAACAAAGTCATCCGCAACGGACTTACTTTCTCTTATGGGCTTTTTCGATCGGCAAGAGATTCCAGAGAACCTTCTCAGGATACGGGACGCAAGCAACCACGATTCCAAATTAATGTCTCTAGATGATTCCAGTGTCGACGGGGAGACCTCTGGGTCTGATATGAGCCTCGATTTTGAAGATGATATCACAACACTGAGGAATTATTCATTTATCTCTGTCTGCGAGACAAGCACGTTCTTCACAATGCATCGACTAATGCAACTTACTACGCGCGCCTGGTTGAAATCTCATGGACAAATAGATCAATGGAAGGAGAAATTCATTAGCAATTTGAGCGAAGAGTTTCCCACCGGTGAATATGAAAACTGGGAGCGATGCGGGTCGCTCTTTCCTCATATTAAATAATTTCACAGCGGCCAGCATCGCCTAACTCTCTACGAAAATGGGCTACTCTACTTTATAGAGGTGCATGGTACGCATGGCAAAGCGGTAACATCGCAGATGTAAAAATGATGGCATCAAAATCAAGAATGCAAAGGGTGATATTGTTCGGTGAAGAACATAAAGAGGTCCTTGAAAGCACATTAACGTTGGCAAAAGCATACTTGCTTGAGGGCCGGTAGGAAGAAGCCGAAAAGCTTGCAGTGCTGGCGGTGGAGACGAGCAAGACAATGCTCGGCGATGATCATCCCTCTACACTGACCTGCATGTCGCATTTGGCGACAATATATTGTGAGCGAGGGCCGGTGGGAGGAGGCCGAAAAGCTTGAGGCCCAGGTGATGGAGACATGCAAGACGAAGCTCGGCAAGGACCATCCTGACACGCTAACGAGCATGGCCAACCTAGCATCGACGTTCTGGAACCAGGGCCGATGGGAGGAGGCTGAGAAGTTCTATGTGCAGGTGTTAGAGGCTCGCACGACGAAGCTCGGCAAGGGCCATCCTGATACGTTGATGAGTATAAAAAACCTGGCGATGACATATAGCAATCAGGGCCGGTGGGAGGAGGCCACGAGGCTCTTTATGCGGACGATGGAGACTTATAAGACGAAGCTAGGCAAGGACCATCCTGATACACTATCGAATATGAATAACCTGACGGTGACATATATGAACCAGGGCCAGTTGGAGGAGGCAGAGGAGCACTTTATGCAGATGATACAGATAGGCAAGACCACGCTTGGTTATGACCATCCCTCTATGCGGACATGCGTGTCTAATTTAGCGGCAATGTATCGTAACCAGGGCCGATGGGAAGAGGCCGAGAAGCTCGAGGTCCAGGTGATGGAGACTCGCAAGGCGAAGATCGGCGAGGACCATCACAACACACTTCTAGATCATGACGCTGAAGCTATCAATTAACCACCAATTTGCTTGGTCAAGCAGAAACCAATCTAGGGTCGAACCAGCCGATCACTTTATTTAATTCTGAAATATTGCTGGAATAGGGAAATTAAGGAAATAAATAGGAATGCGCCGAATGCATATATCAGCTAGATACATACATTTAACATGTTTACATGATAATTATTGCTTCATGTGTTAACTTTTTGGGACAGTCTTTCCAGCATAATCTAACTTACTGCACGCTACGCGAAAGCCATATATATTTTAGTGTGTTTCTATATAGGGCTCGTGAGAACCACAAGGAACCTGTTGGTGAAACTGACTACGATCCATCCTGTACCTGATGCACTCTAGCATCTTCAGAGAAAAAACATGTGCGACAGAGTGCCAGGAAGAAGACGACTGATGTCAAGAATAGGTTGGGAATCTGCTATGTTTGGGTCCTGAATCTTTATCGATAAGGTGTGTATACGGTGACGCAAAGCTACGGTAGTATCTTAATGACGCGTTGATGCATTGTCATGATCTCATATTTGTATCGTTGTCTTATCTATGGGCGTTCTATATGTTATCTTGATCTATTCGAAGAAGAAGAGATCAAGGATTAGTTTAAAAATATCTTGATACAAGGTATAGTGATATTCCCTTCTACTATCTTACCTAGCTGACCGGTTAATCTGATCAGCCAAGTAGATTCATCACAATAGTAATCTGCATTGGCTGCTATTTTACTTTTTATCTGGGCCAACAAGTCTTTACATCTGTGGTCCTTTCCACTGCTTAAGTAGGGGGTTTAGGGACCTAAGCTAATTTGCATGTCTTAGTGGTTAAAAAGGGATACTAGTTTCCCAGCTCCTGCCAAATTCCGTTCAAAATTCCGTTCAAATTGAAGTACGAGGCAAATGTAATAAATTCTGCGCCATCCGCGGAAAGGCGAGAGGTTACAGAGGTTACATCCAGTGGGGACGCAAAGAGGAGAAGTACGGAGTCAGAACTTCCAGCCTCTATTCTAATCCAATCACAGGAAAGTCTCATCTGGCCAGGAATTAAAATCCTAAAATATGCTTATGTACAGGCATTATTTTCACATTTCATCCATTTTCATCTTTTAGCCCACATCCTTACCCGAACGTAATGTATGGTATGCCAAGAATACTGTCAGATACTAAAATAATATAACCGTATCAGCCCGTATGGGTCATGCGGTAATCTCGTAATAATATGTAAGATCTTATACTCAGGTCGTCCAACGAATCCTGGAATGTATCCTGGTCTTAGCTCACTGGGTATCAACCCAAGAAAATTGCCAATACCCAGAAGACTAAGGTAGGAACTGCTTGAATGCAATGCAAGAAAGCTGCTTGGCATTATTACCTGGCCAGTATACACCAGGACCACGTCAACAAAGAAACGGACCCCGCGCCAAAAACCGAGGGCTATGATATATATATCTTCATCGGTTGGCATATCGTATCCTTTAAAACTAATGTAGACACGCTTTATACTTCATATTCTACCCCAATTGTTAGATACTCTACTGCTGTCGCCTAACATGGATTACATTACGCGTATGTTGGAGCACCCCCCAAAAGACATTCACTCTCCGGTATACCACACCCACTCTTCCTCTTCATACATGCCCCTCCCCCTATTCTAGTGCTGACGTCGGGTGCAGGTGCTAGTCGACGCTGACCGACCAGACCGCACCCTTTCGTGGCAGGAGTACTCCTCCGCCGTCAAAAGAATAGCCGTCGGCCTGCGCGACTTTGGCGTACGCGATCGGGACGCCGTCGCCCTGCTCAGTCCCAATGATATCTACTTTAACGTGCTGGGAGATGGTGCCATAGCTGCGGGCGGGATTTTCGTCCCGATCCCGACGTTTACCAGACAGAGCGAGCTGGCTAGCTGCATCACAGCGGCGCAGGTGAAGTGGCTTGTCGTCGTGACCGAATTCCAGGAGCTGGCTTTGGTCACTGCTCGAAGCTTGGGAATCGATCTGTCCCGAGTCATCATGTTCGATCCTCCGGGGCTGGAGCCTTATGATGGCCCTCAACGCTGTTTCAGTGAGCTCCTGAAGGCTGACGGGAGTCTCTTTCAGAACCCGTACAAGGGCAGAGACCCGAAAACCCTTGCCTGCCTGCGCATGTTTACCAGTGGAACGACAGGGACGACCAAGGCCGCAGAGCTTTCCCACACTTGTCAAGTGACTAGACTGGACGCTCGCGACTTTGTAGCCTCCCCGCGTGACAAGGGCCAGTTCCATATGATCGGCATTTTCCACCCTGGTGGACAAATCACCACCAGCCGGGCGTGTTCGGGCAAGCTACCTCTTTACCTCTCTAACTGCGATGACGCACCGACGATCCTGGATAAAATCCAATCCTTTGGCCTCTCGGTTACCACACTCCCACCTCGGACGATGGAGGCCATCATCACCACCATTAATGCTGGGGTCCGGTCTCGAGAGGCTCTCCAGTCCCTGAACACGATCATGGTCGGAGGGGCTCCTTCTCGGAAGGAGGCGGTCCAAGAGTTTGCTGCTCTCTTACCAAGCCATACCCGTTTGAGGTCTGGCTACGGATCCACCGAAGCCGGAAACATCTGCATGACACCCGAGGAAGCCGACTGGATTCCCGGGTATGTGGGGTTTCTTTCACCCAAGATCGAATTAAGGATTATTAACCCCGAGACGCTGGAAACATTAAGCTTTGACACCGAAGGTGAGATATGTGCCCGGAGCGATCAAGTTTTCATCGGCTACTGTGGGAATGCGGCCGCCACGGAGTCTGCCTTTCTTCCAGACCCGGAGGGACATTGGTTTAGAACCGGAGACAAAGGGTACCTGGACCCGAAGACAGGGCAGCTGACCGTGACCGGCCGCTTCAAAGAAATCTTCAAGGTCAGGTACGAGGAAGTCGCTCCTGAGGAAATCGAGCACGAACTTATGAAGCATCCCTCCATTATGGATGCCGCAGTTACATCAGTAGTAGCTCGAGATAATGACAGGGACTGCGAGTGCCTGGCCTATGTGGTCCGAGAGCAGGGCTCTCAACTGACGGCGCAGGAAGTGGTGGATTTCATTGCGGCCAACGTGTCTCATCATAAAGCCCCTACTGGGGGTGTGGTGTTTTGCGAGGGTATTCCCCAGACTGCTATGAAAAAGGTTATCCGGCGCAAGTTGGCTGACCTTCCGGCTCTGCCTGGGTCGGCAAGGTATATCGATATCTCGATAGCGAACGGAAAATAGGACGGAACACTCTCGGAACTAAGGGAGCGGTGTTTCTATGGGATTGAGGTGGAGAACAAACAGCTATAATGTAGGTTGGGAATGCTCTAGATTTGAATAGAAGTTACAGCAGTAGTGAATACTATACAGCCTAGGTTGATCCTATTTTCTACTTCTACCATTGTTTCATCGACTAGCCTTTGGACCAAGCAAGAGAAGTGGAACAAGACCGATCCCAAGGACATTGAAATTTGGTCAGAGTACCTTCGGACGAATAGCGTCAACAGTCAAGGTCCCACACTGTGACGACCGGCGCAGTGACGGTTTGCAATGTTGGTTTGCGATGTCTGTTTGAGCTGTTCGTTGTTTGTTCCATCTAACATGTTTGGTCATGTAGGAGCGTAGGAGCAATGGAGATATATACTCCACTGCTCACCTTTATCGTCTTCCTTTACTCTCCATGCTTCGTATTTTCGTTGCAGGCACCGAATAGAGTTGATTTGGCTTTATTTCCATCTCTGTTTCGTGGGTCATAACACACGCCTGATATATCTAGCAATGTGACGAGCTCACCAGGTAGCCTGTTTGCATTGTTTGTATCTAGCTTTGTTTATCTCCCCGCATAGTCCCCTCACCACCTTTCTTCCTCCTCCCCACGTTTGAAATTTTCGTTAGATAGCACCAATTTCATCAAGTTGCCTGGCCGTCACATAGTAATACCGAAGTGTGCTTGAAGTTATCGAGGATCACAGTGTCACATAGACATTTAAAGATAAAAGAGAGATGTCTCAGGTGATTACTGTTAGCAAGACTCCTAGCATATCGGTTTCTTCACTGTTGCAAAAGCTTTACCTTCCAAAATGGTTCAATACCAACTGTGAGTTTCGTGTGAAATGCGCCTGCAATAGCACAGGTGTCTATAATAACAACGACCAAGGAAATGCATATTGAGAGCAGCATAATGCCAAACCGCGGGCTGACTCGTACAAGATCTAGTAGGCTTATAGTGTAGTGCTGTATAATTGTGTAGCACAGCATACATGTGGTAAAAAGCCACCATGGGTCCCTTGGTAAGTTAGTGTAGTTTTTTAAACAATACTAGACACGCTAGTTAAATAATACTTACCGAAAAAGTGGTTCTAGGGGTCATGTTTTAGAAACAAGAGATCATGCTTGTTAAAGAAAACAAAATTGGCGGAAATTTCCAGCACCCAGTAAGGTTGTGCTAGCAGTAATGTTGCAAGGTAAAACCAAGACCCCCATCTTGGCAAAAAAGGCTTAATCTTGAGCCAGGAAATTATGTTATATAGAGTCCATGACAAGTTTAGTCTAATAGCAGTAATTACCAGGTACCAGCCATATGATGGCTCATGGAGAAATATAAATATCTTGTGGTAGATAGCCAGGATCAGCTGCAGCCATTGTAAGGAGCCTAATAGTCTAGTAAAATAAAGAGAACCGAGTGGTACTGTACATTTACCTCGACAGTAATTCACTTGTGAAGTATCTTCCCCTTAATTATGTTGGCTGCAACAACTAATAACATTACAACCAACGAGCCCACCATTAATCCCTGTCCCCATGCCTCCAGGACATGTCCGTCGGAGTCTTTAGGTCTTCCTGGGATAGAGTGGACGTTACTGATCTCGTTTCCCGGAAAAAAAGGCGACATAAATGTTGTGTATTTGACCCAGAGGGGATAGTAATTGGAAGGATAAAGGATTTTAGGGAAGTAATAGCGTAGGTTTATATTAACAAAGGACTTCGAATTTTAAAGCGTTTCTTGGAAGGCCTATTTAACTAGCTACTAGCGGAGCTACAACTTACAGCCCGGAAGAAAGTCAGATACTATAGAATGTAAAGGTCCTAACTAATACATGGCGGGGGTGCTCTAGGTCTTGCATATTTATATAATAGGTACTACTACACGCATATATGTCACTACCGAGAAATAAATAGCGGGTTCGAATAGATATTGTTTGCTATATTCCTTTCAGATATGGGCCATATATTAAAGGAACAGCGAGGGAACACCCTGCGATTATTACAGCACAGCAGGTAGTACCAAGGCTGAAATGTCCTGTTGGTTATAAACTAACCACTTGTGACAGCAGCTAAATTTCATGTGCTCAACAAAATTAAGGAAGGTGAAAGTGAATATAAAAATCCAGCAGAGTTAAGCCTATTGTTCAAAAATACCCAAGCTGTTGTTTCGGCTAACAAAGGCCCCCCCTCCCCCCCCAAAAAAAAGAAGAAGCGAAAAGAAGCTACAAAAGCATCCTAAGAAAGAAAGAGGGCAAGGAAATACAAGACTACAGTACTAGATACTGGAACGAATAAAGTTTTACTAGAGAATAGTGGTTACTGTACATACTGCACATACTAATAAGATATTATCTAGGATGAAATAACCTCACCATGCCAGGCATCACTGTGCATTAATCCTTAATAGTACAGACATCTCTATGCCGGATATTCCGGCAGAAGCACTAATACTAACAACCCGCTTGCTAGTATATATAGTAGAGTGTTCCTAATATCCTCCTTCTCTCCTAGTATCTTCTCATAGTTTATATACCACAAGGTCAGATAAAATTTTACACTGCACTAAAGCTACCTTGGCAGAACTAATATTTAACTGTAGACAAGACCTTCCCTCCACCCTGCCCTAACACTCCCGAGTCTACCCCATTTGTGAAGGATGACACGGATTCTGCCACATCTATTGAATGAGGGAAATGGTAGAACTCCGAAGGAGTAGGCCAAGGAGACAATCTTAGTTCAGAAGTTGTGGGCCCTGAGCCCACAAGTTCCTGTAGGAGAGAAGACAACATTCCCTTCACGCAACTGCGTCCCCTGGTCTGTGAGAAGGTTGTTGATTGTCTATTACCGCTTTGAACGAGGACTTAGGATAATAACCTATCCATACAACTGTCACGTGCCAATCCCCCGAGATCCTCCACTACAATGGGGATATGTTGCACACTCATACAGGTCGGAACTGCATAAGTGGTTCTCGGCGCTCTTCCTAGTCCATTCATCCATACTTCGAGTGTTTGACCTCGTCCACCTTCAATCTTCAACTTAATACGGATCAATGAAATGACTATGTTCTTCCTCTGAGCTTTCGTGTTTTACACACGGGCTAGGATACGCAGTGGACATAGGAATCCCAACCCCTGTTTCCCCTTAGCAGAAACCATGCGGACAATAGACCTAGACCAACTACAGGCCTTGGAGACTATTAACCCGAGACCGCTAGCACCATGACGAACCCCGGCCTTTACCGAAATCGATACTGAGCACGACCGAGAGAAAGCCAAGGCCAAAGTCTCAGCTAGGCAAATAATAAATAGTACTACTGTTTCCTTGGTCACTTCAGGGCAACATAACCAACTGGGAGCGGCGGCAGTAGCCATAGACCAGAGTCTCTAGATTATAGGATCACGACAGATTTGCATTGGCTTAATGGAGTACTGGTTGTGATGATCCTATACACCTTGGTAAAATGGATGGATTCTATCTAAGGTGGCGATCTAACGAAACATCAAACATAGAGAAGGAAGGAAGGAAGAAAGAAAAATTCTATCGTACAGGAAATGTGGGAAATCTCTCCATTGTGGGATCAACAGTGAGTAAAGCAGACTTGGTGCCTCAGGCAGGGTTCGACCTAGGCCCTGACACTGGTTAGTATATACCACCGAGCTTATAGTAATATATTATGCAATTAGCGTGGTTTTTTTAACTGGTTTAAAAGAACCAACACATCCTAAGCTCCAATTGGGAACCGGCAATAATCCTTAGTAATAGTATGTCTGCATTACAGGTGATAGCAAATGCATGGAACAAGTCTGGCTAATGAATTATTCAGGCTATTTACCAGTCTGCTGAAGAGCTGAAAGCACGTGGAATACCTCTACAGCTCCAGTGGGTTCCAGGACACTGTGACAATCCCGGAAATAATGCAGCAGACCGCCTGGTAAAGAAAGCAGTTGGTCCAGATAAAGGCATCCTTTTTAACAGCTCTTGTCACGCAAAAAAGCGCATCTCCGAGATAGAATCACTGAGGAGTGGGAAGAGAATGGAGGGCCTTAAAGAAAGGGGGGCACCTCCGCCGTATTAACGCAGCCCTACCCTTAAACTATATCCGCCACCTCTATGGCTCACTCCCTGGGATCGAGCCTATTGCTTACGCAATTCACTCATGGCTTGCGACGCATGGTATGCGGCACGGCTTCCGAGACAACAAACAGTGTGAATATGGTGCACCGGAAACTGTGGTCTATGTACTAATTAATTGCCCGCGGCTGAGCGGGCTGCGACAAGAACTACGGGGAAAGATTGGAAGAGCATTTAATAATATTTTAGATATCCTGGGAGGGGCGGGACGAGGTAAGAAAAGTAGGTTAAAAGATACCACACAGGGCAGTATCATCTTAAATATGGTACTGGAGTTTGCGGAGGCATCTCAGAGATTTCGAAGACGCGCGCCATGAGAGCCGCAGAACAGAACACCAGGCATCGGCCAACACAGGCCTTGACGAGGCTCCAAGTTCGTCGGGAAGTAATAGTTTGCTGTAAATAGATGCACATATAGAGTAGTGATAGGGATATCCTGCGTATCGCCTTAGGCGAGGGGTCGGGGTATGAATCTTCATCATCATCATCATCGTCATCGGCTGTATTTCTTTCAGTCAGTGAGCCTTTAGGAAACCCACCGTATCTAGAGGGGATTAGACAGTTCTAAGGCCGCTTGTCCGAAGGCAACGCAGGCGGAGTCCGCGGCCTTGGTGAGATGAGGTCACAATGGGAGAGCGCATCACCGGCGCTCTTGGCCGGCTGGGCGTAAGTCCTCCTACAACGGAGTACTCAGGGTACCGCACGTAATAGTTTTGAAAACGTCCACTGAATAGGATCGGGGCGGATCCCGCGGAGGCCGAGGCTTGTGGGGCGGGTGCCTAGACCAGACGCCAAGCGCGGATTCAGACGAGCGGGAGGGAGGAGAGAGGCGGCTACTATTGCTACTACTACTGCTACTATGAGTAGTAGACTGGTACTAATGCTCTAGAGGCAGACTGAGCCCCCGGACTTTCGCTGTTTGAGACTCCGTCTCTGACACCCTCGGATGATCATTGTTTGCCCCCTCGTATAAGATATCCCACCGCCCCCATGCTCATGACCATGCTTCTCTGCGCACTGCACCGTCGTGATTTCCTTTGTTCCCTGCCATTTCTTACTAATTTACTCCCTTGCCGGGGTTAACAGTTGCGCTTATCGCTGCGATGCACCCACAAGCGCGAGATCAGATCAGCTCGGGGAGCTCGACTCCCGCAAACAGCCATGAGTGGGATTCTGAAGGCAATGAGACTCTGGGCGACTCTAGAGTCGAGCGCGACCGCAGGGTCACTGACCTCGCTCGCGCGCTCAGCTCGCGATCGAAACAGTCCGATCACCCGCTCCCGTTCGAACCCGGAAAGGATGGCCGTTTGGATCCCCTGAGCCCTCAGTTCAATGTCCGTGCATGGGCCAGGGCCTTCTACGACGTTCGGTACAATTCAGAAGATGCCGCTCCTCCGCGTGTTGCCGGTGTCGCCTTCAAGAATCTCAATGTTGTCGGGTATGGAACTCCAGTCGACTATCAGATGAGCGTCGGAAACACCCTGATCAAGCTGCCCACCCTCGTCCTGCAGTTTTTCCGCGGAAAGAAAGAGAAGATTGAGATCCTCAAAGACATCAATGGGCTCCTTCTTCCCGGAGAGCAGCTCTGTGTCCTGGGACCCCCGGGCTCAGGCTGCTCGAGCCTCCTCAAGACCATCGCCCAAGAGACGCACGGCTTCGAGGTCGACCCGGCCTCGTACGTCAACTACCAGGGAATTACCCCGAAGCAGATGTCGAAACACTTCCGCGGAGAGGCGATCTACACTGCCGAGGTCGACGCACACTATCCTCAGCTCATTGTTGGCGACACCCTGTACTTCGCGGCCCTGACCCGGACCCCCCGCCAGATCCCTGGTGGCATGAGCCGGAAGGAATATGCCGTTCATTTGCGCGACGTCATCATGTCAACATTCGACATCAGTCATACCATCAACACCAAGGTTGGAAACGACTTTGTTCGGGGTGTCAGTGGTGGTGAGCGGAAGCGAGTCACCATTGCCGAAGCGGCGCTAAGCTATGCGCCATTGCAATGCTGGGATAACAGTACTCGCGGGCTAGACAGTGCGAATGCTGTCGAGTAAGTGCATCAGAGAGGCTAATTAAAGCATGTGTCCGCCTGCTAACAATCCTAGGTTTTGCCGCACACTACGAACCCAGGGTGATGTCTTTGGGATCACCTCGTGTGTAGCCATCTATCAAGCTCCCCAGGCGGCCTATGAAGTAAGTCGAGCGCATTGTTGATGGAGACTGGGGCACTGACACCACTTCCAGCTCTTCGACAAAGTCACCGTGCTGTATGAAGGAAGGCAGATCTACTTCGGCCCTGCTAAGGAGGGCAGAGATTACTTCGTCCGCATGGGATTCACTTGCCCGGAAGCTCAAACGACCCCTGATTTCCTAACCTCAATGTCCAGTCCGGTGGAGCGTGTGATCACGCCGGGCTTCGAGCATCTTGTTCCTCGGACATCCGATGATTTCGCAAAGCGTTGGAAAGAAAGCCCTGAGTGCCAGGCACTTCTCGCCCAGATCAGTCAATACGTGGATGACCATCCTTTCGAAGCAGAGGACTTTGAACAGTTCGCCTTGTCCCGACAGGCTGAAAAGTCCAAAGGGCAGCGACCAAAGTCACCATATACGTTGTCGTACTGGAGCCAGATCCGCGTGTGTCTCTGGAGAGACTTTCAGCGTCTCAAGAACGATCCCAGCGTTACCCTGGCAATGCTGATTGGGAATTTTTTTGAAGCTCTAATTATTGCAAGTGTCTTCTACAACATGCCAGCAGACACCTCCTCGTTCTTTTCCCGGGGAGCTCTTTTATTTATGCTGGTTCTCCTGAGCGCCTTCTCCAGCATCCTCGAGATTCTCACCTTGTACGAGAAGAGAACTATTGTTGAAAAGCACAATCGCTATGCCCTCTATCACCCGAGTGCTGAGGCGATATCATCAATGATCATGGACATGCCTTACAAAATCACAAACTCCCTGCTCACCTGCCTTCTGCTATATTTTATGGGAAATCTCCGTCGTGAACCTGGGTCATTCTTCTTCCTCTACCTGATTGCCTTTGCGATGATGATGGGAATGTCCATGTTCTTCCGCTTCTTTGCCTCGTTGACCAAGTCAATGGAGCAGGCTATGGCTCCCTCCTCGATCATCCTTCTCGTCCTTGTGCTTTACACCGGCTTTGCCATCCCTGTCAGCTACATGCGTGGCTGGGCCTCTTGGCTCCGGTGGTTGAACCCTGTCTTCTACGGATTTGAAGCTGTGATGTTGAATGAATTCCACGCGCGGGAGTTTCCCTGTGTTTCGTTTGTTCCGTCGGGACCAGGGTATGAAAACGTTTCACTTGAACAGCAGGTGTGCTCGACCGTCGGAGCGGTTCCAGGGTCCACTGTTGTCCAGGGTGCCGACTTTGTGCGGTCCTCCTATGGCTATGAAAACAGCCATCGGTGGCGGAATTTTGGAATCCTTGTCGCACTTATAGTGTTCCTTGCTGGACTGCATCTGATCACCTCGGAGTTGGTGTCTTCCCAGCGCTCAAAAGGTGAAGTGCTCGTCTTCCGCCGTGGTAAAACACAGCAAACAAGGGCGAAGCGACAACAGGGTGATGAGGAGCAAATAGCAAGCCCTGCTGCTCTCAGTGTAAAGATTGGCGACGAAGGGGTTGGCGACGTGGTTGGAGTCGAAAAGCAGAGCTCCATATTTCACTGGGAAGACGTGACCTACGACATCAAGATCAAAGGCGAACCGCGTCGCATTCTGGACCACGTTGACGGATGGATCCAACCGGGCACTCTGACGGCACTCATGGTGAATCCCTCTTCCTTTCACTGATCTCGACACACTCGCTGACAACGGTTCCTAGGGTGTCTCTGGCGCGGGCAAGACCACCCTTCTGGACGTGCTGGCCAGCCGGACAACGATGGGGGTCGTTGGGGGCAACATGCTTGTGGACGGCCGAGTACGTGATGAGTCCTTCCAACGAAAAACTGGTTATGTTCAGCAGCAAGATCTTCATTTGCACACGTCCACTGTGCGCGAGGCCCTGGAATTCAGTGCGCTGCTTAGACAGCCACCCCAGTACAGCCGTGCTGAGAAGCTCGCGTATGTGGAGACTGTGATTGATCTACTAAACATGCGAGAATATGCCGATGCCATTGTCGGAGTTCCAGGTGAGGGTCTCAACGTGGAACAACGCAAGCGACTGACTATCGGCGTTGAGCTCGCTGCACGCCCAAAGCTTTTGTTGTTCCTGGATGAACCAACCTCTGGGTTGGACAGTCAAACATCATGGTACGTCCAGCAGTCGACTGCTGGCGGGTTTACTGTCTGCCGACTGCCTAACCTCGCGCGTCATTCCCCAGTGTGAGCTCTGAGAAGCCAAACAGCTAATCTATACGCAGGTCCATCTGCAACCTTATGGAGACTCTGACCAAGAACGGGCAAGCAATCCTCTGTACTATTCACCAACCCTCTGCGATGCTCTTTCAGCGCTTTGACAGACTACTCCTCCTTGCCAAAGGGGGCAAAACGGTCTATTTTGGCGAAGTCGGCGCTGGGGGCAAAATCCTGATGGATTATTTTGTCCGTAATGGTGGCGCTCCTTGCCCAGCTGGTGACAACCCCGCTGAGCACATGCTCGAGGTTATCGGGGCAGCACCAGGCGCTCAGACCGACATCGACTGGCATGCTGTGTGGAGGAGCAGTCCCGAGTACCAGCAAGTGCAAAGTCGTCTTCGTGAATTGAGGGAGCTGGTGAACCAGCCGTCGGCAGTGTCAGATCCAAATGACCAGTCGAGCTATGCCGAGTTTGCGGCACCCATGTCTGAACAGCTACTGCATGTTGGACGTCGTGTGTTCCAGCAGTACTGGCGCACCCCGTCTTACATCTACTCTAAGGGCTTGCTTACTGTTGGCTGTGTATGTACCCCTTGCCTGCAGAAGTGATCATACCTAACCCCCAACAGGCGCTTTTCATCGGATTTTCTTTCTTCAAAATGGAGAATACCCGGCAGGGCCTGCAGAACCAGATGTTTGGGGTCTTTGTCTTTCTCTTTGTGGTTGTCCAGCTCATCTTCCAGATCATCCCTTCTTTTGTCACGCAGCGAACACTCTACGAAGCAAGAGAACGCCAGTCCAAGACGTACGCATGGCAGGCTTTTGTCATAACCAACATTGCTGTTGAGTTCGCGTGGAATACAGTAATGGCGATATTTTGCTACCTCGTGTGGTTCTATCCTGTCGGACTCTATCGCAACGCTGAATATACCGACACTGTACACTATCGCAGTACTCTGACTATGCTTCTCATCTGGGCCACTTTTCTCTTTGCCAGCTCATTCGCCCATATGTTGATCGCCGGCCTGGGCAATGCAGAGATTGCATCTTCCCTGTCCAATATCTTGTTCATTATGATGTACGTCTTCTGCGGGATTCTCTCCACTCCCGACGCTCTTCCGGGGTTCTGGATCTTCATGTATCGCGTGAATCCTCTAACATACCTGGTCTCATCTCTACTGTCCACAACACTGGGAGAGGCGCCCATGCACTGCGCCGACAACGAAGTCCTGTCCTTTTCGGCGCCGGACGGAATGAGCTGCGGCGAGTACATGCAGGACTATCAAGCTGCCAATGGGGGCTATGTGCTCAATCCCGATGCACGGGGCAGTGAGGCCTGCAATTTCTGCACCGTGGAGTCCACCAGCCAGTACTTGAACAGTCTCAATGTAATTTTCGCCAACCGATGGCGCGACTTTGGCCTTCTCTGGGTCTATATTGTTTTCAACACTGTCGCGGCCGTTGCCTTTTACAAGATCTTCCGCGTGCCGCGAGTCAAGAAGGCGCAATAGCCTCTATCTTTTTTTCTTCGTCTGGGCTGGTGTCGTTCGCTTATACTCTGTTTAATTTGTGTCATATTGCTTTTGCAGGCCGAGCATGGCCACACATAGAATTCTCTTTCTTTTCCTTTTCTGTGGACATAGACATGTATATAACTTACTAGAGATTTGAACAAAAGAACTGCTGCTCCTGCTCTACGAATCGAATGGCATAAGCTGCATTATTTGTGCGCATGCACAGCATTAGATAGTCGAACCATCTAAGGCTCTCGATGGTGGATCAACGAGCGAGCAGCTAGAAAGGATGCAGCCTTCCATGCATATCTGAGTGCAAAACACGGATTAGTCAACAACTTCCTTCCACTGTCATGGGAGCCGGATGTGAAGGAGGGCGATGGTGAAAGTGATATTCAGCCAGCAACTTTACAGGACACGTCTTCCGACCCGTGGTTCAATATGCCAGACATCAAGCCCGAATATACAGCCTTGAAAAGCCGAATTTGTGTCTCAGAAAATGGGCAGGACCGCCCCGACATTGCACTGACTTTAACCACATCAGTAGTGTTACCAACGACCGAGCTTGCTCCTCTGATGCTGTATTAGGACAGTGAGACTCTGTTTTTGGTTTCCATAGGACACCAGGTCTGAATCCTCCATCTCTCGGCCACAGAGATCCAACACATGGATGAAGCCATGAGCCTCCTACCGTAGTCGATTCGGACAAAGTCACAGACGCAACCTAAACGCAATCATCATGCCTATATCTATCCGGATATTCCACTGAACCAGCTACGGGGCTGGCTTGAGGCAAACCGAGGACGACACAACTTCTCAACTGAGGTCCTAGCCGCGTGAATTGAACCTCGTGGGTTCATCCAAAGAGTGTCTCTCCACAATTACCCTCACATTTATATTAGATGGGATATTACCACAGAGACCCATTTACAGATCTCTTCCATTCGCTGCAGGCCATTTCTTAGGCGCAGGAATCTCGCGGTGCTCTTGCTGTGGCGGCACCGGCTGCGTTCTGGAACAGAACGTTGGCGCGAAAACGGAGGTGACAATCCCTGTAGACTCCTGCACTTTTGATCGCTTACCGCGGGAACTTGGCTGTGTTAACTTAACCTGTATATGTAGTTGCATTAGTTTAATTTCATATCAACGAATAAAGTCAGGTATTCCAAACTTGATCCCCCTACGAAAAAGTTCAGCCTACTAAATTGGAATTAGGCCATCTTTGTCTGGAATCGGGAGACCTGTCATCCTGAGAGTCCGCATCCTTTCCCTCCTTTTTTTAGCGAAAGGTTTTTCCAATTCTGTATAGAATAACATCTGCTAATGATGCCTTCCCGATGTCTTGCAGGATAGCCTGCAGGTACTCGTTCTTCGGGAAGAGGGTATTCTTCTGAACAAGTGACTGGCTCCTCGGGAGCAGGATAGTTCGAGGAGGCAGTGACTGGCTCTTCGGGAACAGGATAGTCTTCTGGAACAGAGACTGGTATGTCTCCAATCCTAATCCCCTGGACATTCATTGCTCCACGATGCTCTCAGTTCCCATTTATGATATTCTCCAACTGCTGCAAGCGCGCAGCAAGTATGTCCAGAACCATTCTCATAACAATAGAGCGCTGGCTCTACGCAAAAGGACACGAAACACTTATCAACAAGTGGTATCCATTTGCATTAGCCACGCTATATACGTCAAGAGCCTGATTGTAGTTAGTAATAGTCAGAATCTGGTGATCCAATAAAGGTGGTAGACCATGAAGCATCAGTCCGGTCAGGCTGGAACCCTTTTTGGTCGCCTCCAAATGAGAACCGTTGTTTCAAGACCTAGTTGTCACTCTTAAGTGCCTTGCTTTGTCTTTGAACAGGATTGCCAATGTAAGGAGGCACAGCAGCAATGCTGTACAAGCCCACAGTATCTACATGGACACATTGTATCAGATGAATCGCCTGCATGTCCTAGTAGTGGACTAAGTGATTTCCGCTATACGTTTTTGCAGGCGAAGACTACAACTAACTTGATTTCCCAAAGGAGACTATTTAAATAAGCGACGTGCTAGCTAAGCATTTAATATCCCAAGGGTCAGGGTCGCATCTTCTCCATCTCATACATGGCTTTAGCTCCTTTCTTCACTACTTCACGGAGGAAACAGTTCATATATACCCCTCGGCTCTGTCTTCTCCCGCTATTTCTTAGCTCTTTCCCACAAAGCTCTTCCCATTTCAAATCCTCCATCCCAGCCGATTCACACGTGGGCAATGATTCACTGCTTGTGGGCCGCGATAACCATATTTGGCACGAACTTCCCCTTTCGGTCGACTGTGGGTGAAGCTTGAAGGGTGCCCCAGCCAGGGGGTACCACATAATGCCCTTGCATTGAGACTCATTCGAGCACATATCGAGACACTCGTTGAACACGAGGCCGTTCTGCTTGTTGAAGCTGCGCGCAGTTCTTAAGTCATGGTCGCACCAAGTCTGGTAGGTCTTCCCTCCTCGCGTGGTTTGCTGGTCGTGGACAGCAGGACATTTGGGTGTCTTTAATGCGGCCACACTGGCGTCACATTAGGTTTGCACGTCCTCCAGTCGGTCCTCGCACTCCTCTTCAGGGAAGGGATCATCCACAATTTCCTCCCGGCGGTAGGTCATGTACGCCACTCGTGTCTTAACACGCAGCTCGGGTTCGCCTTGATGTTCGACAAGGTAGCATGCAGGGCCAGGGCGAGCGCTCCACATGCTTCCAACGCAACCACTAGTCTGCTCACATGCAAGTACACACGCATCCGGATTGGTTGCAGTGTTACCCTTGGCGCTAACTCCGAGAGCTGTGGCTTGACCACAGTGGTACGTCGCAAAGAGGCCAGGCTAGATTTCAGCCTCCTGACCATCATTTGCTGGACACAATTGATGTAGTGCTCCGTAGGAGTGGCTGCCTGAGCATTGGCAAGGCTGATGATCAGAGAGAGGAACGAAACAAGGACTTGGAACTTCATGGTAATTGAGGTTATCCAAAGAGAATTCAGACTGAGAGTCAATAGAGAGATTGATACTGGCTTGGTATGCTTAAAGTCACAGGGCATGAAGGGAGTATTTATATCTTTCTAGAGAGCTATTTATCACAAAACAAGTAGCTCGATAAATAAATTCATTTTTAATCTGGACAAATCACCGCGAGTGATTCGCCTCCTCCATACTGTTACGTATTCTGTTCCGGGTATCTATCCATAGACGATGTTAGTTGCATCATGTCTAGCTTGTTGACCTCTTTGCTACACTAAGGAAACTCTACTGTACACCATTAGGACAACTGTTCTTTTTAACTCGACTCTTGTCCACACGTATCCTCTCCACCCCACTCCAACATTACGTGATGTCTACCGTCCATTACCTAGGTAGAACGCATCATAAAAGCACACGCTGGAAAAACCATGATATTGCCTTGCTCTCATTGAAAAGGCAAAGGAGGCTTCTCTCCACGAATTGTTGTCCGTCAATAATCGTTATTACCTTCTAAAGGTCCACTATCCTGGTCTGCATATTGTAATAGTGGGTGACGCAGGGTGACACATCTCGCCAATTATGCTCTCTGCAGAAAGCTGACAATAGATTCAGTAGTTCCTGTCGTTAATGGGGAATTAGTGCCGAAAATGCATTCTTTATCATGCGGGGTGGGATGTAGCTGGCTGAGACGTGCCGAGTTGATCGTTCCACCTAAGTAGCGTAGACCACAAAAATCAGAGTTCGGGACCTAAAAAGGGGGTCGGCACGAAACTTTAACGGAAAATCCATGCTTTCCGGCCATGTCTCCATAGTATTTCAGAGGTGGCTACATTACTTGCGACCGCATTATCTTGTCCTAGCAGTCGTCTACATACGCCCCTACGGAGTTTAATGATGGCACAGATTTTGTCTTGTCTCATCCCGGCTCAAGGGCGGAGCAGCTGAAAAAACTGCGATCCACGATCTGCTGTAGTTAACCCTTGCGTCGATCTGTCGATGTATAGCTAGCTGAATGATCCACATGTTCGTCCGAGCACCGATCTTAGCACTCGCCCTATCGTGTCATAACGTAATCCTCATTCTGCAAAACTTCGAATTTGTTTAGTGGTATCGTCACTGGTCAGATTTAGTTATATAATATTATACCTTAGCCAGCTCTTATCGAACCTGGGTCACACGGAACTTGGAAGTTCTGGCAATATAATTGCCCTCCATAGCTATATAGGTCAGCTACAGCCACCCCACCGCCGGCTCAGCGCCCACCGCCGGTCCGGTATGCTTAGGATCAGCGACACTACAGAGTGCTAGTTTCCAGCAACCAGAAGTGGAAATAGCTTGTGGGGTCTGTCATCTTGCATCATACTCCGTACAATATTCCCAACCTGTCTGATGGTTATAAGATCTAGGCTGTAGTCAGCGCGGTACTCATAGACATAGAATTGTACTATAAATGGCGAGATTAAAGTTCCTATGACAATAATGATTCCAGGAAAGTACTCTCATGGCCCGAGAAGATCCAAGGCCAAATCGGGCATGTGGTCATTGTCACAAGGCTATCATGGATATTAGACTAAAGACTTAAATCACAGGCGAGAACCATAGTTGAAGCCTGATGACATGTAACTTAAATCCGAAGTATGCACATATGAGACTACGCACTAGGGGTCGGTGACACCGACCCGGGGGCAGTAGAAACAGAGCCAGAGACTCAGCAGATTCAAGACCGCAGCCTCAAGATCTGCCAGGCCATCAGACCGTCTACTGGCTTCCCCTATGATTTCAAAACCCGCACAGCCGCAAGCCTTAGATCTGAAGACGCTGGTGGCTCAAGACTGTGCTTAGAATTTGACTACGATATTCCATCATTAGCATCAGTTGTTGCCCTTTCAGAAAGGATCTTCCTGTGCAGGCCCGTGGCATTGTCTACTTTTCTGCCATATTGCTTGTAACTACCTTGCTCGTTGGCTTATGTCAGCCATGGGCTATTTCTCATCGGTCGAGGATCATCTATTCCTTACGGAGAACCACTGCGTATGTGATAACTATGCTTGACATACCGGAATCAAAGCTATTGGCTGGTTTATTAAATTGGATCCGATAGTGGATTCGCATCCAGTTCCATTCACGACATCTAAGATGTGTGCGGTATAACCAGATCTACGGGGCGAGACTTTGGAGCACAACTGATTGATGTCAAATAATATGGCCTTTGGTGGACCAGAATTATGTGACTAGATAGGGTAAAACCTCCGCGGAGCACACAACGAAAACAACAGAAGAATCAACATAGTCAAGAAGAGCCCAACCAGCTCAATTCATTCAAATAAGACCTTTTTACCAATCGTACTCTATTTCCTCTTCGGGACTAGCCGTATACCTGACAATTGATAAACTAATGATCTGCATCTTATGTGGTCGCCCAACGTGCGGGGTTCACACCCCCGAGTACTTCAACCCTCTTCATGTATTCTAGATGTGAGAGTCAACCATCCAAGGAAGTATGGTAGTTATCGTGGTCTAGGATATCAATGATATATCGTTCCCTATATTAGGCAACTGGTTGCATGAAGCTGTTCGATGAGCTTACTGCCTTCTTTCCCCCTGAGTCACATAACTGATGGAACCCAGTTCTACCCGTTCTACCCGTTCTAGAATAGCCTCATTGGTCGCACCATGCAAGTAAACACACGTATTTTGAAAAGTAAAATAGGAATATGAGAGAAAGAATGTTATCACGCATGCACTTTGTTACAGACTGGACTCCTTCGCTCGTACTTCCCAGGTCGCCCTCAGAGGAAAAACATCTGTGGTTTATTGAATGAAGGAAGGGAGCTCCAACAGCTGATCAGTAGTTAAGTGACAAATTGCGAGAAAGCCTCGTTTTGCATTATCGGGCGACAAATGCAGATCGTATTGCTCTTGCTGAGCAGCTGCGCGAACGATAGGATCAAATGGCATGATGTGCTAGGTGCTTTTGACGGAGACTCGCCATGAAAGGCGCGGCTCTGTCGTCGAAGGCACACGTTTGCATAACCACCAGGTTCAGATACTTGCTTGTGATTTGGCGCCCCAGTGACCTAAGAATAGTCTAGCCACAAATTCTCAGCAGGACCAGATATACCGTGGGTGACACCAAAATCCTCCGACAAACGGATGGTGCCAGCAAATATACCCAGGACGTCTCCCTCGCAGATAGGCACAATATAAGAGACGAACATAGACTCGTCTTTGGGCAGAATAGTGATAAATGCGGCCCCGTCCGTTCCACCGTCGTATACCGATTCATCATCGTGTGATCGAAATTCGAGCCCTTCGAGTGGTTGTCCGAGGGTGCGCCTTGGCTTAAACATAAGTTCCCAGCTAATAATATCTGGCCTGTAAATCCCCCAGAGGCGACTTGCACTGTGATAATTCTGCACTGTGCCATCCTCTTATTGATCGATCGACGTGGATAGACTGGGTGGGCATGCCACCAATGTGGATCGCGGTCGGGGAGGAGACATATGCGGACGGAATCAAGTTCTTGGTAAAAAGTATTAAAAGTTCCGGAGTCCATGTGACTTTTATTTAGTATGAGTATATGCCGCATGTTTGGAATGTAGTTATATCACACTTGCCTTAAAGTCGGCATTTGATGAAACTGTGGAGTGAAGCCTGTAAGGAACTTGGTTCAGATGGCTATACAAGAAAGGCTGCAGCCTACTTTGTCAAGCTTGGCAAGCTGCAAATTGTTCCGATCGATTTTGAGAGACTAGTGGAACTTCCTGATGATGAAGTACTAAGAAAGATGCGAGCGGCTAGAGATAAACTGGCTAAGTTTGCCTGGAAGGGGCCAGATCTCGGCTACGCGAAGTTATGTATTATGCGCAACTTAACTTATACATATATGATAAGTGATTCTGTTCTGTAGCAACAAAGAGATTGGCTTAGTCTGCCAGAGATGCCTCGATAACACTTTGCTGATCCCCCGGTGCGGACCATACTTGATTCAACTTCAGAGGTGGCTCTACTTTGGCCAATAGTTCCGACCATTGCGTCCGTGTACGCTCCATTCCATTGCATAGGAACAACATCAGCATATCCATGTCAGCCCTTACCAAAGTTTCATGTGTATCAGCCAGAACCATTTCATTTATAAGGAGGCGAGAGTGGGGCTTCATTGCCTTGGCTGTATTGGACAGAATCTTCTGCGAGGAAATATCGTCCCAGTCGTGGAGGACAGACTTCAGATAGTAAATATCAGCTCCTGGAGCATGTCAGTGTTAAAGCGTTGAGCAGAACCAAATGCATACGAAATCCCGACCAACCTTTAATTTTCTGCTCTGTGAAAAAGTCGTATGCAACAGCCTTGATCCTCGGATCTAGTTTGTCTGTAATCCCGTCCAATGTCTCTGGCAAATCCTGCAGAATCAAATCACACTCTAAGCCTGGAAATTCGCGAATAAAACGCTCCAAATCGACGCCCTGGTTCCCACCAATATCGACAATAACTGGCTTTGCCAACGACTGCAGTTCAGTTAATCTTTCTTTTACTGGGAACTTAACATGCCAGGGAATAGACAGTGTTTTATTTCGAGCGGTCATATTGTCATCGAACCCCTTTTTCCATCGAGCATTATTTTTAAAGGTTTCCCAGACGGTCTCACCCATGGTAAAGTCGTATGCGGGGGGGGAATCACTAATGTCGCATGGTTTCTTCTGCTGGAGGTACTGGCGTATTTGACTCGCTAGGGGGTAGACCATCTCATTTCTATTCAGGTAGAATTAGGACGAGGCGCACAACTATATGAAATGTTCTTGGAGACATACGAAAGTATCAAACCCCCCATATTCCCGGGATGGCTTTGACAGATTGTGTTTGCGTTGGCGGTGTATGTCTGGTATCCGGTCTCGTCCGCGAAGCCGATTCCAGTTATCATTCGCATGATGCGAACTAATGAATATTATCCTGAGAAACTTAAATCCGGTACATCATATATAGAAACTTACCAATAAAATCCTTATTATATCCCGACTCCTTGGCCAAATCCGAAGCCGTTATACTATTTCCCTCATTCGCAGCCAGTATTTGAATCAAGCCAATTTCAAGCGCGGCAACAATGCAGACATTCTGAACGGTCTAACAGTTGGTCAGTAAAGCCAATATCGCTATTATAAGTGAAAGTATCAAACCCACGTGAAATCGTTGCTTCATAATAAAAACAGGTGGAGGCTCAGTCGCACGACGCAGGTTCTCCATGGCATCTTGGATCGGTATCCAGCTTGCCGGGTTGGCGGAGTCGTATGAGGCTACAGCCTGCTGGATATTTGCTGCGAGGCCTTCGAGGTGTTTTTTGTTCGTCATTGCCTTCTATCTTTACCTAATAGTGCCCAACGCATTATTGTCGTTATATGTATTTGTCCGGTGGGGAGAAATCGCCTTTATGGCGCAATCCGTGGGGGTTGCCAAGACAGGAGAAGCATGGGTTTGATGCAGGTGAGATTATGGGTAAGGCATCGTCGATGTGTTCTTTCATGTGCTACTCTGTAAGCCGAGGAAAATAATTCCCGATGGGGCCTGGATTGGGTTACATTCTGTGTATAGGAACAAGGCCAGTAGGTAACAAATTAGTGGGACTGTTCTATGGTATTTATATTTTATATAAATACTATTACAAAATTCTGTTACTTTTAGTTTATAAGGTTTAGTATTTTATAACTACCTCCGTCATCCCGGACGACTAATACGTATAGTGCCTGACGAATATGGCGACAACACGTAGGCACTCCGAAGACATGATCCCAGATCATACGATTCCACGTCGTATGATATGGGATCCCACGGCAGTGCACTGGAAGACCTCGGTAGACACTAGGTTAAATAGCGGTCTGCTACTTAAGGAAGGGGACTCATCAAGGATAGCTTAGGCAATACATTCCTTCAGAAGACTCAACAGACTTCCCTCAGTCCTCCCCAGGGCCGCCATCACGGCGGCCCCTGGGGCCCCCGTCCCCTATTCGACTGTCCCTACCGCTCATAGTGTTATACTACCTCGTCCAGTCCCCTACCTAACCGGCCGTGTGATGAGCGATATTGCACCTCACTACCTACTAAATTTATGGAGGATTAATAAATAGGTATTATGTACATTAGAAACAAGGTAACAGACTTTAGTAATAGTAAAGGTAGAATCCCAGAAGTTTCCCTTCCCTTGCCAAGACTCTCGGGAAGGGATTCCCATTATATGGGATTCGGGATAGGATATTCCCATCCCATATACTTAAAAATTCTGGTCCTGTTTGTATTAGGGAGTCCCATGGGATGGGAATCCCTTTAGAAAATAAGAGTATGGGAATTTCCCTCCTAAATTTTTAATGTCCCGAAATAATCTCTTCCCGATCTTGGCACGGGACGGGATATTCCCTTTCCCAAAAATTTCAAAAAAATCGTCCCTATTTCTTGGGAAGGGAATCCCATGCATGCCGATGTCCCATGGGAATTTCCCTTCCCAACGGTCAGCCTAGCTCCTGGTGCCACGCGGGATACAGAAATACCTGTGTAAGGCACCGGTCGCTGGCTTTACCACTGAGCTACAGCCAAAAAGGCATATAGGAGCACGGTCAGGGTCCTAACAACCTGCCGCAACATAAACCTTCTATTCTCTCATTCTGACTGTCGGCTGGAACTCTTTGACCTCAGACAGATATTAAAGTCGGGCTTAGAGCAGCTAGCAACTTATTGGGAGTTACTTGATCGAGGGCAGAGCCTCGCACGTCATTTAGGTGTACCCCGTTGAGGATATTCTGGAAGAGAGAATCAGTAGGCTGTTCAGCAGTCGCAATCCTCACATTATTGAGACGGAGACTAGTAAACAAGGCTCGCCTTCTATCAATTGGCTCAAGGTTGTTCGTCATATCGATCTCGCAAGCCTTGAACAGGGTCAGATTGCATATACCGCGCCCCTGTCCAGGGAGCTCTGGTCCAAATAATAGAATCGGATCATGACCTCATTGTATCTGGTGTCCCCAGAAAGCTTGTCGGGGCCTGGCCAGATACGCGGGATGTGGAGAAAGTAGTGCATACGCTGGCATTGTTGATCAAACATGTTTCCAATGGAATCAACACACTATATAGCGGTCAAGCAAAGTGATCTTCTGCTGCATAATCTACAAGAACGATCTGCTGAGCTGCTTTACCCCAGGTCAGAGTTACCATCACACCATGGCCCTTCCCACACGTCCAATGGGGTTGAGAGTAGCACCCACCATGAGTAAGCTAGTTAACCACCCCTTCTCCTCTCTGAGTTTGCCCTAATCGCTGCCAGAGTATCTGCCTAGATAGATGTTGAGATCAGTTCGTTGCTAGACTAGAAGATGCTTCATAAAAATGATGCAGTAGACCCAGAATTCCATGGATGGACTTCACAGAGCTCCCAAAAAGGACCGCGAATCAAGGATTACGGGAGGTCCGGAAGTAAAAGGAGACGTGTTTAATCAGTTTATACTATACTTGGCTCTCATTCATTTATATGTCGAACGCTTAATGTATTATGTCCTATTGTTTTACTTTCTCTTATTCCTTCGCACAGGGGATGCCTGGAGCTTTACTTTCCACGCGTTATCCACATTTGGGGCAGTGTGTCAAAGTACAATCAAATGGAACTGTCCGAAGAAAAAAACTAAAGGTAGAGCATAGCCTTCTACCTCATTTCACTGTGGGAGCCGCTTCCTGTTGCGTTACTGTATAAAGTGTTCCTTAGACTCGAAGTGCACTTAACTGTATGTGCCATGTGTCTAGTCATAATGGTTTCAAAACTGGTACTAACTATATCTATAATACCTGAGCCCAGATCATATTACAGTAAAGCATTCTACCAATGTTGCACATGTGGAATGTTGGGCATAGTTCAGCAAGGACGTGAGTTTCGAAAAACGGATATAATAAATAGACAAAAGCTACCCAACCATTAATAAGGCGGTGGTAAGCAGAAAACGTACGGTGCCGCCCAGAGGGGAGAACGCTTGAATTCAGTTTTCGAACGTCCTATACAAATGTTTCGCAAGAGATACTTGAACTAAATCACTAGAATCACAGGACATCCAGAAATCGTGAGGGTTACCTCTTAGGTAAGACTCCAGCAGAAATTCAATCCGGTCTCTTGAATGAAGGCAAATTGTAGAACCCGGCTTCAGTAACACAAGCTACTGTAACCGCACAGGTTGTATAAAGTTTAATGTTGCCCCCTAGCAAGGCAGGTGCCTTCAGTTCACAAGGTACAAGTTTTATACTCTGTGCTTAATTATATTCTACCGGAAATAATGCCTGGTACAGTCATCAAGCCATTATATCAAAATGTCCAGCATGTTACTCAAGAATGGCAGTGTTGAAAGTGGCTTGCATCCACACACCGTTCCTTGAGGTTTATAAAATAGCCCGCCGAGTGTTTAACTGGTTGTCGAGATAACTGCGATATCGCGCCTTGCTGGCTGTGAAATTATAATACTAATGAAGGCGGGGGGCTTAGCAGTGTTACCTCTCCTCGTGATATCGCGTTGGCCCGGGTCTCATGTTGAGCGTGAGTAATATTAAAATGCTTCGTCCGATCCGCTGGGCTAATCCAGCAGTACATATTTCGGTTCGTATAGTTCTCCTCGTAGCACCGCCATCTCTCCATGAGCTGCAGTTGAAGATCTCCTGCAATGCGAATAGCTTCAACTCGGACGTTGTGTTGCTCCTGTAACCGAGCTGGACGCACGCTCTGAGGCACCCAGGTGGCCGTATTTGGTGTAGTTGGCGTACTCTGCGGCGGGCTTGACGGTATAAACCCTTCTCCCCTTGTGTGTTGAACTCGCTATTAGCGCTTGCGTAGGCAGTGTTTTAACAGTTATCTCAAACAAAAGGACCATCTGACCCTTGCGAAAATTGGACCGCTGCCTCTCTAGCTGTATCATCACCCCCTCTGCAGCTGCAATTGAGAAGTCTTCAAGATCATGTTGCTTCGCTCCTCCGCGGCCACTCTCGTATTTTATACACAGCCGCACGCGTGAGGATTTCAAATTCCAAGCCATCAGCAGATTTATCGATCTACTCCATCAGTTGTTCTGTAAAATCCGTAATATCAAAGGTTCTACGCGTAGTGTCGGGCAGGATCTTCCTGAGTGCAAGTTTACCGTTAATACGGACTGTAAAAAGAAGCTGTATGTCAAAATCCCCGTATACCATGGCCTCACCAATCTCCTCTCCAAGCTCTGAGGTGGTAATAGAATCGCCATAGTGAGCCTTCGCCTCTGCGTACTCTCACCGTGCTTCAGCAATTTTCCGGGCCGATACAAACTGGTTATATCTTTCCTTAGTGGTGAAGAGGCGTTGAGCAAGGAGTTCTTCCTCATCCTCTGCGGCATCAGCATCGCTTGGATTAGGCGCCTCGCGGGCGCTAAACCGTACACGCTTTGGAGGTGGTAATGATGGTTGGCGAGAGGGCTGCCGCGATACTGAACGACGAGGGGTTGGTAGGGACGGTTCACGAGAAACTGAGCGGGATCCTGAGCGAGATTTGTTTCCCACTATAGGGTTTGATGATCCTGGCTCTGCATCGCATGGAAGGGTCCTGGTACCCTCTTTTGGATAGGATGGCCCCTTTTCTGGGCATTATTTCTAATCATAGCAATCTCTGCAGCTGCACTGTGGGGTGTATAATTATCCTAACGGTTCTGACCAGCTGCAGGGGGTGGCTCAACGCGAGGAATGCTAGTATGGCGAAGATCATACGGCATCGAGCGAGCTGTCAGCCCCTCAGCAGTATTGGAACGTTTAGGAGGCATTTCCTACGTTTGAGTAGCCTCAATTCCGACGAATTTGGCAATTAAAATGCGTATTTCATAGTCAACAGGTATGAATTTCGAATATTTAAGCTTGGGGGGAGCTGTTCCTAACCTGCGCGAACTTACGCGTTGGCGCTAACTCGACTGTCCCAATTTTGAATACGGCAGATGTCTGCAGAGCTGCAGGTTTTGCTCTTATAATGTTATGATCATTCGCTCAGGGAAGGAATGGGTGCCGAGATAGACTTTGAGCCGCATTGCTTAAAGCTTTCTTCTTCCGCTTTGACAGCCCACTCGTTTGAAGCATTATTCCATGAGGGCTCTGGCACTTTCAGACGCTAGAGCGCCTGAAGATTGCTGAGGTAGCTAAGACGGTTCGAGTCTCCTGTCTTCAGTTTGGTAAAATCCGCGTTTCCAGTTGTTCGATATGAGACCAATACTCGTGGTCCTATCCCAAAACTTCATCCACAAGTGGAGTTTCCGATATTTTGGAATAGCCTCTGCAGAAACTGTCGAATTCTTTCGTACGCTAGAAGAGAATTTGTCAATACCAACCTCACGCATGTGGAATAAGTTCTTCCAGAAAATGCGGTATTTCACTGATTTTCTGCACCCAAGCTATACCCATTGTCTTCCATGAATTTCTTTGTGGCAGTTTTTCCGCCATGGTGAATCTATCGGCCGAGCCCTTGGCGGGTGGGCAGCATTGCATGTCGATCAGCGCGGCGCACTTGAGAATGATTAGCCAGAAGGTAGTTTCGTTGTATCTTGTCTGTATTGCTCTGCCAGTAGTTAAAGCAGTGTCTCTTCGAATGGCGTGAATTGCCTGCTCATAACTGTATCGAGAGAACTCTTTGACAAAACTCCCGCATCCTCTCCAGCTGTTGTCATAGCCATGCAATTGCGCTGCCCATATTGTGCGATATCAGAGTTGGTCCTGACACATTGCAACAATATTGTTGTTATGATCTTCATCTCGTAGGCTGAATCAAGATGTAACGGCAAAGAGCTGTCACGGGGATTCGGCATACACAAAGGTTCGATGTGATCGACTTCGGACTAAACATGAACCATGGATACCATAGATCTGTTAGACCTTTCTTTCATGTAAATCATCAATATAGAGCAGCGATATCCTACCGTTGTTCGGACTTCTGGCAAAGTGATTCCTGGGAAGCCTTCCTTTGGCCGCCCCACGCCCATCACCCACAGACGCTCCGGGCAGTTGATCCACCAGCTTCTAGTTCTCGCTTCTTTTCCTCTTCTTCTTCTTCTCCTTGCTGGCCATATCTTTGTAGGTTGTACGACCCTCCTTCCCTGTCTGTTTAATAAGCCGATAGGACCCACGCTCACGCGGTGGAGTCGGAGGAGTTTCTATAGTCGCTCTCTTAGCCGCGGAGATAGGTTCAAACACACCTCCAGCAATCACGAGTCGAGCTTTACGAACTAGAGCGACGGTCAATGATCCGTTCTTTCGGAATTTGGCAGGAGCTGGGAAACTAGTATCCCTTTTTAACCACTAAGACATGCAAATTAGCTTAGGTCCCTAAACCCCCTAACTTAAGCAGTGGAAAGGACCACAGATGTAAAGACTTGTTGGCCCAGATAAAAAGTAAAATAGCAGCCAATGCAGATTACTATGTGATGAATCTACTTGGCTGATCAGATTAACCGGTCAGCTAGGTAAGATAGTAGAAGGGAATATCACTATACCTTGTATCAAGATATTTTTAAACTAATCCTTGATCTCTTCTTCTTCGAATAGATCAAGATAACATATAGAACGCCCATAGATAAGACAACGATACAAATATGAGATCATGACAATGCATCAACGCGTCATTAAGATACTACCGTAGCTTTGCGTCACCGTATACACACCTTATCGATAAAGATTCAGGACCCAAACATAGCAGATTCCCAACCTATTCTTGACATCAGTCGTCTTCTTCCTGGCACTCTGTCGCACATGTTTTTTCTCTGAAGATGCTAGAGTGCATCAGGTACAGGATGGATCGTAGTCAGTTTCACCAACAGGTTCCTTGTGGTTCTCACGAGCCCTATATAGAAACACACTAAAATATATATGGCTTTCGCGTAGCGTGCAGTAAGTTAGATTATGCTGGAAAGACTGTCCCAAAAAGTTAACACATGAAGCAATAATTATCATGTAAACATGTTAAATGTATGTATCTAGCTGATATATGCATTCGGCGCATTCCTATTTATTTCCTTAATTTCCCTATTCCAGCAATATTTCAGAATTAAATAAAGTGATCGGCTGGTTCGACCCTAGATTGGTTTCTGCTTGACCAAGCAAATTGGTGGTTAATTGATAGCTTCAGCGTCATGATCTAGAAGTGTGTTGTGATGGTCCTCGCCGATCTTCGCCTTGCGAGTCTCCATCACCTGGACCTCGAGCTTCTCGGCCTCTTCCCATCGGCCCTGGTTACGATACATTGCCGCTAAATTAGACACGCATGTCCGCATAGAGGGATGGTCATAACCAAGCGTGGTCTTGCCTATCTGTATCATCTGCATAAAGTGCTCCTCTGCCTCCTCCAACTGGCCCTGGTTCATATATGTCACCGTCAGGTTATTCATATTCGATAGTGTATCAGGATGGTCCTTGCCTAGCTTCGTCTTATAAGTCTCCATCGTCCGCATAAAGAGCCTCGTGGCCTCCTCCCACCGGCCCTGATTGCTATATGTCATCGCCAGGTTTTTTATACTCATCAACGTATCAGGATGGCCCTTGCCGAGCTTCGTCGTGCGAGCCTCTAACACCTGCACATAGAACTTCTCAGCCTCCTCCCATCGGCCCTGGTTCCAGAACGTCGATGCTAGGTTGGCCATGCTCGTTAGCGTGTCAGGATGGTCCTTGCCGAGCTTCGTCTTGCATGTCTCCATCACCTGGGCCTCAAGCTTTTCGGCCTCCTCCCACCGGCCCTCGCTCACAATATATTGTCGCCAAATGCGACATGCAGGTCAGTGTAGAGGGATGATCATCGCCGAGCATTGTCTTGCTCGTCTCCACCGCCAGCACTGCAAGCTTTTCGGCTTCTTCCTACCGGCCCTCAAGCAAGTATGCTTTTGCCAACGTTAATGTGCTTTCAAGGACCTCTTTATGTTCTTCACCGAACAATATCACCCTTTGCATTCTTGATTTTGATGCCATCATTTTTACATCTGCGATGTTACCGCTTTGCCATGCGTACCATGCACCTCTATAAAGTAGAGTAGCCCATTTTCGTAGAGAGTTAGGCGATGCTGGCCGCTGTGAAATTATTTAATATGAGGAAAGAGCGACCCGCATCGCTCCCAGTTTTCATATTCACCGGTGGGAAACTCTTCGCTCAAATTGCTAATGAATTTCTCCTTCCATTGATCTATTTGTCCATGAGATTTCAACCAGGCGCGCGTAGTAAGTTGCATTAGTCGATGCATTGTGAAGAACGTGCTTGTCTCGCAGACAGAGATAAATGAATAATTCCTCAGTGTTGTGATATCATCTTCAAAATCGAGGCTCATATCAGACCCAGAGGTCTCCCCGTCGACACTGGAATCATCTAGAGACATTAATTTGGAATCGTGGTTGCTTGCGTCCCGTATCCTGAGAAGGTTCTCTGGAATCTCTTGCCGATCGAAAAAGCCCATAAGAGAAAGTAAGTCCGTTGCGGATGACTTTGTTCGACGAATATGATCGAACGATATTTGCCATGTTACCAGAATTAAGTTCTTCGCTTCCCAGTCCCGGTAGAAGTGGCCTGCCTCTTTTTCCAGCAGCTCTGTTGCTTCGCGTTCACTCCGTTGAAAGTCCCTTAGGTACTGCGACACCGAATAGCGAGGCGCTCGATTTCTAAGAAAGCTAGCGGCCTGTACTATCGCTAGTGGCATGAACTCAAGCTCTTCTACTAACTTTAGGCTCGTTTGGCCCTCTAATACTCCAAACTTCCTTTGAAATAGCTCTACTGCCCGGGCCTTTCCATTGGTTTAACTTCAATTAGGTTCGTGGGATTGATCATTCGTAACGCCGCTTCTTTGTTTCGACTCGTGATAATGATAGATCCATTTAGGCTTTGAGGGAGGTATTCCAGTAGTGGCTTTGGCGAGGTATTAATTAGATCGTCCTTCTGGGTCCACTGGCCTGTGGCCGGGGAAATGCGAAGGGATTCACAATCATCAACGTTATCAAGAATAAGAACCCACTTCTCTCTTCTTATCCCTGAGCCAATTTTCGACCAGACTGAATATATTGACCTGGGCATCCCGGCGCTCCGGGATTTTAACTTGGTCCGCTATGTCCCGAAAGCTTTGCTCGAAGCGGGCCGCATTAGTCGCATGGACCCAGAAGACCCATGTCGCTGGCGATTGGGATCGGACCTGGTAGGAGTACTCAATGGCGAGTTGCGATTTCCTTTGAGTTGTTAGCAACAAACCATCCTCTGGCGGCTCTGCACTAACCCCACACCACCGAGGCCAACAAGCGCTATCCTTGATCCGGGGACTTAGGTCTTGTCATAAATCTAACGAAGCAGTGTATCGCGACTGACAAAGTCTGGATCGCGCGCAAACGGGACGGTTGATAAAGGGCGGGTGGAGTTTCTGGTCGCTCTAGGGTGGAAAGCGCTGGTTAGTGAGTCGACCCTGACCTTATCTGGTTCCTGACTTACCTGGAGGCAGATCGGAACTCTGCATTGATCGAACCACGGTTATCTCCAATCTGCAGCCCATGGTTATTGCCACGGAACGATATTGATGCCATGATCAAAGAACCATGCGTCGTCTCGTTTTCATGCGAACGGCCATTTGTCCGGCTCTCAGCAGGAGGGGCACGCCGCTAGCTTCACTATCAGGTGACTCTACTGCGCTATGACAGGGGATCAGATTGGCTGGAAATCCACATCCACCATTTCATTAGTCCTGTGGGGCGTGGAATTGGCACCCTCCATGAATCGGATCGATCCGAGCCAGAAACACCCAGTTCATGCGCAGAACGCGATAATCAGCCTGAGTCCTCAAAGTGAGAGCACGCTGTGACTAACACTTTCAGAGCCTGCAGCTGAACCCTACCCCTACTCGGAAGACTACATTCCCCTGCCAGAAGGGACCTTTCCGGGAGGGAATTCGAGAAGACGCGTTAAGACGAAGTTGAATTTATATCGATCAATTCTGCACTGTAAGTTCCGAGGAGCGGTTTTTTGAAACTTCTATTTGAGCATGTGAAAACAAAGCCATGACCTTCCTTTAGGTACTACTGCTATTCCAATTGATAGTGCCCGTGCTGTGACCGATTTGTATACCCTTATTGTGGCTACCCGAAAAGACCGTGTTAAATGTGCTGTTTGTGTTGCCAACCTCCTGGACAGATAATTTCGAAAGAATTTGGGAAACAACGCCAGATGCGGTTTGATCCTCTTCAAGTAAGCGCGACTGCTTGTCAATTTCCTGAATGGCTAGGGTCCGCTGGGCGCCGCCATCTTCGTCATCGCATCCATCCTCTGGGATTTTTAGATCCTCCTTCCGCTGCAAGATTTCACCTTGCTTCCTCTTTGTGGTTTCGATGTGCTCCTGGATGGCAGTCTCGAGCACCCGCAGATGCTTTTTCGTCTCCTGCCGATCAATCTTAGACGCATCTTCCGACCGGACTAGGATTGTCCTTCAAACTCATTAGTCAGTAGTTCTCCGCTAACTAGTTAGTAACAAAAAGCCCGACAGGTCACGTACAACTGAGCACTATCAACTGCAAACTGAACGATTGCCTGACAAGACTGGACCTGCGTTCTCAAAGTCCTAATCTTTTCTTTATTCCAGAAGCCGATTGACAGACGGTCTCTGAGGGAAGTTTTCGTGGCGCTAGAATGTTTCGTCCACTGCTCAAGCTTCTTCGTAAATTCCGCGCATGCCTGCCCACATTTGTTCACCGATTCAGCGAGACCAGCCTTCTTAAGATCCTCTTTCGCTGCGACATATGTTGTACTGTCAGTAATCGTGAGTTCTGTAAGGACAGATAGCGGACGCTGTATGGCCTCTAAACTAGAAGTAATATCTTGTATCACATCTTTCGCTTCGTCAAGGCTATTAATAAAATCCCGGAGATGGCCGATGCTGGATATAGCGAAGTCGGTGATACCAAGAGCACCGACGGTGATGCTGAAGGGATCCATGTGATCTAAAGTAGGCGGCAAAGTCGTGCGCGTGTGTTTCTCTAGCAAGGCAGATTGATATGAGTGGAAAGTAGAGACTGGGCACTTTTATCAGGATCTGAAGACGTCAGGAGAACATGGAAGTGACCATAACATGGCCCTCTCCTGTCGCCTGGGTAGCTCAAAGCAACATCGAGACTGTTAACCGGCGACCGTGGGAGAGTTGTGTCTGTTGGTACGTGGTGGGCTGCTATTGGCTGAACTACAAGGCTGAACATCAATGCATGGAGAGAAAATTCGTGCGTTGCCGATCGGTGAGGGCATTTCAAAGAAACTTCCACCCACCGTTCTTGGACATATGTATGCTCTTCTCTTGACCACAGTGTTCTGTCCTGCGGAATGAGAGCGGCTGAGTGAAGGTGGGTACGTGAGTTGCAAATTGTGGCCAGACTGTTGTGATTAGGCTGACCATCGAGACGGGATTCGGGATCCCGGGCGACTTTCAGTCCCGTCCCACATTCCCGTGGGAATTGCATTTTGATTCGCAGCCCGTGCCAAGCCTTTCGGGAAGGGATTCCCATTACACGGGATTCGGGATGGGAGATTCCCATTCCCACTTACCTTTAAAATCAGGCCCTGTTTCCCGTCCCATTTCCCTTTGGAATTAAGATTAGAAAGAGAAATTCCATTCCCGGAAGCAAATTAAAAGAGGAAAATCTCACACCGAAGATAAAAGAAAAAAAGGAAATTCCCTTCTAGGGATATTCCCATTAAAAAATGGGAGTTTCTTGAATATAGCTAAGTTATATATCTTTGCCAAGACTTTCTTATTTCAGTTGTATAAAACCTAAGTTATTATGCGTAATATACACCCTATAACATGTTCTACAGTAGTTTACTAGGTAGTATGTAAAGGGCTAGGCCGTGTTACCTTCCCGAGTGTTATGTGTGGGGTCGGTAACGAGCTGAATGGTGCGCTACGGTGCGAAAGGGAGTATCTATACGGAGGGAAGATAGGTCCACGTATATTGCAGAACTAATCGCTGGCCTACAAGAGTTCAGGCCCCCCCCCGGTTGCGAATAGTTAACTATAAACACGTCGCACCGACTAAGCATCTTAGCTAAGGATCTGGCTATCGCGCTTCTGGGCGCTGCTAACATGTTTAACGACCGGAGTGAGGCAGCTGGGCACAGTGGAAGGTGGTAATATTGACCATAGCATCCACTTTTATTCTCCTTCTTCTTATCTTATACTTAGTATTGCAGGCACCAAATAGGGTTGATTTTGTTTTACTTCCACCTTTATTTAGTAGGTTATGTAAAGGGCTGGAGCCCATTTGACCTCTCGGGCCAATGTCCCTATTATCCCTGTTGTCCCTATTGTCCCTATTGTCCCTATTGGCCCTACTGGCCCTGCTGGCACCTTTGGCCCACCGGCCCTCGATCCATGTCACGTGACTTCCCACCTTGTTTGTTGACCGCTTATTGCCCTCTTTATCAAGGGCTAAACCTCTATAACCCAATAACTAGGGTGGATACAAAAGGAATCGTCGAAGAGGAAAGAGAAGAGGAAACAGCGATGAGACGATTGCGAAATAAGGGGGGGAAGAAGTCACATGATAGAGTGTACTAATCAATATACTAATTATGTGGCAGGCGAGGAGAAAGGAAACACTAGGGCTGAGGGCCCGAGTAGGCTGAGGGGCTCTAGCCCCTTACACTCTTCCTTTCTTCCCTTCTTCATCGATTCCTTCATGTACATAACCTATCTTATAGGCTCTACGGGTTCAGCCCTTGACAGGTTATAACAAATAGTACCTAGCTAATCGGCTATGTGATGAGCGAGATTTCACTATTAGTCTAACCATAGGTAGATTAAATTCATATATAGTTATAGTTGGGTTAGTATAATTTGTGTCAGATAGAATGGGCCTGAACCCATTTAAGCCAAATAATGTGATTAGAGTAGAGGTCAAAAATCTCCGAAATGACCTAAGAAACAAGCAGACTATCAACAAATAACAATAATACAATCAGGAAGAGCCCAACCAGCTCAATTCGTTCGAAAAAGACCTTTTACTAACCGTACTCTATTTCCTCTTCGGGACTAGGCGAATATCTGAAATGTGTGAGCTCGCTAGGCTTAGTTACCCTATGTAGTAAAGCTGCAGATTCTCCACTATAGACCGCACCGAATCCTCACCGAATGCAACTCTATACAGTAGGTCCTTTAACACTAGTGACGTGGCTGATACCGAAAAGTAGGGGTCACCGCAACATAATACACAACGCAGAGCTTATTCAAGCTCTCATAGAATTACACATATAATTGTGACAAATAGTCATAACGTGGTTGATCATGAAGATGAAGGGTCAATATAAACACACAGTACATAATACAATCATGGATGCAGAAAATATTCAACTATAATTCTGACAAACCCCCTGGCCTGTTAGCTCCCATTTGCAGTCATTTTCCGCCAATGTCTCCTATCGAATGTCGTCCATTTGCAACAACCTAACAATCCAATCTCTAGCTGTAACGTATGTACATGTGTGTGCATCTGCGCTTTTGGTAGACAATTATGATTTTGCGCGCAAAATTATAAATTATCCTATCCACCACATCGACGCTTTTGGAAAGTTTCGTGCAGTATAGAATGGAATTAGCAAGGAGGCCTGATGAGTTGTCATGAACTAGGAGCAAGTTAATGTAACAGGTTACATCCCTTACAGATTGCATTAGGGCCGCTGCCTTGTCTCTCATTGCCTTTCTCGGCCTTACATGTGATCCCCGCGTAGAAATGAATCCGCATGCATACTCCTCAGGGGGTTACCGTCACATGAATTACTAGATGCATTACAGATATAAGACCTAGTGTAAACCTATCGTACTCTCTAAACCATTGCTTTCTCTTCTTCAGAATACCACCATACAAGCTCAACCTGCCTCATTGGACTCACCTAACTCAACCTTTGTAGAAATGTCTCAACACAGAGCTATCAATCTCCTTGTGCTTCTGTTCCCGGGGTTCAACACGCTCGACGCCAATGGCCCAATCGAGGTATTCAGTAAAGCGAGTGTCCCTCCTGGCAGCGAGACAGGAATCACCTACAAACTCACTGTCGCCGCTAAAGACGACTACATCCAGGCAGGAGAAGGAGTGACCATCCGGCGTGATCTGTCCCTTCAATGCGCCCTGGAGAATATTTCGGATTATCACATCCTAATTCAGCCCGGTGCTGGCTTAGAAGAAATCGACTGTTATATCAACAAAGATCCAGCTTTCCAAGATCATAAGACTATCATCCAGAAATTCTTACAGTTGGGCCAGTCTTCAGAAAATCCCCGGGTCTTGTTGACTATTTGCACTGGTGCTTTGCTAGTGGGATATGTGGGAGGGTTTGATGGCTTAGAGGCAACGACCCATTTTGAGGGCCAAAATTGTCTGAGATCGTATTGTAACGCTTACGCTGAGCAATATGGTGGGAAGGGAGCCACAATTATCCCGGAGCTCAAATGCAGCGACGATACCGAACCTGACATAATATTTTGCGCGTACAAAAGCGCAATGGAGAAACTCGTGAGATGGGTCGATGCGGGGTGCAATGCCACTGGTGTGAGAGTTATCAGTTCTGGAGGAATCAGTTGTGGGCTCGATGCGTCGTTGTTTGTGGTGAGTCAGATATCCGGTATAGAACGGGCGCTTTTTGCGGCTAGGATCATGGAGTATGCATGGAGATGGGCTTAGTTTAAACTTTAAAAGACGCTGACAACTGCCCTTTTCATGATATTTCTATGTACGCCTTATTTTTTTCTTTTTTTTTTTTTTTAATAAAAAGTCAAGTCAGTGCAATAGGTCTCCATAGCCTTGTTTATATGAGATGTTAGTTTGTGAAATGTCGAAGTGGTAGAGACCATAGTAACCACTTTACTGCCTGGTACATCATAGTAATGCCGGTGTAGTACAGTTTGGCAAGAGAACTTGGGATATTAGCTAAACGAACACTATTTATCTTGTGGCATCCTTACCTAAGGACCAGAGTGGAATCAACTGTAAAGCTGGAGGACTTCGTGGTCATATTCGGTGATGGATTCTGGGTCCTGGGTGGCTATATTCTCAGCGACTTTATATGTGGCTTTGAGAGGTCTGACTGAAAAAGGATAAGTCCACATCATTTAACATCCGTCCCGTAATCCATGACCATAGCGGCTTACAGTGGGACGTGAAAATCCGAAAATTCTCCAGATTCCTGCTTTCGGTTACCCGAAATCACAGTGAGCGTCTTTGTTGAATATACTCCTTCGACATGGAGAAAGTCCATTGTCTCACATTGCAACATATATCGGAGGTTTTATTGTGACGACTGGGGCACTACAATACCCTCATAAACCGCAGATAACCATTAAAAGAGGGATGAATACGCTTGCGATTCGATATCTCCCAATTTAAATATAGATAGACATCCGCAAAATTACTCCCACATAATCATCGACATCTCTACCTCACATTAGCTTCTAAGCTCTTAGCCACTCCTTGGTTTCTGCACAGTAACATCAGCCTCTCCCACTGACCGCGATGGCTCCCACTATGTCCACACCGACGGATGGACAGCGGCCATCAACATGAAAGATCTGCCGTTCTATCTGGGCGAAATTCCACTGGCTCTGCCATCGGACAAGGATCCTCGGCTGGAATATCACCATGTCTACTGTGACGTTCGCCAACGAGGTCGACACCATTGTCTCACTATGTAGCCTAGTAATACAATTGCCAACAGCATCACTGTGGGGACATCCTTCGCTGCTGCAGTCGAAAGATTCCTCACTGCGACCACAAGTCCGACTACAGACAAACTGAGACCAGCACAAGGACTGGCACGGTTATCATGATAATTCCGGCGAATGAATGGGGTGCGATTGTCAGCAATCCATTTACCCATCGGAAGCGAGGGTATGTGTTTGGCTGACAGCCAGGGAGTGGGAGAGACATATTCATATTGTGAGAATACGTTGTCATGGGCCACGAGTGTTATATACTTGTCTGATGAATAAGTATCCTTAGCCTCAGTGTAACGAGGGGAAGTTGAAATAATGCACAGATCAGGTCTGTCGCAGAAGGAAGTTAGTCTTTCCACTATGTAGAGCTATATAGTCGTGTTATTGTTTTGAAGAATCGTGTGTAAAGTCCCAAGGAGAAAGTGATGCTTCTCTCTAGGCATGTGTCAAATTATATGCTACACCTCTGAAAGTCTTATCTCTCTCAAAGCCACCGAGGAAACCAATCCAAAGCCTGCGTCAGCAAGTCCTCAAGGCACGCTCTCTCCATTGGATCGTCCAGGTTGCCTCTCACGGCAAACCCATGACACCCAGGCTTATAGATCTTGTGCTCCATATCTGGTACTTTCCTGCCGGCCTCCTCTTTCGCATGCACTTTTTCCACCTTGCCCTTCTGTTCAATTTTGACACCAATATCGTCCAACCCCCAACCATAGCTAACCGGCACGACCAAATTCTCCACGTCATCTGGAAAGACTAGATTGCTCGGATGCAATGCGACCACCGCATCAACCAGCGGAATCTTTTTGTCGTACATCTCAATCATATTGTTCTCTAGCCCAGTGCGAATCGCATACTTTCCGCCCCAGCAGAACCCAGCAATACCTATTTTCGAATACCGGGGTGTTTTGCGTCTCAACGCTGTCAGAAATTCCATACAGACCTTGTTTGTAAGCCCCTCTTTGTGCCTCATCATCCACATCATCAAAGACTGCGCGCTAGCAAGTAGGCCTGTGTAAAAACCAAAAGATGATTGCTTTGCTGCGTCGACCGGGATTACAACGTCAGCGAACTTCAGCATCACGGGGTCGCCCTTGAAAAAGTCTGGCATGTAGACCAGCCATTCGCCGCTCCTTGCATAGGCGTCGGCGATGAGTTTGTTGTTGGGTAGCGCAAGGCCGAAGATATCTGAGTAGATTATTATCATACCCTGTGGGTTGTTGCGGTTGCCAATTACGTAGGTGTTCAGCCCGTGGACAATTTCTTCCTGACCCTGAGGTAGGCCTTTGTGGATGGTGCCCTGGAAACTCCCAAGTCAGTGGGGTTTATGCCTAGACATCCGCTTAGGTCGTACCTTATATACATTCCTGGCATGAAAGATCCATCACAGAATTCTTTTTTTGCCTTTTTTTTTAAAAAAAAAGTTAAAGTAGGTTAGCTCAAGAAGAATTGTTTGTTGCTAAGAGCCAGCGTAGATATGAAATATTCAAGCAACTGGAGAGGGCTAAAGAGATGTAAAACTGGGAACAGTCATTATCGAGGACGAGTGGGACTTTATATAGACATGAAATCAGCGAGCATCGATGTTTTCATGTTTACAACTCGGCGAGGCGACTCCCCAGTCATCTCAAGCGCAGGCAGCAACCAAGTCGCCATGTAGCTAGGGCAGGCAGCGTGAAGAAAGGAGGCTAATGTCGCCGAGAGTTTGACCACGTCCTTGGACACGGTCTCCGAAAAAACGCGATGTCTCACGCTAAGGCTTTTGTCCATCATCACTAGCCTGGAATGTGTCAAATAGGCCTTGGTGGATGTTGGAACATCGGGATATCCCTCTGCTCCGGATGCCGGTCTGCACTGTCTTAGTCAGCATCTGTTATGTATTTAGCCTCGTTCGTGGGTGCCTCCGTACCCCTGAATCCCAGACTCCTTCATGCTTCCAACAGTGGACCAGAATCATGTGACTAGATAGGGTAAAACCTCCGCGGAGCACACAACGAAAACAACAGAAGAATAACCAACATAATCAAGAAGAGCCCAACCAGCTCAATTCATTCAAATAAGACCTTTTTACCTATCGTACTTTATTTCCTCTTCGGGATTAGCCGTATATCTGACAGAATGCTACTGGGGGTTTGATAAGATAATAAATAACCGTGCCCTTAGTTACACCTCACCGCCCTTCTGGGTGTTGGTGCTCCCTGTCTCTACTTGTTACGGAAACACTATAATCCGCCCGACTTGGCGGTGCGGAGTATCTGACGATCGATTCAGCCCCTGAATCCTTTAGATAGTTGAGCACCTAGATAGGAATGCAAGAGACTCAGTTGGTTGAGATACTGTGATTCCTGGTGTTTCCACTGAATGACATCTACTTCCTAATTAGGCTAGTTGGCCTGTAGCTGATAGAATAGCTCCCTACGCCCCATTTCCCCTGAGTTCACAACACTACTGTCCATTTTCTCCACTTTTCTACTCTACAGGAGCACCACCATGGCAGAGGCATAAAAGAAGTCAAGAATAACGCCGTTCAAAGGAGACTACAGACTGATTATTTAGACCACTGCATTGAGTACCTACGCATCACGCTTACCTCGGATGTGACACCTCGATTATCCGTAGGCGATCCACAGGACTTTTAGGGCGAACATCTGTATTCAACACCATATATACGTGTCGCAGCTTCTGGAAGATTGGGGAATGGACAGAAAATATCGGATTGCCGGCATTGGGTTGACCAAATTCTTACTACGTCTCGCAACAATGCGGACGCATTAACAGGGATATAATCCCTGATTGGAAACGAGATAAATCTCCGTAGGACAGCAAAAATATAAAAGATAACGGTAGCGCCATTGGAAATGGGAAAAGAAGACATTTCTACAGCAGTAGAGGCTAATCTAGCATACCTATCTGCTAAAGACTGGGATTGTGCAATACCTGATCCAGCTTCTATATTTTGCATAGCATCACGGTTCCTGTCCACACTGGGTAAAGAAGCACGGTTATCCTCGGGAAATTATGTACAAGCACCGGGGCACCTGATAATCCAATCCTGCACCGGATTCAAGCACAGACACTCTATGGGGAATAACTCAATGGCCGTGGAATGATCAGCGAGAGGGATGTACATGTCAACGCAATGCAAGCGAGGATCGGGAGTCAGAATTTCAAAAGAACTTACAATACAGTTGTATTTAAAATTTTCAGCTACTCGGCTAGTCCCGAAGACGAAATAGAGTACGATTGGTAAAAGGGTCTTATTTGACTGAATTGAGTTGGTTGGGCTCTTCATGATTAATGTATTCTTGATGATTCTTTTTGTTGTATGCTTCGTGGGTGTTTCACTTTGGAGGGGGGGTTTTTACCCCGATCTAGTCACATGATTCTGGTCCCCTGTTAGGGACCTACCATATTCGGTATGGTCACGTGGCCTCTCTTAGTCACCCATCTAGATAGTCAGCTCGCCTGAGCCCCTTGAATTCAGAGAATTGTGCCTCGCGAACAGGTTATAAGACCCTCTATATCTTCCTTTTAGAGCTGATATTACGTGGTTTTAAACCACCTGTTTTGTCTATTCAATTGCCTCCCGAGGAATTGATAATAACTTCAATTAAAATGGGCCCGAAGAGGGAAAAGCGCCTGCTAGGGATGAATCTCCATACTGTACACCTGGCCCATCCTCTCCTGCGATAATAAGACCACTACCACGAGATACTGCGTCGGAGGAGGAAGAGGATGATCGCATGGAATACGTGTCAAGGGATCAATTTAGGGATCTCCAAGCGCAGCTGCAGAATCAACAAACTCAAATGCAGCAAATAATAGAGCTAATTCAACGCAGTCAATCGCCCCTTTCAAGTACGCCTACTCCAAATCCGAAGCCCATATCAACAGCTCTACCGCCACCAAGCGAGGATGACGCCGGCCGCGCGAGTATAATACAAGCAGTCAGCGCCATGCGGAAGGATGTTGGTCGAAAGCTTCAACATAAACCAAGATCTCTAAAGATCTCCAATTTCGCCGATTGGAAAGAGGATCTACTTAAAGACGCCCGTATTATAAACGCGGAGTCGATTTTAATTAACAAGGAGCTCAATCCACCACATGACAGTGAGGAGCTCAATTCAGCAATTTGGCAGATGAAGAATGAAGCTTTGGCTATCCGAATCTACCAGTTAATGTCGCGAGAAGTGCAGGATCGCCTAGGTGAGATAGATATCTCGAAGGCAGCTGCATTATATATACGAATCTATGAGGCGATAGGTCAGACGAAGGCCCAGGAGCGCTATGACCTAGTGCGAGAAATTATCGATATCGAATTACATGATGGCGATTATTTGGCGTACGAGAGCAAGCTTTCAACGCTCCAGGCACGCGCGAAACGCCTCCATGTGACTGTGGATAATATATTTCATAATATCCACTATATTCGCCTACGCAATTGGCAATCGAATTTTATAACGAATAAGCTTGATCCATTCCTTGCCTCAGGGGCAGGAAATCAACCGATTAAGAATACCGATCTAGTTGAGATTGACATAGTTAAAATTGCAACAGTCTAATACGCACCGTTCAAAGACTTCTGGATCAAATCAACAATCTGATGGCACCAAAAGAAGCAGGATAACGAGTCGGACTCTACCTCTTCTAAAGATGCGAAATTGTCTTGCAGTTATTACAGACGACATTCTCTCACGAGGATATGCTGGTATCAGAATCCCGGGCAATTCTCTATAAAGCAACCCAGCGTTTCTAACAATAACAGTATAGGGCTACAAAAGGTGATCCTGCATATGCACCACCACCGAAGCCCTCGGCCTCTGCGAATTATGTTGCGGAATCAAGCACGCAACTACCTGAATGGTATGTGGATACATGCGCATCGTACCACATGACCCCCAGACAAGACGTCTTTTCAAGTACGAAATTCTACCGACTGGTATGCCTAATATTGGCGGATCCTTAGGTGGACAAAAGCCTCCCCTGCTGAGGGAACGGCCCGAATAACGTTTAATAATGTTACCCTTAATATACCAGAGGTGCGCCACGTACCTGGTTTGTTAGCAAATTTGTTGAGTTACGCGTAGCTCCTAAAGGCAGGTTTTAAACCATCGATCCCAGAGGACGCGTACACCAGTATTGTTTTTACCAACGAGAATGGCTTGACTATCACTGTAGTCCCTTCGACGACGAACTGTTATAAGATTAACAGTGTGATATATAAGACATCTCGACCAAAGGAATTAGCTCTTGCGGCTATAGCCTCTAAAGCACCTCAGGTGGCTACTATAATCCAATGGCATGACGATTAGCGCACCTAATTACCCCGACATTTTGCGATTATCTCGTACGCCTGGCAGTCAGATTAAGGTTTCCGATCCCCAATCTCGGCCCTTTTGCGATATCTGCCATGCGGCGAATCAGAAACGCAGCCAATCTCATACCTTGGCAAAACGTGCCACGAGACCTCTTCAACGCATTTTTATTAATATTGCGGGTGGAGGTAATACTCTGTCTGAACGCTATAAGCAGCTTAATGACCCTGCTTCTCGTACGGGTTCTCGCTATTATATGCTGATAACAGACGACGCAACACGGTATTAGTGGATTATATTTCTTAAAGATAAAAAGCTCGTCCATCAACATCTCGAATAATGGCTTAGCCACATGAAAAACCAAGGCTTTCAACCGCCTGCGTTCGTGCATTGCGATAACAAATTTGTGACTGAGGAAATGACAAAATGGACGAATAAAAGTGGTGTGAAGTTAGAGCCAACTAATCCTTATTCCCCATGGCAGAATGGACCAGGCGAACGCGCTAATTAGATTATTATCAAGCGTACGCACGTGATTCTGCATGATTCTGGATTACTATATCAGCTCTGGCAGGACGCTATGCAACACGCAGTCTATATCACAAACAATGTCCCTACGTCTACTACGCTGTACGCAGATTACTTAGTTCCAGGGGGTATCTACCAATCCAGATATTCAACCATCGCAACATGTTATACCGCATTCCGCATTTTTTAACAAGCATCCGCAGATTGCTCACATTCGTCCCTTTGGTTGTTGTGTTTGGTATTATAACGACCCAGGATATCAAGATTTCAACAAGATTGTTAGCCGCGGCGCTCCAGGTGTTTACATCGGCAGTGATTCTTCAACCAATCATAAGGTCTACGTCAAAGAGACAAACAAGGTTATTCGGACTGGCCATGTTTCATTCAACGAACAGGCTCAGAGGGAACAGCCTACAGAAAAACCGATTAATTCTACCGTACCTCCGGACCCTGAACATCTCGCGCAGGAAGCGCTGCATCTCATGGGGATTCTCCCGCGGAGGATAACGGACAATCTGACTGGGTTCGACCTGCTAAAGGCTTTGCTCCATTCGCAGGATTTACCCCTACTTCGCCTGCTTCTGCTGAGGCAAATCGGCCCCCGATTCCAAATACTTGGCAGGAAGCAATGAAATCACCTGATAAAGATAGATGGTTAGCAGCTTGCGAGCTTGAAGCTTCCCGTCTTGACGAAATTAAGGCATGGGATTTGATTGATAAGCAATCTATGCCTAAAGGCTTGAAGCCTATCCCTGGCCGTTGGGTTTTAGCATTAAAGACCTTAATGACAGCACTTTTAAATACAAGGCACGTTGGGTTATTCGTGGTAACTTGGTTAAGCAAGATCCTTATTTTGGGGAGACATATTCGCCAGTGGTTTATCCCTAAACGATTAATATCCTATTCGCGGTTGCAGCTTATCGCAAATAGTATATCGCTCAGGCGGACGCGGTGCAGGCGTTTCTTAATGGTAAAGTTAATATGCCAATATATATGCGCTAACCAACCGGCTTCTAAAAGGGTGATCCTGACACCATGGTTTGCAAGCTGAATAACGCCCTGTACAGTCTCGCGCCTTCCGCATGTATATGGTACGACCGTCTCCGCAGTGATCTTGAAGCTTTGGACTTTAAAACAAGCGACTACAACCCAGGCCTATGGATTCACCAATCTCGCAAGAATCTCTATGTGACTGCTCATGTAGATGATTTTGCTATTATTGCCGCGCTTAAAGCAGACGCAGAATAGCTTCTAAGCGCAATGCAGCGAAAATTCGCGATTAAAGAGACAGCTCACCTCAAGCATTTCCTCGGCATGGAGATTACTCAATCTGATAGTTAGATTAAGCTTATGCAGACCTCTTATATTGATAATCTCGTTGCTTCGGCAGGGCTAGCAGATGCCCATCCAGTCTCTTTACCTGCAGATCCGGGTTTAGTTATCGATGACGACCCCGATCCCACTGTAAACGAGGAATATAATCGACTCACGGGTAGTTTTCAATGGCTTGCCTCAAGAACCCGTCCAGATATTGCGCGTATCGCGAGCTTGCTAGCGCAGTTCAACAAGGCCCCTACCAGAAAGGCATTCGGAGCGGCCAAACACTTAATTCAATATTTGAAAGGATCTTGTACGCGGGGTATCACCTTTCGCATGTCAAATGGACCCCTACCGCAACCACTGGTTTATACCGATTCGGACTGGGGAGGTCCTTATCATAATCGTTGGTCAGTATCAGGCTATATCGTACTTTTAGCCGGTGCCCCGATATTATGGCGATCTGCCAAACAAACATCCATTGCCTTATCATCCAATGAGGCAGAATATATGGCGGCGTCGGACGCAGCTCGGGAAACTCAATGGCTTCGTCGCCTACTTAACAAAATGGAGATCTACACTGCGCCTTTAGACCCCATTGCATTCCACGTTGATAACAAAGGTTGCAAGGATCTCATTAGTTCAACGGTCACCACCAAGCGCTCTAAGCATATTGATATTCGGTATCATTATACGCGCGAGCTCGCGGCGGACCGCATTATTAACATTCGGCTATGCCCTAGTAAGGAGAACGCTGCGGATGGCCTCACTAAATTGCTTCGATCCGAAGGATTCACGGCTTTTCTCGATAATATAGGTTTAGCTTAGTTTTTGGCTTTTTGGCTTTTTTGCTTTACACGCGATTCTGTATGTAATGGTGCTGGGTGAGCACGCTTCGGCCAAGGGGGTGTTAGGGACCTACCATATTCGGTATGGTCACGTGGCCTCTCTTAGTCACCCATCTAGATAGTCAGCTCGCCTGAGCCCCTTGAATTCAGAGAATTGTGCCTCGCGAACATCCCCCACGGCCATACCGTACCTAATCACTCACCGCCCGCTATCACTCAACGCCCAATTTCATCTACACACCGACTTTTTAGATAGACCACAGCACCATTAAAATGGGCTCAATTGAAGAAGCAATTGCAGATATAGAATCCCTGAATCCAGGTGAAAAGATTAATTATGCAAAATTTGCCAAAAAGCATGGTGTTAACCGGTCAACACTGTCAAGACATCACCGCGGTATACAGAGCTCTCGCAAAGTAGAGTGTGAAAATCGGCAAGTTCTTAACAACCAGCAGTTAAAAGAGCTTATTAAATGGATCAATAATCTTACTGAGCGTGGCTTACCACTATCTTTATCAATGTTGCGAAACTTTGTGAAGGAAATTACTGGAACTAAGCCTGGAGTATGCTGGCCAAACTGCTTTTTAAAAAGATATAAAGATTAGCTTATTTCTTGCTACACTACTAGGATTGATTCTTCACGCAAGCGGGCTAATTCTGTATATAAATATGCACTATATTTCGAACTTATAGCCAGAAAGATTGAGGAATATAAGATTCAGCCTGAAGATATGTACAATATGGATGAGAAAGGATTTCTTATTAGTGTACTATCAAAAGGTAAAAAAATCTTTTCACGGCAATTATATAAACAGGGAGGACTCAAGCAACGCCTGCAGGATAGAAATAAAGAGTGGATTACTACAATTACTTGTATTTGCGCGGATGGAACAACTCTTTCCCCTGGTCTTATATACCAGGCTGTCTCCGGGAAAATTCAAGATACATGGCTTCAGGATTTTAATCCTAACATCCACCACTGCTTCTTTACATCATCACCTAGTGGCTGGACACAAATGATGACCTGGGATACGCATGGCTTACTACTTTATTTAATCGCGAAACAAAAGCAAAGGCACGAAGGCGTTGGCGTCTTCTAATTTTTAATGGCCACAGCTCCCATATTACTATAAAGTTTATTAACTTCTGTGATGCTAATAGAATCCTTCTAGCTATCTATCCACCTCATTCAACGCACAGTTTGCAGCCTCTTAATATCAGCCTTTTCAGTCCTCTTTCTTATGCATATAATAATGAACTGGAGCAATTTATGCATGAATATCAAGGATTAAGCTATATTACAAAGCGGGATTTCTTCAGACTCTTTTGGCCAAGCTGGAATAAGGCTTTTTCAATCACAAATATCAACAGTGCATGAAATCTGTTGGTTTGCATCTTGGATCCAGAATTGTTTTGGCCGTTTTACCAGAAAGAAGAAGAAAGACCCTCTTCCAGCGAGCCTCACAATCTTTTTAAGGGCAGAAGACTGGCGTCGCATTGAAAAGCTTCTTAAAAAAGTTGTTTCTGATATTTACCCCAAAGATATCTAAAACTAAATAATTTAATACTGCATCTTTCTACGGAGAATATTCTTCTTAAACTGCAGAATTTAGGATGAAAAAGGCTCTACAGAATAAGAGAAGAGGCACAGCTGAAAACCTACAGCTTTAATTAGCTCCAGAAGATGGTAATGCATCTTTAAGCCAAAAAGTTCAACAGCACGCAATTCAAGCGGAGAAGGAAGAAGCTACACGGCTCGCTAAGGCTGCTAAAGAGGAGGATAAGATACGCCGGCAGCAGGAGAAAAGAGAAACAACGCTTGTTAAGAACGAAAGAGAATAAGGGCCATTAATAAAAGTGTGCAGATGCGGGAAGCAGAGGAAAAAAAATGAAAGAAAGAGAAGGCCGCAAAACAAGCGCTATACAACTTCAAAATAACATAACAGGCTAATAAAGATAGAAGAAGGCCACAGGGCCTGCTCAGCAAAGAAAAGGAAGATATTAATAAAAAAAGGTGGAGAAGTGGAAGAGGCACCTATTGCTGTAAATAGGCATGGAAGGCAAATACGGCTTCCCAGCGATTCCGCAACACCAAAAATTAGCTATGTAGCTTCGTTATATATTATACTCTGCTCCACAAAATATATAATATTTGATCATTTCGTTGTGGCAGTATAGCTTCATTTTTACACTCTGGTTGACCTGAAAATTGGGCGTTGAGTGATATCGGGCGGTGAGTGATTGGGTACGGTATTATTTGAAAAAAATTTAACCAAAATCTGAATGAACTCTATGCTATATACATAATGAAGAGGAGTTAGCTTCACTGGTATATTTATAATAGTGGTTGAGATATTAAGGTCCTAGAAAGTTCCATTTAATACGGCATACGCGGTGTCTGGCTTGCTTTCGTGTCTGGTTCGCTTTCCAGTTACGTTAGAAGCCATTATTCTGCGGTTCCATAGTACATGTCACTCGCTTCAGGAGGCCAAAGGAACTTCTAGAGGCAACTATTGAAACTGACTGTATTAGACAGCAGCTCTCGACACTAAACAAGGGTAAGGCAGAAAGGCACACGCACTGGTCCAGCCATGTCGCTCGCCTACCCCGCTCGCTCAGAAACTACCGCTACATGTCATTTGGTCCGGCTCCATACATACTGTAGTAGGTCTTGGGCTCGCGAGCTTTTCGCTGCTTATTCAGGCACTCAGCACGACAGGAAGATCCAGCACAGGTGTCCGTTACATAACGCAGAATGTCAGGGGCGATAACGGCCGAGAAAAGGGCGAGTTCCCGCTCACTTCTCTAGTGGAAACTCGAAAGCCAAATTGCGAAATGTTGGAGGCTTATCACCTCAAGTGCTTCTAACATCTCCATCCATTCCTGGAAAACTTAGCATTCTCCGAACAATACCATCTGGTCAGATATTACGGCGGAAGTATTATAAAATTACGCTGGTTTGCCTAATGTATTCCGACCTGTAAAGCCTAGACCAATCAGTCTGTTTTTGTTGTTTTCCATATATTGGCAGTGGAGATACCTAGAGCTCGTCCACTGGGATAGTTCGAGGCTGTGAGAACCATTGCAACCCCAAAGAAATCGCGGAACAGCATAGTCGAATATATGCTGCGTAGACCTGGAAGGCCAGGCAGGGTTGACCTATTCCTCGCTCGCCCCCTCAAGCAGCAGATTATTCATTATCACTATGGGCTGGGCAATCAATCAGTGTATGCTGACATTCACTCTTCTTCTTATGGCGTAAGGCGCTCATTATTTTACTCCTTCTCCAACGGCCTCTGTGCGCAACGCGTCGCTGCCGGGAATTCCTAAGCTAACTGCATCAATTGGCAGCAATATCTTTCATGAGCTAGTCCGCCATGCTACTTCAAACAGTCAGACTACAACCGACATCTATATATCCTTTGCGCAAGCTAGCATATGCGGTTAAGTCGAAGATGAAGGGCCTGACACAAGTATGTATTGCTGCTGCTTCTTGCAGATTAGGGAGTTTCCACATGAGTGTCCTGTTATAAATTTTAACCAGTAGAGTAGAAGCTCCAGTGAACTGCATATCAAACTACAATTGCGTGTTCCATACTTCAAATGTGAGGTGACCTGGGCTTTGTGGGAGCTGCATTGATAATTATGCAGACTGCAATTTTGCGACTACATGCTATGATAGAGAGGCCATCAGGGCTACTCCATCGCTTGCCTCTATTCCCGATCCGTTCGCTGTACAGTGCTCCGACTCAGCATCCCCCGCCTGCGTTACATTGGCCTATCCCATGAACGAGATCACTAGCTATGTGTGTGGAAGTTCTTTAACCCTTCAGTCAGTAGGGTTTGCGCTTCTTTTTATATCTTCTTTCCCCTGGGCCTCGGTAGTCTCTACAAGGTGGATCGCCGATGATTCGCTTGACCTATTGAGGATTGCGAGAACAGCTATACGCCCGGACAACTGCACATCTGGCTCTTCACAGACTACCCCTCCCACTGGCGCTATTGTTGGTGGAGTGGCTGGCCTGATTATTGTCACTGTGTGGAGTGCCATAACATGGGGGATACAAAACCATTCGTTGCCGAGCTCTCAGCGCCTGTCCTGAGATAATTAAAGTAGATAGACTTGGAAATGAGTAGGCTCTTTGCCCGATCCCGTTTCCATCTTATTTTGGGACCCCATTAGGCGGAACTACATGGTGGCCGGCGGGTGCCGTGGGTAAGTGGCCCTATCGAATAATATATCTCTAGGGAGCATATTGAGCATATTAATTTGCGTGAAGAACTAGGAGAATTAGTAGCTACTACTAAAATTGCATTATCAGTAGAGCCCCAGAATAGTGGCATAGGACATTTCTTGATAGATATCTATCTATCCCAGATAGATGAACCACAGCCTTTTCTTGTGCTGTTGTGTATAATGGTGATTTCAAATATTTCCAGTGTTGGGGCAGAAGCTCCAAGACTTGCTACTGCGGGGAACTCTTTCAAGACGCAGAGCCATGGAGAATCCGACGGAGTGCAACATTGTCTGTTGTCTGATACAACTGCATTGGCGAATATGCGCATAAAAGGTGGGTCTGGTGGCAGTGGCTGGTGGACAGCTGTCCATGTCTGTATTTGTGATTTCCCAGTGGGTGCCTTGCTGTTTGTTGATATTTGGGATGTGATATGTCATTCTCTCCCTAATGTGTATTATTATTCCTTATGATATATACCACGTCAATTGTTCCTTAAGGTGCATGGCGGGGAACGGATCATCCCGTCCACAACAAGATGAGCATGCCAATGACAATTCAGACACGTCACTACCCCTAAGAGGGATCGAATCTGCAAGAGAGACCTTTGATTCTTGTTGCATGGTAGGTCGGGCAAGAATTATAGCCCAAGGTTCCCCTCCACAAGGATTGGACAGCACACAGGATGTCCTTGTTGCTTCTTCTTGCGTCCAGGTTTCATTGCAGGTTTCGCCCAGAACAATACGGAGACTCCGGGAAAAAAAAATAAAAATCCTGGAAACATATTTTCTTCTCCCTGATAATTTACTGCCGATGAATATCATATACCATGTCATCGCCACGAGGTGACGCTCGCTCGACATACAGGCAATCTATCTATCATGTGTGGGCGACGACAACAGCTTCGATATATCCACAGGGCAATAATTCAAGCACCTCGAGCTATGGAGCATGGTCGATCGCTTCCCCATCCATGGGGTATACATGAATGCAACCCCTCAGCTGAAAAAGCACCCCTCATCGGGTACACCATTGCAGATACCTCGTCGAGCATAGCAAGATACAACCATGCAACATGCCGTTCATTGGTGGCATCATCTGCAGCAAGATGAGCGGATACAGGCGGGGCAGCTCCACAACTGTAGCAGATTAATCCCTCCATGATGGATTCGGAGCACCAGTGGTGAAAGAATGATATAAATATCGAAGTGTGGACGGACGAGGTCTGAGCAATTTCTCTCACAGATCTGCCCCGACGACAGGGAACCAAGGATAAAAGAACATCATCATGAACAACCCACCAGGAGACGTCAATCCACATCATGTGGTTAGCTCCTACTTCATCGGCCCTAAGTCCGAGAACATGGGTGACTTTAAAGCCAACATTACAGCGATCCTGGATCTGATCCAGAAGGCCCGTCAAAACTACCAGCCTGGAGACGATGTACCTAATTTCCAGCCACAGTAAACGTGGAAAAAGCTCACATTGACAGGTATTCATCACGGAGGACGTCCGGACGTCTGCTACCTTCCAGAGGATTACCAAAAACTTCCACGAGGCTGTCAAGAAGGCCGCTACACTGCTGGGCAAGCACTCAATCCCCTTCTGGCACCCCCGGTATGAGGGCCATATGTCTACGGACATGACCATGCCCGGTCTACTCGGCTATTTCATGGCCATGATCTACAACCCGAATAATGTCACCGTCGAGGCAAGCCCGTTCACCACCGTCGTCGAGCTGAGAGCGGGAAAGCAACTGTGTGAAATGTTTGGTTATAACACCGACCCCGATCAAACGGAATTGCCATTGTCCTGGGGCCACATAACCTGTGATGGGACAGTGGCTAATCTTGAATCCATCTGGGTTGGTAAGTATCGCCTTTATGAACAACCTCGCCCTGTCTCTTACTGACCCGACCGGAGCCCGCAATCTCAAATTTTATCCCCTGACCCTCTACCAGGCCATGAAGGATGGCCCTCTTGGCTTCATCGCCAACGAATTCCAAGTCACCACCTGCGTCGGAGAGGAGAAGCTCTTCAAAGACCTCGGTGTCTGGGAGCTGCTCAATCTTCGACCTGAGGTTATCCTCGGCATGGGCGATGCTCTGTACAGGCAATTTGGCATCACGTCCAAGTTTCTGGAGGGAGCATTAACGCCGTTCAACATTCAAACGACTGGCAAGGACGAACTGGAGCGCGAATTTGGCATTTCCAAGCCGACCAAATACTTCCTGGCTCAAACCCGGCATTACTCGTGGCCCAAAGGCGGTGGTATGTAGTTCCCCCCACAAGTATAACTGGCGGCTGACTTCAAAAGCTATTGCTGGCATTGGATCCTCCAATATGCAGGGCGTGGAGCTCGACCTGGACGGTCACATTTCCCTCGAGGCCCTCGAACGGGAGCTCAATCGCTGTCTGGAGGAGCGACAGGCTGTGTACGCGGTGGTGGCTATTATTGGATCCACCGAAGAAGGTGAGGTCGATTCACTGTATGACATTCTCGCTATGCGTCGACGATTCCAGGACAAAGGACTGTCGTTCTTGGTGCACGCCGACGCAGCCTGGGGCGGATACTTTGCCAGCATGATTCCCCGGTCCCTGATGGCCCCTGGACGACACAGCAAGATAGGAGACGGAAAGGAAGCGGTGGGTCAAGTGCCGTCGCTGTCCCTGAAGACCGACACCCTCTGGCATATGATTGCCCTTAAGGAGGCCGACTCGATCACGGTAGATCCTCACAAGGCGGGCTACATCCCGTATCCTGCCGGAAGCCTGTGCTATCGCGACGGTCGCATGCGCTTCCTGGTTACCTGGACCAGCCCGTATCTGACACAGGGATCAATGGAGAACATCGGCGTGTACGGTGTGGAGGGCAGCAAGCCCGGCGCCGCCGCCATGTCTGCCTGGCTCTCCAACCAGACCATCGGACTCGATCCAAGGGGGTACGGAATGCTCTTGGGCGAGGCAGCCTTCACCAGTGCACGAGTAAGACCTATCTCTCTATGTATGGGGCTTCATTTGCTGACTGACTCAGCTTTCGGCCTTCTACGCCGCGATGCATCTGCGACAGCCCAAGGATGATGGCAAGCCCTACTATATTATTGTCCCCTTCAACCGGCTGCCAGTCGAAAAGGAGGGGTATGACATCCTGTCCGACGCCATGAACAAACGTCGCGAGTGGATTTGGGACAATGTAATTACCAAAGACAACGATCAAGTCAGCGGCAATCCCGAGGTGATGGGCTGGCTGCGGGAGATTGGCTCGGACCTCAATATTAACGCCTTCGCAATCAACTGGTATCACGCAGACGGTACCCTCAACGACGATCTGGAAGAGGCCAACTACTTGATGAGACGGGTGGTCAATCGCCTGTCCATCACCAGGAGCGGCATGGATCCCAATGCAATCCCACTTTTCCTGACCTCAACCCAGTTCGAGCCCACAATGTACGGCAAATGCGCGCAGAATTTCATGGAGCGACTGCACCTGCGACCCTGCGCCCAGGATCTCTGGGTGCTGCGCAACGTCGTCATGAGTCCCTTCCCCACGGATCGCGGCTTCATCCGAGAGCTCATGCAGGAACTCGAGAAGGTGATTGTCGACGAGGTCAAGAACACCTGTCGCCCGCGAAACAGCCCTTTGGCCAACAAGCTCGAGTTCCTGCTACGGGGCACCGACGAGATTTTCCTGGATTTCCAGACCAGTTTCCATCGCGCCACGCAGCGCCAGCAGATCATCCTGGCGGCGGAGCTGGCGGCGGATGTCCAAAAGAAGTACGTTGACCTGAAGCGCAAATTCCCCAAGCAGGAGATCGGGTTCTTGTCCGATGATGTGCAGCATCTCAAACATATGATGGAGCAAATCGAGCAACAGAGTCAGCCCCCTCCAGTTGTCAAGGGCCGAATCGGTGTCCGCGACGGGGAATCCTACCTCCATGCCATTGAATGCAATGTGAAGATGACACGCATCGTCAAAAGTCGTCCTCTGAACTCGGTGAATCGCGATGACCACTATCCCCGCCACTTCATGCCATTTTACCTGTTCGGCTCTCAGGACGAGCATCATATCTCGCATATGCTGTTGCAGTCGCCCAACGTGAGCCTGTCCGCCAGCAACGTGCAACTACAGGATGCCCTTGCCAGAAAAGTGGCATCCCGCCTGGCGAAGCACGAGGGTCTAATCCTCACCCTGACCGAATACCGCGAGGAGACTATGCATCCCTTCCCGCCGAAGAACGACGACTCAATGCTCATTAGTGACAACTTCTTCTTCCGCGAGGGCCAAACATTCGAGGTGAAGGTGTACGAGGATCCTAAGCCTGACACCGCCAACGGCCCAGGATTGCTGGATGAGCTGCGCACTCCTATCGCTCGTGGAAGGATGACTCTGGGATCGGATGTCCATGTCGACGTGGAGACTCTGAATCGGGACCCGTTCGATGAGCAGGAAGATGACGTCAAGTGGGATTCGGAGTTGGACGAGATAACCAATGTCTTGAATAGTGGTCAGTAGACTGAGATTGAGATGTTGAGTCATGGAGATCAAAGTTACTTCGACACTCCTCTACAGTCACAGTGACTTCAAATGACATTCCACACAAGTTTGAATGAAATTCTTCGCACATATTGTAGCAGATTGTTGCATATTAGGCGGCCTGATTAGTATTCTTTGCGTGTTAGAGGAATCATCAATAAATAAGCTGTCTCTCCTGGTCGAAGATATCCCGGGGACATACTTGTGCTGAATACATTCATCATTGATAAGTAGATAACTCTCGTCCTGTGAGAGCTTATTCTGTTCCGTTCCTGCTCAAATCTTTGCGAGCACCGAACACTCTTGCCTTTCGCTCTGCTCAGTTTCCATCATCCACCGGCAGATACTGGAAACATGAATAAAACCACTCGGCCACAAAAAGCACGACCGCCGAAGGCACCAGGACTGCTCCCTCCTCGTCCTCTCTCCCCTTTCCCCCGTTCCTTTGACTTCAGCGAGTGTTTATCTGCATACATAGGCGTATGAACTGAAAACGTTGCGCTAAGTTTAGTGAAATAGCTAGCGATAATTCAGAGGTTTACCTGGTTAATTGAGACTTTGGCCGCCTTTTCCCGAAGTAATTTTATCAGACGTAGTACAAATCCACCCTCACCAAACAAACAATACGTTAGTAGCACGTCACCCACGAGGGTAGCTTTGAGGATCGTGCGCGGTCAGCCATCAGATTAATATAGTCAGGGCAGCCTAGCATAATAACTGCAGCGCTAATGCGGGGTTCGTGAAAAATACAGCTCCAAGCGGCGTGTGCCCCAAGTGAAATACCGAGAACAATATGCTCCGAGATTTTGCGCTCTGAAGTAGGAAAGATGTATGATGGGATATAGTCAATTAGCAGTGAAGTGTCACGAGCAGTGCCCTCTGCAGTCGGTTAGTTTTGGCCATTTTATTATAAGAGAAAGGATAAGAAGTTGCCGATGGGGCTCCTTTTCCAGATTATTCTAGGCACATACGGATGATAGAGAACATATCCTGCGCATGACGAGGATTACCTTCTCCCCAGGTCCTATTCGCGAGAGAGTCGATCAACCGCGTACCGTGGTTTCTCTGATCAAATGAAACTGCAATTACACCCTTGGTTTGACCAGAACTGGCACGTTCATCCCGACTCCGACCATTCCATCCTCTGAGGATCGCCGCGGCAATTAAGCTCATTCGCTCCTGGCATGCCAATCTGGGGTGCAAAAGCCAGACGCATGCTACATTTGATGCTTGCAGAGGAAGTTCTTCTAAACCATAGACAGTGGTAAGAATTCCCGCAATAGTGTATGTCTTTTTGGAGAACACTGCAGAAGGTGGCGTGGCTTGGTCACCAACGCATTTCAAATGCTCTGCCATTTCGATGTTGGGTTGTCTAATAAAGTGGCAACTTAGCGTAAGTCATACGAAGTCGCTTTCAAAGCTCAAATATACGGCCTCGATGTGGCTATGTGAAGCACAGAATGAACGGACCCAGGGTCTTGGAGAGTGGAGGACCGTACAAGTTCAATGCTGGAGCACACGTTGGTGCTGGATTTTTATTATGGAACGCGACTTACCAATTTCCGGTCAGAGTCGCGAATGCGGCTCGACTTCCTCGACAGAATAGACTGGCGTCCGATAATCAAACATGACAACCAATCTACAGGTTGATCGACTTTTGTAGCAGATATGCGAGATAAGACGTACGCAGTTTTGAACGCCCGGCCCTCATAGTCAGGGTGAGTTGCTTTGGTGGTCGGGGCCGCGGTCAACAACGGGCAAACCGGCGGTAAACCCAAGACCGTCAATCCCGGGCGTACCCGCCTGCGTTTAGGCTGGGCAGAGACAGGAACGGAGCCACTGCTTTGGCGCTTTGGAATCACTCCTGGAGTACCACTCTAGGTGGTCCTATTGCAAGTTGTGTATCTTTATATAATAAGTGACAGGCCTTTCGCCTAGCCCTTTTCGCTTCCTCATAACTTCGATATCATCCCTTGTATCAATTATCCACCTCTTCCATGACGACTATGAACCAGAGAGATGTGGAGTCCAAGCTCAGGCGTAGCCAGCACGGAGACTTTAAAACTGTTGAGGCCTCTCGTCCCCCGTGGGACGACTCCACCCCCTTTCACTATACACAGACCCCGTCTCCGGACTGGGCTTTTGGTTCCGGCGCCAACTACGTACATGCTCTAGCCTCGACTTCCGCTGCAACCGCAAAGCACATCTCTATCGACCCGTATGGCTCTGGCCGTTCGCGTTATGAAAACTACAAGTTACTTGTCAGCGCGGTCGCTCCCCGTCCAATCGCCTTTGTTTCTACGCGCTCCCGGGACGGAACAAGTGAAAACCTGGCTCCCATGAGCTTTTTCCAGCTAGTTAACGTCGATCCACCAATCTTTGCTCTGGCCATAACAAGCCCATTGTCGGATGCCAAGGATACCTTACGCAACTTACTGGATACTGGGGAGTGTGTCATTAATATTGTCAGCGAAGGTTTTGTCGAAGCTATGAACGCTACAAGTACAAATGCCCCCTACGGCGTATCCGAGTGGGAAATCAGCGGCTTAACGCCTGTCTACGACTGTAAGACTGTTTCCGCAGCACGTGTCAAGGAATCAGTCTTCAGTATTGAGGGGAAATTGGAAAGTGTTCGTGACTTTCAAAGTCGGCACAACCCCGGGACGCGGTCAGGCTCCCTAGAGCTTGTCGAAGGGACACATTTTTGGGCCCGAGAAGATGCTTTCAAAAACGACCGCATTTCTTTGGATCTCACGGTGGGTAACCCATCTCTCTTTGTGGCTACATTTCTTCTTGAAACAGTGTCTTTGGGCTTACAAAGCTGACCCCGGTCAGGTGTTGCGACCAATAAGTCGATTAGGAGGCATTACATTCGGCAGGACAACGCAACTTATAGAGCTTCCACGGCCTGATTTCGACAGAGACCTGGGCGGTGTCGAAGGGGTTGAGAAATTGAAGGACCAGCGTCGAGCGCGCAGAGAGGTCTGAGTCATTATGCGTCTCCCAAGGATGGCAAAGCGGACGAAGGAAAGTCGCGAAAGAGTGCAGAGTTACATACTCAAGTCATGATATCAGAAAAATCTACAGTCCATTTCTTCTTTCCAGTAAGCTTTCTGCAACGCAGACAGGCTATTGTACCAAAACTGAGAATTACCTGCTCAGATGTGGCTCTTTCTCTTAGATAGGATAGCTTTTCTAGCAGTCTTGCCAAGTAGCAGAACGACTATAGCATTTGCAATTCTATTACTAGCGCTGCAACCCTGCCTATATGATATAAACACTCTCATTTCACTGGGCCGCAATCGTGATCGACAATAAATTCTTTCTCCCCGCCCCTGATAGTGCTACTCTGAGACTGGGAACTTGCTAAGTGTCTACTCCTCAGCTGTGATATGCAGTTCAGAGTCATACCAAGATTTCCCTGCCCATCAGCATCGTGTTCACAAGCTCCAAGCAAGCATATATATCCAGGGAGAATTCTGCAATATTCTGTGAACTCGTACTTATAGTAGTTAGTCGATTAACTCCCCAGGTAGATCACAACTGTCTCCCAAATTCTGGCTGCGCCGCAAAATAAGTCTCTCCAACGCCTCGTAGTGTCGGGGGAAGCTAAAATAGAATGCTACGCCCCGTCCCCCCGAAAATCATTTACCCACAACATAGTGGTCATATTCAAACAGGCCAAGATGAAGTGAAGTGAATGTGGGATGACCCTTGGTGGCTCACCGGATGCCTTCCGAAATAAGAAAATGATATTACGATAGAGGTAAAATTGAAACTGTAGAGACACCGACAATTGTAAGTAGGCGCGGAGGCAACTACTACTCCTAGCTATATGATGAAACTGAAATCTAAAGTTACATGTTACATATCTTTCCTCGCCAACTAATTATTGGGCATCTGGCCATATCCAACAAGAATCTGTCGCACAACTGCTCTTTCCTTCTTTCGAAAAGGGTGCACCAGCAGGGCACTGTAAAACAAGGATCTTCCATAAACCCTCAAGGATTACATTTCGTAGTTCTCTGACCGTTGTAAATTGGTAGAGGGCTTCCCATCAGGGCGGCCTTAATCTGCAGAGCAACGTGACGTGAAAAATAGCGACAGTATCCGATCGTTCCACCCATATACCATAGTTGCGGATCTATTTAATAGGATCTTATTAGCTTAGTCCTTCGACTGCTGAGCTTTGATGAACTCTAAAGCCAAAGAAAAGTATCACCGGTGCCGGGAAAAGAACCGGCAGTTCGAAACTTACGACCCGTAGGTTTGAAGGCACCCTTAAGCTCTCCTTCAGCATCCAGAGTCCAGAAGTCATCAACTTGTGCTGCGATCTCCTTGCCAAAGAGCTCCTGCACGTTTGTTCGCATATTGCCGCGGAAACCTGTGCAAAACACGATCACATCGGCGGGAATTTCAGTCCCATCGCTAAACATTAGTCCCGTGCGCGTAAAATGGGATGCGAGGGCGTTGGATTTGATTTGGATCTAGAACCAGCCATATCCATCAGCTGGATTGAGCGAGCCTACAGTGAACTGGCTACACGAGAGAGTGTGAACGTACCAAGCCCTTTGCGATCTTCTCCGAACAGCCAACGTCTATGTAATGTCCACCCATTTTTTCGGTGAGCTGGTATACCTATTAAGTAAGTACTATCAGCATTGCACCTTTAGAGGCATTAATGCGGAAGGTTTGGCCCTAGGACCAAAGTAGGATGGCAGACTTACAATGTCGCCATATCGCTCAACTTTGAAGCCTACTCTCTCTAGCGCATCGAATCTTTCGGGCTCCTTGCTTGCCATAGCATGTAAACTCTTCATACTCAATAATCGTGAAATTCCGAGTGGCTGGCTGTACTGTTCACGGTCCGCATCCTCAATCTCCACTTTTCCGTCGTATGTTCGATCCGAAATAGCTTTGAAGTATTCAGCTGGAAGGACGTAAGTGCGGCTCCGCTGAACCATGGTAATGGACTTGAGTCCTGCGTCCACCATGTCTGAGGCGACATCATGCGCCGTATTCGCTGTACCGACCACAATAGCTTTCTGACCTTTCCATGAGTCTGCCGAGCGGTAGTCTACAGAGTGCAGGACCTCGCCTTGAAAATCTTCCTGACCCGGAAGAGTGGGCATAATCGGCGTCTGGCCCCCACTCCCAACGGCGATTACAATATGTCGGCAGGTCAATATCTCTTCTTTTCCAGATCGGGTTACTTGAAGAGTCCAAAGCTTGCGAGCTGCATCCCACGAGCCGCCATTGAGTGTAGTACTCCATTGTATGTTCTTCTCAATGCTATATCTGTGGATAAAATCCTTGTAACCCTTGACGAGGTCGTGCTTGTTGAGGTATTCTTGATATGACGACGAGAATATCCGGCCGAAGGGTAGCTGGCTATAATCGCGCGGGGTGTGGAGTTTTGCCGAGTCGTAGCGAATGGCCCAATTTTCACCAACCTGATGATGCGCTTCAAGGACCAGGTAATCAACTTCTAACGCTTGCAGACGCCCTGCTGTGCTTAGGCCCGCTTGACCAGCGCCGGCGATGATGACGTCGTAGTCAGGGGTTGATGAGTCATGGTCTGCTCCCTTCGCCAGACTGGCTCTGTTATACATCAAGTTAAGGCTGTTGGAGATGTCGTTTTTGTTATCGGTCACTTCTGGGAGTATGTTGACATTGCGACATCCGACTAGTTGCTCAAGCACGGTTCTGATGGTCCAAATTCTCCACTGACCATCCTCTTCAAGCACTAAGGCGAGGAAACCATGGCATTCAGCAGCTGGAACCGCCGTTACCCTGAATCGGAAGCCAACATGGAGCCATGCAGTATTTTGGTCAGGACGAGAGACTCTCCCCGAGCCTGGAATCAGGTGAAAATCATGAGCTTGCCGTATACCGCACGTATCAGACCAGCCGGCAACAATTGTACGGGCTGAATAGATCGTGCGCAGTGTCCCTGTAAGTGCAAATATATCTCGCCATACGGGTTCGGCGGACAAAACATCGGTGCTTAAAGATGCGAGGGATTGAACTAGGGGGTTGGCTATGCTTTCGATATCCACAGAATCACCAAAACGTGATACTGGAAGATTGCACGGCAGGGTCGGCAGGACAGTGCTCGGAAGAGTCTTAGGTAGATCTGGCTCCATTGGTTGCAGTGGGACGGCTGTGTTTCTGGGAGAGATAGTCATGTTCAATTGTCACTTCTAAGGTCGAGTCGGTTTATTAATCTAAGATGAGTGCAACTTCCGTTAGAAAGGGTGGAGATAACTCTCGCAGGTTTCAAATGTAAATCCAAGTGATCCCCTATTTATTGCTAAGTGTTTACTCCGCGGCCCTTTAACGCGAGCGGCTGCGGCTGCTTAGTACTCTACAGAGGCGTAGTAAAACGGGCAATATCATGTTCTACCGAACCGTCGGGAAAAGGGTAATCGGCGACTAGGAATTTGTCGGTCGAACAGTTCCTCATCTGTGAGGGCCGGACAACCCCGGTCTCCATGAACCACGGGTGGCGGCAGTAGAGCAAAGCACCGTTGATTCCCGGGTTCACCGTGACCAGCTACGGAAGCGGCCTTGGCTATGAAAACTTGTGCCGTACGCTCGAATGTCTTCGACTACCACCAAGGTAGATGCCGCGATGTGGTATTGTTCCCCGGAGAGCTGTGTCTATGTAGTAAAAAAAATACTAGGTCAACCATTATGCGTAAGAGTAGACATATGTTCGTAAGCAAGAGAGCTCCGATAGTTATTGATGGATAGTCTATAGTCAGCTAACTGCTGGTGGCTGAATTCACAAGTTGTCTAGTTGGAGAGGAATCTGTAGCACAATACTAGCATAGGGGTTCATTCTTAAACTACATATCGGCAACCAAATCAACAATTGCTCCAAACTGTGCCATATAAACAAATAGAAACACGTTAGCTTGTGGTGCCTTCCATAATGCTACCCTCCGAAAGCGTGACCATGGAGCTCGGCCGGATATTCTGCGGCCGCAAGCCATTTCACATCCCTCTAGATTGAACTCGATTTTGGGCATCATTTAATTTCTTCGGCCGCTTAAAATGTACCTTCAGGGTTGACCATGTCTGCTTGTTATAATCCTTACGATACATCCTTAGTATGCTTTTCTTAGCTTGCTCGATGCCTTAAACTCACCTGGTGCACTTTGCTGGCGACAGTCTTTAGTCCCCACTCGGTGACGCCAACCATTAAGCAGCTCTCGAACATGAACGATAGAGACCCCTGCATGAGCTTGGTTGGGACCAAATCCATCCCCGATGCTTTTTCGAATGTCTGTGTATCCACACCATGTCCGCTCATTGTGTTATGCAGATTAGCCCCACCAGCCCGGAAGTCGCCCGGATAGTTACCCTTGATTAAGCCCATAAATTCGCTCATAGTGTTACGATGATACCACGGTGGCCGGAAGGTATTCTCAGAGACATTCCATCGAGGCCCGAAACAAACAAAATCAGCAACTGCAGTACCGGGTCCGTGCGGAATAGATGGTGCAGTCAGGACTGTGAAAATCGAGGGATCAATGTGGTCATGAGAGACTGCGTTGAGAGGACAAAATCGCCCAAGGTCGTATTTATATGGGTAGTATGTTCCATGCCAGGCAACTACGTCAAAAGGGGTGTGAGACTGCTTAGCTGAAAAGAGGTTGCCCCCGAACTTGCCGTATAAGCTCCATTCCGTATTCTCATAATCTTCAATAAAGTCTGCCACTGGAGTTTGAAAGTCTCGGGCGTTGGCGAGACCGTTCGAGCCAATGGGTCCTAATTCGGGAAGCTGGAAGTGGCCTTGATAGAGTTCAAGGATATATCCACGCGCCGGCTCACTGTCATGTAGAGCAACATGGTATCGGATTCCCCGTGGGATAACGCAGAATTCACTAGGTCGCACCAGCATCTTCCCCAACTCGGTTCGAATATCGAGAGTCCCATGCTGTGGAATGATCAGAAAATCACCATCTGCACTGTAAAAAGCAGACTTTTCGTCCATAGACCGCCCAAGGGCATAGACATAATACCCTATGCCTTGCTTCAGGGTCGGATCTCCTGCTCCAGCGATAAGGTGCAAGGAGTCTACCCATGAACTTCCACTATCAAAGTCGAATGGAGCCCAGAGAAGTTGATTAGGAATCACGGTAAATTGGGAGCCCGAGCTCTTCGAATGGATTAATGACTGATTGACATGGTCGGGCACGGATTCGAAGCTTTGGTGGCTAGCCGAAGGAAGAATTCGGTAGAGCCAAGTTTGTTGATTTTCATTTCTCGGTGCAGTAAAGGCACTGCCGGACAACTTTTCATTATACAAGCCATAAGGGCACTTCTGGGGCGAGTTGGCTGCCAGCGGCAAGGCGCCCTCTATTGCTTCACTTCTAGAGGGAGTCAGCTGTACGCATATGAGGAGGCAGCAGATATTGTTTCCCTACTCTTTATGCCCTCCGAACCCATTTATATACTTGTATGGGTCTATCACGTTGAATTGAGTTACTGGCATCTTTGTTGGCTTACCTCGATAAAGATATTTTCCAAATGCTTAGTTGATGCCCGCTTCGCGAGAATGCGACTGAACAATTTGATTGCTAACAGGGAATATCTCGTGAATTTTCGTTCTTCCTCGATGCCTCTTAAAGACCTCCTGCAATTATTAAAGATTTTGTACATGCAACAAGACAGCCGTCTGATACGTTATAGTTTCCTGAGTTGGTTGGATAGGTCGGTTTTAATCAGACAGTAACAGGCTGAAGTCTGTTTATGTTCGGCCAATTTGAATTAATGAATGTTAGTCAAAACGAAAACGAGAGCTTAGTAAATCCCGGGTGCTAGTTGCGGCCCGTGAATGTGGGCTTCAAGTTGAAGCTTGTTTTGGTTTCGGAAAGCCGGATAACGCCGCTCCCCGGCGATTAAAGACTACATTTGATATGTCGTACATGGGCTTAAGACCCTCTCAGGCCGCGGGCGGGCGATAAATTGCAGCGGGCATGGCCGAGTTTGAGCTTGGTCGCTCTTGGGCCGTTTTAACTCCGGGTTTGCCGTGGCTCCCCATGACTTCAGTAATTCAGCGGCCGGATCCCGCGTTTTGGGAGCCGGCCTTCTCTCTTTGCCACCAACACACCCACCAGTCTGTGTGCTCCATAGGCTAATTGGGTGTAACTTTTTTTTTTTTTTGAAATTATTTCTTTCAAGCTACAGTGGCGTTCCTCTTATGCATTAATTTCCAATCATCACTCAAACACCTAGGCTTTATCTCCACCTGATCAAAAACAACTATACACCCCCCAACCCAACCCCCATATTTGGGGGTCTTTGAGATCAATTTATACATTGGCTTATAGCCCGTCTTAAGCTTAATAAATATTCCACTTTTCTCGATACAACAGTCGAATCCCATCCAGTAGTTTGATTTTCGTGTGAACAGTTTTTCGTGTTCCCGCGGTCCCGGAGCTCGGGCTGCCTGGATTAACTAATAGTGCAGTCCCTGTAGAACGCCCTTGTTCGCGAGGCACAATTCTCTGAATTCAAGGGGCTCAGGCGAGCTGACTATCTAGATGGGTGACTAAGTGAGGCCACGTGACCATACCGAATATAGTAGGTCCCTAACAGCCCTATCTAGTCACATGATTCTGGTCCACCCAAAGGCCATATTAACTACTTGACAGATCCTTAACTTAGCTAAGATGCTTAGTCAGGTGCGAAGGGTTTAGGTTAACTAACATTATCGTCGATAACGATTATTGTCGATCGCTATCGATAGGCAACTTTCGATGGCAAGCCTGTCCTCAATCTCCTTAAAAAGCTCGCGGTTATTGATTTCTTTGGTGTCCTCAATAGAAAGTGCTTTAATTGTTTCTGGAGTGGTATTAAAATGCCAGGCAGGAACAGCCCATCTAATTGCTTGTAATAATGTCATTGTAGACGCAGGATCAAAGCCGCGATCATATTCAGACATTAGATAGTGTCAACAATTAACTAAATATGGTAATTTTGATTATTCAGCACCTTTTTCTGTCAAATATTGTTGATGAATACAACATCATCGGATCGCCTATGTTTCCTATATGAGTTAGTTTGCATTCTTCATTTGTTTACCTCGCCTTTATAAACGCGAGATGTTTTGGTAGTTTGGTTGAATCAGAGACCTAATTCAATGGAGGATCGATACTTGCGAATACGCGTAATTTTATGGTTAACAGATAGCAAGCCTACTGACGTTTCCAATATGCTTTCCATGCAAAGATGATTCCTTGATCAAGTGGTTGATATCGAGTAGTTGAGTTGGTTGGAAGCCATATTATAATTGCGCTCCGCAGTAGTGAGTTTATTTCTTTATATGCAGACTCATGAGCAGAGAAATTATCCATTAATAGAGCCACTTTTCGGTCCTTCATACGGCTATCAAACCAGAGAAGCCACTGCTTGTCTACAGTGAAGCGTTGAATTTGATATTAATACTATGCCAATTACCCTATGATCAGACATTTAAGCACTATTCATTTTCTTCCCTTTCCCTAGTGCATAACTGAGGTACAAGCTATGATTAACTTATAGCCTCGTCCTTACCAGAATTTGGCGTCAGAGTAGGGACTGGCATCCAAAAGAGCAAAGGCATGAAAATTATGTAAATATGGGTACTGCAGCGAGGGTCACCCGCAAGTCATCCGAGGGTCGGGTCGAGGTTCTGAATCTTGGACCCCTCATGAGGGTCTTGACTAGGTCTACCCCCAAAAGCAGGATCTACACCTTCGCCAGAAGGCTTCGGTGCCTTCCCTTTACCGCCTAATCAACATCAGTATAAACCCACTAGAGACACTATGCTGGCTACGTACTGCCCTGGTAAAGCATAGTTGCCAGAAGAACCCCAATAACTGATGCCTATCACATGTTAGAAAAACTCAAGCAACCACCGCCAACAAAGGACAGAAAGCACGTCATACGAGCGAAAGATCCATTCCCTCGGCGACTTCAATCTCCCACTCCGGTCCTTTCCCCGGTATATACACCGAGACCATATCCTTCAACTTAGAGGTCATTACCAAGACATCCCCATGGTACACATGTGCTCTGGACTTCCAAATATCCTGACCGCGCACGTTCAGAATAATCTCTCCGTGCCCCACTCCCCCCCGGGCCGCATTCTTGAAGTGGACATCAAACTTGTCCTTGAGGGCATGCCACTGGGGAACAATGGTGGCTATGGGCCGGGGATCGTCTTTCTCTCTGCCACCTGGTAGATGAACAAACCACGTCACGCCGAGTCGTTTACGGGAGATCTCGAAGAGCGGCAGACCTGTTGCGTCTTGGACGCGCCGGCGCTGGCTGACGGAGGCGAAGTCCCCGTCTACGGTGAAAAGAGTCTGGGCGGGGGAGTTGGCGGTCGGAACCGTGGAGACGGTGAAATCACCTGCCGACCAGCTTTTGCTGTGCTGTTTCACACGGATAGTTGTTGTGTTGGGGGCGAGATATTCTGTTCGCAGCGCGATGGGTTGTTTGAGAGTGGTAGGTCTGGAGGTCATGGTGAGGGCGACCGAAGATTCAGAGGTTGAGTTGCTAGACAGAGAGATGGAAAATTATGGGGTTTCGTTGTTTGTATCTGGGGTGGCGCAAGGCTGTGCTGTCTGCTTTCGTCGCTGAGGTAGGTTTGCCGACGCTGTCATCATGCTTCGGTGAGGCTGTTCTAGCTGACATCATTTCTTTTACGCTAGTTAGGACCCACATGAAGGCCCGAGCAGGATTTTGTGTGGAGAGGAAAATTATCATGGTCGAATAAGTTGCGGATGCACTCTGGTCATGGCTCAGATAGATGGTGGTTATGGCCCTGAGACAAGTCCGTAGCACTGTTCCGTGGAGGCTCATAGTCAATGCAATGTTGCTAGTCTGAACGTTGAACGGCTGTGATCCGCAGAGATCCACTGATGAGCGGAAACAACTGTGTACCGTCTAGGAATGACACGATATGATTTGTTTCACACTGCAGTTGTGCTTTGCTGTGGATCGTGCCAGGCCTCCGAGGTGCCATTGCCGAAAAGCAGACCTTCACCTAGGGAGACGAGGCCATACATCAGTCGCTCGATACTTGTGAGTGGAACGTCCTTTCAATGGAGTGGTCACTTCGAGTCTTGGCATTGTATCAGCAGTCCGATCTACGGAGCAAGCATAATACCAACCACCATAGGTAATAGTTGGCTAATGCCTGGCCAAACAGTCAACAAGCTTCTCTGTAATACTGTAATCTCCCTAAGAGGTCATTAAGAACAGAGCGACCCACCACGATACAACATATCCAAAGGCTGCATAGCGACATCCTGTGGTTCCCGACTGCTGGATATGAGTATAATTCAGTAATCGATTCCTCGGCCCTCACTAGCCTCGTAGATAGCATGAGATAGCAGGTATTCTTTTCTCATTGGGCAGATAAACCTTCGATATAGCTGCTGCATCCGCAGCATCAGTTCTTGCATAGTACACTTTTTATGCTTTATTCACCGTGCTTAGAGTACCAGAACTGTACGCCGCAAGGCCAAGGACTGAACTATCGGCGGCTGCTTCGCAGGTTCTTGGCCTAACATAGCGCGCCGCGTCTGCATTCAGGAATTCGAAAGCTCTATGCATAACAACCAGCTCTGAGTTATGTTGTTAGTTCTAGATGCGGCATCTGGTGCCAACCATTACAGACAATTCATGTTAACGAAAGGTAATAATAATGCCATCGACGATACGTTGCAATAAGGTCGGAGAAATGCCAGCCGGGTTTGGGAAGTTGGCACAATGACTGAACCAAGCCAGGCCAGCGTGGTCAAGATGTAGAAGGATCGCACGTTGTTTGTATGGTTGGTAGTGCCGATTTCACTAATGAAGAGAGACAGGCATGCTCCGTAATGGGTGGGGTCTTAAATAGCGTCAGAAGATACGCTGATACAAATAGGCAGGGTTTCAGGGGCGTGTCAGAGCTACCTTCAATTTCTGTGACCAACACAGCGCCTCCGCATCACTGAAAACTCGGTCTGCTGTCGCCACATCTCGAAAGTCGCAAAACCATACTCCAAAATTAGGCCAGGCAGCTTGATGCACGATGATGGGGCTCCAGCCGTTGCACAGGTTATCCGTCAAACGTGATTGATCTCTTTCATGAAACCAAACTGGGAGGCTAGATAGAGCTGTTCACATTGAAGTTTTGGACGGATGCTTGGTTTGTGTTGAGCAGTATGTCACGTCTTCTGGTTCTAGTCGAGTCGTGGTATCTGGATCGGAATAGGAATAACCTGGGTTGTCTGCGATAGATACACCGACGAAAAAGCAGCCTTAGACTAGGCTCTTAGCAAAACCCATATCAAAGCCTATCTTCCTATGTTGGCCTCTTCAATCTGCTGTCAATCCAAGTCGTCTCTGATACGTCCTTGCTGATCAGCAGGCATTTGCCAATTCACTGACGGGGAATTCATGATGGGTGGAAGGGGGCATATAGAACGGAATGCATGAGGGTGTGTATATCGAGGGAGGAGATACGGTCAATATAGTAGTTAACCAAGTGATCCATCATGCTGGACGGTTGTTATTTTGTTTTATATAGAACTTACTTTCTGGGGTCAAATGTATCACATCACGGATGCGATTAGAAATTGATATCCTAGTCCCCGGTTCTATACAAGGACCGCCACATTGCATCGCCCGGTTAGACTAGGATTGAACTGACAATAACCGGAGTTTTTAGTATATATTCCATACAGCGCCATCGTAATAGATAGGATGTGCTCCTACCATTATAACGATGTTCTCTCTAAGACTAAGGGACAGGGCTAAGGAAAACATTGAATACTATAGAGTATTAATAGGCTTCGATCTTTTTTATTGGAGAGGAGAAACCATGTACAGTCTGAAGGTTACTACGGAGTAGTACGATTAAAATCAGGGTTCAAGCAGGAATTGATAGGCGACTAAGTGTCGCGCCTCTTCGCTTTCTGCAGTAACGCTGCATTACTCCAAGATTATGTAGGACATTTGAGGAATAATTCTTCCATCCTACGCAACGTATTGAACTGTTTATCTCTCTCATTGTTAAAAAACTGTCCTGCATCGGACATCCGCCTCGGTCTCCGCGGAGTCTCCGGGATCGACACATTCTTCGCGACGGATCCCTTTGATTAGGGGAGTGTTGACGATGACAAGCACGATCCACCCAGAAGTGGATCAGGCAGTTAACAGCGAGGCGGAACCTCCATATCCGAGGTTCCGAGGGCATCCGCTACAGGCTTATGGAGACAACAAGGTCAGAAATTGCCAAACAATACGCAAAATCGCAAAATTATATTTGATTATCCGAACTAGAGACTAAAATTTATTCTTTGGTAACATCAACGAACCAGCCATCTCTCCATACGCCCCCTCGACCTCGGTGATGTTCTGGCCTTGGATCCAGTATCCCTTGGCGTGGGCCCAGTTGCAGGCGGCCGTCGCGATAGCCCAGGCGACATCCTCGGGCAAACTCCTCAGCATGTGGTCCTGAACGGTGGCCGCCAGTCCCTGGACCATCGGAGTCAACGTTAGCCACGGTGCCACCCAGGAGATGGCGATCCCGGCACTGGTGACCTCGTCCATGAGAGCGGTGCTGCGCACGAGGCCCAGCACCGCATGTTTGCTGGCCGTATACAACGTCTGCGAGGGCACGGGCACATAGGAGGCGGCGGATCCAGTCACAATAATACGACCCCGGCCGCGGGGCCGCATGTGGTGGATGGCGAGTTTGAGGCCAAAGATGACGGAGTGTAGATTGACGTCGAATAGCTGCGTGTAGGGTCGTCGTAGGGTCGAGTCTTGGTGCTCGTCCGCCAGGTAGTTGTAGCACACCTGACAGCTCATCTTGCGACATTGCGACTCATCATGGGTCTGCAGCAACGCGATTTCCGGGTTCACGGCAGCATTACAGACGACAAGATCCACGTGTCCAACGGTGTTAGTCACCCACTGGAAGAGAGCCACCTGTTGCTCCCAGTCGCCGACGTCGCAGATGCGGTATGGGGCGTCCTTGCCCACGGTCTCGCGCGCCTCCTGCAGCGCGGCTTCGTTGCAGTCGACGAGCACCACACGGGCTCCATGGCGTGCGAGCAGCACCGCGGTGGCCAGGCCGATGCCCTGCGCTGCCCCCGTCACGATGGCCACTTGATTGGCCACCGAATCGGTCAGGGTGTCAGACGATGGTCGAGGGACGGTGGTCATTTTTGCGCAAGAGTTGTACTGCCAGGAGGAGGGAGAATTCTGACTTATATAGGCCGGATGTACACAGATCTACGTCGACTACGATCTACAAATGGTTATGGTTCGCTTAAAAAGTGGGAAGTGGTTGTACTACTTCCATCCTTTGTTTGTCATTGTATCTCGTCATATAAACTGGCTACAGCCCGGAACCGATTCATGCAGGCACGCTGAACTGGCCCACTGGTCGGAGCAAATGCCTCGAATCCATGCGGCAGTCCCGGATATATGTGGAATTCGACGGAGATGTTGGCCTCCAGGAAGCGTCGCACGTACTCGCAGCTCTCACTGAGAAACAGGTCCAGCTGCGGACAATCGAGATATAACGGAGGCAGTCCCTCGACACTCTGCACGCGCGCCGGTGCTGCATATGCTGGCACGTCCTCCGTGCCTGCGCGATTTCCCAGGTACGCCGTCCAGGCATTGACATTGTCGTGCTCCGTCCAGAACGCAAACTCCCCGACGGGATTTGTGCGTGTGCGATCATCCAGGCACGGATACACGAGGATCTGCTTGGCCAGCGGTGGGGAGAGACCGCGATCGCGCGCCAGCAACGCCAGGGCCGCCGCCAGCCCACCGCCGGCACTCTCGCCCATGACGGCGATTCGATGCACGTCGATGGCCAACATGTCGGCATGCGTGACGATCCACAGCAGGGCGGCCCAGCAGTCATCCAGAGGGGTGGGATATGGATGCTCGGGGGCCCGACGGTACTCGATGGAGAGAACTGGCACGCCGGTGTGGGCAGTGAGGGTGAACTGCGCGGTGGCCGTCTGCTGGGCCGTCAGAGCCACGTATCCTCCGCCATGCATGTGCACGACGGCGGGCGTTTTGGAGGGCGATCCTTCGTTGCGTTTCAGACGGTAGTGGTAGACGGTGATCTGATGGCTGTCGACTGCCGGCGCCTGATGCACGAGCTGCTCGACCTCGTCCGGACAGGGCTGGGATGGCACCATGTCGCACATGGCATGCATCTTGGCCTGAGTCGCCGCCAGATTAGGGGATTGGTCCTGTTGAACGTGCTGGTGCAGCAACGGGCCAGCCGCGGCAGCAAATTCGGGGTCGTAGGTGAGCATAGTAATGGTCTGGTTCGAAGTATTGAGGGTATGTCTTTTACTCAATTGTATGCAGTTTTTATGCAGTTTGCATGCTATATATAGACATGCATGTTTGGAACATGCATAATGGCCGAGCATCCGGGATCGACATGTGGGGACTCTGAATATGGAAGGCCACAGCGAAGATGAAGTTTCTAGTCGATATTATTATTAATGATAATAGTAAATACGATGTCTCTCCGATATGTGAGCTCTTGTGTCCTGACCTCAACATCATGACCCCCGATTTTGACCATCTCCCCTCCGTGGCCGGAATGCCCCAGGGATGCGCCTGGGGCGTATTCGACCAGAACGACCAAAAAGACCGACTGGGAACGCTGAATTGGCTGACTCCGGCCGTTGTGCAGCAAGCAGCCACGGAAGTGCGTCAGGGTATCTCGATCTCGCTGAAGTAGGTGTTGCAATGCTTAAGGGGGATACTACTAACAAGACAGCTGGCCCATGGGAAGCATCGCCATTCCCAACTTCTTTCGCAAGACACTGTCGCACCGCGTGCTCGAGCTGAAGGATCCCCAGAGCGTATGCTATGGTTTTGACGATGAGGTGGCGTTAAACACGCAGTCAGGGAGCCAGTGGGACAGTCTCTGTAGGTGCGCACCGTCCGTTTATATCCTATGCTGACCACTATAGGCCATTTCCTGCATCAACCGACCGGGCTGGCATACAATGGGCTACGGCCCACCGTGGAGAATCTCGAAGATCCGGAGCAGGCAGTGCATCTGCCCACCATCGACCGTAGGTTTCCTCCTGTCTATCCCTTTCTCATATCTAAAGATGGAAATGTCAGATTGGCATGAGCGCGGCTGTATGGCGGGACGAGGCGTCTTGATTGATTTCAAGCGCTATGCCGACATCCACGGTATCACATACTCGGTATTCTCGGATTTCCGTATCAGTCCGGACGATATCGAGGCAGTGGCTCGGGATCAGGGCCTGCAGTTTCGTCCTGGAGACATCCTGCTCCTCCGGTTTGGATTTACAGAGGCCCTAGCCAGCATGACGGGCGACGAGCAAGCAGCTTCACTGGCCTCGCATCGCGTCTGCGGCGTAGAAGGCAGCAAGGCGATGGCCCGATGGCTCTGGAATCACCAGTTTGTCGCCGTAGCCAGCGACACTCTAGCAGTGGAGGCGATGCCCCCAATGGAGAACGGGCAGGAGGAACAACCGTGGAAGCTGGTGCTGCATCAATGGTGTCTTAGTCTCATGGGCATGCCGCTGGGTGAGCTCTGGGATCTCCATCAACTGTCACAGGCATGCCACGAGGCGCAACGATACAGTTTCTTCTTGACCTCGTCGCCGTTGAACGTGCCGGGGGGAGTGGGCAGTCCGCCGAATGCGATGGCCATTCTATAGCTGAGGAAATATAAAGATATCATATCAATTTTAAATATCGGAGTAGGATAGTATTTAGACTATGCAAGACTTCGCAGCATTAACGCTAATACTTGGTGTACAGCTCCCACCCTCCCAGCGCCTCCTTGCAATGCTTCCACCACCGCTGCATTCCCCCCAGATAGATTAACGGCTCACGTCTTTTCCCGGGAATATTACTGCCCATATACCACGAGTTTGTCTGCGCGTATAGTGTCTTCTGGCTGACGGCGTGCACCTCCTGCTGCCACAGCTCTGCCGCCTCCTTTGTGGGCGCCATTGCCGTGACGTCTTCCTCTAGCATCCGCGCAATTGCCCGACAGATCCAGTCCACCTCCATCTCGATGAATGGCGGTCCATTGGCAAGTGAGGTGGGCGCCTGTGGGCCATAGACGAGGAAGAGATTGGGTGCGTCCGGCACCATCAGTCCCAGATGCGTGCGAATGCCATCCACCCACTTCAGACGCAATGGCACCTGGTGCGCGTCCTCAATGCCCAGATCCAGCAGACTACCAGTGACTGCGTCGTACCCAGTGGCGAAGATGACCACGTCGAGGTCAACATGCGTGCCATCGGCCATCACGGCACCTCGGGCGTCGAATTCGGTGATGGGACTCTTCTTGAGGTCATGCAGCGTGACATTGGGCCGGTCGATCATCTCGTAGTAATCCTGCTCGAGACTGGGCCGTTTGGCTCCCAGCCAATGCAGTTGCCTCAGTGGCGCCACGATCTCCATTTTGGTCGGGTCCGTCATGCGGATGCGCACCTGGCGCACCCAGTAGTCGTAGAAGATAGAATTGGCCTTCTCGTCGAGGAGGAAGTCGTTGTAGTTAGACAACAAGAAGCTGTAGCCACCACGCTGCCAGAGCTCGTCAAAGAGTGCTTGTCGCTCGTCCGCGGGGGCTGACAGCGTCGTCTCATCGCGTATATTGTGAGGGAAGCCCGTGTTGGAGGCGTAGCAGCGGTCGAAGAGAGCGTTGAGGTATCCCTTCATCATGTCCGCCTCGTCACGGGTGATGCGCCGCTGCTGCATCGGGAGGCCCAGGGCTGGCGTACGCACAAAGACATGCAGCTGGCAGTCCTTTTTGGCCAAATCCTGCACGATCTGCAGCCCCGAGGCACCATTGCCAACCAGGCCCACCGTCCGGCGCGTCACGTCCAGCGTCTCCGGATACGCCGCCGAGTGCACCACCTGGCCGCGGAACTGATCCAGCCCCGGATAGGTGGGGAGGTACTTCTTGTGCGATGATCCAGTGGCTGCCACAAGAAACCGGCAGGTGAACCGCCGGCCATCCTCGGTCTCGACGGCCCAGCGCGCAGTGTCCGTGTGGTAGACGCAGCGCCGCACAACGGTATGGAAATAGGTATCCGGACTCAGCTGCAGCACGCGGTCGACGTGCTCGAAGTATCGGCGTAGCTCGTCATGACCAGGGAAGCGCTCAGTCCAGTGCCAATCCTTCCACACGGCGGGGACGTTGAACTGGTAGAAGGGCATCTCGCTGTCGACGCGCGCCCCGGGATAGCGGTTCCAGTGCCAGACGCCCCCGAAGCCAGCGCCAGCCTCGATGAGTTTGACGCGCAGGCCCATCTGGCGCAGTCGATAGAGCGCATTGCAGCCACCGAATCCGCCACCAATGACGACGGTGTCGAGGTCTATCTGAGCCATTTTGGATATTAAGCCAATAGTATCTGGTGTAAATGTGTTCTTGAGGTATCTGCAAGGTATATATTTATATTGTATATATGAAATTAAATATGTCAAACGGTATCCAACTTATTCACGGTATTCATTGTATAGCAGACCGAAACGGAAGGTGACAGCGAGCCGATATGTAAATGAATCAGCATGTGTGTGTACTTAGGGTAGCTGCAGGATGTGGCAATTTGGAACTTGTGCAACACATGACGTATTCCTGTTCATACATCTCGGATGGCGAAATTCCGCATCCGAGATATTCTTGGTATAATCGTGAATATTCGATTACCACCCTAGTTACTGGCCTGGTTACTTTCAATGACAAGTTTCAAAAAAATTTCGATGGTTCTTCTACACAACATCCAATGGCAACCCAAGTATCAGGAACGGCATTCATCACCGGCGGAGCGTCTGGCATCGGCCGAGGATCTGCAGAGATACTGGCCCAGAATGGCATTACGAACCTGGCCCTGGTGGATTTGAACCTCGAGCAACTCCGGAGAACACGCGAGGACCTGCAGACTCGATTCCCCCAGGTGGTCGTCGAAACCCTAGTGGCAGACGTGAGCATCGAGGCCTCAGTCGACCACGCCGTGCGGGACACGGCGCTCCTATTTGGCCGCATCGATATCGCAGTGCATTCAGCGGGTATCAGTGGACAGACCGGACTGATCCATGAGCTGTCATTGTCTGACTGGCAGAAGGTGATCGACATCAACCAGACGGGGCTCTGGCTCTGCCAACGCGCAGTCATTCGGCAGATGATGGCACAGGAGTGGGTTTTTTGATCCATATTCATTCTCCTAGACGGATCTGGACGGACACTTATACTACACGTATAGATTGCGCGGTCCCCGGCTGGGTAAAGGCGTGATTGTGAACGTCTCGTCGATATTTGGCATCGCGACACCACCGGCACAGTTCGGCATAGACCCGTATACAGCAGCAAAGCACGGTATGTTCCCTCTCATCCATCTCGTATACAGACTGACTAGCGCAGCGGTAGTGGCAATCACCAAACACGATGCTAAAGCGTACGCCCCGGAAGGCATTCGCATTAATACCATCTGTCCAGGGTAGGACTCCCATGGCCCGACGAGCATCACTAACCCGGTTCCAGATTCGTGGACACGCCTCTGATTCGCGCCGACATCGAGGCCGGTCACTTTGCCTCGCATTTTGAACAGACTCCCATGGGCCGTGCGGCCAGCATCGAGGAGATCGCCGAGTCGGTGCTGTATCTGGCGTCGCCCATGAGCAGCTATACCTGCGGCATGGCGCTGGTAGTGGACGGGGGGTATACAGCATGAGACTTTTCAATTATGAGCAAAATGAGAAAACTTGATGTATCTATTCATCAATATATTGAACTACTTGAATTGGATGGTTGATTAAGGGTCTTTCTTGGCAGGGGTTGACCTCATTTTCTACCTCCATCCTGGGTCCTTTTCAATTTCTTTGTAATCTGGTAGAACTGAGCTCCTGGTTCGCAATCGAGCAATTATGTAACTATCCAAACACGCAGTTTTGCTTCCTCGAAGTCATACCGCGATGTCTCGGATGGCCAAAATAAATACGTCGTCTCGTTTTCAGCATCAAGTCGATTGCTCACCTCGTTAACTTTTCTAACTCTTTTTTTTTTTTTCAACGGACATAGCCCACTCTTATAGTTTTACTACATATCTATATATAGAATCTATACCAACATGATATCAAAATCGGCCTCGCGTGCTACCTCCTCCCAATGCACCTCTCGTCCCCATGCCCGCGGCGCTGCCACAGTGTCTGCACAATTTCCCACAGTCCGTCGATATTCTTGATTCCATGGCGACGTTTGCGATTAAACAGACGGTGCACGCGCTGTTGCAGATCCAGCTGCTCGCATTCGGCTGCTACCACGAAACCCGCCCAGTTATACGCGCAGCCACCATGATCCCCTGTGAGGGCGTCCGCTCCTTCTAGATCCCCAACCGCCAAAGCCACCAGCTGCTGGACGTCCGCCAGCGGGGCATGGCGCAGTGTGCGCCGGAAGTAAATCAGCGTCGCGTAGTAGAAGGCGTTAAGCGAGTGCTGCACAACGCGCGACTCGGCCTCGTCCAGCGCAGACGGACTCCGCGGGAACTGTAAGTAGAGCTGTAGTTCGAGCTGGTCGAGCTCAGCTACCGTTCGCGACACAGCCGATGTCCCGCCATCGTGCCCCAGGCCGATCTGGGCGAGGAACTGCACCAGGGATGGGGTGACACCGTGCGACCGCTCCATGTAATGCTGCAGCGCTGGGGGTCCATCCAGCAGCGCCACGAGCGGCGCGGACAACGGCACATGGCACAGCGACGAGAGGCACAAGTAGCTCTGCAAAAGCGGAGCCGCTCGCGCACTCGGCAGCCCGCGTGAAGCACGCAGCGAGTCCTCCAGCAGCCCCAGCCCGCCGGCGACGTGAGTGCGCCACCGTCCGCGGCGGCCCGACATGGCCTCGGCGGTGATGCAGGCGAGCACGGCAACCAGTGTCGACTCGTCCAGGCGCGTCCCCGGTCGTAGAGTTCGACGCAGGTGTCCCAGTGCCTGCTGGTCGTGGACGATGGCCATCGACTGGAAGCGCGGTTCGCCGCGCAGGTGGAACAGGCTGAAGGCGGACGCGGCGCAGACGGCATGGAAGACGGCGCGCGGCATGGTCGACGCCTCTGTGGGACCTGACAGTCCTTGCAGCGCAAGTGGTAGGAACACAGTGCGGCAAGGATTGTCAGGTCGGTCGAGGAGCAGCATTTGGCCACTGAGGAAGACCACCCAGTGGTGGATGAGTTCGATCTCCCGACGCGCAAGGGGCGTGGGATTGAGCATGGGTTCTGGAGGGCTTGGGGAGGGCATCGAGAAGGCCTCTTCATCAGCCACAAAAAATGGCTGAGACAGCGTCGAGAGGGCGCGCTCTGGTGGACTGGTACTCGCCCTATTGTGGCCGACATCCTGCGAGGGTGACACGCTACGAGCCTCCGATGTTCCCGATATGGAGAACACCGAGAAGGGCCCTCGATGCGCCTCCGATAAGCCCTCACAGTCGTCCAGTTCAGTCAAGAACGCCGTCACGGCAGCAGGGGACAGGGATGACATCAAAGCAGGAGGTCGCAGGCGGCGACGCGGCGCGGAGGAGGTCCATGCCAAGCGCACGCTGTAGCCCTGGCAGGACCAATTATTGCGACGACAGCGGCGGCATCGGGGTTTCTCCTCGTCGCATTTGACATGACGAGCACGGCAGGTCCAGCAGCCAGTGAAGGTCTTGCTGCGGATGGGCATCGCATAGTCATTATATTCTGCAGGAATAATAATAATGCAAGGGAAGGACGAATAGTTGAAAATGAAAACCATTGAAAGATGCGGGGTGATTAAGTAAGCACGCGCCATTAAAAGACAGGGACTAATATATTAATATATTGCTTTATATGGAGTATTCTTTGGAGCCTATTATTATGTTGGGCAGTATATATATTAAGGTGTACTCTTTGTTTATTATATATCCCTTTTCAAGTCAGAACAAGTGTCCATAGATGCGGCGGAATGCCTTATATATTTGTCAGAATTATAGCTGCAATTCTATAAGATCTCGAATATTCTCTGTATTTGTTGTGCTGTGCGTCTTTATTACCCCGCTTCTTCTGGAGGTACGGCTTATATAGCCACGTCACTTTATCACTTCACATGATGAGTCCTATTGGAGAAGCAGGCGCTAGACCTGCTTCTCTTCTATCCCACAGAGTTTGAATGCCGTGGCTTTATCAACGAGGTTGATCATGTCTGCAATATTCCTCTGGACGCAAAGTATCCCGACCCTCTGGCAAGAGCGATAGTCAAGAACTCGGCAGATGGATTCAATATAGTTTGGAACTGTTCGATAAGACACTCCAAAACGCTGCCTAGAACCTCTAGTAGGTTGCGCGACAGCGCGTCAGGCTCTGCAAGTGTAGGTGGCCACTCCTCAAGTATATGTTAGATCGCTAAGTAATTTTGAATAGTCGAGTTACATCCGGACAAAACCCAGAAAACTGAGGTTGCCTTAATATCAACAGTAGCGATTGTACTATAGGTGAATTAAATATAATTACTCCTTGCATCCATATCAGCAAATCTAGTCCAGGCACATGATAAATGAAGAGCAATAGTCGTTGACTGTGAAATACTCGATGTGTCCGGAAGGCGCAGTGAACTTGCTTTCCTTAATACTCTTGATTTCCTGACTGGCGGGGTGTTTATTAATGCATATGTCCAGCCTGCATCCAAAGTGACTGACTGGAGATCTCAGGTCAGGGTGTGACAACTGCTAACACGGCTATCGCTGTTGTAAATCAACTAGTGCTTCGTGGATGGCAAGAGGCCCGCCAGAATCTGTGGAACACGCCAACAATGAGACCATCTTCATCGGGCATTCCATCAGATATAATCTAAATGCATTGGGCATCTCGCGCCTGATAGCGGCGGATTCTTTCATCCTAATTGGCGATGCCGTATTTCACGCCCCCCCGAAAACACCCATTGAAACAGATGTGGGGTCTAAAATTGCTAGCGAAGGACTTATTGGATTACAATATACAGACAGATACTAGTGGGCGTAGCTCTCTTGAAGATGTGTCTGCCACAAGGGAGATGATAATATGGTACCTTAGAAAACTCGAATGCTTGGTGTGGGCTGAAAATACACGGAAATAATAAAAGGTAGCGTAGCAACTATAACACGCTTCTAAACAGCGTAAGCAAGGAAGGACAAGGATAAATATAACTAAATTAATTCCTCACAATTCTAGTAGAAGCTCTAAGTACTCCGATAATTCCGACGTTCTTCGATGGTCGGACATTGGGGAGGATTGTGGGTAAACTCCTCAAGACACTGGATATGATCCTTGGTCGGACCGAGATATTCTTGAAAATGTAAGTTACCAATTATCTGACTATTCCATATCTATACTACTTATTTTATACTGACACAGCTACTTGTATATTAGATTCAAGAGATACATACTTGGGAGAATCAGAACACTTGCTCAGTTGCGACATAGGGTATACAAATTCGATGTCAAGCCTACAAGAAATAAAGGAACGCAAAAGGGACCATGGGCCAGCCTAATGCGATGGCATCACCGCAATGGCCTAGGATATCTTTGTGGCTGCCGAAAAAGCGGGCAAGAAGCTACGTAGAGGTGATACATGGTCTATCTGCGCGGCAATAATATTGGATAGCTGGTTTCCCTGTATAGGTGTTAAGAAGGGCTATTATTCTGCTGCGGACTTTATTACATGGCTGCGGGAGGCTCTTCTACCGGCGGTTAACCAGCGGAATCGATGCCTAAGTGTTCTTATAATAGACAATGTCTTTATACACGTCAGTCAGCAAGTGGAAGAGATTATTAAGTTAAATAGTGTCAAATAATATGGGCGTTGGTGGACCAGAATCATGTGAATCGGGGTAAAACCCCCGCGGAGCACACAACAAAATAATCAAGAAGAGCCCAACCAGCTCAATTTATTCAAATAAGACCTTTTTAACAATCGTACTCTATTTCCTCTTCGGGAATAGCCATATATCTAACAATTATTTAGCTAGCGTGATGTATTTATACCCCTTCTGTAGGTAATAATTACCCGAGAATACTATACAATTGATATCGCAATACAGCTACGGAGTAAAATCTATGAAGTATTCGAATTAACCATATACCAAGTCCCACCCCAAGCCCAGCCCATATCATGATCACTATATCCTTTCATCCAGATCCTAGGTCTTACTATTAGTATCGCATCCCCCGTGGGACCAATAGTCAGGGGCACACTCCGTGGTGGCACTGCAGTTGTCGTCCTCGTCGCAGCTGGCAAATGCTCCATTCTGCACCCAGCACCACGGCATGCCCTCTTCCCACTTATCGTTCGTCCGCTTCCCGGTCTTCTCGTTGCAGCTGCTCCAGCAGGTTTTGCCTAACACTCTCTGAGACGCACACCCACCGGACAGTGGAACAACGCAGCCCCATGATTTCGCGCACTCAAAGTCGGTTGGACAGTCGGATTGCTTCAAACAAGTGGCATACGAATCGCTGCCGCTTTCAGCTATCCAGCACCAGGGGTCGTTCTCCGCCCAGTCGCCGCCAACGGGCGAGCCCGTGTCTGGGTCGCATTTGTTCCAGCAGCGCAGGGAAATGCTGGGGCCGTCGCCGCCGACCCTGGTGCAGCCGCTGGCGGCCGTCGTGGATGGTAGGGAGGATGTCGTCGAGGTCTTGGTAGTGGTTGTCGTTTCGGAAGAGGTGGAGGGCTCGTTGTTTGTAGTCGTTGTTGTGGCCGAGACTGTTGGGACCGTCGTCGGGGGCCCTCCAGAGCCCCGGCCATTGCTGTCTCCCTGGTCTTCATCAGGGTTGAAGCTGCTGCAGACGCCCTCGCCGGTTGTTGTCGTTGTGGCCGTGATGTCGCAGCCGATGGCGAGCATGCTGCTTGTTGTGGTGCATGACGTCGATGTCGAGCCTAGGCTCTCGCACGATACCCAGTAGTTTGTCTCAGTGGATGTCTGCGTGCAACTACTGTCCGGACCATCGCCCTTATTGTTTACTGGGTCCCCGGGAGGTCGTGGGGGTGGGTTTGGGTCGTTGGGGTCTGAGAAGCCACCGTCGCCAGCACCACCACCTCCGGGGCATATGAAGCATGAGCAGAAGTCGAGAGGGCTCGAACAGAGACCGCCGCAGTCTTCGTCGGCGCCGCAGCCTGGTGAACCGGGTCCGTTCTTGACGGTGATGGCCGGGATGGGAGGAAGGTCGATGTCGTCGTCGTCGTTGTTATTATCGTCGTCACCATCGTCGTCGTCGTCATCGTTGCCGTCATCATCGTTGCCGTCATCATCGTTGCTGTCATCGTCGTCGTTGCCGTCATCATCGTTGCTGTCATCATCGTCGCCGTCATCATCGTTGTCATCATCATCGTCGCCGTCATCATCGTTGTCATCATTATTGTGATCTTCGCCGTTGTCAACGGAATCCTTTGGATAATAGATGACAGTTCCCTGAGGCCAGGGCGGCAAGGTCACACTCCGAGTGACAGGCGGATGCGAGACGCCCGTAATGCCTAGTGGGTTAGGGTCATTGGTGATGGTGACAGTCTGCGCCGGGAATCGTGGCTTGGGCGTGATGGTGATGGTGCTGTTACCCTTGATAGGGACAGTGATGTTAAGATTAGCCATCGGCAGGGAGGTCACAGTGACTACGTCGTACAACGATTAGCGAGTGTCGTATAGAAGAACTAGAGGCTTAGGGCCAGACTTACCTGCAGGTGCCTTGATAGTTGTTTCCTGTAGAATGCGAGTCACGGTGGTAGTGGTCACGGTAGAGCCACCGGTTGTCAGGGTCGCGGCCGTTGGCCAGGCCACATCCAGGGTTGTAACATACGGAGGACGAGAGATGACAGACGTCGAGCTGAGAGGGAAATCCGGGAGCACAAGAACGCACGGCGCAGGGCATTGCACTGGTGCAGGATCCTTCCCGTCAGTCCAGATACTGGGGGAGATGTAGACAATGGACTGGTTCAAGGAGCCGCCGCCGCCGCCGTGGCCGCCATTTCCACCTCCAGAAAACCCGAATGCTTGCAGGTCAACCGCCCAGTCGGTTGTCCCGCCCATGTTGAGGCGCTCGTAGTAACCTGTCCGGCTGGTTCTTGTGTGCTCGTCCATGAATGCAACCCATTCTGTGGATCTGTAGACGAGGATGTTGCTATCGCTGCTATTGTCGTAGAATGTCTCTGCTGTATCGTCTTCGTCAAGAATCCGGTAGATCTCGGCATCGGAAATATACCCTGCTGTATCGGTGCACTCGCCTTTTGCCGCGCCAGAGTCAGGTCCAACGAACCTGCACATGGGCCCGGTGCAGCCTGCCTTGGTCATTTTAAAGGAGCGCCCATAGCTGGCCAGCCCGACAATGATTTTGTCAGAGGAAACGCCGGCCTTGGTGATCATTGACAGAGCGCTTGTTGTCTCTGTAAGATTCACATGGGAGCGCAGACAGTCACCCTCAGAACATCCAGAAGTAGAATATTGGTTGCCATAGTCCCATTGGCCATGCAGGTCGTAGGTCATGTAGACAATATAGTCAACGACTTTAGAGATCTCTGCAATGGGGAAGCCCTTCAAGTACCAAAAAGAAGCAGGCGCAGCAATCGCTAGGGTCTTGCTGTCTGGAAGCTTCTCCCGCACCAGCTTCAAGAACTGCAAGTATCGTTCTCCATCTCCCTCATCACCAGCGGGAATACCGGGGATATCTGGCGCTCCTGGGTATTCCCAGTCAAAATCGACGCCTTCGAGGTCATTGTCCACAATGAAATTGACCACGTTGGTGGCGAATAACTCTCGATTTGCGTCGGTCACGCCCTCTCGAAAGATGGGGAAGGTGTCTACCTCGGTTGAAAAGGACCATCCACCGAACGATAAGACGCGGTGCACTTCGCCCATGTTCAGCAAACTATCGAATTGGGACTGGACAGCAGAAACATCAACTTGGTAGTCCTCGGTGATCTCGGCAAAAGCAAAATGGAGATGGCTGTAGGCGGACGTATCGAAGTAGGCTATGTCCATATTCAGACACTCGCGCTCAAAGTTCCAGGCCTCGAAATACCCAATCGTAATAAAAGAGTCCGGAGGAGTGTCATTGTTGACGATATCAGTACCGCAGTTGGATATACAGCCATATGTCCCATTGGCCGCTGTGCCGGGGGCTCCAGTTTCTGACTCGGTGATGGTGCAAAAGTCATCAGTAATACCGCACTGACCCCAGATATTGCAGCACGTCTTTAGCGGGCATGGATTAAGATCAGCAAGATCCGTGCCTTTAGCTGGCTGTTTGGTACCTGGGACCTGCGGACCGCAAACGGCATTTTCAATACTTTCAGGCATCGCGGGGTTGCCCTTGCTAAGGCAGATCCGTTGCTTGGGCTGGAGGCGGTCACATCCCGCCCATCCCCAGGTCTTTTTATTGAAATTCTCCAGGTCCTCAATGGAGATCCCGTTGGCAGCGGCTATTGTAGAACAGATATCCCCGGGTTCAACAAGGACAGAAGCACATGTGCCGTCAGGCTCAGGCTTAGGAGTAAGGTCAGGAAGATCACCGGAGGTACAGCATACATACTGACCAACTGACAAGGTGGAACAGAGCTTCTTGTCAGGGTTATACTCCTCAAATTTCGCTCCAGTAATGCCACATTCTTTAGCGAGGGATCCACAGGAGTCGCCGGACGCGACTTGAATAGTCTTGCACGTCGCCCGCCGGTGGATGGAATGGACGTGGTGGGCACCGTGGTGTGAGTTGCGGCGGGCCAAGTGGTCGGTGGTCGAGCTTGTCTGAGCGAAGGGTCTCTCAAGACGTAAAGCAGTGTTGGGCAGTTTTTTGCTACCGTCAAAGCCAGTCTGGCATTTGGCCTCATTCCAATCCCGCATAATACGCTGCACAGCAGAAAAGTCACCAGTCGTGTCGACCACAATACCAAGTGCTTTGTTTGAGTTGACACCGCAGTACTGAAGGAGCACTCGAGCGATGGTCTTCTGCGACTCGAGATATTGAGTAAAGTGCTGCAGCACAGTGGTGGCGGCATCAGAGTGGAGCACTCCGTGTCCAGCATAGAGACCAACAAGAGAATTGCCCGAGTAACTAAAAGCAGTGGTCGACTTGTTGTTGCTCGAGGTCAAAAGGGCTCTTTGAGCCTCTTCCACGGCAGCTTTGGCACCCACGGGACTCGAAGAAGTTGGGGTGTTCCACCAGCCAAGCTCAAGGCTTACCTCCTGGGATTCGAATTTTTTGGAGGCAGGTGCCTGTGCAGCTTTTGCGGAGGGGGAGTGGGAGGATACCGAACAGGCTCGTATAGAACTTGAAGGATTGTACAAGGAAAATTGAAGACGTATAGTCTGGTTGCAAGCAGCGAGACGGCCTAGCTCGTTGTATGTAGCCCATTCTGCTGAAGAGTCACTGCAGTCCGTTGGACATGGGTTCCAAAGGCGAGACCAAGCATCGTGGGTAGGGCCTGCACTGGCTTGTGACAAGAACGTAAAGAGTGAAAGCGCGAGCGAAAGAAAGAATGATTGGAGCATGACGACCTCTGGGACCAACAAGCGGAAAGAATGATAATGGTCTCAATGTGAGTCAAAGCCTGGCGCAGGCGTATCATTTTATTCTTGGATCTCGGACTTCATGGTCCTTAACCGAGGGGACAAAGGAAGAAAAACGACATTATCGGCGGGTAACATCCGGTGATGTCCTAGCAGATACTAGACTGACATACCGTGGCCCTTGGACTCTAGTCTGTCAGCAATCCCAGTGGTCTAGTGGCAATTCTTCCTGTAGTGTCTATAGTGTCTACCTACTAATTACCTAAATAGTAACTAAAGAGTAACCTGTCTATCAATGTATACCAGAAGAGGCAATATTTCCGAGTGGGTACAGCGGGAAAGGATCAGGGATCCGGACCGGAGGATCAGGAAGATCGCAATTTCTTTTTCAGAGATCCGACTCGTGTCGGAAGAGTCAGGGTTACAGCTTACTGTTCCCCCTAAGCCTTAGATCGTATAGATCGAGGCGCCGTCGGTCTTGGCCTACTGGCCCTGCGTAAATAGTGTTCGCCAGAGACTTGCGGCACAACTTCCGTCTATGAATCGAGCTAAACCAGCCAGCATCATGTCGAGGCCGTTGTGTATGCCAAGCATGCCCTTAATATCCTATCTTGAACACGGAGATTTTCTTCCTGGTGTTGTGCCTGGTGCCTGGCCACAAAGCACTTTGATCCTCACAAACTAACCCCTAATCCACCTTGGCTCATCCGTGATACTCCGTAGCCGAGTCAAGAACCCCCGACTGTGTGCACGATGTGACGCTGGCCCACATCAAATACTCCGTATACCTCCAAGGTTCAATCGTAAGATTGCCACAGAGAAAGTTGACTGTGCCGCATTCGTACACTCGAATAATGTCGGAAGTATGTACAAGTCACCTGGAGAGACCGAGCTAGGGTATTTTTGTCCAGGAGTATTGCTAGGTGGCTATCACCTCCTCCGCCATATATGAGGACCACCGCTTTTCTTCCAAGCGATTCCTAGGTAGTATCTTTCCCTTTCTTATTGAAGAATTCTTCTGAACCCAGGATGATATCCAACATTCTGGCCACCCATCTACTCTCTGGTTTTCTTTTTGCACTTGCACTCTTATACCTCTGCCAGGGCGGCGCGGCTCGAGCACTACATGCATATTCGGCCGATGAACACTTCCTTCTCGAGAATGCAACCCTTCCACTAAACCCCCGAGAAGATCATCATGCGGAAAACCTACTTCACTTTCTATCAAAGCGCACCCCTCCCAAGACAGTTGAAGAGGGCGCTCGAAAAGCGGAGTCGGAGTTGCTATGTTATTTTGGAGCCGATAATGCCCCCACCCAAGCAACCTGGAAGGAGGAAGATTTAAACAGATGGTATTCGGATACGAACTACTACGACGATGAGTGGGATAAGCCACCAGATGGGATCTCTCTTACCGGTAAAACGCTTGCCAGGGAGATGGCGGCTTTGAAAATTCCGACGAAAATCGGAGACCGCGGGCTGCAAAAGTTTCACTGGAGGCAGGATAAGAGATTTGAGTACAAGGGCGAACAATCTGACGTGAGTTATCCATCAATTTCACCAAAGACGTTTTTAGACCTCTGACATGCGTCTCTGGCTCAGGCGACGAATGGATTCTATAAGGGTGTAATGAGTGTCGAGAGAGGGTTCATCTCAGCAGAAGACAACAGCAGCCCTAAGCAGGAACCGGATGACCCTCACCCACCTCTTTACAAGATGTCGGATGTCTACTTCCTTGAATGGCAGAGACAAGCGGGCGGGAGCAACAACGTCAAGAAACTCAGGTATTTTCTTCGGTACCACGTCGTGAATCTGGATACTCTGGCTATCATCAAGGAGATCACGAATGGATATACAACCCTTCAGGAATGGCCAGGAACCGAGTTCACGATTTATAAAAAGGTGAAAGGCCAGGTTCAAGGTACCGATGAAGGTAAGGCGCTTTTAAGGACTCCCAACGGGGTGGCTGTCGCCTATTTCCTTCTCACCAATAAGAGAGTGCTGGGTAAGAGGATTCCAGATACAGTGAGAATCTGGAAGACTCAGGAAGGGCTGAACGAAGATATTACTTGGGTTCATATGCTGTTTCATATTGTTGAGTACAAGGGTATATAAATAGTCTGCCTGCATACTGGTAGGGGGTTCACTTTGTCGTCAATACATCAGAGTGTGAAGTGCTGGTCGATTGAACCTGACAGCCGACTAACGATCCGCCAGTAAATGTATAAATGTAACGTAATTCCCTCCCGAGACCTGGTCTTGGGATGAGCAGGTCTCCATGATGAGACGTAGTATTGAGATGTATTTTGACATTGGTCATATACGCGAAATTTCCTACATCTGGATTATTGCAGTGGACCTTCGATACAGAATAATGTGCGCCATAGTACCTACACTAACAGATTCCATAATTACAAAGACACACGCTGCCACGCGGAAGACCACTGAAGTATGGAGGAAGCTAGCTATATTTATTAATCATGGAGCATAGTCTACTCAACGATTATCAACCATGCCCCGCGTGCTTCAAACGGGAACTTCTATCCTATAAGTGCCAACCACCGCGACTTATAATTAACGGATGGGATCTGTGCCCTTTCATCCGGGTCTCTAGGCAGCACAGTCAGATATCCCCCTTCCGGCGTTGGTATTACTTCGCCAGGACTCCGAGGAAGTCCTTCAAACAGCCCAATGCGATACATGCGCCACGCGTCCCAGACGACCACCCCCAGCCGTCGCCATTGCTTAAAATCCACAAAACTGTAAGAGGATGGCAAGCGCTGAATACTGGCCATTGAGCTTGCAATCTTAAAAATCCCCAGATGTGTCGGTAACCTTTGACGGGACTCTGCCCCAAGGGACCAGGCTTTTGTTGCCTCGGTTTCCGGCGGAGGCGACGGTGGAGTCCAGATTGGCGAGGACCTAGTCATATCCTGTCCTGGGGGCAGATCGAATGACTGGAAGAATGGCAGCGGCGTCGCATTCAAGAAAGTCCAGGCGGCCCGCGAGGACTCTTCCCCCTCTGGGTCCTGGGCTAGATATATCTGCTGGTGCTGGAAGGGATAGTGCCCGTATATTGGACTTAGGCCGAGATCAGAAAGCAGCGCGGCAGTAGTCCACATTTTTTCAGCTCTCTGGACATCTGTCCGATTCCACTTATTGTACTTATCTAAGCCACTTATTGATATTTCGTCCCAGTGCCAACGCTCTGTTGCTGCTTCACGGAGGGAGGAATAATGCTGGAGGTGCCAGAGGGAGGAGTATACGCGGTATTCCTCTGTGAACGAAAAGGGCTCGCAGGCGATCTGTACGCGATTAGAAGCCGAGATGTCACCAGCATCAATCTCATTGAGAGCTGAGACAAAGTTTTGCTGAATCAGGGTAAGGCAGGCGCAGGCTAGCCGTTGTGTTCGTGCGACTAGGTGGAGTATAAAGCTTGCGAGTTCTTCTGTATACTTAATAGGCGGGTTATTCTCGCATCTCTGTTGATAGTCGGCGAGGCTCGGAAATTGAGCTGAAAGTGTCCGGATTAGACTAATATTGTGGCACATAATTTGGATCTCCGGGAGGCTTGTAATCGGGTCAAACGATATCAGATCGCGTACAATGGTAGGCTGAGCCCGAAAGACAGTATTGACTCGAGACGAAGCGGAAATAATGCTCTCTACCGCGGAGAAATCTGCAGTATAGACGAGGATCTTTGCAAGGAGCTCAGGAGGTAGTTTTGTGAAGGGGTCCATGGTTGGAAAAGGTGGTAGGATCGGAGGGGCAACTCAAGGAGACAGGGTCATTTAATGGCCCACGACCATTTATTACTTCGTGGTAGTTATTAGTCTGGTTAAGTTAAGTTAGGTAGTCCATGGATTACGTAATAAAACACAATAACCAACTAACTGTCAAATAATATGGCCTTTGGTGGACCAGAATCATGTGACTAGATAGGGTAAAACCTCCGCGGAGCACACAACCAAAACCAACAAGAATCAACATAATCAAGAAGAGCCCAAACCAGCTTAATTCATTCAAATAAGACCGTTTTACCAATCGTACTCTATTTCCTCTTCGGGATTAGCCGTATATCTGACACTAACTAACTAGTTAGTTGGTTAAACTAAAGTTAACTAGTTAATAGTGTCAGTGGAGACGAGGCAGTTTTACCGCTAGGATTCAACACCTTACCACTTCCCGCCTAGATCAACTCTATGGCTTCAAAACGGCCAATTTTATCAAGGATACGTGGCCTCATTGTATTATAAAATCGCTTCATCTAGGATCATCGATTTCGATGATCAAGACCTTCGCTACAGTTAGAATCTCCATATAAATTTACTAGGCAATACGAACATCTCACAATCCAATAAGACAGTAAGTCATTTCAGATACCCGACTAAATCATGCCCTGTCACTATTCCGGCCAGCGCCACCAATATGTGTTTCGCCTTAATTTACATGGTGAAAAGTGGAAAAAGGAATACATTCAGCCATACAAGAAGGGCAAGGCTATCCGGGTAATGGTCTGGGCAGCTATTTGGGGTAAAAATCGCAGTGATCTTGTACGTTTGGAGCGTGATTTTGAAGCTAAAAAGCATGGGTATACTGCAAAGTCATATCTTGCTCTATTGGACGAGATGTTGCCTACTATTTGGGAACCAGGCTATGTTTTTATGCACGACAACGCTCCCATTCATTCTGCCAAAAGATTACCAAATGGTTGCAAGATAATGCAATTCCTTGCATGGAATGGCCACCATATTCGCCCGATCTGAACCCCATTGAACACATGTGGTTTCCACTTAAAGAAGGTGTCTACGACTTAAATCCGGACATTGAAAACTGCAAGGGATCGAATGATAAGAAGGAAGAGATTCTATGGGAAGCTTTAGAGCAATCATGGACCTTGATCAGTCAAGATATTCAAAGCGCAATAATAAAGAGTATGAAAGATCGAGTTGAGGCAGTTTTGGAGGCAAAAGGGTGGTATACAAAATACTAAGCAATTTTTCTGCTTTTTTTGCATATTTTTATGAATTTTTACCATTTATTTAGCATATACTACATTCAAATCAATATAATTGTTTTTGTGTTGCAAGATATATATATTTTTGTATGGAGTGGTGAACCATGGTTGGGTTGCCCGGCAAACAAATTATACAAACTTTTGCCGGGGACTGTATACTGGCCGGCTCCAGTTCCATTGTCCCTGATATCTTGACCGAACCCCCGCTACAACGTCCTGGAAGGTCCGTTTAATTAAGCATGAGGGACACCAGTAACGGATATAAGTACGACCAACTCCATGCCTCTCATATGTGGAAACGATCATAATTATCAGGACTTGTGTTGATGTAGATAAATTGCGCCGTTAAAGCGAGTTATTATATTGCGTATCTGACTAAGAATACATGCATGTTACCGCTGAGGAAGACTGTCAAATCCACCATATATTATATTTTTATACCCTCCTAGGCCTCTTATGACTGTTAGGGTTCTTAGGGCCTTTATTGTTTCCAGGCTTCTGATGCTTCTTAGGGTCTTCCTTGTCTCCAGGCTTCTGATGCTTCTTAGGGTCTTTCTTGTCTTCTGGCCTATTGGTCTCTTTAGGCTCCTTAGATTCCTTAACGCTGGTAGTCGCCTTGGGCATCGTAGGCTCCTTGGTACTAGTAGTCTCTGTTGTGGTGCTCGTAGTCTTGTTGGGGACCTCAGGCACGTTAGACGCTTTTCCCTTGACCCAATCGACATTCTTCAACGTGACCATCAAAGCAAAGGATCGATAAGTATCCGCATTTGTGACTGTCTTCGCCTGGTATTTGCTCTGCGCTGCCATATAGGCGCAATTGTCATATCCATACGCAACAGTCTGTTTCCCCGAATTGTCCACAACTTCATCGATAACTGTAGACGAAACAAGTCAACCCTCTTCCCATTTTCCAACGGTTACTACAAACTTACTGCCTTTATTAAGCCAGTGCATCATTTCATGCAAGAAGGTTCCTCCAACGCTGTTCACAAGGTCGATAGATTCTCCTGCGGGGATTTGTTGTCTTCCACTGGCCAAGTCCATCAAGGACTCTTTTACCCAGGCTCGATCACAGATCATAATCAGTTTGTATTTATTAAACGTCATTCCCATAGATGCAGTGTCCTGGCAGAGATGCCCGCCTGGCTTGCCGTCTTTGGTCGTGACTCCCTGATCCCCGAGCAAAATATTCCAGGCCTTATTCCAGTAAAAGCCCGGGTAATCGCTTGCTGCAAAACATTCGTTAAATAAATTGACCTTACAAAGGGCTCTGCCACTCACCCTTCCCGCCATTTTTCTCCACCCACGTCTCCCCCAGAAGCTTCTCCGGCGGCGTCATTCCCATGTCTCCATAGGTAACAACCCATTTAAGGAACGTATCACCACATGCCAGCTTGTCGCCGTCAACTTTGTTACTAGATAGCTTATTAAACACCGACTCATAGTTCACTACGTGCCCTATGTTAGCGTTATACAAAGATCTGCCGATAATAATCTTCCAGTCTCACCTAGAGCTTCCTTGAGTCTCTCCGCGCCACTCGAAACCACCAGCTTTTTCTGGCGCCCAAATAGACCACTCTGAAACTTCACCCCCCAGTTCTCGATGGCCGCAGTCTCCAGATGCTTGTTGTCTGCTCTTTCCAGCTTGCCTGAGAGAATGTCTTTCAGTGCGTTGATGGCGTTCGTGGCGAGAAATGATGCCTCTGATACCATTGTATCGATGTCCCGGTTTGCACAATCAGCATCTTGACCCTTTGCAGGTGTTTCGAAGATTTTATTGGCTTGGATACTAAATACAGTGCCAAATAGGGCAAAAAACGAGAAGACCAGGAATAGGCCTCGTCTACGTCGCTCCATGCTGATGAACAGAACGGCACCAAAAAAGCAGAACGATAACAATGTGTGATTCCGATGATACTATTTCTATTCAAAGTGTACGATACTGTGCGCAATTTATAATTGTACACAAGGGCTTCGATCTTCGTGCCACTGAGCACGTATACTAACCGGTCGCTATTCTGCACCGATGCACCGAGATTAAATTGCATGCACTAGACTAGATCAGACTAATTCTGCATGTCTGCCAAAATTTCTTGTGCCCTACGGACGCAATCTGGGGCCACATCAAAGACCAGTATATCAGTACTCATTTCCCGACCGAGAAATATGGATCAGTTGTTTCATGGGAAGGAGGTTCCACTTTAGTCTGGTTGTTTATAGGTCTCGCTCATCAGATGAAATGGTCCAGCACTCGCTGCAGGTAAGTTTTGGCCCCAAATCGGGACGGATGGACGGGCCCTCACACCCCCCGACTACAGTTACTGGGACAGCCAGCAAGCTCCGAGGTGGAGGTTCTGCGTCCGTGAATGGTTCGCCTAAATCTGGAGGGCTGACGTCTTGTGGAGTCCGTTTACCCCTGTACAAAGGACATCCTAGAACTCCTTGCCCCCTTATTGATAGAATACAGCCTGTCGTCCCAGCTGTTTTTCGTTAGAAATTCTGCACGTCCTAGTAACTACCTCCGGGTAGTAGGTAGGATTTAAACTAACAAGCAGATACGTGCACAGTGGGTAAAATCAAACGTAGCGAGCAGGGCAATATAGCATTCTAGGACCTTAGATTAACGTAATCGGACACCCAAATTGCAAAGGCACTCAGTTAGCAGTAGGCTGACCGTTGGGACGGGATTCGGGATCCCGGGCGAGTTTCAGTCCCGTCCCATAGTCCCATGGGAATTGCATTTTGATTCCCACCCCGTGCCAAGTCTTTTGGGAAGGGACTCCCATTGGAAGGGATTCGGGATGGGAGATTCCATTCCCACTTATCTTAGAAATCAGGTCTCGTTTCCAGTCCCATTTCCTAACCTAAGATCCCGAATCCCGTCCCACTTCCTAATAGGGTATAGTCTAAAAATTTATATAGTATAAAAATGAGGAATAGTACTATGTAAAGTAATATAAAGTAGCTGTTAGAAGCGATTGCTTGTTGTATTAAATTGGTGGCCGGGCGGCCGCTACTAGCTCTCAGATAGCATAATACTACTAGTATTTATTATCTGATCAAGATTCTGTTACGGTAACACTATAATCCGCCCGACTTGGTGGTGCGGAGTATCTGACGACCGATTCAACCCCTGAATCCTTTAGATAGTTGAGCACCCAGATAGGAATGCAAGAGACTCAGTTGGTTGAGATACTGTGATTCCTGGTGTTTCCACTGAATGACATCTACTTCCTAGTTAGACTAGTTGGCCTGTAGCTAATAGAATAGCTCCCTGCGCACCACTTCCCCTGAATTCCACAACAGATTCCATTACGGTTCCTTACAGGCATCCCCTTATGCTCTGATTGTAGCCTATTGTTGATCATCGTCTTCCGAGTCTTTAATTTCCTAACTCATGTCTGGAATAAAGTTGAGAGCTAGCTACATACTATCAGCCCCTCAATTTTGCTAGACATACAGGATACGATACATAGAGCGTACATTGGAATAGATCCCCATTGCGCGAAGGTTATGCAATTTCTCCTTAATTTCTGTTGTCCACTTCATATATACATACAGTACTGTATTGGGATTTTGATACCTATCTCGAACAGACTTTCAAATTCCTCTACCCAGAATATTTTCTCTGTTTGTTCTAGAATCTTTAGTCCTATCTCACCACTTACACAGTACTTCTCTTAAACCTGACGTGCTTTAAGATGCTGTAGAGACTATATAAATAAGCCCGAACATCATATCCTAATAGCGCTGTGTGCCCCGTTTATGGAAGTATACACAAGCTGTAGTTTTGTTATGGTACTGTAGTGAGAATGGCTGGGGCGGCAGGCTTGGACTTCGGGCGATTCGCGCTGACAGGTAACTAGGTAAGCCAACAGAGGAATTCCACAACTTTCGGAGGCCTATATTCTGTTCAAAGCTAAACATAATGCATATATCGAAAATAAAAAACAAGATTGGCTAGTGCGTGGTTCGAGATCATCCGTCCTCTAAAAGCGAATAAGATATTAAACAACGACAGACAGGTTTAACTAAACCTCATATTGCTTTTTCTTCTACCGCGCCAAGGACCCAAGGTACGTCATGGTGCTGTTGACGCTCACACCATAAGCCAATAGGAAGGCTGTATTGACCGTTACCACCAAAATACCTAGTGCTGACAGTCAAGGGGATAGTCCATCTACATGATTACCATTCCTATGTTGTCTTTATCCTTATCTGTACTTATTTTCACTCAAATTTTCCTCATCAATCTAGTAAGTTTCTTATTCCTTCTCCCTCGTTGTGAAGACGCTGACAGAAACCGCTTCTGAACAGGGTCCGTTATATGCTTGGACACTCAGTAGCAACACTGTTAATCGTCAAGAGCTACAGAGCAGACGACAGAAAACGACATCCAATCTTCCGAAATGTTTCTGATGCAATACACCTAATATACCGGACAAAGGGAGTATGGCTCCTTTCTAGAGGTCTCGGAATAGCAGCTATCTATAAGTTAGCCCATTATACAGTCAGAAATTTCCTAGCAGGAACGGTCTTTAGAGGTAAATTTCTGAGACTCTTCGCGTACGCCGTTTCCTCTGCCTTACTATGTGAACTTCATCTATTTTGGACTTGTACGACGATTTCAACTCTTCGACTCCGCTACAGTCCCTTAATATACACGCAGATAAAAGAAAGTGGAGGCATCACCATCTTCCTTAACCGGGCATAATGAACACGAGCTATTTTTACATTTTGTTAAAGGGCTACTTGACTCAAGTGTTCATCCACAGATCATTTTTTTTTTTTTTTTGAGGCACCTGGTACACAGTGTACATCGTTGGATTCAAAGGGAACGACGAACAGCGGGCCAAGTGGAATTCCGACTCGCTAAGTTAGACCAAGCGTTGAACAAGGTGGGTCAAGTGTTCCACACACCACCACACACACAATTGTTTAACAATGCTCTAAGCTCGGACCCCTACCTCCAGGCCACCCCCCCCTCCGGGCCACCGAGCCATTGAAGGTATATTCCAAAAAAAAACTGAATTCTTCCACCATTCGAACCTATATTTGAAATTCAAACATGCAGTCTTCTAGATCTCGTTTAGATACATAATCTGAGGCCTTTTCAGCTTCGGATTCAGGGTGCAAAGCCATATATCTCTTGCGTTTTTCTTGCTCCTCATCCATAGACCTCTTAATCATTTCTATATTGGCAAAACGAGTATTTGGATCCGTATCCACCCTTTTTTTAGTTTTTGCACTTGATAAGCGGTCAATAAGTGCCTCCTTTAATACGACCTTAGCAATTGCCCGGGCAAAGATGCAGTGGGCTAGGAAGATCGATCGTCAGAAATGCCCATCATCCGCTCGGTTATTTTAAACCGCAGCCGTCTTCCGACCAGCACACACGACTGTTTGAGCGCGATAGAATACCCCACTGGTATGTAGCTGTAGGTTAGCTACGACTCTCGCCGGCAAGACGAGAGTGTCAGTCAAGTATCTAGAATGTGATAAAATCGTTCCTGGTTCTTTTTAAATGAGGCTATAGATGACCGGCCGATGTCCAGCTAATGAGGGTGCTGAAGTGGGTCATCAGAACAATGGGCAAGTCGCGTCCACTTGTATCGCGTTGCGTGCAAAAACGCCTTAATAGTCAGGACAGCCCCACGCTAATAGCCACGTCCAGCATCAGAAAAACCGGGCAATATATTGGAAAGAGATAAAGTCATCACGGATATAGAGGATAGTTCGTCGATTGTCTATCGCTTGACGATGGTCTGGTTATTTGACGAGAGTGGTAGACACATTAGTAGGGTTAGATAGAGGAATAATAAATGTTCATTCTGAACCTGAAGAAGCTTGTTAGACTTTTGGTAGTACATATATTAATGGACGTATAAGAACGCAGCTTCTAAAGGAGGCAAGGGAAGTTTTCGCTGCTAGTTAGTTAAGAGCGGTTATATTAGCGAGAATTCCCGGGCAAGAAAACTAGGGAAGCCCCTTTAATTACTATGCCGCATAAAGCTACAGTTTAGGATAGTCATACAGATACCCATGTTTAGTCATTTTGTTTCTTGGTCGTCCCGAACGGTTCTATGTTCCTAAATATCCTAGTAGTCTCCAACGCCTCGTTAAGGACTGGCATATAACGGAAGGTGTACAGCACCTAGCATGTCAAGTTAGTGTTGGCTATCGCCTGGGCGTTTCTATTTACACAAACCCATTTTGTATGTAAGTACAAGGGCTCTTTAAACTAGTGGGTTACTTGTTAATATAAATCGCACATGTTGAGATGGATCACGGCGTCAGATCAGGGCATTGCTTATTGTCAGTCTTCCTAACGCGTTTTGAAAACTCATTCGCTATTTAATCCCCACCTTTTTGGACCGTTATGCTGCAATCCAGCAGGATCTGGATTATTATATCGTAGATACCTAATGCCCAGGTTTCCCTGTTCCCTCCGGTTGGGCTTGAACTCTAGGTATGACCCAAAATCTGGTCGACTCCGCGATTTGCGCCGCCACACAGTCCCCTCATCCGGCGAGAGGATGACCGGTTAGATACAAATAGCAGGTCACAGTATACTTTACATGCGGCGACTTTGGAAAGCATTTTGCTGGGGAAAGCCGTATCCATCCTCTGGGAGTGGGCCGATGTACAGTCGATGATGATGATGATGATGATTCATACACTGACCCCTCGCCTTAGGCGATATGCAGGGTTCCACTATCGCTACTCTCTCTATCCATCTATTTACAGTAAAGTGCTTTCCTGACGAACTTGGAGCCTCGTCAAGGCCTATGTTGGCTATTGCCTGGTGTTCTGTTCTGCCGCCCTCGTCGCGCGCGACTTTGAAATCTCTGCGATGCCTCTGCAAAATCCAGTATCGCCCCTAGGACGCTAGCGTTCTGCGCGGCATCTCCCAACTTACATTCATTACCTAAAATGATATGGGTTATACATGCACGAAAGTGATGCGCCGCCAAGTAGTTCGCACACGCAGGGCCACGACTTCGAAGTAACCGTGGCCCTGCGTGAGCTAAGTTTCCGTGTATTCGATGTTAACGCGCGCGCAAGTAATCCGCACATGCAGGGCCATGATTTTGAAGCAATCATGGCCGTGCGTGAGCTAAGTCTGGACACATATGATGCTAACACACGGGCAAATTCGCACGTGCCATGGCACGCTTTTACAATGGGCTCTTACGCATGTACGAAACGAAGCACCGGCAGTCAGTTCGCTTTAGCAAGGCCATGATTTTGGCGTATTCGCTCCTCCGCATACACGAAAGAAAGGCTTCATAAGGCTCAAGCGCATTGATCGCGCAAGCAAGGTAGGGATCTCTTTGAATTAAAAAAATAGTAATATAATATAACGTAGACCTAGATAACGTAGAGCATAGAAATAGAATCCGTAGGACTGACAGGCACAATTCTAGGTGCTTATGCGTGTATCTGACATCGAAAGATACTACAGTATGTAAATGAATATACTAGAATTAATTAGATAATATAATTAACAAGAGGCTGTACATACACGACAGAGAGTGAAGGCTTCGATTTTTGGTGCAACCAATGTTTATACTAACCTCTCCGTGGCGCTTCTGATCAGTGAAAAAAATCAATAATAAAGCCTCCAGGGCAACTTAGGAGAGCTAAGTTTATCCAGTCCTAGTATGTTAAATGGTCTTGACACCTACTTAAGTGCACGTCTCGTCTGCCCTGACTGGAAAGTACATTCCATAGATAAGTCTCTTTGGAAGAGCTGCAAGGCTTGTCGGGCTATGTTTATGGAGTGTTTGCCTATTGATGGTCATGTTTGGCAAGATATTTTGCTCTTTTCTTTCCTAATACAGTAATGAAGCGCAGTACTCTCAAATAATATGCATTGTAACTTAGGTTTACCTTAATTTAACCCGAGTTCTCAAAGGACATGTGGTTCGATCTCAGGTAGTGATTCATAATCTGCAGCCAATATCCTGTTTGACTGCTCTTCCACCTCTTTCTCCTGCTGGGTCAACACAAAGTGGACAGCAGAATAAATTCAAACAGTCTCCAATACATGACCCGGAGATATGAACCTGTCTCGCATTTCTCCTCTCTTGAGCATTATAAGGGCCCAGTGAAAGCTAATGGAACCCATAAATAAAATAACACTAATACACTCGGCGGTTAACTTTAACCCTTGTACAGTAACAAACCAAGTTGCCGAATTTATAAGTACCGGCCAGAGCTGTTAAACATGATGACCTCGACTAGTAGACAGAGGGATGTAAATGTACCTGGAAAAACAAGATACTGTATCTGGCCAGTAGAACGCAAGGAAAAGAAGGCCGCTAAAATATTGTCAAGAGGCATGTTCTGCATCTCAGCATATGCAGTTAGCGGCGCTTGATTTCTATTATTATATTTCTAGTTTGAAGGCACAAGGGATGACAATTTCTTGGTTGAAAAGATAACTCTATTTCCCCGCCCCAGTTCTATAGGTAAAAAATTATGGCAGAGCCTCCGATGTGCCTACAGTCATTTTAAGAAAAACAAGCGTATTTATATCTCACGAAATGGCAAAGCATGACATATCGCTCTATGTTATTTTAATGGGCCTTCGCACTGCACCTTCAGACCGTTCTTGCTCATAGCATTCCCCCCAACAATATCCGGTACATAGAAAAAACAATGTATACAGTATACAGCAGCGACAGCCTTTCCCGAAATCGGCATAGCCAACAAGTATGTAAAATCCATATAAATTTTACTTAATGTAAATAATTTAAGGGCCGTCGCGTGCGACACCGCGCACCACCTTTATTTGCGAGGATAAGGATTTGTATTTCTTCCGCTGCATGTGAGAGGGACAAAGTCACACCTTGAACAAAGTCCTGTTTTGTTGCTACTGTAACTATGTCTTGCCGAACGATAGATTCTGGCTCTAAGTCTTTGATTATGTTGTCATTTAGAATTAGTACTGCGATTAGAGGCTCTTGTTCTTGTAGAAGAATATCTGGCTGATGCGCCTTTTTTTAATCTTAAGCCACTTGCATCCTCGCAATGGCTCGGGCACATCCACTGTCAAGTTGGTCCCGATTTTAATCTCGATATAGTCCTTATTTCTTTGGTGAAGAGTACAGCCCTTTTTTAAGTAATTAAGGAAGAGTTATCGGATTGGTTGCGCAGTATCCTTATGCTTCGTAGAACCTGAGTGGAGTACCATATGATTTTGAGCTGCTCCTGCATTTGCCGCAGAAAAACGTGGAAGATAGCGGATTATGCGATCAATAAGCTCGCGTGGAAATTTTAGAAGCGACATGGTCCCGGGAAAGGATCTCCAGCACGGAATAGAAAAATAGGGGCTTTATTTGCTGATAGAAAATACTATAGTAAATAGTTATTTAACGTAAGATATATTAATGCTCACATATAAGCGTTAGTATACTGTATTAGAACCCGATGTTGGTCAGATATACTTGAAGGTGCTTGGCAGTGTGACCCAGTAATTATTAATAAAAGTTTACTAGCTATGCTAATTTCAAGAACGAGTAGCATTTTTTATGCATAGTATACTCTTTAATTATTTTTAAATTCTAGTACATATATACCAGTATTTACCTGGATCCTGTGTATTTACCGGAATACCCTACAATTATCAGTATATATACCATATTCTATTTGTATTACTGGATCCAAGTATTGAATAAATTCTGTTTAATTCCAACGACTATTGTCCAAGAGCCTCAGGTAATAGGCAAAACAAGATTAGTTGCGAGAACTTGGGTCACTGCTTGATAAATAAGTATAACCCGGCCCTTTCTCTTAGAACGGCTCTGATAAATATACAACCACGTCCTAAGCTATCCATATTTTTATAGTAGATAGTGAAGCTGGACACGCATTGTTACCAGTTTCCGCAATTCTGCCTATCTCCGCCAAGTCAATTATTATGTTATTTAGCCCTGCAAATAAGTGATTTAGAATAACATTCTCTAGGATTAATTAGAAAGCCCGAACATTATGATATAAATAAACACCTGCCTTTCTCCATGTAGCAACATTGGAGTAACCGGACTTGTACTGGTGGTTGAACCGGTGCTTCCTGAGAAAATATATGGAATGGATAACATATTTTTTCTGGATGTTATACTTTGTCGACTGGCAGCTGATGCCTGTCTTAATAGATGTTACTATGTGCCGCATAGATATTAATATTTAATTCTCCAGCACCGATTATATCTGTTATTGCTAGTAGATATATGTAAGGATTTTCGAGTTCATTGCGTCTAGTGTGAAATTAATTGTGCAGAGCTAGGTTAACAACTGTTATTTATATGCACCAGTAATTAATTTTTCCCAAACTTTATTCCCTTTTCGGTTATAAGCTGCTCTTTGACCGATGGCGCTCCTCACCTTTGCCGAAGTGCTGTTCTGAATGGGTTTTTAACCTTGTTGCCAGAAATTGATAAATAAATAAAAAGTAAAATAAGCACAGTACCGCCAGATGATGGATGGATGGTTTCATTTGCCCTGACCTCTCTCCTCCGGCGATATACAGGCTACCACAACTATAGCTATCCTTGAGTATCTATTTACAATGTACCACTTCATGCGAACGAATTTAGAGCTTTGTCAAGGCCTGTCGTGGCATATGTGCCTTTGTTTCTCGTGATGACGGCCCCCTGGGCTCGCGGCTGCAAAACCTACCAGGTGCTTCCGCAAAGTCCAGCACCACGCTTATAGTGCCGTTTTGGGCAGAGCCGCTCGGCGTTTCTTTGCTTTGCTGACTCTTTGCTCTTAAAAGAACTGAGATATTATTAAATCCTCCACCGACTTCTTTCCGTAACTTTTGTCGTAGGATCCTTAGTTTAGGGCAGTCCAGTACAGTACCTATTCCCAAAGTTCCGGGTCAGAAAGACGTGAATCCGTTTTACTCAAAGGAAACATGGCAACATAGACCCTAATAGACCTTTAGATTTTGCATCGTTAGCGCACCAGCCACTGAGTAGGTTTCCAGGTATTGCAGCATGCATACCCGACTAGAAAATGTATGCTTCCGTGATTATGATTGCAGCTGCCACAAAGGCATATTTATTGTAAGTACTAGTCAGCTCCAATTAGTCATTTTTCTAATAGTATAAGTTCAGCCTGATTCTAGAGAACTTGAAAGTATCTTGTGATTCCCTTATGGGTAAAACAGTGGGATTTTCCATATTTATGATGAATTGTACAGCTAACTGGTCTTGTGATGGTTTGGTTGTCTCTGCGCTAGTATAGATAAAACCACTTGACCATATAAAAAGGTACAAGACGACTGATCGAAGATCAGTCGCATCTAGCGCCCTATATAGTATGTTACAGGTTCAGCCTGTGACAGGTCTCTAAAAAAAGAAAAAAAGATAATGTTTAATATAATGTAATAATCCTATAAGCCTTGGTAATTACTTATTATTATTATTATTATTATTATTATTATTATTCTTCCATATTATAGGGCATTTTTCAGTCAGAGACTATGCATGCTCTACCTACCACCCCTGGGTGGTAGATTTGAACAAATACGTACATAGTGGGTAAAATCATACATAAATAAGCAATATAACATTCTAGGAGTGGGGAGGACCTTAAAGAAGGGATTGAAACATGCTAAATTCCAGATTTTTTTTTATTTTGTTTTCGTCGTTGTTTTTCTTTTGTTTTCCCTAGGGGTTCAAGAGCCACTTTCTAGTGGCAATCCCGGTTTCCTTTAGGAATTTGATCAGTTGTTCTTGCCCTGCTTTCTTCGTGAAAAGAAAAGGCAAATTTCGGTCTTTTTTGTATAGGGTCTCTATAGACTCTTTTCTGATGTCCCTAAATACAGGGCATTGAAGGAGAAGGTGGTGTGGAGTTTGGGGTTTAATGCTATGGCATAATGTACATATATCACTATCATAGTTAGGTGTTCGAACTAGATAGGATCTGAAATAGCTATGCCCTAGCTTTAGCTGGATAATGGTTGACCACGTTTGCTTGGAAAGCTTTAGGGTCTTGGTTTCCATGACGATATGGAATTAAAGCCTCTATACACCTTGGTAAAATAGATAGATTCTATCTAAGGTGGCGATCTAACGAAACATCAAACGTAGAGAAGGTAGAGAAGGAAGGAGGGAAGAAAGAATTCTATTGTACAGGAAATGTGGGAAATCTCTACATTGTGGGATCAACAGTGAATAAAGCAGACTTGGTGCCTCAGGCAGGGTTCGACTTAGGCCCTGACAGGAATCTCCCATCCCGAATCCCTTCTAATGGGAATCCCTTCCCAAAAGACTTGGCACGGGGTGGGAATCAAAATGCAATTCCCATGGGAATATGGGACGGGACTGAAACTCGCCCGGGATCCCGAATCCCGTCCCAACGGTCAGCCTAATCCCACCCCCATTTCCCATGCGAAAATCCCTTCCCAACGGTCAGCCCACTGGCCACTATAAGGCAATTTGGTTTCGTGTTTTTCTTGCTAATATACACAATATCAACGTGCCACTAGGCAAACAAGGGATCTAGCTAAGATATTTTTATTTCTTCCTCTTCCTTTGTACTGGTAGACTCTTAGTACTCTTCGAAGGCTTTGTACTATTCGTCATGACACAATTGAAAACGGGTCGTTGGTGAAAGGCAGCAAGCCGTGGGAGTTAATATTCAAGCCGCGGGATCAGACGGAGAGGATTGTGGAAAGACATCGAGTGAGTTAGGCCCCGAAAGAATTCCTCAACCTGTAGATATACATAAATTCATGCGTTTTGATTTCTGTTTTATTATGCTTTATTCTTTTTCTACTCCATATACAGTGCCTCAATTCTTACTCTTTTCGCGGAAGACATGTTTCAATCCAACCACCAACTTGCAGACTGAATACCAAAGGGATCAAACAGGTCGTGCTTTTCGGAGTTCAGATTGAGTGCTACGTTCAGTCAACGTTGGGGCCGCATTGGCTGCAAGTTTCTAAGTTTTGCTGCTGCAGGAACATCAATCGACTTATGACGTGGGCACAAGAGGGCAGAAACTATTGAGTGGGAAGTGGAAGAGACACTCCGCAAACAGGACGCAGAAATTATCCAGTGTGAGTCATAGCAACCTTAAATTTATAGAAAGCAGTTCGAACACATTCCCGAGTTCTATCCCCTGCTGAGCTGCCGCCTCCCAAAAATAGATCATCCAGTTTGCTTATACAGATATAGACCTTGGTTATAGGATCTCTATCCTTTGCAACCGTAATAGCTGGCTCCCTGGCCGGCGTTCGGCAAGCCCGTTGAGCTTCCAGTTGGCTTGTCGTGAGCTGTATAGATTGTGGTGGAGCTGGCAACAGCACGGTGGTCACCATCAGTGGATCCCGACATCTAATCCTTCAAGGTACATTTAGACTCAATATTGCTTCGAACATCTTATAGCAGGGGTCTCGTGCCAGGTTTGAATTCAGTAACAAGTGCTAGCAAGGCCAGCATCACAATCCAAGCTCCTGTGCGCTACTTAACACCCTTTGAATTCCAGCTGTCTTCCTTCCTACTAAGCACAAGCAGCTTGACCAATGGGTAAACGTTGTCATACAGTGCGAGCAGCGCTGCTGCAAGACCTTGGGGATCAGCAGCGTGGTCCAAGCCATCGACAACAATAATCAAGACCTGTGCAACTCGTGCTGCTGCGGATTCCCCCCAGCGACATGTCGAGCACCTTCCGGATCGTTTCACTCCCATATGTGTACTGTTCCAGTTGTGCGACCAGATACTTCAGCATACCGGCGATAGACTGCCCGGCGGGGTAAGTTGGCGAGATGAAGACGAAGTATAACCCGTACTGGTTTTCCGAGGGAGGGTTAATACTATCAACTCGGGATTTGTTATCCTTGATCATGGCCGCCGCCAGCGGCGTCTTGCCTGTGCCTGCGTCACCATAGATCCACAGACGCTTTGCACTACGTGTTGGTTTGGGCCCATTGGATATAAGCCCATTGCTTCTTTATCCGTGAGATTGTGTCAGCGTAGCATGGCTTAGACGACCGTTGCAGGGCTTCGTCGTATTCGGTAGGCTGCAGCCACTGTGTGAATGGAAGCAGGTCTTGGCCTGGGAATTAGCAGTAGATACGAAGAATGATATACTGAACTCACCTGGGGTTTTGTTTTCGCGACACCTGATATTTTGTGACTCTTGCAGTCTGTTTAGGAGTCCTTCTGTCACGATTTTGCGGTCCACTTCCAATGCCGGAAGAGACAAAAGCCGCGCTCTGCTCCGTACGGGCCTAGAAGGCCCTGGCTGTGTTGCAGCCCGTATGGGTATCGATCTACGGATTTGCATGGTGGCGCATTTAGCCTCCTGCACAGCGGACAGGAATACTTGCCGGCTCTCCTGGAGCTCTGCCAGAGCCGAGGCGTAGGTGAATGCGAAAGGCTAGATCATTAATACAATCAAGCGGATGGTCTCGCGCTTCCTCGCAATCTTCTCCATTGCGCGCGCACAGCATATCAGAATCGAGGAATAGAGAGCGGGAATCTCGCGACGGACAATGATGGACGTCAGAAGCCCGGCCGAGTCTCGTAGACTACTCTTGTGGGAGAAATCGCCGATGTCGGAGAACATTTCTGCCACTTTTTCCAAATGGACAATCAACCGTCACGCAGCCTGGATCAACTTCAGAAAATCCATAGTGATAGGAGATAAGCCGCAGCACCCACCTTGAAGAGATGCTTAATACGTCCCCAGATCAAAGCGGACGGCTTCGCACTAGGGGACTTGACTGTCTCATCGAGAGCAGACGCTAAAGACTCCATTGACAGAAGACATGGCTTTGTTTTCATGTCGAAAGTGAATTCGTGAGTGGGTGATTGGAGATAATTTCCGACAACGGAAAACCTGTGAATTATCCGGATTTTTCCACTGAGGAATGGTCCGAAGAGTTGCAGAAAATAGCCAGATGGTTAATGACGCTTAGAAAGCCAGAAGGAATAAGCAGCAAAGAGTGCCATGCCTTCCAAAGAAAAGCCACAAAGTTTCTAGTGCAAGGCAAATCTCTTTACCGACAAGGCACTATTAATCAACCGGTGGGAAGAGTTGTGGATAATAAGGCTTGCCGAAGGACTATTTTAAAACTATATATAAGGAGCTAGGACACCGCAGAAGAAAAGGCACATACCACAAAGTAGCTATCCGCTATCGGTGGTCAGGCATGTGGGAAGATGTCGCCGACGATGTTTAGTGAACTCTACGTTGTCAGGCAAATCACGTCGATAAATAGTATTGAGTCCTATATCAACAATACTAAAGATACGAAGGAAAGGAGGAAGGGAGAAGGCGCGCCGTGTGGTGAGCGAAAATATGGTTGGGATCTTCCCAGCCCTAACCCTGTGCCCTTAGCCCTATCTCATCCCAATACGGTCTCCATGTATACCGCATAACATACGTCACAGCGTTGAGCTGAACGCGACTCGAAGGCAGAATCATCACACAGGGTCTTGGCATTACCCCAGATATTGATATACTTCAGTGACTTCACTACTTATTACGTGGTTTGCAACTGGTTACTAAGTGCTTGATGCAGGAAGCGGCTATGTATTTTTTCAAGTGACTAATAACCAGTTAGCAAGTTCTCTACAATTAGTTAGGGCCCAGAGACAGCTGCTGGAAGTATGCATTTACAAGCACAGGGCATAAGATAGATACAACAGTGATTAGCGATCTACAGCTAATCCCAAAGTAACCAGTCCGCCGTACCAAGGATATAATTACTGTCCAGGTTCAGATCCCCCCAAGACAAATCGCCAAACAGCGCGCCGGAGGGACTCACCCAATCCGTGGATTCGTCACTGCCGATGTCGTCAGCCTTTTCTGGACGTTCGGCGAATTTGACTTCATGTTGAGAGCGCAGCGTGGTGATGAACGCTGGCTCCGGTATGGAGTTGCCTGGTGGGTTGGCTATCCAGGCCTTCAGCGTGACCTTGCCGACTGCAGTGTAAAGGGCCCTTTTAGCCTGAAGAATCTCCGGGTGGTTTATATAGACGTCTGCTATCTTCTTCCATGTGCTGTTTAGCTCCGTGGGGGGGAAGAATCCGGTCTTGGCCAGGCTATTTAGGACGAATATTAGCACATCCCATATGAAAAATGTCTTGATCTGCCATTGAAATTTCCTTAGATGGGGATTACTGTAGAGAGCGGTATCCGTGTCAAGGACCTTCTGGGCGAGAACGCAGAGCATTCTCCTTTCTGTATCGTCAATACTTTGATTTATCTGACGCCACATCCGGCTGCGTAGACGGACTGCGTTCGCAGCAGACCGCACGATTCCCAGCGTCAACAAGTGTACCGGGTTAACAATATCACAATGGCGTAGATACTTGGTCTCAATACTCCTTTCGACCTCGTCGATCCGCTTTTCGAGGTCTATACTATCCCTAAATTGAATAGCACCACCAATGTCTTTTATTTTCACCCCCATTCGGGTGTAGAAATTGGACAGCTCCGTTTTCGCAAGACAGTATATCATTTGCGAAGCACCCTTCTGCTCCTCTGGCTGGTCTGTCATGCCGGGGTAGATTTGTTCGTCATCCAGATTAAGCGGCTGTTTCGTATCCCAGCTATTCGGTGGTAGAGAGATCCCAGTGCCTGAAACCTGGCCCGCGTAACTTTCCAGTGGGAGAAGCTGCCACCAGAGTCGCCGCCGCATTTGAATTTCAAAGGGGGGTAAACCTAGGCCCTCGCCATCCCGATGAAGCCCCATCCGTTGCGCAATGCGGATCGCAACGCCTGTCCAGATCCAAAACGTATGCGGGTCAATTTGAGTGCGCATCGCAATCAGAAAGAGCACGTATGCCTGCAGGACCGGTATTTCTGTGGTCCTCAGCCACGACACATTCACAAGAGCCTGTCGAAAAGCGTATTGATACTTCCCCATCAGCGCGATCTGGGACTGCCCAAACTCGCACACGCAGTCTTCATCCGTCATGGAGTATACGGCAAAGTAGTAGATAGAAAAGACAAGACACTCATTGGCCTTAGAGGCCATGTTCGGTTGCTGTGACAGAGTGTTGACCATCTCCGCAGTGGTGGGAACATGTAGAATTTTGCACAATGGCTCAACATTCTGAACGTACGCGTCCCATTGCTTCATAGCATCCCGATAGCTCGGGTGATAGTCGACCAAGCTATGCGAAATTTCCAGCATCGCTCCAGAAACTGGATCCATAGGCACGGAACTAATACCGGCTGGGGCACTATGGTCAACCTCCTCGTCCTCAGACATTTCGCGCATGTTGACACCGCCAGCATCAAGCCAGAGAGTGCTGTCAATATACCGCGATTTGCCATCCGCAGCCAGTAGTTTTCCGACCCCCGGCGTGTCAGACTCATTGACACAGGCAGAGGCCCGTTCCTGCGCGGTTTGAGGCGTCTCTTTGGACGGCATATTATCCACTGTGGAAAGAAGACCATTCGCGCATAGCATGCGCTCGTATCTCACCAACCGCTCATGCACATCCTCGCTGTGCTTACGCTTCCGCGATCGCGGCAGCGGGGCCTGGTAGATGCATTCGAGTTTTCCTTTACTACAACTGGAGCATGCAGGGAGGGCCTTGTCGCATTTCACTTTTCTGCGAACACAGGGTTGACAGGTGTATGGCATTGTCGAGTTGGAGTCACTGGCATGATCCGCCCAGGGAGACCTGTGTGTTGCAGGAGCGATCGTCACCGGGCGGGTCTGCCTGGCAACGTCTGGAGGGGCCATAGCTCGTTCCAATCTCGATGAAAGAATATACAGTGCTATCCACTTTGTCTTGTTTCACGTGTTTCCAAGCTTAAGTCGGAGCACAGCAACGGTGGATTGTAGCCTTCATATCAGGGCAAAAGACTCGCTGTCACTATCGGTACGACCAGAGGCTCGGAACAACCTTTTGCCGTTGTTCATCTATACCTCGGGCGATGGTTTATCACTTTTTTTAAAAAAAAATAAAAAAAAAAAAAAAAAGAGAGGGAATAAACTGATGCTCTCCGCCGGTGGTATATATACAGTGGCATATAAATAGTGGTATTTTCCCCCCGCCCTTCAACTCCATGTTCGCAGATTATATACGTAGTAGGGGGCTAGAGGCACGCGGTGAAAGTACACACTGCTCTGCAATCTATGCTCAATGCCCACAATATATCGCAATGGTGCTATATTATATTGTGTTATAAGAGGAGACCCTCCATGTTCAAATTCTGGAACGTAGTAGTTGATTGCCTTTAGCAGAGGGCGGATGACCTCTGATTGGTGCGGGCGCCGGGTCGACAGTTCCCACCGCTTCGGGCCCGAGGCAAATCCTTGGCTCCGATTAGCTCCAGGTTTGGATACAGACTGGATTTATTTAGTATATAACTGCGTCTTATGCCCTGATGAAGAATGGACAAAGTGAGTACGAAAGGCAGTCACTATGAACCAAGTCGCGCGAGAATCCTCTCAATCAACTACTATGTTCAAAGGCGCATCCTACACCTATGGTGGTTCGAAGGATCATGGCTTGGAGGCAGCCAGACTGGCAATCCTCGATGAGACAATCCTACCCAGAGACTTGGACCTCGTGACATGGGATAGGCCACAGGATCCAGAGAACCCAAGGAACTGGCCAAACAATATCAAATGGCGATATACCGTCGCAGTCTCAACGTTCACATTCATCTCACCGGTGTCATCGAGCATGATAGCGCCTGCGCTGCATAAACTGGGCGCAGGTCTCCACATGCAGAGCGAGATTGAGGTCGAGCTCTCGTTGTCAATCTTTATCCTGGCTTACACCGTCGGTCCGCTGTTCTTCGGTCCTGCCTCTGAGGTTTACGGTCGCGTACGCTTGTTGCAGATTAGCAATCTATGGTATCTTGCGTGGAACCTTGGATGTGGCTTCGCCCAGAGCCCGGCGGAGCTGTTTGTGTTCCGGTTTCTGGCTGGAATTGGAGGAAGTGCCCCCGTGGCGTTGGGAGGAGGAGCTATTAGGTACGATGCAGAGTTTGCATAAACTTCCTCTATGTATTGATAATGTCCAGTGATATTTGGGACGCAGAGGAACGTGGAAAGGCCATGGGTATCTACACTCTTGCACCGGTTCTTGGTCCCGTAGTTGGGCCCATTGCTGGAGGATTCATTGCCGAGTACTCGACATGGCGCTGGGTGTTCTGGTCATCTAGTGCCGCCGCTGCAGTCATCCAGATCGTCGGCTTGTTTTGGCTGCGCGAGTCGCATCCCGGCACCCTCCTGCAGAGGAAGAGAGACCGTCTTGCCAAAGAGACAGGCAATATTAAGCTTCACACAGGAAACAAGCCTGAGGATGAGAACCTCCTCAGCAAACTCGGCCACGCCCTGGTACGACCGTTCCGTTTGTTCATGACCCAACCGATTATCACAGTCATTGCGCTATACATGGGCTATCTCTTTGGGACGACATATCTCATGTTGGCCACATTCCCAGTGATTTGGTCGGAGTTGTACAGTGAGACCCCAGGTATTGGCGGGCTCAATTATGTTTCCATCGCTATCGGTTCGTTCGGGGGGATTGTCCTTAACTTCTTCGTTATCGATCGCATCTATCGCAATTTAAAAGCGAAAAACGGTGACGTTGGGCGGCCGGAGTTCCGCATGCCGACGTTGTTTATTGGATCGATCATGATCGCCATTGGACTTTTCTGGTACGGCTGGAGCGTGCAGGCCCGCCTACACTGGATCATGCCCAATATCGGCGCCGTAATCTTCTCGGCCGGCTGCATGGGATGTCTACAGGGGATGCAGACCTACACAGTGGATAGTTACCCGACATACACAGCAAGTGCCATGGCAGCCTGTGCGCTTCTGCGCAGTTTGGCCGGGTTTGCCTTTCCGCTCTTCGCTCCATATCTGTATAAGGATCTGGGCTATGGATGGGGAACCAGTGTCTTGGCCTTTATCAGCATTGGGGTCGGCATTCCATCGCCTTTTCTCTTTTGGTTTTTAGGGCCTAAGCTGCGGGCTATGTCGAAATATGCCTCTGGTTAGATAATTAATGGTGTGTGTAGGCTCATTTAAACCGGAAAAGTCATGTAACAGTTCCTCGTTATTCTTTTATTGGAGTACGAGGTTATAGTATTGTCAGATTTATATGGATTTCTATGAGAACTTGTAATTCTCTGTATTAAAGCCAAAGAGGTTTCCCAGTGATAGAATTTGTAAAGATGTGCTCGCATTTTTCTCAGCCGGCGTTGCTAATACAAAGGCAAGTGAATATTGAAAGCTCACATTCACCCCTTCCTCTATGAATTCTACTTTATTTATCCTCCATTATTTTCAAACTCTATATTACTTTATATACCGAGCCGGGGTGGTGAGAAAAGTGATCTTTCAGGTTTAGTTGGGGAGACGTCAAAGGGCACCTCGTGCTCCTTTGATCTGCCGGCCATTATGCATGGAGGTCTAGACGAGGTCAATTCAAGATAGATTGGAGCTGCAGGGAGATTAGGAGCATTTAGCCTTCGCGATGGCTGGACCTTGTTTACGCCCGTAGCTAAAGGCTGTTGCTCCTGCATGTTCGTCCTTTGAGCTGCTTTATACCACTTTGTAATTACTAATTTTTGGCCCCGAAGCCGCCTTTTGCACCGCTGGAGGAGGGCGATCTCCCACAGCTTTTATCGGAGAGTGCAGGGATCGTTTGATTGCACTGCAAGGAGCTCAAGCAGATAATAAGTGTGATCTTGATCCTTTTGTAAGGTACGGTTTTTCCATGGCTCTGTCTTTCATTGATCTCACAAACATGAGGATCTCTTGAGGGTCACTTATCCCACAGACAGTAATAGGGTTCCAATGTCATTGATCTACAATAAGGAGAGAAAGTGGCGCCTAGGCAGAATTTAGATATTCTAGATACTTTAGAAACTTTCGCAGTTAAAGGATTGATAATCAACGGTTGACGTTCGAATTGAGTCGAGGATTGGGCTGTTCAAGTACAGGAGGATTTGTATAAGATCGCCAGAGAATGCAGCAGCTACTCTGTTATAACCCAATCCTAAGGCTCAAATTCTGTACATAATACCAGAGCCGAATGGAGGACATGGGCTCCCAGGACAACTATATCGGTCTGATGGAGCAGTTGCGCTCTTATATAAAGTGGAGATGAGCCACTGTTTGTAGAGCCCCTGTCGTAGGTCTCAACTAACCTGTTCTGAAGAAAATAAGTGTGGCTCTAGAGAGCTCATTTTAGCTCTGTGAGCTAGAGGAGAGTGTGGGCATATTTTTATTAACGTGCCCTTTATAAATACGCTGCAAGGTCTACTTAGACCATATTAGCCCTTCCAATGTCCCCCTTCGAAGATATATTGGTATTTCCTTAATACTAACTAGATCGATGATTTTTAACATACTATCCACTTGATTCCAACACTATCTAAACTTACGAAAAATGCATTTGCCAGTTGGAAAGCAAGAACACTGGTCCTCCACTGGTTCGAGAGTCGCATCTGCACTGAAATCCCTGTTTACTACAAGAGAAGCAAATAAATGATAAAAAGAAACAAAGACAACTTCGGCTGGCAGCAGAATATGTGCCATGCCCATTCCACTATGACCAACGCAAGGTTGTGCATGGCATCTTTAAGAGCCGTACGGAAGAAAACACACGACGGTGGAAACCATCCAATCTGCTGAGAACCCACCTTTTCACCACACTCATCTTTCTCCAACTACTCCAAACGTTTACACCAAAACACAATTTACTTTCGGTTCGCTTGGAACTGGAGTTCCTGCTGTGACAAGTCATGTGGTGACAGAATCGCGCATGTCAGCCGCCCTTCAGTCAATGCAATATTCTACCCCATGCTGAGCCACAAGAACAAGCTACATGGTTGTTGAGTGCCACTCTCCTGCAGGACAATACTTCCCTGGCTATTTGAATGCTGATCCAGACTCACTGAGTAGAATACTGAACTGATCAACAGCTAGGCCAGTCTGCGGAGATCTTGGAGGCATCGCCATTCAATATCTGAGGCATACCTCAGTCATGACTCCCAAGGGAGTCGGGAAAATAACGATAGGATAGTACCATATAATATAAGGGGATAAATAATTAATTTCTTATGTCCCTGTTAATGTTTTTATTCGACTGTAATATAACAGCTTTTAAATTTCTTTCAAAAATTTGACTTTCAGTTATGCCTTTCTATCTGTCGGAGGATTCCCATTATTCCAGGGCTTGCATTATCACTAGGTTCTAGTAGATAGACCCATTTGTGACGAATAAGACTAAACTATTATCCAAACATGGCTACTCTACGCTACAAAGCAAAGAATCAGGGTTTCAAGGACTAAGTCGAGGCTCCAGTATCCATAGATCTCGAGGATAATGGCGTCAACTAGGGAAGGTCTTTATTATCAACATCTTGGCACCTGACCCCAGCAACCATATACCAGCCAATAATGGGCTTATATGGTTACACTCATTGTAGAAATCAAGTAATATTGCGCATTGCGTTACAGACAAGAAACATCCTAGTGTCCTTGTTAGCGTAACAGACAATGGTTTCAGCTGTCGTGAAACCACACTGTAATTCTTCGACTGCCCTGTAAGCAATGGCCATCTCCAAATGTTACTCACTGGCTTTAAAAACTTCCCTAAATGTCCGCGTGAAGCTATCTCTGATGCGGAGGTTGCCTCTGCTGCATTTCATGCTATTGATCCAATATCGGAATTATTTGTTACGATTCCTTCTTGATGAATATTCAGCCTATTCTCATGCGTTATCGGATATTTCAATTGTCTTGCAAGATGACACCTATACAGCCATCTCGTAGGTCTCATGACCAGGGTTGACGTTCCTATGAACATTCCACGAGCTGTCTTGTGCGACATACAATTCTCCTTAGGCCACATGAGTACCAACCCGACTCACTATAGCCAATTCGCGGTCAAAAATAATGCAAAATTCATCCATTCCACTAATCTCTAATCATGGCCACCCAGGACTATAACCCTCTAACGCTGTCATCGTCCATTCCCACAATCTCCCCGGCAAATCATCATTGCGAGCCTGCTTACTTTCCTTACCCCCCTTGCCCACCGGTTCGTAATATCCTCCGTTCTGCACTTCCTGGCTGAAACTGCACCACAGCTGCCACTGCTGCTGTTTTTTCCGTGCGAGACATTGGTGAGCACCGTTCCGGATGCAGCGATGAGGAGGTGATCTGAAGTTACCGTCGCGCCAACCGCGACAGAAGAGGATCTTGGCCAGCATAGCCTGGGAGTACAGCGTTGAGCCGGACTGGAATAACATGTGGGATCGGAGCTGGTCGAACGCGATGCCCTTTTCGGTCGCAAATATCCTGTCCCACTGAGGACATGGACACGATGTGTACATCGGCATGCGGCCGACGCGCCGTGGCCAACAGCTTGCGCATCAACAGTTGCATTAGCAGTGCATGGCCGAGATAGTTGGTGCCAAACTGCAGTTCGAACCCGTCCACGGCGGTGTCGTACGGCGTCATGACAATTCGGCCGTTGAGGTGTAGGAGGCCCAGCCGTGTGACCTCCCGATCAACACGAGCGGCAGCCTTTCTGGCCGAGTCCAATGATGCCAGATCCAGCTCCAGGATGGTGATACCAACGATGGAAGCAGCCGTGGATATAGCTCGGATACGGTCTCGCGCGGCCTCTGCCTTGGTGTGGCTGCGAGCGGCCAGGTAGATATTTGCAGGGTGATGGGCCAGCCAGGCTAGCCACGGTTGCTTCTCCAAGTCCAGAGTTGGCGCCGGTCACCAGACAGACCTTTCCACTGAGGTCGGTGATTTTCATGGGGTCGAGCATTTGCATTTTGAAAAGAGCTGAATGATAATTAGGAATCGGATCTCGATTCCATCATGATCGGTCTCCTAATTTATACAGGAATCTCCATTGTGTAATCTCGGAGATAGGCTTGATATCGGAAACATGTAGGAGCCAAGACAACGGATTTAGGCTGGAGAGTGATGGCGATGCTGGAAATTGTATTCGTAGAGTAGTGTTGACAGTGAAAGAAATGCGTTCCAGATCGGGATGGGAGGATGCCTAATGCGGCTAGTGCGGCGCTATTCCCCAAATGGCAAACAATTGGTACTGTGCTGCTGACTCAGCCATGTTGCGATGGCCTCAACTGAAGACAAAGACGGGAAATAACATCAAAATATGACCATACTGCACCGGCAGTCTCTTCGTGCCACCATCCACCCCATTCATTGTGAGCGTCTCACCTGGTAAATAAACCCCCGCCGACGCTCGTCGCCTCATTCGCAGCCATATCGTACGCGGCAAAAATCGAGCCCAGTCACGGATGAGCTACGGGCAGTGGATCAACAACTGCGAGGACTCGACGGTATAACTGTCTCTCCCCCGTCCGGTGTGTCTGGATCTTCAGATTGTTCCGTATCTCCTTCCGATGCAGCTGTATATGCTCAACCTGGTCTTCCAGTGCAAGCCAACGCCATCCCGGTACAATCGTTGCTAACATGGCAGTCTTCACGGAGCTGAAAAAGCCACTGTACCCCGTTGAGGTCTGCGTCGAGTTCAACTTGGCCCGCTCCGTCTGGTTTAATTATCTCCTGGTCGACACTCTCTGTCATCATACCCTGCTGTGAACCACCCAGGCGTGTTTGGACTTCGTCCAGGCGGGTAGGCTCTCGCCCCGGCTCTCTATCATGAATCCATGGCCCTACATCTGTTGCAACTCGGCTGTCCAGAATCCTCTACTTCGGACACCACCATCGCCACCGTGGTTGCCTTGGTGATGATGACAGCGCTAGTCGCCCGATCCAGCGTGGCCCGCCAGCACATGGCGGGACTGCGGCAGATCGTGAGGCTGCGAGGCGGCGCGTCAACGCTGAAATCGAACAGCGAGCTGCGGGTAAAAGTGTGCCGGTACCGTTGCCATCCGATCACTCGGGACTCGATGCTCGATAGATCATGATTGTAATCGTCGTGCTGACATCGCCCTGGTGACAGGCAACGATCCCTATTTCTTCGCCAACCGCATGCGATGGCAGCCCTATCTCGCCCTGGGCGCCGATATCCACGAGCTGCGCACCACGCACGCCGTCTCTTGGGCCATAGATAGCCGCCGTGGCGGCGGATCTACGCCGGTTCTCCACGCTGGCCAACTTGACCTTCGCGACCGGGCGGAGGTTAGCTGGCGAGGTCTTCCAGGAAACGCTGATCTCGGCGCAACATCGTCTCCTGACGCTGCGATTCGCCAGCGACGACTGGAACGAGGTGTTTCGCTTGTCTCTTCTGGCCTTCTCTCCGCCACTGCTTTCCTGCAGACGCCCGCCGTTAAATGCGATTTTCGGCACTGTTGCGCTCACTAGGGCGTCCTCTCCGCCGTCGACTGGACGAGTCTCGCTGTACACACGACCGGGCTCTCGTTGCTGTTCACCACGCGCGTGGCCGCCACGATGCAAGAGGATAACCGCTGGTTGATTCCGCTGCTGCGGACGAGACTGTGCGACATGGGGACGCCGTCATGGGACGCAGTGAGGTCAATGCTGAAGAGTTTCATGTGGATCGATGCGCCGCTGGAGACGGATGGCAGGGAGATTTACCATCGTACTGTGGATGTAAGAGGAAATTAGGCTGCTATGGTAGTCGACATTCTGTACCACGTGTTTATTTAATTCTTAGTGTTGCTACGATCTATTGTTTCTACTACTACTATATACTGTAGTGGATGATTCTGTAATTCTGTCTTCCAACGGTGTAGAGCTATACTTCCTCTTCTCTCGAAATCCCATGGTTGAATGCGAGAATGAAAAATCAAATCAAATAAAATATACGACAGCAGGTGACATGCCGATCGCATTCCAGCGTCGTCATCTAGAGAACATCGTGCAGAAGTGGCGTCGGACACGGCTGGTAGCGTCAGCCTCGCGAGCGAATCCCAGATCATCCCCCCTCAACTACGCCTTTACGACTCATTTACAACCACTACGTTGGGAAAAGCGTGGAGTTGCGTCAACCGCAGGAATCATCAACGTTCAGATCTGTACTACCCATTCCATGACCATGCCCTCAGCGAACCAGATCTCTCCGACAACCGTCATCGCTCCTAATTCGACCCCATGCCGTTCTTGATGTTATCATACTGGGAGACAGGATAGTCCAACTCATTCTCGCTCTTTTGGAGGGCGCCGTTGCCTCCGAGTGCATTTACTACCTGTTTCACGAGTCAGCTCCAGATCATTCGCCCTCTCCCCTCCAGCGAAGCATGAACATACCGTGCCAATCAGACTATCGCTGCCCGACTTGTCGGCGCTGCTCTCCCACCACATGCCACCCCCCAACCCCTTCGACTTGATGTAGTCCGTCTTCCACTGGGCCACCTGGGGGGTGTCGTAGCTAACCAACGTCTTCGCGGATGAGTCATAACTCCAGCCAGCGATCAGGTCTTTGTCCTCGTGCACCTCCGCACCGGGTTGTGGCAGCGCCTTGTAGTCCCAGATACCGTCCTCCCAGCTCCCTTTGCCAACCCCGTCAAACTTCTTGCCTAGTCCTTCGGTCCCGGTGAACGCCCGGCCATAGATGGGCATGCCGAGGACGATCTGGTTGGCGGGAACGCCTCCAGCAATGTAGGCTTCGACGGCCTGTTTCGTATTGAATGGCGTGCTGTTTGGGTTGGAGGTGTCGTTGTACACGTTCGACTGGTGGCCGGTGAAGTTACCAAAGCTACCGGTGTAATCGTAGGCCATCAGGTTCCAGAAATCCAGTTGCTCGTTCATTTCCTTGAAATGCAGCTTGCCATAATTCTGCGGACCTGAAAATTGAGATCGAGATCAGCGTACCATGATTCCTAGGTTTCACTCGGGAAGATGTACATACCCGCCGGAGATGCCACCGTGAGCAAGAACTTCTGACCTTTGGCATTCTTGTTGCTATATTCGTCAAGGGCCTGGAAAGTCAGCAGACGATCGATGGCCTTAGGTTGGATCCAGGAACCTACCGAGCGCACTTCTTTCAGCAATAGCACGAAATTTTTGGCCTCCTCGTCATTCGTGGGGTACTATTCCAGTGGTTGTGGTCAGCATTCATCGGAAAACAAGGCTGATTTACTAACCTCCCAATCGACGTCTAGTCCATCTAGTCCCAAGTCACTCAGCAACTTCACCGACGTCTCAGCGAACTTCTTGCGGCCGGCGTCGCTGCTTGCAGGTTGGGCGAAGTTCTTGGAATACGTCCATCCGCCAATGGACAGCAGCACCTTCAGGTTGCGGTTCTTCTTCTTCAGAAGATACAGTTGCTTGACACACCCGTACGCATTGTTGCCGGGTTCGGACCAGGAGTCGCCGGGATAGTGCTTCTCTAGATCGGCGTAGGTGTCGGACAGGTATACTTCACCGGACTCCGGCCGCACGTTGGCAAACGCGTACAGCACATGGGTCAGCCTGTCAGTTATGAGGTCCTGAGGGTTGTGGCCACGGCCATAGATTGCCTATCAATGTCAGTCCCGGGACGGTTACCTCTCACCGGGGGAATTCGGACCCAGTTCACGAAGTACACCACGGAACGATATCCTGATTCCTGGCGTGCTTCCAGTGCTGTGCTGCCTGGCACAGGCTTTGCAATGGCCGCCGACTGTGCAAGCCAGGCACAGGCAATGCCAATGGAAAGGGCCGAGAAAAACCGAGAAGAACGCATGGTGGCCGAGAAAGGGCAGAACAATTGTAAGAGAGCCGTTGTAGGCGTGCTGACTGTCGCTTTGGGTTGCTCGAACAAGAGAGAGGATATGCAGGTGAAAGTTGAGGATTTATATATGCTGTCGTCAACGGCATTCGCAGAGCCCCAGGTGTATGCAACTCTCCGCCATTTGGTTGCTCAACCCCGGTACAGGCCTCACATGGCCAAGTAACATGAGTCTCCTCCCCTCGAGCTGCTGGCCTATTTTGACGTTCCATCATCATGCCTGTACAGAGCGTATCTCACCTTGCCGATCCCACAGCTGACACCACCCTAATGGCAATGTATTGTAGAAGCCAGGTGACAGTAGGAGTCCACCTCAGGGTAGAGTACCTATCCTGCCCAAAGCCGTTGGCGTGCGTTCTAGATTCGATGCGGGGGTGGAATGCGATTGTTTGCCAGCGGGTCGCATCTGTAGGAACACGTTCTCCTGCAACATTAATCCACCATCTGAGCAAACCGAGGGATTCATGTAACCACCGGCGGAGGACCTGATGATAGATTAGGAAGGTATCTCTATTGTCTGCTAGCCCTAGGAGTGGCACCTGCACCAGATATGCCGGTGAAGAAAGATATGCAATTTCCGACGAATCGTAATCCCTCGCCGGCATGTTGGTTCCTGGGACGAAACAAACTACCGAATGTAACAGCAATGATGGTGTGGAGAGAGTGCCGGTTAGAGCACATGAGCCAGGTGGGCGCTAGCAGGGGTCTTGATGAGGGGGAATTCTCCTGCGACGCCATTTGCGGAAGCGCAATCATTCTACACAATCAGTATCAGATCACGATGGATGCAACACACCTATCAAAGCCAGTTTACATCTTCTGGGTGGTCGCTCGTGGATAGCCAGAAGATAACCTCATCTGCCCCGGGGACCGAGGGATGACCGTGCCGGCACATTCGCAATGTGACCTCAGACGCACTAACTAATAGGCTTGATCCGGAATTTGATCTTCCTTGCCCGATAAGCCAATTTCCAACCATGACGATCCCACTGGGCGGTCTATGAAGGCATCAGAGCAGAGCCAGAAGAGGAAAATGTAACCTTTATTGAATCCATGAGCGGGAAATGACCCAGGGTGGCCTTAGTATTGCAGATAATTTCTCGTGAGTTTCACGCTAGCGTTGTGTAAGGGAGTAGTCGACAATGTACTACTCCGGATCACCAAGATCATCGTGGCTATTGCGACTCCCGTCTCCGTCACTATCCCTGAAGGACCACCTAAGAGATTATATCTGCAGTTTTTTTCCGATGCGGACTGTGGAGGGGTGTAATGTTAAATCCGGTTCACCGCACTTCCCCGGACGCGCCGTTTCCCTTGGCCCGTACCCAGCAGGGTTGATCAATATTTTCGAATGAGAAGATATTGACATAATCCGGGTTCCGATCTTCTACTCCGTAGAGTCTGTGGTCTGATACCTACGGAGTATTGCAATGAGACCTTGAGGAGAGCAGGATGTTCTCCCTTGTGATTGCTACCATACCTGAAACCCCAGCGCTAAACGAGAAAAAATGGTACAATCTCAGATGAAAAAGCCATCAGATTGACTATGCTGTAAGGATACCGAAATATTCCATTTGTGCCCGATGCAACTGAATTCGCTGCGCCAGAAGGAATCCCACCGGAGAGACCACAACCCTGGGAGAGTGCGTTTCAATTGCTCTTCCTAGACCTCGGTAGCCACTGCAGTGCGAAGCTCGGATCTGTTGGCTTCCGCGCCAATCTGCCATCCCTCTGGATGCTGCCATGAGGTGCATGAAAGAGCACAAACGACGCGGAAATCGTCCACGCGTGCCTCCTTCCTGTTTAGGAATTCTCACGTGACCTATTATTGGGCCAGTACCCCTGCACGATCGGGAAATCCAGGAAGGACGACGAGGCAGTCACAATGAGCGGGGCTGTCGAGGTGAAAAGCAAAATTCGACTCCGATCGATAGGCCACCACGGAGATCAAGTAAATGATTGCTGCTTCCAAATGTGCATCCCGTCTGTAGCGGATACCTTCCACAGGCTGGACCAGCAGCAACAGCGCTATGCCCATCTCATGACAAAGTCCGACACCGGCAGAATTTCATACCTTAGGGGGGTCGGGGGCGTTTAACGGATACCAAAAATTCATTGGCGTCTGGGGACACCTGCAAGTGTATGATCTGGTGCAATTCCGGGTAGCTCCTCATCACGGCCTTATGCCGTGGTTTGCGACGGGATGTGGAACTTACTGACCGAGAGAGTGAACGTTGAGCTTCATGACATGCAAAGATCCCTGGACTATGCGGCCGTATTCTTGTCGAATGTGGGCAATTACTTTATGAGCCATTTACGTCCTTGACTTTTCTTTTTATAGTTGATGATCTAGCGCAGGGGACCAGAAGTTCAATCCTGATATCTTTGCAGAAGTTCTTACAAGGCTAGCCTCCACTTTGCTAGATACCCACTATCTACTGGACAAGACCCAGATTCCAATGCTAGACAAAATCACTAGCAGCTTATGTCCCCCAGGCACCTTGACCCAGACTACGTATTACTTGGAGGAGGATTGCCTAGCGTCCTCAGAGGACATTACGCTGGTCTTCAAAATGATAGAAGATGCATCAGTTCTTCCGAAAGCACACGCTTGCGGAGAATCAATGAGTTGGGAAACGTACCGTATAATATCCTACAATTGTCCGTGCTAGAAGACGAGTCTGTCTGCCAGCACACGTCGATAGACAAGCAGGTACGGATAGTGAGAGGGAAACCATAGGGAACTTCAGCGCATAATGAAATGTCTACACAATGCCATGAACTACACACCAAACGTCTCCCAGAAACATATGTTGTAGCTATTAATAGCTAGCTTCGAGGCCGGCTGCTTGGAGGCCTATAAAAATGCAAAGTCTCTGGGTGAAGGACAAAGCACCTCCTGTTGAGACCGTACTCGGCTTTGTGTAACCTTTTCGAGCCCTCTCGGAGTCCGGGCCGAGTTCGAGGGAATCGTTGGTATTCCTGACCCCGGGAAACCAACATACTGGCGGAGCTTGCCAGCAAATCCAGTGAGTTCGTCTGCAAGCTTCACTGGGTTGAGCGACCGGGAAGCAAAGGTCCATTTGAAAAGGAGATATTTGGGCCTCCTGATTTCTCTGGCATTCGAAATATGCCGTTGTTTGTCCTTGAAAGGAACTCGATGCTCACCTGCCTCAGGTCTTGTCTATTGCTCCAGTATTGTCTTCTCCGGAATAAACTTCCCAATGTCAGTTCCCTATCCAATCCCCAGAAACAGCCTAACCATCAACAGGACGTGATATCTTCTAGGAAACAGGCTATAAGAACTTTTTCCGATCGCATGGTAGCCGACCGGGTTCGAGCAAGAGGTCTACACATAGCCCGGAAGTTGGAGCAAGAAGACTGCAAGAAGCATGGATTCCACCGCCATTACATATAGGTCGTGCTACATGAGATACCGGGACATGGCGCGGGAAATTCCTCACTGAAACGACGCCACGACATTTCAACTTCGATCCCAACAATCCGCCCCTAAATCCCATTACAGTAAGCCCGACCCATGCTGTATCTTCCAGGCAGACCTGGACTGGGATATTCCAAGACCTTGCGACCACCATGGACGAGTGCAGGGCAGAGCTTGCGGGCCTTAAGGTGGACGGAGATTGTTATTTCCAAGAAGGATCCACTATTTGCGTTCAGACAGACGAACAATTGAAGGTGCTTAGCTATGACACCTTCTGCCACGGGACCCTTCCCATGTAGACGGACGACAATCTCGTCGATCGTGATGGGGCTCGGTGATACAACACAGTCAGCGATCCCCTGAAATGCAGAGATGAATAGCCTTCCATGGTGTTCTTCGTCACGGTCATTGTGGTTGATCTGGAATATGTCGAACAAGAGAGTAGTGAAAAATGCCAAAAAAAAAAAAAAAAAAAAAAAAAACTATGGCCATCTTTCGCCATGTTTCGAGATGAACACAGTAGTATTGAACCTCAAGACATGCCAGGTGGGAAGTAGCCAATGCGCACATGTAAGAACTATAAGTATTGCTGCTGTTGAGCTATCACAGCAGCGCTGCGGAAGATCTCCTGCGCCAGGAAGGTCTGTCTGTTTGATGTAGAGAGCAACCAGCGACCCATTCCGATTCTTGCGGAGCGTTTAAGGACATGGTACACAAACTCGTCTGTCAATGTGAAAATATTTGATTTGTTCCCTGAAAGATTTGTAAGCCTGAGCGAATTTGACTAACATCACCTTGAGCTACAGCATATATTATTGGGTCTCTAGTATCGGCGGCAAGCAGCAGTGCTTCGTTGGAAGGCACGTAAATTTGGAATCCGAAAGCCTCCCCGACCAGCTCTCAATTTATAGATAGTCAGCGCCTCTGACGGAAGTGGGTATTTTTGTATTTACCTGAAACTCTCCATTTATTGGCGCATCAGATGACATCTGCGCCCTCTTCTTATAATAGATATAGTAGACAATTGATTGCAGTTTCACTACCCAATGGTTTTGGCTGTGCGTGTGTGGTAAATGCAGAAAGAGCATTCTCAAAATCCCACAGAACCACAGGAAATTGTCACTCACATCTGCAGGATATTTGCCTTGCATCAAGAGCAGCAGATGAGAGCAACCCCCCAGGGTAGTTGAGCCGCTTTACGAAGGCACTAGGCAGAGAGAGCGCCACCCTAAGAAAGTCTGATATTCTTATCGGTATAATTTTTAACTTAGGAGCGGGAGAATCGAACGGCATCGTGCAGGCTACAGCCAATCATACCTAATAGTCAAGAATAAACTCCACAAAGTTGATGATGCAAATTAAGGCCGCAATAATGGATCCCATCACTCACTTGGCGAATGCATCTCATCCGTGTCTCACGATAGGAGGAGCCATTGAGACATACAGCACTTATTATACACCTTCCTCTTCCTCTTTCTCTTTGTCAGTTCAAGAAATAATGCCAGCTGGATCCACCACAGCATATCGTGGCTAGGATGATAAAAGAGGTGTGCGTTGATCTCTGGATGGTGGAACGTATAGACACGTGACTGTGTCCCTCCTATTGGTCTGCGTAGACACAAGGATGCCTAAGGAAACAGCCGTCATTCCTAACCAAGGCAAAACAACCATGGTCTTGATTCTCTCGAAAAGAATCGTTCGTATCGATGTATGTACACATCTATCTACTACGGGCTTATTCCTATGGATCCCAGTGCGATTTCATGTACATTGCCTCAGGCTCCATTCCTGTGCCTGGATCGCTCGTGGTGGCGCAGAGCCACAGAAACAGGTTTATATACAAAAGAATTGAGATCGAAACCTAGGACGTGTCCATTTACGTAATAAGCTCATAAGCTCATGCCTGGACGTTCTTAATACATCTGGTCCAATGGTCCGTCTGCAGTCTGGACGATTCAGTCATTTAGCTCTTCCCTAACCTCTTTTACTGCCCTCTCGGTTTAATTCTATCTCGGATATATGTTCAATCGCTACGGAGTATCCAAACTCTATCCCTACCAAACTCGGTCATTGCGGAGGCTTTAACGTAACTAATCAAAGATTGATTATCAATCATTGGAGATGGCGGGTAATGACTCCACCGATTAAACTAGTAGAGATCTGAAAATTCGGCCTCTGCGACTTGCAGTATTATTGTCGGCCGCGCCCATTCGGTGGATCCTACAAATCAAATAAATTCCGTGTTGGAGAGGCCAGACTCCCTGTTCTCGTTGCTCGAAATTTCCGATAAACGGTTGCTGACAGGAAAGACAGGATGGATGGTTCCGGTCTGCTGTATACGTGGTTCTTCTCTGATTTTAGCGTAAAAGGGGAACGAAACGGAGTAAGCAAACTACGTCAATAGATCTCCTGCTCTGTAAATACAGAAATCGCAAATGTGCATGAACCGAGACGCATACCCACAAGAATATGACTAGATTTGAGAAGTCAATCTACGTAGTCAAACGGGTGGGTGGATCTACGCCCAAACAGCGATCCAAGGTTCCTGAGCAGGCCTCCACATGGCGGAACAAACATTAATTCTATCTGTATCATTACATTCTTAGTATCCGGCTCTTTTCAACCTGTAATCGGGCTTCTTTCCCCCCGACCAGATCTTCGTCTCAAAGGCCTGCGCTGGAATGCGATTTGAGAACGGTGACACTACCCCGGGCGAGACGGGAGCGGCGGTGATGATGGTCGTGCGCTGGACACTTTCGATCGATGAAGTCGTCGACAAGGTGGAGGTAGTCTCCGAGGGACTCCGTACTCGTCTCAGCTCAGTATTCCCTCGGCTTCCGGGCACACTGAAGCTATCGCTTATGGAGTGTTGGTCGGATTGGATTGATTCCGCAATCGAAGCTGTGATAGACTCTTGATCCCTCTCTTTTACTTCCTCTCTCCCCTCTGCCGTCTCTTCTGTTTTCTTCAGCACCTTGGGCGGTCCGGGCACCACCCCTGCGTCAGTGAACTCCTGCCCGTCGCGAATATAATATCGCGAGATCAGATCATTTTGGATACAGAGCATCTTGTTCATCGACCGGATGAGAGAGAGCCGGAATTGAATCGTCATTTCCGGGTGGCAGGAGATGGTCTCGAAGAACAGGTCCTGCACGTATCCTAGACAGACATTCATGTGCATGTATTCGATATTTAGCGGGTGTAATAACACCTTGCCGGTATGCATCTTCCTGTACGTAGGCAGAATGCTCGGTCAGTACATATTACTGGCTACCAGGAGTAACAGCGAAACGGAGACACTCACCCGACTTTGTCCAGGTACTCCCAGTACCCCGGTTCGGACGGATCGGAACAGAGTCGCGTCAAATACCACTTCCAAAAGATCTTCCTTCGCTGCACATGCGGGCTGTCGATGGTGAACAAGTCTTCGATTTGGGTTTCCGATGAGGTGCTTCTCGTGCGTAATGCGCGCGCGGTCAAGTCGAACTGAAGCATCTTTTCGTAGAGCCGATGCGCTAGGGTGGGGATGGCGGCCTTCAAATACTTTGAGCCCCGATTTAAAATTTCAATGTCATCTGTCATGGGGGTGTCAGGAGAGCCGTTCTTCCCACGAGTCACTGCTCGATCTCAGCCAGAACCCACCTACGGTGAAATTGAGGAATGCATGTAGATACTTGATGCGTTTGGTCAGGTCTGTGTATAGTTCCTGCCGTGTGGCATGTCTGATGTCATCGCCCATAGCGGGGGCTGTATCCATCCGTGGGAAAGCTTGTGATGGGCTATGGATATGGTTGAGATATAATTAGTAGGGTCCGGCGAGCGTTCAAATACAATCTAGGGCTGCACTGCGTCCGGCCGAAACAGCTGACATGTGACCTGGAGGAGATTAAGAAACAATTAAAATGAAGTCCAGGCGGGAACTCGATCTGCTGTTCGCTTATATGGAAACGCACAGGAGTTCCTTGAATGCTTTAGTCCTGTTTAACGGCCAATGGGCTGGTATACGATTTGCTGTATAGCCTGGGAAGTGAACCAGGAATCAGTTCTTAACTGGCTGGCGAGGATCCACTAACTCGCGAGATTTAATTTATCGTACATCCCGGCGTTTTCACCAAGAAGCTAATTGCCCACGATTCAGCTGCGCCGCAGCCCCTGGATAATTTCATGCGTCACCGAGCTTACTCATTGAGCCCACGCGAGCCAAGATAGATTAGTCCGTGGGGGAAGATCGGCCTAAGAAAGCTCCAAGATTTTCGGTTTCTTTTTTTTTTTCTTTTTTTCAGCCGCGTGCGACGGCATTCTGGAAAATTTTTGAGTTGACAAGCAAGAAACTCGTCGTTCCTGCAGATTGCCCCGATGGCAGCCATGCTGTATTGTACTGTCTGTGGATATGGCCACGCAGGCGTCCTGCGAGCATCATGCCAGACGCGTGCATACACAATATTTGGAAGAAAATCTAGAACGCGAGTTGACCTGGATCGGCCAATTTCGGATGCCGCATCATCGGAGAGTCGGACACCAAGCATGACCCGTTGCCCCCACCGCGCCACGCCAACGGCTCGCAGATGAGGAGAGGAATAATTAGTGAGTCAGGACATGATTCAGCGCGATATTTTAACCCGCCCGATCCAAATCTTTGCTAGGGACGAGGCGCTTTGGGACTGTGAAAGTTGCCTAAACAATTGCCTTGTTCAGGGTTAGCGCCGTCCTGGTTGGGATTTGATCTCTTCGATAGTCTATACACTAACCCGTTCCTCGCCAACTCTCATTGCTTGTTGGACGGAATGTCCACGTGGATTAATACATAGACTGATAACCGAGTAATGGAGGACCCATCCGTACGAGCGTTATCTAAAACAGTCCCTCCCAGTCTATGGTAGAGTGCCAATACTAGAATTTAGATCAAATGGGATCTTGTTTTAGACAATTGTGTACCGATTCGATTGAACCAGGGCTCTTAAATGGCGGGAAGTCCGTTCGCTATATTCCCGCATCAGTGATGCAAGCTATATTTCCCCGTGTTTCGGAGTACTCCGTACTCTGTCGGGTATATTGCCATGCCAATAGCAGGATCGTTATATAGATCAGGCCACTGTGCTCGCACCCTTGGAGGGATCGGCTCCTGGTGCGCAAAGCCTCCATTAGGATGAGACAAAGGAATGTGAATGCTTCCTTTGGCAGCCGGTACAGCCTCAGGATGCGCCATCAACCCTTTATTCGCTCTTTGACCTCGTACACGGTACGGAGTCGTTGGCATATTACGGTGGAAATGACCCCTTTCCTCAGAGTGGCAAACAGAGCTATTTATCTTTCCCTTTGATTGGGTGGCCTGACGAGAGCCTCGAGCATCCCCCGCACTTCGTTTAGCTATTTCCTCTGACTGTGTTCCGGGAAGTCTGATGAAATCTGACCCCTCTGGAATGATACCCTTAGTCTATTGGGTTCGTCATGCGCTGTAATAACCCCATTGAACTGCGGATGAACTCAAGACTCCGCCTTGTATTAGAACAAAAGATCACACAGGGTTGACACGGTCGGCCTCGAATATCTGACCACAGAGACATCGTGGAAACATGGATCCAGACGTGAAACACGCCGCAAGGGAGGTTGACAGAGATAGAACGAAGACCGTCACCCGGAGATGCTCCCAGAGACATATCAAGCGAACTGCCGATGGATTTGTGATCGGCCAAGTTCCAACCGTCCTCGGTTCTTGGATCTGCCTCGGTTCTCCGCATTCGCGCATAGCGATCATCATCTATGCCATCCTTGACCTTCGTGATCTTAATCCTCTTCTACACTCCGGTTGATGTCTGTATCCATCCTATCCTATCCATCCATCATCGAGATCAACGTGACCATGTCTGCTCCCGGAGTCGGCCACCAATTTCCCGCCCAGGAGGTCTCCTGGTTTAAGCGTGATGCGCTACTCTTCGCCAATAGCATCGGCGTAACCTCCGACGAGCTACACTTTCTCTACGTACGTTCTCCACGGGCGCAATTCTACTCAATGCTAATCCCATGGAAATAGGAACTTCATCCCAACTTTGCCGTCTTCCCAACGTACCCGGTCATTTTGCGTGAGTGTGCCCCAGATCCGATAACCAGGGAAAATCTGCCCCAACTAACTAATCTCGCGGATAGCATTTAAACTCGCCGATCAAGAAGTCACCGACTTTTACGCCCGTCAAAAGAATGACCCCATCCCTGGCGTGCCCAAATTCGACTTCCGTCGTGTCGTCGATGGCCAGCGCAAACTCACCGTTTTCAAGCCCCTTCCGCCCACCAGTGCGGGGAAGCAATTCGAACTACGAAACAAGGTCGTCGGGGTCTACGACAAGGGGAAGGCCGGGTCGGTGATGGACACGGAGCAGTCCATCGTAGATAGACAGAGCGGAGAGGTGTATTCGAAGGTGCAGAGCAGTGCGTTCTTCGTTGGACAGGGGAACTGGGGTGGTCCGAAGGGTGAGTCTCCTTCCCTTTGTTTCTTATGAGGAGGTTAAGATGCTGATGCAGTCTTCTAGGACCGAGCACTCCCAGCTTCCCGCCACCGGAAGGCCGCCAACCAGATGCAACTCATACCATCCAAACCACCACAGAGACGGCGCAGCTTTACCGGTGAGTCCGTTCAACGGAAGAGACGTAGAACGTCCCATCTAACGAGACTAGGCTGAACGGAGACTACAACCCCCTCCACGCGACGCCTGAACCTGGCCAGAAGATGGGCTTCGGCGGTGTCATCATCCACGGGCTCTTCAGCTGGAACGCCACGGCCCATGTTTTGCTCCAGCGCTTCGGGCGTAGTGACCCTTGGAACTTCAAGGAATTCCAGGCGCGGTTTGCCGCACCGGTGAAGCCGGGCGACCGCCTGGTGATCGAGATGTGGCGTACGGGGAATGTCACCGACGGCTTTGAGGAAATCCGCTTCGTGACGAAGAATGGTCAAGGGAAGGTCGTGTTGAGTAACGGTCGGGCATTGATCAGAGACAAGTCGGAGGCGAAGCTCTAGGATCGTTAAAATTGATCCCATTATTGTATGTTAGCAATGAGATTGAAATATACTTGTTCTATATAAGGATGGCCCCTACTGGACCCTTCAGCAATCATCAAGCCACAGCTTTAAGCAGCCACTGTGTAACACATCACTGGGCTGTAATCTCAATCACCGGTCCGTGGTAAAACCTGTGAGCCCGCAGCACGTAATAGGCCACGGCCAGTAGAATCGTTCCCATGGTGCCCACCACGCTGAAGTTCATATTGGACGCATGGACGGGGATTTCCGTCGGCCAGAAACTGAAGAAAACTACGATGGTCATATGGATCACCGCGTATCCATTCACAATGATTCCCCAGGCCCCCGGGACGTGGAAGGGCCCCCAAACGAGCTTTGCGCCCGGCACATTTTTCTGCATGCCATCTGTCTCGCCGAGGTCGGCAACGGCGCCGGTACATCGTCGATAGAGGAGCATCGCAGCCACAATTAGGTAGGAAAGATACAAGCCCGACACGGCCATGGAGAGGACACCATTCAGAGCGACACTGGATCCGATGTTGATGAGGCCCAGTAGACACGCGATGGTCATGGTGACGAGGATGGAGTAGATGGGGAGGTGGGTATATGAGGACACCTGTGTAGATTATAATCCAAATTAGTGATGACTGCCTACGCAACGAAAAGATATAAACAGGAAAGACACACATGGCTCCATAGTCGCCATCCTGGGACCCCGCGATCTCTAGCAAACGACCAGAACTGGCGCGAAGTACAGGCCAACGTGCCTAGGACTGCGCAGATGCTCATGGTTACCAGCACTGCGCTGAGTCCCAGTCCACCAGAGGTTGTCCCCATAGCCTGGTGGAAGATTTCAAAGTATGGGTAGCCTGTCGGAGAGTCCAAGGCCTCTTGTACGTCACCCATGCAAAAGAGAACGGCGACCAGGATACTGAAGCCAAGCGTTCCGTTGATCGCGACACTGAGGATAATGGCCCGTGGAATGGCCACCGCGGCATTGTTGCACTCTTCAGCCATCTGACTGGAGTCAGCCCATCTAGTTCCGCTAATCTGCGGGGTATGGTATTGTAGGAATGTATCATGGGTTGGGCCTACATGGACTGCAGCATCGCCTCCAGCAAACGCAAAAACACAACCTATCATCCCGACGAAGAAAGAGATCCCATCAGTAGGCAGATGGCCACCATTCCGAAAGTCCGTGAAGACTTCTCGTGCTGATTTATGGTCGGCTTTCGAAGTCAACGCGACCACAATGGCGAGAAACCCCCCGAGATGGAGGAACAGGATCAGAGTTTCGAGACGAGGAAAGAATTTTCCCCCGACCACATTGACCCCCACGGCGACCAAGACCACTGCCCAGAGAAGAAAGGTGCCGTGCCATGGTTTTGGGTTGTAGTGAGAGTGGGCGAAGATTACGGCGCCCTGTACCTCAGTACCAGCGAGATACGAAACGGATGCAAATGCTGCCTGCCACCCGATCAGAGTCACCCAGCCTAGAGATATTAACCTGAATCCTTGAAAACACCGTAGGCATGCCAACCCGTAATGTAGCTCATGAATTTCATCATCGATGGCGGTGCTAACATGGCACACCAGTGATATTGACCGCCCGAGGTAGGTGCCCTGGACACGAGTCAAATTCACTCTTCACGCACGCCAGATGAGATGTCATCCCACACTCACATCGACGACAGCTCCGACAGCACGACAAAACTACAACCAGTTCCGATCCAGGCGACAATGTACGCGTAGATTGCGCCCGCAGGTCCTCCACTGTATGCATTTTAGCGACGGGGAAGAGCGCAAAATTCGAGGATCAATACTTTTTTAGAGGGATGATAAATGTGCTTTAACATGGTCAGCGACGCGGCCCAGCGACGGGGCCTATCAGGGGAGATTTAGCCTACTCAAGTAAACCCTCCCAGGTAGCGATGATCGTGCAACTGAATCCCAGGATGGAGAGAAGACCAAAGTTGCGCTGCAAACAATTTGTAAGTGATATTGCCGACAACGGTCCTAGTCGCAAATGCATCGAAACGTACCTTCAGAACTGCCTTTTTTCCGATTTGTGCTAGGTTCGCATCATCTCGATCCGTACCAGAGAGGACTTGGGACTCCAGGCTGGTGGAAGCAGCCTCCCCTTTGGTTCCGGGCCACATAGCGTAGAATGGCGAATGCACAATACGTTATCCACGACTGTATGTGAAAGGAGAGAAAGGGGAGGAAATCATGGGGGCTAGATTCGCATATAGTGCGACCACTTAAATAAAAGAACATTGGCTATCGGGACTGACATCACCCCTCGTTGTGTTCGAGGGTAGCAGTGAAACGTAATGGCGATAAAGCGACGATCGTGGATCGTATGAACTTGGTCCCAGTGTCAGCCAGCTAGGTGGGCTCCATGTGCATCTAGTGTCCCTGAAACCTTATTCCAATTCGCTAAGTTTAGTAGGTAGTAGCACAGTTCATTGGGCCGGTGAGTGAGTCTCCCATTGGCTTTGCTCTCATGCACAGTACATTGGGCATTCTACCAATGCTGAAAGTCAAGCTGGAGACCCGCAATGAAAAGATCTGCACAGTGACACCTATATTATATAGATATGAGACTGATGAAGCTTGCCTCTTGTCGTTATCAGACAATGCTACAATTCTCCCTACACTGTTGGACAGGTAGCGAGGGGTCCTGTTCCCCGACTGCCTCTCCCATCAAAAAAAAATAAAAATAAAAATAAAAATAAAAATAGTCTCTACCCCAAGAAATTTTTTTTTTTTTTTTTTTTTTTTTTTTTTTTTTTTTTTTTTTTTCTTTAGTCTTATGCATGCAGCTGCGGTCAGTAGATTACTGTCCTGCAAGGAGCTCAAAAGGGGAGCTCCAACCGCAGTGCGACAGTCGACAAAACGGTGGTGGCACAGGCAATTTTGGACTGCGATTCCTGACATGAACGGGGGTGCCTGTCTGCAAATAAGATCCTAGCGTGTCATACCAAGTACAGCCATTCGGTGATTCACAACGATGACTTTCTTGGTGACTTTTTCTGTGATTTATTCTCAGAAAACCCCACCCGACCCACACTGTGTCGGGAAATAAAGTCCGAATCCTTCAGTTGGTGATGTGACCGCGGGGAAGCGCTGGTGGCGGGCTACTCGGTTAAATCGCCAATTCTTTAGAAATTTTTACTGGTCTACCTCCGACGCGAAGGCATTCGAGAATACCATGGCGTCGTTTCTCCAACTTCCCCACGAATTGCAAGAAATCATCCTCGAATACGCGCTCATCACACCAGCGTCACCCCCTGTGGATCCTTGGACAGGCAAGGAGAACCGTCAACCACTGCATGATGTCGACTACAAAGCTTGGAGTTTCGGTCCTAACAACACTCTATACGATACGTCCCAGCAGGATGACTTGGCTGGCACGTCTTCAGCCCTACTACGCACGAGTTGGCAAATCCATGAGGAGACGAAGGGCATCCTGGACCGAATGGCACGCCCCTGTTACCTGCTGGACGTGATGATAGTCCACGGTTTGGAGCTGTGGCCAACGTGGCTATCCGTCCCGGTCCTTCGAACTCACCTAGACGAGGTGCGCGTCACGTTTCGCATCTTCGGCCACTGTATTTCACGCGAGGGAATGCGATCTACCTTGGGAGATGGTGGACACAACGGCCCCGAGTGGTGTTTTTACGCATTGCTGGAGCGGTTCCTAGTGCATGGTCCCGTCACATCACGTCAGCCCGGCAAACACCAAGAGAAGAAGGTGTACGTGAAGACGCTGACGATCAACTTTGAATCTGCTGCCGATGAGGAACATCCCCTCCCTCCGCCAGAGTTGACTTGGAAGGACTACTTCCGGTACAAAATGAGGGTTAAGGACGGCCCAGATTTGTCACACTATGCCATGCGACCCGAATGGTTAGCCAACAGCCTGCGTGGCCAAATCGCCAGCCTTCTGGCCCTGAGCTCTTACACAACGCGATACGGTGTCTTCCTATACGAACACATCGGCAGCATTCGCGTCCTGGTAGAGGGCGAATTTGTAGAAGAGTTTGACCTAGCGAAACAGCTGGCACCCATGAAATATGATTGCGACATAGCAAACTTTAGCCGAGACCCAAGTCGGGAGTATTTCTGGAGGTGGAAGAGACGAGCGCAGAGAGTCAGGCAGGAGGCGGGGTTACCGGTGATCTGGGCGGACGATCCAGAGTTTGCAGAGTATCCTGAGGATTGAGTATGAAAATTAGCGAGAGTAGAGTCTTGATGTATCTGTACATAGACACCAAGTGCTAATACTGTATAGATTGGCCTTCTCCATAGAGCTGGCCCAAACGAGCTACTAATAGCAGTGTAATAGTGGTGTTCTTAACACGGTAGATAAGTAAATGCTTCCCGGGCATAAGCAAACAGGGGCATTTCAGTTTCTTGAGATTTGTTGAAACAGGTCTTGGGGTTCATGGCTCAGAAGATCCATCGAGCATTCATTATCCTCAAGCATTGAGTCGGAGACTGGATGTCTTGTGCCGAGTTACTGCGGGGAATAGAGTCTATCCTTGATTTTTGACTTGAAGCTGCACGGAATTTGCTTGGTAGCTAGACGATCCTTCGGAGCCCTGAAAACAAAATTTACCCATGCCTGTAGGTTTCGTACGTCGTCTGCAAGGAGTCGGCATCACCACCCAGTCACGGTAAAGGCTCGGACGGTGTCTGGATGATTGTGCAAATATCATAACATCATGTCATAAGCTGTATCAAGTAAAAAGCCACAGTCCAGTAGGCAAGAGAGTTATTAAGGAAAGACGAGATCCGTCAAACCATAATCCAATGTCGGTCAGCTGAATAGGCATATGAGCTAGTATCACCAATCTTATAAATAACCATAGATCTGCATTAAAAAGTATGTGGTCTATAACATCTGAATCTCTCTGGGAGAACGGAATGAAAAGGTGAAAACAAAGGGAGACAAAAGAACAAAGTCGGATGGAGCGCAGCTGAATAATGAGTCATACTGACCCACACTGGTCGACATCCAACTTCCATCGCCGCGGAGGATCGGAGGAGCTCACATGCCACTGCTGCATATTTGCCCTGTTATCGATGGCTGAAGACGGAAATTATCACTACCGTATAAGATAAACATATTATAGATCAGGTCGACAAACCAGCAGAAATTGATGGGTGGAGGATACAATTCGTGCAGATTTAACTCTTTTTGGCGTAAACACATGAGTCATCACATGGTTTCCTGAGGCTCGTGATGCAGTGTTTACATGACGTCATTCCTCACACTCTCTCTTCAATTCTTCACAACACAAAATGGCAGCCCTAGGCGAGTTGCAGGGGATGACATAGGTCATGGTCATTAGTAGTCACCTCCAGTGCAGTTGTTATTGCTGCGGAAGAACTGCAGCCCACGATCCACCACATCCGACGGAGGTATCTGAGATTACGGCTCTGTTGGGGCCTAAACAGCGAGTACCAAGGCCGGAGCGTCAAACAATGGCTTAATCCCGATCCCGCCGATAAGTCCGGCTCCTGAATTATAAGTATGTTAGTATGGGAGCGGGCCGTTCAGTCGATCTCAATGTGGGGGATAAGAGTGAATTCCTTGGGCAAACCAGAAATATAGTATATTACGATTTGTACGCGACTGGACTCTGAAGAAACATTTACGTCGACCATCAGTATACTGGCATACGATAAACCTAATCGCCTTTAAACTTTCCTCAGCGCATTAAACTCAGCATCGCATACCCTGCAACCCGTCAAACTTATTGTCATGGGTCTGACCGTCCACCATCTCCACCTCTCCCAGTCCGAGCGCATCCCCTGGCTGTGCGAAGAGCTGGGAATTGACTACGAACTGCGGCTTTACAAGCGATCACCTCTTTTGGCCCCTCCTGAGTACAAGGCTCTGCACCCCGCTGGAACTGCGCCCACAATTCAAGATGGTGAATTGACTCTGGCTGAGAGCTGTGCCTGTATGGAGTACATCTGCCATAAGTACGGTCAAGGCAGGCTTTTCCTGCACCCCTCACATTCAGATTATGCCGGCTTTCTCTACTGGTGGCACTGGGTTGATGGCACTTTTCAGCCCGTCGTGATGCGTGCCATGATGATGCGTGCTGCCGGGGTGAGCGACGAGAACCAGTTCATGACGATCACGAATGGCCGTCTCGGGAAAGGGCTGATGGCACTCGACGAGAGACTACGGGACAATGAATGGCTTGCAGGGGCCGAGTTTACCGTGGCGGATTTGATGGTTGTCTTTGTCCTAACAACATTTCGATATTTCTCCCCGTATAGCTTGCAGGGGTACGACAATTTGCTCGCCTACCTCCAGCGCATTGGACAGAGGAAAGCATATCAAACAGCCATGAAGAAGTCTGATCCGGATATGGAACTTCTGCTGGGTCCGGATCCCCCAAAAAAGACGCTTTTGTAGGTGCCTAACTAGACAGCATGATGCTGATCATGATTCCACTCTCTTATAAAGAAATCTGTTTACTCCTCTCTAGAGTATTTCCGATATCGACCTGCCTAATTAGTACTAGTACTAGTGTATGTAGTATTACCACCAGATTCACTTAAACTCTTCAGTAGTTGGCTTGTTTTAGTCGCCCAATCAATTTGTCACAATAACCAGTTAGCCTCAAATTACTTTGGTTAGGCAACGGGCGCGGCTGCTCAGGAGCGTTTTCATTCCCTTCCGTAAGTCTTCTGGGTGGTTGACCATGACGACCCCAACGCACCCAAGAGCTTTCAACTCAGCGCTTGCGTCCGGCTCCCCCGGGCTGTCCACTCTCTGGCGTGGCCCATAATACGCCCTGCGGGTTCGTACATGCCCAGGCTCCCGGGCTAATAGTTTCAATGTTACACCAACTAAGTTCAGGCAACAACAGGTGCGTAATCCAGAAACCAACGAAGAATAGACTGTTGCTACTTGAGTCTCCGTGGTATAAAGAATTAAAAACCGTCCATAAGGTGTTTGCATCAGGCATGTCCCATAATTATTTGGCTCTGAGCAAAAGCTACGAATTACGATTTATCAAGGCGAACAAAAAGTGTTAAATACTTGATTCAAAGACGGTACTCGGCTTGCCATCAGAATTAGTGCTGGAAGCTGCAAAATGCCTGGACCATAGGGATCTTTCAGGTTTCGCAAAGGTGAATCATTCGACTTACGAAATTGTGCAGCGTGAGGTCTATAGATATGGTCAGCCATGCCTTGTTTTAAGTGATAATTACTAATATGCAAATTGCTAACTTTATAAGGGTGCTAAGTCCTACTCAAGAGAAGTGATCTGTCTCCATAGAGCTGCCTGTTATGGGCATGAACAAGTAGTACAGGGGCTGCTCCAGTTCGGAACTGATGTGTATAAACTGGGTTATAACGATTATACACCACTTCATAAGTCAGCTAGTATGGGTCATTCCGGGGTAACTCGAATTCTTATAGAGTAAGGGGGGGATATTAGTTTAAAGAATAGAGATAGCAAAGCACCTCTCCATTATACAGCCGTCGGGGACTTTTTAGAGGTATTTCAGCAATTAATTGACCAAGGTGCTATGATCGGGCGCAAGGATAATAATAGCAACACTACCGTCCATTATGCTGCAGGCTGTGGCCATGTTAAGCTAGTCAAGACACTGGCTAATTTAGAAGAGACGATCCAGGAGATTAATACTTCCGGCGAAACACCTTTACACCGGGCAGCTGCTGGCGTCATTTGGAGGTATTGCAGTCATTAATTAAAAACAGTACCGCAATTAAGGTAAAAGATACTACTAGCTATACTCCCCTCCATCATGCAGCAGATGGTGTGGTCATGTCGAGATTGTTAAGAAACTACTAAACTTTGGAGCGGCTGTTAAAGAGAGAAATAATAAAGGCGAAGCTCGTCTGCACGTGGCAGCTCTTGCCGGCCATTTAGAGGTGTCTCAGCAATTAAGTGACCACGAAGCCCTGATTAAGCTGGTTGAGGACTCTTCACTTTATCTTGCAGCGTTTCGTGGCCATACGAAAATTGTTAGCTGGCTGATAGCTTGCAGCGCACATATTAATTTAAGGAACAATCGTGGTCACACTCCTTTACACGAAGCCGCAATCGAGTTACAACCAGACACTGTTCAGATATTGACCGAATTGGGGGCAATTATCGATGCAAAACTAGTAACAACTTGACCCCCCTTTACCATGCAGTTAGAATCTCCTATCCATGTGTAGAAACTGTTGATTAAGCACAGGGCATATATGGATGCAAAAAAATAAATATAGGGATTCGGCTCCTAAAGTGGCAATTGCTCTGTATGAGAAACAACATATGGAGCATAGACGTCAGCAAGAAATCGACAAAGAATACTGGGAAGAAAGTAGTACAAGTTCGGTTTTTGGGAGCACCGAAATTAATTTTGCTTGGGAGACAAAAAAGGCAATAAAAGAAGCTGCACTATTTTTAATATAACATGCTGGCCATTATGCATCTGAATTATCTGAATTAGAATTATCCAATGCTGGCCTCTCTAACTCATCTGACTCTGACTCAATTGAAGGGGCTTCGACTGATGCTGATACCACCGACTGTTAGTAGTGGGTATTCTGGTGTGTGAGCAAGGCGCAGTTAAAAAGTTCATGGTTGGAGTCCGGAAATGCAAAGGCATACTTGTCTCAGCTAGGTTAGGATTATTGCAATGGCGAATTAGCTTGATTGCTAATACAGTTTTTTTTACATCTTTCCTGCCCTGGGTGTCTTTTCATAATTTTTTTTATTAATGCTCCAACATTTTAGGCTGTATACTTACCAAGAACTGCTTATTAGAACTTGGGAAGTATGCTCATGCCAGTGACTATTATTGATTGTATCGCCTTCCACCACCACTTACTACCCTCTGACCCTCCGACACGGCACAATTTCTCCGGGAAAATGGTCGGTCTATAGAAATCTCAACAGCTCTTTTCTCCATCCATCGTTGAGAGAATCATGCCCCATACCGCCGTCTTCCCTATATAGCAAGTTATGGATGATGAGCAAGATAATAGTATTTTTCCTTTCCTCATAGGACAAAGTGACCTTTCTGATTCATAGGGAAAGATGAGCGACCGTACTGCGCTGGATGAATTTTTCATTCGTGCTTAGATAGCGGGATTATGTCAATTATATTGTTCTAAAAAAAAAGCAAATACAGTATCTTCTTTACAGATTAATTAATTAACGAGTTGAACGACCATTATCCACAGGGTGCACCGTCTCCACCAGTCTCTTTGCCAGGATCCATCCCAGTGCCGGGCCAGTTCCTATGGGTTGATCGCTTCTTGAAGATATACTAACCTTAGACAGCAGCCATGAGTAGAGAAACGAAAGCACCACAGACAGTAATCCTGGCATATCTGGTGACCACGAGCATACTGCCAGCGCTAGTCGGTGTGGCCGTGGCCGTGGCCGTGTCGATGGCAGGAGAACTAGATTCCTTTGAAGTCCTTCCTGCCACAGAGGTAGCAACTGAGTGATCAGACAAGCTAGAAGAGCTAGTCAAAGCCGCAGTGGCAGCCACTGAAGAAACCGAACCAGCAGTGATAGTAACAGGATAGTATTCCATTTCGGTCTGGGCGTACATGTCTGTTTTGACGCCTGGGGAAACGGCACCAGTTCCGCTTACCTTGTGAATACAGGTTGCCGTAGTGGTGCCCCCAACAGAACACCCATGTGAGACAAAACTAGACTTATTAGCTGTCGAACCTTCTGTAGACAATTCCAGGTCCAAACGGGGTCTTACACATCTGACTGTGATAAACTGAAGAACCAGCCCGCTGTCTTGGGGCCTTGAACGGCCGTGAGATCTACCCCCCCTCCACAACCGAATCCGTCAGTCCCATGCCCACATAATGAATAAGTGGTCGCAGCAGCATTCTATCAAAACCCCGTCAGCGTAGACAACAGCATGGAGCACGTCAGACTAACTCCATCCACAATAGAAGCCGCCAACCACTGCGGATCAATCTCCGGGAGAAACATGGAGACAACAGCGTTCTCCGCAGAGCCCAACCCAAGAAGTGCCCAATACACAATAGTGGAGGCTTTCATCTTTTGGTACTATGAGGTTGAGAATAAAATTAAGAAATGAAATTTTTTTTCCCTGAAGGATGCTCGACGGATCTCTTCTAGGTGGTAACTGTCTTAAGCGAACAAGTTTTATAGCCGGGCCCTAGCCCAAGAAGGTATTTGGATTGACTCCACCAACCAACCACAGGGATTAGATTTTCTGTGGATCAATAATACGGAAAATTATATGGAACGATATATTTGGCCCCCATCCCCAGATTTGGTTAGGTACCTATTCAATCTTCAGTTTTCAGCGCCCCCGGTAGTGTGGCAACGCCGCTTAAGCATATCCATAAGCACTCTTGCTAATTTTAATACGTAAGGAGTGTTTTTCTGATCATAACTTCTGAATTTTGCAAAATTTCCATTATTCATCAGAATTCAGTGAATTGGCAGATAAGAGTTAAGTAGAAGGCATTAGAATCAACTATGTATATGTTCACTTATTAGTCCCAGTCACCCACAATCCAATAACCACATCATATAATATATATTGACCGATTTATGAGGATATTCAATAGAATTAATAGTTGATTTTTCTTGTAATATATTGTCTTTTTATTCTCTTTGCTTCTCCGCCAACTGAATCCAGGTAGGAATAAAGTGGCTATACCTAGTCTTCCATCTCTCAGAATTCTACTACAATACCACCATTCTTACATTCCAGTTTGCCACCTGGCAGAGAAATGGTCTTGTTTTGTCGTTGTCTTTTTGCTGGCTGGCTAATAATTTTTCTTCTCACCAGCAAGTTCCGCCTCGATAATCCCAAACTTGGAGGGCTTTCTAACAATTATATTAGTTGCTCGATACTTTTTGCTCTCCCTACCTTTGGTTATGACTCTATGTGGCCCCCTCACAAAGAATCGTGGGTCTAGTGGACTCAAATTTATTGACCTGTCCGAATGCCGTGCAAATGGAAGTCTTCTACAAGGGTGACAGGCCGTTATCCAAACTCATTTTAACCCTGTGAATGCGTGGAATGCCTATAAAACTAAAGCAAGTATACATGCATAGATCACGCTTAAATAGAATAACTGTATTATTCCCATGTAGCTGCTTGTAATATCATTGAAATTTATAAAGGCATTGTACAATCTCATCAGATTTAAATAGCGACTTGTGGGCAACTCGCTCCAGAACGATTGGAAGACTGGATTCAGCAGCGTTTTTAGCCGAGAGGCTACTCGACGCGCCAGCTCTATGCCGTATTGCCCTTGCTAGTGTCTGCAGAGTAGTTGAAATTTAATTCAGGACAGTGTCCAGTCTCCGCAAGTGTTATGAATGGCATCTTTAATTACATGGTGTGCCCATTCCACGCGGGAGGTACTAACTAGATTCCCAAAACTAAGAACATAGTTGGTCCAGGTGGTTATAATCATAATTTTGTAGTTTAGCAGCCATGTTTCTTAATATAGGCGAGAATCTGACAATACTAAAGTGTCCGCTTTGCTCGGAACAACTGCCATGCAGACTCGGAGTCGTTTTCTGATTTCGCGTACTTCACCTGCTGGTGATCAGGTAGAAGATTGTCCCAGGATGCGGTAACTTTGGTGCAGATATCTTCTGCAGATAAACCACGGTCCTTAATAGCGAGGTCTTTCTTGAACTCTGCCTTGCAGTGTGATAGAATATGTTTGAAGACATGCCAGTAGAGATAAGGTGATTAGTATGGAGTAACATCCTCCGGGCTTCTAGAAGGCTGAGTCCAAATCAGAGATAATAGTTGTAGGGAGTGGGCGTCAATTTTATTATATAGTTCACGAACTCTTTTTAAAGCGCACTTAAAACTTTCTGTATTTTTATTATCTAGGAAATAGAAGCCTACAAACAAGGACGGCTAAATTGTTGTGACTTCCACTATATAAAAAGGGTATGTTAAAGCGATTTGTCTTGTAAGTTAATTCCTAAAGCAAAACTGCGAAACTCGACGGCAAGATCTCTAATAATCCTCGGTAAAAACTAGGAGGGTACGATTTTCGTCCTTACCAGTGTAAATAATATCGATAGTTGGAACTGTCTCCAAGCCTCATTAGCAAGAGGGCTGGGTAGGACTAAGTCCATAGAGTCGGCGGATATTTATTCCAACCTAAACGTTAATTATATCGAGCTTAATTACAGGTAGCCCAGTTTTCAAGCAGGCGTCATAAATAGCTGTAAGAGGCATGCCCTTTAACGATTTCAGCTCAACAATTTCTTGGACTCCACGATTCTAAGAAACACTTCGTACAGCCGAGACAGCTCTAGGGTCCAAGACTGAGTCATGATAATGAGGTCTGAGAGATGATGAGATTCAACTGGCTCGCAGTCTTGACAAGCCGACAGAAGTAGCCTCTAAAGGGATTTGTGTGCTGTGATAATTATGGGGTTATCTCACGTATCGAAACGCCCACTGGCCTCACTAGGTAAATAAGAGGCATCTTGATAATAACATATGCCATGCTACAGGAGAACACAACCTACAGTAGCCCCAATCGGAGAAATTGGTTGCCAAATTCCAGAAAGTAGTAGTCTGCATACACCAAACCAGTATTACTGGAGCGAGTACTGGCGTACTCATTATTATTAATCGTTGCGTTCATAAGAATAGTCTCCCAACTGTCTGGCGCCATGGACAAATCTACTGTCTCAGTCACGATTTGCAGAGCATGTTCCAGATATGGGGAGTCCTCGCGGAGGATCTGATGAAGCAAGAGAAGGCCGTTGGCAGCGACAAGACCGGCTGAAGTGTCACGTGGAGGAAGACTATCGCCAACGGTAGGAGCATCAAAGTCCCATGGAGGGACGAAGGGACAAGGTTGTAAAGACTCCTTAAGACGCAGGATAAAGTAGTCGGCTAGGCCTTTTGCTGTCTGCAGAAATATAGGGTCTCTGGTCCACTGGTATGTTTGAGCGTACCCTAGGATGGCCCAGGCTTGGCCTCTACCCAGACTTAGCTTTGCAAGGAATAGGAAAAAAGGAAAATAGTCCTACCTGCTCCAAGTGGACCAGTCCTTGTAACCCTGGACAGTCTCTTGGAATTTAATATCGCCGTTTTCTGGGTTAATGTTACAGCAGTGGAAGGTCGAAAAATCATCTCGCACGATGTTGTGCAGCACGGTGTGTGCATGAGTCGTTGCAATATTGACCAGTGTTTGGTTCCGTGTATGGTAGCCGGCATAGAAAAGTAAATCTAGGTCTAAATACGCTGTTAGATGATGCTACCCTCGTAGTGGAACCGTACATACTGCACATGCTGTCGACAATAACCAAGAAGTTGGACTCTTGATCTGTGATATTATGCCGCTTGTTAACTAGGCTATTCCAACTGCGCAGAGCACGCACTCGGGAGTTGTATCGGGCTGATAAGCTATGCGCCGCTGTAACAATTGCATGGAGGCTTTTGCTATTCCCTGTTAATTCCCAGTCTTTGCGCAGCGCAGGAAGCATCAGAAACCCCATGTCATGGGTGTTTGTTCGGTGGGCCTGCTGGTATAATGGATCTGACCATTGACGTGACATATGGAGAAGGCGCTCATGTACATTGACAGGGCTTATTCCGCCGGCCTGAAACTGGTGTGGGAACCGAACGCTTCTTTCCAACAGTGCATACAGAGAGCCCGGGAAGAAGCCACTGGTCCATGCGGAAATGTCACTGAACACATAGGCCCCTGCATTTGGGTCCGTTCCCGGGACATTATCAGGAAACTTGTCAGGAAGCTGAGGTAATGAGTACCACATGTTTTGATGGGGTAGTAGAGCCATACTTGATTAATCGAACCCGATGCAACCTGCCAAATTTTTGACGTTGTCATCTGAGAGAATAGCTGCGGAATGTTGACGGGCTTCTCACTCTCCGACCTTGGCGATCGCCAGGAATGCAAGGCCTCTATACAGAATGGGAGTGGGAACAATCCCAATAAATGCAACCTCATTTTGCTGTTGGCATATAACATGCTATCAGGTGTCCATCGGCGGGATAATTTAATTTATACTGCGACGTCATGAATCATGCCGTAACTACCGCGCTTGGTACGGCAGCATGGCACTTTAATTCCACCTATAATACAACCCGAGCTAGGTCATGCGCCAATCAACGAGTCAGAGTCAGAAAACCAATATGGTTCACTTCAAATTTTGCGGGGAACGCGGGGAAGACCGGCAAGTGGCGGAGAAGGTTGCAGTCGTTCGCGATGACGATGTTGCACTGCCATTTGAAGAACGATAAACGTAGGATTACATATGGCAGGAAAACGTATTGCATTTGCCTATTCTGTGTCCGATCTGCGTGGCCAGATCTATTCCTTGTACGCTGGTTCGAAATGAAATCTTCTTGCGAACATTCCCGCTCGTAGGAACGTTTCAGCAGCGGACGTACTGGAGACACCAGCTTAGGAAAATAACGCGTGCGGTATATGCTCTTAGGTTAATTATAGTCGACTGTCTGTCATTTTCATGTGGGAGTTGTGGGTTTATAGGGCGTTAATTGACCTCGAGTTCTTGCTTCATTGGCGAAGCGCCTGCATACCTAAACGTTTCAAAGTTGGGCTGCAACAGGTTAATAGAACTTTGAATTGTTTGAATTCGATTGAATTGAATAATAGGTTAATTACAATGCCCTGTGTTACTCATCGCCAGCTAGAATACGTTACTTGTACCTATTAGTAATATTAGCCTAGGGCTGAGAAATGACAGATACCCTGCATACTTCCACCACTCTCACATGTTGGTTTGATCTGGTTCAGAGCTGGCCTTCCACATCTACATGGCGCCGGAATATACTTTTCATCTCTAACTCGCTCCAGAGAAGACCATTTTCCCAAGCTATGATTCCCGCACTGTGTATTGACCATGATGACGTTTTGTATTAGGGCGTGACTGTAAAGGTCAACTCATATACGGAGGTCTCTTATGCTATGATAACTAGCTCGGTCACATTCACTGAAACCAGATATTAATCAGAGAGTGGAGAGGACTTTTGTGCCAAAGTGTTGAGACCCAACGGCGAAAAATGGGTTATATCAACATCCTTTATGGGATGTCTTAGGACTGCATGCACACATTGTTAAATAATCCCACGCCGACAATTGAGAATATATCGTCTTCCTCCGTCCCTAAGGCCTCGCGGTAAACAGACACACACCATTTGTCAATATGGCGAACTTGTCGAAAGCAAATCAGACAATACTATATTGATGTCGAGCGTGTATGGCAAGAGATAGACAATGCATTAATCCCAGTAGCATATAGGAAATGACCGATCGGCTGAACCAGAATAGAGCAGCATCTCCTGTTAAAGTCAAATCCCACTTAAGCTCTGGAAACAAATCATACGAGTGGGTTGAGCATGCCTGAAGCTCTTCGATGGCTCAATCACGGTCCAAGACCGCCTGCAAGGGATGGCGGTGTGCACATTTGGTCGAGAGATTTCCCTACTCACAATCCCCCGGCGATCTTACTTAGCAGCAAGGAATTGTTCGTTTACGTCACGCTGGCCCATATTTCGGACGATTCAAGGTGGACTGTATGATGGAAGAATTCCTAGACTAGACTGGCTCCTGTTATGACTACGCTGAAGTTTACTCTTCAGCTTTCGTACTTCGTTGCCCCCAACCAATTGTTCGAAGCGACAGGTCTATATCTATACATGTATAGTACATACTACAGAAGTGTTGAGAGTAAATTGTAAGTAAAGCCAGTTGGAAATAGAGATAGTCTCATCCCTTGATTGTGATGCGTTGGCAGTCTATGAATGAATATTTGGGCGTCATGGCAGACCGCCCATTCTGCAGGAACGCAAGGGCGGCCTCCATGCATTTATGATTGTGCTAACCCGAAATCCCAAACCACACGCAATCAGGCCAGCCTTGAGATAATATCAGTGAAGTCTAACACGAAGAAGGTAGCATAGAGCTAGCCACGCGCATTGAGCAAGTTATATGGAATCAATCCCGCTTCTCTTAGGAGGGAGCCTATTAACTGCAATTGTGCCTGGCACAGAAAAGTTTGGTAAGTTTTCAACCGCAAGGATAACTATTGCAAAAGCTTCGGCCAAGTCAAAAACGGATAAGAGCCCAGCCGGTGAAAGAAGGGCGAGCTAAGTCAACATCGACCACTGCTCAAGACGCACATGTTGTCCTCCTTGATACGTACGCATCCGCGCCAAATCATACTGCTTCCATATGGCGTTGACTCCAGATACATCCAACTCGGCAGCGACCATGGAGTCGAACCGATTTATCCAAGAGCCTATTGCAGTCGTGGGCATGGCATGTAGGCTTCCAGGGCATAGTGACTCGCCCCACAAACTGTGGGAGTTTCTGATGCGCAACGGAGTTGCGAGAACAGAGGTCCCGGAGTCACGATTTAACCTGAAAGGATTCTACGATGGTACAGATAGGCCTCGCACCATGCGATCACCAGGTGCTATGTTCATGGAAACAGTCAACCCGGCAGAGTTCGATGCTTCGTTTTTCAACATATCCCCCCAAGAGGCTACTGCTATGGACCCACAGCAACGGATATTGTTGGAAGTGATATATGAGGGCTTGGAAAGCGCTGGTATATCCTTGGAGTCGATAGCCGGCGAAAACTATGGCTGCTATGTTGGGGCCCATACAGGAGGTAGGCACCAGATGGTCACCAGAAATCGTCCAGAGAACTTACGGCTGTCCCAGACTATTGGGATGTGTTTTCGCGGGACCCAGATTCACGTCCACCAAACGCCGGGATTGGTGGCTCAGCAACGATGCTCAGCAACAGAGTCAGCCATTTTCTAGACATCAAAGGCCCGAGGCAAGTTAAATCTCTCCACGTGGTAGAGCGTACATACTTATAAATGTCTAGTATGCCGATTGATACCGCATGCTCTAGTTCACTGGTTGCTCTGGACTTGGCGTGCAAGTCCCTACATATCGGAGAGATCAGTGGAGCGATTGTGGCAGCGTCTAGTTTGGTTCTGAAGCAAGTGAGATCCCGCAGTATTTAGGTACTATGTAAACTGACTGCATGCATTAGTCCGGACTACGGTTGTGATGGTACGTATTGTGGCGGCTGGGATGTGGCCAGTTCATGCTGACATAGTTCAGCTGGCGCAATTAAGTATACCCACTCGCCAACTGGACAATGTCACACTTTTGATGCCAAAGCAGACGGATATATAAAAGCAGAAGGGATAAATGTGGTGATCTTGAAACGTCTTGATGACGCTATTCAGGACAGAGATCCCATCCGCGCGGTGATCCGAGGCTCAGCCAACAACCACAATGGCCACACGGCCGGAATTGCCTCGCCAAGTTCTGAAGTCCAGGCTGCTGCAGTGCGTCAGGCGTATTCAAACGCCAATATCACAGATTACTCTCTAACAGCATATTTGGAATGCCATGGAACTGGAACCATGGCCGGGGACCCGGTGGAAGCAAAGGGCATTGCTTCAGTCTTCGCAGCATCGCGGGCTGTTCATCGACCCCTTCATATTGGATCGGTACGAAAGACGTCCAGACGGTGAATAGAAGACTTACTTGTTTCTCCAGATCAAAAGTAATATAGGTCATTCCGAATCTGCCGCGGGTTTATCTGGCCTAATGAAAGGTATCATGATACTTGAAAAGGGAATAATACCAGGGAACCCCACTTTTAATACACCAAACCCAGAAAGCAAGTACTCCCTCAGTTTAAATTCTTAGCATAAATGTTGATCTTAATGTTGGGCAGTTGATTTCCAAGGGTTCAGGCTAGACGTCAGTCAGACATCCATACCGTTCCCAGATATGCCGTTTCGACGCATCGGCGTCAACTGCTTCGGCTTTGGGGGGTCAAATGCGCACGTTATCCTTGACGAGCCAAGTGCCTTAGTTTCAGATTACTCCCCTGCATATGCTAGCTGTTATGAATCTTCTGACGATATAGGACCACTGCACGATGAGAACAGCCCTCGGCCGTACTTATTATGCTTTTCCGCAAATAAGGAAAAGTCACTCCGAGATTATGTTAAAAGGTTGGCGCAGCATCTGCATAATCCGCTTGTCAAAGTCAAGCCTCGGGACATAGCATATACATTGGGTACACGCAGAAGCCATTTATTCCACCGAGGCTACATTATCATGAACCAGTTGGACGACGTGGATCCGATAGCTATCTCATATGGAAAAAAACACTTGCAGCCTCCAAGGGTAGGATTTGTATTCACCGGGCAAGGCGCCCAATGGCCGGAAATGGGTCGAGACTTGCTAAAGTTTTTCGCACCTGCCAAAGAGGTCATCGGGCACTTGGATGCTGTGCTCCAGCGACTTCCAGATCCACCAAACTGGACCTTACTAGATGAATTAACTGAGCCGCGTGATCCTAAGCATATCAGACAACCAGAGTTCAGTCAGCCCCTCGTAACTGCGCTACAAATAGCTCTTCTGGTGGTACTGAAACACTGGGGAGTTTGGGCCCAGACTGTCGTTGGTCACTCATCGGGTGAAATTGCAGCCGCATATGCAGCTGGATATTTGTCAGATGAGGAAGCAATACTGCTCGCATATCATCGCGGTCAGTCCTGTCAGGATACACAACTGCAGAAAAGCCTATCCCTGGGAATGCTAGCCGTTGGCCTTGGACCGGATGAAATTTCAAACTACCTGTGCGACTCGAACGATGTCGAACTTGCATGCCGCAATAGTCCCACAAATGTGACGCTTTCTGGCACTGTTGAAGCTTTGGAGCAGTTAAAACAGAAGCTTGAGAAGAATGGGTCATTTGCACGAATGCTGCAGGTCGACCTGGCTTACCATTCGACTTATATGCACGAAATCGGAGAAGCATACAAGGAGGCTGTAAGCCGAGATTTGCCCATGGTTTCTTCTCCAGATCCAGTATCAGATGATGTGGTTATGTATTCCTCCGTGTCTGGCCATATGCAGGTCAAAATGCCCGATGTGGACTACTGGAAAAATAATATGATCTCCCCTGTCCGCTTTAGTGATGCCGTTGGCGAACTGCTAGCATCCAAGGAACCTCCAAACTATCTGATCGAAATCGGGCCGAGTGGTGCTTTAAAGGGACCGGTATCGCAGATACTAAACGCTCTGGGTTCGACAAACATAAAATACATTCCAGCTCTTCACCGCGGAGAGGGCGCAATTAATTCCACACTTGGGGTTGCTGGAGAGCTATATCTTGCAGGCGCCCCTATTCGGATGGAGCTAGTGAACGAGGATTCTCAACCATTGTATCCATTGACTTTAATTGACCTCCCCAATTATTGCTGGGATCACTCAGATAAGTATTGGTTCGAATCTCCTGCAAGCGAGGACTGGCGATTTCGGCCATTTCCTCATCATGATCTCCTCGGTAGTAAGGTTCTTGGAACGCCCTGGTATAATCCGACTTTTAAGAAAACCATGAGCCTCACTCACCTACCGTGGTTGCGCGATCATCGACTTGGATCAGATGTTATATTTCCCGGATCTGCGTATGTTGCAATGGCTGTCGAAGCTATATACCAAGTAGCCTCGGTTCGACAACCAAATGCCATGGTATCAAGCTCAGGCGACCTGGGCTACCGTTTGCGCAATGTTCGTTTTGACATGGCTCTTGTCTTGGAAGACGGTGATGAACCAGATGTATACCTTACGATGAATCCATTTCCCGGGTCAAAAGAGTCTTGGTATGAGTTCAAGGTCTTTTCAATACGGCAAGGTGTGACGAGCCACCATGCAAACGGTATGATCCGTGTTCATGAACCCGTCGTCGACCCAGCCCCCCGAGAGGACATTGCACCTCTAGAGCATCCATCACCGGGCCACCTGTGGACAAAGGCTTTTGCAGAATTGGGTTTCAACTATGGGCCAGCATTCCACCTCCTTCAAGAAGTAGAGAACCGCACTGGCATGAGGCGTAGTCGGTGTACCATCACATTGGCAGAACCTGTTTCAGATCATGAGTCCCAGTCACATTATCCATTCCATCCTGCTGCACTGGATGGCGTGTTCCGGGCCACAACACCAGCATCGGTAGCCGGAAAGCGCGGTGCGATACGCGAGACATTAATTCCGGCAATGGTCGACGACTTTATCATAAACCCCAATCCGAACCGTCCGGATGTCGGAATAGCTGTATCGTCAAGTTATTACTCTGGCAGAGGACGAAAAGACGCAGCAAAGAGCTATTTAGGTGACACCACGGTATACAACCCAGCCACAGGGGATCTACTAATACGGATGACCAAGCTTGCCAGCCATAAGATCAATTTAGGGGTTGATCCATTGTCCCTGCAAACTTTGACGCATGAGGTCTTTAAGCCGGATATCAGTACTCTTTCACAGGAGTCGATTCAAAAACTGGGAACCTACTACGAGGATCATGTGTCGGGGATATTGGAATTGGCAGCACATAGAAAGCCCGGCTTAGATGTCCTCGAGATTGATCTGGACACGGGTGATCTCGAAAGCCCGTGGCTTGATTGGCAGCATAAGACCGAAAGTCAAGCGGGAAAAAGCTATCGGTTTATGGCGCTCGATTCGGCCAGCATTGCAGACGTCAAGTGTCAATATGATCATTATGCAGACGACTCGTTCCAGGTTCTGAATCCTGAAGAGACTCGATTGGGCCTAGATGCAGAAGTTGTCTTTGATTTGATAATTCTCAAATGTGTTTCACCCTTGTCTGATAGGGCATCCTCCGTCGTCGAGAAAGCTAGTTCATTGCTTTCTACTGATGGCCATATATTGGCACTTGAATTATCGGCCCCCGGGCGTCAGATAAATAGCAAACGCTCGCTAAGAGGCAAGCTTACGGGCCTCGGCTTTCGCAAAGTCCTTTCTGTGCCAGGTAAAATGGGTACTATATTCCTATGTTCGGCATCTCCTCCACGAACGCAGAACGTGGAAACAGCCGCAACTCTTCACAGTGTCGTCTTTGGTGACGGTGGTTATATCCCTCCCGTCACGCGTGAGAATCTTCAACGTGCTGGCTGGCAGGTTAATGAACACCAATGCCCTGATGAGAGCGTTCCAGAGGGCGCCACTGTCTTGGTAATCGATGAGGTATTCTCGTCCTTGCTCACGCACATTTCCGAAGCGCAATGGATCTATCTTCGCCGGTTAGTTACCAGTGGCTGTAGGATACTGTGGGTGACGCAGGGAGCTCAGCTCGCAGTATGTCAACCCGACAACGCACTGGCCGCTGGTCTCTTTCGCTCCATTCGGTCAGAGGATCCAAATGCAACAATTATGACACTCGACGTTAGATCCCGCGACTTGGACCAGGCAACGCCACACATCCTGACAGTACTGGACCAACTCAGGCAACCTCAGGCTCGATGGATAAGTGACAGCGAGTATGTGGAACGGGACGGCATCCTTCACATACCGCGTGTCGTGCCATTTGGGCCATTGGCCCACGAGGTCAAGGAACACATAGCCAAGCCAATCCCCAAATTATTGTCTGAAAACGAGCCGCTTACCCAGCTGAGAGCAGAGTACGTGGGTACGTTGGACGCACTACAATTTGTCGAAGTATGTGAGGGACCCCTTCCAGAGGGCCACGTTGAGATTGAGGTGTGTGCAGCTGGCCTTAATTTCAAGGATGTCGCTGTCACAATGGGAATAGTCCCTGAAAACGAGCATTTGCTAGGACTTGAGGGGTCTGGTATCGTTCGCCGCACTGGGCCTGGAGTTGGTGAACACTTGTGTCCTGGAACACATACAGTATTTATGGCAAAGGGGGCACTTGCCAACAGGATATATGTCCCGAAAGAATTCACAGTTCCTATCCCTCATACCATGCCCTTTCATGAAGCAGCAACAATGCCCGTTGTGTTCTGCACGGCTCTATACTCGTTATTTAACACAGGCAACCTTCAACGGGGACAAAGTGTGCTTATCCATTCTGCTGCAGGTGGTGTTGGAATGGCCTGCATCCAGCTTGCCAAATATGCCGGGGCGGATATTTATGTGACTGTTGGAACGGAACAGAAGCGTCACACTCTTCATAAGAAGTTTGGGATTCCTTACGAGCGTATGTTTTCCTCACGATGCGCCGGGTTTGCACTAGATATTATGAAGTCAACTCAGGGGAGGGGGATTGATGTTATTGTCAATTCTCTCACGGGGGATTTACTAGATGCTACGTGGCGCATCTGTGCTGATGGTGGAACCATGGTTGAAATCGGGAAGCGAGACATCGTGGAACGGAACTACCTCGCCATGGAGCCATTTGATCGAGGATGTTCATACCGCCCCATTGACCTGTCCCATCCCATCGGACTGCAAAAGCTACCAGTGTAAGTACTATTATGTAGTAGCAATTTTTCGCTAACGAGCATTGTCAGCCTCCTGAAGCGCGTTTTCGAGTTGCTTGCCGACAGCCATATTACTCCCATCACACCCATCACTACCTTTTCTATGAGCCAGGTTCCTGAAGCCTTTGCGTATCTGCGCAGTGGCCGCCACGTTGGAAAAGTGGTTATATGCGATAAGCCCGAAGAGGAATCCAAAGTTTTAATACGGCCATTGCAGCGAGATATTTCTCTCCGGGAAGGAGTCGCCTATCTTATAGTTGGGGGACTCAAGGGGCTTTGCGGCAGCCTCGCTGTGCATCTCGCTCAAAGAGGAGCTCGCCACCTGGTCGTTCTATGTCGTAGTGGGTGCGAAGATTCTCGTTCTCAGAAGGTAATCTTGAATTGCCGCTCGCTTGACTGTAAGGTACACGTCTGCCGTGGCGACGTGCTGCGGACCCTGGATGTGCGACGAGCCTTTATGCGAGCACCAGTGCCCGTTGGAGGCGTGGTCCAGGGTGCCATGCTTCTTCGTGACCGGCCATATGAGATGATGACAGTTGATGAGTATCATCAAAGCATTGAGGGCAAAGTGCAAGGGACTTGGAATTTGCACCATGTGTCACTGGAAAGGGGCCAGGCACTTGACTTTTTCCTCCTGCTATCCAGTATTTCAAGCGTGGTGGGCAGCAAAGGCCAAGCCAACTATGCTGCTGCCAATAGTTTCTTGGATTCATTTGCTGCATACCGCCGATCGATGGGCCTGGCCGCCCAGACAATCAATCTAGGGGTGGTAGAGGATGTGGGTGTGGTGGCTGAATCGGATGAACTCAGCAAGCGACATCAGGGATCCAACGAGTTGACCAACATCCCAGAGGGAGTGCTGCATGACATTGTTGACTGCTCTCTACATCAACAGTTCTCTTCTAATGAGCTATCACTGTGTGCTGATAAAGATAAACATCCCACGGTCCCACCTCGGCTTATTACAGGCCTACGAGTACCTCAGGACCCCAGGCAGTCTGGCCTTCGCTTCGACCCACGTTTCCGAGGGTTATTTATGGGCCGATCCACCGCATTTGAGACTGGGACAGGAGCCAGTGATGGCGACATCCTGGGCAGTGCGGTACATGCCTTCCATACTCTTGTGCGATCTGGCGCGGTTGGTGAACAGCTTCTCGAGTCATGCGTGCAAGTCCTAGCAACTCGATTAGGTCAGATGCTGCGGTGGGGTGAAGACCAACAGATCGAGCCGGAGAGACCACTGTCGGTATACGGATTAGACTCCCTATCAACTGTGGAGCTCCGAAATTGGGTCAAAGCACAAATGGGAGCGGAGCTGACCACCTTTGATATTGTTCACGCGAATAGTTTAATCATGCTCGCAGAGAGGCTGTTAAGTAAGATGCGACGGGAGTGAGATTAATAACGCTCTGTCGATTGTGCTGGACGAAGGAAAGAGAAGACGCAAGAAGAGAAAGAAGGAAAACAGAAAGGGAAAACGCGTGACTAGCACCAGGGTTGGTCTAAGGTAGCAATGCCTGTTACCGAGGCGAATTAATGTTTCACTTTTGTCAGTAGCTAGAATGAATGCCTTTCACAGTTGTCTCCTCTCGTCTCTTTAACTCGTTTTGTCTATAAGACCGGGCCACCGGATGACTCGACCAGCCGAATATCCAAGGCAGTCATTTGCCCGCTCGTTTACTCTTACTTCGTTAGTGAATTCTTAGCCTTCTGCCTCGCCACGCAGACCAACCATGTAGATTACCAGAAAAAATACTAACTGTTGCATATATATATGACCCTTCAGCTCACTATTATGGTCTTGATTAATTTATTTGCCAAACTACCGTTTATATCTCTAATATGTTAAGCTCACACTATAGCATTCCACCCGGTGCGTTGGTTCTCGTGACCGGCGCAAACGGCTACATCGCCTCTCATGTTATCAATCTGCTACTCTTTAGTGGTTACAAAGTGAGAGGCACTATCCGTGAGCCAAAGCCATGGCTGGATGACTTCTTTAACGCCAAGCACGGGCAAGACAAGTACGAGTCAGTTGTGATACCAAAGCTAGAAGATGACGGCGCATTGAATAATTGCATGGAAGGTATCTGTGGGGTGCTGCATGTGGTAAGACAACACGACGTGATGGCTGGGTGGGAGGGGATTCCGAGAGCTGACCGTGCCTTTCTTGACATAGGCATCGGATATGTCTTACAATCCTGATCCCAATGTCGTCATTCCAAATGTAGTGGCCGCTACATTGAACGTCTTGGCGGCGGCTGCGAGAGCTCCCTCCGTAAAACGAGTGGTACTAACATCATCTGTCTTGGCTGCCTTGGATGGGAACGACGATGAAATGGTCGCTGATGTGGGCAAGTGATGGCTGTCCAGTCACGGTTTCCTCTGTCAACATAAACTGACTTCTGTTCTAGACATTTGGAATGATGCGGCAGTCAAGGCAGCCTGGAACCCAAGCACTCCGGACACCTTGAAGCCACCAGTGGTATATGCTGCGTCGAAAGTACACGGGGAGCAGGCTGCGTGGAGGTGGATAGAAGAGAACCAGCCTCATTTTGGGTTCAACACCGTCCTTCCCAATATGAATGTGAGTTCAAAATACCGAAGGTGATTTGTGTCATGGCTAAATAGTTATTCCAGTTTGGGAGACTTTTTATGCCAGAAAAGCAACGGTCATCGATGGGCTTCACGCGCAGCCTTTTGCGAGGTGACGATTTAGTGATGAACATAATTCCGCCTCGTAAGTTATGATTCGTTCCCTATTGAACTTTCGAGGTTTAAATGCACAATTTTAATGCGCAAACCAGAGTGGTACGTGGATGTAGAAGACACTGCGCGACTGCATGCAATTGCTCTCCTGCATCCCCAAGTGATATCGGAACGTCTCTTTGCATGTGCAGCTCCTTTCACATGGGACCAAGTCCTCCAGACTATGCGCCACCTTCAGCCGCAGAACAGGTTGATCCCAGATAAAGCCCCCGCGAGTACCAAGAGGGATATTCGAGTGTTGCCTTCACAGCGGGCAGAGAGTCTATTGAAAGAATTCTATGGAAAGCCAGGGTGGACCACGCTTGAGGAGTCCCTTACGGCCGGAATTGTTGACACAGACTAGTCTTGTTGATGCCTGTCCACTAGGATATACCAGGAGTCCCACACTTGCATCTGTCAAATAATATGGCAGCTTATGGCTGTACAGGGCCAGGATCATGACTAAGGCCCTCAACAAGCTAAAGAACATGATACCAAGGACAACAATAATAATCATCAGTATAATCAAGAAAAGCCCAACCAGCTCAAAGCCATCCATTTAAGACCCTTCCAAAAACCGTATCTTCTTTCCTATTTAGTACTAGCCAAATATCCGACAGCATCCTATGGTGTGATCAGCGACATTAGACTGGATTTATTTCTAGTAAATTGAAGGAATGAATGACCCAGCCTATCAGAAAGGGTGTAGTGGATCATGATTAGCCATTTTCTTACGGAGTAGCGGCCATCCTACAAATGGTTCTCGTTCATGTTGCCTGACCTAGATAAATTTCATGCCGTGCTAAACAGTCCCTGAAAAGCGTCACTGCATGTAATATCCTAAATGACAGAATCAGCTGTCTCCATCTTGCCTGGAACTGGGGTAGCTGACAAGAGTACGAAAGAAGCATTGCTGACCACGGAATGCCTCACCTGCCGGTAGGGACACATATTGCAAACCCCAACGTCAGCTGAGGCTAAACTTGGATAGGGTGCGAAAGGTCAAATGTGATGAAGGGAAGCTAAGGTGAGCCCTACATTGAAAAGGCTCACCATCATCTACATTGCGAGCGACCATCCAAATTTATTTCCATAGCTGTCAGAAATGCACATCAACAGGTCGCAGGTGCGACGGCTATGATAGCCTTAAGTCAGCAGCACTAACGACGATTCAAATGCCTTCTTTCTGGTCCTTCTTCCCCGGCGATCACCAGGAGAAGGAGAACTTCCACTATTTCCAATCTGTCATGATCGCGGATCTGACGGGTTGCTGGAAGATGGAATTCCAGAAGATGGCTCATACATGCCCAGCAATATGGCATTGCATGATGGCTCTGGCCTGTATCCATCGCCAGTATCTTACCAGCAGTACACCAGTGACAATCCTGAGGTACAGAAATCCTCATGGCATGGAATTTGCCCTCGCACAATATAACAGGTCAATCCGGTCCCTACGCGAGATGTTGACGGGGTCATGCTCCCGACAGGTGGATAAAAAAGTGATCCTCACCAACTATCTTCTCTTCACCTGCATGTGTAGTTTGCAAGGAAATCAGGTCCAGGCATTCATGCATATCAACAATGGACTCAGACAGCTCAATCAATGGCGTTTGGGTTCAGTCATACGCAAGGAGTCCCACGCTGTCTCCTCAACGGATAGACTTTTATTAATATTTACTCGACTGGATACGCAAGTTTATCCCTAGCAGACATGTCTACAGGGAATACTTGTGTATTGGGACCAACACCTTGCCGCGTATTCAGCAGCGCAGCCAATAGGTGACAAGCCTTAGACCATCTCCATGTACGACGCATGTTCGGACAAGTCATTCTTGCGGCAGATATCACATGTCGCCGAGGGTGAGCTAGCCCATGACGATCTGCTATTCGAACACATGCATTTACTCAATGTGGCCACTCGGGTCCTCGAACATCCCGAGTCCACGGGCACAAACAATCCAGGACCATCGTTCTGACTGGTGGCGGCAGCAAGAGAGCCACTGTTTTGGATTGGCGCTCGGTGTCGCGAACCAGCTGTTCGTCGACGGGCTCTCCGTCTTCTGCAACGGTTTCCTCGTCGAGGAGGAGTCTGCGAGACCATGTTGGTGTGCCAACCATTGAGCGTATCGTTGAGATCGAAGAGACTGGTTACCTGATAGAGCGTGGTAGCCAGGGCTGGGATTGGACAATGGATATGTGGCAATCATCGTGTGTCCAAGATACAGTTTTCCTGGTGCTGAGCAACAGGTGCGCGTTGTGTTGAAGACAGCTGAGGATGTGGCTTTATCTGGCCCAGGGACTGAAATGTTTTCTTCGTGGTGTTAGTATTACTCTGGGAGTATTTTCCTTAGAAACCCGAAACCCGGCCATTAATACATATATGTTACTTCAAGCCGCATGGCCTGTACCACACTCCCATAAATATGTGGTTAGATTGTTTTCTACCACCAGGCGACGAACCTTGGAATTTCTTTTATCCAAGACCATGGAACAGTTGGTAAATGTGTAGTACCTGAACGATACCTTTTTAATTCCTGAAGCTATTCCCAGGATATAAAGCCTACTTCAACTGCAATTCTCCACCCTCAACGACCAACCGCACAATATTCTTATTCAAGCCAGGCCAGTGTCTCCGGCCGCGGAGAAACCAGTACACAAAAGCAAACAACGTCGTGCCACCAAAAATTGGCAACGCGTAGTTCATATTCTCCCCCGTCACAGGCCGATACGCAGGGAAACACAGCCAGATAGTCACATACGCGGTGTAAATAAGGGCGAAGATGTTGACGGGAAGTCCCCATCGGCCCATGTTCCAGGTGCCCACGGGCACTCCATCCTGGCGGAATCGATTCAAGACCATGCAACTGATGGCGATGAAGTAGGATACGAACAGACCAATTGAAGACAAGGCGACAAAGGCCCCAAATGCGGCAGAGCTAGGGATATTGAGACACGCGAGGACCATAACGATGAACACGGGAAGCCACACTGCGCGAACGGGCACATTGTGTCTACGATCCACCTAGTATAATATCAGCATCATGTTCCGGAAACAGGATCGATCACACCAACATATGAGAACCACCGAGGAAGCGCGCCATCTCGTGCCCATGCCCAAGTTAGCCGCGAGACCGACGCAATACTGGCCAGATTGACGGACAAGGAAATGACCAAGAGACCGCACACCATTGCCGTGGCGGTCTTGACGGATCCTGTCGCGTGCTCGCAGATGGCGATAATGGGAAAGCTGGCCTCCAGGGCCTTGTCGATGGGCCCCATCGTGAACAGAGTGCAGATCACGATTGAATAGGCCAGAACGGCGTTGGTGGCAACCGTCCAGAAGATCGACCGTGGGACCGCCTGGCGCGCTCGGCGGACCTCTTCGCTCATATGTACCGCCCCGTCGAATCCTGGAGCAAGGAGTTAGTTGGCTCGCGGTTGATGTACCGTAAGAAATACTCTACTGACCGACGAATCCCCAGGTCGGTGTTAACAGTCCAATGTTCCATGAAATAAATTTATCCGTCCAGCCTGACTCAGACTGGGTTGTCAAGAACACGTAGTCGGCAGTGTGTCGTGGAGCTAGCGCAGCAAAAACGACCAGGAATATGATGAACATGACAACGTGAAGCACTCCGGCTAACAGCTCAATCCAAGGAATCAGCCAGAAGGTGTACATGTTCATCAGTCCTTCCACGATCAGCATTGCAAAGATAATGAGGGTAATGTGCCATCGCTTTGGGTCATAGTCAGGGTAATTGACAATGGCTAGCCCCTGTATCATCGTCGCCGTCGTGTTGGCTACACCGGCGAGAAGCGACACCCATGCAAACCAGGTGATCCAACCTATACGTCATATCAGTTCCCGAAGAGTCGGATTGATTTACTACCGAACCTACCCTGCATCCAGGTTATGAATTTCCGCTGGCTCGGAGGTGCCAGATGATGCGTCCAGTGATACTGCGCACCTGCAATAGGCTGCATTGAGGCCATCTCTGCCAACGAGGCCGATTGCGCCAGGGCTCCAAAGACCACAATTACGATCCCCCACACCAGCGCCTCCGGACCTCCGTTGGTGAGCACAGCGTTCAGGTTCCTGGTCGGAGATTAGCGCACTGGGATCCAGTATCCAGTGAATTGCTGAATTGTTGCATACAAGGCCTGACTCTCCCAACTCGACATGAACGTGAGTGAGAAGAAGAATATCTGTGTGAAGCTGAATAATCGCTGCGAGGGTCAACTTTTAGCGCCGGACTTCAGTTTGCGCAGGCGACACAATGTCACACCTTGATTTGGGTCTGCTCGGCCATTTCCTTTTGACCAGCATGGCTGGGGTCTGTCGCAGGAACAGCGAGCTCCCTGAGGGATGGCGATGCGGCATCGACGGCGCAAGTTGTATCTTTATATGAGCGGGTGGTGGCTAATTCGTGTTGCTCCATTCTGGCTTGGCGCCGGGTTGATTGTGTGGGGGGCAGGAAGAGAGACTGACAGGCACCGCAGCAATTAATACCCTTCACCACCCCCTAAAATGAACAGAAGAGAAAACGACGCTGGTAGACCGGAAGAGACGGAGGAGAAAGGGATAAAAAAGTCAATCCCACGGATTAGACCGAAGCTCCAGACTCTGCATTAGTCCTATGCAACCCAGCCCTAGCCGATCGGAGCGATGTTACCATCTCCGCAAGACTAACGACCATCCTGGTCGACGCCAGTCTCTAGCATCTGGTCGCGTTTCGGAGACGCTGGGGTCATGGTCGGACTAGGACGAAATCGAAATTAACGAGACTGGTCTAGTTAAGTCGTACTTAGTGCTGTGCTAGGCAGCCGGATATATTGGCCCCAATTGGCCATGCACCATCATCCTTAAAGAGTACGGGGACGTCCATTGCCTTCCCATTGACATGGGATATTATGTCTCGTGGAATGACGATGCTCCCACCGCTCCTTCCAGTCACCGACAGCGATCATGGAGCATGGGTAGTCACGGTGGCCACTATCCTGTTGATTGTGGTCCTCGGGGTGACCATAGTCACATTGGTCTCGCGGCTTCGCATTCTTCGGAAGATTTCCTGTGGGGATGTCGTTCTTTTAATAGGAACAGTGATTTCTCTCGGTGACCTACGCTAGTTACTCCACGTACACACACTGACTTTTGTCGATCAGCTTCTCTTCTTCCCTCAAACCGTTTGCATCAATGTCGCCAGCAGAAATGGTCTCGGGCAACATCGACGCGCTCTTAGCGATGAATCGTATGAAACGTATAGCAAAGTCAGTTCGGACTCAATCCGCGATAATGACACCACTGCTGACCATCTCGAGTCCCTCTATGCTAGTCAGATACTTTCCGTCGTAGTGCTGGCCTGCTCTAAAGCGACCGTAGCACTCCTTGTGATTTCAATTGAGCCATTTACGACCATCCTCCGAGCGTGCAAAATTGTCCTAGGGCTGATCGGTGTCTGGACATTGGTCGGGATCATCACACTGGCAGCACAGTGTACACAAGCAGACACATGGGATTTGGAGTCCAGCCGGTGTGTTAACCAGGAAGGGCTCTATATTGCTCTTGGTGTGTTCCATATTCTGCTAGATATCGCGATCGTCGCGATCCCAATTGCCCTGATGTGGAGGGTGCAAATGATCGGGTGGAAGCGACGTCAAATATCGGCTCTCTTTGCGCTTCGCTTAATGTGAGAGATAGCGCCTTTATAACTTATACCTGTCTGCACGAAGGTCTGATGATAGAAGTGTAGTGTCCCTGTCATTACGATCCCTGGCTTACTCTCCTTGACATCCTCTTTTCATACGGACCCCCTTGACCGGCCTTGGAATGGGGTTATGCCAGCCATTTGGTTACAGCTAGTGCAGAGCTCGTCCATATTATGCACCTGCATTCCGAGTCTGAAGCGAGTTCTCGCCGACCTCCAAACTGGAATGATGGCCGGAACGATCTCAGAATTTTTTGAGCTGTCGGTTTCAGGCGCCCACAGCACCGCAGGGGGTCCCAATTCGCGGTCTAGAGGCAGACGACATCCATATGTTCCAGGACCAGTTGCTCTCGCTACGAATGTCACAGGCAACTGGAGTGAAGATGCAGCGCACCCGAGCTCCAGCAGGACACTTCTGCGCCCCAGTGAGAACCTTCCAAAACAGAGGGGTGATGCTACTGTGCATACAATAGGATACCAGGAGAGCCATGATGGGTCCCATTCCAGGGCATCGTCAAGTAGCCGGGATCTGGCTCCACATTGCGCTGAGAGATGCAGGCTATCCTCGGACAAGGCGGGGCAACAGTAGCATGGGCCATTTGAGTTATTTTGGAGGGTTGAGTCGGCAATTTCCATCATGGTTTGATCATTCTAAGTTAGCCCAGGAGTGCGCTCGTAGTCGATTCCCGAAGCATCCGTTTGTATCCGAGCTATTCGCGATAGTATCCTGCGAAATGGATCCCAGTTCGGGTCCCGATGCAACTAGCCACGGAGAACGGAAGAGAGATTGGTAATATCCCCGATCGGCCCCCAGTGCGAAGAGTCTTTATGTCTCATTTGAAACGCGTCCTAAGTTGGCTGTGGCTGCAGCCCGGCCAGTGCGGAATACTCCGCCGTAAACCGCTGTGGATTACGGCCCGTTCCACAATAAAATGAACTACAGATACTTCCCCATTTCCAGTGCCTCTAATTGGAAGCCGTTAGCTCTGCAACGCGGCGCAGGCGCCGCGCACAGAGAAGACAAGAATTTCGTTTCTATAGAGGCATTGGCGTGTCGATCATGGCGCCGTTCGATTTTCATATCCAATGAGAACGTTTATCGATGGCAGTGACATGAGGTGATCCTTGAGGATGATATCCCTGTCAGATTGTCTCAGAAGCGGATAGTAACAATTGGCCTAATTGGTCCCCTAAACGAGGGTTGCAATCAACTCTTCTGTCCATGTAAGGGAAAGTAGAATAGGTCCTTTGGGCGTTCCCACAGTCCGTCAGCAACCCACCCCTTCGTTTTCTAACACCGACAGTGAAGACATCCCTAGCTCACTCCAAATGGCAGAGTCGAATCCCATAGACAGAAGTCTCTTCCTAGTTCTAGAGTCCAGAAAATGCCAACACCGTGGAGACATACTCTCCGATATGAGTGCCTCGCATCACAACAGCGCAACATCCTGGCTACGCGGGCTGCATTTCGCGCCCAGACTTTACAGGGGAGAAAATACCCCTCCCCGTCTTTCTAACTGAGCCAATTGAAAATGACTTTATTCTGAACCTATGCAAGAAAAAATTCTGAAAGTGCAGCCGTTAGGCCGTCCAACTGAAGATTGTATTTGCCGCATGTCCTCAAGTGTCATTTCTGATGGTCGGTAAACAAGGGGTTTGACAGCCAGCACTTTGCGTGCTCAACAAGATCAACTTCGTCGATTATACTCGTACCAGCAAATGAGGCTCAAGAAATGTCCGCCTAGTCAAGTATCAACGGGTAGCGCTCGGACTGGGAGGCATGGCATGATAGAGTTCACGTACACGATCGCTCTATACCCTGCCAAAGATACCAAATGCGACAGGTGACTGGGCTAACAGGGATACCGCAATGAATACGCGCTTGGACAGAGATTCTGTGAGGCTACGTTGGAGCCTGGGTATAGAGCTGAAGGTTACGCGTAGTGTTCAAATTGACTTTGTACGGATAGCATGAGTTACTTGAACACAGGTAATATCCACATCATCCCACGTTCGGCCACGCCGCATCAAAATTCGTGTCGAACCCGTGGAACCACGTTTCGTCAATAAAGGGCCATTGCAGCATTTCCGCTTCCAGGTCATGAGAGTCCATCGTCGAGTGATCACTCGACTGCGCACTCGCCTGAGGGGGCCGGATGCTCCGTCGTTCGTCGTTTGCGGATTCAACTGCCTCAGACATCCTCGCCTCTGGTTTTCGCATGGAGATAGACAGGTCATTTCGGGGGCGTGAGGACCGAATATCTCCGTACTCATCCAAAGTCCCTGCGAGAGTGAGGTGGCTAGGACGGTCGTCCGAAATCTGGCTACATTTGGCCGTTTGGTAAAATTTATCTGCTTCCCGTACTGCACGCCACTGCCCAGGTTTATCAGCAAGATTGAGCCTCCAGAGGTCACAGCAGCCAAAATCTTACCCAGCTATGGCCCACAGGCCAGTATTCACAAAGTCGTTCCAGGTATAAGAAATTAGCTTTTTTCTCCTGCTCCGCTCGTTCCCGCCCACCAGGATACCGCAGTGGGGAAACAGTGCCGTACATATTGATATGGGCGGCAACAAAGACACTGAATCCTGCGTATGGAGTGATAACGGGTGTTTCTGATGCCTCCAAGGCAGACAAAACACCACCGATATTATGTGCAGCTTCAAAAAGTTGGTCAATAACTTCGTCCCACCAAAGTGTTTCTTCCACGTTGTTTAATGGTCGATCCGGATAAGGCTTGGACCCCGAGAGAACACAGTCACGGTGGAGAAAAAGGATGCTATATGGCTCTCTAATTAGTACTTCCCAGCTGGTCTCGACCATTGGACCCTACCTCATAAAATAGACAAGATTTATATAAGCAAAAAGCTCCCCATACCCTAGCGCAACATGGGCCTGTGCGCTTGTTTCGGGATATCGGACCGTTATGTCTTGCAGAGCCCGCCATTCGTCGAGTTCCTCCTTGAGATTACGCCACGTAAGATGCGCGGCCGAGGGAGCGGCGGGCGATGCCGTCTGTCCCCGGCGGCTCTCGTTTGCAAATCGTAAAATGCGAACAAAAATATCAAATCCGCGGGTCACTATTGTCAGGCCCCGGTCGATCGTCAAGTCCGAGGACAGCAGCGCATGGCGATTCATGTTCGCTGGCATCAGTCGAGACGTTGCACGCCGACAAAAATTGAAGTCCTGATCACTTATGGGGAGAGGGACAGAGATCTGGCGGAAAGACAGAGCAAAGTGCTGGCGCGCGCCTGAGCTCAGCTCACAATCTTGCGCAAAGCAGCACCAGTATGTCCGAACTAACTGCTCATACTGGGTTTGGGACGCTTGAAAATCATCCAGATTATGTTCCATGCTGTCATCAGCGGTCTTCAGCAGCGATTGGATCATGTAAGTTGCCATTCCTAGGAGAAGTTAATACCGACACCTATTTGAATCGAGAAATGGCGTGCTACACACCGCTGTACATCCACGCCTTGTAAGGCCGGCCCGAGCCCCATTCGTAGAACGATATCATAACCAGAGATTGCGCCAAATGCAACGAGGGACCCTCAAAGGCCCGGCGCGCTAGCTGTTCGCGCGCATACTCTGCGTAGACGTCTTCCTGTTCTAGATTGTGGCCCGACATAAAGCGCGCACACAAGCAAAGCAACGAGGCTACAAAAACCGGGTCCACGGAGGATGGATTCGTGGATATATCTGCAATCAGTGATGGATAGTGGAGAAAATTGGCTACGGGGAATTTTTTGCGATAGGTGTCGCAGGCGCTGATGATTGTAGCTGGAGCAAGAGCGGCAATTGGATTGGAGGGCACACATTGGCAAGTATGGCTAGAACAAGCATCAGGGGTTGTTTCTGGTCTATTTTCGATCGCTGCTGATGAACTCCTCTCCTTTTTTTGCGTCCGGAGTGAATCTTTCTTTGGCCTCAATGGTGACACTCGAGGGTCTGTCAACACACACGGCTGTTGATTGAGACGTTGACATCGCCGACAGGGGGGATGGCCCTCGTGAATGCATTTAACCTTAGCTTTGCTAGCAAAGAGATCAGTTCCTCATCTTCCAACAGTATGGAGATCTCCTACCGGCAGCCATCACACGAAATCGATAGACGCATGGTCCATCGGCCTTACGGTCGGGAATATCGGGAGAATTTGCAGAAGACCGTCGGGAATGTGCGGGAATATGTCGTTCGATTAGTCATCGCTCGTCCTTCCCTTCACGTTATTAAGAACGAGTAAGAACGAGGATATAGGTGGCGTCCACAGTAAAAGCGGGTCCATCAACAGTCGACAGTAATGGACCCACTTTTACTGTAGACCCAAGCTAACTCTTTGTATGGCGGGGTATACACAACTACTGAGAGTAGGCTGACCGTTGGGAAGGGAAATTCCCATGGGAAATCGGGACGGGATTCCCGTCCCATAAAAACGGGACGATTTTCTAAGATTTTATGGGAATGGGAATGGGAAGGGAATGCCAAGAGATTCCCACTGGGATTCCCCCTTCTTTCTGGATGGGAATTGGGGTAAGAAATGGGATCACACTTACTAATGGGAAGGGAATAGGAATTTGGGAAATTCCCTTGGGATTAGATAGGAACTTCCCATACTAAATCACGTGATCAATAATTACTGTATATACTGTATAGTTACTACTAAAAACTGCTACTTTAAAAATATACTAAAATTAACTAGTCACTTACAACGTTATTGAAGTAATATATTGATCCCTATCAGACAGTGTAACTCCATGTACTATATATTTCTTACTTTCTTGGGCCCTTCTACTATAAAAGGACCCACAGTAGGCTGTAACGGCTATATACTGCTAACCTACCAGAGGAAACTAAGAGGCACCCAAGGGGGAAAAAAACAAAAAATATCAATACAACTTCTCCTGATTTAAGCAGTGTAATTTACAGCCTATATAGGGCTTAGACTAGAACCACAGGCTGGTACCCTAGTATATGTAATAAACTAAAAGAAGTTGCATTATTATTTTAATTTCGGTGAAAAGGGACTTATGTAATTGTTGCTGTTAGTAAAATAATATCTCATGTATTGTCATAGGCTGAACCCATAGAACCTACAAGATAGGTTATGTACAAGAAGGAATCGTTGAAGAAAGGAAGAAAGGAAGAAAGGAAGAGGAAACAAGCGGTAAACAAACAAGGTTGTTCGCGAGGCACAATTCTCTGAATTCAAGGGGCTCAGGCGAGCTGACTATCTAGATGGGTGACTAAGTGAGGCCACGTGACCATACCGAATATGGTAGGTCCCTAACACCCCCCCTTGGCCGAAGCGTGCTCACCCAGCACCATTACGTACAGAATCGCTTGTAAAGCAAAAAGCCAGGAAGCCAAAAACTAAGCTAAACCTATATTATCGAGAAAAGCCGTGAATCCTTCGGATCGAAGCAATTTAGTGAGGCCATCCGCAGCGTTCTCCTTACTAGGGCATAGCCGAATGTTAATAATGCGGTCCGCCGCGAGCTCGCGCGTATAATAATACCGAATATCAATATGTTTAGAGCGCTTGGTGGTGACCGTTGAACTGATGAGATCCTTGCAACCTTTATTATCCACGTGGAATGCAATGGGGTCCAAAGGCGCAGAGTAGATCTCCATTTCGCTAAGTAGGCGACGAAGCCACTGAGTTTCCCGAGCTGCGTCCGACGCCGCCATATATTCGGCCTCATTGGATGATAAGGCAATGGATGTTTGTTTGGCAGATCGCCATGATATCAGGGCACCGGCTAAAAGTACGATATAGCCTGATACTGACCGACGATTATAATAAGGACCTCCCCAGTCCGAATCGGTATAAACCAGTGGTTGCGGTAGGGGTCCATTTGACATGCGAAAGGTGATACCCCGCGTACGAGATCCTTTTAAATATTGAATTAAGTGTTTGGCCGCTCCGAATGCCTTTTTGGTAGGGGCCTTGTTAAATTGCGCTAGCAAGCTCGCGATACGCGCAATATCTGGACGGGTTCTTAAGGCAAGCCATTGAAAACTACCCGTAAGTCGATTATATTCTTCGTTAAGGGTGGGATCGGGGTCATCATCGATAACTAAACCCGGATCTGCAGGTAAAGAGACTGGGTGGGCATCTGCGAGCCCTGCCGAAGCAATGAGATTATCAATATAAGATGTCTGCATAAGCTTAATCTGACCATCAGATTGAGTAATCTCCATGCCGAGGAAATGCTTGAGGTGAGCTGTCTCTTTAATTGCGAATTTTCGCTGCATTGCGCTTAGAAGCTATTCTGTGTCTGCTTTAAGCGCGGCAATAATAGCAAAATCATCTACATGAGCAGTCACATAGAGATTCTTGCGAGATTGGTAAATCCATAGGCCTGGGTCGTAGTCGCTTGTTTTAAAGTCCAAAGCTTCAAGATTACTGCGGAGACGGTCGTACCATATACATGCGGAAGGTGCGAGACCGTACAGGGCGTTATTTAGCTTGCAAACCATGGTGTCAGGATCACCCTTTTAGAAGCCGGTTGGTTGGCGCATATATATTGGCATATTAACTTTACTATTAAAAAACGCCTGCACCGCGTCCGCCTGAGCGATATACCATTTGCGATAAGCTGCAACCGCGAATAGGATATTAATCGTTTGGGGATAAACCACTGGCGAATATATCTCCCCAAAATAAGGATCTTGCTTAACCAAGTTACCACGAATAACCCAACGTGCCTTGTATTTGAAAGTGCCGTCATTGAGGTCCTTAATATTAAAAACCCAACGACCAGGGATAGGCTTCAAGCCCTTAGGCATAGATTGCTTATTAATCAAGTCCCATGCCTTAATTTCGTCGAGACGGGAAGCTTCAAGCTCGCAAGCTGCTAACCATCTATTTTTATTAGGTGATTTCATTGCTTCCTGCCAAGTATTCGGAGTCGGAGGTCGATTTGCCTCAGCAGAAGCAGGCGAAGTAGGGGTAAATCCTGCGAATGGAGCAAAGCCTTTAGCAGGTCGAACCCAGTCAGATTGTCCGTTATCCTCCGCGGGAGAATCCCCATGAGATGCAGCGCTTCCTGCGCGAGATGTTCAGGGCCAGGATTGGGAGGTACGGTAGAAGTAAGCAGTATTTCCGTAGGCTGTTCCCTCTGAGCCTGTTCGTTGAATGAAACATGGCCAGTCCGAATAACCTTGTTTGTCTCTTTGACGTAGACCTTATAATTGGTTGAAGAATTGCTGCTGATGTAAACACCTGGAGCGCCGCGGCCAACAATCTTGTTGAAATCTTGATGTCCTGGGTCGTTATAATACCAAACACAACAACCAAAGGGACGAATGTGAGCAATCTGCGGATGCTTGTTAAAAAATGCGGAATGCGGTATAACATGCTGCGAGGGTTGAACATCTGGATTAGTAGATACCCCCTGGAACTGAGTAATCTGCGTACAGTGTAGTAGACGTAGGGACATTGTTCGTGATATAAACTGTGTGTTGCATGGCGTCCTGCTAGAGCTAATATAGTAATCTAGAATTATGCAGAATCGCGCGCGTACGCTTGATAATAATCCGGTTGGCGCGTTCGCCTGGTCTATTCTGCCATGGGGAATAGGGATTGGTTGGTTCTATCTTCGCACTATTTTTATTCGCCCATTTCGTTATTTCCTCAGTCACAAATTCGTTATCGCAATGCACGAATGCAGGTGGTTGAAAGCCTTAATTTTTTATATGGCTAAGCCATTGCTCGAGATATTGGTGGACGAGCTTTCTATCTTTAAGAAATATAATCCACCGATACCGCGTTGCATCGTCTGTTATCAGCATATAATAGCGAGAACCCGTACGAGAAGCAGGGTCGTTTAGCTGCTTATAGCTTCAGACAGAGTATTGCCTCCACCGCAATATCAATAAAAATGCGCTGAAGAGGTCTCGTGGCATGTTTTGCCAAGGTATGAGATTGGCTGCGTTTCTGATTCGCCGCGTGGCAGATATCGCAAAAGGGCCGAGATTGGGATCGGAAACCTTAATCTGACTGCCAGGCGTACGAGATAATCGCAAAATATCAGGGTAATTAGGTGCGCTAATCGTCGATGCTATTGGATTATGGTAGCCACCTGAGGATTGGGTGCTTTAGAGGCTATAGCCGCAAGAGCTAATTCTCTGGTCGAGATGTCTTATATATCACACTGTTAATCTTATAACAGTTCGTCGTGAAGGGACTGCAGTGATAGTCAAGCCTTCTGTTGGTAAAAACAATATTGGTGTACGCGTCCTCTGGATCGATGGTTTAAAACCTGCCTTTAGGAGCTGCGCGTAACTCAACAAATTCGCTGACAAACCAGGTACTGGCGTACCTCTGGTATATCAAGGGTAACATTATTCAACGTTATTCGGGCCGTTCCCTCAGCAGGGGAGGCTTTTGTCCACCTAAGGATCCGCCAATATTAGGCATACCAGTCGGTAGAATTCGTACGTTGAAAAGACTCTTTCTGGGGTCATGTGGTACGATGCGCATGTATCCACATACATTCAGGTGTTCTGCTTATTCCGCAAATAATTGAGATCCAAGGGCTTCGGTGGTGGTGCATATGCAGGATCACCTTTTGTAGCCCTATACTTGTTAATTCGCTTGAGAAACGCTGGCGTTGCTCTATCAGAAGGAATTGCCTCGGGATTCTGATACCAGCATATCCTCGTGAGAGAATATCATCTGCAATAACTGCAAGACGATTTCGCATCTTTAAAAGAGGTAGAGTCCGGTGACTCGTTATCCGGCTTCTTTTTTGCTATCAGATTGTTGATTTAATCCAGAAGTCTTTGAACGGCGCGTATTAGACTGTTGCAATTTTAACTATCGTCCAATCTTAACTAGATCGGTATTCTTAATCGGTTGATTTCCTGCCCCTGAGGCAAGGAATGGATCAAGCTTATTCGTTATAAAATTCGATTGCCAATTGCGTAGGCGAATATAGTGGATATTATGAAATATGTTATCCACAGTCACATGGAGGCGTTTCGCGCATGCCTGGAGCGTTGAAAGCTTGCTCTTGTACGCCAAATAATCGCCATTATATAATTCGATATCAATAATTTCTCGCACTAGGTTATAGCGCTCCTGGGCCTTCGTCTGACCTATTGCCTCATAGATTCGTATATATAATGCAGCTGCCTTCGAGATATCTATCTCACCTAGGCGATCCTGCACTTCTCGGACATTGATGGTAATTCGGATAGCCAAAGCTTATTTTATCTGCCAAATTGCTGAATTGAGCTCGTCACTGTCTGGTGGATTAGCTCCTCGTTATCAAAATCGACTCCGCGTTTATAATACGGCGTCTTTAAGAGATCCTCTTTCCAATCGGCGAAATTGGAAATCTTAGAGATCTTAGTTTATGTTGAAGCTTTCGACCAACATCCTTCCGCATGGCGCTGACTGCCTGTATTATACTCGCGCGGCCGGCGTCATCCTCGCGTGGTGACGGTAGATCTGTTGACGTGGGCTTCGGGTTCGGTGTGGGTGTACTTGAAAGGGGCGATTGACTGCGTTGAATTAGCTCTATTATTTGCTGCAATTGAGTTTGCATTTGATTCTGCAATTGACTCTGCAGTTGTGTTTGAAAATCCCTGAACTGTCCCTTGATAATATTCCATGCGATCTCCTCCTCTGACTCAGTATCTCGTGGTGTGGTCGTATTATCCAGGAGAGGACGGGCCAGGTGTACAGTATGGAGATTCATCCCTAGAGGCGCTTTTCCCTTCTTCGGGCCCATTTTAATTGAAGTTATTATCAATTCCTCGAGAGGCAATTGAATAGACAAAACAGGTGGTTTAAAACCACGTAATATCAGCTCTAAAAGGAAGATATAGAGGGTCTCATAACCTGTTCGCGAGGCACAATTCTCTCAATTCAGGAGCTCAGGCGAGCTGACTATCTAGATGGGTGACTAAGTGAGGCCACGTGACCATACCGAATATGGTAGGTCCCTAACAAAGGTTGGAAGTCACGTGACATGGATCGAGGGCCAATCGGCCAAAAGGGTCAGTAGGGTCAGTAGGGAGTAGGGACAGTAGGGACAATAGGGACAATAGGGACAACAGGGATAATAGGGACATTGGCCCGAGAGGTCAAATGGGCTCTAGCCCTTTACATGTATATTACAATCTATAAACAGGCTAATACGTGGTTTCTCTTTATGTTTATTTGCACGGTTTCACTGAACTTGTCACGAATTACCCTTTTTTTTTTATTATATTTCTCCCATAAGAAGGTAGTCCTATGTGTTCTTAAGTAATATCTATAAAGCTGTGAATATTTATATGACAGTGAGTGCGGCGAACAATATCCTGCCACGTCACAGAAAGGTTTTGCTCTCACAGAGACTAGCAGATAGTGATGTATTGCCAGAAGTTCCTTTTTCCCCTTGGATTATCATCCTTATTCTTTCAGGTTCCCTTTTTACATTAGCAACGTTGCAGGTACGTATACTACACGATCTGGTAAGACATTTTTATTTACTATTATAGATACAGGGTCTACAGGTCATAGAACCTGAAAATAATAAACTTGTTGGAAATTTGGGATATCCACGAAACTTTAGTATGTTTTCTGACAAATAAGCACGCCAGTTTCTTACAGAGCAGGTTCTCTCCTACATGTAGAGCCCTATTCTATCCTTGATACCGACCTGTCAGCCTATTTTTGCAGTCCTTTCCAACGGATACCTAGGCAAAAAGCATCATGGCCTCGCTGGAAGACAAGTCCAGGGTCAATAATTTGCCCGCATTATAAGCCATGGAATCGAGACACAAATAGTATGGGAAAAGTCCAGTGGTATGGAGCTACCACCGAGGGCAGCACGGATAATAAAAGGCTTTCGGAAATCTTTGCCCTTGAAAAGGAAGGACGTGGTCAAGGCAAGTGCGCATGATTGCTGTAGTGTTTCCTAGAAATTAAGAAAACATTAGTTCGCGGAACAAATCCAAATCCTTCCCTAATCGAAACTGGTTGCTCAGAGCCCTTTCAGATTCCGCAGGACTTGAAAGCTCCAAGCATCTATACAATATACTGGTTGTGGAATACCACTCAATATGTGGGAAGTGGTTTTCGGGTAAGGCCTTCTGGTGAACCCGTACACTGTGTAGATACTAATTTTAACAACAGATTTATCCTGCGTGCATTGACGTTGAAATAGCCGCTCCTCTCCTAGAAGCAGAAAGACCAAGTACTTTGAGATTGAATGTGCCATCTACATATTTTACCTGTCCAAGTCACTGGTAGTCTAGATTGGCGCCCCAAATCAACCATCAACCAAAGGTGCCCAGTTCGATAAGCCCCTCATGGGTTCCGGAACCGATATTAAGTTCCACACCTGGGGCAATTACAATAAGTAGTGACATCCGATCTTCCGACCTTGCTCTAACTGCTACCCCTGGTCTGTCAACACATGTTCCAAGTGTTTCTTAATCGATTCGGCCGACAATGGTGGTACAGACGTCCTTGATAAACCTAAAAAGCTCACCTTTAATCTCGCCCGCTGCATCCACACATACAGTGATGATTACTTCGGGCGAGCCTATGAAATTTGATTATCGATCTATTAATATTCCTGCTGGTGATACTGTCCTTTTCCACTCACCAAATAGGTTCTTCCTATTCAATACTACACACGAAAAGCCATTCTTCCCAGTCAGGAGGATTGGAAGTCAAGGTTATGGCGAAGTTCTATATCAGGTAAATAACACTGACCCTGCCTGGTTTCTCGCCTGCAACTCTCTCGAGACATGTCGATGCTATCCACCTTCACATTTTGCCATCAACCCAGGGAAGCATTCGAGCTATTTTTTCGACCAAGCCGTTAAAAATTCTATATATTTTTCACAAACCACAGCACAGCCGTCTACCTGGGCAGCAACAGTTACAAAGGTCGTTACTGTATGCACTTAACCGAAAAATATTGTCCTGGTCTCGCTTTTGATCATTTCGCGGAGTGTTTTTGAACTTTCGCTGTATCTTAAGTCTGTCCGTACTATCCAGTCTGTTCCCACCTCTAAGTTTGTCCTTTGCAAGCTGATGTGTAATTTAACTCCTTTCGTACTTGAAGCTTTTCGACTAGGTCGAGCCTCCATTCACAACAGTAGCAATTGTACTCTCAATGATGCTTCTTATTTTCCCTTCTTGTCCTGGATTTCGGAAATGAATTCCGCCAATATCCCACACAGTGTATACATCAGTGCATGTATGTAGCTTTTGCACAGACGCATAGCATGATTGGTAGTTGGCAGGCCACCTGGCAAAACAATATAGGCCGGAGACACCAGGCCCTTTGCTAGTAACTTCTACGGTAATTGATGCTACCAGATGTTGAAAGCCTGTGTGTTGGCCCTGGGGAAATTTAGGTTATAAGGCGCTAGAATTGCAGCGAATAGATAGTATATTGAACTATTCTGCGATCTAGTATCACATTGTGTGTGTGTTGTTCGAGAGAGGTTAACTTATTCTTGTCTGCGTGTTAGCCCCTTGCGTGATTAGGATGCCCTATTGATGTCTTAGGCATCCAGATTCTCAATTGTCGAGATAAAAGTCTCCATATTGGAATTCTTCGTCTTGGGCAGTTGAAAATACCCTTTGTTCCTCCATCAGCTCCAGCCGGAGTTCCTTGGCTTCGTCCATTGTTAAGGGGAAGTTGTCCATATTCTGGAGGACCATTTCCTGGAGCTCTAAAGGAAGCCTCCTGCCAAGCAGGTCCTTTCTTATGTCCAGAGTTCCCTCCCACCAGTCTGCTCTCTGCGGTGGAATATTAGCTGTAGAGATAATTCGTATGTGTGGGTCGACGAGGAATAGAGCGATTATCTTGCAATAGCCAGGCCTTGATGTGTCGGCTAGCTGGAAGGGAGAGACGCGGTGTTGCAGAATATTTGGGAATGTTATAATACGACCTTCGCGACAGGACACTCTGCCTAGGTCTTGGATAACTGGACCATGGCTATCGCACCCAAATACCTGTCTTGTCCAGCCTGTATGATCCTGACCGTAGCTTAAATTTTCATCCATGTCCAAGTCGGTTTCCACACGCTGGCGAAACTCGAGGGAGGTTGACGTGATGTTTTCACTGGAGTAGTAATATATAGCCGTGGCACAGATGTGCTCGTTCTATGCTATAATATTAGCTTATGTAACATCAAAAGCGATAGCTAACTGGGCAGGGAACCCTTTGGAAAGAAATAAATCTCATAAATAGAGACTTACTAATTGCCCTTCTGCACGCCATGAACCGCCATTATACTTTGGTTTTTCTGGTGTTAGCTCAATATTCGCCAACTTCACAATAACTTGCAGCCCATCATCCCGGAATTTACTTTGCAGGTCAAATGGTTCCTGACCGGAGAAAAATAACGGATCAAAAGCTTCAATTTCAGGAGGAGCAAGTGTGAGAGTGTTTAACCAATTAACATAGCGTTCTTGGTAGTCGTCCCAGCTTTCGTCGAAGTCTTCATCGGGCTCTTCGGGCTCCGGAGTAGCCCTTGGTAAGTAGTTACGAGATGGAACGACTCTATTTGGCCGCACGTTATTATGAAACAGAGGCGTGAGACTCATGTTCCAGAGAGGGATGGCTTGGGAAATTATCTCCTCGATAACCTTGTAGAGGTCACGATGTTTGTCTGGACGCAAGTTGTTAATATAAGATACAATGTGGCACTTATTAGAAGACGGATCAAATTTGACGTCGCAAGGCAGCCATTGAAACTTTTGACTATAAAGTGGGACTTCTAGGAATTGCCTCACGCGGTGTGCATATCTCTCGGTAGTGCTGGCAGGAGGAACAGCCAGGACCTCACCATTGCCTGAACGCGATAAGTAGTCATCAAGTCCTGTCTTGCCATCCAGGAGGATCCGGCTCCGGCCGTAAACAAGAGGAAATAGCGATGGGTGTACCAAGTCTACTACCTGCTGATTAGAACCGGGGTGATAGTCCTTCTGCTCGTCAGGAATATTCTCCAAGGGCCGCACTGCCACCTTCAGGGCTTTCTTAAGCTCTTCTGAAATTGCTGTATCAGACTTCACTATATCTCCGTCAAACGCGGAAATAATTCCCTCTTTTTGGAACAATTCCGCTTTGTAGCGCAATTCATCAATGACCCAGTCCATCATTTTTGGTGTGATTTCGTTAGAGCTGCCAAGCACTTCTATCCGCCACCTAGTAGTAATAGGTTCGTCAAAAATCTAGAAAGCTTCTTAGAATATGCATTGAGTAGTGCAAGGGTGTACAAGTGAGCAACAGACCTTTTGGTCCCAGTCTGGTTTGTCAGTGATGCTGTTCATAATCCGCATCATCGAGACTTCCCACATGGTCTTGTGAGATCTGGAAGTGTCAGACAGAAAAGTCTTGTGCGGGTCTTCTAAGCTTACCCGAGTTCAAAATTGTGTAGCAAATGTACACTAGGAAAGGACTCCTTGTGTTTGGCTAGTTAGACTAGAAATACTGGAGATTGACTTGTTAATATCTTACCTTTGGCAAGTAGTCCAAGGGGAGAGTAAACCCAGGGAGGCGGTCCAAGTACGCCGTGGTGGGAGTCGGATCGGCTCTCTTGTCCAGCAGAAGTTGCACCACCTCCCAATGTTCATTCTCCTTTGCAGAGTCGACGGGAGTCATTCCTAAGATGTTTGTGGTGGTCAGGTCAGCTCCCCTGTCGAGTAAAAGACGAACCACCTCTAGATGGCCTTCTCTTGCAGCGGAATTAACTGGTGTCCATCCATTACTGTTGGTCACAGTTAGATCAGCTCCCCTGTCCAGTAAAAGTCGCACCACCTCCAGATGGCCACCAGTTGCTGCAGAATAGAGGGGAGTATGGCTGTTGCTGGTGGCCACAGTCAGATCGGCTCCCCTGTCCAGTAGAAGACGCACCACTTCCAAATGCCCATTCTCTGCGGCGAAATTAACAGCAGTCCAGCCATTACTGGTAGCCACAGCCAGATCAGCTCCCTTGCCCAGCAGAAATCGCACCACCTCCAGCTGGCCACCCTCAGCTGCAGCACTAAGGGGGGGGCGAACATCACTGGTAGCCACAGTCAGATCAGCTCCCCTGTCCAGCAGAAGTCGCACCACCTCCAGATGGCCGCTCTCTGCTGCAGCACTAAAGGGAGTCCAGCCATCAGGGCCGGCTACAGTGAGATCAGCTCCCCTGTCCAGCAAAAGTCGCACCACCTCCAGGTGACCATTGTCTACTGCAACTCTAAGGGGAGTCCAGCCATCATTGGTAGGCACAGTAAGATCGGCTTCCTTGTCCAGCAAATGTCGCACCACCTCCAGATGGCCACTAAATGCTGCAGCGAAAAGGGGAGTCCATCCACTACTGTTGGTCACAGTTAGATCAGCTCCCCTGTCCAGTAGAAGTCGCACCACCTCCAGGTGGCCACTATCTGCAGCAGAATTAAGTGGAGTCCATCCACTACTGTTGGTCACAGTTATATCAGCTCCCCTGTCCAGTAAAAGTCGCACCACCTCCAGGTGGCCACTCTCTGCAGCAGAATTAAGCAGAGTCATTCCTGAGTTATTTGGAATATTTAGATCAGCTGGTTTGTCGAGCAGAAGTCGCAGCACCTCCACATGGCCGTTCATTGCTGCAGAGTAAAGGGTAAGGCCATCTGCTCTAGCACACACTGTATGATCCTGCATTGTTTGAGAGTTGGAGTCGGACACTCTGTCGATTCTTGTAGTTGGAGATGAAGACAAGACTGAGTTAAAAGGATCTCAAGGCCATGCACGCTTTATATGTAGAGCAGTGTTAGCCCTAATTCTTTACCAACTCCGCGGACCGCCATAAGCGGCAGTTCCACTCCTACATTGCTATGGATTATGATTGGCTGGGACACTGTTTATATGATAAATCTGATCCATCCACCTGCCAATGGTGACTAGATAAGCTTTGAGCTAAGCAATGAAGGTTGCATTGGCAGCCTAAATCTCTCCACTTCTGCCTAGCACAGCCGCCGCAATGGGGCCTAAAAAATCTGGCAGAAACTTTTGCTGTGACGGCCAAACAATTTGATGAAATTGGTGCTATCTCAACGAAAATTTCATGCGTAGGGAGGAGAAGAAAGGTGGTGAGGGGGCGGTGTGGAGAAGTAAATAAAACTAGATACAAACAATGCAAACAGACCATGTGCACCGTCATATTACCCCCTGTCTAGGCCTAACTGCCCTTAGTCAGGGCATGTTATTATCCAGGTGGTCCTTAACAAATTTATCTTTCTCAGCAGCCGCAATCCATATATTCAAGCGCTTTGGGGGTCCAGGGCGGGTGGGATTGTTATTATAATAGTCCCGGAGTAAAAATACAGCGTTTTAAAATCCCCTGTAGGATACTATATTTAATTAGTATTATCGGATCCAAGCTATTTCGCACGGTAAGCAAGGCGCCCTATATACAACTTGCAAGGATCTTCTTTACCTCCCACTCGGTGTGGTCGTTCACTTGGATGGGCTCTAAGGCGTCCTGGATCTGCCCCGGTAGGGGGTTTGTTGTAGTCTTAAGATATAACTTCTCGGGATAACAGATAGGGTATACACGGATATCTTTAGGGAGTAAAACCTTGAATAAATAGCCGATCTTATTAATAATAGGCACCGGGCCGTACCACCCTTTGGAGAGTTTTTATAATAATTATCCCTAGTACTAATTACACGCATCCACAAACACTTTTATCTCCTACTTTAAAGTTAACTGGCCGGCGCCGGTGGTTTGCCTGGCAGGTTTATTATTCTTAAGTATCACGCATGTTTCCACAGGCAAAGTCCTATACTTATTTTATTCTCTCTACCAGGTCCCGGGCCTGCTCGCGGGTCACCGCGACTGATCCGGGAGGCCGCGGGGAGTTCCAGTTAAACAAGGTATATAGCTTATATGTTTTACTATAAATAAAGACAAACCAGTTGTTTCGTGCGGCAGGGCAGCAGCGGCAAAGTTAATCAGCGGTAGTAATTCTAACTAGTTATCTTGGAAGTAATTAATGAATAGGATTAAGTACTAAGTGTTGAAAACCAGGATGCCTAAGGCACCTTCGGGTATCCTAGTCCTGATGCCATCTGACATATCACACGCAAGGGGCTAAGGGGCTAAAGGACAGTAGACATAAGGAAGCGTTTATCTGCGCTCTCTCTCCTAGATAGATGAACATACTCACCATGCGATACTAGATCGCACCGATAGTTTCAATATACTATCTAGCCACCGCTATCCTAGCACCTCACGACATAGCTTCTTCCCCGAGATTCTCAACATTAAGCAGTATACTGGTTAACAATCTCTGTTTAGCTATCAGTTTGGGGGTAAGATGCAGTAGAGAGTTTAAGCTTTATTTAAAAAATTTTATAGAGCTTGTCCCAGAATTCGGCAATAAACTGTCCCCCCGGTCTGACACGATTGTGTCCGGTGGTCTAGTCCAGGGGTAAACCTGTTCTATAAAAAGCTTCGCCATGCCCTGTAAAGTGGTTATTTTTAAATATAAAATAAAAATAATACACCTGCTTAACTAATCCACTACTATAAAAACAGTATTGTAGCCATGTTTGTTCTTTGGAAAAGTACAGAAGTTCATAGAAATATACTACTAGGGATATTTAGGGATTGGGAGTGGTTAGAGCAGTCCCGGGGGCAAGTCCCGGTGGTTGTTCTTGTATTTGCAGATTAGACAGTTATTAATATAGCGCTTAATATCGCGACTCTAGATATTCTAGTAATAATAGTGCTTAACAAGCCCAAGTATTTTGGTATATCCAGGGTGCGCGGTAAATGGCTGTTAGTAAATCTTATCTAGTAAATATACCTGTAGGTTACCGTTGTTAAGGACTACCAGGCGGTCTTAAAACAGCAGGAGGCTGTTAACCAGAGTGTATCCTTTCTTACTCTAGTAAGCAAGATCACGCAGGGTCTCTAGCGAGTTATAGGTGCGGTTCGCTGCGAGCGTGTGGTTAACTACTTAGATAGCCTCCTCTATAGGGGCGACTTCCACAAGGGCGACTTTTATAGGGGTAGAAAGAATCCCGGGTTTAAGCTATTTTTATTTAAGCAAGATCTGCTCTCTGTGCTAACTGGTTAGTTATTTATTCCTATCCTAATAGGTAAGAGTATTTATAAGGGTGTTTTACTTCCCAGGACAATATTTAATAATGAAGTAATATTAAAAAAGAATCTCGCCCTAGTAGGCCTGGCAGGTGTTAAGCTATTTGGTAGTTATAAAGTATTTAAAAGCACGGTGGTAAGTAAAAATCTTAATGTAATCTCCTTAGTCCGAAAAGGGTAAGACTAGGTTACTGGGTACACCCAATTGCCACGCCACTGCAAAAGGGTCAACTAGACTTGGTAATACCAAGTCTCGCTCCCAATTCACTTATCTACCGTCTCCGCGGTCACACTAAATTAGCCGTGATTACAAACTATTAAATTAACTTGCAGGGCATGTAATAAAGGGGTAGCAGCCTTGCTATTAAAACTAGTAACCTTTCTTACTGTTTTTAGGGGGATTATAGGTGTTTTAAAAAACCTGGCTAACTAAATAGCTAGTTTAGTATCTATACATGCGTATGCATTGGCTCCGGTGTTAGCTAAAATTTATAATAAAAAAATAAAAGCATTCTAAAATAGCAGGGTCTTGATTGTAAAACTATCTTAGGGGCAGCCTAGTAATTTCCGCAGATCCACAGTCTCTTAACTAATATCAACCTCGCCTAGGGAGGAGACTTCCCCTAGGCAAGGCCTTTTACTAGCTCCTCTACAACTCTTTCTTCCAATGCCTTAATCTAAGCAATTTTATTATCAGGGCAATCGCGCGCAAGATAACCAGGCTTTTAACAGCAGAAACACTTGCCCTTTGTTATAAAACAGCTGCGAGTTTCAGGGTCCACAGTTAACATACGGCCTGGTGGGGGGGAGCTTTTAGTCTTAATTACAGGAGTTAATTGGCTCGCAGTTCTAGTGGAGTTAAAAGTCTGCCGGCGGGCGGATAAAGTAGTGGTAGTCTAGTTGCAACGCTTTATAATTTTATTAATTAAACATACATCACCCCGCCAAATTTCATTTTGCTCTGAGAATGGATGCTGACAGTGTTTGACCCAGCCTTGGCACTATACCTGGGCCGGGTCCTGCAGGCAATTGCGGGCTCGGCAGCATGGCTTGTCTGCACGGCTATTATAACCGAGAATACAGGTGAAAGTGGACAGGGGACGATGATGGGACTGAGTATGTCTTTTATAACGGTCGGAACAGTTAGTGGGCCAATGCTTGAGGGAGTTCTGTTAGGCTGGGTTGGATACTGGGCAGCTTGGTCTCTGCCAATGGGCATGCTGTTTCTGGATATGATTGCGCGGTTGCTTATAGTCCAGACAGAGCAGCATTTACAAGATTCGCAAGCTTTATTTAATAAGGCCAAGCACAGCAAGCCATACAAGATCGCCCAGGGCGACTCACCCCGCGATGTGGAGGGAAATCATACTGAAATATCGCCCCTTCTGTCACCATATCCTTCGACGACAGAGGCTCAAACCCTGAAACTGAAATGGGAAGCGATACTACTTCAGTTGCGGAACCTTGCAATTTCTATGCAGTACTTCAAGACATTGGTATTTGGACAAGCATTCTAAACACGATGGTCCAAGCAGCGATTCGAGCAGGCTTCAACACAACTTTACCCGTTCATGTTCGAGACACCTTCAACTGGGGTCCATCATCAGTCGGAGCGAGCTTCTTTGCTCTCCAAGTCCCTGTGATCTTTCTCTCCCCTGTTCTTGGCTGGGTTCGAGATCGCGTCGGTGTCCGATACCCAACCACAGCTGGTTGGGCTCTTTTTTGCTCCTTACTATGGTGCCTGGGCATCCCAGGTAGCGGAATATCGTGGGCTAGTAGCAGCGAGAGAACTGAAGAAGCAATCTTTGTTGCATGCATATGTGGCATTGGGATCGTTCTGCCATTCCTTCAAGGGGCTGGGGCTTTGTACATGCTGAGTAAGTTAGACACCAGTCCCTTGATGAAAATATGAATTCTCAGTGACTCGGCATCGTAAATAGACGTTGTAAAAAGGCTGGAGAAAGAAAACCCCAATATCTTTGGTCCCAACGGCGGGAGCTCGAGGTGATTCGCGCTGACTTCAGTCTCGTTTAATACTGGCCTGACGCTGGGCCCATTACTGGCTGGATCACTATTTGGCGGGATTGGGTATTGCTACATGAATATTATTCTTGGTAGGTGGTGACAAGATTTTGTTTCTCAATGTGTGTGTGTGTTGATATATACTCTAGGTGCTATCTGTCTAGGAGTGGCAGTTACCACGTTTCTCTTCTGTTGATTCTTGATATCTGAATTCTTTTCTGGAAACGGAAACCTTTTTTTTTCACCCTAATCAAGATATAGCACTTTGCCCCTTAGCCTACTGTCCACTCGGTGCAAAAGCAATGTACGAAAATCTCAATCATCTGTCGAGGTCCTCTGGATCTCTATCAATCTCTTCGGCCCCATTCCAGAGCCCTCTCGCTCAGCCCATCCTCCTCTTACCCCAGAACGCCTTTATCAAGCGGCCGTTTCCTAGTCCCCTTTAGCTCCCAAAGTGACCATTTCTGCTTTTACGAATGCCACAAAATTTTGCCCCATCTTCTGAGATGGGGTAAGTGTTGGGGGCACTGTATCTGTTAAGAGCGCTCAGAAGCCCGATAGGTAGATCCTTAGCTAAGATGCTTAGTCAGGTGCGAAGTGTTTATATTCGCACCAACGGGCATGAACTCTTGAAGGCCAGCGATTAGTTCTGCAATATACGTGGTCCTATCTTCCCTGCCATATAGACACTCCCTTTCGCACCGTAGCGCACCATTTAACTCGTTACCGACCCCCACACAGAACAGTATCCCCCTTCACCGCGGCAGCTTGACTCGCCTCGTAGACTGTCTTAGACTCCTCTAGCAGCTTCGCCCGCTCGTACATCGTAAGCGGTGTTGCCTGCCGTAAGATCAAATCTAGCTCACTCCCAGGTGTAATCCTCTGAGCAGAGAGGCCGTTACAGACGCAGCGAAGAAGCCCGATAAGACCGCAGTCGTGGACCATGGTCTGCCGGAACCACACAACGCGCTCGGACTCGGCCCCATCAACATCAGAACCAGACCCCTAGTACCACTCTATCTGGACGTCTTCTTCCTTCCGTGTATTGTCTCTGGCATCCGTTAAGAAGACAATCGCCAACAAGGCGAAGACGCGACATGGTACGAAGGCAAGAGGCTCGGGGTCGTCCAGAGAATAGACGTCGTAGAAAGTGAGTTCTCTGGAGAGGCCTAGGCGGTAGGCGAGATCGTTCATGACCACCGGGCTGTTCTCTAGCAATGAAATTTAATGGGCATTCGCAAAAGCCACAGACAGTGGAGTGTTAGCGAGCCTTACCAAGAACAGTAAAGTCTCTTGGCGAAGTCATGGCTGGCAGTGTCCTCGGGAGTACCTCAGAGGCCTTAGCCAGAGCGGTTGTTTCTGATGAAAGAGGCTGGCCTTTGAAGGTTAGGTTATGTGCGAATGGATGTAATACTGTGGAAAGTTGGCACGTGTGACGAGATAGGCGATGACTCAGGTCAGAGCGGGTTCCGTCTCTAGGTGCCTGAGAACAAATCGAATTCGACACCGACACATAAATATCGGTGACGCCAGGATGTGTGGGACCTTTTTATAATAATAGGTGTGCTGCAAACTTGAACTTCTTGATCCCGCGATCGCGATCCTGCGCGCCCAAGCGGCGTCATGCATTCCTAATTAGTAAGTTATGCTGCGAATCCACCATGGAATATGGATCATGTTAGCTCAACGGTGAACACTGTGAAGGTCCATCAACAGAATTGGAGTGCCAAGATTCCGCCGCTGATCCGCGGGCAATCCAATGGCGGGCTGCGCTGCCTATAGTAAGTATAATACTGGTTGTCTTACTGTATTATATATGTATGTTTGGTACAGTATCCTCAAAGAACTTGTGGGCTTGACTCGGAAGCAACCGCGAATCTATTTCTGCGAAATATCATTTCCTCCGATTCAGCACAAACCGATCTAGAAATCCGAGAAAAGTAGAATCTTGCATTAAAACCTCGACATTCCACACCATATAATCACAGACGACGTGCTGTAAGTCATCAATACGCTCGCTTTCCTCGAAGTCAAACTGAAGTAATCTCACAAGGTCCTTGATATGACTAGGGCACAAGACGGAGGCCTTCAAGCACCTTAGAGAGATAGTTGAGAGACAAAACACACAAGGTGGCGCAATCGGAACCCGAATGCGTAACGACATCACGGTGCTTCTGGAGTGTTGATGGGATAGATACTCTCCTTAGTAAACAGAGGCGCGCCAGAGACATACATTGCCTTGACAAAGGTAACTCTATATAATATGTAGAAGAGACAGACACTATCAGGAAAAACCAAAAGTTTCACCCTAACAATCTGTTCCTGATAGCTCTTATATTCATTCATCTAGGCATCCAACGCCAGTTCAGATTTCTTAACCCCTCAACCCAATCTTTAAATGTGTTATCATCAGAGAAGTAAAGCTGAGTGTTTTATAAGGGAAAAAAAAGAAAAAATTAACACCAATGTCATTTCTATTATAAATTGCCTCTGTAAGTAGCTTATACTCCACATCCAATATAAGTGAAGTCAACGTATAATGCAGCACCAACGACAATGTACATGGACAGACAGCGTAGCAGACAGAGTGCAAGCAGGGGACAAGTGAAGTGCCCAGCTCTAATTATGACGGTTAACTCAACGTGATTGCATCCGCATGGTTGAACATTAAAGCAGTGAAATCAAATTAGACGGATCAGGCAGTCCTGGCCCATCATCGCTCAACTGATATACAGGTAAGGCCTGAAATGAGACTAAATGAGAACAAGTAAAAATGAATTTCATATGCCATTTAATATATACATGATGGCAAAGTAGGATTGTTCTCAGTCCAGTGGCACGTAGTGACATTTCGCCAGGAACAACAGCTACTGTACATGCAAACTCCGTATAAATAGATGCAAGACAGTTTTCATCGACAGGTCCTCATAGATTCTCCAAGCCAGCCAAGAAACACACGACTGTTAATGCGAAGGCCTTTGCATTATCCGGTGGTGCGTCAGCATCAAAACCAACCTGCTCCAAGAATATTGCGAGCTTTGAATCGCTCCACTTCATGGAAGGCGCAAATTCCAAGCACATGCTTCGCACGCCGAACGCATCCAGTTCATAGTGGCCTTGAACGGACAATACTCGCTGCGGGTAATACAGACCCTGGATTGGACAGGCTGGTGTGCTGCCGACATTTACCCACGGTGCTGGAAGTGACATAGAAGCATCAGTGAGCTTCGAAGACCTTTCCTTTGGCACGGCTAGGACCCTATCGCCGTGGAACATTTGAATTCGCAGCTCATTGTGAGGCAGATTCCCCAGCGTCAGGGGGAAGAACCGGACAAAGTCACTCTCAAGACGCACGGTGTGTACTCCCACTTCCATACCCAGTGGGCATTTCTCAACAAAAACATCCCGTTCAGGGTCCTTTGTGTCTCTCATCAAGGCATGCGCGATCATCTGGTGTCCGAAGCATGTACCGAGGATTCGAACTAAAGGATATTGCTGAAATACTGTTTTCAAGAACTTTTCGAGTGTTTGCATCCAGGGGGACTGATCGATTTCATATACACCGGGCGATCCGCCGGTGATCAGAATAGCGTCAATGGTGCAGTTATCACATGGATCATCTTCCACTTTGGAGCGAAGCTTGGCGAACTCCGGATAGTGACCTCCTCGGACATCGTAAGGCGTTATAGAGATATTAACACTTGTCCCCGTGTTCTCATTCAGAACCGCAGCGGCCTCCTGTAGGACGTGTCGGAAGTGAGCGCTGCAGAGCCCACGAGCTTCGTAGAGACTCCGAGCCGGAATGTCAACGTTAAGAACAGCGATACGGATGTTTCGGATCATGCTTCTGACTGTCTGTCGTGCCGCTGTGCTATTATTTGGTTCAGAGAAAATCTCCGGCGCAGGGAATTAGGAGGTAGAAATACTCCAGCAAACTCAGCACCCCCATAGAGCATGTTACGTAAAGAAAAAGGGTGGCATAATAAAAAAGCCCCTTTGCTCATTTTCAGAGGCCTCCAACCTACCCCAACATCGGCCTTCGTTGCCCTGCATTTCCAGAACGATTCTGAATGAAAGAAGGATCCTTCTGATCGTCGTAGTTATTCGTTGGGAGATCTCCCCGCTAATGAGCGTTTAAGGTTACCTTAGAAGCAATCCACAAGTAAGCATAACAAAACTCAATTATCAATAACTATTATTAATGTGTTTGAAATGTTCAAGCAACGAGCCGAGTTCTTCCGACTCGAGTTCACCTGACATGATCAGACTGCAAATTTGAGCAGGATTTTTAAGACCAAGTCAAATGGTGTTGCTGGCTCCGCAGGAAAAGTCATCGTAGAAAAATAAGCATTGGCCGATATAGCGAGAAAAATTAGACTCGTGCCAATGCTGCTACGTTTTATGGAGTACCTAGGGAAATGCAGCGTCTGCCATGCGATTTCCCCGCCCCATTGCAATATACAGAGTAAAATTCTGTCATCTTACTAGCTGCTCAACCAGAAAAGCACAGAAGTCATGTTAGCAGTATGATATACAGACCATGCCAACACAGTTCTATCGGTTCCACAAACGCTTACGTTGATAATTTCATTGTGAGCAGGCAGATAGAAATCAGAACATATTTTCTTCTCGTTCATTACTTGGGTACATGTCGTCAGCTCTCCCATTGAAAAAAAAAAAAAAAAAAAAAAAAAAAAAAAAAGAAAAAAAACGAAAAAGAAAAACCAAAAGTTGTGCGACAGAGACTTTCCGACGCCCAATTTCGGCATGGTCAATTCAGCAGAATTTGTTGGTCATTTCCGGAAAGTGGGAATTTATATCATAAACGTTGCTTGTCCCTGGTTGGCTGGAACAGACGAGAAAGTGGGCTTGTTAGTCACAAATTGACTCTAAAGGTACGCCAAGCTCTGGGGCCCCGACTGCCAACCCTAACCTAACACGTTTTACCTGCAAGCAAAGGCTCGAAAGACTCGGGCAATCGAATCATCATGCATCCAAAAATGCAGAAGTCACCGAAAGATTAATCGATCAGGTGGGAGAATTTTACTAGCTGTTACAGCCATCAGACAGTCACATATCCAGTTTGTAGTTTTGTACGATAGTGGCACATCATCTTCAAGTTACGAGTCTACCCTAATATTTATAATTTATAATACTTATGTATATAAGTCAGTGGGGTGGTACCCAGGTACAATCACGTCACTCATCAGGCGCTATAGAAAATTAACTATGCAGGCAATTGGCTTGACTTCCCCTAGTAACAAGATGTCCTACCCATTTGTCTCTATTATCCAAGCCAGAGGAACCTGCAGGTGATCAAATAAAAACAGTAATAACAACCAACAACTAATACAGCGATTTACTAGCTTTATTTAAAGATTTTTACTATATTTAGACGAGCCACCCCCCATTCGGGAAGCCTGAAAATGCAAGAAAGATGGATGGATGGGTTATCTGATCAAGGATCTAACCGAACAATTCAGGAAAAAATATATAAAACATACAACAGTCAGGATTCGCTGGTGGTCACCCACCCAACTACTAACTGACCGGCGTGTGGCTTGAGTACGGCTGAGCGGACGGGAAGCCCTATTTTCCACACCCTGTGGTCGTATGTACCAGCTTTTGGCTGGATAAAGTTTATTAACAAGGGCATTTCTGCCACTATCACTAGATATACAACGGGCATCGGGCCATACAAATACCCTGTGATCGATATAAAGGAAACGCAAAATATAATCCGTGTTTACAACCCAAGGGGGATATTCGGGTTGTATAGCTGAATTAGAAATAATAACAGCTCAAACAGGATAATAATAGTGATTTGGAAGAGTTGTGGAAGTTCACGCGGGTAGATGTGGGCTGGAATAAAAGTGTCGAGCCACTGAACTGTATCTGGTCCGAGCTTATGCTTGCTACCATCAGACACGAGTGATGGTTAAATAGAAGGATAAAGAAGTTACTTTAAAGGTCTGTTTATTTATCTGTCATGTCACGCAAGGTCCTGATCTGCAGGGAGACAAGGTGATCTACACGAAACTCAGGTTAGTGAGGTTCTCCCGGGGTGGTGCGATTACTCTGCTCTATGGAGCCAGTGGTGACGGCCTTGATGTTTGGGCGGCTGCATGGCGAGCTGTTCGACACCGTCAAAGCCGATGGATCTGGCATATTAGGGCTATCCAACTTGCGGCGCATAAACGAAGAGGATCAGGCTCTTCTACCAGTGCCACATGGACCAGAGGGCGAGCGTGATATCATTAATGTGGAGCCGACAGTACAGCCTCGCAGGAAGAACATTGGGGTTCCCAATGTGCGCTTATTGCGGTAGCAGGCTTTTGCCGCCTTCATCGTATCATCCTCCAAATAATCGCCCATATCATCCACATGGTCACACGAGTAGCCTGCGTCAATAACGAATGGGTACCTGCCGGAAACTGTCCAGATGGAAGGAATAGCGAAGGCGAAGAACGATTTGCTTATACTCTTTTGCAGAGCAGTCATCGTATCTTTTGGTAGCTCATCAGCATCCGATGGGGGTAGTGCCATGCTGATTGAGGAACCTTCAATGAATTTGCCGTCAGAGATCAGGTCCGTCAGCGTTTCGATTGACCCGTCAGAGCCGTCGAATAATGTGCTCAGGGACTTTTCCACAACTGCGCCCCAGCCCGCGATTGATTGGCCCATGTGGTTGGTGAACTCGTCCTGCTTCTCCGGAGTCCAGTCGTCGGGGTCAGGATCACTGAGCATGTCCTTGGCAATAGTTGTACTTTGGGAGATAATGGTCATAGTAGTATCTTTAAAGTTGTCCAGCGTGGATCCCTTCGCGATGAAATACGGCAACTTCGACAGGACTGAATTGAAGAACGGGGCCGCTGCTGACGCACTTCCAAGAGTAATCAGATCGATCAGCAGCAAGAGCCATGTATTGTCAGGGGGTTTCGGTATCGGTGCGAACTTGTTCTCGAAATCGTCGAGAGCGTTGGTGATTTCCGAAGCGGCGGCCTGGAACAGTGCATTGTGATAGCTTTGGTACAGCTCATGAACATAGACCAAAGAATTCCAAATCAAATACCCTGCTGGGCCAGCACCGTTGTTGTCAAATTCCTTGCACTGCTTGGTGTCACCACAGTCGCTTGTCGACTGTAATGTGCCACAGTTGACAATCTCGGGACCATCAAGTGTGTCTGAGATAGACGCCGTGAAGGCCATTTGAGTGCCTCTATCAATGGTCTTCCACACATCTATCGCATCAGCCCACGCATGAGGAGCATCGATTCGGTTCCATCGCTCCGACGGCGACAGGGTACGTTTATCAACAACGGCTTGGTCGGTACAATGCAGATCGGTCCAGTTTCCCGTCCTATCTCCGACTTGCCAGGGGTCTTCGTTGTTTTTAATGCCTGTTTTCCAAGCGGCCCAGTTTTCGACTAAGACCACGCCACGAGTGGGAAGATCGTTGTATTGCTGGAGATCTGTGGCCCAGTTGGTAGTGCCGCCCATGTTGAGTCCCTTGTAGAGGGACTTGCGCGACGCCTTAGTTGCAGGGCTCATGTAGGCAACCCATTGCGTATTGTCATAGACTAGAATGTCGCTGTTGCTCGTCGGATCAACATAGTGTTGATTGACTCCACCATCACGCTTCAGAGGCCCGTTCGTTGTGGATCCTTCCAGGATCTCATTTATTTCAGCATCGGATATGTAACCCGCGGTGGCCGTGCACTTTCCTGGGGTGGCCTGCGAGTCGTAAGGACCTCCAATGTAGAAACAATCTGGCCCGTGGCATGAAGGGTCGGCCATTGCGAAAGAACGCCCGTAGCTGGTAACGCCAGCCACAACCTGGTTTGAAGGCACGCCCGCTTTGGTGATCATGACTAACGAACTGATGGTCTCAGTTAGGTTAACTTGACTGCGCAGGCACATTCCCGAAGGGCAGCTGATCTGTGAATTGGGATTCATTGCATCCCACTATACAAGGTAAATTTATCAGTATAAGACTCATGACTGACACAGATTGATTACTTACCTGTCCGTGAAGATCGTAGGTCATGTATATAATATAGTCCACGACCTTGCTGATCTTCTCGATGGGGAAGTTCTTTAGGTAGAAGTATGACGATGCCGCCGCAATGGACACTGATTTCCCGGGAAGCAGGTTCTTAAGAATGACAAGGAACGCCAGATAATTGTCACCAGAATCCGGATCATCAGGGGGATACCTGGAATATCAGGTGCCTGTATGAAGAAGTCATGTTAGTCGTATAATTAAAGAACACGGCGTCAAAGAAGGCATACGCCAGGATACTCCCAGTCAATGTCAAAATCATCAAGGTTATTCTCCTTGATAAAGTTAGCAATATTTGTGGCCATTGTTAGCCGGTTAGCAGCTTTGACTCCCTGGCGGAAAATGTTGTAGGTACTGGGCTGGGCGGAGAAATCCCAGCCGCCAAAGACAGGATCTTCTTCGGTCCAGAGATTTTCATAAAATTACGAAACTCATACTCAGTCAAAGTATTTTGGAACTTGACTTGATAATCTTCTGTGAGTATACCGAATGCAAAATGCAGATGCGTGTACTTAGACCCGTCAATTTGGATGGCATCCTGATATAAACAATCGCGACTACCCAAGCTATAGCTTTCGAAATAGGCAATGCTTCGGAAGACCTCCGAGCATCGCCGCGCACAAGCTCGGTGCCATAATTAGAAATGCAACCATTCGTGCCTTTCTCCGCAGAGCCTGGCGCGCCGGTGCCGGTGTCGATACAGAATTCGTCTGTTATTCCACACTATTTCGAACGCCCATTAGAATTGACTGCATGATCTGCTTATAGAGGGATCAACATACCTGACCCCAAACATTACAACAAGCGTTCAATGGGCAGGGATTAAGCCTAGAGATATCCGTAGTGTCTTCTGGCGCTTCTGTGCCCGGCACCTGGGGCCCGTATACTGCATTGGCCACGGGGTCGGGCATAGGCGGGCTTCCGCTACTCAGACAAATCACAGTACCGATCCCGACATTTGAGCAGCCATTCCAGCCCCATGTCTTCTTATTGAAGTCCTCCAAAGCCTCCTTTGTGGGGCTGTATCGAGCAGCAAGGTTTGCACAGTTGTCGTCTTGTTGAATGGTGTACGTAGCACACGATCCATCCGGGTTAGATTTTGGGGCAAAATCGGGGAGGGTGCCCGCCGAGCAACAGACGTGTTGCCCTGGCATGAGGGATGAACAGAGATTTGGATCATCATTGTACTTGGTAAAATCCGCAGCCGAGATCCCACATTTTGTGGCCAGGGCTGCACAGCTATCCCCGCCTTCAACCTGCACTGTGCTGCATTCCCCCCGAGCGACGATGTTACTGTGGGAGGACGATGTGAGAATGGCGGCTACCGCAGAGCTCGAACGGATGGCCTTCGACTGGGTGACGTTGGTCGAAATCTTCAGGAGAGGAGCGGTAAGGACAGCCAGACCGGTTACGTTCTTTTCATTTTCGAAGGAGAGACACCCTCCGTTTGACCAGGTTTTCATTGCGCTTTGTACGGGAGTAAATGTCCCATTGCTAGAGGCGATGATGCCTCAGGTGTGGGCATTGTTGCTGTTCGGATCGCATAGCTGCATGGCCACATTACTGGAGCTGATATTTAGCGTCCGAATATTATCCGTCAGCGCATTCAGAGCAAATGAGCTAACGCCCTCGCTCTGCAGGCCCTTGCCAATGTAAATACCGACAGCGGCTGAGCCAGATCGAGCAAACAAGAAAGTGCTTCTCTTGGTGCTCTTCGCGGCGACATGCTGACTCTTAAGGTAATGACGCATCTGCTTGGAAGCAGAGCTAATATCCGTAGCAGATAGTGGTCCATCATTCCACCAGCCAAGGGAATAAGTCGAATTCAGAGAATCGACAGCGGCCGCCATCCGTGCGCTGGGCGCGGGAGGCTCGACCAGTCGGGTCCGTAAGAGGTACAGGCATAGAGACGATGGAAAGTGTTGGGATCATCCACTCGATCATACAAGGAAAAATCATAGAACAATGTTTGGTGGCAGGACTGGAGCTGGTCAAAGTTGTGGTAGAGAGACCAATTGGAAGGATTGGGTCCTGCAACGCTGCAAGCGACAGGGCATACAGCATCTCTACCGCGATAACCAGAACTAGCAGGATTTCTCAGTCCTACTTTCCCTCGTGCCGCAAAGGCAACATCGCCAGAGAGCAAGAGGCATACGGCCCCCAAGGCTATAATGAGCCACGAGGGGGTCATCGGCAACCTTATGAAAAGACAGGGATGATCAAAGAATGACAAAGGGTGGAAATAGCAAAGAACGACAAGGAGGAAAAGGAAAACAAAGAGAGTGAGTAGCCAAAGACCTGCTCTCCCGTCCTCCATAGGGGCTCTTCCACCGCTTTTGTACTTTCTTGCGTACAGTCGAACATCGACAGCACGTGCCTACGACTACGGTTTTTTTTTTTATTTTAGTAAACAACAAACTTAGTATTGGACTTCCGACTATCCGTTCATCGTTCGAATTGAAGACCGGAGTTAGTCCCTGATCTAAGAAATGTGAACTAACAATGCTAAGCAGGTCAGCACGATATGAATCTATCCCATATGAGATTAGATTAGATTATGTTGGCCACAGTGACTAGGACGCTACTAGAAACGCTAAGGCACCTAGTGGCACTAGCAGAATTCTCAGTTAAAATCAACTCATCTTATCTGCAAGCCCTCTGAGATTCTTGAATCACAACGCTATGAGGCTTGGCTGCATCCACAATGTAACCATTCTTGCATACTAGTCAAGTTCGCTAAAGCCAGGAGGAGGTTACAAAGCGACTTTAGTATCAGTCTATTCAAGCCACATCCAGGGGCTAAGACACTACCAACATATTAAGGAACCATTCTCACCGTCTCCTCTAAATTCCGGCCCACATATACTTGTTCCTCTTGCATTACCCCATCACCACCACGACTACGATGGGCTTGCTTTCTCAGAGCTGGCTTACTCTGGCCCTCTGTCTCGGCCTTGCTTACAGTCAGGCCTCCATCACGGCAGGGCTTGATCTTTCCGCGCAATGAGAGCTATTCCCCCTCGCCACTGACCCCGATTGTATTCGCCATCCAAAACCCGAGTCTGGTGTCAAGCCTCAACCCGGAAATTTCTTATTATATTGAGCAGCAAAATGTCAACACCAATGAAAGTGTCTCTACCTCGGGCTCTATCCAACTGTCGAACACCAATTATACGACAAGTGACCCATACCTTCTCTATTGGAGCACCGGGAAGCTGGACATTGAGGGAATCTTCGTGTTAGCGTGGGAGCTCAAGATGAACAACTGCTCTCATGCTCCGCAAAGCGACGCATTGTCTTTCGGGTACTTCGACTCACGCCGCCATCAGTTGTACTTCTCCACCAAGAATGGCGCTTCATCGCCGGACTTTGTCTCTGCAACCGAGGGTGATGTCTGCAACCAATCCCAAGCCCAGGCGGTCCAAGTGCCAGATCTTTTGGCGGTACCGTCTACACGAACCTGGGGCGCAGCATCCTGTGCTGCTACCGTGGGTCCGTCTCCGACTGCCAGTCCTTGCGAGGTTAAGATTGATTCCACAGCTGCCGCTAGTATTTCTGCGGCCCTGATCTCCGATGCCTGTGCCAACCCCGTCCGCACGGGGCTGAGTTGCCCAACCCCGTCTTCGGAGAGTGCGACCTCTGTGGCTCAATTACCCGTCGGAGGGCCCTGGATATTGGCGATTGGAATGCTGGTCGCTTACGGTCTCACATGATGAGATGGGCTGTCTCGGTGAGACATGTTCATTTTGTCTTGCAGGAACGGTTCAATTCGTTGTACGCTAGTTTTTTGGAAATTTCCGTAACAGGATAATATTATGCTTATACTCCATCTCGTATGATGCACTAAAAGCTATCGAATCCGTAGACACATATTTAGTAGTTATTGGCCGACGCTAAGACTGCCCCGATGTCACCTTAAAGAGGCCTTTACCCGGAGTTATTAAGTTATTAGAGCCGCGGCTGATCTGGTGGGAGCCGGATCTGCATGGTGCTTGACCATGCCCCTATTTCTCTCAATGCCAAGGACGCTCATAGTAATACCGCATGCCGGATGCAATCTGGCATCGTTGATGTAGCAGGGTCCGAATCCCCCATATTACTATGGAGTGGTCAATCATACCAAGGTGCGCCACACGAAAGTTCAATAGCCCAAGGTACAAAATACAGCCAGTCTGACTCACATGTTACATCCAAGATTGCACCTGCAGGGGCACGTGCGAACGCAGGTATGAGTATAAAAGCACCCCGGAAAGCAAGAGTCCAAGAACCAGGATCTACACCTCAAATTTCCCTTTTCTCTCTCAATTCATTAAAGTCATGGGTTACAAAGCCGCTATTGTCCTAGGGCTACTCCCTCAGTTGCTCTCTGCTAGCGTTGTCTGCAGCTTCTCCGTGGCGGCCAGCAAAGGCGATACTTGCGAATCCTTCGCTGCATCCTGGGGACAAACCCTTGAATCGTTCAAATCCTTGAATCCCGGTGTCTCATGCCCGACCGTCACCGCTGGCCAGAGCTACTGTGTCATTGGCACCGTTACGGACGACCCAAAGACCACGACTACAACAACCTTCACGACGCTGAAAACCACGAATACTGCGACCACAACAACATCCCCCTCCAAGTACCAGCCAACCCAGCCTGGCGTGCCTTCCAACTGTGACAAATTCCATCTCATTGCATCTGGTGACCAGTGCGACACGATTGAGGCCAAGTATGGTATTTCGGACGCTCAGTTCAAGGCCTGGAATCCAAGCATTGACAGCAGTATGTCTTCCCCCTTGGTACCCTTCCTTCTCATATACGAGGCCAAATATTAACCACTGATATTAGGTTGCCCAACCTCTGGCTGGACTACTATGTTTGCGTGCACGTCCCGGGCGCTACAACCGCCAGCTCGTCGCCCCATCCGACGCCCACGGGACCACAGCCACAAATGCCTGGAATCGTGAGCAACTGCAAGACCTTCTATAAGATCAAGTCTGGCGACAGCTGTTACACCATTGACTCCGCTGCGGGCATCACACTTGCTCAGTTCCGCACGTGGAATACCCAGATTGATGCCACTTGCTCTAACTTGTGGGTGGACTACTATGTGTGCATTGGGGTCTAGAGTGTTCGTCTCGTAAGGTGGATATCGCAAGTACAGCTTGTAGGGATGGAAGATTAGTTGATGCAATGGCTTCTCGGGCAATGTTTAGTAATGAGTGACGATTTACATCAGTATTGGCCGATGGAGCGAAATGCTGACGTGTTTATCAAAGAGATGAAGCATCATTGTCAAAGACATGCCACGAGGCACATGGAGCACTATCATATTGCTTACCTCTGTCAATTTAATTTCAGGATAGGGGTAGATATATTGATCGATTGCAATTTACCATGCTGGCCAAACGGTACCTAGGTACCTTCCCAACGTCATCGTATTTTTTGTAACAAAAATGTCGCCAAAGTGTAGCGGATGGTAAAACCAACTGCGATAGTCTTCAGTGGGCCCAACTACGTCGTGTTTCCCTTCGAGGCAGCGCACATCCAGACATCAGAGGCAGAGGAACATAGTTCTGAAATATGGTCGCTGTGGCCATCTCTATCATGATCCTACGCGTACGTCGGCGACGCAAACGTCCAGGTAAAAGTGCTTCTCACGGCACGCGAAGCCAGCAGTCGATACTTTTCTCCTCTTCGTCTTGGTCATGATAGTCGTAATGCCTTGCGGTGCTGGTGCCGGTGCTATTTGTCTTCGAAAGCTGGTTGCCATGGTAGAGGTCAGAACACCTGCACCTGTCGGAGTCGGCCTGGTAAGCAAGGATATACCGGTCAGCCAAGTTGGCCGCCTTCAATATCTACAGCGTTCCGTAACGACGGCTCGATGCGTCCAGATTGTTTATCCTGGTACATGGTGTGGTAGGCTTTGGGGAGGCAAAGGAAGGCTGGCGCCAGATACATTGGGATTATCTGGCAGGGCAATGGAACGACATCTCATAGCTTCTTCGGCCTACTAACAGATCTTTTAGGAGACACTCTCGCATGTCAGGATTCATTCCGGACCGGAGGCACCACAACTCATGTATAAACTAGCATTTGCAGAATCTATCAGATATTTGCGTGGTTCTTTCATTACTCATATTATTTGCCAGTAGAGTGTCATCTCCGCTGAAATTGCGGGACGCAAGATTGGCCAAGGATAGCATGGACCTGATCAACTCCACCCGGAATGACCGCTATAGCCCTAAATTTTCAATATACTGGGATGGGCGGGGTAAGGAAGGGCATTTTACCCCCATAGTCTAGGAGTTAGCTATCAGATACCGTAACCAGACGAGCCCTGGCATACATACGGAAACACTTACTTCTAGTGCCGTGTGTGATATGGCTGGGTTCCTCGGCGAATCGACCGGCTTATTTTCATCCTAGCCTCTCTTTCTCCATATATTCAGCTTTCGCCAGGATGAGATAATGAGGCCGTGCCTAGTTTGGTTTCAAGTGCCAAGGATGCCCCTAAATAAAAGGGGGCGGGTATTTATTCGTCAGCTGGTGAAACACCTATTACATCTGTGAGGGAACACATCCGGTTGGCTCTCAATTTCTGTTGCTATGTCTCCCTTGCTCTAAATCAAGGAATTTGGCGGCAGGACCTCCAGACAGAGCCAGATGTATAGCAGAGAGGCATGATGATGATATACATAGTTATATTCTCATTAAAGGGGTTAAACAGATAATTATATGACCAAGCCGGAAAATTCCTCGCGGGCCGGCCGTCTATGCGTTGCTCCTTTCATGGTCATCCAACTTGGCCACTTTCGCGTCATTCATGTCGTTGTCTCCAAATGCCCACCGTCTCTTCCTAGAAACACAGTTGGAGCGGGGCTCCGTGAGGGAATGTACGTCAAAGAAATGACGACGCAGGCCGGTTATTCCTTCATACTTCTTGTCACGGCAGCACGGATGAGGGCAGTGGATTTGCGTTTCAGGCGCGCGCCAGATCATGTGCTCGTCAATATGGTTTAAGAGGGCTGCCTTCGTCACCCACTGTCTGAACCTTTCATTGGGCTCCTTGATCTGGTCACCCAAACAAAAGGGGCAAAATCAGCCGCCACCAGTGTGTACCGGAAGGTCAGGATACCACAGCGAGGGTGGAGATTCACTAAGTGAGCCTGGCAGTGTTGGTCCCATTCCTCTTTTGTGTGCGCGAACTGGGCACAATAATAACAAAATTGGAGGTAGGCGCGATTCACTCGTCGATGAGTCGGACCGATTCCTCCCTAGCGCCTTGGCTACGCACAGTGGTGTCAACCCCCGAATCCTCTATCCCAGTGAGAAGAGCAGTGTGGCATCTAGATGAGACGTTGGATATATATCTAGTTGAATATATACGCTCCTTAGTAGGCTACGTGCGTGTAGCTGGTATAGCTTCTCCTGCCCTATTCCCCATTTCCCCTGTGCACCGTGGACCCTGTCAAGGTTTTCACAACACCTATCATATACTAGACAGCCTATATTATGAATTCATTCCGTCTCATATGAAATATATACTATGGAAACCCCCATACAATCAAGTGTGTAGGGAATGTATATGCAATAATAATAATTTCGGCATTCAAATATGATGCATGATTCGAATTGCGAAACTTTGAGGCGGTCCCAGAGTATGAGGACGTTAGACTTGTGTCCTTTTTTCCCTCTCGGCAGTTTCTAATGAGCCATCCTGTTGAACGAGCAATAAATATATATATATATATATATATAAGAGTAGATCAATTCAGACTATATCCGCAGATGCAGACGAGAAATCATCTGTATATACGTAGGAACTAAAGATAAGCAGAAATCTTGAAGTAAAAATGAGCGTTCCAATTCCTGACGTATTATGGATCAGACAAATGAGAACATATGGTATGACAAACATATACCGTTGCCAAAAATACACTTACACAACCAAGCTATTGAATCAAAGTCCGCGTTTGGCATATCACTTGCCGGTACTGTGCCATTGCTGAAGACGGTCCCGCTTCTCAAGACATCAAGACGGCCTAGATGCAAAGTAGCTGGGGAATTGTCGAGCCTTATTCCATTGGCAAAGATGACACTGTTCCACGGTGTCGAGAGCTTGATTATTGTCGCCCATTCGCGACGCTCCTTTCTTAGGTAGGGGTGAGGATCAACAGGATTGATGTCGCAATTCTCACTGAGCAAATATAGATTCAGACCCAACCCCAAGGTATATAACTCAGCAACCAATTGGTCCCAATGTACCTCATTTAACACTATCACTCCAATATAGTTGGCAATTTAGACATTTGGCCACTTATAGAGGGTCGTGAAGTTGACATGCTTCCACTATAGTGTCGGTTTCGTGGGAAGGATAGCAAGGGTTGGAAGCCCCAACCTGGTAGCTATAAGGGGTGGTGGAGCCACTTGCCGCTGGAATGAGAAACATATCATTATTAGAACTTGGGCTGCGGTCAATCTCCTTCCACTTTGTTGCGTACTTCATGGTGGTCAGAACTGTGTTCCTGGTTCCCACCGGTCACCATACCTCTCCGACTTTCCAATCGTCATCCTTTCGTTTAACCTACGATCTTGAACCTCTAACTATCGAATAAAATCGACAGGTTCTAAGTTTATGTGTTTTAGAAAGACGCCTACAATTTTCCTTCCAGTCCTTACCATTTATGCTCTCTATAAGCCACCCTTGCCAAAAAGTATAAATATACTAACACAATGTAAGCCTCTTATAATGGCTGTGAATCTACTAAAGGTCAGAGGAATTGACATCGAATAGAGAGAACTAAACTATTGAATTGGATAACAGGATAAGCGAACTTAGTATACAGGAATTCGTCTGTGGGTAGATATATATAAGCGAGGACTTCGCCCATTCTTCGGGTAATCCTTCGGACCGATCCCATATTCATAACAATTATTATGTTTATACCCACCTTGTAAATAAGCTCTCATGTCCGGTTGTCATGTCTCTGTGACGTTTGCTATTTACGGCTCGTTTTCTTGGCGAAAGACCTGCAATAAGAAGGCGGTGTGAGAAGGGTCTGGACGCGCGACGCGAGTCCCTTTTCCCGTCTCGAGGATTTTGTTTACTTTGGCATCTTACTAACTACCCTACATACCGCCAAATATTTCCACGATAACAGCCAAACTTGTTGTCCTTAACCCACTTGACACGGGAAATGCTTCGACTATGATCGCATTACTAGGAAATGAAAACTGGAATGGATGAATTCAAAATGGACCCATTGGAGGAAGATCATCTCGACATCAAAGGAGACATAATATCCGCCCTAGAGTTGATTAAGTCGACAGGATCAATTCTGACGAGTGGCAATCTTAACAGCGGAGTCAATCCAGGCCTTTACGTTCCAAGTTCTGGGCTTATTCGACTTCCTATATCGCCCGAGGATGCGCAGTCAATGATTCAGTCCTGCCATATGAGCCCTTACGGAAAGGGAACAGAGACCCTGGTAGATGAATCGGTACGGAAATGTTGGCAACTCGCCTCAAATGAATTTTCTCTCCGGAATCCTCTATGGCGAGCGCAAATGGGCGTGCTCGTCAGCCAAGCTGTTGCTGGTCTTGGTCTTAAAGCAGATTCCCCGGAGGTCAAGGCGGAGCTATACAAATTACTTATCTATGAGGAGGGCGCATTTTTCTTGCCGCATCAAGATTCTGAAAAGGCTGATGGAATGTTTGGCACGCTTGTTGTATGCCTCCCGTCGAAACATGAAGGAGGGAGTGTCATCGCCTCTCATAGGGACAATCATCTTAAGTTTCACACGGCGCCTAACTCCGAATTTGGCTTTTCATGGGCTGCTTGGTATGCCGATGTTACACATGAAGTGAAGCCTGTTACATCCGGATATAGGATTGCCCTGGTTTACAACCTGATCCATCGCCCGTCAGCCGCTCTCCTCGGATTTCATGGCAGTAAGACGGAGAGACTTACTCATCTATTTGAACGTTGGGCCCGTGCCGCTGAAGAACCCATGCAATATCTAGATGGCTGGGATGATCGTTTCAACGAAGCCTGCCCTCCAGCTCTTGTCTATATACTCGAACATCAGTATACCAGTGCCGAGCTCAATTGTGCTCGCCTTAAAGGTGTTGACCAATCTCGTTTTGCAGAACTTCAGAATGCATGCAAAAGGACTGGGTTTGATATCTTCCTGGCTAACATTGAGAAAGAAAACATGGGTGGAGTTGATGATGGATACTACGACTCCTACTATGGCCGTGGACGTTATGGTAGTGATGATATTCACAGTATTGTAGATCTGATTGAATCTACCCTTAAACTGTCACGTGTAGTGAACACGAAAGGCATTGTGGTCGGAAAAAACCTACCGTTCCCTGAGAAGATGCTAATTCAAGAGGATGTTTTCAATCGCGATCCAGATAAAGAGAACTTTCAAGGTTTTACAGGCAATGAGGGGGCTACAGCGACTTACTTTTATCAAGAGACGGTAAGTTCTTGCACTAATAATACTAACTCTTGGCACGCACTGCTATTCTGTATATCCGTTCTAACTTTGGCTTCCTAGGGCGTATTAGTTATCCCAAAGAAATTTCACTTCTTGTTTATGCTCCATCAGTCGAAACATGGCCAAGGTGATATTATACAACTCTTAGAAAACTGTCACCGTGTTATATCAGAACAACCAAATGACATGGCGGCCCGGCAAAATCTGTTGCAAGTCTGTAGGGCGGTTATTTCTGACAGGATTTACAGCACAAGTTATAACACACGGAAGGAATACGCCAACAGGATAATGCAGATTGCTTTTGAACTTGCGGACCCGGAATTATTTGGCCGGAGCATGGCCTTGATTGATGGCGAATTTTCGTCCTCTCAAATCTCTCAGATCGCCAAGACGATTTCACAACATGGCCTTCCTTCTATTCGCTTATCGTACGTTAAGCTCATGCATTATTGCGTAGTATTTATGCACTAACTCATGCAGCCTGAACAAAATATTCCAGAGAGGATATTACCCGACTGACAATACCTTGCTTTTTCAGCAAATGGGTTTACTTTCCAACTTGCTCAAAGAATATCAGTTGCTTTGCAAGCAACAGAGTCAAGAGCCGTTGACCGAGGTATTGGAGTGGCAGGACATCACTTTTAATACTATGCTCTCTACCCGATTCAGAGGCTCGGAAGCAGATGGGCGTGATCTGGCGAATGCACTAAGTGATTATCCTATAAAGGAATCTCTCGCAAGGTAAGACACGTTTCTTCGAAGCGTAGTTTACACCTCTGACTGCATCAGAACCGTGGCCTTCCTGGAGACCAAACTGGAGAACACTGTTTTTATTATATCGTTTATTACTTCAGCAAATGACCGCGCACGTACAGGGAACCTGGACAAGGATGCGGTAGGTGCAGCTATAAAAAGGCTATTTTCAAAGATTACTCAATCTTTCAAGATTGAGAATGCTACAAGTTTACGCCCTGTTCAAACACCGTATTCCTGGAGTTCTTACTGTGTTGAGCCGATTACAGCGTCACGGATTGCACCAGACGTGGTAATAAAGCTAATTAAGCTGGCCGATGCCACAGACAACGATATCACTGGAATAATGGGCACCCTTACTGAGTATTCTGTAAATGTCAAGAGAAGTGAAATGGAGAGTGCTTTTTATCAATTCTTATTCCCTGTGGCAAATGGCATTTGCGAACACATACGAACTACAAAACGTCCATTTACCACCGGTGAACAGCACTTTATTACAACTTTTTTGACATCATATGTGAATGGCTATGTTAATTATGCCCCTTCACCACCAGCCGACTGGAAAGTCAAGACAACTATCCAATGTATCTGTGCCGACTGTGACTCTCTGCGCAAATTTATAAATGACCCGTGTAAGAAGGTAGAGGAATTTCGGATGGCGGAAAGGCGGAGGAAGCACTTGGATCAGCAACTCCACAAATCCTATTTCATGACGATCACCCTTAAACAGGGCACACCATATAGCCTCCGAGTCGAGAAAACGCAAGCTATGCTGGTTTCCAGTTTTCTAGCTTGGATCACGCGGGCACAAGCTGCGCAAGCTGAGCTGAAACGGCTGTCTCAAAATGGCCCCCTGAAAGAGATCCTTGGGGATAAATATGGCTCTATCTTTCACCACAAAAACCTCCAAATTCCCGATGATTTACCTGTAGTTCCCCCAGTTGGTGGTCTCACCGACCGGAATGTTGGAAACACAGTTCGAAGCACCATACCGAGTAAACGTCCCTTCGGGAGATGAAAATTGTGTCGATCACCTCTATTTCTGCTGGAACAATGGATAGACCAAAGGAGCCCAGTTAGATGCCAATAATTTTAAACTATCTTTTCGGATATACCTTTTTGATCTATAGATCGCTCGTTGTTTCCATGAATTCGCGCTATGCTGCATATTCTACCGCCAGCTAGCCTATATAAAGAAGCTGGCTGGGATTCAGTGCAGTACGTGTGTTTAATCGCCCGTAGGATTTCCAAATGATCCGGTGGCTCTTTTAGGGATCCTGATAAGTTCACTAGATCTAGCCTTCCTGCCCGAAGATAGAAGACTGACAAGTAAATAGTGCACCGAGAAATGCCAGTTTCAGCTGTGAGCCTGGATCTCGCCTGACAACCCCGACGAGGCATTCATTCTTCTTTCCTGCATTTACATTTCATAGAATACATAAGACTAACCAGGAAACAGAAATCCACTTCACTTGCCTTGGAGTCTTTCAGGGGTGGAAGACTGTCCGGTCTAATCTATACGTCCCAGATGCCATCTTTTCTTAAATAAAATATTTGCTAGCTCAGCCACTCTCTGCGATAATTCTTGCTACCGATACGAAATCTCACTCGTAAAAACCCAGCGTATTTCCAATTAATCCCGCGATAAACCTAGCATTTCGAAGAAATTGAAGGTAGTTATTCTACATTCTTCAACACTGCGATTGTCCTTCTTGTTGTTGTCATCCTTATTGTAGAATACAGCTACAAGTATGTTAGTGTCTTGCATATTTCATTGGGTCAGTACTGGCATGCTTTTGATTTATATTTTTATTGCTTTATATGAAGGAATATATTCTGCATCACAATTCATAATTGCAATATTATTAATTTCATTAGGGTGGTATGTAAAAATACATATACATCAGCACTATTGAAAGCAAATATACATGTTTCCATATAAAATAGTTGATTTTGCCTGACTTATGCAATCTTTCAATGTATTACTGCTTGAGTCTATAGAGGTTTGTCATTGTTTACTCCGTAGTTAGTATCTGAATTAGGCATAGCTGAAAAATGCAGGGAAAATTTCCGAGTGACACATGCTGTGTACATATTCACTTAAAAGGAAAGACAGTAGGGTGTGATACCAGATGAATTAAACAAGTCAAAACAGTCAAGAATCAGTTAGAAAACAAACAAGTAGTAAGGCCGGAGCATCAACCGTCGTGGGACATGCTACTGTACTTAAAACACATAAACTCAGAGGAAGGACTTGTTAATTTCATCCAGTAGTTAGAGATTGAAGATCGTAGGTGGAGCCGAAAGGTGGACGATTGGAGAGTCAGAGAGATACGGCGACCGCTACAGCAGGAACTCAGTATTCACTTCCATGAACTGTCCAACAAGGCCGTTCTTAAAACAATGTCATACCATACTCATAGTTTACCTACTATATAATGGACTATAGATGCTCTGCAATACTTTAAACAAGCTTCAAGTTCATGCCCTAAGACCACTCTTTTAACACACAGAAACCACTTTCTAACCAATCCTTTAAATCGCAGACAATTGCTAGTAAAGACAATATTTCAAATTGTTATGATCATTTGTTCAGGGGAAGGAATGGGTGGCAGAAGAGCACTATACCAGCTACACGTCGGTAGCCTACTAAGGATCTGGAGGATAACAATATCCACAGTATTGGCTGCCCGGCCAACGCGCTTCTGGACGTGCTCTATCTCTTGTCATTCAATTATTATCCGCTGGATATTCGGCTAGCACTAAATTGGAAAGAAGATATAGTTTTTGCAAAGGTCTTAAATGGATGATTTTGAGCTGGTTGGGCTCCTCTTGATTATACTGGTTGTCCTTATCATGTTCTTTAGTTTGTCGAGAACTTTTTGAATGATCCTAGCAACATATAGCCATATGTCGACCATAAAAGATACGCGTATTCGCAAGTATCGATCCTTCATAGATTAGGTCTCTGATTCAACTAAACTACCAAAACATCTCGCTTTTATAAAGGCGAGGTAAACAAACGAAGAACGTAAACTAACTTATATAGGAAATATACGCTCTGATGATGTTGAGAACGCGGCTCACATTGACAGAATCAACAACATTTGACCGAGAAAGGTGCTGAATAATCAATATTACCATAGTTAGTTAACTAAGTTAATTGTCGACACCATATTATTTGACAAAATCTATACTAGTTCAAGTTCGTGGGTGAAAGCGTGCCAAGGCACCAAAGTAATCTCGGCTATGCAGGCCAGAAATGATTAACATCAAGAGATCCCACTAGGGGGTGACCTTCAATCTAATCAGAAGAATCAGTCGGAGAGAACCCCATTGGTAATTAAGGAGATAAATGAAGCGATGGCTCCATTGATCACGGATGTATGAAGTAATACATCCTTGTGTCTTGGTCAATAAAAGTCGTTCTTTCCAGCCTCCGGAATACTCTAAATGTTCAGTTGTTCAATACACCAGATATCTTATATGGCCATGAAACAGTTGCTATAGCTTGCGAGGCCGGAGAGTTAAGTTGAAGCGTTAATTTCCGCCATATTACCCTGTGCAGACAGAGATTGATGGAGCCGCCGATCCCTGCAGGCCATCCAATAGTCTGCTGCAAGTAAAGGGGATGCGCTGCATGTAAGAGGGGTAAGCTACACATTTCCTCTTCCATTATCCCGTTCTTGAGATAGGGTTACGTTTCCCCTCATGCGAGGGATTTCACCGAGATTATAAAAAGGAACGCGATGGACAGCAGTTCGTTTTAGACGCCCTCTATAATCTAATATGTTGATCCGACGGTTCTTTGGCCTTGTGGCCATCTCCACTGGGCTCACGACAGCTGTCGAACTCTCCGGATACGAGTATATTGTGGTAGGATCTGGTGCAGGTGGTGGTCCGTTGGCCACTCGCCTCGCACTTGCAGGGCATAAGACACTGCTGATCGAAGCAGGCAATGACCAGGGGCAGAACCATAATTATTCCATCCCCTCGTATTCGGCCAGAGCATCCGAGGACGAGAAGTTGGCCTGGAATTTTTTCGTCCGACATTACGCGGATGAAGAGAGGCAAGCTCGCGACTACAAGACGACCTACACGACGTCCGATGGAGACGAATACACAGGCCTGGACCCGCCGGAGAACTCGACCATGAAAGGAACACTTTACCCACGCACAGGTACCCTCGGGGGGTGTACAGCTCATAATGCGCTGGTCACCATCTATCCCCATCAATCTGATTTCGAATATCTTGTCGCCCTGACCGGGGATAGATCCTGGTCTCCCGAAAACATGCGGAAATACTTTACCAGGTTGGAGAACAACCATTATCTCCTCTTCCCTGGATCCAGAGGACACGGCACGAAGGGCTGGCTCCACACCAGCACGACACCGCTCGGCCTGGTCCTGCAGGAACCGCAGCTCCTCAGCGTGATCCTGGGTGGTGCTTTTGCCCTGGGCAATCGCACAAATACCGTTTTCAATTTAGCCACCCTCCTTGCTGCGGATGCCAATGACGGTAGTGTGGCTCGCGACACCCAACCAGGGTACTACCAGGTCCCCATTGCCACACAGGATGGGCGTCGCAGCGGTCCGCGAGACTTCATAATCGCTGTGCGGGACGCGAAGAACAGGGACGGAACGAAGAAGTACCCGCTGGACGTGCGCACCGATTGCTTTGTGACCAAGGTCATATTTGACAAATCGGTGCAACCGCCACGCGCCACGGGGGTCGAGTTCCTCGATGGGAAATATCTTTACAGGGCGAGCCCTCTCGCCAATCCCAGGACTGCATCACCTGGGACTCCCGGCAGGGCCACAGCCTCGCGGGAAGTGATCGTCTCCGGGGGCGTATACAACTCCCCACAGCTGCTGAAACTCAGCGGCATCGGTCCCGCGGAAGAACTTCGAAAGTTCGGAATCAAGGTGATCTCGGACCTGCCGGGGGTGGGAACTAACCTGCAAGACCACTATGAAGTTGCGGTACAGGGTCACGTCCCGAAGAATTGGGGCATTGCGGACGGCTGCACGTGGGAGGACGATGAGAACCAGGATCGCTGCCTGGGGCAGTGGAGTAACCCTACCTTGTTAGGGGGCCGCGGCCTTTACGCCGCACCGGGGGCGGCGTCCACCATGTTCTACAAGAGCAGCGTCACCACGGACAACTCCTACGATGCTTTTGTCTTTGGCCTCCCGGCAAATTTTCGTGGGTATTTCCCTCAGTACAGCCAATACCTAACAGATCGACATGACTGGTTCACCTGGGCAGTTTTGAAAGGCCACCCGCGCAATACCGCGGGATCGGTCACCCTTCGGTCTGCAGATCCACTGGATATGCCGGACATCGTGTTCAACTACTTTGACACTGGTTCTGGGGACTACAACGCGGATCTACAGGCCATATATGAAGCGGTTCAGCTGGGTCGGGAGGCATTTGCCTCTCAACCGGTAAAAGTTAACGAGGTACTCCCCGGTCCGCACGTTCAGACGAAGGAGGCGATCCAGCAGTATGCAAAGGATACGGCCTGGGGCCACCACGCGTCTTGTACATGTCCGATCGGTGCAGATGGGGATCTCATGGCCGTGCTGGACTCCAAGTTCCGGGTGCGTGGTGTCCGCGGGTTGAGAGTCGTCGATGCGTCGGTCTATCCGAGGATTCCAGGTACGTTTACCGCGCTTTCGACGTATCTTGTGGCGGAGAAGGCGGCGGACGATATTCTTTCGGAGTTATAGTTTCTGCTGTAAAAATCGAACGATGCTGGGGAAAGAAACATGATATAAAAGTTTTATCCAAAATATTGTAAACGTATTAATTAGCGGACCCAATGACAGTGCGTGATAATCAACACAGAAGTGTAGCAAGCCATTATTCTCATCATAGCCATCAAACATGGTGCCCGTTGCTTGATCAAGATATTAGTCCCGTTTTTGTATATATTTATAGCGCGCGTGGTCATCCAAAAGCGCGGTGACTGCCTCGCCGCGAGGATTTGTGTTTGGATTAACCCTACTGCTTTTCTGGGTGGCAAAGCAGATATGTAACTATCGTATCGGCCGCCAATATTCGATGGAATAATGTCGGTCAGCTGAATACGCGTATGAGCTAGTATCACCGATTATATAAGAATATGGATATGCATTGAAGAAATTGAGGTCTCTAAGGTCTCTAACTATCTGAATCTATCTGGGAGAGCTGGATGAAAAAAGGTGAAAACAAAGGAATAAAGTCGGACCGAGCGGATGCTGAATAATGGGTAATATTGGCCCACTTTGGTCGACAAATATCTGCCGAGGCGGATCCGTCCTAGCGCGTTGGCGGGACTCGCAAAGCCCGATGGAAGGTATCATAAAAACTGTAGACAAGATGAGTCCATATTCAACACTCTTTCAGATGTGTGAGATATTGACAAATATCTTGAGCTAGAATAATTACAATCCCAATGCTACAGCCCGCCTTAATATCCATCATCGCTACCTAGCGGATGGCCGAGCACGCGACCTACAGCGCCTTAGCAGCCCCGAAAGCTCGGTTGACAAGTGGCCCTGCCAAACTCGTGGCAAGACCCATGCCAAAGTTTTCGCCCACACTGCTCCAGCTGGGTGTTTGGCCTTCGGCCAGGTCGCCTAGGGCGCCGCCGGCTGCGCTGGATACACCCCCAACCACGGTGCCGACGGCTACTTCAACAGCTAGACCGGCGCCGGCTGTGAATATCACGGCGAGGATGCTGGCTAGAACGCCCAAGATGGACTCGATAAGAGTCTTCCAGCCGAAATAGATACCAAGGACGCTGCGGTGGCCGCTTGGGTCGACGCGGTTGACGGGGTCGCTTAGGCAGTAGTTATATGGGTTGTGTTCGCCGGAGGCAAATGGGGTCGGGGGTGTGGAAGCGTTGTAAGATCGGATTATATATGCGGTATCGGTTGCCTAGGTGGTACCAGCCAGTTATGGGGTCGCGCCATTGGCCGTTGAAGCCGATGCTTGTTGATTTCTCTGACCTGGTGCTTAGACCGTAGGGTGTATAGGATTGGAGATGGATTTTGCCTGGGGCTTGAGGGTTAACCCAGCCGAGGACCGAGTCGTGCGTGTCTGTTATCCTTAATTAGGACTCGGGCTGCTGCGCAGATTCAGTGTTCTGCACGATCTGGCCCCAGAAGGTCTTGCCGTCTGACAGGGAGCTGGTTCGGGATTCACCGGTTTTAGTGGCGATGAGCGCTTCCTCGCTGTAGAACAGGTAGGTATCCGGCTGGCCGGGGGCGATTTGGGCAACGAGCTTCCCAGCGGCATCGTAGCGGTAATCGCACAGCAGCTCCTGGTCCTTGTCACGGACTCGGATAAGTCGGCCTAGAGTATCGTAGTCCATTATCCTGCCTTGCATATCTCGAATCCTTCGCTGCGCAGAATGGAGGCTTGTCTATCTTGCATTGACCGTGACTCAATCAATCCTAGTGTATTGAACTCCTGTATTATAGTTAAGAGGACCTCCTCCCCTCTCTTCACCGTGCGTGCTGTTTCTCGGCCAAAGTTATTGTATATTAATTCCGACGATACCACGAGTTCTGCCTTCTGATCTTGGATCTGGTATACTGCCAATCGACTCGCTGTGTCATAAGTAAATGCCACCTCGGAGTCCCCTTGATTCTGAACGCTTAGTCTCCCACACTCGTCGTACTCCACGGACTGTTTGAGGCCATGCGGGTTTGTGTATGATTGTAGCCGACCCGCCATAGAAAAGGAATATTCAGTGGCAAACTTCTCCCCGTCGTAGATCTCAAAGGTCTCCTTCCACGGATGAGACGCGGCATTATAGCTCCGGGTGACCGTGCAATATGTTCCCCGGAGCCCAGCGGGCTAGCCGACCTTGGGGCTATATATAATCGTATCTGTACTCTCCTTCCAAGTGACGGTTTTAGGAGCGTAGTGTAACGCTGGCTCGTACTCTATGTAGACGACATTCCCTTAAGAATCCGAGATTTCACTAGGCTCGGGGGTGTTGCCGTTGTAGTTCTGTGAGGTAACGCGTGGCCCAACGCTTCGCACCTTTATTCGCCCTAATCCGTCAAACCGCTGTTCTCCCACGACGGACTGCCGGTTTAAGCCGACCTTGCACGGTAGCTCTGTTGAGCTTTGGTCGGTGTAGGTCGTGGTGGTCGTCCGGCCGCCAGGCAGCCAGGTGGTGTCCGTAATGCGGTCAAAGCTGTCGGACGCGTACTTAGTGACTCGTCCAAGCGGATCTTGCTCCCGGACAAGACGATACAGTCCGTCATAGCTGGATACCTTTGCGCTGTAGTCTGTTCCATCCGCTTTACGGAATAGGGTCCATATCGGCAGCCCCGCCAGATTGTGCCTGGTGGTCATAGTCCCTTCTCCTTCGACACCAATCGTGGTGCACTGGTCAATCGGGTCGGTGATAGAAGTGGTGACTCGTCCGCTGTTATCGGTAGTCTTGCAGAGCTGGCCCCAATTGTTAAACTCGAGGCGTTGCTGCATCTCGCATGTCGCGGGATTGTCCCTGTCCATCGTTACCCAGTCGATGGTCGTTACCTCGGAGCATTGACCTTGAGCATTGTAGTTACGCCTGGAGACTTCTTGAAATGGATCGTCATTGCCAGCAGAGGAGGGATCCTGTCTTTCAACTCGAATTCGTCTTTCTAGACCATCTGAAATATAACATGTTTTAACTCCGCTGGCATTGGTCACAGAGACTTTAGTTCCCAAGCCCTCCCCAAGCACAGCATACTCGTGCACGCGAACGGTCTCAAAATCCATGTTAGGTAAAGTGGTTATTTTTCCAGATCTGGTCGAGTATATTGTAATCGAATTGCTCTTCCACGCCTGCCTCGTTGGTATGCTGTAGAGTACGCCCGGTTATACTACAGTAGACGGTCTTTTCCTGGATCGACAGGTCGTCCCAAGTTGTAATGTTAGTGATATTCGCCAATCTGCTCCCCACACCTAACAATTACCATCTCTATACCTAGGTATAATTGTATTACCGCCTAGTTTATGCCTAGTCTGCCAGTCTGCCAAGTTCTATACTTACCGCCTAGAGTAAAGAAAAATTACGTTATTGTCGATACGTATTAGTAGTCAGAGAAGGGAATTTGTCTTTGAACTTGAAAATGTAAAATGAAATATATAATGTCAATTTAAATGTTCAAGTATACTCGTAAATTCAATTTTGAGCGGCAGAATGTGGATGCCTTGATAGTTGCGGGGCTTGCCGTAATACGCCAGAGTACGACATTAACTAACTAATGGGGCGTTCTATATATTATCTTGATCTATTCGAAGGAGAAGAGATCAAGGATTAGTTTTCAATATATCTTAATATGAGATATAGTGATACTCTTTCTACTATCTTACCTAGCTGACCGGTTGATCTACCCGGCCAAGTAGATTCGTCACAATGTCCGGAAGGCTGTTTTCTATTTATCGCCCTTGGCCATTCTAATATGGTGAAATGCAGAGATAATATCTAGCTTGGTAAACCGTCTTGCATTGCTAATGCGATCTAGGGTAGATGTTGCTCGAAAGTGGCATCGCACTTTATTGATATTTGACGAGGAATTGATATTCAATATTATAGGGTACATGTTTTATATAGATGAATCCCACTTCAAGTCACAGCTATTTTAGCCCTCATGCATTGTATTGTAACACCAATGGGGTAGGTTTTGACCTGCACTTTTTTTTTCCCTATGGACGTCTGCTTGCTAGCATTCTGGTCATACTTTGACAATTCGAGCATTTACGCAAAAGTCAAGCCAAATGTGACAGCATTGAGCATCCCTTTCCCAGTCGAATTCTAGGTCCGACATTGAAGATCGTACTTGTAAAGTATCTTTGCGGGTGTTCATCGTAAAAGGTGTATACCCATACTTTTGCTTAGGCATGAGTGGGTTCCAGTTCGTACAGCTCCAGCAAGTTGTGGGATCCGAAGCCATATCATTCGGTCAGAAGATACCGGAACAGTGCAGCTTGGTAAATGGTTTGTTGAGAAGGTAGAAGGTGACGGCGCACAAAATTATCCCTAAATGTGGATTTGGGCGACTTGAGTAGCCATAGTATCAAAACCTGTCGAGCCGATTACCCCGGCCTATGCGCGCGATAGCAATCGTGGGCTCCAGCTTGGTGGGATCAGAGGTCCACAGGCACTGCGACTGCAGATCCACTGGTAGTGGAAAGGCCTGGGCGCGCTATCAACCCCTGCACCAGCCTCATCGTATTGCATGATACTAGTGTAGACTTTTGGGCTCAGGGCGCGTACGGTCATTGTAGGAGTGTAACCGGCTCTGGTAGGTCATGAAGAGGAATCGATACATCGGAGCTGGACTTATCACCTTTTAAACTATATTACACGTGTAGAGATCTATAGAGTACAATATTTATACAGTACTATCTAACTGTCATTCTATGTCCAATTGACACGTTCTTATATTAGACATGAGGTTTGATTTTATAATCTACGGAACCTACACTGATAATACTTCATTTCTGTGATGTTCTAATATATAATATCCCAGCATGCAGAATAAAAATCCAGTTGTATATATCAATCAGAATTATCCATCTGACATTCGCTATTACAGTGACTTGACCAGGCTCTCTCCCTTTGCAGTTGGTAGCGTTCATTAAGGGCCAGCTCACCATTCCAAGCTCCAACCAGTGCCCGCCCATGCTTTTTCACCCAGAGACTGATACTTTTCAAGGCATTCTGATCCTTCCAACCTCCTTGCGTGATGGTGGCACTTAGCTTTCTATGTGTAGATGCAAATGTCATGGTGAGTGTGGCATTTGGCACAACACTGACTCCATCATCAAGGTATAGGTCTGCTTTCGCCTGGCCGTTCTTGTCGAAGGCAACAAGTATATCCCAGGGGGTTTCGCGGACTTCTCTAGTAGTCAAGGCAGGTTGTTGGAGAGCAAGAATGGAAGCCCCGCGCACATGAACTGGGATGTGACCGAGTGGAGCGCTAATGGTGGTGTCTGCACGTTCGGGCACAGCAAGAGCAGTGCCGTTATACCAGTCATACCATAGTTCTTTACCCTCAACAAGGCCTGGGAAAACACCATCGACAGTGGAAGAACCTGGTTCAAGAACAGGGGTTACCAAGATGGCACGGCCCAATAAAAATTGACGATCAGCGTTAGCCAGAGACGGGTCATTAGGAAATTCCCAGGCCAAAGCCCTCATAACTGTGTGTCCATGCACATGAGAATGATAGAACAGGATGTATAGGTAAGGAAGAAACCTGTAGCGGACGTTCATGGCGGCCTTGCTTGCGTCAATAACAGAAGCCCAGACATAGGCCTCCTGGTTGATAGCGCCGATAATATTATGGTTACGATAGAACGGGAAGAAGGCGCTAAGCTGCATCCATCGGCTACACAGTTCCATATCAGAGTTGCCGGCAAACCCACAAGTGTCCACACCGAACATAGGAATACCGGCAAGGGACATGGATAAAGATTGTGGACGTCATACTCCAGGGTGCCATCAGCATGGGTGGCATTGGGTGAAATGGCAGCAACACCCAGGGGACCTTTAAAATTGTTGATCGCATATGGTGGGTAGTTCACGTCACGAACGCCAGGGGTGGGAGTCGTCCGGTAAACTGAGGAAATGCTAGAGGTTGTGACCGGATAGGTACTCATTGAAGAGGAGATAGCGCTAGACGCAGACCCGGCTTCTGTAGTGTTCGAGACGTTAAAGCCTTCCGGTACTCGAGGACGAGATTCCTCGGCTCACCCGGTAATGCAAATGGAGGATGCACGGGGTTGAGATGGAGGTTTCCACTCCCACAGCTTCCAACACAGAACGAGGATATTTCGCTCATATCAACCCACGCGCCATCAAAGGCCCATTGCTTGTGGAATTCCACAAATTCGTGGGTCCACCACTTCTCTGCGTGCTCGGACAACCAGTCGGGGAAAACGGTGTAGCCGGGCCATACATCACCAATATAGGGACTCCCATCTGGATTCATGATAAAGGCCCCCGCTGCATTTCCACGGTCAAATACGGGGTACCTTGTATGTCATCAGCTCGGGCTCCGAATGGACTGGATTGGAAACTTACGCGTCTGTCTCGTTCTCTGGGTTGGGAATGTAAATCGCTGAGTCGATTATGGGGACATAATGCCGCCCGCTGGCATGAAGACGGCTGATAGACTCCGCCCACTGCGTATAATTGAAACGAATAGGATCAGCTTCGAAGTCGCGATATGATTTCATATAGTCAATGTCGGACCTAAAACTCCCAGTCAGCGGGGCCAGGGACGGTAGTAGTACTGAAGTGTATTTCCAACGCACCACATGGCTTCTAGCGAGATGTCAAATTTATGGTAATTATCAATTACCTCCTGCAGCTGACTGATATTTTGATATCCCCATCGAGTCTGGTGGAAGCCAAATGTCCAATATTGCTGCAAGGCTGGCGTTCCTACTACTCTCTGGTAGGAAGCAGTGACGTCTGCTTGACTGGGTCCTGGAAAGAAGTAGAGATCGATGCCACCACCAATAGACCGCCAGATAATTTTGTCAGGTCACAGTAGGACATCTTGGCCGTGTGCATTACGCAGGTAAACGCCGTGAGACAAGGAAGGGTAGTTTGATCCGGCGGTTGTTTCGTTGGATGTCACCAGGGTTCTAGACCCATTAACCCCTGTTGTGTAATAACGGGTCTCTAAATATGAAGGGTGTGTGCCATAGAGATTACTACATTCCATTAGCAACACTTGGCTAATTGCAGAGGGTTAGATGCAGAAGGAAGACTCCGTACGCGTCAACGACGTTTCCAACATCGGCTACGTAGAACTTTTTTGTGAAATTGTTCCCTAGCCGAAACTGGTGGATAGATTCGCCCAATCCATAGAGGTTATAGTTCTCCGGAAGGGCGCTTACAAACTCAATAAACTGGTTCTCATATACCAATTTTGTGCCTCTCGTCGAGAAGATCTGATCGCCAGTTGATTTCCGGCTCACTGTGAAGCCAAAAGACGGGTTATTCGTCCATGAAAAGTCCAAGTCGGGTAGCACGCCGGAATCGGATAGGGGCTTCGGAACCAAGCTGGACGATAAAATATATTGGCTGATGTTATTTGCTTGAATGAAAGCTGACGCAATCTCAACATGTAGACGGTCAGTTGCCTGATACTCTACCTTAAGATTGAGAGCCTCTATGTCTGTGCCGTATAAGTTGCAGGGCGAACCGGCGAAGTGGAGGGTAGCGGTGAAGCCGTTGGTTGTGTTTCGAACATTGGTGGCAATATATCCAGGACAGATTGTCTGAGCGTCCACTACCTGCGAGTCTTGGATGTTAAGCAGCACCGGAGGAGCCTCATTCACAGATGCTGGAAGGGTATGCTGAGGGGCGTATGAGCTTGTCAGGGCTGATGCCTGTGCGATGACAGGAGTTGGGAGGATGAGGCTCTCTAACAAGAGCCCACTTGCCGGTATCCACATTTCATGTTGATGAGATTTCCACTCGTTCCCAGTAGTTCTACAACAAGAAGCGGGGGATCAAGTTGCAGCCTTTTTCTGCGAGCCGACACTTACTTGCAAATCCAGGCCTCGAAAGATCAAGATGGCTACAGCTTATAAATTCCCAAATTTAACAGCTGCGCCTGACGCCGGCGCGGAGAGATTTTCTCAAATATTCGCAGGATGTAGTAAGTGGCAGGATCCAGATGTTCGCTACAGCACTAACGTTTGCCGGAAATTAGTTACTGAGGACCTTTGTCTCATACTGGAGATAATAGTGGTGGCTGTGCCTGCACACGCTTACTAGTAGCCAATTGTTGGCTCGGCATCGGTTACGGAATGCAAGTATGTTGTATTAACAAGTCTAATCCCGGGCCGATGTTACAAGGACCGAAGATCTGACCGCATCTACACCGACGGAGCGAAGTCCAGAGTTGATCCCGCAACTTAGAACTAGGGAAGAATTAAGTTTACATTATACGAGCCCCCTGGTGCGTTTAAGTTTCTATGTAATTTCACTCCCGCCTTAAGCGCAGAGAATGAAACATTCTACGTGAGACTTTTGCCTGATCTGGAACCGCCGGCTCCTTGGCCGCGCGCACATCATACTCGTATTCAACACTCCTTCGGCTTTCGAAGCTTATTCTGGTAGGCTAGTTAGAAAGAAAGCTGGCTCTAGAATTTCCCTGCGTATACTGGCTGAGGCTAGTTGTTTGGCGTAGCTTCGGTTACGGAATATGATACGGAAGTGAAACTATTAATGGATTATTAAGAAAGACTCTTCCGGCCCATCTCACCGCTCCCTCTAAGGACATTGGGATTAGAGTTCACCAACCAATGGTACGTTGGGTGAATGCCCCATGGTTATAAAATTGGACAACCAATAGAGGTGCCTAATTTGCCTCTCACGGTTCGGACGCTAGTTGTAACTGAGAGCCACCGTGGAATTTGTTTCCGGCACAGAGTGAGTTCACACTCAGCCTATGAGCCAGTTATGAGGCTAGTTCACCCACCTACATGGTGTCTCTGATGAACATTTGTGCACCATTTGTAACTGGGTGCTCTTCAGCTGACCTACTATAAAAACTTCACCGCTTGTGGAATCTCTTTCGGACATTTATCCATGATGCATCTCACGAAGTACATTGTAACTCTTCTATGGGCGTCGACTACTCTGGCACTGAACGATTCCACTTGTCATCCTACAGAGGAACACTTCAAAGTCTTCACTATTACGGCAGATAACATCACAGCCAAACTAATCCCTTATGGAGCTCGCCTGATTTCTCTACATGTTCCCGACAGGGAGGGGAACATGCAGGATGTTGTTGTCGGTTACGATAACCCGATCCAATATTTGAACGACACTCAAAACCGCCATACCTACATGGGAGCGGTCATTGGCCGTGTTGCCAATCGGATTAAGAATGGTACATTCACTCTTAATGCAACCGAGTACAACATACCTAAGAATCACGACGGCCTGTATACCCTACATGGCGGTAATGTTGGCTATGATCAACGAAACTGGACGGTGGTGGCATTTACGCGCTCTTCCGTGACTTTTACTCTTTATGACGCTGCAAGTGAAGGCTTCCCAGGGGATGTGATTACTCACGCAACCTACACTGTTGATTCTAAGCGTACGGAGGACAACCCGCAGGGACTTCCTAGGCTGGTAACTGAGTTAGTGTCTGTGGCTCTCACTCAACCAACGCCCATCATGCTCTCTAACCATATCTACTGGAACTTGAATGGGTTCAAGCAGCCGACCATCCTGAATGATACCTGGCTGCAATTGCCGTTATCTAAACGTTTTATTGCTACAGACTCCATTCAAGTTCCTACTGGCAACATATCCTCCGCTGCCGAGACAAATCACGGAAGTATGGACTTCACCGTTGGCAAGATCATTGGCCGGGACATGCAATATACAGAAGGGCTGTGCGGAACCGGCTGCGTGGGGTACGATAACTGCTTCATCATTGACCGTGAGCCCCTCTATTCTGCTACTGCCAACAACGTTGCTCCAGCCCTTCGATGGAACTCCAGTACCACAGGCATTAGCATGGAAGTTGCGACAAATCAACCCGCTGTGCAGGTTTTTACTTGTCTGAACATGGATGGAACCATCCCTGTGAAGTCTTCTCAGATTAGGCATAATGGCAAAGATAAGAATGGAGCTGATTTTGTCGAAAAATATGGCTGTCTCGCCATTGAGCCAGAAGGCTGGATTGATTCTATCAACCACCCCGAATGGGGCCAGAAGAATTTTTACTCCCCTGGGAGTGCTCCTGCTATTAACTACGCTACTTACACGTTCGACACTGTCTGACGCCATATAGCATTGACTGTGATGATCGCAATCAATTTTGGTGCTGACACAGAGTGTACTGTATCAGAATGCCAATTCGCATTGTGGATAAGGGCAGGTTACTGTCCTTACGTCCATGCCGTTCGCATCTTTTTCATAAATCTATTTTCTCCTCCATTTGTTGACTTTGACCGACTTTTTGCCATAATCTATGTATTTGAACTAGATAGATAGAAATCAGAGCGCTCGTTCAGTAGATAACATTGTGTATACAAACTGGGCGTCAAGTCAACACTTAGTAGGAGATGGAAAGAGAATCTTTGCTATGTTCTCCTCCCAAAAACACAGTGACCTAAGTACTATGGCCAGACTCATGTTTCACCATCGCCCTGCAACGGTAAGAAGTGGTAATATAAAGACAGTTGGTACAGGATGACTTCTATAGTAATATTGGTCAATGTTTAATGGTCTACAGTCTGCCCTAGGGCTGTAGTAGTGAGGGCTTGTAGAAACGGCGGAGATAATTCTGGTGAATAGGTGGGCCCATGTTTAAATGAATCTACGATATCGATGATCACAGTGAACCCACGATAGAAGCTTCCAAATGTTAGTTTTCATCGGATGGCGAAGACCATATATTCTTGGGATGCGTAGCGTGAACGCATCTCGGCATTCCGAGATAGGCTGTCTGTGCGCTCTCGGTCAAATCATCGAATCCGATAAGTGGGGGAGTAAAGGCTAGTCAATGATTGTGCTGGCCCCATAATTTGCCATCTCTTTGAAAAATTGAAGGGGACGGGGTCTGTATTTCTCAGTGGCTTAGATTAAGCAACGCAATCTTTTCTACACAGTATGTCGTAGCAAAGACAGGGATGCGCATGTGGGCCAAGTGGGCTAGGGGCATTGGTCGCGGCATGAGAAGCGTCGTGGAGTATCCTCGGAGTTTCCTCGTATTGCGAGCCTAACGTTGAGGTAAGCTCGTGTCCTTAATCTGACATCTACTTGAACTTCAGACAGTGTTACCTCCCCGAACGGGTGGGAATTCCTTCCCTGCTGCCAAGCGTGGCGCAAAGATGGATCAAGCGGTGGCCAATGCACAGGGGAAACACCTTGGAGACTTATTTTGCTGCTAATCCTTGTTTGTGCCAACAAACAAAAGTGGATATTGCCGTATACACTCATTACGGTTGCATCTTATAGTCAATGTCGTGCAACACTAGCTGGAAAAATTTGCTGTACTGTTAAAACTTACTAAATGGATATGAGACAGCAGTGCCCCTGCTTGGTAAAAATGACTTTGGCGATAACGTTTTGCCCTTTGATAGTAAGTAATTCTTTATTACAGTGGTATTTACTAGTCATTGGAGTCTTGTACAGTATCTACCTAGGAAACTTCCTAGTTTAGCAGTTGACATCTATTAGAGATTGCCCCCTAAAATACGGAACAAATGAGACACCAAAGACAGGAAAAGAAAGATAAAAAGCCCTGCAGCCAAGGGGGGGGGATAGAGCCCAAACGAAAACAACGTCCGGGGCAGGGTATTTCCCCTTTGCTCCCACCCCAAACGACTTCCAGCAAGCAGATGTGTAATCTCGCTGGCATTTTCACTTGAGCCGTCCCAATTCAAAATTCGGTTCAGGACTCATTAGAGCTCGGCATAGTCAGCGAGAATGGCATCGGCAATTTTCAAGGCCATACCGTAGAAAATAGTCATGACATGAGCAGATATCTGAGTAGGAGGAATAGAGCCGTCGATGACGCGAAGGCGCTGGGTGCCATATACCTTGGCTGTAGCGTCAACAACGCCACCGAGCTCCCTGGACATCATGGAGCAGGTGCCGATCGCATGATAGTTTGCACGGAAGTTCTGCTTTACGTACCCCACCCACTGCTCTAGGGTGGCGTCGTTAGGCAGGTTGAACCCCGGGACAACTTCACCATCAAAGTAGTTTGCCATGACGCCAGTGTTTTGGAGCTTACGTGCAAGCTTGGACGCCGCTGCCTGACCGAGAAGATCCAGCTCGTTCAAGTAGAACTTGGGGTCATTTGCAAAGTGCAGGAGATAAGGGTCACTGCTCAGAATATGGGTAGAACCGCGGGTGAAGGGAATGAGATCCCACAGATCAAAGTTGATTGCACCGGAAGTGTCGAGAAAGAGTTCCGCATACGCTACATCCTCCTCAAGCAGCCAGTTGCGGTAATTTTCATACTGGACCTTGAGAGCAGTCACGTTGTGGAAACCGCCAAGCGCAACAGTCTCCTCCGCCCATTGATCAAGCTTGGCATTGAGTAATTCAATAGCCTGAGGGGCATAGTCACCAAAGGTCTCAGTGAAGTTCGCAAAGTAGATTGCCTGGCCTTGGCCAAAACCAGCAGCAGTGCTGCGTGCCCGAACGGTAGTGGTAGTCTGGTCTTGCATATTGAGACCAACCGGGAGCTCCAGAAGCTGTGTAACATTTGCCTTATCAAGAACTGACTTCAACCCAATTCCAGAGTATTCTAGGATCAGAGGCGAGATAGCAGAACCTGCGGCCAACAGGACTTCGTGGTTAGCGTAGACATTGAAGTTAACGGCCTTATTAGTTCCAAAGTTGACTCCCATAGCCTTCAGACCGGAAGTTTTCTGGTCAAACAGAACCTTCCCAACCACCTGACCAGTCAAAACCTTCAAGTTCGGCCGGTGATAGTTGGGAAGAAGCCATTCACGGGCGGCATCTGCGCGCACCTGATTTTCCAACAAGTTATTGGGAAACATGGAAACCCCACGAGGATGACCACAGTGGAAGTCCTTTTGGACAGGGATGCCGAGGGCTGAGGCGGTATCAATAAGTGCCTTCACGATGGGGGACCATGGCTGGCCGTTGTCACGGGGTCCGGCATGAACGGTGCCGTTGAATCCGTGGCAGGCAGGATCAAAGTAATGTCCGGCGGCAATCTGAGCAGAAGTGGGGACACGGGCACGTTCAGCCTGGTTCATGTATTGGAATATATTGTCCCAGTTCCAGCCCGCATTGCCGAAGACTTTCTCCCACGAATCAATCTGGACTTTATCTGGACGGGTCCAGGAATTACCGTTGATCAAAGTCGAGCCTCCAAGACCCTTGCCGGACTTGATGTTCTCGGTCCGGTTGTGTATGAGGGGTACAGTGATATAGTTCTGGTCCACACCGGTGCCGAAGACTTGACTGTAGGTGTTTGGATCCTCAATGATCGGTCCACCGTTGGACTCATAGAATCCTTTTTCAATAACAAGGACCGAGATGTTCGGATTCTCCGTGAGTTTGGCAGCAACAGTGAGGCCAGTCAAGCCACCACCAGCGATAATGTAATCAAATTTCTTTCCGGCTACATCATTGGGGTCCGTGAGCAGACTGCCTTGGACATCGATATTCTCTGCCGCCAGGTGGGCGTGGACTGTAGCGACAGGTAGAAGAATGTATTTGATTATTTTCATCTCGACAGCAAACTTTGAAGATGTGAGAAGAGCCGTAGAAGGACAACGAATGAAAAGAATGAGAAACAAACAGAAAAGTAGAGTGAGAAGAGCCAAATGACTTGGGCGTTGTTTGACTATCCTGTTCGAGAAGTGACGGCATAGTATAGAGTATATGTATTCGCATGGAGGACTGTCTTTCCTTATCTTTTCATTTACAAGTTACAGCCATATTACTCAATATTCGAGCCCAGATTCGGTGCTTGGTCATCCATAATAGGACAAGGAGTAGTTTACTTAGTTGTTGGTAACACGTGTAGCTCCGTTGCCCTGCACAGGTTAGCCTCAGAGGTGTTGAAATTGGATGGATTCTTGCTGATGACGAAAATAGTGTCCGCTGGGGTCAGCACGACCCACCATATACAATAAACTTCAATAGCACCGAACAAGCCTGCACATCTATCTTTAGTTGCCCACGGTGCTAGACAAAGATTTGTCTTTCACCGGGACGACGATATGGGAAGAAACAAAGCTGTTCTCCGAAGGATGGATTTAGATTAGCTTATTGTGAAGATTCAATGTTACTCGTACGAGTACTCGGACTATCCAAATATACTCAGTATCCAATCATATCCTTTATATTCGAAGAGTATCTGGGTTGCCTTGGCAGGCGTGCAGGATCTATTAATCTCCAGTGACACTCCCTTAGGTACAGTCCTTGGCGCATTTCAAGGATGTATTGAATATTTGCTTATTTGACCAGGGTATGGCGTGTTAATAGTTGGGGGCCAAAGATTATGTTCTATTTTCACGACGTGGATCTGGTCGATATGCTAACAGTGTTCCAGGCGTGATAGGCTTACCGCTTAGAATATAATTTCCTGTGATCTATGGTACAGTGGGAGTCACGGTAGCCTCGTCGAGCTACTCATCTTGAACCCACTGTTTCCCTCCCTGCGAATCGGGAGACCGTCCTCGTATTTTCTCGAAAGCTCAGTGGCTCAGCATTGTAGCTGTTATGGATGGGGTTCCAGACTGGGCTGCTGAAAAATACACAGTGTCTCATTGTGAAGGTCAAGGAGACTCAGGAATATCGGGGCTATTTTTTGGCCCCGTATACAGTCAACAGATCCAAGGGTCCCAAGCACCGACAGGGTGTTGATCGCGGCATGCCGGGAATCATTCACTCGGGCTACACCAAGTACAGTTGGATGCGTTTGTAGCCGTTAGCCGTAATGTGGCTCGCACCGGTATGGCACTACTGAACTCCGACCTTCATCCACTAACAAAGGTGGTACCGTCATTTCGTTACCCACATTATCAGCCATGTTATTCTTCTTAGCAACTGTCGAATAAGTGTGCTCCTTTCGCTTGACGCCATTGGTACTATATCTAGTGTACTTAAGCCGTCCTATCCTGTAGGTTACGTACACAAGCAGCTGTGACGTCCTACACACTCACTGGAGATTGGGAAGGCCCCGGTTATCTGTCCAAGTGACAACGTTGTAAAAAGATGAATCTCCTTCTTGTCACAGCGCTTCTTTTTGGGAGCAGTGCCCTCACGTCGCGACTCTACGCAGCGTCATACGCAGGCACAGTCACATCGTTAAGTTTGTCGAGGCCAGGTGCCGATTATCGACTAACTACGGTCTCTCAAACGGATAACTGTGGAAATAGTCCTTCGTGGCTGATGCTGGATGGGACGAATGAAATCTTGTACTGCTTGGATGAGGGCATTGGTCTCCCTAATTCTACATTAACATCCTTCAAAATCAAGTCGAACGGGTCATTGGCCAAAATTCATCAACTACAAACCCTGACAGGACCTGTTGCATCTGTTTTTTATTCTGCAACGCAGCTGACTGATCGCAAATTTTTTGCCGTTGTCCATTAGTGAGTTACATATTTCCTTCGCTTCCCTCCCCGAAAATTGCCCCCCTGCCGAGCTGTTAACGCTGTGCTATTTAGCTCCGGATCTGCCGTCACAACGTACTCTGTTGACCCTACCAGAGGTCACTTCGAGCACTGTCAAACCTTTACATTTACAATTCCTGCCCCAGGGACAGTCCCTTCTCGACAGGAAGCATCGCACCCACATGGAGTGGTTGTGGATCCAACGGGGCAGTTTGTCCTCGTCCCAGACCTGGGAGCAGACTTAGTCCGCATCTTTCAGGTTAACCCAACCACAGGCGGCCTAGAAGAGCAGGAGCCTTTTGCTGTAGCTCCAGGATCTGGACCGAGACATGCTGTCTTCTGGACTCCAAGCCGGGTGAGACAGGCACAACTGCGAGATGTTCGTTTTTATTTGGTGTCAGAGCTAGATAATCACCTGAGAGGCTACGACGTTAAATATTCGCAGAATGGAACCATATCATTCTCTCAGTTCTATGATGCTAACACGTACGGTGGAGCAACCCCACCGACCGGTTCAAAAGCTGCAGAGATTGCTATATCAGTAAGTGACTCCTATGATCCGCCTCGGGCTTTAGAACGATGAAAATAGCTAAGCGTTTCCCTCAAATAGCCTGAAAACAATCATCTCGTGATATCCAACCGTAACGATAATATGTTTGGTCCCGGGAATGACTCCATTGCGGTGTTTTCAATTGCTAGTGGATGGCGAGAACCCTCCCCTGTCTCCTTCCTTGGTTTATATCCAGCATATGGTTCATTTCCAAGACAGTTTGATATGTCACAAAAGGATGTGGTAGCACTGGCACTCCAGAGCAGCCAGAAAGTGGCTGTGGCTCAGTGGAATAGAGTGGGAATGCTCGGTCCTTTGCTTGTGGAGAAGTCACTGGATGGAGAAATTTCCTCTGCGATTTGGGACATTTAGTGAGATTCGATAGAGCCGGCCCGTCTACACGCTCGTGGGAGAAAATGGGAACCATGAGTTTGGAAAAAATTCTGATTAGGTGCAGACTAGCGTTCACATCTAATGGCGTATTAAAACTTGTCACAAACTACAGTAACACCGGAAAGCGGTTTGTTGAGATTTGGGATTACCCTAATGGACAGAGTCTTTGCTGTAGCCATAGAGCCGACTTTTAAGCCCTCTAGCTTCTATCTACGCATACCGTTATCTGGAGTCTAATTGTTGTAATTGTAGATAAGATCGGGCTATGTAAGCAAAAGAGCCTGGAACAGTGAAATAATATAATATGATGGGACTGATCGCTAGGGCTCCAAGCAAATAGAGCGGCTCCGTAGTAGCTAGTGGTCGCGGTTCAATCACGAACGATTATTTGCAGAAGATTGGCAGATTTTTTGGCAGAGGAAATTTGAGCCGACCAAGTCTTAAAATGGTGGAATTTATTGATGGCGTTACGCAGTCAAGAGGTTTTACGGTGTGTATATACTGTTCTCTCGAAAGTTTGAATAATCCAGTCGCCGCGCAACCCCCATGGGATTTTTTTAAGAAATTATTCAGGCTTGATTCCTTAAATTGACATTCTCGAGCACACCTTCGCCGCAGGGCATATCTTTGTTGCCATAGGGCACATCTTTACCAGGGGCATACCTTCGCTGCCGGGAATATCTTTGCTGCCGGGAATATCTTTGCTGCCGCGGGGCACATCCTTACTAGCCCCTTACTAAGAACTGGAATACTGTTTACGGGTGAGGAGTTTCAAGTTAGATTCAGCTCCAAATTCGCCAAGTCTCTTTACAACTCCATTGGCTTTCTGTGCTTCTTGACCGGACCAGCTACGTTATGGTAATTGCCGGATCTCGAGCAGGGAGGATTTCGGAGTGGAAAAGCAATAAAGAGGGAAAGATGAGACGGCAATAAAAAGCCAAACCAAGACAAGAATTACGTGGCTGGAGGAATATCTCGAGGGAACATAAACTATGGTTCCAGTGACACCGATGAGTGGAATTTTTTGATAGGTATCTTAGGATCACACCAGGGCACCTGGAGGATCCACCTAATCTCAGCGCAATGAGCAACCTCTGGAGCTGACGATAGAGACAGGACCTGTCCGGTCGTCGACCTACATTGTTCGGACTCCATAGAAACTGCTGAGGACTGATGGACCTACATTTTCTGTATCTCGGTACTTTCTCATGATAGTGTATTTTTTTTTTTTTTTTTTGACAGTTGGAACGAAAGGTCCGGCAGTAAACATGTGCCCTGCCCTGCGGCAGCAGAGATACCCGCCGCGCAAAGGCATACTGTGCCCTGTGGTATGTCTCCACATAGTTTCAGCCACGCCCTTGACATTGAAAAGGTTAGTGTTAAGGTAACAGTTCGTCTTCAATGTCAACGACCTGGTTACGCTTTTTTACAACATCAGAGCGGCTAGTAAGATTTGCCTACATCCCAATGACCTCGCCAATTGAAATGTGCGCAGGGAGCCACGTCGCCTCGAAGGTTATCCCTGGTGATCTCACAATATCCAGGCCCAGCGCTCAACCGAAGCGATGTCATGCAACGGGGAAAAGAGGAAGGGCGGGCTACTAAAGATTTGATTTTGTCCACTCCCTCGTCTTCAAAAATCTAGTGTCTTGGATGCCTTCATACGACTCGAAGGCAGAAATCTCATCAACCCCCAAATAACTAAAACAAGGCGGGCAAGTGTTGACTCTCTTGTTGAATCTTCTTTCTAACTCCGATAGACACTCTTGGCGTAAGATTAGGAAACTTAGCTGTATCGTGTCAACATGGTGATTGTTTACTCACTTTCCTTCGGTTCCAACTTATGCTTCGATTTCAACCGCATGCGATCCCATCTCAATCCTCTGGCAACTCCACAAAACCGATCATCTGTGCTACCAAGACATCATCGTCGGCTAGGTACTTGAATGGATGTGTTCCAAATATAAACGAATAAATCTGCATTAAAACTAATCATTCAAATTCCGTGCTGAACGAATAGGCCCACTTATCATGCAGCCTGCACGCCAGAGGTCGACCTGGTAGTCAAGCGTCCTACGAAAATCGTCTCAGGCACTTGCAATGGTCCTGGTTGAGCCAGTATTCTTGGCTCTTTCCCTTGAAGAATCCCCTCTCCAAGGTCAAGAATCCGAAGGTCTTCGTCATCTTCATCGACCCACTCACCACATTCTGTTGCTTTTACCGGATGTTTCGGTAAGCACTCGTCGAGCGGCTTGCCATCAGGGCGGGCCAATTCTTCGAACTCTAGCTATCCAAGAGCTTCAAAGAGGTCCTTTCGCTGCATTCGAGAGGTGGCTATAGCTGAAGGTGACATTTCTGCCGCTTATATCTGCTCCTGCTTAAGTACCATCACGCGGAGAATGAGCTGTGGAAGGGTTATGATTGTGCCTCACCTCCATGTCCTATGCCAGGATCGTGGATGAATTTAATGGCTTCTAGAAGCTGTTCCGACATTTGTCAGAATAGCGTCTGTTTGAGGGCATCTCCAGAGCTGTAGTAGCCGCCAAGAACCCTATGGACGGAAGGATCAAGCAGCTCAAATACGAGGCACTGGTGGACACCGTTAGGCCCCTGAAGTGTATAGCAGTCGAGTAATTGAACAATATATTTTTATTTAGGGATGAATATAGCCAAGAGTTTAGCGCCTTATTTCTGTTAATACTGCCGTTGTGGAACAAGCGTTGAACTAGCATGGACTAAAGCCTCCAGCACCTGAAACATGCATCAGTCTAACTAAAATAAAAGAACGCCCGGGCATATTAAAACCCCCGAGAAAACTGATACCGTATATTGGTACCACTATACTAGTAGATGTTGTCAGATATACGGCTAGTCCCTAAGAGGAAATAGAGTACGATTGGTGAAAAGGTCTTATTTGAATGAGTTGAGCTGGTTGGGCTCTTCTTGATTATGTTGATTCCTCTGTTGTTTTTGTTGTGTGCTCCGCGGAGGTTTTACCCTATCTAGTCACATGATTCTGGTCCACCAAAGGCCATATTATTTGACAGATGTTAACTTAGGAAAATCCCGCAAGTGGGGAGTAAGGTTCTATGCCTGTGACTATACCGGTAGATCCACCAAGAAATAGCCCTGGTATCCTTCCCATCAGTGAATTTCATCTTCATATATTTATACCAACAGCAAAGGGTAAGAATAACCGAGAGTCAAGTGACGCTCACAATATAAAAGGGACAGAGTTATCCAGTGTTCTTATCTTGAAAGCATCAAAACATTCAAGCAATGGCCAGCTTTTTGGATCGCTTACCCGATATTGCTCGGTTTTGTTGCTTAACTGGTCTTGTCCTTTTCAACGGCCTTTCCTACTATGCTATTCGCGAAGAGTGTGCTGATCGCAGCTTGCTGCTTTTCAACTTCAGCGCTGGCATCTACCTGGCCGTCATCCATAGATGGGCAGCCGCTACCAGACAAGTGGTTTCAAATGAGTCTCAATAAGACCGCTGTTGCGGACAACGGCCTCAGCAAGAGGGACACCAATACTGGTCTTGTGGAGCGGACTCCCATTACTGCATGCGACCGTACGATCGCCGTAACCGCGTCCTGTGTTGTGATCGCCAATTATGTGACTCAATTGGTGAAATCGCTCGCTAGCACCATCAAAGAGATGTCCGACCAGGGCAACTGCAATGCAATGAGCGGTACTTACCAGGACCTGAAGTGGACATACTACTCCTCCGGCAGGAACTGTGACACTACAGCACAGCACGACACTATTGCAGGCGCCATCAAGAAGTACCTGACTAAGGTCGAGCAAAACAATTTTTGCGGCACCCAATGCCTGCGCATGGACCATGGCGGTACCTGGGATGGATGGTTGAAGCTGGCCAATTAATGGATTCAATGACAATGCCTACTGCGGCCCGACTCTGACCTTCGATAGCTGTCTCTCGGGCGGCGACAACGACATCTAATCAATCGAGAAGAGGTTTCCGTATTCTATGACACTGGAACTCCCGACTTGACTACGTCCATTACGTGCCAGGTGCAAATTTTCATTCCTCCCGAATGTATCCCTCATCCATAACTTCTATCTATTTCTTAGATGTGACCATTTGCTGTCTACCTCATATTCGGCAAATGGCTGTCTGAATCTGAATCAATGTCTCCTTTGCGAGCTGTTCCACCTGGTGGCCCATGGGCACGGCCATGTCCCGATCGGTTGACTTGTATTCGCAATAAAACAATAAAACACCAAATTTATAACCTATTTCGAATCTTCCATTGCTTTTGTCAAGCGCTCGACTTTTTCTAGGAGTGGCAGGAAATCTTCTGGCATCGCAGAGGTCTCTAATCTGTCTGTGGGATTCGGCTCAGGATCCCTCCCGAGCGGTTCCGGCAGCGGCCCATAGATAGTTCCCGCCTGGTACTCAGTAGCACCAATGAGATATTCAACACACTATCGTTCCCCTGTGGTCAGCCTGTCACTGCTCGGTCTTTCTATGCAGCTATCCCCTGCCCGAGTGCACTTTCTTCTTTCTGTGTAGTGCCCTACAGGGGAGAGGTGTGAGCCAGTTTAGAGGGACAGACTCGACTATAGCGGGGTTACAACTAAAACCTATCCTATCAAAATAAATTTACGAAAAATCTAGACATTATTACAGAAGAATATCCAAAATAACTCTGAAGAGTCCACGGCTCGCAACCCGAGGCCAAATGTATCGGGAGACCGACTCGCCGCTAGTTCATGGTCGAGTTCGACTGTAGCGCCAGTAATGCAAGGTCGAGTCAAGAAAAGAGCACGTTCTCGGAGAAGATAACGATAATAATGACAGCACCTTTTTCACCAAACAACCTCGGCTGGGGGAGCTTAGCCATTACCATGTGATCCATTGCCATGTGATCCGCGATTCGTCACATTCGGGCTGTCCAGATGGCTTGCACTTGGCATCAGCGAAGTGATTCGCGCGACGAGGCCCCCATATTTGCTGATCGTTTACAGGATAGCTGTCGATGCCGCCATTGATCTCCAGCAATATGTTTGTGCAGCGCGGACAGAAATGCGGTGGATTCCCCAATACAATTTAGATTACACTAATAGTTAGCGTCGTGACTCGGTTCTCCTCGGTCACAGCAGGGCTCTGGGTGTTGTTTCTTGTGCTTGCAACTGCTTTGGCTCTCATACAAGACACCGTGGACATCATTATGACTTGCGCTTTGTGTAAGCGACAGCTGAAAGCTTCGCAGGAGTCACACTATCTGCTTCTGGAAGCTGTCCAGAATGGGATTGGGACTGGGAAGCTGCTTCAACGCGATCGTGTGGACACTCACAGTTCACACCAGGTGCTGGTCTATTGCCGGGTTAGCATTGGATAAATCATTTCTTGGAATATCTTTATAACCTCTTCCCTTCCCTTACACAGGTCCATTTCGCCCACTCAACCGGTAGCCTTCATGCGGATATCTTTGTTGTGCTGAAGGGGAGAAGAACTCCGAAAAGAGATCTATTTCGGTGAAAGCGATTATCTGGTATAACTTACACTGCTATGGGCTATTTCACAAAATGTTTAAACAATACCTGGAATTATAAGCGGCCTTCCGTTGATGGTCTATATAGTCCGTAAATACAAGTTGTGGAGACGGTCGTGGTGTCGCTTGCGGAACGGCTCACCCAGTTGACAACAAGCGTGGTCCCTGCAATTTCTCGGCGATGTTTTTCAATATTTTAGGGGCAGATGGGATCATGTTCAGTAAGGCTATTGAGCATCTACGCTACTGTGGGGATAGTAGATTAGGAACAGGAAAACCGAAGTTTCATTGCCCATATTAAGAGGACGCGGGGAATGAACCCCAAAAATCACCAGTCAAGCCCTGGTTATCCGACCCTCCGCCTGGCGCAGGTGAGCAAGTGCAACTCTATACCAGGAATGGCGTCTTCTAAGGCCAAATGGTTGGTGGACAATTTCTCATGGACAGAAAAAGCAGTCTATACACAATAAGCATTGGGCAAGCGCAGGGAAGAGGCAGCATCGTCTAAACGGGACGTAGCTAAGAGTCAGGCACGGTAATACAAATCGATTTTAAAAAATCTGCACGAAAGTGAGCCCAGCGTTATCCTTTACTTGTTTACTGATAGACCTGGCGATAGGCTAGGAAGAAATCACGCAGAGCTCGAATAATTACAGTCAAGGGTTTTAAAATACCCACGTATTCATTTCCACCTTAAGTTAGACAGAACTGACTCCGTCAGGATATGTACTCAATAGTATCGATCGTATACATGCAGTTACAAGAAAACTAAAGAGTTTAAACAATGTGACAATCGGCTGGGCACGAATGTCAAATGCTCTCCAATGAGATGGGAAGCGTTGGATCCTTCCATCCACATGTGCGTAGGAGTTAATTTTTTCCATCGCTGGCTCTGGCCTTTGAGATAGATTGATGAAGAGGATGATGATGATGATGATGATGACTATGAATGACAGCAACCGCCCGCTGTCTATATACACCTCACGTCTCTCTTCTCTTCTTCTTCCACCTTTCCGTGAATAGTCGGTCGGATTATCGTATGCTGAATTATACCGAGTCAAGAAATACGGACATAGCTTCCATCTCTGTATTGATGCCATTGAGATCAGACAAGGTCCAGGAAAGAATAGAGCAACAGAATGGCATTTCATATACCGACAAAAATCTGGTCCCTGTGTTCTCTCCTATGGTGGTGGAAGATAGCCCATCGTCTCCTCTGCGGAACCGACGTCGTGGGCCACCAGAGGTTATAGAGCAGCTTCCTCGTTCACATCGCCGTGCGGAGGCCAAGTCATCCCGTCCATAACCGCGTGTTCTGCCTGTTGACTATCGCGATGCCCCAGGTCCTGCAAGATCTCCTATTCCTTGGATCGAACCGGATTTAACCGCGGTCTTCTTTATGACCACCGATTCATACAACGTTCTCAGATCGAGTTAAAAAAATAAAAATAAAACCTTCTTAAACTATCTGTATCCCACGGTATAGTGACGACAGCATACGGAGGTCACTAAACATCAACAAAACCTGATGGGATCCAATAACCATTTGCAGCGCATCCCTGTTGTCAGTGTTCTGGAGCTGTACCTGGTGATGGGAAGTGGTGTACAAGTTGGAAAAGTCCGCTATCCCAGCATGCAGGCTCCCTCAGCGGGCGCAAAATAGTGACGGCCTCATGGGATGCGTGTGCTTTCATAACCGGTCCTTTGTGCCCCTCCCGACGTGCCGATGAACCCTCTTTGTTTTTATGGTTCAACATGGATCCGGAGGGAGTATCAAATTTTAATTGACTCGTTGGCACTGGCAGAAATCCTTCCATGGTGGCTCACCCTGGGGGTATCGGCGCTGTCCATGGTTGATTTCCCTATGCTACTCCTGGAGCCCAGTTGGAAGGAGTTTCAGTTAGGGTCTTTCAACAAGTAGAACACACCCCTGCCAAGGAGGGGGCGGACCTATGCGACCATAAATGATAGATGAGAGGGTAAGTACCAAGGCCATGTTCTCGTATCAGCTGTTCCATTAGCCCAGCTTGGAAATATTGGCTCAAGATGCCTCTCCTAAGAGGGAATTCTTCTTGCGAGGAGATTGCCCAGGTCAGGGGCCACTGGAAGTCAAAACGCCAGATGAGAATGTGCACCGTGATACTGCCCATGGCGAGGGGGAACATTTTCGCCAATCTTATGGCAACGATCGCCCAACTATAGCTCGTCTCGCCCACTCTTGGCAAGCTGTTTGTCGTCCTGGGCTTTTATGGAGGCTCCTGGACAAGCCCCGTTATCCTGCGACGGGTAGGAAATGATGTATTGATGGACTATAGCATGTCCTGATGCTACCGCCTCTATTTGATTCCGCCCACAGGTCGACTGTAAAGACCAGAAATAACAGGTTGGAGAAGGCATGGGCGGAGGGGTTTCTGGGAGCGTAGACTGGAGGGTACCATTTGTGGAGTAGTCCGGATCAAGAGAGATATCGATCGTACCCGTCGCGATATCCTTACGAAACATGGCCCGATGGAATATTTCGTACGCTGTGACTGGTTGGTAAGAGGGAACCATGTGCCCGGCATGGAAAATACGACTGAAAGAAAAACCCCCATGTTGACGGACTTGCCCTTTCACGCTTTGCGAGGAGTCCGTTTGGATATTGGCGTAGCCAGCAGCTTTAAATCGGTTTGAGTGCCGATGATTGACGGCAAGGCTGACTCGTTCCCCTGCAATCCAGTTACAGGCGAAATCGCGGTCGCCATACACCAGAGCTACACTGACTCCAGAATCGACCAGACTCGCGATATCTGCAAGGTACCCGCCTATATCATTCCTCGCATAGTCCCCCGTAGCATTGAATGCGTTCCTAACTGCGGTCGACGTGTCGGTGTAGTTAACGGGCACCCCGAGGGCCCTCAGAATCTTGTCATCGGCCAAGTATCCCGCGTAGAATCTAGGAGGAAATGGGTTGAGAAAACAATGGGCGATATCGTAATAGGCCCACTTTTCCTGGTTCCTATAAACGCCGTCTATATCGTTTTGACACAGGTCACTTGCTTTTTTGCAGGCCGTGTTCACCGTACGAGCGTTTCCCCACACGCCAGGATCCAGAGCCTCCGCTAGCTGTTGGCAGTTCACGATCTGATCTAAGCATCCGCCTTTCCGGAAGTGGGCTTCCAGCGCTCGTAGATAACGGTCCCGATCAATACCTTGGATTCCATACGTATTCCGGTCGTACGCGTACTCAGGGTTTGCTGGCTGTTGGGTGAACAGGTCAACGCAACCGTTGATGATGCCCAGGGTATCCAGGCGGAGGACTCTCCCACGCAGGGTCCCTTCCTTAATGCGTCTGTTCTGCGCCTGGAAATACGCAGCAAATCCTGGGCCGAACCGGCCACCGTAGGACTCCGTCCAGAGACTGATTTGGTCATTCTGGGCTGATTGGCGGTAGACATCGAACTCTTGCGCCCAGATTTGCATGAAATTCCACATGTGTCTGGCCGCATTCACGGTGGTATTGGCTGTGGAGTTGGTGTTCTGGCTACTAAATGTTCCGGGAAGCATTGTGGGCTTCTTCGACCGGCCGCCAGGTACGATGACGCCATTCTCCAAATCCAGGGTTCCGTTGGTCAAGCTGTCGTAACTGAAGCCCGTCTGGACAGGTTGGTCGATATAAAGCATATTGGTTTCCTTGTTCCAAGACCACGCATTTTCCCTCGTCGTCCTCGAGTCACTGTTCATATGACAGGGCCCGTTCTCAGTAAACAATCCGACCATGGATGATGTTCCCGGGCCACCATTTAGCCAGACAGCGAGGGGCGATACTGACGGGGTTTTCTGGGATTCAAAATACCAGAAGAAGATGTGAACTGGAAAATCCTGGCTGGCATCCTTCATTGAGTTTGGAGGAAAATTTACATAGCCTGCATAAGACCGTGCTCGCCCATGACAGATGCTTTCCTATGTCAATTCCACCAGTGTCAGCGCACTAGGCACCGTGAGAGTCAAGGCTGTACAAGCAGCGAGGGGCCTACATCAACTGGTTTATAGGTTATCGTAACATTTTCAAGGATGTCTGAATGAATCGTAGTTAAGCCCTGCGGTGGTGGAGGATACTGTCCCGAGGACAGAATGACTAACGGAAGAAGCCTGACGACATGCAATAGCTTCATCTTCCGCGAGTACGGAGAGAAAGGGCTCCCGGAAGCGAATAGGTAACCAGACAAGTAGCTGCGAGTAATTGCAGAGACCCTTATTTGTCAGGCTTCCCAGCGCCATCAGCGATTTTCATACGACAGAGTTTTCATACGACAGATTGCTGGAAAGACGATGGAATTCTCCTACCCTGTGCTATGTATAAAACATATTATCATCAAATATTAATAGCTCCATTCAGACAGGATGCAAAAAGACTGGCAGAGTCTTATAGAGTTGCACGGAGGAACCGCAAAAACCGCAACCGAATCCACACCGCTGTTGCTAGACTGGGAATCCGCATGCGGTTGCGGTTTCTGAAGGCAGGATCCGCAGAATCCGCTCGGATCCCCGCGGATTCTGCGGTGCGGTTTCCACTGAATCCGCAAGTCCGAAAATCTGATACATAGTATTACTATATAAATAAAGCATATTACAATTTTAAAAAAATTCTTTAAGGCACTCCCTTATTACACCCCTACGCACCTTATATATTCTTTGCTTGTAGGAGATAAATAGCTGTCTACTAATTAATGTAGTAACCTGGAGATAACTAGACAAACAGCTTTGTAATTAATCAGTTAAAATATATACAAACTCTGGTCGTTCTCCCTGGGGACTGTTATACTGAAGGCGGCCTCAAGGACTCCTAATATTTAATAGCTTCTACGATCCATATATAGTGTAAGCTAAGATGGCACCCCTACAAGCGGGCCACCCCCCCAAACGGGCCACCTTTCCCATACAAAATAGCACTTTTTGATGATTTTTTATTTCACCAACTATAAAGTAATTCTTAATATAAATGGTAATTTATATTTATTATATCTAAAAAAATATATAGAATTTTTTTAACTTAATTATTTAATGTAGAGAAAATGCAATGGTGTATTAATATTTTTAAAAAATCCCATATAAAAATATATGGTGTTATCTAAATACAGGTATTAAGAAATTGGTAAATAATATAAATATAAAAATAATATTTTAAATTATAGTAAATTTAAATAAGAATTTTATTAATTTTTTATTACCTCCCCATATATAAAAATTTTTATATGGGAAGATCTTAAAGTTATCTAAAAAATTCAAACCTTTTTAAACCCCTTTAAAAATTTAATATAAATTATATATCAGAGTAATGTATGCTATATATAAAAATAGAATATAAATATTTATTATTGGTTATATTAAACATAGAATTTTTTATTAAATTTTATATGTATTTTGTGTGCGCAGATATATATTTCAAGTATAAGAATATTTAAAACACTTTTACAATACACACAATATAAAAACCTTTAAAATAAAAATATACATAGGTATTTAACTGTAACCTTAACATAAAATACCATTTATATAAAAAATTACACAGTAGATTGTAGACTTATAAGCCTCCAAAAATGTCTATTTTGTATGGGAAAGGTGGCCCGTTTGGGGGGGTGGCCCGCTTGTAGGGGTGCCATCTTAGCTTGCAGTATTTGTTTATCCACGTTGTTAATGACAGAGGTGAGGCACCTGGGCACGGTACAAGGTGGTGATATTTATTATAGCGTCTACCTTTATTCTCTTTTTCCCTTCCTTGTACGTAGCATTCTCGTTGAAGGCACTAAATAAAGTTGATTTGGTTTTACTTCTACCTCTATGTGGAATTACCATCCGCGCTTATATATAAGGTGTATTTTTCCTGGTAATACGCTGAATTCTGTTTTCTCTCCAACCACACTAAAAATTACTAATTTTTTTACCTTATACTGTCCTCTAGGGCTTCTATTCTATATATTTGTTAATTCAAAGTTATTTATTATATAAAATATGATGATTTTCAGCTCAATTTATGATTAGTAAGGATAGGCATTCTTAACAAGCGGACTGTTTCTGTCTTGAACCGAAACTACCGTGCCAGTCCTTTTAAGCATTGGCTCTTGGGATAAAATGGATAAGCTAAGTTTCCTGGTTCCAGAGAACGCAGATTCCAATGCGTCACCCAACGTAGACTATCCATGCGTTCTGGGGGCTTGTATTTGTTGTTCCCCATAAACCATTTTTTATTTTTTTCCCTATTGCTGCTTAGCTCAGCAGGTATGTGTCAACAGAGGTAACCAGGGTGAGATGAAGTTCCTTGCATTGTTCTAGTCTACATACAGCTAGCTGATATCCATTACAAAAACGGTAGTACTCTACTGATGGATCCGTCACAGTGACATCTGCTCCCCGCTTACAGAGTTAGATGACTACCACTCCCCTGCTTGAACATCCCACTCACCAGTCGCCCTGTACCAAATAATACCACACTGTATATACGGAGATATGCTAGTAATAGCTTGCAGGCTGTTGTAGTGGCATGGGTCTCTTTGGCTTGCGCTCCAAGGGGCAGAAAACAAACAGAATTATGGAAGAGATGGCCGCAATTTAATGGACCTAAGGTAAGAGTAACGACTCAATACAAGTGAACCCCCCTGTTTCGCTTCGCTACCCAGATGCAGTGAGATGTACTCCCTACTAGTGTGCCAATTTGCTGATTTTTATTGGCAAAAAAAAAAAAAAAAAGAAAATTAATAATAGTAAAACAAAACTGCAAAGGGCCCACGCCCCGTCCTAGATTTCTGGTAAGTGCTTGCTGGGTTTCCGGTGACAAATTTGAATCGGGTCTCATGTCCGCTCAATTGCCCTAATCAGGATGCAATATCAAGTTTTAAAGAAGCGTTGAGATAATAACCTGAAAATGGCCCAAAATTTACACAATTTTACAGAAGCGACCGCATCAAATAGATGGAATGCTACAGTCGCAGGAAAGTGAATAAGATTCCGCATCCGGCTACAGGTTGCATATGCTAGACTGAGATATCATGGTCCGAGTTGAATAAGGGTGTGGACACGGTCTCCCCGCAGCACAGTCAGGCAAGAGATGTTATCTGTTGCAATTGCAGATAGTAACACTTTGCGGCGTTTCAGGCATTGGTGCGCAATGAATGCAAGCTGGTTTTGCTCAACAAGTTGCGTCGGGAAGCACATGCTACGAACACCGACCACCAGTGAGGTTAAAAGGGACTGGGGTACCCCGCGAAGGTCATCTGAAATCTGCCTTCTTCAAGCTCAAAATTTCCCCTACTTTTGGCCATTGCGGCAGTCGGTTCGAGAATCCCTTGACTAGTAGCATACTATCGACGTTATTTCTGACCAGAATGACTGGCTCAGTTCTCGAAGAGACACGTACTATCAAGATTAAATGGCCTTCTCTCGGCATCACTGTGACTGCCTTGATGAACGTCATGGAAAACTCGCAGCTCATTGACCTACTTTTTAGGTGTCTCCCCTACCGTTCCCTTCAAAGCCATGCATTGGTGTCTGGTGACCATCTGTATCACATCATCCCCCAGGAGGAGCTCATCGTAAGAAGCCCCCCAAGCTTTGCCAACGAATCAATAGTCTTATCCAATACTCACATATATTGGAATTAGCACACTCCTGCCATTCATAAGGTTCCGAACAGGGCCGACACGCCCGACGGGACCGTGTTTCTCTCCAGGAATCAGCATATGGCAATCAAATATGGCCCTCTGTCCGAGTACCTCCCAGCTGCACCATGCGGGATGGTCATCCCTGAAGACATACCCAAGTTGCGAAACGCCGGAGATGGCTTATGGCGTGCCTGCTATGAAACCGCCCAAGCTATTGATGTGGTGGTTTGGGATGCCACTCAGCCTGAACCAGTGGGGAGTCTTCCTCTCCAAATTCAGCGGACAGGTGTCAATGAAGAAGTCAAGAATATTATTCGCGAGATTCATGTGAAGGTAGGTGATATCCCCTTGGCATTCATGCCCACAACGCACAACCCCCACAGTCTGTCCACGCATCACTAATCACACCGTGTATGATATTTTAGACCAACAGGTCGTGGTCCGGGCTGTCTGAGGACCTTGAAATCGTGCACAAGGGTCTAGCGCCTTCCGGCGCAGGCTCGAAAGGTTCTTATTTTCATACGATGGTCTTCCTGCAAGGGCAAATAAGAGCGCTAGGGTATACCGTCTTAAATAACATCATTCGGATGGCGGCAACGCAACCTCACTTCGGCCTAGAACACCTGATCACAATGTACAGAGTCTTGGGTTCGCCAATTGCCGAATTTTGTGGTTATATGGGTACTGACTCTCTTTTGGAGATGTACGAAGCGATTGATGCTGCGATTAAGCACGGCATTGAGAATAACCCCAACCAGGTGGTGGCTCGGGAAGACTTTCTAGCCATGGTCAGTGCATTTGCGCAGTACGTTACTCTGCTCAACGCACAGAGTTTGCAACTCTTCCCCTGGAGACACGGAGAGGATCACCGGATTGCACTTCCCGCACCCTGAGTTTCGATCATTTGCCAGCTTGTCCTTGGCATTCAGGCTCCGAATCCATACTTAGCCACCCCGTGGAATATTCTGTCTATGTTAGTGTTTCCGTAACAAAGTTTAAACAGGTATATACAGTGGTTAGGAAAGCATTCTTAGCTTATAATTGGACATGACGTACTTTTTACGGCAACTATTCTACAACCCTTTTAAATGGGACTATATAGTAATTACACACGTTTCCCCACAGTCGCCAACCCTTCAACACCGTCACACCAAAAAAGGGGCGAGCATATAAGTACATATAGATGCGGTTACTGCACTGTTTCCAAAGACAAACTACTCGATGTTTCCACCAGCACTCCACCTGCTTCCCGACCTACCTTCTCAGCTTTATATACCTACGTACATTATGCCTGTCCATGTTAACAACGATCCAAACTGCGACCAAAATTTCCGTCGCGCATATTACGACCAGTTCCAGCAATGTATCAATGATAATCGTAGACATACCACTTAAAATGGGGAAGACCTTGATTTCGGTGAAGCATGTGTTTTCTATGTAATTGCGGTCATACATCAGTCATTTTGCTAACTAGCGGAAACAGAAATAGTCTCCACCCGACTACAGCACCATGGGTACGGCTATGCCCCGTCCCAGCCGAAGCCTCAACCTCCAAGATGGCCAGCAGAGGCTGCGGCAGAGGATGGAAAGGAGTATTAGACAAAGTTGACACAAACCTCTACGCTCTACTATGTACTGTATACAGGTCCGTAAGGATTGACACTCCATTCTCACCGGGATTCCTGTCCATACTCCCTCTCACTTGTAACCTCCACCAACGAGTTCCCCAACGAGTTTCCCAACGCCAACTCCTCGATAGTAATATACTGACTATGCGCTCTGATCCTCCTTCCATATTTATACAACACCCACGGCACAGGCACCAATGACACCGACACGAAGCCTAGCAGACTAGAAGCCCAGCCAACTCCTAAAGAGGAGAACATCTGCACAGTGAACAGTGGAAACGCACCTCCGCCAGCATACCGAAGAAGACTATTGGCACTGAGGGCACTAGCGCCATGTAGTGATCCATATGAGTTCATGATATACAGCGCACCGCTGCTGTACACCATGATATTCCCCACCGCAAATGGCACAGCTGCTATAACAGGGCTCACCCAGTGCACGCCTGCGTTGGCGGTCCAGCCGAACCAGAAGAGGCTGACTGGGTTGAGGGCACAGCCGACCATTGCACCATAGAGACGGTACTCGGGCGGTACTGCGCCGACGCCATACTTCACCTCTAGCGGAGGGTATGTTCGCCGATCTATGTAGACCACAGCCAGAAAGCCGATAACGCAGCCCAAGGCAATAGAGATGAAGGTAAGCCCCTGCTGGCCAGTCGTGAAGCCGTACTGGCCGCTAAATATATATGGGAAGGCGGCGAAGAAGCTGTAAAAGACGGCGAAGTTGAACGCCATATAGATTGTCATGAAGAGCACGATAGTCTCAACGAAGAGCATCTTGAACGGCTTAAGGACGATGCGCTGGAGTGTAGCGCTCAAGGGGGAAGCGGCTTTGAGTGGTGGGATTCCATTGGATTCCTTGTCCGTGCGTGTGCGCTTTTGGAGTATGGTTTTCTTGTAGGTTTCGGATTGGGGAATGGAGTAGAGATAGTTGAAGACGACCATGAAGAGAATCACCCATTCGAGCCAGCGGAAGTCCTTGTCCTCGCTGACGTAACCACCGATGACAGGACCTGGAGGGGTCAGCATGGAGCACCATAGAACTAGTACAATCTGTCGCACCAAGGGCTGGGCCAAGAAAAGGAGACACGAAGTAGAAAGGATAAACAAATCCCGCCAGAGCAGGCTGCCAGAGATCTGCATTGGTGCCTCCGCCTACTGAAACTACTGCGCTCCCAAAGAAGCCGCCGAGGAAGCGACAGACGGCCAAAGTGGTGAAGTTTTGTGCTAATCCTGAGCCTAGGATGAACAACCCGAAGATTGGAACCGTTGTTAAGTACACAATCCTGCGACCATAATACTCGCTGATAGGTGCCGCGATGATGGCTCCAAGCCCAAGACCCCAAAGAAAGAGAGAAAGACCAAGCAGGGATACTGTGTGAGAGATCCCGAAATGCTCTGATATGTTGTTGGCTCCAGATGTGTAAACAGAAGAGGCGAAGGACCTGTATAAGTCAGAATCCATAGTTCGAGTCAATGGAGCATGCTAACACGTTGATGCAGAGAAATGCTGGAATGCTGGTCATATAGATGCGCTTCCACATCGGCCAATTGTAAGGACAATCTGGATCATCAGGTCCTCTCCAGTCGTTAGTATGACATTCTTGTTGCGCATTTGGAGATGAGTCTGCCATGCTGCTGTGCTGCAGGTAACGGTTGCCCGTTAGACTAGAGTTCATAATCCAAGACTTCTATGATAATAATAACGAAATGAAAACTTATAAAAGGGCAAGGAACAAGCACCGTGCGAATTAGGAGTAGCACCTATAACAATTGATCAAATATTAGCTCGAGACGCAAAAGATAGACGTAGAGCCCAGAAAGTTTTTGTGGCCACTACTTGCAGAAGACTGAGAAATAATGACTGGGCCACCCTTGGCGAGGCGGTGTAAATATACCCGTGTCAATATCGTATTGCCGCTATTATAAATCAGCCAAATATTGCCTGCTTCCCTGCTGTAGCAGACCCTTGTATAGCTCAATTATCGGAGCCAGACAGGACATTAACAGCTACCATGTCACGTGCTACATACCCCGGTGTGAACAGATAGTTATTTTGATTACCCTTTTGGCTTGTTTGTACTATATTAACCACTGAGTATACATACTTGGTAGACCTGGCTCTTTGGTCTTGATTTGATATTGTATTTTTGTTATGCTTACCCGTGTGGAATCCTTTAGACCTCTATGGGCATTGCTTCACGTCCTGATTGTATTCAAGAAAGGCCTCCTCGTTTTCTAGGTCAGAATGCAACTGAAAACATATCCTGACGGAACTGCCGATTTGTCCTACCGAATCGTCCTACCGAAATCTCGGCCATGTGATAGGAGAATTCAACCATACCTTAGTCCTCTCAGTCCCCACTGATAAGCCTATAAGATTACCATATTTGGTAGATAGAAGTTAGTTCTGCAGATCTAGAATAGAAAAGGATATTCATGCCCGCGAGCTAGGCCGACAGCCGCTCCCAGCTGATGACTACCTGACATCAGAAAGCTCAGACCTTACATTCGGTGGAAAGCTGTTTGGATCTATCATTTTGGTCTTAAGCCCAGTAGCATTGTTGGCACTCATACTTCCAGGTATCGAACCTCGCTAGTAATAAGTATTGCACGGGTTGCAGATGAGACAAAAAGTAATACTTTGTTAAATGCTAGTTTTACACTCAAGTTATTTGAGAAACTATTTTAAGACGGTGTTCTTATTTAGTTTAGAAATATTATATCAAAGATATAGATTCATATAGTTCTTAGTGTTGAGAATCTCGGGAAGAAGCTATGTCGTGAGGTGCTAGGATAGCGGTAACTGGATAGTACCGGCCCCCAAATGCGGTGAGGGCCAGACATTTGGGGGCGGGCATATTGAACTATCGTGCGATCTAGTATCGCTTGGTGAGTGTGTTCTTCTATCTACGAGAGAGAGCGTAGACAAACGCTTCCTTATGTCTACGTGCCCCTTTGCCCCTGAATATGATATATCACATCGCTGCGGGATTAGGATATACGAAGGTGCCTTAGGCATCCTGATTTCCAACACGTAGCAAAATATCTGAGTAAGATCAGAAAGACTCTTAATGTATCGAGTAATTAAATGTTTATCTTGCCTAGTACAGCACAGTGTATCTGCCAGTTAGTAGGGAGTAGAGCTAATACAGTCGGGAATTAAAGTTTGCATAACGCGCAACCCGACCATGGTTTACATGGCCATGTAAAAAACATGTGTATCCTGCAATATAAGATGGTTTGGATTAAAATAACTATATTATACGCAATATAAGTGGTAAAATTTTATAAAAATATGTAAAAAAAGCAGAAAAATTGCTTGATATTTTATATACTACTCGTCAAATTTTGTGTATAATTTTTATTGTATTATATAATAGAGTATTATTAGTACCTGTGATAAAAAATATTAAACAACAGTAATAAAAAAATTTTATATATAAAAAATATACTAAATTAACTATAGTTTATATAATATTATTTAATAATAATATTATAATATAAAGATTGCTTAAAATACGTATTGTAAAATTTTGTAATAGGAAGATTATGTGGAGTGGAGATATATATATATATATATGTATAATAAGTAGCTAGATATAACACAACAAAATTATATATATATATAGTATTTTAATATAAAGTATTAATATAATTAGGGAGTACTTAGTATACGTATAGGTACCTTTTCTATATATACTTATTATTTTTTATAATTAGCAATTAAAAACTACAAGATTTTGTTTTCCAGTGCTATTTATTATATGTGATATATCTTGTAATATAGTGAATTTTTTTTTAAAAAAAATACAATTATATAATTAACAGTAGTACTTTGAACTAATTATATAATTTATATTAATTTTAAAGGTTGTTGTGTGGTATAATACAGATTAATAAAATGTTGAAATTGGGGGTTGAAGAAAATTCGTTATTCAAACTTTTGGCTAAGAACTATATAGTGTATTTAATAGTGTGGATTTGGGGCGGGACCCTGCCTTACCGGGCGGCACCGCCGGCGGCTTCCTCTCAGTGCGGGTTCGGTGCGTACTTTTCCTGCGGTTGAAAAATAACATCATTCTCATGTAAATTTAGCTTTAAAGCTGAAATATAGTGCGGCGTCGGTTGGTCGATACTCCATTTTCAGGAAAATAATATCGTCTTCCCTGGGGGGATTCTACATATAATGAAGTGAATCGGAGCTAGCACGTAACTACTGCGGATATTAGACCTTGGGACCGAACCGCCGCCGATGCGGGTCGGTTGGTGCGATATCGGTTCGGATTTGCGGACTTCATAAGGATCGTGCAACTCTAGTTGCTCGGTTGATTGTACGGAGTATACAGATTGCTAAAGATAAACTATTTTAGAACCCCTACGATTTCAGCTGTAGAAAATTATAACGTGTACTCCTGCTACAAAAGCTTGTTTTGTTGAATTTTCTTTTTCCTTCTCGTTTGAATTCTATTGGACTCACTGTACCTAATAAATTAGGCGGTAGACTAGGCTACGCCCGTAACAAGTTTGGCTATTATAGAGGGTAGTAGTTTATAAGATCCACAATAAAACTATGTAATCCTCGGATAACTTTCTTATTAGCACATCCCCTACGGCATGACAACTAGTCAACCATGAAATTCGCGGGCCGATGGGCCGTTCCACCCCTCTACGGGGATGCATGGCTACGGCCAAGCAGCCAAGGAGGCGCAGCCCTGTCTATCATGCATTCCATGTACAAAAGTACGGAGTAAGCCGTAAGCACACAATCCTGCTTCGGGTAAAATCTCCTCCGCTTGCTGCATCAAACATAGACATTTGTCTCCGAAATGGTCGTAAGTCCTGCACAAGAGGGTTCCCATGTCCAATTTTTCATTCCAAAGGCCAGGCAAGAACTCTTCACAGCGTGCTCTCATTCCTTTAATGATGGGATCTGCAAGTTCGGTACCCGCTAGACCTGCAGGGGAATTCCCAGATTACACCGGCAATCTCACGCAAGACATTTTTAAAGAAACTAGGCCAGTAATCCCACCTCCTACAGCAAGTATATCTAGCCCCAAGTGTGTTTAATTTCACATTGGTACAGCATCAGACATGAAATCTCTCCTGAATATTAGGCCATTTTTGTAAAAAAAATTTTAACATGTTAGATTTTAAAAATTAGAATTAGTGTATAAATTTGCAAATCTCTCCAAGATTGAGAAACAAGAGCTTTAATCTGGGGCTGAAAAAAGAGTTGAGAAATTGAAATTGACTCAAAATTTTTAAACACAGCTACATATTCATAACAGCTTCTGTGTACTAGGTGTGGTAGATTCACTAGACTAGTAACTACACCTCCTATGAGTACCATATAAATTCCGAAGATTAGCATGCGCTAACAAGGGTCCTTGTTACATGCATATGGCCTGCTTACACCTACAGTACGTAAACACAATCACTAATAGAGCGAGGGCGTTCCTCGAAGATCCTGAATCGGAGTCCTGAATATACTATATAATAGTCTGTTAGGAAGAATTCATTCCTGAGAACCAGGAGTTCAATTGAATTTTCTTTAAACCTAACACTATCCCACTTTCTTGCAGTCATAAACTTTATAATACCAAACCACGGGAGTAAGCATGAAATTTCTCATTAGTACCAATTTATCTGCCTTTCGTGCTGTGACAAAATTTTCCACATACGTTCATTTCTGCGATCCCAGTTCTGATCTTTCCATACCATTGACCAGTCCGGAAACGGTGGATGTGTGGATATGCAACGGTGAAGAAGTTACCAGTGAACTGTTGGACCAATGGTTAGGCCAAGCTTGCCATATCCCCAAGTCGATGCTGGTGGGAGATACCGCGAGCATTCCCCGCTTGCAGGAATATGCAAAAGGCCGTGTGGTTGAAATCGCAAGGTTTCCGGAGCAAAAGCATACAACAATACAATGGGAGGAATCAATACTTCGAGACGCAGAAATACTCTACGCCCGTACCCGCGCCCATACTGGAATCCAGCGGCTAAATATACTGAGGGACCATGATCGCAAGACGACTGTTCTGCTTGTTGGAGCGGGTATCATGAACCTTATGACTGCCGAGTTCTTAGCGGCGCGTGGTTACCAGGTACGTGTTGTAGATGCGGGCCCAAACCCTCGATTATGTAAAGACTGGACTACCCTGGGCGTAACCAACGGTGGTGGCAATGCCCGTATGTTCACTCATTCTGAGGCGGACAACTACAATGAGAAGGGTAGCGAAATCTACCAGAACATGCAGTCGATTTTCCGAAAGACCACTCTCAACGACGGATGGAGCGTGAAGTCGCCTGAGGATTTTACTGCTGCGGAACACGCTTGGGTAAATGCTTTTGAGCAGATTCCGGCTTGGTTGGCGCAGAGTTTTAAGGAGAATATATATGAGGTGAATCGGGAAGCTGGCAAACTCTGGACAGAATATATTAAAACCTCTTCAAAGCTATTCGAAGAGGTGGAATTCCGCAAGGATATCCTACGCATGTACGTGGAGCCAGTTGCTCTAGATGCAGCCACCAAGCTAAACCGCCAGCTTGGGGCGATTGTTCAGGCCACTTCTCCAGAAGAATTTCTGAGTGCGCATCCTGGTTTCCGGCCCGCCGCTGAGTCGGACCATCTCGCGGGAGGCATCACTGTGGAAGGGTTCACGGTGAACATTCACCCCTTTGTAGCGAAGTTAATGGACCGCATTGCTGATCTCGGTGGGGAGTTTCTCTGGAACTGCGAAGTTCAGGGCATACAACGCAATTCCCTAGGCGAGGTGACCATGCTGGAATCGCAACTGGGGCATCTGGAAGCGGATCACTTCGTGGTGAGTCCTGGCGTGACTGGAAATGCATTACTGAGTGGAACGGCCAGCGAAAACTTGATCCACGGCGTACTAGGGATATGGCTGCAAATCCCCAACCTGCACCCGCAAATGCAACATTCTATAAAAATCCACCGCCGCGCTCACCTCGTTGAAGACATCAATATCACTGTGGCAAAGGACTTGGAAACCGGTGAAGACATTCTGCAATTTGGAGGTGGATACGGCTACGTCGGGCGGGATCGTCCGCCACCAGACTCTCCAGAACTAATGGCCCTCTTCAATGAGCTGGAAGAGGTGGCGCGCATCTACTTTCCGCGGGGATATGCGGCAGCAAAGGAGCGTGGGACCATATACCCAGGTGGAAACCGCAAGTTTTGCATCCGACCTTTTACGCCTACGGGCCTTGGACTGTTCGAGAGGATCCCTACTGCAAGCGGAGGCCTTCTCATTATTACTGGCGGCAACAACACCGGCGGTTTTGCGCAGGCACCAGCCGTAGCGCGTGCGGTATGGCGGGCGCTGGTGGGCGAGCACGATCCTATTCATGTGCTTTTCCACCCTGATCGCGGCAGGTTTCCTACTGCGGTGACCTACAAATCCCGAGTCCCTGAGCCGTTATCACTCAGCAGTACAGAAGGCCGGAAGCCACTGAGACTGCTCCTGCTCTGTTCGGATGGTCCTCAGCACAGCTACCTACGATACCGTCTAGACCAGGTCTTCCCCAGCTACCGCTGCATCTTGGAAACGAATGACGGACAGGTACGCCAGCTAGTACAAAAAGGTCGCATGGTCGATGCGTGCTATATGAAGTACCATGGCCTACGACGTTACTACTCTGGACACGATCACCAGCGTAAAGCTTACTTCAACAGCCTGGTGCCAGAGGACCATGTCTCCCCGAAACCAGATCTCACTGTCGACAGTGTCAACTGCCGCGAGGTGTGGGAAGCGGTGGAACAATGGCAACCCGAGCTGACCATCATTTCGGGTACTAAGTATATTGGACGGAAGCTGATCGAGCGCGCCGGGCTGATGATCAACCTGCATATTGGCCATTTGCCAGAGTATAAGGGAAACCACTGCATCTTCTTTGCTCTGTACGATGGGGCGGTGGACAAGGTTTCGGCGACTCTACACCAGCTGACGCCGCAACTAGATGGGGGCGACATCTTAGATAGGGTCTTTCCGCCAATTTTGCCAGTGGACAACGAGGAGACGCTGTATGCACGGTGCATTCATATGGCAATAGATCGGTGTATAAAGTATGTTGAGCAATTTTCCTGGGGGAAGAGTCTAGAATTTGTTCCTCAGGAGACTATAGGGAGGACGTTTCGGCACCGCGACCGTACGCCTGAGAAGGAGTTGTGGTTATGGTGGAAGCTAAGAGTCGGTGGGCTGCTATGCGACTATCGGACGTCGGGCAAAACGTTGGAGCGACTCGAAGGGAAGCGATAACATTCCTGATTTTCTGTTAATTATTCTACGCACTTATTTTACGCCTTGAGCTCTATTCCTTCGGTATAGCCTCATTTTGACTCTGCTTCGAGCCTCACTTAAATCACCACCTCAGCCTCTCTCGTTTCATAGCTGAACCAGCTCGTTTCTACTTGTTTTAGACTCAACTTTGATGCTATTCTAGTTCCTTCTATAGCACTTAATATATATGTTCAGTCTGCTTTCTGTGAGGAAATCGGCGGCTAGAATACTATGACGGTCTAATGTCCCTAATGTCCCTACTGCCCCCAGTGTCCCTACTGTTCCTACTATCCCTACTGTTCCTGCCGTTCCTACAAGCCCTGTTGGCCCTATTTGATGACCCATATTGCATGACTTTTCTCCTTATTTGTTTATGTTACGGAAACACTATAATCGGCCCGACTTGGCGGTGCGGAGTATCTGACGATCGATTCAACCCCTGAATCCTTTAGATAGTTGAGCACCCAGATAGGAATGCAAGAGACTCAGTTGGTTGAGATACTGTGATTCCTGGTGTTTCCACTGAATGACATCTACTTCCTAATTAGGCTAGTTGGCGTGTAGCTGATAGAATAGCTCCCTACGCCCCATTTCCCCTGAGTTCCACAACAAAAATCATCTGCGTTTAAGAAGTTGGTGAGTAGATATTTTAGGCAGCAGGCGGTAAGGAGCGGCAGATGGTAAACTATGTTAAACCGCGCACAAGTTGCCCGCAAAATTTCGCCGGATTCGCACTCTTAAAATACTGTCAAATTTTGAATTTTCGAGCTGTTTTGTGAGTTTACTGTTAAAGTACTGATCTGCATCTTAGATGGTTGCCTAATGTGCGGGGTTCATACCCCCGAGTACTTCAACCCTCTTCCTATATTCAAGAGAGCGCGAGTTAACCAAGTATGGTAGTTATCGTGGTCTAGGATATGAATGATGTATCGTTCCCTATATTAGGCAACTGGTTGCGTGCGGCTGTTCGATGAGCTTACTGCCTTCTTCCCCCCTGAGTCATCGCTGAGATTTGCCTAATCGGTTCGGGATTTGGCTCTAGTGGGATCTATAGAGAATTCTATACCAGTGGGCCAGGTACACATTACGTGGCCGCTGGTCGGAAGATAATTGTCTTCCGACAACTTTCAGGCATTATGCTGCCTCTGAGACAAGGCCTGAGACTTGTCTCAGCTCACAATGGCCCCCAGACCATGCCCAACAATCTTCTGCTAATCGGTTCGAATCAAGCTTTGCAAGGTATAAACCCCGACCTCGGCTATATGTACTCTCCCGGATCCTTGAAAAATCAACACATATCTCTAGGCTTTGTCCAATCGATTTTTTATCCCCGGTCTTCTAGTCACAACAGGGCCATTGCCATGAATACCAGGCATTTTGTTCTTACAATCCTGGCAGCTATTTCAACCGCGGTAGCTGCCGATCAAGTTGATCCTGACCAAGTGGGCTGCGTGGTATGCAATATCCAGGGCGTAATGTCAATGTTCTTTTTTTCATTGGAGTCTAACTTCTACATAGCCTAAGCCATTCGGGATCCCTTGCCCAGCGCCTTATGTCTATCCATGCGATGAGGAATGCTGCATGTATTCCTGCGTCGTCGTACCGGAGCCTACTGATTCTATTGCCCCCTCCCCTACGATCTAATTGGGAGAGTGATGATCCTTGGATAAGAGCTGCAGTTAGGCCCGAGGCTTTCCTGCCCCAGAGCTGTCTCGGCTGGGCCACGGTTGAGCCATATATGTCTAGCTCCCGGTGATACTATATAGTTAGGCTAGGAGGTGAAGATTCAAAAATTCAAGGTATAAATATACTCAATACAATTTTCTATAGAAACCGAAAATAAGAGCGCACAGTAAGATAACATTCAAGATTGCGGACTTTTTCCTATAGCGACGCTAGAGAAAGTTCAGCTATGCAGATATCTTCATAGACCAGCTGCAAGGCGCGAAGGCTTATGTTACAGACTGTGGAAACTTGCGTTCTAACAGTTAATACTTAGCTAGTCGGAAGGTATTCAGTAGCTACATCATCTAACATTATATTCATTGTCTCCAAAATAAAAGCCCCCGCTGTTCCAACTAAATCCGGTTGTGTGCCATAGATCCGAAAAACTGTCACCACCATACTTTCCCGAGTCTAATGCGAAAAGTTGTAAAGGGGGCTAGTCTGGGGATTTACCCCTGTCTAAAGTACCCAATTATATTACAGAGAAGTTACAGACCCACCCAAATGTGGACAATTTCACTTGGCATTAGGGCCTGAGAAACAATGAAAGAGCGCAGGTAGTGACACCGTTTCCGGAACTACTGTATGAACACATGTATGTACATGGATAGATGTAGTTGTTGTAGCCTACATATCGCGTCGGCGAGGGGTCAGAGTAAATGATTACACACACACACACATACTGTATGAACATAATCAATTTCAGGGGAAGATAGAAAGTATGACGTCATTTGGAGAAAGCGAAGCTCCATTCTCCTTAAAACTGTAGACCTGGAAACGGAATCCAAAGTCTCAGCAGCTCTTGGAAGGACCGTCTGCTGAAGATAAGTTAGAAAGAGTGGAACAAAAACCTGAAAACTCCAGGACATGTCTCTCAGTCATGCCCCGTAGCCTATTAGTGTTTAATTTAGATCATATCCGTTTAAGAGATCCGGAATTATCCAGAACACCTTGGTCTACTCAATTTGCTTTAGATTGTCATCAATATATGGCCGTTAAAAGAAACAGCGCTATGTGTACCGGGAACATTTTATGACCATGTCTTAAAAAGTGCTATTAACGAAATATGTTCTAAACCGTCGTCATATAATATTGAGCAAAAATTTTCGTGATTACAGGATATCGAATGAACTACGCATTGCTTTACAGTGGTGTTGTCGTTAATTTCTTGGATCAGAAATTTGACTGATGAAGAGAAATAAGGGAAAAGTAAAACCCCTTCATTGCCTCACAAAGAAACGTGGGTCATAGATTGTCATTTATCAATGGGGCTTATAATTTCTGTGGAGCAACCCAAAGCCATGTTTGTCCCAAACGACTTACATGCATTGGCATAGTACACTTGATTAGTAGGTCATAATAAAATCTTCATATTTAAAGCCAAAATCGCTCCGTTGATAACGTTGGCCTATACCCTCACCTCCTATTACTGATATGGATAAGACTTTATTATGTAGCATGCAAATACTTGTTAAATAATATGGCCGTTGGTGGACCGGAATCATATGGCTAGATCGGGGTAAAAGCGCCGCGGAGCACACAGCAAAAGTACTGATCAATATATAATTAAGAAGAGTCCAAAGACCAGCTCAAATCATTTAAATAAGACCTTTTCACAATCGTACTCTATTTCCTTTTCGGGACTAGCCGAATATCTGACAATACCTTTAATATACTGTACATGTATAATAACTTGTTGGATGTGCCCCTATGCACAATCGACTTTTCTAGATAGTTATTCTTTCTGCGCAGTCTAGCCCTCAGACAGCTGAATATTATTTATTCTCCATCATCTGCTTGAGATCCACATCGGAATCTATACACTGTACGCGTAATTAGCAAAAGTTGTTTTAAAATTAACAGCTGTACTCTTCAGCACTTTCAAATAAACACAGAAGTTCATGTTTGTAATTACTCGTCCATCGTACTTTCTTTCCCAATTTCTGTGCACACAATGGTATACGGTGAAAGATTTGGAAAAGTCTGAAGTGCCGAACCTGAACGCCATCTGTTTCAGAATCGTGCCTTGCATGGTTTTATTGACGATAGAACGAGCAATTCTGTGCTTGCTCAGCTGATCAGTAGGAATGCTAAGAAAGTCCCCCAACCTTTGAGTGGACATAATCGGAGCAAGTCCCTGAACCAGCTAGTCAGTTTCATCGGGTACAGCCAAGCGTAAAATTAGCTTCACTATCGCAAACTTTCATTTTAATTCCGAGACACACTGCCAAGGCAGTAGCTAGAAAACGGGTGCATCTCAGTGGCCCCCAGGATGTATTAGGTATGTTATGTTGGAACATCGGGTTATCCCTCTGCTCTCCTGGTGCCAATTTCTCCTGACGACGCATTTAGCTCAGAGAAGAGCTCTTCAATCCAGTTCGGATCAGAGTAGGGTGACTAGATTCACTCCAGCGTTTACACAAAGATTCTGATTTGTTTAGTATGATGGAAAAACGCGTTATCCAGAACAAGTATGGACTTTGGCTCCGGTCAACTGTCGCGGCGATAGAGAAGCTGTTCAATGAGATCCTCGAACACCTCGGCGTCAGTCGACTCTTGGAACACTCGTGACAGAAAAACGCCATCCTAGAGTAGGCCAGTAGTATCTGATAACGGTGCAAGCCTACGATCGAAGGGCTTGGCTAATAGTATACGTGGATACGAGGACGACATGTTAGAATAGTATAGTTCGCAAATTTAATGGCCCTATTCCATCTTGACTCACGCGACTAATACTTCAATACATTCACGTTGGTTCTCTTCCAGATTATCAAGGCAGCTAATAGTTGAGCGAGGGGTAATGCCTACCAATTTCATCTAATCGTTATAGGCGGTTGCGAATATTTTGCGAACATGAAGTTGCATTCTCGATTCCAACATTCAACCCTGCAGAATATGATCGCAATCCTTTCAAGCACTTCTCCATTTAGCCGTCGGAACAGCTAACTGGTTTCTCTTAATCATGATATAGGGAAAGATATCTCTGTAGGAGGACAAAAAGCAAACAAATTCGAGACTTCAAGCATCACAAAATCTGCGAACATGCAGGAGTTGGTTCGAAGAAAATATTCGCAATAGGATGAGTTGCACCTAAGACAGTACTCTATCTACCTACAAAACTGCAGTGGAAATATTCTGACATACTTCACTTGGGCAATGGACTTTACCATAAAGCATGTACGTAATAAGGGATACAGTACAGGATTTTATAATACTAACTACATGGGCCAAAGAGAGTGTAGATTGGGACCAACATAGTATATTGATATCGGACAAACTGACGCAACTAGACCATTGGACCAGTACGGAGTCGACTCACTGGTTGCCGTTGAGATGCGAACATGGTTCATGTTGGAGGCCACGACAAACAGTCCCGTGTTTAATATTCTGGGAGGCTCTGCTGTTGCTTCGATTGCGTAGCTAGTGGCGAGGAATGGTAAACTTCAGAAGGGATATACCGTTTAAGCTGTAACAGTCGTTAATTACCCAGTTGTCAAGAGTTTCAGGAATAGACCAAAGCTTTCCTCATGGCTATCTACATATGGAGCGTTTTACTAATAAAGATGATTATTGTCAAATATATATGGGAAAGGCGGGAGGATTTGCCCTTCTACCGTGATAAACTCCCAAAGAGTCTGGGCGCAAAGAATTCCATTTAGGCATTTCAACTCAAAACGAGTCAAACACTGTCATTCAAATCGCAGTAGGAAGATTGTCAACCGTCCTACTGATCTACAGGGTACTGTCATCGCCATTAAATATACTAGCCGGGCCCCAGTATGTTACGAACAGTACGACATGGATATGGCTTTTACCTGCAGAACTGCTCATGGGATTTTGCTTTCAAAGGCAAATGGTCTAAACCAGTCTCAGTGGTTTCGTGAGGCTGGCGCTTTATGTATTTCTTTCAAAGGACATTTAGTGAAAGCGGCAACAGTTATAGTGATTCGATAGACAGTGTGCTATATTATATAGCCCACAAATAAACACGAAATCGAGAAGAGAACTATCAGATAATTACATCATGATCTTCGCCTCGCGCAGGCGATCAAACGCTCCATGCCAGGAGCCCGCAGTATCCAACTCCTCGTGAAATCCTACGTCCCTGGCTCGAGATAAATCCAAGTGACGATCAAAGTCCAAGTAACGCAGGGTTCCCATCCTTGATCCGTTGTTATGCATACTCTTGTAAACTACCTCCTCATTGATGCCCCTCTGCTGACAGAGTTGTTGAATATCTCCCCATCGCCGATCGATATACTCAGTCGGGTGCAATGAAGAGTGATCCGGTCCGACGCCTTCTAACCCAAAATATGCCGCTAGGATTGGCCACCGATGCAACCAAGACACGGGTGTCTGTTCATCCGCGATGTTAAAAGCGCGCGCGTGCACTTTTTCTCGCGGCTGGAGTGATGCATGAATACAGAATCGCGCAATAATATCTTGATTCGAGTCGTTGGAGAGCAGCCTCCATCCCGCCTCGTTTCCAGGGAAGGCTACGGGGGCTCCCTCGCCTTCGAACTCCCTGTATATGCTCAGGTATATTCCCATTGTCTGGGCTAAGCAGTGGGCGTTTCCGAAGGGGGCAATGCCCACCTAAAGAGTCAGAACAGTTTTTTCGAGGGAGAGGTGGACACCTTACGATTACGTCCGGACGCACTTCACACCAGGACCAGGTCTTTCCAGCAGAGAGATACTGTAGGAGATCAACCTGGCGATAATAAAAGAGGTCTTTGCCGTACTCTTCAGGAATACGAGGAAGATCCTCCCGCAACGGGGTTTGCCCTTGAAAGGGAAAATTACCAACAAGATGGATACCGTATGCCTATAGAACCAGTAAGTATTGCCAGAGAAAGCTTTGTGTGTCCGTTACCTTCGTTCCCGTAATCAGGGTGACGAAAGAAAGCCTCGTAGAAAGCGTTTCGACAGCCTGCACTGCCGCTCGAAGCATCTCTTTGTTCAGACGGCATTCTTCCTCAGGGTCCATGCTGAGAAAGTATGCTGCTCCCGTTAGAATTCCACATGGCATTAGAGATTGATGCTTACATGCGTAGTAAACGTGGGTAATGGTATCCACGCAGGAAACCTTCTTGGACAGAGACTGGATCAGCGCAGCATCATCGTTGATCAGTAGGTCAATGCCTGAAACCACCTGCAATTGATCATCCGCAGGAAACAGGCTCTTATCCGCTTTGAATGGGCGGTTCGAGATAGCTGTGACTTTAGAGAAAGCAGACGCTGATGGATAGCCGGACAGCAGCTGGTTGACAAGGGCATAGCCATTTATCCCTGAGCATCCGAAGACGACCGCATGACGACCGTCACTTACTGTCATTTTTGATGGGTGTTCCACGAAAACTGGGACTGGAGTTCAAGCTTGGCATACTACAGAGCAAAGCGATGGAAAGGCTACATCGTCCACATCCATCGAGCTCTTATAAAATCTGGAGAAAAGAGGGGTCACTGAGGCCACATGAGTGCCCTTCATTAGCGTGCATCTAGGACGTCCAGGATAAAATACATATCGGGCCAGGATCGACTTACAACAGGACAGGGATCAAGTTGGTTTGATATTAATAGCGTAGACGGGGGACAAGATGTTTGTAATTTGTAAGAAGTGGAGAATGAAGCGGCAGCTTCCGAGGTCTGACCCCCCACATTGTGGAGGCCGAGGCATCCGATTGATCCTTAGCGGCGGGCCGTGCTTAGTGCTGCTACCAAGTGCGCGGAAAGACACTTGACGCCCATTGGACAGAATGTCCCGCGTAGCTAAACTTTAAGTATCCAGTGTCGGGCCGATAATACCCTCGACAGTTGGTTGCATTGCTTTTGTCTAACAATTTGCTGGTTGGCTCCGTCTCTTTACTTGCCCTGTATGTTTGTTTGTTTTTCTCCCCCTTTTGTGTCTATCTCAGCTTTGACCCTTCATGTAGATGGACTTCCTGACTTCGTTTCAATTTGGTTTCAGGTCTGTAGGGCATCGGAAGCATCTACCGATGGTCGAGCTTCGATGACTGCACGTTCCAGAGCAGAGTCGAGCACAATTTTGCCGGGAAACGAAGCTGGGGTTTTCTGTTGCGGAGTCGAATATTCTCATGGAATATGTCATCCTGAATCTCCGCAATTTCGGCTCAATCTTTGCGAGAAGCTATGTGGGGGCAATAGATGCATAGTAAGACTCCTATGTATGTCGGTAAAAAAGAATTTCAATTATCCCTGTAGGCTTTGCTTCCTTGTAGCACTAGCTACGGCATCCAACATACTAACCAACTTTGGTTTCTTGCCCTTGTCATTCCCTTCGTTTAAGAAAGGGTACACGCAGTTGAGATTGTAAACTTTGTTTCCTCTTGTAACAACGCCCCGTAGAGGGCAGTCTGTTCAATAAGACTGTCCTCAGAGATGTGACCAACCAGTAGATTGCCAATGAGCCCAAGGTAGGGCCCATCTTAGTCTGCAATACGGTGCTTCTTGTTGTCGGCACTTTACGACAGCCGTCCGGTTTTACATTCGAACATATCTCAGTTTGATCGGATGGGACGATATTTTCTGCGCCATCAACTGGGTACTCCTGTCTCTTCAGTGTTTTATTGCACGTGAAGTATGTCAAATGGACAACCCGACTGCCTCGTCGTATCTTCTAATTAATCATTCGGTGACAAGTTATGGGTATGGGCTGCCACATGGCAACCATACACTCAGTTCAAAAAAAGAATATGTTCCTCAAGGTAGGGAATACCTAGCCATCAGAATCTATCCCAGTAAGCTAGTTCAAGCGTTCACAGCTTGACTTCACCACCATGATCACGTATCTTCTCGACCTCGGTCCCATCAAGCTTAGTTTCTGCGCACCTTACTTGAGGATCTTTCCTGGAACACGTTTCCGCGTGGGCTGTTGTGTAGTAGCCGCATTCGTGATTTCTTCAACCGTCTCAGAGGTTTTCGTCGTAGTGTAGCACACCCGCTCATAAGACATTCAGTTCCACTGAGAAAGTGCCTGGAAAATGTCTACAGCTGTTGACCTTTATTACATTGTCTTCGGTATACTCCTGGTTACAGACGTTGTGCTTTTTGTGCTCCCCATTTCACCACTACTCTGATTGTAAATAGATATGGGAAAGCGCGTGGGAGACCCAGAACAGAAAATTAATTTATCCAATACCATCGTCACCAGTGTTATCCGCGTGACATTCCTCCAGATCTTCAGCAGCGAGAGCATCACCTGGACTTGTTCTTCTGCTGACTTTATCGCAGGGGAGTTAGTCGATGATCTGAACTGGAGGTCCGCCAAGGTGGGAGTCGCAATTGTAATTGCATCTTGTCCATTCTTCAAAGCACTGATCGGCTTGCATCTTCCTCGACTGGCCCGTTTGCTGGGAATATCCAGAACGAAGGGATCTACGGCCGGTTCCTCGGGGTATGGCGGAAAAAGTCGCTCTGCCGACCAACATCATTCCCTTCATCAGTCGATCAGGCTAGGGAATTAGTCGGCCTTACAGACCAAGACAACCATCCAGAGTAACGCGAATAGATCCGAGGAGCCTATTCTTCCATTTTATGAGAACGAGGACATCAAGTTTACAGCGTATGTGACTGTAAAGCATGGGATAGATAGTCAGATAGCGAAGGTACAGTCATATCGGGAGGAATGATATTTATTTAGCTTAATTACCTATTTTATGTGTTTTTTAGAATATTTTAGCCTAGGCAGGCATGTACTACGAAAAGTAAATTACCGCCGGAACAGTTTGGTCCCTGATTTAGTCTTCGACTATAAACTTCGAGGATAGCAATAAATCTATAGTAATTATCGTGGTTTGACTCGAGAATGAGGGGGCGAATAAATTCGATCCCTGACCCTGTATACCCCATACAAGGCCGACCTACCGAGAGTTCACTCTCAGTCCTTCAGTGCTGCTGTAATGACCGCTAATTCGTATATTCAGTTGCATTCCTCTCTCCATGGCCCTGATCCTCATCTGGCCTGAGCAATCGCCTGGACTGGACGATTATTAGTATGGTATTGGTTCCTCTGGGCGAGCCACTAGACCGTTTCGTGCAATGTCCTAAAGATTCAGCGAGCCAGGATGGTGGCTACATTCCTGTCTTTGGGTGCATTAACGCCCCTGAAAGAATTTCTTCTGTCCAGGGTACTTACCTTGCCTTTTGTCCCTCATCTGGCCACAATTCTTTTTTTTTTTTTTACGCCTTGGCCGGCATTCGAGCAGAATGGGAGCCAAATCCATAGATCTCGACCGGCCCCCAGCTGTGTATTATCGCAGAAAGAACTTCATCGCCTTGGTGATTGCAGTCGGATTGATGGCCATCAGTCTGTATGTGGCTTATGTCTTACCAGTCAACAATTTGGCCGCCTTTAATGCGGATTTTAAGAAATCTCCTCTTCCTCGACTGGTTGTCCGTGTTGATATATTCCTTTCGATCCTCAGGGCCACACCCCAATAGCACTATGATTTCTACTGTCTTCACCTTAATCTCTAGTGTAGACGACTCTCTTCCACGCCTACCATGCGCATCGATTCCTGACTAGCCTCGTCTAGTTTGCCGTCCTCCTCGTTGGCCGACTAGGTGGCATTTTTGGTTATACTTTCTCATCGGCGGCCAGTTAGTAGGTTTGATTGGGGCCATCGTCTGCGCAACGGCAAAGTGATCGGTGGAAGCGTGCCGTGTGGTCTGGCTGTTACAGTACAGCTCACGTTTACTTTCATCATCGCAGAGGTTGTGCCCAACAAGGCTCGTCTAGTTGTCAATGCCGGGTTGTTCATCGCTACCTGTCTGGATGGAACGCGAAGCATAAGGGCGAAAGTAAGTTGAACGCACTGAAGAAGTTCGACTATGTTTGATTCGTGCTCTACTAGGGGGGCTTGGTCCTCATGTTGCTTGGCCTTTATGAGTTCCTTCTAGCATTCTTGGATTGACCTCAGCCTGATGGACCACATTGAGTTGGTACATCTTACGCATGGCATTTCCCCCACATTATATCGGTGTTGGTCGTTGGGTTTGCTGCTTTGGTTGGATTTGTATTCTGTAGTCAGCTCGGTATTTCACCGCCACCATGTCATTCAGATCATCAGTGTGCTTACAATAATCAGAAATTTTCATACCCCTCGGACACCCCCTTCTACTACTATCCCTACTAAACGACCGTGGATACTCCGGGACAGTGGGCTCTGCCATCGTCGGCAATATGGTGTAACTCACTGAGCCTTTTGTGGCCGAGGCAGTTGGCGCTCTATTCACGACTGGCCCTATTAAAACTGGCTGGAGCCCGGTACGTCCTACATTCACACCACCACACCCTGAGTCTAAACTGATTGTCACAAGTTACGGCTGGCTGTGATGTTATTGTTGACAAAATTGTCGGAGGACTGGTAATGAAGCCATTAGGATACAGCGAAAATCAGCTCATTACCCGCACGGTGATAATCACTGCCTTTTCAGGAGAACTGGCAGCCATCAACCAGCATCGTCAGAGCTATGGAATAGCGGTAGAGACCTTTAATCCCAGATATCTATGCGATCCATATTAATGTGTCACTGTTTCTAGTTCACAGCAATCGAGGCTTTAAACGTGGGCTACCTCGAGCTAATCACGCTTGTTATGTATCAACTTTCTGTAAATCAGAGGACACCGGACTGGTGAGTGAATTTCTGGGCTCTGCAAAGCAAGTATCAGGAACAATAGCAAGTATGTATATCCCATCCACCTTGCTGTAATAAATACCATGTCTATAACAGGGTTAATTAATCCCAGCCCCAATTTACGTCGCCATCACCCTCAACAACCGCCTCATATTTACGCTTCCAGATCATGTATATGCCTTATCTGTAGTTGCAGGACTTTCTCGCTCATCACTGGTGAGTCTCCAAGCCGTGTCGCATGAAACTCCTGACACAATGCAAGCCGTGCCGGATATGCACTCAAGAAATACAAGAAGTATTTATACAGAAAATTTATAACAGTAGAAATCTGTGTAGTTCCTGTGATTAGGAACATTTGTTTCACAACAACCTATATTATCCCACTTCGATATACTTACAAAACATATATATTCCCCTCTTTTTCCTCAACAACATTTACTTCCTTGTCTCTCCACTTCTCACCGTCACTCCCAGCACCGGACAACTTCGCCGCAACTTCATATCTCGTCCACCAGAGTAGAGAAAAATGCCGTAACCATAGATAGGCCACCAAAGGCAATTTACCGAATATTTCCTCTTCACCGTGTCCGTCACAGACGTCAGAATCTATGTTTTTAAACGTTCCAGTAGCTTATATTTATCAGTATATCATCCAATGGCTTTTCTCCCCAATAGAAAGAAGCTACAAACCGTACATCTATACAAGATAGCCCATGACAGCTCTGTTTTGCACAAAACTTCCCTTGCACACCTTTAGTCATTCTACTGTATCTAAGTTTTCCACCTTTAGAACTCCATAAGCAACTGATGTATAATTGACTCCGAGTCAGGCCTTCCATGATTTAGTACCTTTCAGTTTGACTCTGCCCCTTTGTTAAAGGTTTGACTAGCACTCATGTATCATATCCAGGATAGTGCGCTCTTTAAAACCGCAGCAGATGTTGACCCCAGGGGTCCCCTATCTTCAAAAGCCACTAACTTCGTAGTTCAGGGTATGCTGCAGAAATGAGCACATTTTTTTAAAAGAGGCAGAGTCAGTACCGCTACATTCAGAGAAACCGGTACAAAAACTGAAGATTCTGTAGGTTAAGTAAATCTTGCGATTGTGGCGTTCCCAAAACATCTGTAAAGTCCTCTGTGAAGTTGAACAACCCATACCAGTTATTTGGCGCCACAAGATCCCCGCTCAGAGTATACGGAGACGTATGTAGTGAGGGAGCGAGCATAGGATCATGTCCAGCGTCAATCATGGCAGTAGGGGTGCTGGGAATTTGATGACTATCTGCCTCACCTCCACTGGCTTGTGTCTCTGTCGGCTGCGTTGGTTGAGCAGACGGGTTAATAATATCTGTCAGCCGGAGAGTGCGAGCCGTAGAATCGTCTAGACAACGAAAAAACAGATCTAGCACCCAGTTCTCTAGGTCCCATGTTTTCTGCAGTTCTTGCAAGCCCAGGAGACAGAGTCGGGCGCGATGTTCTGCCAGCTTACGGGTCGTGCCTGTTGTTCGACGGCAGTGGATAGTTTGGATACATAAAGTGGAAAAGGAATGAGTGATCCTACCAATTAGCAAATGTCTGGATTATGCACATTTGGAACTTACAGATGGGTTGGGCCATGCTGAACGAGATTGTGGGACAGCATGTCCTCAATGATCCTTGTGCTCTTCGTGGCAGCGTCTAATGCAACCTGGCCCAGGTCTTCCATGGCAGAACTGGAAGGATGAAGAAATAATGACCGATACAGTAGGACATAGAGGTAGCTATAAACTAGTAAGCCACGCAATGTTAGTAGGATGATGTCATTCAGCCTACTTGTATGTCATGTGTAGGAGTCCTGTTAGGAATATCGCCCTCGGGGTAGTAATATTTCCCAGCTTCAATACCAAGGGTAGGTTAGACTCCCACTCGCGAAGTTGTTGGTGGAGCTTTTGCCGTAGTGAGGTGTCCACAGAATGTTGAATGGGCAAATACTGCGTTGAGACAATAGTGCGCACTATCTCAGTCAGCTTCATCAATGGCAATAAAACGTGAAACATACATATCCTGGCTAGTCGGGCCATTTCAACCGGATAAGTCACATCTTCCACATTCTGTGTACCAAACACACTTTGGTTCTCGGCTGCTTCGTTTTCCTCGATGTCGCTCGTTTCGAGCATGGCCACGTCGCAGTCTTCATCTCGTATTCGAGTCGGCAATCCCAGAGCAGACGCACTTTGTTGATCACGGATCTTGAAGACATTAGGAACTTCACAGGGAAAAAGCATATGGAGGCACTCACGTAGAGGGCCCACCATATCCGCTTCCACAGTTTCTCTTCTGCTGAAGAGTGGAAAGAGAGCTTTGACCTACAAAGATCAGCTAGGGCATTAAATAATCCCGATGATACAAACATCATATGCATCCCTCGTTTCTGAGCTAAACTGATAGCGACACCGAGCCAAAACCGCGTATCTCGCTCTTCTGATGGTCCTCCGCGCCAATAGCTCAACAAAAAGAGCGCCTGCAGCTTGATGGTTTTGTCAGACTCCCAGTCAGCATCAAAGACTGCTTTCGCTTTGCTATAGAAATGAAATTTCGCTTGATATCGAATCTCAAATTCCGTCCTTGCAAGCTCTTCATCCGTACACAGACTGACACCAATAAAAAATATAGCCTGCAGCAGGAGAGGCGGGATCGTCCCCTGGAAATATGACCGTTCTACCCCCGCACGATCGAGGACGGGAAAACATGGATGAAACCAGGTGAAATACGCTCTAAGAAGGGTCTCACAAGTTTCTTTGGGAGGGTAAGAAAATACCCCTTCCGCGGTTAGCTGTGCCTCTAGCTTGGCCTTGTGCACCCGGATTGCCTCGTCTCGGGTGCTATTGGACTCGAGCCTTTCAGGAATGGGGTAGTGGAGACGGGTCATCTGCATGACATTAGTTGATCCCTTTTCTGGGGATCTTCGGCCCTCGTCAATGACACATGTCAGGGGACTTGACTCGCCGAGGAAGACTCTTGCCGAGTCGCCAGGCGTAACCCATGGGGCTCTAGGACTGTGAGCCCGACGGTGAGGTATACCCTGCTGGGGTACCTGCAAAGCATTGGAGTTTGTCGATAAACCATCATCATTTCGAGACCTCAACGAGATACTGGAATCTGCGGTCGCTGGGGGAGATACACATGTAGAATGGCTCTCGGTTGTTGGGGTAGGGGGCCCTTGGATACTATAATTCTTCTTGCGCGGATATCTGCAACAATCGACACGTTGGCACCGATCGCCCAGGGGATTCCAGATTCAGAAAAAGCCTAATGGCACAGTTCATGCTTACTTTCCTCTCTTTGAGATACCAACTTCGCAGGGCACGTTCATCGCAACGCAGTTCTGACAGGGGCGTCTCTCCAGTACATTGCAGCGGATACGACGCCGATTGCAATGAAGACACGCCTGCCTAGCCCGAGTTCTCACTGTATGACGGTTGGAATCAGTCTCTGGAGTCATTTTGGATGGTTAGTTGGCAAGTTCAACTCGACATTGAAGGAAGTCAACAAGGAAGAAGCCGAATGGAATGTGGTTGACGCATGTCGGCTATTTGGGTCTTGGCATTCTCCTCGGCTTTATGCCCCTCCTTACTGAGACAGGGGGCTGAGCGACAGGACTTGGAGTGCAATTCAGTCATTGGTGGTACTGCTTTATTTGAGATTGTGGTTATTAATTTTATTTGTTGAGCATAGTTGGTTTTGAGAGTACATGTTTCATTTCCTGTTGAATAACTATAGCCAAAATCAAAATATATTTTACGGGACACTCTCTCTATTGTTTTTCACGAGCACATTCTAAAAAAAATCTGGAAATCTATTCAGCAGTATTGAGGCGTCCAGTTCCCACATTGGCTGGTTATTCCTCCTCAATGCCCAACTCTGCTAATATGGATGTATTATGCTCTCCAACATCAGGCACCGCATCCATACGGGCATCTTGGTTCATTCCCGGTGGTATCAACGCTGGTACTTTCCCCATGGGAGTGGATACTTCTGTCCAGCGACCGCGCGATTTCAGTTGAGGATGATCCCAAACACCTTGCATATCGTTGACACTCGCATTTGCAATGGAGGCTTCGTCGAGGAGATGGAGCACTTCTGCGGCAGAGCGAGTCGAAAATGCCTCACAGATGATGCTTTTCAGCGCGTCGCGGTTCTTAACACGCAAGGAATTGTTGACGAATCGCTCATCTGTCGCGATGTCAGGCTTGCCAAGGACGAGATCGCAGAATTTTGCCCATTCTCGCTCGTTCTGAATTCCCAGCATCACTGTCTTGCCACCGCCGGTTTCAAAAGGCCCATACGGATAAATGGCGGCGTGGGATGCCCCGACCGGTTTCGGACCAGATGCATTATTGTATGCGTAGTACATGGGGAATCCCATCCATTCGACCATGCTCTCCAACATGGAAATATCAATATTAGATCCAGCTCGTTTTGGGTCTCTATCCCTCTGGATCAGAGCGGCCAAAATGTTGGAGTATGCGTAGCTGCCGGCAGAAATATCCGCAATGGATATGCCAACCTTGGCTGGTTCTGTGCCTGTGCCAGTGACAGATAACATGCCAGCCTCGCTTTGCACAAGAAGATCGTAAGCCTTTTTATTGCGATAAGGTCCTTCAGGACCATACCCTGAAATATTGCAGACAATAAGCGACGGATGGTCCTCCTTCAAGCTTTCATGCGATAGGCCGAGCCTTGCGCTGGCACCAGGAGCTAAGTTTTGAACGAGAACATCCGTCTGGCGTAGTAAATGCATTAGAATTTGGTGATCGCGCGGTTTCTTTAGATCAAGTGCCAGGCTTTCCTTGGACCGATTTGCCCAGACAAAATGCGAGGCGAGTCCGTTGACGCGAGTATCATAATTGCGTGCAAAGTCACCCACTCCAGGCCTTTCGACTTTAATGACCCGTGCGCCTAGATCGGCCAACTGTCTGGTACAGAACGGAGCGGCAATGGCTTGTTCCAAACTGACCACGGTGATACCTGAGAGGGGACCTTTGGGATTGGATGGTGCGGCGTGTGTTGATGCATTGCGGGCAGCCGGAACGTGGCGACTCAGCGCCTTAGCAAAAGGCCGCGACAGACTCATATTGTAGTGCTGGGACCAGGCACTGGTATAGCCAAGAAAAATTATGGATACCAAGCACACCAAGCAATGATAAGTAAATAAATACTGCTAATTATACCTCGGAAGGATCGTAAGGGTGGAGAAGTCGGCTATATGCCGGCTATAAGCCGGCTATATGTACGCCGGCTTGGCGGTATGTGCATACTCCACGCCACTCGATGCAGACACATAAAAGGACGCCTCTTGTTGAGAGCACTAGTCAGTTGTCCCTGATAGATCATAGATCGGTTCTCTGAGTGCAATCCATCATGGCGGGGATACATATCCAGACGTGTATATGTCGTGGGTTTCGTCCGATATTGCGCAAGACGCGCCCCACATCGGGATTCTGGAGATTCAATCCCCGGTCAAGCTTCTCTACTACAACGCAAAGACCGCTGATGGAGCTGACTGGTTTCACCGAGGAGCAATTAACGGTCCGTGATGCAATTTCTGCCATATGTTCTAATTTCCCCAACACGTACTGGCAAGAGTGCGACCAGAATGAGCGAGATCCCAAGGAATTCCACGCCGCATTGGCCAAGGATGGATGGCTGGGAATTGCACTGCCAGAGGAGCACGGCGGTGCTGGACTGGGTAAGGCCCAGCATATGGGAATATTCCAATTAAGCAGCAGTACTGACAATTATAGGCATTTCGGAAGCCACCATGATGATGCAGACCATCACTCAGTCGGGTGCTGGTATGGCCGGTGCCCAGTCCATTCATGCCAATGTATACGCTACGCAGCCGCTAGCTAAGTTTGGTACCAAGAAGCAGCTAGAGGAGACAATTCCCAAGATCATCAACGGCACCTGGAGAACCTGCTTTGGTGTCACAGAGCCGAACACCGGCTTGGACACGTTGAAGCTCAAAACCTTGGCGCGCAAGCTTGCAGACCGAGAGGTGTACTCGATCTCAGGACAGAAAATCTGGATTACATGTGCGCAGGTCGCATCTAAAATGATTCTCTTGGCCCGTACAACGCCTCTGGAAGAGGTCAAAAAGTCTGGCCAGGGGCTGTCGATGTTTTGTATTGACCTGGCTCGAAGTAAACCTGGATTGGAGATGCGCAAGATCAAGAAGATGGGTGGCCGAGCAGTAGATGCGAACGAGGTTTTCTTTGACAACTACGAAATACCATCCAGTACCTTGATTGGCCGTGAGAATGATGGATTCAAGATTATCCTGCATGGAATGAACGCCGAACGATGTCTGCTAGCTGGAGAGGCCTTGGGTCTAGGGTACGCGGCCTTGGAACGAGCTGCGCATTATGCAAGCGAGCGAGTGGTATTTGGTCGACCAATTGGACAGAACCAGGGCATAGCTCATCCCATGGCGGATGCATACATGAAGTTGGAGGCAGCCAAGCTCGCCACATACCATGCTGCGCGGTTGTACGACGTCTCTAAAACGGACGAGTCGATCCCATTGCACTCTGTGGGCGTGGCCTGCAATAGTGCCAAGTATCTGGCCGCTGAGGCTGCTTTTACAGCTTGTGAAAGAGCAGTTCTCAGTCACGGAGGCATGGGATACGCGGTGGAATATGATGTGGAGCGATATCTGCGAGAGTGTCTGGTGCCTCGCATTGCACCAGTGAGCCGTGAGATGATTCTAAACTATATTAGCGAGAAGGTGCTTCAATTGCCGCGAAGCTACTAGGGATCTAAAATGATGAATTCACAGTAAATGGCACTTCATAATTGAAGTTGACAATAATTGACAGAGAACACAAAAAACAGAGGCTTATTGTAGCAGTGGATGCCTAACATGTAAGGCATAAATGACATCAATGTTATTCCGACTCCGGCAGTGTCATACCTGAGGCAGCAAAGTCTTCACCCGTGACTCACATTATCTTTTCTTCCCAAACAGGTTGGGTTTCCACGACAATGGCTCTATTCTAATTGAAATTTTCTAGATGGACTAGATAATGGATAATGGAAACACAGCTATCCATCGCGGTGTCAGGAAAGTCCCCAGCGCTTGTCAACGTTGCCGGCGCCAGAAACTTAAGGTTAGTGATCCCACGTTTCCCACAGATCAGTATTAAACTGTCTATCCAGTGTGATGTAAACCGTCCATGTACTTTGTGCTCAAGGGCCGGCGTCGACTGTCAGCCTGCTACAAGTACTCACTGGAGGGTGTACCAGCACCGCGACTCGGAAGAGGAGCCGGCTACAAAACGAGTTCGCACAGTCGCTGATAACTCTACTGAAACTGCGCGCGGACCAGCAGCAGAAGAGGATGCAGGTTCCCAATTTCCTCGTCCAAAATGCTCTATTCCGAGTGACGAGGGTCGAACAATCGAGGAAAGGGAGATCCCTGTCGCCCAGGCATGGAATTCAAGCTCGACCATATCTCTGGTAGATAGGGTATGTCGTTCTGCGTATTATTTTTCTGTATATCTCGCTGATAGACTGATTAAGGCCTTTACGCTACATAATGCAGCCCCGAACTGTCTTCCAGCAACGAATGCCATCCCTGGAGGCCACCCGGGGGAGCTGAGACCCGACAACTCGGAACCAGAGGAAGAGTCTAGACCAAGGATGCTTGATGACTTGAATTCGAGATCAGGGAACCGCTTATTACCTAGGCTGCGGTCATTTACTCAGCCACGGCGGAGTGCTTCCGCAGAGCTTGCAATGCTCCTCCCTAGTCGTCAGGCTGCAGCTTTGCTTGTGGACACTTACTTTGACCGAGTGCACTGGTTCATGCTCATCTTTCATCAAGACTACTTTCGACGGCAATGGCCAATGTTATATAATCATTCCAGTGGCGGATTGTCTAATGACCATAGTATTGGGTTCATCAGTACTTTTTTAATGGTTCTCGCTATTGGGCTACAATATATTGGGGATCATCGTCGGCGCCTATTGTCCTCTTACGGCATAGATGCGGATGACTTAAAAGAACGGATCTTCTCAGTTGTCAGAGCCAAGTTGCTCGATATTATATCCGTTGGCTCACTAGAGGCTGTCCAAACCTGTGTTTTGCTAGGGACTTACTACCTATATCACGGTTCCCCTAGATTAGCTTGGCCAGTGTGCGGATGTGGGCTGCGGATTGCCCAAGCACTCGGTCTGCATCGCAAGATATCAATAGTTAACTCAGAATCGAGCTCTGTGGCTGCAGACGTACGCAAAAAGAATGAGGCGAGAAAACGGAGCTGGTGGGCAATTTACGAGATTGAAACGTTTTGCTCTATGACTTACGGGTACCCTCACAGCATCAGGGACGCCGATTGTGACGTGGAGCCGTTGGATCCGTCCGCAAAGTCTGAAGATAGTCAGTCGCCTAGCTCGTTTGATCAGCCATTGAGTGGAGAGGCCACTCTCCTATCGTACAAATACTACATGTCCAAGCTCTCACGTATCACCAAAAATGTCCTAACAGAGCTGTATCACATCGGCCCCAATCCCGCAGGAAGCCCAAAGCTCAACAACCCTGCTTCAAGTCCACAACATACGCTTAAAACAGTTTCACAATTCGATACACGGCTAAAACTGTGGCACAAAGAAATCCCATTAAGATTGCGGTTCGAAAGTGGGGTTGCCATGGGTGCCGGCTATTCTTCCCCAGACGAACTAGACCGCGATATCGGAGGGTCAGGTCCTACTTTCGAGAACCACATCTACCAGCTTCAGGGACTCGCGCTCAAGCTTGGCTACGAAAATGCTAGGATCCTGGTTCATCGTCCTTTGCTTTCCTATAAGTTGGTCACCAAATCATCTGACCCGAATGTCAGCAGCACAAACGGATCTGGTTCCACTCAAGTCGACCCATATCATCTCTGCCTGCAGGCTTGCCACGAGGCAGCAATTAGCATATCAGATATCATATCTAATCCAATTGTCGACATTGTATCCGCGACATATGCTGCATCGTTTGTCAGTATTCATGTCTTCACGGCTGGAGTGACTCTGGGTATTCTCAGTAGCATCGAACCTCTTACGCCTCGATCTCGCGAGGCCAAAGTTGGTCTCCATCGTCTGATGGCAATTCAGGAGAAATTACGAACTCGATCTGTTTTGGCTGTGCAGGGCCTTGAAATCCTGCAGCGATTGACGAAGCTTGTAATGGAGAAGGAGCTAAATACTATGCTTGATCTATCAAAGCCAATGGACTCAAAATTGCCTCTTAGAGAGAGCACTTCCAATGCCACCGATGGGTCAGATTATTTGCAAGATGCTCAGCTGGCCACTCGTCAAAACGATCCGGCCTCTAACCCCACATCCTCAGGGTCCTTTATGCACGCCGCGGTGTCTGTCATCCCTGAAATGGCAATGCCAGTGACGGGGCCGTTTGAGCCGGATGATACAACTACCGATAATTGTCTACAGTATATTGAGAATCCTGCCTTATCTGAGGCCCTGTATGATTTTGATCAAGGTGTGACTCAGCGCAGCGAAATATCACAGTAAATACTGACTTTCACAGCATTGCTATCACATTCATCACAGTGTCCACCTAGATCCGAGGATTTACATGACTCGTCGTTTCTTCCACCTCCCGATGACGAGTTCGCAATACTCGAGCAAACATGGATTTGGGGATGGGACAATCTACCACCCTATGAATAATAATCATATACAATTGAGCTGATGATTACGGCTTCTTTTAACACCTCCACATGAAATTCACATCTGAGTCAATGTTATGGCAGGGTTCTTTGATAGACTATCACATATCACAGTAACTCCATGAATCAAGTGTACCACTCAATATCCCCCCAGACCTTCTTCACTCATGGGTTTGAACGACACCTTAGTCGGCTCATTGCCAATTCCACGCTTCCTCGCCTCCTCCAGAATTGCCACTGTAGCTGTGGCACCGATACGAGTAACACCCAGTTTCATAACATGTAATAGATCATCTAAAGTCCTCACACCACCAGCGGCTTTAATTTGCACGTTTGGCCCCGAGTTTTCCCTCATTAGCTTGAGATGCTTAACCGTTGCACCGCGGTAATTGTATGACCCATCATTCTGCTTTACAAACCCATATCCAGTCGACGTCTTGACAAAGGCAACTCCCAGTTGCGTACAGATCTCACACAGACGCACAATGTGTTCTTCTTGGAGATAATCATTTTCAAAGATGACTTTGAGAATGGCTCCGTGGTCCGTAACCGCCTCATTAATCTGTCGAATTTCCTCCGTGACATAGTCCCAATCACCTCCAAGGACTTTACCCACATTCACAACCATATCAATCTCCTTTCCGCCTTGCTTTGCAGCAGCGGTGGCTTCCATGACCTTGATTTCCGTTGTGCTATTGCCATGTGGAAACCCGATCACCGGACAGACGAGCACGTCGCTGCCAGTGAGTTCCTTTTTAGCCAGGGGAATTAAATATGGTTTTACACAGGCGGTAGCCACGTTGTTTGTGCGAGCGATTCGCAGACCGTCTGTGATATCGGCGTCGGTCATAGTGGGATGTAGTAAAGAATGATCGATCATTTTGGCCAGTTGGCTGAGGGTGACGGTGATGGTATTGGAGGACATTTTTGGTGGTCTGATAAACTGATCAATCTGAATGACTTTTGTTAATATAGAGTCGATTGGCAGTGCACGGCCAATTTATATGATAGAGTATCCGGCGGAGGGACTTTCTTATTTTAGTAGCGACCGGAACCACTTCCTAATTCGGTAATCTCCTCCACCGGCTCGATTTTCCTAAACAATAATTTCTTCAGTTAACATGTATGCATTGCACTACATTTCTCGATTTCCACTAACATAACTGAATATTGCGCTTAATCTTGCGGCCTATTATAAACCTTTACTGGCTAACACTAAATCTCAGCGATACTACCCCGGAAGACCGACAGCATATGGATTTCACAATGAAAAGGGCTCTTGTTCCATGAAATTGATATTTCAAGTCATTTGTCAGGGGCTGAACCCGTAGAGCCTATAAGATAGGCTATGTACAAAAGGAATCGTTGAAGAAGGAAAGAAGGAAGGGGAAAAGGTGTGGTTTGGTTGTCTCTGGGCTAGTAGAGATAAAACCACTTGACCATATAAAAAGGCTTTAAGGTACAATGACAACTGATCGAATATCAGTCGCATCTAGCGCCCTACAGGAGCGAAGGCCATGCCTGAGCAAGACATTGGGTTCAACGCTTGACAAAAGGACAGGTAAACAAATAGGAAAATATCACGTGACATGGATGTTCTGTTCGTGAGGCACAATTCTCTTCAATTCCTCAAGGCAGGTTACAGGTGGGGTGGCATCGTTAGTAACAAAGAATAGCTTATACTTTCCTATTTTGGAAGGTATATTCTTGAGGTGTACTCATACTGTGTCCTGTACATGCTACAAATGATACATAGGGCTTGTAGCTCGGCGTGGTCTAAAAAAACCTCGGCGTGGGCTAAAATTCTGCCCCGAGACTCACCGCTCTTTTTAGACCACGCTGAGCTTATGCCAAGAATAAACTCATCATGGTCTAAATGATTAGTCAGTATTCTTAGGCCACGATGAGATTTTCAAAAGATTTTTAGACCACGCTGAGCATATGCACTAGGGCTTAATTACTATAATTGGTAAGGTGTAGCCCTAAGGATATTTTGTACTACACAATACAGAGTATCCACTCTGCATATACTCTGTATAGGTTGACCAAACCACAACAATGGCTGGTACCGAAGTTCGGGAAAGAGTGGTAGAATGGATCAACAATATCCCAATCCAGGTATGTGTATATATGTTTATTATATACTGGGTATATACAAACCCTATACTAATATACCCAATTATCAGAACGAGGTGCAGGAATCTCATAGAGATGATTCTAGTAGTATAATTAGTACTAGGTCTACTCCGTCAGATCCAGGAGATGATATACAGGAACAAGAATCTTTTACACCAATAGTAATGGGCCTACAGCGGGTTAGTGTATATCTAATATATACATAATATATACTAAGTCTATGTTAGGAAGCAGCTACTTCAGATGGTGTTGTCGTTGCGCGAAATGCCAGTATAAATTAAGGTTAAAGAGATTCAAGAACATCTTTTAATACGTCTGAATATCCAGCAACAGCAGCAGAACTCGTGGTATTCTTCATTTTATTCATGACTGCAATCCATTTCCATCCTCAAGGAATCCAAATGATTTCTCTGAGGAAGAAATAAATAATATTTTTACACGGCTTATGTCAAAGGTATGTAGAGTATATATCTGTTCTATACTATACTAATACTTTAAATAGATTCAGTTTGCAAAAACCATACAGGGGCTGCAAAGCTCGTCAAAATGGATCTTCTAAACAAGCTTGATGATAACGGACAACACAAGGCTTGGCATAGATCTTATATATGTGGTTCGGTAAAGGCCTGTGAGCGGGTCTATGATCATATGCTAAGTATATCACGGGCATATGACCGGGTTAATCTTGATTTACTTAATGAACAGCGCTTACGTTACGCCGAACCCTTTTATCCTCAAGCAATTGATCAACTAATCAAAAAGAAACTGAAGATGTCTTCTATGCTTTTATGAAATGTTGGTGGCAGGATGGAGGTCCTTGTGAATATCAAGGTATCAAGACATGTGGTGAAACACCACCGGTAATGTTTTATCGAAATCAGGTATGCTTTAGGTACATATACTGCATATATTAAGTATATACTAATTAACCCAGAATCATTTTCTTGGTTGCCCCAAGAATTCAGATATTGAACCTTGGCATTATGCTCATCCAGTTCGACGATTTGCTCAGATTGATAAGACTTATCTTCAAGTTCTTATGGAACATGGAACAGGCCCAAAAATAGAAGAATGTGATTTCATTGCTCAGCCAACATCCCGAAGAAGATGGTGTAGTAAGTATATTTCTAGTTTTATATATATATATATATATGCTAAGTATAGGATTAATCTAGCTCGAGCACATACTCACCATACCGGCAGGCTTTACATTCCAAAGTGTAAGGTTAAATTTGACTTGTACATTCCAACATCCTGGCAACGGTTTCCTTTCTTAATTTTGATTTGTCGATTAAATCATATTCATTTTCCACCACCTCCAACACGATTACCTAAAGATATTGCAGATGAGGTGGTCCAAATGATCTCCCAGCATAATATCCTTGACCTAACTGCAAGTAAGTATATTTACTCTATATATACAGCATATACTAAGTATCTACTCTATTTAGGACGGTTCATGATCTCTCCACAGTTCACTGATATATATGATCGATTTGGTCCCTCAACACTACGTGTATTACATCAAAGTCTTAATATTCAAGATAGGGTTCAAGCTTTGATCCGAAAACAGAGACTCTTAACTTATCCTGAAGGAACTGATATTGCTGGTATGACAATAGCTACTGCTTTTAGGTATATGCTCAGCTGATACTAGGGGTATTACGTGAATACGCCTTCGACCAATTAAAAGAGGACGACCAGCAATGGATACGTGATGTCCATTTCTTTGATCCACGGCATTTTCTTATTATATGCTGTACATATGCTCAGGCGAAGGCGTTTATTAATATCAAGCATATTGAGATGGACCTCTCATTCAAAATGGTTAATGGCAAGACGAATGTCTTCTCAATTTCTGGGTGGAATCCATATGTGCGAAGTATGTATCTAGTATATTTTTTAATATTGCTCACTAACTTGCAAGTTACTAGGAATCAATACCTTTGCATATGCTTTTCTTAATCTCGAAACACGCGATGCATATGCTGTAATGTTCTCAAAGCTATTTAAGATACTTGGAAATGTGGCTCGCTCACCTATACGGTTTCCCCATATTCAACATGGTGAGAATGAGATCTGGACTATAACTATCGATATGTGTAAGAAGCAAGCACCAGGTATGTAATAAACAGAATATATGCCCGGTATTTGCACCCTGTTAAGTATATTAGGTCTTGGAGATTATTTGCATACGCTAGACACATCCCGAGAGTGGTCTGAGCACCTTCCCTATGTGATTATATTCTGCCAAACTCACTTAAAGCGTAATTTTCGCTTAAAGTATAAGGACCACCCTGCAGAGCACCTACTTAACAGCCTTTTAGAAGCACCGTCCAAACCTGATTTGCTTGAGCGTATGGACTACATATGCAATACATATCCTGAGACTAAATCCTGGCTAGAGGGAAAGAAACGGCCGTGGATCTTAAGTGCACTGACCCCGGAACAATCAAAGATACAGATTGAACACTGGACATATGCTCGGAAACATACCGGAATTAGTGAAAGTAGTCATTTTCAAGATAATCAAGGTGTTGGCCGGAAGCAGTCACTCCTGGCAGCTGTTTTAAAGTAAAAGTATATCCAAGGTAGATGCGGAGCATAGTTAATAATATACTAACTATATACTTAGATTGCGAAGGTTTACATTTGAGGCCTTTACTCAGAATAAGATACAGATTAAGGAGGGTATTCCACCTTCATGGAAAATCCAAACGAACGTTCAAAGGCGCACTAAGATTATTCGAAAGCAAAGTATGTTAAACTAAAGGGCTGGAGCCTGTTTAATTTCTCTAGCTAATTACTATATTATCCCTATTGCCCTTATTGTCCCTACTGTCCCTATTGTCCCTATTGTCCCTATTGTCCCTATTGTCCCTATTGCCCCTATGGTTCAACATGAACAGTGTATATGCTGTTTACATACCAGGCTAATACTATGCATAGATCAACAGCAAAAAGGCAGCGAACCGCCGGCAGAAGAAGCCACACTTGCCATGGAATCCAGGGAATCCATATGATACACCTCTTCAAAATACAGACGGAGTGGCCATGCAGGACACTGATTCCCTATCAGTATCTAGCCTTAACACATGCTCGTCTTATGCCGGGCATGTACCTGCAAGTCAACGAACACACCCACTTAGCACTGTACAGAGTGTTGGTAAAGATAGCGTTATCGAGACCCCTGTTAGATCACCCGCTGTGTATATGCCAAACATAGACCCTTTAGAAGAGCGTTTAAAGGAGCTTGAGGGACTTAAGCGACGAAGAGATATGGTTGAGCGAATTGAGGAGCTTGAGGAAGAGGTAGAGGGGAAAGAAGAAGAAAAAGGGAAACCCCTGCAAGTGCAGAGCATACACCTAGTAGATGTATAGTATGTTAAAAAGCCATTTCAATTCCTAAACGATGGCTAGACTAGTATTTGCTCTACTTATTCCTAGACTCCATAATTTATCTCTAAAACCAACCGTGCATATGCCCTACGCAGTCTCCGGCACGACTCGGCAGCATCTTCTTGCGCGCGCCGGCTGCTTCCGGCTACCGGTGGCTACAAGTTCTCAGCAGATGTTTAGTATAAGGGGGATGTGCTATACTTACCCTTGTGACCCTTCTTCGGTGGAGCACGCTTGCGCTTGGGGGCAGACGGTGGGGTAGGTGGCTAGAGGGTAGTGGGGAGATTTGCGCTGCATATACTCAGTATATTATAAAGAGCTTAGGTTCCAGGGGCACATGCCTTGTGACCAGAGACCTTACCCAGCCTCTAGGAAATATTAGCATACGCAGGGAATACGTAGAGTAAATACCCGGATCACATACAGGACGATGGAACTCAGTCCCAAACTGCTGAGCAAAGTCGTTATCTTCCTGGCTAGTGGTTCTTAGTTATATACTATGCATATAATACAGATATGCTCTACTCACGCCAGCTGCTCGAGGAAGTTACAGTAATCCTGAATAATACTGTACATAGGACCCTCACTAGCATACGTTAGCCCTACGCCCAACGTACACATATATATATGCGGAGGGGAGGACATACCCAGGCTCCTTCACGTAACGGGCAGTTCTCCATCCTCTGCTAAGGATCCATCGCTTTAAAGCGCTGTCAATTATTAGCATATGCTCAAGAGAAGCTACGTATCCACTAACTTTTCGCACGAATGCGCTCAGCCTGGGGAATGTTGGTGCGGAAGGGATTAAGAGCTATGAATCCTTAGCATCTGCTAGACCTATACAAGGAATAGACAACTCACTGGCACCGGGATGGGCGTTCCGGATGTGGCGGCGAAGCTATGGAATAGGTAGCATATACAACGATGTGCTAAAAACGCGACCTACAGCAATCTGAGAAGACGGGCTGGCCACACATTTGGTTGCCATTGACTGCGATGTCGCATCTGCGAGGTTGTAGCCCATGCTTAGCATGTGCCAGGCATGTTAATTACTTACACCATGCTATTAAACCTGACAGCTTGAACCAGGAGTTGGGGCATCTGTAAATAATTAGCATATGCTGCACATCTGTGGGGGCCCCATACTCTCGTTGTCCGCGGTGGTCACAGGTGTGCGGGGGTCCGGGTGTGGGCGCCAAGTGGGGTTTGGATTCGGGATGGGACCTGCATATGTTAAGCACATGTTGTGAATATATTAAGTAGATACTTACCGTGAAAGTAACCGTAGTCGGGGTGGGGGTTCACCGCCCCAGCGACCTCTGGATTGTCAAAGTCTTCACGCGAAAGCTGCATTCTCTGCATATTGATGGTATATGCTGAGAACAAGGCCCCTAAACAAGAACTAAAATCATCAGTGTATTCTGACATGCAAAAAACGAGAAATTGGGTCACAGATTGGTAGTATATGCACTGGGTATGCAGAAAAGAAAGGGTCACACAAATGGTTGTAATTATATACTCTGGGCATACAGAAAGGAAAGGGGAGAAGGAGAGGTTTCAAGTCTTCCGGTCAAGGTATATACGCGGTATATGCCAAGAAGGGACATGCGATACTCACTTAAGAAGGGGAGTTTAAAGAGAGAAGAAGAGAGAAAGAATGAAGAGAAAAAAAATTAGGTCTTCTAGTTCCAAAATAAATGCAAACGCGGCCAACATTTTTATTACCCAATTTGGGTGTAGGATCATTCACAGTGTGTTGCAAAATCTGCCTCTATTGTTTGATATAGTGAATATGTTGATTATATATATTGATGATGCAATGAATAATCTCACGCAGTTTAATATTTTGAGCATATGCTCAGCATATGCACCGACCGGGGACTGACGCTAGGCCAAAAGGTCAGCGTGGTCAAGCTACGCTGAAGGGATTCAACATGGTCTAAAAGGTACGGAAAATTTAATTTTAGACCACGCTGAGCCCATGCCAAGAAAAGGCTCACCGTGGTCTAAAAAGGCGGTGGCGGAGGTGGCAGAATTTTAGCCCACGCCGAGGTTTTTTTAGACCACGGCGAGCTGGCACCCGTGATACATGGGTGTCTGCCCTGGTTCCACCTCGCTTAGTCATCACATATGCAAGCTAGTTCTTAGCCGGCCACACATTCAATGGAACTGTCAGAATAAAGCTAGTCCATATTGGGACATCATGTGAATATATATACCCAATACTCCTCATAGGGGTTGGGCAGAGAATCCTTCTGAATACAACCACTTCAGACCCCCCAAATAATCGAACAGGAACAAGCAATCGCTTCCAACATCTTTGAGGGCTAATAGGGGTCAACGGGACCATCGGGGCCAACGGGGACAATATGGTAATTGACCCGAAGTCAAACGGCTCCAACCCTTTACATTGTCGATTTCTCCATCCAGGGAGTTTAGTTGATGTGAATTGCCCAAGTGCTGATGAGGGAGGGCTCCAGGCAGTGTTTAAATGTATGCGTTGAAAACTTGCTCCTAATATCTTGGTATTCATATTCTGTATGGATTTCCTAAAGAAGAAAAGCATGGAAGATAAAGCTATTTGGGCCGAACTAATGAGTGTAAACTAAATGAAACATAGTACAATGTCGTAGTTAGGTAACTTGATACTTTGAACTATCAAAGGCACTTAAGCTTAGGGAAAGAAAAAAGTCTGAGATGAGACATCCACGGAAACTGCAGAACAGGAATCCAAAAACGAGTGGAAATCAAATAAACAAATAGTTTCAACAGCCCATCTACGCAAGGAGATAAAGCCCAAGCATCCAATAGTACAACTCCAAAGATACCAAAGCCGAAGCCGTGCTATCAGTTGCAACTTCCTTCGTCACATCCTCGCTCTTTCAACTTAGACGACTATCATTGAAATCAATATTTAACTGCCGATAACTCCAACCACAGGCAAAAAACAAGACGGCAAAGCTCAAGACCGGCACCATTAGTACATCAAAAACACAGGAAAAGATATAGCCACCAGTTACACCGATACGGCCATCACCATCGGTCAGTACAAAGCCGACAGGGTACGGCAGCCACAGGAGATTCAGCCACTCAGCTAGGATAATAGTCACAATCAATACCAACCCGGTCAGTAGTTTAGCGGCTGTCATGAACAATACTCATAACAAGGATCCGCGAGGCGAACGTCCTAGGACCAGCGAAGGGAAGAGATGGCCTAGTTGAAGTATTGGCGTAGAACATCTGGCGGGCTATTCTATTGCCGAGATTTTCTCTAACAGGTGCAATATGTGAGATTCCTAGCGAATCAACTGCAACCATTCTTGGTATTAGGTAACACCTCGCCTATCGCTCCACTGACAAAGATGCCGAGACTTGGCCGAAGCATACCACAATCATCACACGGAAATTTAACGGATGTTTTTTGTGGTGTTACTGTTAACCAGTTAACCTCGTCATAATTAAAGCACATCAAGCTGATCTGGAAAGCATTTCTGACCTAGCTCACAGTTTCTAGGTGCCAAACCGGCCATTTATATGTAGACCGATGGCATTGACTGAATATCACAACTAGCGGGATGGCATCTCCTGGCCACCCCATATATAGTATCCATCGAGAGTGCCCACGCCACGCTATATTTCCCTGACCAGTGGCTCGTGGTACGCCAACATTTCATTTCGGTCGTTCCCTGCTCACCGGGCGGGAATCACCGAAACTTCCATGGTGGCCGAATAATAGGGGTGGCGAACTCCCGAGACAACGTTAGATTCTGTAACGTGTGCCACGCTTTCGATTCGCTTGGAAGTAAGCACGATGACATCGGCCGCGCCAACAATCCGTTCCTCCAACAGCAGGCCTGGCATTGGTGGGGTGTAGGCCAAGCCTTGGCAGACCTTCGGACTTCCTGATTTGACTATTCCGCCATCACTCCGCCAAGTTCGTCACAGCGGAACCAAGAAATGAATCTTGGAGATGAGACCAAACATCGTCTCGGATGAGGTCGCGCACAAGAAGTCGTCCTATGCTGGGACCGACCTTCTCAGCATTCCCCACAATCGGAAAATACAGGCGATGGCAGTTCGCGGGGTCGGGTAGTCCGAGTATAAAAATGGGTCCGTCATCCCGGGTTGACTCCGGGGTAAGAGCTGGGCTTCACTTGTTGAATCGTACTGGACTCACTAGTGTCACACGATGTCAAGTTATTATGAGAAAGAGAAGACCTCCGGGGCCTTCCCCCTGTCAGAACATGCCCAGGACCAGTCATCGAACTCGTCCTCCACGCCTAATCTCAGCAAGGAGGAACGCATCAGGAAGGAACGACAGCAAGCTGAAGCCAGCTCTGGGCTGAATAAATGGCTTGGGTGGATGGGAGACCTGCCGGAATGGAAATTTGGCGGAAAGCCCCTGGCTGGGAGAGCTCTGAATTGGTCGATTGGGTTCATTGCCAGCTGCGGCTTCCTGATGTTCGGTTATGACCAGGGTGTACTCAGTGCTCTACTCACGTTGGATTCATTTCAGGAGAATCTGTCCCTCATGACGCCTCGCGACAAATCGAACGACCTGTGCTGGTTGGATAGCCCCACAAATACAATACCTCATCCCGATCACTGCAAGGGTGACGCCAACACCCAGGCCGCCGGTGTCGCCGTCTATCAAATCGGATGCTGGTTGGGCTCACTTGTGATCCTGATGTACGGTGAAAAGTGGGGACGGAAGTCTTCTACTTTTTGGGGCTCCTTGATTATGGTCATTGGGACCATCATGCAGGCCGCGTCATTTGAATATGGCTTGTTCGTTTCTGGTCGTGTTGTCGGTGGTATTGGAAACGGCATGGTGACTTCTAGTATGTTTTCGGTCCATTTTCCAATACTATGTACTAATGCGTGAGAACAGCGATTCCCACATGGCAGAGTGAATGTGCTCGCCCTCATCAGCGAGGAGTCCTGATCATGCTGTCGGGAGCATTGATCTCGGCGGGTATCATGATCGCATACTGGGTGGATTACGGCTTCTATTTTCTCGAGGGGTCCGTCCGTTGGCGATTCCCAATCATGTTCCAGTCATTCTTCACCATTGTCGTGATGATTGGTCTTCTGTACCTTCCGGACTCCCCACGATGGTTGATCATGCAGGGTCGCCACACGGAAGCGCGCGATGTCACTGCGCGCCTGGTGAACAAAGCGGGAGATGACCCAGAAGTTGACGAGGAACTGCGCAACATCAACGATGCCTTGGAGGCCCAGAGCAAGGGTGGACCCTTCCGGTACAGCGAGCTGCTGACGAACGGACCGTCACAGAACCTTCGACGAGCCGGGCTGGCCATGATATCGCAATTCTTCCAGCAAATCTGCGGTATCAATCTGATTACCTACTATGCGACATTCCTGTTCGAAAACTCCCTCGGTTTCGGACCATCAATGTCTCGTCTTCTCGCGGCCTGCAACGGCACCGAGTACTTCCTTGCATCTCTCGTTTCATTGCCGTTGATTGAGCGAACCGGTCGACGCAAGTTGATGTTGGTAGGAGCGTTTGGCATGATGGCTTCCATGGCGGTACTGGCAGGCACCGTATCAACAGGAAAACAAATGGACAACGGAGCTCCCAAATTGGAGACGCGGTACGGCGTCACAGCCACGGTATTCCTGTTTGTCTTCAACTCGTTCTTCGCCATCGGCTGGCTGGGTATGACCTGGCTGTATCCCGCGGAGATCACCAACCTACGTATTCGTATCCAGGCCAATGCGTTGTCAACCAGTTCCAACTGGATGTCTAACTTCCTGATCGTGATGATCACGCCCCCTGCTTTTGCGAATCTCGGCTACCGGACGTATATCATGTTCGCCGTGTTCAATGCCGCATTGATTCCATGCGTGTTCTTCTTCTTCCCGGAGACCAAGGGTCGTACCCTGGAAGAGCTGGATGTGGTCTTTGCCAGTGCCAATGCTCAGGGGATCAGCCCAGTTAAGCAGAGCTTGGAGATGCCTAAACTAGTAGGACAGGAACTCGACCGTGAATTAGCCAGGCACTTTGGGGTTGGGAGCGATGAGGAGACTACGGCGACGAGGGAAAAGGAGGGTCCTGTGCATACTTGACTGATTTTATTTCCAATATGTAACTATAAATCTGATAGACTTTGGTGTCTGGCTGTAACTAAGATTCCGGGCTGGAAGGGCGGGAATAACGTGGGTGTATTGGAATATTCTTTTCCTTGATCTCTTGTGATATACATTGTTTAAACATCTTTCTTCCATTCCAAATGATCAGTTCTATTGCATTGGGAGACGGGACCCCAAGTTAGTTGACTATCACTTTCAATATACACTTAGGATTTCTACAGTCTACTTTTGGGTAGCTCTGGGATTTGTAATCATATTGTAACCCTCTAATGCCAGCTTGGACATAATAGTAATTACACAATAAGAAATCGCACTCAAGTAATGAAAGGAAGAATTAAGCAAGAAATATGTGACAAATACCAGACGCAGAACATAGCCAAAGAAAAAATACGAGTGAGCTACCAAGAGAAATAACAAGCCAATATAAAATGACCAAACGAGACGAATACCTAGATACCAGACAGGATACCGCAGACAAAAATAGAGATTAAGAGGCTGTCACTGATGGCCATATTCATCAGTGAGAGAGTAATGAAGATCGAGCAAAAGAAACATATTCTGGGTAGATCAAATACCTATACTCGGCCTGTATTACATTGGAGTTGAATTTGTAGCCAGGTCTATTGGCTGGCAAGTGTATGTGGATCAAGACAGGATGTCCTGAATATGGTACCTTAGGGCTTATACGTGGACAGCGCTGGAGAATATCATCAGCCTAGTGGACCGTGTTTTTGAGCATGTATTTACAAACTAATAGGAATGCAAAACACTACCCTTGTATTTATGCATAGCTCTAAAATATACAATTTTATTAGCATATAAACTTTATCGCCTAGTTGTTCGACGGATAACTGCAAACCACCTCCTCTTTACTGGATCGCCCGGTTCAAATCCCACCTTTCGATCCTCCGCCAACTTCCATAAAATCTGCAGCAAAAACGGCGCCAAAGCCTGGTCAACCACCTCCTGCGGCACTCTCCCAAACATAGCCCTCACAATCTCATACAGCGTCATACCCCCCTTTCTGCCCCCTCCCTTACCAACCTCACCGTCCACCTTCTCTTTCTCCTTTACTAATACCGACAAAACCCCTCTCACCCGCGCCTCCTTATGCCGAATATACTCCTCCAACTTAGCAGGGAGATTTTGAATAGCCGCTCCATGAGCCGGATATCCTATGCCACACCCCAACCCGGCCATACAATCCAGACTCTCCATATACCGTCCTAGATCCGGCGCAACGCTGTACCCATGCCCTAGCACATTATCACCTGTGAAAAGGGCATTTTCTTCCTCAAGGAGGAAACACATATGGTCTATTGAGTGGCCGGGGGTGAAGATGGCGCGGACGGTGGCTCCCTGCACGGTGAAGATTTGCCCATCCATTATGGGATTTTGGTCTGCATCGGGGAGGTTTTTGTACACGTGTCCTGCCAGACTGGTATTGTAGGAAATTAAATCGGGGACGCCGCCGGTATGGTCGCCGTGCCAGTGGGTGAGTAGGATGTGGGAGATGGAGATGTTGTTGGAGTGGAGATGGTGGGTTAAGCGGGAGAGCCAGATGGGGAGGCCCTACAGGTCTCAATTTCATACTTTAAAGGGTAAATATAGAGAGGATATGATGGGTTACCTGTCCAGTGTCAATCAAGATCCGAGACTCGCCCGTTCCGACGAGATAGGTGTTGGTGCCTTGTAGGTGCATGGCGCCTGGATTCCCCCCGAGAATACGGATTACTCGACTGCTGAGGCTCGAGATATCCGGTAGAGGGGGGAGGTTGGCCTCCTGGCCGGAGAGATATTCCTGCCAGAAGTTTTGGTTGAAGGGCATGCGGAGGGCCATTGCTTTCTGAGTACTCTAGGAATTACTCAGAAGACTTGGCCTGGATAATCGAATCTAAGTGTAGTTATCCAGTGCCTGTTGTGTTATACCCCGAATGCTTTTTTTCGTATAGGATGCTAAAAGCCGACAGGAGAGATGAGTGGACGCTAAAATCCGAGACTTCGTATCAGTCTGCTGGCTGTCGTATAGAATGGAGATGGACATAGCAATACTTGAAAATCTAAGCAGTGATGAGACCTAGTTGTTTATGATGCCGAGCACACACCCAAGAGGGTGATTTTATTGTTGTAGGTGAGGGTCCAATGCTTTGTAGACACTTCGTAGACTATAATGTTGTAGTGTGGATAAATGGAAGAATATCAATATTCTGGATCTTTACTGAATTATTTCCGTTTCCCTTTTGCAGTATTTTGTCAACGTTATATTGTAAACTTTCTAGAGCGTGTTGATTTGTGGTACTTTTTGCCCAGAAACCGCACCTTTCGTTTAAGTTCTATTGAAGAGCAGAGATCCATCTTAGAATAAGCATGCTGACCTAAAATCCGAATAACCAGTCAGATAGTCCATCAAAAAGCCTAGGCCCTAGTCTAACCATATCTGGCAAAGAATCAAGCAAGAGGGACGTAAATTCAACAAAGGAACATGTTCGATCCTGACTCATCATGACCAATCTCCGACATCAGCTCCTCCCACGTCTGCCACGACTGCTCGACGTCCGCCGGGGGTATCTGGCCATCGAGCAGTGGCTGGCTATCAATATCAAATGGCAACAACAACGGATCCAGATCCATCTTGGTCAATGGCTGTACGGGAGATGTTGGGGCCAAATCCGAACCCAGATGAGAATGTGAATGAGAATGAGAATGGGAGAAAGCAGTTGGCCAGGACAAGTTGCTTAGTGCGTCACTCGGTGCGAGGCTCGAACGAGAAGAAGGCGTACGCGGGGCAGATGATACCGTGCTAATGCTACTTAGGCCTAATATCGGACTCGGACTTGCCTGCGGCAAAAGAGGTCCCAGTTTCTCCCTCGTCCGGCACATCATCTTCTCCAGCGGACGCTGGATAGTCTCGTCCTCATCCTCACCCGCAACGCCAACACTAGTTTCGCAGTGCAGGAGCTGATACGATGCCTCGATGATCGGCCAGGCACGCTGCGTTAGACTCACGTCCGGACAGACGAAGCACTCGGCGATGGCGGTCGCTAGCGCGTGCCACGGGATCGTCACGTACCAGCGGAACCCCTCACCGCGGGGATCAGAGTGCATCAGTTGCGCCTTTTCCAGGACACTGAGGGTCAGACGGAGCAGTTCTGTGTTGTCTTCTTTCTGACGGGGAGAGGAAAAGGGGGAGGGAGAGGGCGACGGTTGGCTTCTACCGCTGTCGCTACAGACCTGTGGGCGCTGAATCGGCCGTAATGCGGACAGTCGTGCCCCGGAGACGAGACATTGCGTGCCGTGCCAGGTGAACCACGCATACGGCGAGGACTCCGGGTCGCAAAAGTGCAATAGACGGAGCGCATTCTGCTCGAACTGCTGCGCGCGTTGCTGTCGAGACTCCTTGTTCTGGTCTCGGTCTGATGCGGCGACGCCAAAATTGAGAGCCCTCCCCGCCAGCTGGACGTGGTACGAGACCAGCGCGAATGTGGTGTCGCTCAGTCCCTCTCTGTCGGGGACGTCGTGGGCGGTGGTTGGATCAAAGTCCGAGTCGTTGATATGTTGGGGCGGGGAGAATGTGGATGTGGCCTCCTCGATGCTGATGAGTGGTTCGGAGGCCTGACTGAAGGAGGCTTTTAGGTCCATCAGGCAGATCGTAAGCCAGAGTCGTCTGCGCATCTGTTGGCTGAAGAATGTCTCTGTCTTGTCTCGGTCCATGGGGAGACCGAGTGCCTTTGCTAGTCTCACAGCCACTGCTGTGAGCGTCCATGCGGCCTGGCTGCGGTCTTCAGATCTTCTGGCAATCTATTCCGACGGTTAGAAAAACTTCTTTGTCTGTCCTATTAGGACGCGGACACTTACGAGATACAGTACAAATGCTTGCAGGACGGTAATATTAGGAGAGGCCAGCAACCCGCTCCTCTCCAGTGCAGCCTCACACGCTCTTCGAGAATCTGCCATGATGCCCGACTTTCCCATGTGAAAGCGCGCCCAACACTGATTCTCTGTTAAACTAGCGGCAGCCGCGTAAGAGATAGCAGACCCTAACGCGTCGACGGCAACATGTCTCTCCGGAAAACCCAGGTACCGTTCCCCCTGTATCATCCACTTCTCAACAGATGGTCGATGCAAGATCTTAATGACAGGGTCCACTTGTTCAAGGTAAACCTGACACAGCTGCCTTGATATGTCTTTGTCTTCGAACCAGGGAGTCCAGTCGAGTGCCAGGTTATTCGCACTCAGGCCAAGGACTCGGAGCTCGCTGCCGTTACTCATGTCCATTTTCAAGGTGTTCAGTATCGGCGGACCCTCTGCTTCTGTCTGCTCTGCAGTCGATCCTATCACGCCGCGGAGGCCCTGTACCTTCAATGCCCACAGTCGACCAGTTAGCATCAATGCTAGGATAGATAGGTCACGTGACATGCCCTACCTCCCCAGCTAAATTATCCGAGTAATAATCAGGACCCCGAGTCAAGGGCGTCTGTTTCTGGATGCTAGTCGAAACCGACGGACTGCATGGTACTGAGGTTGTCGGAGCCGGAAGGGAAGTATTAACAACCGACTGTTCCTCGTCAGCATGCTCGAAATATCAACTGGCTTGGCGCAACTCACCTGACTGACAGGCGCGGGACACGGGCTCGTCGTGGATGAACGCATGCTATTCACCAGCGCCTCAAGCCGATGGATGCGTTTCTTGAGGTCGTCGTCAACTGCAGCCGTGGCACCGGACGAAGCATCCGTTTGAATTTCCATTTCCATCGGAGCTACCAATTTCGCAGCAGGCGCAGACGCAGACGCTGGCACAGGCGATCTACGTGAACGCCGCGCATGGACGCCTCGTGGCAGACGTGGCCGATGGACCGGGACGCAGACTACGCCAGCAGCCACGCAGTTGGTGCAAGGATCGACCTTGTCGCACTTGACCTTGCGTTCGCGACAGAGCTCGCAGCTGAGATGTGGTGTTTGAGGACGTTTTCGCTGATTACGTTTCTCCATTTTAATAAGATATCGATATCCGATGGTGACTGTAGTTGTGGTCAGGCTTTGGTCAGGCGTTGGAGCAAGCACATGCCTATATAAGCTCCATCCGGGCCGTCAAGCATCCTTGGTTTCCTTATTCTATGATACTATATCGGGCGATGCCTACTCCGAGGTTGGAAGATCTAAGGTCTCACGAACACGAGGCAAACACGAGGTGGAATTATTGGCAGTGTAACATGTCAAGACGAACCGTTTGACTAAAACTCCCGGCTCTTAGTGAGCCGTGATACTGAACCGTGATACTGAACCGCGATACTGTGCCGTAATAGTGACTCATTTAGGGGGTTTCTGATCTTTCTGTTGACTGTATCCTTGCTTGAGCATTATCAAGCGACGCGATATACAAATATACAATACAAAGCTCTTTATGCCAACTTTTATCTAATTAAAAAGGCATTTACATATTGCCTGATCTTGGAATATTTATCACGAAATAGTCAAGCAATGGAATTAAATACCTTAGTCCAATATGCCTGTGTTACCTTAGAAACCTTGTTAAATGATGCAGGCAAGGCCCAGGCCGTTATCGAGGCAGAATCGCAGAAGTAAGTACACAAAGTGTTAGAGCTAATTTATGAGATGGCAGAATTTAACTTCTTCACAGGAATTGGATCCTAGCAGGTCCCACTTCGCTAACCGAATTACAGGCTACGCCAGAGCAGATATTAACTAATACTGGATAACAGAAACGGTAAGCGCGATGTTATTGTGGAACACTAAAATACGCGAGCTGCTCTGAAAAAATATACTACTCTGTACTATGTTATTACTTTCCCCAAGGTAGCTATATCTTAGGCCGCCAACACCAGCAAGTTATATAGTACCAGAGTCTGGTTCATGTCGATCTTTGTTCCGGTTACGGTCTGGTCTGCATATCGTTAAATTTCCGAACCACCATGTGGAAGCTATTTCTAATATTAATATACTGTTTTGTTATTTATACTAAAACATTAAAATAATATGGTCGCTGCAATGGATATATATGATATTGTAATTAAATACAACCACTGGTTACAAGACTATTAAGTGGCTGCATCTGATATGTCGAAATTTAACAATATGCAGACTAGAGACGGTATTAATAAACTTGCTCCCATTCGGATCTTGTATCCGATAGCGTAGCTTGTTCCCATTTGCTAATTTGAGAGTTAGTATATACGTGGCCTGATTATTTGTGACACAGAGTGCTTTTGTGGCTGCCAGTAGCATGGGCAATATTAGTCAAGTTTATTTATAGTACGCAGTACCTTTTGCTATAACCTTATTGATTACAGTATACAAAGTACCTAGGTATTATTCTTTTGAACACTATTACTCAGCCCATGGCTGCTATAGCTTAGCTGTCTTATCTTGGTCAAGCCTTGCTGCACCTTTTCTTGTGTTGCTTCTACTTCAGTGTGCATACAGATTGTTTTAAGTTTGCTCTAAAACATAATAAGTTCTGTTAAGCGAACTCAGCCATGGTATTGCAAAGGATAATAACTCAAAGCTAGTGGTTGCTATTAATAATCTCGGTCAGGCCCACAGGCTCATACCCTAACTGACAAGGTGTAGCTATAAAGGTATGAATTAAGTCTATCTGAATACTACCTATGCTCCCTGATACTAATAGAGCTGCAGCTTGTAGTGTAGACTTTCATTCTCCACTTTGGCTCGGCCGTTAGGAAGAATAACCATGTGTCAGAGCTCTGTTATTCCACTTATGAAAATGATTGTTGCGGGGGTTCTCGTATTCCATTCTGAATACGATCGCTGCGGGGTAGTTATTCGTATTTAGAATATGATTGTGGTGGGGGGCTCGTATTTATCCTAATTGCATGATCCGTAGCTCGTGAATAATGCTCCTTTGGGATTAGACCAGTAAATCTTCTGGAGGGCTAGATCATCTAGATCGTCTGAGTTTGAATTTCGTTCCGAGCAAGGATATCGAGCTTTATGTAGTGGTCTAGGCTGTACGTTTATGCCTATTAGGCTCAGCTATTGCTATGCCTAACTAATCCATACATGTCAGTACCAGGTTACGGCTCCTTCCAATGGAACTATTATTATTAGCCAAAACCCAACTGCGATTACTCTCTTAAGCATAACAATAAGCATCGATCTATAGTTAATGTTCTGCAATACTCTAATGTCTCCCTAACTTCACAGTCAGCACTCTTTGCTTGATTATATAACTTCTAAAGTGTGGTCAAGAATATATAAGAGGGAATAAGATATAGGGACTAACTACTACATGAATGTTAATTACCTATTTTACATTAAGAGGGAAGAAATCAGTATATAATTACATCAGAGAGTAGAAGAATCGACTGGAGGCGCTGTGAAACCTCTATACTCTCCCAAAACTGCGTCTGGATTAGGTAGGTTATAGAGTCATATAATACCCTGTAGGTGGCGCAACAGTAGATGCGTCACCGGGCAGGCTCTTTAGATGTCAAGGTAGTTGAGACCTATCTTGATTCTTTAGAGACTGCGGGTTCCAATTTTGTTACCGGCACAAATTCTACCCGAGGCACCTACCAAAGAAAGCCTAGCCTGGGTTGACTTGGGGAGCGTGGATGGTGAACCTTAGGGTAGGATTATGTCTACTGTGGATGCTAAGGCGGGTGGGGAAAACATTCTCCGGCCTAATCCTAGTGTACCTAAGCAAGTACTAGCGGTATGACGCGGGCCACTAAGAAGGGAAGTTCTTTATATGGTGGATTAGTTTATCATTAGAAGTTAACTCTGATCGTAGCTGCAAGACACTAAGGTCTGAGCTCTAGAGGACGTCCTAGGCCAAACACGGAACACATACACGTCTATATAGCCGCAGAACAACTGCGCGCTCGGCTACTTTAAAGCACTAGGCTCTATCCAATCATTTAACAATTTCCTGTGTATATAGGAGCATCCTTGGAGGACTCTGCGGTGCCAGGCAGGGCGTACAGACATACATAGCTGCCACTACGTCTAAGGCGGCTGCAATAGGTATAAAAACTATTATTCAATCAATTAATTAATCATTCAGTAGAATCCTATATACATATAAGTAGTGGTAGGCACCTCCACAACTAGAATTCTATCAGATTTTTAGAATTTAATGACGTCTCAGAGTAGACCCCTGTTTTCCGCTTCCTCTCACTTCCCTTCCACTCCCAACAACGATGATCAAGTATCTAAATAAATATCAGTCACAGCAGAGCCCATAATGTTCATTATCCACACTTATTATCCACAATATTGACCCTGTCCAAGCGGAGCGCAACCGCCAATCTTGCCGCAGGCTCGGGTGTCTTAAGGAGGCATGTGGCTGCGTGGTCTACCGCGCAGCGTATACTCCAAAGTCAGCAAAAACATTTCCCAAAGCAATTGCCACTATCACCTCCTGGATCAAACGGGAAATATACAAGTATCTATAGTCTTCGGGGTTAAAGAATCGGGACCGTACTCCGAATAATCAGCTATGGGCGCGATACAGCCTGACTGTTATAAAGGATCCATCATCCCTGGATGGCGCGTCCGTGGACACGGTCCGCTCCCATTTCAAAACACGGATGGTAAGCCAAGGCAAGCGGGACCGCTGGAATAAATATAGCATCTGCATCATAATCGATGAGGTAATCCTCCAGCTCCGGGGCAGGGTCCCCTCTGTAGAGAAGCATGCCGACACTCATGGGAGTTGTGTGAGGGAGCTGAAGGACTGGTATGTGAAAGTAGTAGAGGCATTTCCGGAGCTGGACATAGGTGATCCGTACTACAGAGGATAGATGTATTGCTCTATCTTTACTTTAATCTACTTATGGTCGTCCACGGACGAGGGGTCGTACATGGGGACCTTGCATGCGATTTGTGGGACTGAGTCTACGTGGTGTTGGAAATCTGGTGCCTAAGGCACCTTCGGATATCCTAGTCCCGCAGCGATATGATATATAGTATCACACTCAGGGGCAAAGGGACACGTAGACATAAGAAAGTGTTTGTCTACGCTCTCTCCAAGATAGAACAACATATTCACCATGCGATACTAGATCGCACGGTAGTTCCAATATACTATCTAGTCACCGCTATCCTAGCACCTCACAACATACCATCTTCCCCTAGACACTTCAACACGTGGGGCGACTTATACTGATTTAATATCTTGATTCTAGGCTGTGAGCATGCTGTTGTCTAGTGTATATAAGACTCTTGATCATGAATATTAATCTATTTCTTTGTCTATAAAGATTATGTTTGCTTTATTCTTAATTACAAGTATAGATGGAATTATATATATAATACAATGGATAGCTGCTCTAGTGATCCTTAGCTTCAAGATCAATACATTGTTTATCCTAGTAGTACACGTTATTCAAGACAGTCATGTCTTCTTCTGCGAAATCTCTCTCCATTCCGCCATTGGCCGATGCAGTGCATAAAACCGCTGTTTAGACCGTCGAACAGCGTCCTGTGATCGCTTCCACGCTTGATCATAGTAACTTCTAATCCCCAGGGCCAAATCACTCCCAGCTCCAGTAACGGCAGCAGCCAGCTCGACTCCATCCACCAGCGCATGGTTGCCTCCCTCGCCACCAAAGATGGGCATCGCATGCCACGAGTCGCCCACAAAGACGACACCCTGAGCAGCAGCACGCTGCATTTCCTCCCGCGCCACAAACACACATCGGACAGTCCAGTGGAACAGCCGGTGACTTTGAATCGCGTCGGGGTTCAGAAAGAGACTCCACGGCTCTGCTAGATTGCGCGAGGCTAGCTCCTCCAGCAGCTCCGGGGGGATCTGCTTCGCCTCGTCAGCTGGGAGATTAGGTCTATACAGCGGGTCGTCCTCCGCAGAGCCGGAGGCAGGTCGCGAGTACGACCAGTCCATGTCGACATGCGTCTTGGTTATATTGCAGACGGCGAACGGGGCATTGAAGCGGTCTCCTACGCCAGCGAGGACATTGGAGTTCCCTGTGCGTGATCGGAACAGTCGGTCGAAGTCCGTTCTGGATAGTTGAAACTCGCCGTGGTAGAGCACGGCGGGGACATTTTCAGGGACGACATTGGGGAGAATTTGCGATCGAACTGTGTTCATCAGTTTGGTTCATACTGAGGATATGCGGTTCTAACCAGTCGAATTCACTCCATCCGCAGCAACCACCATCTTCCCCCGATATACTGCCCCATTCTCAAACTCAACCCTTACATCGCCCAAGCGACCCTCCTCAACCCTTCTCAGTCGATGTCCATACCGCACATCCAGCTCTACGTCGCCAGAATCCGCAATCCACCTGCGCAAGGCGTTCCGGTTCACCCGGACTATCTCCTGCTTCGTCGTCGGGTCCGGAAAAATCAGCCTCTCACCCGTGCCATTATCCCAGAGCGCCTGGTCTAGCCAGCCAGAGCCGCCGATGTGTCGATCGGGCGCAACGCCTCTCGTGAAGCTTCGCAGCGGCACACCGCCGAGGGCCGACAGGAGGTTCGCATAACCCCATTCTCGCAGACTGATGGCGAAGCCCTGGCTACGGTCTGGACTGGACGCTTCGAAGACTATGTTAGGGATGCCGCTGTTTGTGAGGAGACGGGCGGTTGTGAGGCCAGAGAGGCCGGCTCCGATGATGAGGATTGGGAGTGGATTTTCATTTTTCATCTTTACTAGGGCTGTGGGAAATAGTAACTAGTAATGGTAGCCTGTTGGTTACATCTGTCTGATGTAAATGTATAGCACAGAGCTAAGGTTAAAAACCGAACCATAAGGACGGGTTTTGAGTTTGAAAAATCGGGTTTTGGTCGGATTTTATACAATTCTCGGAAATGACTTAATTCTATGATCGCATTTATACTAGCATAGAAACTCTATACTTATGTCAATTATCAGAAGAATTATCTTGCCTAACAAGAGCCTGTACCCTGTTCAGTGCTGTGGAATTCTATTGATAACTTGTTTTTAACACACCAGAAGACTAAACACCAAGGATATCTAAAATTTATATACTAAAGAGGTTATAAATTGATCACGAGAAGCGCGAAAATAGAGTATTTAGCTATTAAAGGGTTTATTAATTAATAATTGTAGACTTGACATAATACTGTTCCAAGCATAAAATCGCGGTAGTATAAGAAGGTCCATAAGTCTACTGAGGAGTGTTGAGAATAATTCCAGGACCTGCAAAGGGTATGCATAGCCTTTGTGGTCGAGTTGTTCAGCCATAGGGAATCTCAGCAAAGATAACATCATAAATGTACACATACATGGTATATACTTCTGGTTCCCTCCTATAGTGGTCTTCGATATAAGTAGTATTCTCCTATTACAGATTCCCATATAATAAAGTACACAAGCAAGGACAAATACACAATATAGACATATCAACAATACTCCTCCAGCCAAGCCGTCACCTCCCCAATAGTCGGACACTCCAGAAACAACGAACTCTTAATCTCCACCCCCAGTTCGGCGCGGAACTTCTCCGATAAGACAAGAGACATAAGCGAGTCGACGCCCAGCTGCACAAAGCTCGCATCGGGTGTTAAGGCCTCAAGATCTAGTCCCGTCTCGCGTGCCATTACTCGCAGACACTGGCCCACCACCCCGTTGTCTAGGGGGTCGCCCCTTTCAGATGCGGCGGGCGTGATGACGGGGCTTTCTTTGGGGGATTCCTCGGATGATTCTTCGGAGCGAGCGAGCGCAGGAACTGGGATTGGGACAGCAGCGGCAGGAGGAGGAGCGCTTTTCAAGACACTGGGGACGCTCGGAGGCGTAGCTTGTGGCTTCTGAACATGTTCCAGCACAGGTGCCGAAGAGGAAGGAGAGAAGAACCTATCCATCAGAAGACGCGGCACGCGACGGAATCGAATCTGACCGACCATACCGATGATACGCTCGTCCTGAAGGATGTACACATCACCGGCATACATATTCGCCTCCTCGGGCAAGGGGAACATGCGCACGTAACTGCGATACTTACCACCTGCCTCCAGCGGATTCAGTAGACGGAAACTGGCACACCCTGGTGTGACGTAGAAGTAATCCCTGGTATTCGAGGCATCGCTACCGTTCATGACCAAACCAGCCAAGTGCGAGACACTATCAATCCAATGCGGCGGCGTATGCCATGTTCCATGTCTCTCCGCTGTGAGAGTCACGTCCGCGACGGCCTCATGATCATGCAACACCACTTGATCCATCCCGCGATATCGATCTGCGTAGTCGACCACGTTCTTGAAGAGCGCGTAGGCCAGCGGCTTGGAGAGTTTGCTGGCCTTGCCCTGGTCGGCTCGCTCTTCCAGCGCTTCAATACGTCCCAGGACTAGATGGGAGAGTCGGTCCCATTCCTTGGTCCACGATGCTGGGTCCTCGAAACGGACCACGGCCGTGGCAAAAGACTCGCCGATGCAGTCGCCCGTCTCAGCGCTGGCGTTGAACCAGGCTAAGGACATACAACCGGTGGATAGATCCAGGTGTGCTTTAAGGACCAGCGGCTGGATGCTTCCTTTGGTTTTGTTGGCGACTTGTGCGTGCAGGACTTCCATATCTGAGAGGTTCATGTGCACGTCTTTGGTCTGGGGGACAAGTCGACGGTAGAGGTATTCACCGACGGTGAAGGCCATGTCAGACCAGATAGACTGTATTAGTTGTTAGCCGAGAAATATACACTATATTTTAGAATTAGGGTTAAAAAAAGGGAAGAATACCGAGGTGGCAACGCCGCAGTTATTCATTTGATGGCCATGCAGGGCTTCCAGGAAATCAGGATGCTGCATATCAGAGATGGCATGGAGGGTGGCTGTGCTCGCCTCCACCGTCTCAGCAGTGATCTGGTGGATCAGCGAGGTGCGCAGTGCTGAAGGACGCGACAACGACATCGACAGAGACACAGGGGCCGTCGTCTGCCCATGCTTGAGAAGGGCCTTGTCCAGCGTCCAGGTGCCGAGATACGGAATCCAGTAGTTAGTTTCATTCCAGCTGTACTTCGGCAACTGCAGCAAGGAATACTCCCTCTCACGGGGCTGGAAGTATTCCGGCCAGCATGGCGTGATACCCGCCAGGTAGAGGGTGACCAGGCTCTTGGACATGGTCGCCATGTTATCCTCGTTGCGTCGACATGAGGAGACCAAGGATGCGGAGCTGTCAATGCCACGCACAAGTCCGGTGCAGATCGGATGCGGTCCAATGTCAATCCAGATTGTCTTCTCGTCAACCAGACCGAAGTCCTGAGCCGCTTCAATCGCCGCGACGAAATCAACTGTCTCTCGGGTCGCACGGCGCAGGTACTGTGCGTTGATGGACTTGCCGTCAAACACGACGCTACCCAGTAGAGGCGACAGCAGGGGGATACTGGGGGCTTTGAAAGCGATCGGAGTCGCCAACGCTTCCAGGGAGTCCAGCACGGGTTCCATTTGCGCCGTGTGGAAAGCAAAGGGCACATCTAGCTGCGTGCACTTGATACTCTTTGCTTCGAGGGTGTTGCGGATGGCGTTGATTGCATCTCTAGCGCCGCCAATCACGGTATCTTGGGGTGTGTTGCAACAGGAAACCTCGTAGGCAATTCCAGCAATATCTGCATTGCCTGTAACGAGGTCGTGAATCTCGTCCACCGACGCCCGAACGGAAAGCATTGCGTGGCTGCCTTCACTGCATCGTTCCTCGATTAGCAGTGCGCGTCGTCCAACGACATACAGAGCGTCTGCAGCAGAGATGACGCCCGCAACGGCGAGTGCGGCATACTCACCCAGACTGTGTCCGACGACGGCGCTGATACGGACGCCGAGCGACGACCAGAAGCGAGCCAAGGCGATTTCCAGCACAACGATGCTAAGCTGCGTCAAGATCGGCGATGCTGTATCGTCATCAATGCTCCCATCAATCACGGGAACAACGGACGGGAATCCCAATCGCTGTCCGAGCTGGTCGAGCTGGAGAACCTGCGTCCGGAAATGAGGAAACTCAGTGAACAACTCTTGGCCCATGCCGCGATAGTAAGCACCCTGGCCGGTGAAGGTGAGCACGACGGATGGCGCCTCGTTGGGAATGGCTCGCAGCTCAGAGGACGTCTTCGGGTTGTCTAGCCATGAGCGTAGACTCTTCTGTAGAGTCGAAATGTCGGAGACTGCGGTTGCGAATCGCATACTATGGTGCATGCGTCGCGCGCAGAGCGTATACGAGAGATCTGCCGGATCAACATCTGGATGCTGATCCAAATACGAGAGCAGATTCTGCACGTTTGCCTCTAGAGACTTCTTGCTCTTCGCAGAGAGAACCACCGGATGCGTGGTACGCTCATCATTAGTCGAAACCTTCACTCTCTCCGGGGCATCTTCCAGCAGCAGAGTCGTGTTGCCGCCGTGCGCTCCAAACGAATTAACAATGGCAAGACGCTTCTTCCCTGCAGGTCGCGGCCACGGAGTATTCTCCATGGCCAGACCAACATTGCGTCGCTCAAGGTCCTTGGGAATAGTCGGGTTAATTTCCGTTTTGATGCCGATGTGCTTGGGAATCAGGTTCTTTTGATACACCAGGAGAGCTTTGAGAAGGGAAGCAATGCCCGCCGCAGCCTCGCCATGTCCGATGTTACTTTTCACAGCGCCCAGATACAGACGTTGATCAGCGCGACGACGAGGCATCGAGGGTGCAAAGACGTCCGATACCGATTCGGATTCCACCGCGTCGCCGGCCTGGGTGCCCGTGCCGTGCAGCTCTACGTAGCTCACGTCCAGGGGGTTAACGCCAGCCTGGTGAAGCAGCACCTGGCGGTAGTTGTCCTTCTGCGCGCCAGCATGAGGATGAGTGATGGAGACAGCATCGGCAGAATGGTTGGTTCGAGCTCCCAGCACTACCGCCAGGATGTTGTCGTTATCAGCCTCTGCATCCTCCAACCGCTTAATAACGACTGAGCCGATTCCATCTGAGCGACAATACCCGTCAGCATCCTTATCCCAGACCTTGCATTGTCCTGTCTTGGATAGGAAGTGACCATTCCCCAAACCAGCGTAGTTATCCGGGTCAGTGATAATATTTAGACCACCTGCGATAACCGTATCAGCCTCACCAGCCCACAGCGCCGAGCAGGCCGCCTGCACCGCCGCAAGGCCGCTCGAGCAAGCTGTGTCGATGTTGAAAGAAGGCCCGGAGAACTTGAAGAAGTAGTTGATTCGGCCGTTAGCAAAGGCGCGCTCGCCGCCAGGCACTGCATAGGTACTGATATTCTGCGACGCATTCAGCTCCCTCCAGTCGTCGCTCGCTTGGCCGTAGAACGTGCCGATGCGGCTGGGCTGGGTGGACGCCGTACGGCCGGGAACGAGGCCGGCCATTTCCATTGCTTCGTATGCAGTAACGAGGGCAAGTCGGTGCATGGGGTCTGTTTGCTCCGCCTGTTCCTGTTAGTACTATCGGTGGGAAGAGGGTGATAGTGATGAATACCTCTCGGGGGGACATATTAAAAAATCCGGCATCAAAGTAGCCCGGTCGATCGATGAAATTTCCAAACGGAGTCTGAGTCGCGTTCTCCGTCTTTCCAGTCGGATCGTAGTGTGTGTTCAGGTCGAATCGGTCCGACGGCACCGTGGTGAGGGTATTACGTCCTTGCTCAAGCAGCTCCCAGAACAGCTCGGGGTCATTGGCGCCTCCAGGCAGCCGACAGGCCATACCGACAATGGCCAGCTTGGAATCGGCGTATGAAGACGGACGACGAGCGCCATAATCTCCGTGAACCCAGGACACCAGATCGCGTCGAACGAGCGACAGTTCGGGGAAGCCAGTCTCAATGGCGGACGTGATCCCCTTCAGGACGATGGAGGTGCGGAAGGAATCAACCTGGTAGTCCTGTCCTGTCGCTTTCTTCAGCTTGACGTGTTCGAGGATACCAGCCGTAACGTTGTCGAGGTAGATAGTGCCGGTCAACAGCTCAGTGCCAATCTCCAGGAAAAGCTCACGGGCTGTCTTTGCCTCGAACGGTTTACCAGTCTGGGATGAGATCAAGGGCAGTCGTACAACCCGAGAAGTAGGTATAACAGACTCAGCACTATTATTAACAACCTCGATATCATCCCGACTGTAGAGATGCGACGCATGACAGAGGCCGTCATACACCGGCAGTGCCAACGACTTGGAGTATCTCAGGATAGGAGAATGCTGGAAGGCCGCTTTAACGCGTGATGGCGGCCCACTGACACTGACGGAGGTTTTGTCTGCAGCGCTGACGAAGACCTTGGTAAGATCCGGACTCTGCGTAGCGACATTGAATTGAGAAAGCTCCTCCTGAACGGCGTCCTGCGTCATCTCCGTGACGACGTGCGCCCAACTCTGCAACGTTCCATCGGACTGGGGCGCTTCCAGCTTGGACGATATATCGGCGACGTAGACTCCCAGTCGGAAGGAAACACGTACGCTTTCTGCTCCGATCTTGGCTACATCTGCCAGACTGCTGGATAGAGCGACGGTGGCACCGGCGAGAAGACCAATACTCAGGCCGGCAAGATTGGTGTGGGAGGGATCGAGGTCCCATTCAGCATCCTCGGCTTCATACTGACTGTGTCTTTGTTAATTGGAATTCAAATAATATACAGGAAAGACAGAATATACCCAATGAACATGCCAAGTTCGAGGATAGTCAGCAATGCGCTCTCCATCGCAGCGCCTAGAGCCCCCTGACGAAAGTCGACCTCAGCCAGCGTGCAGACCGTGTCGAAATGGGGCACCAGTTCCTGCAGCTGCTGAGGTAGTTTAGCCTTCTCCTCCTTGAGAATGGCCGCCGACTCATGGAGGAAGATGGACAGTAGTCTGAACCGTCGGTCCTTGCTGTGTTGGTGCAATCGTCGGAAGAGATCCTTGAGGTCATCGCTGGGGAATTCATTCCCGAAGAAGACCAGTCGTGAGCGCGGTGTGTCCATGATTGTTTTGCGCAGAATAGATTATTGTGTGAATGTTCTATTGCAGGATAATCAATAGAGTTATACAAAATCCTCTAGAGACAATAGACTGGCATCATCCGAGGTTTACTTAAAATCCGAGATGTAAAATCCGACACGCATCCGATCTGTCTGGTCCTCGACTTCGCCTCGTATTCGGATGAAGCCAAAGGCCGAATGGCTAGAAAGATATTTACTGTAAAATCCGACACAATAATGGATAATAAAAAGATAAATCGTGTACATCGTAGACATTATATCTAGAAACCGATACTATTTAAAAAAACACTCACCCTTATCAACCACTCACAGCTGAATTGGCCTCCTAGATCTATCACAGTGAAATCAAACATGTCTCTATCTCCAAAAAGTAGCAATCGTGTCCCATCCCCCGGTCATGGCAAGCCCCTGCCCATCTTCGACGCCCTTTGCCGTTTCCTCCCCGTCGGGACCGAGGACGAGCAGTTCTGGTGGAAACTGACTGGCCGACAACTCGCGGGGATGATGCACGAGGCAGGCTATCCCGAGCATCGCCAGGTGGAATGTCTTCTCTTCCATCGTTTCAAGATCGTCCCAACATTTGGTCCCCAGCCACACTCAGCCGAACCGTGGTACAGGAGCCGCGTGGCCGCGAGCGCAGGAGACGGCGCTCCTATCAGCTACAGCTGGCGCTTTGGCACGACGGACAAAAAGCCCTATATCCGCAACTACATCGAGCCTTTGGGCCCTCTGACGGGGACTGCGGCGGACCCAAACAACGAGATGGCGACCAAAGCGCTGCTGCAGGACTTCAGCACCACTCTGCCGAATGTGGATATGTCTCTGTTCTGGACGTTTGAACCACACCTCTGTTCGCGGTTCGCCGACAAGGCAGAGCGTGAGAAATACGCGGGTCCATCGGTGCTCACAGGTGTGGAAATGTCGCCCGATTCAAACGCCATCGATATCAAGATGTATCTGTATCCCCGGATCCCGGAGCAAATCGGCCAGCTCCTCAGCACCATCCTACCCCAAGCGATGCGTGAGGCCTACGGCGAGGACGTCTGCCTGGACAGTCTGAACGTCGTGAAAGACTTCCTTACCAACCACCCAGATGGACAGCAGCTCACTCCTCGAGGAACCACCGCCATCGACTGCTGCAAGGTCGAAGACTCCCGTTTAAAATTCTACGTCGCAACCCGCAACACCTCCTTCGATCACATCGCGGCCGTGATGACCCTGGGCGGCCTTCGGCCCTTGTCCACTACGGTCCTCGACAAGCTGCGCGAACTATGGTACGAGCTGAACGGGCTGGCGTCGGATTTCCCCACGTCAGAGCCGGTACCTCCATCGGTGCAGGCGGATGAGAGCGCAGTGAGCCATAACGGGGTAGGCTTCTACTACGATATCCAGCCACGACTTGCACTTCCAGACGTCAAGATTTTCATTGATGTGCGCAAGCATACCAAGAGTGATATGGCTGCCGCGGAAACGGTGGTTAGCTTCCTGGAGCGTTATGGCCAAGGACATAATCCTAGGGCGTATCTGAATGTCCTGCGGGATATTGTGCCGGCCGAGGAGCTGGAGACTCGCACGGGGGCTCAGGCGTTCTACTCGGTTGCGGTTAAGAAGGAGGAGTTCGATATCACTGCGTACTTTATCCCTCAAGTTTATCGACGGTTTGCTTCTGTTCAGCTGGAGTTGAATGGACAGCGACGGAGTAGGTTTGAGTAAGTGGTGAGCATGGAGACGAAGTTCATATCTAAGGTAGTATTTATGCACGGACTGCTCTGTTGTTGATATCTCTTATGTAGCTAATGCACCTTTTCAAAATGTTCATTTTCTAAGTCAATTTACATATAATCTTGTAAATATTGGTTTGAGATAAATGTAGTACATAAATTTAGATTCAGAGAGTCAGGCACCAGTGAAGCAGAAATCAACATCCACGATTTACTCAGGATGACATAGGCTTCGGACCCGACTTTTACTTCCCTCCCACAGCTCCAGTCACAATAATATTTCATGGTATAGATATTTAGACATGCTGCTAACTCAGTGCCTAGTGTAGGGCAGATCCATTAACCATCTTACGTGGACCGACTGCATACAACCATGTCATCCATATCAATGCCAAAAACCAACAATTTTTCACTGACAAAGTACCATACAAACACCACTCAGGCAATCTACTATGATAATGCCCCACCAAGTCTTTTTGAAACCTACCCGCAGAATTAATCCTCTACATCGCATGGTACCTTTCATTCTATAGTCTTAAGGCGCTCGCCAGGCCTCAAAACAAGCATTTACGATCTTGACAGCGGTATTATATACGAAATTAAAGCGGGGTCTTTGTCCTGGATTTCATCGATTGCCAAAAACTGATAATCTCTCTCTTTTTGAGAAAGTTCTTGAACATGCGCCGGCAAGATGTGCTACTGGGGATATGGATATGTGGCTCTTCGAGACGCTGCCAAGGGCGGCCATGTTGAAATGGTGTACGTGCTTCTTTAGAATTGTTGGAAGCATGGAGTCTGGGATTCGGGGGTATGGAGGCACCGGCGAACTAGGCTAAATACTTACATACAGATGCTAAGACAGCGCAGACCAGCACCCAGAGCAAAGGGATAACCCGATGCTCTAATAAATAGGGCCAGTGCGAGAAGACAATTAATAGCAAAGATACACGCTTAACCCTGTTGACCTGTGCTACTGTTGCTGGGAAGCTCCATGTAGCGGAGATTCCGCTTGACGCTGGTCCTGACATGTCCGGAATACAGCCAGAATACGAAGTTGCGGCTGGAATTCCGGCCCTCCTGCGATGGACAGTGAAACGCGGAGCGGATGAGATGGTGGTGAAATATTCAATGCAGCATTGAGACAAGCAAATGTGGAAGCTCTCACTATACTCTTGGATCTAGGATTTGACGTTGAGCACCGAGACGACTTAAATGAAAGACCACTAGAGCAGGGTAGGTACTGTTCGCTTGTTTCTATATCAGGTGAACAGGGTCATAAACCTTGATATCCAAGGGGAGCGTATGAGTCTGCTGGTCATTGGGAAGGCCTTAGGATAATTTTACGTCGGCAAACTTGCTTTGCCCCCCCCCCCCCTTTTTTTTGTCGCGCGGGTGGAGACTAGAGTTTCGCAGCCAAAAGGTATATATAACGTTGCTTGGATTGATGGCACTGGATTTGGTTGTTCAGACAGCGTTATCCTATGCAATCCAAATAGCAGTTGGGAGATGATCGGTCTCCTACGGGAACAGACAAAGCATGTTGATAGGGCCGATGATGAGGGCACCGGTCCAAGCTAGGTATGACAATTCTTCCAATATATTGACAGATTAATACCCTCCACTTACAACTGAGATATACGAAATCTTCGAGACCTCATACTCAATACAGATATAGTAGATCCAGCCATCTGCCAAGGAATAGCTTTAACAACAGCATCTGGAGAGATACGTATATCCTCCATCCAGAGGGAACCTCTGCGGCTATTTCCTCCGTGGATAATACGCCCTACCTATTTAGCGAGGGTCTGACGAGTCATGACGTCCGATCTGAAATACAAGTCCATAGATCTTCTATCTTGGCATTGTCGGACGAGTGTGCTGCGCCACGATTCCGGCGCTAAAGATACAAGCTTGTGCAGGCACAACGGCCTTCTTTCCTGATTAGAGTATAGCTCGTATTATTGTGCTTTGTGCTAGCATTAAGACGGAGAAACCTTGATATTACCATAAATTAGCTCCCAGCGTACATTTCGCGGTATCTCCAATTCTGGCATCAGAAGTGACCCCGAATCTCGCCAAGATAGTTGCAAAGACAAGTTGCATAATGTGAGAGTGAAAGATGACAGACATTATAAGAGACATCCTATGCGTGTAAGGGTTTCGGGAACATGGCCGGTCATATAGCACCAGACTAGGCTAGAGGCCACCCACGGAATTCCCAATCTGGATACTCGGATAAATTTCGGGAGATTAGAATCTGCAGGCGGTTTCAGTTTAATTCAAGATTGCCTATTTTGGCAGGCAACGGAGAAATGTATTAAAAGATGCCAAGATGAATAAGGCATATAGAAATCCCACCAAAGATGAGCAAGAGCAAGTCGGTGTGTACCCTCGGCGACAAAATGTACGCATATAAATTGGCGTTGTCCTCACTTAAGTATAGGCACAAGCCAATTTTCTTTCTAACTTGTCTTTTTTTACTTCACTCTGCGAGTAGTTCTTACCTGTAGTTCTGGTAATCCACTACTACCTCCATCTCATTCGAATCTCAGACCAACATTAACAATGGTCCAAAAAGCTATCCTTCTCTCCCTTCTGGCGTCGACGGCCCTCGGCGCCTTCCACAAACGGTACACGTTCCCTCTTCCTGAGTCCAAGGGAAGCGAGACGTTTGACAAGCCGTACGAGGTCGTGGAGGGCAAGACCTACGACGGAGGGATGAAGACATTCGGCCGTGGCGTCCAGTGTACCGGCCAGGTTGAGGGCGGTGATAGTGATGCTGTTTTCATTATCAAGGAGGGAGGCACTCTGAAGAACGCCATTATCGGAGCGGACCAGATCGAGGGTGTGCACTGCGAGGGCGCATGCACGGTTGAGAACGTCTGGTGGGAGGCTGTCTGCGAGGGTATAATCCAGACCCTCTATATTCTGTCCCCGCTCAATGCTAACATATATAAGACGCCCTCTCCTTGAAAGAGGGAAATGGTCCGTTCAGGATCATCGGTGGTGGTGCCCAAGGTGCCAAAGACAAGGTCATTCAGGTAGGTATCTAGACCTTCTTCCCTCACCACCGCACTAACAAGGGTAAAGCACAATGCAAAAGGTGAAGTCACCATCGACAGCTTCACCGTCTACGACTTCGGCAAGCTGTTCCGCTCGTGCGGAAACTGCAAATCACAGAGCCAGCGCTCCGTCACCATCTCGAATGTGAAAGCCATTTCCGGCAAGCTTCTTGCAGGCATCAACGAGAACTACGGCGACAAGGCCACTATTACCGATACTTGTGCGACGGGTGTCAAGGAGATTTGTGCCACTTATAAAGGGAACTCGGATGGCTCGGAGCCCGATAAGTCTGGTTCTGGACCCAGTGATGTTTGTGTTTATACGGAGCCGTTGGCTGAGTGTTAGTCGTTCCTTTTTAGCCGTCTTGGTATGGCTAGAGGATATGTTTTCATCTAAGATAGTGTAGCCTATACATATCTACAAAGACGATACGGAGCCGAAACCAAAGAGCTGCCTGAGTAATATGCAAACTGTATTTCCCCTGAGGACCTGCCCCTATTCATAGGTAGTGTGTGCGTTCAGCAGATAGTATTCAAGGCAATATAGATACTACCAAATACGGTCCTTAGTAGGCTACGTGCGTGTAGTTGGTATAGCTTCTTCTGTAATTGTATCGAGATCGCTTCAAAAACAAACAACGGACAGGGCAAACCGACATTGCAAACCGGCAATACAAACTGATCGTCACTGTAATAACGAGAACAGCCGTAAATAATGGTAAAATTTTAAGCTGAATCGTTGTTTTATCCATCTAAATTATGGAACTCTTGACATAATTGTGCAAATCAGGTTCAGATTCCAGGTTCCAGGTTCCAACTCTTGGAGCCTGAGTCGGAACATTCGAGACCTAGCTAATAGAATTCAGGTGGTCGGCCAACTTCGTATCCGCTTATATTAAGAGGGTTTGGAGAGATGGAACAAGGCCAATTAACGCTTGATGAAAGGAAATTTGCGAAGGATATTTATTTTTGCTGTCAGTCAGACTCTCACACAAGATCTAAGGTGCGTACTAATAATGTCTAGCATATAAGGCTCCATATTCACCTATTCTGTTGGGAGCCAACCCACCCTCGTTACTCCTTCCATTGTGGTGGTCCCAAGTGACCTTAATTGTAGTGGCGGTGCCGTCATATCTTTCTACCAAGTTATGCGTGAGTTGATCCTCCGAGCCATTCAATAATGCCGGTGTTGGGGTACGGATGGGAGTACACGTCTCGCCTGATTGGGGAGGTTTTCAAATATAGCGATAGAAGGAATCCGCTGTTTGCTGAAGCATCGCATATTCCGCAGGAGAGGCCAAAGAGTGATGAAACTGCCGGCTGTCATCCCAATCCGTACTTCCACATGAGACCAGACGGAATTAAGGATCGTTTCGTCTGCAACAATATACATCAGTTCACCAAACGTGGCACCGCTGGATGTGAAAGGGCTCACGATATAAAACCGAGCCTGTATTGGTATATGGATGGAGGTAAGGAATCCGGACGACCACAGCCACGCCTGCACTGGAGCATCATTCCGTTAGTTCCCCCAAGGGCCTGAAAAACAACCTTTACTTGGAATGAACCACGTACATGCATCCTAATATTCCCAGGATGATAATCAACGGAAGCTTCACCTGCCGGTCCAACAGCAGATTCCGGAAAAAGATCGCTAGTAGGAGACCAATCATGAAGGCACAGAATACTACCAGCGCACTGTATAGATAGGCGAAGAGGAGCAGACGGAGGATGCAAGACATGTGCCCGACATTGTCAAGCGGTTCCAATAATAAGAGACCGGTGTGCACTAGAAAAAAAGGACGAAGAACATCATTCCGTGCGCAACCACGCTCAAGGCAGAAATGGCGTACAGAATGACCCGATGAGCGCAGACGATCGTGACGCGAGACATCGAAGTAGTAATGAAGAACTTTGCAGTGAGAGACGCTACGAGGTAAAAGTCCTGTGCTAACCACGAGAGCTGAAGGTGTCAGTAGACTGTCCCAGGTGAGGTGGTGTTCAGTGGAACAGATGCTATACCAGCAAGGCTGGTCGGATGGTGTTCGGCTTGTCCGCAAAGAATGTCATTTGTTCCTGAACCACGATAGCTACCCCGGTGATCGCACTGATGGCAAACGCTAGATGAAAGACATTCATGAATCAAATTAGCCTCGAGAACTCGTCCATGAGAGCTGTCCATATGACAGCTGGGGGGTTAGACTATAGCGACCACCATCAATCCATCATCCCAACCAAATACGTGGATAAGATGGAGGCGAACATAGGTTCATAATGGAACAGCAGTTAGCGCCATCGTGAGGAAGATAGATGCAATCATGATAACGGCCTCACTTCCTCCATTAGCCATGATGAGAGCGGATAGGCAAGGTGACAGGCAGTTTAAACTCTTCCGGTTTGGACACAACAGAGATTTAGGACTTGATACTATGCAAGGGTAGTCAACAATAACATGGAAATGTTATAATATGATCCCTCTAATGACTCCGTGATCAGTTAAAGATAACATGGACAGGAACTCACGTATGCATAAGGACCAGAAACTCAAGGAGACATGGCGGATGGATTGGATCAAAGGAACAAGGGTAGCCTGGACCTTAAGCAGGTTCAACCTGCATCCCAAATATTGAAGAAATAATACCTTATAAATTCAATACATAGTTAGTCCCTGTGCATTGTACTGTATTATGGGAAACATAATACGCAAAGTAAAGCCCATACTAAATACAAGCAATCCCAATAACCTTTCATCATGCTAAACGCGGATACCGCGATCTATTATCGGCACCTACAACACTAACAACTGTAGATGAATCAAGAACTACTGTGCACTCTGTCATAACCTAATTAAGATAGAATTTTGAAACATTTACTATAGTCCTACCTTTTATATCCTGGCTTTGGTTAATAGGCATACATATTAAGAGATATATCAGCGCTCTAATTTAGCTGTTACTTACATTCTAAAAAGAATTGCTAGACCCATAAATATTTTCAGCTCCTATCGGTCCACTGGATATTGATATAAGTGATAGGAGCCAGGGTTGGAACATAGCATATTGAAGCAATTAGCCATAAAAGGCACTCCGACGATCCCTTGATATTTTTCAGACTGTAGCGGCGACTCTTAGTACCCTTCTTATCCCGCATTGTATTGAACAGGCAAGACCCACTAATAGACACATACTAGAAGTCAAAATTCATTCCCTGATATAGCAAGTTGTACACTTGAAATACAATATCTAGGTATAATACAGTCACACTTTTAGATTACTTTGCATAACATTCACTTCAAGGGATACTATCCAAATTATTATCCTTAAACCCATAATTACCCATGTATACTAAATAGTATAATCCTCAATCTGGGCCGGCCCTGCGCCCTTAAGAATCCATCTCTTAATTAGCTCTCTCATCTTTCACATCTTCCTCCGCATCCGGCAAGCTCTGCTCCTTAGTCAACTTCGGATCCCTGATACACAATGAGAACGCAATCAACGGCACAGTCAGACAAATGCCCGCAATACAAAGCAACCGCTGAGTATGCCGATAGGCTAAAATCACCGCATCACGATCCCGCGTGCCCACAGGGTTTGCAGCAACCCACTCGAAGGGTGAAGCAAAGATAGTGGCAGCCAGGGAGGCATCGCCAAGACGACTCGTGAGTTGTTTCTCGAGTGTCTGACGCCAGATAGCGCCGGAGATAGCATCGCCAACCGCGCTACCGATTCTGTATGTAGCGAGGTAGAGACCCGTTATGACGGCCAAGTCTAATTAATTAATTTGTTAGGTGGGATGACTTCAATGAGTGGATTAGGTGGAGGATACTTACGTTCGTGCTTGCTTGCAGCTTGGATACTGGCTTGAGCGGGGTAGGGGAACAGTCCACCGGCTTAGGTCAAGGTTATTTTTTTTTCTCGTTTACGTTATGGATTGTAGAGAGGGATAGTCCATACCTATACCAAGGAGAATTTGGGCTCCAATTATACCTGAGTGACTGGAACTGTTGGCTCCGCCGCGGAAATGAATGAGAAGACCAAATGCGACCATGAAAAGACAGGTTCCTGCAACGATGAATAGCTTCAGTCGTTTGACAAACATCACAACAACACCGCAGATAATTCCGGTGATAACTGATGTAAAACTAGAAAGGTCAGCTTTTAGGACGATGATAATGGAAAACTACTGCAACATACCTGTAGATATTGTAAATGCGGCTCGCACTTGGGGTGCTTTCATTGAAGCTGACTATCAGGACAGTGATAAGGTATTGTCCTTGGATACCCCATGCTGAGAACACGTTAATGGTGGGTAGATCAGGAAGCGTGGATGACGACATACCTAGGTTGAGCATAAATGCGATTCCAAGGGCTCCCCAGACGGCACGGTCTTTCAGTAACTATGCGGAGTGAGTACTCTATACATTCAGCAAGGGAAAAAAGTTGCTTACCTTAAAGGGAACCATTGGATATTTGCAGGTCCGTTCCCAATACACCCACGCAGGAACACAAAAAATGCCGACAATCAGAGGGGCGAGCACCTTGGCCGTTTTCCACTGCTCGGAAGAACCGCTGGCAAGGGTAAAAGGGACGAGGATGAGAGCCCAGCAGGCAATCAGCAGGATAATGCCAACTACATCAAGGTACCAAAACAGCTCCGCCCAAAACTTGCGCCAGCCCATGATCTGAAATGGGGTGCGGTATGTCTCTGGGTTGTTCCTTTTGGCTTTCCAGTGGCCATATAAGAGCGTGGCGAAAAGAGGGATCGTGCAGACTAAAAATAATGCTGGTCAGAGAAACCCATCATTTTCAAGTTCAAGATGTTTTCTAACTACCTGGGAAGATAATGGCAAACATGCCGATTCCCCATTTCCAATTTGTGACAGCCATTACAGAATCTGATATATCACCACTGACCCATGTGTTTATCTGAATATGTGAGAATGTGCTTCATGAGTATGCGCAAAATTGCTTACGATGAACGGCATCGCCGGAATATAAGAGAACAACAGTCGGGAGCGAAGGGAAGTGAGATCGCCAATGAGGACCTCGACGAGCAGAACGATACCGGTGTAGCCGATCTAGAGAAACAGTTACTTTACCAGCGCACATTCTAGAGTATGATAACCACCTACCTGGTAGAGTACTGCGCCGCCGCAGAACGTGGACATATTATTGGCGCCGGCTTGAACAGCAGTTCCTATTCTATATATCAGCAACGTTCTTGTATAGAGATTCGGCACCTCTACCAATTGTGTACAAGAAAACGGAGAACAAGATCAACTCCACGCGACCAAACACATCTGCGATTTTGGCAGCAGTTGGCTAATATGCGTTAGACGTTAGACGCTGTGTAGAAAGTGGACTTGGGTCATCGTACCTGTGCTGCCGCGCCAATTACAGATGTCAGTACACCCAGCGTTGAGAGCAGACTGTGAGAGCCGAAGCTCGATGTTGCAAAGGGCTGAGTCCTGTCAATATTCACACTGCCTTAGAGAGGTAAAAAGACAGTATTACCTGGTAGACGTTTCGAACCATGCCATCAAGTCCATAGACATAGGACACCAGGAAGATGCCGCAGAACAAAGCGATCCGACTGCTGAAGCCCAATTGCACTGAGATGGCCTCAATGCGCTTAACCCCAGGACTTTCCGTAATAGAGGCCTGATCGGAATCCGAGGCCACCACATCATGAGGCTGCTTTTCCGCCGCAGAGGGGCTGTCGGACAACATTTCGACGTACTGTGAAAGGCCGACAGAAAAGAAGATGTACGAGGGAAGGGAGAGGAAGGAGAGATGGGACGATTAAATTAAGAGAGGGAGAAGGTGAGAGCAAAAAAACATCGCGACTCGGAGTCTTGGCAGGAATGTGTGCCGTGGAATCATCTTATCTGATTAAAATCAACCCACGGTGGATCACATTGCCAGCCAGCAAATGAAGACACAGCGGTGGAGGCTGAGGCCCGACGCTCTCGTAATTTTTATCACGAGTGGCAGAATAGGCCGTGGCTAGAGGCGCCTAGTGGGTGCCTAGCGGGTGCCTAGTGAGTATTTAGGAAGATACTGGGGTTGGCGGGAAAATTTTTCGCCTTGGCAACCATACTCTGGGCGCGGAAATGGTTCCTACCGGAGGCCTGAGCTCTCGAGGTCGATAACTACGTTGATTTGTCTCTATACAGAGTAGTCACTTTTGTGTTTCTTATCGACCAAGCTGCTTAATATTCTATTCATTATTTGGTGGAGTCAATATATAGATGGATTTCGCAGTACAACTTCAAACAGAGCAACTGACAATATTTGATGGCGCAGAGCTTGGGAGTGGGATGGTCACGTGGTCTGCAGCTGTGTGGAATAACTGCTTATTTTGTCTTAGATTGGCAATAACAGCTCGGCATAGTCCGGGACGGGAACGGAAATTGTCGGTGGCTTGGTGAGAGTCGGGACTGGAATGCATGGTAACCAGTGGCGTGGTGAGGCCTGCTTTTTCCGTCCGTAATCAGATAATCAGATTACATTTAACTTTTCGAACCACGGTATAACGTAATCGGTAAGCGAGCGCCGCATGAAAGCGAGCGCCGCACTTCTGTACGCCATATAAAATGGCACTCTTTGAAACCTTAATATCTCAACCACCAGTAGATATAGAACATCTTTATAAGACAATAACATATATATGGATTCTAAAAGGTATTTTCATGTTTTTAAATAGCTTTCTTGGCTTTAAATACTAGGACAACTAAAAATATAAAAAATACAGTTGTAATTTATCTTATCTGGAGAAATATTCATTCCTAAAATTTCTCTGCTTAATATATATATATACGTTATTATATTATACTGTATATTAAATTTTATGCCCTCTAGGTGCTTTATTGTTGAGATATTAGACTCTCAAAAAGTGTCATTTTATATGGAATAGAGAGGTGCAGCGCTCGCTTTCATGCGGCGCTCGCTTACCGATTACGTTACCTTGTTTATCTACTCCGTACTACGGAGTACACTGTTAAAACCTTGATATACTAGTTGAAAACTTTATTTCTCCCGCAGGTCGCCAACCTAATGAGTTTGGACCTCGCCGTCCGTAGAGTGGCGTGAGAAGACCATGCCTAGGATGGCCTTTCTGCTCTCCACAACTGGAACCCTCGCTGTAGGGTCATTTAGAGAGGAGTGAATAGTGCTTTTCCCCCCCAAATCCCCACACTAATGTGTATAGAAAGTGGTTGAAAAGACAAATCTTAGACCCATTATCAATAATCATTAGTAGTTAGACTTATTAAGATTTTACGATGCTACTCGCAACGACTGTCTTGCGTAATTCCCCCGCAGAGCTCCCCGTTTTTCTCACTAATTCTCTATACTAATAGCAATCATTTTATTTTTACAAAGGCCTTCTATAAGTCAATCTATCCCTACTCTACTGAATATACTATTCTTCCTGTGTGGTATACTACTAGAGAAGAACTACAGAGCCAATCCTATTATAGACACTCAAAGCGACATATTTATTATAGACACTCAAAGCGACATATTTATTATACATCTCCACAGTCCCTGGCCATCCCAACAGAAAATACTAAGCACCACTCGATTCGTACTACTCTGTCTGCTACTAAAGTTAGGTTAGATACTATAGATAAAGATAGTCTAGCTAGTTAGTGTTTCCTACTAAGGTTTTCATAACAACCTCCTCAATATTCACATGCAGACTTGTATCCACGAATCAATTCTAATGCTAAGTTTACCAGGATATCTCCACCTACTCTACATGGAGAGAATGCGGAATACGTTCAACAGTCCTATAGCGCCCAGACATTGTTGCATCAGAGGTCTCCTTTGCACACTCAACTCACATAAAATCGCCCTCTCATCTCACCCACCTTGAGCACTGGAATAGGGATCCAAGCTCTCCGAGGGCTGTTTTTCTGACTCCGGCAGTGGATATCCCCTCTAGATCCGTATCTAAGACGCCTCTGTTGTGTCGTACTGGCGTGGTCTGACTTGCATTCGTGTGGGGAGCTGGCGGCCGCGAATATAAAAGGCCTAGTGGTTTGAGACACCCTTGGCTTTGCACCGGCAGCATCGATCACACTACTTGTGCTTCATCCTTCATCTTTGCAAGCTTGGAACCTGAACCGCTGATGCACCCACCAACACATTCCTAAAGGATGCGTAAGGAGCCGAGCTCTTGAAAATAACTTTCAAAATTTATTAGCTATGGCTAAAAAGCTATCTATATATATAGAAACAAATAAAATTAAAATTAAATACCCCTAGCAGGTTAAACAAGCAACTAAATACCTTCGTAAGTAGTAGTGGTGAAAACGTAGTTTACAAAGTACCTCGAGCACTATACTAGATTTAATTATAATATCCCTGCCACTGTCCTCTAGAACATGGCTTGTAATTTGGACATACCCAAGGACAGCATGTTCCACGGAGCATAAAACTGAAGCCCTTCCACAACTCACTAATTTCTCAATGAATAGCACCTACAGTTACTTCCAAGGGCCATGAAATTGTCGCTCGTACTAGCACCTCAGCCAAAATTGAAAGGCTCTCTTCCCCTCTGCACCTATTGAGATAGGAAACTACAGAATTCAACAGCAGCTTCAGAATCTGGTAATAATTATTTAATGCACCTGTGTGACTATTACAACCTGATAATGCCCCACTTGACGGGCGAATCTTTTGGCAAATATGCCAACTCATGCGGCTGTAGTAAAGCCATTCACAGAACGACATGTTACTCAGCTAAGTCATTGGTTGATAAGAAGACACCAGTACAAATCCAAATCTCGGCCATGTAAGCCCAACCACCAAAGGCGTGACGTTTTCTCATGCGCAAGTCTTGCTGCTCGAACCCCAAAGGATGCTATAGGCGCCTGCACCGAGTCCAACACAATGTAAGCATGGCCAATCGTCTTCCATCGTGGTCCCCTTATGGGCGGCCAAATCCGGTTGCCTTATGCGCAGTATAAGATGGGCGAGGTACATTCATAGAAACCAAAGTCTTAGAGAGAGCACAACTTCCAGTAAAGGGCGCCAGTGAAGTACGGACCGGCTTGGCCGCTAACTTACTAGCAACATGGAAGACATTGCAGTCTACAGAGTTCGTTCGCTTATCGAGACAGTCATGCAAGTCACATAACGATGTCGTCTGAGTTAAGTGACAGGCGGTTGTGGAGGTGGAAGAACTGGTATTATCTTTCTTGAAACTGCTCTATTATGTTCTAGGTCAAAACTGGAAACACTTGAAATGTGGCTGTTTTTGAGTTAACTAATAAAAGAAATGCCATATTGATCTTACCATAGACTTATTGAATATCTTTAATGTTACCGACCGGTCCTACCAATGTCATGATTAAGTCACAAACCCCAAGTGATCCCTGGGGAGTCCTGGTTTGCCTTGTGGTATTAGGCATCAAGTACTGATGACCAATCCTCAGTTCTAATGTATGCTTCCATCAATGTGACTGGAACCGGAGAGTCCAGTTATTGAGAGTCAGTAAAGGACATAAGAAGATGTGCGAGATGCTGCTGACCTGTTCCGGGGTCAAGACTTCCGGATCTCCGCCGGTATACCCAAATTCTCCAATGAAGTTGTAAGTATCCCCCAGATCGTGTTTCAATTCTTGTGGCACGCCTTTGAAGAACTCGTCTTTGGAGACCTGTTTGTACCCTGCTTTAACGTCCAGAACATCTCCCCAAATGGCCATCCATTCTGGCCAGGTCATCTTGTGACACACCTAGAAGAGCCTTTGTGGGCGGCAGATCTATTAATGCCTTGACGAATAACCCTGTATCCCAGTGCGCGACGACGAAATGGAACTTCATGTTGGGATTCACCGGTCCAATGGCCAGAAAGCTTCCATCGTGTTGTTTCTGTGGAGCCATGGATGGAAAGGCCTTCCACATGGAGGCGTAGCACTGCTGGACAGTGCTCATCCGCGCCGCTAGGTCGGGGAATCTAGTTTGTATGGCCCGGACTGTACCCACTTTGGAGTTATAATGATACACGATAGTGTATTTACCCCTGCTCCACTTGCGAGGATCTTGCAATGAGGAGTAGACAAAGCGCTCTAAGGTTTTCATCGCTGCCGGAGAGGCTGCCACCTCTGCAATGTTAATACCCTGTGCGACTTCACGATTGTATGCATATTCATTGAGTTCATCGGGCGTGCGGGATGGGTCTACAGATGCCAAGGCCTCCTGCAAATGGGCGAATTAATCTGTATTGGGAAAAATCACGGTGGTACCCTCAAAGGCTGGAAGCAGCGATTGGGGATCGTCGATATCAGCTTTTATCATCTCGACCCCTACTGCTACCAAGTCTTGGGCTGCCGTGCTGAGGGGGTTTCGAGTTATGCCTCGAACCCGCCATTCCGGAAAGCGTAGAAATGTACTGGCAACAGACGATCCCTACTTTTATTAGATATCGAATTGGCTAGACTGGTGACATTTACCTGAATACCAGTAGCTCTGACTATGACAATTGTCTTCGACATTGCGTTTCGATTTTGATGCGTTGGAAATTAAAGAGTAGAATGTTGAACTATCCAGAGGACAGGTATACCTTTATATATAATTAGGATGAGTATCTGGGACAGTTGCGTGATTTTCCGCATGACCCAAGTTCGTTGTACATTTGGCTGGATCCTTTCCATCGCAATAAGCACTAGCTAGAGCTAGATGATCAAACTATCATCACTATTAGAAAGTAGGATTATGGAGCGGCGATTACAGCAGGTTTCTAGGGACTTCTACCAGCAGCGGGCTAAAGTCCCTGATATTTAGCTGTCCAAATTAGCCTGACAACCCACCTATCTTTGCACATAGGCAGTAATTTATCGTAACCGGCGACCGAGCCGGACACTTCTCCTGATCGGTGTGGTGGCGCCCCGATGTGTTATCGAACTGTAGAGGACCCGGAATTCACTAGCCGAGCGGCTATCTTCAGCTTTACCGGTTAATGGAGCCATCGTAGTTAGTTAGATCTTATATGCTTCATATAATTCTTGCAAGGCGTATGAAGTCCCCGGGAGGGACATCCCCGGGTCTACGGAAAAGGCGCCACTTAAATTAAGGGACTACCAGGATTTTCGCGGACAAATTATCCGAAGGCACCAGGTCCAATCCAAATATACTGCAGTACGGCCATGCGAAAATAACATTGCACGGGGCGCGGGCTCAGAAGACTGTACGGCTCTCAAGCCACGAGTCCAGAAAGATGACGCCAACTGACTGGATGTTCAAATACAGGTCGACGATGGTTTGGAGATGGATGCGGGCTTTGACAGTTGGTGGGGGAAATGAGGTTGTAGAGATCTGGCAAGCCACTGATCTAATTGTGTGCCCGTAAGCATTCATCCTCTTCTTGCTGAGACCATCCTCTACGTCAGATTCTGGCGATTCCACACCTCTCAAAACCTCCTGCTGTGGTTCTTGTTTCTTTTAACAACCCAGAGGCTATCTCGGCCATCAATAAGGCTATTATAGCCCGTTCCAACGACACTACCCAAGTGTGACGCAACGCAAAGCGCCGCAATGGCAGCAGATCTTCCCAAGACTATGCAGGCGTGGAAATTCACCAGCGTTTCCCCTACGCTCGAAGAGAATCTGAGTCTTGACCATATCTCCCCTCTCCCAGATAACTCCGCGTCGCTCCGAGCCGACCAAGTGCTGGTAAATGTCCTCGCCGCGTCGCTTAACCCCATCGATTATAAGTCCCCCGAGATCCCCTTCGTTGGTCGCCTCGTATCAGGCAGCCCCTCCATCCCTGGCATCGACTTTGCCGGCCGCGTGGCGGCGACCGGCCCCAACCGCAAGAATGTTGCATCGGAGGATCTGAAGGTCGGGCAGCTGGTGTATGGGCGGCTCAAGGGGCCTACCAAGTTCGGCACATTGGCCGAGTACACGATCGCGCCGCGCGCGGCCTGCGTGCCCATCCCTCCCGGCGTGAGTGTGATCGATGCCGCGAGCGCAGCGACCGCGGGCTTAACGGCCTACCAGTCAATAATGCCGAAGATCAAGGGTGGCACCGGTGAGCGCGTGTTCATCAACGGGGGCAGCGGCGGGTGCGGCACGTTCGGCATCCAGATTGCCAAGGTCGCAGGGTGTCATGTTACGACGAGCTGTTCGACTGCCAACGTGGAGCTGTGTAAAAGCCTTGGCGCGGACATCGTGATCGATTACAGCCGCAAGGATGTCGTCGCAGAGCTGAAGAAGATGCAGCCATTCGATCTCGTGGTAGATAACGTCGGTGCCTCGGGGGGATCTCTACTTCTCTGCGTCCTCCTTCACCAAACCCAGTGCACTGTATATGCAGATTGGGTCGCCTGCCATCACTCCCGGCTTCATCTTGCGAAATCTGTACAAAAAGTACTGGCCAAGCCGGTTGGGGGGCGGGAAGAGACGGTGGGAGTTCATGCATCTTGAGAACAAGCCGGAGGACTTTTCGCAGATTGCGCGATGGATGCAGGAGAAAAAGGTGCGCGCTGTGGTGGCCGATGTTTACGGAATGGAGGATAAGGGACCGGTAGAGGCATTTACCAAACTGCGGATCGGAAGGACGAGGGGCAAGATTGTTGTTAAAATCGTGGATTCGTGCGAGGAGTAGACATCGCTACTGGTGCTCAGCCTTCTTGGAGTCGTTGGTCTGACGACTCGCCATTTGCAATACCTCGACAGAATGACTTCAGGAGTACCTGTAATCAGTTCACATTGTTCCTGGCTTTCAGATGCATACAACAAATCGGAGTCACGCTATATATATACATATATAGATTTAGGTAGTATGGCTCGAGCGTAATACAATCAAAGGTGCAGAAAATAGGGCTTTCCGCCCACCCGGCTCGGCTGGTTAAAAAATCATGTAAGGCAGAAGAAGTAATACAGAGACCGAATCAGGAAACTATAAGTCAGAGAACTTGGCGCAGAGAATATCCCAGCGGGCGTTGCTTAAAACGTGTCGACCATAAAAACTACGCGTATCTGCAAGTATCCATCCTTCATAGAATTAGGTCTCTGATTCACTTAAACTACCAAACATCTCGTTTTATAAGGGCGAGGTGAACAAACGAAGAATGTAAACTAATCAATACAGAAAATATAAGCGATCCGATGATGTTGTATCATCAACAACATTTGACCGAGAAAGGTGCTGAATTGTCAATATTATCATAATCGTCAACACTGGGCAATTGCACTTCGGCATCTCGCTCATCAGCCAGCAAGCTGAGTGGCCAGTTTTCAACGTGAGCGAGTCCCCTCTTAGCTCACGAGCGTCTAACAAGAAAGATGATGACCAGCTCGCTAAGCGTATTGACTAGTACCCGAAATTTATAAATATATGAAAGTCTGAGGTCTAAGCTAAGCGAATATTTAAGTACAAGGGGAATAGATGTCAATTCTGGAGTGACGCAAAATGGCGACATAAAGGCGAATAAAGACAAATTCAATGTTGAATCGGGGGTAGCGGTATCTACAGGTTGACAAACAATACAAGTTTAGGACTAAAGTCTAGAAGCATATTATATATCATGGTTTATCTAGAGCAACTTCTATGAGTGTTAACGCCATAAAGTCATAGACCCTGAATGCTGAGAATCTGTCATTTTGAAGCCAGGAAGCGTCTCATAACAATGCTGATATATAACCTTCAGCGGAGGGGCATATATGACCTTGAGATATAAGAATTGCTCAAGATCTCTTGGAAAGTTTCCTCTTGCAGTTAATCGACCAAACTTCTATATCAAGCCCTTCAATTCCACTGACATAACATAATATACTTTGGTGCTCCTTTCATACTCCATACCTCTTCTTCAGAGCATCGTCTTCTAATATTGCACCTACCGGTGTCTATGGTGGTACGGTCTGGGAGGATGAAGCGTGGCAAGATAGTCGTGTGCCCCTGATTGAGACCTGGTATGTCCAAGGAGTTGGGATTCCAGGATTTCAGAATTACCAAAATAAGAATCAGAACCAAAAGAGCACAGTAAATGACATCCATTAGTATAAAAGTTTCAACCTCAATTAACATGACTAAATTAATGATATGCTTATAACAGGAGCACATCAGAGTTATGGGCGTCCTGATTTACTTCAGTTTAACGCAATTGAGCCTAGAGATTTCTTTGCCGAAGAACTGGGAGGTGATCGGGTCCACAGTAAGTTGGAAATAAAGCTCTTGTTAGCTTTGTTGGAGCACCAGGTGGGGATATTGATCGTCTTTGTAGTGCTTTTAATCCATAAATGTGGTAATAGAATATCCAAGAAGTTCTCTCTAACAAAGAAGTGAGTTCCTTATATTCTTTTTCCAAGGTGACTTACAGTAATAATCAACATAATCATTTGGGCCTTGATGGACTGATAAATTAACACAGATTTCATGCAGTCTCCTATCAGATCCACTCCCCTCTGACATATTAACAATTCAGTCCTTGCCTCTAGTTAATGCACGGACTGCACCATCAACATTTCCTTTCTAGCCATTTCCACTCACAAACCACAATATGATGCGGTTTCTGAAATTCAAACTGACTGTCTTGTTGCAATTCTCATCTATATGGTTATTTCTGCTCCTGTTCCCGACTGGTCTGAGCTCTACATTCCTACTGGTGTATCCCATATAAATTTGAAGTTTTCGATATTCGATAGCTCAACCACAAAGCATCAAGAGAGCTTAAAAATAAATAGTATAGTAATAATATACTCTACTTGCTTATATCATATAGATGGCATCTAAAATTTAGGAATCGTTTTTGGTAAGATAAATTACATTTGTATTTTATGTACTCTCCACTTTCCGGTATTTAACGATAGAAAAAAATAATTACAATTATTATACACTATGTTTTTATATTATTACCACTTAATATATATAGAAACATTTTGGTTGTAAAAATTTTAAAGTAACAAAAAGTGCAATTTATATGGGATACAGCGGGTGGCCGCTCGGTCTGAATGGTCGCTCGCTTGCCAGTAAAGTTAGTTGAATGAATGTGTCACCATGATGTAAGTCCCGAAGCTTGGCAGGAGGATTCCTCAGTACGTCTTTATTATCTGACCACATGCTTTGGTTGGAAGCAACTTTACCAGTCGTTGCACTTACAGGCTTTCTTTATGCTTCAGCAAGATCAAGTGATTGGTCCTTTTGCTACTTTACGATGGCTGATTTAGGCCAGTTCACATCCGCTCAGGTTTTGGGTACCACTTTCGAATTAATCAACAGGTACTGAACCACGAGCAGGCCGACCCGTGTTGTTGGTATACTGACATTTGGATTGGGCTAGATATATAGATCCGCATCCTGTGGGGGTTGGCTCTTTTGGCATCGTCTGGTAGTTTTTTTTTTTTGCGCAACAAGCGATCTGGACTGACGAAGTTGACAGCTCTGCCCGCAACCGACTGACACAGCAAATTGTGGCCGTGAAGAAGCTAGTGCAGCCATTTAGAACATCCGTACTGGCGAAGAGGGCATATCGAGAGCTTAATTTATTGAAACAACTAAAACACAAGAATGTCTGTCGACCAAAACACAACGCCGGTACATCATATCTGTACTGACGGTAGAAAGATTATTAATATGAACGATGTGTTTGTTTCCCCTTGTGAGGATATGTAAGAAAGCTCCATTTACCTACTTAGTCACTTTCCTCACTTTAGCATTGCTGACTTATTGTCTTCCCCGTTGGAGATACGTCGTCACAGATTATTGCTACACTGATCTTCAAAACGCTCTTGCCTCTAGAATTCTAGAGCAGGACCATGTTCGGTATCTCCTTTACCAATTGCTGGTATGATAATTATCAGAATCTGATCCGCGGTATTTTTTTATTAATGACGTCAGTGTGGCTTGAAGTACATTCACTCAGCCGGTGTGATCCACCGGGACTTGAAACCAGGTAACATTCTTCTTAATGAGAAGTACCATCTGAGGATATGTGATTTTGGGCTCGCTCGGGTTCATGAGATGGGATTGTCTCAGATGACCCCTCATATCTCTACGCTCTACTATCGCGCACCCGAAGTAATGATAACATGGAAGAGATATGATACTGAGGTAGATATCTGGAGCACTGGATGCATACTGGCAGAGATGCTTGCCGGGAAACCTCTATTTCCTGGGATTGACAGTACCGAGCAGCTTGATATGATTACCGAGCTGCTCGGGTCGCCGTCAACTGAGGCTGTTCGGGGCATTGGGAACGAGGACGTGTGTCTTCTGCATGCCATCCCTTTGATGAAGGCTGACAATTATGAACTTTAGACCAAACGTGCACTAGAAAATGTACCGAGGTGGGAGCATCAGACTCTACACCAAAGATTCGAGTACGCAGACCCGCTAGGTGAGCCTGTTTGAATGCATGCTACCGACCTTCGCTAACGTTTATAAGCTGTCGGTCTTCTGGAGAAGATGCTCCTCTTTGAGCCTCAACTGAGGATATCTGCGGAGGAGGCCCTAAGGCATAACTATATCTCCAGATACCACGATCCAGTCGCCGAGCCCGTTGCTGAACGGATATTTGACTGGTCATTCAACAATGACGACCTAACAGTTGATGCCTGGAGAGTTAAGATGTAGGTAATTGCCAGTCCCAGAGTTGGATTATTTTTCTAAATTACTTAAGTTATTCTGAGATTATCCGCTTCCACGATTCTGACATGATAGAGGCGAGAAAAGGGCAAGTTGCCCATCAAGGGAGGGAAAGTGCTCCACCATTCTTCTGAGTAGCATTTGGATAGGTGGCGTAATTGCAGGTCGCCCATCAAGCACCCAAGGCCGAGGTCAACCGTCTACAACTGGGGCGGAACTGCATCATCGCCACGTCCCTTTGTAGACAGGAGTATTATAGCCTGATGTTCTCTACTACTGTCGCGTTCCAAACAGCCCAAGCGCCTCGCTAGCTGTCGCCATGATGGACTGTTTCAGAACTCGCCGTGCACATGGTAAATGAAAGCCTGAGAAGCCGAATTGCTATAATTAGTGGTTGAAAGTTGAGGTCAGCGCGTAGAGGGACCAATCATTGACGGAATTGCGATCAATCTTTCCATTATGTGTGCCGCTCAGGGGAATCCAGCAAGAGAGGGGAGCCAATGGAGGTCAAATGTCCTCGTTCGCAGGTCGGATGTTCATCCAAACATAAAACGATCTACTCTTATCTCAACCGGCGTCCTATAGGTCAGCGACTGGTGAGACAGGACTGGTCAGCCAGAACCCGCTCGAGCCCTAACTAGGCACCTGATCCACCTATCAATTTCCCTCCATGGTTGTTGCGCTCCTTGGCAATGACTAAGCTCAACCAAGCTAACAATAGCATCAACGATGTCCTGGTTCAACTTTCTTATATTCAGCTTACCTACATTTTTTTTGCCCTCTTGGTATGGTACTCCCATACGAACCCAGCCTTTTCCCTTCTCACTGACCCTTAACCCATAATATCCGAAGGATTGGAAATATGGAAGGACCTTTACGCCCGTTCACCGACGTATTAACTCCCTTAATTCCCCCGGGGGTGAATCTTGCACTAACAATCTCGACATCCGGCCAGTAAAGCCTCAGACAGGGCATTCCTGCTGGATGATAAGCGACTGCGTCTCCGACGAATCCCTCGTCGACCTCCTCGAGTCTGCTCCGATCCTTCACGATCTCGGCCAAACGACGGTGGTGCGATTGTCCAAGGATCTCGTTTTAAAAGGCGGCGGCGATGTGCTGCCTTGTGAGGCAAAGGTGCTTCAACTAGTTGCATCAAAGTCCAATATTCGAGCTCGTCGTGTCCATCGGTCTCTCCATTTCATGGACGACACGAAATATTTTGGCACCATGGGATATATTGTGATGGATTATATCGACGGTGAACCGCTTGATGGCTGCTGGAGAGATCTCAGTGATGAACAAAAGATGGATGTCGCGAGGCAGACGGCCCAGATGATCATTGAAATGCAGTCCATCAAGCTATTGGAGCCAGGTCCGATCGGCGGGGGCCCATGTCGCGGTCGCTTCTTCACGCACTACAGTGCCGGGACCTTTCAAGGACGTGGCCGAATTCGAGGGCTGGTTCAACCACAAGTTGGACATCTGTAAAACATACAAGCACGCGCCGTCAGACCTTGCGCCCTTCAAGTTCACCGAGTTTGTTCTCACCCACCAGGACATCAGTCCGCAGAATCTTATTCTGGGCCGAAACGGCCTGGTGTGGCTCGTGGACTGGGCAGATGCGGGTTCGTATCCCCCGGCCTTCGAAATGGCAGCTCTATGCTCTCAGTCTCAGTTCATCGACTTTATTGACATGGTTCTGTCATTACTCCCGCGATACCCTTGGAAGAACAGCAATTAGATTCCATTGGATACGCCCTTTCAACTGCTGCACTGGCTTGATTATTTCTGGATGGATGCCGCCTTGAGCAGCAAGGTATCAAAATTCCTCGTGAGTGCTCTCATACACTAAGGAAATGTTTGATAGTAGCGTACTGCGTGAAACTATTGAGATAATTCTGCATAGTGGTAGCATTCCATATCCTAGGACCCTTATTTTTAACCATATAGAATTCGAACTACATAGTAATTTTTAAGAGATAAAATAACTGTATAAAAGCTATATATACTTTTTTTAATCCTAATAGCGCTCTAGTAGTCTAATCGGCCTATCTCTATGATTAGACTGCGGCACTAACTGTGCGAGGATTTCATCGGGCAACAAATTCCACAAGGCTAGACTAGCGCGAGTGACGTTGCATCCGTTTAATAAATAATAGGGGACCGTAGCCCACCCGTTCTCTTTTTCTGGGGTTGGGAGATCTGCAAACAAGAGCGGCGGCAAAGCGCGATTCGAGATATGATGAGCATTTGGCTTTTGGTCCTATTTCTGGGCCTGCTCCTTGGAGGTAGGATTTCATGATCTTCTGACTGCTTACTAGGCATTAACTGAGTCGCAGTCCAGTCGGAAGAATGCACCCTCCCCGACTATGAATACGAATTCAACGTCACCGACCAAAACGACATCGATTATATATCCTCGGTTTGCACAACCATGGTCGGTGACCTTATTATAGCGAGAAACTTTACAGGGCCGTTCTATCTACCTAACGTTACCAACATCACCGGAGATATTAGCTTGGATTGGCGGGGTTTCCCGCCTCCGCCCGCGCCAAACATAACGACTATCGAGCTGCCGGATCTCCAGCACTTGAAAAGTACTATATATCTACAAGAGCTAGCTAGCAGCTTAGAGAGAATCGCCTTTCCGAAGCTAGAATATTTGCAGGGTTTGACGCTCATACAGTATATTGACAACGCAGAGGTTGATTTCAGAGGACTGAAGAAGTCAGATTTTCTACACATAAGGGGGAATTATTCAAAGTATGTTCCCTAGACCATGTCATTAACTAGCAGTCAGTATGGGGCCGTGGGTGTTAATGCAAAACCAGAATAAGTCTCGATTCTTTACAGAACGTTACCGACCGTCTGTCGATCTGCAATACTAACCAGTGCGGCCTCGGTTACCCTAGGGGTGAGGGTCCACGCCGCGCAATGGAGGTCTCATTGCCGAATCTCGAAGTCAGCAAGCAGGTGGTAGTCGCGGGGGACGTATCAGAGTTAGTTCATGCCCTACTTCTAAGTGTATGTCCTCTAGCTGTAATGCTAATAACCTAGTTTAGCCTTACTATGCCTAAGTTCTCTTATGGGGATCTAAGAGTTCTTTCAGAAAACACTTCTGTACGATTTGACTTTCCGCAGTTGATAAACGTCTACTATGCGCTCGATCTCCAGGGTAATATATCGAGGTACGCAGCCGCCTTATATTTCTAGCCCTATCTACCAACGTGTGCTTTATTCAATCGACTGATTCCCTTAGCCTCTCCATGCCTCGTCTTAAGAACGTTCCTGGCTCTATAACCATTAAGTCGAGCCACCCTCTCAATGTATCCCTCCCCGTCGTTAGATCCCGGCATATATTTCTTGGAGGTGAGATTAAAGAGTGAGTCATCGCCTTCATTCTAACGCATACAAAGGTTATTAATTAAGCTTACAACGCAGCGCCTCCTTCCCCAAACTTAACAACGCTACTAGCCTGACTATCGACTCCAATCTTCCAATTGACTGTGGGAAGCTCACCGACGCGATCAATAGGACATACGAAGGACCCAAGGACAGATACTGGCTGTCATGCAGATCGACACGTGAGGAGTCGTCAGGGCTAAGCACCAAAGCAAAGGTGGCTATTGGGGTTGTAGTAGGGGTCGTCGGTTTGAGTGTAATTATCGGCTGGATTTTCTGGAGAAAGAGGCGCAGTTCTAAGAGGAGGAAGGCGACCGGTGACTCGGGGTCTGCGATCGAATTGACTACGTTTGGGACTGGGTTAAGGAGAGAAGACCGGGGACAGGCACACGGAGATGCAGAGGGACAGGACGATGCACCTCCGCCGTATACACCTAGAGAGTAGGTAGTTGGTTACTTTGGGTATCCGCTTCAATGTAAAGATATTCTTTTACAAATATCTCGATGGAGAAACTACGCAGGTTCTTCGAGACATTTGGTCTTCCCTGGACAAATGATGACTACCATCGCACAACCTTCCAACTTAATCCATCGGGTCTCTTGCCCGAAATCGTTGAGCCATCTTCGTTACCTGGACCATATAGCATGAATGTTCTTCATGTCAAGAACGCTAAGCGTCAGGAAAAGCTATTTGTTCCAATTGAAGGCGCGGTAACTCAAAGTCTTGTTTTCTCCCCAAATTATGTGAATCAGGCTCAAGCTGGTGTTGCAGGGGCAAGGCTCGTGTGTGGGTATCTTATTTACTGCGGAGATGTTAACGGGGAGGATGGATCAAATCAGCTTATGTTGGCGCTTTGCGGGTTTTAGGGCGGGGGCGGGTACGGTCTCATGAAGATTATGATAGCTAACGGGAGAAATTAAACCGGATATATATGCTTCAGGTATTATACAAATGCACGCTTGAACACTCACAGTGGAGCAAATGATTAACCAACCCGTCATCGCACTATGAATTGCTGGTGTCTTCCTCATCCCAGGTAATTACACATTCATCAACGTCTCTTCCCCATCTCGTTTTGATCCTGCCGGAAACTACCGTATCAGTTCTCCTTGGCCGCGATCCCAACAGTGTCTGGGGTTCAAGCATTGCAGAGTCGTAAAAAAAAATTAAAGCCTCAATCACCCATTTTTGTGTCGAATTTTGGAATACTGAACTTGAAGAGACGGCGTGCTCCGATTTCTGAAGCTTTTCGCAATGTCCCGCCAGGGTAGATTGGGCTGGCTTTTCAACTCGACCAAGAGCCGGTTCTCTGCAGGTGAATAAGGAACTCGCTTGTGATTTTTTTGCCTGCAACCTGTCGCAACCGTGATTGTTCCCTTGAATTACGGTTACCAGAGCGCGATGGCTTCTCAAGTGGCAACTCCGACGGCGAAGGTTTCGACGGGGGTTGAACGACATCCGGAAGGAAAGTGATAAAATACGCATGCCGAGGACCGTATGGTTGAATACGGAGAACACCCCGACCAAAAACCTCTTTTGCTTCAGTTGGAGTGACGGCAAAGCGACTATCCGGTGATTTCTGGGGCGACTGCGGACATGCTCCAGCAGCGTCATCCATCAAGCTCGAAGGGGTGTGTTTCTTCCGCAGGTTTCCTTCCACCTCATTGTTAGATCTGCTGCTCGATACAGGACGATCATAGCACAGCTCATGCACTGCCGCATCATTATTATCACCGTGGTCGTCAGCACCTTGAAGACGACGTGGCTTTCGGGTGATATTGGTTTGAGTGGTAGTTGTAGTTAATTTGTCCGGTCGACGGACGGGTATAACCACGGATACAGACGGTAATCGCTCTGGTATGCTCGACTTGGTGTTCGTATACGGGAGCGGAGAGAGCGAGAAGGTGCTGATAGCATCTTTGGGTTCATACCAGGGCGGGTTGGCTGCTGGGAAGGGAAGGAGACATGTGGGCGACCACTCTCATAGGGTTCCTCTTTTTCTGTAACTTGGACATGTAGATCGTTAGGTTGGACACTCTGAGCAGTAGTCGCTGCATGTTGAAGGTTCTCCACTTGATCTTCGTGAAATGTGATCTCGCCTCCAGAGTCCCCGGCACCTATTCTGTTGGAACGATAATTACCAGTCCAAGAGTCACAGGGGTGGAGTGAGTTATCCGGAGCATTTGCCGAAGGCAACCGAAGGTCGTAGGTACAAGGAGGGCTTGACGTTGGCGGAATCACCTGTGTGTTGACTAAAGGAGTACTGTCGTTATGCAACCCCAAATGGTTGGCTGCGACCCCTGACACGCCTATCATGCATTAGAGGACTACGCTAGAAAACTCTGCGACTGTGGCCTACCTGTAGAACTCTCCTCTACACCGGGTGGATTGAGCGGTGGACCTGGAAAACAGGAAGTCTCTGTTAATGGCAATACCGATCGATCTGACTGCTCCTGAACGATGGACTGTTCAACGGAGGTTTGACGAGACAGGGCTATGTGGTCATCACTGGGCCCGGTTTGATTTTGTGCTGGCTCGGTCACTGGATATGAGAGATGTTATTAGTTCGTAGACAGGGAGTGTGGTACCCAATGTGCCCTACATACCAAACGCTGAGGACGCGTACTGGTTTGGGCATACGTCGATGGCATATCTATTTTCAAATCCCCCTCCAGAGTGTATAATCGAATCATTCTCACTCACTTTCGGACCGCCTTCTGCTGTTGAGATCTTTCGAATTCGATATCAAATTCATTCGTCCGCACCGTTGCATTCACGTCATCATATTTTGTCCGAGGAACCTGAAATGGCTGGGAAAATTCCTTGTTACTGCTCCAGGGAATAGTCGTGGATGTAAATCGGCAGGGCTTGGGAGGAAGGGGAGTGGTAGGGATGGAGGGGGATTGGGCGCTGAAGGTTGGTACGGCTTCCAACGGGAGGTAGGAACAGCAGGTGACAGAAGTTTAGGGGGAGGGGGTTGATGGTAAAAGTTAATGTTATCAGGTTGATATGCATGGTGACGAGGAAATCTATATGGGTGGAATTCTAGAGACAAAAGCATGGGGGAAACGGGGCTCTTTAAAACTGGATACACAAATGTTTGACATACCAGCCCGCCGCCGATTCTTTCCAATGTCATTTGCGCGGACATACACGGGCGAAACGACGGAACCCAGCACTACTAGCATCACAGAACCCACATAATTTCATGGATGGATCGCTACGCGGGGAGCTATAGATCAACTACACGCTGACTATTAGGAGATAGATGTCATCTTTGGAGACACCAGGAATCACAGTATCTCAACCAATTGAGTCTCTTGCATTCCTAAAAGAATAAAAAATAAGTACAACTAATAATATATTTTATTGTAAATTACGTTGCTGTATATGCTAACTATATTTTTAAAATGTAAGCTCTATCGGAGCTATTTTCGGACAGTCCATCAGGATAAACCAAAGAAGTAAAGCGTAAAGATTTCCAAAACGAGTGGTTTCTGCACGGAATCACCCATTCGAAACATTAGAAACTATACTCAGGTAAAGGTTCCCTGGAGTTGATGTCCTGGATAGCACTAAATATGATGTATCAAGCCACTTCTTCTAGTGCAAATTTGCGGGAAGAATCTGGAGAAGAGTTTAGGGATCGCTAGCATGCGACGATTTGCCTGGACTTATTACGGAATACCATATTGATTGAAGGACTAGGCCTCTCTTGAGTGATCATAAAGAAGATATTGCAACCTTTATTCTCTCTTGCAAGCCAAAGGCAACATGGCACTATTCGTACCATACCACAACCCAGCCGGCCAATTGACCATTGTCAAGTAGGTCACAGCTCCATATCTTGATACTTCCAACTATGTTGCTACCTGATATTCAACATAAAGACTTGGCGTCCTTACAACCGAATTCCTAGAGCCCCCTCCAGGACGATGCTTTCTCTTCCGCCGAACATACCGACACACCGTTGAAAGACCCGTTCCAGAAAAGCTGCGCAACCTCATCAACAGACCTGACAGACCGAAAGGGCCACCGCCGCACTTGCATCAGTTCCAACCCGACTATTTCCGCGAAGAAAGTGGAGTCCTTAGAATCGAAGTGAACAGGGTTATCCGACGAATTATGCCGGGAGACGGCGAAATCTCCGTCAAGGCAGGCAGTATTTATCGTTTTTTCATTTATCCCGACTCACTTGAGAGCATGACCGTTTATCTTAGCGCGTCAAGTTCGGGAAATGACTATCAGCTCGACCTGATATTTTCGAGAACTGGTACAGACACTGACGCGACGCACTCTTGCACGACGGAGGGCTAGACTGGATCCAGTTTCTCGCGGTATGTCCCCTCCTTTCCTTGTACACCTATTACCATTTTTGTCAAATTTCCGGTAATTAACAAATTGTTGCAGATACAAGATGAGGGTGACGCCTACACCCCAACCCCAGCATGGGGTTCCATTCCGACATCAAGTTGGCTACAGGACCTGCGTGATTATAGGACGGCGGATCCGGAGCCTGCTGGGGTCAAGCCCTTCTTGATCTGTGTACTCACGGGCAGCAACAGGCAGCCGAATTCGCCTTCTGAATCATGAAATGCTGCCGAGTTTTCTCCAAGCCCGGGAATGCCGACACAGCATACTCATCGATAGCAAGTCGCTGACAGATATGATAGAGATGATGAGAACGACCAGGCGCTATTCTCGGAAATCAATCAAGAATACGCATCCAACAAATATCGAAAATGCTGTAGCACCCTGGATATCGACAGCCATATATTGCATGGAAAGCCCGAACTTACAATCTATCACAAAATAAGACAGACCTATTCTACATCATTCACTCGAATCCTCTGTGGACAATCTCTTAAACGATACTAGCTTCCTCCGAACATATGCGCATCCATTATGTTTTCTTGATGCTTCCCTTCGACTTTAAATAAATGGTCATGGCTAGCTGAAGAGGCAAGGTCTTGGCAAACCGCCGCCTTCATACATCCTCCTATTCTCACTAAGCCGCGGCCCGTTAGTTGAGAGCTTTTCATCTCCATCAGCTACGATACCTTAATCAATTGGGTCAACAAGCAATCCAAACATGCCCAGAGAACAGACTACCTTAAACCCACTTACCCCCTTTTCATCTTCAAGCTTATCGAAGAGAGAAAACGCCATCGGAGGCCAATGCAACTAAATACGAGTTTGGCTGTTAACTTGCATATCTAGCGGCCAATAGCTGCAATTATAAATTTAGCCTCATGCATCTACTGGTTGGATAACTAATAGAAAGCAGATTTGTTGACTTATCTAAGCCTAATAAAAGCAAACAAAGCGACTAGGTCGTCAAATTGTCGCTTTAGCCTTATTCCCAGAATCCCAGCTGGCCGGTGAATATTTAATCTGCGCGGAAGAAACCCAAAATAGCATTTTCAGTCTGCGCTTTCACAAGTATAATCCTCATCCTCATACATTGATTTGGCGTTCTGGTGTTATTCTTCAAATTCTCCACCTAACGAGCGGACGACATGACCCGCAACGCTCGATTCGTTCCAGTTCTCGCCCTGTTCCTAATCTTCGCTCTTGCAGCAGTGGCCGATGCCGAAGGCTGTCCCACAGGGCTCGTGTACTCCCCTTTCGTTCCATATTTCCGCTATCGGGCTGGCTCTGCGCAGGCCTGCTGGGGCTTTGCTATCTGCACTTTTAACGAAGCCGATGAGGCGCGCAAACAACAGTACGGCGCAACCGCGCTTGTAATGGGTTTGGTGCCACTTACACTGCGAGATATCGCCTGGCCCGAGCGGCGTACTGTGCTGGTATCCGCTCCGCTGCCAATCATAGCTGCTACGGCTGTTAGGGCACTGGGCTTGGAACCTACGGTTAAGGCAGATGTGGAAGAGGAGCGCGTGCGGCAGTGGCTGTCATGGATGCGCACGGGGTGGCTCACCAATATCAAAGCGAAATCAAGCACCATGAGAGCTCTGTTGGTGACTCTTAGCTTCGTGGCCCTAGTCGTCTTCTATGCCGCGTTGGCGCTGGTGGAAGTATACTCCAAGCGGAGTGCTCTCGGTTGCCCGTATCCTATATTTGGACTGACGTGGTGTCTGGTGGGTATTGTCCCGGGTGCTGTCCACAGCCTGTTTGCGAGCTGGCGGGAAGAAAAGTCGGCGAGGTCGGGCAGAGAGACGGCCGTGCAAGGAGCAGATGAAGCGTGGCCTGTGCAGCTTACATGGGCTGTCTATTACACTGCGGGGACACTTGTGTTTACCTCGATCATGGCGATTACTGTATTGGAGCTGTTCGTGTGGGTGGTTGTAATGTTAGGTGTGACTGCGACCAGCAAGCTGCTCGCTCTCTATATCTGTTTGCTGCTGAGAAACCCTGCCTCTTCTTAAAACTTCCGCTTATACGCATATGGAGGAGTTTAAAAGAATCGTGTCCTGTCAGTTCATGCGATACAGTTTGAGGGTGTTAAGGAACATGAATGGTCTCAATTGTGATTTTCTCTCTATGCTGGATGGGTACATAGGGTAAGATTAATATAGCTTTTCGGCAGACTGAGCGATGAGAAGGTTTCCAATACCTCCCTTGCTAGAGTTGTGATCCTATTTTGAGCCGCATAAAACAAAGAGACATTTACGAATTAAATACGGTTAATAAGATAATATTGCGCGACCGAATAGCTTCGTCAAAGTCATTGAGCAGGTTGGTAGACGCGTGCTTGAAAAACATCCACTAAGTTATAGTACTGCTTAGGTAAGGTTTTTTTTTAATCTCTTCCTCTATTTTCTTTTCTCCCACAAGAGTTATCTTCTTTAATCGCCTTCTTGATAGCGCTTAGAGAGGTGATAAAGATCTCCGCCTGTGGATTTGTTAAGTGTCTATAAAAACCGGTGGCGCCGATAAGCGCGATTTTAATATTTGCAGGGGTCAGTCTTAAAGGCAGACTTTGTGGCATAGGCTTATAATTTTTAAAGCATTCATCCTAACGATTTCAATCCATCTTCGCTATAGCCGCGCTATAATCCTTTTAATAAGTGCTTGAAGGCTTCCTATAGTATCGAGGGTTTGTTCAGAGTCTTCGTGTTTATAAAGTCTGTCTCTTCGAATAACATCCTGCTAATGTCTTCTGTATACTAGCTTGCGTATTAGGATTTCTCGTGGGATCTGGGTAAGTAATCCGGCTTTAACCTTGTTCTGCAGGCTTAGCTGTTCCGGCCAGATTATTTAATAGTGTCAATAGATTACGATTGGTAAAAAGGTCTTATTTGAATGAATTGAGCTGTTTGTGTTGATTATTCTTCTTGGTTATTCTTGTTGTGTGCTCCGCGGGGGTTTTACCACGATCTAGTCACATGATTCTGGTCCACCAACGCCCATATTATTTGACAATAACTAGTTTTATGTCTATGTAAGTGACGTTTGCTCTAGTGTTAGCTAGTCTATAGAAGCAAAAAGCAAAAGTATTCTGGGATAGTAAAGTCTTAACTGTAAAACTATTCTGAGGGATGCCTAGCAGTTTTTATAGATCAATAGTAGTTCCCCCCTTTACTCATATTACTTATTCTTTTGTAATCTCTTCGAGGTTACACTGATCCACTTGTATCCTTCAGAAAACATGTATAATATGAAAAGATCTATCTATCGTACATTACACAGTGTGAGCCCAATGTCCCTACAGTACTTATAGTAACAATATGTTCTTTACCGTAAATACGTTAGGGTTACAGGCCCCAGGAAGCCCGAAGTTCCACGTCGTCCTTGGTCCATCTCATCGCTGTTAAGTATCCTTCCGTACGGAGCTATACGTACAATCTTCGAAATCCGTCCCATTTCCAATATACAATGGATAGGCTAGCAATGGGATTGAGGCGCCACCACTCAACAAAAAGCGCCTTTAATTTGCACATAAATTGTTTTTTGAATGTTGGGTAACGTCTTATGCTTACCAGCCCTGTGTGTATTCTTGTGTGTAATTAACGCCTGTTGTTGGGCCGGGGTTTGGCCGCGTTATTTTGAAAGTGCTGCCTCGAGAGATAGGGATCAGTCCTCACAACCCATGTATCATGCGCCGCTTCTCAGGTTCAAAATAGTTAAGACGCTTGTTTGGACTTTTCTCCCGGATACAGACCTCCCGCCTGTGTCTTTGATTAGGTGAAATGCCCCCTAGCGGTATCTGTCGGGTCTGTAGTATTGCCCACTTAAAGTCAATAAAATATAACCCGACTATTTTCCTCGTTTCAGATTATATTTCCGGGTATTGGATCATTATGAAGCACACCTAGCCTGTGAATCGCCTGTAAGGAGTCCTCGGCTTGCGGAATTAACTGATCTCGTTTGATCTGGTGTCGCTTTGCAAGTGTCCTTCCAGCATAACTCAGGAACATCATATGAACAATCTCCGCGATACCGTTGTATGATAACAGCCGCCGAAAACAAAGACTGCCAAGTTAAACAGGCACGTGTACTCCTTGGATATAAAAGACGTGAGTACATAGAGTTCTTATGATTTACACATGCAACAAACTCAATTGGCGTCCCTTTTCCAACAAAAGTATATCCATGTGACAACAGTGTCACTTTAAAGAGGGCTCCGCGCTTCCCATGAATATGGAGCGACTCACACCCGAGTTCCACATCGGGCCCGAGGTCGTTGCGGGAGATTTGCTCATCCCAGTCGACGGAGTCTCCGAGTTAATTTGATGTCGACCGACCCCATGGTCCAACACGTTGGGGCATTTTTCGTCCAGATTCCCTCTCGTGGCCGAGCCTCGTAGACATTGCTGTGTACAATATTGCCGAGACTTGCCTTTAAACTGCGATCCTTGGGACGCTGCAGGTACACCCGATAGTTAAGGAAGCTTAAGCTGACAAAGCAGTAGGCCTAGACTCTCGAGGCATTCGACTTGGCGTATTGGGAATCCATCACACGAATCATGGCCACGATCAGGATAACTACCACATGATGGATTACAAGTAATGGCACTGGCAAGGGCAGACTTCGACCTGGTTTTCACGGAGACGAGCGAGAGTATTCATCGCGACTCTTCGTTGGCAATTTAAATAGAGAAGGTACCTATCTCTTGCTCCGCGATTTCATCCAGGAGATCATCATATATCATTTCCCAGCGCTTTAGACGGCTTGCCGCCCAGTTCCTCCACCATGTATTTTGCGAAGGCGCCCGTAACGCTCGGAGAGTGAAGGTCAACAGCTGGCCAAGCGCAGTTAAGTGCAGCTGATTATCAGCATTTACATCACCCGTCCATCCCGTTGATTCACCCACGTCCTCCTTAGGTACGGACAGGTAGTAGTAGACAGAAGGGTCATTTCGATCTCGTGTTTCGAGGGGAAGTGCGCAGAAGATATGTCGAATCCATCGAGCTACACAGTTAGTGTTAAGGCCTTTGCGATATCTACAAGCCAAATGCAGTGATATTGTAGTAGGTTCTATTCTGTTGTCGAAGTAGCAGTACCTCTGTATTTGGGATATATACCCAGTCTCGCATGTGATACCTAACCTAGGTATGGATGATACTTTATAGGGTAAGTTTAGAAATACGCCAGGGCGATATTTAAGACATCCAATTTTTTTTCTTACGTTTGTCCATAATTTTATTGATACAGCCAAAGCTGCCGGATTTGTAACAAATCGATAGAGCTTGATTTCTACCTCCACGTCTCGTCGTTAGAACCGACAACTAGCTCTCAGATAGCTAAATATGCATTATAAAAAACTTGTACACCCTGCTTTTTAATATCCCGGCCCATATTAAAGAACCTAGATACACCGTCATATATTTCAGAATGCACCTATAAATCAGAAGCTGTTCTAATATCACTTAGAAGAGAAAACGGTTTTATCTGTATATACATGTGCGGAACAGAAACATAAGTCCCTAATCAGGAACTGTTATTAAAAGAAAAATAGTTAACTAGTTAACTACTAACTAGAAAGTATTTAATTATTACCAGAGAGGGCTTTGTCATATGCCCTTATTTCGAGATATTCCTTAATATCCTAAGGACAAAATTAAATCTCACATATCCTAAAGCTCTCCTAAAATCTCAGTTGAATCTCTTCCTCAGTAAACCTTTGAGTTCTCTTTCTTAGCATAGATGCTAGTTCCGATCGACTCAGTCCTATCTGATCTCCTATTGGTACAAGGCAACTTGAAAGATGATCGTAATTTTTGCGCAGTAAGTGGAAAGTAATAAGCAAATAGTTAACGCGTTGAAACACAAGAGCACTTTCCGATTGGTATCGGTTCAGTGTCTTTAGAAACACTATAGGATGATCTCTCCAATGTCGTTTAGGATTTAGATGGTGAGACGTGTGATATCCATCGTTAAAGCAGTATCGGTTGCTCTGCACATTTTATTAACCTCTTTCCTAGACTGTTAACAGACAATGGGGTAAAAACGTACTTGAACATCGATCAATGTGATGCTGGAACGGTAATTAGAAGTTGGTTGGATATTATCTACAAAAGCATGCTGACCCCAATTCCCAACCATCATCCCAATCCTAGTCTGGGTGAGAGGCAAGAGTATAGCTATTAACGCTGCACGGAAATTGTAGCGCGCCAAACAGAACACCATTATTATCGAGAAAATCTCAGACGTGAACGACTTGATAGCTAACTTGTAATTTTTCTTAGTAAGGAAATAGTAAGGTAGCTCGATCCAGATAAGGAAGAGGAACCGGCTAAGGTATTTTAGGAAATCTAACAGGCTGTCTCGTTGGTATCGGATAGTAGAAGATAAATCGTCCGGACCATTATTTTCCACGTGATGATGTTTGACATGGTGATAATAATAGGAGTCCCAGGTATGACCCATAAGGGGCTCCAAGACATATGGGATTAATCGATCAAACCAAGAATACTTGTGGCGCAGCAATCCATCGTTATGGATATGGTTGTGAAGCATGAGTGTAAAAGGTCCACAAGAATATGCTTGTAGTAGCCAGTGTAACAAAGCGTGGGTCCAAGAAAACCGGTAGAAGAGGTAGAAAGCGCTCGGAACTAGCGTTGAGAGATACAAAATAGTGTGGGTAAGGAAAACCACATCGGTTGGTTGTCGGACCACCTCTTGAGCCCAGGAAATATAGGGTCCTAAAAAAGCTCTATTTATAAATCCAAGAAACCGCAGGTCTTTCAGATCCCACGTAGTGAAAACAGTTGGTTGAAACTGAGGCTGCGAAGGGTTGTTTGCGTAGACAAGGGTTTGTACAGCTGCCTTGTTGTCATGATCATCAACAATAGGGGTCTTAGTGCCATCATCCTTCTTGGTTGCGTCAAGTAAATTTTGCAGCACAATAGTGTCCGCACTGGTTAGAGAGTTAGGAGCTAGGACCATTGTATATTACCAAAATTTCGCAGATTAGAATGGGGGGAAGCATGAAAACACGGTTAACCGTCGTGGCGGGATCGAACTTTTAGCGTACACCAGTACCTCATACGTCACTACTACGTCACACTAGTAACCCACAGCAGGCTAGCCAGTTGTAAATGCAATACAATTATCCTGGATCGACTCGAACAAGGATACAATGCGTCAACTGTGTCAGAGAAACTGGGCTTATATGACGAGCTGCACGAAGGGTCTGAAAATGTGTCGACATATCTACCCTTATAAGTCACGGGCAAGATTTTTTTTATTCAGGCAGGGCGAGGGACACAATTGTGGGTCAAATCAGCACTTTGAGCAGGTAGAACGGACGTGGCCTTGTTAACAATAAAGCACACTTACACCAAGTTATATTACTTGGCTTTTGGCCATGACTCTTTCGTGCATAGTCAGGTACAAGAGATAAACCTAATCCCCAAGTATTTGCTATATAGGCGAACCGTCGGTCGCGAACCGTCTGTCCCCATATGCCATAAACATGCTTTAATAGTAGCAAATCTACTAACTTCTTTGGTTATATTCGTGTTGATTTGTTTGGTTTAACTATTCTCCTACATTACACATCTCAGTATGGGCTCAGAACAGAATAAGGTATCCCATCCTAAAGTAACTTTACTCCCCAGCAGCTCAACTGTAACTTTGCGTACTAACTACGTCTGCGTTTTAGCCACTTATAGAGGATGAGACATCTATTTCGTACATACGGAAGGTTGCCTCATGGTGGAGGTATGCTTAGACAGCAGTCTAAGGCGTATTAGATATAATTTAACCGCCCAAGAGTTTTACTAACAAGTGAAAGGAACGGAAATACTTTGACTCGGGTAATTCGCTCTTTCTTCAGCCTATAGTGTAACTGGTAACGGGGCTATTAGAACTAGCACAGCCTATCCTATGCGAGAGACCATTTCGCATCCCTATGCCCCGGTTCCTAGCACCATCAATGTTAATAAAGACGTCAACAAGGACCTCCATAACAAAGAGAGCCCAAAGGAAGAGGTTGCTGAAAGTTCTCTTCGTGTGCAGATTAATTTTGATGAAAATTCCCAGAAACCACGAGAATTATAGCAGTTCTAATGAATTTATGTTAGTTGAGGCTGAATGATTCTCATTAAAAAAGAAAAGAAAAAAAAAAGAAAAAAAAACTATATTCTGAGGCAAACGAGCGTTTTGAAACATGCACCAGATTAATAAAAAAATGTATTTATAAGTCCCAATAAGAAAATACCTAATGGCTATGCTAAGAAGGGTTTCTGGGATCTCTACGCTTGTCGATGACAGCCTGTAGTCCTGGATCACGAGCTTTTCGTGTAATACTTGGCCCAGACGACCTACCACCTGGAAGGGTGTTCGCTATCCACTCCCTGCTACTTAACCTACTTCCACCTTTTTTTTTTTTTTTTTTTTTTTTTCAGCAGCCCAGAGGCTTCTCATACAGAGTAAGAAAATAAGAAATAAATTCTATTCCCGGGGTAGCTACCACTTTCGGACTTGTTTTGGGGAGTTTAGCGCAAATAGTGCAGAAGCAGTGCTTTACTATTTACTACTTTAAGGGAAAAGGCAATTTGCTTGATCATTCAACTTTAAGACAGTTGGAAGTTAGAGAGAGAGAGAAAAATAATTAGTCTGATAGGTGGTGACTCAAGGAATATTTTAACGTTGGATGATATTTTTCGCTGTCTGTTAGTATTAGAGAGGTGGCCACTCGCTGCTAACGAGACGAATAGTCACCCCAATATCTGGGAATTTCCGGGAGGCGGTATTAAGCTCGATAACAGGCTAAAGTATATAAACAACTTAATTATATATACTGCTGTATAGGAGCGCTGCCAGGAAACACAATTATATGTTTCCAACTTTATCGATGCTATTAAGGAGCAGTGGGTTAAAAAAAAGAAGCAGGTGCGAAAGATTTTATTTATTATAGATATTTATAAAAGCAAAAACCTCCAAAGGCTTTGGACAAAGGTGGTGCTTAATCCTGCTGAACACCAAGCATTTATATGGGCGAAGCGAGCTGAGGTGGAGGATATGGATAAGGATATATTTTATCCAAAACAAAAGAGCACTATACTGGATTCTTTTAAGTTCACTGGCTCTGTGCTTTGATAAATGCTATTTTATGTGGGTTATGTGTGATTTGTTCTTATCTTCTATTCCTTTCCTCCAGGTCAATTAATTGCCACAGATTGGTTTTATTGACAAGACCATACCTACAACCTACCTGACCCGTAACCTAACACTAAAAGATATACCCCTAGCGTCAGAACCGATGACGGGCAGCAGGTCAACATTGGATATGGTGAACGACGTATGATATTCTAACCAGCTTAGTGTGGTAGGTTCGGGGACATGAAGGAGGGAACTGGTTGATACATACTTGACACATAGATCAGGGCCATCGCACGTACATGGATAAAGAGGTCAGGCTATATTTCTAGTTTACATTGCTAATCATCCTTCTAGTGGCAAGGAAGTTCGTAGACGGTATTCAACTGCGAACAAGTGACGGCAAGTTCTCATAAATATGGCTTTGTATTTTTTAACATTAATTTCGCCTAAGGAGGAGACTTCCCCTAAGCAGAGTTTTTTAGCGACTTCTCTATGCTTTTTTCCAGTGTCTTAATCTAAGCAATTTTCTTGTCAGGGCAGTCGCGAGCAATGTATCCTGTTTTTTAGCAGCAAAAACACTTGCCCTTAGATATAAGGTGGCTGTGGTTTTCAGGGTCCATGCTTACTCCACAGGTTGGTGAGGGTGAGCTCTTAGTCTTGACTACAAGGGAGACACAGCTCGTGGTTCCGGTAGTGGTAGAGGTTTGTCGGCGAGCAGACAAGGTGGTGGCACTTGCCCGACTGCAACGCTTTATAATCTTATTAATTTAGTCTGTAAACGGGCACACTCGTCGACGTACTGGTCAAAGTTGACAAGGTTATCGTTAAAGCGGGACATGGTGAGCTCCTGCAGCTTTGTTAGAAGTTGCTGGTAGAGATCCTCCTTCCAATAGTCTTTATCTACACCAGCCTCCACCGCGAGGTAGGGGAAGTTCGAGATAAACATGTAGGACATGTCTCCAGGGGCCATTTTTAAGTTGCTGTACTGTCTGCACTCGTTGGGGGCCTTGTTCGGGTTAGTAAAGAAAGTTTTAGGGTGTTTAAGCATGTCCTCAGTATTGTTATAGGAATCGTGGGCTCCAGGGCGGAGGCGGGGGACTAGGTGGCGTTAGGATCAAGACTTAATGTCAGCAAAGTTGAGACCCTTTACTATGGCCCCTATTCACCTAGCTTACTAGTTACTACCTCTTAGGAAGAGCATACCACACAGTGAGTGACAAAAAAACATATCTTGGCTTACCAGCCAATTTCTCACCACCGACATCGGAATTTATACCTCTCCTAAAAGGTTACAATTAGATGCTTCTAGAAAAATCTGGCTACTCATGGTAAGACTTAAGAGGAACTTTAATTCCGATTAGCATGAGAACCAAGACTGGATTTAACGTCGGTGAGAATAATCAACAGCCACATGAACTCTGAAGAACGTCTAGACCTTGAACCGGTCGAATAGCTGGCAGGGTGCTCGTCCCTTGGCTCCGGGCAGCCAATTGATCATATTGAGAGTTTGAACTAAGAAATGTAAACAAAGAATTTAACTCCGTATAATCTTTAGGTTTCTTCAGCCAGGGGAGCCATTTATTAAGACCCACTAGACGAATTTCTTTGAGAGTTCTACGACCAGTCAGTTAAAGTGGCATTCGAGTACACCGACAATGGCATCAATTTACCACTGAATTTTGCCTACGGCAATTTGATTGTCCTCGATATGAATCCAGCTATTAGCTGTTTTGTACATTTCCGGCTAAGTCTGGCTCCGTGCTTAGAAGAAAGCTAGCCAACGTGCACTGTCCTTATATGGACATCGAAGGATTGAAGAAAGGATGATGGGCTCTAATCCTACGCTAAGAGATCAAAACAGCAGCGAGACCAAAAGGTTCTGGCTAGGAAGTCCGGTCAGACAGCAACGAAACCGAAAATTCCCGCTGACCAACAGGGGTCAGCATAAAGGCCCTTCACTAGTGCCAACCCTGGCCTATCGCCTTTCGGTAGGGCTTGTCCTGCGACAAATCATATTATACTTACTGGAGCCAACGCAGTTGGTGGCTTTGGTGGCGTCTGTGTTAGGGTTACATGAGACGCCCTACCAGTGTCAGCTCACCGATGGCCATATCCTGTGGTCAGAGAATGGCGTTGACTCAGGACTAATTTCTTGGGAAAATTGTAAGCCGAGGAGTCATTATTCTGTTTTCTGTTTCATTCAGTTCCAATTATGCCCAATCAACTGTCTTCCCGCAACCCAACCACGGCTCGTCCATGGATTTCGGGAGGTGGAGATTCCTTATGGTCCGCCATCATTTTCTTGTCTGGGGAAAATCCAATTCCTACGGGCCGGTGGACCCATTCCCGAACTATAGGAGTACGCTGTTGGCGGAAAACGCAACAAAAGTCTCGATGATTATTACTTAGGCTGAGGCTTATGGAAATCAACTGCGACCGCTGGTGAAGAAGATGGGCTCAGTTTTGCAAGGCGATCTTATTCTTGCTTTCTGAACCAATCATGTCTAAAGTACTGGGTACGGGCACAGTCATCATTCTTATGTCTGGTTCTTATTTTTCTTTGTTTGTACCGTTGGAGTCCCGTAGCGGAGCTTGCCGGGTGCTATGATCCCTCTCTAGTGCTTACAACTCTGAGGCTGTGCAGCGCCCAGCAAAACAGCCAAGGTGGGCTCTTGGCTGTATAAGCGCTGGTGCCTACCCCACGGGGCGTTCCATCATTTTATGCGGTGGAGTAGCCAATCTCATCCCCATGGGGTTTTCTTCAGGATATATCTCGACGGATAGACGCATATAAGAAAACTACGTCGCGTCCTATATCTCCTAGGCTACTACTATATTCCTAGCTACTATGAGGGAAAAGGCACTCTCGGACATTGCCTCTCACAATGAGAACGTGGATGAGGCTACCAAGCCGGGGCTGGCCGACGAGACTGAGCGTCGCCAGTCTATCGCTCTCAACCTCGTTGAGAACCCTCTGACGGTGAGTTGCGCCGAACCCTTGGTCGGTGGTTATATCCAGGATTGACGCGGATTGTTTCACTCAGCGCAAATCTAGGGAACAAGTCGTCCTCGATGCCCGGGCTTTCGCCGAGTCGAACAATATGACCGATGACGCCGAACTTTTTGGTCGGGCCGCTCTGGTCGCCCGTGACCCCCAAGGTTTCGAGGCGGTTACCGAGCTCAGTGACGAGGAGCGCACGGCGCTAGCATACGAGAGGGATCACAAATGGCACGGCCCTTTCATGCTCTGGTACTCGATCGCTCTGTGTGCCGTCGGAGCCGCCACACAAGGATGGGATCAGACGGGAGCCAACGGGGCCAACTTGTCCTTCCCTCAGGAATTTGGTCTTACCGGCCAGGGGAGAGACGAATGGATTGTGGGAATTATCAATTCTATTATTTTCCTAACTGCCGGTCTCATGTGAGTATGCTGATTCCTTCGCCTCTATATCTACGATTAACCTTGACATAGTGGTGCTTTTATCGTCGATCCGCTTAACCACTACTTGGGCCGCAGAGGCGAGATTTTCGTCACTGCTTGCTGTCTCACTGCCACCCCAATTGGGTCCGGTTTCGCGAAGTCATGGCAGGGACTGTTCGCTGCGCGATTCGTCATGGGTATCGGTATCGGTGCAAAGAATGCCACGGTCCCCATCTACTCCGCCGAAATGGCTCCGGCTCGAACTCGAGGCGCCCTCGTCATGTTCTGGCAACTTTGGGTTGTAGCGGGTGAGCTGCCTCATCGCTCGTGTCGAGACATGCGCTAATCGTGGCCGTAGGTATCTTCTTGGGCTTCGCCGCCAACGTCATTGTCAAAGACACCGGTGACATCGCTTGGCGTCTGCAATTCGGTTCGGCATTTATCCCGTCGCTCATCCTCGGCGTTGGTATCTACTTCTGCCCCGAGTCCCCTCGCTGGCTCATGAAACACGGTAGATACGCGGAAGGATTCCAATCGATGGTGCGTTTGCGAGCGCATCCCATCATCGCCGCGAGAGACTTCTACTACTCGTACATTATCTACGTGGAGGAACTCAGTATGGCTCGTGGTGCAGGCTACTTCTCCCGTCTGTGGGACTGCTTCGCCGTTCCTCGGATCAGACGAGCCAACTACGGTGCTTCGACTGTCATGATTGCTCAGCAAATGTGCGGTATCAACAGTAAGACTCTTCCCGTCTCGTGATGGTGGTTCAGGCTGATAGTCTGTAGTCATTTCTTTCTATAGCTCATCTATCTTCGAAAAGGTCGGATACTCGGCGACCGAGTCCTTGTACGCGTCTCTTGGCTACGGTGCTATTCAGGTCGTGGCAACTATCCCTACTTTGTTCCTCATCGACACCAAAGGTCGACGAACCCTGACTTTGATTGTGAGTTAATCCCAGCCTTGTACAAGGACATAACTGATCTTGAAGACCTTTCCCCTTATGTGTATCTTCCTGCTAGCCGGCGGTCTCTCTCTTCTGAAAGATGAGGGTAGCCGTGGGTCGCGAATTGGGCCAGTTGTCTTGTACGTACCTTGGGTTTGCACTATGAGTTTACACTGATTACCTACGAGGTTTGTCTACCTGTTTACCATCTGCTACTCGTTGGGCGAAGGACCCGTTGCTTTCCAGTACTCTTCCGAGGTGTTTCCCACCATTCAGCGAGAGCAGGGAATGGCCTGGGCCGTTTGCATCAACAATACATTCGGTGAGTATCACCTCAGTCCCGCGTTCTATCTCTCTAACAAGTCTAAGCCGGTATCCTCGGTTTGACTTTCCCTCGAATGCAAACCGTCATGACTCCTACTGGCGCATGTAAGTAGATACTCGATTCTATCGCGAGGCGATTTGCTAATCCTGTTAGTCGGGTTCTACGCTGGACTGAATATCATCGCTTGGTTTATGATTTTCTGCTTCGTCAGAGAAACCAAGCAGCTCACGCTGGAAGAATTGGATCGTAAGTGAATCAACCCCGCTTTGCCCCGCCCATATAACCATCTACTAATACATACGACAGAGGTCTTCTCGGTCCCAACCAAGAAATTCATACACCACGAATTAACCGTGTGGCTTCCCTGGTTCATCAGGCGACATATCTTCCGACAGAGCATCCCCAAACCACCGGCCATCATCGCGGTGGCCGACAAGTCCATGGGTATTCCAGTCGTGTAAGTTTCTCAAACAAGAAGAGTGAGGAGGCGGGGTGGGGAATGGGACGATTCCTCGTGTTTGAACTTTGTTGAAGCGGGTGAGGTGGGGGCCAAACCCCGCGTTTTGACCACGAAGCAACCACCCAGCTGGTGTATTAGAAGGTCCATATTGACTGGTGTGATGTTATTAATATTCTTTATACGTTTTTGGGTACTATACTTCTTTCTAATCGATGGCTGCTCCTGCACAGTAGATCTGTAATAGAGACCACTCTTTCATGTGTATTTCAAGGTCCAGCTTTTGCATTATGTTAGTTATCATCCAATAACATAGTACTCTATATTCTAGAGTATCAGCCCATAGCCGTAAGTAACTCAACCTCCTCCATTTTCTTCAAATACAATCCTCTGATCTGCTCACAAACCCCCCAGATCCTCCTCCGGTTGACAAGGCCCGGAATAGGGTCATATCCTACATCCGTATGCTGACTCTTCTCTGCAACATCCATAAGAATTTTAGATAATCCAGACTCCAACCTTTGAGATTTAAACGGGATAATATCTCGGACTTCCCAGAACCACGGCATCTCATTTCTTAGTTTTTCTTTCCAAATATTGTCTGGAAGTGCAGTGGTATGCATCGACCATGACGCGGCTTTAAGAGCGAGTATAGAGCCGCTAGGAAGGAGGTTGAATATTTCGTTTCGTAATTCATACGGTAGCCTGTTAAATATGTCCTCTTTAGGACTGCTTTGAGCTTCAGGCTGTGTATCACCCAAGAGGTCTTGAATCAAGTCAAGACGGGTACGTAGCTGCTCGATTCGAACTGGATCCACCACCAAAGCCTAGGAATCACCATTCTAAGCATAAATATCATAAACAAGGGTTGTAGCCCGTATCATATCATACCTCTTCATATCTTCTAGGCCTCCAGACCTGTCCTGGCTCTGGACTCGGACTACCATAATCCAAACCCAATCTAACCCAAGGTGCACAATTCAGATCCTCAAAGACACTACAGAGGATATCTCTGTTTACAGCCTTATCATCCTCGTGCTGTTTAAGGCATCTATGGAGTAATTCCTCGTAACAGGCCCGATGCACAGGGAAAACATTTTTCTTGACATTGTCTGCCCAATCAAAGTACCTATAACATGGATCAGTATGATTGTGAAATAGGTAGGAGAGGAATATACACTGTAAATACAGCCTCGGGCTTTCCCGTACGGTTGTTCGCAAAGTCGTGGATGCGGTCGATGGGGAGATTTGGATCTTTCAAAATCAGATATACTATCTGGAAATATCAATGCAGAGAACCTACCCTCGCCAGGAGAGACGTGTATTTCACCCTAACGTTCACATTAGTTCAACCAATCAATGTTATAGCTAGATGTATCTTACATAGTCCCAATAAAAGCCCACGCCTGTGAAAAATGATCTGTACCTGGCAGTTAATTATTGAACTTCAACAAAAAAAGAAAAAAGAAAAGAAAAGAAAAGAAAAGATGGCACACACTTAGTCGCCCCAGGTGCACTGGGATTCGAACCCAGAGCATGTAACTCGTCCAGCCATTCTAGATTACTGGTATCTCCAATCGCATCAGCGCTGTAGAAACCTGGGTCCGATTCCTCCGGATCCATACTAAGGCCAACACTACTGGTGAAAGTAGAGGCACATATTGCACAATAGATTTCCCATCCCCCCATTATGGTATGCGCTGAATAAACTCTGCTCAGGAGATTTTTACTGTGTATGTTTGGAGAACTTTTGGGGCTAAATATAGATGTTGAGAATAGGCCGATATGTTGGAGGACAAGTAGCAACTCTCTAGTCCGAGTTGGGAGCAGAGGTGCCTGAAGTGGTACTTGGCAAATACGGTGATTTTGCGGGGCCGACACTGTCCAATCGCTTCTTCGTATAATGTATCAGGTGACTTCAACCACAATTAGACAGATCAAGAGGATAACCACTCGACGACCTGTTAACGTGCCGATATTAAGACATCAGATATACTGAACTAGAATTAAAGAGTCGACGACAACAGTATCCTTTCAAGCATCAACCATCAAAATATTCGGAAACTGAGGATCTTTTTCTGCAAGTACTACAGACGTTGAAACATGTCTTTCTTGGTGAACCAAGGCTTTATTTCTTATATTTATAATCCTTAAACCATCCTGTTACTATTTCGAATTGCTTTACTAGAAATAATACACTTCACTCCCTCAGGGGAAGGAAAGGTTATGTAGACATTTCTTCCCTGGTTCCCACCTATTACTTCCCCATCTCTCTACTAAGTATATTATCATCCTCAATCTTCTCCTGTCGTCAATAGATTGAGTCCTAAAGTAGTCAAATCGTGAGCTTTACTAGTTGTTTGAGTTGTTGAGTGTATCCTTGAAGAGGTAGGAAGGGTCTATTAGGGGCACTTAGACTTCGAAGACATTTGCCAGTCACTTTTTGTCTTATCTCTATACAATTTTCACTGCTGACAGATACAGATAGGCATATATCCCTAGGAACAATAAATGATGCAGTACCTTAATGACATGGCAACCAAGAAGAAAGAGCCCTAACGACTCCGTGTTCTACCTCTTTAAATGTGGATTTATTTGAGGTACTTGCATATTTTCGTGCAACTACAATACTACCATCATTCCAGAGCTTGCTGGCTTTATGGGTGTAAAGACAGCGGCATTTGAAATTTGTAATACTCCGTATTACTATGCTAGTGAGTATTTATCTACATATATAGACATATGAACCGAAAGTAATGAGCTAACTTTAGTAAAATAGTACACAGATACTTTCATATACAAGTATGGTGAACAGAAGTTCGGGCTCGGCCTCGCCAGGTGACACCTCCGGTGTCTGGTCTGCAATCCTCAGTCACCATTTTCCAGCAACAGAGAATTTATTCACCATCCAGAGTACCTCTGGAAAGCAGGATATTTTATAAACGTATTGCCTCCGCGGTGGACACTGCGTCAGCACCTCGTCGGTTCCTAATCACACAGTAAAAAAGCTACATAGCAGAAACCTGGAGCTCGGAGTGTGAAAGTGGAAAACGACAACTCCAGATATATCTTGAAAGCTTAGCAGAGAGCATAAGGGACCCAGGAATAAAGGACATGAAAGGCATATTTGTATTGTAGCAATCGGATGACTTGCTACATTCTACAAGTATAATAAAAAGATACACAGAATGATGGAAATGGGTCCTTGAGGCCGAAGGCATGATATTCAGAAGAAGGCAATAAAAGTGGCCGAATACTTGAATGTGATTAAGCAAATACTATTAATAAAACTCCATTGGACTAAAAAGGGCAGCAAGGGCCTAGTTAGCGAAGGCTTCTAAAATATTGACGAACTCAGTGATAAAAATACCTGTATAATTATAGATATGATGGCCCTACACTCTTAGCTCTCACTTCCTTTCTATTACGCTCGTTACATCCGACAAGTCAATATCAAGATATCCCGATTGTGGGGAAATAATATTTCAAAGACGGAAGTCAAATTTAGTAACAGAAGGTAAATAGATCATAGCGACCCTAACATGAAGTATCTCCCACAACATTCTGTATTTCATCCAGTCGCTGAAAGATATAATGGCGTAAACGTAAACCGTCTGACGTTGCCAGTCAAGATCCTCATGCAGGATATCTGTGACTTCGTAGAAAACCTCACGGCGAATCATTGATCGCCAGAAGCTATTGTGAAAGAGTTACCCAAAGATTCCTCCATTAAAGCAACAGTCTCCGGCTCAAGATAACTCCAAATTTTATAAATGATTTCCAATGGAAGATTGTAGACTACTGACTGTTGCTGCTTTCGAAAAGGCCGGATAGTAATCCCTTTCCCCAACTGAAGTCTTCTTGCTACCTGCTCTTGTACTGTTTTAATGGCAGTCGTGACAAACTTGGTTAAAATACGGTCTAATGCAATGGTCAGTGCCAATCTTCATAAAATGCAAGGGAAATATTTGTCTTGCCTTCCAGACGAATAAATAGAGACCTATGTTTGGATACCGGACTTCTCTGTATCTTCGTTGTATAGCATGTAAAACAGCGGTCAGGTCTCTTTCCGCAATATCTCCCAGGGCATCCGAGAGTAGTTGCCGGCAACGAGTATGGATTGGATAGCCTATCCGTTCCCAATCCGGTTTTGAATCTTCCAATGGATCGCAATATTTCGGTCTTATACTGCAATCTCTTTCCTCTGGTGGAGGGGTGCCGATAAGTCCTTCTTCCCGATCCAAAGGTACAGGAAGCGAGGTCCGATTATCATGGTAGTAATATCCAACACCAGAGACATGGCAGGAACTATTCTTCTGGATCAAAATGACTTTGAGGTATTGTTAGCCTTCTGTTTAAAATGTCTTGACAAAGGATATGATTATTTACTCATGCAGTATACACCCCACCATAGTTGGTGATTCTCGCTCCAAAAACTAGGATCCTCTACCTCCTTCGCCGCCTGTATTCCAGATTTTGGCCTTTCAAGCCAGGGCTTAAAATCTTGATCTGTACCCCAACACGAAAGTGGATACCCACATATATAACACGGCGGGTTCTGACGATAACAGGTGTGAACGCGTTTAGAGCTCATCAGCTCCCCTTTGCTCACTGTGTAGTAGTCTGGAATAGTCCTAGAAGGTATGATGTGTCAGGTAAGGAAGAACCAGAAGAATATAAGGAAGAGATGCAGATTTGCACTAAATTTGGGTTGAAAATAGGAGACGTAGATTTGCACTGAATGTAGGTTAAAATGATAAGGAAGAGACGTATATTTACACCAAATGGAGGCTTAAATGGTAAGGAAGAGATGTGGAATTAGATCGAATGTAGGTTGAATAGATGAGATGTGGATTTACACCAAATGTAGGTTAAAATAATAAGGACGAGATGTGAGTTTGAACCAAGATAGAGGTTGAAAAGAAGAGACGTAATTTTGCACCAGATGTAAGTTGAAATGCTAAAAGGTGAAGAGACGAGCTGGGGGGATCAATCCTTAATATAGGTCGTGATTCAGCAGAGTCATACTTACATCGCTTTTTCTGTATCATTGTGATGCACAAGACATTTGCCAATCAACCTCATCTATATCGCCGTTGAAACTTTCCGCATTATAAGACTCACTGAGAATCCTGGGATGCCGTATTCTGACACTAATTGAACTCATCTTCCAGTCTCCTCCCCAGGACACGGCCCATAATTTTGCCTTCAACAAATGAGCAAAATTTCACTGTACTGGTACTGATACAACCTTACTGTTCAACTAGAATCATATACACTAAGGTTGCAGATATTAGCCTCGCCTCGGCAGGCATTGGACATTAGTAGTTTAGACGCCTCCAGGAATTCTCCTGCGTTATCCTGTGCCTGAAAATCAAAGCACCTAGATCCAAAATCCCAGTGATAATAATACAGGCTATACAGGCTCTTTATTATGGCCTCGTAACGCAATGTTTCCTAGCACGTATATTCTTTGTTTACATCAGGCCCATCATCCTACTGGCTGCAGCTGCCCCTCCAAATTGTCGACCTGTCGTCATAGCTATGCCTTCAGGTGTTGGCAAGGGAACTCTATCTCAAAAGCTATTTGACACACACACCCGAACACATTCACATTAATTGTTTCCCACACTACACGGAAGCCCCGAGCTGGTGAAGTTGAAGGCCTAGCCTATTTCTTCGTTCCATTATACATTCTTGTCTATTATTTCCGAAGGTGCGTTTATGGAACACACCTTTTTTGGTGGAAACCAATACGGTACTAGCAAACAGACCATAGCAGACCAGACGGCAAATGGACTAATTGTTCTGAATATTGAAATGCATGGCGTTAAGCAGATGAAGGAGAGCCACTGCATCGATGCGCGCTATATTATTATCAAGCCACCAAGTTTGGAGTCGCCTGAGGCGCGACTGCAGGGCCGTTCACGGAGAAAAAGAAGGGTATCCAGAGGCTGCTTGCTCAGGGTAGGCTTGAGCTTGAATATGCGGAACAAGGTGTCCATGATAAAGTTATTTCAATGATGATCTCGATAAGGCATATTATAAGAAGCTCGAGGAGTTTATATTTGGATGAATATAGGATAGCAAAATCCCATCGATAGTATACATACAGAGCAATGTGCAATAAAATATCGGCATTCTTGTACAAGGACTATCATCTAGCTCCCTAACTACGTCCGCATGGAGTATACTGACCTGAGTCGTACCTATTTTACACTTCCAAAATCCATGACTGTATTTATCTGCTGATCGGGCACGGGCATCCAAGTGACAAGCCAGCCACAATATACATACCAAAGAAGGTCAGAAATACATATCCCGACACTAGCGGTTTGTATCGGGAGAAAGAAGATTTTGTCGCTAATCCGTGTTTTGGAATAATTTTCTGAATAATCTATCCTATACTCAATCATGGTCTTGCATCCCAATGGCATGATTTTGGGAGCATTAAGAAATTACGCTTCGTCTAGATCCCATAGATGATTTAGTGATTGAATGGGATTATTATGCAGATAAGCAAAGTTAGAACTTGTCGCGACGCTCCTCCTTGCTAAACCAGCTTCATTTATTTCTGGTCGAAAGGACGTCTATCTATGTATGATATAGTGGTGCGTCATCGGTCCAACCATGACGCCAAATGTTTTATTCGTCCAATTCCTGATATAGTAGGCTTACGGTTTCTCAAACTGGGTTCAGCATATAAATATGCCTTTAATCTATGCCGAAGAAGCATCATTCCAAATTCTATTATATTTGCCACCTATTGCTATTGTATTCTTTTATAATCCTTAAATTTTTTTTCTAGTATTGAAGTACCGTAATACATACTGTGGACGTCGATACCATACAGATACCAATACACAGCTGACAAATTCATCACGCCCAGAAAATGACCTACCATATAAGCCTTCCCATTGGCAGATCCGCCAACCGCCTTTTTTTAAGCAGCGATTAGCGTGTAAGCAGACCGCATTAGCGCCGGGAATAAGATCTAAGCCGAAATCTCCATTCCTCTCCATCCGTGCTCATCTATCGGCCGAAACCAAGCCATTTTGTAGATTCCTATGTATATACAGTATATATCAGCTACAAGTAACGGAAAATCATCTTCTCTCCTCTTCGTGCCCGCCATCGATTCGTCGCCACCATTAACTCTCCGCACCCTCGCAGCACCCACGGCCACCGTCGTAGAAATTCCTCCGTTACTTCCCAGTTACTAGGATCCGACGGATCACCCCATACCAACAAACTGCAGCTGTCGTTGGACATGTCCCAGAACCCCATTATGTCAATGCATAACTGCTCGTCGTCGAATCCTTCCCCTGCGGCAACTAGATTATCTCGCATCTTGGGATGCGGGAAGAAATCCAGCCAGGGGTGGTGCTCGATACGTCGCTGTAGTTGAGTCGGGCGTAAATTAATCGGTAGGTGTTCATCTTCCACGAAACCGGGTTGCATAGTGGTGAATGGTGAGATGGCATCGTCGTGTAGCCATTCCATATCGTTTTTCATCCCGAGGATGGTCAAGATGGATCCGAAAGCGCGGAACACGTTCATTTTGCTAAGAGTGAGGAGGTGCTCGGCTGTCGGAGATCCGAGGATATAGCTCTGGTAGGCGGTATTACTGAGAGCTTCGAGCAGTTCGGATGCTTGTTCGGGTCTGATGCAGCGTCCGCCAATACTATTTCTTGATGTGACCGTAGATATGCTGGAGGTGGAGTCGGGGTTGGACGATGAGAATGTTTCTTGGGAGGATGAGCTGTTAGGACTGGTTTGCCGCACAATAGCATTGTCGCGTTGGGAGACCAGACCCTGACTTTGAGCCCGTTTTCGCCTTCCTATTTAGAATATCAATATTAGGAGATCTTCATATATTATTTTCTCTGACCAACAGGATCACTAACTGTAAGCGCGCTGGTTCACGCGGTTCTGCCGCCGCCTCCGCTCTTTCGGGTCCGTCAATCCCTTCCAGTCATCGGACTGCAATTGATGTGTGCCGACGCTATCCCGTTCTGGAGTTGTAGGTGCCGAAGCATCGTGCTGCGTGCCGACGGTCAGGTTGTCAGTCATCGTCGCGTCAATAGGTGGATTGCAGTGTCACCGTTGGTGCCAGGAGTAAAGTCTGGGGCGGTGGATGTCTTATGCATAATGCTGACCGGCCGAGTTTGGGTCGGAGTTAAGGCATTGTGGTGTGGCGATCGAGAGTTCGTTTCGGTCCTGTCATTACTTACCATACAAACACTACCCTAATTAGCCTTGACCACGATGGATGGACAATCAAAAATATAAGAGATTATGAGGGTTATTTAGAACCATGGTTTTGCTGATTGCGTGTTCTTGTATGTACAGCCATCATATTGTTAATGAGTATGGATATCTACCTTCGAGGTGCCATCATCATGGACCAAATATGATCATTACTACTGAGGAAGTGGTAAATAAGCTTCCTCTAGAATAATACTTCACTGGCTTTTGCATCAGCAATTATATTTCATGGGAGGAGGTTTAAATCCAAGAATATCGAAGATCGAATGGATAAATCCAACTGTTCATCAGGGAATCTCAGCGATCTACCGTGCCATTAAACCGGAGCCATTTCCTGCCTTCACGACCAGAATCACTCTTTATACTATCCAGCCACTAACAGGAAAATTCCTGACTTCCCCCTACCGGCGTGGCATGTCAGTAGACGGCCACGAACCAGGCCCTAGATTCAAACCTAAGTGTTAGCAGGTAACTTGCATAGCCATCGCTAATAGGCTGTACTTTTACTTGGATGCTCTTGATATCATTCTCGCTATCGCTAGGAATTATATATTGACTGAGGCTGAGCGTACTCTACGGTAGGTATGCCGTTACAGTGCTATGTCCAAGGGCGAGGGAGATGCTTCCGTAGTGGATTCTAGCAGTGATGTGCATTGAATAGGGTATGAGTAAACACTATGCTATGGAGGAAAAGGTCCAAGTATGGTGCGGCCCTAATTGATGAGAAAGGCGATATATTAAAGACCTTTAGTAGATTTGTATATGGGTGGATTAAGTCTGTTCGTGTGCGCCTATTTGAATTGCCAGGCCGCTGGTATTCTTCAATAATGTAAATATCTACCTCTACATAAATGGCATCAATGATATAAGTTAATAGGAAGAAAAGAAAATAGAAATAGAAAAGAAAAAAGCGCTGATATGCCTTCCACGCCTTGATGCAGTTTGGGGCTGAACCGCCTTGCTTGTTTAGATTTGCGCTGACAATGTCACGAACGCCTCTGGGCTTCTCGCTTAAGAATATCAAATGACTGGATCACCGACCCGCGGTCCAGATCATGCCTTACCATATGTCGGACTATATACAATCCTTCTTTGTATCGAGATTTGACGATTTGTTTCCGCGTTTTCGATTTCCTAGCTGTGTGTATGCTCTTACAAAGTCCATGGGCCGGGTACGCCAGAAGACCTAAAGCCGCTACGGATAGATCGATCAGTAATGCTCATAGCTGACACGGCAGAGAAACATACCTGATGGAACCTTTGTCGAAAAACTGATTGTCCCTTTCATAATACCTTTGGCGACTCCAAGAGCCCCGTCTTCTGCACCGCCTTTCCATGACTGAGTCCAAATATCGGTAAAGCCCTCTTTCATACCTTCGGTAAAGTTCTTCCCTCCTGCAATTGCGCCGGACTTCCAGTCTCGGACTGCGTAATCTTTAACATCCTCGCCATATAACCGAGGAATCGCACGTAGACCTTCTGTGGTTGCCAGGGGGATGTCCACCAATACGCCTTTGTAGTAGACTCCGATAGACCGCCCAAGACTTTTAGCCGACGCTGTTATTGCTGCACCACCTTTGCTCCAATTTCTTCTCGAACTACCTGTCTCCGTTTCAGGGCCTATCGAGTTGTGATCTGACGCTGAAGTGTCTTGGAAAGCTCTCAACAGTGTTGGGACACCTGGATCACTGTTCGATCGAGGCCTGCCCGGGCTCGATCGGCTCATCTCCTGATACGGCTTGACGAACATGTCCGCTGTAGCTTTCAAAAAATTTGTACTCGTTTTAATAAGTGCTGAAGTCGTGCCACTGACCGGGTCGTATCTGCGTTTTTGGATAATGATCGAGCGTGCTTCGAACCTAATCGGAATTCCAAATTAATACTTGAACCAAAGTAAACCAATCTTGATATGCTTACAAATGTAGATTCCTCTCCTCAAGCCGCATATGGTCTAACAAAATCTGTGTGGCCATTTTAGAGAGGCGGATAGGCCTTCCAGAAGATTTCTTGTATGCCCACACTGCCGGTTGGTCAGAAAAAATCTGACATCGCATTGTATCCGAGGGCAGGTTGCGGTGGAAAGATTCAACCGCTCGTTGGACACCAGATTCATTCATCATTCTGCGGCAAATATCCTTTGCGGCTTTCAATACTTGTGGTTCGAAACAGTATTGAATTGCGCTGGCAAGGTTGTCCACGGTCAAAGAACGATGTGGAATTGGTATTGGGCCAGCACCCGCTGCTGCAATCATATTGCCCCAGAATGGTTGGTCCCCAAAGAAAGGAACAATCACAGTAGGCTTTCCATATCGCAAGCCACATGCTGTCGTTCCAGCACCACCATGATGTACAACAGCAGAAACGTGCTGGAAAAGCCATTCGTGAGGACAGTCTCCTAGATAAAAAATGTCGCTCGATGAGTGGCCCCCAAGACTACTCCAACCGCGGGATATGATAGCTCGGACTCCGAGGGATCGGACAGTTTGCTCAAGTATGGCTGTGATTCGAGGTGGATTGTGTATTACAATACTGCCAAAGCCAATATAGACCGGCGGTGGTCCCTCCTTTAGAAAAGCGTCAAGTTCAGGAGGGGGGTTATAGTTGGGTGGATCACGGAAAAAGAAGCCGCACACATCTACCAGGTCAGCGTACTATTGAGGAAAATAAAAGTGGAATGAAGAAGCTACCAATATATGACGGCCAATCTTCAGGTTTTGGCAGTAGTGCGGGCGACCAGCAGTATGTGAATGGTACTTTGAGCGTTTGCGCTAGATTCGGTCCTTCGCCAGTAGGAACAGGCTCAAGGTCTATGGTTTCCCTCCATTCATTGATGACGTCTCCAAGGCTATTTTACCGTTAGATCACTAATCAACCCTTTACGCAAGTCGGGAAATACTCACCCCTGCCATGTCATCCATTCAACAATCCCATACGACACCGAGTTCGCGAATTTTGAATTAGTCCCGGAGTATTTCAAATTAGCTAGAGGATGCGGATAGGCGGAGGTTGGGCTCCAAGGCATGGTGAACATCAGGTGTAATGGAATGCCCAAAGCCTGCGCACAGTGTATGTGAGCAAAGCTGGGAGGATTTGCAATGATCGCATCTGCGACAAATGGGGCTTGCGTAGTCGGATCATCTTCTATACATGATTTCCAGCAACCCTCCAGCATCTCTGCCACCATGGCTCGTTTCCGCTGGATATCACCTGCCTTCAGACTCTTCATCTTGGGAATGAGTCCAGGGTTTCTGACCATGTAAGCCATCAACTCGGCAGGGTCTCCACCAATAGGATAAAACTCCAGACCTGATCCTCGGACGAAGGAGTCGAAGATATCATGTGTTGCTAGCCTCACGCGATGGCCGTGCTTCTGTAGTTCGTTTCCCAACGCAATGAACGGTTGCACATCGCCTCGACTTCCGACCACCTGAATAACAATGTTAAGCCGAATCCCAGGGGGTAAAGAGTCTGTATACTCTGGAGGTGGTTGAACTAGATCCTCCTCGCACGGCCATTGGATGAATTTCAGGGCCGCATTGCACGCGCGTGAATCGAGATTCAGCTCAATCCGACCATCATCTGTTCAGTTTAGTCTAGTTCTAGAAGATCATAGGTGGGAAAGAAAGTAACGGAGGCGGTACCTTGGACGAAGTCGGCTCCTTCTGGGGCGACCAAGTCGTACTGAGGTAGAGTCTCCACAGATATACAGTCGGCATCCAACTCTGCAGACTGAAGGCGTCCCTGTGAAGCAGCCATAATGCGGATACGAGATCTAAGGGAAGTGTTGGATTAAAAGTTCTTGGGAGCAGCACATGTTTATAAACCTCTCAACCATGGAACACAAATGGGTCCTTCAGTGACGAATATGCCAGCATTGTTTTTTCTGATCGTTTGCTCGTATTCGCTCCGATACTACTAGTTTCGAGTTATGGGGCCGCTAGCTTAGCCTCTTGGCACCTGGTAGATCACGTGAATGCCACCATTGCAAGTAAATCTTGGTTATACAGATAAATGTGTCCATGAATTATATCATGCTGCTGAGGACATTGCAGGCATTCCTTACCGGTGTTTACTTTGCTCGAAATTTTCCAAAAACCACTCGTGGTAGTATACACTTTAGAAAAGCCAAATGACACAGAAATTGATGCCTGGTGCTGTTTGGCTTCCGCCTTGCTAGAGGCTTGGTTGCTGACTAGGGCTAGTGTAAAGGCTAATAATAGCACTAATGCATACCAGTTAATCACTAGGTAGATATGTATGAGCTAACCCTTCGTATCTCAAAGAAACACACCCACTAGGATCAGATATAGTGGCCTTTTGGTCCAGTGGAAAAGCTAAGATCCTGAGCTTGGCTATAACACTAACTAATTAATTAATGATGATCGCCAACTACATTACAGATTGACCTGGCCACAGCAGAGTAACCACATCCCCATAATCCCCAGGATCATCAAGACCATTTAGATGCTCATGATCTTCGTGATCGTCGTGGGTTCCTCTGATGCAGTTGCAAAATCTGCCACCTAGGGGAGGCGACAAATGCCGTTAACGCAAATGCCGCCTTCGCAATCAGCATTATCATGACATCTTGGGTCCTGACGAGAGACAAGAGAGTGGGCTTTAGCAATTGTTAAACGCAGAGGCGGGATCCTGAATCTCCTACAAGAACCCCAATGGCAGTTTTGGAATCGGGGACAATCCATGCTGTAACGGCATTTCCTCGCTTCGGTCTCCATAGGCACATAGTTGGGAGTATCTGGAAAAGTAATCAGGGATGTTAGTTATACTCATAGGAGGATGATAATCAAAAGTGGTACAGGAATAAAAGTATTGCACTCACCATGGAGACACTTGCTGTTCAGGCAAGATCCCTGACCACAATCTTTGCTCTTATGGCATTCGATGTTGTCATCGTCCATCCGTGAAGCACGAGCAATGAAAGACTTGGACACGGTACATTTGCCGTTCTTACACCATCCATGCTTGCAAGGAGGGCCGTTGCCGCATTTAGAAGGAGGAACTTCAGGCGGGCCAGGACCATATTTACATACCCCGAAGATACACTTCTGATCCTTGGGACACTCCTGATCGAGATTGCATTTTTCGATATCACTTCTCATGGTATCGTTGTCATTGTCCATATCTGGATCATTATGTAAGTTTAAATGTGATAGACAGGAATGCGGACGAGAGAAACACGGATTGCACCCACCAGCTGCGATACAGGAACCCTCAAGACAATATCCATTGCGACAATCGGCATCATTGTGACACGCTACGGCGGTCTCATCGCGAGTGTCAAGACTTGAAGGAGGCTGGCCACCCATGTATTGACAGACATGATTCATGCAATCCTTGCTATCATGGCAGTTCAGGAAGGTACCGCAGTGGGTAATTTTGATTTCCGCAGACTCCACAGAAACATCAGCAACAGCAGAGGCACAAGTCACAAGAGTGACAATGAGAACAAGAAAAAATATTAGAAGCTTCATTGTGGTTAGAGGCTGGCTCGTAGCCACAGAAGCTAGGTGAAGAGTAGGAGAATATAATGGATGGTGGTTAGAAAGCGAAAGTAAAGATAAGGGAAATAAAAAGGAATAGAGGTTAAGAGGAAGAAAGAAGAGAGGGGAAGGAAATAGCAGTGCGGACTTTATAGAAACAGGAGGCAGTCAAATAGGCCTCTATCTATTATTCACTGTCAACAATGCTGGAAGTTGCCATGACACAGTTCTGTAGAGGCTATTCACCTCTGCATACTATTCATCTCACGGTCAGGGCAATTGGACTCTGGGGCCCAGTAGTAAGATGCCATGCCTACAGCCCACACGCTTAGGCCTATGTATCTAATTGGCTATCCAGCGGGCTAGTCAAGGTATTTGACAAAGTCATTCATCTGGTTAGGTTGTCATTAGGTGGTTTTGATATACCTGGGTAGCAGGCCTTCACTGACTCCAGTTGCCATTGAGATACCATATCTACTAACAGACTTCACCAGGTTGGTAGTTTTATTATTTGGTCCAATATGATTGATTAATAGTTTCCAAAGTCTTCACATATACCAACTCAAGTCTATGCATACGTAATTAGACATAAAAGGGGGAGAGATAGGCTGACGTGTGTAACTCACCGCAAACCAACTCCTCCCGATACCTAGTATCCGAATAATTGGGCTACTTAGCCTTCGTCTATCCAGATGTATATCTACGTATATCTTCAGTCAGGATGCGATGGAGGAGTGGAATCTCATTAGAGAAATACAGGCAAGCATTGTTACTAATCTCGTCCATCGATATCCTATCGAGTGAGCATAATATACGGGGCCCGATCTACCCCGAAGTCAAACAAGGCGGCAAGACGCTTCTTCGACCGCCAATATCTTCCTTCTCACTCAGCCTATACAGGTTAAAGCCATGGTCAGAGCACCACCCATCATCGATTTCGGGGGTAAGTTTCTCCCGCTAGGCGATTTATCTGGTCCTTATTGACAAACACAGCATTCTACACGAACGATCCACTGAAAAAAAGCGACTTGGTTAACCAGGTCCGTCAAGCCTGTCAGGATCATGGCTTTTTCCAGATTGTGAATCACGGCATCCCAGTTGATATCCTGGAGGCTATCTTTCAGCAAACATGCGATCTCTTTAGTTTACCGCTGGACGTGAAGGAAAGATACAGTAAAGTTTACCAATCATTTCTGTCCATATTGCGTAAAGTACCCGGCATGACGTACGCTGATACCTTGACTATAGATATAGGAACAAATAACAGAGGATACGAACATCTCCGAGCCCAGAACTTCGAGAAACGCGGACCAGGCGACTTGAAAGAGGGATTCTTCATCGGTAAAGACATACCTCCCGACCATCCGTCCGTGCTGGCCGGGAAATTCTCCCAGGGTCCAAACAAGTACCCCCAAGAGATCCGCGATCCCGACTTATTTCGTAGTGTAGTTGACCGCTACCATGCGATTATGAGCGATCTTGCACGAGGGATACTAAAGGTATTGGCGCAGACTCTAGGGCTCCCGGAAACCTGGTTTGATGGTTTCTGTCATGAGCCGGTGGCGACTCTGAGGCTATTGTGGTACCCAGCCCAAGAAGTGACCGCGTCGAGCCACGAGCGAGGTATGATCGGACCATGTTAGTCTCGGTGGTGATATTAATGTAGACCTAGGGATTGGCGCCCACACCAACTTTGGGGCGGTTACGATCCTACTCCAGGATAATAACGGAGGGCTGCAGGTCTGGGACCGCGAGTCTTCCGAGTGGGCAGACGTAGTCCCTATGCCAGGAGCATTGGTAGTTAATCTGCGGAATATGATGATGCGCTGGACAAATGATCGATATCTGTCCAATCTGCATCGGGTCATTAATCGCAGCGGAAGGGTCCGATATAGCGTGCCATTTTTCTTCTCCGGGAATCCCGACTTCATTGTTGAATGCATCCCGAGTTGTTACGACGAGATAAATAAGGCCAAGTATCCGCCCATAACGGTACAAGAATGGATGAGAGGCCGATACGCCGACACGTACGGGAGATCACAGGAAAAGGCGATGGAAGAGTTGTCCTCGGAGGCGACGGCGGCTCTCGGCTGAAAAGCGGGAACTTACATTGTCATGAAGGTTTTTTTTATTAGGGGGGGGGGGGGGGAATGGAGAAAACCGGGGACAGGGATGTCAGGGGGAGCGGAGTAGATATAGCATGTCGGATTGATTTTTATTGGGAGGCAGGAGTGGCCCAATGGCATCCCAAGGGGCATTGTGGGTTCGTCACATGTGATTGTGGATGCGAGGATAGAAGTACACGACGAACTTTCTCACGAGTTGGATAGCTTTGGAATGCTTTACATACGGCTGACCCCATGTGAATGCTGTTTTGCACGTGCTAGTCTAGATAATTTTGGGATTGACCAATTTTCCATCTAGTCCGATTTCTCGCTCTTGGCGATGTAGGATACAAATTTGGTATTGGTGCGATTGTGTTATTATTACCAAGAATGAGCTCACAATATCCCATTAAGAGGGTACTGTACTATACCTCATCGTCAGTTTAAGCACGGTCAGAAATCAAAATTCATACTAGATGACTATTCATGAATTCACTGGCCATGAATAAGGGCGAAGACAAGACCGATCGTTATCAGATAATCATAAATAAGCTCACCCCTGTTGCTGCACGATTGCCGATTTCGGGCCAATCCCTGCCTGATGCTGCCTGACCGGCACTGCCGGCTCCGATGCTTTTTCTCACCACCCGAGATATTTAGCCTTCCCTTCTCTAAAGTTCTACCACGGAATACGGACTATTCCGCCCGGATTCCGTCCAACTCAAAGATTATCTGCCCCAGGCAGTCAGGCACCAAGGCCACCACCAGCTGAGCCGAGGCATTTTCCCCATCGGGCAATTGGCGGAGTGTCACCCTCGGCCTTTTTGTTGTCGACGTCAGTAGCTGAACTCTTAGTTTCCCCGTAGAGTCCCTCCTATAAGTCCTCCACTTCCCCCCAGTCTGAATCTCATCTCCGTCGCCCACACCACCCTACCCGTTCATTCCTTTTCTCCCACTTCACATCGCAATGCCTTCTCCACCCCCAGCCTGGGTCCAGGCCTTGAAGCCGGCCGACCCGCAGGGCTCCGAACTCCTGTCCCAGGAGCGCGCCCAGTCGAACGTCAACGTCGACAAACTGGCAGAATTACTACACACGAAGGAGTTTCTGGACCGACAAGACCGTCTTCTGGCGTTGCTCCAGTCCGAGAAGATCTTCGACAAGTCTCAGAATCACACATTGGGCCGCACTGAGCGGATCCAACTGTCGCTGGCCAAGGCTAAGCGGCTGCAACAGTTGGCCGAAAAGCACAACTGGTCGTTCGACGAGTACCACTTGGCTAATGACCTGCTGGCTGAGCCTACTCCTTACGGTCTCCATGCATCCATGTTCTTAGTATGCATATCTGCGATACTCAGTACTGTGCCAATGACTAACGAGGTAATAGGTGACATTAAGAGAACAAGGAACTCCCGAGCAGCACAAGCTTTTCTTAGAACCCGCTCAAAAATACCAGATTGTGGGTTGCTATGCGCAAACGGAGTTGGGTCACGGGTCTAATGTGCGTGGTTTGGAAACCACCGCCACTTGGAACCCGGAGGACAAGACTTTCACTATCCATTCGCCCACTCTGACGGCGTCCAAGTGGTGGATTGGTTCGCTGGGTCGGACTGCCAACCACGCAGTGGTGATGGCACAGCTACATATTGGCGGCAAGAACTACGGCCCCCATCCGTTCCTCGTCCAGGTCCGCGACCTCAAGACGCATCAACCACTGGAGAACGTCTACGTGGGTGATATTGGGCCTAAGTTTGGTTACAAGTATGTACTAGCGGTGATGAACCTGTTAGAAGTCCCTCCCTTACTGACTGATCCCAGCACCATGGACAACGGTTTCCTTTTGTTCAACCATGTCAAGATTCCCCATGTGAACATGCTCGCTCGCTTCTCTCGCATCGACAAGGAAACCGGTAAGTACATGCGTCCCGCCTCTCCGTCTCTCGTGTACGGAACCCTCACCTGGGTGCGGTCGAACATCGTTCTCCAAGCCGGAGGCGTGCTAGCGCGCGGCGTCACAATCGCCACCCGGTACTGTGCGGTTCGGAAACAATTCCAGGACCGTGATGCCACCGGCAACACGGGCGAGAACCAGGTTCTCAACTACAAGATGGTTCAGATCCGACTGCTCCCCTTGTTGGCATCCATGTATGCCCTGCATTTTACCGGCCGTGGAATGATGCGTCTCTACCAGGAGAACCAGAATCGGATGAAAGCGGCCGCCCAGCCGGGACAGGATAGTCGAGGTGCTGGTCCGGAAGAGCTCCGAGCCGGTGCTGATCTCCTTGCTGATCTCCATGCTACTTCCTGTGGTCTCAAGGCCTTGGCTAGTACCACGGCCGGAGAGGGCTTGGAAGTCTGTCGTCGTGCCTGTGGTGGCCACGGATACAGCAGCTACAGTGGTATTGGCCCATGGTACTCTGACTATCTCCCTACCCTTACCTGGGAAGGTGACAACTACATGTTGACCCAGCAGGTAGCTCGATACGTAAGTCCCTCGCCATGTCAAAACAAAACAGAATGAAAGAAAAAAACAATACTAACCAAAACAGCTCCTCAAATCCGCCCGCTCTGTCCTTGCAGGAAAACCCTCCAATAATGACACCTGCCAAATCCTCCAAAACTACCTCTCCCGCCGAGACAAGGGCGCCTCATTTGATGTCCTCGAAGTCGACAGCGACATCGTAGCCGCATTTGCATGGCGCACAGCCCATCTAACATTCGAGGCTCTGAAGCACCGCGACGTGGAGAAGCGATCATGGAACAGTCTGCTAGTTGATTTCTGGCGTCTATCAACGGCGCATTCGCAGTATCTCGTTGTCAAGAACTTTTACGAGGCTGTGACATCGCCACAGTTGACTGCTGCTCTGGATCCTGAAACTACCACGCTCATGCATAAGCTTTTCCGGCTTTATGCGCTGCATACACTTGAGCGTGAAGCTGCTGAGTTCTTCTCCTCTAGTGCTGTGACGACTCGTCAAATCAGTCTGGCGCAAACAAATGCTGTTATGAAACTGCTTGATGAGATCCGCCCGCATGCTGTGCGTCTTGTCGATGCGTGGAAGATCCCTGATTGGCAGCTTGATAGCAGTCTGGGTCGCTATGATGGTGAGGTTTATCCGGATTTGTTCCGTCGGGCGAGCCAGAATCCAGTCAATGATCTGGTGTTTGATCCTTATCCGTGGAATGAGGCAGTGTTGAAGAATGCTCCTCCCAGGAGCAAGCTGTAGGAATGGGTTTTATGGTTTTTTTGGGTGATTCTGTATATTTTTATGAGACGGTGTGGCTGGCGTATATAGATGAAGAGTATGCCTCTTAGATTTAGACATAGAATGAGGTATTTGATATTGTTACATTCGGCAATTGTATATATAGATCTTAATCTATAATTACAACCACGATTCCTCCTCTCCACTGCATATTGTCTCCCCATTTGTCACACCTCATCCACACCTGTCTCAGCAGACTTCTCCGCCCAGCGCTGCTCCGACTGCAGCACATAAAACAACACCACCTCTCTCGTGGCGAACACATCGTCAAGACAATCATGAACCCTTGAGGACTTCTGCACCTTGATTCCCAACAGCTCGTCTGCGAGTTTCTTCAGCCTCCATCGCCGGGTACAGCATCCATAGACGAGATGTTTGCTACAGCCTCACTGGTCAAGAGACCTGTATCAGCGGAGTGATACACAGGACATTCATGTCTTTATGCAACGCCTGCCCAGCCAACATGGTATGCGCATCTATTAATCGTCAGACCTCATCACGCGCCTCCCTCACCCCTGTGTTCTCTCCCTTGAAGAAGCCCGCTGGATGGGTCAGCGCGTGGCACGACCCCCAGTTAAACCCTGCAAAGCTTACTTGGCCTGCCGGGGTTCAGGACAGCGATCCGCGGATGCCTGCTGCCCCGAGCACACCCACCAGGGCAAGATGCTTAACGTGATTACCGTGCAGTCCTTGAAGGAGACCATCTCTGACGACGAGCAGGAAAAGGAGTAGTCAGTGGTTAAAGCTGCGACCAGGGACCAATCCCAGCAGAAATCTCGGAGGGCTTTAGCCCTGAGCAATTATGTCAATCTTCTAATGTTGCTTCTTTCACCATAGACCCCCGTGCAGAAGCTCAGTTGAAGCGGGGAAGACATAGTTATGTTTCTTTCGGTCTATGTAAAAGGTAAAAGATTAAAAGTTTGCTTGATAATGGAGGTAGAATTAACATTATTAGTCTATCCCTTGTCCGCACGACATATTCCCTATTTTAAGGCTTAATAAACCCGTACCGCTTTTACCTTGCTAAAGCTAAACTTTCTACCGGACACTTACAGTACCAAGCGGCCCTAGTTGCCTCCGGATCGGCTAGCATTTTGAATAATTAGTCTGCTACTTTGCTCCACTACTACAGTTAAGTTAGCTCGGAGACTCCTGGCTGCGCTAATCTGATCCTGCAATTAATTGATTCAGTGGTCCGTCCAGTTTGACTCCACACAGGGATTTTTCTCCCATAGCTGCTTGTTACACGCTCGCCTATATACTGCATACACGATGGGCTTGCGGCTCTATAAGAACCTAGAAAAATACTTTTAATAGTAAGATTATTAGTGCCTATGCCTTCCTCCACCTTGCCTGTTAATTAAACCACCACAGCTTTTTTAATGGCCCCCTGTACTGGAGCAAAGTACTTCTACGCCACGACTACTGGAGCTGTTCGCCCAGCGGATGACGGCAAGTTTATGGAAGGGTCCCCGTCCTATACCATTGAGGAGATGAAACAAAGGGTGTCCCTAAATACCCCGAAGTCCAACAAGTCTTATAAGGGAGGAAGCCAACACACTTCGTCCGCACCAGGATAAGGACCTACACGAGCCTACTACCACATGTTGGCAGTGGTCGACCGCCTCCCAAACAATGCATCTTTAAACTGCTGAAGACTAAAAGGTTACCGAGCTGGTGGTGCTGAAATCAGTATATAATAACGATGCGTTCCATTCACTACTCGACCATATCCACCTGGATAAAAGATCCTTCACTTGAACCAGATCGACTGTAGAATCACAAATTAATCACCCAATCCTGCCAACACCCTCGCCGACGGCGCAAAGAAAGTCGTCCCTGTCAACGGCCTCGAAAAGTCCAGTAATCGATCATGCAGACCCAATGGATCACCCACAAACATGCGCTGCAGCATCTTCTCGATCACCCACAGTCGACGTGAATATGCAATAAAGTATGTCCCGAATTCACCAGTACCGGGAGACCCAAACGGCATATTATCCCGAAGGATACTGTGTTCATTACCTGAATCGTCCTCTACTGTCGCCAGCGACTTATGAGACTGCTGGCCGGACTCCGCGTCGTCAAGCTCGATATTATCAAGCTTGGTGCGTCCGATAATAGCTTCCTGCTGCTCTGTCGAGAGAGCCTGCCATGCTGACATATCATGAACATATTTCTGAACAACAATGTAACTACCTCCAAGGGCGGACACATCCTTATCTTCCTGAGTGACAAGAACCGAGTCCGTTACCGCCGGTCCAACAGGATTCGCCGTGCCATCAACAAATCCGAGTAGATCGCGTACATCAAAGTATCGAAATCCGGTGGTCTCGTCCATGACCGTCACGGAATCACCCAGTCGTTGAAGCAATTGTCGCTCGAATTCAAAACATAAGTCTCGTCTCTCGGAGCGGATATGGAAAAGGAGGTCTCCGGGGGTAGAAATTGCCGTGTGTTTCTCACCCTTGATAGCGGGAAACGGGTGCAGTTCAGCTGGTTTTGGTAATCCCGTCAATTGGTCCCAGATGGCGCTACCAATGCCGACTGTGCAGGTGAATGAGGCTTGGAGGTCACGGATAGAGACATTCTTGGCCAGGTCATCGACGCTGGCGACAGTGGAACGCACTGTCATGATGGCGGATGGAGTGTCTTTCACCGTGAGGACGAGGAAAATGGCGGACCGTGTGAGTGGTGCATCGACGGGTTGTTGCTCCATGAAGAGGGGTTTGTTTATCGTGTGTCTGGCGAGGTTGAATCGTGGATGTGCTGTCGGTCGAGGACCAGACGATATAGATCGGCAATGGAGTCGGACTACAGCGGAAGTTCCATAATGGCAACTGGAATGCACTAAACTCGGTAATTTGGTGAGTTCCTCAATACAGCTAATCCTGGATACCCTCATCCCACGGTAGATCTGGTCTGAGTGAAGATCGAAGACTAGATTATCTGGGTTCTTGGAGTCCCAATAAAGTGCAGCGCATTACCGCATGCGGAAGTGATGATGTCGATGGCGAAGACGGCTTGTGGGTGTCATCGGATTATTTACCAGAGGTTTCAATAACCATGGGTTCGCGAATACATTCAACTCTAATTTCTATTGGTCTAAATCATATCACATTATAGACATCATTAATCAAAAAGCGAAAACTTATAAACAGAAGGCTGAATATACGGCGTTCCTGTGCGCCGACTGGTAAATCCCCAGCGAATCTGCGCTGCCTGCGACAGCTCCACATCCAAATGCTGAGCGAACGTCCAGGCCAAACCGGGATCTTTCTGGAATCCTCGACCGACTAGAGCCACGTCGATTCCGTCCTCCTCTAGCACCTGGTTGGCCTGTTTGCCCGTGGTGATGGCACCCACCGCGGCCACCAACAGCTTATCCCCGACAGCCTTTTTGACAGCCACGGCAAACGGTACCTGGAATCCCGGTCCCGATATGACTTTCTGCGCCTGGTGCACGCCCCCGGAGCTGATATCGATCAAATCCACAGCACCCTGTTGAACGAGCGTCTGCGCGAATCGCACAGTATCCTCAGACCGCCAGCCCTGCTCGGGCAGGGTCTCCTCGAGCCAATCCGTGGCCGAAATACGCAAAAACACCGGAACGTCAGGCCCAGCCGTGTCACGGGTCAACTGGGCGATTTCTAGCGAGAGACGGATACGGTTCTCGAAGGAACCGCCGTACTCGTCGGTGCGGTTATTCGCTGACGGCGACAAAAACGACGACAGAAGGTATCCATGGGCATTATGAATCTCAATAAAGTCCGATCCGGCAGCAAGGGCGCGCTTAACGGCCGCCACCCAGGCGTTTTTAAACGCCGTGATATCCTCCTTGGTCATGGCTTTCGGGGCCGGGAACTCATCGGAATAGGGGATATCACCAGGTCCCTTGACGTTGGCGGGCCATCCGCCGACCTCTTCCGTGGCTGTCACCGCGGTGGTGATCCATGGGGGCACGGTGCTAGCCTTACGACCAGCATGAGCCAGCTGAACACCGATCTTCTGCCCTTGACTGTGCACGAAGTCGATCACCCGACGCATTGGCTCAATATGCGAGTCCTTCCACAGACCAACGTCCTGCGGTGTAATGCGCCCCTCGGCCTGCACCGCGGTCGCCTCGATGATCAACAATCCGGGTCCGCGCTGAGCGATGCCGCCCAGATGCGCCACATGCCAGTCGGTCATATGGCCATCGTGGGCGGAATACTGGCAGAGAGGAGCCAGCTGTAGATATATTGTTAGCAGGTCTTGAACAAGGTGGTATGTATGAAAGTAAACATACCCCAATGCGGTTTTGGAACGTCACCCCTCGCACGGTCAACGGTTGGAACAGTTTCGGCACCTTTTTTCCGTTGCTCTGAGGATTGGCGGCTGTCCCAGCCGGCGTGCTCTGTGCCGGCGTGAAGTAGGAAATTCCCGGAGCAGGTTCAACGTATCCGTCTGCGCGTGTCATTGTCAAACAAGAGGGATGGAATGGACGAGAGGGTGAATAGAAGAAATGTGTCTGACGACGTGGTTTAAATCTTCACGAGTTGTTCGAAGCTAGCTGAATAACTTTACTCAAGTTTGATTTCAAATCGACGCAGACATTATATTGCTCATCCGACACCCTACAAATCATTGGCGCAGACAGTGGAGTTGAGATACTCGATAGACTCCGGTTTATTGGCTTGACGCAAATATTCTCGAAATCTCCACCAGGACCACTTTTGCTGCCTTAGTGCCTGCAAAATCAACAGGGTGCCTGATTGGTGAATTGTGCTGAGTCACCCCACCGGGCGGAGGAACGATTGAGTAAAAGTCTCCGAAGAGCTAGTCCCGTTCGGGAAAGGAACCCCTCCTCGATTCGGTAGAAATCGTCAGGATACAACACAGTGGAGTATTCATGCACTTCCTTTTGCTGTAAAGATTGCATATTCTTCAAGGATGATCCTAGTATTGTGGAATTTATAGTTACGTGAGATAAAAGTGTTTAATTTGGGTTTATTTTGAGTTCATTGGAACAATCGCATACTCTATTGCCACCTCGGACTGACCCGAACACCAGAATATGAACTTAATAAATATATGGGGGTCACCCACGCGGCGTGATGTCACGCCATACTACCGCGAAACCTACTATTTATTCTATCAATCTACATACATAGCATACGATTATCTCTAGCTTGCCACCGCCCTGTTCTAACTTTGTGCAGCTATATACCACAGGATCTGCAGCTCCGATGATTCAAGTCCCTGACTCGACTCCGTACTAACCGAGGTAAAGCCAAGGCTCGGGCTCGTGACTCGTTCAATAACATGATGGACTGGACATCCATCGCTCATGGACTTTAGACACCTCGTTCATCCATCTTCTAACCAAGTACAGAATATACCAGTCATGGCATCACGGCCACAGCCTGCCTCCGCTGACCACGGACACATCACGCGTCTTGAGCCGTTGGAGAATACCTATGTCTCTGATACGACTCTCCAGCGGGTGATTTCCTGTGCGTGGAACTTCTCCTGAATCAGAAACTTACCATTCTAATATGTCCTAGGGTACCTTCCCTCCTCAACCCTTGGCCAGGTCCAACCGCATCTCACCCAGTTGGGCGCCGAGGCTATATCAGACCAGGTGCGCGAATGGAGCGCAGATGCGGAGCGAAACCAGCCGTATGTAAAGAGTCACAATGTCTGGGGCGAGCGATATGATTACGATCGACTCGTTACCGCCGAAGGATGGAAACAGTTGGGGAAATGGGGTGCCCGTCATGGGTGGGTTCGCATCCACTGTTCACTGTCTAGTCTACTAACCAATCCCCAGAGTGGTGGCCTTGGGATATGAAAAGACTTATGGAGCCGAGCGGAGACTGGTCCAATACGCAGTGTAAGTTGTGTGACTATAGGTGGGAGATGCTTCAACTTATGTATCCATATAGCAATTACCTCTATTCGCCGTCTTCTGGACTCTACTCCTGCCCCATTAGCATGACCGACGGTGCAGCACTCATACTTTCCGAACAGCTCCCATCTCTGCCCGCCGAGCATCCCTTCCACCAGATCTATCAGAAGCTGATCTCCCGCGGAGAAAACCATTGGACCTCGGGCCAATGGATGACAGAACGCGCCGGAGGCAGCGACGTGCAAAACACTGAGACCTGGGCGACATACGCGCCATCGTCCCGTAACGAAGGGGACTACCTTGTCAACGGGTTCAAATTCTTCTCGTCTGCCACAGATGCCAACATCTCGCTTCTCCTGGCTAAAACACCCTCCGGGAAACTCAGCACCTTCCTTGCGCCTCTGCGAAAGACGGTATCCGACGGCGCCAAACTGCGCGAAGTCTCCAACGGTGTGCGCATCCACCGTCTGAAAAATAAGCTGGGTACGAAGGAACTCCCAACAGCCGAACTGGAGCTCAAGGATATGCGCGCCCATCTTGTCGGCGCTGTGGACCGGGGCGTCTCGACCATCGCGCCGCTTCTGAACATCACCCGCACCCACACCTTTATCGGGTCTGTGGCTGCGTGGCGACGCGCTATCAGTATCACAAAGAGCTTCGCAAAGGCCAGAACCACTGTCGGTGAACCCTTGTGGCTTATCCCTATGCACTTGAACCTGCTGGCCGATATGGAAGTTCGACACCGCGGAGCTCTGAATCTATCTTTCTTCACTATTGCCGTGATGGGCGTGGTCGAGAACAACGGCGTTTCCACACCGGTACCACATCTCCCAGCCCCAGGGAAGGAAGCCGAGGTGGTATTCCGTGCATTAACAGCGATAGCAAAGGCAGCCGTCAGTAAGAACGCCATCGCAGGTATCCAGGAATGCCAGGAAGCCATGGGCGGAGTAGGATACATGGATGAACCCGACGAACCGGAGTTCAATATTTCGCGAATCCTCCGGAACATGGCCGTGAATTCGATCTGGGAAGGAACGACTAATGTGTTGGCCAGTGAGCTGGTGCGTCATCTACTGAAAGGTGATCATCTCGCGGTGTTTTCGTCCTGGTTTGACCGGGCGCTGGGCCTGATCCGGGACCCGGAACTTTTGACGACGTTGAAGCACGTCTGGTCTGGGTTTCTGTCTCGGCTGTCGGCGACGGAACACGCCCGGTTGATTCTGGCTGATGGGCGTCGTGCCCTGTTCACCCTGGCGTGGGTGCTTTGTGGTGCGTTGCTGGCATTGGATGCGGAGCGCGACGGTGACACCGTGGCGGGGGAGATTACGCGTCGCTGGATTCTCATGGGAGAGGGTGGTGTTGGGGATATGGTGTGGAGGGATATTGTCAGTCGGTCTATTGATGCATCTCGGACTTTGTTAACCGATGAGCATCTTCGTTGGGATTGTCAGATTGCTTGGGGGGTGGAGTTGCCTGCTGGGCAGGTTTCAGGGCATCGATCATTCCAGGAATCGAAATTGTAGCATGTCTGCATATTAACCTATGTCCCTAGTCTTTTTGATATCTGACTATCATGTGTTGGACTGCTTAAGTATTTGTAACAGAGGACAAGTCTGAGACCAGTGCCAGTCTTAACTAGACCACCCAACAGCCATCCCAAACTCCAAGGATAAAAACTGCAGTGTAAAGACAATCCAAAGGAAAACAATACTTTATATGTCTTTATTATTTATAAGCTATTGTTGTCACAATCCTCTACCAATAACCCCCAGCAACTTCTTCGGACAGGAGACATGATATTTCATCTCAATGAGACTCCAGAGGTCAATTCACCGCGCATTCAGCAACCAGACATAAACAATATTAAACTGTCTGACTCATAGCACCTTATATATCACCCATTCTGTGTTCTTTCATCCCCGAGAGACATATACCAATTCCATTAGGGAATAAATACCAAATATATACTTACAAAGTCATTCACCGTCGGCTGGATCTGCGCATCACAAGAAGAATAAGATGCTTCCTATCGAATCTGTACACTAAGTTTGACGACGTTGACGACAGCACTGTCGACATCATCGACCCAAACACCTACGCTTTTGGCTGATCAGAGGCCATCATGCAGTCATTGGTTACCTACCCTCGGGTCGATATGGCACTGTCTCTGTCGCTCGACTCGCTTGGGACATGATTCAGTCGTTTCCAAACTTGAAATTCGTCTGGATGTTGGTATTGGGTCCGGCGCTCTCTCACTGCACAGCAAAATAACCGTCTGGGAGATGTGGCTATGGGTGTCCCTGATACAGCCAGTCCCGGTGTGGTGCAATATGACTGTGGCAGACGTCTCCGAGGTCGGGAGTTAAAGCAAATGGGATATCTGGATGCGCAGCCAGATCCCCCGTTAAGCGTCATCCGTCAAATAAGGAGGGTATACAATGACCTTACTGGGGAGGATCGAGTGGTTGTACATGTGAAGCGAATGGACTCTCAGGAAGAGTACTGACGTCCTGTGTGTGATCGGTTATACCATTCTGATTATACCCATCAGGCTGGAGATGCGTGCCAGAGTGTCTGGGTAGCGAGATAGCGGAAGGTGCAGACCGGGGGACTTCAGATTGTAGTCTGTTACGGAACGATCGCATCTGGGAACTTGCGGTGATCAAAGATGCGATGATAAGAGATCGGTATGCCAATGATCCTGCTAACAATGCCTTGTGTTTTGAGATGGAAGCTGCCCGCGTTGTTGGTGAAACCCTGTCTGATCAGAAAGGGGTTCAGTGATTATGCGGGTTCCCATAAGAATGATGACTGGGGCTATGCTACCCTGACAGCAGTTGCATATGCCAGAGAAGTGTCGACATTATGCGCTGGGGTTGATGATAGGGTTTATAAGATTCTAGTGGCTTCCGAAAGTACTGCTGAATAAACATCTCTGGTTGTATAAAATTCCAGAATTGAAAACAACACTCATATCCCATAATCAGCATCCATCGATAATGAGACTAATTCCCACATCCTGCATTTCGGTTTAGAAACTCCGTAAACATCGGCCAGTCGTTTCTTCACTCGGCAATGTGCAAATTGTACTTCGGCCCGTCCTCTCTTGATTGCGGAGCGTAGTGTAGCATTTATACTACAGGTTACTTCCAAGCACATTCATTAACTCTAAGAATACCATTAGCGCAGGATCCAGAGGGTGATGTGGACGTGAATGCTTGACAGGCCCGACGAAGCTACACTCGTTGGATTACCCCCCTTTAGTGTTAACGAGCAACTGCCTAAGTAAATAATTAAAAATACTGGATCAAGAACACTGCAGCTATACATTTAAAGTGACTTACATTAAATCAAGAAGATAGATATGAACTGGAGTTTGAAAGTCATGACGAGAAAGTATGCTAGAACTCCGTAGATCTCCGAAGATATCCGAAGGCCCCAGATTATTAATTCATCGTCAGGTGATGAATTATTCCAGCCAACGACGCTCTGTTCAAGAATCTAGTTATAAATTCCTTTATCAATGCCTCGATTTCACTTCTTCCACTCAACATATCCGTAGAATCCAAAGCATAATGTCCGAAACAATGCGAGCAGTCGGTAGGTCAAATTCAACCCCTCTCCTCCCTCCCCTCCATCACAAGCTAACAAACGTAAGTCGTCCAGGGCGGAAAGGGCCCCGCAGAAGCGATGGAAATCGGCCAGATCCCGAAGCCAATTCCATCTGGCGGCCAGGCTTTAGTCCGCGTCAAAGCCTTCGGTCTCAACCGGATGGATCTACTCCAGCGTGAGGGACGATATCCCCTCCCACCGCAGGCCCCGCAGACGATGGGGGTGGAGTTCTCCGGTACTGTTGAGAAATTAGGCGCCGATTCTGAATGCGGGTTCAAAGTTGGTGATGCGGTGTTTGGGCTTGCTTATGGAGGTTTGTCATCTATCTATTTCAATTCATGCGAATGGGTGTAGTAATTCATATGGTTATGTAGGGGCATATGCGGAGTATATTGTCGTGGCCACACAAATGCTGGTTCATAAGCCTGTAGAACTCTCCTGGGAAGTGGCTGCCGGTGTTCCGGAGGTAAGAAATACTCTGCATTAGAATCTGAAACTAAGGGCTAATCATCCCAGACATGGATCACCGCCTCGCAGGCTCTATATCTCATCGGAGGATTCAAACCTGGACAATCAGTCCTATGGCATGCTGGTGCATCATCAGTCTCCATCTGCGGCATCCAACTAGCCAAAGCGGAGGGAGCGAAAGCCATCTACGCTACTGCCGGATCACAGGAGAAAGTCGACTTCCTAGTCAACGAACTAGGCGTCACCGCCGCATTCAATTACAAAACGCAAGACTGGGCCGCGGAACTCGCGAAAGCAACGAACGACGAGGGTGTCGATGTAATTGTTGACTTTGTTGGCGCGAACTACTTCCAGGGAAACCTCAACAGCGCGGCACGCGATAGTCGGATTGTTCTGCTCGGTTTGATGAGCGGGGGGAAGTTGCCGAAGGATGTTGATATCTCGGCGTTGCTTTTCAAAAGAGTTCGTGTGGAAGGTAGTACGCTGCGCAGTCGAGAGTTGGAGTATCAGCGGAAGTTACGGGATTCTTTGGTTGAGCATGCTCTTCCTAGACTCAAGGATGGGACTTTTAAGGTTTTTATTGAGAAGGTTTTTGAATTTAGCGAAATTGTGGAAGCTCACAAGTTGTTGGAGAGTGGCAACACGAAAGGGAAATTGATCTGCGTGATTTAGCATGCCTTCAGTTTTGGGAGCTGTGATATTATGTCTACTTGGAGGTTGAATGCGGTGGAATATAATTGCATATCCATAAGTACTATGTGACAACGGGCTTATAGACCAGTGAGTTGACCTTTATTGAAAGGCAGTGGTATAAAAGCGAAAATAAATGCAAGAAATCACTCTTTTATAGATGTGGTGCTCCATGCTGGTGCCAATTAGCTATAACAGCCGATATGGATACCGGTGTAAGCTAGAATGAGATCCTATCAGTGCCCAAAGACAATGATATATTAACTGTGTCAACGCAAAGACAATACGAGTTCATCCTGACAGAATAAACGGAGAAAGGAACGAAGATATGAATGGCATCGTTTGTATTCTACCAGAGTCGGTCTTTTTATGCACATGGTTATTTAAACCACAGGACTGAAAATCCACTTCAAGGTAGACGCATGAATGTATTCGACAGCGAATAGCACCAGATGATATACTATACACAAGAAGGATACATTTCAAGATCTCACACTCCATACAGGATATTTTCTGCGACTTAGAATGTGGGTATGTTTCATGCCGGATAGATCTATTCAGATCCTGTCTTCAATAGCCAGCGTGGTTTCGTCTGGATTCATCCCAAAAACCTGCCCTTGGGAATACCAGATTAGAACCAGAAGACCAGCAACTCTTGAATGTCCACTTTCAAACATAGTCCACTTGTATCAAGAAACCGCACTTATCTTCAGAACCTGGTCTGCTTATGCCTCGTGGAAAGCTCGACTGCATGAACTGGCTAATAGCAAGGGGGTAAAATGCATACTGCCTATTCTAATTAAATCCTAACAACCGATTCACTGAGGGAAGAGTTGAGATGCCAAATCTGCTTTCACGATCCATGCACGCACTTATCCGATCATACCATAAGTTTTCGGAAGTCGCCGTCCGCAGATGTTTCGACTATGAAGACTTGTGAAAATCTAGACGCAAGGTGGTAAGATCAGTGCTGGCATCTCCGAACATTGCTAGCCTCCCAAGGTTGCTTGGTACTAAGTCGAGCACCGTGTTTATGTCGCACGCCGAAGAGTCCCAGGTGGTGCCATCCAAGGTGATTCGCGTGTATCAGGCCACAAAACCAGGTTGCAAGTTGAAGGTGTGAATTTGGTTGTGCTCCCTACCCTGCACCATATGATTTATAGAGGGATGAAAGTTATAGGTGGGGTGGTTTCTGCCGAGTTAGTGGATGAAACGTGTGCTAGAATTCAGATGAATGAATATTCTTGCCAAAGGTCGTAACACGTATAACACACTGTTATCATACGACTCTTCCGGAGCTTGGTAAGTTGCGTAGCCAGCCATGACGTTTTAGGACCGTCTCAAATCGTGACCTTTCTTAGTCTTGCGAGTGGCTTCTTTCGGCCAGATCTAGCCTTCACATTTCAGGAATATTCAATCTGTTATTGACATATACGGGAGTAGGATTCTAAGTATCAGCCGGCTCGAAAGACACGTGAAAGTGTCGGGTACAATACCGATTGTACTATAGATAGCAAGGCTCTCTCTTGTATGACAACCGTCAGAAATGTTGACTGTCAAGAAGAACGAATCCCGCGGACAAGGGCACTACAACGCCGATCACTGGCTGCCAAAGGAAAGAAACTTTTTTTCAAGAAGCATCAGCGTATGGTGGATGAAGCCGGGGTTATATTTAGCAAACACACGTCGCTCACGCCATGTGACCCTAATTGATGCAGACTAGCCTCTAAAAGCCGCAATCCAGCATCGTCTAAGCACTAATCCCGGAGGTTGATGTCGCTGTGGGTTGGTGGGAGGCATCAATCTGTACTCCGTTGTGGATGAAGGTTGCTGGACTAATCCTGATAGTGGCTATTGTAGTGTCCTGCCCCTCCACATCGGGACAGTCGCAGGTCAACTTGGAACTATCAAGGCAGTGGCGGGAGGGGAAGAGGCGGGGTGGGTAGACATTGATAACGGAATAAGCCGAACATTGGCTCATGATTGAAAGGTGACTTGTTTGAGAGCATTATAGTTAGGGATAGTTAGGGGCTTTCGGTACTAACGGCCAGGAAGGCGCCTGGTGGTGTGGATGCAAAATTCTATATCTGGTAAATAGATAGGATGTAGGAATGAAGTTGGGGTACTTTTGCGATTCGCAGCAAAGCTAGAAGCCCACGGGCCTTCGTAGTGGCTGTAGATCTGCCACTGTCAACAACTTAGCGGGTCTTTGGGGCCGGCGTTATTGCCTAAGCGAGCTGAGGATCACCGGGACTAAAGCATCATTGTTCAAGGGTTAACAATCCATTGATGTACTATTTGTTCTGCAGGTCTATTCCATGTTATATATCAAGCTTGATATTATAGCCATCCAGGAAAGTGATGTCATGGGCTAGCCTCGTGGCATCAGGCTGCAATACAAACACCATGAGATCTGTCAATGGATGGACCTTGAGTATTCCTATAATTCCTATTGTCCTAGATGTTGTTATTTCTTAATATATCAGGGAGTCAGTTAACGTAGTTTAGTCATATGGATCTAGACCTGGCGAGACGATGTTTCTAGAAGATTTTAATACCAGTTGGTAAAAAAAAAAAAAAAAAAAAAAAAAAAAAAAAAAAAAAAGGCAGAGAGCAGGAGAATCAAAAAGAGCTGGTAAAATCCCCTACGTTTCAAGGCTAAATGCCGTGGATTACTCCAAAAGTCCCTCCAAACAACCCAAATAGTACCTAGCAGACTAACTGTCCAGTGACTAATTAGTTAATATCTAGGTAACAACCGACGACGAATACGGACGGGTACCTAGGAAGCCGGACGTCACACTTTCTCTCCGCCCCCAGTCCAATCTGCTCCTCTCTGGTCGGTCCATCCAAGAATACATACCCTGTCTTTCTCTCCTTCCTCCCTGAGTCCCTCCATTTTTTTCCTAGTCCCTCTAGCACACTCCTTGCACTGCTCCTCCTCCCATCTTGTTGGGCTAACTCCATTCCTGCAATTCCCACCTTTCTACTTACGCCTGTCCACGCTTGTCAACAACCTGGCGACTAACGGCCTATCTATCCTCTTTGCCAACTCTACTCACTGTACACTAGACCTCACCTGAACCTCCTTTCGACTCCGGTTCCCTTATCATCCTCCCCAATCTTCCCCCTGGGAACTTCCCCGCATTCGATCTGTGAGCCACAATGTGAGCAAACAACCGAACGGAACCAGCATCTCCTGCTATTTGGTTCCGGGGCTAACGGTCTATCTTGCCAGGCGTATTACTGTCAGCGTTATCCGCGCCGATCAGGCCGACTCCGATATCATTTCCCTAGAGGTCGGTGGGGACATGTCCGTCGAGCTCCTCAAAGCTATCGTTCAGAGCGAAACGTCCATCCCTCCCAACGATCAACGACTCGTTTACAATAACCAACTACTTAGCGATGGTGCTCGCACCCTGGAGCAAGTCGGAATTGGTGAAGGAGACATGCTGGGGGTCCATGTAACGCTACGGACGCCTCAAGCACCCGCCCGTACGGTCGGAGGACCCAGCGCCGCCACCTCTGCGGCCGCTCAACAGAACCTTCAACGACGACAGGCGATGACCCCCGATCCTGAGACGATACGATTACATATTCTGGGCGATCCTCGCGTGCGAGAGGCGGTCCGACGACAGAACCCAGAATTAGCAGAAGCCGCCAATGATCCGCAGCGGTTCCGTGAAATTCTGGTCGGACAACAGCAACGGGAGGCTCAATTGGAGGCGGAGAAGGAGGCCCGAATTGCTATGTTGAATGCGGACCCCTTCAATCCGGAGAACCAGAGGGAGATCGAAGAGATCATCCGGCAAAATGCGGTGACAGAGAATCTCCACAACGCGATGGAGCATCACCCTGAATGTGGGTTTCATGGGCCCCCAGAAGAGCAACCGGATACTAACCTGGAATCACAGCGTTCGGACGAGTACACATGCTGTACATTCCCGTCGAGGTTAACGGCCACAAGGTCAATGCCTTCGTCGACTCAGGCGCCCAGGTGACCATCATGTCGCCGGAATGCGCGATTGCGTGCAACATCATGCGTTTGGTCGACCAACGGTATGGAGGGATTGCCAAGGGTGTCGGAACGGCGAATATCCTAGGTCGAGTACACTCCGCCCAAATTAAAATTGGAAGCATGTTTCTGCCGTGTTCCTTCACCGTCATGGAAGGGAAGCACATCGATCTGCTTCTGGGTCTGGACATGTTAAAGCGACACCAGGCCTGTATCGACCTCAAGCAGGGGGCTCTCGTAATACAGGACCAAGCGGTGCCATTCCTAGGCGAAGCCGATATCCCCAAAGACCTCCAGGATGAATTCGAAGATGAGCCAATGATCAAAGGCGCAGATGGTGCCGAAGTCGGCGCCCGCACAGGAGCGGTCACCCATCAGGCACGTGGTGGTCAAGGGCCGAGTGGTGCCAGCACATCCACTACCGCGGCCTCATCGTCAACTCCCGGCACTACCACCCGGCCGGCGCCGGCGCAATCATCCCGTTGGCCGCAGGACTCCATTGCGAAGATTACGGAGCTCGGGTTTACACGAGAGGAGGCGATGCGGGCATTGGATGCAGCCAACGGAAATTTAGACGGTGCCATTGGATTCCTCCTCTGAATCATGGAAGCGACTCCAACCTCTGTGTTCAGACTTGTGACGTGTTCTGGGAACTTTAACGCTGTATTCTAATCAGCACGGTGCAAGAGAGACAATCTTGGCTTGTATCTCTGCTGTGACGTCGTTTATTGCATGACCATGAGGGGCTAGCGGATGAGTCAATAACAATATAGATACCAGACCATCCGCTTCATGAGGCGTTTTCATGGCACTGTTTTTTTAATAAAGTATTTCCTGGTTCGCGGCGTTTACACTTGTATTTTATGGATTTATGGATTTCTGTAATGTATGGATCCTGTGATAAGTGATAAATCTAAGTCCATGTTTGGCCAAGATGAAGCCACATTTGTGTATTCTTCCTCCTGTAAGGGTTAATAATGTACTGAAAGTCATTAAAGCATTATTTCACAGGATCCTAAAAAATCGACCCAACACTACCATCAATAACATCCAAGCTCGATCATACCCTCCTTCACCCTAAATCCATCATAAGCCCAGCTCAATCGCGCTTCGACTTACCAACAAGCCTACGCTGTAATCTGACTATCATATCCAACATCATCAATCCACCTAAACCTCGTCAGTACAGCACCCATCTCAATCCAAGACGAAAACAAAACCTACCTAGAGCCGCATAAGGTGCATACAGCGACAAGAGATTCTGCTTCTGGCTCGCGGTGCGATCTTCCCACCCCATCATTTCAATCAAGCACACAATAGTGGTGATGAAAGTCTGGAGTCCGAAAATAAGAAGATGCACGGGCACCATAGGATGGTCTGTTGGGGGATTTCTCCGCGTCAGTATCAACCCGCGAAATGATTGAAAGGATGATAGGATCTATCAGGTGTACCTTTCCACAGTGCCCAAACTGCCCAGATGCTCAGTGGCCCGTGGTAGTATAGTTCCATCAGGTTGAAGAAGATAAACCAGCCCGGCGTGCCATCCTCAAAGAATTTGTCCTGGTAGGTGGTGAAGTAGTAGTCGCGTACATCGTAGGAGAATTGGAAGGTCAGGAATGACGGGAGAAAATGGACGGTGTCAACCACTATCGTGTATGTTTCTTAGCTTGGTTTCTGTAGGATATACATTGACTGTGTGGGTGGGGTGACTTACAGAAGACGATAGGAATATGGATTACGAAAAACACGAAATAGATCAGGTCGCGCTTACGACGCCAGAGGGACACTGGGCTCGAAGAGGTCAGATTGGCCATGATGAAAGCCTGTTGGAACTACTTTGTCGGGGTCGAAGGATTTCCAGGCGTAGGTGTGGGGAGAGAAAGCCCGGGGAGCAATCCAATGTTGACATGGAAATTCTACAGTAATTCTCTACAGACAATCAGCCTCGGCGGTGACAGGGTCAGGTGATCGGCGGGAATAAGCAATCATCATGGCGGAATTACATCGAACGAACCTCGTCTGGCTCGGTTTAAAAAAAGGAAGAAGGGGGAAAAAAAAAAGAAAAGAAAAGAAAAGCCTCCACCAGACCCAAAGGGCTGGAAGATACGAGAATATTTGCTTTTTCTCTTGTTGCCGCGGCCCTGCACGCCTCCCCGATTCTAATCTCTAAACATAGCTTAAGCTTAGCTTGCGTGGACCTCAAATCGGGTAAGTTAGGTCCTAGTGTGATGTGAACCAAGGTTGCCAGAGCACAGCTAAATGCTAATCCGTCGTCCAAGGACCTCATTGCTTTTTCCTTCCACGCTCTTTCTCATCAGATCAGCCTTGCATCGTACTATGCTATTCTTCGATCTTATCATGCCAGGTTTAAATCATCATCCCATATGATATCACATTCGCAAAATTTAGAACGATCCTACGAAATGCCGACCGGGTAACTACACATCGTCTTACATGTCTGAGATCCTGCCCGATTTTGGGCCTCTTCACCGCAACTTTTCCTTTCCCCCTTGACCTGGTAATCAGGTCATTGGAAGTTTGTGGTGCCAAAATTTTGCCCCTCAGTCCACTAATGATGACAAGCCCCTTGGGGCTGATCTTTTCCCCCCTCCCTCCTGGAATACAGAGGACCTCCTTGTTCGGGAAACGGATCGTCCTCATTTCCTCCAGGAATCCTAGCCGAGACTGCAAGGATGAAAAGCAGCCCAATATTCTTCCGTACTCTATCTCTCAATCTCTCTACGGTTTGCAGGATGCACATATCCCACCTACCTACTCCGTACTTCCTGACTGCACTAGACGTATCATTTAGAGTAAAAGTACTCAAACCCGGGACTTCCTTCTCTCCTGTCGAATTACGGTTCGACCTGGCTGTCTTTGGAATGAACGCATTGGGGCAAGCCACGGGAAGATTGCATGGTAGCGCCAAACTATTACCGAACCACCGCCATTAATCGATCACATAGTGCATCAATGGATGATGGATACCATCAAATGAGTACCTTTGAGGGCTATTTCCCCAGAACGTTGGTTTGGGGCCAAATATTTGACCGCTCTACTTCATACTAGGTTTGCAAGAGTAGCATCGATTTACTACTCCGTAAGTACTCGACAGAATGCCTTCATCATTAACGACTTCCATGCCAGGTGTCCTCCACGAATCCTTTGGTCAAAGTGAAACCTTTTCCGTAAAAAAAAAAAAAAAAAAAAAAAAATGAATCCTGCTCAGTGACATGATGCTTCCCATTTTAGGGGTAAATCAACATGACACCCGAGGCTTGTGTTCCAAGGCAACATCCAATCCAAGCGTAGTAAAAAAAAGATGGCAGGAAATTTCCAGGACAAAGTATCAGATTAACTCAGTCATCGGTCTCAATTGCAACCCGATAGATCTAGAGCCTTGAGATTTCTGTATTTTTTTAACCCTTTTTTTTAACTCTCTGCAAGCTGGGTTTGGCCAGGTTCACAAGCACGATTGAACGGTACAGCACCATATCAGAGAGATCAGACCAATTTTCGAGGACTGTTCGTTCGAGGCTTCGATAGGCCTTCCAAACGGGTGTGGAAACATTCCATATTCCTTCTGGGGTCAAGATCGAACGTCGGCGCTAATGTGCATTTGTGGGGAATCTGGATAGCCCACGGGCATTGGATCGTCTTTCCGAAATGAATATGGACGTCACCAGAGTCTTGGCTCGAAACCAATCGCAAATCGCAGTCGGAAATCCTTTTGGCCGCTCCGCCCCGATTAATTGATTGACCTTGTTTGGGGCGAATACCTGCATAGGATGGTGCTTGGAAGTCCACTAGGAGGGACACCCATGTGTGACCCTGGATTACACCGATGCTCGTATCCTTCATATACCAGGCGGGGCTTCTGGACATTGGGCAGGACCAAACACTAGCATAAAATGAGGGTCGATCAGAGAAGGCCGGGTCTATCGGTGGTCCCTTTGGCCCCCTTGTTTGGGTGTTAGGCCAGGAAATCATTTTGGTTGGATATTTATGGAATGAGTCTATTGTGTCGAGCATCCGGGTTAAACAGGGATATGACTAAGGGATTAAACCACAATCAAAAGGGGAAAATAAATTGGGAAAGAGAAAAAGAACACAGACAGACAAATAGATTCATGTTGTACAGGGTCTATTCGCATTATCGACATCGATAATCAGCCCACCAGCGGAAGACCTGACCAAGTGATGCAATGCCCCCCGATTATTGGATTGCAGGTTACATAACACAAAATAGTCTACATGCAATTGCAGTTGGACAAGCATGAAGCAGGCCTGGAAGCCGGGATTTTTTACCCCCCCCCCCCCTTTCCCCCCCATCAACTGATGCAAGGACGAAGCAAGATAGTAGAGCTACTGAGAGCTGCAGCTGGGTCTCGGGCGACTACTGCATCCGCGATCCAACGTCGGCCTCATACCCGGCTCGAAACAGACTCAAAAGTTAAGTGCATGGTGCATGGCTCCACTTAACTTGGCCTCCTGCAGCCGCTCGGCTTCTTATCGTTCGTCCGGGTTGCGCCAGATTGAGCGGTGAAACCGCACCAGAAACGAATGGAATCAATTGCTACAGCGATGAGCCAGTCCACCGGAACACGCCGGGAGCAGAGAGAAGACAGTGCCCATCCAACGGCGGCGGGAATACGGAGTAGTCCAATCATGGCAGGATCCGGGTTGGTTCTGATTTCTGGGTCATCATGAGGAACAAGTCCTCCCCGTAAGTCTCTACTCAGCTGCTGTTTCTCTTGGTGCGGGAGCTATATCAAGGTGGATATCGGTACATTGGGCTCTGCTGTCTCTCTCCCTTGACCGCTTCTCTTTTTTTATTTTTTATTTTTTTTTTTTTTTTGTCTCTGCGTCTTCTCTTCGCCTGTCCGTTCCTACTATTATCGGTTCTCTCATCTTTCACCTTTTTTGACCTTCTCATCGGTCATACGGCTCTCTAAGTGGCTCGCAGACCTGCCGCCGCCCCCTCCCACACACACCCCTATAATGTCCTCCGGCCTAACATGTCGAGACCCGTCAAGACCGATTCCTCCCCCTGTCGTCATGACATCGAGAAAACGTTTTCGTCCGCCATGAATAGTTTGGCGCATCCCCAGCGCAAGTTCGCCGCATCGGAGATGAAAGGGATAGTCCCCATCCTAATTGTGTAGGCCATGTCCCCGTTTGGTGCCAGATCATTGGTGCCGCCATGGTCATATCATCCACTTGGCTAGGATTCCTGCTTCAAGCAAGTTGTACCTTTATCGCTTGAGTGCGATGGCGTAGTGGAGGCCGTATTTTTCTTTATTTATACTTGAAGTGCTCCTCTTCAATTTTCTTTCTTTTTCTATTCATCAACCATAAGCCCGTTTTTACTTCCCCGTCTTTTATTTCCCTTTCGGCATAACACACGCCTTCTATAATACCTACTATACTACCTTCTATACTTTTCTTCTATCCCCTTCGGCTTTGTCTGTACTTGCGATTCAATTCCAACCCTTCTCACTCCGTAAAGACAACCACGATGCCTGCTTCTCCTCCCCCTCCCGTTCTGCGTCCAAAAAAGACCCAGCCTGTCAATGCTCATAAGGAAGAAGAACCAATCAGCTATGACATCAATATTCCTTACATGGATGTTAACCAAGAAACCCATGCGCGAACCAGATACCCGGAATATCTACCAACATGGGACAAGATCTGGTTCGATCCACTACCTCCATTCACCTATGAGGATCCTGCCTTGCGCGTAACAGACAAGTCCAAGCGCAATCTTCTTACGCCCGGTGCCAAAGTGACGGAAATCCAGCCGCGCATGGGAACGGTCGTCGAGGGCGTACAGCTGAACCAGCTGACCGATGCGGCCAAGGACGAGCTTGCGCTGCTGGTCTCCGAGCGCAAAGTCGTCGCCTTCCCGGATCAGGACCTTATTGACGACGGTCCGGCCGCCCAAGAGGCATTTATGAGCCATTTTGGAAAACCGAACTACCAGCCCGTCTCCGGGAGCGTGCGCGGCCACCCGGGATTCCATATCATCCATCGAGATGGAAATCGCGAAGAAATCTCGCGCTTCCTGGAACAACGCACCACCACCACCCTGTGGCATCAGGATGTGAGTTATGAAATCCAGCCCCCAGGCTACGTCATGCTGGGGCTGTTGGAAGGTCCCGAAGTGGGAGGTGATACCGTTTTTGCCGCGACCGATATGGCCTACAAGTAAGTACATCGATAGGCAACCACAAAAAAAAAAAAAAAAAAAAAAAAAAAAAAAAAAAAAAAAAAAAAAAAAATAAAGGTGGCATGAACTAAATAGGTTTCAGGCGTCTATCTCCCACTCTCGCCTCCTGGCTCGACACCCTTCGTGTCACCCATTCCTCGGCCAAAATGATCAACCACGCCCGTCTAACCGGAGGACTTGTTCGCAAGGACCCTGTCGACACCACTCACCCACTTGTTCGCGTGCACCCGGTCACGGGCGAAAAATGTCTTTTCATCAACGGCGAGTTCGTCACCAAAATCCAGGGTCTCAAGGAGCCCGAACAGCGCTGGCTCTTGGATTTCCTCATGCAGCATATCATCAGTGGTCATGACTTTCAAGCTCGTGTGAGATGGCAACCGAAGACGGTTGTCATTTTTGATAATCGGTGCACGCTTCGTATGTCCTCCCCCTCTAACAATGTAGTTTAGCTACACACCAAATAGACAATAAACTGACTGTCTAGACTCCGCGATCGTCGACTACCTAGATGACGACTACGGCGCCAAACTCCGCCATATTTTCCGTCTGGCTGCATTGGGTGAAAAACCAATTCCAGTCTATGATCAATTCGAGTGACTTTACGACCAATTGATATAATTCTATTGATTTATCAAGCAAGCCAGCAAGAAAGCGTTGATTCCCCTTTCTTATTTTCATTTCTCCTTTTTGATATAAATTGCCACCACCCACCGATATTACGTTCGATTTCCTGCCTTGCATCTATCCAGCCTTGAATCTGAATCTGAATGTGATGGTCAAATCTGCAGGTTTCTGTTTCTGTTTCTGTTTTTGTTCTGTTTTGTTTCCTGTGTTCAGGAGGTTTTCTTTATTGCTGTTTTTTTTTTAATTTTTTTTTTTTTTTTTTTGGGATTTTTTTGTTTTTTTTTTTTTTTTTTTTTTTTTAATTTTTTTTTTTTTTTTTTGGGAATTTGTTTTGTTTGATACCTCGGCTTAGTTGATAGACGGCGGGTTCGGTTTTAGCTTTGTCCATTAGACAAGTCACGCTCCTCTTTATTATTTATTTTGTTTTTATTCTATCAGTATTTTAATAGATACGCTTGATCCTTTTCGGTCCTCATTGGTATTCTATCCTGTTTTGTTGGTTATCTATCTACCTCTTGGCATCTGATCTGTCTGTTCTCTTTAATATGATAATTTTAATAGTTCATGATCAGAAGATATTTATATATTTCCATCTAATAGTAAATATAGGAATGCTAGATCGAGGTCTAATATTCAAAGATAGGTAGAGTACGTAGTGTTGATGGATCATTTAAGCATATTCAATAATAGGATCTATTCCAGCGAAACCAAATCTGCATTTCTTCTAAATCTTAAGACAAACAAAACGCCAGAGCCAGGTCATGTAAAGAGTATCGACATAGTTTACTTCTTACGAATTTTACTCCCGCCAATATGCAAACAAATGACTATTCATTAGACACAAACATCCTGTATTACCGCAGTACATCTTCGATTCTCCTCCCTAGATCCTGAGCAAGTTGTACTTGATCCGGCGCAATGCCTCCTTGTTGCAGGAGAACAAGGGTTTCGGAAATGCGCTCGGCAACCGCATCACTGCCAAAGACAACTCCTCCGAGCCGCACGGTATCATGGAACCAGCGCTCGATAAGATAGAGCAGGTCCTTGGCGATGTATTTCCGATTCGAGCCGTGGAAAGGTGCCTCGTCAACGTAGAACATCGATTCGAGGACAGCGTAGATGGTTTCGTATGCAACGCTGAGATCAAGAAACAGGTCGATAACCCATGTTGGCGGACCCACGCCACGTTGGTGCTCAAGGGCGTACCGCTCGAGCATGGGCAGGATGGATGGGATGGGGAATACCGTCTCAGACATCCGTAACCGGCTGCCTAGGCTGCGCACCTTTTCGATTACTGCCTCGAAGGGCTGTATTTCGCCCTTTTCGATCGTCTCGTCGTGAATGGTTTGGAGCAAGTGCTGCCAGGTAGCTCTGATGTCGCCTGCGTCCCGATAATCTGCTGCAAAGAATATTTGCAGGCAGATGTCATAGTAGCTGGCAGGGTCTGCATATTGATTAAATAGCTATGGAAAGTTAGCAACTGCCAATTTTTTCCTGGGTGGTACAAAAGAAGAAAAACAACTAACCGTGCTGATATCCATAATCGCACCGTCAACATCACGAAGAACCTCGGCTCGCCGAGCCGATTCGATCCGGTTGTCATCCTTCAGGCGTTGCAAGAGATCATCTTGGATATTCGCAACATCAATCAAATTCGATATGTCTCGTACTAATCGCTGCCGCGACTGGCGCCCCACATCAGATGTGAATGTCGAGGCATTGGCTCTGGCTCGTCCCAAGTACTCGATCCTGCGGGCGAGAGGAAGAGTGAAAGCACTCTGTGCAAGCTCAAACTGGACCTGTGCTGCCTCGAAAAACCTTTCTGACTGCGCATAGTACTTCCAAAGGAGATCCGCATGGGAAATGTCGTCCGTCGACTTGCGCTTTAGATATGTGACCACGAATCGAGAATCAATTTGCAACAAACGATCGCTCCAACCCTGCTCCAAATACCAGTCATACAGGCTGGTCAAGAACACCTCGTCAGTAGAATCGGTAATAACCCCATATGCCTCACTTTTCCGTTTGGCAATGAGTGTTAGTTGTCCATCGATGACGCCAGGATCATGAGCGACAAGGCTGTCGACCGCAATGACGACCTTAAAAACTAGGTCATAGCACTGCTTCCTGAAGTAGAAATAGTCCTTTCGAGAATCCTATTAACGAAATATGTCAGCGCTGGGTCAGAAAGGCGCAGCCGCATCGAAAAACATACTTCTTCTGGACGTCCGTCTACAATCCATGACAATGCCATATTGGCCTTGTCCGAGCGGGCTGCAGCATGGAGAGAAAGCTGAATCGCTCCTGTTCACGTAGGTTAGATTGTACTGCGTATATGCAGGGCCTGGATAACCTACCCGCGAAGAATTGATTTGAGATGTAGCTTTCAACTGCAGAGACAAGGTAATCCATGGGCAAACTCTCGGATACCTGCTGGAACAAATGTAGGCTTTCATTGAGCAGATTACGGCCAAACTCCGAGTTTGCGCCGGCTTCAGTAGCCCGCTTCAAAAGCTCCTGGGCCTTGAAGATGACCACATCTTCGGCACTACAGAAACTACCGCACCGTCGCCTGAGAGCATCAGCCACCGTTTCTACGTTGGACCCCTTCGCAATATTTCTGTTGACAATTCCTTTGACCAGTTCCTTTGCAATGTCGTGTCCTTTTCCGGTGCTGAAAAGTTCCTCGAAAGTAAGCTTCAAGAAACGTTGCTTCGATTCATCTGGCAATGTTGCCACAATTTCATCAACCCGCTCGTCAAATAGAACCAGAACAAACGAAATGCCTTCGATTGTGTGGGAGACCAACTGAACCAGAGAGTGGAGAGCTCTATGCTCTCCTTGCAGCGCTGTTTCCTCTTGCTTTGTAGACACACGCGCCAGAGCTTCTGGGCCGCTTAATCCCTCGATAAAACTCTTATTCGTTTTGAAAAAGTCCTGCAAAGCGGACAGATCCCGTTGAACGCTCTGCAACTTGGCTGCAGCAACTGAGGCGGAAATCGTCTGTGCTCCATTGGGCGAACTTGCTACCTTGGCGATTTCCTTATTCCAAATCGACCGTAAAAGCCTAGAGAGGTAGAGAGCGATTCCCGCGTGCCGCGGGGATGGCACCACCGCATCGAGCGCAGCAGCGGAGTTGTCCGCAACCGCATTTTCATTCACCGCCGGCTTTCCTCCGTATTCAATGAATACCTTGCGTGCAAACTCCAAGACGTCGGGATCGTTGATCTGAGTGAGTCGCGAATCTGTTGAGATTTCCACCCCTTGGCCACATGCGACAGCCAGCGCAGTCGCTAGAGTCTCACTCCGGCCGTAGGTGCGGATGAAGCTTTTGACCTCACCATCCAGCCCCTCATCTCCTCCACCAGCACGCGCCAGCGCCGCAAATATGTCAACCAAGCGCCGTCGTCGAATAACATGGATTCCGGTGTTGGTCAAGATGGCGACCTCCGCCGCCGGGTTGTCAAATTGGACGGCAAGCTCATTGCCGAATCCTCCAGGAGTTGTGGACGCTGCGGAGGCTGGCGAGCATAGACCGACGTCCTCCGCTCTACTGCCCAGGGAAAGCCAAATCGCTGTCTCACCAGCCTTTGCAGGGAGCACACTCTCTTGATATCTAGCCACACGCCCCGAATCAGGGGAAGATACGAAAAGCGTGTCAGTTTTCTGCGTTGAGTCTTTACACGTGAAGCAAAAGAAATAACCTGGCGGGTACCGCACAGTAAACCGAGTAGGATCCAGAGAATGTATGGGAACCTTCGACGCTATTGAAGGCTGAAAGCGCGTTTGGGATTGGAGTCCCGGATCCACCGTACCAGTTGGAACAGTATCAAAAGGGGGAGTCTTCACATGGTGAGCTTGCATGCTCGTGGGTGCACTAGCACTATTTGGTGCTGGCGTCCAGTTAAAAGATCCAGTGGCACTCAAATAGATACGATACCCAGTGGCAGTGGTTGCCATTAGATGATACCTCGATGCCTCAGCAGCAGGGATAGGACTGATGGAGACAATCCGAACTTTGGGATTAAGACTCTCATTTGACGGGATAATATGTCCAATGTTAGCGTAAATGTCAAGGGCGGGCTTCGTAATTGCCAAGACAACTGTTCCATCTGGTTTCATGTGGAAAACCCTTATTGTAGAGGATGATGACAACGTATAAAGCAGTCTCCTGCTGTCGTCGATTTCCATCTGCGCCACACTCTCCAATGTTTTCTGAGTAAAACTGAGGCTGGGCGTGAGAGCCGAGAGGCGAGAGCTTGTGTGGTTCACCTTTGAGCACCGGCCTTGGAACCATTTCTCCTCCTGCTGATAGATGAGCTCATAGACATCATTGTCTGACGAGCCCCCGAAAAAGATACGGCCAGTTGCGTCAGAAGATGCTACAACGTCAATGTCCAAGCCACGGATTGACACAGACATGCCGGTTTGGTATAATGTCACTTGGCGCGACCCTCCGGCTGCCGTCTCGCAACCCATTCCAAGGAGAATTATGTCGGCCGTCGTTGATATAACAAGCAGGTGAGTAATAGACGGCAAAAATACCCCAGCACGAGGCTTCGCGAGCCGAACGGTGTTGATACTATTCGGCTGTTCCTCGAATCCCACAAGTTGAGGATTTGGATGTGTGTAGTTCCAAATGTAGAGCGCATTGTCAATAGCAACCCACGCATGATTCAACTCGGCGAACAGCCCCATGCTCGTAGAGACCTGAGCACGATTATACTGATCAAAAATTTGATCAGGGATATTATACATCTTCACTTTCTGAAAGGGGGCCCATGACAGTGACGCTGGAATGTCATAGTCGGACGAAAATCCTTCTGCAGAAACGTAGTTAGCACACGATCAAGGTATCTGGCTAGATCATCGTTCACTTACGGGAAAGGTAGCTGTCCAAGTCAGGGTAGCGAGCCTCCTGAGCCAGAGTATCATTGACTGTTCGTGCCGCCCGTTCCTCCGTGCTCAAAGTCTGGCTCTTGGACTTCGAAGCAGCCGGAGGAAGCTTGGGAAGAGAGGCCGGAGAAGGTTGTTCTGCGGCGGCAGGAGTCGGTTTGGAAGAGAAGGTCGGCGCATTCGGAGCATTGCTTGGGGCAGGAGTCTGGAAATAGGCGCCAGGCAGTGGCCTCTGGGGCGTGAGCGTCGGAGGCAGATTAGGATAGGACATCGTGCCGTCTGGCAGCTCGTATGCAGCCTTGGGGAATCGTTGCGCTCCCCGGCGTTTGTCGAGATTTGATCAGCGCAAAGCTCGAAGGGAGGAGAGAGGTGAAGCCGGGGAGTGACAAATTATGAGGGGCAGGAGGAAGAGAAGGAGGAGGAGTCGCAGGGCGATGGATAGCGTTCCTCTACAAAGGCGACTGAACGAATGGTCGATTGACGAGAATCCAACTGCTTGGCAAGTAAAATCGTAATAACAATATGAAGACTAAGCAGGAGAGAAACAAAATTGTGCACGGGCCCGGCAGATCGTGGCTCTCCGCCTTTAGGCTTTCCCGGCAATGATTTCATTGCTTCACTCGGCGCACCGTGATAATAGTACTTGTTTTTCTTATTCTTTATCCTATCCAATTCCTCTTTGCTGGTTCTAGGACCAAAATTCATACATGATGTTCCAGTCTTTAAGATTCACCACTCGCCTAAACCTGCGCCCAGTGCGATGGAACTCCACTGCCAGCCCTACTTCACCACCTTTGATGGCTAAAATCCGCTCGGACCTTAAGGTTGCCATGAGAGCTAAGGATAAGGATAGGTACGGTACGAGTGGGAATACTTCAGTGTGTGCGCAGGGCTGACTGAGTCCTGGATAGGTTAAACGTTCTTCGCGCTCTGATCTCCGAGACGAACAACGCAGCGAAGACATCCTCGCCCATTCAAACGGATCTGCAGCTTTTGTCATTAATTCGGAAGCGTGCAGCGGCCTCCAAAGAGGCCTCGCAACAATTTGCCGACGCCAATCGGGCTGATCTCCAGGAAAACGAGGACAAACAGGTGGCCATCCTGGAGGAATATGCTGGCCAGGTCGAAACCATAAGCCTGGATGAAGTCCATCAGATCATCTCGCAGGAGATTGCCAAGTTACAGGAGGGACCCAACAAGCCGAACGTCGGGTCGTTGCTGAAGTCCCTCTTTGCTCCCGGAGGCGCCTTGGACGGCAAGCCAGCAGAAAGAGCCGAAGTTGCACGTATTGCGAAAAAGATGGTTGCTGCAGCCTAGAAGACGCAGTGAAAACCTGTGTATTATATATGTGTATATTATGAATTGATAACTGCTCTACATTTACCGATGGGTGCAGAGAAGGTAGCAAGCATTGATTAGTTCAAAATTTAGAAAGGAACAGCACATGGAAGGCTTCTGTATATTGCATTTTATTATGTTCATATGAATAACAGAAAAATGACAAGGGAGAAAAGAAAAGATAATAGATCATACATCCGCTCTCGAAATACCCAAAGCATATTGAAGGAATATGACCCAAATCTCCTCCCCGTATATAGCTCCCGAACCCCAACCCTGTCATCCAACTTTGTCATTAACCAGCCTTTCGATGCGCCGTAACATAATTGACCAGTGAACGAGATGGATCAGGAATAAAACACGGTAATCCCACCAAGTGCGGTCATGAAAACACCGAGCCACAGCCACCGGTCGGGATTAACGATCTCCTCTCGTTTGATCGAGTCTCTCACACGGAAAGACGACCCAGTATCCCTAATAACATGGCGTTTACCTTTCGACAACGAGTCCAGGGATTTCGTAGGGAGCATCTGTGGTGGTCTGAAAGCGAGGTACATTGGATGCATGGGAGAGTTATCAAAAGCATGTAGGTCCAGTCGCATAATGTTATGGTAAGCATCGGTGGACACCTTGAAAGACTACAACATCGTCAGCGATGGCGGAGATGAACGCGCAAGGTGACCATATATACATTAAATTTTTCCGATTGATTGTATCTTGTGTAGGTCCCCTGAGAAGATGCGCATGGATCGGACATCAGCTGACGGCCGTCCACTTCGATTGGCTGCAAATGCAGGGAACCATCTTTGCCCAAGGTAAATGTACCATGTTGCCATTGCATGATGCCTTTGGGACAAGCAGGATTCACGGCTATAGTTACAATTTCACGCGTCAGCACGGGTCGCCATTAGGGCAATGGAGATGCCAGAGTATATAGGGACTAACGATTAGCAAGGGCGCGATAGTATGCTTCCTCATAGTAGCCGTCCTCGGTAAACGAGTAGGAGATACCAGTCAGATTTGGTTCAAGAAGCTTGTCATTGACGGGGTCATAGAAGCCCTGTCCGGTATATTAATACCTCCATAAACAAACAACTCGACGCATGTGCAGAGCATACTGGACCTGTCATAACGCTGCGGGACTTTGTTGACCAGGTACCGACTAGATCGGACACACGGCCGGCACTCACGGCCGATATAAGACAGCCAAGATAGAAGTATACTGCAATCATCTTGTTAATTCTCTCCACCAGAATGAAGGCTGATAGACACGGTATATGCTAGAGTATCACAGAGATGTGAAAGGCACCCAGAAAGGGCGAAGGCATCCTGGCTGCCCTTCCGGCAGTGGAGTTATGTACTTAATGTCGATCCAATCACGCAAACTACAAAGCAGCAATGTGCCAAGCCCCATCGATCCAGACATATACCTTCGAGACATCAACTACCCGTTGGTGATTTATATTTTATAGTTTTCATCCAAGATATCAATATAAACTCCGAGACATCTGGGTACTTCTGTTATCATTCAGGTAGAAAATATGATGGCGGGTTTGCAAGCAGCCAAAAAGGATCTTCGCAAAAAAATGCGCGATGTCCTCCAAAAGATCCCCGCGGATTTCATTATCCATCAATGTCAGAATGCCTCGTCATTTCGGCTCACGGTTGTCCTTCGAGACAAGCTAACACTCCGCAGCCAGAGTTGCCACAGGTAAATTAATCGCTCTACCTGAATATCACAGTGCGCGACGCATAGGAGTCTATCTATCCATGCCGACAGGGGAATTGTCCACTACCGCGATCGTCCAGGATGCCTTGACGAATGGCAAAGAGGTGTTCGTGCCTTATATTCACAGCCTAGAGTCACCAACGACACAGCAGAATACATCGGTCATGGACATGTTGGCCTTAGATTCGATGGATGAATTCAACTCCCTTGCGCCCGACAAATGGGGGATTCCATCACTCACCAAGGACCAAGCAGCCGTAAAAAAAAATTGTTTTGGCGGAATCGGGGTCACTCCTGCAGGGTCTTCGGAGGCTACAGATGGAATATCTGGGCTCGACTTGATCGTGATGCCAGGAATGGCTTTCGATCAAGGATTTCGACGTCTAGGCCATGGGAAAGGATATTATGATCATTTTTTGACTAGGTACTCTAAAGCGGCTGAGAGCAAGGCCTGGACGCCAAAAATGCCTCTACTCGGTAAGAAACACAGGCCTCCCGAAACGTCAGAACCAACCAAATACCATCAGGACTAAATCTGGCACAGTTGCCCCCTGTCTCAAGGAACAAATGCTCCCTTCGACCGAAGAAATCCCCGTATCAGATCATGACTGGCTAGTAGATGTTCTCATTGTGGGCAATGACCGGTGCTGCTACCGCCAGGGTTTGAGCCCAGAAACCACTTTCCTCTCATGACAAGAATCTCGTGTAAATTATCTCCGACCGACAACGCGTAGATAGTTCTGATTAAAGACAAACAAATTTTGTCGTAACATAACGAAAACATTTTGTCCCTTTTCTATTTTCTGGCTTTTCCCTCCTATTTCCTGTGCAGGATCACTGGACGGCCTGAATCAGTGACACATTGTCACCCTTGAGTAATATTTGACCTATTGTTGATGATATCCGTCAGTCACGAAGAAAAGCCAAAGGGGCTATATGCGGGGATAGAAAATTTCATACCTAGCGGCCTCCGCTTTTCCTCCTCGGTCTTTGTTGCCAATCTAACCTCTTGCGCATCATCAATGACCAAGTTCATGAACTCGTCGAATCCCTAAACCATCGAGTGAGCACAATTGCTTCGCGTTAATGCACAGGGGCAGGGTTACCCTAATTTTCCCTTCTATCCGGAAAGCAAGCTGTTCGTAAAGCCAGATCGAAACCGTAGATCGCTGCTGGAGAAGCTTGAAGATGAAATGAATCGGCGCAAGCAATGTCTTGCGAGCGGCTCCGCCGCCTCCTCGACCTGTCATGGTGTGTGCGGAGGTGAAAGGGGGGAATAAGATATACAAGGAGAATAAACTATGCAGAGGAGCAAAATAACAACAAGCTCCTGCGATAGCAGCTGGTCGGTCGAAGATGAGGATGCTGCGTGGGTCGCGAGAGAGTGTGGGAGAAAAGATGATGGCAGAGCTTCGTCTGGCCGCGGGTTTCCCAGTGCCGCTTCGGGACTGCTGCTGCGGCTCCAACTTTTCCATTTGGGTACGGTCGTCACATCCCACTTCACACTCCTGGTAACCAGCCCATCTCTCCTCTCTCCGCCACCGTTGAGACAGCATAGGACAGAATAATTTTTCTTGCTTATACTTTTTATCACTTAGTTAATGGTTTTTCATGACTGTATCCCATAGATATTGAGCCTGTCGTCTTGGCTGCTCTTAACCCCTCATCCCCATTTCTTCTACTCCGAACAAAAAACATCCCACCTCATTCGACAATGTCTAGTAAGGAGGGTACCGCAGGACAGGCCTTTGGCCCCGTTCTGGCGGCTGTCGCTACAATGCAAGGAAATGTTTCACGAACCGAGAAGACACATGCTCATCAGTTTCTTGAGAAGTTCCAGAAATCAGTCCGTTCTTACCCTATACTATCATTCCCTTTCCCTCTGGGACAAGCATAACTGACCATGCCGCCTCTACTGTCTTCTAGATCGAAGCGTGGACGATTACCCATGACCTTCTGCAGTCCCCAGATGTCCCCGTCGAGGCCAAGTTATTCGCAGCGACCACGTTGAAGGGGAAGGTAAAGCTAGGCGGCCTCTAGACCAGGGTAATGCTAGCATGCTGACCGCATTAGATCACATTTGATTTGGATCAGTTACCCACGGAATCGGTACTAGCTTTGCGAGATTCGGTAATGGGTCTGCTCGTAGTCTTTGCATCAGGCCCCCGCCCGATACAAACACAGCTATGCGTATGTTTGGCGAGTCTCGCCGTCCAGATGATTGAGTGGAAGGATATTCTCGCATCTGTCGGCTCCGCTTTGGGAAGCAGCGCGGGTGACTGTGTTCTGGAGTTTCTAAAGATCCTCCCAGAAGAAGTTACGGAAGGTCGCAAAATAAACTTGAGTGTATGTTCGACAAATCCATTGTCCCATCCATCCGCCCCCTCGTCTCACTGCGATCGTCGGTGATTTGACTTCGTGAAATAAATATCCCCGAATCTAATACACTGGCCTGAAATAGGAAGAGGATCTTGTCTCCAGGACAAAGGAACTCTTGGAGGACAATGCGGAGCAAGTGATGCATCTTTTGATACAGTATTCGCAGTCGTCTCGTATGTACACATCCCTGGTCTCTCTCGACAGATGTATGGCAATGTTATTAACAGCACCAATCCTGATTTAGCGTCCGCAGCTACCAACCCGCGCCTTCTGGATTGCATTACTTCTTGGATGCGCGAAATTCCGGCGTCGAAGATAGTTGACTCGCCCTTAATGGATGTCATTCTTAAGGCTCTGGATAATGATACGTCCCTCGACTCCGCCGTTGATTGCATGTGCACGCTGTACAGAGATACGCGAGAGGTTGATGACTCGCTACCCATTATCCAGGCGCTCTACCCACGCTTAATGTCCCTCCGTCCGAAGATCGCCGAATTCGCCGAAGCCGAAGATACAGATGCGTATCGAGGAATTACTAGGCTCTTTGCTGAGGCAGGTGAAGCTTGGGTTATATTGATCGCACGTCTTCCGTCTGAATTCCGAGGCCTGGTCGAGGCAGTCCTGGAATGCTGCGCTCGAGACTGGGAACGTGATGCCATTTCGCTTACCTTTGTCTTCTGGTACGAATTAAAGCAATATGTGATTATAGATCGATATGCGGAAGCACGAGTAGGCTTTAGCGATATCTTCTCTAAGCTGGTGGATATTATGGTCAAACACCTTCAGTACCCACACCCAGAAGAAGGGGAATCTGATCTTTTTGGTGGCGACAGGGAGCAGGAAGAAAAATTCCGCCACTTCCGTCACTCAATGGGAGATGTGCTGAAGGATTGCTGCGCTGTTATTGGAGTTACTGAGTGCTTGACTAAAGCATATCAACTGATCCAACACTGGGTTTCCAAGTATGCGTCTCAGGCCAGCGATGAGCATGTCCCGAACTGGCAGGAACTCGAAGCGCCGCTTTTCAGCTTGCGAGCTATGGGCCGCATGGTTGATCCGGGAGAGAATAATGCGCTTTTAGCTCAAGTGATCCCTCTGGTTGTACAGATACCAAACCAGGAGAAGGTCCGATTCCAGGCCATCATGGCACTTGCTCGGTACACTGAATGGACAGCACAACACCCCGAAACCCTCGAAGCACAGCTGAACTATGTTATCTCCGGATTCCAACACAGCTCCTCTGAAGTCGTGCAGGCTTCGGCCTTGGCTTTCAAATACCTCGGAACTGACTGCCAGAAGCTCCTGGGAGGTCACATTACCCAACTTCATTCGTTCTATGAGTCGGTGCTTGACAAGTTAAAGCCGACGAGCCAGGAGGAAGTAACTGAGGGTGTGGCGGCCGTTGTTGCCATGCAGCCACCTCACAAAATCTATGAAACTATGAAAATATTCTGTGACCCTATCATGAACCGGATCGTGAACTTAGCGAATAACGCCAAGGATGAACAAAGCCAGCGTGCTGTTGCTGGTATGTATCTTGCGGCGCTATGCAGAAGAAATGCATTAAACTAACCTACCATAGATCATCTTCAGTTGATTACGATTTTTGTATACGTCGTCAACCCCTTCGTTGCTCAGGGCAAAGAGAATCCAGCCGTCAAATACTGTGGCGAGATCTTACCTATCATGACGGCCCTTGCTATGAACTTCACCGCATCTACACCTATCCTAGAGCGCGTGTGCCGTTGCTGGAGGAACATGCTCACCTCCTACCGAACGGCCATGACCCCTCTTCTGCCTGTTCTTGCGCAAAGCCTTGCCGACGGGTTTCAAGCGTCACGGGAGGGGTGCTTCTTGTGGGCAACCGATGCTGTTGTGCGCGAATTTTCAGAGGGGGCTGAATACGTCGATCCGGGAACTAGCAGAGCAGTCTTTCAATTCTATGAGCAACAGTCAACTGCATTCCTGCGTATTCTAAACGATCTACCACCAGAAAATTTGCCGGACGGTAAGCTTGTCGTCCTCCGGTTCACTATGGGGATTGTGCTGACGACGAATGTGACTAGTGATCGAAGACTTCTACAGACTTTCCTCAGATGCCGTTCGATACTATCCTAGGGAATGCATCACGTCGTCTCTTTCGGTGCCGATTTTCTCCGCGGCGTTGAGCGCACTCACATTGCAGCAAGTTGACCCGCTTATTGCCACACTACATTACTACCACGACCTGTTTAGTTTCGCATTTGAGAGGCCGGCAGTTTCTGGTTTCACCAGCTCTAACGGAGATCCATATACGAATCCCCCAGAGATCCGCGAGGCAGTCAAGCAGCTAATTGCCTCGCAAGGTCAGGAGCTGTCCCAGCGTATCCTCGCGGGCATGATGTTCTCGTTCCCTGTGGATTGCTTCGCCGACGCATCCAGTGTGATGATGTCGCTGTTTGAATTGATGCCTCAACAGGCCGGGGTTTGGCTTCACACGACTCTCCAGATGCTACCCGCCGGCACCATGAAGCCGAATGAAGCGGAACGGTTGCTAAAAGGTATTTCCGATAGGGTACAATCGGGCGAGCTCCGAAAGATTCGCGTCCTTCTACAAGGTGAGATTGATCTCCAGCTTGCGGTGATCCACTGAGCTAACGGGCGCCACACAGACTTTACCCATTCGTACCGGCGACGAAACGTGGCACCTAGGGAAGGACTAGGCCGGTTAGAGGCCACCCGGTTCCGATTCAGTGGATAGGATAGGCAAGGGATGAGGGAGGCAGGACTGAGCCATGCAGGAACCGCTCAGCTGAGGCCATGGAAAACCCATGATCTACCTACGCTCAACCCCTTGTGGCCGGGGTGACCTGCCCCATGGTATCCAGCGGCAAGTCATGGGATCGAACAGAGGGACCGACGGACCGGTGAAGGCAGATTGGAAATATTGAGAAAAAAAAAAAAAAAATCATCATTTCTCCCCGAGCGACCCGACCCCGTATACGATTTGCGCGCGGGCTTTTTGGAAGGCGATCCATGAGGAGCGTTCACAGCCAACAGGGGCCACGATGATGCCATCGCATTGGCCCTCATGTAATAATGCAGGTTTATAGTTAGGTATCTATCGTGAATTTAATGATCACATGGCTCTCTGTTTTCCTCCATTGGTGTTTATCTCTTCCGTAGTTCAGGCTCACCTGGAACCCAGGAACAGAAACTGCCGGTATCGTCACGAAGCCGATTTGCACAAACGCGGTGTATCAGATTCGGTCGAAGGAAGCACACTCCATGAAGGACCCCACACAACAATAGAACGAAGATCCGTAGCATTAGAGACATACAACACAATAGCTCCAAGCATCTACTGTATAAACGTCAATAGTCTCTAAGATTTAAGGTTGAATCCATCCAAGCAAATGATGCTGACCCAAACGTATCCCAATATTGCACAATCATATTTCTACCCAATACACCTGGAATGGAAATGGACTACCCGTCTCACATTGGGTAGAAATAAGTACGCATGTACGTACTCCGTAGATCGATAGTACGTACATGTTCTTGGCATATCATGGATGCCTTCATTTCCTCATTATCAGGTAGGTCGATTCCTCCTGTCATCGGCGCCGTGCATGGAGCTGAAACAGGCAACCTGAATTACTTGATCCCGGTAGTCAGATTCCTAAGGTCCTCGTATAGAAAAAGATCCAGTCAGACGAAAAGGAGACCAGGTATACCAGTAAGTACTAAGGAGGCAGGCGATAGGTGAAAAGGTAGGCAACATCGGCAAGCGTGTAAAAAGAAAAGAAAAGGGAAAAAAAAAAAACAAGAAGAGAGTAACAAGAGCCAAGAACGGAACTTGGCAAGAGGGTCTCGTGACGACGAGCAATTTTCCTTCTCGAATGAGATCTGATTCGAGTGAAAGAGGGGAATTTCAAGGGCCAATCAATGGGCGTGTGGCGGACAATGTTGGCGTGGAAGAATTGCTTTTTCCCCCCTATTCCCAGTGAACTCTTGGGGATGGGTTTAATTTTAACTATGGAGATGAGATGGTCATGGCTGTACAAGTACGAAGTAGTACGTGCATCAGGCTTGGGACTGGTGGATGCATGTCGATCTTTGGGGTTGGTCTCAAACAAGGATGGACAACTCAAAATTGACCTATAATTCGAATTCCTTGTCACATTCTACATAGATTTCGATCCTGTCTGGATGATTTGTCCCGAAGAGCTGGTAGCTTGGGCGGGGTCTCGTCCATAGGATAAGCAGCACAGACTATCCAATGCCGGGAGACCAAGAAGACCAAGATAATGATCGACCTAGTCATTGTCACGCGTAATATGGAGTACACTGGGCCCTTATCGCAGCGCGGCCTCTATTCATCCTTCTCCGCGGTTCTGGTTCTGGGGAATAGCGGAAGACACCATCCACCGACGATCCCAAATGGTGGCGGACTAGAAGGGACCTATGATCAATGGACGGACACGGACCAGATTGTCACCCGCTGCCTCGTCATAGGAGATTGTTGGCGCAAAACAGAAAAGAAACTGACGAGCAGGAAAAACTCGTGCAGTCCTGGAGTGCATGCAGGTGCGCGTGTCGTCGGTCCGAAGTACCTACCTACTCCGTAGACTCCGTTCCACACTGCTATAGGTACAATGGCCAGTCGGTATTCCAAGAAAGGCGTGTTTCATCTGGATGAACTGGATGTCGATCGCTTCTCGGCATCGACTGTCACTTCCAATGGAGGAAAAGACTCAGTATAGACCGTCTACCGCTGGTACCGCAGTCTACATTGTATTCACGTCTAGATAGTCGTGCTGGTTACCAGTTAGTCGTCTCTGTTCGCGATTCTTGGAGATGAACAGACTGGATCTCGATGATCAGGGCGTTCCGGTGTGACGGGGACTCGTTCGCCTGTTCTAGCTGGGTTCTGGGATGCTTCTATACAGACCGAAATTAATTAATCAGCGGAGACGATCCCTGTACCCGTAGGTACTCCGTACAAGCATGTACTCCGTATGACCTCTGGTCTGGTCTGGAACCCGTGGTGAGGCTGCCATCCGAGGAAAAAGGGCAGTACAGAAGGATTCACCTGAATGAAACTAAACGATGACATGAGGTGGATTGGATTGAATTGATCGGAATCGCCAAAGAGGAAGTTCCTCGTGCCCCACCCGGATCGTCTCCAACAAAGCAATTCTCAACGCCTCGAGCATAGATATATCCCAATCCCACTCCTTCTGGCTTACTTCTCTCCTCTATGCCACTTCTCTATGCCTTTAATTTGCATGACCGTCGAGGGGCCTCATGTCATTGTGTCACCACTGATTAAATTAATTAATTATAATTACTGTTAAGCCCCATCCAACAACTTGGTTCCCCTCTTCGGCTTCCCGCCTCCAATTCACCCCATCAGAAATCGGCCATCTGCCCATTCTGTCCCGGTTTTAGGGTGCATCTTCTTTCTCCTTCGCCCACTCCGATCTTTATCTTTCCTGACTCCCCTTTTTGCCGAGATTCTTCTATCACTCCTCCGTCGTCGCTGGTTCTCTCCGTGTGCCGTGTCTCCCGGACCTGCAAAAAAAAGGAAAATCTCCGCTCCGCCTCTTCCCCACGGGGTCCTCTATTCCTTGTCCTTCTTGTTCTCCCCAGTCACTTGTTGCTCGCCCGACAACGCATTACTTGACGCGCCTATGGCCCACTTAGTTCGGTTCCTCCCCTAGCCTGGAAGCCTCGAATTTGGTCATCGGGCCCCCGCGAACTTCGCCGTGGTTCTGATGGGCAAACCCAACAAAACTCAGATTTCTCCTGGTCGTCTCCCAGGTATCGGCACAGGTCTCGACGCACGGGAATAAGATATAAATAAAAGTTGCAGTTAAATAAGAAAGAAAAATAATTGCCGGGAGAGCTAGGATCAGCGTATTTAGTTTCTTCCGGTCAATCCCAGTCAGTCACCATGACTTCGGTGATCAGCGCCATGGGTGGACTAGACCAGGGTCCCAAAGGCAACCGCAGAGTACGCAGTGAAATAGAAGTCACCTCGGACAACGAGACGGTCCATCCAGCGATCAATGCAACTCCACGAAAGCGGAAGAGGGCTCGCAAGGCCCATTCCGATCGTAAGTTCGACTGCACCTTTGAAGGCTGCGGGAAGAGCTATTCTCGTGCGGAGCATCTATACCGCCATCAGCTGAACCGTATGTTAATCATCTTCCTCAACAAATTCATATCGTTGAACTTATTGCTAATCCTTGGACCTTGATGACTCTCATTAGATGCCCCCAAGCAGATCTATCGATGTGACTTCCCCGATTGTTATCGATCATTTGTGCGACAAGATCTGTGCATCCGGCACCGAGAACGACACACAACTCAGGGGTCCCAACTCCAGAAGCGCGATCACTTCTCCCAGACAGCCTCCGGGAACACCAGTCCTCCGATCTCTCAACCCCCCACAGTCGTTTCGCCAACTGCCGATTTCCCGTCGAGCCGGACATTGACAGCCGGGTTGGTGGATTCCCGGGCAAACAGCCATGCAAACCAACATATCGCCGTATCCTCCTCTCCCCCATCGATCGGTGTGAACCGAGCGTTTAGCTATCAACAACTGGCTTCGCAGCACGCCAAAAGCTCTCCACCCAACCAAATTTATAGCCCGCCCGCTATGCAGAAAGTGTCGCATGTCGCAGTGCCTGGTCGGCACTCAGCGACCACGTCGATCAGCTCCGGAGAGCCTGGTCAAGAAGCCCAGCCTCGATCTTCGATGTCCGAGCCTAGTCGAACATCTACTGTACAATCCCAAGACCCGAGCACCGTTTTCTCAATCCCAACAGAACTAAGTGGTTCTACTCTTGTAAGTCCGGTTGCATACGGCTCCCAAGCGAGCCTGTCAATGTCTGTCAATGGATACTCGGATATATCCCTCGCGCCGGTAACGTCCTCAGAGCCCGCTCCATTAGCCCAAGGTGCGAGCTTGAGTGCGCTGGATTCAATGTCGGGCATGATGGTGTCCGGGTCAACAGTTGGGGACACCGGATTCGACTCGCTCGCCTCGTGTGTCTATCCGATCTTCGGCAGTGAGACGTACAACCGGTCTCCTTTTGCCATGGCGGATGATTTCACCGCGTGGCTGTTCAACGAACCTCCCGCGGGATCGTCATCAGTTGCGTATCCATCAAGGACAAGCATGGTCCCCAGCTATCTGGATGCCGCTCAGCTTCAAAATCAATTCTTCATGAGCGACCCGGCTTATGGGACGTTCTTGGGCGGTGCCATTTCACAGCACCCCATGAGTGTCACCAGCATCCTCGATCCTGGGTCGCCGCGCGCTATCATGTCGGAGGACAAGCGTCAGGAACTGCTACACCTTATGGCGACGCGGTTCAATGAGGCGGCGTACTCAGTAGTGGCCAAGCGCAAGGACGCCTTGATGGAGGGCGACATTGACGACGATAATCACGTCTTGAGTCTACGCATGATGCAGACGTACATCGGATCATACTGGTACCACTTTCATTCGCAGTTACCCATCTTGCATCGCCCGACCTTTGTCGCCGACCAGGCGCCCAACCTCCTTCTTTTGGCAGTAATGGCTATCGGGGCGTCAACACTGGACCGCATCCACGGTCCCGAGGTAACCGAGACAGCCTCCGAGCTGGCGAACTTTATCGTTTGGCATCTTCGATGGGAGATCTTCATGGATGCAGATTTTCGGCCTCCAGCTAAACTCTGGGTATTCCAGGCCCTGCTGCTTCTAGAGGTCTACGAGAAGATGTATTCCACTCGCTCTCTCCACGAGCGGGCGCACATCCACCATGACACCACACTGACACTGATGCGTCGTGGCAGTTCGTTGATCGGCCGCTCTGCATTTGACTCCCCGGCCAGTTTGAGAGACGACCGACAAATTCGATCAGCAACCGGCTCCACCATGACACCGGACTTTGTGGCGGACGAATCCTGGACACACTGGATCAAGACTGAAGCCACCCGACGGGTTGCGTTTGCTGCCTTCGTGCTGGACTCGACTCATGCCACCATGTTTGGACACTCCGCCAAGATGGTCGCGCATGAGCTTCGGCTGCCGTTGCCGTGTGATGAGGCATTATGGTCGGCAACCAGCGCGGGCGAAGTGGCGCGTGTGCAGTCCAGCCTGCATGCGAATGGCGTGAAGCCGGTCGTGTTTTTGGACGGGCTCAAAAGAACTCTTAACGGACAACGAGTGCGGACGAACGCCTTCGGGCGGACCATCATCATGGCGGGTTTGCTCAGTGTCAGCTGGCATATGAACCAGCGGGACCTGCAGGTCAGCTCCCTTGGTGTTCCACAGGCGCTAGGAGGCCGAGATAAATGGCGGTCGGCATTGCTGCGGGCCTTTGATAACTGGCGGCGGGATTTCGACGAGGCCCTTGGACAGACTGGATCCCCACCGTTCGGCGGTGGATATCGGGTCCGGCATCCACTGGATGAAGACAATGTATTCGAATCGCGCGATGTACTGCACGGTCTTGCCCATATGGCGTCGCATGTAGACGTTGTCGATTGTCAGATCTATGCCGGCGCCGGTCGACTGATGGGACGGTCCATCACACCAAGAGACTACAGCGCCGCTCGTGAAAAGATGACCGAGCGATGGGCCACCAAAGCCTCGGCCCGCGACGCCACCTTTTACGCCTTGAAGTTCCTGTCCGAGTGTTTGTTGAACGGGGGTTCCGAGGACGAGGATATTTATTCGGGACGTGATGACTACCTCCTCAACCGACCGTGGGTAATCTACGTGGCGGCATTAGTGGTCTGGTGTTATGGGTTTGCCCTAGATGGTCCGATCTTTTCGCCGCCGGCACTGACGACCGTTGCAGAGCAACGGCACGACATGCAAGAGTTCCTGCAGCGCGTGGGCGGCGTGCAGTCTCCCAATGATCTACAAGGGATGCAAGGACGCAATCGGTGTCTGGGGCTATTGATGATCCTGCGCGACGGGTTTATCGACACGCGGTGGGAATTGTTGACGGAAGCGGCCAATTTGCTGGGCAACTGCATTGCGAAATTGCGAGGGTGATGGAAAAACATAGGTATTCATATGTATACTGTTTCTCAGATGTGGCTATTAGATTCCCTACTAGGACGGGTGTTTTGGTTTTTTGTACAGGTCCAGGGAGTCTGAAGGACGGGATATGTTTATACACTTGGCGATGGATTATGCATGATGATTTGGGTTGTGTATGCTATGATACCAGGAGGCAACTAGTGTCTTTCTTTTGGGAAGCTGCCGTGAGAAATTGCGAGCATGATTGAAGCACATCTCCGTACGTATACTGTTTCTGTTTCCCGGGGTGACACCGGCCTGGTATCGACCACCGAATCCCACTTACAAAGGATGCCAACGGCAAGGAAGCATCGCCCCTATACAGTCTGGTATATGGGATGAATAAAAAGGAGCTGTTATTTTTAGTCTCATTAATTTATCCCCTCAAAAAAGGTGCAAACTTCAAAGGTCCAAGCACAAGAATATAGCATTTTATTCCCTGGTGCACTACTTAGGCATCTGCGACATTGAGTCGGCTGCTCAAAACAAACTCTTATCGCATCCTTATTCCAGGATTATATTGTGTACCTATACACAGAGATCACGTAACCAACGCACTGGTGCACAGGCTGGTTTGCAATAACTTCAGAGTGTCAGCTAGTTTACCTTTTTTCATATATAAGACTACATCAGCGTCTTCATCAGCAGACAATGCTGTTGCTGTTTTTGGCTATTCTGCATCCAAGTCGGAGATGCATCAGCCGAACATCGACTGCCTGCCTGATCCTATATGCATAAGTGGCATGGGGTGGTCCATCCATGACTAGCGTATATATTCCGACGCGAGTATCTATCCCGGGAAGGAGGGGAGATGATGATCTGTCCAATTACAGACCTATTTTTTTTTAAAAAAAAAACGATATCCATGTTAGCAAGTCTCCTGCAACCTCCCCAGTTCTGTTGGTAAAAAGGCCTGGTGGAGAATTTGTTTCTGTGTGGACTATCAAAGCCTTAACGAACTTACAGTCAAAAATCATTACCTATTAATATATATTTAAAACCCCCTTTGGAATATATCCCAAGCCTGCTGGTTTACTAAGTTCGATATTATTGCTACATTTTATAAGGTCTGTATATTACCTGGCGAATAGAAAACTGCCTTTAGAACCTGTTAACTTTATCTTTTAAATAGAACATTACCCTATTTGTTATCGATTGGGCTTCGGTCTCGGAATGGGACAACCATCCCTCTGAGTCTTCGGGGAACCATGTATTCTGGTCTACCCCTCTTTCTATGTATGTATCCGTTTGGGATTCCACTGGGAATCCCAAGGGTTAATCTAGAAATAATTCTACACCTATCTTGGCCCCTTCTTAGGATTAGTTATTGTGATTTTCTTACCTAATTCGCAGCCGATCTACCTTGTATAGGAGGACTTTCACGCTATTTAGTTTTACTAGTACACCTGCTACCTTCTAAGTTGTGTACTATCCCGGTGTCTCTGGCTTATTTCGTCTCATTGTGTAGGGATATCTCAGTTAATACTATGATTGCGTCAAAAGGTAACCTGCGGCTTACTATCGTTCCTCCTCGATAAACTAGAGTTAGCATAGTTATCCTGCCAGTCCTAATTGCATTTCCATTAATGCACGTGTTCGCCCCAATTGTGTATAAACTCCAGGCGCAAGCGCACCCAACTAGAAGGGCAAATTTGAACATTGGTCAACTTCTTTTACAATTTTATATTATTTAGGACGGCCAACACATTCTGTGCTTTGCGACCATTCTTTCTTCCCTAGCACCTAGTAGGCGTACTGATTGCGAATCTGGCATCTAAAGTGCTGCTTTCCTCTGGAAGATTGTACCTATAGCAATGCTGCCAGATCGAAGGCCGTTCGTTCCCGAAGTCCAAATTATGGGAGGGAGTGGAACAACCTATATAAATACTAACCCTCACTAGCCGCAAGCCAACACAGCACCAACCCAAAACCAAACAGAGAAGTATATGCGCCTGTATAATCTAATGCCAAAAGGAAAGCTCGTTTCCAGTTATCTGTGCTATTTAACTCTCCTCGAAGACAATTTAACCTAGGCCATGGAGCTAAAGTATTTCGACCATGTGGAGTGGTATTAGTTTCAGTTCTAGTAGCTATGCTTTTGGATCTTCCTGCAGTGGATCTGTAGTCTGTACCTTAAAACCTTCGGCTTGACCTGCAGTGACCGTGTGGTAGGGAGTGGAGCAGCCATTGCGGGGAGCATTGCGGGGAGCATTGCGGCCGTTAACGTGTTGAATTACCGAGTATGCTATTATACGCGTAGCTCATTAATTATCATTGGTGTTATTTATCTAATCAATTGCTCCCGCTTCAGTTTATTTATGCCGAGACTGATGTTTTTTCCTCTTTTTTCTTCTTGTATAGACCTTCTTGATAGTTCCAACATTTATATCCCTGCGACGAAACCGTAGATTAGGGAGGCGCGTTTTGACTTCATCACTGGAACAGAGAATCGAGGCAGCTGTTGCAGCAGGTGAGATTCCCATTGTGATCTTGCATGCTACTGATACAAGTAGTATGTTGAAAAACATGTTTAGAACCTAATGTTAACCCCTTAGCAGACAAGCTTCACTACACAAATGCCATTGGCATGCGTCTTTGAAACCAGGTGCTGAGGCCTCCCACACTTGACGCGACACACACTATAGCCTCATGCACCAAACTCATTATTACTCGCGACGCTACAATGCGTCGAACGAGGCCTGTTTGGCCTTGATGACGATGTCTCAACTGCGCTTGTTGAACTCAAGACCTCCGAATTCTCAAGGGCTTTGAAGAGGGCACGGAAAACGCAATTTCTGTACCAGCCAACAATAAAATAATACTACAGTTAGTTAGCACAGACACTCCCAAATTTCCTATCTCCCCCTTTAGTTTCTATCTATATACCGTATCCTCAGAATAGCATTAACATTAACGTTGACGTTTCCCCCCCCTGCCGTCTAGACACCTCCTAATGCACTCGTCAGCTATCTCATACTAGTTTATGAATCCTAACTTTGCCTGTTGGTGTACCTCAATTGGTCACATTCCCAAATAGATGATACTGCTCCTCTATTGCAGAGCGCCACGCTCCCCCTCGTTTTTGAGCCTGGTGAGGGGTTTGAGTACTTAATATCTAGCCATTCTAGATGAGTCGTCTTGTATCTTTTTATGGTCAAATGTTTACCACTAGATTAGCGCCTAGTGACAACAAACCTTTGCATTACGACTGATCGAAAGGTCTGTCGCATCTAGCGCCTCATACAGTAGCGAAGGCCTTAGCCTGTTGGTCTGGGCAATACGCTGGGATCAACCCTTGACTAAAAGTTTGAAATATAATAATCTCTTTCATTATGCTAGTCTAATATTTTGATGTTAGACTCTCTACTTAGGTTGGTGCTAAAATATTGGAACCTAAACGCTTTTTTTTTAGTTATGGTATAGTCTTGGTGGAATGGTGATGGTAGAGAAATCACGAGTTCACGACCCACGGGTTATCAAACACAGTAAACATCCACAAAAGAACAATAATATTGCGGTTAGTTTCAAATAAATAAAAGCTACAAAGAAATATCAAAGGTTTTGAACTAACTGCAAAGTCACTGATTCTTGACTAGATTGGTCTGTATGGTATAGTTACCATTTTCACGCTTCTGAGTGAGACTTCTCCAGTCTCACATACATCTCTTGCTCGAATCTGCTTGCCCATTCAACACTTTGCAGGTCGCCTGTCGGCACTAACTGACTCGCCTACAGGCCGCACAAACCAGCTTTGTGATCAATCCACCAGAATAGATTCGGCCGGCCGACCCACCGAAGACTGCCAGCCTTCTGTCCTGTGGTCTAATCTCCCAATATTATTAGTCCGCCGAGTCCCCAGGTTTCTGCGGCCCATAAGGTGTCCCACCTAGATAGTTATTGACCTCCCGCACGGAGAGTATCTCTTTTAACATCTCTTTTGAAAGGCTGATAACTGATGTTTAAACTTGTCCTCTATTTCCCAGTGCGCAGGATCTTTCCATCCTCCCGTAAAATGGAAGCAAGCTCATTTAAAACTGATGGTCCGCTGGTAAATGCCCTCCATCTTCCGTAATGGTCGATAACTGGATCAGGCCACACGCGACTTGGTATCTAGGAGAGTTGACCAGCTGGGTCTGCCGCGGTGGCAAATTGATTTATGCCGCCTTCCCGGAGATTGAAGACTGCCAGCCTGGCGCGAATGTCCTCATTCGTGGAAAGTCAAGCCCGTGATTCCTAGAGGTTTGCAAATGTACGTCTGGAAGTAGTTCTCCAGGGATACATTGTTGAGATGTGTAACAAGCCATCCAGCCAAGTCTAGCGAATAGCCAAATGAGAGCTGCCAGGTCACAGAAGAAAAAATGAAAAATGAAAAAAACACAACGCCAACAAAGTATTCGAAGCGTACAATACTTCTCAGGGGATAGCCATGACTCGCATAAAATCTATCTTATCGCTGCACACGGTGCCACTCTAAAAGACTTTATTCATCTTAGTACATAGCCAGAAGGGTTAGTCTTCCTGCGCTCATTGCTGTCTAGCATAAGAAAACAGCACTTATATCGCTTCCTGAAGAGCAAACGAAGCTCGCAGAAGAAGGCTGGGAACGATCTGGCAGAAGTCCTCCGCCCTCCCCATCTTTAGAGGTAGGTATAACCCGAGTCATCTAACCTAAGTAACTGTGTAAAGTAGAGTGGCTAATATCTAAGATAGGCATACTTCTGGGCACTCGACATCTACGATCAAGATAAAGTGAAAGATACTATTCCGGCAAGCCTTAGGGGACATGAGGATGATCCGTATAAAATCGATACTCACAGATATGTCCTGCTTTGAATTATGGAAGGAATGGATTTGAAGACAGAACTGAAGATAGAGCTACTTATGCTGCAAACTTCGGCCCGAGTGCCCGATATTGGGAACGGGATATGTTTATACACTCGGTGATGGATTATGTATGGTAGTTTGGGTTGTGTATGCTATGACACTAGGAGGCAAATAGTGTCTTTGGCTTTCTATGTCTTAAATGTACTCCTAGTGCTATAGCTCTTGGATGAACGCCCGCGAATTCAGGCCACCACCGGTTACCACAACAACCGCCCAAACGGGCAGCCGCCCCGACTAGACCAGACCAGAAAGTGAAACCCCTTTGCTTCTCTCCTTCTCTCTTTCTCCAGATCTATTAATCAATCTCTCCCACATTCCATCCCATTGTTTATCGATCGTTGGTGTGCCATTGACCCCCTTGTGTGCCCCTGTCTTCCATCCCTCGCTGTATCCCCTACCGCTTCTGGAAACCCTAACAAAGACAATAAAGTCCACATCATCAACATGGTACGTGCCTTGGTCTCTTTGGTTGATTGTCGCGAGCTCTTGCATTCCCCCGTCCGATACACAGAGGGTCCTTGAAATGCCCCAGAAACGACCGATAATCTCCCCGTGAACGTGTTGAGACATTGTTGCGTGGGGAGCGGCCATCCGTGGTTCAGCTGGAATTCGCCCCTCTCCAATCCTTTTCCCCGGTTCGCCTGCACCTTGTTCCTAAATGGCCTCATCTTCCACCTCCCCAACCCATCTTCATTTTCATTCTTTGTGGATTGATATCCGTGCCATACTGTCATTACATCTTGATCAAAATGTCTCACTCACCTAAACACGATCACGAACAGGCCTCAACCAATTACAAGGAAGCTTTCTCGCTGTTCGACCGCCGCGGATCGGGCAAGGTCTCGCTGGAGTTGCTCGGCGATTTGCTGCGCGCATGCGGTCAAAACCCTTCCCTTGCGGAGATTGCGGACCTGGAGAAGAGCGTTGGAGGAGACTGTAAGTTGGAGAATACAGGAAGCTTTGCGCGATAGGCTAAAGCTGATGGGAGGCAGTTGACTTCGACTCCTTCTTGAAGGTTCTCAACCGACCGGGAGGTTTCCGCGAACCCGGCGAGCCAGACGAATACTGTCGCGGTTTTCAGGTGTTCGACAAGGACTTGACTGGGTTTATCGGAGTGGGACAGCTTCGCTACAGTGGGTTACCTATTCCTGGTCTGTCCGGGTCGGAAACAACGCGATGCTGACCATTTAGTCTTAACGAACCTTGGTGAGAAAATGTCGGATGAAGAAGTCGATGAGCTCCTGAAGGCTGTTGATACCAGCTCTGGCGAGATCAACTACACCGGTATGTTGGTCTGGTAAAGGAAATGTACTGTGGCTAACGAGAACAGACCTCGTCCGTACTATTCTGGCCAACTGAATGATTCACGATACCCTGATGTTCTTGATGATCTTCTCCTTACAACGAACTCCGCCCACTGAAGTGGCCAGGAGTTGTTGGCTTGAGCGTATTAGTTAGGTTATAATGTATTTATTGTATATGCGTGGTTTAGGTCCATGGCCAGAAGAATTAGATATAAGGTCAAGCCTGCAAGTTAAGGGATCCACCCCGTCCACTCCCTATCCATCGCCAGCGTCTTCACAGAATCGCCCATTGACTCCGTGTCCACCAATGCGCCAGGCAGTAGATACACCACCTTGGCCCTATCCTCAGCGCTTTCCCCATCCTCCCCATCCTCCTCATTTATTCGCCCCTTCTGCACGGGGAAATGCACCGCATCTAAAAAGTACCCCACCGCGACGCGACACCGCCCACAGCGCACAAACCGTCTCTTTTCGAACCCATCCTCCCTTCGCACCAGGGTCGCTTTCCGTTCCGGCAATGCAGTGGATAAAAGAATCGTATAGTGTTTTTGATGCGTTTCTGTCGTATTCTCCGTGGAGCCTTTGCCGTCATTCCCTTGAGTCGTGTCCAAAGAGGGAGAGGGAGATAGAAGGAGGGGGAGAATGAGTGCGGAATCCTTGGCAGGTTCTTTTCGTCGAGGAAGGGTCGATAGTTTCTGTGTTGTTGCTAAGAGGAGATGGTTGCAGAATCGACAGTGGTAGGTTAGGATTGTGAGGGTAGATTTTGATTTTGATTGTTGCGTGGTTGGTTCCTGGGAGGGTTCTTGCGAGGGTTCTTGTGGAGGGGAGGACATGATTATCTCCCTGTGCTTAACTCTCTAGATGAATGAGGGAGGGAGGGAGTGTGTTTTTGTCGTCCTGTTGCTGGTCGTGCGAGGTTTGCGCGCTGGGTAAGTAGGTAGGTAGGTAGGTGGGTAGATAAAGGTGATAGGTAAGGTGTGAGAATCGGTGTGTGCTTGATAGTTGTATATGGACTTGTTCTTTCTAGTCAAGGGTTCGAGAATCTGAGGTTCAAGTGGATGAGGAGGAAAGAATTCGATATAGATTAACTCCTGTTAATAACCTGAGACGAAGATGAGAAGACTACTTGATCTGGTTAGTGCTGGGGTATAGTTTGGTTAGTCATCCATTTATCAATTGTTACTTTTCTTTGAGTACAGTGAATTAAGTTTAAGTGACGTAAGACAGTAGGAAAAGGGTTTAGATAAACGATATATGTTTATTCATTATGACTTGTTATGTTAATTAGGTAGGGCGTAGGAATGTTACTGTTGATGTAACCTGTATATTTCTACTGACTCTATACTGTTATAATTATGGATTTTATTTCTGAGTACAGGATCTTCGTTCGCTGATTCTTCATCCCTTATTGTTATCCCGTTTATAGAATGAGTTCAAATTGCCATCACATGTATCCGATACACATTTTAATTGTTTCTATACCTGATACTTCCAATATTCCAAGAAGGCTTTTCCCCATCCTATATCACCTACCTAAGCCAATCCCAAATCCTTATAGAATGCATCCGTCTTAGGCTCTCTGCCCAAGAACTCCGTCAACGTCTTCATCTCATCCTGACTACCGCCCTTCTCCAACACCTGATACCGGTACCGTCGGCCGGCCTTCGGATCCATTGGGTTCGATTTGAACACCGTGTAGAACATATCGGTCGAGTAGACTTGCGAACTGTATCTTCATTAGCATTTTCCCCCATATGGGACATCGACAGGGCCATACCTAAGATATCCATAGTATCCTGCATCGTACCCCCCGATCAAGTGTCCAAACGTCCCCTCGCCGTGGCCCCATTCGTCTCCCTGTTCCAGGATCTCTGGTCCGTCCATCTGGGTAATCTGCTTGCGCAGCTGGTTGTACGTCGCCGAGATCGGCAGCTTCTCTATATCCTCATGGCTCGCTGGCTCGTGCACCGTCATGTCAAAGATGCCGAAATGCAACTGCCGCAGATTAAACAGGGCGCCGTTGACGTGCTTCGTCCGGATCAGATTCTCAATCACGTCGTCGGGGATCTGCTCGGCCGGCTGTGCAGCGCTGCCGGCCTGTTCCTGCCAAGCAGCCAGGTACTCAGGCGACAGGCTCGAGTAGTGCTTGCTGAGGGACTTGAGCTGGGACGGTGTCCAGCACCAGTTCTCCAGCATCTGACTGGGTGCCTCGACGAAGTCGCGGACCGTGTTCGTGCCGTGGAACCGCGAGTAGATGGTCTTGGACACAAGATCGTGGATGCCGTGGCCCAGCTCGTGGAACAGCGTCACCACCTCGTCGTGCTTGAGTAGACTCGGCTTCTTCGGTGTCGGCTTGGTAAAATTGCACACCAGCGCCGTGGCGGGGTAATGGCGATTGCCCTCGGCGTCGATGAAGCCCGGCTGCAGGTTAAAGTTCGCTGCGTGTCCATACTTGCCACTGCGTGGGAACAGATCGAGGTACAGATAGCCAACAAACCCGCTGCCCTCGCCCTCATCATCCCAGACGCTAAAAATCTGCACTTCTTCGTGCCACACAATGTCACTGCCCTTTCCGGATGGCGCGATTTTCTCACGATCCTCTCCGGTGATCTCCACGAATACCAGGCCAAAAAAGCTCTTCAAAGATCTTCAACATACCCTCGATCGTCGTCTGAAGGGGGAAGTACTCGGCAATCTGCTGCTGGTCCAGCGAGAAGTCCTTCTCCAACATAAGCCGGTCATAGAACCGATGGTCCCACAGGTAATAGCGGCCATCGAACGACTCGCTGCGCGCCTCAAGGTCCGTCTTCTTCAACTGCAGCAAGTTCTGAATCTCCTTCTGACCGCCGACCGTCAGACGTGTCCGTAGATCTCCCAGGAAAGAGTTAACCGTTTCAGGAGTCTTAGCCATTTTGTCCTCAATGCGGAACGCTGCGTGATTCGGGTAACCCAGCAGACGAGCAGCCTCATCCCGCAGGACAATCGACTCTCGGAAGAGGGGAACGTTCTGGTTGCATTTGTTCTCATTCTGGATCATCACCTTCTTGCGAGTCTCGGGGTTTTTTTGGCGTATTTCATCGTGGGGAAGAGGTCGGGGTACTTGAAGGTCAGCCACAGCTTACCCTCGTTCGCGCCCTCGCCTTTCTTCAAGCCGGACAACACATCCTCTGGCACGCCATTCAGCTCCTCACGAGTGAACCAGATACCCTCATTCTCCTCATTCAGGTTCTTCTGGAATTCGATGCTGATATGACTGAGACGCATCTTGATCTCCTTGAAGCGGTCACGCTTAGGCCCGGCTGGAAGGCCCAGTCCGTTGCGGATGAAATCCTTGTGCTCCTTTTCAAGCAGACGACGGGACTCAGGGTGAAGGGTCTCATTCTTATTCAGCACAGCATCCACGAGCTTGAAAATATCCTCACGCATCGCGCTCTCGATGAAGAAATTGTCCATCATCTCCTCCGCCTTCGACGACGCATCACGCAGCGCCTGTTCCGTCGAGACGGCCTGGTAGAAGCTGAGGATGTGCGATTCCAAAGCCATCAAATTCTCATCGTGGGCAAGGGTCTTGAGGACAGAGTCGAAAGTGGCCGAGTCGGACTTCACATTCGACACGACAGCGTCCTGAGCTTTGCGGGAGGTCTCGATGAGCCGTTTAGCGTCGTCGACGATGGACTGGGCGGTCGCGGTGAAGACGGGAGGGGCCTGAGGGGGGGCCGACGGAGATGTTCTGGAGCCATGTTGGCGGTGGTAAGTGACTTACGAAGGTCGGTCAGGGATGAATTCGAAGCACGAGTTGTCAGTCGCGAGCCACGGAAATGGCTTAGGACTGAAGAAAGTCTGAAGGCGGGGGATGAAACACGGAATGGGGGAGCCACGGTGACGAGGAGAACGCCCAGGAGGAGGATGAGGGCGTGTAGATATAGGGAGCGGAAACCGAGAAGACCTATGGTGACGGCGGAGAGGGAAGAAAGGAGGGGAAGTGGGGTCGAAGCAATTGATCAACTACGTGGCTCTGCGATGATGTCGAATGCAGAGACAACTTGGCGGAGAGCCGCCTCTTGGCCTAGTCGGGTTAGTCGCGCTGCTAGGGTCGAAGCTCCAGCGACGCTGAATATTCTCTACCCCTCTCACCGTCTACAGGATCTACAGAGTCTACACTCAATGCTACAACAGTGGCAAAATATTCGGAGGCATATCATCGTTTCTATCGCGGTTCAAACCACATCGAACTTTTAAAATAATACGCAAATCTTCATTATCGACACAGTCCATTTAGCCTGACAACCCTGTCCAACTCCAGCAACTCCGTACAGATCTAGGAAATATGAAATTAAACGCTCAGCGTGTGAAGAGGAACAAACAAAGACACTCATAGAGGTGAGAGATGCAAGAACCAACTAATCTGTCGGAAAAACAAAATCACATATTGAAGAATGTTTATGCTGCATCGGCCGTGGGAATCGGTTCAGGAATCTTGGTGACCTGTTCACCAGCGCGGACAATCCGCTGACCACTGTCGTCACGAACGTACTCACTACCCTCCTTTTGGGCCCGCTTCCAGATCTCTACCTCGCAGCCACCCCGGATCACACCAACCCGCATGGTCGACAGCAGGTTGTGGGCTGCATTGGAGTGGTAGTAAATACCACCGTTGAACATCGCCGTGGCATCCTTGCCAATACCGGAGTTGATCATGGCCTTGCCACCTGGATGATCCTTAATGAAGTCGGTTACGTCGTGCACAACTCCGGCAATGGCCACCAGTCCGCGGCCGCTCTTAGCCTGCTCAACGTAGTCGTCCCATTCCATGACGGGAAGCTGATCAAGCGGGACACCCCAGTCCAGTTTGGCACGCTTCTGGTCGATCTTCTTCTGAAGTTGCTGGATACGACCTTTCTCGATCTCGTTAGCACGGAATTGCTTCAGATCATAGGCCAGACCCATCTGCTTCCAAACCCAAATGGTCCACTTAGTCGGATCATACTGGTGCCATTCAATAGCGTTGCGGTAGTCTGACGGGAATTCGTGATGAAAGTTGTGGTAGCCCTCGCCTAGGGTGACCAGAGCGGTAATGACGTGGTCACGAGGAGAGTTTCGGTCATCGAAGGGCTGGTCACCGAGCCAGTGAGCCAAAGAGTTGACGCAGAAAGTCGCCTGCTGCACGAAGAAGATACGCAGGATTCCAGCGTAAATGAAGCCGCCCCACCAGTCTCCCCAGCCCAGGCCAGCCACAAGCATTGGCACCACCAAACCCATGGCGAAAACGACCTTGATGTAGTTACGATGTTGCCAAACCACAACGGGATCTTCGTTCAGGTCGGAGATATCCGAGCGGCCGATACGCTTAGGGTTCTGCTTCATGACCATCCAACCGATATGTGAGTAGAGCAAGCCCTTGCGGACGGAATAGGGGTCCTTCTCGGTGTCGGTATAACGATGGTGGGCACGGTGGCCACGAGCCCACCAGCGGATGGAACCTTCCACAGCACCACCACCGACGGCTGCGAGAAAGACACGGAGCGGGAGACGAGCAGAGTAAGAGCAGTGAGCCCAGAGTCGATGGTACCCTGTTAAAAAAAAAAAATTGTCTGTTAGCCCAATAGACACGACGATCTCTCAAACGCTAATGAGGAACCTACCAGCTGTGATGCCCAAACCGGTGAAAAAGTAGTAGATGACGGCCCAGACGGCGGTCTTGAGCTGCAGCGGCACCCAGATAGCCTGGATGCAGCCATAGAGTGGGATACCGATGATGAAGAAGACATTCAACCAGTCAACATGCTTGTACCAGTTGTACCGTGTCAAAGGAGTGTCGGCAATATGGACCTTCTTGGTGTCACCAGCCCGAGGTCGGGAAGCGTCCGCTGGCTTTGTAGACATGGTGTCGGTGCCTTTGTTTTCGGTTATCCCTTAGAGCTCGTGGCTCTACCGTTGAAGAGAATATATCAAAGGGATATACAGTCCAGACAAGCGCTGGGGACTTGTCGACTAGAGCCAGTGAATGCTCCTGGGAAGTGGAAAGCAAGAACGGAGGGATAATGTTGATTTAAGAGAGGGAAAGAGGCAAACAGACGAGAAAGACAGATCTGAGGAATAAAAAAGCACCGAAGCAGGAAGGGTGGGGAAGCTGGCGAATGCCAGATACGGAACTGAGTGGGAATATCAGAGAGTGAGATTGATGGCAGCGGGATCCACCGACGAGTGATGGTTGGGGAGAACAAGTTATGCAAGGAGGGCAATACTATATAGTACAGCCAGTGTCGAGGTTGATGGATTCCGGAGGATGCAAGCTGTCAAGCAGCCAAGTGGCCTGAATTTGTAGCATCAGGAGATGAGGTAGTTGATCATAAGATCCCGAGGTCAAGCATTCAACAATTACTATCTTCTTGTTGATTGTCGTGCATCTGCCGGTGAATTGCGCATGGCATCTCTATCAGATGCCATCCACGGCAGGGACAAGCCTGGCGTTCTTGTTGGGCGGCCAATCGATCAATGACAAAAGCCGCGCCCAGACCCTACTAGTTCGGGCTAGATCGGATCATGTTCACCAATCACCAATGGCTAGTTAACTGTTGAATCCCCAACGCTTTCCCTCGCCCCTGCAGGCGGTGTGGCAAACAGAGGCTGTGAGTGGTGGATTGCTAAAAGGTCGTTGCTGACTCATGCGCGATTCACTCTTTTCCACTTGGGAGGCTCTTAGTCATGTTACGAATTTTCAAGTGGCTGCTCTGTATGGAAAACTCCAATGATCATAGAGCACGGCGGACCAGAGCAATAAATAGCTGGTCTCTCTCTATATATCTAGCCGATCAGTTCGGACTACTCCGTAGAAACTGAATCAGATCTGGCCCCAGGATGAGGTGAATCATATATTCCAAAGTAAGTACTAAATATTCCTCACGGTCCACATTTATCCATACCAATATTTTAGATGCAGCCCTATGGATAGGAATTTCACAGCATGCTATTTGACACTGGGATGGGGTCAGTGATTGACATGAGCCCTGATATAACTAGTCCTGTATGAAGCTTATGTAGAAATATTAAACAATACAGCTATCTACATACTCCGGAGCGGTATATTCTGTTGCATGTGAAGCTCTCATCTTTTCTGGTTTAGTCCTTCCTGTATAACTTTACCTAAGCATTGTACCTGTATATTAGTTATTTCACGTGTGATACTGTTGTAACTACATATAGGCACCTAATTAACTAACTACCTCTCAAGAGCTTATTAATATATGGAGGACCATACCCCTGCAACCAAGGGTATTACTTCCAATACCTCTTCTACATTTCTCAGTGTCCTGTTTATTCTGGAGTGCATACTATAAAAAAGAAAAGATTTCTTCCTCAGTATCCCATAGACACGTTATTTCTAGCTATTTTTCTTATCCACTAGCCAGTATAAGAATAAAGAAGCGCATATTGATGACCTGTAACAGTCCCAAATTATTACGTAGTTTTTACTACCCTGCTTTAGACCCCAACACAACACTGCATTCTAATTGGGTTCTGTGATAAAGCCTTGTGGATTTAACATGTTCCGTACAAAAGTACAGTCCCTGATTCTACCATTTTTGTTGCCTGTGATGTCTTGGCTATAAAGCCTAACAGCTCACACGGCTATCTAACACACCGAATAAGTCCCCGTGATCTCCAGAAACGAGTCAGGCAGGTTTTACATTAGGCATCCACCTACGTTCCATACTACCTCTATAATGCTCCGTCTATGCTATGCCGCATTGTTCGGCTTGAGTTATGCTGTCTCTCAGAAACCTCTCCTGTCTGAGACCACTGACGACTTCCGTGTACTGCGGAGTAGCCATGCACCTGATTACTCAGTGCACATCAAACGACAGAATGACTCCATTTGCGCTGCTGGCTCGCCGCAGTATACCGGCTGGCTTGACATTGGGCACAAGCATCTGTTCTTCTGGTATTTTGAGAGTCAGAATGACCCCGCCAATGACCCGCTGACCCTGTGGATGACGGGTGGGCCTGGGGACTCCAGCATGCTTGGCCTCTTTCAGGAGGTCGGTCCTTGTCTGGTCAACGAGCATGGGAATGGCACCTATTATAACCCCTGGGGTTGGTCCCGGAATTCATCGCTGCTCTTCGTTGACCAGCCTGTTGATGTCGGCTTTTCATTCGTCGACGAGGGCCATGAAAATGAAATCCCACGTGACTCGCAGGAGGCAGCTGTTGATATGCACCGGTTCCTGCAGCTATTCATTTCCGATGTCTTTCCGCATAAGCTGGATGCGCCTGTCCACCTTTCTGGTGAATCATATGCGGTGGGCCGATCAATCTCCACCATAGTGGCCCATGGGTGCCATACTGACTTTTCCCAGGGCCATTATATTCCGTACCTCGCTGCTCAGATCGTGCAGCAGAACAAACTTTATCCCAATGAGCCTCAGGTACGCTTGCAGTCATGTCTGGTAGGCAATGGCTTCATGTCGCCGAGAGATACAACCTATGGATACTGGGAAACGCTTTGCACCACCAACCCGGGGGTGGCAGAGCCTGTTTTCAATAAAACCAGATGTGATATTATGGCGGCCAACATGCCCAGGTGCATGGACGTCTACGAAACATGCGTTAACAACCCAGATCCCGCCATATGCCATGCCGCTCTCGCCGTCTGCTACGATGGTATTCTCGGATGGTATGAAAACGAATCTCACGCAGGAGGTCGCAACAGGTTTGACAGTACGTTGAACACAGACACAGAGCCGGTGGGATCATAGCTAATGTGCGGAAATAGTCACCGCTCCATGTGAAGTTGACGAAGTATGCTATGCTCAAGCTGCTCGCGTCGAGCAGTACCTAAATTCACCAGCGGTGTGGGATGCTCTCTTGCCGCCTAAGCAGATTAAGGAGTTCCAGCTGGAGGCTGCATCGGTTGTTCGCGCGTTCGACAGCACCTCAGACGGCATGACGTCCACGTCGGAGTTAGTTGCTTTTCTGCTTGCAAACCAGGTACATTTTCTGGCCTACCAAGGCAATTTGGATCTTGCCTGCAATACCGCGGGGACTCTCCGCTGGGCGCATTCGCTTTCCTGGAAGGGACAGGTTGAGTTTAACTCCAAAGCGATGCGAGCCTGGACCTCTGTGGTTGCAGGTAAGGCGGAGAGTGTTGGAACCGCGAAAGAGGTCAAGGTTCATGTTGGTGATGCAGATACTGCGTCACGATTTGCAATTGTGACTGTGGATGGAGCCGGTCATTTGGTAAGCACCCCGGCTCTCTACTCTAGAAACACGCGGGATATTTGATGGACGCTAACACGATGTTGAAATTTGACAGCTTCCTCAAGATCGGCCTGATGTAGCGTTTGATATGTTGACTCGGTGGATCATGGGAGCGCCCTTTGGTTAGGCGTAGTTATTCCCCGGAGAGAGAAGAGAGTATCCATAAGCAATCTCTGTATATAGATGACTACCTGGGTACGCCTTAGATACTAGAGTCTTGAAGCTACCATAATATGGGACGTAAGATTGATAATTTTCATGACTAATTTTAGACAGTCTATCTAATACGCGCACTGACAGGCCTGAAGTTTACATGAAGATCCATCAGACCTCTGAAGTACAGCACATCAAGGACTTCCTGCCCAGTACCTGTCTTGAGACGATGTCTTCCCTGTCACCACAACCTCTTTACTATGTACTATCGTTGACTGGCTATCAGACAGCTCTTTCAGCCTGGGACATCGGCGGCACCCGCATTGCTCTCTGATAAGAAGATGAAACAGCGACTATCGGCGAGCGTGCTTATCACGGGCTCCACTCGATCTAGCCGAACCCACACAGCCCAACAATAGCAGAGCCGTCGATATCGGACCAGCTTATCATCCTGTGGGCCACGCTAGTTGCTCCTGGTCCTGTCGTGAATCCGTATCACACGAGATAACCCGTTCCAGCAATCCGACACAAAGAAAATAAAGATTATTATTCGATTCGAACACGCATGGAGATAGATTGTCTCTGATAGTTGCTTTCGTCATGACCTCTTAGTTCTTAAATGCTTCATGTCTCAGTAGCCATGCTCTTACCTTATTTATATATGGAGACAACTTTGGTGAGATCTCTTAGCCATTCCCCCCGCGTTCCTGAGTCGTGACGTCTTATTTTCCCCGCCACAGGATTTCCCAGGGCTCGATATCCGCTGGGACTGGGTCCTGAGGGAGGAGTTACTTGTTCGACATCTTCTGCACTCCTTTCCTGACTAGGTACACTATAGAATTATATAGCTTCCAGCATGGACGGTCCGGATCAGATTGGCCCAGATCTTCGTCCAAAGCGGACATGGGCCGATCGTACTCGAAGATTAGTGAAGACTTTCACCACTAGGTAATCCTCCTTGGTATCAGCCTGGCTCGTTGCAGGTAGCCTAACCTCTCCTCTACAGAGAAGGATTAATAGGAGACTACAACTACGCCTATCTGTTCACACCTCAAATACCGTTCATAAGCAAGACCAGACGATCGGCACCTTTTTTCGGTCTGGAAGATAGAGTGCCGGTGTTACTGGCTTTCATCCTTGGTCTGCAGCATGCTTTGGCGATGTTGGCTGGTGGTAAGTTTCTTGTTTCTTGTTTCTTGCTATTTGCCTTTTTTTTTTTTAAAAAAAAAAAAAAAAATATTATTGTTTATTTTAAGCTAACACCATCCTTGCAGTTATCGCTCCCCCAATCCTCTTGGGTGGCTCGGGAGGTGCAAACTTCGCCAGTGACGAGTATCAATATCTTGTCTCGACCTCCCTGATCGTATCCGGGCTGCTTTCGGCCATCCAAATGACTCGATTTCATATCTACAAAACACGCTACTATATTGGAACGGGGCTCATCTCGGTCGTGGGCACCTCATTCGCCACAATCACGGTCGCAACTGGCACCTTCAATCAGATGTACAAGTCTGGGTATTGTCCGATAGATGGGCAGGGTAATCGTCTGCCCTGCCCGAAGGGCTACGGAGCACTGCTAGGCACCTCATGCTTGTGCTCGTTGTTGGAAATCGGATTATCATTCATGAGTTCCAAAGTGCTCAAGCGTATCTTCCCCCCACTGGTAACGGGCCCAACGGTCTTGCTGATCGGAGCCAGTCTCATCGAGAGTGGCATGAAAGACTGGGCCGGTGGCTCTGGGAGCTGTGGTATCGATCCCTCCGCCCGAGCACTGTGTCCAAGTGCGGATGCGCCGCACGCTCTTCCTTGGGGTAGTGCTGAGTTTATCGGTCTTGGTTTTCTGGTCTTCTTGACCATCATTCTCTGCGAGCGTTTCGGATCGCCCATCATGAAATCATGCGCGGTTGTCATCGGTCTGCTGGTCGGATGTATAGTGGCAGCTGCATGTGGTTACTTTGATCGTTCTAGTATCGATGCCGCCCCGATTGTATCCTTCATCTGGGTCAAAACGTTCCCCTTGGTTATCTACCCGCCTCTCATTCTCCCTCTACTGGCGGTCTACGTCGTTATAATGATGGAATCGATCGGAGATATCACAGCCACATGTGACGTCTCCCAGCTCGAAGTCGAGGGTGCCACCTTCGATTCCCGTATCCAGGGCGGTGTCTTAGGTAATGGCTTCACCTGTCTTCTGGCAGGGCTTTGCACCATCACGCCCATGTCCGTGTTCGCGCAGAACAACGGCGTCATCGCTCTTACCAAATGCGCCAACCGAAATGCAGGGTATGTCTGCTGTTTCTTCCTGACCATTATGGGCATTTTTGCCAAATTCGCCGCGGCGCTTGTGGCCATCCCCAGCTCTGTCTTGGGCGGCATGACTACCTTCCTCTTCTCGTCGGTTGCCATCTCAGGGATCCGAATCATCTCCACGATACCTTTCACCCGACGCAATCGATTCGTCCTGACAGCTTCGTTTGCAATCGGTATGGCTGCTACGCTGGTGCCCCAGTGGTTCCAGTACTTCTTCACGTATAGCGGCGACAACCACGCCCTGCAGGGGCTTCTGGACGCCGTGGTCCTGGTCATGACTAATGGGTTTGCTGTGACTGCGGTTTTGGGGTTGATTCTTAATCTTCTGATTCCCGAGGATCCGACAGAGGACGCAGCCGTGGTAGAGTCTCCGGATGAAGACAGTGAGGAGTCGAAGGGCGTTGCGGAGTCATGTCTTAAAACGGAATAACCATGTGAACTGCCTAAAGTATAATATATAAAGATTTTGGACTTTTCTATTTATCCCCATTTAATTGAATTGCCAGTAGGACGAATTTGGAATAATGGACATGATACGACCTACCAGCCTTGGATAGGCAGGTATGCATGATATGCTATGATGGGTCAATGATCTGATGGTACTGATGACAGGCGTTTGAATAATATTATACACACCATAGATGTAAACATCCTAATTATTTTACTCACAGACTAAACACCCTGGACCTCCTCCCCCGGCGCCAACATCTTAATATAGAAATGTTCGCCCGTTTCCACCACGGATACTGAATCTCCCACACTCAGGGTAAATTCTAAACCCATCAGCAAGCGTCCGTAAATTCAAACTTATAAGACAAGGGTGGGTGTCGGAGGGGAGGGAGGAATACTCTGAACAGCCGGAACAAGCTGCATTCCCAACGCCGCATAGTTCCAATCTCCGGGATCAATCCGCCGATACGACCTGAGTGTCTGATCCGGTTCATTAAGATGACGAATTCCCGTGTCGGGATCTACATTGGGGAGTTTGCAGCGCATCGTGCGACAAGAAGCGTAGATCTCTATTCCCCGGACTGCGTCTTTGTCTACTTCCTTGTTCTTGTAAGATCCGGAGCGAGAGTAAATTTGGATACGTTTCCAGTGGTCCTCCGCAAAGGCCTTGGGTCCTTGGATGATGATATTCGCTCTGAAGCGACGGATGGAGAGATGCGCGATGGACAGGGCGCATCGGGCAGCAACATCGCGCACGCTGGCGAGATTGAGCAGGTGGAGTGGATATGCGTCTGCGAATCCAGTGATGGGTTGGAATCCGAGTGTTTCTTTACGAGGAGCACAGCGAAAGATTTCACGATGGTAAGAAGGGTGCACTCGGAAGAGGGTCAATGGACCCCGTGAAGAAGAGGATTCATTACCCGGGGCGCAGAGGAAGTCGAGAAGCGAGGGAGGGATATGTTGTGCGTAGTCGTATGCGAAGGGAGAGTCTTTCCATACTTTGACTCGTGTGGATGGGTAGTTGGATAGGAGGTCGGATGGGGGAGAGAGCGGTACACGGAATGATTGTTCTGCATGGAGGAGACCTAGTGTTATGGCGATGTGTTCGAGATAGGCAAGGAGACCATTTCTCCAGCTTGGGACTCGAGGGTAATAGATGATCATGACGCCGTGCGATTTCACCTCCTCCAGATCAGACGAGTAGTCGCTGGCTGTGGGATCGGGGATCCAGATTTCCGGACGGATGAGAGCCATTCGACTGAATTGACCGTCGCGCATAGTTCTCATGGTCCACTGTGTGTGTGCAGGACTAGAGACAGTGCCAGGACTGGGCGAGATGTATTCGGCGAAGCAGAATTGGCGATCATGTGTGAGCCCTGTACGCTCGACGTCGGAGACATCCAGTTCGATGCCGGCGCAGCTTTTGATGGGATATGTGAACAAAGATTTTATGCGCCATGATGGTCGTCCATCTACGTCGACTGACGATTCTGGTACCCCGTGGCTGTATTTGGGGTCAAACTCATCGCGTAGATTGCTTTGGTCGGCTGCGAGACCGAGTCTGCGACATCCTTTGGGACGTAAGGATGTCTTGAAATGGGGAAGTTGATGAGCAAGAAAGACAATTATTGGAAGAAGAGAGAGCCAGCAGATGGCTGGGATTGAGATGAGATTTATTGCATGATGAACTGGGTTGAGCATGTTGGTGGTAGAGCCTAGTGGCATTGATGGTGTTGAGTCATGCAACTCAGTATTTTGGATTTTGTCCCAGTGTGTTGTTATAGACCAAGGAAAATATTAAGTGCAGTCTCAGAAAAGGGTGACGTGCAAGAAAGGGATACAGTATCCATTATTACCCTTTGTGGCACATGAAGAAATAGAAAGTAAATGAACATTAATCATTGGAGAATATGAAAGATCAGAGCGGAATGACCCACCACCACAACAACTTCGCCCCGAACATATCTCAACCAGCTTGGTGTCACAGCCAGACAAGTGCAAGATGGGAGTCACAGAACATTCCAGGACTCTCAATTGTGGAATTTCTCTCTGACCTGGCAGGCTTCACCGCCAGATATCCTGTGTCTACTAGTATCTTTCAACAGTATTATCATGAACAAGCCGGACTTCCTCGGCCTATCGAGCCAGGAACCCCGTAAGTTTCTTGCTATATCTACTCTAACAAGTATACCGCCCTTACACAACCGCCCTCTGCAGATCGAGTGGTCTCGTTCCCGGCATCACAGTCCCTGCACGCGTCTACCGCGTCTGCGCCCCGCGCCATCTCCACGGGTCTTCCTCGTCTGGATGAGGCGCTTTGTCCGTCCTTTCCGGATGACATACTGGGATTCGTGGATGTCCAATCCAAGGGAATCCCCGGTGGCCATATTACAGAGGTGTTTGGACCTCCAGGGGTGGGCAAGACCTCGCTGGCGTAAGCTTTTGAGCAATTCTATTCTCGGAGAGACCGGGACTGACGAATATGACGTGTGCTTGTAGCCTGAACGTGGTCTCAAATGCCCTCCAGGCTGGGGACAAAGTGATCTGGATCGGTACGATATCTCTCGAAGTTGAAACGAAAGACCGATATCTAACACGTCCCAGATACGGGCTCTCCCCTTCCTAAACGACGGCTGAGAGACATGCTCCTCCATGCAGGGGCTATTGACCCTAGCACAGAAACCATTACGAACACTGGATCTGAAACTGCAAAAAGCCCCCTAGACCACGCCACCAACCTGCTCTACTTCCGCGCACAGTCTCTCCCTCATCTACTAGCTATCCTTCTTCACCCACCCAAGGGTTTCCCCCCAGAAAGCACCTCCCTGCTCGTAATTGACTCCATATCTGGCCCCTTCCCATCCTACTTCCCCAATCCCTCCGAACTCCGTTCCCGCATCTCCGGAAAAATCACCGATAAAGCACAGATCCAATGGCTCATAAATCGCAAATGGAACGTCACCAGCGACCTAGCCACTCATCTCTCCAGACTAGCCACGATACATCGAATGGCGGTGCTCCTTCTCAACCATACCCACACCCGGATCAAGGGCCAGCCGCGCGCGACGCTCTGTCCCGTCCTAGCGGGCGGAACCTGGGAGAGTAATGTCTATGCGCGGATCGCCCTGTATCGCGACTTTCTTACCGAGGAGACGTCCACGAGGGTGCGTTTTGCGGAGGTTATGAAACGGTCTGGAAAGACCTTGTCTACGAGATTAGAAGACAATGTGGTGTCTTTTTTGATTGAGTCGGTGTGTATTCCTCTCCCTGCTCTTCTTTTATTTTTCTTCTAGGACTTTTTTTGTTATTTTAGTTTTTTGCCCTTTCGTCCGTCTGGAATGCAATGGATTTCTGCAATGCCGCATAGCTAAATCACAAATAGGATGTCTCCACGGGTTGGACAGAAATCAGCCTTCATATTCGATGCCACAGGAGTCCGAGTCTGGACCTGGTCCTACCGATGACCCGGGATTTACTGCTACCAGTCGAAAACGTAAAGTCGACGAGGTTGCAGACAGCCAAGACGAAGATGACTCGGATGGTGAATTTCGATGGATTGAAGATGACGATGCTGGTTTGTTGGGCGATTAGCGAATACACCGTCAGAGATATAGATATTACCATCAGGTGTGAGCATAATTGGGTGAAGCTTTCTCTTGCAAACCGTTGTCATGTATGTATGATATAGTATATACACACCCATAGACTGGATCTTTATGATGACTTGATTCCCATTCCGGTGCTTAGTCCTCCTTGCATTGGTTCCTGGGATCAGGGCAGATGAGCATCAGTATATTGTATTAGTCTATCTTATTCGATTTTTTGCCTCCTATCTTGCCCTAGGATCCCTTTCAGAGCCCTGAAAAATCCATTTTACCCAATCTCGACAGCGGACAAAACCTGCTCCGAGCTACTTGAACTTCAGCCAGACGTGCTCAATGCTGGTACCAAAGGCATGGTACAGGAAATAGAGCAGACACCAAATGAGAATTATGGTATTGGTAATTATATTTTTTTTATAGCCTTTAATATGTAACCTTTCATGAATCATATCGAGTGAAGGTTAAGACTAGAACGAGCTAGACAGCAATGCTCTCCGGTCGTCGTTCCACCCATGTTGAAACTTTTGTCATGGTCATAATCTTTCCTCCAGACGCAACATTCAGGTTTCGACTCCCTTGTCCGGACGGCGTCGCTCTCATCACGGTATCAGCCACAGTGCAAAAGTTGAAGTTCCGTGACATACTTGACGAGCCGACCGCCGGTGTTGAGCTGTTGGCACCGTCAAGCGGGCGTAATTGGACCGCATTATCGAGAGACGACGGCTGTTGGTGACTGTGGACTACGTCGACAAGCTTTCCGAGGACCGCAAACTCGAGCTTGAGTTTGAGGCTGTAGAAGGCGCCCTTGAGCGTAATCTGGATGGCGTAGTAGCTGGCGTACTCCAGACCTAGCAAAGTGAGGTCCATGGCGAACATCAGGACGTTGATGCCCACCAGATGGTGCATAATCCTTTGTTTTTCTCGCTCCGATCCGAGACGGAGCATCTTGACGGTCTCCCATACGTATAGCCCGGAGATAATCATCTCTTGGATCGTGAAGCCAGTCAGCTGGAGCTTCTCCATGATGTTGTAGCCTTGGACAAAAATGGGAGAAGGTTTGACAACGTTGGAGCCGTATGTGAGGGCGGTCGTGGGCACGTGAAGGAAGAATATATTGGCGATGATCATGTATAGTACACGCCGGAGGATGCACTCATCGCGGATCACGAGGTGTAGGCGGGAGTAAAGGACGAATGACTGGCCTGTCACCATCGTCCACCAGCCGATACTGAGAATGGTAACTGTTAGAATGGAAGGTGCACTGGTAAAGAATTTCAACATGAACCCTAGAGAGTATGGTATCACCCCCAAGCAGCCCGACAGAAGCAAGCTCCAGAAGTAGAGGCCCTTCCAGCGGCGGAAAGCCGATAGCACAAGGACAACCAGCTCTACCACATTGTAACAGGCAATTGAGATGAAAAAGAAGAGCGTTGCTTTGATTCCGATATCGACGCTCTCCAGAAACCCCGAAATTCCGTCTAACGGGTCCTGGGCATCCATGGTTGGGCTTGTGCCGCTGGGATCAAGTACGTATACTTCAAAGGGGGGACCATCCTTTTCACAGTATAAGTAGATCCCTAGACTCCAAAAGAGCTGTTTAGACACAACCCATAGGAAATACGTACCACTCAAAATTCCTCCAGAGTCGAGCATCCCCGCCAGCCACCAGTCCCAGCACACTCAAGATGCGCTATCGCGTTCTTTCTATGGTTGCGTCCATCCACTGTCTTTCAATCAGCCAGTCAATTGTCAGGCTTTTAATCCAAACAAACGAGCCACCACTCTTACGACGGGAAAATACATTGATGGAAGCAAATGGCAATAATGGTAGTTACAGTGACAGCAGCCACAGAAGCACATCAATCAAGAAGAACAGAGATCTGACTGGACACTGCACACCGCATTCACGATGTCGGTGCTACAATCAACTCAGCTCGGCTCTTCATAGGGCCGCCCCTATTATCATACATTATAAACACACGCAGCGTGGCCCTAGCGTCGATCCCCCGGACCACAGCAAGGACAGTGTTAATCAAAGGGATTCTGGCCTAGTCGAAGCCGCCATCGAGAGAGTTTGGGTTATAGCTAGATTATTGGTTCAGCCTACCTAGGACAGGAATCAGCAGAGTCAAATAGATTTAGTGTACGAAAATTATCGAACTATTTCCTCCGAAGCGGTCCATGCCCCCGTATTCCCCCTGACAAATTATTGTCAGATCATTGAGTTGCGAGATGGAAAGTTAGGATCCCCATTCATACCACACCATCATGGATCGATTATTGACCGCTGAGTCGTAGCTAATAGTTGCCTGTGTGACAGACCTGCGGTGACCCGCTAGTTCAGCACACCCAAAATCAGAGAAATCCTTGTGGGACGGACAGCAATAAGTTGCTCCCCGAGAGCAGCGGATGCCAGCTGTTTCCTCCTTTGTAATGTGTGTGCTGGAAATCCTGTTGCTTTCCGTCCTAAACCTATGGTCACATGCTCTACCGGAGAAACTTTCGCTCAACCATGTTCAGCTTAAAAAATCAACTTCCATATGGCATTTCTTTTATAATTGCAGGCTTTGAAAGCGAGATCTGTAGGCGACTACATATCTCACCAGCGGCGAAGCTATAGCCAAAGGTTCTGTTCTCACACTATTACTCCCAATCCAAAGGGTTTACGGCTATCTCGTATAAACACTTTCGGAGAACCCCGCAAGACTCGAGAGATGTCTATTATACTAGAAGTCTCGGCGAATAACAAAATCAATATTCATGCAGGAATTAATCATAGGTTGGTGAGGTAGTCCTCAATCTCTTCTTTGGTCAAACTCCTGAACCTGGGTCCTCGAGAGCCCTCAACGCCTTCGTAGCCAAGCAGATGGTCGGCAGGAGGGCCAACAATGCCTAAATTCACCTGTCAGTCCGTCGTTTGCCCTCAATATTAACGGGTAGCACTTACCAATCTCTATTGTGTCCCCGTTCATCTCGCCTTCAATGGTCTCCTTCAGAGTCAGGAGTGCAATGTGAATGGCATCCTCCAGTTCAAGGCCTTCAGTGTAGCGCTTCTCGAGGAATGTCTTCGCACTTGTGGCATGCTTGCCGATAGCAGTAGCCTTCCATGGATAGTAGCTGCCACTTGGGTCGACCTGATACAAGCTGGGACCGCCTTTCAGGATACCGCCTGTTTTCCCCGACACCTTAGGCTCTTCCTCATCGCCCCTCTGAGATTCTTCCGACTGCGGTTCAACACCCTCGTCCCAGCCAGCGATCAACAAACTGACACCGTACGGCCGAACACCACCGGATTGTGTGGCTTCCTGCACGACACGAGCTACATCTTGCACTAATATGCGGGTAGGTGGGTATTCGTTATAGATACGCTTGTAGCCAGTATGGGAGACCTTGCGTGCCTTATCGACCAGCACACGGTAATCGGGACCCATGCCAGCATAAACCATACCAATATCGGGAGTAATCAATGAGACCTTTGAGAGAGAAGGAGGATCAATAAGGGGAGAAGACGACTTCTTTTCCGTAGCAAGGACGATTCCATTAGTTGCTAGTCAGCGAAAGCGAAGAGGTCAGTACTAAGCTAGGACGAGAGAGAAATCCGCATCCGACTCGCACACCTTTGATTCCGAGGGCAGTTACACCCGTATTGACAGCGTTCAACGCATATTCTGCAAGATATTAGCACGGTCATCAGATGACGAACTGACTGTAAAAGCAATACCAATCTGAACCAGCTTCCCACTGCGGACCAATGTTAGCTGAATACGTCGAATCTGGTGCTAGAGGGAGCTCCTCTTACCTCGGGGAGAAGGTGGTCAAGAGAATGAATAACGGTCAGCCATGGAGCCGTCTGTTACCCTTCACAGGTTTTAAGTACGGAACAGGGTAGACCGGAGAGATAGAACAATAGATTGAGGATAAAATTCCCGGTGGGAGGATCCAAAGGGTAGCTGTTCTTAGCCTGAGAGTCTCAAGCAAGGCGACAGGATGTTGACGCAGTTGGAAGACGCCAAGCCGCGCCTGGGGCGGTGACGGTAGGCGAGCGGCTAGTGTCGCGCTTCACTCTCCACCTTAAGGCTTTTTTTCTCTCTCTTTTTCTCTCATGCCATTTCCCACCTGGTGCCTGTTGTTGACCAGCCCTGTCTGGACACCTAGCAACCATTTGTCATACCAGGTCGCAGGTAGGCCTGGCTACTATGTTATGACAGTCCTTCAACACGTCATTAGGCAGAATGGATATGCACAATGAGCCACGCTGGCAGTGGCCTGCAAGCTTCCCTTCCACTACTCCTTTAAATTCGGGGCCAAGTGAACAATCTGATGATGCTCACCACTCCCAAAATATGGGTGGTCCAGCACCAGAAGCTCCTAAAAAGCACTACCCACCTCGCATGTGCCGCATCTGTCTGGACACCGTGCTACCTACTTTCTACCCTCCCCCCGAAAATATCCCCGCGTTCCTCCAACCTCAAGCCCGAGTGGTCTATGAGTCTTCAGATCCGGAGCTCGGCCGACTTCTTCGTCCATGCAAGTGCAAAGGCTCCTCACGTTACGTTCATGAGGGCTGCCTCCAGTCCTGGCGACATGCAGATCCGGGTTATGGCAAGAGGAATTACTGGCATTGTCCCACCTGCGGCTTCCAGTACCGGCTCGAGCGACTTACTTGGGCGCGCTGGATCAGTAGTACTTTTGCCCAGTTTGGGTTGACTTTGACCATACTGGTTTTTACCGTGTTTCTTCTTGGATTTGTTGCTGACCCCATCATTAATCTTTACGTGGACCCCATGGAAACTATCTACTACTCGGAATTCTGGGATACGACGGTCTCCGATGCTCTACCGGCTGATCGGAGGGCTTCCTGGTTTGAGCATTTTGTCAAAGGCCTTGCATCATTGGGCGTGCTGTCTTTTATCAAGGCTCTCTTTGCATTATCCCCGTGGCAATGGTGGAACCTCCGCAGCTCGGGGGTTGTTAGTAGTGGCAGAAGCACTGGCAGAAGCCGTGTAGCCTCTGTAAGCTGGGTGGTTATCTTGATTGGCGTCATGACTTTTCTCTGGGTAAGCTGCACTCTACAAACCGCTTCATCTTACAGTTCTTAACCTAGCACAGGCTGTGTATAAAGGCGTAAGGAGTTGGAGCCGGAGGACGTTGGAAAAGGCCGGGGAACGTGTCATGGATGTCCCGTTGCCGGACGACGATGTTGACAACGATGATGTGTCGTCTGCTGAAGCCCCCGAACAACGTAGGAAAAATGATTGATCACATACAGTGCTACGGCTGGTTGGTGGGCCTTTGACGGCCTCTCCGTACGAAGTTCTTTTAGTGAGATATTGGAATCAACTGTACTTTCCATCGCACTACTTTAAGTTGTCACGCTCCTCTCAATGACGTGCCAATTAGTCAACGTGCGAAGAAAGATACTGGCCCTCTTACACTCTGTATGTCTTCTGGAAAGTTGAATGGTTGGGTGGAACGTTTTGTTCCGTCCTATTTCGTTCTTCTTTAACTACCAGGGATGCCCAGGGGGAGGGCTTTACTGCATTATTCGACTCGATCAGTTTAGACGTTTCAAGTAGTGAGCGTTTTGGATTGAGGTGCGGTACATCATACTTTCCTGTGGCTTAATATTAATAGCATTCAACTCATATATACTGTCCTGTGTCTGATGTCAGTAGATCTCCAGGGTTACTCTTCCTGGCTAGGATTTATGTTATATAAGCTAGTGCTGGCCGAATTGAGGCGCCCATGCTGAATACGCATACTGTCGCGGATAATAATTAGCACATATATTGGCAGACGATGGTCTCAGGCCAGGGAATCAGTCGCACGTTGGTACCACAGGCAAGAGCTATTAGGGTGCCCGCCAGGACGGAAACCATCCGCTTGGCCGTGCTGATATCCCCCATCGTAATCCGTCCCGGTGCTGATGCACCGACTGAACACCAGAACTGATTGTTTTACATGAACCACGCGGAGGAGCGTTGACGATGGAGAGGGAGAGGTAGAGGGAGAGGAATATACGGAGTACGTCTAATATATTTCTCTGTCTCCGACGGCGATTCTGCGAATGGCGCCTTTGACTCCTACTCCCTGGCTATCATATTCATGTCTTGGCTGGTGGCAGACTTTGCTATCTTGCCATTCCATCCACGGAAGATCGAAATGTTTGAGCTTATTACTTGAAACGGATTAGAAGTGCTATACATACTCTATACAAGGCTTCGAAACTGGATACACATGGGCAATTAGACCCTTATCGAGTCATCATAGGACATCTGCCTTTCCCATTTCTTCAGCTATGCATTTCCTCCAGTGTACTGTAACCCCCATGGCATTATGCCTGCACTTTACCATCTATCCTTGTATGGTCATGTTTGCTTTCCATTTCCAAAGGCAATCTTTATATCGATTTGTACAGGACGCGCCACAAAGACAAAGCAAAAGGAGAAAATATTGACCATATTATTGGTTTAGTGCTGATCCTATAATTCAGTGAATGAGGGCAGCTATTATTCCTGGAAGTATTAATATCATGAGCTACTCTCAGTGGAGACTGGAAGAGGCACCCAGATTCAACAGACATCTACTGGAATTCACCGTAAAATGGCGCATTTAACAGTAGTAACCAGGGAGCACCATTATATCTCTTACCTATCTTATCTCTCTGCAAGCCTTCATCCTTCTCTCCTCTACTTTTTTATTGCACCTTTTATACCTGCAATATCACCTGTTTCTTCATACTAAAATAATTGTGATCCCAAATCTTTCCCCTCTCTTATTCTATTTATGGAATAACTTAATTTGTGATTAATTTGTTTGGGACAATGAGTCTTTCCCAGTCTAATATTACTGCCAAAGACAATCTCAAGGGTATTATAGCAGCAAATGACGAGCAAACATACCCAAGAAACAGCCTGTCTGAGATCCATGCCTTTAACTTAAGATTCCTGGGGCATCTATCTGAAGCACAGTTTTGCATTGAGGAAAAGCATGAATACATTGTTGAACTCCCGCCCGATAAACAGCATGAAATAAAATCACTTCTTGCTGATGCCATGCAGAACCCACTGAATCTCTCTGCCACTAATAGTGGTGACACTGATCCAGGTTATTCTGGAGAGACTCTTCCTAATAGCCAGGCTCCTATAAGAGAGAATCCTACTGAGGAGAATCCTATAGGTGCGACTTCTACCGGTGAAAATCCTACTGTCACGGCTTTTACTAGTGAAAGTCCTATTGGCGACACTGATACTGATGAGACTGACTTCCATGAAACTGATTTTCATGAGACTGATTCTCGTGGTACTGATACCGACAATACTGACGCTGACGGTCTTGAGAATGGCCATGCCGAGACTGATGCTAACAATGACGAGGAGGGATTAACTGTGAGTTTTACTGACACTAACATGCAGGTCCTCTCGCAACTAACAATACTATTCACTTGCAGACCAATTCCCCCCACATCCAAGCTGAGCGAGAGACCTTTCTTCACGGCGAGACTGAATCTGAAGCAACCGAGCCATTCCCCGACTACTACGAGTCTTGCGAAGGCGACGCACCTCTTGTTGACGAAGCGCATGAACAAGCCTATATCTACGCCGTCTCCAAACTTGCTGAAGAAACAATCCGGTTTGGTGAAATAGCTTCTAGCGATCCTTCAATGACCCCTTTCGCTGCCCGCGCAGCTTCCCCTGGAAACATTAGCACCCAGCCTGAACAGGCGTCTACTATGGATTCCTTCTACCCTCGCTCTTTGCCTTCTCGTTTTCCAGGTGACCAAGGTCCACAGAACAACGTCATGCCTCCTTTTGCGATGCAGAATTTTGCTCCTACATACCCCTGTAGCAACCAGCCAGTCCAACAGGGTGCTGTCTACATGAATGCTCCTATCCCTCAGACCGGTCCTGCAGTTGTAGTGCAGCCTGGAGAGGTTGTCCCAGCTGCTGCTATTCCGGCAGTCTCCAACGAGGCCATACAACGTCGTCGCGTTGCTGGAGAAGAGAGAAAGTCGGCTGCAATTGAGGAGATGAGATTCTTATTGAGCCATGAAGGCATTAGGGTAGATTTGAGAAAGCGATTTATGGATATGAGCAACATGGTGCTTCGTATGGACTGGTTACTGTTTGGCAATCTTAACGCGCCGGACAGCGTGTTTCTTGCCGCTGAAGTCATCACTGAAGTCCAATCAATTGCTGCTCCATTGGTTCATTATCTGTCTTTTCTAGATGAAAGGCTGCAGGTCGAGGTTCGCGACGCTGAACTCGTCAAGACTTCTTTGGCCAATGTGGCTAGAGACCAAAACATGACCCCTGAGGTACGTTTTAGAAATCTAACCAGGATTATCATCAGGTAGGTAATTTTCTTCTTATTACCTTTCATTTAATCCATTTTAGAAGACCAAAAAAAAAAAAACTAACTGTCCATGTACGGCAGGCACCTCAGACGCCCTCGCCCCATCGAACAACGTCTGTTATCCGTCTTCCTTGATTTCTACGATTCCCACGTGTACACCGATTTCTTAAACATCTACAACTACCAGGCTCTTCATGATGACGCGCTGTTTGTGGAACGTATGGAACTATCCCGTCTTCTGATCGCCATGTGGGACGTGCTCAACCGCACCATTGAGAACTACAACTTGGTTATTCTTATCAACTTCGATATCAAATCACAGTCTGTGGGCCCCGCCCTGGCTGAACTTGATAACCCTGACCAGATTTGGCAGGAGGAGCATGAGATTTATCAGAGTGAGGTGATGGCTCGCGAGGAGAGCATTAGACAAATGGAACTGGGAGCGCAGCTTCAGGCCGGTGGCAATGGAGCTTAGGTCTAGTTGAGTTGAACTCGACGGTGAGAGAGCAGTTGTACAGGATTACAGTAGGGATGTGGGTTAACATTTGTGATATGGGCATCAAGTAACTTTCATGCAAGCAACGGGAGTAAAAAGAAAAATAAAAAGTGGAAAGATGGAAAGATGGACACATCATGAGGTACGAGGGAACGATTGATGATTGATGAATGGATGACTGGACTGAATCGAATCTCAGATTTCACGTCTTCAGACACATAACTTCGTGTTATCTAGCGGGCTAGGATTTTGACACAAGGAATTCATCTCATGGACAATATCTCCATTAAAAACAGAGTAAATACAACTTGAGACTAAGTATTACTATCATGATATGGTCCTACTTTAAACAGCTTCTTCGCGTTCTCCCGTCCGATTTTCAATCTATCCGTTCCATTTAACTCGGCATTATCAAACCATTCGCAAGCATCAGAGAAAGTCTCAAACGGATAGTCAATCGAAAACAGAATCCGGTCGGAGCCGACCTCCGCCATACAGAAATTGAGGGTAGTTGTCGAGAAGTGCCCCGACGTAGTAATCCAGATGTTCTGGGCAAAGTAGTCGCGGATTGTCTTCTTGCAGGTCTCCGCCAGACCAAGAAGCTTCTTCCGGTCTTCAAACCAGTGATTGATCCGCCACATATCAAAGGGGACATGTTCTCCTAGATGACCCATGATGATCTGTAGTCCCGGGTGTTTATCAAACACGCCGTTGGTCACCATGCCCAGGACATGAAGACTGACACCGTGCGCAAAGCTCAGTGGAGGCCCAACAAGCCACTTGCGATCCGCCCAGAGCTTCTCGTAGATTGTACCCGTGGGATTGCGTGGATGTAGATAGAAAGGTACGTCGAGCTCGGTGCATGTCTGCCAGAAGATGTCCCAATTTGGGTTATCGTAGAAGATCATTTCATCGCCATCGGAACCAGCCCGTTGAGTGTCGTTTACCAGGGCGCCTTTGAAACCGTATTTTTCGACGCAACGACGGAGTTCATCTGCGGCTTGTTTGGGGTCGTGCATGGATAATGTGCTGCGCGAGTCATTCAGTTCAGCTCTATATGCGTGCTTGGTGAGGAAAGAAGTATTAGGGAATAATAGCATACGCAAAGGCTCCGAATCGACTAGGATTTGCACGGACATGCTCAGCAATATAGTCGTTGATTTCTACCGCAAGCGCATGGGCCTCTACCGGATCCCAGATATCTTGCACCCCCGGGGCAGTGTATGACAGGATCTGGTAGCCGACGCCATGCTTGTCGGCATGTTCGATGCGGATCTTATTGATATCGGTGATTTCTTTGACGTGGGTCTCAACATCGGTGGAAAATAGACTTGCCCACCAGCGGGTCTTCTCCTCAAACCGAGGGAGCGCAAACGCTTCCTCTAGAGCGATCTTTCCCAGCATGACGGACTATCTGTGATGTATATGGGATGGGTGCTTGGTTGAGAGTTGGAAGACGTTAGTATGGTTGTCTTGGGCTTGGCAACCAGGGAAGATCTACTAAGAGAAAAGAACTCAGATGCCAAATAAGTCTGGGAATTTGGCAACCTTTATGGTGCCTGCGGATTGTGCCGCACTTCCGAACTCTGAGTTCTAGGAGCCATGTTCCTCAGTTCCGATGTTGATGCGGAGAAGGAACCCAGTGCTTTCGTCATTGCGGACGTAGTTAGGGACGTTTTAGTAGTAGACTATCATTATCATCTGCGTAATTCGGTTTGTGTTTTGAGCTCTTGGTGCCAGTATCGGTCTTCGTTGTTTTTCATTTTTCGCTCCGAGTTTTATTCTACCCATCAAGCTCTAAATAACAATGTCATACTGGAATCTAGGTCAATGCGAATTCATCCTTCCAAATTCAGCAGGAGTAATGATAACAAGTATGAGTGTAGTAATACATCCGAACGGAAGCTCCTATCCGTCGTCGGATAGGGAAATTTTATTAAGTTATTATTATATCTGAAAGACATCCGACAGGCGATCCGATGAACGACCCCGCCCGCACCTTGGGATTGAAAGTGACAAGGCACGATTGCTGGGTACTAAGTTGACTTTAGAGCCAAACATATCCCCGGGATTACTCATCTCTGCATAGACCACTATAGATTTCTTTCCAGCCTTGTATTGAAAGTACACTATGGTGTCGATATCCCAGAATTTGTCGTCTTATTACCACCATGGTCTGGATACCTGAAGGCAGCCGCGTGATTTCCCCGGACTGCTGACTGATCGATTCCCCGGGTTTGGAGCTGCCAACACTCAACACAACACTCTTTCAACTCGATTCTAGATCAACGGCATTGAAATCACAAACTAGTCGTCGATACATGGAACAGAATGAAGAAGTGCCTCAGAGGAGCCCAGCCACTCACCACATGATGACCTGTCAGCGCCCAACTAAGTGAATGTTCACCCACGATACGATTGGGTGAAACACGAGGCATTGCCTCTTTGTCTTCTTGGCTCTCTGACAGCGATCCATCGTGCCAACTCTTTACTAAATTATGGCCTTCGCCAATCACCATAGTCCGCATGCTGACCTCGAGTAAACTGCCTCAGCCCGTAAGGCAATTTCTGCAAAAGCCTAACATTCACTGGGGATGAATAGAAGAAGCAAGTCCACAACCCCGGAACTGCCTAGCGTTTGCGTTTGTAAGCGCCTTTTTTTGGGCCCAATTCCTTCACAAGGGTCCTAGAAAACGGAAGTTTCCTGGATTTTTATGTTCCACCGTGTCTTCCGTGCACTCAGTGAAAGAGGCTCCTTTCGGTGCCTAGTGGTGGACGAGTTCCGTGGAACTCTATTGCAGCTCACAATAATTCGTCCATACTTCTAGAGTGCCTCAGCTTTCGGTCCTTTGTTGTGGTTCTTGCTCTTTGTTGAAATACGAATGTTTGGCCACCGTCGGCCCTGACCTCGAGAACTACTGTATTCCCAACATTTTTTCAACCCCATCGTCATTTGTATCCTCGAGTTCATTCTTCATTTTCGAGTGATCGGCGATAGCAGTATTCAACCGAACTGATGTCTGGAAAAGATAGCATAGGGGTCTTTGGTGACCCCTTCGCTGAGCATCAGAATACTGAGTACGCGACGGATAAGGAGCATATTTTGCCACGGCGCACTTTCAGAACAGCTGCAGAGCGTGCTCGACGCAATCTGAATGCTAAACTAGCTAACCCACTCGCGGGATATAGTCATGAGGAATTGCGCAAGCGAGGTATCAGCTTTGCGATTACGCACCAAATTGGAGATGAGGAGGACATCCGTGCCTTTTCCATAGGTGCTGTCTTGGCCCAAACACCGGAGAAGTTCACAAGTCTTCCTCATATGACGGCGGACGAGGTAGACACTCTGCAGAAGGAATTCAACAATCGTTGGTCTCAGCCATGGACGATGTACTTGGTCATTATTCTCTGCTCGCTCTCCGCTGCTGTGCAGGGAATGGGTAAGTGCTTTTTGAGAGGGGCGTAGCCAAACAAAATGCGGAGAACATAACGAACTAATGCCTTTTTGCTGTCAGACGAAACCGTCGTCAATGGCGCGCAGATATTCTACAAGCATCAGTTTGGTATCGGCGGAAATGATTCTAGGTCGAACTGGCTTGTCGGGCTCGTGAATTCCGCTCCATACCTATGCTGCGCCGTGGTAGGGTGCTGGCTGACGGTCCCATTCAACGCCTGGTTTGGCCGACGAGGAACCATTTTCATCACCTGTTGCTTCTCCGCCATTGCTTGTCTTTGGCAAGGGTTTGTCAGTACCTGGTGGCACATGTTCATTGCGCGATTCGTTTTGGGCTTCGGCATCGGGCCCAAGTCTGCTACTGTTCCCGTCTACGCAGCCGAGACAGCGCCGCCAGCAATTCGTGGTGCACTTGTGATGCAATGGCAAATGTGGACTGCATTTGGGATCATGTTTGGCTACGCGGCTGACCTTGCCTTCTTTGAGGTACGGGATCAATCGGGGATCGTTGGTCTTAACTGGCGCATTATGATGGCATCCGCTATGTTCCCGGCTATCCTGGTTTGCTGCTTTGTTTTTACCTGTCCTGAGTCTCCTCGATGGTATATGTCGCGGAATCTCTACGCCAAGGCATATCAGTCAATGTGCAGTTTGCGGCCCACCAAGATCCAAGCAGCTCGTGATATGTACTACATGCATACCTTGCTAGAGGCAGAGAACTCCATGAAACTCGGGCAGAATAAACTACTGGAACTGATTGTTGTCCCTCGTAATCGACGTGCTTTAATCGCTTCCGAAATTGTTATGTTCTTGCAGCAGGTATTTCACCCAGAATATTGTATATTATGGCTGGAATTTTTGCTAACATTGACTCAGTTTTGTGGTATGTTTGTCAAGAACGGAGGAATTCAACCTACCATATACTAACTGTCTTCTCTATAGGCGTGAACGTGATAGCCTACTATTCGTCTGAAATCTTCCTGGAAACAACAAACCAACGAAATGCACTGACGGCGTCCCTCGGCTGGGGCCTGATAAATTGGCTCTTTTCCATTCCTGCTGTGTACACAATTGATACATTCGGGCGGCGCAATCTTCTTCTCACTACCTTCCCATTGATGGCCGTTGCCATGTTTTTTACCGGCTTCAGCTTCTGGATTCCTCAAGGAACACACAACTCTGCTCGTCTAGGATGCATTGCACTAGGCACATACCTCTTCGGCGTAGTGTATTCTACTGGCGAAGGTCCCGTACCATTCACCTATTCTGCCGAGGCATATCCGCTCTATGTTCGATCATACGGCATGGCGCTTGCCACCGCTACAACTTGGTTATTCAACTTTCTACTTGCCATCACTTGGCCATCCCTCCGCAACGCTTTCACCCCACAAGGTGCTTTCAGCTGGTACGCAGGCTGGAATATATTAGGCTGGTGGTTAATTCTTATGTTTCTTCCCGAAACCAAGGGAAAAACACTAGAAGAGCTAGATCAGGTGTTTTCCGTCTCTACACACTTTCATGCCGCATACGGACTTCGTCAGATCCCATACTTCATCAAGAGATATATTCTACGTCAACCTGTGCGTCCTGAAGTCTTGTATGAGCGGGAGGACTCGTCTTTTCTGCCACCAGAGGCTGGGTTTAATACTTTATGAGATTGTACTTATTTCCCGTTTCAGTAGTGTGAAGTAACTTTAATAGTATGTTGAAATGACTAGATTACCTGAGACGTACTCCTTTTCCTAAGCTAATTTAGGAGGCAGGTACTCTGCAGGGGTAACTTGTTATGGATGGAGCTAAACTACAAAATACTATTATTTGGTAAACGTGATTGGGAAATACTGCCCTCGTTGCCAATATACATCTAGGCATTGATTCTATGCAAACTAACTAGAACCAAGCCCAATAAAGGTGAATAATATCTGCATTAAATCCAGCTACGTAATACGCAAACTATACTAAAATATCCCAGAGGTAGCTTGTTCACTGTGTAGAAGGACAAGACTGCCGGTAAAAGCTGTAGAATATCCCTTCTCAGATCCAATTTGAACTGTAGCTTTTACCGGGCTATGAATGTACACAATATTTGAGAAATCCTATTCACTTGGGCGAGTCAGACTAGAACATGACATTTGACAAAAATTCAAAAGTATCGAAACACTTCTTCAGACAGCAGTTGGTACGATTGTAAATCCGCATGGACAAATGCTCGGAACAGGTCTGTGTGAAATCTTTCTTCATCATTCGAAGTGGAGGGGGATGGATAGGAGATTGTGTGTGGTATATGAAACGTACATATTAGCCATCTAGGATGAGACTTGATGCTGTATTTGTTAATCGCATGATAATATGCCGTGTTGATTCTGGACCTGTTAAACCATTATACCAGTTATCGGTCTAAAATGAACTGCATTCTCGAAGTGCTAGAATGATTACAATCCAGGAGATCGATCATTCAATTAACTTCCAGGAAGGTGATCAACACAGGAGAGAATCAACAGCTTCGGAGCTTATATAGCTGCCAAAAAAAAAAAAAAAAAAAAAAGCCAACTTCGCTAACGGACCAACCAGAACGGAGGGAGAGGAACGCCCAGACTGGGAGTTTGTCTTGTTTGCACTGTTTGTTCTGTTTTGTGACCACCCAAAAAAGGTAGTTCGGCATTTTTTCATGGCAGGCATCAGCACCAGAGCGCGTTCTCTAGTGGATTTTGCCTTCTTGACTAGACCTTGCTGGTCTAGAAAATATTCTGTTTATCTGTCTGCTGCTAGTTTGCTGTTGTATAAAAAACCGTTGCTGATCCCCGTGGTAAGTAATCGATCGCGCTTCTTTGTCGAATTAGGAAATATATAAATTCATGCTAAGTAACAGTCCCAACCTCACAGACTAGGACGCTTTAATATACCTGCGTCAAAAAACCTAATACGTCACGATGGTCGACGCTCCTGAGAGCCCCAGGCCGCAGCAACAAAGTGTGTAGGAAAAAAACCTTTGGGCTGCTCAACCGGGGCTGGATCCAAAAGAATTGCGTATAGGCATTGTTTCAGGAATCACTAATGGGTTGTTAGCTCCCGGCAAGAATTTTTACCAGAATGGTGTCAGAACGACAGGCCGTGCCTTTTATTCTCCCAACTGGCGTGTGAAGGGTGAGGAGAGCCCGAGCGCCCAGAACAGCGGGTCACCCGGTACCAAGACCAATACCTCGAGAGTCGCTTTCAGCAAGCCCAGTCCTCATGTTCCACAAGCTATTTCCGAGGGACGACGTCTCTACGTGGGCAACATGCCCTACACAGCCAGGTCGGAGGATGTACAAGCACTGTTCACGGCTGCCGAGTTTCCTATGTATGAGTGAGAGTTTTCTGTGTCAAGATGGTCCCAACTGAGTGCTTCTTAGCGAGCGGATCGATATCGCGATAGATCCCTTTACCGGCCGGAACCCATCATATTGCTTCGTTGACCTTGAAACAAAGGAGCTGGCAGAGCGAGCAATAACTGAGCTGGATGGTCACGATATGCTGGGCCGTCCGGTCAAGATCAAGCCGGGTGTGGTCAAGTCGTCCAGCGAACGTTCTCAGCAACGGACAGATAGCTCTCCTCGCGCTAACAAGACTTTTGGAATGGACCGATGGCGACGGGACGATCGACGTGACGAAAGCACCCCTGCTGCCAAGCCCAGCTCTGATTCTAGCTGCCGTCTGTACGTCGGTGGGCTTCCAAGATTGACCGACCAGGAAGCGATCAACAGTAATATTACAAATTTCTTCAGGGATTTTAATATGTATGTTTCTTCTTGCCTTTTGGGAATTGGGAGTGTTCTAATAATACACATTAGTGAGAATATTAGCAAGCTATTCACTCCTCACCCTGCCAAGCGGTTCGAGCCTGGTGATCATTACTATCTTTTCGTTGATTTCAGTAGTGTGGAAGAAGCACAGTCCGCCATGGATGCTTTGAACGGACAGGAGGGCCCGTGGGGTGGCAGTATCCGTGTCCAACGAGCCCGTGGAGAATCCTTTAACTCTGAAGAGAGGAAGACCAAGCGGTTGAATTCCCAGGAAAAGGCTGCTGCTGCGCCTACTGAGTAGGGTGCTAGCGGTATTTAGGTCATTTTTTACATTCAGTATTGACTGGCTTTGAGGCAGCCTTAGTTGTATGGGCAAGGAGTCAAAGGGGAGCAAAAGGACATTTTATAAAAGGAAACTAGATACAGTCTGCGGCTAAATCAGCCTGACACCCAGTATACTCTGCTTTGTTTTAACGCATGCCAAGACACGCTAGTCCAAATACAGTTAGTTCACTATTTTGCGTATGTAATTTTTACTGTATGCTACTAAACAGTCAAACAACTAATACAATGCTTGTAGTTTTCTGCCCTAGGAATATCTTTTTTCGGCATGCTTGGAGCCTTGGACATTTATTCTTGATACGTCCTCTACGAGACCGAGGGTAAGCGACTCAGTCTTTCTTCAGGGACTACTTATACAAACACGTTCCAATCGATCATATCATGGCCTTCCCGATGTCCGACGCGCATTCCACGGGATCAAGAGCGACGGCCGCGAGTTTACCCGACGAAAAACGCTCGGGGCATCACGTGGTGCGTTGTTTGGAGGCACATAACCCCCCTTCACTGTCAACCTGAAGACATCCCATTATTTCCAATCCTCTTCAGAAAAAACCTCGAATCAGATACCTATCTGCGACTTGAATCAAGGACCTAGTGGTGCTGATCCAATCATCTTTCTCTCCCAGCACAAGGGCAACTGTTGATTGCCCCGCGGCATGACGTCTGTGCTATCCCTCCACTTCTTCACCACAAGGGCTATTGGGGCCTAACTATTGGGATCCAACCAGATTTCTTGATCCAGTGGCTATTGTCGTCCCCTGCAAAAGGAATCCTTTGAGACAGCCGGAACTGTCTCATTTGCTCATCCGGTGACAAGTGAGAATAATTGATAAAGAAAGAAAAAAAAAAAAGAAGAATTTATACCCCGGTCTATTCTGGGAAATAAAAAAAATCCCTGGCCCATTACTTGCCTATCCATTGCTCTCGACTCCAACTCCCTTTCCTCAGTTGCCCGGTCGGATAAGCCTGGCCGAGGCCTGAACTCTCCCATCTCGTATTCACCCATCTAGCTCTACTTTCGCTGCCCATCATGGCTTCTGATGCTGTTCGGAGGGGCAATGGCCACAAGAGCTACTTTGCAAGTGTAAGTGATTTATTGGTTCTTCCGCGCTATTCGTTGATGTCTCGTTTGCGGCTTTTGCTCTGGCCTTGGCAGTCATACCTACTTTGTACGCTTGCTCTTACATACTGCTACTTCTACCAGAAGGCAGAGGGGGAAAGAAAGATTAGAGAGCGCCAAATATATATGCCTCTTTTTTTTCTTCAAATTTCATCTCGTTTGCTAGTGCCTTTTTACCTTATCGCATTATTAGGCGTTGAGATAATCATTCATGAACAAATATGCTTACGAGGTTACAGTCAGATGATACAAAAATATGTGTGGTCATGGTTGGTCTTCCAGCCAGAGGCAAAAGTCTTATAGCCGGAAAAGGTGAGTATATTTTGGCCATATGCTACTTCGGCTGTACTTTCTAGGCTCTGAAGTTAACCATATGGATTAGCGATGAGATATCTTGCTTGGGTTGGCATCCCTGCTCGTGTCTTCAACGTGGGCAGCTATCGCCGACACAACAACCCGCAACCAACAGCCACTTTCTTTGACCCTCACAACAGTGAAGGCGAGAAAATGAGGCGTGCTGCTGCAGACGCTGCAATGTCAGATATGCTTCAATGGTTCGCATCGGGGAAGGGCGTTGTTGCCATACTTGATGCCACAAACTCCACAAGAGCACGGCGTCGCTGGATCTACGAAAGCTGTTATAATGCTAACATCGAAACATTATTCGTCGAATCAATATGCGACGACGAAGACTTAATAATAAACAATATCCTTGAGGTCAAGACAACATCACCAGATTACAAGGGGCAGGACCCTGAGGTTGCAGCGCTGGATTTTCGCAATCGAATTCGCAATTACGAGAAGGTCTACGAAACCATTGATGATAACGAGAAACATTTTACATACGTAAAGCTCATCAATGTCGGCTCGACAGTGATTATCAACCAAATTAAGGACTATCTGTCGAGTCGATTAGTCTACTACATTCAAAACCTCCACATTAAGCCTCGCTCAATCTGGCTTTCTCGCGTAAGTTCAACTCAATGGGACCATTCTTCTTGCTCTAACATTATTTGTAGCATGGAGAGTCGGAATATAACCTAGTGGGAAAAATTGGTGGCGATTCAAACATCTCAGAACGCGGAGAAGCCTATGCTCGAGCTCTTCCAGGCCTTTTGGAAAAGTCAGGAGTGCCACCCAACACTAAAATTGTCATATGGACCTCTACTCTCAAACGTACCATTCAAACGGCCCGTCATCTTGCTGCTGAGACGGGCTACGATAAGCTGGAATGGAAGGCCCTTGACGAACTCGACTCTGGTGTTTGCGACGGGCTCACATATGAAGAGATCGCGGAGAAGTACCCGGAAGATTTTGAAGCGCGTGACGAGGACAAATACAATTATCGCTACCGGGGTGGAGAATCGTACCGCGACGTTGTCATACGTCTCGAACCTATCATCATGGAATTAGAGCGCAGCGAAAACGTCATTATTGTCACTCATCAGGCAGTCTTACGTTGCATCTATGCATATTTTCTCAATACTCCCCAAGAGCAGAGTCCTTGGATGGAAGTTCCTCTCCACACCTTGATCAAGCTCACTCCTCGTGCATATGGCACAGATGAAGAACGGTTCAAGGCGGATATTCCTGCTGTGTCTACTTGGCGTGGCAAAGGCACCTCTGCGAAACACCAAGCCTTCCCCACCACTGAATCTGCTACTGAATTGAAAGCATAAGGCACGGGCAACACATTGAAGGAGCTCGATGCTTCCTTCAGTTAGAGCGTACCTAAACGAATGTGGTCTGGGCAACGCATGGTGCTTCCGCCGCCGCCCGTCTGTCTCTTTGGTTCTGCCTACCAAATTTAGATAATTTTGGATATCTGCGCGCCTTTCTCATATTGTATTACGATATATCCTTTAGCGCTCGTTCATATTTCATACCTCTGCTTCTCTAAAAGTTTGCCTTCAGTTCCCAACCACACTCAGATGTGTCTTTTTCATGTTAATGTATATAATATCCATTGCTCGATGTATCAATCGCTTATTCTACATTGGCTCGAGCTTTAACTATATCTTTTCATCGATGACAAGCGTCATCGTACCGCGCACTGGAATATTTTCCTTTCAGCGAGGACATGCACTTCTGCAGTTTTGGTCATAGATTAATGCATATATCCCTACTACTCGACTATCTTCTGTGATTATCTTCTGTGGAATAGGAATCAAATTTTTATCCAAACATTAATTATTACTATACTGTAGGTTATTTAATGAATGGAATGGATAAAGGGCTTGGGAGAGACTTGCCCTTATGACGATTTGGTCCTTCCGCATTGGTGTGTCGCATTGGCCGAACCATAAAGCGGCAAGGCCTGTCACATGAGCAAGACCGCTATACGCACCGCCTGGTAGCGTCACTTTGAACTGCCTCCGACTGCAAGTGCAGCGGAACACCGGGAATATGGTTCTCATCACTATTTAGCTGTGTCTTTATCGCTGGACATGACTCTGTCCTGTGCCCTTAAAGGTGAAGAGGCGCGACCACGGAAGCTCGCTGCCAAGCCATGTTATCAGCATTCACAGCTCGACCTCTTGTCGAGCTCAAACAACGGGACAAATCGAGGATTGAGTCTTTGCTCGCATACGGCGATCGACTGCTTGTGGGCCTAAACAATGGGAGCTTACGTATTTATCGGATTAATGAGAGTTCAAACGATGACCACGTCCAGGATGGGAATCGGGCTGCCCATTACGGGGACGGGGGCGGGGACGCTGACGGGCACGGTGGAGGCACATTGAAGAACGGAGATGGGGACAGGCCTGCAACGATGAATTCCACGACCAGTACCAAGGCAAAACGTACAGACTTGCTTCGGGAACTAGAGAAATTCTCCAAATACAAAGTCGAGCAGCTCGCTCTTATCAAGGAGGCCAAGGTTTTGGTCTCCCTGTCAGGAGGATACGTTTCGATCCATGACCTGCAGTCATACGAGCTGCAGGAGCAACTTTCTAAGACAAAAGGCGCAACTACCTTTGCCGTTATGTCGAATATTGTTAACGACCCTGAAACCAGAGTTCCTTCGATTGTGTCCCGTCTTGCGGTCGCGGTAAAAAGGAAGATCTTGCTATGGACATGGCGCGACATGGAACTAGAGAATAATACAGCGGAGATGACACTGGTCAGTGGGATAAAGTCACTCACATGGGTTTCTGGAACGAGATTGGTGGCAGGACTCAACTCGAGCTTCGTGATGGTGGATATTGAGGATGGGTCGGTCACTGATTTAGTTGGGCCCGGAAGCATCGGCGGCCTTGGGGGTCAGGAAACCGGTCGTCTAGCTGGAGTTGGAGTGGCAAGTATGAGTTATATCGGAATTGGCGGAGCAGCACCAAAGCCGCTAGCAACTCGGCTTAGCGATGGGCAGGTGCTGCTGGCGAAGGACATCAACACGCAATTTATTGATATCAACGGCAATTCACTTGGACGCAGACAAATACCGTGGAGCCATGCACCTGCAAATATTGGATATTCGTACCCTTTCCTCCTGGCACTTCATGAGCCGTCGAAGGGAGTCCTTGAAGTCAGAAACCCGGAAACATTATCATTGCTCCAGTCAATTCCGATGCCATCAGCCAATCTCTTACATTTTTCTCAGCCTACAATTAGCTTGGCGCATGCGGGAAAAGGTTTCTTTGTTGGAAGTGATCGGACCATTTGGAGGATGGAAGCTTTAAGCTACGATACCCAGATAGACTCGCTTGTGGAGAAAGGGTATCTTGATGAGGCGATCAGCCTTGCCAACATGTTAGAAGATGCACTTCTTATAAACAAACAGAGTCGGATACGCGAGATCAAACTTGAAAAAGCTCAGGGTCTTTTCAGCATGCGCAAGTATAGTGACTCGATGGAGATGTTTACGGAAATTTCGGCTCCCCCGGAGACTGTAATCCAGCTCTACCCCAGAATCGTTGCCGGTGACATTAGCTCTGTCAATGAGGAGCCAGAGGAATCGGAAGATGGCACAAGTGATAGCCAGTCAAAGCCCCATGACAACCAGGCTCAGACTGACGGCACTATCTCGGAAGACATGGCCGCTTCGAAGACTTTGACACACACGCCCTCCATTAGGTCCTTCCTTCGGAGAACGGAGGAAGGTAGTGATTCTGGAAGTATCCGTGGGAAATCGACCGAAAAATCGTCGCGAGACAAGCATCTCGAATCTGCAGTACGCGAGCTCCAGAGGTATTTGGCCGATGTTCGCAGGAGGTTTCAGCGGTTCTTAAACCCTGATGGGTCCCTTAAAGTGGTCGACCCAACTACTGACGGAGCGACTGATGAATTTACTGACTCCGTCATGAAACTACTTGACCTTGTTTACGATGGCCATGACTATGATTTTGGTGATCGATTGCGAGAGAAGGCAAAGCTAGTTGATACAACGCTATTTCGAGCTTATATGTATGCGAATCCACGTCTGGCTGGTTCCCTCTTTCGTATCGCCAATTTCTGCGATCCAGAGGTGGTTATGGAAAAGCTCGAGGAAACTGGGCGCCACAACGATCTAATTGATTTCCTGTATGGAAAGAAAATGCATCGTCAAGCGCTCGAGCTCTTGAAAAAATTCGGCCAAGCTGAATCGGACGAGGAGACAACATCACAGCTCCTTGGGCCTAAGAGAACCGTAGCCTATTTACAAAATCTACCCCCGGACCGGATTGATCTCATTCTCGAATTTGCGGAATGGCCGCTGCACGAAGACCCCGAGTTGGGCATGGAGATATTCCTTGCGGACACTGAAAATGCGGAAACCCTACCTCGACACCAAGTTCTAGATTTCCTGCAACAAATTGATAAGAAACTTGCTGTTCAATACCTCGAACATGTTATCGGAGAGCTGAATGACTTGACGCCCGATTTGCACCAAAGGCTTCTCATTCTGTATCTGGATCGCTTACGGAAAAGAAAGACTCAGGAATGGCCATTCGTCAATAACGACGATCGGGCAGAATGGCTTACTAAATTCTTGGAAATGTTAAAATCCAGCTCTCAGTACTCACCAGCCAAGTTACTCGATCTTCTTGATCGTGATGGTATGTATAACTTCGTCAATCCTCACCACGTTCATTGATCTCATATCCTGCCACAGAGACCGAATTCTTCGAGCCAAGAGCCATTATTTTCAGCAAGATGGGCCGGCACAGACAGGCGTTGGAAATCTACGTATTTAAGCTTGAGGACTATGCAAAAGCGGAAGAGTATGTTCAATACACTTTTGGTAGAGATAATCCTAACATCCCAACTATAGGTACTGCAACCACCTTCATAAGACGGAGGATACGGCTACCGCATACCCTGATTCTGAGGACAAGCCATCTATCTATTTAACATTACTGTCTCTATACCTCTCTCCCCCGCATGGGTATACACCACAATATGGGCCAGCACTTGATGTGCTAGCAAAACATGGATCACGCCTGCCCCCGGGTTCCGCTCTAGAGCTCATTCCCGAGACTCTTCCGGTCAAAGAACTCGAGTTTTATTTCCGAGGCCGCATGCGCGCAGCCAATTCGCTCCTGAGTGAATCCCGAATCGTTGCCAGCCTGCAAAAGTCTCAGAATATCAAGACACAGGCAGAACTTCTAGTGGGTGAAGGGACGGATGGGAAGTCCTCGCGATCACGGCATGTCACTATCACCGAGGAAAGAGTCTGTGGTATCTGCCATAAACGAATCGGCGGCAGTGTGATCAACGTGTTTCCAGAGTAAGCTCTCCTGCGAGCCCTCCACATATTGTCTTTCCATTGACTTGCGCATAGTAATACGGTCGTCCATCTTGGGTGTTCCAATCGCATTTCTTCGGCTTCATGAATATAGTCTTGCAAATAGATAAGGATATCACTGTATGGTATGGGTGCATTGATAAATGTTGTCTTTGTCTTCTCCTTTCTGAATCTCTCTCTTTCTGTTCCATTTTCTACCCTTTCTTTCTTTCTTTCTTTCTTCTTTTTGTTCAACTAGTATATTGTCGTGGGGTGGCGGGCGTATTCTTATACAATGATACCCCAGGATAGTCGTACTATCCAAGGATCCAATATATAATCTCTAGCTGTTCCTGCAGCAGTTGTACTAGAATCATTTCGCAAGCGTCAAAGTCTCACCAGAGCATGTAAGACCGGACCCGTAACCGGGGTGCAGCAGCGAATATGGCCAGTCATGTTAGACCAAAACAAGAATATCATGCATCATCCTCGACCACTTCTTCCCCGTAGTTCTCTTCTTCTTTCGCCTCTTGTTCGGAAATATGACGGCCTTGAGCTTCCGCCAATTTCTTATCCTCCTCCATGCGCTCCGTCAAGAACACGTTCACATCGTTCTGCAGGGTAGGTACTAGTTTCCTCAGCTCCGACAGATAAGCCACCTTGGCTTTGACATTTTCCGAAGGGGAGTCGGACGAGGCTGCAGGTGAGGCGAGGCGGTGCTCGAATGTGTGCGACGAGTGAGGGGCGGAGTATACCGCACGCAAGGAACAGTGGGATTGTTCGGAAGTATCAGATGAGGCCATAATATCGGTCTATCGAGTATCTAACTAAGGAAGGGGTTTGGCGACTGACTCCAGAATATGTCTGGTGTTGGAGGGACAAGTGTGGGAGAGGAAGGAAAGCGAGGAAAAAAGATCCCGGGTGGGGCGAACAAAGGCGGGATTTCGGAGCACGATTGACGCAGCTGGAGATGTTGGTCTCCGCCATCTCGCGGTCGCTGATCCTTCCAGGCCACCGAATATTTTGACAACGAGGCACCACAACCCAACTTGAGCCACACCGTGGGCGATATGGTTATGACGTCCAGATAACCCCGATTGGTTTCCGCCACCTCTTTCCTCTTCTGGTACGGATTACATACGTCCATCATCATCAGCATCACCATGCTACGCTCGCCGGTCTCACCGGAGCGAGCCTCCAGATCTCCCGCCCACCCTCGTCAATCCTTCGACGACGAATTGGACCGACCCGGCTCCTCTGGAAGTGATGCCTCTTCGATTACGTCCAATATGACTACGGTCTCTGCCATCCCGCCTCCCCTTCAGTACCCTGGCGCTGCACCAGGATCGCCTCGCCCCCCTCGAACCTCGTCGATTCCCAACATCAACAGCAGCAGTACCAACCTAGGACGCCCTTCAGCCACTTTCATGCCATATCATGAGCCCTCCAGCAGAAAGCCGTCGGGCCGGGCTCTCCCGCCCGAGCTGCAGAAGCATCGCCCCCGTCATCACTCCCAGGGCTTCTTTGAGCCATCCCTACCCACCGCCTCGATATCCGACTCCACCCTGTCAGCCTCCAGGATCGCTGCGCAAGCTGCGATGTCGCAGCAACAACTGGCTGCGCAACACCCACCAAAGCGTTCCCAGGCGGTCTTCCTACCTACCGATGATGGGACGCGGACGCTGAGACCCGCTAGCACGTCGCCGCCTCCCCCGCCGCCTCCCCAATCTCTAGCTCCTCACCCTGGGTCAGGAGGAGGTCCGTCAGGACAACCATATCAGAATGGTCAGTCTGGAGGACATGCGCATACGGCAACAACCGCAGCCAATGTAGCATTCCCTAGGCAACCTGGGCTGCAACCTCCCGGACTGGAGCAAACGCCCCCCGAAAAGGAGCACAAGCATAAAGGCGAGAAGGAGAAGTCATCCAAAAAGAAGTTATTCTCAAAGCCAAAGCATATCGGGATCAGTCGGGACAAAGATGGATTTATGAAAGACAGGGGTCTGCCGTCCCCCAGCAAGATGGGGATTCCCGGAGCCAGCGGACTGTCCCGCATTGTCAGCGCCTCTACGACCAGCTTGGCGGAAACATTCCCATCGAGCAACTCGTCGATGTACAACCTGTCCAACGCGTCGGCAAGTACGGTAGTGCCGGCTGACAAGGGTACGGGTGGTGAAAAGGAGAAGGAGAAAGAGAAGGATAAGGACAAAGCGCATAAACATCATTTCTTATCACGACAGAAATTGAAACTGAAGGATCGCGATGACCATTACAACTTGCCACTCTCGTCTGCCTCGAGCAACTCCAAACCGTCAGATCCAAATGCACCCCAGTCGCTCTACTCGTTTACTCCTATTTCTCCCAACGCGGCGTCCACCACCTTCAGCAAGTCGGTGAGTGGGTTAGATCTCCTGCATGGCGGGCGAGCCCTACGGGAAAAGAAAAAGGAGGAGAAAGCCATGGCCGAGTCGGAGCAGCACGAATGGTTAGCAAGTTCAGCAGCTTCGGTCGGATCACAGGCCGCGTTCGCGGGACCGTCGTCGCTGGGGAGTTCGACGGGGATTCTCGCCGAGGCCACTCTGAGGGAGACCCTACAAGGCTTCGGACTCAACAACATGTCTCCGGAGGATGCATGGGACTTTTTGAAAGCGAAGCTTTTAGTGATATTTGACGGGGAGGACGTCCGCATCGCTATCGAAGATCTCAACAAGCTGGTGTTGATCCACATTCAGCGTTGCGTGCAGAAACGCACCCCGGCAGCCATTGTCGATGATCTTCGGGAGTTGGTAGAAACAGGCTGTGCGTCCTTGAATCATACGCTGAATGGGGTACCCGATGAGAAGATGGTTCCCCATCTGGTGCAGATCTGGATGCTTGTGTTTGGCACGATTCTTCCATTCATCCAGGCGGTTTTTCTGCCCCTGGACCTTGAGTTCAAGGGATGTGGGACTGTGATGAATGTACGTGAGGCCAACGAATTTTGGTCGTCTCTGTTGAATGGAGACTACCCTAACTGCGAACTTGAAGTTCGCAACCTGCTTTTGGTCGCATTCCGTGACAAGGTAGTTCTATATCGGTACGAAGGCCTCAAGGCTACATTTTCCCGCCTAAGCCTCGACAGCATGAACCTGGGCAATGCCGCACTCAGCGTGACCACTAAGAGCAGTGTCAACAGTGGACGGCCTGCAACCGCAGCGTCACTCGACGCCGGTTTCGGCAGCTATTGTTCCCAGTCGTCGACGCTCCTCAACGCTGCAGGCAGCTACTCATCTGACTCCATGAGTTGCAACCGCAGCCGCGCTGCGTCCAACACCTCGTCGAACCCTGACCAGCTTATCTTCCAGTCGTTCTCGTCCCCAACGCAACGGCCCACGATCATCCATCGGTCCGCCGGCACGGCGGACACGTCACAAGTCATCACTGAAACTGTCGGCCGCATGCTGCAGTGTCTCAGCGTAATGAGCAGTGTGCAGACAGGAGACCAAGCGCAAGAAAAGATCGAAACACTGAGCAAAGCGCTCAAGCACAACTGGCTTGGACGCGGACGGACTGGACGTGATCGACGAGGTTTTGTCGGGGCTAAGATCCGACCTGCTATAGTATCGCGGACAAGCAGTGATGATTCTTCTAGGGGCATGGGGGAAAGCTTGCAGATTGGAGATGGGCGTCAGGAAATGAGTGTTCAGTGATGATTTGATTGAGTTTGTACTCACCTTCGCTTCTCCTCCTTCTCCTCTTTCGTTTTGTCATTCTTCTTTCTTTATTTCTTTTTTGTTTTTTTTTTTTTTGTGGCGCAAATAGATACCATTACGGCTTGGAATTGTTTTCAATTTGGATAAGGCTGTCACGATTCTGCTAGATCACGAATACAATCATGCATTACCTGTCTCTATTCAACTTGGTCGAGGCCAAGCTAATCTAGGCAAGAAAGCAAGCTCTCGAAGACTTACCAAAATCGTAAGCGTCTGTGGTTATGTAGATGCGTACAATGAGGATTGGTCTGGCGCTTTCTCTACAAGATCAAGGCCTCCGATTGTGATTGGTATGGCTGCAGGGAAGGCTTGCAAACGAAGTGTATCGTCCTACAGAATTCCCTGGCTATCTTTCTCATGTAGGATTCATGGGTTTTATATGGTGTTAAGGACTTCGACTTCTTGCTTCTTGCTTCTTTTTTCTACTTCATTAGTGAAGCGCCTGCATAACTACTAGTACATACTTTAAAGTTGGACTGTAACAGGTAACTAGAACTTCAACTGAACCGAATTAAATTGGATGTTCAACTTGGCCCATTAGGCCTACAGCCATTTATTGTTTGAGTTGACTTGAGTCCCTTGGATCATCTTACTATCTCGATGAGACTCTGCAGATGAACCATTATGTAGACATGATCAAAGTATCAACTACTATGTAGTCAATAACTTATCCCCTGTAAATATGACTTCCAGAGCTTGAAATCCGCCCCGTCTCCGCATTGAATGGTTGGACCCAATCCAATCCACGCAGAGCAAACCCGGCTATTCAGAACAGAAATGCAAACTGCCTCATTTACTCACCATGTTCATCCCTCTCACCGTCGTTATCGTCGCCGGTGGTGATACTAGTGGGGTTCTTGCTCATTTCTTTGAATTTCTTCTGCAGCACCGCAGCAGCGTACTTCTCTCCGCCTTGGGATACAATCTCATCTGTGATTCTGTGCCATTTCTCCTGCTCGAATTTCTCCTCGACATCTTTTTTGGCTTTCAGGAGACGGGGTACCTAGGTTTATTGGTTAGTCAGAAGACAGAATATAGATAAGAAAAAAAAAAAAAAAAACTCACATCTTCCTCGGAAACAGACACAAAATTATTCTTCATAGTAGTGTATCTCATCCGGAGAGTCGTCCCCCCAACCTTGATACCGGTTGCGTCAATCCACGCTTTCGTGAGCTCGGCCCAACCACGATGTTCTTCGTCGCGCATACGAAGGATCATCTTGTCCTCTGGGGAAGCGGCAGCCAGGCAGGTCGGGATAGGACCGAGTGTTCTCCTAGGTCCTCTAACTTTACCTTTTTTGGATGGGGAGACATCGGAGTCGGAGTCGCATTTAGTGGTGGATATCTTGGGTGGATGACCTCGCTTGCGAGGAGTCATCGTTGGGGTCTGGTCCTGGTTAGATTGTTGTCTTTAATTTTGTATGGAAGATTGATTGCTTACGGTAGTAGCAGGTTCGGAAGGCTCATTGACGGACATGTTGATATTGTTGTCAGGTTCAGAGTCGAGTTTGATATCTGTTGTAGCGATGATGGGTTTGTTGATGGGGGTGAATTCAGTAGCGCTGATGGTGCTTTGGTGGGTTGGAACAATGTCCATAGTGGATAAGGGGATGAAGTAGTTGGCAATGGATGGAGGAGAGGAGAGAAGTGAAGCTAAGAGAAGTGAATTGAAGGAATAGCTGGAGAGTAATTGGCGCGACAGGTTGCTGGACGGTTACTTCCCAGAGTGAATGAACAGGCTTGGAGGCTGTCATGTTTACGCCAATGAATTTACGCAGAAAGAGACTGGATTCAGGAAAACCCCAGCTCATATAGAGAGGGATTTGTATGACTGAGGTTCGGGTCACTGGCATGGCAAATCGATATGAGTTGGGGATGAGGATGTCTAGATGGATGTGTATCTGCTTGGGGGCTTTTTATCTTTCTATACACTTTCTTAAATATGATCAGGTTGCACACTTGATGAGAATCATATGAATGCCTTGTAGACCCAAGAACGATCTCTCAGTGAAAGCTCACTTAATATGAAGCTATTCCCAGAGACCTTCGGCGGCAAAACTCCCCAAAGCGGAGGATGATTGGGTTACGCACAGTCAGCTGATTTGCTTACGGGCCAGTTGCCAACGCGCCTCGAGTCACCTCGCAGGGAGACATCGTGAACAAAAGTCGTCCCGCATTCGCTGTCATTCACATACGGCCCATAAATAGTGCGCCACCATGAAACAACCCCCCAGGTTCAGTCGCGCTCAATACCCGCCGGCCAAGGTGCTAACGAGGACTTCCCACCCAGCCCGATTGGAAGTCGATGATTCCTTGCATGAGCCGATGAATGGGGAATGGATTACGTGGTGATCCAGGACGATGGAGCGGCGGCATCTCTCCTCATTGGTATCGTCCGTAACATTTGGATCGTCGATGCTCTAGGCAGTACCCAAAGTACTGTAAGTCCGTCCTCCGTACTATGCCTGAAGGCATTCAGTGTGGGGGTTGGTGGATCTAGTTGCCGGGCTACATACTTGAGGTCTGCTCCGTGAGGCTGATACGGAGCATTTGGTTGGCCTGATGACGGTTGGGCTGCTGGTAGAACGAAGACGAAGACGAGAGAAAGCGAGCAAGAGAGAGAGAGAGAGAGAGAGAGAGAGAGATAGAGAGAGAGAGATACATGCAGAGGACCAGGGAATTGCAAAATCGTCTGCGATTGACGCCTCATTTCTCACCGCCAGACAGGCCGCAGCCAATCCTCGCGGCGCTTGCAAGTAAGGCGCTTGGTGTCAGACTCTCTCCGTATTTCTTCTGTCTGGCTGTTTCTTAATTCATCTCTCTCTCTCTTTCTCTCTTTCCCTTCCTCTTCCTCTTTCCCTCCTCCCCGGTTCTCCCTCTCTCCCTCTCTCATAACTTCATTTCCAGCTCCTCCATCGTCTTCCTTGCTCTTCCTTTCTCTTACATCTTCCACCTCTTTCTTCCGGTCGTATTGACTTTGCCCAGAAGTCAGCTTCTCTTGATTTCTCTTCTTTCATTCCATATCGATCGTATAACCCCTGAGCTAGGACCATCAGGCCAGCAGGCCCGATCCCGTAGCTATACAAGCTCCGGCTCGTGCCTGACCACGCCGGCCTCTCCACGGCTCCACAGTGGGGCCCATCTCCAAATCAAATCCTGGAACTAAAAGCCCCGACAAGCCCCAAACCATGGCCGATCCCACCACAACCGCCGCCGCTCCCGACACAAAGCTCGATGCCGACCCCCCGGCAGACAACAATGCCATCAAACCAGAGGCCAAGTCTGGGGTGTCTGTGTCCGAAACTGCCCCCAAGAAGTCCTGCAAAAAGCATCCCGGGAAAGAGCCTGACCCCACCCAGCGCAGTCGAGAGTCCAAAAAGAAGTCCCATAGGCCTACCAAAGCCTCATCCATCGTCACCCCGAGTGACGATAGCTCCTCTAACTTGAGCCTGGAAGATGACGGCAGCTCCAGTACCAGTGACTCCGATTCTGAGGAAGAGGATTCCGAGTCTTATGTACCCGAATCGGAGCCGGACAGAAAGCAGCGTAGGAGGCGAGCGAAGAACCGCACAAGAAAGACCCCGAAGAATGGTCGAAAGAAGAAATCGCGGTCGCATTATCAGGATGAATCCCTGTCAGAATCTGAAACCGAAGAAACCGACGACTCCTCATCCCTAGACGAAAAGGCCCTCAAGAAGCTCGTAGCCAAACTAAAGGCCAGAAAGGCCAAAAAGATCCGCAAGGATGATTCCTCCGAGGACGCACTGGAAGAAGAGGTGGATAGCGATATGGATGATACAGCTCTCTCCCTAGCCAAGGAAAAGCTGGCGGCATTGCGACTGAAACGAGGAGATGGGCGCCGCAACAGAACACGCGGTAAGCGGACGACTGATGGTCAGACAGACACTCAGAAGAGTTGCTCGCAACGGTCAAAGGGCAGAAAGAAGGCAGCCTCGAAAATGGCATTCAAGCGGGTTGATCAGCGTTCGTATTTTCCTAAGCCTTTGAAACGGATCTGAACTGACCAAATGACACTCTTAGTGTGGGACAATACGATACACAACTTCAAACTAACAGAGACGGTTGACGATCCCGGGGCAAACGAGTGGGATCAGTACCTTTTCACCGTACGTCGCAAATTTGACTGGGACAATAAGTACTTGGAGACGGTGGTGGATATCAAGAGCAAGTACCTGCGGGATGCGCTATCAAAGGTCATGGATGGTGTCAAGGGGGTTAGCCTGGTGCAAGAAACCGCGGTAGTTGACCCCAATATGCTCTTCCTCTATCTGGAAGAGACCCGCCAGTGCATGAAGGAGCTAAAGCAACAGGCCAAAACGGAGAGGAAGAAGAAGGTCAAGAATATCGCCAATCTCAAGGCGCAGCACTTGAAGGTGCTCTTGAAATATCTGGACACGGACTATGCGGAGACCAAAAAGACCCTGTATCCCTTGCTGGAGGCGAATATGATCACCTTCGACCTATTGTGGGCTTTGTTCAAACCAAACACCATTGCATACTCTCCCACCTATGGCAACCAGGACGAACCGCGTGCTTTCAAGATCGAATATGCCACCAAAGAGTCGTCGTTCATGAAGGGCCAGTGGTACAGCATAGAGGGCCGCTACCTGGAGTATGACGGCAAGACCTTTGGAATGGGAGTGATGGCGGCTGATGTAGAGAGCTTCAAGGGTGCTCGCAAGATAACTAGTCTCAGCTGCTACCCCCTAAAGTATCACCGAGAGGCCGAGGGTGTCCAGGCCAAACTGGTGGAGCGGGGTAAGAAGTTCGTGGCTCTTCGGGGAATGAACTACCGGTATCACAAAGGAATGGCCTTCTATAAGAAAAAGCGGACTGTCATCAAGGTCAATATCAATGGGCGAGTGATGATCGATCCAGCCATTCATCGCCGCATCAACCCTAACTACCCCATCAGCACTGTCCGCCCCAAGGACCCCGACTTTCTCGATGGCGACGACAACGGCAGCAGTGATGGGTGTTGCTGTGCGATGTCAGAGTCAGACTCAGTCGAGCCGTATGCACACCGTCGGGACTCCGATGCCCCCACGGTGCGGTACAAGGTTATTCGAGACAAGGAAGGAAAACCCCACGTGGTGGAAGTGGAACTGGATGAAAATGGAAACGAGATCCAGAAAGAAAACATGGACGAAGTCGAGGACACCGACCGAGAATTCACCGAAGAGGAGCTCCTCATTTCCAGCCCTGTTGTCCTGGGCTTCGCCTTCAGCGAGAAGCTGTGGCTCGAGTTTAGCATTTCGGGGATCAGCGACATCGAGTGGAACGAGGACGCATTTGACTCACTCGTTTTACCGGACAATCAGAAATCTATCGTCAAAGCCCTGGTAGAATCCCATACCTTCTGTGCCGCACAGAACATCGACGATGTGATCCAAGGCAAGGGCAAAGGGCTCGTTGCTGTTCTGCACGGTCCTCCAGGTACCGGCAAGACCCTCACTGCCGAAGGCATCGCAGAGCTACTCAAATGCCCATTGTACATGGTCAGTGCAGGAGAACTTGGAACCGACTCGCGAACCCTAGAGGGCGAACTGAACAAGATTCTGGATATCGCGCATTCCTGGGGAGCTGTACTTCTTCTGGACGAGGCGGATATTTTCCTCGAAAAGCGCACGATCCAGGACATTCACCGCAATGCTCTAGTCAGCATATTCCTGCGTCTCCTCGAGTATTTCCAGGGCATCCTGTTTCTCACCACCAACCGGGTAGAGACCTTCGACGACGCTTTCCAATCCCGCATCCACGTTGCCCTGCGATATGGTGACCTCCCAACGAAAGCCAAACGCAGCGTATGGATGATGTTCCTGGAGCGAGTGCAGGCAATGGAGGGCGTAAAGACAGCCCAATTTACAGATAAGGACTACGATGCACTAGCTCGTCACAATCTAAACGGACGTCAAGTACATTCCTCTCTTCCACAAGCATATCGATACCAATGAAACTAATTTTTTTTTTTTTTTTTTTTTCAGATCAAAAACTCCGTCCGCACTGCCCAAGCGCTAGCCGTCAATGAAAACACCGCTCTCTCAATGGAACACATCAAACGTGTCTTAGAAGTAGCCGAAACTTTCGACCATGACCTCCGCGGAGGAACGGGCTATATCGACGCCATGAGGAGCTATACGTAGCATTCTTATTCTTACTTCTTTTCTTCTTCTGTTTCTGGCTTAGTTTGTTCCCTATTTCTATGAATTGATTCTCTTATTCATGGTATGCTGTGGTGTGTGCAAGGCAAAGAATAACCTGGGTTTCTTGCATCCTTTCGTCCCATTCTCTGCTTCCCTCTCCTCTTTTTTCTCTATGTTTTCGTTTGATGATATTACGATTAAGATTTTATGCCTGATATACGCTTTCCCCCTGTTGATGCAGTGTTTTGTTTCGATTTTCAATTCTGGATTTGCAATTTTCCGCTTGTTTTCGCTTACCAGTTTGGTTTCTTGAGTGCTACAATCGGTAGCATTCCATGGATTTAGCAAGATCGACTACACATATAAATCTATGAAAAAAAATTTTCCCCTTATTTTCTGCAATATACAACACAATATTGGTACCTACATGGTTTACTGTGGAAATCACTAAGACATAGCTCTCATGAACCAATACATTAACTGTGAAATTTTCTTGAATTTATGAAACATACAAGTCGTGTTCCCTTCCCAGTACAATGAAATCAAGTCTTAGAGATCAGATCATACATTCTTTCCAGACTCAATCCCACGTTCCACGCTGCAGCTGCAAATCCTCCGAAATAAGAGTCGATGCGGGTGGGGAATAGGCCGATAACAAAGATACACAAGGGACTGACATAGACTTTATACAAGGAGGAACCGCGGCTGCAGATGATCTATCTGTGACCGGAGAGGATCTTCATGATCCTTGAAACTAAGGGTTGGCCTTGACGAAGTCAACACCCTTCTGGATGTTCTTCTTGAGGTCACCCAAGCAAGCCTGGAGGAGCTGCTCCTCGTAGGTGTTGACCTGGCCAACGGGGTGGATCTTCTCAACACCGTTGGGGCCAAGCTCAACTCTGGAGGCGAAGAAGTCAATACCCTGGTCCTTGTAAAGAGGGCTGTCGACGAAGGTAGGCTCGACAACACCCTTCTCGCCCTGAGCGGCCTTGAGGAGGGACTCAGCGAAGCGAGCACCAGCCATGGCCATGGAGAGGGTAGCGGAGCCAGCACCATCCTTGGCCTGGACGACCTCGTCACCACCGAACTGGATGCGCTTCACGAGAGCGTCACGGACCTCACCCTCAATGCCAGAGTGGTTGGATTGGGAGAGGAGGGGAACAATGGTCACACCGGAGTGGCCGCCAACAACGGGGACGGCCTCGTTGGCAGGGTCGGTCTTCTGGACCTCGGAGATGAAGCGGGAGGCACGAACGACGTCAAGGGTGGTGACACCGAAGAGGCGCTTGGGGTTGTAGACACCTTTGGACTTGTAGACCTCGGAGACGATGGGGACGGTGGAGTTGACCTAGGTCGTCTGGTTAGTTTGCGGTTGAACACGGGGGTGGGGAGAAAGAGGAGAGCGAATCGGGTCATAGCGTACGGGGTTGGAGATGACGAGGACGTTGGCCTCGGGAGCAGCATCGGCAGCAGCCTTGGCAAGGTCACGGACGATGGAGGCGTTGGTGTTGAAGAGGTCTAAAGGTGGCAAGAGACAGATCAGCATTCAGGGACCCGAGACATTAGCTCAAATTGCGCAATGGCTCATACCGTCACGGGTCATGCCGGGCTTGCGAGGAACACCGGCGGGAATGAGGACGATCTCAGAGCCCTTGAGAGCATCGCGGAGGCCCGAAGGTGTAGGGTCGAAGCCAGAAACGACGCTGTTAGTGTTGATGTGGCTCAGGTCAGCAGCGACACCTGCAGAAGAACGGTCAACTTAGCAACCTCCAATCACTGGCGCGGATGGTTGGGATTGAAATTGGAACACACCAGGGCCACCGCGGATGTCGTAGAGAGCGAGCTGCGAGACACGGGGGTTGAGCTTGAGCAGAAGAGAGAGAGGCTGGCCAATACCACCAGCGGCACCGAGGACGGTAACCTTGGAAGCCTAGGGGGAAAGGGAAAAAAAAAGAAGGTTAGCAGCATGTACGGTGGACAGGCGCCGAGGTTCAAGTTGAGGAACGAAAAGGTTCACACACCTGGCTAGCAGAAGCCGAGAAGGCGCGCTTCTGGAAGAGGTTGAAGGACTGACGAGCAGCAAACATTGCGCGGATGTGAGAGAGAAGGAAGACAGAATTCAATCTATAGAGAGATGAAAGTGAGGAGAGAGGATGGACGAGGGGAGGGAAAACAATTGGAAAAGAGGAGGGAGAGAGAAGGGAGGAAAGGAAGAGAAGGGAAGAAAGGATCCCGTTGGCTGCCGGTGAGAATAATTGGGGCGGCTAAAAGGCTCCGATTCCGATCGCTCCACGACAACAGACAGGAAGTCCCCAAGGAGCAAATTCTGCACATTCTGCATCTGCACATCCAGAGTAGCGGTGATGGCCTTACTATCTTGTTTCTTCCCCTTCTTGTCCAGCGTATATACAGACTTACAGCAAAAACCTTCACATCCCCCAATGCAACCACCCAAACGCCGGCGCTTGCCAATAGAACCAGGCAACATGAACAGAGCAAACAGAGCAAAGACCACTAATACATACAAGACATAATTCAGTCGTCCAAAAATCCGCCGCATTATATTTACCGTAAAAAGTGCAACACTGCCCAGCAAAAGAGGAAGAAAATCACCACTCCCCCCCAGAAAATCCACTTATCCTGCTTCGCCCTTCGCTCAACCTTGCGAATTGTCTCCCCACTGACCCCTAATGTGTTGGCTACGCTGTATAACCGGCGTTGCGTGCCTTTAAGGACCTCTCGCTGCTGTCCAAGGTCCGCAAGTACCGCCCGTCCCCGGTCGATAAAATCATCGAGCTGTTTGTTAGTGGTGCCTAAGAACGACTGCTCGCGCAGTGCATGTGTTTCCCGGTTGTAGTCTGCCGGAGAAGCACCAAAACTGAGACCCGATCGAGGTGAAGAGGGATTGGCGAATGTTGAGGAGGTAGGTAGTGACGATTGAGTATAAGGGTTCTCGGGGGTGGCCGTGTGGTGTGGCCGTCGACCGAGAAGCTCATTACGGTTCGTCATAGATTGCTAGAGATCAGAAATCACGGTCATCAGTGGTCTTTTAGTCCGGCCTGCAAGGTAGTATGGACTTACCGCATCCTCTCTCTCTTTCCGTAGCTGATCAAAATGTTGCCGGTAATCAGCAAGCTCCGATCGGAACTTCTTGGTTCGTTCATACGCCTTCTCTTGTTTCTCGGGGATCAGCTCTTTCTTAGCCAAAGCCGCGTAGTCATCGATGGTTCGGGACAGAGATGCTAGGGAAGCGGCGATTTGGCCTATGAAACAGGGGAGTGAGCAAATAGCCGTAGACATTTCATGTAGTGGCACATCGAGTGCAAAGGGAAAATAAATAATCTATACTCAAGACGTACCCTGCAATGCTGCGGAGGATGTCGTCGGCGACTGCGAAAATGTGTCCAGGTCGCGCCGAATAGCAGAAGACTGCTTAAGTGCAGAATTAAATAGGGAATTCTGCTCAACAGTTAGCACTCTAGCTAATAGGATGAGCTCCAGGAGTACGGAGGACGCACCATTTTCGTTGTTCAAGCTTGCTCGGTGCCAAAAGACAAATCGAGTTATTACTCTCAATATCAGAAATTAAAGGGGCTTATATGATAGATAAAGAAAGGAGAAAAGAAAAGGCCAACTACCTAGTCGGTGTCAACGTGTTCCCACAATGATACTAATAATAAGTATGCAGGCCAAGGCCAGATATACTTGTGATTCTGACGTCGCTGACCGCCTCCACTATATGCCTGCCTATTTGGGCAGTCCGCCTTAAATCTCCTAGCAAGTCTAGCACTTACTCTTCGAAGAACGCGATAATAGCACTGAACGCTCTTGCACTACACAGTTTCTACCGCCTACCAACAGATACAAAAGGACAATCCCCCTATGCAACCTATTTTATGCTCTTCTTGAAGCATATATATTTAAGCTAACTATATATACTATCAAAACTAGGGCAGAAATCTCAAGACAGAGAGAGGGAATGGCATTACTAAAATAGTATTAAAACAAATAACGTCCAACCACTACTAAAACTCCAGCCTCTACTGAGGTGAAAAGCACAGATGCAGGGTAACAGGTAACAATGCAAAGAAAAGTTCACAAAATCAATAGTACACCCCAGTCATGATCCACAAACAAAAACGAGTAAGAAGATGGTTTTATTTGGGTGGATACTTGTTCTGAAGGAACCACCTGAATGAACAGAGGTAGATTTTGTTAGTCTAATGGTTCCCTTTTCAGAGGATTCGATGAAGGAACACAAGGGCACTCACTTGCTCACAAAATAATCGGCCACGCCCAAGGCTCCGATAGCCCCAGTCCATACTCCAATGAGCTGCCATGATAGCTGACCTTCGACATGTTTTCGGTAGGCACCAAGTCCAAGTCCGGCACCAATAACACCCACGATCACGGCGTTTCCGATGTATACTGGATTACTTGCGTTGTCTCGTACGCTCGAAGCCTTAGCTTTAGCCTTAGCCTTGTTCTCAGCTCGAGCTTCCTGTTTCTTTTCTTCTTCCTCTTCACGCTGTATGCGCTCAGCCTGGGTCGTAGTCTTTATCTCTTGGTTCAGATAGTTAGGGTCTACCGCAGTGACGTGTGGGGAGTCCACATCAACTAGGGATGCTGTGCTTTCCGATTCATCTTTGTAGATCCTGGAAGGGCTGGGAGCACGACTGGATTGGCATATTTAGTCAAACAAGTGCAGCAAAAAAGTAGGGCGAGTCACAACTAACGCCTGGTAAAAGGTTAGCATGTGACACCTACACTAGTGCCGTAGATGTGCCTTGGAAAAAAGAGGGAGAGGTAAGTAGGATGAAAGGGTGCAACGCACTTCATCTGGAGACTGCTTGGGGCCTCTGGATGCAGCTTCGGCGTAAGACATGATGAATTTCTTTGTGTATGGTGTAGATGATGGAGCACTCTGTACTGTGGCCAATAATTAGATAGGGTCATCCACAGGAAGGGGCCTGCCAGTGACAAGTCCGACATCCAATCATGACTTACAGCGGGAAACGTGACGAAAGGGGAGGAAGGAAAGAGGGGGGTAGTGACTAATAAAGAGGGCACGTGTATCAGAAGGAGGGGAGTTTCGGCGATGGCATGAGGAAAGAAAGTATTTATACTACTTTCCGATATCTGGGCCTACCTTAAACGCATGACATCACGTCATAGAACTTTGGTTGGAGGGGGAGTGGTTATCATGCGACTTTCGCACTGCCAAGGCCAGCGCCGAATGAACGCAGTCACCTCAGGCTTGGCTTTAAGCTTGAAAACCTTATAAGACGAGTTTCCCGGCCAACTGCTCAGTACAGGATAGGTAATTCCCTGACTTGTCCTCGCTATACTGGATACACATCATGGGCCAATAGAAACGATTCCCAAGACGGTCCCTGCCATTCTATAGCACCGTGTTCCACCATCAAGTCATTTTGAAATTTAAAACATAGGGAATAAAATCGAGATCTTAAGACTGTACTTTAAATAGCCTCTTACGACCAAAAGAACTAGGCGGGTTTTTAATACATATTACAACAACACCAAAACGGAACCCCAACGCAGGGCATTGGAGGTAGGTCAGGATTCCAGATCACCCAGGACGCCCTCACAGAAGAAGCTCCAAGGGGTTCTCAACAATCTTCTTCAGTTCCTTGATCCATTCGCCCCCAACAGCACCATCGACAACCTTGTGGTCGAAACTGCCAGTCACGATAATCTGGTCGTCCCACTCAACCGAAGTACCCTCCTCAGTCTCGACGGGGACGGCGACCTTACGGGTGGTGCCAACTGCCAGGATACCGGCTTGAGGGGGGTTGATAACAGCGGTGAAGCGCTCAATGGCAGGGTTCATACCCATGTTGCTGATGGTGAAGGTGCCACCCTGGTACTCCTCAGGCTTGAGCTTGTTCTCACGAGCGCGCTTGCCGAGATCCTTGATCTGGTTAGAGATGTTGGACAGACCAAGGCTCTGCACGTTCTTCACAACAGGGGTGATCAGTCCGGAGGGAGTGGCAACCGCAACGCTAATGTCGGCAGTCTTGTGCTGACGGATGACAACCTGTCCGTTCTCTTCGTGCCAGCTGGAGTTGACAGCAGGGACCTTCAAGAGAGCGGCAGCGCATGCCTTAACGAGGAAGTCATTGACCGAGAGCTTGTACTTGCCCTCAGCGGAAGCGTTGAGAGCCTGGCGGAGCTTCAGAAGCTTGCTAACCGACAAAGTGGTCGACACGAAGTAGTGGGGGTTCTCTTTCATGGATTGCTGGAGTCGGTTGGCAATGGTCTTTCGCATGGAGGTAAGAGGAACGTCCTCGTAGGTCGGGCCAGCAACCGCGGAAGCGCTGGGCTTGTACTTTTCGACATCCTCCTTAGTGATCTGACCGCCACGACCGGTGCCCTTGAGCGCATTGACCGGCACCCCCCTTTCCAGAGCCAGTGCCTTGGCGGCAGGGCTGATGGCGGGCTCACGGTCGAGGCTGGGTTGGAGCTTCTCACCCGAAGTATCCGGCTCCTGGGCCGCAAGCTCGGGCTCTGGCGTCGACGGAGCGGGGGTAGCATCACTCTTGGATTCTTCCTTACTCTCCTGAGCCGGTGCGGCGGGCTTTTCACCACCAGCATCCTCCAAGCTGAAGGACTCGAACTGCGAGACATCGGCACCTTCCTCAACGAGAACAGCGATAGGCTGTGTATACTCCGTCAGCAAACTCTACTAAAGACCAAGTGTCCATTCCACAGATAGCACATACAGCGCCGACAGCAACATCCTTCTCACCGGTTTCCTTCAGAATCTTGGCAAGGACACCCTCCTCCTGGAATTCGAAGTCCATCTGTGCCTTATCGGTCTCGATTTCCACCAGAACATCACCGGGCTGCAGAGCATCACCAGCTTTCTTTTGCCATGCGCCAATGTTTCCGGCAGACATGGTTGGCGACAGAGCAGGCATGCTGATGATGGTGTGGGGAGGGAAAGCTGTATGCGCAACATGTCAGAATTGACTGCTTTCAAGTAATGACGGTGATACAATAAAAGACCTGCAGCATACAATTAGAAGCATAGAATCGGGAAAGGGCGGAGAAAGCAGGCAATTGAGGTCTGGCAAGAAAAGAGAAAAAGAATTAGCCTCGCATGTATAGATAGATTCATCGTCAAGTGGATGGCGCATCATACTGGACAGCATCCTTAAATCTGTGCATAGTCTGCGGCCTCCTCAGGCAAGAGGCGCCTTTAGTGAGAAACATAGCGCTGGGAGTGCGCATCCGGACAGCAGAGGCAACCATGGTGCCCAAAATGCTGTGACTATGGTACAATGAAAGGCCCGCGGCTCAATAAAGAGTGAAAGGGAAGATGGGAAGGGGTCAGGAGGATGAGTGTTGCAAGTGGAAGGGCACGCAGTATCATGAAAAGAGTTGAGAGGGCAACAGCTCCAAGGAACTTTTCTGTTGAGCTTCCCGGTGAGCGATCGGAATAGTGTCGCCGGGTGCCGCCGTGGCCCTGTTACGTAAGCTGATGCAGCGCTTTTGGCGCACATCGATCTCCGTAGAATGCCAGTGGCCGCCGGAGAAGACACGCTTCATTCCTGGGTCCGGAGGATTGCAGTACGCTTATCTTGCAGTTTCATTTTCCATCTCCCCATTAGTCCCTCAATTAGTCCCATGTGGACCCCGAGTTTACATACATCTGGATTCTCCGGACGGAGTCTCGCATAAATGGCGGAAGTCGAAAACGGCTCTGCCCATGAGCCAATCCAAACGTCTACGGGTCTATCGCAGGCAGACAACAAAGAGAACGGGGTCGATGTCTCCACGTACGCTGAGTCTCCGGAAGCAATCGAGGAGGACAAACCCACATTACCCGATGAATCAGAGCGTCTGCAGTTCAACGTGGATGAAATAGCGAATAACAATGAAGCACAAGGTGAATTGGAGCCTGGTGACGGCCTCGGATCTCCAGAGCAAGTTTCAACATCTCCAGGGAACACCGTCGCCCCTCCACAGCTCGAAGATGACCCTGAACATGCGCCGAGCCAGCAGGATGAACGCACTGATGGGCCAGCTGATGACCAGACAGTTAACTTACCGAAGAACACACCTAGCGAGACACAAGAAGCCGGCTCAGCACCACCTCCAGATGTCATTCCTGATTTACGAGTACGCTCGGATTCAAGATCGACCACTGCCACACTTGCGACCCAGCGGTCTGTGACCGTCAGCTCCACCGTTTTTATAGTGACCGCTCTTGATACCATTGGCTTATCGAGGGAGGCCAGGAGGAGCAAGGAATTGGAGGATGCTGTGAATGCTGCGCTGGCGAATGTTAAACAATCAGACCGTCTGCCCATAGATCCCGAAGTCATCTTCCGCCCTCTCCACCTCGCAACGAAGAGCTTTAGCATTCCCCTGCAAGTGACGGCTCTTGATTGTATCGGGAAATTGATCACATACTCATACTTCGCTTTCCCCTCGACTCAGACGGAAACCGAATCTGGTTCGGGGCAACCCCCACTAATTGAACGAGCTATTGATGCAATTTGTGACTGTTTCGAAAACGAAGCGACACCAAATGAAATCCAACAACAAATCATCAAATCTCTTCTCGCGGCAGTCTTGAACGACAAGATCGTGGTACATGGAGCAGGCCTCCTGAAAGCTGTCCGTCAGATATATAACATATTTATATACTCCAAGTCCAGTCAAAACCAGCAAATAGCCCAGGGATCTTTGACGCAGATGGTTGGCACGGTTTTCGACAGGGTACGTGTAAGGCTTGAACTGAAAGAACTGCGTGTGCGCGAGGGCGACAAAGGCCAGGGTATAACCTCCGATACCGTTAACCTTGAGCCTGACGACGCGGCTCAGACAAATGAGGAAGATCATACATCGGATGTAGTCTCTGGAACGCCCCCTGATCAACCCGTCTCAAAAGAGCCTATTGAAAAACTTACGTTGCAAAGTTTTGAATCTAGCAAAGATGTTACCTCTGTCAATGACAATGCCCCGACAACGGTTACCCGTGCTAAAATAGGCCAGACGCCTGCGCGGCCTTCATCCATGATCCTTGGAGAGGAGCGAGAAGATTCTGATAGCCCCGCAGACGACGATGAAGATGAAATTTACGTCAAGGACTCTTACTTAGTTTTCAGGGCTCTCTGCAAGCTGAGCCACAAGATCCTCGGCCACGACCAACAGCAAGATCTGAAATCTCAAAATATGAGATCGAAGTTGTTATCCCTGCATCTTATCCACTACCTTATTAACAACCACGTCTCCGTTTTCATATCCCCTCTATTGACAATTCGACAAAGCTCTAATAGCACGGATGCCATGACTCTCCTCCAGGCTGTTCGTCCTCATCTATGCTTGAGCCTTAGTCGAAATGGTTCAAGCTCTGTTCCTAGAGTTTTTGAGGTTTGCAGTGAGATATTTTGGCTTATGCTCAAACATATGAGGGTGATGATGAAGGTCTGTTGATATTTGATACCCCTAAGGGTGCTGGGTCTGACTCAAAACAGAAAGAGCTCGAGGTTTTCTTGAAAGAGATTTACCTCGCCATCCTAGAGAAGCGAAACTCGCCCACCTTTCAAAAGCAGTATTTCATGGAGATTTTGGAGAGGCTGGCGGGTGATCCGCGTGCGTTGGTTGAGATATACCTCAATTATGACTGTGACAGAACGGCACTAGAAAATATCTTCCAGAAGTATGCCTTGCCCATCAAAAGCGTTTGCTGTAGCCATGTTACTAATGAGCTATACACAGTGTCATTGAACAACTATCACGATACTCGAGCGTACCGGTAGCTGTGACCGCTTTCCAACAACAGCAATACCAGGAACACTATGTTAAAGTCTCGAAGTTGGGAAACGAATGGCATCAACACGGCACATTGCCACCTACACTGACCAGCGCAAATATTTCCAATAGCTCGCAGATGAATCTGCAAGGTGTACCTCCAGAGTATATACTGAAGAATCAAGCAGTTGAGTGTTTGGTGGAAATTCTGCAATCTTTGGACAACTGGGCCTCGCAGCGCATCGCCGACCACACCGCTGCTGCTCCTAATCGTTCTTCGCAAAAGTCGATTGACAACTCTAGAGAGTCGCTTGATACCAACGCTGGCGCCTATCTTTCTTCTCCAAGGATTGATGGTGATGGCAGTACCGGCCGGTCAACGCCAGTGGCGGAGGACGATCCTAGTCAAATAGAAAAAGTGAAGCAACGGAAAATTGCCCTCACGAATGCCGTGCAACAATTCAACTTCAAGCCCAAGCGCGGAATCAAGCTTTTTATCAAGGAGGGCTTCGTACGTTCCGATTCCCCGGAAGATCTGGCAGCCTTCCTGATCCGAAACGAGAGGTTAGATAAAGCCATGCTAGGCGAGTATCTTGGAGAGGGGGATGCTGAAAATATCGCAATTATGCACGCCTTTGTTGACACGATGGACTTTGCAAAGCGGCGTTTTGTTGATGCGCTTCGCCAATTCCTACAGCATTTCCGCTTGCCAGGGGAAGCGCAGAAGATCGATCGTTTCATGCTCAAGTTTGCCGAGCGCTACACAACTCAGAACCCAAATGCTTATGCCAACGCAGATACAGCATATGTGCTTGCGTACTCTGTTATCATGCTCAACACCGATCAACACAGTTCCAAGATCAGAGGTAACCGCATGACCAAGGAAGATTTCATCAAAAACAATAGGGGTATAAATGATAATCAAGATTTGCCCGATGATTACCTAGGATCTATCTATGATGAGATTGCGAACAATGAAATTGTGCTTGATACCGAAAGAGAGCATGCAGCGAATATTGGACTCCCTGCATCCACTCCCAGCGGGTTAGCTTCTAGGGCTGGGCAGGTCTTCGCTACTGTCGGACGGGACATTCAGGGCGAGAAGTATGCACAGGCATCCGAAGAGATGGCCAACAAAACCGAGCAACTGTACAGAAGCTTAATACGGGCTCAACGGAAGACAGCAGTCAAAGAGGCACTCTCACGTTTTATCCCCGCAACATCTGTCCAGCATGTCGGTTCTATGTTTAATGTCACTTGGATGTCTTTCCTTTCCGGGCTATCAGCCCCCATGCAGGACACCCAGTATCTGGAGATCATCAAGCTTTGCATGGAAGGAATGAAACTTGCCATCCGTATTAGCTGCGCGTTTGACTTGGAAACGCCTCGGGTCGCCTTCGTGACAGCTTTGGCCAAGTTCACCAACTTAGGTAATATCAGGGAGATGATGGCCAAGCACGTCGAGGCCCTGAAAGTATTGCTTGATGTCGCTCTTACGGAAGGCAATCGTCTTAAGAACTCCTGGAGAGAAATCCTGACTTGTGTCAGCCAGCTCGATAGACTTCAACTACTGACTGATGGTGTTGACGAGGGGTCTTTACCAGATGTCTCTCGAGCCCGTATCGTGCCCCATGCCTCCTCAGATACGTCTTCTCGCAGGTCAATTCAATCTTCGAGACGTCCCCGCCCGAGGTCTATAAATGGTCCCACTGCTTTCCGCGCAGAAGTTGCCATGGAAAGCCGATCTGCGGAAATGATCAGAGGTGTCGATCGAATCTTTACCAATACAGCCAATCTTTCCCACGACGCTATAATTGAATTTGTACGGGCGCTGAGTGAAGTGAGCTGGCAGGAAATCCAGTCCTCTGGACAAACCGACTCTCCTCGGACATACAGCTTGCAGAAACTGGTTGAAATCAGCTACTACAACATGACAAGAGTCAGGATAGAATGGTCTAAAATTTGGGAGGTTCTTGGACAGCATTTCAACCAAGTTGGGTGTCACTCAAATACCACTGTTGTCTTCTTTGCACTGGATTCTCTCCGGCAACTCTCAATGCGCTTCATGGAGATCGAAGAACTTCCAGGTTTTAAATTCCAAAAGGACTTCCTTAAGCCATTCGAACACGTCATGGCAAATAGCAATGCCGTTACTGTAAAAGACATGATTCTCCGGTGTCTCATACAAATGATCCAAGCACGCGGTGACAACATTCGCTCTGGTTGGAAAACAATGTTTGGTGTGTTCACAGTTGCTGCTCGAGAGCCTTACGGTAAGTGTTTAGAGTCGAAAGCCTTTTTTCAGCAATTCTAATCCTTAAATAGAGGGAATTGTGAACATGGCTTTCGAGCATGTCACGCAGGTATATAACACCCGCTTCGGGGTTGTGATTACACAGGGTGCATTCCCTGACCTTATTGTATGCCTCACGGAATTCTCAAAGAACATGAGATTTCAGAAGAAGTCGCTGCAGGCGATTGAAACGCTAAAGTCAACGGTCACTAAAATGCTGAGATCGCCGGAATGTCCTCTTTCCCACCGCGGGCCGTCATCGGAAGAAGTCCACAATGATGCCACGAACCTCGCCAAACAGCTCACCCGCCAATCAAAGGAGGAGCAGTTTTGGTACCCAATTCTCATTGCTTTCCAGGATGTTCTGATGACAGGTGATGACCTTGAGGTTCGATCACGGTAAGACCAAGCTTTCCCAACATTTAAGGTGCTTGCAGTAACTTACTTAAACAGAGCATTGACATATCTTTTTGATACGTTGATTCGATATGGCGGTGACTACCCTCAAGAGTTCTGGGATGTTCTTTGGCGGCAACTTCTCTACCCTATCTTCGTTGTGCTACAGTCAAAGTCTGAAATGTCTAAAGTCCCTAACCATGAGGAGCTTTCCGTTTGGCTTTCCACGACGATGATCCAGGCGTTGCGGAATATGATCACGCTCTTCACACATTATTTCGATGCGCTGGAGTACATGCTGGGCCGCATACTAGAGCTTCTTACTCTATGCATCTGCCAGGAAAACGACACGATTGCGCGCATCGGCAGCAACTGCTTGCAACAGTTGATACTACAGAATGTTATGAAATTCAAGCAAGAGCACTGGACAAAAGTTGTTGGCGCTTTTGTTGTCCTATTCAGCAAGACCACTGCCTATGAATTGTTCACTGCTGCAGCGTCTATCTATTCCAAGTCACCAATCCCACTGAAGTCTGCAAATGGGGATCCAGATGGTAGAGATGATGGTGGTGCTCCAGAATCTCCCGAATCGGCGCCAGTCTCGGAGCATTTGACCGATCCTCCAAAGGCCAACGGCCTGCAGAATGTGGAACACGAGCATGAAGAGGGTGACATGCCTTCCACATCAAGCACCGAATTGGAAGATTACCGACCCCAAGCAGATGTGCAACAACAGCCAGCCGCCGTCACCGTAGCACGACGTCGGTTTTTCAACCGGATTATAACAAACTGCGTCCTCCAGTTACTTATGATCGAAACTGTGCATGAGTTGTTTTCAAACGATAAAGTTTATGCACAAATACCGAGCCATGAGCTTCTCAGGCTGATGGGGCTTTTGAAGAAGAGTTACCAATTTGCCAAGAAGTTCAACGAGGACAAGGACCTCCGGATGCAGCTTTGGCGCCAGGGATTCATGAAGCAGCCGCCAAATTTGCTCAAACAGGAGAGTGGGAGTGCTGCAACTTACGTTCATATTCTTTTCCGCATGTACCACGATGAGAGGGACGAAAGGAGGAGCAGCCGTGCGGAGACAGAGTCCGCGCTCATCCCGTAAGTGCTCTTATTATGTGCATTCTGTCCACCGGAACGCAGCTTTACTAATCCATGCTTTCCAGACTGTGTGCCGATATAATTCGCAGCTTTGTCCGTCTGGATGAAGATTCACAACATCGCAACATAGTAGCCTGGCGCCCTGTCGTTGTGGATGTCCTGGACGGCTACACCAACTTTCCTTCTGAAGGCTTTGATAAGCATGTTGAGACCTTCTACCCGCTGTGCGTTGATCTACTAGGTCGTGAGTTGAATCCTGAAATTCGCATTGCTATTCAGGCATTGCTTCGGAGAATTGGTGAGGTGAAACTAGGAATTCCTGCTGTGCAAATATCCATCAGCCCAAGGAAGTCAGCCTCCCAGCCTTCTAATCGCAAACTGAGCGGGGACCCTGAGTAGATCTCCTAAGGCACCAATTCTGGCTTCTATATCTTTTCGTTGTTGATTTTGGATATCCTTGCGTCCTTGATTGTCGGGCTTTATGTCTCACATTGGATGGAATAACTGTAGACTTAGCAGAGTTTTTTATTTTTTTTTTATTTCGAAGCGTTTTCAATTTCCTCATACGAGCTGGGCTTCATACATTTGTGTACACAACATCAGAACCATAAAAGAGCGCAAACTATTCCATTTATACCAGATATAGATCAATTTCAGTAGCACTTCATAAATCGTATCATACATGGACTAGAGAATGAGTAATCATCATTATATACTGATGCAAGGCGCAAATCATAGAACACGCCTTTCAATTCAACGAATTGCTCCGCCCGATCGAATGTCTTCCAATGGAGGGATCTTGCCGGAAGCATAATGCACCAGAAGGCCATTCATGTCTTTATCATTCATTTGGACAAGATCGTCCAAACCCCACGATTCACAAACACCAGACATCCTATATAATCATAAGCAAGGATGGAAGGACTAGGGCACAGCTCAACATACCATTTCATCCTTTTTGGACCTTCCTTCACACTGGGTGCAATATCTCTGAGTTTCTTCCGCAATTTTCCCACATTATCAATTGCTGCACCCATGTTATCTGGAAGATTATCGGCTATTTTCTTCCGCACAATACTGGCAAGCTTAGGGCCATTCCCGTTTGTGCTGACCATCACCTGCAATGGGCCATCCCGATGTACACTACCAAAGTAGAAGTCGCATTCCGACGGTACATCTGCAATGTTTGCGGGTATTCGTTTTTCTTTACAGAGTTTCCAAATGCGTGTCGAAGCGTCCGGGTCGTCAATGGCACAAAGGACCATATCTGCTCCTTCTAGATCTGTCGGTTCGAAGTATCGATCGTAGTGAGTAACCTGGCCCTCGGCAACCCGAAAGGCCACCTCATCATTTAGGCCCGAAGCTGGACAAACGACGGACACTTTGGCGTCGGCATTGAGAGCATGCAGGATCCGGCCAGCAGCTACCTAGAAATCGTATATATGCAGAGCGTCAGTCCCTCCAGAGCACGTGTAAGCTACTATAAAGGTAAGAGAGTTACTGTACCTCCCCACCACCAATCACCAAGACATTCTTTTGCTTAACTTGCCAGGCAAGTATTAGAGATCCTCCTCCTTGGACCTTAGGGAATTTCGACGACGACATTTTCCCATTATTCAGGAGGTAGGCCAAGACGGAGGCGGGGTGCTTCTATCATTTTGCCGCGGGGGACTTCGGTACGGAGAGGCACAGACGCCAGAAACGAGCTGGGGTTTTTTAATTTTTTTTTTTTTTTTCTTTTCCCACTTGTTAAAGCTCCGTTGTGTTTTTTTTTTCCCTTTACAACAGCATGAGATGTGTTCCACGATCTTCCCCCCCACATCGACTCTGCTCATTCAGTTTCTAGTCCATGGTCTAATTTAACGTATAAGACTCTGATCATGCGGGGAGTGCAGATTTTTTCTGGGACATCCCATCCTTTACTTGCTGAAACGATCTGCGAACGCCTCGGGACTTTACCTGCCCCGGCGACGCTTGGAAAGTTTGCCAATGGCGAGACGAGTGTCAACATTGGCGTTTCGGTTCGGAATCAAGATGTATACATCGTTCAGAGTGGCAGTGGGAAGATTAATGATAGCGTCATGGAGTTGCTGATCATGATCTCTGCCTGCAAGGGTGGCTCCGCAAAATCTATCACAGGTATTTCTTGAGACTACAAGTTATTGGGAAACAGTACCGTAATCGCTAACTCGGATTCTTTCGGCTCAGCGGTTATGCCGTATGGTGCCTGTCTAGTTTGAGTGCTGCTCTTGTTGATACTGACGTCGTCGAGGTACTTCCCATACTCCCGCCAATCCAAAAAGAAGAGTCATCGTGGCGCCATAACCGCCCGTATGCTGGCAAATCTGCTCTCAGTTGCTGGAGTGGACCATGTGATAACTTTGGATTTGCATGTGAGTCAACAGGCGACCTGTTGCAAAAAGGCACAGGGATTATAGAGGGATTCTTATCAGATTAACTGTCTAGGCGTCACAAATGCAGGGCTTCTTTGGCAAGCCTGTAGACAACCTGTTTGCCGAACCTTTCATTGCCCGTTGGATTCGCATGAATGTACCCGGCTGGAAGGAGGCTGTGGTTGTCAGCAAAAATGCCGGAGGCACTAAGCGTGTCACCTCCCTAGCGGACACACTGAAACTGAACTTCGGTATTGTCAACACCGACAGAAGACGCCCCAAGGTGTCTATGACCATGACGGACAGTACTGTCTTCTTCGATTCCATCGATGAGGAATGTACCCCTACTCCCAAAGAGCAGGACCCGTTTGTAGTACGTTTGCATAGTGGGAACAATGTAACCTCTGAGTCTGAAAATTCCCAGAAGGTGCTTGTTAATACCGCTTCATTGATCAATTCACTGACGCCGGAAGTCCAGCCCGGTGCTCGGCGACCGTCCGAATTAGAAGCTGTGCGTGAGTACACTGATGTTCGGGTGCAGGATGTCATCACCGGAAGACTTGTACAAGGTCAGCTTGTGGATGATGATTATCCTTCGGCCACCACCTCCACCCCTCAATCTGGAGATGCCACTCCAGGACAGACCCACAACCAGGAAAATCATGAATCCTCCCCTGATCTGATGGCGGAATCTCTTATATCAAACCCATCCTCCTTGACAGGTGACCATGCCCTTGGTGGTTCATTTGATGCTGCTGAATCGTCGGACGAGGAAGGAAGTGTTCGACGGGTTGCAGAGCAAGAAAAGACCATTACGTTGGTCGGTGATGTCCGTGACAGGACAGTATTCATTGTCGATGACATGATCGACAAGAGTGGATCATGGATTGCTGCTGCTGAGACAGTCGTCAAGAAAGGTGGTGCGAAGAAGGTCTACTGCATCGCAACCCATGGGCTTTTTGGAGATGAGTCTCTTGAGCAAATGGAGCAATGCCAATCGATCGACCACATCGTGGTGACCAATACATTTCCTGTGTCTCCACAGATGATGAAAAGATCGAAGAAGTTGATTATCATCGATATTTCGAGTCTTGTTGCGGAGAGTATTAGGCGTCACCACTACGGCGAAAGGTATGTCTATGCCTCCTTTGAATGGATATGGATTTGCTAACAGACACTTAAGTGTTTCGGCACTGTTCCATCTCAATGACTAATATTCATTATGTTAGTTGTTAGGGTTCAATCGTTTTCATAACTTCGTGGTATCTTCTCGCAGCTACCCGTCAACGAATATATGCTAGCCTGATGATTCATTCCTATAATGATGGCTAAAGAAATTAACAACCACCAAAAATTGATGATCCTATCATACCGAAGGCCCCCCACCCAAATTGGTTTTTTATTTTTGAAACAATGAGACAAGCCATTTTTCGTATATTAGTGGCCACATATTCATGAATCCTTGTCGGGAAATTCACTCCGGATCTGCGTGGATTTTGAGATATCCTACTAGGTGAAATGAGACTGAACATACGGAGTAGGTCGACTTCTATTGATGAAGATTTATCGCCCTCTATATTTTTTCATTTTTATTTCATTTTTATTTTATTTTTTTTTTTTTTTTTTGGATATAACCAATGACCCCTTCACGGTATTTTCTCTTCCACCTGACCATTTATATGAAATCATGGCAATTTGACATACATTGCCATGACAACAGCTATGGAAATGATGGGCTATTATTTATAACACCAGCGATGCAGTCCACTATGGGTACTGCAGGAACATCTTGTTAGAAAGGAGATATTGTATCTCTGGACTTTGTTCACAGGATTGTTCTTAACGGAGCGTTGGAAGATCAGAAAACTTGCCTCGGTAGTTGCCTATTTCTATTTGCCTTTTGGCATCTAGAATTCGGTGGCTCCCGGGCTTGACGAGAAACGAAGGCATCAATTTCTTGAGGTCCGTGTCATTTGGCTGGACCTCTGGCGTAAGCCTGTGGGAATGATGCAAGAGAACATCTCGAACATTTCTACGTATCTAGATTAGTCGCTGCATATGTGTTTTTCGTAAGACTGGTGTCTTGGAATACAATTAACAATTTTGGTTTTTTGACCGCTCATCTACCGCTGTATCCCCTTTTCCGCTCCTTTTTTATTTATTTCGAACGAAGGCTTTTGATTGAGATCTTCACCAGATGGATGACGACGCCAGTAGACAAACATCTAGACTGACAGATGTTTCCGGTGAAAGATTGACATGAGTTCGGCTCCAGTCCCGGGTCGATTTGCCGGCAATCCGCAGGGAATGTGACGGTAACCTGACTCAGGTTGCCACAATTCAAGTTCTCAGCTGCCGTTAAAGGGATGTCACAGTACGACTTTCGACGAGCTGTTTGCTGTTGCACAACAGGCGGGTATGCGTCTAGAAACCGTTCTAGTTGATCACTGTAGCGGTGTGCGTAACTGCGTATGCTTGAAAGTTGAAACGCAACATAGAGGAAACATTGCCGGCAAGATTGGTTGGCCCATCAGTGCATCTCTTGCAGCGACGGAGCACAACAGAGGGCATTGTGAAAGGTTGGCGTTGCTGGCCCAAAACTGATTTAATGCCAAATCGGAAGGCATCCTAATGCTAGCGAGTTGACACGTGAGATATGTAATGAACTGTGTCCGAGTGAGAAGGCTTGGCGACCAAATCGAACAGCTCGCTTGTCAGGACCACGGTGGAAAATGCAGTTGCTCAGGCTCGAAGCTGCTCGGCAAAACCGAATCGGCCTCAAGGAAGATAAACGGATGTCCTGTGGGGGCAGATAAACCGAGAAAGACGGATTCGATGTGCCAGATTTGGGACAGAAGAGACCTGTCAGAAAGACCAAAAGTACCATGCATTTCCGGAGCCTGGAAAGAGGGTTTGGAAAATCCAACGCCGCGGAGACGCAGTGACATTGGCGCCGGGCTAGTGAGGGAGCCAAATCCACCAGAGGCAGGACTAGGTCGGGGAAGGGCATCCGGTAGATCAAGATATTCGCCTACCAGAGTGCGAGATCGAACTAGGTTAGTGTCGTCATTTCCTGATGGAGACAACAAGCGGGGATGGAAGTCAGCCAACGAAGTACTATATCTGTTGGACTAGACCCGTCCTTGTGATTCTAACACGCAATTCGAGGCCCTCGTTGGCCAGCTGCTCCAGCATCCCGACAAGGTTGACCGTGGATTGGAATACGACCAATCTGTCCCGCCTGCATGGTCCGTTTGTTAGGATATAAGGTCCTCTTCAGTTTACAAACTCGAGACTGCCATGTGGATCGTCATGGTCATAGCGTCTGTCTGGACAGTGGGTCGCACAGGTCTCAAAAGGCCCAGGGAGCTGGACATCCTGGAATTTGGGGCTCGGGGCGCTTGGTGCACCTCATCAAGCGCACCTCATGCTGGTCTAGTCCCGCTATTTGACAGGCTATCCCAAAGGGGCCCCTACCAATTTCTTTTTTTTTTTTTAAGTTCCATCTGCCTGCAAGTGTCCCGAAGATGTCAGGCCAGGGGGAGGATCAACATGATTCGCTAGAAAACCCTCGATCTACCCTCTAGCGTTGCCATACTTAAGTACGACTAGATTTCGACCTTACTGGGAGGATATTAGTGTACTCAGAGTACGAGTTAGGTTGTTGATTGGGTGGAGTGAGGTTCACCCCTAGCGACCCTGTGCTCCAGCATTGAACTGGAACGGTTTTGACTTTTCCGAGAAAAAACTTTGAATATTGGACATAGAGAGACGGCAAAAGCGATAGGCTAAGAAGATACGAGAGTGAGAAAGAGAGAGAGAAAGAGAGATAAAAAAAAAAAAAAAAAAGGAAAAAAAAAAGCTGAAGTAAGATATCCTCCGAAATTAGGTGGAGTAGACAGTCGGTCTAGCGTCAAATACTAAGCCCCAGTTCCCCTCTCACCGGGACCTGTCGTACTTTCCGACGAGTAGCTGACAGAACTAAAGTTGGTACTTGCTGGTTGACCCAGAAGTTTTTTTTGGCAAAAGTTTCTTTGCAGATGAACCTGGTTAGCAGAGCTGCGGATCCTCTGCAAATGCACACTGCAATCGGCTAAGATCAGCAAGGGGAGAGACTGAGAGAAGGAGAGCAGTCCTTGCTGACCCTTGAACAGGTGGTTTATTCGTTGACCGGCAAAGATTTCCCTTGGGAGCCGGTTGGCGGCATATCGACATCCATCTAAGCAGAGAGTGTGTGGTACTCCGTATAGGTTGAGACAATGGCCTATCGGTCCCTTCTGCCTCCTGGGCCACAGTTACAGAGTACATCCTGTGCGGTCGGGACTCCCCTGCTTCACAAGTGGATCAGTTGATCCAGTCCTAACCATGAAGGGAGGGGCCAGTTCAGCTCGTTGATGGCAGCAAACAGAAGGGCTTAAGACGGAAGGTTGGCCCTAGGGGAGGGTTCACCCGACAAACTGGGGAACGAGTTGAATGTATGTATGCTGCTTTGGTCTAGCCTCGCAGATGGTTTTACCTGAGAGAGTGGAGCGAAAAGAGACTCCCCAGTCCATTCCCTATTGAGTGCATGAAGATGAATATAAAAATATCCTATCAATAATAGGAACCGTTTACCCGCTCCTTCCCCCCCTCTCCCCCTAAAAAAGGAAATAAGGATACGTAAGCCGATCTTGGATATTATATCTACAGCCAGTCCCAAGAAGGGTAAATGATCTATATCGATCGATATCAATCACCAACACGAACCTAATCCACAATAATATATAGGATGTGGTATGGACCCGGTCATATAAAAATCAAATATACTTCTATGGAGCCGGGGATCTGCATGCCAAATTCCCAACGCCCAGCGTCCTGGAATCTCTCGATCTCCAATCACGCCCGCCCGATTTGCTTTGATCTGAGATCTCGTTCTCTGATATCAATTACCCTGCATCTAGATGGGGGGAATGGGGATTCCGGTCTTTTGACTTTTCCAGCGTTCAGGTAAGCCTCGCGGGTCCAATCCTTTCCGTCGCATGAGTTATCCCATCGTGATTGACTAGTTTCGAGGTACGTGAGGTTATTATCCACTGTGGCTCACTGACTGGACGATATATCATTTTCCTTGCGCCTTTTCTTGGCTGCTCTCCGGCGGATTGGTTACTGGATGCTAGCGACCCTTATTATTGGACCCAATCGGGCGATTTGAGGCTAGCATTGAGTTCCTTGATTTTGACATCTTTATTTCAGTTTATTTGTCCCTGTGATTTGATTATTTCTTTTCTTTTCTCCATTTTATATATTTATAATTTTTTTTTTTTTTTTTTTTTTTTTTTTTTTCTTCCCCTTTTTTTTTTTTTTTTTTTTTTTTTTTTTTTTTTTTTTTCCTATCGATCCCTCGTTGACTTTTTCTTTTCTTTTTCCTTTTTTCTTTTCTGTAGAATCCCCAACAATCTTCAACTCCACTCCGCTAATAGTCTTCTCTAGACAATAATCGGGTGCTTGCATTGCTACAGAGCCATTCCATGCAGCTTGCGCTTCATGGTCTGGACCTCGTCTCTCTGGTTGGGATATCCTGTGCTGGGCGGTGACTCCGAGAGCTCTGTATCCATCGATACCGCAATAGGAGATGCCTCATGTCCTGGCCCTAATTGAAAGTCGACGCTATATATACTATGGAGCTTCATCCCTCTTGTCTTCTCTCTTCATCAGCATCGCCTCTTCTATTCCTCTCTACCAACATCTTCATTCCATCTGGTCTCCCTGTGCTCTGTCCTTCATTCCTCTAGAACTGATCGAGGGCTTTATCTGAGTCGCGTTGTGTCGTTGTTTCACTTTACCCTTGCGCTGTCGCGATCCTCTACGGCCATCCAACGGTCATCTTTCCGAGGTCTTTAGAAAATAGTCATTGGTTCCCTCTTTTCTTTTCCTTTTTGGAAGGTTTCCTTGATCCACGGTTCAGTGGCAATTAGTCAAAAGCTTCTCGACCTTGTCCGATTGATGTAAGCCGTTCGATTCCAGTGCGTTCAACCTCACCGTCTGGACGCTAACAGAATCAAGACAACCACAATGGCCAATCAGTGTTCGGGACATGTTTTTGCTATCGTGCAGGCGACCAACGGCAATATCCTTACCTGGCGCTGCTCGGACTGCAATTCGGGGCCATTTGTGGCTATCTGGAGGTGCAAGATCTGTGGCCACTGTCGGTGCAACTCCTGCCACACCGCTAAAGGCTAATGTGCCGGTTACATGCCTGTCTTCTGATCCGGTAAGTGCAGTACCATGCAAGGCAAACCGATCCCAAATCAATGCTAGCCAGCATTCTTTTTTTGATTCTGGTGCAACTTTCACCTGGGTCGTGGAACTCCGATCCTGGAACCACTGAGATGGAGTTAAAAAAAAAAAAAATAAGAAAAGAAAGTATGTTTGACGCTGACTTCATGCCCACCCACTTAGATTCTAATTTCCTGGAATTCCCATGAACGTTTTTCGACGGCGAGATCCCTGCGTGGTACCTACAGGGAGAATTGGCCCCGATTTTCTCCTCTTTTTGTTGTTTTTCTGTTCTACCTTCCTTTTTTCCTTTTCAGGTCCGAGGGGCGTTCTCTCGCCCTCATGATGAGAGACACTTCACATTTTCTCCCTCCTGCTTGCATCCTTTGGGACCAATCATTTGTGTCGGGTATCATTCCCACGGGCGTTGGGCCAATAGCAGTGAGAGTCAGATATCTGATGGAATGGCCGAGATCAAATCGGATGGAGAAAAGACGTAGACGCAGGCGCAGACGCAAGACGGAAGAGAGTGACCCTCTTGACACTCACCTTTCTCATCATCTAATTCCTTTTTCTTTTTACAACTTCATGAATCTGAGACACGGCCGAACCTACTCATCCATTCATGACTGTCTGTTTGCAGTTTAATGTTGCTGGTTTGTTCTTGAGCAAGCATTGCATTGCTGGTGTCGGTCTGAGGCCATAAAAGCATTTGTTTATTTCGGGTATTGTTTTGTGTCTCTTTCTTCTCTTCGTGTTCTGTCTCTGTTCTCGGCTTGTTTCCCTTTTTTGTTTTTCATCCCTTTCGCAAATTATATCTATAGATAGATGATAGACTTTCCGCAAGGAATAACAGTGGTGACGCTTAATTCCACTGAGTACAAAAAATATATATCTCCCTTTTATATATGCATCTCTAGGAGTCATACATCCAACTTCTGGAATATAAATCCGAAGGGTATACCAGACTAGACGACATAATAATAATAATATAATGAGTATAATATGACTGGTAACGGTACACATTCCGGAATGAAGGTAAAATTAAATAGAAAATAAGAAAGGATTTAGATAGATTTAGATCGACATATTGTACATTCCCGACTCAGTTCCAGGGAGAGGGAGAGGGACAAGTATGTACGTACGCCATAAGGGATTATATAGGGACTTACAATTTGTATTGATACAACGCTGTACATGCACGTATATTATGCCGAATTTCTCAAGGCATTTTATTTTCTGTCCATTTTTATAGCGGCTGGATTTTGTAGAGAAGCAGTTTGTGTTTTTGACACCCCAAAGCGGCTTGTCCTCATTGCGATCGCATGTCTTGTCTGCTAGGTCAAGCTGTTGAACCCGTCAGTGCTGTTGAGACAGAAGGTCGCTCTTTTTGATCACGGCTTTTGCGGCGGACGCGCTTGAATAGAGTGGTATTGTCCAGGAATGTATTAAACGGATTGGGATACTGAAGAGTGGAGGGGCCCGCCAATATATAGTCTATCTTGGGCAACAACATGTCCTCCAACACTCTGGTCATATGCAATGCGTCATAATGGAGACTGCTTGTAGCTCTTCGGTCGATGGCTATACAAGGGAAAGCGTCTTCCGTCTTTTGAATTCACGTACGTGAAGCTCTCGGAGTAGCCGTGGCTGACAGGATTGGCGACGTTAAAACTATACAACGGACATTGCATTTGTCAGCCAGGCCGCGGTAAGTTATATGCCTTGTTTTGCAATTCAACATTATCTTGCGTCTAGACCGTGTAATTGTTTAGTTGCCCACGTTCGAGGTAGACAAGTCCCTCGCGATCGGTGAGGCGACCTTGGTTGGCCCAGGGCTGGAAACTTCATTGTGTACCAATTGGAAATCGAGTGAGATTCATGTCGATGCATTTTTATGCGGTTCCACGAAGAGAAGACCCTCCGTCCGATCGTTCCATATGGCTGAGGAGTAGAAGAAGGTAAGCTGCATTTCCGGAACCTAAACCCCCTCCCAAACAGGGTCCTTCATCTTGAAGGCCAGTCCCTCTACATCCTGTATGCGATTCTTCAAAACCATGATTTTTAGTTGTCCATTGGGGCCTTGCAGCTGCAGCGAACCATTATTGACGTCCGAAAACGACGCTAACTCGTAATTCCGCCATGGATATCGCAGATGCTTGGCACTGTCAGGGCCATCGTTTGCAGGCCGCTTTGAAAGGTGCGCGTTCGATTCTGTGGTATTGTGGCATTCTTCCCATACGGCAAAGTTACGGTGCCATTCGGCCAGACGTGCATGACGGTGTTCGAGCCGAGACAAGACTGTTGGATACAGAGTTGGTTATAGCTGAGGTTACTCCGTGGGGGCGTCCCAAATCCCATCGGGGATGGATCGGGGTATATGCATAGGGCACTAGAGTCAATGCGTAGGGGAACGACGATTCCTGCGATAGAGACTAGCCCGGCGATGATAAGGCGCGTCCAGCTTTCTATGTTAACCGCACGGTTGACTCCGACTGAAGAGTTCGAATTGCTGCGCAGGATGCGTGTTAATAGAGACGATTCAAGGGAACGTGCACCTACCGTCCTTTTCGCAACATGTTCAGTAAGAGTGTATTGTTATATTTTGTTTTTCTGCGGGGTCCCAATACCATGTAGTCGCTGAATTATTATCCTTGAGGAGGCCCACTGGTATCAGAGTACTCATTGTGGGGAGAAGTAAGCGGGCTATATCACACATGTGAGAGTTTGTACACTGAGGTCGTATCTAGGGGCATACAAGTAAGGACACTCGCGGCAATAAAACTGGACACATGTTCTACCGTCAGCTCTGCCATATCGAGGTTTCTATAGGTGCTGGGTTGAAATGTATTCCTTGACTGGGCAGCGAATGTAGGTGGAAAGTCGAAGTGGACAGGAGTCCGAGCCAAAGACTCTGATTGATTGCACCTCACGAGTCGGTGCTGTGCCATAAGCATTTTGCTACGCTCAGTCTTGTCCTCATGCAGTAGGGACCAGAGCATCTACTGGACTCGGAACAAGAGGGGACAGACATCCAAGTTTCTTGATTGTAAACCCCCCCCCCCCCGGCGGCCGTTTAAGAAGGCTCACAGGGCTGTGTCTCTCCAGCTAAGTCGATCTTAATTATAGGAAATAAAACTACGTCCCCAGGAGCTAGTATCCTGTTAACCTCATAGTAGATAAAGTGAATTGTATAAAATACAGAATTTTTTACTAGAGTACTATTTTGATAGCATAGCGACCCGTGATGGCAGCGATAGTAGTCTCTTTGAAGGTAATCTTTTAAGATGCTTTAAAGGTTACTATTCCCAATAACAATAGATTCGTCGTGGTCATTCAGCGACCTGATTTGCAATTGGGTCCTTGCATGGATTGGGTGCAAGTATCTACCACATGCTTTCAATTTTGAATCAATATTAGATAAACTATTAATACCCGAGATATGAAAGACATTCCAAACGGGAAGGAAATACTAAAAAAACAGAATTTTTTTGTTCGCAATATCATAATCTTCTTCTGGCTTCTAGATCATCGAAAGTAGCTAACTTGAGGAAAGTCGAGACAAGAGAGCGAAAAGCTGCTCAACTCTCAGACTTGGGATAGCTAACTCGCTAACTCTTGTCCTATCTCAATGACCTTGGAGCTCAGATACTAATAAAACTCCTCCGGATTAAAAAGTTACAGCCCTAGTTGGCCAGGAATATGTTCGGAAATATTGATAGAGATTGTAAATAGGATCAGGATAGAGAAATTAAGATTTTAAGTTGAAGGATTATACGAGAAGATGAGTGACTTGGGGGTATGGGCGTGCTGTGAAGAAAAGTGAGAAGAGGAAGCATGGTGGTCCCATTGTTCAGGATCAGTAAAACTTCTGACAACTATATGATAAGCTACATATTAGCTTCACTACTTTATTTAGTTAACTTATGTATGCCTATTTCACTATTTTTTTATTACTTCTACGAGGGATGTTATGGTGAATTAGACATCTTACTAGGGCTTTGACTGTAACAAATGGTAGTATGTCAGTCCCTTTCGAGATCTAATTCTGTTGACTAGTCTGTTCAGGTTGTGATGTGTTAATCCTTGAAATATTGAACTTCCTCAGGATAGTCTTAAAGCTTCTAGGTCCTCCCTAGGATCGTGTCATTATTTCTATTAAAGCCTAAAGTATAAAAACGTGTTCATTATTCAGAGGAAATGGCACAGTGAATTCCTAAGATGATGCTTCCAGGCTGTATCGACTGGGAATTTACTGGTTAGATAGACAGGAAAATGTATCCCAAACTTTCTAGGAAACGGTTGCATACCGACTAAGGACACCGCCAAACCATTCCTGTCTTCCTGTCTGTGCTTAAATTAAAACATCCCCACCAATGAACCGGTACATTTCCATCTGGACAGGGTGAAGAACACCCCCGCGAGAAAATACACCCCACCACAGAACCCGATCAATCCGAGGTATATTTCGTGATGGGGCCGACTGTTTGCGGAGAGGATCTCGCCAGCGATCGGGATGGCGACGAGCGCACCCACGCTGACGAATGTGTAGACTGTCCCGTAGCGACGGCCATACTCGGAGGTTTCCGAGATTTGGGCGACGCAGACGGGGGCCAGGCTGATGGCGGAGCCGCTCCAGAAGCCGAAGAGGATGGCGTAGGCGATGATGGCGGGATGGTTTGAGGCGGCGGGCATCCATAATGCGAGGGTGATCAGGGCGCAGACAAACGTCGTTATGATCATGACGTTGAAGCGACCAAAACGGTCGGCTAAGTAGCCTGGGACGGCGCGGCCGAAGATGGAAGCGGCGTTGAGGATGGACGCGAGTTGGTACGAGAGGGAAGGGGACATGCCCTGTGCTTCTGCGTAAGATGGAAGATAAGTAAGGGGGATGAGAAGGGCAAAGTCGATAAAGATGATGGCGATGGTGAGGAAGGTGAAGGGGACTTCCCGCAGCGAGCGAATGTCGATCCTCCCGTTGTTGTTGGCATTGGTGGACGGTGGAAGTCGCGTTTTAAGGAAGAGAATGCACAGGATGCAGAACGCAGCACAGATGAAGCCGAGAATGCGGATTGCCCATGGGAATCCGACGGTTTCGGCGAGGTTGTAGATGATGATGGGGAAGATGATGCCACCAAATCCACCAGCCGTTGCAGCGATGCCGGTGGCTAGCGCACGGCGTCGCAGGAACCAGTGGGTGAGACAGGCGACGCTGGGGGTGAAAACCATGGACGAGGAGATGCCCCCGAGGACGCTGAATCCGAGCATGAATTGGTAGTATTCTGGTAGTGTAAGGATATGGTTGGCCAGATTGGATTTAAGATAAGAGGAACATACCTTTCGCCACGCTCAGTACCATGATCGAACCTATGAGCCCTATACATCCAGGTATAAGTAAGGGCTTCACCCCATATGCGTCAAAGATAGGCCCTGTGATTATCAACTTAATGCACATGCATGAGAATCGAGGGATGAGAACTACATACCGACCTGGACGCTCCCAAAGTAGAGGAAAAAGGAGTATAAACTAAAGATCCAACCAATTGACGCCTTCGAGTAGTCTTTCAACTGATCATTTGCCAACCATGCTTCGAGGACTCCAATAGTATTTAGCAGTCCGAACGATGGCACCATGGCACACCAAGAACCCAGCACCACACTCCATGCACGCCAGCCCCCGTCTGGGTACTCGGATTCATGACCCACAGACGGGGACTCTGGGTCCCCTGTCATTTTGGAAACCGCCATGAGATGTTGAAGAGAAAAATTTCCGAGTCCAATGGTATATATAATATCTGATCTGGATTCGGGACCATGGAACTAAATTGGACTAAACCCCTTCCAGACCCCGATTTGACCAGGGGAAAGCTTAGCTGCACTTCTGCTCCGGATTTGGCCCTTTTGTCTCATGGTTCGGGTTCCGCGGACAGGTTGGAGGCTACTTGCGGTTGGGAGAGAAAATTATTAAAAAATTTCTGAATATACGGACTTTTCATTTGCCCGCTTCAGGTGCCTATGACAGTCCAAGTCAGGCAACCCAAGTTCCACACATAGTCCAAATCTACCAAAATATAAATATAAACAACAGAAAGGCAATAAATAAATACAGTCAGGTGTAGATACTCTGTGGCCAGTCAGTCGGTCTGCTAACCAAAGCACAGCATTATTGGTTTCATTTCTTACCTCGGTGATATGGTTCACAGCCAGTCCCGGCTCAGCCATTTCTGCATCTTTCAAAAAGTCCAAAGGCAACCAAATCAAATGACCCTTGATCTTGTCCAACTTTTCCCGTACATCCTTGACCGGCTGGTAGGGGTCAAATAGATGACCCTGCTTGCCCGCTCGAGGCCGGAAGGTATCGTAATCCTCAAAGGTTTTAATGTTGTCGTCGGGGTCCGCACGGAAGAGAACGCGATACATTTCCGTGTTGACAGTGGCCTGCTCTGTCCACGTCTTCCACACGGATTCGCTTAGAGGGTCCGCAACGAAGTCGTTTTCGGGTCCCTCGAGGACCTCGTTCATACATACAGTAGGAGGCTGGGCATTGGGATGTTGGGAGGCATCATATTTCTGTGCTGGAAGCAGGCCTAGGTGTTCCCTCCACAGTTGCCGTCGCAGCGTAGCGGCCACACGGGCGGCCTTGAAAGGCTGACCGTCCATATTGCTGTCAATAAAGTCTTGGTCTTCCACAACAATGGCCAGTTCGCTGTCATGATATCCAAGTTGTGACTGTCGTCGTTAGCCTGATACGACCAGCCCGGAAAGGAGGGGGAAAACCTACCCGATCGTTGATGTTTGCACTACCGCAGATAACAATTCTGTCATCCACAATACACACCTTGCCATGGACGTAGAGTTCTTCCTGGACGAAGTTATCCTTTTCGGCCTCGGGGTCACCCTCCCAAGGCTCGTCAGACATTTTGCCTCCGTTGAGCATCACGGTGTGCGAAACGCTGTCCTTGCTAGTGTATCCACGGGCAGCATTTTGATTCTTGCTCTTTTCCTCGTACTTGCGCAACTTCGCAATCCGGTCTTCCCTCTCCTGTTGTGCATTGTCATAACCTACCTCACCCTTGTCACCTTCTTTGCCAATAGCAGGATGAACGCTATCACTCATGATGGACTCAGCTATACCACGCTGAATATCATGGTACGTCACTCCGGCCTCTTTTTCCAGCTCCTCCAGAGCCGGGGTCTTATTGATTCGATCATATGCACGTAAGGCGAAAACAAAGATGTGTTCTTTTACAATCTTAGCGAAGGAAAATTACCGGAAATGTCGTAGCAAAACTCACCTTTAGGATCCACTCCCTGAGCAGCAATCTGGCCACAAATTGAATGCTCACCGCGATTGATCGACTTGTATTGGTAGTCCATGATGGCTCGCGTGCCAGTCGCTGCGCTCCCCCGAAGATCCCCTGCAAACCCAGGAATGGCGGGTATCACAATGATGACACGGAATTTGCGACCAGCCTTACCGGCCCTCACACAGGCATCGACAATAGATCGCCCAATTGTATTGAGAATTGGGGCTTGCTTGTCGCCAGTAGCCGTGACTAGAAAGGTTAGCGTGTTGACACAACCGCGACTAGACACGGCTTACTGAAGAACTGGTTCTCGATGTAGACATAGTGTTCTGCCTTGCTGATGACCTCCTTGTACGCGTTTTGGATACTGTGCTCCGTCAGGATCCCGCTGCTCCAATCAGCGCTACTGCGTATAATCTGTGCCCGCGCGGTGCCTTGGTCTCCGAGTGGTTTGGTGCTCAGAGGCGAGTAGGGATGTTGCACGTAATCCCCACAAGGATACTTTGGACGCTGGACTGCGACGAGATCCTCGTCCTCGTCAGTGCGACCCTCAAGCATGAGCCAATCAACACTCTTGTCTCGTTTGTACTTATCACGCTTAATGAAGTTCCACCGAAGCACGAAATGCTCCGCAATGTCATACACACAGCCTCCAATAACACTCATGGCAACGTCGTGCCACGGCATCCGACCATACTCCACCTTACTGATCTCATTGGCCTGCCAGTCAATCACACTCTGGAAGTCCATGATCCGGTTGTTGTTGAACTCCTGCCCCGGAAAGACCTCGTCCTTGAAGTTTGACGGATGGACGTCCGCCAGCGGATGCTGGTTCGCATCCCATCTACCAAAACAAAGATCAATTCCCCCGATGAACGCCAGTGCGTAGTCGATGACAATGAATTTCTCATGATGTGCCTACTCATCATTAGACAAGGAACAGAGACCACAGGTCAGTATGTCATACCCAGTACAATGTTATGTCGGCCGCGTTCTCAAAGATATTGTGATCTGGATGACGCAAAATCTTGATATTGCCATGGCCTGGGGACCCTTCTGGACAAAGCTTGCGCAGCGCATGCTTGGTGTGGGCGGAGTTGCAAGTCAGTGCTTGGTTAACCTAAGTCTATCAGCGACTGCCCAATGCCGACAAAGAACTTGCCCACTAACTTCCTTGTATACAATCACATAGATTTTCACGCCTGCCTCAGCCCGACGCTTGAGGACCTGGTCGAGTCGCCATTCCTGCGCCAAGAATGGAGGTCTCCGAAGGAACAATTCCGGAGATAGCCACCAGTCTTCAATATAGATGACTTCCTTGGCCTGCTCGAGGGCAACTGAAACAGCCCACAGATAGTCTAACGCATCGACATACCACTTCACGCGATTGTTCTCTCGAATTGGCGCAAAGGATCCGAAGCGATTGGACTCGGCAATGGCTGTCCTCTTCCGATCGGTTTCTTGCTCGTGCTCTTCGTCGTGGCGATGATTGGGGTTGACAATGTTGAAGAATTTGCCCACTTTACTCTTGAAATGATGGGCTTCTTCCTTTATGTTTGTTTCTATCCACATTGATCTGGTTAGTTTTTCCGCAGACTTTTTGGGGGGGCATAATTGACCTTTGAATTGCTCTTCGAGTTGACCAATTTTGTCCTTGAATTTATCCATGATGGGACTCAATATCCGGCCGGTTGATGATTTGTCAATAGAAAATGCGCGGGGATGATCTAACGAGTGACTCCAGCATGTGTTTGGGGGGAAGAGACGACTCGGAAACCGAGCGAGGGAAACGCGTGGTCGATCGTGCATGACATCATCCGCGCCTAAGGCCTGAAACCGCGTGCCCGGCAGACAGTTAGGTTCTGGCGAGATCTGATGCTAATTCTCTGCGTTTTTCGGAACAAAGCATATCTGGATTGACATTGGTAGGTGAGTCTTTTCTGGGGCATACATCCCGAATACCCCACTCCCAATCAATCTGCGTCTTTTTGTTTGGCACAAGACGGATCTCGGCTCTGACAGTCTAGTCCACGATGCGGGCATCTCGAAATATCTACAAAGATGACGTCGATTTTGCGACTCTAGCTCGGCACTCACCTGATTTTGCTAAATAGTGAGCCAATTTGAACTGTTAGTCGCTACGAAGACAGCTGACACTGGCATTTTGTAGCTTGAAATCAAATGGCCAGCTAGACTTCAGCGACCCAAATGCGGTTCGGTAGGACTCACAAAGCAGACGAGATCCTTGATTGTCGCGTGACTCATTCTATAGACAATTGACCAAGAGTCTCTTGCGGCGAGATTTTGATCTGACTGTCGATATCCCGGAAAACCGACTGTGTCCGCCGGTATGTGCTGATTGCCGATGTGTCTGTCCTGTCTAACAAGGGATATGCAGGTGCCGAATAGGTGTGTTGAAATTTATTATCCACGATGTGATCTGACCATGCCAGGTTGAACTATATTCTATGGATTCAAGATCTCCTAGACACAACGGGAGAAGAATATCGAGATGACTATGACCCGGACCGAAACGTTGTGGGACTTGACATGTACTCCACCCGATCTGATTATTAGACATAATCTCACTCCTGCAGAGGAACAGGATGCTGCAGCATATACCCACTGCTCGGCTGCGCTACACGCCCACAATGGAAATTCGTAGCAACAGGTACGACAAACCTCTTGACACGTGCATGAACCCCTACTCAAATCGCCACTAGACATAGACAAAGACAACATCCGAACCTCTCAAGAAACGGTTTCCAGAAATGGTCTCGAGTCACGGATCCGAATTGTCAAAACAGAACCCAGCGATGGACTCATCCCATTACACACTAAACTGGGGGTAGATTAGTTCGTGAATCTGTACCACCAACGGCGCAGACGCTAACCTGTCTGCATACAGCCTCGATTACACAATGTGCAACCCGCCATTCTACACCTCACGCGAGGAAATGGTAGCTTCCGCCGAAGCCAAAGAGAGGCCACCGTTTTCAGTAAGTCGCATCCCAGCAACCAAACCAACCAGCACATCTAAACAAGGATAGGCATGCACAGGAGCAGAAGTAGAAATGGTCACACATGGAGGGGAAATCACCTTCGTGTCCGCGATGATCGAGGAGAGTCTACAACTCCGTAAACAAGTCATCTGGTACACGTCCATGCTGGGAAGGCTGAGCAGCGTATCTGTTCTTGTGGAGAAACTGATCGAATGCGGGAACCGCAATTACGCCGTGACGGAATTCGTCCAAGGAAGCAAGACGAAAAGATGGGCGATAGCCTGGTCGTGGTCTGATCTTCGCCCGACTGTGGTATGACTTTTCCAATTCCATATCTCAACCGATGGTAGCCAGATTCATTCGGTATACTGATTACTACAGAGTGTTGCGCGAACCATCTCCAACTTCCCAAAACACCTTCTTCCGTTCCCCGCTGAATACACATTTGATATCCCCAATGGGTCCATCGACGTCGTAAGTGAGAAGCTCGACGCGGAGCTTTCATCGCTTAATGTCCAGTGGCTGTGGCGGAAGAATCTAGCTACGGGCGTGGGTTTCGCCATGGAAAATGTCTGGTCGCGTCAGGCGCGCAGAAAGATGCACAGCGTCGCTGGGTCCACGAACAAGGTAGAAATCGAGGAGAGTAAAGCCGCGCTTGGATTCAAAGTGCAGGTGAGGAAGGAGGGGATTGAAAACGAGGGAGTTAGGGTCTTGGTGCGATGGCTTAAAGGGAGAGATTCTGTCCTGTTTGAAAGTTTTTGTGGGATGGTGAAAAGAAAGCTGGAAGGGAAATAGAGGCGGTAAATTTGAGTCAAAAGTCAATTGCTTTGCTTTTTATCGTCTATTGCGTATCGGACATGAGCATGATAGGAATACCAATATGGATAAGAAGGGGAGCGGGGGACATGACATCATTTGCACAGGTAGAATTATATACTCCCAACTTCACTCTGCAACTCCTTCAGACGATTCCATCCCTCACTATCTTCCCAGAATTCCTTTCCTTTGCCTAGAATTCCACGAACTGCGCTACGGGCCTTGAATCTCCAATCCTTAGCGACAAGTTCAGGCTCATCCACATTGTGCTGGCCTTCTTTATCCATGGGCCCGTACTTAGCATACCCATTACGGACCAATCGCTCCGTAGAACGCACGACTTCCATCCACTTCTTCTCGTCTCCCATCTGGAAGGCACCCTGTGTACAGGAGGCGACGGTAGCTCGCCACGCTTTCTCGTGCGCCTCAAAGGCCTTGAGTGGCTGTTCGCGGAACTCCTCAACGCGGGCAACGAGGAGCCACAGAGGAGCGGAGTGCGTGATGAGCGGCACGACACAGTTATCAAGAAGGGAGAGGATTTGGCCGGGGATAGTACCGCTGCGGATGACATATTCCGGGGCGGAATCGCTGCCTTCATTGACATTGATCAGGAGTTGGTTGTAGTCGTAGGCGGTGACAAGGTGGTCGATGAACATGCCCAGGATCGGTTGATCGACGCATTTCTCGCCCTTTTTGGAACCAAGGAGCTCGATGACTCTTCTTTGCGCTGTCACAGCATCCCGGAATGGTGTGAATGGTGGAGGAATCGACGCCGCGACGGTGAGGACATTGTCCCAGATGCGAGCATCGGTGTGTTTTAGTTGGGCAGCGCGATGAAGAGCTGCGAGGGCTTCCCGTTTGTGCTTGTAGGGATCTTCTCGTACTTTTTCGGCCTCTTGGTCGGCTTCTTCGTCTGGGCGCTGCTCTGTGGGCGTGCGGACAGTAGACGTGCTCTCATCGGGCTTGGGTGATCGTAGTATGGCCGCGGCAAGATTACTCCAGGCTTCAGCGTCGGTGTCTTCGAGTTGAACAGTCCGAGTGAAGGAATCAATTGCATCATCCCAGCGTTGTAGCTCGAGCTGCACACAGCCCAAGGCGAACCATGCACTGTGGTTGAGACGGTTGATGTGCAGACTCTTGCGGTAAGCCTCTTCCGCTTTTTCTAAGGCAGGTGGCTTCAAGGTGAGGTAGTGGCGGGCCAAAGAGCGCTGAGCCCGGGCGTATCTCTGATTTGAGACCTCCCAGGAACGTTCATACATGGCTGGATCTGCATTGATATCACCCAGGATACAGAATAGCCGAGGAGCGTCGGCCGGAAGGGGCGACAGTTCTGGCCCTTCAAATTTCTCGTTCTCATCCTCGGTGTCTTTGCTTGTAGGCTCGTAGAGCTGTCTACGGACGATGGATTTCGCCTTCTCTTCCTTTTCAGTAGCAGCGTAGCATAGGGCGGCCTCCGCCCACATCTGCAGGCGCTCATAAATGTCAAGCGCAGTTCGCAATCCTCCCAGCTGAACCCATCGGGATGCCAATTCAGCCTCAAGATCCCAGCGAGTGGAGAAGCTCAGGACCCAAATATACTCTAGTCTCTCCGCGGCGGATGCGGATTCGGATTGTTCGGGTCTTGGAAGGAATGTAGTCGGCTCTTCGACGGAGGTAGAGGCCTGAGAGTCAAGGGTGGCTGTATCCGCAATCACTTGATCAACGAGAGCTTGCATCTGCAACACAGCCCGTTCTACCGTTCTCGACCTATACCCTTCTACGCGACTCCGTACCAATAGTGCTTGCGTATAGATCTGCCAGTTTGAGCTGCCACCTTCGAGGACGCGTGTAGCATACGGATGGGTTTCTTCCCGAGTAAGCCCATTCTCGGGGGACGTATTGGTTATTGCCGAAGCCAGGGCTAAGAGGATGGAGGAGTCGATAGGATCCAGGATGGGCTGGTTACCGGGGTCAAGAGACGCCAACGCTGGCGAAAGGGCTGACTCATCCTGGACAGTCACAGGCTTACCCTGAGACTGTTGCCCATCAGGCTTGGTGAAAGATATAGATTCGAGAAGGGTATCGTCATTGAGGTCCAAATTCTTCGGACCTGAAGGTTTTGAATCACCCTCGATTTCCGTGCTCTTCGACGTATCATCAGCACTCTTGGCTAAAAGGACAAGTTGACTAATATCACGGTCCTGAAACTTGGTCCTTTTGCCCAATTTACCTGTCAAGGCAAATTCAAAGTTACGGTTTGCAGCGGCCTGCTCCAGATCGGCCCTAGCCTTGGCATCAAATCCATGGTGAGTGTGGATTGTTGCCCTTTCCAACAGGAAACTCCCTATTTCTTGGGGATTAGATGAGCCGGTAAGTATTATTTTGCTGATCTCTTCTAGATCGGCGTAGATTGCATCTTGCAGAGTACCGGTGGTCTCGGAAAGCATTTTTTGGTGAAGAAATCTGACGCGCATCCTTGCCGTTCTAGCCATCAAGGGACCGTTTGCAAGCAAGACATCCGCATCAACTAGAAGGGTCTTTGCAACAGAAAATAATTCCACATTGGGAGTCAACTTGTAGGCCGACTCCCCGTCCACAGAAAGTTCCCGGATGACATGGGCACGGACGGCCCTGAGAGTCGTTACATCAGACCGCAGGCTAGGAGGCACAATGACCTCTGCCGAGTTGAACTCCAGAGGAGGACCAGTAACATTTGACTGCAGGAAGCTGAAGAGAGCCGCTAGGCCGATGTGGAACAATTGCGAGCGCTGTTGTTCGTAGCTCAGACCGTCTACTTGTGTTTGGGAGACTGCCTTCGCTTTTTCGACCAGAAAGGTAGAGTACGATATTTCCCCTCGAGATACACGGCCTAGTGCCTCATCGTCCGCCGTATTGAGTCCAAAGACTGTCTTCGCCAGAGGCAACCGCAGGATTGGTAGTATCTCCGCGTCTCTCAGATGAACTGGTTCGAATTGCTTCCATAGTGGCGAGTTCTCGTCGAACACGGTATTCAATGACGTTGGAAGAGTTGAGCCCTCCATAATGTATATAAATAATGCAGCAAACCAAAAGACCTTCAAAGGGGAGCCCGGGAAGAGAGAAATGAATCCCCACCAAAAGTCGAACTTTGTTTTTTTATCGATAAGCCTGGCAGAATCAGAAGGCGGAGCCTCGTTTGGCTTAGCGCATACTGGCTCTATTGCTGCCTTATTTATGCCTTATTGATGCCTTACGGTTGCCTTAATAAAGGCGCTCAATGTTTGGGGGAATAAAAAGTACTCGTTATATAACAATTAAGATTCAAGACTACACAAATACCAAATACTAAGTGTATCTATATCTATGAAGTATTAAATACTGTATAGTGACCTATAAAACTCGGTTTATAAGCATAATAGCATATTCGAACAACTCCAGAAATCAAATCACTTTGCACATCAACTGCCTACCAAGCCTCCTGGACACCAAGCCTCCTGGATACCCTGGTAGTTCCAGAGCTTCCCACACGATGCGTCTCTTTCGTCGTATCGTAAGTCAACTTCGCAATACGGGCCACAATACGGGCCATAGACTTATCAATTTCAAGGGCAGATTGGGGAAGGCCATAAACCCGGCCCCCTTCGTTTCCCATGTCGGTTCGACATCACTTGCGACGAGAATTAGCTTGACTTTCTGCATATCATGCACGCACCTACCCCGGGTTGACAACAAACGCAGAAATTGCCTCCTCTTCCGCATTTATCATCTTGGTCAGTCAGAGGCCTACAAATTTCGATGGCTCGTAAACCCCATTAGTTAAGGAGTGTTTATCCCTAAGGCGCAGTATAAGACAAAGGATATGATCAGGGATTAATTGCTGCTGATCTTGTTCGAATACTCCTGGGAGGAAATACTTATATGAGCATTGAGATACCATGGCAACACTGATAAGCTGCAGGACATCTAGTAGGAAGGGAACAAGTACAATTTCAGGATAAATTAATCTCGGAGGTCAGATCAATGGCATGGAACAATTGGCATGATATAACTTATTATGCATTCAGTTAAGATTTATCAAACACGTGGAGTGTGTAGGGAATGCCCTAGTTGACTGCATACTTAACCCTAATGACCCGGCCACTCGGACACGCCAGAATAGAACTGTCTGGGATGTTAATATGGACAAGGATAGGAAGATAAGCTTCTTTATGCAGGGATGTGTTTAATTCTCTCTCTAGTGGGCAGCATGATGCCTTCTGCCGTTCTATTTCTGAGACATTATAAGCCACGTGGCTTGCTCGACCCTATAGGGTTAGTACTACATTACTTTCTTTCAGTATATTTATATTCTGTCATTTACACATTCTGTAATCCAGTCTGTTATTCTGGGACTAATTGCTCCATATGTGACTTCAGTGTGTGAACACTGATAGTATCTATATTGCTAGATTGCTTTTATATATCGCCATGGGATAAGTCCTGGTATCACCTAGATTTATAGACCAGGAGATACTTTCCTGTTAACCCCTCTTTGTCTAACTGTATAAATCATGCATTCCAAAAGAGATATACCTCAACAACGCTTAGACTGAGCACGCTCCAATCAGACACGCATATCAGTCCTTTCCACGCCGTAGCTGCAGTGATACATCCTCTTGATGATCTTCCTTGATCCCTGAGGTCCGTGACCTGATGTGTTGGCAAAGCGGGGTTGTGTCTATATCTCTATCCCTGATACATCTTCGTCTTCTTGGTCACAATCTTCAACATCATAATAATAATAATCATCATCATCATCATCATCATCATATTATAATATCACACAGAATGTCCACCACAACAGTAACTACCACAACCACAACCACAACTCCTCACGTCCTCTCTGTATCCAAATCCTCTTCACACACCATGTCCAAATCCCCGGTTCCCTCTATAACCCTAGTCCAAGATCTAGGTGTCTCTGGCGACTGCCACTCAGGAAAAAATCTCCGCCAGGTGCACCTCGTCCCGATGGAGAGCCTACGCCAAGTATCCGCAAAACTCGAGGCTTCCGCACCCGTTAAGGCTGGGGAGATCGGCGAAAACGTGACGACGGAGGGGATCGATCTGGGCGGTCTTCCTTGCGGGACGGAGCTGCATTTCGGTGATGGAGCAGTCGTGGTGTTAACGGGAGTGAGGGATCCCGGACCGGGGATTGATCGGTGTCGGGCTGGATTGAGGGAGCATTTCTTGGTGAGGGATCAGAATAAGAAGGTGGTGAAGAGGTTGGCGGGGGTTATGGGGACGGTTAAACGAGGAGGAGAGGTGAAGCCTGGGATGCAGATTAAGGTAGTGAGGTCCGTGGGGATGGAGGGTTTACCTATTGTTTAGATTTTTTGTTTTAGGATTTGGACTGTTCCATGAATTGATTAGTTATGGCGTCTAACAAGTACCTGGTATATTATCTATAGAATATGTATTTGTAGTCAATAGTATGAACCAGATCGGATATACAGATGATATTATGTATAAAGACTAGTCATAGATAACGCCATCAACTCAATAAGCCATCTAGAGTTGTAATCATACCTTCTATATACTTCAAAACACTGACAGCATTCCTGTACTACAATCCGATAATACTATATAGAGATCCACTCAGAGATGCCATCAGACGCAGACTCTACCAACCAGTCATGCAAGTATAGCCTCATAACTGCTCTCCAAATACCCTCGGTCCAAAAATCATGCATATAGTCAATGATTCATTCACCTTCAGTTCTCCGTAAAAGTTATCTCCAAAGGTCACGATGACACGCATGTCGTGCAAGGAGTGAAACATACAGGACCAATAATCAGCGGTACACAATCACTCTAGACAATGATAGTGGCTGATAACAAACGATATAAACCCGACAAGTACGGAGGCCTTAGATAATATCAATCAGCCCGATGAATGGAATATCGAACAAGGCCTTGCCGGCTATCAAACAATATTCTTGATTTCTTCGAGCCTAACTTCTGTGGAGTCCCAGACGGGCGTGTGGCATCGTGCCAGGGAGCATAGCTGCTACAATGCAGACACTCGAGTATGTCTGTGAGAAAAGAGGAGGCAGAAGGACTATGCAAGTAGTATGAAAAGCGAGGCCGACTGAAAGACGTGGTATTCAAAAAGGGGAAACAGTACTTGACATACTAGTAGAAGATATGACGGGAATAAGCATCAACTAATAGAAAATCCAGGATCGACGTTATCTACCCTCAGTATAGTGTTGGGGGGTGTTGAGTGCGACCATGAGAAGCTCAGAGCTCATCACGGAAATTCCAGTATTCAGTGGTTTGCGGCGGATTCCACCATGGAGAAGTCACCTTGCGGATAGTGTTGGACCCGCAATGAACCTCTCCTCCTCCTATATGATGCGACTCCCAATCATCAATATACGTGACCTTCAAACCAATCTCTCCATAGACCCTGTTTGTGGCCTCAACCAAAATGTCTCTTCCGTCAATCACGGGACCCCATGGATTGGGAGCTAGGTACTGCGTGTCGCTTAGCACAACGCCATTTATGACCCCAGGGTACAGGGCAGCTCCATGGTTAGGACTGCAATTTTTCTCTGGAGGGTTTCCCTCATCTCCCTCCCAACAGACCCCGGTTTCAAAGATAAGAGGGATATCATGGATCTCTTCTTTTGCAAGTCCAATCTCTTTGATCAAAAGTTCTCTATTCCTTTTGATGTTTTCAGCAAACTTGGTATTGTTCTGCAGAAGGCCAGGACGTGCAAGCAATTCTTTGATAGTCACATTAGGGGGCCCGCCGGAGGGACGAGAAAACGCTGGACTATCACCATGGCCATCGTTCACGGCTTGTTTGAGGATCTCAATTCCCGCCACGGGATCTGCGATAGCCATCACCCATCCCCGGGGAGTGGTTTTGGAGGGAAGAAATTGGACAAATTCATCCACATGCCCGACAGCAAGCCAATCCGTATCTAGCGCAAGGGGGTTTTGGAACTCCTGGGCACGCATGTACTCGAGAACATGTGGAGTACGATCTCCATGTGAGCCTTCGATAATCCGTCCTGCTGTGTATGACTCATAGGGGGGTATAGTTTCGAGATTCCCCATCGAGTTGATTTCATATCTCATTCCACCGGTACTGTAAACCGCGCCTCGTCCGGTGTCTCTCATGTATTCGAACACCTGCCGTCCAGCGACGCGGGATCCTTGCGACGAGCGGATCATGACGCGAAGGATCCTGGGCCCGTCCGGACCCGGCATGCTTGCATATCCCGGCTCGAGAAAGTCTTGAGCCCAAATATCGTCCGAATGATCAAAGAGAAAAATGGACTGGGGGACCCCGGCTGTCTTCAATGCTTCTTTGACATCATGCACGAACTTATACTGAGCAGGACTGTCAGATTCGTTCCCAGCTGTGGACAAGAACTTGACCATCGGTTGCAGATGGTGGTGAGTCAAGATGGGAGCGACACGCAGATGCACCATGTCCGAGACGGGCGACTTGCCGTTCTGCACGAAGAATTTAACCTGGACTGTTCCATTCCACCCACCAGGCCGACGGGTATCGCGAGCATCGATACCCAGCACCAGGCCTTTTTCGAGCTCCTCCTTGGTAAACCGGTGGTCATTGGGGGTGATAGTCCAAGACTGATCTTCCTTACGAAAGATACGCACATTCTGGCGGGCAATTTCCTCTTCCACTAGGATCATTGCGAACGCCTCCTCATCCAGACCAGGCAGAGGAACGGTTCGCAGGGGAGCCAGGTATTGAGGAGAGCGTTGAATATCGTCTGACGCATCGTGACATGCCGCAAGTGCCTCATCAGACCAGGGCTCTCCTGCAAGAGCGAGTTTCGAGCATCGACGGTCGGTATCGCCAATGTTTGCCAGGAAGATGGCCCCTTTGGTGTCGGACCATTCTAACTTGTCTGCAAGATCAGTGTCGTCTTTGATATCGACAGCGCCGTCTCGGTTGCTGTCCGCACGAATATCTGGGGTCAGCGCGAGGACGGGGCTGCAGAGTATGAGGCAGAGGCCTGTACTTGGTTACTATTTATATAGAAGGAACATAGAAGGAGAATATACCGATTAGCCGGGCTGTGATCAGATGTCTCATGGCGATCATTTATACAGCCTAATTAAGACAAAGACAGATAAGAAGGCACTGAAGTTTAATGGGTTAACAAGGAGATGATGCTGAGGCAATATAAATACTGTTCTCAGTGGTGAATGAAGCATTAGTGTTATTATAAACTAAATTATTTGATTAACTATGCCGAAGCTTATATTGGCACAACTCCTCCGGTTTCCCGAACGCATACAAAGTACGGCCTCGAGAAAATAAGTTGCAATATCGACGCGGTGGATCCAGTGTTCGTCACTATGCAAGTCGAAATGCAGGTGTCACCTCAGCTGTGATTACATGCCTGATGACTTGCGTGTTTTAACCTCAACACCAAGGCCAGGGTTGTGTCAGCTTACTCTGGTGTCGGTACTTCCGAATCTGCGGAGATCTGCATACTGAGTGATTGGTGCAATTCAATTGAATCCTTGTCCAGCTGAGTATGCATTTAAATCAGCTAGCCAAGAAATATCGCATTTTCGAAAAATGCCAGAAGTCTGTCTCATTTTTGGACTTTTCAACCCGAGCAGGCAGTATTGAAATGAACTACAGATGAAGCTGTCTGGGAATTTGATATTCCTTATAGGCGGCTATGTGGACGTGTTCATGGCTGTAAATCTCGCTCGACACGCCTGCTACTAATAAAGCCCTAGATAATACTCAAGAACAGGTATTAATTAGATAGCAATCCTTTTTTAATAATGCATGTGCTCCACCAACATCTGTGATAATTAAAGCTGTACAATAAGATGCTGGCGCGCAATGGTAAAGATCAACAAGTTGGAAAAACTGGGTCTACAGCTTTATTAAACGCCTTCAGAACTCCACAAATTTATAAAACAAAAGCCAAAGGAGAAGTAAAGAATAGTGGCAGAGAATATATCTACTCTTTTAACCCGGTTTAACTGATTGGAAATGTGCCATCATATTAGACCCGGAAATATCTATAATTTTAATAAATCTAGCTTCCAGCTGGGCAGGGAAATTTTTAAAAAGCTATTACAAAAAAACAAGCATACAACAGCGTATGTTGGAACTGGAGGACCAGAATAATTAATCACAGTAAATAAATATATTGCTGTAAATGGTTAGATAATACCACTATTCTTTCCCTTTAAGGGCCAGTACTATATAGAGTATTAGCATAAAAACTAGCCAAGTCTTCCAGACAATTATTATATTGCTCCAACTGCAAATGGCTGGAAAAATAATACATTACCTATTAATAGCTTTAATTTTTCCATGAACAGACAAAGCATTGTGTTCAACGTGGATCCTACTATCAAACTCCTAGTAGATAACCACCGATCCGATCTTACAGAGGATTTTACTCAATTTTGCCACCAGTATTATATTATTCCCCAGTACTTTCCACCAGATTTTACATATCTACTTCAGCCTCTAGATAGACATCCATTTCAGGCGTATAAGCATTATTATCGGAGGGCTAATAATACTACTGTACAGTGGGTGGCTTTGTTAAAGAAAAGTCGGATTTTCTCCGTGATATCCATAGCATTTGGATACAGACTTCAAAGGTTTTACCATACGGCATGTATTTAGAAACTGCTGGATTGATTTATTAAAGCCTAATATTATTCTCCAGACACTTCAAGATGCTGAATCCCCAGTTCTTGACCTAGTTGTCTATAACACCAATAAGACAACAGAACTACCAATTTGGGGCCAAGAAGCTCAACTAGAAGCTTAACTAGGTGCTAAACAACAGTTACCAAGATGCGGCGGAGCATTACTAAGGCACAGAAAGATCTTACTGTACTTCAAACACAAGCTAATACAGCTAATAAATATAGCAATTTAGTCGGTACAAATACTGCAAAAATTTCTGCTCGCTTTGAGTGTATTTGGCAGGGTAGTCGCACCAATGCAGAACTTAGTGCTCATCGTGAAGCAGATGTTACCCGTATTCTTGCCAACCAGGAGCATCTCTAGGCTCGAAAACCCCCTCACCAGGTTCGATCAGGAGGTCCTTTATCTGTCAAAGATGCAAATAGCCTTATTCGGTCTCCTGGAATAGAAGAGGCAAAGAAAGAAGCACAAAGGTAGAAGGGGAAGGCCAATAGTGCTGATATACTAGCATAGAGGGCCACAACAGAAGGCCTAGGGAATAGAAGTCGGGATTAAAATAATAGTTGGGTGACTGGAGATGATGGTCAGCCACTATATTGTATTGATTATGGCCCAGGGAGGGTATCAATGGCTTCAACGTGGCCATGAAGGGGAAAAAGTGTCATTGCACCCATAATACCGTTGAGCCCGGGATGACCCGTACCGCGAGGTGACGGTATAAATTATTCAATAGTGCTTTGAGCAGCAAAACTACGGAGCACCAGACCATCAGTGTACTAATTAGGATCTGCAAGATACCTACGTTGAGCTGTCACTTTACGTTGTTTTTCACGTGCGACACAGAAGGCTACCAGGGGTCGGTTATTTGGTGCTTTATTGCTTTGTTCTTATTTTTTGGAACCAGTGCTTTCAATACTTTATTCAACTAGTTACGACCGCTGCCAATGACTTGAGAAGGACTACGTTGAATCTCTGGAGGAACTCACTCCTTACAATTCACCTGTACCAAGAACCTGTTGCACAAACACAGAGTCCAGCTCAATATCCGAGGGATAAATGGGAAAAGAACTTGGACACGTTCCAGCCGGAGCGGTCGGGCTCGTAATGATCCCGTCCTTGATCTCAGCTCGCCCCTCTTGGACAGCTTCTTTCTGCTCCTTTGTGCAAGTAGATGGCATCCCGCGAAAGAAACAAGTCGGCGACGGACCCTGTTCTGGAGTCAGTGTCTTGGTCGACTCCCACGTGCCGTTTGTGGAGTAGTCGTTCGTGATATGTTTCTCTCCTGTCGCGACATCTTTATTTGCCATGACTCGACGGAGGATCTCGTACGCGGCTTCCGGTTCATAGGCAGGAACCATGTGGCCGGATTGGTAGACGCGCGTGAACGAGAATTTACCGTGCTGGCGGACTTGTCCTTTGGGAGCTGTGAACTGGTCCCCGGTGACATCGACGTATCCTGCGGTCTTGAATTTCGCGGATGCGCTGTATGAGACTGCGAGACTGGCTCGCTCGCCTCCGATCCAGTTACAGGCGAAGTCGCGATCACCAAAGACCAAGGCGACGGTGAGGTCGTCGTCAAGGAGACCCGCGATATCCTGCAGGTACCCCCTTGAGTCGCGACGGGCGTAGTCTCCTGTGCTGTTGAACGCCAGACCGACTATGTTAGAGATATCGGTGTAATTAACGGGGACACCCAGTGCTTGCTGCACCGTACTCGAGGCGAGGTATTCTACGTAATAGCTCGGTGGGAACGGATCCAGATAGCAGTGCGTGATGTCGTAGAACGCCCACTTGTTCTGGAAAATGTACGGGCCCTCAACCTCATTCTGGCAGAAGTCGCTCGCGACTTTGCACGCGTCATTGACTTCCTTGTTGTCGCCATTCATATCGGGATCCAGCGTATCAGCCAGATGCTGGCACTTCAGGATCTTGTCCAGACATCCATCCATTTGTGACCATGACACCAAGGCCTTTTGATAATCAGCCAGGCTCATTCCGTGGTATCCGTATCGGTTCCGGTCATATCCATACTCGGGCCGCGAGGTCTCTTGCGTGAGTAAATCGATACAGCCATTGACAATACCCAGTGTATCTAGATTAATCTTCTTCCACCATGATTCTTCCGTGACGATCTTGTTGTGCTTCTGGATAAAGGCCGAGAAGCTGGGCCCATATCGACCACCGTATGATTCCGTCCAGATGGCGATACGGTCATTTTTGATTTTTCTCGTGTAGACGTCGAACTCCTGTGTCCAGATCTGCAGGAAATACCAAAAGTCGCGCGCGGCATTGGCCGTCGTGCTAACCGTATGCTCAACCTTTTGGCTGCTAAATGTCCCGGGGATGAGGGTGGGATCGTTTGTATTCCCCTCATTGCGAAGATAATGCCCAATGTCTCCCGTTTTGAGATCCAGGGTTCCGTTGGTAGGAATATCATAACTAAACCCCGTCTGCACGGGCTGATCGATGTACAGAACGTTGAAGTCCTTATTCCACGAGTTTGGGTTCTGAACGGGCTGAAAGTGCTTGTTGATCTGGCACGGCCCATTCTCAGTGAACAGACCGAACATAGACGAGGCACCAGGGCCGCCGTTCATCCAGATGACCAGCGGTGCATTTTCAGGGGCGTTCTGGGCTTCGAAGTACCAGAAGAACGTATGGATGGGGTAATCCTGTACAGAACCTCGGATGACATTCGAGGGGAAATTGACATAGCCGGAATAAGACTTGGCTTTTGCGTCGCAGATATCGGACTGTATAAATCAGAATCATTTAGAATTATTCTTAGGGCTTCGTGTGAATACCCTACCTTGACTTCTTTGTATGTGATAGTTACATTGTTAAGAATATTGGACTTGATTGTTGTGATGTCTGTTGGTGTTGGCGGATATTGTGCTGTAGCGAGTACAGCGAAGAGAAGAAGGCAAAAACCATGAAAGAACGACATGAGAATTTTGATTGATTCAATACAACAAAGTATAGTATACTAATTTCAGTATAAGCTGCAACAGGTTTTCTGTTGACAGCTCGGTTTGGATCAAGTCCTTCGGGCCTTTTTTAATTACATTAACTACATACAGGGCACAAGGAACTGCATCAACAAGGAGAAGGCAAAGATATCAACTGAGTGGCCGCGATGGCTGCCTGAATCTCCAGCTTCTGAGTTGTCGTCAAAGTTAGAAACCTACGGGTCGACCGATCACACCATGTGGCTATGAAACAGCAAATTTCGGAATGCGAGGCATCGATTTAGGACATTCTTTCGTGTCGTTGCTTCATGTTACACAAGCCACTGCATACTTGTTCAGCTGGTTGCATACACGAGAGCAGGGCAGGCAACTATGTTGAGCTGAAATATTTCATGCAAGTACAAGTACATATGTACAGACGTATATGGTATTGCGTAGCGGCGACCGCGCAGGATACTGTGTACAGCGACAAGAGTTGATGCGAACGACAGTCAGCCAGCCTCGAGACAAAAAGGGTTAGCCGCATGAACTGATGCATGGCAGATCTGTAACTGCAACAGAGGAAGCGCTTGTGTAGCAACAACAAAAGCACGGTGGACTGGCGGATATGATCGTGGCGTCGTTCTCCTGTCAATGCGTTCATGCATGTTTACGAAGTCATTGCACCGATCGGCAACGGGAAGCTAATTTTTGAGCATTTGGTGGACCGTGTCGACATGAAGACGAGCTGAGAGTTGAACTAGCAAGGGGTTGCATGCATTAATGTATCTGACCTGCATTGACTCCACAGACTGAGCTCTGCGATGATAGGGTAATGATAATAAGTCAATCGCGCCACTGACAATCTCATGCAGTGATGTGGTAAATCACCTCGGCAGCTGCGCGAAGCATAATGGCGTCACTGGACGGAATTTGAGTCCCACGTGCCGTCAACAATCGATGACGTCCAATACACAATAGCATCAGCTGCTGAAAAACTATTCTAACTTCGTTGGTGTAATGGAGGGCAAGAAGTTAACATAGTACGGATGTACTTTAGGCGAGTACAGCAGTGCCACAGTCCAAAGTTCAGCCGGGTGTGATATGTCTAACTTCACTGCAGATGGCGAATATCAATTGGCAAATAATTAACTGCCAATGCATATTTGCTATTATCGACGTTGATCATTGTCGACTATTGGGAACTGCCTTACGGCCCCATGGTCACTAAGATCTGAGTGTTGTGAATTGCTTCCGGTTAGTAGCATGAAAATGCTATGCTATGGTATCCCAGCTCGACAACTATTGAAGTGGCCAAAGTCACCATTTATTTGACTTGCGAGGATGAGAGATTTCAAAGAGTTCAGCCAGCCACGGTAATCTCAGCGATGGCTGTGAGCAGAGTATGAACAAGAAGAGAAGATATAAGGATAAGTGAGAAACCCCGCAAGTCAAGCATAGAAAGGCAATTCTCCATGTATCAAAAATCCTCTCTGCAATTTTAATATCCCATACTCCACAACTACGACCACTCACATCATGGTGTACTCGAAACCCACCAAATCGTTTGCTCGGATAGCCAACTGGCTTCCCGCGAATCACAGCATTCTCCAGAGCTATCTGAGCAAGCTCAAAACCGAGATCGAGGACATCAAGGCCACTCGCGGTGAAATCCTCCACGATGACACCATCATCGCTTTTCGGGACCTTGTCCAGGGCGATACGGTCCTTCGCATGCTGTCTAGGGCAATGCTCACCGAAGTTCCCAATAAAGAGCCCTACAACAAAGATCCGATTGGCCGCAAACAAATTCGAGACTTCGATGAGTTGCTGGATTTCATGCAGGTAACCCTGAGCAAGGCACCCACCTGGACGGACGACGGGTACAAGATCGGGCTTGTAGGTTTCCCGTTAAATGCTGTGCTCGACTGGCCTATGGCCACGCAGAGCGGTTATGCCTTCTTCCTCAACAAAGACGTCAATCTCGCGCTTAAAAAAATCCTCAACAAATGGAAGGACTACTTGCACACCAGAAGTTCGGCTAATGTTCTCACCACTGACAACTGGTTCAGCCAAGAGGCTCTCCAAAAACTGGTTGATGACGGCAATACCATTGAAGGTAAAACCCACACGTTCCCGGAGCTGTATAATACTCGTGGCAGCACAGAACCTCCCTTCAACTTCGACACCTGGGATAACTTCTTTATTCGTGAGTTTAACGAGAACATTCGCCCAGTCGAGTGGAAAGAAGACAACTCGGTGGTCGTAAATGCGTGCGAATCCAAGCCGTACGCGCTCAGGCGGAACGTACAAGAATACGACAACTTCTGGCTGAAGGGGCAGAACTACTCTCTGCATGAGATGTTCGAGCCAACCAAACAGTACGTTAGCAACTATGGCAACAAGTTTATCGGCGGCACGGTCTACCAGGCCTTCCTCAGTCCCACCACGTACCACCGCTGGCACGCCCCGGTGTCGGGCACGATTAAGCTACACACAATTGTTGACGGCACGTATTACTCCGAGCCAACCATCACAGGATTCACAAGCAGTGATGGCCCCGATGAAGCTGCGCCAGATGAGGCGCAAGGCTACCTGACGCAGGTCGCGACGCGGGCCATCCTCATCATCGAGGCTGACAACGCAGACCTTGGTTTGGTTGCCTTTATCGCGGTGGGGATGGCTGAGGTTTCATCGTGCGAGTTCACTCCTAACATCCAAAGTGGAAAGCAGTTGCATGTCACGAAGGGCGAGGAAATCGGCACCTTCCACCACGGCGGGTCGACTCACTGCTTGGTTTTCCAGAAGAAAGCGAAACTGGCCTGGGTGACTGAGGCCGTCCCCCATTCGGTTCCCGAGGAGACAGAGAAGAATGTTCCTCTCAAAAGTGCTCTGGCTTTTGTCCGTCGCAAAGATCCAAATTATAACCCTGCTTAGATTCTGAACGGATGGTGTGTCGGGATGCGATATGTAAGTTTCTATTGTCGTTCTGATGTCACTGGGGAATCCGGACTCAGTTGTTGAACATAATGTAAAATACAACAAGCTGTCCAAGCTCGCTCATCGCTCGCTTCAGCTTGGGGTTCCAGACCTACGGCTCTCAACCCTCCGAAATGCACTATTTCTTTTATTATCATATTTATTACACATTTTACTATAAATGTTGACTTATTGGAAGTATCTTCTATAATATATTGATAATTTATACAAATGCTAGCAGTTATTCCGGGGCAAGATATTTTGGGAATTCTGAGATTAGGGAGGATAAAGTGATTCGATTTGACCTACAGTCTTTTTTTTGACTGGTGAATGTTCGATATATACATGTTCTCTACCGACCTAGATAGCTACATGGTAATACAACGCGTTTCATTTCCCTCAACTCCGCTCATTATTTAATAATAACAAGGTGGCAATCTGATCACCACATACACTATATATTACTACTGTTATATCACTAATATCTATATTGTCCTTAATACTTAATACACTCTTACTCTTGTCTAATATAAAATGTCGATTGCAATACATTAATCCTCAACTCTATCCCTGAGGAGCTCGTCCTGGTGGATATCCAGACGGACCGACGTGAGGCGCAGCTGCGCTATTTGACCGACGTAGTGTATAGCAGTCAGAGTCAAACACGCGTGAAGACAGCGACCGTCCGCGAGGCAGGACAATGCGATGTGATTGTCATCGCGGTGGGGTCGAAATACTCCATCGGTCTCCCCCACTTCCTCTCTCTATCTATATCCGTATCCATAAGCTAATATTGTGCAAGAGAAACAAGCATGCAACATATATCTACCAATATCTCCATCATCCGTGGGTTAATCGAAGCGATGACTCCCCGGAGTGATGCTATACTGCTGGTGGTCGCCAGCCCTAATGATCTACTCACTTCTATAGCACAAAAAATATCCAGAATCCCCGCGAACCAGGTATTCGGAACGGGCACTGCCCTAGAGACGATGCGTCTGTGTGGGATGATCGCCGAAAAGATAGGGCATCCCGTTGAGTCTGTGGATTTGAAAATAGTAGGGCTGCATGGCGTCGACTCGGTGGTGGCTTGGAAGTCTCTCACGTGCAGGGTGTGCCTGTTACTCGGGGCCTTCCCCGGGAGGATCTCGTCGAGGAGAGCAAGTATCGTTCTCGACGGATGGTGCAGACCAAATGAACTTTGCCGTTTGGGATAGGGGCTTTGGTGAGTCGACTAGTTGGGTGTACTCTGAAGGATGGGAAGGAGGTGTTTACCGTGAGTTCTCAGGAGGAGGTGGGTATTATAGTTGGCCGGTTGTGTTGATAGAGAGAGTGTTGGAGTAACCTTCCTATCATACAGTGAACTATCTTATACTATCAAGTATCAACTAATCCAATTCATATCATACTATTTACTATTCCATACTGGCTATCAATTTAACTATCAACTATACTATACGGAGGTTCGGCGTTGAACTCGGATCACGTAGATGGAAAGAAAGGTCACAATAACTATGAAGAGATCTTCGGTATTTAGAAGATAAAGCAGACAAAGCAGACTCAGGAAGAAAGCGGGGAGGAGAGGAGTGTTGATGGTTTATTCCCGAGCAGGTGTATGAGAGGAAGCCAAGACTAGCACGTGTGCACTTCTGGGAGATGGTTTCCACACCTGTTTACGTTATCCCGAATAATGATATGGAGCTCAGATATCATTATGGAGGTGTCAGATTTATGTGGGTAATTCAATGAGAGCTTGAATATTCTCTCTGTATTCATGATTGTTGTATGTTATAAACCTCTTCTTCAGGATCAGCCACGTCACTTGGTTATTTCACACGATTTCCTGCCAGAATAAGCAGATATATTAGTACTACATCCAAATCGTAGCAGCGCTACTTTCTGTCGTGTAGTAGTATATCTGACATATCCCAGTATGGATCAGCTTTGGTTATTTTGACAAGAGAATGGATATTCTCTGTATTAGGGCACAAAGTAGTTGGGTTCGACTGCCACGCACAAGCTGGATGTGGTTATCACGATTATTTTCATCTGTCCCCATTGAAATCTGCTTCAAGATATAGAAGATGTCGGCAGAATTTTACAGCTCCTAACTAGACAGCGCGCATCAGCAGAGTTACCCTAAAAGTTATTAGGTTTAAAAGCTTGACCCACTGTATAAATAGTTGCATCATGGCTACATAGTTACTATTAATTGCATATATAAGTGCCATCGATTGAGCGAATTATCTAACCAGGAATTTGCAGAATAGTTCGTTGAAAAATAAATGGTGTTTCATAGTTCTGTCATGGCAATAAGACGAACACCAACTTCGTGAGCAGAAACAACCACTTTGTGGAAGGAGGAACTTTTGGAAATATAGGGACTGACCCAAGTCCCGATGCGGGTGCCAACTGATCGTGGTCCAGCACTAGCTCGTCGTGGTTCAACATCGGAACCGGAAAAATAGTCACCATGGTCCAACTCCACCCACCTGTCTAAAAGTTATCTGCATATTTACAACTACGCTCCTACACCACCACCACACCTACCACTTCCTGGTGGTGGCCATACCAGCCCTAATGTTTATGTATTCAAGCGCTCTCGAGCGCAGGGGGGTGGGGGCCCCTCGATGTCCCCGAAGGGGATTGAGAAGCGAGTGGAACGAGGGGGGGTACCCCCCAGAGCGACGGGCAGGATGATCTATGTAGTATACTTGGTATTGGTTTATAGTGGCCACTGTATTACTAAATGTTGAAAATATTGCGCCGGAAAAACCTCATCGTGGTTCAGGGGCGGTGGCAGAATTTTAGCGTACTTTTTGAACCACGCCGAGCTAGCTCTGGACCACGCTCAGCTGTAAGCCCCGGTGGGAATTGGCTACCCGCATTCCAGTTAGTACCAGATAGAAGAATAGGATCTTCCAGCTGAAAAATCATGGTCCAGACCGAACGAGGCCAATCCGAGACAATTCTTCAACAAAGACTAGAGAACGTTTTAGGTATTTAAAGTTAAAGAATACAAATATATATTATCATGGCAAGTATTCAAAGCCTAAAATTGTGCTTTACGTCTATTTGATCTTGATCGGTTAACCGCAACGGGGATGGATGGGTGTATGAGGGACCAACGCTTTAAAGTAACGACTTGAATCTGCCAGGGGAAAGCTCCAGGAACTTCTCTGTCACTTCCTGCAAGCCCAGATTTTTCTTCATCAAACTCCTGAGTTTGTCGTCTGCCTCGGAATAGGACCTTATAATTCGGGTGGTCTTACGAGAAGCTGAGTTGACTTGTTAAAGCTGGGCAGCTCTCTTTTAGCTGTAGTTGTTAGGCTGGTTGGCTCTCTAGCCTACCTTTTTCACTACTTAACAGCCCTGGCCTAAGCAAGCACGCTAGCGCATTAGTTGCTGATAAAGTTTGAGATTTCTGTTCTTGGGTCTCCGTTAATGAAGTTTCTAACATAATATTGGCCTGGTCTGTGTCCGTATGCTCATGCACTAGACATTATTTCTTTTATTTCCAGAGTATTGTCCACATGGAAGGTTCACGCATAGGTGAGACCACAGTCTCCAATACCCACGACTGCAGTTTCGTGTTGCTGGGTCCCTTCGCCTCACAGCTGTCTGATTTTGGTCCACCAAATCCAACCAAGTGGATATAATCTCCTTGCAGTATCTCCGGATCGATTGGTAAAAGGTTCAGGTTGGTGTTGGCCGTTAAGCGCGCTAACCTAGAGCTTGTAGTAAAGTTATAAAGGGTAAACAAGTCTAAGACAAAATTAAGTTCTCTTGGTAAGGAGAGTCAATATATTAAAAAATCTACTGTTATTGCTGGCTTTAAAATATTAGTACTGTTATGTACTCTAGAGCTAACTTCTCTGCTACAGGATACAACGAGGCCTTTGCAGCATATTAGCTCCAAATTTTAATATAAATCCGGTGAGCTGGCCAATGGCAGAGTTTGTAAAGTTACACTTCGGAGATTAATAACAGAGTTTGGAGACTCCCATTGGACCATATGAAAATTTTTAATTATAGCCAACTCGCCTAAAACCTTTTTTTTTCTTGTCCTTTTACCTAACTTGTAGGCTTGTAGCTATTAACGCTTCCCCTCGGTCCTAGCAGATAAATTGACTTGAGCCGAATCTTTATTTTAAAGGAAATAACGGAATAGTCCGTTCCATCCCAGATTTCTTATATAAACCCTACGTATCACTCGGATAATAACAAAGCTGAATCTCGGACTTCAACTTGATTTAGCACATTGGGTGCTAATAAATATACAGTTCGCCCATCTTCGTTATATTTTTGTTTATATTAGCTCTGAATTTATTACTCTGTTTCCAAGTATTTATGCGCTGCGAAAAAAGATTGCTCTGAGTGCCCTGGTATAAAGAATAATGTCCCGGTTGTATAAGGGTATAGCTGCATGTAATCACTTCACATTGCCTGGAAACATTGTGTTTAAAATAGGTGTTGCAGAGCTCTTCTCACTCTTCCGCGTAAAAACGTTAAAACATTCGTAGTAGTACTTCAGCTGGATCATTTTACAGCTTAAGGCCCGGCAGCGTTCGTTGATTTAGTAATTTTAAATATAATTAGACCGCCATGGGCGAGAGAGACTAGCATATTAAATAAAACGGGATATGGATAGGCATATACGATGTTTTAGGGGTCTAACTTACCTATTTAGGTTGCAATCCCCGACCGGGCATCTTCCATTAATGTGCTCCTCCAGGCCAGTAGTAAACATTATAATTAGTCTTTGGTACAGTTAAGATAATAGACTCTCAAACACGGAGAGCGTCCCCTAACAAAAAAGGAGCTTGTCCGGCGGTATTTTCTCAGCGAGACACTAGTGTTCGTGCTTGTGCCTTAAAAAGCAGCGTGTAGTATTATTATACATAATTATTTCCAGTCTTGCCTCCTGATTTCACCAGCGTCTCTACACGTTCGAATCCACTTTCTTCGTATTTAGTTTACTAAGTGTCGTGGAAACGAGTTTTGAAGACTTATACTTACTTCGTTCTAAGTTTAATAGCGAATTTGGCGTCTTATCAGCACTATCGACATCGCCGTAGTAGCTTTCCTCATCCTTATTATTATTAGTATCACCATCACTAGCAGTCTGCTATATTTTAAGCTCCTATAGCCGCCGTTCGGGTCTTTGCAGGTCTCCTTTTTGTCGAATAGCATGCTATTATTCCGCAGGTAATTATCTCAGAATACTATGGCAAGATATTTGCCCACACCACTTAACGTATTTAATATGGTCCAGGCGCATCACCTCTCCGAAGAAAGCACCCATGCTACTTGGCGCCGAGGCATTGTCTATGTAACTTCCCGAAAATATTGGGATCCTTTCGGGTGATCTGGCTCCTTTCTGCCTTGTTGCCACTTCCATAGACAAAGTTAGATTTATGCTACCCTCAAACGACAGACGTGGTGGAACTTACTATCAAGCCTATTATCAAGACCCCGCTTTGAAGTGTAAATCGCAGTAATCTCTGGATCTTCTCCAGCAGCGCGATCTGCAGATCCGAATTTGCTTAATTCAGCCATTACGCAGGGGTTTCTTGGTACTTCTGTATGGGGGGAAACGGTCCGGGCCGCCTCGGTGCTTTTATTATTAAAAGGAAACAATTTGTGGTCATGTATGACTACAAAAACGCCTAAAAAGGAAGATAACGAAGGGTTAGGCAGAATGCTCATAACTTTACGAAGCTCATAGATTCTTGATTAATTCATGGCTATCTTGACTATCTACATGTAGTTGCTTTCAGCTGTGTGGGAGGTCGCTTAGCAGGGTGCTAGGCCTGCTAGTGCCCTCGATATTAAATTGTAATATACTTGACTCAGACAGCCTACGCTTCATGCAACCTCAGCAAAAGCTTAACCGGCGTCGCTGTTGCCGATCTCTGTTTTGTAACAGTCGACTTATCCAAATTTTCAACGCGATCAAACTTCTGCAACAGCCTAACGGTCACATACCCCGCCTCAGTCAACGCAAACTGCTGACCCAGACAGATTCTCGGCCCCCCGTTGAATGGCAAATACTCCCATCCGGGCTTATACCCCTCCCACCTCTCTGGATGGAACTCGTCCGCATCCTGACCCCAAATATCCTTCCGTCGGTGCATGATATGTACATTGTAGACGACCTCTTCTCCAGCACGCACATAGACAGGCGATAAACCATCGGCGCCGCCACCGCGGGGCAGGGTGGTGTTACGCACGCAGCGACGGCTATTCGTTGGCACGATTGGGTAGAGACGGAGAGCTTCGGACATGACTTGTTGGAGGTAGGAACATGATTTCAGAGACTCAAAGGAGATAACGGAAGTATTGGAGACGGGGCCGAATCGGTCGAGGATGATTTCCCGCAGTTTGGCATAGATATGAGGATGCCGGGCGAGGAGGTAGAAAGTCCAGCCGAGTAGACCGGCGGTGGTGTCTCTACCTGCTAGAAGGATATGAAGTAGTTGATTGCGCAGCTCCGTTCTGTCCCTGGTCTCTTTGGCAAGCTCTTGGAGGAATATGTAGCTTTCTTTCTTGTCGCTGTGCCCGGATGGTGGTAACCCCGAGAGGGCCAGATCCACGTAGTACTCGGCAAAACGATGGACTTCTTTGCAGTTCTCCTTAAATGATTGGGGTGAATAGAGGTAGTATAGATCCATCAGCTTTGCTCGAGCATTGACTGCTACAGTGGCTGCATCGAAGCTTTTGCCGAAGGAGGCCCAGTCGAGCTGATCTTTTTTTCCCAGCTCGTTGTGGATCGATGGTGTCATGCTCTGAGAGTGCACGCTCTGTCCGAAGAGAAACTCAGTTGCGGAGTCAAGCGTGAGATTAAAAAATAGGGGCATTAGATCGAGCTCATCAGTCCACGAGTCCGATGAAACAGGGAGTCGACGGAACAGATGCTGAACGTGGGTTTCCTCGAGTTGCAAGTCGGCCACCTGGCCACGCGAAAATTGAGGCCGTAGAAGTGCGCGGTTATGTTGCCTGTAATTCTTAATTCAATTTTCTGAGAAAAGAAAGGGTAAGCAAAATAGAATATCACACGTACCACTCCTTCCCATCGGTGCTGAAAATACCAGTCCCAAGAAAGGGAGCCACAGATCCCTTTCTGACCGGCCCCAGCTCGAAATCGTTAAACTGCGTGGCCAAGATGGCTTGCACGTTCTTCGGATCGTTTGTGACGTGGTGCCAGTACCCTAGGACATTTTGATACCATGTTGAACGCTTGTCAAGCTCATGGTATACCTTCCAGTCTTCAATCTGGAGGACCTGGTTGTCGGTAGCATCCAGATTGCGTTTCAAGATGCCGATGCCTAAGGGAAAACTGGGACGTATGAATGCTGGTTTACATCCTAGTCGACGGGCACGAAGAGCGTGTAGGAGTTTACCCAGGCCGATGTAGAGGACATAGACAATGGCCGAGGAAATCCCGATGACTGAGAAGGACAAGTCAATGGTGGTGTTCATTCTGCAAGTAATTTCGTATGTACTATCATATGACCTCAAGAGAGATAGCCACCCGGACGGATTGTGGAGGATATTTATAATTAGATGCATTACCTAGTTCCCATTTCCTGTGTCGGTTAATAATTACTTGAGGGGCCCGAGTAGAATCCCTGACGCCGAATGTTGACCATAACTGACGGCGTTGGGCGATGCATGCAGCGGTGACGCTAGTCAATGCAATGAAACCACACGCGGCGCTATGTCTGTAGATAATGCAGCAACGTAGTATCATAATCCATGCACACTGCGCGGGGTCAATCAACTTGCTCAATCTGTAGGATACCAATCCGCGTTCCGAGCCCATTGACATGCCAATCCTTTCTTGGACGGTACATCTCAGTTATGAACTTCTTAGAGCACGTGTTTATTGATTTCAACATCCTGCACCCTGTCCTGTTGGGGTTACCAGTCTTGTACTAGTAATATCACTATAGATATCAACGCAGCATTATAGTATACCGCGGGAGATTGACTGACAGTGCCTCCTCTCAGGTCTAGACTCATTACTAGTATTTTGCTCTGAATCTTTCTTCTTCTCATTTGCCCAAGATCTATTAGCTAGAGGACTCACTGTTATGGATGATCAAACGACATTTGGATGCATGGTCCATGCAAGCAACAAGAATCCGACCGAGGTCTTATGTACATAATTTATGCTATGCTATAATTCTGCATAGCATGTGTTTATTTTGGATCTGTCTGTTGCAATTCCATAGCCCACCCTTGATTGATCTATTTATTTAGACTTCAAATATCCTTTGATGGAAATATTCACTATCTTAAGACACAAGATCAATTCTTATCTGTATTAAAAACCAAGCCTAGACATACACACAGTCCTACTAGAGTTAAAGCAATACCCCGGTATCCGACATGTTGTAAAGGTAAATCAGTCAGCTAGATCTGGCCGAGATAGACTGAGCTTAGTATCGTACGTATCTCCTCCGAAAATCACATTCTTCTCAGGTGTCCGAGGTACTAGTATAGCGCCTCTTCATATCACGAGTTGTTGGACACTAAATCCTCATACTTCTTTTCATGTATTTCATAGCCCTCCAGTAATATGGTGGGAATGTCACAAGCTTCAAATTCGGTAGAGAGCCAGTCAACAACGTGCATACCCAGAAAGCTTCCTCCTCTCTTCGTCCTCCTTTTTGCAAGGAAGAAAATCAATCAACGCACTGATGTCAGCCAGATCTACTAGAAACGGTATAATCCTGGTTGCATTCACAGTGTGTCTTGAAGAATCCAATGTTCTCTTTTCGTAAGTCTTCGAATGCTGCATCAGCCTTCGCAGAAAGGAGGTATAGGCAACTCCCGATAGTATTCAAGCTGATCAATTTCATCCTCTGATGCTGGATAGTCTCTAGCAGCCCTTGCAACTGGATGAGGCAGTCGGGTTCGATATAACGTAGTGCATTTGAGAGCTATTTGAGAGGTATGTAAACGTGTTGATCTTTTCAGTAAGGTCACGGTACAAGATTTAAGGAAATAATATAGAGGACTAAAGAGGACTCTATATTCATGGACAAAATAACAGCTAAGATCCTAGCGTGTACTAGGCTATATTTTAGGTAGTGAATGGAATATAACCCACAAAGAAGGGTATGGTGAATTGCCAGTGGCCACATTATTCTCATTGTCCCGACTATTAATACTAACAAGCTACCTAGGCACTTTAAAGGAAATTACTGTAAACTTACTACAGCATTCCACTTTCTCTCTTTGTTTTCTACTTCTCTTAGGAAATACTGAATATCAGTAAGTTACTGGAACTTTCCCTTAAAGTTGCTATAGGAGCTGTTGAGTTAGTGTATGCTTGCTCTGGTAACGTTTGGACTTCCTAAGACAGGAACTGGGTGAATTTTTTTTTTTTTTTTTTTTTTTGATTTTTAAAAGTGAATGCCGAAAGTAGCTTTGTGTGGCTACCTGGGGATTCTACTAGGTTGCCATCCCGAGATATCTACTATCGCCCTTCCACAACTTCCTGTTGACTGAGCCCAACCCAAAAACTTACCCATCATCGTCTGTCAACAATCGGTCCCAAACTTTTCATTCTCCATTCTTAAAAATGTAACCTTCATTTCTTGACAGAATTAATATAATAATCCTTATTCTTACTGGCTCTTTCAGCCAGAACTTGCATACTTCTGCACCTTTGGCACCCTGCATAGCAGCTTTTTTCCACTATACGCATGGAGCAACCCTTCATCAAACCAACCATAATACTACAGCAAATTGTGTCCATTTTCCCATAGCGGGCCATTACAAACTCGCTCGACAAGCTACGGAGTAACAGCAACATTACTATATTTGTCGCAAGGACCTTCGGACTCTCAGATAGCAGGGACCGTCACGACAGCAACGACTTCCCTGCAACTCAGGAATCCATAGGCCAGGGAGCTGCGCTACAAATCATGAAGTAGCACCCTCCACTCAGGGAGGAGAAACTGGCATGGGAAATGCTGCTGCAAATTATGCAAGCTTACCTTACCTCGGGCGACAGAGAAAGGAGCTGCCAATGGCAACGCTACAACTTAGCTACTCCGTCTGGCACAGAATTGAATACATACTATTAGTTCGACCTTTTTCATACTCTCGTAGGTTAGAGAGGGCAGCAATGTAGGCCGGGTGGCGCAATGGTAGCGCGTTGGTTTTCGGTGGTCAGCAACGGAGTCTAGACAACAAGTCTAGCTACGGAATATGTGTGGACCAGATATACCAAAGGTTGCGGGCTCGAGTCCCGTCTCGGTCGTTTTTTTGGTTTTGTTTGTAGAAACAACCTCACGGAGTGAGAGCCAGCAGCAAGTAGCAGCAAACACACAAACAAAAAGGCTTATAAGGAAAGGAGGGTGAGGGTAAATTAATATCCACTGTAACAGTAGCTAGCTAGCATGCATGTGTAATGGTGAGAGTTTCCACCAAAATTTTTATTCCCCTACCTAACTAGGATAAAATATCACGGATCATAACTATGGCTCTTTCGAGCCAAGACTCAAATAGGAAGGTCGGGTGGCGCAATGGTAGCGCGCAAGTTTTCGGTACTTGAGGTTGCGGGTTCGAGTCCCGTCTCGATCGTTTTTTTCTGCTCATTGAAACAATGAACTAGCAGTGCAGCTCTTAAAGAAAGTAGGGAGAGTAATAGAAACATATGATGAAAGTGCACATAATAATAACTTTTAGCTCATGTCCTCTTTATCTTCTTTTAAAAAGAAATATTACTAGCCCAGCATCAGGTGTTGCAGCTTGAGGTTGCAGGTGTGCGGTCATATTTTCGTGCTTTAAAAATGTAAACTATCTACTCTGTAGTAGAATAGCCTTCAGGGAAAAGGGCTGACAGAGAAAAAATGGTGGACTCGTGGAGCAATAAACGATAGGTGTTTGGTGTGAGATTATAGATAAGTAGTGTTTCCTGGTAAAAGCAATTTATTATAATTATATTCATATAAGAAAAAACGTATTAGTCAGGCCGGGTGGCGCAATGGTAGCGCGCAAGTTTCCGGTACTTGAGGTTTGCGGGTTCGAGTCCCGTCTCGGTCGTGTTTTTTATACTTGATTCTTACTCATCAGAACGTACGTTGGCTGAAGACAAATACTATTTATTATAGAAAGTAAACGAAACCCAATAAATAGTATAGCTGTCTTGATAGAGCCCTTTGCTTTTAAAGGCGGCCGAATGGTAATATTTCACGTCACACATGAGTATAAGACCCCAATAGCCCTATCGAAAACCCCCTTCTATACGTATTGGCTATACGGTATGCACTTGCAATCGCAGTTATGTCTATCCTACGACTAGCGATCTCATCACGTTGGATGTGCCTTTTTTTTTTTTGTCCACCTAGAAGAGCAGCTAGTCACGCCCCGTGCATCAAGACAAAACGTTAAAACAGACTAGCGTTCAGAATATTTTTTATGTTTACAACAGACAAGCTCCCACAACCCGACCCTATTAATTTTATCTATGCGGGCTTCAAATAGCATTGTGAGGATCATCCTAGGCCGGAGCAATAATGCAATTGTAGAGTGGGGATAGAGAAGGTTGTCAAAACCTGGCAGTATTGTCATCTTGGAAGCTCCGTCCTGAGGTTCATGTTAAACGCATATGCTTGTTTTCTTGTTACGTAGAATAGAGGTGTGGGAACATCAGATAATAATATGTATGACCCTCGTGAGATCGGCATATCTCTTCGCGTACAAGTTCGAACCAGTTTACATCCTATATTATGCCAATGTTTCAGAGAATTATAACGGCTATCTAGGGCCTTGGTACCCTCATTTCTTATATTGACCGAATGACTTGCGGAAAAGTCCCTCGATCGAAAGCCACAGACTAAACTGGAACTTGAGCATTTCTCTGGCGGTCCTTCACCACCGCTTGATCATGTCCCACACATGTCCTGATCCCCGCCTAGGGGGATATTTATCACCTTGGCGGAGGCATTTGTGGGGAGATTGAATTGACCTAGGGTTCGATTCTGCCTGGTTTTGCACAGGAACTCAAGCACTTCTTCGGCCGAAAACTTCGTTAAGCTGCATTTCATATTGCTTATAAGCAATCCTCTCAAGCGTAGTTTATTAATTGACATTTAGGGACCAGCATATGCGGGAACACCATCTAATCCACATCCTCCCAACCTGGTTGAACACCAAGGTACCAGGGCTGCGAGCGGGAGAATAGGTACTGATCTCAACAAGCTGGTAGACACACGATGAAAGCCAACTTAGATAATTGCTATAACAGGCACACTGGTAGCTACAAGATGCAGCTCGAGACTCTGAACTGCAATGGGTACATATACAGGCTGCAAATTATTCGCAATGGCAGTAACTGCTGGTAAACCCCTATCCATGCTCTTTTCATCAATCAGGAAGTCGCCGGTAGCAGCTGGTTGTCTAGGCTTGCACCGTGATATAAGGAGTTAGCCATAGAATAACAGAACTAAAGCTTCTAGAGATGTTGAACTAATACAACACTAGCATTTAATTATCAAGCAAGAATAGAGCTAATTCTCCGAATAAATGAATCTTCTAACGTGCGAATGTTTGCGATCGATAGTTGATATACACCACTTGGGTTTCGACCAGAAAAACCAGTTGTGCCAAAAAGCTGACCTCTTATGACTGAGATAGCCTGGGTTGTGTTAGCTGAAGGGCTGGGAAAATAGGCTGTATATAGTTAGACATAATAGGGATGAAATAAAGGGTACAAAACCACAGTACCGGTATCCAGCCTGGCTTAGTTGTTCAGGATAAGGATACTAATTATAGGTAGCAGTTGTTTAATTAAACTACTACGTTTCCCTCTCTGCTCGTATTTATTCAACCATTTCTCGTTTCTTCACTGACTTTCTAATTCTTCCCCCTGTCGAAGTGTCTGCGGAGAAGCACAGTTGTACCAAGATTATGAGTCAGGTCCGAGATGAGCATGTTCCTTCTCGACCCGAAATCAGTCAAGATTCATTTCACCCACATGGATTCACATAGCTTTTGTCACGTATATCACAGTATTCTAAAATCGTCCAATGACGGTACAGAGCTCTGTAGAGCACGAAGAGCAAGTCGGCGCCGCTAAAAGTAAACTCTCTCCGCTGTACAAAAGCGAGGGCCGGGTGAGACATCCCAGAACTTTCTAAGCTCAACATGCAAGGCGTAAAGTGTATATAATGAATTAAAAAGCTCAGTCGGGTCAGTTCGTCCACGGAATCATTGCAAGCTGTCATATAAAAAAACGATCGAGACGGGACTCGAACCCGCAAACCTCAAGTACCGGAAACTTGCGCGCTACCATTGCGCCACCCGACCTTCTCATAGTAAATTTTCATTTTCTTAATGTAATTTTCTGACAAAAGCTGATTGTCAAGCTAGAAACGAGATTTGGGTAGCTCGGACCCGTATGTTATTTCTTGATAAAATCTGCCAATTAATAAAATTTGTCTGTCGAATAGTATACAGAAGCGGTAGCTAAGTCGGCAAGGTATCTATTGATAATTCCTTTTTCATTATTTGGAGAAGTGTTTGGTATGTTGATCAGGGTTTAAATATTTTGATTATACAACGGTTTAAGGGAGCGAAGACAGCGAAAGGCAGTGCACTGATCATAGGATTGCAGTTATCGGGACGGGGACTATGAGCAGCGCAATATCAAGGATCTAGCATCCCTTCTTATCAGTCTGATACAAAATGGACTATTCTGAAAGTAGCTAGAGGTACAAGCGTTTGGATAAGCCTGAGAGCGTAAAGTTGGCTTCTCCAGAGGTGAAGCTGGATTGTGGCGGTCCCCTCAATACGGCTTCATGCACCATGACTGTGGTCTATTAGATCGGTCCTTTGTATTCTATACATGGGTATATGGGAACATCTTAAGGAGCCGGCGTGTTAAAGACTCGGTTATCTTGTTGCAGAAATTATCTATTATTGTCCTGCAAACTCGCTCTCCTCACTAAGTATGTACTGTACTTTGTGTGCATCGCCACTTAGATCGAGAGACAGCCAACTGTGGGTATTGAAACCCTCAAGTCTGAGTCCTTGTTCTTCCGAGGACTCTCATATGTCGTTCAGTCTATTTCTATTCCACCGTTTACATCCTGCCCACTATTATTGTCGCCCACCGTCGCCGCCATCACAGCCAGCACGACCAGTTGTTGTTAAAGTTAGGGAAGAATTAAAAGGCACTGAAAGAAAGAAGGTAATCTAATATTACTGCTCATATATTAATACTGCTGCCAATCCTGATTAGTATCGAGAAGAGGTTTTCAACTCCGAAGAAGACAAGATGACTATTTTTAACAGCCACTATAAGCCCCGGCAAGAAAAGTGGAGCTTCTCTAGGAGTTAGAAGAGATAAAACGGCCCTCGAAGGGACCAAGGGAGAGAGAAGGCAATTGAAGGCCAGCCTTCAACAAGGGGAAGATTTTATGCTAAGACTCCGTATGTAACTCCCAATTTTGGTCCACTAGGAGCCAGGGTTTTTAGTTAGTCGAATGGTTTTGTCTTATTTTATTAGGAATCATTCCGTTGCCGATTTTTACTTCCATATCACTAACGGGTTGTTAATTTTTGTCAAAGGTTAAATAATTTACTCTAGCCATATAGCATTTGCTGGGCCTTGATTCTAAAAGAACGAAACCAGGACTTGCGGTATAAGTATTACATGATATTTTGGACTTCCATTCATATCAATTAGTCTTTGTGGATGAGTCTGGAGGGGTAATCGGGCGGGAATTAGACAGGCAGGCTGGTCTCCATCTGATGTGACACCAGCCCAGGTATCCAAGTTTCATCGTGATAAGCGCTATCAGATGGTACCCGGGTATGCTCAAGATGACATTATCCTCTCTCGGATATTTCAAGGCTCAACTGATGCTACTATGTTCGAGGATTTTATTGGGCAGCTTCTCCAACTATGTGGAAATTGGCCAGAGCCAAAGTCTGTTCTTATCGTGGATAGCCCATCTTTTCATCATTCAGATCGGATAGAGGAAGCGTGCGTAAGAGCCGGAGTTAATTGATGTATATGCCATCATATTCACCGGATTTCAATCCAATTGAAGAATTCTTTACCGATCTAAAGGCTTTTATTAAGCGAAACTCGCAAGCTTATGAGGACCCTGGCCAAGGGTTTGGTAGTTCCCTAGAACGGTGTGTTAATACAGTTGGCGCGCAAGAACAAAACAGAAGGTCATTTCTGGCATGCAGGGCTGACTATAGAGGAAATGTGATGTGTAGTCTACCTTGCGTAATCTATGCCTGTGTGGAACATAGCATTGCCCTGACAATATTGAAGCGGGTTAGAAGGTTGTTACTGCCTTCGACTTGTTAATTACTGTTACCTTCCCAGACAGAGAAGGCCTGCACAGACAGAATCACCTTGCTTTTTGTATTTTATCTCTTTCCATTGATCCTCTAAACTCCCTCGCACTTCACTGCATAGAAGCCTATGTAACTGCACGTTGCAGGAAAGGACAAACAGCAATTTAAGAACAACTTTAACCATCAAGAGGTTAACATGCATGAAATTCAAATGAAGCTCTTTCTTTTGTGATCACACCATCTGTGTCCCAAAGCAACACTTAATAGCCTAGACCAAGTTAGAAAGATAATCCTAGGTGGCTTAACTAGAGCCATGCAAAACCTATCTCCTAACACCTCCCCGGCTGAACTAGGTGGAAGCGAGCGATCCCAGCATAATTAAAAGGGTTCAGTGAATTCGACAGGCTGGGGAGTGGGCAAAGCTGGAGGTGACACGGCTCTGGAGTAGCACCAAAATGGAAGCTAGTGCCAGAATCCTTTGTGCTAGTGCATACACCTCAACTATCTCTCGACTAAGTACCAGATACTCCGGTGATAACCTGCGCCAATTGCTCATAGGCCACAGAAATAGAAAAGCTTGACTTCGGGTCGTTGGAACGCTTCTGGAAATGGGTACACACCATCCACTTGGTACGATGTACTAGTGTATGTTGCCCAAGTTGTCACAGTAAGCATGGGCTGACAAAGCCACTATAACAAGGACCCAACCACAGCAAGCTTTTGTATAAAACCCAGAAATCACTCACTGGAGAAGTCACACACTAATATGAATATACCATTAAAATCTGTTCAAGCGCCTGCCAAATAAACCCCCCTCCACCAGTTTCCCCTGCCCGAATGGTCGCAACACTCCAAAGCCCAATGCCGTATGCTTGTCAGCGGCGGTGTCCTGCTTATTCATGGCTAGGCAAGCATTCAATATTGAGATTGATGATTTCCATCAGTTCCTGGTCGCTCTGCTAGGAAAAGGAGCAGGCCACCCAAGAGGTCCAATGTCTTGCCTTAAAGAAGGTATGTTGCATTCTCTGAGGCAGAGCATGACTTTCGGCTGTTTCATTTACATAGAAGAGTTTTATTCTCCAGTACTGCAAATATATTGGAGCGGTGGTCATGATCTCTCCCGAGCACAATGGCACTCGGTGAAGACACAGTCGTTGAATACAGTCCAGCTCCGTGCCACGTCAACAAAGACGTTGGTCTTTCCGGACAAGATCCCTGAACTCAAGCCTACATGCCAGTACATAGAATTCTCAAACTGTATGCGAGCTCCCCGACCTCCATGGCCTGATGTGTTGTTTGGAGATCGCGCCAGCATGACTCCGAATGGGGGCGTTGCGTTATGCTGATGACGGCCCATGATATAAGGAAAGAGTATACACATATAATTAATGATATGCATCAGGTTGCATTCAGCCGGTCATGAACACAGTTTAATATCAGATTGGCCTCGGCTTACACAGTACGCCTACATTTTAGGTGCTAATAATGCCAGTTTAATGATACAGGATACTACTAAAATGCTGGAAATTTATGAAAGAAGCCAGTGCCCTGGGTAACTAGAGGAGCGTGACTCACAGGAAGAAATACAAAAATATCGCAGATCCAGGGTGCGGAGTGGTCAATTTCTGTCTGATGTGCGGGGAACATCTTAAATATCATCGAAGTTTGTCAGCCACCCTGCTACAGGAGCTGAAATCTATGCCTTATTTGTGGAAGATGCTTGAACCTCAAAGTATGGACGCTATTGAAGCCCAAAATGTATGTCTCTCAAGCGAAACGAAATATCCGCGGCCCTTATTGAAGCCACTGAGCTGCGTAGGCTGGTATGCCCTCTCCTCACCCTCTATTTTCCATACTGCGAATCTTATTGATTACGAGCTTCTAACGAAATCTTACCCTGTAAATGCTCGAAAAACATAACCCAGTCCTGTGTAACCGTGCTTCTGACCGCACTAGCATGAATCAATCTTCATTCCGATAGCGTTTGTGTGCGTGCGTTCTGTCAACCCCCTTTTCAAATTATTCATTCTAATATACGCGTGACTCGACAGTTATTCTTCGGCATGAATACAAAAGAAATCAATAATTCGTCGTGTCCCACCAAATACTACGCTGCCGCTGCCCTACCTCTCACTGCAGTAACATTGTGTACACCACTTTCTGCAGTTCAGTTATTTACTTTCCTCATCCGCCTGCTGAAAACCCAAGTTGTTGCACGCCGCTGGGTCAAGTGCAGTAGTCTCTCTGGGGGATTCTTCACGGGTTACTAGGAGCTACACTTAGCTTCTCTAGCAATGACGGATGAGCCTCCCTAGCTCCTATCATTGTTGCAATGTTAATTTTTTCCCCTTGCTCTTGCAATATATATTGCTCGGTTTATTAATCAGCTATTCGTAATCAGTAAACGAACGCCATCTGTCTACCGAGCCCAGATTGGGCGGCTATTCCTGTGGGTATCTCTCATCGTCTGCTGCTGGACGTCAGCGGTTTATTTCTATTTGATAATACTACTTCCCTATATGGTTATTGGACATTTGTCCTGGTACCGCTGCACAGGCGCTAAAAGGAAGCAGGAATAACTGGGTAGTAGGCTCTATATCCTAAATAGAATACCAAGAACTGTTACAATAATATTAAACAGCTACACATATAACATGCACATACAATGCCCTGAAACGAATGAAATGAGTGAAAGGGTTTCCCTTTTTATACTTGAAGGCTCCATTACACAAATTCCTCACCAAATTTACGAAGCCTCAGCAGTCTATTGAGATAAACAAACGAATTTGAATGAAATTTGAATGAATTCGTACGTTCATAACATCTATAATCAGCATTACATAATATAACTCGGGTGCGAAATCCCAACGTTATCAAGCGACTTTTCGACCACTCGTTTCAAAAACATTATCCTAGGCCTAAATATCATCTTCATCAGAAAAGACGTCTTCACCTCTCTTTCGGCGAGCTGCACGCTCCTTCTTCTTCTTTCTAAGCTCAGATCCAGTGAGTTTCTTCTTCTTCTCGACAACAATCTGTATATAAAGTTAGATGAGTTGGAGGAATTTTGGGGTGAGAACGGGAAAATATGGGGAGAACGGCGGGAACGGGTGAAAACTAACCTTATTGCCCATGGCATCGAAAGTCTCGGCGTCAGGATCATCCTTGTTCGTGAGACGGGGGCCAGAGCCTTGTCCCTGAACCCAGTTGTGGCCGGAGGGGGTCATCTTTCCGTCAACGACAGCCCAGACTTCCTCAGTGAGGTTCTCAGTGAACTCGCGGGAGTGAGTGATAATAACAACACCACCCTCGAAGGACTTAAGAGCCTTGGACAGAGCACCCAGGGAGTCACGGTCCAGGTAGTTGGTGGGTTCGTCGAGGACGATAACGTGAGGACGCTGCCAAGAGCAGGCGGCAAGGACGACCTTGACACGCTGACCACCGGACAGACCGCGCATACGGGAGTGAGAGACCAGCTCGGCGTCCAGACCGAACTGCTCGCAGTGGGCCTCAATTTCCTTACGGACCAGAGGACGGAACTGACCGCTGGCAAGGGCCTCCTTCTGATCAACGTCGGCAACCATCTTGGCGTGGGACTGGATGATCTCGGTACGAGGAATCCAGGCGTTGTCGCTGGTCATCATAGGAGTCCACTTCTCGCTCTTCATGCCGATGTTCTCACCAAGCAGGAAGGAACACTCGTACTCGTAGGTGTTCTTGAACTTACGACGAGAGTGGATGCCGATGACACGACGTTGGCTGCCGTCGATCTTGTAGATCTTGTCCATGGCCTTCTCGTCCTCATCGGTGACGATCTTGTTGGCACGGTCCATGGTCTCACGGTCCTCACCGGTCTGGAAACGCCACTGGATGTACTCAGAGGGGGTCGAGTCGAGATGGTTATCGATGTGAGCGAAGGCGTGCTGCTTGATGTAGGCGATACGGATGTTCTCATGCTGGTAGACGTCACCGGTGGTGGGGATCAATTCACCAGTCAGGACGTTGACCAGGGTGGATTTACCAGCACCGTTGGGACCGATGACGGCAATACGAGAGCCCAGCGACACCTGGAAGCTGATGTCGGAAAGCTGGGGACGGGGGGTTCCAGGGTACTGGAAGGACATGTTGGAGACACGGATAATGGCCTTGGCCTTGGTCTTGACACCCTCGAGGAAGCCGGGCTCGGGGAACTTGAACTCCATCTCGGAGGCACCAAGCTCGTAGTAGGAGCGAGCAGCGGGGACCTTCTTGACGAACTCACTCAGGGAACCACGGTAACGCTTAAGCTTGAAGCGCTCGTAGTGGACGACGTGCTGGATGACATTGTCCAAGAACTTGCTGTCGTGGGACACAATGATTGAAGTGCAAGGGGAGGTGCAGAGGTAGTTCTCCAACCAGGCGACGTTCTTGACATCCAAGTGGTTGGTAGGTTCGTCCAGAAGCAAAATATCAGGGCTTTCGAAGACGGCACGGGCAAGAGCCAGCTTCATCTTCCAACCACCAGACAGAGAGGTGATAGGACCCTCGAACTGTTCGCGGAGGAAGCCGAACTCCTCGAGCTTGGTCTCGACCTCAGTCTGCTGGATGTCAAGGCCAACCTCACGGAGCTTCTTCATGGTCCAGCCAATTACAGTCTGTTCAGTGTCGGCAGCATCCAAGTCGTGCTCGACGTAGACGGTCTTAACTTCGTCCTTCTTAGGGAAGCCCTCGAGCTGCTCGTTGTTGATAGCACGCATGAGGGTGGTCTTTCCGGTACCATTGGGACCCAGCAGACCGTAGCGCTGGCCACGCTTCAGACGCAGGTGAGTCTGGTTGAGCAGGATCTTGGCACCGTAGGCCAGGGAGAAAGTGCAGTTGCAAAGGTCCTCACCCTCTTCCTCATCAGAGGGAACGTCGTCGGCGGCCTGGGCATCGGGAGAGGCCTTCTTGCGAAGCTCCTCGGCGATGGGCTTGGCCTCGTCCTCGCCAATAAGGGTAGAGATATAGGGAAGAGCGTTCTGAGTCCAGCTGACAACTTCGCTCTCCTTCTCGTCGACAAGCTGACCGGCAATAGCAGCAACGTAGGTGAGGACGGCGTCGGCACCCTCGATCTTGCCCTTGAACTTGGGCTCAAGGATCTGCTTCAAGATAGCAGCAACAGTTTCGATGTCACCGGCGGTGGAGATCTCGGGGATCTTGCCATCCTTAACATCACCGACACGGATGAGGGTTTCCAAGGCCTGCTTGGTCTTACCACGGGCCTCAGGGTCGGCCAGGTTGTCGTGGTTCTTCTCCAGACGGGGCATCAACTTAGGCAAGAAGGGAGCGACAATCTGAGGGTCCTCCACGAGCTTACACATGTTGTCGACGATGACAGCAGACTTACGCTTGATAGCGGTCTCACGCTCATCGAGACCACGGTCAAGCAGGGGAACCATGATGGCAAGGGTAGGTCCCGTGACATCAGAAACGAAAGTGGTGGCACCCAGCAAGTGAACGGTCTCGGGGACGTTCTCGGGCTTGGCGATACACTTGATCAGTTCAGGAATGAAGCGCTCGATATCCTTGTTAACGATCAGACCGCAAACCTTCTCCATGGTGGAGTAAGCGGCCTTCTTGATCTCGGTCTTGGTATCCCACATGGCCTCGGAAACGACGGGGATCAGCTGAGGGACACGGAAGGAGAGCTGAGCGGGAGCCGATTCGACAAGCGAGGTGACGCACTCAAGAGCGCACATCTTCTCGGTCCACTTCTGGGCGTTGGCAAGAGACTCAAGGATGGGAGGAAGGACGGCCTTGACGGCATTGCCGTTAATGCCCTTGACAATGGCGATAGCAGCACCCTGAGCAGCGTTCTTGACGGGAACCATCTTGTCACCGACAGCAGCGAGGACTGGGCCCAGAAGGGTAACGAGATGGGGCTCAACACCAGAGGCGATAGTGGCGTGGGAGGCGACGGCCCGGATGGCATCGCAGGCACGCTCACGGGCGACGGCATCCTTCTTGTTGGCAAGCTGCTTCTTGAGAATCTCAACGGCTCTGGAAGATAAAGGATTCGGTTAGCGAATGGGTTCTTCCCTAGATAAAATTTCTTCTCTCGGAAGGGTGGAACTAAAAACACATACTTGAGGGGCAGAGCCTGCTCGGGAATAGGACCGCTCAGAAGGTGAGCAAGGTCGTTCGAAGCAGCATTCACCTCATCTTGGCTAGTAGAGATGTTGAGGTTCTTGATCAAGTCCTCGAGGACAGCGACGGACTGAGCAGTCTCCTTGCCGGAGACAGCAGGGACGGATGAAACATCGACAGCAGGCATTTTGTACGTGAAAAAACCGGAAAAAGAGACCGTTTACTCAAGGGAGGTAAAAGGGTTTGAAATAGAAATCAAAGCGAGAACGAGCAGAAAACCGTTCTATTGGGGTATCTCGATAAGAGGTGGCGGCCCACGAAAGACTGCGTCAGAAGCAAGACGCAGAAAGACGCTCTAAAAATGGCCAAATAAAATCTAAATTTTGTCTAGACAGGAAGACAATATGAAATAAAAGTAAAGAGAGGACCAGACCTCTAAGAGAAAAGAGATGAGGGTGAATGGGAAGGAGAAAAAGGAGGAGGGAAAAAAAGTGGATGAGAAAGATATTTATCGTTTGTGGCCTTTTTTTTTTTTTTGCCGCCCAACCCTCCAACTCAGCACCATTAAAAATTTTTTTTGTACGGCGCTAGTACCGAATCCAGCCTAGTACCGATGGCTGTCCAAGCAACCAACCCGATAGGGCCCGTGGCGCGGTAGGATCAATGTGCGACCTGTGATTGGTCCGTGGAGGGAAAAGGAAGGTTGTCGGAAAAAACCTTGTGTTCTTTGTCTACCTGATTCGGGTCGGTCAATCCGAGGTTGCAACAGCATCAAAACGTCTGGAATTTAGTCTCGGCAGCAAGGGAAGAACTTCACGTTCATGCTTTGGAAAATAGCGACATTTCGTTATTATTTTTTGATGACGTCTGCCTGTTTTTGGCTTGAGTTGGATAAACGCAGCACCTATTACCAGTAGAAAGTCAAGGATTGCCCAGCCAACCAGTCTATGTAGGTCCGATTGCAAGATGACACAAAGGCAGAGCCCCTTTTTTAAGAACTAGGCTGACGGCGTCTACGGTGTACTCATCCCTATCGATCTATCTGAATTCTCGGCGGTTACAGATTACGACTCGGGGGTGATGGTGCTAAGGTAAGCCCATCCCCAGGCTAATTTTGCAGTGGATGTTGCACATCCCTTGATAATCCTTCTTTTTGATGGACCAGAGTTCTCCAGTCCCTGACAGGTCGTGAATCCGGGGACGCAACCATATGGGATAGTCCAAGGCTAGTCTCCGTGTTAGGCCTGCAGATAAGTGCTATTTATGTCGCCACCCTCAGGTCGCTCGGGCTTGGTGGCGCAGTCGAAATTCTAGCCCCGTTTAAAGAAAAAACAAAAAAAGAAAAAGAAACGAAAAAGAAAATAAAAACTAGCCTGAACAAAATGATGGTTCGCTGCGAGGATTAAAGAAAGTTAAGCGGAGCCATGGACTATCAAAGACCTTCTTCCGTTCTCGCCCGCAACTCAGACATCTGTCCTCGATAATTTGCTACGTTGGCATACACCTCATATTACCTGTTTCGGCCGCCGCAGGCGTATAGATAAATTAATACCCAAGAATAGGGGGTAGATACATAGCATATAGCAAATCGGTGTCCCCTATTTCGATTGACGCTCTGGGTCTGTCTGTGCTATTCTCGAGAGCTGAGCTGGCCCCTTGGAGTGAAAGGACTATTGGAAATAAGAGATTGTCTTAATATGAGTACAGGTCGGAAGTTAGGTTTCGCGAGTAGCCAGATGTGTCTTGGATCAGGCACAGCTTGACTGGTTATTACTCGTCGCACCCCCAACGGCTGAAACGGACGGCTTACTAGAGCTCTGCTCATCACCGCCATTTTTTATTCTTGCATCTCACCGCTGAATGCATATGATTTTGCTAAGCTAGTACGAGATCTCTGTAGCAATGTACTGTAGAATGTAGCCTGGCAGAAAAATATTGATTTCTGTGGCTTGTGGAAAGGGGGAAGAAAAGAAAACAAAAAAAAATTTAAATTTCAATCCTTATCGTGCTTATCCCTTATCCCCCCGTTATCGACTATCGGAATTTGAGTTTTATTCCTGATACCAATTCTCCGGGTTCCGCCCACTCCTTTGGCTTACCCCCGCGAAAATCACGGAGATGGTGGCAATGCTGAGGGGGGGTGGAAATAATAACTCAGTAAAAAAGAAAAAGAAAAAAAGAAAATGCAACAAAACTAGGAGGCGGTGGACTTTTTTTTTTTTTTTTTTTTCAAAAATTTCTCTCGTTTTTTCCTGGTCGCAGTCAGCCTGAATCAATCAAAGTTTTAATCCAATGCCTTGCTCCTACGTTCGTTGACGTCTCCTACTTGACCCGATCGACACCTAGGCACTTTGTATTTAATATAACTACGGATACACAACATCGACGTTTTTCATTTAGCGATCTTTCATTCAGTACCACTAAAATTCTACTATTCCGTACTCTAATACTCACCTAGTTAATCATCAAGGTAGGTAATTAATTAGGTAGTTCCCTGATTTGATTCTAAAACGACATTCGTCATAATCTACTAATCACTCTCACCACCATCGACCAATTACGTCTGAAAGGATACCAAACCAATGGAAAGGCTTGATTTTTAACTCTATTCACTATCCGGTTCTCCAGCTGCGCGTGGCTACCATACTCAGGTAGTCTGTTGTTGCCACTGCTGCCATTGCAGCTACCTTATTTTGTATATCTGCCAATAAGGTGGATAGGTTTGTATCGCAGCGTAATGGTTCCGTCACTCTGATCGGATATGGCTAGTCAGCTGGGTTGACCATTCGATATTGATGAATTTAGAACGAGCATTGTCTACCTAAGTAGTTCCTAACCGATATCCCATGTGTAACGACTGGGTTCCAGTGTGGCAACATCATATCTAAGCTAAAAGTCCCATTGATGTCATGGGGTTCAGTTAATGAGTCGAAATGTAGCGGGAAAAAAAAAAAAGGAAACGAGTATAAAGAATTAATGATTAAGTACCGATACAGTCTGCGACATCGAACCACACTAATTGATACAATACAACAACAGGGGCGTCCAACCTCAACCTTCACTCGAGCAGCATAACAATCATCACAGAATTCAAACAACTTTAAAAGCAATCAGTCAGAGTCGTCACTAGAGCTAGAGCTGGAGCTGGAGCTAGAGCTAGAGCTAGAACTGGATGAGCTCGAACTGGAGCCTGAACTCCGACTAATACTTCGCTTCACCGCCCAGTGTTTCTTTCTCTTGTGCCTCTTACGCCTGCTCAGAAACAAGTTAGAGACAAGGCACATTCAACAACAAAGGTGGCCATGTCTTACAGCTTGTTAGCTATGCCCATCCCTGCAGCACCGGCTAATGCACCTCCAGCTGTGCTCAACAATCCACCTCCAAGTTTATGGCCCACAAGACCACCGGCGCCGGCACCAAGCAGTGATGAGCCAAGGCCCTTTTCGCCCTGTGGCTTTCCAGGACCTGGATTATGTCCATGCTGCTGAGAGTCTTCCGGTTTCGTATTATAATATGAGGCACTCTCTCCCTGGACAGGCGGCTCCTGCTGCTGAGCATAGGGCGCCTGGCTATACCCATAGCCATAGTTCATATCTTGGTGATAGCCACGTTCGTTTGTATACCCACCCTGTGGAATTCCACCATGTGGGGGCGCATAGGCCTGTTCGCTGTAAGGAGGAGGAGGGCCATAGTAGGGGTTATTCGGACGAGTCTCGTAGGGTGGCTTAGCAACAAGGGCTTGTTAGTTGGTGGTGATGTGGAGAGAACCATACGACTTACGGTGGGTGGAAAGTGTATATGCTGTGACTGGCCATATTGGTCCTGCCTAGGCGGATAGTTGATCGGCTGTCCCTGATAATATCCACCATACTGGCCGGTACTGCCCTGAGGTGAGCCGTATTGGTTGTAGTTATGCCTGTTGTAAGAGTCCGACATGATCGAGTACTGGTTAAGTGATAGGAGCGCGAATGAACGTAGTGGTAGCGGTGGGGATATATCGATATGGTATATCTAAGTCCTCTAGTATAGAGTGTGCATGAAAATTGAAAAGAATGACTCGTCCAGATGTTTATCGATGAACAGTGACTGACCAACAAGGAAGGAACTATGGGGCCGATCTTACGTTTAGGGTTGACAACTCAGAATTGCGTAGATAATACGAGAAAATTAGTCACTAACAGCCTGTGCTTGCCAGATATAGCTCCAATTCATCATTATGATACGAAGGCATGGTGTTAATTATCTAGGGAAGATATCCTGTAATTGTACAATCATCAATCAAGGCAGTAACATTCCAGTACTCAAGCCTTTCTTTCTGGCCTAGCGAAACTAACCACTTGACATAGCATAGGGTCATACTGTGCAGCTCAGCCTGCCCTTTACTGCTGGAGATTGAGCCTGTTTGATAGCCCTGTCAGCAATGGTCCGATACTGGGCACAATATTGGACAAGGTCCATTATAGTGTTGTCCGTCCTGACCATCGGCATACTGAAAAAAAGGCATTCCACATCATGCATTAGCTCGATGTCCGTGCTTCCTCTGGCAGCATGCGGATACTGCACAATTAATATAGAAAGGATCATAACTGCAAAGACTGCAAAATATGCCACCGAGCTGCTCACAGATGTTAGCCAATACACGACTCCTCCCTGCTTGAAAGTTGCACTCACCCGGCAAAGAGCGTATGGTCTCGGGGAATGTGGTGGACTAGCCGCATTGATGTTCGTGCTGCACGCGCGCACAGCTGGGCTGATATAAAGACTCGTGGATTCGACGAACGGATGGATGGAAACTGACCAAGAGGTTTCAGGCCCATTGACCACGTTGCCCGTGTAATTGCTCTCCTATGAATCATCAACAGACAGCTGTAGTAGCTGAAATGCATGTACAAAATAGACAGGTGCGGATCCCGTCTAACAACGTCTTCGGGTTGGGCAGTGTCCGGCCGATATTCCTTCGGCACATTGTCCTTCCAGTCTTGAAGAAGCGAATCAAGTTTCCCGACAGCTGCAATAACCTCCGAGTCACTTTTTTCGCGAGCAGACGTGGAGTAAAGTTCTCGATATACATGAAGTTTGATTGTTGAAAACTTGCAGAATGTATCCAATAAGTCAAAGTTTCCTAGGACTCCATAGGGAAGGTATAGAATCGAGTGATCTATGCAGTCATCGGGAAGGCTCTGCGGTATATTCGAGGCGCGCGGTATGGGAGGTGTTGACAGCCGGAGAGAGTTACTGGAAGAAGTTGGTGAGACTGGAACAGTTTGTCATGGAATGAATGTGCGGGGAATGCCTATACTTTATATCAAGATCGTAGCCAATCGCAAGAATCCTTCGGTACGCAGGAGCATGGCTACATTCTGCAGGATTCAATCCATGCAAAATACGAATCGCTAGCGAGACAAATGTGTGTGATGGATTGCCACTGAACGTCCCGATGAGATATGCAGCCTAGGATTGAGTGAGTATTTGGCTGCATAAGAGAACTATCACGGAGCCTCACCATTGCCAAAAGGGCCTGTGCCGACAAAAGATGAGGTTGATCACTGAAGAAACTATTTAGCGAGAGGGTGGCGTTCTTCCAAAAAAAAACCACGCTTTGGAATGAAAATTGGGTTCGAAGGCGCATGACAGCGCTAGTGTAGCATTTATACAAGCCCACCATCGAGGAGATGAGCGTGGATGGACAGGATATTCATGTTCGACCCGACATATGAAGTCTTGTTCGTCAAATAAAGGGCAAAATGGGTTAATTTTTCTAAAAAAGACATTGAAAAGATGCATAGCAAGGCCTTTTGGTGGCAATGGTATAAACGGCTGGGACAGACATATGTCGAGAAATGGATCATTGTCGACAGTGTCAAATTGGCGAGGAAATGGAGACCATAGGTCCTCCAGGTTGAGCATGCCAGGGCCAGCCTTATCATGCAGCCATTGTTCCCCGTCGGGCGAAAATATTGAGAAAGGTAACGACGAGCCCAGATCAACCGAGCTGCTGTCAGTGCAGAGAATATCCCTGGAGTGATGTAGAAGATTGCCATAATTCTGGGGTTTGTCCACAAGGCATCTTGGCAACATGAAACATGGTGACGTGAATAAGAGATCTCTATTCATTCTGGGTTCATCATATGCCTCATACCAGAAAGTAGAAGACAGGTCTTCCGCCATAGAGCATTCTTTGCCATTCTGGAATAAAGAATCATACAGATCGAGTTCCACAGGAAGAGACGGTAGTGGATGCTCATCTAAATCATGCATCAATGCCTCAACCCCATCAGTATACAGCCCTTCGCCCAAAGAAGACGTAAAACTAGCTCCTTGGGAGCCAGGATATTTCCCTTGCTGGCCGACAAGCACACATTCGGATCGACGTCTCTCACATGCCCGACACCTGCTTTTCCTACCAGACATTTCACACTTTACTTTGCGACGGCGACATGATAGACATGCCTAGTAGGTTCTCTAGTTCAGTATGTGCAGGCACGTTGATAGTACCAGATGGGAGATGTCGAACCTTGGCAGCACGCATGCGCTGATAGCCATGATTTTCATCCATACTCAAGTGTCAGCGTATCGTTCATTCCATAGAGTTATTAAACATATGTTACATTATGACTGTGAGCGAGGAGGAGATGCTAAAGAGCTGCCGGGCGGACCGAGCAGGAGGAATCGACCGGGATCCCACTGTGGAGCGTAACTGACCATCCACAAGGCATCCCGAGGAATCTTTCACTTTGGAGTTGGTCGCTCCGAGCGTATTGATTACCGCCGCCTGCCATGTGAATACGGTGTTATTACCGCCGGTAGTGGAACTGAATCCGCGGAACCCAACCTCATATACACTGCCAACTCTCTTGTCTACATAAGATGATTGAGGCCACCCCACAATGGATATAATGGGTCTTGATACATTCGGATAGGCAATCTCCGAGCCGTATGTTACAAAGGCCTGTTATCTCCTGCGGATCAACCTCCCTTGGAGCACGATGGAGGTTACTCTCTGTAATAGGCTGGTTGATCATCCCTGACTCTCTGCTAAAATAAAATTTGTAATTGGAGATGCGTTATGCGCTTATTCTCACTTGCCTCTCCGTGATGTCTCCACCAGAGGTTTGTTCCGAGCCCTTGGTCTCTGTGGAATGCGAATATGCTTATAGAACTAAGCCACGACATGCGGATCAACCAGGACTGGCTCCTCCACGGAAATCAAAGTCCCGGTCGGTGTTGATGCAATAGTCATCTGAAATGTGAATGTGATTCGGCACTGAGATCTCGCACGGGTTAGATTGAGGGCCATATAAAGGGACGCTTATCCCCTAGATGGAACATTGTGTTTGTTTCTCTGAGAACCGAACGCTCATTTGAGGTCAGAAGGGCATACTCTCGTTTTCCACTTCCCAGGAACCTTTGCATCATTAAGAGTTCGCTACTGGATAGTCGCATCATGTCAGTGTTTGGTGGTATTCCACCCTTGGATGACCCACGGCACGCAGGCGCTCGGCCTGACCATGAATCGATTGGCCAATATGAAACGGATACGGCGCCAAGCCGGACAAATATGGACGAAAGACATGACTCCGAGAAGGAAGAGGGCATGGAAGAGGAGGTCGAGCAAATGGTACGACAGCTTACTCTCCAGTCTACCCACTTCTCCACAAGCGGTGCAAACAACCCATTCTTTGAGGAGAATAAGGAATCAACGTGGCATCCAGATAGCCCTTTCTTCAAGATCAAAGACTGGATACGATCTCTACTAGCTGCACAGTCGCGTAATCCGAGTCGATTTCGCCAGCGCAGTGCTGGCGTTGCATTTAAGAACTTATATGTTCATGGCTTTGGTAGCCCAACGGATTATCAAAAAGATGTTTTAAATTCGATCTTGGGTAGTGGAGGCCTTCTGCGCCGAATAATTGGAAGCGGTTTTCAAAAAGTTCAGATATTGAATGATTTCAACGGGCTGATCCGTAGCGGCGAGATGCTGCTCGTCTTAGGTCGTCCAGGGAGGTAAGTCTATTTCGCATAGAAGGTAATGCTGCTTGAATTGACGAACTAGTCTAACCACGGTAGTGCTTGATGCAGTGGTTGCTCTACGTTTCTCAAGACAATTGCCGGGGAAATGAACGGGATTTATGTCCATGAAGATAGTTACATGAACTACCAAGGTGCGTGCCTGGATCTATAATAAATTTGCACCAAGAACGATTTCTTATGATGTTGCTGTAGGAATATCTTCCGACGATATGCAAGGAAAGTTTCGCGGCGAAGCACTGTTTAGTGCAGAAACGGACGTTCATTTCCCTCAGCTGACTGTCGGTGACACTTTGACCTTCGCAGCTCAGGCGCGGGCGCCACGTACGCGCTTCCCTGGTCTGAGCCGCAAAGAATATGCATGCCATGTCCGTGATGTGGTGATGACTATGCTGGGCCTGCGGCACACTTTCAATACTCGCGTAGGCAATGACTTTGTCCGCGGTGTCAGTGGTGGTGAGCGCAAGCGAGTGAGTATTGCAGAAGCCATTCTTAGCGGCGCGCCGCTGCAATGCTGGGATAACAGTACTCGGGGGCTGGATAGTGCCAATGCCTTGGAGTTCTGCAAAAATCTGCAATTAATGAGTAATTATGCCGGTACAACACCATGTGTCGCAATATATCAAGCCTCCCAGAAAGCTTACAATGTAAGTTGTCTTAGGGCGTACAGTTGGGGTGTTCCACTAATTGTCTATATTTAGGTCTTTGATAAAGTCGTGGTTCTCTACGAAGGTCATCAGATTTACTTTGGTCCGACCAACGAGGCACGTCAATTCTTCACTGACATGGGCTTTGATTGTCCACAGCGTCAAACCACCGCAGATTTCCTTACGTCATTGACTAGTCCCACTGAGCGCAGAGTAAAGGCAGGGTATGAAAGCAAAGTGCCTCGAACACCGGTGGAATTTGCAACAAGATGGCGGAATAGCACAGAGTTTGCCATGCTTATGCGGGAAATCGACGAGTTTGACAAGGAGTTCCCAATTGGGGGAGAATCATATACTGCCTTTGGAGAGGCCCGCCAGTTGATGAAATCAAAACAGCAGTTAGTTGCCCTCGCCTTCCAACAAGTCCTATTTGGATTGTTTCCTTTATAACATCAGTACTATAGGAGAGCTGCATCACCATATACACTTTCCGTTGTTCAACAGGTTAATCTGTGTCTGGTACGCGGCTTTCAACGCCTTAAAGGTGATGCTAGCTTGACCTTAACAGCCATTTTCGGGAACTTCTTCATCTCCCTCATTTTAGGGAGTGTGTTTTATGATATGCCTTCTGATACATCGAGCTTCTTTTCCCGTGGCGTCCTTCTTTTCTATGCAGTCCTAATGAGTGCATTCAGTAGTGCACTTGAGGTCCGTCATATCTGTCCATATGCTGGGGAATCATCTAACCTGTCATAGATTTTGACACTCTACGCTCAACGACCCATTGTTGAAAAACAGGCACGATATGCTTTCTACCATCCGTTTGCGGAAGCAATCGCATCTATGTTGTGTGATCTTCCTTATAAAATAACCAACTCAGTGACATTTAATCTTCCACTTTATCTCCTTTCTAACTTACGCCGGGAGCCGGGCGCTTTCTTTATTTTCTGGCTTTTCTCAATAGTAACAACGCTAACCATGTCAATGATATTCCGGTCGATTGGTGCCTCCTCACGATCACTGGCTCAAGCTTTGGTACCAGCAGCTATACTTATTTTGGGCCTAGTCATATATACAGGCTTTATTATCCCAACTCGGAATATGCTGGGCTGGTCAAGATGGATGAATTACATTGACCCCATTGCATATGCCTTTGAAAGCTTTATGGTGAATGAGTTTAGTGGCCGGGAGTTTCCTTGCATGTCGTTTGTTCCATCTGGTCCAGGCTATGAGAATGTTGATCCTACGAATCAAATTTGCAGTACAGTCTCATCCAGACCGGGTGTTCCTAGCATCGACGGGGGCGCCTATCTGTCCCTCGCCTATAAATACACGCACGCCCATCTTTGGCGTAACCTAGGCATTATGATAGGTTTTATGATCTTCTTCATGCTTGTGTATCTCATCGCTACCGAGCTTGTCTCTGAAGCTCTATCAAAAGGAGAGGTACTAATTTTTCGCCGTGGCCATCAGCCTAAGAAAACCCAAGACACTGAGACTCCCTTAGACACGGAGTTTAAGGAAGATGGCCAGTTGCAACAAGGATCTGCAACTATACAACGGCAGACTGCAATTTTCCACTGGCAGGATCTTTCATATGACATCAAGATTAAAGGAGAGCCACGCCGCATTCTGGACCAGGTGAATGGATGGGTGAAGCCTGGCACTGCCACTGCATTGATGGTACGTTTTTTTGTCCTTATAAGTGGATATTTTTTGCCAACAGCAAGTAGGGTGTTTCAGGTGCTGGGAAAACCACATTACTCGATGTTCTTGCTACCAGAGTGACAATGGGTGTTGTCACCGGTGAGGTCCTAGTAGATGGTCACCCCCGCGATGATTCATTTCAGCGCAAGACCGGCTACGTTCAGCAACAAGATGCCCACTTAAAAACATCTACAGTACGAGAGGCTCTTCGGTTTAGTGCCCTGCTCAGACAACCTGCACATATTAGCCGACAAGAAAAACTGGATTATGTAGAAGAAGTGCTTGACCTCCTCGGCATGCGATCGTATGCCGACGCTGTCGTGGGTGTTCCAGGAGAGGGTATGTTTTTTTTTGGCCGTTTACTACGAGATATTCCATAACTTTAAGATCTGTCATGTGCCATGTATTGACTTGACTTTAGGACTTAATGTTGAGCAACGGAAGCGTTTGACCATCGGTGTAGAGCTAGCTGCCAGGCCACAGTTACTGCTCTTCCTTGACGAGCCAACATCGGGATTGGATAGCCAAACGTCATGGTCAATCCTCGACCTTATTGAAACACTTACAAAGCACGGTCAAGCTATTCTATGCACCATTCACCAACCGTCTGCAATGCTATTCCAGAGATTTGATCGGTTGCTATTTCTAGCAAAAGGGGGTAGGACTGTATACTTTGGAGAAATTGGCGAGAACTCTTCGACATTGTCGAATTATTTTATCTCCAATGGAGGTCACCCGCTGTCACAGGGTGAAAACCCAGCCGAATGGATGCTAGATGTCATCGGAGCCGCTCCTGGATCCCACAGCGATATTGACTGGCCGGAAGTATGGAACAATAGTCCTGAAAAGCGAGCAGTATGCGATCATTTGGCAGAGTTAAAGTCAACACTGTCCCAGCGCCCTAGGGAGTCTGGTACGAAGGATGATTATCGGGAGTTTGCAGCCCCGACATCAGTTCAACTGAAAGAATGCCTTTTGCGCGTGTTCTCCCAATACTGGAGAACCCCATCTTACATCTATTCTAAGATTGTGCTATCCATTCTAACTGCGCTATACAATGGCTTCTCATTTTTTAAGGCCAAAAATACGCAGCAAGGTCTCCAGAATCAGATGTTCAGTATCTTTATGCTTATGACCATCTTTGGGAATCTCGTGCAACAGATCATGCCCAATTTTATTATCCAACGCTCCATCTACGAGGTCCGCGAGCGTCCATCTAAGATGTACTCTTGGCGCGTTTTTATGGCTAGCAATATCCTCGTGGAATTACCGTGGAACTTGCTCGTTGCAATCCTTATGTTCTTTTGTTGGTACTACCCAGTCGGGCTATATAAGAATGCTGAACCAACGGACTCTGTTCACGAGCGTGGTGCACTTATGTTCCTGCTCCTGCTTACTTTTCTGTGGTTTACATCTACTTTCTCGCACATGGTTATTGCCGGCGTCGAAAATGCCGAAACAGGGGGCAACATTGCCAATCTCATTTTTGTCCTGCTATTACTTTTCTGCGGGTTAGTCTCTGTTTTCATTTCTGGGACCTGTCAAAGAGCCCATAGCTAACCATAGGAACCATAGTGTCGTCGCCACCCCGGAAGCCATGCCCAGGTTTTGGATTTTTATGTACCGCCTATCCCCGTTCACGTATCTCGTCTCCGGGATGTTATCCACTGCGGTCAGTGGAACCGAAGTTAACTGTGACCCTATCGAAACACTGAAAGTCGACCCCCCTGGGAATCAAACATGCTATGAGTACCTGAGTGCCTTCGCTGTGAATGCTGGGGGACGGGTTCAGAATCCAAACGCAACAAGTGCATGTGCATACTGTACCATGTCGAAAACGGACGAATTTCTTGCGCACGTCCACAGCTACTGGGGTGATGCGTGGCGCAATTTTGGGCTCATGTGGGCTTACATTGCGTTTAACATTGTGGCTGCTATCGGTATCTACTGGTTGGCAAGGGTTCCCAAAGGAAGCAAGACTAAGGGTAGCGCTTAGCTTGATATCAAGGTTTTGTCGGGACATCACAATCAGAAGGGGCTAATAGAGGAGCTGTATTATTTTTTTGTCGATTCTTGTGTTCCAAATTTTGTCAGCTTTTCTCAGGCATATTTCTTTGTATTTAGAGTATCGTTCACTAGACTGCTAAATTGAATAGACAGGATATCTGCCCTTGGACATTCTCTAGTAGTTTAATTTAGCAGACTCTAAATTGTTTTCTTTTTAGGTATGTTTCGCTAACTACTATGCCTGTTCGAGTGACGCAATTGCATCGCCGGCTGTGGTGGTCCATCTATTATCGGAGTCTTATTTCTCACCGAATTTCATGCCAGCAGCCAATAGAAAGACTTTTATGACACCAAGTTACCCCTGAATAACGATGACGCAGGCTTGTTACCTGAGTGGAGAGAGATAGTTGTCTTTACTGAGATTATCGGCGGTGGTCCAGTACTCGGCATGCGAGATCCGTGGAGGTCCAAAGTGCCTGCTGACTTCACAGTAGATCTATAGTGTCCCAATTTATGCATTAGAATCCATGCGGTTAAAATATTCTCCTATTAATTGCTGACCAGCTGATCTACCCCGTGCTGATGACTTATATTACGACTCGCTCCCTGCTGCAGTTCGACAGTCAAACGCAATCATTTACCACCATGGCTTCTGTCGCTAACCCTGCGTCTATGCAACCAAACCTGTCGATTTGTCTGCCAAATGGCCTGGGACAGAATGGGGGCCGCGTCGACCTGACACATGTTGGTCTGCTGCGGCCCTCGCCTTCCACTCTGCCCTTGGAAGAGATGCGCCATCGGTTTCAGGAAGACGGATACTTGTTCGTGAAAGGACTCCTTCCCCGCGAGGAGGTCCTGGATGTCAGAGAGAAGTGAATTGCCCCTTGACATTATTTGCGGATTATTTTTGGGCTAACTGCTGTGCAGCTACTTCAAGGCCTACGCGGACACCACGTCTCTATTGGCGCCTGGCACTTCCCCGCGTGAGGGGATCTTCAACGCTTCGTCTCATCCTGATTTACACAAGGGCATTGGTGGACAAGGACTGCCATCCGACCCAGTCGAGCACAAGATCCTCGTCGATTCCCATTCCGATCCCACATACCGTGCCTTCATCGAGCACCCGGCCCTGACCCAATTTATCCGGAATCTAATGGGTTGGAAACAGCACATCTTACTTAACCGCACGATGCTGCGACACAACGTTCCATTCGGACAGGGAACTGACATTCACTATGACAAGCTGTTTCTGCGCGGTGGTGCGGGATTCTTCCTCACAGCGTGGGTTCCAATTGGTGCGTCTTTTCATCCTTCGTTGATACTAGGTAGTCAGCCATTGTATTGACTGACCCCAAGGTGACATCGCGGTCAACGGTGGAGGACTTTGTTATCTCTCCAACTCCGTCCCTCTTGGAGAGGCGATTGAAAATGACTTCACCGCCCGTGCTGCAGGCATGACCCCGGAGGAGCGAATTTCTCCGTATAATATGAACATGATGGCCGGAGGGATGATAAGTCCGTCACCGCAGGATTTGTCCGAGACTTACCCCGAGTATAGGCCTCATACGTGGCTGGTCACTAATTATGAGGCGGGGGATGTCGTATTTCATCACCCGTATAGTATCCACGCTAGTGGAAGGAACGAGGATGCTGAGGGGATAATTCGCTTGAGTACAGACCTGCGGTTCTACGAGAAAGGGGACAAGGGGATCGATCAGAGATGGTTCAATATGTGGACCCCAGATGATGGGCTGTAGGTACTTGGACGAAATGTAAATCGAATGGAATTTCGACCGTTTTATTTGGTTGTACTTTGAGTACGTCTGGACCCATTGGGCACATCGGAGACGTTTACCGTATTTGGATCTAGCCAGGACCCGGCGATCTCCACCATTTTCCCATCCTGATCCCACCATCGCACCGAGCATCAAGGCTGGTTACAGTCCTAGTAAATGCGCTCGAGGCGAGAATCTGGTAGGTTATCAGGTGCCGGCCTCGATCTAGGACGGATTTGTGAAGTCGGAATCCTTCATTTGGATTCAGGGTCGCGAATCTAAATCATCACCAAACTCCGAGGACATCATGAATCAAGGGACACTCTTTTAAGACCCGAGGTCTCTGTGCTAAATTCTTGCAGGTGATAACATCGCCCAAAGCGTGGTCGATGCCACAGGTCTGGACAAGATTGCATTCGAGTTGGGTCTCTATTGCAGTTCTTCCACAGCAGGGACGAAGCATCCGCTCCAAATCACAAAACTAGAAGTCCGTTGAGTACTCTACTAGGAGCCGATGATCTCTGATGAACTTGTCGAGTATTGAAATAAATGGCTCTGCTGCTGTCCATGCCCATTTCCCTAGTATGCTTTGAGAAGCCTAATCACAGTCGATCGAATTGTTTCCCAAGATGTGGCACCTGGATGACTGCTACACTGTTGCTATTCAAAGTATCGGATACTAACCTCTTAATTAGTGCGTACAATCCGCACAAGCCTCGTACAGGTTGATTGATTCCACCATCAAGTACATAGGGCGGGAAATTTGCGAGATAGCTCCATCGAACCGGCAGGTATCGACAGCTCTGCTTACTGCTTTGCTATCACAATGCACACTGTGGTAAGAGGTTCACTGTTGCACGGAACAGTAGGCTTTGGTGCGTATCCAGTCAATATGAGCTGGGATAAGAATTATTAGCCGACGGCCGCAATAGAGGAGTGTCTTCTGAAGATGTGGGGACGACAAGATGAAGACCGATCCGCAAAGGTTATTGTTATTAATAGCGTAATAATTAGTTAGTCTCGTCCGTCACAAACTCTCATAGGGGGTGTGGCCCCGATTCAGGCAGACGAAGAATTGTCATTAACTAAATTAGTTTCTTCGATGGGTAGAGACGTAATGGTCTCTAATAATACTCTGTACTCTGTACAAGGCGTAGGTGATGTAGGAGAGAATACTAGAGCGACCTGGGAGCAGTATACTACGACTATTTATTATGATGGATCATATTTGACCTATCACATAGACTTGACATGGCATAAACATTAGTTAAACTTGTTAACTAACAAACATATACCTAATAATAAATTGTGTTCCCCTGACCACACGTATTAACAAAAACACGGACCCCTATAATTCCCACTTCCCCTAAGATTAACCCCTCTCTCACCAGCATATCACTTACAACCACAATTACTTCAAGAGACCCAAAAAAAAAGAGAGAGAGAGAGAGAATAATATACAAAATGCCCCCCAAAAGAAAATCTACAGACACCACCGACCCACTCCCCGAAATCGACAGCGATGACGAACGTCTCGACGAAATCACCTGGAACGCGGACCAAATCCGGCGACTCATCCGCAGCTTCATTGAGTCGGGCGAGATGAAAGTCGGGGAATTCCAACGCGCCATCAATGTGTCGTCTCGCTCATACAGCGAATTCATGAAACACTGGGGTCCCGATAAAGGCTTAGGCTCCGCCACCTACGGGAACGCGTCGCGGTTCTTCAAAAAGCGCGAATTACAGGGTATCAAACCCCCGCGAAAGAAGAGGGCCACCAAGACCGCGGATCCTCTGAAGTATGACGTGTCCGGGGTGCATCTCGACGGTGATGAGGACCAGGATGTCCCTGTGTATGACACTTGTGATGAGCTGCGCAAGAAGATCCAGGCCCATTTGCGTGACCCGGAAAATACGCAGGCGCAATTACTGAGGGATATGGCGAAGGCGGCGAAGCTTGAAGAGGGGAGGAAGTTGTCGTCTAAGTCGTTGGGTGATTTTTTGATGAAGAAGGGACCGATTGCGGGGACGCAGTCGATTATTTTCTACGCGGGATATGTGTTTTTCGAGAAGCTGAGGATTCGAGATGGGAAGTCGAAGTCGAAATTCCGAGAGGAGATGGAGGAGGTTTGGATGAATGGTATAGATAGAGATGTTTCTGACAGGACGCAATTTGTGTGTAGAAGGGGTGCGACACTGGTTGTGAATAAATTTGGACGGGTGGAGGTTCGTTGATGAGGAGGGATTCTTAAACAGAGATTCTTGTATGTACAATATTATTCAATGTATATGATGGAGTACAGTCTGGTAAACAGGGGATCTATATCTATACTGTAATATCGTCACACTCTCTAAGAGATATTGCCTAGTAGGCTTATATGGGTGCTGAAGAGCTATTCAGAGAATGTGTATGATAATTAAGAACGGACCGAGTCACCATAACACTGAGCCATGTCTTGTTAAAACTGAAGTCTTTTGTTAGCAAGAGCTGGTTAATTTCCAATCACCGACTCGATTACGCGTAGCCGTGGTCCAGGCGAGCCAACCCAACATGGTGCTGGCAGGTCCAGTGATGAATGTACTATCCAGACATTCATGGGCTGGATTATGATGGGCTGTGCTTGCAAGGGAGTCTCTGGGAATACTGCAAGAAATCAGGGTAGTTCGAGATGCTTCATCCTCGGTGCATCTCACTAATTACTTTGCCGTTTTCATCAAATCCTTCGAAAATGCCATGATCATGATCCTGTTCCTTTGTCGAAAAACTAAGCCTTGCGATCTTTTTCGTTGGTGGCCATATGATATTATGTCTTTGGGAGGCTGAATCCCACGTCATGCGCGGGACCAGGTTGGATATGCGCCTCCACATTCTTTCCATAAAACGCCGTGTAATCGTATGGGGCCGCCCATTGATATATTTCCTGAACGTGGGGTCTTTCTGCGGTCCATCCGTCAAAAATGTAGCATCGAGGGAGGGAGCCGGCTCCGAACGAACTCCAACAGGCTTCCTCTTCTTAGGGGGTGACCATGGTACAGTTTTCGAGATCAAGCCGTCTAAAATTCTGAGCTCGGCATCTGGAAGCGGCGGGAGAAGGTTTTCAAGCGCTTTATAGTACCACTTTTTTCTAATCCTTGCACGCCGGCTTGCAGAGAGTGGTTTTCCCCAGCTGTTCTCCGTGGGAATTACTGGCGCAAGTTCTTTGATCTGACGGATGTTCAATTGTCCCCCCACACCGCTATGCCGTTGTGATCTGAGGAGGTCCATCATAATCGAAGGAGGCATCCAGCCGTCCTCAAACATCGCCGGTTTTTGAATCATGTTTTCGACCGCTGAGTGGTCCGTTGGGAGCTCAGGAATAAGCATCGCAGTCAACAGTTCCCTTCTCTTTCTCCCCTTCCGCCCATAGGATAACCGAAGGACCTTTTCTAGGGGCCGAATATACCCTTCGTTTGCCCTTTGTAACAAACATAGTTTCTCGTGAGCTGCTCTCCGAAGAGCGGTTTGTCGGCGGGGATCGTTGCGCCATTTGGCTCGAGGGTCATAGGAGGCCTGCCGAAAACGCTGGACAACGTAGTCATGCATGGTAGCTTTGGCGATAGGATCAGAGAGATAGGAGCATTCACGGAGTAATGCGCGGTACATATGGCGCCATTGCGGCGCGGATATCGTAGCCATGGTGAGAGGGCCAATGTCCTTCAGGTCAGGCCAAAGTAGTTCCATCAAAATGAGGTGGAAGAAATTCCAAAAAGGAAATTCATCTTGGGCGGTTACGCGAAAACGGCGCTAATCCCGAAACGCGCCGAAAGACCCCACAACATTCCTCTTTCTCTTCATCGTATGTTCCTGCGCCTCTCCCCGATCGATGACCGGCTAACATGGTCTGAACACGACGATTCGGCTCCTTCTTGACATCTCCATCCATCCATTGTGATATTAGTTGACTGGTTAGCTGGCATTTGCCCCGATCCGCTTGTCCTGTCTCCCGTTCGCGAATCGTGCGCTAGCCACGCGCTCTCGTCTCGCGACTTTCCCGGCAGATCTCCTAGGATAGGTGCATTTTCCCCACATGCTTCCATCCTCCCTGTCTCTTCGATTCTTTTCGACAGTGATGCCATTCAAGGAGCTAAGATCGTCATCCACTGTACTAACACTTAAGTTATTCCAGGTTTATGTGAACAGTGACTAGGCTGCGGCTCCTGTGCCATGGCTTCCAACAACCGCGCTCCACATCACGGCTTACCGATGCCCTATTCTCACAGCAGTATCGCATCTACAAATGGCATGGCATTTTCTCAATCACAGATGGGCTCCTTCAATGCTTCCCAATCTGTGGCTTCTACCCCCAGGGATACCCCTCCCCCGAAAGGATCGCAGCAATCTACCATGTCCTTTGGTTACCCGAACGGTCTGCCGAATGGTTCTAGGGGAAGTTTTGGTGGGTTTGAAGAAATGACTAGCTACGGAGCAATGATCCAATACCACGATGAGTTTAAACCTCAAATCTACAGGGTTTGCACTCCTCTTATCCCTGGATTCCTGACTCCCCTGCTTACTTTGCTCTTTTTCCTCCAACGGTAGGCCGTCTACTCGAATGTGTCCGTCTACGAAATGGAAGTCAATGGAGTTGCTGTGATGAAGCGTCGCGCAGATTCCTGGTTGAATGCCACCCAGATTCTCAAAGTTGCTGGCGTTGTGAAAGCGCGACGGACCAAGACGCTAGAAAAAGAAATAGCGGCCGGCGAGCATGAGAAGGTCCAGGGAGGCTACGGTAAATACCAGGGGACTTGGGTTAATTACCAAAGGGGGGTGGATCTTTGTCGCGAATACCATGTCGAAGAGTTACTGAGACCCCTTCTCGAATATGACATGGGCCCGAATGGTGCTACCGGCCCTTCTCAGGACACGTTAGACACGCCTACCAAAGAACAGGCGATGGCTGCCCAGAGAAAACGTCTCTACAGTGGTATGGATAATCGCGGTTTGGCTCAACCTCAGCAGGGCACGTTCTTCCAAAATATATCGCGCACGGCGGCTACGGCCGTTAATGCCATGAGTAAAGCCCGCTTCGACTCACCCGCAGCGCGCAGTGTGGAGGGAAGGCGGTCCAGTGTTATCCGGAAGCCACCAAACCAGATGGGCAGTCAGGAATCACAGATCCCTTTCAGCAGTCAACAAAGCATGTACAGTGTGGCATCCGATAGTGGGTTTGGCAGCAACCTGCAGAATAATGGTCGGTATCCTGCCGCTGATACCGCAACCTTCGAGCATGACGAGTCTATGGAACCTCCTCGCAAGCGCGTCCGCTCTTCCTCAAACCATGCACACTCCCTTAGCCTCGGCTATGAGCCTTCATCATTGTCCATGAACGAGCCGACACCGACGGAGCCCAATGATTCATTCTACCAGGATATGGATATCTCGACCTTGGAGGTTGACAGTAACAAGCGGGGCACGGAGCCTCTCCTTCCGGCCACAACTCCGGAGAGATTTCAGAAGATGAAACTGATCATGACCCTGTTTCTGGACAAACGGACGAAGGATTTCTCTACCCACCCTGCCCTGATGCAGCTCACCGGTGAAGATCTTGAGATCCCGCTTGATGAATATCGCAACAACGCTTTGCATTGGGCAGCGATGCTTGCACGGATGCCCTTGGTTCATGCTTTGGTCGAGAAAGGGGTGAGCATATTCCGGCTCAACGGAGCAGGCGAAACGGCGCTACAGAAATCGGTTGGAACACGGAACAACCTTGATTACAGGAGCTTCCCGCGGTTGCTACAAGTACTAGCCCCAACCATAGACATGGTGGACTACAGTGGACGAACGATCTTGCATCATATCGCGGTCATGGCTGCTACAGGGGGTGGAGGTCATGTGTCTGCCAAACACTACCTCGAGGCTTTGCTGGAATTTATAGTTCGGCATGGTGGTACATCATTAAGCCAGCAGGCTCTTAATGGGCCTTTGGAGAACGATCAGAGCACATTGAACGGAGAGGTCATCACTTTGGGTCGGTTCATTTCGGAAATCGTCAACCTACGGGATGACCAAGGAGACACGGCGCTCAATCTAGCCGGACGTGCGCGTTCTGTCCTTGTACCTCAGCTTCTGGAAGTAGGCGCAGACCCTCATATACCCAACCACACAGGTCTTCGACCAGCAGATTATGGCGTGGGGGTAGATATGGTTGATGGCAACTTGCAGTCCTCGCAGACTGGAAACAAGAACGATTCTTTCATCGACCAGCTCGCCAAAACAAAGAAAGAAATTCTGGATGGTAAAGACTGTCCCCGACAATACAAGTGTGTCATACTGACTTTCATGCAGCAACCATGGCTGAGATCAGCTCGATAGTACAGGAAACACTAGGTACCATTGACAAGGAGCTAGCCGCGACGTTAAACCAAAAGCAAGAGAAGTTCGAGCACTGGCATTCCCGAATCCGCGAATCCGCAAAGGCTCGACAGATCGAACAGAAGCAACTCGACGACCTTAAGCGAAAATCGTCGGACCGTGTAGAGCTGGGTAGGCGGTTGAAGAACCTAGAAAGGTCAACCGAAGACCTTCTAGCAATTCTAAAAAATACCCATGGCGAGTCATTCGATGCGTCGAAACACGCCTCTATCGGTGACGCCGACAAAGATTCAGGCATTGACATTTCTGAATTTGAAGCTGTTTTCCCTGAAATATTTGACCCAGCCTCCGGATTCTCGGAGCAGCAGGCTTCCTATCTGAAATCCTTAGGATCACCCGAGATTCTGCAACAACGGATAAACTGCTACCAAGATTTTAACGAGGAGATATTGAACGAAGTGGACCTTCTCAAGTCCAAGAACGTGGTGCTGGGTCAGAACTACCGCCGAATGGTCATGGCTTGCACAGGCTGGACCGCCGAGCAAGTGGACGAAGCGGCTGAAGGCCTCACGCAATGCGTTCGGGAGCTGAATGAGCACCCAGTGCCTGAGGATGAGGCTATAGAAATCCTAATGAAAGACCGGGGTCAGGATTGGTAGCATGAAAGCTCTCCCCTCATACATACGCAGCGGTCCGGTGGTTTTTTTTTTTTTTTTTTTGGGGGGGGGGAAACGACATAGACACGTTTAAATTTTTTTGAACCAGTACGAAGCAGCGTTGTTTATATGGGGCTCTGATGTTCTACTTTGTATCCTTAGTATATGTTTATACATCCATGTCCGTAGTGCAGATACCCTAATGGCACATAATAGATTAATAATTTCGATAAATTCATTCCCTTCTCTCTACCAATGAAACCAACTCCCCAGCCATAGAATAATGTTTTAATCCCGCTACCGGGGTCATGTTTCTTCAGGATATTATTGAGCCCCCCCATTCCCCTCTACACATACTCATCGAAATGGAAGCTCCGCGCCAACCCCTCCAATTCCACCTCGTCCATATCCCTAAACAACTCCGCAAACTCATCCATAAACGTAGCCGCCAAAACCGCCTGTAACACCGCCCGCAGCACATGTCGCTCCATATTCCACGGCGAGGACACGTCTCTTTAGCCGGAGGACACCTTATCAATCCATTCCAACAACGGTCCCAGGACTGCCTTCGGCTCCGAAGAGGGCATCCTATCCCATGCATCAAGCCATAGCTGACTCTTCTTCTCCAGGAAGAGCCGGGTCATCTTATTCCATTTACTGTCTGGACTCGTGTGGACCATCTCTTGTAACCCGATATCTTTGTATAAGCAGATCGACCAGCGTATGTTGTACGTATCGTAGATGCGGAGCTACTCGTTGAGTAGATTGTTGTATCGTTCTTGGTTGATGGTTGAGGCATATGAGGTGAGATGGTCGGCTTATACAGGACCGAATTCGCCGTTCAAGATCGCTGTGTCGTGGTGGTTCATGAAGGCTCCTTTGCGCGGGTTCTGTCGTTCGATTTGGACCTTTAGTTCCGGGGGTTCCTTTGTATCATTCCCCAGTGGAGAAGCCATACTCTAGAGAATGGGATAGTCAGGGTTTCTATACTCTAAACAACAACGAAATGCTCGTGAAGAAGAGAAGGATAGGACAAGACTCGTACCGAGTAATCATGCATTGAGTATACACAATTCGGAAGAAACCGATCAAACCCCCTCCATTCCATAGCAAAGGTATTCCCATCCAGCCAGAAAATATGACCCGGATCGACGGTACGGATAGCTCTCTCGATTCCCTGGTAGAACGCGGGCAGACGAAACCTAGATGTTGGATCCGTATCGAGCTGTGATCTGCTCCCATAGCCAGATTGTGCGGCCTTTGTGGTTCTTGTAGTCCCGGAAGGCGACGTAACTGGTTGGATTATAGGAATGCCAGTCACTGTTTTGGCCGCCGGGGACGGTGTGCATGTCTAGGATGATGTAGATATTGTGGTTTGCGCATTTGGTCTGGTAAGTGGGTTTGTTGCATTAGGGAAGTGGGGAGACGCACAAGATCAATTACTCGTTCTAAATGCTTGAATCCAGATTCTCTGAGAGCCATCGGGTTCATGTCATCGTCCAGATGAAGATAGTTAAACGGAATTCGAAGACAACTCAGGGAACTAGACCTGCGAAGAACCTGCATCCGCTTCGGTGAAGCACTCTAGGAATTTGTCAAAATCATACTTTTCAGGATCGAGAACCTTACACATAGCCGCTCGATGCTAGGTCTTGTAGCCTAGGTATCCCGTGATAAAAGCTCTCCATACCGTATTGGTTAGCCATGGATGTACGGAGTACAGTTTGACATTGAGATAAGATCGTGCATACTTGGTCCATCCTCCTATGGCTGCGCCACAAAGGATCTCAGTGCTATTGTTGTCTTCGATTTTGTTGCCGTTGACTTTGAGAATGCTGGTAGTCCTGCTGGTGGGTTGGTATTTCTTCGGTAGGGAATGTACTCCGTAGACAGACTGATATTGAAGGTATGCGGCCACTGGGCCTTTTCATACGGATGAATCATGGCAAAATCCATTTTCTTCTAGCCTCTGGATGTAGTTACGATGCTAAGGGCGGGGTAATGTTGATGAGAAGTGTGGCTGTTGCAATGTGCCTGGCCAATGGAATGTTCCCTTGTAAGCTCCAAGCAGAAAGACATATCTCGGCTATATGAGCTCCTACATAGGTCCTGTCAATGCTATGTAAATTCTTGCCCCAGATATACCTGCAGAGCTGACTTAGCCCACCTCTATTGAACGGAGCTGTCTTTCTCTACATAGATAGCTATATACAATTAATTCTATAAACTCTTAAATATATAAACCAAATCATGTTTCTAACTTAGTAAAATTAGGGCTACGCTCGATCGTCTACTGTATTTCTAGAGATTTAACTCACTCCTCGGAGTTCTTCTATTCTTCTCATTTAGATAATATAAAGGATATCTATTTTCCTTGCATGATGGTACTCTAAAAGTGGTTACACCAATTGTCAATGTTTGATTGCAATGCGGGGTTTAATTCTGCGGCTGGGCAGGTGAGCAATATAAGTACAACCCTTGTGCCCCTTATTTCGGCTTCTCCTTTATTCAGACCACAGTGTATTAAGTGTAAGCCTTCTTTCTTTTTATCACATACATTTTATGTTTACACTACTTGCCATGAAGAAACTCTTTCTGTGATCTGTCTCCATGAGCATTGTTATAGCATAATCATACAATTAAGCAGATTCAGATGCGATCCCTTGAATAAAACATACTCTTTTTTGAATGTGGACCACACTAACTGTGAACTACCGATCTAGATTAATCTCGAGTCCCTTGCTGATCGGAAATGAGTGTATCGAACCCTCGTTATTTGCGTCAAGTAGTAATTATACAGGTCCGGATGGTTATTACTACGAGATAACCAGAGCACAACTAGAATAGTACACCAGTATGCAGAACTCCCCAACCACGGTCAGCGTTTCATCAATCATTTATCGCGTTCACCCTCAAATCGAGCGTCACCCTTTTCCGGATCATTTTCAGTGCACTCATCCCTCGTGCCATGCGCGGATGCTGCAATATCGGAATCATTCGCTACATCGAAATTCCGCCCTAGATATTCCGGTCCCAAAAAGGTCATCAAAATCGTATAGCCGTACACACACCCCATAAAGATGCAGATGACTTTGCCGTATTGATAGCGATGTTTTTCTTTCTCCGTTGGTGGCAGCGGGAAGCGCTCTCCGATCGTAGACTCAATAGTTGAACTGGCTGACGAGACAAGATTTCCCAATTGATAGGCGGTACCTACGGCGAAAGTACGAATCGCTCCGGGCGACAGTTCCATCAGGTGGATGGGAATTACTCCCCAGGCACCCTGTACGCAAAACTGTTCAAAAAAGGCGGCGGCCATGACGTTGGTCGAGGTGACAAACGTGTAGGGGTACAGAAGCGCTCCACCGACTATACTGATCGCAATGATAGAGAAGCGGCGCCCAAAGATCTGACTTGCCCAACCGCACAGGGTGCCGCCGGTTAGGGCTCCAAGGTTGGCAACAACCTGCGTAACGGTGACCTTGTTAGGAGAGAAGCCGAATTCGCTTTTCACTAGAGTTGGATACAAGTCTTGAGACCCATGGGACTATACAATATCGAATTAGATGGGCTGAATCCTGGGGGGTAAGGCATCTGGGTTGCAAGAGCTCACCATGAAATTAAACCCGGCCATTAGCAAGACGAGATAAATCAGTAGCAGCCAGTGTCGCTTGACAGCTAACTTGCTCTGCTGAAGGAACTCTGATGTCTTTCCACCCACACCATTTTCTCGAGTTGCCTGGCGCTCCTGGAATGCCTGGGTTTCGGGGAGGAAAAAACGAAAGAGTATGATCAACACGGGGGGACAAGCACCAAACCAGTACAACGGCCTCCACCCGTGCGAGGTTGTATCCACCAATGCGCGCGCAAATGCGGTGGCTAGCAGATAGCCAAATGCATATCCTTGTTGAAGCAGACCCGATACAATGCCGCGCGCCTCTGGGGGGCAGTCCTCCAATGCCGTGGCCGCAGCATTTCCATAGAGACCACCCATGGCTATTCCGAAAAGAGCCCGACAGGCTAAAAACTGTTGGTAGGTATTACAGAATCCCGTGCCTAGCTCCAACACGATGAACAGAACATTGTTGATGATGAAAGGCCATTTCCGACCCCAACGATCGGAGGCAATTCCAAACGTGATCGCACCGACCGACCGGAGCATTAGCACTAGGGTAATCCCCCAAGTAATGTCGGATATAGACTTGCCAAAGGTCTCTGCCAGCTGTGAGGTTGTGAGGGAGACCGTGAAGAAATCAAAGGCATCCCAGGACCAGCCAAGGAACGCGACCTAGAGAAGTGTTACACGAGAAGAGATGAAATTCATTCTAGGAACCCACCAAGAAGAAGAGCCATTGCTGTCGATTGAGAAGACGGAGGGCACTAAACGGATTGGGGGCCTTATTCATGGGTGGTACCAACGTAGGCAGCCGCGTGAGGAGATATTTGCTCATACTGGCCAAAGTGACCTCTTGCGTCTCATGGCTCGGGGGTGACATAGTAGAAGCACCGCCTTCAGGCTTGGATCCCGGGGTATTCGCCATTTTTTAGGATGCTGTCTTCGAAGGAAATAGTAGACAAAGTGGATAGGATGAGACCAGGTAGTCTCCCCTCGCGAGGGGACTGCTGGACGGGAAGAGGAAAGAGAGAAAAGGAAAGAGGCACACGGTTGAGACAGAGAAAAAAAAAATTTCCCCAAATGTCTGGGCCGAAGCTGTTTTAAATCTTGGACGTAGATGTAAATAAAAATAAGGGAAAAAGGAAAAAGTAAAAGTAAAAAAAGAAACTTCCCTAATGACCATGAGACGAATTTCTGTACCCCGCAAGAATCCTTTGCCAGCTACTGGCGCTGTCAATTGGTTTCCCAATGGAGGCCTGAGCCATGCCTTAAGAGTCTAGACACCTTAGGCGACTGGTAGATGACGGATCTGGTGCATGTACCAGGCTGTCCCGATAAAGTGTGGACCCTTATAATCCGCCCTGGTAGTTCGATAAAGGGATCGAATTTTGAGGCATAACCCTTATTCCTTCTTTTATGAAAGAAAGGCAGAAAAAGACTGACAGCGCATAGAATGTCATAAATGCTCAAGCACGAGAACGATGGATGGACATACACACTTCTCAATGTGGATATGCTAAGCTTTTCCTCCAGATAGATGCCAAGAATCTCTCCACCTTTTCCCTTTCCCCAGATTCTGGTCAGCTATTGGAATGCGATTGATTCATACTTGACTTGAACATCGACATTGTCGCTTCACATTTTCATCTTGTTTGATGTACTTGAGCTGACTCGTCGATATCCACCCCAAGCTACGGTAGCTAGTCGGACTCGGGGTCCAGTTCTACCCCCGGTCGCGGGGTACTCCAGAGTCCTCCGTAAGCCACTAGCAAACTAGGCTATAACCAACATCCATTCTGGTCGTATAGCCAGCGAATGAATGGTTGATGTCAATCCCACAAGACCCATTCTGGACTGGATGACCCGGACTTTGCCCGATATTACCTGCTATAACAGAGATTTTGATTGTGTCGTGACGGTCAGGTGGCGATGACTATCTACATGGACTAATGCAGGACAACACAGTGGACCTTTATAATAGCGCACAAGTCTCGTCTGCCATATGAAAGGGAACAATATCCCCGAATCTATAAATCATGGCGTCGAGTTGAAAGTTTTTTGTGGTTGCGAATATGGTCCAGACTGCCTGCAGGTCTTGACTGTCTTGGCTTCATTGCTCCAAGGAACTTCGGAAAGCTTCTCTGGACCCACGGAATACGAAGTGCAATCATAAAATTCTGATCATGCTAATTATTTGTTACGTCAGCCACTTTACCCTGAGTCTTACATATTAGGAAATTATTTTTAAGGTATTGTTTCAGAGCTTTGTTCAGTCTCTTGCTTCACTCCTCTTAATTTCTACTCCTATAAAATGTGAAGAGCTTTACAAGTTGCCCCAAATGCTCCTTTCCTGTTCCCTCACATTTACAAGACGGGTGTATATGAAGCTTGATGTATTTGGAGCTTGTGGGTATAGTCTTCATAGGTCTACCACAGAACCAACATGTGTCTAACTGTTCTCGAAACCTGCTAAAATTATCACAAAAATAAATATTAATTTCTCCGGAGAGCTCGAAGACAGATCTGAATTTAGCTGAAAGGCGCAGGGGTGTTTATAGACCCGTACATACACGGGGGGAAACTCAGAGGAACTTGCTAGGCCCTCCAGGGTATATTGGAAGTTTTATGTAAATCTGTCATGTTTAGACAACTTCATGTTCACTTCATTGCAATATGGGACTGGACAGGCTCTTGGTGGTAGTATAGCACTTTTCTGTTTGGTTTTCCTCTTCTATTTTCCCCTGTAGTCGGCACACGCATACCCCTTTTAAGCATTCTCTGGACATCCCACCAAGTTTTAGCAAGTAACCTAGATTAGTGTCATTTGTTTCGTCTGGGATTTCCCATATTGAGAACAGACAATGGCACTGTCAATCGAGAGGCAAAATTAGTACATCTTAAACAGGGTTTAAAACAGAAACTAAGCGCAATAAGATATTGTTCTGAAATATTTTATAATCTGGACAATAAGCTTATTTTTTCATGGTGGATGAAATTATCTCCTTAAAACATGAAACAAGAGGAAGAGTAGATTCATCAAGGCTAAGGCATTGTCTTATAAAAGGATGAACATGCAGGCCTTTACGAATGTGTCTTTGGTCTCGCTGCATATACACACCGGAGCCAGGCACTCCAGCAATGGTGGGACTGAGACAATTTTCCGCTTTGGGAGGCGGTAGAGAGTGCCTAGTCACATGATATCCATACATCCCCTCCATGAATGGAGTCTGTCGAGGATTAGGGCTGGTGGAGAATATGGAGTATAATGTTGAATTGATAGATGCATAGTCTAGTGATCCTCTAATTTGTGAATTGTGTGATCACCACCTGTCAGAGTTGAACCGCACACTCTGATACAGTAAACCAGTTCTCCCAGTTATACGCATTCCGGAAAAGGAAGGGTGCCGTCTCTCCTTTCCGGATCTTCCACTTCCACCCATGACTTCATGACCTTGCGATCCGCTCTTGTATGAGGGAGTGGTAGAGATCTCGAAGTATGCCGAAGGCCATGCAATGCCCCTTGCAACTGGATGTGTCTACTGTGTAGGTACATTGTCGTCGACGATCGAGCCCCGTAACCCCGTGCCGAGTGCATCCGCCAAGCCCGTGCCGTCTACGTATCGCTCGCTCTCGGTGGTTGGTTTATCGTGGTGCTTCAAATCAAATCATTCTGCTCAACCTCACCTCTTCCCTGCCGGGAGATCGACTCCATTACTTTTATCTTGTCTGCATCTTCTCCCCTCTCCTTTTCTTCTGATCTATACACTGGTATTACTCTCTCTCCTTTTCAATCCAATTTCCCCTATCCTTCTTCCCATTGGCCTGACCCTCGTTCGTTCTTGATTTCGGTGGCCGATCAATACAAGGAAGCCAAAAAAAAAAAAAAAAGGGCTCGACTAACCACCAGCTTCTTTCATTTTAGTTCACCCACCGATATTCCTTCAAGACCCAGTCACTTCCATTATCATACGGCGTTTACGTTCGCCAATCCCTGCCTCCTTATCGATCGATCTCCCCTTACGGCCGCTAAAGATCCCTCCTGCCGACTTTGAGATCCTAGTATTCATCGGAACCCCCCAACGTACTGGATGAGTACTGCGACCTCCGTCTCTTCCAATGCACAGACGTTCGTCTGGCTCGCCTGTTGAGGATGACGCTGAAGATTCCTTGGCCTCTGGAACTACAAATGAACCAAGTTTTTGTCCCAATGTTGTCGACTCACCGGAAAAATCGCGTCCGCATGTAGCCCGAACAGGCTCCAGTTTTGACCTCCGTCGGGATACCTCAGGCGTGCCAACCCCGCGTTCTAGAAACTCGAGCATGTGGAGGACACCGTCGGCGGCCACGTCGACAACCAATTTGGGCAATATTGATCTGAAATCGTCCCCCGTCATGATACCACTGGCCTCCCAGCGACTACCGATAGAACCATCATCCGACACCCAGTCCCAATCTCGGCCATCCCGACTCCGGAGTCCGTGGCCATGTTCCATACTGACTGCGTTCACCACCCTCCTCGCTTCCATAGTCCTCTTCTTTATTCTCCGATCGTTCTCGGATCGTCAGATTGGGGGAGCTGGCTGCGGCATACCTGTCATGAGTCCGTCATTCCTTCATATGGTGGGGTTTGATACGGAGCACACGCGCTTTGCGAGCAAGTATAATCTATATTTGTATCGAGAGCAAGGTATCGATCCATACACTCATGAGAACCTCGGGGTAAGCCTTCTACTCCCCTCTACTTCCCTCTTCCTCTAGCGCCTAGGCGTTCTAACCAAAACCTTGTGTCACTGTAGCTAAACGGCGTCCCTGTATTGTTCCTACCCGGAAATGCTGGTAGCTATCGACAAGTCCGATCCTTGGCCGCCGAAGCGTCAAGGCACTACAGCGATGTCATCCGCCACGACCACGAGCGCCTGGCGACCGGTACACGGAGCTTGGATTTCTTCATGATTGATTTCAACGAAGACATGGCTGCTTTTCACGGACAAACCCTTGTGGACCAAGCCGAATACGTGAACGAAGCAGTGGCTTATATCTTCTCACTCTACCATGACCCGAGGCGGTCCTGGAGGGATCCCGAACTTCCAGATCCCAGCTCTGTCATCCTCGTGGGGCACTCCATGGGAGGCATTGTCGCGCGCACAGCTTTGACCATGCCAAACTATCAAGCGAACTCGGTCAACACCATCATCACCATGTCCGCTCCCCACGCTAAGCCTCCTGTTTCATTTGAATCAGATATCGTTCATACATACAAAAAAATCAATGATTATTGGCGCGAGGCATATTCCGAGACCTGGGCCAACAACAACCCCCTATGGCATGTAACTCTCATCTCCATTGCTGGCGGGTCCCGCGATACAGTGGTTCCCTCGGATTACGCCAGCATATCGTCTCTCGTCCCAGAAACCCACGGTTTCACCGTCTTCACGTCCACTATTCCCAATGTCTGGATAGGAATGGATCATCTGTCAATCACATGGTGCGATCAATTCCGGAAAGCGATCATCAAGTCCTTGTTTGAAGTTGTCGACGTGCGACGTGCCAGTCAAACAAAGCCGAGAGCACAACGGATGCAGGTTTTCAAAAAGTGGTATCTGACGGGATTAGAGCCTGTGGCTGAGAGGACTCTTTCACAGAAAGGTATTCTTCTCCTTTCCCCCAATTTTTGCGTATAGTTCTTGTCGGTAGAAACCTGATGATGTCAATCACATAGTACCCAATACTCTTCTAACCCTTGAAGGCCAAGCCAACACGATCTTGTCACAAGGTCAACGACTCACTGTCCGTGAGCTGGGCCAGCGCACGGGTCCGAACGTATACCTGATGCCCATTCCCCCACAGGGAGTGTCCGGGAAAAAGTTCACCCTCCTTACAGATCAGCCCTTCGAGAGAATCGGGAGCCAGGGCAACCTCGAGGTCCTCTTCTGCACCGTGTTCCCCCCACACGATGGAAAACCTTCGAATGTGCTCTCCATGAACATGGAATTTTCCGGGGATAGCGTGGGCTCTACCCATCTTGCATGCAAGAACGCTGCCGATGACAGCATCCACCTACCAGCATCAACACCTTCCTCTAAGCATGCTTTTGACCGAGCCCAGCCATTCTCCTATCTTCAGTATGATCTGGAAGATCTAGCGGAGCATCAGTTTGTGGCGGTTGTCGATAAAACTCATGCGCCTACCAAGGGCTGGGTGCTAGCTGAATTTTCGGATAGCTCGGATGCTGTCATCAGGGCTCGAATCGGACTAGGAAGCCTACTCGGTGCAGGGTTGAAGGTGAGACTACCAGCAAGCCGCCCTATGCTCACTGAGGTGAAGATTCCCGCTTTGCACTCCAGCTTGCTGGATTATAAACTCAAGATAGTCCAACGAGACCACAAGGGTCAGCAGGAGCTCTTTGCTCCACTATTACGGCAGTCTATTCCGGATCCGCACGAGTCCAAATTCTTCATCAATGTGAAGGAGGTTAGCGTGAATCTGCATGGATTGGCACCCTTTATGCCTCCCCCACTTCGTGACCAGGCAGCCTTGGGTGGGGTGTCCTTTCAGCTATGGACAGACCCCAGCTGTGGTTCCACGGTAGATATCTCCTTGACGGTGGACATTCTCGGCAGTCTCGGAGAGTTGGTAATGCGCTATCGCACGGTTTTTGCTACATTCCCTGTTCTTGTCATCTCTCTGGTCCTCCGAAAGCAATTCCAGGTGTACGACGAGACTGGCTACTTTATCACCTTTGCGGAGGGTTTGGACCGAACGTTGAGATCGTCCTTGCCTGCTCTGTTGCTCTCCATGTCCCTTCTGGCTTCGTCTCTGGCGACTTCCAAAGCGTTGCCATCGAGCGACGATCCGTTCCATTGGCGTACGAACTCCACGGAGTCCCCAGTAGATTTTACTAAGAACGACTTGCTTTTGGGCTCGCAAGACTCGTTCTTCTGGTTCTTAGTGCCTTTGTTTGGTCTGATCAGTGTCGGGGTCTGCGTTATCGTCAACTATATGGTCCTTGCCCTCCTCTCAACATTCTCTTCGATTTATGGAGTTTTGAAGAGCAAATCAGGTTATATCCGGCGCGATGATAAAGGGTAAGCCCTCTGGCCAACCTTGTATTTCGAAGTATTATTACTAACCCCGTAAACCCCAGAAGCGTGCCTATCTTCTCGGTCTCTACACCAAGACGACGGCTGATCAACACGATCGTCCTGTTCGTTCTCGTGTCAACGGCGATCCCTTATCAGTTTGCATATATGGTAGCATGTATTGTTCAGTTAGCAACATCCGTCCGGGCCCAATGGCATGCCAAGGAGACTGTATGATCCATGAAGTCTTCAATTACTTGCAGACAACCTGCTAACAATCACAGAAATCTACTACACATTACAACTTTGCCAACTATACCCATTCGATCTTCCTTTTCATGCTGTGGATCCTACCCATCAACATCCTTGTCCTCCTTGTGTGGGCTCATAATCTGGTTGTGCATTGGTTTATGCCGTTCTCATCACATCATAATGTTTTCTCCATAATGCCGTTCATACTCCTTGTTGAAGCGATGACTACTGGAACAATAATCCCCAGAGTCACCACACGGTACGTCTCTTCGCCCCAGCGGGGATTCATTTTAAGCCAACCATAAATCTAACGGACCTAGACTTAAACATATCACATACGTGCTTTTCTTTTCCATTGCGATCTACTCAGCAGTATATGGTGTTTCATATGCCTACTTACTCCATCATCTCGCTAATATCATCGCCGCCTGGCTGACTGGGGTCTACCTTTTCAACAGCGGCTTCTCTATCCGACGATTTTGGCGAATAGTAGAAGGAGACGAAATGACGCACAGCACCTCCAAACTAGGGAGTTACATGAAGAAAAAACCATAATCAGCTCCATTATCATTTTCCCCTACCCCTTAGCAGCATTTCCCCTTTCATTGTCTATCTTATATTATCTTCTCTGTTGCATTTTCAGTCTAAGTCAGACCATACTTTATTACGGAGTTCACTACTGGAGCGGTGTTTGGCTTTGTACAAGATTTTATATCCCTTATTTGATGGAGCATTACCATATCTCTCACGAGGTGTACGGCATTATTACAATTAGATCAACAACCTTGTCTTACCATTGACTGCGTTTATCGCTGCACTTTTTAACCATCTGTATATACGGTTGGATCTGGATATAGACTTCCGTGGCCAGGAATACCATGTAGGCAGATCATAGAGTTAAGGCGAGGAAATATACATAATACCTTCTCTCCAGCTGACTGCAATTATAAATTTACCTAGTTACACTATAATACATGACAGGTCCAGATCAGATAGATCCATCCATCTAATTTAGTTGGAAACAGGTCCTACCCTCACCGTCTCTCGTTCCTGCAACTTCGCAAACTTCGCCAGAGTATCATCATGCCGTTTTCGTGCCTTCATATGTGCCTCGAATCGTTTCTTCCCTCCAAACTTCAACTTTGTGATCAGATCCGCCGCCTGGCCCCTCGTCAAATGCCCATTTGAAATCTTCCCTTTGCGGATCCGCGCCCGGTTCAAAAACTCCACCTGGGACCCGGTGGCCGAATGCTGTCGCCAGGGCTGACGTGCGGAGACATATCGGTCGTCGAACTCGCTCGCCGCAAAGGTATCGGCCGCGTGCACGGCGGATTCGAAACTCTCTGCTGAGGCGATCAGGCGCGGTCGAGTGTACTGGGGTTTCTCAGAGGTGGGGGAATTAAATTTGGTGACGTGGTAGACTGTCCATGGGGGTGTTTCTGGGTCTTTGGTGGCGCTGGGGTCCTTTTGGATGGTTACCCAGCCGGATGAATCTGAGAGGATGTATCGGTCTTCACCGACACGGACCCATGCATAACGACTGAGGGATCGGATGTGTTTTTCGGATTTCATGTCGTGGATGAGGTCGTAGATGGTGTCGTATTTGGTGAAGGTTAGTCTGATTTCGTCGGATGGGTTGGAAGGATCTGATTGGGATAGGGATGGTTGTTGTTCATCGGATTCGTCAGGGGGTGCTATTTGTTTGTGTTTCAGATCTTGCGGTCTGGTTTTGTTGAGCACTTCGTCGGGATGTAGACCGAATAGAGTTGGAGTGCAGAGAACACCGGTGTCCAGTGTGGCCACCATATCGATGATATGGCAGTCTTTCTTGCCCGGGTAGAGTCGCAATCCTCGACCGATCATCTGAATGAGAAGATTCCGGGATCGAGTGGGCCGCGCTAGTAAGACGCAGTCGACGTTGGGAATATCCGTACCTTCGGTGAACAGGCCACAGTTTAGTAGAACGGGGAATTGTTGGTTTTTGAAGGCATCCAGCTGCTCGTCACGTACAATCTTGGGAGTACGCGCCGTGATATACCGAGCATCGAGACCAGCCGAGCGAAACGCCTCGGTTAGGCGTTTGGTGTGTTCGATGTCGACGCAAAACACCAAAGTGGATTGGCGGTCCTGCGCATTGGCGAGCCAGGCACGCACAGTGATGTCGTTGGTGATCGACGTGTTAACAGCTTTGGAGAGAGAGCCGACGGCAAAGTCACCGAAGCTGTCCTTTTTGACGCGAGACAGGTCCGCATGTGACTGTACAGTGGTGAAGACAGTGTTGGCAAGCCACTTATCATCAATCATGTCCATGTAATCTTTGTGATAGACGATGTGATCGATTGCGCTGCCCAGTTTCAAGCCATCGAATCGCGACAGCGTCGCTGACACCCCAACGAGCACGGGAGAGTCCGGTGAAGTCTCGTTAAGACTGAAATACTCGAGAACAGTTCGATAGGACGGCGCGACAATATGGTGGGCCTCGTCCACAAGGACAAGCTTGAAGCGACTTGGATCAAACTTTGCTATTCTGTCGCGAGATATGAGACTCCGAACGGACGCAACGACGATATCCGCTGCCCCAGAAGCGACATTACTGCCCATCTCAATCTCGACGGTCCGATCCGGGTATGCGAGACGGCAGTGTCGGGCTGCTTGCTCGACAAGCTCGCGTCGATGAACAATGATCAGGGTCTTGTCATTTGTCTCCTTTCGAGGGGGAATTCGCCCGATGAGCTGGGTAAAGATGACCTGTCGTAGTACCAGTTGATTAGCACATGTTTGGTTGGCATGGATAGGTTTCATACTGACTGTCTTCCCGGAACCTGTTGCCAGCGAAACACCTAGCCGTTTATGGCCCTGGTCCAGGTGGTTTAAGACCGATTGAATGCATTCTTCTTGGTAATCACGCAGGACTATCGCGGGCAATTCAGCTTCGGGTGATCGACATACTCTCGTAGAACTGGGGCGCGCATAATGTCGTAGTGCTGAATCCCCCCACGGCCTTCTTGAAGGTCCCAACGACCTAAATTGAAGGCGCAGAAAAGGAGTCCATGCGCGGAAGATGGAGGATGCCATGGAGCGGCGAGTTCCCAGAGGGAATGAAGTCATTCGAAGCGCGATAAAAGGCGGAAGAACAAACAGTGCAAACACACGCCTTATCAGTGGAAATCTTTCTACCGAGCAACTCGACAGTCTGCGCCGAGTTTTTCCTGACTTGCTGCCCCTGGGATCACGTTTGCTACATGACACAATGCTCTTCTAGTCAGTCTGCCGCCGGGAATGCCTCCGACGCTTATACCAAGTCCATGCATTTGGTACGGTTTCCTCTCGGATTTCCTCCACCCCGACAATGAGCAGTGCAAGCCTTTACAAGCCCGAGGAAGACGACTCATCTGATCCCGATTTCGATACTGAAGTTATACAAATTAAGGCGCATCCATCGTCCTCGCCAGCCAAAAACGACGGACAAAACCTGTCCGAGTTGATTCCCCGCGCCAACAGAGGCACACGGTCTCAAGCTCTCGAGTGTCTTCGCAGATCGTTAACCAAGGAATCTGTGGAGGCGTATGCTAACCTCCTTGACGAGTGCGTTGACCTTGCTGCTGGGAAAAGCTGTGGTGAGAACTACAATTCCATACAGGACGGGATCGTCATTTGGAAACCGAAGGAGAAGGACGTCCTCTTCAGTTTACTGGGCGCAAAGGGCAAGAATGGGATTAGGGAAATTGCCCGCGCTATCGGTACGAAGTCGGAATTGGAGGTGCAGGAGCACCTCAGGCTTTTACACAGGGGTTTAGAACGACAGCATTTGCGAGATCAGCATACGAGGACGGTCATCCTTGGAGATATACCCGCAGCAACTGAGCTCAGCAAAAGCTGTTGCAATGCGCTGGAGGAGTATGCGGAACTACTACGCCTCGAGGAGCAGGTTCACGAAGATGTTGCTGGAAGAAAGAAACATAAGAATCTTTGGATTATCGATCAGGAGACTGCGGATAAACTGGACAAGGAGATTCAGTCGCAAGATGACAATGTCCTCCAGGAGAGAAGTGCTCAACATACTGCTAGTCTATTAAGCATGCCAAACTGGATTCGACTCTCAGAACGGTTCTTCATGAATTTCGCTGGTCCAAGGCTAGCAGACAATTGGGTAAATGTAGCTGTTGCCGATGAAACGCCATCCGTAACGGCAGACGCATTTGCAGACTTCTGCGCTCTGACAGTGAGTGTAACCCGGCGCTTAGTCCAGTCAGTGATTTTCTTTGCCATGTCGCGACATCAACATATGAGAAATACCGGTCATCGTAAAGCACGGGTTATTAAGTCTCGTGATGTTCGGACCGCGCTGAAAGTGCTGAACATGAAAAGGGATCGATTCGGCTTCTGGGTAGGGCTGGCGCGAAGATGCAACCTGGAAGTAGCCGATATCCGCCACCGCAAAGGTTGGAAATCGGTCTACATGGACTACGACGAAGTGGAAGAAATCCTATCTGATAAGGCCCGGCTCACTCCGGAGCCCGGTGGAAGAAGTGCTTCAAGACATAGATCAAAAAGCAGGATCAGCCACGTTACCGAAGGCGACGACGCAGATACTGGTAGTGACAGTGATGAATTTCTCTCCTCACCAGCACTGTCATCGGACGAGGAGCCACTGCCTCTAGATGAAGAGGATGAACATGCCGAACAAGTTGATCAAAAAGTAAACCATATGGAGGAGCTACACCTGTGGACAATGTTGGATCAATCGTCATCCGTTTCCCTTAATCCGCCAGCCGAAAACAACAAGGAAGACGTAACACGCAGACCGACTGGTAAGCGCAAAACGCCGGAAGACCTAGTCAACTGGCGTGATAGAACTTTGTACCGGGGGGACTGGGAGGAGTACGGGCACGGGATATTTGACGTTTATAAGGACCTATCAAAGAACCGACAGAAACGCCGTCGTCTTAATCAAAGAGCTTATTCACCAAATCCACCAGACCCATCAGACAACGAAACTTCTGAGGCAAGTTTCAAAGGGGTGGACCTTGATTCGAACACTGTTGGGAACGAACAAGATGACAAGCGAAATCCCAGTGACGGTGAATCTGATGATGCTATGGAGGTGGATGAAGATGAACCATCCCATAATATTAGAGCATTCCACGACTTACCCTCACCGCTGGAAGAGGAACCTTCCTCCGGACCAGCAAACGGAAGCATACACCTCTTTGAAGATGACGAAGTCCTCAAACATGAACCTACCACCCACTGCTCCCCCAACTACTACTCATCTGAACTGTTTATACCTTACCCAGAGCAAGAAGAGCCAGAATCGCCGTTTGACACCTTCTCTTGGCCCAAGATAAGCGCGTCTCCCATGAAAATGCTATATCCCCCTATAAATCTTAACCCTTACTCCCAAGAACAGGAACATCAGTTTCTTACCTCCAGCTCAGACAACGGCCTCTCCACTGGCCGTGAAAAAATGCGTGAGTCATCCGACGAAGAGGATGACAAGGAGGGGGTACAGTTGTACTCGCAGCCGATGAGTCCGATTGACTTGCTGTCAGAATAGAATGAATTTGTACGATATTGATTCACTTTTGGTGTATTCATACCTGGGGGAATATCTTCGTATTGGATATTGCTCATATACAATAAATCGTAACGGATGTGAGTGATGATGTCATTGATTATTGTTGGCATTTCGGGACTCTTAGTATTATTTTTTTTTTTTTTTTTTTTTTTTTTTTTTTTTTTTTTTTTTTGAATACTGGGAACCGTCGATGTCTGGAGGTCTATATATATATACCTATATCATTTCGGGTCATACCTCTTGATATTTTCCTTGCTAGGCTATCACATAGTGTGCTAATCTCAACAAAACTTCATCACAATGGTCAAGGTACTTGAGATCAGGAACGATTTTTAGTAAATTAGAAGAAACTGAATTTGCAAGTACAAATACTCTAAACTCCAAGACAAGTGCGCCTTTTCCTAGCTGCTTAGACATTGTAACAAAAGAAAATAAATCACTTCAAACCCAAACCCCATCGCTCTGTTCATCCATCACCAAAAGGCCTCCCCTAGTTAATCATCAGTTAAACCCATTCATCTCCTGACCTGTCATCCTGATTCGATTGATACCTCTTGGCTCCATAGCCCAAAGATATTGTACAGTACATGGGATATTATAATGAGAAACCGGCGTAGAGTTTTCCAGCCGGATCGTAAAATATATTGCATTTCCTTGTGTTTTCTTTCTTTTTTTTCTTTTCAATTTTTTTTTTCTTTTTTTGCTTATTTTTTCGTTTTTGTTTTCCAAAATGGTTGAATGAGAAAGAACACACATCCATTAGAAAGGCTTTGTTCTTTGCCATTACAGATCCAGTGTCTTGTAATCGGCGACCGCCTCAGCGCTCAAGGGCCGCACGTCTGCTCTCGCATCACCAGTTGCAGGCTGGAAGTTGTAATGGTTACCAATACCCGCCGTCACAGCGTCAGCAATCAAACTGTTAGTCTCCTCGCCAGGTGCTTTGAGACTGATAGCTTGCAGGGTGTCCTGCACTTCCTTGACCCTTTTCTTGAAAGACATGCGGTCCAGGAAGAGCTGCTGACGAGCCAATTCAAGTTCGCGGCGTTCGGCTTCGATGATTTCCTCCATCTCGTTGAATTGTTGTAGTTTTATCTCGAACTTCTGGAGGGTAACGTTGACTGCGGCGGAGACCAGGCGCGTCATCTCCCGTTCTTCGTGCGAAGCAAGCGCACCGGCACGGGCAGCAGAGGCGGCCAGAGCAACGGTTGGCAACGAGGACTTAGGCTGCTTTTCAGAGTTGGTAGATTCCACAACCTCTGCAGGTGCATCTTCACGGGAAGCATCCACATCCATGGAGTCCTCAGACTTCACTCCCGCGCCTTCCTTCTCCTTTCCCTTGTCCGCTCCCGAGCCCTTCTCGAGCTGCTTCCGAAGCTGTTTGCGGATTTCCTCCACGGAGCGACCAGCAGCAGCGGCAGCCACAGCGGGATCGGCCATCTGGGCCAGGAAGGCTACCACCGACAAGACTGGGTTTTCGGCCTGACTGATGGGCTCTCGTCCGGTTGCCACCCGCATTTCCGGTACGTCTTCGATGTACTTATCCTCTATCTCCAACTGCAAGAACTTCATCACGCATTCTTCCCGGGTCCTGGTGCCAACATGGCTGGCAATCTGGTCCCAGTTTTCATCGAAATTCTCTAGCCCTTCTAGCAGGAGCACGAGTTCCGCATCAGACCACGGGGCATCTTTATCCGGCACAACCGAGTAAGTGCTTTCTTCAAGTTTAACGAAATCAGAGGCATTGTGACTGGATGGCATTCTGCCCTGCAAGAAGCAATTCGGGCAAAGGTCGTATTTGGAATCCGCGCCAGATGGGTTAGCAGTAGCCGGGGTCGACTTAGCATAGTGGAATCGGAGGCGGGTGCAGTCGATAGCGCAAGAGAAGCAGTGGAATTTCTTTCTAGGCTCCTTGGAGGCGGATTCCATCGCCTTGTTGGCCGAGTCAGCCGCCGTCCCATTGGCACCTTCACCGTTAGTCTGCTTTTCCTTATCGTCAGCTGCAGGAGTAATCTCTTTCCCCTTGTCGTCGTAGACGTTGCGCCGAATTTCCAGATTCAGGTCAGCCTTAGATGCCGGAGTAGCAGAGGCGGCACGTTCAGTTGCAGGCAAAGGTTTTCCGGGCTTAACGAAGTGGCTCGGCCCAGGTTGGAAAGGCTGAAGCCCACGTGGCGTATCAGCAATGACTCGGAAGTGACCAGTGAAAGGAGGTCCGATGTTCGACGGCCGTGTTTGGGGATCCACCTTAAAACAATGTCAGTGAAAACGCTCGAGGGACGATCGCATTAACCGATACTTACTTGATAGTTAATAAGTCCCCATTGCTCGAGGAATGAATGAAGACGCATGATCGCACACACATCGCCAGCAAGGTTGCGTCGGCATGCAGTCACTGTGAGGTACTCGATAGGGTTCAATCGGTAGGTGTTGATCATGAAATCCCGGTAATCTTTATAGACTGCGGGGGTCTTGCTTCGGTTTCTGCCGTTGAAGAATTCCGCCAGAGCCTTCTTCTCTATCGGATGAATCGCGTGCATGTCGAACCATGTGGAGTAGCTGGGGAGGATGATGGCATGTGTTTGGGAAATGAGGTGGGAGCGCGCGGAGTTTTCGATCGTTGACTTGGCCTGCGCAGGTTGTTCTTCAGTCGCACCTTCTGCGCCCGCCTGTGCAGAGCCATCAACGCCTTCGTCTCCACCATCATTCTCTTTCTTTGTCTCGGTTTCGGTGCCGCCCATCTCCTCATCTTCGAGTTCGCCATCGGCATTTTGTGCTTTGGGGGAGGCGGGAGCATCTAACGGATTATCAGCCCCCGAAGGATTCTTTTCAGGAGATTCTTGACGAGATTGCGATTCTGAGCATATCATTGCGAACGTTTACAAATCTCATGGGTTCTCAGGGGCGGAAAGGGAACAATAACCTACCGGAAGCATTGATCACATCACCTGGGGCATCTTGCGTAGTGTTAGCTGCCAAAGAATCATCGGCAGCACCACCCGAAAGGATAGGGTTGTCTTCCATCCTGTAATAGTGATGGAAAAAGATGAATGTTGAAGTCGCAGGCGACGGCGAGCAAGTGTCTTCGCCCGTAGCGAGCCGACGTCAATGGGGAGGAGGTTGGATGGGATGCGAATACAGCCCTCTGGGTGACAGAGAAGTCAATAGACGGAGCAGGCAAAAAGACTGAGATAGTTACGGACAGGTACCACCATGAGACTGATCGGTGGTGCAGAGGATGGCTTGGAAGTGTCACCAACTTGTCGCGACATGGGCGTTTCGCTCCAAAAACTCGCGCCAAGAGCCTCACGTGCGCTAGCTTATTCGGGTTAGCACATCTTAGCCAACCTCCACGAAGTTCCTTACGTTCTCTTACTACTGTGTTCCCATTGCCTCATTGTCTACATTGTCTACTATTGTCTGAATTGAAAGTTGATTGTACCAGTTATCTCTCTCTATCTATTGACAACTCTCGTCTATTCACACTATGTACAAAAGACACAAACAGATATTTTAAGAAGGCAGTTCTCCGCTATAGCGGGGCTAGACTTACCGTCGTCATTTCTCTGTTGGTTGGGTGGCAGCAGTTTCTTTTTGGTCTTTGAGAATTTTGGCGACGACAGGTCTAGTATACTGTCTTTTGAACCACGCATCGAGCCTAGGGAATTCCTTCTCAAATTCAGACCGTCGCCGATATATCCTGCATGTTTCTGTACCAGGGAATGAACGCGCTATCGCAATAGCTGTACTTCCTCCGACCAAGTACTCACGGCCTTCGAGGAATTTGTCCAGCACCCCGGACACCCTCTTGGTTTCGTCCATATAAGGGTCCTGGGCGCTCTGGAATTTCTCTGGGTGAACATACTTAAGCCACGCCCACTGGCCGAAATAAGGTCCCTGGCCAGACATCTGGAAATGCAGCCATTGTTTTGCATGGAAGTATTCGGGGCTGCCGGGCTGAAAGCTGATCTTCCAGCCTTTATTGTAGGTCTCGACGAGATATACCACAATGGCATCAGACTCGCATAGGGTGATCCATGTGTTCGGGTCCTCAATGGCAGGGACACGGCCATTGGGGTTAATGGAGATAAACGAGCCCTTTTTCATTTCATCAAAGAGGAAAACTTGTGCTCGTATGGAACCGAGCTCTTCGAGAATTATGGCCACTTTCCAGGAATTGGGGCCCGTAGAATGGTACCGGCCTGGAAACACCGCTGATGCGAAAACCACATGAACATATTTTGCAGGTAGTGACCTTGCTTCAGTCGGCGCTGGCTTTATTGAGGGTGCCCTGCAGGCGGTGTCGTTGCTGCTACATTGGCCAATAAAAAATCCGGATCAGGACATCCAAAGTTGTAAACTGCGGTAAGCACATCCTTGGATGGAGGTTATTATTCTCTATTCCACAGCTCTACAGCTCATGTCCGACCCTTATTCTTGTTAGCTCTTGGACGATGCTTTCTATGGGCTGGGCATGCACATGCATCTATAACTCAACGCAAGCCTGCTCTCTTTTTCGCCAGCTCTATTCTGTCCGTGCTAGCCCTATCTCACTGTCTCTCGTTTCCTTCCTCACATTTTCGATTCTTTCACACTTTCATTCTCTTTTTACTTAGTCCTTTACATTTGTCTGATAGACTATAGTATTAGTAAGACTAAATCTTATTTTCCTGTACCTTATCTATATACTTCTTGCCAGATAGTTAAGCAGCGTCTTAGTTTGTCTCCTTGTAATGGTTTCGCTTATCTTCCAGCAGAACTGACTCAACAAACTTATTTCGTGCTTTCATAAAAATATAAAATATATAAAATAAAAACATGATAAATAAATAATTCCGGCTTTCGAGATACCGCCGATTTCAACTACATCTAGACCTATACCTTACAGGCTCTCTTTGTGTGGTCATTAGTCCGCTTGACTGGCAAGGATCTCCATATCCCTTACAATTTAGTAAGATCCATGAAAACCAATACGTCAGCACAAACAACCTGCCCAAAACAATGACATATGTTCCACAGGAGGTTTCACTCTATTGAACCCTGCAATACCAAGATACATACAAACTGGTTGTCTGCGGAGTATCGGAATTATGCTCTGGAAGTATTCTCCGCTCTGAGCCCGAGAGGGTTGAGTTTCGGACCGAGTGATGTATCTTTAATTAGCACTGCAATGACAAAATGGCAAACCACTTGTTATATGGATTGATGATCTGGATTAAAAATAGATTGTAGATTGTATTTATTTAGAATAGATGCGATGGTAGGAGGATATAGATCGTATACCTTTCAGGGACTGCTATTCTTGCTCCCGTCCCTTTGGAGAGTGAAATTTTATCTGAGCCAGAAAAGGGTACCATGGCCCCAAGGTAGAAAGGCTGTATAATTCTGATATTGTCGCTTGTGGGTCTTTTTTCATTTTTTCATTTCTCTTCTCTTTCTTTATTCCATTTTTTTTTTGTTAAAGAATATCTCCACAGAAGATGAAGCTATTCTTATTTACAAATAAGATACATTTGTGCAAAATGCAGAATACATCGTCCGAGATGGTCAGCAGTAATCCTAAACATGCCAAGATAGGAACCGGAATTACTGCAAAACCAAGCTTTAAGTCTCGTAATTATAGCCGCCCACTTTAAGAAGTGGCGGTGGGTATATATCATTACACTCATTGTGGTTGTTCTTGTGGTTGTTCTTCCAGGGTATGTTTTTTTTTTGACTACTACACATGCTTCAATGCCAGATAAAAGCTATTGGCTTACCACATACCGGTATAGGATCTACGTTGCTTACCCGAAAATAGCCCAGAGTGGCGGTCTTCCTGAATATTTATGGAAAGCCACACTTGAAGGAAAGAGGCTTGCCAATGGTCACTGTGACGTATAATAAGACCGTCTCGATGAAGGGTACGTAAGCTTCATTATGTTTTTCCTGGATTTGATGATGAAGATACTCACTCATAAGCAAGGTCTCAACTGGTTGAATGGCTTCAAATTGCTCAATTTACACCTTGTCGATGTGCAATCCGATGGGATAATCTCAGAAGGCAAGGTACTAATCCCAAATGCTTATGTGATGGCGATTTCCTTGGTATGTAGCAGTATCTTTGTGGCAGGGACAATGATTTATCTAACTGCTCATTCTAGGGCAAAGTGACTATGAATCTCTCCATAGATGGAACAAAAGTTGGGAAGGCCCACTTAAACGATCTTGTTCTTCAGCCTGGTGACAATACCGTCCCCGTGAAGGCCATTGTGGACCCGGCAACTATGGTTCGGCTGCTTGCGTTGAAAAAGGGCACCGATTTGGTGGTGCCCGTGGATATCACGGCGTTGGATAACTCCAGTGTGTACGATGGTCTGACTCTTCATAATTTTCCAGGGCTTTGGAAGCGAATAGCCTTACTGTCGATCTGAATGTTAAGACGGTTATTGGAAACTCACTGGCGTCGATTTTGGGACGAGACTGAACAGAGGGCTTGGTATGACTGTGATCAGTGATGTCAATGTCAAGCGCCTTCGAGAAGATGTAAGAAAGATCGTCCACGTCCCTTTGCTTTACTATGCCAGGATTAAATCCGATTGCAGTGAACTGGCATTCGGAATAATTCTCAGCTAGTGTTCCGCCATCGGTGTATCTCTGGGCTCCTGCAAGACTGCGATCTTGGTACCAACCGTCAAAGCACATGCTGTGGAATAACACCGCTAATGGTGCAGTTGGTGAAGTCGTTCGGGGGCAGCGGCATTAGTGGAATTAAGGCGGAAACTGTCCTGGAGTAGCTACGGGCCTTCCAAACAACCGAATCATCAATCAAGGGAGGAGTTGCATAAGGTTCAGCGGTCTTATTGATGTCGACGAAATTGTGGTTGTGTCTATGCATCTGATCTGTCCCGACCTCATATTTGCTCTTCAGATGTAGGCATGTATGTATGTTTTTGCCCGATTTTACTATCCTCCTAGCATGTCAGTATGCAATTGTTAGTCACCCATACCTATTCGTCAGTCCTTAAAACATAGCGCCATTTACTCACCACTTGCAAAGTATTCACCATCTCTAACCTTTCTAGACATTTTCACAAATAAGTCGCCATAAGTCACCATAAGTCGCGCACGAGATAGAGTCCGAATAAGTTCGGAGTACCTAGGTATCAGACGCGATCAGGGATATTGAAAAAAAAAAAAAAAAAAAAAAAAGACGCAACCTCAGCCACCAGTATTCCGATGCTGCATCGTGAGATCATTCCGTGCATAGCAACGGTTAAATATAACTCTCGGACTGCATGAGGCGATCACCATTAATAAGAAAATCCCAGTATGCCGGGATTGACCAGTGTTTTCTCGCCATCGGAGTACCATTCGGACTTCGGAGTGACTCGCAGCATATGCATCGGAGTAAAAAAGAAAGCTATTCCTGGCTAACAAGCATGCAAGCGATTCTAGACAGACGTCATTTCTCGAACAGATGATCATCACTTACTTACTCTCACATGCTGGTAGGTCACTAGTTTGGAAGTCAAAATGTACTCTGTGTGCAGAGATCCAATACTCGATCGCGACGATGCGTCAGAATTGGTTGAGTCATAAGGCGACGTTGCCAAGAGAATACGAGATATCCAGAGGAAACTAGTACGAATTACTAATTCGATGATTCAATTCCAGGTTCTTCTTTGAAACTTGAGACCACAGATCCATAACCACGCTTGTCAATTTCGCGCTCTGCTTGGAAATCAAATGGAGTTCCCTACTCCGTCTGGAGTGGACGATACGGAGTCACTCGTGCCAAGCGGCGCTTGATCCACTGGTGGGAACCGAAAGAGGTTACCGACCAGGCAGTTTTGGACCGCGAATATGGCAGGGCGTACATCTATACTGGATAGTGAGCATCTCCGAGGCACTGGTTAGTAATAAACTATCTTGTCTCGTCTAGACTGCGGATAATGGAAAAAGTACTTGATCCCTCGGGTTTGGCGCACGCGCCCTTTGCTGTTACAGGAGAGCGAACACGAGGTGATCCATAATAATATTCCACATCTTTGATGAATAATTAGGACTGAATCCAGATTGATGTCTTGGAAGATGCTAAGCCTTCTGCTGAGGGGATCGGCATTGACATACCTTGAATCCTAGTCAATGTTTTTTAGCCCTGCCAACTCCGAAAGGCGTCGGAGTAAAAACTCTGGAAAGTCCGGAGAAGACAGTGAACGAGGTCAACAAAGCGAAGAAACGTGTATATATAGACCTTGGGATTCCTCCAGATAACATTCTTTTCTTCTCCATCATTCAACATTCTCAGTTATAAGAATACAATTAATCAATCAATCCTCTTGATCAAACAATAAAATCATTGTTGACTATACAAACTGTACCATCCTATACTTCTACCACGACTACCACTACTCCATCTGAACAAACTATACCAACCAAAACCACCTCAAAACCCTGTATTCAAACAAAATCCCAACAATCCAAACCAACTCAACCAACCTCTTCAAAACGATGGCCTCCAAGACCTCCTTCGACACCACCTCCACCTACACTGCCTCTTCCACCGCAACCCTCAAGGGCAAGGAAGGATCAAAGAAGTGGTTCTCGAAGAAAGCCACTGTCGACTGCGAAAGGCCTAAGTCACCCGCCTCCAAGGCTGCTGAACGTGCTCTTCACTCCGAGGCCGTTGCCAAGTACTTTTCCATGCGGTGATCTGCGCCAGGGTTGATGAACTCCGAAATGGATGGAAATATCCGAGTGCTATTATCCCTTGGATTAAAAAAAGACGAAAAAAGGATACGACAGAATTCTATGACATCAATATATAGATTTCGGAGTTTGGGGGTTTCTTTCTTTCCTTGCTTTTATTTAATTGTCCTCGTTTATTGACCTACTTTAATTGTCTTTGTCTTTTGCAGAACGGAATAGAAGCGCTAGCGAACCTTTTGTGACTAAAATTATTATATCTAATCAAATAATTGCTTTCAATCCTTGGCTTGATACAATAGCATATTCCGGGCAGTCTCTTGTCATATAATCGTAAGCCTATGCACATAAATTTGCAACGCATATACTAAAGTCCAGCCATCAGCTCACTCAGAGATATCGGCTTCCGCACGGCATTTGAAAAACCGTCGTGGTAGGTCACCCAGGCCTTTCTACCTGCCTTCGACGCCTCATTTTGCAGGGTCCGCTCCAGCAAACTCTCCACCGGCGGTGCTGGTTCGTGGATAATCCTCCCGAAAAAGTCACGCTTCACACCTACAGCATCCTTGTGTGCGTTTTTCTTCGATGCCTCGTCCTCTGGCTCCTGGCCATCAGCAGACTTTCGGGCCTTCTTGCCGAGCTTGGACGAGCTCAATGCCTCAGACTGCTTTCGCACTGTCTCTTTGCGGTACTCCTGATCGAGGACTTGACGAACCGCATACCGGACGGGCCCTGAGCTGCCTGACCCGGACAGGTGTCCTTTTGTCTTCGAAAATGATACGAGCGTGTCTATCGGTCTGTTTAGTAATTTGTTAGTCGGAGAATCAAACACGAGGAACCGAGGTAGCAGTGACTTACGGCTCCATTCGGTAGGCCCATCCCCCATACGAACCACCCTCGCTTTCGACGCGCACTTTTTCGAACGTGACACCTAATCCTATCATAGCGCGCACTGCTGACCGCACAAGGGCTCTTTCGCTTTCCTTGCGGACGCTAGCCACACTCCTCTGCTCCCCACCCCCACGCACAATCACCGGCCTCACATCAGGTGACAACATTCGCATAAGATTTGGAATGAGTTCGCTAACTACGCAATCGGTGGATCGAAATAGGCGAAGCAGCGGAGCAGATAAAGAAGACTGGAACCCTGTAATGAGGGCACGGTTCTGTTTTTGGGCCTCAAACGCTGCGAATTCTGCTCGGGGTCCAGAGAAGGGGTGTTCCTCCTCTTCCTCTTCGTCGGTGGCATTGATATTCCGTTTACCCTTGGAAGAGGCAAATAGATGGTGGAATGCTGCAACTGACTGGCTGAGGTATGGTATGAGCTCCCAATCTTGGGAAGAGAATACCTTGGATGAGACGTAGTCGTGGAAATGGAGCCATTCATAGGCGGCATTCGGTTTCGAAAGGAATGTATCATCTTGGTACGCTTGCAACGGATAGGAAGCAAAGCACTCGGCAACGCAGCGGTCATGATCACCACTAGCATCGACCATCTCGCGCAGTCGATTGATGGCATGACGCTTCCTGAGGTCTGCAACGCCCACAGGCACTTTGTCACTACCATTGAAAGCATCATAGAAAGAGTCCGTGCCAACAGGGGCGTTGGCTAGCCCTGCCCCATCTGTAAACACACGGTCCACAACGTCGCGCACGCCGCCTCGGTTTAAGCCCTTGAAAAATGAGCCGCCGGAGCCATCGCTAAGTACTCTTTGCTCGAGCCAGTTCCTTGTCAACCTCAAAGATGCTGTGTTTTCGTTTCTCAACTTATGCGCAACCCATTCAGCTGCCACAAGAACACTTCGGATATCACCTTCGGCCGTTCCACTACTTTTGAAACTTCCTTGTTTTCTTCGAGCAAGTCCCCAGGACGCCTCACAGAGACGTCTCACTCCATCATTATCGGCCGGGATACCTTCGTTGGAAAATATGCTCTTCATACGCGAGACAACGTTCTCAAGTGGTGCCTGGCGGACATGGATCATCTCGGCAATGGACGATGCCCTCAGCGGCCGCAAACTTGGGTGGTAAACATCGTTGCAGACCATGATGAGGGGACGAAGGAATCGGAAAGTATCACCTTTTCGCTTTTTGCCGGTGGAATCCTGGTCGGAGCGTGTGGCATTCTTTTGATCGAGGAGAACAAGATCAATCAATGCCTTCATGAAACCTCCCTCGCCACCGCCAGCCCCAGATCCGCTGACAACACCATCTACCTCGTCGACGACTACGCAGACTGGTCGTCCAACCTTCCGTACTCTTTGCTCGCCAACTTCCACATTCATTCCTTTCACATTTTCGGTCCCGAGGGCATCTCTAATCCTCCCTTTGACAACATCCCTACTTCTTTCGTCACTGGCATTTATCTCCAGGACTTCGTAGCCCGCCTGCTTAGCACAAACATGCGCCAACGTAGTCTTTCCAAGACCGGGGGGTCCACACAACAGCAATACCTTCCGGTGCGGTCTTTCTTCTTCCTCAGAGCTATTGCCGGACTTCTTTGGTTTGGACTTGGCTAAATTCGGGTAGACGATGGGCTCCCAACCCTTCAGCCAGCGCAAGACCGATCGATGCGTCCGTTCATCTCCTATCAGGTCAGTGAACTTCCGTGCTCGGTATTTCTCAGTCCACATTGATGCTGCACTCTTCCTGGTTTTCTGGTTTGCGGCGCATGTCTCAATAGACGGTCGAACAGATGGACCGGATGACAATTTAGAGGCCTCTATACGCACCGACTCCTTTGCAGCTTCGTCTAGAAGTTTATGGATGTCGATACCGTAGTAGCTTCTCTGTGCCCTTCCAGAGGCCGTGGTAGAACGACTGGCAACGAGCCTTTCATATGAAACCCGGCCTGTCGGTTTCCTCAAAGGAACAAACTGTGTTTTCCCAGAGCAAGTTTTTATGTAAACGGATCCGGAATCGCCTCGCAATGATCCCAAAAACGTAGTCCTTGATGCACTCATGTCGCGTACTTGATTAGCCACACTTTGGGTGGTAGCTGTGGCTGTAGTTGCCGGGCCATTTTTGGGAAGCTCTATATGTTCGGAAAGCTGGATAGACTCCTGCTCAATAGGTTGTTCTTGAATCTCGAATTGGTTGACAAGGTGGGCCTCCCCGAATACTTCCATGTCATCTTCATCATCCTCGTCCAGAAATCCTCCCATGATCCTCTGCCGCTTGGGTTTTGTTGACGACTGTTCATCGTTCTTTCTCTTCTGCGATTCCGGCGAGAGAGCACTGGACGGGAACACGACGGGAGACGAAATGAACGGCATTTTTGCAACAGGTGGAGAAGACGGTAGAAATGCTAGTGAGCGAGAAGGAGAATCGATGGTGGTCTTATTTTGCGGCCTTTGATAGGATTTGGTTGGTGTGTCTATTCCATAGTTAGTTTTATGCAGCCATTGGATATAGTCTTTCGGAGACACTCACAAGGCCTAATATCCTCCTCGTCACTTCGAAACACGTCGGACAAATTCCAGGCTCGGTGTTGTATAACGACCTTGTTGTGGATATTCTCCAGTCGCTGGAGGTGCAAGGCCTCGAGGTCGTCAGAGAAGGATTCTGAGGGCGGCCCTCTGTCCCCAGGTTCCTCGGAGTGAAGATATAAGGCAGGATCGAAGGAAGGGGGGATTGATGTAGGAGAAGTTGTCATCAAGGCGTTCAAACTGTTATTTCCCTCTTGGGTAGGGTCAGCGTCATTTCATTGGTGGTATTATTTCTTGTAGCAACAGTGTCGAATCTCATACATATCCATCTGTCCCGGTTTGGTGATTGCGACGCGACGCGTAGCGGGTACGCGCTAGGACATCCGCATCGACATCGCTCTTCTGGCCTTAGGAACAGTGAAACTCTCTATCCACAAATGGCATAGCGCCAGTTCGTAATGTTCCAGCCTGTCCGGGGGATTCGAAATAATGAAACCAGTGTGTACTACTTGTTACAAACACTGGTAAGCGAATAGGTAACTAAGTATTTTAGAAGAATGATCCTCTTTCAGTAAATTTTAGTTCTAACTGATAATAAAAACGAACATTGGCACATTTATAGCCTACCTAAGGATGGTATCTTCGAGGATGTCTGAATAGGTGGCAAATGCATTCAAATATCTATTTCGATATATACTGATGAATAAAAGGCACCAAGAGATTTGAAGGACTTAATGGCTGCATAGCCACAATGGCAGTGATAATATCTAACTAAAGTATTTAATTGTCCCTCTAGGTGCTTGAAGTTTGATATTGATAACGCTGGTGGGTTTTGGTAGCACTACCATATATGGGCCCTAAGTATAATGGATTTGTTGCGGTGTGGATCAAGACTGAAATTCGTATTCAGATCTAGACATTTAGATAGAGAAGCTTCAATGATTGACGTGGGCGGTGGCCAAGAGTAACTGGGGATAGTTCTTATCTTAATGCCCAAATGATGTATGATTACTCCCTCTCAGCTACAACAAGGAGCTAAAATACATTGAACTTGAACTCTAATGTAATTCTCTCCGTAAAGTAAGGTATGGTATACTGTATAATTCATTTTACCCCGTAAGGTCGCCTGGAGACAAGCAAAGATCATGATACAAGAAGGTAAAAAAAAAAAAAAAAAATCAATCATGCCTGGCTCTTCAATTTCTCCGTCAGCTCAGGCACCTTCTCGAAAAGGTCACCAACGAGACCGACATCGGCAACCTGGAAGATAGGTGCATCGGGGTCCTTGTTGATGGCGGCGATGACCTTGCTGTCCTTCATACCAGCCAGATGCTGGATAGCACCCGAAATACCCGCGCAGAGATAGAGTTGAGGAGCAACGTTCTTGCCAGTCTGGCCAACCTGAAGGCTGTTGTCGGCAAAACCACTGTCAACGGCAGCACGGGAGGCACCGATGGCAGCACCCAGCGTATCAGCCAAGGGCACCATGATCCGGTCGAATTCCTCCTTCGACTTCAATCCACGACCACCGGACACGACTCGAGATGCGGTACCCAGGTCCGGACGCTCGGACTTCGCAAGTTCTTCAGACACCCACTCGGTCTGAACCGGGGCCTGCGGGTCAACACCTTCAACAATCTCGGCGGAACCACCCTCCGTCTCAACCCCCTGGAATGCGGTGCCCCGCACTGTGATTACCTTGGTGGTATCGGAAGACTGGACGGTAAGTATGGCGTTTCCAGCGTAGATGGGACGGACGAAAGCTACATCAAGTGTCAACACGGAATGACTCATCATCGGATGGCTTAATTCGGCCGGTCTGCTAGATACGTACTATCCTCGCTCTCGATGCCAGTAATATCGGAGATCTGCTGCACATCCAGCAGAGCAGCCACGCGGGGGAGAAGACTCTTTCCAAAAGCGGTGTGACCGCCAACGATGTGGGTATATTCGCCTTTCTTGATGTTCTCCACGAGAAGAGGAGCGTAGTTCTCAGCCAGACCCTAAAACCCATAACCAGTCAATATGTAATTCCCCTCCATTCGTTCTATTCATCCAAATGAACTGCTTCCTACCTTCTCGTAGGCGTCGCTATCCACGGACACCACCTTCTCCACACCCTTGATCTTCGCTGCCTCGACAGCAGATGTTCCCTTGACGTTGCTGCCGGCCACAAAGGCAGTAACCGGTCCTCCTAGTTTCTGAGCAGCGGCAATTGCTGAGAGGGAAGAGTTCTGGAGCCTGCCATCTCGCTGTTCCAGGACAGCCAGAGTCGAGAGGAGGCGGGCGAGCGCAGAGGCTGCGGGCTGGTTGAATGCCCGCGGGCGCAGTTGCGAGCGGACTGCCCGAAGAGCAGAATGCCTTGCGATTGGGTTCATGGCGAATGTATATTCAGAGGACTAAAAGGGAGTAGGAGAACCTGCTCTTATCAGACACCCAACGGGAAGGTGGAAACGTAGACGATGTTGGTTCGGCTTGACAATGGTTGCGGCGGGCGGGAGGCTATCGTCGGCACGCCAAGCACCCGCCGATCCTCGGAGTCTTCGGTTAATCCACATTCGCTTCTTCCTCGCATAATATGGGACGACTGATGATTCTTCACCCATTCTACAGAATGCCTGAACTCACTACAATTGATTTGCTAACTACAATACTGGAATAGAAGAAAGACGGAAGCAACGAAAACTTTTCTTTTCCTTGAAAGGGTATTGTGTCTAAAGTACAAAATCGACACACGTGACATCTGGTACGCCGCCGTATATAAGAACCCAGAACAGTTGCAATCCATAATTACAGTCCATTAAACACCGTAGGAATCTTTCCATTATGAAGTCGACTTTCTCTTCTTTTTGCCTGCGCCGGGTGCGGGCTCACTGCCATCCTCCAAAGCCATGGCCTTTTGCTTCTGAAGCTTCTCTTTCCTTGCGGCCGCATCATCATCGTCCTCAATAGCCTTAGATTTCTTGGTCTTCTTAGTTCCTTCAAGTAGCTTCTCGTCCTCCCCAGCTTGCTTGCGCTTCTTGGACTTTGCACCCTCAATGGCTTTTGTGTCGTTCTCAGGTGCCTCTTCGACGACATCGGCCTCGTCGACCCACAGTTCACTGGCCAGCCAGATCGGCATGGCCATGGTGTTCGCACCCTTTACATGGAGAGCCTTGATATTCCTCCAGCCCTTGGTGATAAACTTGTCGGCCAAGCCCTTCACGACAGCCTCAACATTCTCAGCCAGCTGCTGCTCGGTAAATTTAGAGTTACCAATTCGGATAGCGGCGGTAGTGGCCGGCGCAAGGTGTACAGCCGCACAGTTGAGAGCCTTCTCAATCTCCTTAGCGACGATCGCAGGAGAAGCGAAAGCGCTATCCTCATCTTTGGACTTTTTCTTGGGATCCTTTTTCACCTTTTTGCCATCTACCTTCTCGATCTCGGCAATACGGATGGGGATCGGTCGCTTGCTGGACTTGTAGAATATTTTGCCTAGGGTGTTGACGAGGCGCATGATAATCCGATCATCCGCCAAGAAGACATCATGCTCTGAGAGCAATTGACGCCGACTCTCAAAGCTCTGGTACTTCGACTTCAACTTCGAAAAACCAATAACCTTGTCGATGCGGGAAGAGAGATGTTGCGGGAAGGAAGAATCGGCAACGATGTTTTTGACCGCGCGTTGCGGGTCAGCAGTGATAAGGCAGACACTGAGAGACGACGAGGAGTTGAGGGAGTGTGGAATGCTGATCTTTCCGGGCTTCAAACGGTTCTTGTCTACAACATGCTTCTTCGTGGTGAGCACGAGCCAGATTGCTTCGTTGTGGAGCGGAGTGTTCTCTTCATCCGAGTCATCGTCGTTGTCGCCAATGAGAGTCTTTTTTGCTGCTGTCTTCTCTTTCTCCTCCTGCTTAGACTTGATGTGTCGTAATAGCGCAGACGAAGCGCGAACGACCTGAACATTCAACTATTAGCTACAGAAACGGAGGATTTGGTTTTTGTCTCAGCCTTTGGTTGATCGCATACCTGATTGTTATCAAGTTGGTAAGGGGACCCGGAGGTCACCTTGGTCGTAACCGCTGTTGAAGACACCATTTTGCTAAAATGGACTGTGAAGCTGCAGATTTCGACGGTCTCGAATTCTGTGATAATTAAAATCAAAAAAATTGGAAGGCAGGCGGTGGGCAAATTTGCCCGGGTCTTGGCGAAGAAATCGATTGATTAGTCATCACATCACTTTCCTAGGTAACTTGACTACTGGGCATATCACGAAAAAGAACCAAGGTCACTGCAGCTAGTCTCTGGATTATTGGCACCCTGATGTTCCTCTTCATAAACTAGGTAATGTCTTGAAGACTAACAAACAGCAGTGCTAACAATTTTATGACGAAAGGGAAAAAAGATCATTATGTATACTCTTAGCGCTCCTACAGTACATTCCATGACATGTTACTTCCAGCCTCCAGGCTTTCCAGGAAACAAAGACTACTCCATTTCTGTAATTAGGATTGACACTGTCTGGATTATATTATGGGGCTTTAAATGAGATAGATATTCAGACAAAATTCCTAACTGGGGCTGCTACTTAGTGCTGACAGACGCACTTCCTTTCCATGAGTCCTCAAGACCAAAGAGCAGTGTTCTATTTAATCGTGTTCTGTTGGCAGGAGTGCTGGTACCAAACTTCACCCTTATATGGGCCCATGTCATCGAGTTCTGTAACCTCCCCGGCACTGGAAAGGTTGACTATTCTGGTGAGGACAAATTGCATGCCACAAACTGGGACGACCTTTCCCAACATACCTCTCTCGTGATGTAAATTGATCCTCTTAGTACTGCGATGGCAGCTATGTTGACTTTTGGCACCTTGCATTTTCTTGAAACTTTATATTCATCAACTATGTATGTGATATATGTGTTCTCTACAATTTTGTAGTGTGCAGTAGAATGGAGAGATCAAACTACACATACCACATCACCTAAACAATACCTCTTGATATAGCAAATAAAAGCGCCTATTAAAATATTTTCGGTTGGCAATCAGTAATAAAATGGCAGTGATATAGCAACGCCTCTTCTTGTTCTTCCAACACTCTCTAGATATCCCAATATCTTTCCTCTCTAAAGGAGCTAGCTAGCATCACGTTCTACCAAGTCTATCTTAATCAAGTTAAATCTTGAGAGTGTATAGTATAGATTGAAATCATATAAATTTATATCCCTATTTCAGACTGCCAGCTAGATATCTCTAAATTTTATATCTATCTATGAGTTCTATACCTACTGGTTCTTTAGGAAGTAGGCCTACCCTGATATCTAAAGGGGGTGCAGAAGACTATATCACCACCCTAAATCAAAGTTCCATTGGTTTGCTACAAGCCAACTATCGGGCGTTGAGTTATGCAGGTGCTTTATCAATGAAGCAGAGGACCAAATTTCCTAGGCACCATATAAAACCCACCTAAGAAAGATAGATTAGCCAGAAAATAAACAATCAGCACAACAGGAAATGGGTATCACTACAAAATCAAATAAAATCAAAAAGTTCCAACCTCCTAGATCACCTTCGCGTTGCACCTCTCCTCTCGCTTCGCATCCGTACTGTCCCAAGCAGATTTGTCGGCATGGGTATTAGTTCAGGGCCTCATACTCATCGTCTTCATTGCCTAATTCCATGGCTCGAGGCCTACCAACTCCTGGTCTGGCCCCAATCCTCCGTAGAATCCGAGGCCATCAGCTCAATCTTTACTTGTTGGAATTGGCCAACGACCCCGTAAAAGATGTTGGCTGATATCTCAGATCATGCTATAGAAATAGCTTGTACATTACCCATTTGGCCAGCATTTGATCCAGCTATCTGCATTCTTATATGGATGGAAAGTATATTTAGGATACACTCAAAGATAATATAGGTAGCAATACAACAGAAGATATATTTCGTCTTGTACAAAATGCAATGACTGCATTACGATATCAATGAATGCAAGGTAATTATCTCCAGTGGCGATTCTTGAGACATGCTTGACCCAGTACTGAATGCTTGAGGAACAGCTGAAACCAGATAAAGGACGTCATTGAGATTAAATCCAGCAAAATAATGACAGACACCTGAGCCAAGCAGGGGAGAATAGCAAAGAGGTCATGTTATGAGGCAGAGTTAACCCTTGTTTTTCTTTGTTAGAAGTACTCTACATAATCAGGAAATCTGTATATGCCTAGCAGGCAACTGTGCCTCGCAGTTGCTGACATCCTTTTTTCCTAGCCATTGTTGAGCATCCATTTTTTGCTTCTGTTCTGATACTATGACTATTTATCCAGAGAGAACACTACTACGAAAGATACCCTTAGGAGCTAAACGTGGGAGGATTAACTGGCGTAAAACATCCTACTCCTTAGGGGAGCCAGATACTGAAGGATCATGAATGGGGGATTATCCTCTTTAAGCTACTACAATCTTTCAATGTACGGATACAGTATGTGTATGGACTACGTCGGGAGATTATCTACAAACTATATGAATGCCAGTGCATGTCATTAGATTATGCTACTACTACTTGCAGTAACTCCATAATGTTTCTTATGAATTGTATGTTGGGTTGCTATCATGTTACAAGAATGAAAAGGGGCAAGAGTTAGAGTTCCCCACCAAAAAAAAAAAAAAAAAAAAAACCAAAAAAAAATCAAGCAACGCTAAGATCTCAACCCAAATGTGGGTTATGGAATTATCGAATAATAGCCCCTGTGAGCAAGATACCTAGTACTACAGTAGCTAAAAGGATTATAGACCCTGCTACTTGACTAAGAAAACTAGTGAAACAAGATTGCAATAACAGAGACATTGTTTCTTATGGCCCACAAAAAATGTCACTCCACAGCCCTACGGAGTATACAAGGCACCGACAGCCTACTGATGTATATTTATATTGTATTTAAAGGGAGAGGGGAGAGTAAATTAGGTTTCTACTCCGAACGTACTTATTTTATTTCGGAATTTGATGACATGGCAGCTACCAAAGAACTGCCACGGTGCTTGCCAACTGTATGTGTCCTACAGTAAGAGATTGTGATGGTCCGGGCCCCCCTGACAGCAAGAATAGTTTTCCATCATAACATTCTGCAGTGTTAGGCACATGTTGATAGAAGGATCGGTTGCCTTGCGTGTTCCGTATGAGTACGTACGGCTTATTGCGATATTCAGGACTATCGGCAAGGAGACCAAAGTCGACGATATGTAATCCATGATCGCCGCTTCAATCTCCCAACCTATAGTGCAGAAATAATTGACGAGTAATTAAATTTCCTAGACTTATGGATTGGAGATGTTTGTTGTCCGTTCGTTGTTGGCTCAAGTTCTTAGATGAGATTCGTATTCTTAGCCGTAGAATCTCGAGAGTACACTCCTGTGTGTAAGTGTTAGTCTGCCTTTCAGTCGGGACTAAATCTAGTGTTGGTTGAAAGGGTGTTCGACGGTAGTTCAACCAAGACCGCGAAGCTGCTGACCTATATAGGCCCAGTAAGGTCGTAATAATTCTGCATTGCGCATACAACTTAGTTTGTCGTACACAGTAGTCTCTGTGTAAGAGGTTGGCAGTTGGGACATAAAGTGTAGTTAGCAGTTATACAGGGACGTTTGGCCCCTTTTGGCCGGAAAAAAAAAAGTTGGCTAGCATATATTTTAGAGCTCTCTTAGCCCTGTACGTCGATTTTTCACGAGGCTGGTTGCTTAGCTGACTTATCTTAGACTCAACCTTTCTTTTTTGTTCACTAGAAAGCCAAAAAAGGGGGGAGTGACTGCGCCAGTCAGCATCCAAAGGAGAGTCCTGTAAGAGGTTAGAACATAAATCCCACTAGGAAACTACGAGTCAGCTACTCCCTCTTGGGCAGAAAACTGTTTGTTTTACGCAGTTTGTGTTTCTAGGCAATTTGATTCGATACTGGGTACATGGAGATATCCTGCTTGTATTCGTATCAGAAGTTAATAGGAATGATACTAAATATTATCATAATTGATCAATAGACAGTTGACAACAAAGGATCCCGATGTGGCTAATAATACTGGATATACCATCATCAAATCATATCCAACTACACACCCTTGTATATCATTGTTTCGGTATCAAAAACTGCATTGATTGTGCGACGTTTGTTATCAACGAGGATTATCCTTGTACTCTGTATACTGGGATGGCCACGTTGAACATCAAAATGGCTACTCAACGGCATCTAACCCTTCAAAAAATGTCTACTACATATGTACGTGATACTCCTTACAGAGTATGACGTGAATTAAGAAAAGAAAACCCCTATTTTGAGGGTTGTGTTTACTGTTTGGATCTTACAAAGATCCAAAAAGTGGGCTTTTCCGTTGAAGAATCGCAATAGCGTGCACGCATGGTGACTAGTATTTATACGAATTGAGCTGATACCGACCGTTGCCCCCGAACCAGGGAACGGCTATGAGAAGTATTCTCCGTAAAACTCCTTCTGACAACTGCAAAGACAGAGATATCCAGTGTTAGTGCGTAGTAATAATTCCGATGGTGCAGAGCATCCAAGTAAGCAATTAGGTGGAAAAGGGTAAAAGAAGAAAAAAAACAGGAGGGAAGAGGGGAAGGCAGCACCCGGAAGTAGGTTGTTAATAATACAACGTACATACGACGATCGGACATGAGACAAGTGTTCCCCTGGGTGATAGTTTTGTGGGAATGGTTCGGTCGCCCAGTTGCCGCTGATTGGTGTTCCTGGCTAAAGAGGGGTGTGATCTCCACCTCCCAGTGGTGAGATATCTATGCTGATTGGCTAGAACCAGCATAGGGTAATTTCGGTAAACGCCAAGCTCACATTCAGGAACAGGAAACTTACAAACATGGAAACAGTGGATTCTGAAGTGTGAAACAACCGTGGCTAGATATATTACTCGGCAACGTAAGTACAGGTTTGCTCAGGGTGGAAGACTCCCTAAAGGTGGGTGCCTCTTGTCCCCAAGATACAAAACTTGAGAGACTATGGGCTTTGAAGAGTCGGGACTAACTTAGTAGTTGTACTTATGTGTCGACTATCGAGGACACGTCGTATCCCCCACCCCACTTGGCGCTACAATTCTAAGAGATAAAAAGACAATTTTCTTCGCCCATTTCCCTGGAGCCTTGGCCCCGTTCCCCCCCCCTGTTTTTGGTAGTATTATATCCACTCTGGCCAGGTCCAGTGGTTGCCAGTCAGACACACTGGCACCTCGATTGGACCGTATTGTCTGGTACGGTATGGTAAATAACCCTGTCTATAAGTAATTAATAACAACCAGAAAATAATAATAATAATGTCTTTGGCCCTTCGGGTGGACCGCCTGATCAGTAGTACGAGGATTTTTTTTATAATTATTATTTTCTCTTAACGAGGGCTAACCTCTCCTTGTCGTGTCCGCCCATCGTTCTCAGTGCGCCACGCATACTTGTCTCTCTTTGGCTGGATCCTTCCCTCCCCTGGAAGGGTCTGCACTGCACATCTTGTCCCCCTTTGGCCCCTGGACGACTTGACCGACTGAGCCTAATTCCCTCTTCATCTTCCTCTTCTCTCCTCCTGAACCTCCACATCTCCCGTCCCCCGAACGTTTCATCTTTTCTCTCTTCTTCACGTACTGTCGTTCTCTTGAGATTTCCTGTCCGACCAGAGGGACTCGCTTCTCTCTAGCACGCTCTTTTCGGGAACCTCTATTGTTTACCTGCTCCGTATACTCTCCTTTATTTCCGACCTTTGCGCCTCCAGGGCCACTGCATTTTTCTGCGCTTCCATTCTTGTACAGAAAGAATCTTTTGACAAGAGCGCTCCGGGCTTGCTGTGACGTTGATGTGCGTATACCCTATCTTCAGTTCCCCCAAACTTCCTCTTTCTTTAGCCGGTGTCGCGGCTGGCTTGTTTGTTTTCGTCTCCAATGGCCTGTGCCCTGCGCCCTGCGATGCCTTCTCAGGAGATCTGGAGTCTTATGGTAGTAGTCACGCCGTCCATAACCGCTAGGATCACGCTTAAGCGAAACGGGCTATTAGGATACCTCACCGAACGGTTGGAAAGATGTGGACTAGGCCTAATTTTGAATATGTTCACCATTGATGGATGCTGATGGGTTGTTTGAATTTGTTACAGATCTCAATATAAAGAAATCTTGACGGAATACAGTCACAATGAAGTTCAACTCGTTTGCTCTTACTCTGGCCACCGCCGGCTCCTTCGTGGCCGCTCAGCACCAGCCTCACCGTCACCACCACAAGCGCGACACCCCTACCGTCGTCAAGTACGTTCTCGATGGCAACGCAATTTCCGCTAGTGAAGTGTGCCAGGGCCTCCACGACGGCTCCCTGGAATATAAGCCCGGCGAGCCTACACCTGTCGTGGACCCCTGCCAGGAGGGCAGCGCTTCCTCAAACTCCAACCCGTCCTCCACCCTCTCTGTTGAACCAGCTGAGTTTGCTGAGACCTCTGCCTCCGCAACTCCGGCTTCGACCTCAACTGCTAGTACCTCGGCGCCTTCTTCCGGCAGTTCCAGTGGCTCTTCGGGTGGCAAAGGCCTTGGCCGTGACTTCCCCGATGGTGAAATCGATTGCAGCAGTTTCCCGTCCGATTATGGAGCAGTCCCGCTTGACTACTTAAAGCTGGGGGGTTGGACTGGTATTCAATACCCCACTTACTCTGGCTCATTCGTGAACCACATTAGGACTGCTGTTGCTGGAAATTCCTGCGACGAGGAGGGTGCTCTGTGCTCTTATGCTTGCCCTCCCGGCTACCAGAAGGCCCAATGGCCCCTGACCCAAGGCTCCACTGGCCAGTCCGTTGGCGGTCTTCAGTGCAAGGGCGGCAAGCTTTACCTCACTAACAAGGAGCTTTCTAGCAAACTCTGCATTGAGGGCGTTGGAGGTGTCTACGCGCAGAATAAACTGGGCGAAGAAGTTGCCATCTGCCGTACTGACTACCCTGGTATGTAAATGATGAACATCTCACAATTCCGTGGAGTGAATCTGGGAGTTTTCTAACTCGTTGCTTAGGTACCGAGGCCGAAACCATTCCCCTGTCCCTTGGAAACAACGAGCTCCAGCCTTTGACCTGCCCTGATGGCCAGAAATACTTCAAGTGGCAGGGCAAGATCACCTCCGCCCAGTACTATGTCAACCCGAAGGGTGTCTCCACCGAGAAGGCCTGCCAATGGGGCAATGGTAAGGAGCCTATTGGCAACTGGGCGCCTATCAACCTCGGTGTTGGCGAGAACAATGGCAAATGGCTCTCTATCTTCCAGAACGCTCCCACCACTACCGAGAAGCTTGACTTCAACATTAAGATTCAAGGTGACGACCTGAGCGGCTCGTGCAAGTATGAGAATGGCCAGTTCTCCTCCGATACCGGCTCTAATGGCTCTGGATGCACTGTATGTTGCCTTCCCCTGGCTCTGTAGTGCTCTCGATGTTTCTTGCATATGCTAATCCATTGTATAGGTCCAGGTCATGTCCGGTGATGCCACCTTTGTCTTCTACTAATATGTCGACGACTTGTTCCTAGTCCGTTACTTTGCTTGGCTACAGTAAGCGGTTCGGCTTGATAAGGCATACGCACGAGAGGGATCTTTCGTACCTCTGCCCCTTGATACTTTCTTCTGTGTATCTTAGTATGTTATTCATATGACTTGGAAAATATTTCTTGTCATATGTAAACGTCTCTATCTGCTTGGTAGGGACAATTGTGTTTAGATTACCTTCTCTACTGCGAAGTAACACTAGTTTCAACTTTCCGCTTTATGTACACACGCACTCTATCTCTATTTGTTTTACCCTGGTCTATTGGTGTTATGTTTTGTTCAATATATTTGATGTAAGCCAACTGATTTGTAGTATTCGTTAGGCGTGTCTCATGAGTGGTAGGGTTTCTAATACATAACTGTGGCCTTGTCAGGTGTGTAGTTAAAGCAGGGCACAGGTAATTAGGATCAAATGCCCTATTGTTTAATGAACTGTTGATGATCGTATCTAGATAGGTGTCTTGGAAGTAAACAGAAAACGAAATGTGTATATCGAGCATCATGGGCCATAGCTGGCCAATATGATATTCTCGTTATAGCATCTGTCGTTTATATATAAAATTCATTGTCCTTGGCTTTCATCCCAGCCATCTTGAGAACGTCTAGCCCTGACAAAGGGTTGGGAATACCTAGAGAAACATGGACAGGTTCAAGTTTGCCCCTTGTAAGCATTTAGGGAGGCAATGCTTCATGCTCGCTGTGGAATGTTCAGTGGGGTCGATCGGTGGGTGTACGGTTCAATTTCGGTTCAGGAAAGTGGTAGTACGAAGGCTGGGGGCCGTACCTAAAATACGTGTCCCGCTTGTTTTCTTTAGAGATAACAACACAGATTCGGTTTTTATGAAATACAGGGTAATTTGGGAAATAAAAATCGTTGGCACAGTGCTTTAGGGGGTACAATTTGCATGGTTGGCGACTTGACATGCCCGATCGGGTCTCTGGGAAGAAACACACGATAGGGCATAATTCGCCCAGGAGTAATCATGAGTTGCCTATGTATCTTGAATAAAAAAAAAAAAGCTATCAATGGTAAATTTGATGTCGTATATCTTCGACACACGGACTCGTTCTTTTACATTATAGTTGATTAAACCGATGACTAAGCTTTTCTATTACGCAATGGACAGCCTCTTCGCCAAGAATTTCCCTGTCACGATTTTATGGTGCATACTATATAAACCAATAAGACAAGTGAAAACTCGGCATCTTGCATATGGCCTTTCTCTTTTGGGGAAGGCGCCGCTGCCATCATTCGCCGAGGCAGTATACGCTAATACACGTGATCTGGCGCAAGTCACGGGACTAGAACTGTACAGCGCGACACACTTGATTAGCAGACGCGGGTGGTGACGCGCCTTCTCAGTCTGTGCTCTACACGCCTAGAAAGGGAGCGTCGGATTGGACTGTTGGGCGCACTTTTGGATATCTCATCTGCTCATTCTTTACGCGGGGGATTTCTCACATATGACGAATCGCTGGTGCCATGCATAGTTCGAGATGGTGAGGTTGTGAGGCTGCGCAAGGTTAGTGGTGGACCTCGTCGGCGCCTATCGAACGCGTCTCGGTTGTAAGCGTGCATTTCCGCGCTGGAAAGGACGAGACGCTCCGTTTCGGAAGGCAAGCATTCCACCGCACACCCTCACCCTTTTCTTTTTTATGCTTCTCGTTCTTTCTCGTAGACCAATTCCGTGACTCCCAACCTCCCTGGCTCTCGCCCTGGAGGAAGTCTCAAGTCAACACTCATTCTTTTTCTTTGTCTTCTGCCCATCTTCTTTCCTTCCTTTCATCTTCTCGCGTGACTCGATCTTCTATAGACGGTCGACCCCTATCCGACCTCGACGCGACCTTCAACTGAAAACTCTGTTCCCCCTAGGACTTGTTCGAGGTTTATAGAAGCGTATCTGGTGCTTGGAACAAGCGTTCCATAGTGCCATGGAGTCTTCACCACCGAGGAGTAATTCTACTGCTCCTGTGGCAGGTGTGAAGCGTCCAGCGTCCCTGTTGCCTGCTTTCGAGCCATTAAGCTCTTCCCCATCTCTTCCTCGACCGCAAAAGCGTGTAGCACGCGAAGACCATGGATTTGTCTCGACATATCCGACCCCCGTCCCGACTTCGTCGACTCATATCATGTCATCCTCACCTCCTCGAATGGCCCTGCCGCGGAATGCGTCGCGTCGTAACCTTGCCTCAAGCAGCTCGGAGCGAACTCCTCTATCTGCAGTTCCTACTCTGATGCTCCCAGAGTCCGGCGATCCCATTCTGATGGGCAGGTCCAGTGTCTCCTGCCACCATCAGCTCGCTGCCAACCGTATGATCTCAAGGGTCCATGTCAAAGCCGCCTATAAACCGGCACCGAACCCCTTCGACCGAGATAGGATAGAGATTATGTGCATGGGATGGAATGGGATTAAGCTCCACTGCCAGGGGAAGACATATGACTTGGCCAAAGGAAAGACTTTTACGTCGGATATCAAGGATGCTGATATCATGATTGATGTCCATGACGCCCGCATTCTTGTGCAGTGGCCACGAAATGAAAGAAAGGATTATGCATCGACCGACTCTGACCACACATGGGAGGAAAGTACCACTCCCAAGCGTAACGGGCAGTCCCACCGGAGCCTCCAGGATAGTCCTAGTGTGGAGCGTCAACGTTTGGCTTCCCCTGTGTCCCCATCACCTGCGGTGAAGTCCTTGATCCCTCCGTCGTCACCGCTATATACCCCGACTCGCTCGCGCAATGCAGTCGTTGTGTATGAAGACGAGGAGGCTTCTCCTGTCTGCCATAACGGCTCTGGTGGCGTGTTTACAGCAGAGATAACCCGACAAACTTCTTCAACTATCGATCTTCTGCAGAGTTCCCAATCCAGTGATCTGAGTGATCTAAGTAAGACTGACGAATTGTCTGATCATGACGAGGAGAATGATCCCATCATTCATTCCTTTGGACCTTTCGGGGAGAACCTCCTCCCCCGCTTGGCCTCCTTCACGGCCAATGTGTCACCTCTTCGGTCAACACATCCTCGCAATCAGCCATCTCAACCTCTCCAACCTACCCAGTCTCCCAGGCAACCCTCAACGGCTGTGGACTCCGCTCATGTTGCTTCAAGCAAGCTGGAGGTGATTGATGAGGGCCTTGAAAGGGTTCAGAATCATACCATCAACCAGCTTGCTTTCTCGCGCCTATCTTCAACACCTTTCTCAACTATTTTGAGTAACCTCCCCCCCCCACTCTTTGGAAACAAGACAGCGACTCGAAACAGGGGCCATCAAGAGAGCAAATCCGCTCCGTTATTGAGTCCACCAAGTGCATTGGTAAGGTTGCCCGTGAAGGAAAAGATGCTGCTGGGAAACCACTTGAGAGTGAATATTACTACATTCCGGACTTTGATGAAGATGATATGCGACGAGAAGCAGTTGTGCATGATCTCAGAAAACCAGGTCTCCGAAACTGTAGAAAGCAGCACAAGGTATGTCGGCTATCGCGCAGCTTTTGCATATAACGGTGACTGACCGAGCGCAGCAATATTTCTGGCGCAAGCCCAAATAATACCAGCGCCCAAGAATAGGGACAAAAATCAATTCATTAAATCTCTTGGTAATATCCCCACACGACCGTTCTTAGTACATAGTTGCAATGCCTTTTTCTTTCTTGTTTTCCCTTCATGGACTCGCATAGCGTGGCGTGGGCATACCCTGTCTGGTTTCATGTTGAATGAAAGTGTATGATGTATGGTGGTGTTTCTTTCCCTGATTGATCTCACTTTTGTTTCTCCCTCTGCCTCTTATCTCAAATTTAGGGGCCTGTTTTGTTACCTATCCACGTGCGATGTCTACTTCTGTTTCTTTTTGTGGACTATATCGTGTATTGCATGCTCGGATGGTCCTCACCTCCATCATTGTTCGGCAGTGATGAATCTGTTCGTGGGCAGTAATGTCATCAGTGACATGCCTGTATGATCTTATTGGAATTTTAGTCTTGCCTGCCGTAAGTTGGTGGTGTCTTCAGCCCTGTCAGCCATGGCGCAATTATGTGTATGTTATACAAACGTCTCAAGAAACCAAAAGCATTTATTTCTCTTACGAGCTCCACTCAGCATCACCCGTCAGAGCGATGCTTCGTAGCAAGACGGCAAATTAGGTTAGGCGAAGGCACGTGAGGTTGCAACACGTGGGTGTGAGTCACGTGATGCTTAATATTGTCGTTCGCTTTTGATTGAACGTCGGTTTATAGTTGACCCGATTGGCAATACTTCCTGTTTTGGTACATCACGTGTATGCACTTTTGATGGACGTTCGAGACTCCAAGAGACTCCGGTATTTCGTCATCTAACTCGTAGTCACCAAGCAGCCTAATATTCATCATTATTCTGTGGAGGACTACTATCCAGCCAACGTCTTGAATAACATGACATGATCGAAAGAGGTCAACGTATATCTCTGAATTCACTGCAGAACATGACGTGAATAGTCAGACTTGACTGCGTTATTGCACAGGAACGAAATAATATATGAGTTACTGAGACCTACCAGCAGGATCAGGAGGAACTCTCTTTATATGTCCTTTCGAGCCGCGGTTTCTAGTATACCTTTGATCACCAAATCAACCCCTCCCTCCCTTGGACTGGACCTGCACCTACGACACAAACGCTGAATAAGAAGTTCCAAAGAGGAAAATAAAACCTCCGGAAATATGGATAAGGTCACTAAAGAACCAAACAAATATTCATGTTCAATGGAAGAGATGCCGGCAACTGGTGATTGCAGTACATCTCTTGATACCAAGTCTGAAGTACGGACCGTCTTGCTACCCACAACCCTTGACAGGGATAGGACGAACGAATCACTATCCAAAGCCTCGGACGGTGATCTGGACCACCGAGCCTTAAAAAAACCATGGAGACCTACAGATGGTCATCTTCACAGCTGGAGCAAGGAGGACAGGAAGCATCAACTTCAAGAGCGGCTGTTGGATGTGGAAATAGGGACAGATGCCGGATTTACAGAAGCTTTGCAGGATACCTGGGCAGACTGAGTCAACCTTACCTGGAGATATGTCGGGTCACCCAGGGATGATATATGTGGGTTGGTGTGCTTTAGAAAAAAGGCTTAGGTTTGTTTGCATTCCGTGGTCGTTTGTTCTAGCATAGTGGGCTGTTAGTTGATAGCGGGGAGAAGCTAGCTTAAGGTAAAATGTGGTAATAATAAATTGGTTAATAAATTTTTCTTTATTTGATAGTGAAAAGGGTTTGAGCGGTCTATCTAATGCAGTGCACTATCAGTGGGAGGCAATAGTGATGACTTGATGCGATAAGAACAGTGTAGGTAACCCAACAAGGTAGATAATAAAGCTGCTGCTTCAGAAATCAAGAGTGAGTATCAGTTATTATTCCATAACTTGGGTACATATCGAGCGGTTATAAGCTGCGGAATAGTTTTTCTATCATGCGGGAATAATAAAATGACAGCTGTGAAGTGTCCGCCTTCACTGCTCAGAAACCGCCAGGACCGCCTTCGGCTCCCACTTTGCCGCCGCAGGCCCAGCTCAGTTTTTCGACAAACATCCTCATCCCTTGACGCACGTTGGCGAGTTCGCTCTCAGAGACGTTGCGTGTCTTTCATCTCACTGTATATCACCAATGTGGCGTTTAAGTCACTTATGCGCTTTTCTTTCCGACTCTTTGCAAGGACCCCAGGACAGCTACGCCGGCGGGATTCCTGAAACGGTCGTAGGAGATGGAACGCCAAAGGAAGCGTACGTTCGCCGATTCTAACTCATCTCTTCTCTGTAGGGGTTGCTTCTAACGGCCCTGTTTTTTTTTTGACTATAGGGGAGCTTCGCGATCTAAATGAGAGAGCTTGGGCTGGCGAAAGTGGTAATAATTTCCTATTGCCTGTTGTTTCGCGTCCTACCCCTCAATATCTCGTTCTAACTGCCTGATTGCCTGGAACAGATATTTTCCCGGTTGGCAATTCTCTCGATTCAGCGTTGAAAAAAAATACCGCCTTCATCAAGCGTCTTCGTACGGGAATTAATGCCTCCGCCCAACAAACCTTTCTAGCCGATATTCGCACTCTGTCGCTCCACAAATATCTCTCCGAGATCATATCTGCGTGTTACGAAGGGCTTTGCAAACTCAAATCACCCGGCGAGATCGCCGCTGGGGTTGAGATTACCAGCGCACTGCATCAACGGTTTGGACCAGCGGAATTTACGAGGCAGATCGGATGGCTAGTGGGTCGGGGTCTCAGCACACCGGACAAGGGACAACTGAAGGCCCTCAGTCAGGAAGTGCGCGAGCGTGAAGAGAAGGAACGGCTTTCCCGACATAGGGTTCTACTGAGGGTGGCCACAGAGCTCTGGCTCGTAGGAGTTCTAAGAACTTTGGATGACATCGAGCGGCCAGAGGATTTGGGCGCAAAGGGTAAAGATGGAATCGGTAGCAAGACGCCGGATGGTTTGTCCAAGGCCAAAGCGCCATCTACTGCCAAGGACAATGACAAGGAGGCGGAACCATTTCCGTTGGAGGTGTTGAAGGATCTCCTTGGACACGATCGTGACCATACCAATTTGCCACTTGCGGTTTTATTTGTGAAGAACTTTAGCTGGGACGTTCTTGGGGTCAAGTCTGTCGAAGAAGGAAGGAAGACTGTCGAAGCTGATGGAGCAACCTCATCCGGAACCACTACGGAGGCTGCAAGTGGTAGGGAGGATATCGAGGACGCCGCGGCGGGTGAGAATGATCCTCCTCTTGCTCCGGAGAAGATCCAACAGCGCTTCAAAAGTATTCTCAACCGGTACTTGGAGGATGTCAAGGCACATGTAGTTCGTGATCAGAGAGCGTTGGCCGCGCAGAATCGTCGCAATGCTGAGGCTTACGTTAAAAGTGGCGAGATCTTCGAAGACCGACAGGCCAATTTTGAGAAGCAGACAAAGTCGTTGGACAAACTGGTCACGAACACACAAGTCCTCTGCGAGGGTTTAGGGGCTGAGATGCCGGCTTTAGCTGAACAAGAGGCAGCTGACCCTGCATCTAGCGGCGGAATAGGCCTTGTGAAGACGTCTGAATATTTGCGAGGCCAGGGCGAAGGTGCCGGAATTTGGGAAGATGAAGAGGAAAGGCGTTTTTACGAGAATCTGGTTGACCTTAAAGGCAAAGTTCCGGCTGTACTATTGGAGGACGGCAAGAAGAAAAAGACTGAATTAGACGAAACAGCAAAAAAAAGGGCAGATGGCGAGACTGGCACTGATTCAGGCGCAGAGAAGCAGGAAACGACCGGTCAAGCTCTGTTGTCTGAAGAGAAAGCCAATGCTGAAGCAGATGATCAATCCACGGCTATCGCTAGCAGGACCGTTGGAGCCCAGGTGGACGCGCTTTTGGCCAAGTTACCTGAACTGCAAACGAAGGACCATGTCGATCAACTGGCGCTAGACTTCTGCTTTCTCAACTCAAAAGCGTCGAGGAACCGACTCATCAAAGCAGTCTCGGATGTTCCTAAGGGCCGTATCGATCTCCTACCATTATATTCTCGTCTGGTCGCAACCTTAGGGCAGTATCTACCGGATATTCCACAAGGTTTAATAACGTATCTCGACGAAGAGTTTCGAAGTCTTCAACGCCGTAAGTCGAAGGAGTTTCTGGGCCAGGTCCGGATGGGTAATGTTCGCTATCTTGCGGAGTTGACCAAATTCGGTGTGGTCCCGGAACATATCATCTTCCACTGCTTCAAGGTTTCTCTCGATGACTTTTCGCGAATGAATATTGAAATTATCGGACACCTTTTGGAAAATTGTGGCCGATATTTGCTTCGCAACCCTGATACCTCCCCAAGGATGGCCTCGTTCTTGGAGACTCTGGGGCGAAAGAAAGCTGTACAACACCTTGGTCAGCAAGAACGAATGATTATTGAGAATGCCGTATACTATGTTGATCCGCCGCCTCGGCCGGCCATTCAACAGAAGGAACGCACGCCGATGGAGTCTTACATCCGAAGATTGCTCTACATGGATATGAACAAGCGCAACTATACCAAGGTTTTGAAATCAATCCGCAAACTTCACTGGGAAGAACAGGAGGTAAGGATCATCATGTATCTTAATATTATCAAATCCTAGAGCGAGTCTAACGTCCGAGTCTGTAAGGTGGTCGATATCTTGGAGCGTGTCTTCAGCAAGCCGGTGAAAGTCAAATACGGCAATATCCACCTTCTGGCAATTCTGATTAGCGCTCTCTACAGATACCACCAGGACTTTGTGATTGGCATTGTGGACAACATTCTCGAGCAGATAACGCTTGGTCTTGAGCAGAACGATTTCAAGTTCAACCAGAAGCGCGTCGCCGAAGTCAAGTATCTGGGAGAGCTATATAACTACAAAATGGTTGATTCGCCCGTGATTTTCGATACCTTGTACCGCATTGTTACGTTCGGCCATGGTGAGTTGGATCAGTGCCCAAGGTGTCCAAGACCCGATTTACTCACAGGTGTTATATAGAAGGTGGAACACCGGTTCCGGGCAAACTCAGCGTTCTGGACTTGCCGGACGACTTCTTCCGAATTCGCTTAGTTTGCACACTGCTGGATACTTGTGGGCACTGCTTTGACCGAGGATCTGCAAAGAAAAAGCTAGATTTCTTTTTGACTTTCTTCCAGGTATTGCCTATTCATACGCATTTTCTTTTAATGAACGACCTAATACTGATGCATTCCATAGTACTATATGCTTACAAAAGATCCGCTGCCAATGGACGTCGACTTTCTCGTTCAGGATACTTTCACGATGACTCGTCCTCAGTGGAAACTAGTGACTGACCTGCAAGAAGCTACCAGCATATTCAGCGAGGCGGTGGCTCAGAACTACAAGACACAGGACTCCGAGAGGCCCGTGGAGCAGGATGAAGATGATGCCGAAAGTAGCTCATCTGATGAAGGTTTAGAGGAAGATGCAATTCCAGATGTGGAGGAAGAACAGGAGTCGAGTGACGAGGCGGAGGTGAGTTGCACCGGGTAATTCGAAAAACGGTTATGGTATGCCAACGATAATTTTGACAGGCGTCTGGGCCAAATGCCGAGCAAGACGGCGACAGTGAGTCCGAAGACGAGCAGATCTTCGTTACTCGGCAAGAAGAGGAACGCGACCCGCAAGCAGAAGCCGAGTTTGATCGTGAGTTCGAGAAGATGATGGCAGAGAGCATGGACTCCAGAAGATTTGAGCGCAAGGGTGTGGTCGATATACCTCTACCTATGAAGCGCAGTGCCCGAGAGCCTACGACCCCCGAGAATGCTGCAGGCGGATCTCAAGTACCGCCGAGGACCATGGCATTCTCCTTGATGACCAAGAAGGGGAACAAACAACAGGTGTGTTTTTGCCATTGAAATAGTTATGTGAAAATAATCACATACTAACGTTTGGAAGACCCGTACGATCGATCTTCCATCTGATTCCAGCCTCGCCGTTGCCATGAGAAGTCAGCAGCAGGCCGATCGTGAGGAGCAAAAGCGAATCAAGAGTCTTGTTCTGAACTATGAAATGTCAACTGATACGGACAATGCCGAAGGTGAGAGGACCTTGTCGAAACTCACGTATCTACATGTAGTTTATGATCTAATGGGCTTTCCAGCGACTGCCGAGAAACGGACGCCTCATCGCGATGCCAAAATGGACAAGTCGGCCGCCAACCGTACAGCGTTTCGCTCCCGGAAACTCCAGCTTAGCGACGTCAATTGGTAAAAAAGGTCAGAATCGAGTTGCACACAGTGATAAGATACTATATCGGTATCTTTCTCGATCCATGTTTGCGAGAGCTCTCACGAGTTTCCATCGCCGTCGCGTTCTCACCATACACTCGCTCACTATCGAGTCATGGAGACGCCACGACTCTGGAGAATGACATGGCATCGCATGCCCATATCCATGAAGCCAAATAAAAGAGCGCAAGCACTTATCTACTTATCGATGGGTTACGATCTTTCGACGCGTCCTATGACATGATTATGCGTCTCAAAATGAACCGGGCTCAATTCTACGTTTCGTAGGAATAAACGCACGGTTTCATCTATGGAGGGTGGGTGGACAGAAGAAAACAAAAAAGAAAGAGATAAGTCGCGGAGTCAATGCTTCTGGCCACACATAATTACTTCCGTCATAGAGTTAGGCGAGCAAAGGATGTAGGCTGGGTGGGATAAGATTTGAGCATTGATGGTAGTACCGATCTAGCATTTTGGGATCGCTACTCGAGCCATCTTTATGCCAGTTTGTTGCTTCATAGATAGTAATGCCATGATTTTGATCTTTATGATACTTTTTCTTTCTTAAGGGTCATCAAAAAGAAAAGAAAAACGAAAAATTAAAGAACAATTCTATTTCTATCTCGCCTCGAGCATTTTGACGCAACATACAAGTACAGTAAGTTACATTGTAAAGGAAAAGAAAACAACACCAGAAGCAAAAGTGGGAATGTATGCTGGAGCTTGGAATCGCATTAAAAAGACCAGAAGAAACAAAAGAAAGGTAGAAGTGACATGAGTTACTTGGATGAGAGTGAGGCCGGGGAAAAAAGGAGGAAAACAGGAAAATCAATCAAATCAAGAGGGGAGATTGATAACCAGAAAGGGAGAAGAATATAATAAAATACAGACTCAGCTCCCAGTCTCCCTCCTAGTGATGTTGATTTGACGCAAAGTATAAAAAAACTTAGATCTATCATGAGTTATGCTTTTATTTTGGTCTTTTTTGCTTCTTGTCCCTTTTCCCCAACATTCACTTGAACTGAAGGTTGATTTCTGACTTTCAAACCTTTCATCTATTTCTCCGTCTTTTCGCCGTTCTGGCTTTCCGTATCGTGCGATGCCTTAGGGTTCAACTCCTCACTTTCGGACAATTCAGCCGTCTCAGTAGCGATGGTCTTTGTCTCCGCGGCGGGAACCACGGCCTGGCCTTCACTGGTGGGAGGAGCAGCCTCCTCGTCATCTTCCAACTCGGCACCATAGACATCAGGATACTGGCGGAAGCAATCTTGCATGCCCCTGTTCACATTTAAACACAATCAGTTAGTTCGCCTATCTTCCTGTGCCCGTTCCATGCACTGTCATGCAGTATTTAGGGTGGGGGCGGTATAGAACTTCTGATAACTCACTTGAACTTCTCAATGCAATCTATTCCCTTCGGCTCCTCAGTCGAATACACGAAGCAACTGAATGCCGCCTTGAATTCCTCTCCGCATGGCCCATGCGCCATTCCGCCCAGACATGGGCAGTCCCAGTTAATCTCGCCAGTTTCGGGGTTAAAGGCGGCTTCCTGACCCGCTTCTTCCTCCAGTTCCTGGGGCGATTTCTGAGCACCCTCGGAGGTGGGCAGCTCCGTTGCTATGACTTGCGCATCAGATTGAGGCGGGGGAGTGGGTTTCGAGGATTCCCTTTGTTCGCGGATCTTGGGCTTGATGGAGTCGAGGGTTAGAGAGGTGGTGTTTTCGGGGGTGGTGGTCTGGTCACGGAGGGAGACTGGAGGATTCAGTTAGTATTTCTTTATCAATCCTGGTTCACTGTGAATGGAATTCAGGATAAGGAAGAGGGGGTAAAAAAAACTCAATGGTCCCGGACAATCAGGACTGACACCGACGAGTTTTTCGTTTTCTTTCTTCCTCATCCCGGACAAGATCCACATACATGAAGGCCGCTCCGCAAACACACTGCTCGTGTTATAGTAGTATACAGCACCAACAGCCAACCCTAACCGGACAGCGGTGTTCTTCCAACTCCTCGACTTGGGCTCGGCGGGAGCGCTGCTTATCAATCGTCTGCTTGCCGGGCCACGGGTTGCGGCCGGAGCGCGGAGAAGCACTCTGGATGCAGGACGGAACATGGTAGGACTGGAGGGAAAAAGAAGGGAAGAGAAGAGAGGGAAGGAGGGGGCCAAACCGCAATGGAGAGCGAGACGACGAAGAACGAGAATCAGGACCGGTCCAAACCGGGATGAGAGGCGGAGATCGCGATTGGGTGCCTGAGGCGTCCAGATACCTTTTGGGGAGATGCGGTCACGTGGGCCATCTGATTTAAAGTAAATACTCAGTCTCTGGACTCTACTCAATCCAACTCTCGCAGGCTGCAGCGTCAAAGTATTGAAGGAGTACAAGTTACTGGACAGTCCAGAATAATAACATAGCCTATACTGCTGATATTGAAAGACCCTTCACGTCATTCATAAAAATGGAGCACTAATACCCCGATTTCAACGCATATCCTACACGGACATCTCAGGCACTTTTGAAGTCTTAGTATGGCAAATATGTACTGAATATCGGCCCATATGACATGCTATGTTGTTCAGGCTGTAGGACAACCTTCATCGACATGTCCCGTAACCCAGAGCCGTCGCCAGGTATAGTTAGCAAAGGCCTACCACTCACGTCTGTTGCTATAGTCAAATTTACATGTCATATAGAGTGCTCAGATATCCTTTAGTGGACCTACGGACTGGATCTGAGATTTGGAGAGGGGGAATGGGGCCAGTTTCTCCTCCGAAGAAAGCAGAATTTGTAGGTCATTTGGGGGTTTTGCCTGCTGTCCAAGCGAGTGAAGTATGCCGACCCAGTTGTGGGCGCAGTCGCATGCCAAATTCCTAATCGTTGGTGTATCTGGCTCCCTGTAATTGCTGGTTTGCCCAAGCAAATAAGACAGTCGGTATAGCTGCTGGTGTGTCTGGCATACCGACAAGGGGGCAGGCGAAATAAGGACGTGCACGCGGACCGCTATGAATAGTCCAGGTTGCTCAGTTGGCGCAAGCGAAAGAGGCCATCCTATATCACGTCAGTCGGTGTATCTCCAAAGAGCCAGTGCATCTCCATCACCGGATGAATTTGGAATGGCTTTCCGCTCGGTGTTCCAGGTAGCAGTCTAGAATCTGGACGTCGAGACAGCCAGCACGTCCACAGTGAACTATAGGCTCTGGGGCACCGTTGAAAACAAGATTATCTATCAAGTCTAGGCACAACGAGAAGTACCCTGCTGTGGCCGGGTCTCCGTATCTTGCGTTGTTCCAGCGGTAGGGGGATGATTATTTTGTTGATAGACATCCAGAGCTGTCTAGCATAGATCTATCGACATAGCATCGCATATGGCGGTATCTATGATCCAAGCTCATATCAGGATCACATATAACTGCCATAGGCCTTGGGCCACCGCTTCCGATACGATCGACCACCCCATGGATTCTGTGACCTCCTATGTAACGTACGCCAATGCCATGTACAGGCAGCTGGGATAAGGTCGACATAATACCCCATCCGAGTAGGCTGGTAATCCGGCAATTGGCTGCTCCAGTCGCTGCGGAAATTCCCCTCGTCAGGATTCCCGGCCAACATCCCCCATTACGCAACAGCTTAGCTAATCTAAACAACATCGGCGAGTCCCATGTAGTAGGCGGGATGTTTTGGATGTCGAATGATCTCCTGTGGCCATATGCCATACTACAGCGGTGGAAAAATTATATCAGCGCTATTCTCCCAGAGGTTGTTGCATCTGGGCGTCTTACGGATTGGCATTGAACAGGGCACCGAGTAAACGCCATGACTACTGTCAACTCATATAACCCTATTTTCTCATGCTCTCTTATTCTAGCATGCTATTTGTGTATCTACACTTGCTATTCGCCAAATTCAAATCCAAACAACGTCCTGAAACACGATGTGGGGGCAAGACAAAAGGTTACAGAGATTTAGATCTATTAGGATCCCAGAAGATGCTGATGGAGATTCTCATCCCATAGTTCCTCATGTTTTCGCGCTTCTATTTCGCGATGACCTGTACCGTCAGATTAGCGCATGCAACACTCGCTGTCCTTGGCCCAGAGCATTTTGCCCAGCTGAATCGAGGTTAAACCCGAAACTTTTCACCTGGTCATTTCCGTTGACTCCTCTTCTGGCAGCCCCCAACGACGAGCGATCTCTCCGTCTACTAGCATTCAGGTACGTAGGGCGGAATTTTACGTTCCTATTAACCCGCCCGACAAAGCTAGCACGGTCCGGCATCTACACTTACATCCGTCATCCATCATATACGGGTTTGCTTCTATTTCTCGTTGGCTAAAACGGGCTTGTCCTGTGGACCGACGTGCTGTCCGCATGTTGGGGTGCAAAGATTTTCGGAGTTGCTTCATTATGTTTACCTTGGGTGTTCAACATGGTACTGGTGTGTCTGTTGTTGTCTAGGTTCCCTCAAGAGGAGAGTGTTTTGCGTGGAGTGCTTGGTGAGGAGTAGGATTCCTACGCTCATAGGACCCCTGTATTGTTTCCATTTTGTCCATTCAGCTGGCTGCACAGCAAAAAACTTAACTGACCCAGAGGGCCAAACAGATCTGATACGATGCAGTTCTTAAGTCCATCGAGAGTACAAACAAACAATACCAAAAATGGCAATGCCAGGCAACAACCTGCAAGGATTAAAGTGCCGCGAGCCACATATACCAGAGGCCTCCATGCCTGTATTTAGGGACATGTAACGCCTCCACCATTTCAATATATGTAATTCCAGCTACGCAGACTGTAAAGGTCACAAGAACTTAAGACAAAGCTATATTGTGATGCGTCAGGTTCAAATATAATAGAAATGCAGTTAAACACAAGTTTTCCTTACCTTTATTATTAATTATTAATTGCAAGAAGATTAACCATAATTACAGAGACATGCTTTGAACTACTGGCTCTAACCTAAGATAACATAAGTGTGACTCATCTCAGGCATTCACATCAAGATAAGAACCTAAAGATGGCTTTGGAAATACCTGCAAACTTCACTCTTCTCTTATTATAGGAGGTCCAGCGGGCTCTTACTGCGCTACGGTACTTTCAAGGGAAGACATTGGTGTTGTCCTTTTAGAGGCAGACAAGTTTCTGAGGTATGTACGAGTGACGGTCTAAGTCATACATACTAGGAATTAATTAGTAATTTCTAAGGCTTGCGTAAGCATGGGTTTTTACTGAGTGTGCTGCATTACCCAGATAGGTACTTTAGAGCATGCGTTAAGGAGGAGCATAAAATGTCGCCAGAATGGAACGGCGCGCTGTGACTTATGAAGAGCTTAAGGAATATACGAGCTTCAATCAGTTGGAGTGTTGTCAGAAGCGGCGGCATCGAAGGGCCTGCTATACTTGCTGAAGACCCATAGACAAGGCTGGTTTGATGCTTGGGCCAGGTCTCGAAAAACAGGGCTACAGACAATCACGGACATATAGGTAGACAGCATTTCCCACGTTCTGCGAAAAAGCCCATTTTAAGAACACCAAAATGCGGGCAACTGAATCAGTTGGACCACTTCAGTGTTCACAAGTGCTCGATCCATTTGGTGCATACTACAGTGTGGTCTAGATGAAGCCTGCTGAAATGGGCAAGGTTTGATATCAGCCCCTGAGGCAGAGATTACATGGAGGCAGGCCATCCTTCCACTATCAAGAAGCCTTCAACAGTGATAGTGAAACCCGACGACTGAAGAAAACTATAGACTTGCTTTAAATTAAGCACCCTAGAGGTTGAGGTTAGACATCCAGGGTATCCTGTGAAAGTAGTGGAGTTATCGATCAAACACCACCCTCACTAACCAACGGTTCGGCACTGTCAGTTTGCTGGATTAGTAAGAACAGTGTGAATCATACTGGCTACTACTCACGGTTGAGCTGTAATGCTGTCCCGGAGGCAGACAGTACAAGGGAACCCTACCATCTATTATAGCAAGACGTGATTTTTGGTTATCGACCACTGTTTCCCGTCTTCATGATCCATATATTGATTCTTCAAGCTCAAGAGCTTCCTCATCATTTAACCTATGGATCCGCTTCCTCGCCTTCTCCGTCGCTTCCTTCTTTCTGATGGTTTATATAGATATAGCAAACCTTATCCACCTTCCCGACCCTCAATCGGTTCCAATAGGCGTGTACGTGTAAGATTCATTGTATAAAATACCTGTTCTGAAGGCACTGAGTTCGCTGGTGTTTCGAATAGTCTCATCGCAGGGTCTGCTAGATCCGGAGACTCGTATTCCGAAGCAAACTGCTAAATGGTACCCGGCCCAAGCGACCCACCTCCTTCTCCTCCAAGCAAATCAAATCATCATGGACCCATAGTCTATAGTGTCCCTCGCAAGGCTACAGCACTAAACCCAAAATGGTCATCTATCGCGATGGGCCCCACAGGGCATCAGATCTATGTCCACGGTGTATATCACCAGGAGAGAAGATTCTGTCGTAAACAAATGGTGGAGGTATAAATACCCTCATCTGGAGGGTGTTCTCTTCACTTGTCCATTGTTGTTTCTATTACTCCGGTACATACATACAACTATTACCTCTACCAATCCTTGCACCATGTCCACAACCATCCCCTTGGACAGACTCCAGGTCGCCATTGCAGAGGTTGTCATCTTCTCAATTATCCAGGTCGTTCAATTCGCCACGAGATATATCCAGGAATGGCGATACTGGCACCATGGCATGCGGAAGTCCCTGCCTCGTTGTTTCTTTTATTCCTGGTGCGGGCTGTTGGGTGTCCTGGCACAACGTATGTGAGATAAGATCGTCAGAGTGTAGAATCAGAATAATATCTCCCTAACTTTTGCTGTCGCAGTTCGAATCGCTGGCTCGGCAATGGTGATATCAAATCCCCATCCGGAAAAGTCGTTGTTGGTCTCTGAATATATCCTGCAAGGCATTGGTCTCTCCCCCCTGTTGTTTGAGGTGAGCTTGGTCCTTCTGCGAAGGTAAGTAGTCATGCGATTCGTCCTATCCTGGAGGTTTTTTTTTTTTTTTTTTTTTTTTGGAAAAGTTCTATCTGTATTGGTCAACTCATCTATCTTCTCGTGTAGTGGTCAATCCGGTCGTACCGGTCCTGGAAACTCGAGATATCCCAAGAAGATACGCTTCGCTCTCCATTTCTTCCGGTTTCCCGTCTTTATATCCATCGTCCTGGTGCTGGTGGGTGCAGCCGCAGATATATATGCCTGCTTGGTTGTGGGATCCGTGGTGCTGGTCATTACATTTGCGTATGGCTGCGCACTAGCAGGGTGGTTGGCCGTCCAGTATCGTGCCGTGCTCCCTGTGAGTGGCCGTCGCAGTGTAGTGTTGGTGCTGGTGGCGTTGCCATTCCTGGTCATTCGGGTCGCCTATTTTCTGCTGGCGGAATTTGGTCCACGGAAGTTTGACCCCGCAGTTGGGGATACTAGTGTCATGGTTGGAATGGGGCTGTTGATGGAGATTCTCATTATAGTGTGTTTGCTGACAGCGAGGGCCATGGCAGAGCCGTTTTGGTCGGTGCCAGCTCAGATGGAGTTGACGGCATGAACATCCACTGTATATCAACACATTGTGGACATAGGAGTAGAGTGATAGTAATGTTGGGCAATGGATTTAAGTTTCGCTTTCACACATTGAACGAAGTGCCAATACAGCCGGTGACTACCGATAGTTTTGCGGATGTACCACTGCATAAACTTTGGAAAGCCGCTCTAACCAACCCTTAAGCCATTCCATAGTTATAGGGTCGGCTGTTTCATAGACCGCTCGTAGGGAGAACCCCATTCGATACGGCCCTAGGATCCCGCGAGTATTATACTCGACTGACATACAAATCAGATCCCGAAAGTAGACGATCATGGCTGCATGGTTGCCAGGATGGCCGCACGTTTTCAGGATCTCATGAAGAAGCATCGTGTAGGAATAGTAGCTGCAAAATATAGTACCGCTGTTAACGTCTGAATATTCGAGCACAACTGGGAACACCGTATCCCCTGTAGACGACAGGACCTCGTATGGAAGTGGCACAGTCCGGGCGAAACATTCATACCATGCAGACACCTTATCCAGCAAGATGAGAGCTCGAGTCACGATGTTCGAAATCTTCTGTTGCGTTGCTGGGTCGGTTGGGTCCGCTTCTTTGAAGCTGTAGAACTCATGTATGAGACTCGGTGCAAAGGTAAAGTAGGCAAAGAAATCTTCCACAAGGCGGTCAAATCCGAATTCTAACCCGGTATTGACGTGTCCTTTCATCACAAAATGCCATTCCTTCGAGGCCAGGTAGCATGGACGGCCAGAAAAGAGGGAATACATGACCTTGTAAGAGTCAGTTACTAGGGACACATCACCGTGGTAGAGCCAAGTATGTACGTACAATTAGCCCACGAGACGCTTTCAGTAGGGTAAAGTCAAACTCGTCGACATAGCGATCGCATCCTCGAATTTCAGTCAACTGACTCAATGCTTTGGCATGTGTCATCCACGAGTCCGCGTCGTTTGTTTTGGCAAAGAGCTTCATCAAGTCAGAAGAAACCAGGAGAACAGGCATTGGCTCCACACTCACCTCGTACATGCACAGTAACAGAACAGAGCAGAACACTTCCGAGGAAAGTCCTTCCAGTGGATTATCGATAGACACTCGTAGCCTCCTTAGTGCCTCCACGTATGCGGATCTAGCATATAAAACAGCCTGCTTATTCTGGGTGATACTACCAATATGATGCGAAACAAAGCACTTAATAGTCGAATCCAAAGCCCTGTTACGTCCGTACAAAAGCGGGAGAAACTTCAACCAACGAGAGACAACGTAGGCCGAGTTTAAATGAAACGGCCGAGAGACCTCTTCAATGACAGTATCCAGACTCTGTATCACATTTGAATCGACAGATAATAGAGAAATTGGCTCAGTCTTCCGGACTTGCAACTGACGCACAATCTGCGAGACGATATCTGCATTGCAGTCCATACTAGTCGGATCAACACCGTCGTTCGGGCTATCTTCTGTCTTTGGTCGTCGTCGGGAACGATACAGCTTTGCAGCAACAAATTTGAAGCCCCGCTCATATCCAGGACAGGGTCTCCCGTAGGTCTCGCATTTTGCACATCCAGGAACCCTCTCGTCACACTGTATCATGCATCAGGAATTGCTACTCTGACCAAATCCAGATCGAAGCCATGTACAAATCCGAGGAAACTAACCTTTACTCGGCGTTTCACACAAAGCGAGCAGCCGCTGCTCCGAGGGACACCCATTTTGGGAGAAACCCAGCGAGATAGTCCATGCGCTGCGACTAATGGCAACCACTAAGGTCGAGTATACGAGGCCAACGGGACACTGACCTTAGTCAGCACATATCTCGTTGAACTTAGGGGAATGGAAAAGATACGCCACAGTACGCCACAGTACGCCACAGTGTGCCCAGGACTGTGGCGCTCACCTTCCCACTGACATCGCGAAAGCCTTAGTTGGACTACTGTGCAACTTTAAGATAGTTCAACTATTTGGAAACCACCAGACGCAAATAAATCCCCCATTAAACCAAATCCATTACCGAAAGTACCGCGCCTGATGGAGTGGGATCCCACCCAGTACTTCCGCGCCGATGATCCTCCCACGCCCTTTGCCCTGGTGATTCTGAACCAGCCAATCAACGAGAAAGCATTCAGTGTGCTGCGGGAACACTGTGAGTGTACCTAGGAGTGTACCTTGGTCTTTACCAATTTAATTTTTTTTTATTTTCACATCTCATGTTATGTCATGCCCTTGCTAACATGGGTACAGCATGCATTACCATCTGCGCCGATGGCGGCGCAAACCGGTATTATGAGATGATGAGACGGCACGGGCGAGAGTCCCTTGATGTAAGAATACAACTACTGCATGCACTTGTTATACTTTAGCAGAACACAACCAAATGAGAAAAAAAAAAAGAAAAAATATATCGGAATTAATGAATGACCTGACCAAACAAGCTCCCATCTTTGATCATCGGCGACCTGGACTCCATCCATCCAGAGATCAGAACCCACTACGACAACCTGGGCGTCCCTGTCATCGAAGACCCAGACCAATATTCAACAGACTTCACGAAATGTCTAACCTACCTGCACAGTCACGCACACGAAATCGTCGCCAAGAAGTCTGGGTCTCGCCGCCCGTCCCAGCAGCCTCTTAATATTATTATTCTGGGTGGATTGGGCGGCCGTGTCGATCAAGCCTTCTCACAAATCCATCATCTGTATATGATGACACAGCAGCAGCAGCAGGAGTCGTCTTCTGCATTGGTGGGTCACTTGTACCTTGTCTCCGAAGAAAGTATCACTTTTATTCTGCGATCAGGGAAGAATATCATCCGCACGCCGGGAACGAATCGGCCCGGTTCCACTGTGGTGGGAACGGAGTCCCATTTTCTGGAGGAAAACGTGGGTATCATTCCTCTCTCTGGGCCGGCGAGTATCACCACCGCTGGGTTTGAGTGGGACGTAGCGGACTGGAGCACGGAGATTGGAGGGCAGATTAGTACGAGTAATCATATCCGGGCAGACGTGGTGGAGGTCGCGAGCCGGACTCCGGTTCTGTTCACGCTGGAGTTGGCAAGCAGGTTCAAGAGAGCGAGATGATATACTTTGTTTTCTCTTGTGTTGTGGTTGATAGAAAACTGGGGCAGGAGTTGGAACAGGACAGATAGATACAAAAGCGCATGGTTCCTAGCTCATAGCAATAGAACCTCATCTAAACTGAGACTTCACTCATTCAGTATGATCAACGATCAAAAGCCCCCATCCAATACAAAAAAGGAATAAGAACGAGCTGAAATTCAACCAAGGCGCCTCACCCTAGCCATACAGCCAAAGCCAAAGCCAAAAAAAAAAAAAAAAAAAAAAAAAAAAAAAATAAAAAGCACGATTGCACAATCAAAACAGACAATCAGAACTAAATCACACGCACCACGCCGTAGAACGCAACCCGAAACGAGAGGATATCAAAAAGACGGCCATGGAGTTGGCCATTGACCAGACCATCGCCCGCCGACAATAGAACCCCTATCCAAACCTCCAAGGAAATCTGCTTAATCCTCTAGACAGCAACGACTTAAGTCCGTCTTGTGGTACAGCAAGTAGGGTATCGCCACCCAATTCCCTCTTCTAAACCTACCCTTGCCCCTCAAAAATACGCCATAGCATTATCGCCACAAAAAGCCCTGGGATCAAACACAACAGACAGCTATAGGCAAAACATATATTTACTTCTTCAAGATGGCCTCGTACAGAGTCCCGATCACCCCAATTGCAGCGCCTGTCAAAATCCCTGGCCAACGTCCAGGAACAGACGCATTTACTCTCTCAATGGAGAAGTTGCCGTACAGATTCCAGAAGTTAAAATGATTCGCATACACTAGGTATGCGATCAATGCCTTGGCGATGTTGAAGCTCAGGGGGTCGAAAGTAGACTGCGCAGGACGGGCTCTGCGCGTGCTGTGGGCAGGGCCGTTACCAGCTTGTTGGCTCAAGTTGAAGAAATAAGCGACCATCAATGGCAGGAGCACACTGGTAAGTACCCATAGCGAGAGTGGGGCCCAGAATGCGCCATCCACCAAGATGAAGAGGTCAGGAAGTTTGATCGCAAAATCCGGTGTATGGATCGCTTCTACCGCTGGAACGGTTACAAGAAACCGTAGCGGCATGAGCTCCCTGACGAGACAAACGTACTCCAGTGCCACTACCAGGGTTTCGACAGCTTTCATGCTGCTCAAGGTCGAGCGCACCGAGTGCGTGTGCTCCTGAATCCCTGACCTGGACCACGCATCACTGATGGTCCTGTTCCAGGCGGCAGCTTGGCGGTCAATCGCGTCGGTGACAACAGCTGGCGACGGAGGCAATGGAGGCCGAACACTCATGAGACTACGGCCGGGAGTTTGCGCGGTGGGTTGAGATGGCTCCTCAGACTCGTCTCTGCATTGTCGACGCGTTAACTATCTATCGCATACAACACGACAATGCGCGCGACAATAATCGCATCGATACTTAGGATCACTTACGACTGCTCGGTCTCTGCCCTCTCTCCCCTTGCTTTAACCTTACCGCGACGCGCAGACCTCAGAGGCTCGACCTTAGAAGGGGTAGCTTCGACCCTGGACTCTCTCTTGATGGGCGACACTATGCGCGGACTTTGCGACAGGCGACGGTAGTATTCTGCGAGTCGCCCGTCATTTTGGAAGATCGACTGGTTCGTCTGGAGATGTCTATCAAGAGCGGCAGCAAGCTCAGGCTTATTGTATTCCTCGTAGCTGGAAACGGTCAGAGGTCCGGAGCCTGGAGGAGCATATGGGACCATAACATCGATCGCGATGGGACATACTTTTGAAGATCAGTAGCATCCGCCCAGTCCGCTAATTGGGGCTTGCGTAGTTTCTGCAAATAAGGCAAAGCGCTGGACATGGTAGTGATAGTAACGCGACGTCAACAACGACGACAGTGATGATGCTGTGGATGATGATGCTGTTGTTGCTGTTGTTGCTGCTGTTGATGGTGATGATGATATGCGCGGATCCACTAAGACCATGCGACAAGTCAAAGCGTGCAAGGGGGGTGGAGGGGGGAAGGTGGAAGGGAAGAAAGTAGTATACAGGCGATAAACAAACAAGCCGGGAAGGAGGAGACAACTCGGAGGAGAAACCATCGATGGATTGGGAGGGGAGAAACGCGCACTTCCAGTTAGTAACTTGGCGGGGCTTACCGCATCCGGCTTTGTTTACATTTAACAGCGCGTGTTTTTGCCTCTCTTTGTCACCGGAATGCCCGGTCGCCTCGATTGAAAGGAAATTGACCCAAGGGTTAATTTGAATTTCTCTATGTGATGTAATATGGTACATGAGGCATCTGCAGCCGCTCTAAGTCTATGTAGGTATGTAATTCGTACAGAATATCCAGATCCTCCTTTTTCTCTCCCAACCAAATAAGAGTATGTATTTGCATGAGCAGTGGGGAGATGTCAGAAAAAAGGGAGGGGGAAAAAATAAATCAAAAGATCATGCCATATCTTTCCCAAAACGCCTTGCCTACTTTATCCATCCAATGTGCACCTGCTCCGGTGGTGGTGCCGTAATATCTACAACGGTCGAGTGTCACACTTAGTGCACACAACTCCTTCTGCCCTTCAGTCTGCCTGGAACATGGAAGAATAATCCCAGGCGGAGAGGTCGGCCTTGATTAAAGAGGATTCGTTTCTCCCATATTCTGATAGTCCTCGAACTTTTTCAACAAATACTGGTACATTACCAACATGGTTCCACTCTGGATGCTGGTCCACACACCACGAGGGCCAACGCCACGGAACCACCCCGCAATACCTTCGGCCTGGTAGATCATCTTTAACCCAGTGAAGAATGACGCAGTGTCCAGACGAGGGGCTCCAGGCGGCGGCATCGAGGTCGACGGCGTCGTCATGGGTCGCGAGTGTGTCCGTAAACTCGAGGTCGTATGGGCGGGGGAATACTGTCGGGGACTCTCCTTAATTGACGCAGGTTCTCCCGCGGCTTTAGATGGACTCGTACGATCAGGGTTCTGTTGGGTTTGTATGCGAGTTTTCACAACATCCATTGGACAAGTGATCACACCGGCCATTCCACCGGCCGTTACCGCAGTTAGGATCTCTAGACCAAGGCCAATATCCCGGGACCCAACCCACTCCTTAGCCATCCGATGTTCCTGTTCGTAAAAGGCGAATTGCAAAGCAGAGAAAGGTAGGTCGCGGAATATGGTCGCTTTGTACCCATAGAAAAGCGCAGAAAACCCTTCTTGCCGAATGATCGTGCGAAAAGCATCTGTGGTGGAGCGGTAATTATATCCAGAATTAAAATGCGGGTTGTTATATCGTCCCTGCAGTTGCAACCGAGTTTTCAAGACTTCCGAAGGAACAAAGACAATGGAAGCGGCCAGGTCCGCGAATAAGCCTAGAGAAGAGCACATCAGCAACCAACGCAGCAGAAATAAAGCCAAAGAAACGAAAATAGGCTCTTTTACCTCCACACAGATACGCCACGTTGGCATTGACACCTGCATCCAGCATGCGCCGCTTAGTGAATTCATAAACCCCAAAGAAGGTGACTGTACCGGGGAAAGAACCCAAAAGCGCCGGTGTCACGCCACCATAGAGACCTCTAAAGAACCCTTCCTGTCGATATATGGTCGCATACGATGAGGTCATAGAGGTATATCTGGGAGGTATGTGTGGGTCGCCTTGTTGTCTTGTCTTGACCGTATCTAATGAATGCATAAGCATATCGCCGCAAGTCCCACCAATACCACCGGCAAACATTGCCTGTATGGAACCATTCAGCGGTCAGCCTAATACCATACAATTATGAAACAAATAAAGGATATTGTTCCTGGGCGCACATGGACAATGCTACTCCGCGTAGGATACGCTACCATCCTAGCATGACCGGATACTAATCAACATACATGTAAATACAGAGGGCGAGGCTCCTCCTCGTCTGCTATGGAAGCAGCATCTTGCGCATAGGCGTCCCTATCGGCCTTCACCTGACTGGAGCCATAGGGGACATGTTCGTCGGTACTGGTGGTTTTCGAAATTACGGCCGACGCAGGGGAGTCCGAGGATGATGTCTCTGTCGTCGTAAACAGGCCAAACACACGCGAGGTCACGCTCATTGCAAGGGCACCGCAACCCACCAGATCGGTGCGGACCAGACCTCGGGCGGTTTGGTTGCGATGCGGCGACGTACAGAGTAGGGATTCCGGAAGGACGCCACCTGCAGCAAAGGATGACGGGGGAAAAGAAGGGGTGTCAAGGAAGGAAAGAAGAAGGAATGAGTAGGGTAATTACAGGGACGCCAACGAAGGTCGGGAGGGGGAAGGCAGGAACATGTCACCTCATGAGGGATAATATTTCGAAAAACGGAGTTCAAGCTTTGCACTCCCGATAATAATCAACAAGCCCGAAAATTTGGTCGGTTCTCCGTTTTCTCCGCATCCGAGACCGATTGTAGCCTCAGGCAGATTTTCTTATTAATTCCCGATTCTGGCTCGGATATCCTTAAACACTGTCGAATAGCTAGTTAGTTAATTCGATAAAAGAAATGAGTTTTGATTCGATAATGACTAGTTACTGATAACTGTACGTATTTATGAGATGTCTACTGTATCCAGACTCAACGTCGAAAAACAAAAGAACTTTGTACGAAGCAGTTGCTGAGAGTGATTCCAGTACACAAAGTTACAGCAAAGGTAACTTCTTGCGTTGACTAATATAGAAGATAGGTTCTAAGGCGTCTAATATTGCCAAACACGAAAGAAAGTAAAGATCGATCCTAAGATCCCACAGTTTCGGTAAGACCTTACTTTGACCGGAGAGCAATCAGAAGCAATCTTGAAAGGCAGGTATGATTTTTTTTTTTTCTGCTGGTTTGTTGCATCCTGGCTCCGCCATAGTATTCTAAATTGTCGGAGCCATGCACAAAAGGAGACACAGCAACATCTCGTCTCTCTTTCAGAAGTGTGCCTTTTCGTAGGTGCAAATAAGCCCATATTTACAGCCATATTCATCCATGTACTTGGCAGCTTGGACTTATCTTTGTTAGCAAGGAGATCGAAATAGGACACAATTAGCTTACTTACCAAGTACTTAGGCTCTATGTAGAAGTCGGTATCCAGAGATGTATTCCATGGGCATTGGACTCTTCGGCGAGCCTAGGCAGGGACCTGATGCTACCTTAGGAGCTAGATTTGCGCGCACGATTCATTCCGACCCATAATATATGCTGAGTCAATAGTAGTGATCATCTTAGAGCTGTTTTGGGTGCCAACTCTTCAGTTCGACATACGCCGCGTAGTGCTTTCTACACTCGGTGCGCAATTAGTTCAACACAAAAGGGCCGGCTTCGGATATCTATCACTGGCTGACGGACCGGAATTGCCGTAGATGGAGCGGTCATTGCAACAAAGGAATTCGACGTAGATAGTCAAAGAACAAAACAGCAACACGATAGGGAAGCTGTTTATGGCCAATGGTGAAGGGCGCATAACAAGGGAAACTTGAAAACAGCTGCAATAAGCGAAATAAGAAACGTGCCGAGAAGACCCAACCATGCCTAAACGAAGACAGACCTATCAGAGCAAGGAAATACTTGACACTTTTGTTGGATTAATGGCTTGCATTTGTAGCGATCTCCCACGCCCTTCAACAGGTATACCAGGAGCAATGAATAATAGAGACCAATGAGAAGAAACATTTACTAATTATTGAAATAGTCTTGTATGCGCAGTAGGTAGACTGAAAATGGATAGAAGAAGGAAGATCATGAAGGAGGAAGGAAATATCGAGACTGAAGTGGAAGAATCGCGGTTAACATGCAGGAGGTAATCATACCGTTCTGTTCAGAGCGAAACTGCTTATAGGAACATTGATCACAAATTAATGCCTCTCCTGTGGCGGAAAATAACTATCATGAGCTTCACAAGCATGCAAATAAACTTTGGTCGATTTAATGCAATTTCCGTGCTTGATTTCGGCAGAGACACTCCAGTAGCGCGCCAACGTCGCTTATACCCTCAACTTCACATGTGGTCGCACTAAAGGCGCACATCTGAGAGTGAAAACTCAAAGGCATCCGGTATCCGTGACTTCTCGGGATCATATTGCTTGCAATTCATTCCAGACCACACCTTGACTGCATCCGGACCATGTCTTATATTCAGGGTCTGATATGGGGTTAATATAATGGCAAGAGAGTATTTCAAACAGGCCAATCTTCTTCATCCATCGGTTCTCAGGCCGCACATATGAACCGAAGCCGTTGCTAGGTATCATGCCGTGGTACAGTTCAGATTCCTGTACGATCAATCTCGAGGCCCTCTATGGAGGAGAACAGATCAAGTTGGGAAGCTCCCAAGTATTGGATTTTTTTTTTTTTTCCAGGTAGGCTGAGTCTTGCATACTTCCGGTCTTTTGCTCTATCAATAGCTCAATCATAGACTAGAGAAGAGTTATCAATAAAGGAATACCCTTCAGCCACGGAAAGCGCCATGAACACTCGTAATATCAGACAACTATTAGGGGTATTTATGACTCACCTGCCTCGTGTCCTATTACCTGACTTGGGTCTTCAGAATATGGTCGTCAAAACAATATCATGAAATTTCATTGTTGTTAAGAAGCAGGAGCCAATTGCGGCTCTTGTAGGCACCATGCTTGATTATATTCGCGGCGTTCGTTGTGAACACATACTTTTTACGTGACGTCCCAGAAAGTTGAGCCTTGATGTCCGTCTATCATAGTGACGGTAGACAGGTTTTCAGCCAATGGCGACAATACTCCAGAAGTAATGATTCTTCCCCCGCAATTCCAGGACCCGTTCGCCAGCACTCGCAGATATTCCCGCCGCGCCTTTTTGTCTGAGTGATGAGGAACCCACTTCACCGACAGAACGTCGACGTCCCCCCCGGGAAACCCTGCGTTGTGAACGAACGATTGAGAATGTATCACCGCCGAAGGCAGTAGCCCTAACAACATTGACGAAATCTGAAATCTGAAATCTGAAATCTACTTGGGCCTCTTCGCCTACGGATATATCGCCCAGGGGGGAATCCTCTACATGACATCTCCCTCCTGACCAGATACCATCTTCTGCTCCCTTAAATAATATAGAGGGAATATGGGGACTTTTGGAGAGTGATAGAGGATGTAGAGGAAGAGAGTGGAAATGGAACTGAGCATGTTTAACTATTAGCCGGTGAAGGTGAATAAACGCATAAAGATTGGTGGGAAATCAAATACAAGAGGGTACACTTCCATGTTAGAGCAACCATCTCTTGGAGGTGCTTGATTCACTTTACCTACCACCCGGCGAGAAAATGCGCTTCCTCACTTACCCTTCTCACTGATGAATCAATATAGACATTGAAATATCTTGCACCTGTTACTAGAACTATTTTGTCATTCATCGCATATAATAGCACATTTAATAGGCAAAAGCAATGTCTGTATTCAGAATAATCGAATCTTAGGGCGTCGCACATTAATCACTTGATCCCCCTGCTTGTCAACCCAATAATATCCTCCGCTATAGCAATTCACCGTTTGTTATCTCTTCCAAGCTATACATAATCCTTTATTCATTGTGGGCCATAGTCCAACTGCCGTTGAAGGACCAAATGGCCTGTCAATTCGTTATAACCTCTAGGATAGAAGGCTTCTGTGACGCTAGGTAGCGCAAAGGCAGTCAACAGCCACGTCAAGTTTCTCGCTAATCATCATGGCTGCCTGTCACAGTACCGTGCTGTTTATTGCGGCTTCTTGGCCTCCGTCCCGCCAACCAAGCGGCCCAAGTCGGTGGCCTCATATCCCTGGCGCACGACACCCTTGAACGTCTCCCATCCTTGGCGCACTGCAGGAGGAGTGCTCTGGTGGGAAACGGAAGCATCGACGCGTGCAGTGAAATGACGAATAGCCTGCTGGACGAACGAGCTCTGGGCGTATCGAGCGCGGAAGAAAGCTAGGTAGATAATAAAGAGAACGAGGCTTCCCTTGGAGAAAGAAAGGACCGACAACGACAGACGGAACAGGAGTGTCATCTCAAGGCCAGCCACGAGGTCCATGCTAGCGTCGTAGTACTGCTTCACAAACCTCCCAATGGTTTCCGCCAAAGGCGACTGCTTAGCGGCAGGCTTGGAGGATGAGGGAGAGGAGGACGAAGTAGGGCCTGCGGCACCCTGAGAGGGCTGCAGAGTGGGGATCAAATGGGCGCGCGAGTAAGTCGCAACATGGAAGACCGAGTAGACGCTGAAAGGAAGGAGGGCAAGGGGAACCTGACGTGAATAGAGCCAGACCAAAGCCATTCCTGGCGTAATCCGTTAGCCATCAATAGTTCGACCGAAAAGACGAGACAACACAGCTCTACTTACCAAGATACTGAACGTTCTCATCGCCCGCCAGCTTCACCACAATGTTCGGAACACTGCCCTGGAGACGAGCCCGTGCGATGTGTCCCTTGTATACCACTATGCCATATGTTGCCGCCGCGGACAAAAACGCCAGACGGTAGGACACCTGCGCCGCGGAAGAATAGTAGTTGAAGGTGACGTAGGACAGGATATAGCGGAAGACGGAAATGAGCAATGTTACATGTCTAGAGTCTATCAGCGAACTTGCTTCCGTCGTGGTCTTACTGGAAAGTTGCCATGTCGGAGGCCAAGGCAGGTAGGTAGATAGGTAGATAGGGTAAGGTGACACGAGAACCTACCCAGCAAACCAAGCGAATCTGCCAAACGGCCAGGTGGTCAGTATTAGACTCCCGCGATCAAACACCAAAGTACTCACTGCAATGTTTGGGCCAGAGCTTTGAGCCTTTCGCCCAAGGGTAAGTTCGCCGGGGGAGGAGGAGCCATTGTAGATACGTGTACGGAGCCCGGCGTTGGACAAGAGCTAGCTAGCTAGGCAGTGAGGAGAACAAAGCGGAAAGTCGGAAGGAAGATAAGCCAAACAAACAGAAATGAGAGCGAATTGAGCGGTAGAAGAGAGTCGATTACCACTGTCGTCCTTCTGAGGTAATAATTTAATTTTGGAGGAGGCTGGGCGGGGGAAAGGCGGTGGTGATGGTGGGTTTGGCCAGCAATGTTGAAATGGGGAGAAAGCGAGACTGGCTTACCTCGGGAGCCTAAGGCCAACCAGTCCCTGCCGGTGCACCGCATACTATACGATTCCAGTGACGTCGGACGTTATGCAACGGCCCGTCATTTTGTTCGTCCATAGAAGCTAGTGCTACTGTCAACAACTTCTCCTATTAAAGATCCACCTTTCTTTCCTCTCAGATCGGCCGCATGGATGGAGCACATCAAACTTGTATGTCGAGTGCTACGCCACCTGGGCCTGAAACTGATTTCCTCTACGGTCATGTTTACTATGTTTTTTTTTTTTTTTTTTTTAAATGTCCTAGGAAACACTTTGCATAGGCAACTATCACACAAAATCACAGATGGAGAGAAAAATAAGGGAAAAGCGTCCAGAAAGGATGGTCAGAGGGTGGGCGAGGTCACTAAAAGGCTGTAGAAGAGACAAAAAAGTGCACAGAAGTTAGAAGGGGACAAATAGACTGAGGTAGGTGGTAAGTAGTACGAGGCCACCATGGGGAATAGGAAACAGGCGGGAGCAAGTATAGCGTAGGCAAAGTACATAACAAGAAGCGAAAAGGGGACAGACGTAAGGCAGTGATTTCCGACCAGGAAGCGGTCTGCAGGCCACCCCCATGCATCTTGCAAAATCCAACGACCAGTCCACTCGAGCGTGCATGGCCCGCGTGTTCCAGCGTATCTCCTAGTCATTCCCCTAATGGGTATTAATCCGACTGTGACAAGAGTAAAAGAAGCGACTTTCTTTGTTTCTTCCGTCCACCCAAATTAATCAAGAAAAAATAGAAGGAGAGACAAAGCACGAGTCATTACTAGAAGCAGATACGAGAAAGAAGTGTTCGAGAGAGCGTCGGGAGTGAGAACAAATAAACACAAAAGAAGGGGCATAGTAGGAAAGTGAGCGCTCGATCAATCGACAGTCGTGGAGAATCAACCGTAAAATCACCAGAGTGCCTCCGACGACTACATACATCCCGTGGGGAGTCCGTGGCATTCGCCCCCGCAGAGGATCGCCTGGAGCCCAATTGCACTGGCTTAACGAAGAGAGAACCCCTTTCTCTTTCCCTTTTCTTCGATCGGACGCCCACTCTCGAGGCGTCCTTTCTTCTCTTCTAGCTCCTGACGCTGTCGATCCAGCTGGTCCTTCATCTCGCGATGTCGAGCATACAGCTCGTCCTCGCTCTGCTTCAACTTGCTCTCCTTCTCGGCCACCTTCTGCTGGAAAACCATCTTCATCTCCACTTCCATCTTGGCGAGCTTCTGCTCGTGTAGAGCACGCTCCTCCTCCTGCTTGACCGCCGGGTTGACCTCCTTGAACACGCTCGGGTCCTGGGCAACGCCCATCTGCGTAAGCTTGTCGGAACGGTAGTTTTCGTACAGGGAGTTATTGGTGTGTTCCTTGAGCTCCTCCATGTGGGTGCGGATCAGCATCTGGCGCAGCTTCACAAAGTCGCAATGCTCCTCGTTGTCGACCTCAATGACGCCCCATGGGTAGCTGCGGCCACGCACTTTGCGGCCATCAGCAGTCGACACTTCGGAATTTGCACCAACGACGGCGAAGGGCACCTTGGACATGATTTCCTGGTTTTCGGCAATAGTTTCTTCATCGTCAAGCTCGTAGCGGGGGCCCTCGAAAATCTGGATGGAGTGGTGCTGGATATCGGCGAGAATCTAAAGGACGAATCTAGTTAATAATGAAACGTAAGGGAAGAGCGGGATGTGTCATCATACTCTCTGCTTGAAAAGGGAGATTTCCTCGTCGGTGAGGGTATCTGCCTTAGCAATCACAGGGATCAAGTTGACCTTGGTGTGCAACCTGCGCATGACTTCAATATCGAGGGGCTTCAGGGAATGGCCTGTGGGCTGAATGAAGTAGACACAAGCATGAATCCGGTTGTCAACGATGTTTGTGCGGTTCACTTTGTTCTCGGCTTCCAAGTAAGCATCATATCTCTGCTCGATATTCTCCACGATTGGGCGCCACGAGTCATCATTGTTCACGAAGTCACCGAATCCAGGAGTATCAACTACGGTCAGGCGAAGACGGACACCGTTCTCCTCAATATCTGCACTGATAGACTGGATGGCTACTGTCTTTGGGATGATATCGTGGCTGGGGCCAGCACGTTCCTTTGGGGGGTAGAGGGAAGTATTGAAGAGTGTGTTCACAAGAGTAGACTTTCCCAGTCCAGATTCACCTACAGTACATGTTAGTCTACTCTTCAAGGCTTTCCAAAATACATCACTGTGAGCATTGAGACATACCAACAACCATCACATTGAAATTGAACCCTTTGCGAACACTCTTACGGTGCCACTGGTTCGGCAGATTGGCGAACCCAACGTAGCCAGTCAACTTCCGACGAACGACATTCTTCATATCCGTAGCGGCTTGGGCTGCAGCCTTCGGGTCCTTGGAGGTGACGGTCTGGGCGCTGCCGGATCCCATAGGGTTACTACGTTCAACATAGGGAGAGCTAGGCAAGCTGCTAGCAGGAGATTCCTTGGCCGAGCTGCCATTGGAAGGAGGCGGTGGTGAAGCTACATCGGCCACAGTAGAGTCAGTAACAGTTTCATAATCTTCGTGGCGTTCCGAAGAGGACCCCCGCGAATGCGAGGGAGATGAATGGCTCTTGGATCTCATCGGAGGCGAAGAACTGAGGGCGTTCGAGTCTTCTGCTTGAAAACAGCCCTCTACAGTCTGACGTCTGGAACGCAGCATAGTTTCGTCGTAGTTGCAGGTACCGGGCGGGAATCACGAAGAAATGGACCACGAAACAAGAAAGCGGGAACGAGATAGTAGAGGGGTGAAACAAGCGATGGGCTTACCCATTGTGAGAGCTAATGGATTTAGCGAGAGTCGAAGAAAAACTGAGGAAGCGAATGTCGTCCAAGGTAGTTCTCCTGAATAGGCAACACCTACTTGATCAGCATCAGTCCTTGCAGACTGGAATTAAGGAGAGTGATAGACACAATCGGAACAGAACAGGCATTTCACAAACGGAGAAAGCCTCAAGGGATGAATGTGGCACAAAAAGGAAATACTTAAATACCACCATACCTAGATGTCGTTCACAGAGGAAATAATGAGATTCAGTTGGTCACGACCAAAGGAGACTTGTACAATAGGGGAGACGGATCTCAAACCACAGCTCCGGGGGGGGTTGTAGACGAGGAGAAAAGCCAAGTGCAGAGAGAACTAGACGAGAGGAAAATATTACAAAATAAAAGTTAACAAGAAAGGGAAAAGAAATAATGCACAGAAAAAAAAGGGCGATGAACGAGAGAAAGAATAGGTACTGTAAAGAACCAGGGGAAGGCGAGAACGACTGGACTTGCGGAGTGATGGGGTGGAGGTCGACAGAGAGGTGGTTGTTGGAGCCAGACAGACAACTGTTTGGACTCAGAAAGGGGGCTCTTCGCTCAATGGGGAGCTAGGTCGGAGTAGGCTAGACCTCGCACCCTGGACGATACTAATTTCCTATGATCAATCCGATACTAATGCTGGAATTGAGAATCATTCAAGAACTGCAATTTGGACTACAGCTGCCTCAGGGAAATCAATGGTCGTCGTGTTATTCTTATTTCATTCCCCTATTGCCATGCTCCTGTTTGTTGGTTTTTTCACACCCCCGACATGTCCAGTTACCCAAAAATTCATCCACCCGATCGAGTCATGTAGAATACTTCACTACGATAGGCATGATTACTTCCAAATCCACAATCAATTCGAATAAAATAACGAGATAACCGTGGGGAGATCCCTTTTCAGGAGGTATCCCTTTGGAGCTCAGGTTGACTTCCATGGAACATAACGGGACCTCCTGATCCATACCGATGAGGGTGGTCAATTCAATACCGTATCGAGTCCCTGGATATTTACTAACGTATTGACTGGTTACTAACCTAATGTACGTGCCATGGAGGTTTGCTCTTCCAAACACCTTATAGGATTGACTCGTCGCCTTGGTTTTGCTATTTCAATGGCTATTGATGATTAGGATTCTGTCCAGTATGTGCATCTCCTTAGTGCCTACAGAGTGCTATTCATAGCAGGTATAAAGCAGTTAAAGTAGTCCCTCATTGTTGTTTGCGAGATGCTGGTACGGAATACCGTACACGGCAGATACCTTATTCAGGGGAATCTTTCGCCCTACGACCTAGTAGGTATCAATTATCAATCAACGTAAGGTAATTCATGCTCACTACCTAAAGGAATACATCTTTTCAAAATACCAGGAATACTGTGCCCTGTCTCTTCACTGTTTTTTCGCCCATATATATCTAATCGCAGTAACAGCGATTCCAGTCAGGGCCCCTCGGTTTAACACTCGAAAAAAAAAAAAGTGTCCCGTCCGGTACAGAAGTGAAGACCTAAGTACCCGTCTAGCCAATCATTGACCGCCACCAACGGCCCGAAGCTTTCCACCACGGATGAGAATCAAATGGTCCCCTAAGGACGAGATCGAATCTCGAGGACTACATGTCGCTGGAAATGGCTTGATTATGGATCAGGTATGGCATCCAAATGAATCTAAAGTCCAATCAGGCACAAACGTAATACTACCTTAGTAACATGGAATACTGGCATGGTACCGGTGAAAACCCGTTCTTACATCCCCCTCATATATATACATGGGACATGCATCGGCAAATCCCCCGTGCATGACAGGGTGACATTCCATCGCAAGGGAATGGAACAGGCCAGCCTGGTGGATTTACATTCGACCCGCGAGGCACGGCGTTAAACAATTCTCCTGTTGGCATTGGCATTCCAACCGTGTTCCAGATGTATCTGCAACATTGCTCATGCATGTGTAAACGGCACGGTGAAACAGCATTCTTTCCCAGGCCACTTGGTGCGGTTTGACTGATTTGTACAAGAGGAATTGGCGCGAGATACTCCGTCCATTGCATAATAGTGCCTAAGATAACTACTCCGTGCCTATCAGAGCAACCTACCTTACTCTTAGGTAGGAAAGAAATTCCTAATGGAATACAGCTCCTGGTACGCTCATTACCTACTTGGCAGAACATTGTGCTACGTACTTGGTACTTTTTTTTTTATGATCTAAGACACATTCGACTAGCGTGGGATCGACCTGCTGATCGTGGTCAGTATGGTATATACAAATGCACGCGAGAGTCAATAGTGCTGACAATAGCAGAGTTACTTTCACTGTCCTACATAGGTATAGACATGACATATCAGATTTATCGACACCGTCATCAAATCTAACACTAAATTTCCAACTTAAAGTAATCTAACGTGTCATTTCTGATTAAGATATTCCGGAGAGCGTTGAAGATTTACTCCTGGAATGAGGTTGCACTGCACTGCGCTATATGGATACGCTAGATTTAATTGAATTTGATTCATTATGCAACCATAATCATAATTTAGACAAGATATTTGTCCCGCTGAGCGGAGGAATATTACATTTATTTCCCAACCTTCGACTTCTTTTTCGGCCGTGACTGTTCCTCCTCATCCATGTCGACATCATCATCGTCGCCGGCATCGGACGCATCATCCATCTCGGCGTCGCTTCCACTCCCACTGCTCTCATGTTCAGAGTCGAATTCTTCTGCAACATCCGACTCCGAATCAGCTTGGAAGTCCTCGTCAATGGACTCTTCGTCCTCATCAGCGGAACCACGGTCAGCTCGTACGCCTTCATCTTCGCTCGACCCCACATCGTCATTGTCAAGTGCGGCTTTCAGGATTGCCGAAGTCTGGATAGATGAGTTAAGTATAAGCTATATGTTTGAGAATAGATGGTGTTCAACGTACGTCGTCGGTCATTTCATTCTTAAATCGAATGTTCTTTGCCTTGAAGAACTCCTCAAGGGGCTGCTGCTCCTCACTATGGCAGAAGTTAGAACTGATCGGAATTGAGGACCATAAAAAGAAAGCATACCGGTTTATGTTACTGAACTGATGGGATCCCGAGGTCTTCATGCTGACCGTTATATCGAACGTTCGGCTGGCTGACACGGCTCCACCGACACGGGACATGGTGATGACGGAAATGTTCTCAATCGGGATATACGTGGCAGGCTTAGGAACGAAGATCAAACTCTTGTCCAAAAAGTACAAGAGGCCCTCGTTAGCCTTGATAGAACACTTGACACCGCTATGACCGTGATGGCTTCTGGTTGTGAGCATCCTCGTATGAATTAAGACTCCGGAATGCTTACCTGACAAAATCTTTTGACGGCATAATGACTTTCTTGCCAGACAGGCCACGGAAGATTTTTGTAACTACTTGATGGATTGGCTCCTCATAGCGAGCCTCTAGCTTGTCCTTATAGCGAGTCTCCAACGATTCACTGGGAACGACACAGTTAAATGATGATACTAAAGTTGAAATATCCCAGGATTGGACTTACTCTGTCATGTTAAGCTCCAAGCTAATCTCTTCATCCAGTTTCAATTGCATGACTAAGAACGGATAACGAGTTTGACCCTGGCGCAGGGGAGGGTCAAGACCCAACACAATAAGCGTATGTGTGTCATCATTCTTAGGAAGCAAAAAGAATTTCTTGATGGATGCATATTGAATTTTGTAGTCGTATGTTTTGCCACGTAACCGGAAGGAAGCCTCGTACATATCGATATCGAAGCGGCCTCTAGTAGAGCCCGTTAATACTGCCCTGTTGGAGGTGCATATGCATGAAGGATACTTACCTCGGTGTAAGATGGAGAACGTCCAAGAAAGTAGCAAAGGTATCACCAGCCACATCTCCAATCTCTGCCTTGTCCATAAGCGTTTCGTAGAACAGGTTGGCTGCATTCTGTTCTTCGCCTTCTCCCTCTTCTTCACCTTCACCATTCTCCTCACCATCCTCCCCCTTGATTCCTTTCTCTGTTTTCACGGCTGTTCCTGGAATGTAAAATCGCATTTCGACCAGCTCATCTGGGCCTGCCGCCGCTTTCCTACCCCTGTTCTTTGTGCTACCAGCCGGTTGGGCATTAGATTCGCTACCAGCGGGCAGAGAGAACTCAACAGCGACCTCATTCTTTCCCGCAAGATTCGTGTTAGAAATTTCCGAGTAGGGCACCTCGAATGCAGGCCGATTTTGGACGCTAAAACTGAGCTCCGCCTTCGTAAACTCTGCTTTACCCCAGTTCCACCCGCGGAGCGCATGCTCCCTATTCTCAATGTTGATTCCATACCAGATTTTGAACGCCTTAGTCAATCTTTCAAAGTCCTAAAATAAACGGATTCCATGTTAAGAAAAGCAACAGTGACAATTTGGAAGCTAATCCTGCAGACCAGTGCAGACATACCTCTTGATCAAATCCATCCAGTTGAATAACTCCTGAAGAGCGCGATAGGATTTTTAACTCATAACCCTTGGCAGCTCGGCTCCATTGGGCTGCGCCGACGTTGCTGCTATCGAGAGTAAATGTTTCGCCTCCGCCAGAAGGTTTCCATCCCAAGCCGCTTTCCGCAAGTTTGCATTTTCCAGGTTGTTTCGAGAGGTCAAGGTAGATGTTATCGAAGCTCTCCCTAGACTAAAGATCAGCGTCATGAATAGGATAGGTGGCCACAGGGGGAAGCCCACATGTTGGAGAAGCTGTCAAGATGCTCACACTAGGAATTTATGAGGGTTAAAGATGGTAAAGTTAGACAAATTAAGGGTGAGCGACAAAGACGACAAAGGTTCAATTAAGATAAAACGATGCTTTATCCAGCGATAACTGATAGCTATCAGCTAGTCAACTCAACTATCGCCTTTTCTCGGTCTCGCGTTGCGCGCGGCTGCTGTCGATGGTTTAAACGCGGTGCGGCAGAAAACTAGATTAGAGGCGGTGAATTAATAGCGCTTCTTATCTGCCTCAGGCAACAAGTCATCGCTTGAGGTCAGTTTGAAAGGGGGGTGTACTATTTCCATGCTGCAGCTTTGATAGAAAGACTATATATCTATAGACTATATCCTAACACCCATGTATTATACACCAAAAGCGTTTGCTTTGAACTACCATCAACTACTCTCGACCATTAAAGATTCTATGATGCCTACTTACAAACTGCTTGGAGGTAAACGGACACTCAGGGTTGACACGTGGACTACATCAATCAATAACTAAGAAGTAAATGTTGCAAAATAAACTTCTGGCAATGCTACAAGGTTTCCAGACTGGTCTATAAGCAGGCTACTATCATGTGGTTGCTAACTAGAATATAAGTTATCAACGTACACAAACACTAAATCCAGGATTACTTGGATTACGGCCGTTATTACTTCAGAGCCTGGAAGGTATCCGGGATACATTTCCATATGGGTAGCAAAACCTGCTACAGAAAATGAATGGCGCATTGTCGCAGCGTACTCTGTGTGCCTTGCATTACTGTATGGCTTTTCTTTCTGCAAGGAATGCCCCGGTGTTCGGCATCGGTGATTATATCGCTGAACTTCGGGATCTCGTCGTTTTGTGCCGGGATATTGATCGGTGCAAGGATCCAGGACCGAAACTCCAAGCTTAATGATACAGTCAACTCGACCCCTTGCTAGTATATCTGCTAATTAGATGCTCATCGATTGAGTCTAGAATGTGTGGAATGAAGCCCAGAAATCATCGTACATGGATATCTTGGCCCTTAGGCTTGTAGCCCTATCGTATCCAGCTCTTCCTTAGGAAACCTAGACGCTTATCCAGTTCTTTTACGATGCTGACCGTGGATTGTCTTTGGATGACATCAAAAGGAGCTCTGCCATTGATAGTTGGTTGTTTGGTCACTTCTTTTCTTTTCCGTTTTTGGTCCATCAATCTAATTCTCCCTGTCTAATTCTCCATGCGCTGCGATATCTTCTATTTAATCCCTAAAACCGTAATGCAAATTTGCAGTGGTAAATACTACATTTCCAATTCCTAATAAGCTTAGTTACCTTTCAAATATAAAGATAAGCGTTTGCCACATCGGCTGGAATGGCGGCTGGAGAATGGCATGCGGAAATAGTCCAACCGCCACAAAATAACAAATATGAAAAGACATGACTTCAAGAATGAGAAATTACTCTGGCATCAATGCATCACATGTCAAAGGCAAAGTCAAACCATGGAATTAAAAAAGGACATCCAGTGATAGGCTTCAATCAAGTCTTCCAGAGTGACGTGACTTTTGTATAGACAGTTTTTGGAGCATTGCTATATTGAGTACTTAGTGGAGAAGATAATTTTAGCTTGATGCCTAGATAAAGTCTTCTTTTTGTTAGTACTGATGAACTCATTTGTGCTTGAGAGATATTTTTGACAGTCTTGTTAGTCGACAATTGCTCTATGAAACCCAAATACTTATGTATATACTCCCTATGTGCTGTTAGCTGAACTTGATATAAAGCTGATGTCTTGAGGAAATTGTATAATCGCATTTGGTTGCTTCGTTATCAATTTATAAATCCCTCTGAAAGTTCTAGCCTGTACTAGGTACTGCTATTCAGTCCGTGTACTGCTACTTTAACAACCAATGCTATTTGGATATAGGGACCTTTGCGAGTATGTGCCATCTAGATGTCTCTTTCCCTTTTATCTGTATATTTATCTTACCTCTTCTCCTAGTTTTATTCACTGTGAATTTTGTCAAGGGAAGCAATACCCAAAAGCAACCGCCGCGCCATCACTCCATACTAAACAATAAGGCCATACTGCATCTACGAACAGTGTCTAAATACAATGAATAATATACGATGTAGCTCTATACCCTATACAGATGTATACAGGTGTATACAGATTGTTGCAGATCCCGATACCTTCACTCGCATATACTGTAGTTACCATGCTAGTCTCATGTAGATGTGAGGCGAGATGCGAGCTCTACCATAAAACTAAGGAAGACAAAATAAACCTAATGATTGCGTACTGTAAGGCTTATTAAAGAGGTCCTGCGTACCCGAAGGGGCTGATACGAAACTAACCTTCCTGATCGTGAAACGCTTAAAGCTTGATGCCAGCTGTAGTCGCATCGCACAGCGCATATGTATTCCTTTTATCTTGACCTACAAACTTATAGGTAATTAATAGCCCCCATCATATCTATCTAAATAGGCAAGGAGATATAACAGGCAGGTATGTAGGTATATTGTAGGTACCATACATATACCTGGTGCTCCTGGGTGGTAAGATAGAATACATGCGGATATCTCCAAATAATAATAACCAACTTTTGGACTCTATTCAGCGACCGTGGGTTGCTATCAGTGGCTGGCGAGTAATGTTGCGTATTGCATACCGCGCCAAGGTATGCATGGGAGTATTAGCAGTATGAGAGGTATTTCATACGCGGCACGGACGGGAGCACTAGTAAGATTAAGAATAGTAACCATGGATGCCACCCGGAAAAACCTCCAGAGGTTAGACTTGAACAAACAAGCCCCTGCCATGTCACTCGTTCAGCCCATTCAACTTCACCCAGTCATTCGTTAGTTTTCTTGTTCTGCTCATTCCTGCATTTTTGCCTCTCGTAGGCCATATGCTATCCATTCATTTCTTTATTTATTAGTTATTGCATACTGTTTGGCGCCTGTCTTACCGCTCCTTTCGCTGCCACTCCTTTTCTGTGAGCATCCTTCTTATTGGTGCCTAGCTTCTTAAAGAGACCTTATCCCCTTTGGCTCGACCGCGTCGGTTGTTTGGTCTTGCTTTTCGTATCTTTTCAGTTCTGTCGTTTGACTTGAAGTGACCAAAATCCCAACTCTATAGAGTCTCTCGTCTGCCTCGCTTGTCGTCGCGATCCTGAACAATGAGGAACCCCTCACTGTTTGGGCCTGCGACGGCTGGCATCTCGACAGCCATCTACCTGCTATCTTCACTGCAAACTGCCCACTGTTTATCATTTCATTCGGTCTCAGAACCCGATTTGGATCTTTCACCTCTTGGAAAAGTTGCTCTCGCAGGGAATTTTGATGCTGTTTCGATCTATTCTTACACCGAGCAATCCGACACAGCTTCCGTGGGGAATGGCACCCAGTCTATTCTTACGCCTCTTCCCAATGGGATTCTCACGACGCTCTCCGCTTCGGATGGCTATATTCGGGCAATGTGCCCATTTACGCAAAAGGATGGAACGGACAGGGGTATTTTTGTTGGCGGGAACTTCACCTTCCTAGGAGGCGTTGAGACGCAGGGTGCGGCGCTGTTTAATCCCGAGTCAAACAAGGTGACGGCTTTGCCGGGACTTTCTGGATCAGTAATGGCGGCGCTGTGTGACAAGGAGACAGATAGCGTCTACGTTGGTGGAGATTTTAAGTATAAGAATACGTCGAACGCCGTTGCTTGGGTTGGTGATAAGGGCTGGTCAAGTTTACCCTTTGGCGGATTCAACGGGCCTGTTTCTTCAATTGTGAATGGCGATGATGGGCATGTCATTTTTGGTGGCTCGTTTGATAGCGTTGAGAACTCTACGTCATCGAAGAAGAGCCAACAAGTTGTCAACCTTCAGACCGCCACGATAACTTCTGATGCAATCTCCTCGAGAAGCGGCCTTAATGACCCCCGGAATATCCTATGTCAGACTAGTGGGGATGATGGTGAGGGAAAGACTTGGCTTCTGGCGGACAATTCTCCCGGTTTCTGGCGGGCAGACATGCGGTTCGGATACAACCCAACCAGGATTCGGCTATATAATACCCATCTGGAGGGGAGAGGCACAAAAGCATTCTTATTGCGAGCTCTTCCAGACAATGGGATCATGAATCTCACTTACAGCGAGCCGGGTTCTCCTGATAAGAAGTACTGTGATTCATCATGTCCACTTTCTAGCAACCCGAGCGAGAAATATCGTGAATTCGATTTTGTGAATGGCGTTGGAATGCGTGGCTTCCAGCTGGAGATTCAGGACTGGTATGGTAGTGGTGCTGGCCTGAATGGGATACAAGTCTTCCAAGACGGTGAGTTGCACTTTTTTGGTTCTACTATGGACCTGGGTTTGCTAACCGTCGAAGATATCTTCGCTTATGCCGTGAGCGACTTCAACGAGCCGACATGTGGGGATATCAAACATGCATCCCGGTCGTCTCAGAAGGGCTCTTGGACTGTCACTAAATCCGATCTGGGTCAGTCAGACTATTTGACGGCGGAGATAACCGACTCTTCAGCCAGCAGCACCTCTGTGGTGTTTGAACCCGATGTCAAGCAATCAGGAAACTATTCGATCCTTATCTACACTCCCGGGTGTATCCAGGATGGTACATGCGCTTCTCGTGGCATAGTGAGTGTTACAGCTACCGTCACTACTCACACTAAGAACGCGGAGCCAATCGAAAAACAAATCTACCAGACTAACTACTATGATAAGTACGACACAATTTACACCGGTCGTGTGGATGCTAGCGACGGCTCGTTTCGCCCCAGTGTAACTTTGACCCCCAAGGCTGGTCAGGGGGACATCAAGGTTGTTGCGTCTCGTGTTAGGTTTAACTTGGCTCATGCCTCTGGTGCCTCTGGTGCCTCTGATGACCTGAGCGGGGAACTGAATGGCCTATATGACTTTAACTCCAAGTCCACAGACATGAATCCCAAATTCACCGATTCTGCCATAAACAGAGCAGGTCTCACGTTGGACCAGGACGCCATAATAAAGAGCTTAGCGAGCCACGACAGTATTATCTACGCGGGTGGAAACTTCTCAAGTTCGGGCATCAGGAACATCATGCTCTTCGAGAAGGGTAAAAATGCTACTTCAATGACACAAGGTGGTTTGAATTCAGAGGTGACTTCGATGGCTGTGCTCGATAAATTTCTTTATATTGGAGGAAATTTCACCGATACATTCGATAGTAGTAACGATCGTCTCAAACACGTTGCTGCATACTCTTTTGATTCTAAATCTTGGTCGGCCTTGGGCGGAGGTGTCAATGGCCCCGTTTCTCAAGTTATTCCCATCAGCCTCAATGTTTCAGCTGATATCAATGAAACTACCATAGGAGTGAGTGGGGATTTCGACAAGCTACTTTCCTTCGGCAAGCAACCGTCCACGAATGTTGCTGGATTTGCTATCTGGGTACCGTCGCGCAAGAATTGGCTGCAGAATCTCGATGTACGCCAAATGGAATTCACTGGGCAATTATCATCTTTCACCAAGGTGGGCAACACCAGTATCCTTACTGGTAACCTTTCCGCAGCGGGTATTGCCGCAGCGGGTGCTGTGTCTCTCCTTTATGAACATGGATTGAACCTGAATCCTCTGTTGTCAAGCAGTAATTCAAGCGGCGGAACTTACACTGGCATTTACGACTCGAGTTCTGGCCGCAACCTTACTATTTTGGGAGGCAGCTTTACTACTGCCTCTACGAATGGTTCCAAAATCGAAAACCTTGCGATGCTTGATGGCAGCAATGGTGCCATACGTGGTTTGGGAGCGGGTGTTGATAGCAACTCCACATTCTTGGCCCTGGCTGTTTCTGGCGACCGGCTCTACGCTGGAGGCAACATCACCGGAAAAGTGGGCGATTCTAGCTTGAAAGGCCTTGTTGTCTACGATCTTGAGAATGGGACATTTGCCCAAACGCAGCCACCGCAATTCACTCCAAGTACTGTCGCTGTCAACACCATCGTTCCTCGCCCGGGCTCTTCTGAAATCTATTTCGGGGGGAAGTTTGAAAAAGCAGGCGCTCTTCCGTGCCCAGGGGTTTGTTATTGGGATGCGTCAGAAGAGAGGTGGAACAGGCCTGGAGCAGCCCTTTATGGAGAGGTTTTGGCGCTCGAGTGGCTCAATGGTCACAAAATGCTGGCAGTTGGCAACCTGACAGTCAATGGAAACAGCACCGTTTTAGCAACGTACGACACGAAGAGCCAAGATTGGACCGCTTTCAAGGGGGCTTCTCCGTCTGATATCCCGGGAACCGTGACTGCCTTTACTCCGGCCAGTAGGGATGTGTCGACATTCTGGCTCGCAGGTAAATCCACGAATGATTCGAGTTTCCTTGCCAATTACGATGGATCAAAATTCCTGTTTGCTGGAGATATATTTGGGGATGGAACGGCCATTCATGGCCTAGAGGTCCTTCCACTGTCCAAAAAACACCAAGATGTCAGTCTTTTGAACAAAGACCTGATCCTTGTGGTTACCGGCCAACTGGTGATACCGGACTTCGGTAACGCGTCAGCGGCACTTTTTAACGGGACCACATTGACTCCTTTCATCCTCACCAGCGGACCCGATGGCCAGCCGGGCATTATATCTCACTTATTTTATGAAAAGACTAATCCGTACACCGGCGAAGGTGAGTGCCTGATTGCAATGTCTCAATTGATATGTGCTTATTGTCTTCCGTAGGAAAACATCGCTCCAACGGCATTGTCGTCCTGATATCTTTCTGCCTTGCCCTTGGCTGTGTCTTTCTAATTGTTATTGCCGGGGTTATATTCAATAAAATCCAACGCCGCCGCCAGGGCTACATGCAGGCCCCGCAAACATATGGAACCGATCGGCCGACGGACATGCAACGGTTGCCTCCCGAGTACCTGTTTAATACATTAGGACAACGCAATCCGGGTACTCCGGCGATATGAGGTTCAGGAAGTCTTCTCGCCGCCTTCTATTCACGTTAACCAAGAGAACGATCTCTCTTCATTCTGTTTGATATCTCCGAGAACGGCGTTCCTGGGAAACTTGCAAGTTTATACCCCCCCCATCTAATTCTTGTTCCCCTTTAAATTTATTTCTGGTCTTTACTTCTTAACGGTGGGGCTTCTCTACCGTTAATTTCTCAAGGGATATACTGTATTTTTTTTTTTTTTAGCCTCCCCTCCCTCTTTCACCCAAATTTTTCCAAGTTTCGAAAATTTCCAGCCTTCGAGTTGGCCAGGGACCTGTTGATATATCGCCCACGTCCTGTCATTTGCTGTTGATGTTTTCCGTGTACCATAATATCCGACACGGGTGACTGTTCATTCCATTTCAGTTTTCTTGAGCAGAGGATGTCATGTTACCAGGTGGACATGTACATAGCCCGCGCGAGATCGCGGTAATGACAATAATGCATGTTGTTCGTAACTCTTTTGGTGTATCAGATCCTGGCAGTGTTTCTGAGACCCGTAGTACTGCCTAGGCTGGCCTGTTGTTGGCCGTTGGAGAGAAGATAATTCAAGAGCTATGGAGTACCTATGCCATCAAGACCAACACATCTGGCACCACTACGGCATTCATCCGGCCGGCTCCTGCCACATGAAGTCACCCTGCGTCCAGGATCCATGTATGGAGTAGCAAGTCTGTGTTGATTGTGGAGAGGTCCTGTTGGAATGGGCGAATCGCCTTAGAGAGTGCCTGAGCTACCGGCCAGAATCGGCGGGGATTATGTAAGCGCTGGAGACGAGTTGTCAAAGCCGCGGATGGCAATGGAAATGGTATATAAGTCAGGGGCAGAGAGGATCTGGACATAGACTTGAGCGAGAGAACATTGGGAAATCCATCTACGATGTATGGGAGGAACCTCAGGTAAAAGTAGAACCAGAATAGACTCACAGCTTGACCACACACTGATCATCGACCCCAGCCCCAATCACCCGGATTTCTTCCCCGCAAGAGACACTGGAGGAATAACGATTCTCCAGCCCGTCGCTAGACCCGAACAGGGTCGTTTAATGCTAGCCTTCCCCGATGGTCTTTTGCAATTCCCCGCTTTGCTTTTTCCTTCGCTTTCGCTGATTGGGGACGCTATCGTCATTTTTCCAATTTTTTTTTTTCTGTGCCAAGTCGCAAGGGGAAAAGTAATGGTTAGGAAAAATTGCGGATGTACTCCTTTTCTTGCCTAAGCCGTGCATTTCTCTCCGACCTCTCCTAACCTTCCCTCTTTCATCCGTCCAAGCAATCTTCCCCCTCTCCAGGGTTTTAGTATCAGTCGATGTCCCAGCACTAGGTGTCGGTTACGTAGCTCGGTTTGGGGTTAGTTACACATCTTGCATTCGTCCTCCCACCAGGTTATATTATTGGCCCACCACGTCTCTTCGAATGCTGTACCTCAACAGCCGTCGATACCATCCGGTATGCGATCTCGCACAGGCTGGTATGTTATCTACAAGCAATGATGGTGGAAGTAATGATCCCGAGGGACAAGAAATTTTTTTAAAAAAAAAGAGAGAAAAATCACAGCTATTCTACCTCTACACAATAATCTCCCAGTTGCTCCTGTGGTTTTCAGCACCTGAAGGCAATACAAGAAGCTGACTTGTTGGGCTTGATTCTCATCCATTACAGCTTGACGTGCCGCACTCGAAAACTTAAATGTACGTGGTTCCACGCCTTGGTTTTGAGGAAGACCTAAGACTAAGTGCGCCGACTCGGTTAGGTGACGAGCAAAAGCCCGAATGTTCGCAATGTCGCAAGGGTGGAAGGGAATGTCGGCCTAGTGAAGGCATCGTCTTTCGTCATCAGCAAAATGCCTCGATGAACAAGGACCTCGACGACAGTTCAGCGGGCCGTGGGAATCTCAAAGGGTTTTACTCGTACAAGAACACGTTCGACAAAGACAGTGTTTGGCTCGATATTCCTAAACATGGTAATGCACCTGTTCCTTGTTGTGGGAAGGCCATGGCAAACTCCATGGTGGTGTGTTGCAATCAAACAGTCTAACTTGCGGTTGTTGTAGTTATTTTTGTCGACAACTCCGATCCATATGCCGATGAGCTCGAAGCTGCCCTAGGCGAATCCGAAGCAGCCATACTCGCGGCAAACTCACAGAGTCAAAATTTAAATGCTCCACGCATCTCGTCTGCAGAGGAGGAGGCCCGTGGTCTAGGGGCTTTGTCGACAGCGGCAGTTCATGATCGTCTTTCCTACCCTTCTTTGAGTGTTGAACGACAACAGGCTTTGGCGACAACAGACACTGGATTTAACACTGTTCCCACAACCTCGATTGCATCAAGACCTTCGCCGAACTTGCCCCGCGGTGCAATACCATCGCTCACCTCTCCTCCTCTCTCGATAAACTCCAGCAATAATAATACCAATAATAATATCAACTTTCTTCTTAATCCTTCCCAGTCGCTCTCTCCGCCAGTCGACCCTACGATCCAGCAGGAATCGGAGCGCAGGAGTTCCTCATTAACGACTAGGTCTTCTGTTGCAAGAGGCGCCAAAACGGTCGATCAACGGCCAGATACACCGGTGGAAACGGAGCATGAAATCGCCTTCCTACTAAGAAATTTTTCTGAAGCCCCAGGGCTCTGGTGAGTGATTGCGATTCTTCAATTTCTGTCCGATAATAGATCTGATATCAGGATAGGATGGATCTATTCGACTTGGGAACTTATTTCGCATCACACATCCCTGTAAGGGCCTTGACGAACCCGTTGTTGAAGTATGCCGCATGTGCGTACTCCGCGAAGCAGTTGGGCCGCGCAAAGAATGGCAACCCCCCTGCCGGAGGGGTTTCCTTGACTCAAGCGTTAATGGACACAAAAGCAGTAGACTGGTGCTGGTATGGCGCCAAATATTATGAAAAGGCCATCCAACTTTTGATGAAGGAGCTGCAGCCCGACAAAGGACCTCCACCATTAAGCACCCCTGAGGCGTTTGGTCAGTGGCAGGCCGCTGAACTTAGCGAAAATGGAAACAACCCCCACAAACGTAGAAGGCGTTACTCGGAGAGCCGGCGGTCCAGTGGCGTCCATTCTGACGAAACATTGGCTGCCACGGCCATCCTGTCTGTGTATGAGCTCCTCGACGCTACCGGTCCCGCATGGAGTCGACACTTGAGCGGCGTGAAGTCACTATTGGATGTTGCCGAGGTTGGAATGATGCCACTTGAACAGCGCTCTTCGCCTGGAGAAGCTGCATATCAACCTTCAAAAAGGACAGGACTTTCACGGGCGCGAAAAGCGACGTTTTGGAACTTTGCCCGGCAAGATTATCTGGCTGCCTGTGAGTAGTTCCCCCCAATGAAGCCTTTAAGCTGCAAAGCGTTAACAAAATATGCCCAAGTCATCAATGAGTGTCAGACAAGGTTGAATACCGAGGACTTGGTGTTGTGGACAGAGGCGGGACTCCAGATTGACGCTATGGGCTTCGTCTGTCCAAGTAATACGAATGCCGCGGGGTACCCCGAAGGGGATGAATCCATTAAGGAAGATGTTATTGGAAACGGTCTCATCTGGATCCTCTCGAAGATTGTCAATTTCATCAGCGCCGGTGACCACCTGCCCTTAGAAAACGGCTCAGTTGACTCGGGTCCTCTGGGAATTTCACAGCAGGCCTTACTCGAGCGGTGGTACCGCCTCGAAGCCGAACTTGATTCCTGGTATAATGGGCTTCCGGACACCTTTCGGCCTTGTGCGCGCCTCCAACCGAAGGACAGCGAGGGTAGTGGTGATACCTCTGGTTTGTCAGAGCTATGGTACACCATCCCCTTGTGCTCGTCAGCTATGCAACACTATCACATGGCCCGGATTCTCCTTCTCATCAACAAGCCACATGAATCGACTAGTAGACGGAGCACAATCACGAATAGGCTCAACTCATATCGCTCGATTGAGAATGAAATCCGATTCCATAGTCGCGAAATAGTAGGCATCTCAATGGGCCGACCGAGTGGTGCTGTTCGTATCAACTCGCTTCAGCCGTTGTTTGTCAGCGGTCAATGTCTCACCGAGCCTGGCGAACGGCGGATGGTGTTGCAGCTGTTGCAGGGGATAGAGACCGAGCTTGGCTGGGCAACTGGATATCGCGTAAACCAGTTGCTCCGAGAATGGGGCTGGAATATTGGTTCCGGTGAGGTGACAGTTCCTTGATAGCACTCCGACGCCCAGAACTTCGTCATTCATACTGGGACTCAATCGAGTCACAGCCCTTCCAATCACAATAGACTGGAACCCATCCGAATGGGGAAACTGCATTTATGGATGTTTAGCGTCTATAACCCCATATGTAAGTCTCTTGATATTCGAATGCGCCGCTTCGTTCGTGCGGGGGATTGGTCTTGGTAGACCTTAATGACCATAATTGACTGCGTCTAGCGACACAGCTCAGACCTTGAGGTGACCATGCTTTCACGTCGCCCTTTTTGTTTATGATACCACTGTATTTTTTGGTTCTTGTTTGGGGATTTTTGCATGATGCATGGTGACAGATGAAATTAGTGGATTAATGTCTTTTCTCATACCGCCTCCCACCTCTTTCTGTCTTTCTCAGCGTATCCTGTGTCGGTATCTAGCGCCTTTTTTTGTAATTATTTTTTCCTTGATCTTTGTATCTCCCTGAGGGAAGGTGGATGAGCTTAGTTAGCAATCTGCATGTACAGGCATATGAGAATTTGATAGCAACCAAGGTGGAGAAATCGTGGTGAATTCCACCGAAATGAGTTGAAATTTGTGCCTCTTAATTGTGCGAGCAAAAACCCCAAGCCCAAAGTGGCCAGTCGGTGTTTTAAAAGCGAGGACGATACTCGGCAGAGTTGCCTGTCGACGGGTGAAGAGTGACACCGGCAGTTCGATTGGTGAATTTGCCATTCGACTAACTCGGAACCTCCATTGCCTCCTAGGGTCCTTCACGCTTTATCGCTCTTTAAGCCACCGGGAAATCCCGTAGTCCAAGGCTTGGAACCAGAAAACCCTGTTCAGCCAAGCTTCAGACTGGCTTTTGTCTTCAACTCTACACTAGTCGACGGAGGTTTCGCCTGCTGGGCACAGGATGCGATAATAGAGCATCGTGGCAGGTTTCCCGATCAGGGTTGGCCCCGCCAAGACTGAAAAGGCATTGATCAAATCGTCAAATCAAGTGTCTTAACTCTTAATAGTTCCAACAATTCAGTCCGTTGGGATGACGATCTTCAGCATCTCCAAGATCTTCACTGACATCCCCGACCAGCCCTGCAGCTTTCCCCGTTCCGGTCGTCCCGACGTAAAAACCTCAATGCCCAGGAAAGTATCCCGATTGAGTTAATGCAGCTAGGAAAAGGACATTCTCCCGTTCTGAAATCATCCCATGCGTGCAGAGACTGAGGGGTTTTTTCTCTATACGATCAGCGACTCCCATACTCGCAGATGATCTGCGCTCGGGTGCAAGCCGGTAGTTACAAGGGTGCATGACAAAGGTTGTCCAACAAGCATACCCCGTACTCATTATCGAGGCCAGGCTTAGCCAGGTTGGAGTTGGCCGGTCTAATTTCAATGCAACTCTCACATGTAGACTCGGTGATTGTCAAGAATTCTGAGGTGTCTGGTAGGTCAACTAACCCACGTGTCCCTAGAATATCTACGAAGTAGGCGAGATGCTCTTTCTACAGATCATATTTCTGCTCCTTCTTATTCACCCGGTCTAATCTGAGTATGAACTTTGCGCTGAGCCTGGAATTGCAGCGACGGAGTCCACCGGTGGTTGTCCTTCTGTGGCCTATCAACATGTGATTGTTGCCCTAAGTTGATTCTTATAACCACGAAAGTTGGTTTGACGGGACTCTGGCACGTAGCCATGGTGGTTTCGATCAATGAGCGAACCAGATACAAGAGTATGAGGTGCTATCTCAGCGGTTGGAGCACTCCCTCTACAGAGTCTACACTACACAGTGATCCTGGTGCGGAGACGCTCATAGATACGTACTACTTAACTCCGCTGTGGGGCTGGGTTAGTGGTTTCCCTGAATGTCTACTTCATACTGTGGTGTTTGTTTCGTTTGCTCTGACAGCGTGACCTTGAGGGTGTCGCTTTAAGAATAATATAATATCTAAATCTTAAGAAGGATCAATTAGAGATTATATACATGCTGTCTTCATCGAACGAACTCGGAGCTTACATCGGGATTCATCGAGATGGCTTTGAGCAGTGAGAAGTAAACAGGAAGTAACATTTGGCGCTATGCTAGAACTCTAGTCGATTGGTTGGGCCAAATTCTTCATATCTATCTAGGAACAATAACAGGTGTTGGATTAAGTATGTGTCTGCTGTTAGTATTGTACATTATAGTGATGTACTACATGGATTACAGGCATCTAAGCCTTAGTCTAATATTGTGCGATAGTGGTGAAAGTTACTGGATCATGTACATTGGATATATTGGCCGAAATAGAGTAAAGACTAAATCAAGGTATAATATCTAAGAACAAAGCTAATCACCGACTCCGAAGCCGTTTCGACATCCTCCTCGATGTCGTTGTCTGCGACGCTTGAATCACAGCAGTTGAAGTTACATTCTCCTTCCACTCATCATCGAGCGGTTCGACTTTGACCCCATCAACAGACGCAGGCCTCTTCAACGCAACCGTCGACGTAGTGACGCTTGTTTCAATCTTCGTCCCATCGTTGTCCTCCTCGTCTTTCACATCCACATCCACATCCATCTTGACCTTCACCGTCTTGGAGGCAACTAGTCGATCTGAAAAAGATCTCAGATCAGCCGTAAATAGCACGCTATGCGCCCATCCAGCTTCTTTGCCCCAGAGTTTACGGAAGTGATTCCCCACGGCATCGTAGGTGGCTTTCGTAAGGGATTTATGAGACCCTTTGCCGAACTTGTAATCCCGTTGGGCAATTTGCCAGACTAGATAAAAACATATTACTGGGAACCCTTCGTTACATTCAAGAAAGGAGAACTCACCATGGGTATCAACAGGTACCGACTCTCCCCACCCCAACCCCATCAAACAAACACAATCTGCCACCTTGGGCCCAACACCCTGCAACGAGAGCAATTTCTCATGCGTCTCGCGATACCCCTGTCTACCTTCCGGAAACATCTCCCCAGCTGGCGCGCTCTTACCCCCGAACGCAGGACACTCCGGGTTCCGTAATGAATCTAACCATCCTTCTTCTTTCTCCGTGGCGACCATCACAGCCGTCCGGTAGATATATTTAGCACGGTATCCGAATCCCAGGCCGCGGAGACGACTTTCAACGTCTTTACCGGTCAGGGCCTCGGGGGAGGGGAAATCGTGATACGCACGACCGTCGATAGAGGCGATGGCGGGTCCGTAGTGAAGACAGAGCTTCTCAACCATTTGCGAGATGCGCGAAATATTGTTGTTGCTGCTGCAGATGAAGGAGACTAGGGCTTCCCAGGCGTCTTGACGCAGGATGCGGATGCCGGTGAATTTGGGGGCTTTTTTCTTGAAGTTGGGGTCTTGTGAGGACCAGTATGTATAGAGGTCTGTTAGATTGGAGGAAAGGTTGAGGTAGTGTTTGATCAGGGAGAGCGTGTAGTCGTCGTCATTGCTGGCGGCGCTGTTGGCCTCTGGTGAGACTGGATTTGGCCGAATCGAAGGGATTGGTTTGGGGGAGATGTATGTACGGTAGTAGAGATAATTGTGATCCTGTTTCAAAGAGAGAAGTCGACCGTGGAGAACACATCTCCATTCCTCGGTGTCTGGGACATGATGCCATCTATATAGAAGGGAGCTTGTCAGCGCGAGCATGTGGGCGTGCCGTAGAACAGACGAACCTGAAGGATTGGCCACAACGCAGGGTGGTATTAATGCAAAGTTCACTCAGGCTGACCGGGAGCTTTCGCCATTCGGAAAATGCCCCGGCAGTCATGATGGAATGGCACAGTCTGTCCTGATCTTGTTCATTTCTGGAGGAAAAGCACAACGACGGGATGATTCTGCCGTGTGCTTTCCAGAACAGCAGGCGGTGGCAAAAGCGCTAACCGCATCGACCTTAGACGCCGTCCTGCTTGCGCCGATCGTCACGACTGCGAGTTTTCCCTCTGCGCAACTCTTCCTCCAGGTAGCCCCCTTCGCCGTCTATCTTGGTGTCATTGAGCTTGTCTGTTGCGGCCTTGCTTGATCGGAGAGGTTTCCGGGCTTTCTGTTATTTGCTCGTCTGACATTTTTGAAGAAGGGAAAAGAGTCGCGGAAAGGTTGTTGGAGCTCAGTATGAACGGCGATACTTATTCGTCCAGAGGTAGGCTATCATTGTCTCGTCTTATCTCGATACCCCCTTCAGGGCACGACTTTCTAACGGATTTATGACAGATTCTGGTCGCCCAAGGGATTATCACGTGAGTGATATTGATACTTAGTTCATCTTATTCTTCACTGCATTTGAGCCCGTAGCTGACGATTGATCGAATTTACAGCGTGAGGAGCGGCGCGAACGCGGAGAGAGAGGAGAGAGAGGAGACAGAAGACGGTCGCGGTCTCCCCACTATGGATCTCGAGGCTCTCGACGCGAATACGAGGTTGATTCCTACTCATCCAGCCGGGACTATCGCGCTCGAGAACGTGAGGATCGCTACTCTAACCGGAGGGATGATCGGGAATGGGACCGGGACCGTGGCGATCGCCGACGTAGAGAGTATGAGGAACGGCCACCTCGACGCGAGCGGGAAAGAGACTTGTTTGAGGAGAGACCTCGACGAGAAGGCAGGGATAGAGGAGACCGCGATCGCGAGCGTGGTGATCGGGAGAGGAGAGAACGGAAGAGAAGCCCATCTCCCACTCCGCGCAAAAGAGAACCCACACCTGATTTGACAGATGTGCCATCCATTTTGAACCGGAAACGTCGCCTGACACAATGGGATATCAAGCCCCCTGGTTATGAGAACGTGACTGCGGAGCAGGCCAAGTTGTCGGGTGAGATCTGGTCCTTCCTTCGTCGTTTTCTTTTTCTGCGTGGCAGAAGCATCATGTCTGACTGACTACATAGGCATGTTCCCGCTCCCCGGCGCCCCTCGACAGCAGCCGATGGATCCTAGTCGTCTGCAGGCATTCATGAACCAACCCGGCGGTGGCTCGGCGGATAGTGCGATGCTCAAACCATCCAATTCTCGCCAAGCGAAACGGCTTTTTGCTTATAACCTGCCTCCTAGAGTGACAGGCGAGAGCCTGATGTCTTTCTTAAACATGCAGCTCAATGGGCTTAATGTCGTTCAGAGCGTGGATCCTTGTATCTCGGCCCAGGTGTCGGATGATCATAGTTTCGCCCTTATCGAGTTCAAATCGCCGAACGATGCTACTGTGGCTCTCGCGTTTGACGGAATCACAATGGATGAGCATGGAGCCGTTGATGGCGGCGATGCTGCCAACGGGGAGCCTAAGGGACTGGATATCCGACGGCCCAAGGATTACATTGTCCCTAGTGCCAGCGCTGAGCAGGAATACCAGGAGGGAGTACTGTTAAGTGAGGTACCCGACTCAGCAAACAAGATCTGTGTGTCAAACATCCCGCACTATATCCCAGAAGAGCCTGTCACCATGCTTCTGAAGTCGTTTGGCGAATTGAAGTCTTTTGTTCTGGTGAAGGATGCCTCCACGGAAGAGTCTCGGGTAAGTCATACGTGGGGTTTGGTTTGCGTAGCGACTGACGTCTTGGTTATAGGGAATCGCATTCTGCGAGTACGCTGATCCTGCCGCTACCAGCATCGCCGTGGAGGGCCTCAATGGGATGGAACTGGGCGATAGACACCTTAAGGTGGTGCGTGCTAGTATTGGAACGACGCAGGCAGCTGGACTGGACATGGGCGTCAATGCCATGTCGATGTTCGCCAAGACGACATCGCAGGACTTGGAGACCAGCCGAGTGTTGCAGCTGTTGAACATGGTGACGCCGGAGGAGCTGATTGACAATGATGATTACGACGGTAAGTCTACCGGCGAATGACAGGAAGCAGAAGCTAATAATGGACAGAAATCTGCGATGACGTGCGTGAAGAATGCTCCAAGTATGGACAGATCGTCGACCTGAAGATCCCGCGACCCTCTGGCGGGAGCAGACAGTCTCCCGGCGTGGGCAAGATCTTTGTCAAGTTTGACACAGTAGAATCGGCCACTGGTGCATTAAAGGCACTGGCGGGGAGAAAGTTTTCTGATCGGACGGTGGTGACGACCTACTTTTCCGAGGTGAGATTGTCTTGACATCTGTCGTTTTCCTTCAGTTCTGACCTTTCGCAGCCGAACTTCGACGTTAATGCCTGGTAATTTGGAGGGTACACATCAAGCATCAGTGAAACATTGATAATTTCCATCTGGCCTAGTTACATTTGTCCATTCTCCATTTCTTCCACGCTTTGACTGGACTGCAGGAATGGCTTATTGTGTGACACTGATGGAGGATGGGTGAATCGTCCTTTGATTCCGTTCGAATGCGATTCCTTGCCTTTGCCGTCTTAACTTACGGTGTATCATAGCGGGAGATAACTAAATGAAATTGGAATGTTGTATCATGTTGTCTGGATCTCTTGAAACTACGGTCGATACTATACCGAGTATCCTTATGTTTATTGAACTGTTTTACTACGGTAGCTTTGCGAGTCTCCCTTTCCGGAACGGGACTAGCTCAGGGCCGCTTTTTGCTCAGGGATTGATCCTGGAGCGTGAGGCAAGATAGAAGTGCATGTGCTGAGCGCTCCCTGAGCACTGAGCCAGCGCGCCAGAGCGATCCGGAGTCTCGAAACAATCTGGGAGCAATCCATGATCACTCGGACCATGTGAAGTAAACTGCCGCCAAACTGAATATGCTTTGTGTGGGTTAACTAAAACTCGTAGAGCCAAGCCCACTTTAGCGATGGCATAGAACATTATAAGACATCTGATTTTACAATTAAGATCCACTTCACACACAGTGAATAATATGCACCATTGCTATATAAATTTTCGGCAATACAAATTCTCCCACTGAATGGCTTTTGGCCCCAAATTAATTAATTCCTGCAATATCCTCTCGCGAAAATACATTGTTTAGAGGGCAATATTACGACAAATGTGGTCACCAAAAGCTATATTCGAGAACCTTAGGGCCTTCTTAGCAGTTTTTAGAAATTGAACAACCTACTACAGAATATATTATTTTAACGCATATAGCCCACTGCCCTTGTAAGTATAGAGACCAGCAGCGACTGTATAACCCCTCCCCAGTAACTTTTGAGGTAATATTAGAACATGAGAATATGTAGAGCCATCTATCCTTACGTACTACTGTATTAAGGCAAATAACCTCCTATTGTGCAGACCAAGAAAGCTTCAACCTCCAGTACGTTGCTATATTTATTTCTGCTACCAGCCTCCTGGAAGTCATCTAAGAAAATATCTCCTGGCTTTCTCCTGATATGGCCGCTATATTACTCTTCTCAGTGTTAGGCTTTACTGTAGGTTACCAGATGACAAAATCTGACAAGTCTTCACTATAAGTGGTAGATAATAACCCTAATGATGGTTACGCATAATAAGAAACAGAGAAACAGAGAAAAGGATCATGCAAGACCATCTGAAGCAAAAACCGAAAAGTTAACTTGATGACCCAGGGTTCTAGCCTTTGGTAAACAGCCATAAGGGCTAGATTGGAATGTATATTCTTGATTTGATCTGAATTACAATCATGGAGAAATACTGAAGTCCGCACATATCAGGAGTTTATCTGAGATAAACCATCAGACAAACAAATATCTAAGCCTACCAAAGACATCTCGCCAACATTAAGTCAATTGTGTAAAGGGATCATCTGATCAAAAGTGTAACATGATCAAAACCTTTTGCGGCATACTTGTCATCAGCTTTGTGAGTGCCATTGCAGCAAGGGCTCAAGAACGGACCTTCCACATGAGCACCAAGTAACTCTAGATTTATTTATTTATTTATTTTTTTTTTTTTTTACGCAAAGTTTGATTCTAGGTGGACGTAACGACGGAAGGACCCAAGAACTATGCATCACGAGCTACTCACCTCTGCGCTCGCCTCCAGTTATAGCGGAAGAACGGTAAGATTCAGAGAAGTTTATCACTGCTTCTGTTATGACCAAGGAGGTGGTTAGCTAGCCCCCGGACACGAGACATATGGCATATGTACCAGGTACTGAGAAAGGTTTGCGAGCCCGAGTCCAATAGTGGTGCTATATTTACGCCCGAGCAGCCCGGTTCTATAAAGTGGTCTTTAAACACTCGGCTGATGTAGATGATCGTAGCTCCTATAAAGAAGGAATAGAAGAGCTTCTCCCCTTTACGACGCAGAGCACGGGGCTCCCGACTAATAGTGACCTGCTGGCAACGTGCCCCCGCCTGCCACGGCGAATCCTCACTATGGAGGCCATGGTAGTGATATTTAGGCGATGAAGCACGTTGTCTCCAGTATAATGAAGCTACTGTGTGCTGCATATAGTGGGAAGAACAAAATTGTCTTGCAGGGGTTAATACAGTGGCCTCACTACTCCGCTTATGGAGATCAGCCTACCGAAATAGTTGAGCATTCTTATTAGTATTGCAGTAAAAGATATATGAAGTACAATATACGTGGCGACGCGTCTACTGACACTCCTTGTATGTTTTCCAAAAGCCAGAATGCCGTCGTGCAAAGAGGGATCTAGGCCTTGGCTGCGCGCAACCGGAGCAGATAATTGTATCTGTAGCGTCAGCCATCTCTTGGCGTAGGATATGAGAAAGTGAATGATGCTTAGGAAGTTTTGGTGTAGGAGCATAGTGGTACACAGGACGTGTGTAGGCGGAAAGCGTGATAAATGCCCTAACTCCATAAGATAAGAAACATATATAACAAGCTAATAAAGGCAAATAAAGGGTGACTGTGATCTGGAATTCAATTCTAAACAAGAGATTTCCGTCTAATGCGGGCTATGTGCGCAAGTCCCAATGCCTGTACCTAGGTGCTACAGGCTTCACAGACATAGAAACTGTGCATTAGGTGCGGCGCCCAACCAGGCCGATCTTCTACAGTGCCCGTTCCTGGTCACGCGGTGCAAACGGGCAGGAGCCCCAAGCGTGTGGCAAGAGGGACACAGCCAGCTACAACGATATCTTAGGACATGTAAGAGAAGGTCTTGGTGGACACACAACACAGACAGAAGGAGAGATAAAGAATGGAAGCAAGTTTGATAGTTTAATCTAGGGTCAAGATCAATTAATGTAACTATCTTAGTTGTATTTTTCTTGTCAAGTTCTAAACTTCTTAGCCATGGAGCTAAAGAAACCACCAGCTCCTTTACGACCCCCTGGAAGATGTTGCAGTTCATTTGGAGCTCTGATTAGAATGCAACCTAATTTGGTAAAGGCCAGTACATGACCGCTTGTAGCAATGAAACTTTGCTTTCCTTCAGCAGCCGATAGAACCTAGCGCCCATTTCTGTAAAGTATTAAGTGTAGCGGTATCTCGCGTAGCTCTACTGGACTCGCTGTATCTGAGTAGCCTAATACTTACTGCAAGCAGCAATTACGAATACGCTAAACGCGAAGACAGAAATCACTCACAAAATGGTCAATGTACGGGGCGATACATATTGAAAAAGCTACTGCAATATCTGATTTATTTCTATAGTACACCAACTAGCCGCACTTGAGTCAGAGAACTAGCGGATGATGGTGTATTGGAAATAGGAAGATGCGCTTGAGGCTTGTGAAAATGGTAAGGTAGCAGGGCATATATGATAAATTAGTGACCTTGTTCTCTTTCTGGCATAGTTTGGTCTGTGATATTCTACGATCCCAGATCATATATTAGGGGTAAAAGAAGATATGCAAAGACAGTGCATGTCACCAAAGGGGCCCAGTTATGATTCAAATGTGAGAGGGTGATGGACGTGTAGATGTACCGTCTCTAATAACAATCATGTTCATAGTACAGAGCATTGTCAATACAAATTCACTGAACTGAGAAGATGTCTTCACTGTGTCAGGTACATCCCTGAGATATCAGAATTTGCTCCTCTTCTTAGCGCGGACCCAGCCGCAAGTGTGGTGCCCTCCAATCCCAAGTTTCCCTTTTCTTCTTCTACCTCCGCCAACCATCTTTGTACTCAAAATGGATGATGAAATAGATTATCCAGAGGCGGGCATGCCTGCCTGGGGTAAAATTGTTATCGAGCAATACTAACAGCCTCAATAGAGAAATTGGTCTTTTTCTTCGGCTGAAGAGCCCAGCGTACAGCGACAGCGACTCGTTCAGGCGTTTCTTAAAATGGATGAGATTCCTGACACATGGGATGACTTTAAGGATCCGCCTCCGCATCTACCCATCGAGGAAGAAATAGATATTATCCTTCGGCCGTGGAGGTCTGATGAATACCTTCGTACAATAGCAAGTCAGATGTTTAAAGAAGACAACATCCCTGTTCTTCTTCGCACCTATTACAATCCAGAAGATGCTGGCAAAATAAATGAATGGGCTGCAGATAAAAATCTGTTCGAGAGAAATGACACATGGAACCGTCTTGACGATCCGGAGTTTTTTAATTTAGGCCCTGATTGGAGACGTATATATGACATTCTACCAGAGGTTGCTGGTCCCATGAATCACCCCCTTAGATGATCTGTTGCAGAGGGGCATATTGAGAGATTCCAAGAACAATCCAAAATTTCTTATCGTCGTGGAAGCAGAAGCATCCGAGGGATGGAGTACAGATCCAGAGAAATTTATTGAGAATTGTGCGCTTCGTCTACAAACTATCTTTGTCAAGTCGATGCTTCTTATTGCAGACCAGGAGGCCTTTCAGACTGGAAATGCTTGGCTGCTCTTTTTAGATGGCCAGCGAAATATTATTCGGGAGGGCCGTGTCAACCTGGATAAAAAGGGCATTGATGATATAGCTATGGACTATGACCAGACTAGCGAAATGCCGGAAGAGCTGAATGTTGGTAAGAAGTATAAGCTAAATGGGGAGATAGGGAAGGATCTGTACCGCTTAACTAATAGGATCTTGCGGATCCTTGATTGCTTTATGCACTCACCGAGAACTTCGCAGAAGATGGACGACCACTTTGGACACGACAATAGCAAGCATCAGCTTCGTACCTACAATGTGTGATCAGATGATTCAGATCCATGCCGTCCTACCGGAGGGCTGACCGGCTTGAATTTTTATTTTACCCCGTCTATAGCTCTACAACTGAACTGGGCAAAGGCTGGGAACAAGAGCTTTGATTTAAACAATATGTGCGGCGAGGAATGGGTGCAAACACAAAACTAGGAAAAAATGTGAGGACATATTTTCTTGTGTAAATAGCCTCGTCCAATAAGTTGAATGGCGCTGCTTAGCCTGAAAGAAGGGAGTAACTATTGGAATGGGCACATAATTATTGACCCTGGTTTTTCAACTTACCTTGCAACACTCGCAATTATTACAATATCAAGAACCATAGCCCGAAAATTGCATATACAGAACAGTACTAGTCCCAAGAAATAATAAATCATACTCAGTAACTTAATCACTCGTGACTCAAACATCAACCCCATGGGGTACCCCAGCTCACAACCCTGGAACCCACTACGATCCGACTTATCCGTATCCGTCCTCCAGAATCTGGTTCCTACCTAGAAAACACGAGCGGGGGAAACAAAGGAAGTTCCAGAAAAATAATAAAAATAAAAATAGGAAAAATACTCAATACTCCGTATTCCGTACCAATCAACCGATCATTGTGTCATACCCAGCCACTGTAATCCAGAACAGGCATGTATATTCGTATGAAATAGACTATAGGCCGACGCATGGATGGTGTCGTGTGGGTTACGTATGTGCCTGGGGTTTTAGTTCTGGAACTAGTTATAGTGCGGAGTAGTTTGTTTGTTAGCTTGGACTAGTTAGTTATGACTGATTATTGATTGATTGATTTAATATATGGGGTTTGTGGACCGAGGGTTCACATGCTGTGAGAATAAGGGCGTTTTCAAGGAATATTCTTTGTATGGGATTTGAGGATACTGGGTGTATGTATCACGCTCTGTGATAGATATTTTATGGGTCTGCTGTTCCAGACACTAGGTATTATATATACATTGTGAAGTGCTGGGGAGTAGGTGTTTGCTTGAATGCCTGATACCTTTGATGGTATTGATCTCGAGTATCAAGTCCAGATTAAGCAAGGGTTCCAAACCAGCATTTTCCAGCTTATTTGACAAGTCTGAAACACATGAAAAAGGTAAAAGAAATACAGAAGAACTTAATCATGTGAAGAATAATATCTCTTATCAAGGTCAAAGTTCTCTTCAACAGCCGCGGCTTCTGGAAATCCGGAGTAAGACTGATATTAACAGATCGCAACTAATAGAATCGCTTCAAACGATACAGGTTCTATAACATCTATACAGTATGTTACAAGTAGCGTGTTGTCTACAAGCTAAGTATACTAGGTACAATACAGTACTAAGTCAATGCCCAGGACATACTCAAGATAGGGTTCGGAAGCAATTCATCGGCAATTTGTACCATTTCCAATGACCCAGTCTGGAATCTCCCTGCATTAATAGCTTTGTTATAATAGTTCGACTGAAAATGCGGGGAGGAAGTTTTTTTATTTTTATTTTTTTCAATTTTTGGTTCCCTTAGTATCGACAATGAGGTTTCTTTTGTCGTCACGTTTTGATTTAATGTACTCCTTCTCTCCCTCGTCTATGTGTCTGTCCAGTGATGTCATTTGTATAAAAAATTGAAGAATATGAATACTATAATCCTACTGTAAGGATTGATTAATGAGTTATATAATCAAAGGGTATACCCAATACATCATATCGTAAACATATGCTTTTCGTATAAAACACCAAATCTCACGATTCTTCGGATTGGTGTTTGCTCGGCGCAAACGTCGCCTCCGGATCCCAATCTCGTCCCTGGACTGAACCCGGCGGCCGAGGCACTGAAAAGCTCATCGATGGTCGCTTGTACCGCGCCTCTCCTCCATAATGGCTTCCCTCCGGGCTCATGGTACCCGCAAGACGATCTGGGCTTGGAGAGCACACCACGGGTTCGGGCGTCTTCAGTGGCGATAGACCTGAGGTGTCCAACATCTCGTAAGTGCGTGAGTCGGGTAATCGGCTGCGCGCATCGGCAGAAATGTATTCCTGGTTTTTGTTGACTTTATTTTTGAACAGCTCGGCCCAACCGAGAAAGATCGAGGGTCGTGCAAAGAGAAGAAAGTTCCAAAGCCCAACTAATGACAAGAGGACCAAAACGGCCAGCAAAATCCCTTCGTTAGGTCCTATCTCCTTTAGATACTTAGAACATTGCGCCTTGTTGCCTTCTGTTTCGACTAGGCACATCAGCCAGGGCAGGGATTTCTCCAGAGTATCTGGTGTCATCTGGAGCTGATTGTTCATGCTGATGAAGGCGACGGCGAAGAAAATGACATTGCCAATGATGATCAGGACCAAGGCCACGCCTCTCCACTGCAGCTGGAGGACTCGTTTAATGCGCCGGTACGCCTGTCGGGCGGTTACAGTGCGCACGCTGGACGTGTATGACGGTAAGCCTGAACTATTTGTTGTGGTGTCGCTGTCGAAGACGGACTTGACATATATGTGGGTGCAGTACGCCATTGTCGCCAGTTGCAAGATCAAGGCAGCTGCAGCAAAAGCCATCACCGGGGCCCAGTAATCCTGTGTGCTGTAATGGGTATTGATATGGCACAAGGAGCCGAATCGGTAGGAGACGCCAGTCAAAACCAGCATCACCGTCATCCCAATGCCTGGGATACCGAAGCCACAGATGAATGCTCCCCACATAAACTTTGGACCAAGAATGACCTCCCAGCAGACCTGGAGGTGGAAGGCAACGGCTCGGATGAAACCTATACCGCTGTCAGTTCACGTCACTCGGCGGTAGTAAGGTTGCCACGTACTCCACACGACAACTATCCAGCCACCGCAAAGAAGCAGCGCTCCAGTGAAAGCGCAGGACACATCGTCATGCATGCCCTTCGGCGTAATTTGGTTGTAGCATTGATCTGGTTTCACGCCGAGAGGAATGACGAAAGCAATCTGTAGAGTCAGTCCCACTATTTGAAGTAGTTTGGCCGCAGGCTCCTCACCTCCATGCAGCAGATTCCCAGCGTAAAGCATATGCTTAGATAGTGGCGATGCGTCCATTTTACAGGAAGAACCGCATACGACACCAGGAGGAATATACAGAGGGGCAAACAGGCAACACCGATCCAGCTGGCAATCTCAGTTTTGGAATTCAAATCTAGTCAAGTTCCTGTTAGGCTTTTTCTTTCCTTAAAGAAAAAAAAAAAGAAAAAAAGGAAGGAAGGAATAACGGAATGCAGACTCACTATCACCGTACGTCCACGATGCTACGGGACATGGCAGACAACAAGACGCTAGACCGTCGCTGGTTGGAACCGTCTGACAAAACCGTCCATCGACAACTAGTGCAAAGACTAAGGTCAGCTCCATGATAGCAAAAGAGAGGAAGAAATACAAAGAAGCAGGAATAGCGTACATCCGCCAGACGAAGGGAATAAGGATTCCTGGAGGAATGGTTTTGGACAGCTGCCGTATAAAGTGGTGTTCGTCATTGCGTGGTCTCGTGAATGAAGGTCATATACTGGAGGGCGATTCGCGGAGCAGGAGAGTCATATCCCACGAGACTGAAGGACAAGCAAGTCGCAAACGAATCCGTTGGGCTGCTCCAAGGCATTGATACCCCGTGCGAGAGGCTCGCAGCCACACAAGCACTGCGATTGACGAGGGACGAGAGAACACTCGTAGGGCGATCTCATACAATAGTCGGAAGGGGAGGGGAAGTAATGAGAAGAAAGGGAACAAGAGGGAGGGGAGATGAGGAGATATACCCCGGACATGGATGATGAGCAATGTATGGAGTACCCTGGTCAATATGCTTGCCTCTTAGATTGGTCAACCAACGAAGTCTCCCCTTGTTGGCTACCTGTATTGGAGTGATGGAGTAGAGGTCCGTTCACCCAGAGCATGAGAGGAGAGTGATTGACCATGGTAATGATTGGATCTGACCGTGGAAACCCTGAGACGCAGGCTGGCTCCAGGGGCTCGCGGTACGAGTGGAGCCGAGAAAATGAGGGTCTAGGGAGGTTGAGAAAATTCGAGGAGACAGACTGGAAGTCTGGAAGAGCGGGGAAATCAGACGTTGCGCCCCTAGCTGGATGAGGCTAGCATCCAGCTTCATCGCGGCCCGAGAAATATTAATGATGCTCTTTCCCACAAAACACGAGTTGGACTATTTCCACTAGTCGTGTCAATTAATCCTTCGACTTGCTCTCACCTGGAAGGCATTGTGCATATGGGAGCCTCGGTCAGAAAAGGAGTTTACTGTACATAGTACTCCGTAGTACTCCGGAGGAGGAGGTCAATCTCATAGGCCCTTAGATGAAGGCACTAATGTAGGTCGGCGGGAGACCGTACGGTACCTTACAGAATGCCTCGAGCAAGACCGTATGTCATGTATGTATGTAAGGTACGGAGTACCTGACCAATTTTGTACTTCAAACGCCCTGCATCCAACTTCCACCGATAAAGTTCCAGATGGGGCGGGCTAGGCCGAGAGCAGCATCCTCTCCAGGACCCAATGCACGCCACCTATCGAATGGCAGTTCTTTTGCTCCCTCCCTTCGAGCGGGGAATCTTTGAGTTTGATGGTCTCCCTACTAGGTAATGCCGAAACTTTTTCGCACGTTCTCTACCCCTGTAACAAAAAAAAAAGGGCTTGATCTTGGTATGGAAATTACCTCATTGTATCACCCGAAAGTGATCTTGGACCTCGTGTTTTAGACATAATTGGAGCCGTCGCATGTAACCATGCTGGATGTGAGTCCAGTCCTCCTAGTAAATAATATGTAAAAATAATTATTTTTTCTTTTTTATTTATATATATATTTTTCTTCCTTTCATTTTTTATTTAAAAAGAATGAACAAATTTAGTAATTCACACTGGTTGGGCTCGGTACAAAAATACCCGAATACAGAGTAGATACATTGTGATACGACGTGTCTATGATCGCATCTACTCTGTATTTAGATCTGCTCCATTGCGCGTCGCACTGGCCACTGGTGCTATACTGCATCAACCAATATGACATTACATCGGAACCCGGCCCAGAGAGGTGGACTCTATTCATGGAGTACTAAGTATACTGTTACCTTATTGCTGAAATTTGTGCTTCGTCACTCGAAAGTTCTTCGCAGATGCAGGATCCTGTTCGGGTGGAGTGAGCACGAGGCCCGCGGGTCCCGGAGCCGCATTTCGTCTTCTACTGGAATGTCCTGGTTTCACATCCCCAAAAATTTCCCTGGCTCAAACCACGGTGCAAAATGGATCATCGTGAACTCGGCATTCTATATGCCGTGGAGTTGCCGGATCAACCAGAAGCCTGGATCTTGTCGCAATTCAGTATCGATTGACGGGACATGATGTCTGGCTTTGCACATCCGGACGATCGTCAGTCAAAAGTCAATAGTGGTGGTTGAGGAACCATGCACAACCCAAAGTTTGGGCAAAAATGGAAGAAATTTTTCATTCTATGGAGCATGTACTCGGCAGGGTGGGGATGTCAGTACTACTTTTCCCTGCTGTTAGTTTTGCCATTGATGTGCGGAGTATTTTTGGTTATTTTCTTTTCTTTCCTTTCTTTGTCTCATTTACCTTATTGTCATACAACAAATCTTACTCTCATTGATCTCGCTGTCAGACGCGCATGTGCGGAATGTTCACTCTATACTGCGCATAGGACCGGATATTGATCACCATTTTGCCTAGTGCGTCGCATAATTCCATTTAGATCTCATTAGTGACAACTAGCGTAATCGGTAAGAGAACTGCCACTGCAAGCGACCGCCAGCTGCTGTATTCCATATAAAATGGCACTTTTTATAATTTCGATAGCTCAATAGCAGCAGTAATATCTAATAGTGATGTATAAGTCATACTATTATATAATTATTTTAACAATCTTTTTTTTAAAGGGTGTATTCCTTTGCTATATAAAATACAAAAAATATTACTGTGTTGTATGTAGTAAAAGATTTACTGATTTCTAGAAGGTCTAAGTACGTGTATATAATTTTATAATACAATAATATTGATTATTGAACATGTTGGTTTCTTTAGATCAGCTGTTTTTGGCATATCGAAGATAAAAAGGTCCATTTTATATGAAATACAGCAGCTGGCTCGTTTACAGTGGCGGTTCGCTTACCGGTTACGTTAGTGGATGGATACGTACCAATCTTCAGAGTGGAACTTTCTATGTCATGGAAGTTCTGAGTTTCTTCTTCGGATTAGGTTGTATTTAGCCTTGGAGCGTTGCTCATCGCGTGGTTTCGTCCACATTGCTCAAATTGCAGAACCTTGGCTCAGGCAGATTATGGAGGAAATCGTTGGGACGACCGTAGAATCTTCTATGGAATCTTCCCCAAGAAGGCTGCTCTTTCTATTCTTTTTTTGGACCTACTGTACATACTTACGGAGTAGCCTCGTATCTGTAGCGATAATCTCATTATTTGGATCCATGCAGGTCTGCCGTCATCACATGAGGCTGACAAGCATGAATAATTGCATAGAACAAAGCAAGTACTCTGTGCGAATGTATGGGTGCTTCACATAGGTGGCATCAATACCCTGTACAGGTTCCATACAGACCATACATACAATCCCCACCGTGAGACATCGCCATGGAATCCTTACAAGTCGCTACGGCCTAAGGATGGAGGCAATGATAAAAATAGTCTTTTTCACTCATTTATCTCCACTTGCCTTGCGATTGTTCTAGCCTACTGAGAGCGCGACTCATATTCTGGGGATTCCACTTCATCGCAATGGCCTCTGTGACTTGCTCAGTCGTCCTGGTTGCCGTCAAGTTTTTCCATCAACTACTCTATCGAAAACACCTATAGGAGGACTCCGTACTTTGCACAAAATTTGATCGGTGTCTTGCAACAACCAAAACGAAGGGCGCACCGCCGGTGTTTCGGCGATTGACATCACACCAAGCATGGCAGCTGGGGATCGTCAGTTGCGCCTGAACCAAGCATATACAGACTGCCTTGGGGCTTACGCTCAGATGAAAATGACATTTTTATGATAGATTTTAGATATAGAGGTCTGTTTGGATGGCTGCATGTGAGCGTTGTTGGATCCTGTCTTTCTTGCTACCCAATCGGTGGCTGTTCCTCGGCGCTGACGGTGACCGCGGCTGGAACTCGTCCTGCGGCAAGTCAGCTGGTGGTGATCATAGGCTATTGCTACCACTGTGCGTGGGACTCAGGTTCCCACGATATCAACCTCGATCCCAACACTCTGCATGCTCCGCATTCTTGCCCTTGTTTATGTACCAATCCTGATTCGACGGTTGCTGAGCTTGGATGTCGTTCCAGGTCTCTGGGAGCACCAAATCATAGTGGGATATACCCTGGCTGTCATTTTCCCCTGGCACCTGATATGACTGTGATGCTTTATTTTGGCCCTTGCGTTCTATCAGTGGACTCTCACTATGGACCTTTGCGTCGCTCTATATCGCCACTCATTTCCAAACCCAAACTCGACGCAATTAATGGTTACCCTGCAAGTCTGTGATACGATCATGTCCTACGAAGATCCAACACAGTCTGCTTCTACATGGTACCATTGGCTTGCGGGCCTATCTGTCTATCACGACCATACTCCTATCACAGCCTCAGCATACGATAGACCTCTCTAGACATCAACCAGCATCGAAAATGGCACGCATTGTCACCAGGATCATCCAGTAACAGTTTTCTTGGCTTAAACTTTGTTTATTCGTAGCCTTCGCACATGGTAGCGACAAGACTATGAAAACTGCCCAGTGACAACCGAAGCAAGGCAACAGACATTCTTCAGAGCATGGCACCCAAATGCAGGCTGTCAGTTTGCCATAAAAACGTGTCGGCACTTTTTCCGTGCTACAGTCCAGCTTAGGGTACCCACTTCATAGCGGTGTGATGCCTGTGCTTCGCAGTGTCGGTGTGACTCTAGAGCAATGAGCAATGCAGCTGTTCGGAAGATCAGCTTGCGTGATGTCCAATTTTGTGGACTGTGCATCCCTGAATGTAAACCAATGAGGATACATCGACAGTTGCTTGCTACTTGGGACTTATTATAGCAGGTTTTTGCGACATCGAATCACCAACTGGGATTGACTGTTGGATGTTCGACATGTTGATACAGGCCACTGATATGGTCGCGTTTACAAGATACTCCACGAATTACATTGATGTTGCCAGGTCAGGAATGCCGAGTCTATCAAAATCTTCCATTCAAGGAACTGGAAGCTACGGATACCGGTCGTCTACTCGCAGTAGCGGTCTAAACCAGGATGCAGGCACGTCTGTCTACTAATATTTACAAAGAACCGATTGGTCATATTCATGAAAACATAATATGTATATCCATTGCAACTATATTTGAGCACTCTTCATTGTCAAATCTATCTGCGAAACCTAGAACTTACAAAGTCAGCAAGACCGTATCAATATCGACCAGGAGCAAAAGCAGGTAGAAGAATGATATCAGAAGTCCAGTTAGATCATCGAAGAAAGATCACGAGGATCCCCTTCTGACATAAGAGGTACCAGAAAATAAATAAAAAGGTGATGTTTCATCATATAAAGTAGGAAAATTAAACTTGGGAAGACAACTAACCTGAATAACCTGGGTAAATCCCTGATATAGTCAGTAAAATATCACCCCCGATCCTCAAGACACCATAAATCTCAGAGGATCATCTAAGTTGTAACCCTCTCATGTTGAAAAAAAAAAAAAAGCCGAGAAACAAGTGACATGGAAGGGAAGAAAAAACCGATGGAAAGAAAAGACATTTAAGCGAACCACCACGTGATCTACATACCACGTGACCACACTACTGGCTGTCGCAATTTCATTTCCCGAAGCGAAAAACTTCAAGATCTTTTTTCTTTCCCGCAGCCTCAATACCGTCGACAACCACATCCCACGTCAACCCATCCGTCAACCATCATTCAAAATGGGTCGTCTTCACTCCAAGGGAAAGGGCATTTCTGCCTCTGCTATTCCCTACTCTCGCTCTCCCCCTAGCTGGTTGAAGACCACTCCTGAACAGGTCGTTGATCAGATCTGCAAGCTCGCCAAGAAGGGGTATGTTATGAATATAGATATGGACATTGCTTTTGTGTGTTGGAATTGGATCTAACGGAATGAATTAAACAGTGCTACTCCCTCCCAGATTGGTGTTGTCCTCCGTGACAGCCACGGTGTTGCTCAGGTCCGGACCGTCACCGGTAAGCTCTTTTCCTCTCCCACTGAGTCGCACGATACGACAGGAAGGAAACTAAATCTAACTGGCTTCGGTTCACAGGTAACAAGATCCTCCGTATCCTCAAGTCCAACGGTACGCCATCACCCTCTCCATAATACCCGTAGGAAAAAAGGCGAGGTGATCCACTGCAGATAGATAATATATGATCTATCTATCTGGATCTCCGGGACCTACAATGGGAAATCCCACCGAGATTAGGGAAATGAAGAAATACATCTCCGTCGCAGATGGATTCTCATTTCCCATCCCTCTATGCCTCTGCTTGGTCAAACATCGGCTGACAGAGAGATCTTTTGCAACAGGCCTCGCCCCCGAGCTCCCTGAGGATCTGTACCACCTCATCAAGAAGGCCGTCGCTGTTCGTAAGCACCTTGAGCGTAACCGCAAGGACAAGGACAGCAAGTTCCGCCTGATTCTCATCGAGTCTCGTATCCACCGTCTGTCTCGTTACTACAAGTCCGTCGGTGTCCTGCCCCCTACGTGGCGCTACGAGAGCTCCACTGCCAGCACCATGGTTGCGTAAACGGTTCTAGACTTCATGGGACTATTTTGCGTCTGGTCAGTTTGGTGGGAGGATTTGTACTCTCCGTCCGTGGACACGGCTTGAACCTGAAGCCCTGGAATTAATGGGTCATTGGTGTTGTCGTGTTGGTTGCCCGGGTTGCTATGCTATTTCGGTAATTTAGTGACTGGAGGTATCCTAGCTGAGGATAGTGCAAAATAAAAAAAATTATATATGAATTCTTATGGTCTAGTTTACTCGAATGTAGTCGAGTAAGTTCAAATGTACTATATATGAACGAACATTTATATCCAAGGCTATACAGTCATGTACTAGATTTTCTAGACAGATTAATGTCTTTCCCTTTTCGTAGCAGGTCTAAGCACACCCTGAGCGGCCTGAGCTGATCACTGAGCAGGGGCTGAACAGAGGGTGAGTAGCCTGAGTAAGGCTACCTTAATAAAATGTACCATGCTACGTATCTGTAACTTTCTGTTAAATATATTTTGTGGGTGCATTCGACAACTTCGACGTTCCACGCCAGAAGAGCGCTTCGGCCAGTGTCCATAATATAATGAATGATTGTAACCATTTATTCTTTGGCGAGATTGAACACTCTTGATACGTAATTGTGCAATGATGCTTGGAGCAAAAGGTATTTCCATTCTGAGCATATTTACAGTTGGAGGAAACTTCCTTATTTCTAGGTACAGCTCAAAGTCACTTACGTTCTCTGGGCATCGTGCTGCAAAGTATTCACGGGTCTGGATGTCTATTATAAACCCTGAAAGCTGTGCAGCACGGAAATCAAGTGTCAAGGTCTGCCACCATAAACGACGCCATCTTTAGGCTTCTTCCATAATGTGGCCCAAATGAATCAGTTCGAGACAGGAAGAATCCCTTATGCATATCTCACATCGAACCTCACCGAAACTAGACATCTGCACCTATCTATCACATTGGGAGGGGGAAAGGCGGTAAAACGTGTGCCCTGGAATTTCAAAGAGAATGATCATTCAGCAAAATTTCAAACCCTTCTATATCCTGAGGAACCTTCTCAATCTCGTTCATGGCTTGCATGCCTTACGACGGCTTGGCTTTGTTTGAGAATGGATTCCAACACATTTCTGTCCCTGCTTCCAACTTCCCACTTCCAACACTTTCAAGGATATGAGGAACTTGAGAGCTCTAGCTTGCCTCGCACCGGCGGCTGGAATTAATGTTGTCAATATCATAGAAAACCATGCACTGTATAATTGGACCATTTTGGTCGTGTATAAACTTATAATAACTGTGATCGATGACTATGCTTGATTTTGGTTTAGTGCTCATAGTGTTTCTCTGGCTTTAAAAACGAAGTTCAACCAAGATTCTGTTAATATTACTACACAAAAAAAATCCAATCTTAGCGGTGTTTTAATGTGAATAGAGCTTGCTGAACTCTAACCACCTGCGGTAGTGGCCTTGCGGCCTCAGCTCGTTGTCTTCTAGTTGTTAGGAGTAGCGTAATTACTGATAAACAACCATGTTTTTATACCACAAAATTCCCGTCTGAAAAAAGGTAATATGCCGCTTTGGTGTGATAATGCCACGATCGTACTTTGTAGTTAGTCGCCCATACAATCCAAGGTCAGATTATTCTGATGGGCTGTGACGGCCGAACAGCTTAATCAAATTGGTGCTGTCTTGAGAATTTCAAGCGTAGAGAGGGGAAACACATTTTCTCTGACAAGTTGGGTCCTACCCTCTGGTATCTAATCAGTCTCTTGAGTAGGGCTCGGCCAACTGAACATAAGAATAACGGCTCATGCCCACGCAGATCTAAACTAGCAGACATATCACTAGACAGTGGGGGTAGGGACAGACTAGATAGTAGGTACATTAAAGAAAGCATAAAACATCACCAGAACCACAAAGAGCTCATACATATAACCCGTTTCTTGTGGCACGTATGGCCATCGCTTGCTAGTAGAATAATTAGGGTTGCTTACCTGCCCTAACTTGGCTATATGGCATCAGCAGTGATTTGTGTTGAGCCTTGTAGGGCTTCACGTGTAACCATCAATTCGTAGGCATCGATAAGAAGGGGCGCTCTAACATCCATGGGAAGTTGTGAGTCGCGGCCTATGATTCTGGCCGAAAACTGGTATTGTTTCTGGTAGACCCAAACACGTCCTCCATAAGGTTTGACCATCACTTCTGGATTCCAATGTTTCTCGGTAGAAGAGAGTTCTATAGGCTTAAATTCCTTGTCTTCATCTTCATAGCGAATGGCCTTGAACTCAGGATAATTCAAGGTTATATCATACCCGTGCCCTCCAGGCGCGTACTTGACTGAAGTTGTGAAACGCATGACGCTTTTTCTTGCCTTGTGCTCCTGGGTTTTCGCTCGAGTACCGTTTTACCCATTTACAGCCAAGAAAGTATAGATATTCATTTCCGTTTTGCCAACAAGAGAGAAATAAATATGAGTAAAATAGGTGTGGAATTTGGCTCTGTTCAGTCTATATATATACTTACCTTCAAAATCCAACCCGTTCAAACTCTACATCCTAATTTCCCTAGTGATAAAAGCTTGATTTATCAACAGCCGCATTTTGCGTTTGTTCGGCGTAAAGAGTGCGCTCACTCTGGACCGAAAGAAGGGCCTAATTCAAGCAGGCTGCATGCAGCTTTAAGGGGCTGAACTATGCCTCTTCTTTTCAAGCCGCAGCTTGAACTTTTGATTCAATTAATGTGTGACTTATTCCTATTTGCTTGGGTGAAATACATAGTGGCACCCCTCACAGACGACTTCACCAAAGCTACGGTGGCAGCACTGGTTCTTTAAACACGCATAAGGGCACTACATTCCAAGGTAATTAATTGGGCGGCACGGGGTAGTAGCATGCTGCCTTCGGTTGCCTCGCAGAGAGTAAATGGTATGTAGATCAGAAGTTGCCCTTCAGCGGCAGCCGACGTCAAGTCTTTTAACTGAATTTGGTAGTACACATAATCAGCCAGGCGCATACTCAGATGACCTGTAAATTCCAGCCGCATGCAGGCATCCACGTCTACATCACCGATTCGGTGTCTTAGGCTCGATTAAAACTCCAATCGTATAGCCTCTGGCTTTCATCTCGAGTGCCGATCGAGTGCTGGAATGTGATTTTATGTATGCTTAGACGGTCACATATCAATTTACATTCTCACACTCGGTGGCACAGCTGGATATGACTGATGATCAGCGATCGACTATGACGCCATAACGCAAACTCTACTGCGAGCCTACGAACACAGCGGATTTGTTGCTAGTCGTGGAAGTGACGCTAGGTGGTTCTCCCGGGTATTCGTTGCCAGAACTAGAATTTGAGAAGAACGGCCCGTAAATAGAAAGGTAGAGACCGAGATCCAGCGCGATAAAATAGTTGGCGCCTGACGGAGACATAAATACTTTGCGGCACCCTCACATGGGACACAGGAAACAGAAAAGTTCTCATTTTGTTTCTTGATCACTATTGCCTATATAGAACACGATCAAAAGCAGCTTTATTTCGTTACTGAAGCATCCAGCATGGCTGGGAACGAGGATCAGACTCCACCTAACAGATCAGCCGAGGATGACAGGTTCATGTTGACCTTGCTAAAATACGATAAGATCCGGGAAAAGTCCAGGCAGTCATCAGCATGTGCTCTAGATATCAAGTTCGCAAAGCAAACGTTGGCGGATATTCGAAAAGAGCTTGTGCAGAAGAAAGCAATGGATAAACGGCAGTGAGGCGCGTGTGTAATTCTAGTAACTTTGCTGTAGCTAATCCTAGCCAGTATGAACAGTACATTCTGCACCAAAGATGGGGCAGAAGTCTCTGATAATTTGGTCTTTAAGGAATATTTCCTTTGGAACAGTGAAGGAGGGGAAAGAAGCGATAAAGCTATCGATACGGTGTGTTAATATATATTTCTTCCTGAGTGAACTACAGTGAACTCATTTAGCACTTAGGGAAAACCTTATCACCTCTACTCCAGATCCAAAAAGTTGCTGGGGGAGATGGATGCCGAAGTCAAGGCGTACCAGAAGGAGAATTTGGATCTCAGCTTGGTAACGGAGGACCCCAGACTTCGCTCATGTGAAATTCTAATTCCTATCACTAGGCGGACATACAAAACATGCCCGAAGCCAAGTTACAAAAGCTATCAAGCGCATACTTGGATAGCAATTGGCGCGCATCTAGCACTGTGAACACTACATACTTGACACTGATCAGATGTATTTTTGATTGGAAGTGCCTAACACGACAGACAGGTATGCTGCTGATATGAGCGAAAAACAATGGGCCATTGTTATGCGCAACAACAACCTTCTCTGTGGCCAGGTCCCAATAGTCACTGACGAATCTGGCGGAGGAATGGTCGGCCTAGAGCCAGCACACGCTCCCGGTATGCAGTGTCAAGTGCCAGATGTAACCAAATTGCTATTGCACAGTGTTTTGAAGCATTTGCTCTCAAGAAGAGAATTATTCCAGATTGTGGCTTCCTGAAGAAGTGAAAGGCGGAATAGATATGACTTTCAGAATCCCCCGCTACCGGATTAGTGACAGTGTCAATGTCGATATGATGGAAACACAAGATGCGCTGCAGACGTCGATGGCACATGGCGGATTCAGCCAGAATGCTATCCAAGCTTCCGTGTAAGTGCACATCGTGATACAAAGACTTGTGACTGACCAAATGTTCGGCACAGAGGAGGAAACATATGGGGTGTCAGTGCAGCTGCCAAGTATGGTAAGACAGAGAAAGAGAGCAAAGGAAAAGCGGACTCCAAGTTTCGAGACACGAAACACATGTACATTTCGTACGATGTACGAGTTTCTCCGATTATCGAACAGGGATGTGCCCTCTTGCTGATAAGTCAAACAGTTTCCGCGTGTGGAAATATTTTTGGATGAGGGTTCTCTCAAAGTATCCAAGGAATGCCAGGCTGACTTGGATCGTCTGAGGCAACACCCAACAAAAGATGAATTGGATAGATTTTATAAGAAATATGGTTAGCTCACGTGCTATACAATGAATGACTATTCATGCTAACAAAGTCTGCAGGCTATCTCTTTGTACCCCAAGTCCAGCTTGGAGGTCGACTGTATTCGATCGAAGAGTCTGCGAATTTTGGATCAAACTCTGTAGCAGAGAAGAGTGAAATGTTTAAAACTGCTGCAGGCGCCTCTTTTTCCGGCTTTGGCCTGCAGGCTGAAGTCAACTATAGCAAAGAAAAGTCTGACAAAAACAAGACAGAAAAGAGTCAGAGTAAATTGGATCATTCAATCACCTGGCACGCAGATGGCGGTGACACATTGCTGTGTAATAAGTGAGGTTCTTCTCATGTCCTTCCGACGCTATGTTGGCTGATTTTCATCCGTAGCCCTCCAGCCTGGTGCTCGACCGTAGGTCCATACTATAATTGGCGAGTTATGAAGGTAATGCAGCCTAGAGCCTTGATCCAGATATGATGTGCTAGTTCTGAAACATTGCAGAGAATGAAGCCGATCTCTATTATGAAGTTAATTGATGACATTCTACCCCCCGCCAAAAAGATAGGAGATGTGGTCTCGGGATCAACGATGAGACAATCCAGTTCCAGTTGCAAACACATCCCAAGGGCGAGTACTGGGAAGGAGACTGCATTTTGGGCCTTGCCGTTGGCCATGGTACAATATTCTTGAAGAGCTTATACAACGCGTCAAAAAGCTGACAATAATCTAGAGAAAGAACTGAAGGATACAGCGGTTAATTATTATAGGACTGATCATACCCGATTCCCAATTATGAACAAGTCCCGCGCAGATGGGAGATTTTTTCGCCCAGGTGCCTGCACTTTTGAGGCTATTGTTCCCAGGAATAATGCCCACTATGAAGAGGGTAAATTCGTCCGAGTATGAGACCAGACTTCATATTTCTTATCTGAGCTTGGAACTAACAGAACAAAGATGCTCTACGGTACCCCGTATTCTCTCCAGATCCGCCACGAAGGTCATATCTACGGTATTCGGCGGACTACGCACAGTGGTCACTATAATTGCGACGGCTATCTATACGAAGGCGAAGAGGAGTTTCCGAATATCCGAGTCATACTGCACAATGGTGATAAAACAGACACGAGCTGAAATATCAAGAACCAGTCGCACGTTGTTCCACGGTTCATTTCTGATAATGGTCAAGAGCTTGGCTCAATAACAGATTCAGAAGGTATCATCCGGCTCGTACCGGGCGCGGCTGGTGGCAGTAATCAATCTCGTATGAAGCTGAGCGATGCTGTTAAATTCGACTTTCACGGTTTGGAAGAGCCGGCTATTCGCTATAATGATCCTCTTGAACTCGAAAGCTACGAAAGCTACGTCGTCCAGTCGTTGGGGTTTCACTCGATGGATGAAATGTTTCTCAACCCGGACGACGGAACTACGGAAAAGAACACAGTGCAAAATTGTCAGCTTATTTACATATAAAGTGATGTGTGGTAAATATATAATACCGCATAGATAGTGGATGAACGGTCTTGTTGCAAGCACTAAAGTTAGGTGGATTTTGCAGCTTCGGGTGGGAAGTAAATACAGAATGCGAGATTATGGTGTTCGCCAGTCCAAATTCTAGAATGAGAAACTATGAACTCACAATAATTATATCAGCTTGTAATTTTTTTTTTTTTTTTTTTTTTGTTTTTTTAGGGGGAAAAAGGCGATCATACCGTCTACAGACACGAAGATTTACGGTTGGAGGTGCAGGGAGGTACTTGAAACAAGCTAGATACAAACAATGCAAATATACCACGTGATTCATCCGTCTCAACCTTATCCACTTCTCTCCAAATACCATGGTAGCAATGGTAACCCTCCTTAGTTATTTTAATTTATTTATTTATTGATTTTTATCTTTTTTGCCCTTCTAACTGCGAGCGGGTTACGCTCAGGCCTTTAAATTCCTGCATACTACGGTATCTTTTTACTAACTAATTCAGAGTCGTGGTTGCTAACCCCATCACATAACTAGCTTCGGTCCACCTTAGAATTAGAACGCGCCTATGTGACCTGGGGCATTTGGGATGGTCAAAATGGCGTTGTGGTAAATCTACCTGCACAAAATAAACTGGGTGAGTCGCTCAGGGAGCCACGTGACTACTCACTGAGCAGGCCCTGAGCGCTCAGTAAGCAGTGATCTGCGATGTGAAATACTCCCTGAGCAAGCCCTTGACTACCCTCATTAAAGCGGTATTATCCGAAAGTGGAAAGTCTCAGTGGCTCTAGAAAATCAGGTTCATTTAGAGACATATCTACACTTGTATATCAATCATGTACACTTCTCACCTCTCTCGCAACGGCATTACAAAGTTCCACTCTGACACCTGCCCCTGCCAGAACGTGAATCCACAATCGTTGCGTATCACTCAGCCGGTCATTCTGCGATTTCACCTCGGCAAACATGACCTCTTTGGCATCCATACGCCACAGAAAGAGATCGGGGATGCCTCCCCCGCGCTGCTGATACTCCTGGGCCAGGACTTTACAGATGGTTGCCAAAGCTTCGCCGCGGAAACATTGCACGATCTCGACCAGATCTTCCAGTTCAAAGGACCAGTCGATTCCAATAGCGCAGGTCTGTTTCTCTGATTCCTGCGAGTGAATTGCACGAACGATGCGCTCGGATGCGCCGTTGGTGATTTCTACGAGGCGATGGTTGATTTCGGATGCTCGAGATGGATAGAACGCGTCGGTGTGGAGGTCGAGTGGGCAGGTCTGGAAGGGGGTTTGGAATACGTTGGGGACGTAGGTGAAGAGGATGTCGTAGAAGAGATAGCCAAACTGGTGGTTTATTGCTCATGTCAGTTGGGATATTCGTCTCAGGGATACTCATTTAATATCGGTAACCTACCAAGGTTCGAACGATACCTCCTTCGGAGTGATATCCCTTCCAGCCATTATCACGATACCAGTTTAGACACATGCTTTCAACCCTGCATTGTCCGCCGTTCCGTTCATCAAGCCAGACCGTTGGACGGCCTCGTTTGGATGACACATCTTCTTGAGAAGTGGATCCATTGCGATTTGGGGAATCTTCTGGGTCAAGACGAATACCCTCGATCGTACGTTCTTCGGGCCTCACGAGACTGACATGACTGAATTCATGTTGCTCCCTTTTGACCACCCGGAGGGCTTTTTCAAGCTTAGTTATTCGTTTCTGAAGATCGTAGTGGTAGGTCAAATGACACTCAGGGTCTTCGAGGCCCTTCTCGCAGGTCTGCAAGGCCATACGCTTCCAGTGCTTTCTCTGCGCTTCCTCGCTACGCCTATCAAATGGCGTCAATGCCCACATGTAATGTTCCTCTAAAAGGGCTTTCCGCTGGTACCATGCGCCCCGACGGGCAGTATGGAATAACCGCTGCGTGAGCAACTCGGAAAGAACCATGTGTTCGGCCTTATGCTCCTTGAACCTCCCCAGCGGATGAAGCCCCTTGTGGATGATCCGGGTATAAACCCATGCGGGTGAAAAACGACGGAGATATGCGCCCTCTCCGCATTCGTAAATTGTTTCTTCCTTGTGTCTCTCATGTTCGAGAAGGGACCTCCATCGAGGATGTACTTTAAAAGCAAGATCTTTCACTTGCTCCAGCATCTCCCTCGTAGGTGTCCCATTGAACTCAAGAATATTATCGATCTGGAACTGCGTCCGCAAGGCAGATTCGAATTCTAACAAGACATCTCTGGACGGAAAGATGGAACTTGAGCGACAGACCACGTACTTCGGGAAACGTTTGCGGGATATTTTTGCTAGAATAATAGTGGAAAGGGATTTCTCCGTCCATTCTGTCGACCTGTAAAATACAAGATGTACCCGTTCGAAGAGGGCTCGTGGCCCCGGTGCAAGTCTGATGCAATCACCCGTGTAGTCGAGAATCTTCTGTACAAAATGGGCGTCTCTATTGACCGGCTGTACATTACTGTTCCAATCCAGACCTGTTTGCTTTTGACTCGCGCGATGTAACGCCTTCAGGAGCTCTTTTTTACTCTTCCCTTGGACCTTGGCCTCCTTCGCCAGGTTCTTCAATTCGTCCAGGAGTAAAAGCGAAGACGCTTCTTCTAAGGTTGTGATGTCTTCACTTTTATTAGCAAAACGAAACTGACCACTAAGACCCAGCCTATCCAGATACTCGACACCTGCCGGGCTTTCACCCGCAGGCACCGAGTCAGAAGGAAGACTTCGGGTACGTTGGAGATCATCTACGACACGCGGCAGGTCTGAGATATCGGAGTGATATCCCAGTCGATTTATGCGATGCCACGCAGAGGTCTTGCGTAGAAAGAGCCGTACGTACCTAACCGTGTCAACCACAGGGAAATGGATAGAAGATTAGCGGTCTAAACCCACAGGTATTGAGACTGATACGAGAGTGCTTTCCACTGATTGAAGACCTCCATCTCCGCGTTATTGAAGAGATGCCCTTCCTCATCGAGCACAGTTTCCAGCGCCAGATTGAACGCATCCACATAAATGGAACTCTTCCCTTTTCTCCACTTACCACCGTTCAACCGCTCGTGAAAACCCGGTTCACCGTCCACATTGGTATCTACAGCATTGGAATTCTCATATTGTTCGATTGCTTCGCTATCTCCCTGAAGCGCAGGGAGTGAAGATTCGAGTTCTGTCTGACTATTGGGAAACGGAAACTCATCGACGCCGGTGGGGCCCTGATCGATCTGGGCCAGAATTGGGGTATCCAAAGCTTCGTCCACCGGACTCACAGAGACACAGTCATTCTCCTGGTCTGCAACATCTTCTTTCTGCCCTGGGATGCCTCTTTGCGCAGAATCGTCCACCGTAGTCTTTCTCCGTTTCACAGACGGACGCTTCGGGTACCAATAGTCCAGGAGGGACATGCTGGCAGTTGTGTGAAGATGGACATCTGAGAGCAGATAAGTAGTATCGCCCCGACCAGACGAACGCCGGTCTATGAGTTGAGTTCGTAGCGAAGAGCGAGCGATGGACGTCAAGAATAAAGACGTGTCGGCACGTGTCCTCTAGAGACACGAGATCACCTGATGTCGTGATTTGTCTTGTTTGCATTCTCCCAAACAGGCAATTCCCATTTGGTGTCAGCAAACGCAGGCGATCCATCTCTTCTTCGCCAGGAAATCCTCCGTCCAGAATGCATCGGAGGTCTCTTTAGACAGATATCTTATCTAAATCATCCACGGAGTATCCAAAAATCCAAATAATGGCTGACAATGTCCCAGTAAGAACAGCACACTCCCTGTCTTTTTAAGTTTTGAGCACCGTCCCCACCTGGTGGAGAGCTCCGCAAGAAGGAGAAGTGAAGGAGAGGAAGGAAAGAAGCTCCGCTCCGCTGTCTTTTTTGCCCGCCATGGAAACTCTACGTTAGCAATTGAATTTACACATGCCTCCCCATTGATTCTCTACGCTACTATCCACACTCACCTTCTATCTCCTTCCTCAGTCACCCGTTCCTCCCATCGCAGATCCCTCCAGCTCCGCAGTGAATACGCCTCCTCCTACTAGTACTCCTACTATTACCAACCTCATCAATTGCCAAACCCTCACCATGGGCAGCGAGTCCACTCCCAACAGCGCCGCCGGAGCAGCAAATACTCCTGCTGCTGAATCAACCACCTCTATCACGCAGCTTCGTCCAGGGGGAGCCCCTGCCCGAGTATACATGAACGAGAAGATCGTGCCTTATCTACTTGAGGGGATGAAGATGGTCACGAAAGAGCAGTACGTAGTTACCTTCCATACCCATATACCTAGTCATTCTATTTAATCCTATCATTCATACGTATCTCGTGCCTAACTGTTTCAATTCTACTTAGACCTTCGAATCCCCTTCGAGTCCTAGGCGAATACCTAATCCAGAAAAGCAACGAGATCGAAGGTGGAGCATCGAATAAATCGCCGGAGTAAAATCCCAGTCTGTCTTTATCTGATTTATCTACTTGCTTGGGTGGACCGGATGCATACCCGGGTTCAATTAACGGGAGATTTTTCTGTGGTCGTTCGCACGAGCGCGCTCGCTCGGTCTCTAGGGGATATAGACACGATATAGTGCTGTTCTCACTTACAAGGAAGAGGTGGAGATTGTGGAACGCGCGCATCGTCTCCGGTTCCCGTCGGTGGTAATCCTGATGGAGATAACGGGCGTGGTGTGATATCTATGCTTTGCGATGTTCTATGGCATGCTATGGTATAATATGCTTGGTCTATGGTCTGGATGGAGACTAGATGCATGGGCGCTTGGCTCTGGCTGTAAAAACACAGGATTGGTAGCCTTGGTATTGGACGTTTTGCGCAGGTCGTGTACTCTGGTAATTTGATGTTTCGACGAAAGATGGACCTGGACAGTGCTCTTAAGAGGACCACATAGAATGTGGGTTGATCTTATTTGAACCTTACACGATCTTTCGTCTAGAAGTGTTTCTGTGGAGTACAAAAAGTTGCTACCGAGACACGTAGTGTGTATACGGGTCTGTTGTTTTGCCGCTATGTAGAAAGCTAAGACCTGGTCGGGATTGGGAGATAGGGGTACCTAGAGGACTATGCTGGATTGATTCAATTCACACTATCTTAAATGGCAAAGGAGTCCTGTTCATTAGCTCTCATCAGCTCACCCTACAAGGGGTAGATACGCATAGGAAGGAGACAGCTGTGTCAAGGAATAATCGAGTATAGATCACGGTCATGCAAATGGTACATCACTGAGCCTTGGGGGTTATTAGGACAGCAGTCATTTGGTTCTCTTCAGCAGTGGTCAGCGTCGCTTAACACCGGCCCCTACCTTTTGCAGAAGATGTTAAGCATGGCTGCTGAAGAACCGAGAATAGCGGAATCGGATCACAAAACAGCCGGGAGCACCTGTAAAAGAAAGCCTGTCGGATAATTACGTTGATATGATTTTGGCCCTCGTCAACCGGATCTCTAAGGCGCACAATCTTTGCTCGTACTGCCGAAACTACAAGAGGGTGGAACTGGCGAGTAATGGCTGGACTCCGTTCAAACTGAAACCTGAAGGCGTGGATAAGAACATCTTTTTGTGGAAGGCCTGAAGACAAGACAGATCTTATGTGTTTGTTTCTGGCCGAATACAATCGAGTCGTTACGTAGAAAGAGTTGTATAAGACGCAACAAGACGCAAATAAGGCGAACAGCTGACTAGTAGCGAGAAAACGACCAAGTTCCGGAAGAGCTGATAATGTAGCAGTGCTGAACCCATCTGACAATCCGGGGAAATACAACGTCAATGTAAATATCTGATTTCCTTTTTCCTGCCGCCAATTTTCTTCCCGGTGTTTTGAGCGAAGTAACAAAAGAAAACATTAGCCAGTGACCGAAGAGCGACGAGGCTGGTTGTTTTATTTTTATTTTATTTTTTTTCTTTTTCTTTCTTTTTCCTTTTACCACAGCTGAAGGGTCGCAAAACGGATGGCGTTCCGACTAATCGCCGAGATGACATGTAACTGCGCAGATGACTTTTTTTCTCCCTTTCGATAAAGAACAACAGAATGACGCCCAGGTGTGCTCCGTTGAATTTAGTAATCCAGTCGAATACGGGTGTCGAATGAAGTAAAAACCATCACGAGGAACATGGGAAAGCGACGGAATGGTAGGGAAACAAACGACAAAGGGTACAAGAAACAAAGGGGAAGGGGGTCGAACAACATAGAAAAACACCAAGACTGGCGGAAAAGGGGGGAATTACGTGCTATGATCTTGAACGCCGACTTCTGTCATGTTCACCTACCTACCGGGAGCTGTATCGGTCATCACGGGGTTCGTAAGAGCGACCGCCATATGCCTCACGGGAGGAAGGTCCATGGCCGCCGTAGCTAGGAGGGTTAGCATCGCGATCGTAATAGCCGCCGCCGCTGCTACCACCGCCGCCACCGCCACGGCGTTCTTCACGACGGTCTTCACGGCGATCTTCACGGCTGTACCGGTCTTCACGGCCGCCAGAGGCATAGCGGTCGATGCCACCACGGTAGCTACCGCCACCACCACCACCACCACTGTATTCTTCACGGTATTCGCGGCGGCCATAGTCACGGTAATCACGACCGCCGTAATCCCGACGATCACTGTACGAGTCATAGCGACCATAGCGGTAGTCGTCATTACGGCGCCAGCTACCTCCATATCCGCCGCGTCGGTCATCAAAGCGATCGCCACGGCCGCGACCACCACCATGTCCTCCGCCACGGAAGTCTATATGAAGTTGGTAAGTCGATATTGATCCGATAATGACTGAAGCAGCTGTAAGGGTACTGACCACGCTTGGGAGGACCAAAGTATTTGCCAGGGGTAGGGGTGCGAGGACGGCTACGACGGGCCTTCTCAATGCTCAGGGTGCGGCCTTCGATGACCTCGCCCTGCAGGCCTTCCTTGGCAGCATCCGCCTGCTCGGCCGTCACCATCTTGACGAAGCCAAAGCCGCGAGATTCCTTGGTGTGAGGGTCGACCATGATCGAGCAGTTTTCAACATCGCCGTACTTCTCAAAAAGACGCGAGATATCCGACTCGGTGAGACGAGGGTGGATACCAGTGACGAAAAGATTGGAGCCAGTGTTCAATGCCCCTTCTTCATCGTCATCAGGAGCGGCCTTACGGGTGTCCATAGGAGGTCTAGGGGATGCTGTCAGCGTGCTGGCCCAGCGCGAAATTCTCGCCACGCTGCGCAAGCGAGGGTCATTTTTTTCAATTGATTGGACATACCGATCATCAGAACGGCCATTAGGGGAGCGGCTACGAGTGCGATCACCGCGTGGCTCATCACGAGGCGACGCGCTGCGGTCACGGGCAAAACGAGGCTCGTCTAAGACGGGGCAGAAAATTGGCAGGTTAGTCCTGAGATTCTGTTTCCAGGGAGATCGATGGATTGACGACCAGATGCAGACGGTGGGGATCATCGATATAACATACCGTCGTAGCGACCATTTTCATTATCATATTCTGTAGCCATTATGGGCAGAAATTTGATGGAACGGGTTGGAAAAAAGAGAAAGAGAGCTGGTTGTTCAATAGAGAGGCGCGTGCGACGCACGGGTCTCAGGATCGCAATTTGCGGTGGAAAAAGAGAAGCTAATACCTTCCAGAACCGATGGAGCGGATTGGGGGTAAAAAAAAGGGAACTAGCTAGCTACCGGGGGCGAGATGTAATCGATCACCCTGAAGGCCAAAGGAGAAGGATGAGAGATGAAAGAGGAAAAGGAAAGCGAAGGAATGGTTGATGGAAGGTCGAGAGGAAATGATGAAAGAAGGGGGAAGAGCCAGCGGGAGAAAAGAGGGCGGCTCTGCATGCGCCAAGACACCAGTGGTCATTTAATTCTACCCCATTTAACTGCAGATACTAATAACTATCGCTCTGTAGGTACACCCATCTTTTGATATTCTCCTAGCTATTAAGACCTCCTATCGAGATCTCCCTAGCGAATAAATCAAATTCTTACACAGTACACCTGACTGTCGCTCAACGCCAGTCCGCCCGAACCCTGGTACAGCTTGCTAAAACTCGACTAAAAACGAAAAGAAAAAGAGAAGATTTAACAAAAGAGAAAAAAAAAAAACACAAAAAGAAAAAGAAAAAGAAAAACGAAAAGATGACTACTTGAATCCACGCCACCGTCTGCGTGTTCGATGGACCTTCCCCGTTTGCTCGCTGACGGATGTATCTCCAGCGTCCATGGATAGTCCGCCTGCGACCGGCACAATTTGCCTTTCAAGTTCATCCCCCACCAGGTCTTTCAATTCGTCCTCGTCCAATTCACTCAGCTCCTCGCTCATGCCACGCATCACGTCTCGCCCCGTCCACCGTTCCTCGTGAATGGTGGTGCCCACCGGATCAAATGGTTGCATGTACCACTGAATGCCCCCTTGCGACAGAGGGAACTGCTGATCCCCTTTGAAGCTGGGCGGCGGTGTCAATGGCCCCTTGGCGGTTTCGGGATTCGGTTTTATCGATTCCGCATTGTCCGACTCTATCCTGTGGGTTTCGCCATTCACCTTCGGCTGTTCTTCAGTAGGAGGCGGGACGTTGGTGACAGTCATATCCACATCTTGATTCCCAGCCTCCTGGACTGCAGGACCCGCAGGTTCCGCGGGAAGAGCCGATTCGGTTTTGGAGGGTTTCTCTTGGGTCGTAGGTTCTGTCGTAGCTTCGGAACGCTCTGGCTGGTCTGCGTCGGGCATGGTGGAGGCTGTTTCCTCTGACTTCTCTGGTAGCGCTGCAGCTTCTTCTGCGTTGTCGCAAGGCTCCGGTCTCGCAACCAAAACCATTTCTTCTTCTCCCTTCTCCTCAGATCCACTGAGAGAGCTAGGGGCTTCTCGTCCCGCCGATCCTGAAGTCTCTGACGGATCGACATCCGAGTCTCTGTGCGAGAGGACGCTAGTCTCGAGCATAAGGTCCAGTTCTTTCAGCTCTTGCTCAAAAGGCTTGCGATTCAGCTCGCTCTCCCTTTTGATCGCGTCTTCCAGCGCCGGCTGAATGGCGCGGATGATGCGCTTAGCAAGGGTTCTCTTCTCTCGTTGTTCGAGGCTGAGCTCCGGCGCACGACCGCTGATCTGCATCTGGAGTTCGGCGGTGTCACCAGCTGGCTGCACGCCAATTTCGGAGGTGAATACACGAGCAAGGTCTGCGGAAAATGCCGAGACTGATGTATAGTAGCGCTCTTCCAATTTGGTGCGGATGGACAGCAGGCCTTGTCGAAAGACAGCCTTTCCATCAAGTCTGTAGACAAGATTAGTACAAATCGACTAAGTAGGTACAGACATTGCGAATGCGGTGCTTACACTTGAGCTTTCTCAAAAATGGGCCAGAGTAGAGGGAAGATAGGGAAATAAACCGTGTCGACCACGTTCCGAAGTATCTCTGCATCCTTCAACTTCTCTCTCTCTCGCTTCTTTACTTCGTCGCACAGCATCCTTAGCCGATCTAGGTCGTAATACAATCGTTCCCCAAAATCAATCCGCCGCTGGAGCCGCTTCCCTCCGGCGACTCCCATCGCGACATAGTCTCTCCTAGTCATTTCCATGGACGAGAATGTTTCCAGTTGTAACTGTAGCCGCTTTAGAAGTGCAGCACCACGCCGAGCCTCTCGTTTCAGCGTCCAGTATTTACAGGCGTCCTCGGCGTATTGCTTCCGTTGACGAACCCCGAAGCGCTGGAGAGAAGCCACAACTGAGTTGAGAACGACCTGAGGAATCACTGGAGCCCCGGAAGGCAATTTCCAGACGGTTTTGGGTACAGTCTGTCGCTTTCGCTTGCTGCCCCCCATAGTCAGGGTGATGCGAGGGGTAAGTGTTCTTGGGCCATCGTCGTCGACATGATCACCTCCGAGAGAATGTGCTGGTTCCAGCGAAAGAGCGGCCGCCTGGGAATCCCCCCATCGCCGACCTTGCATGGTGTTCCGATAGTACTCCATGGCATCGGCCGTAGCAGCGTCCGTGCCATGCTCCCTGCGCCACTCTGGGGGCACATGCTTGTCACAGAACGCTTTCAGCAGATGGGAGTCTGTGACGGCCGGGGTACCATGGCCAGACTTCATTTTCAGGTAAAGCTGGGCTCGTCGGGCACAAGTCACATGGAAGGCAACGAAGCAATTTTTATTGCTGCACTGGATCGAAGCGCCCATTCTCTGTCGGCAAATATAACAATGAAGCTTCCAGCGGCTCCTGGGCACTTTCTCGATGTCCGTTATCGGCTCCATGAGAGAAGGGTTGCCGATCGAGACCTCGGGAATCCAGATAGCACAGAGTAGGTGAGACCATTTCGACGTAGTTGTCTGTTTGAAAGCACCCTCGGTATTGGGGCAGAAGATGCAGTTTGCCGACCCTCTTCCAATCAATTGACATTTGCGGCACAGCCATTGGCCTTCTGGAATGAAAGGGACGCCGTAGCATTCCTGATGGACCGCGAGATCACAACCATCACAGAATACAATTGCGTTTGAGTTTTCACAGTCCCCATCGTCACAGATGACGCATTTCGAATCTTGTTCCTCCCCAGGCCCAGTAGTTTCACCTTTTACGGCAGCCGCAGAGCTCGACCGAGGGCGTTGCGTTTGCGGGGGCTTCGGGTTTGGCTTGGGTATGCGCTTCTCAAGAGTATGCCATTCCTTTTCGATCTTGGTCATCGTGATCTCGAAGACCGCCGGCTTTATCGGCTCAACTTGGTCCTCTCGTCGCTTCGCATTGTAATCTTCCAGCCATTTCTCGTCTTGCTCATCCATATCGTATTCCACTCTGCCGACACTTGCATTAATCTCCCCCTCCGTCACTACTGGGTTCGCGAGCTCGAGATCGTCCTCTTGAGCCCCCTCTGTCATTCGAATCAACTGACGGTCATGACGAAGAAAGAGATCGCTTTCCTGGTATCCAACACTCGCCATCGTACGATCGACATAGTTTGCCTGACCCACCCCGGGCTGATCGTAGAATGTAAAAGGGTCCAGGATACGAAAGGAGGGTTTAGGGAGCGTCAACCTTTCGCGGGGGTTTGGACCAGGAGGCGGAACGACTTTCGGTTGAGGGGAGATGCCCAGGGCGTTCAGAATAGCCTCCGGACGACGAGGCGGACGACCTGGCCGACGCTTGATGGGGGTGGGAGACGTGCCATTGGCATGGGCGCGCACGAGCTCAGCCAACGGGTCTTTCTCTCCATTCCTATCCAGACCATTCGGAGACAGAATATTCGCAATCGGTGCGGATGGCGCCGGACGATCGACCTCCTCCGAGCTGAAGACCGTGAATTTAGTCTCGATATCCAGTTCCGGGTGGAACTCCTCCCAGCCTCGCTCTTCACGCGGTTTGTAGCCATCGCCCTGTTGCAACGCAAGCGCCGCGGCGGTCGAAGAGCCAAAGCGACCACGACTTTGACTCTTGTCTCTCCGTAGACGCGCCGAGAGGGGTGTGGTTGGAACGGGAGGTGGCGGAGGAGGAAGCTGGGCCTGCGCGGGCTGAGGCTGAGGCTGAGGCTTGGGCTCTGGGGCAGAACGACCCCGAGAAGCGGATGAGGTGCGACGAACTGGAGTCGGCTTTGGTGGTTTTGTCTCTCTTATATCGAGCTCAATATATCTGCCTCCCCCACCGGGCCCTCCAGGGACATATTTCCGTTTCTTGAGGGGGGGACCTTCGCTGGCCTGGTCCGAGTTCCGAGGCCCTTTCAGGGAGGTTTTCGACTGGGCTTTCGACTGGGCTTTCGATGTTTTCCCGGGGGAATTGCGGTTTTTAGGAGAAGAATAAGGAGCCATTTTTATTTCATCCGAGCAATCGACAAGATGACGAAGATGAGCGACAGTTTAGAGAACTGCTGGGTGTTGATTGAAAGGCACGTCGGCTTGCTTTCCTTTGCACTGTTGGGACTCAGCAGATCCCAGCGATGCTGTATAGCCAGTAAAAGACAGGATCAGGTGGGAAGAGGAAGAATAAGCCGTCAATCATGACTTGAGCATCGCAAGAAACGATCAGCGTCGAGGGGGAAGGAAATGGCACGGCAGCCACAGCGAGGTACGACGCGAAAGCGAGGAGTTGTCCGTTATCTCACTGTCGGCGCTAGCCGTCCTGGGTTAAGGCGGAGAGGCTCCACAGCTGACAATGCAGCTGCTGACCTTTGCGATGGTCAGCTCTTGCTACCGATCTATACGGAGCGGTTACACGATCCTGTCCAGAGATAGAACCGTATCCAGCTGTGTTGTTCCAGGATGATTGGCCCCGGAGATGATCGGTAATAACCTTTTGCTTTCTTTGCCTTTCTTTTTACCTCTGTCCCAAACTTTCAACCCTCCAACCTTATTTTTTTTTTCCCTTGATTGAATTCTTGGCTAGCTGACACGCGCTCCTCCCAGTTGGCGCGGAGGTCGTCAGTACGATCACAATCACAATCGCCAGTCCGGACAGAGACATTCCACTTCCAGAACAATGAGCATGCATGGTGGTTCTCGAGGACAGATCCCGAACCAGAATCCGAATCATAACGTGTCGAATGCCTGGGGTGAATCGCGCGATCAGCTCGCTGCCGCCAGCGGCGCTGGCGGACCAGCCCAGGAGCCGCATGTTCCCGTAAGAGGGTTCAATGCTGCAGAGGCCAAGGGAGCTCTTAGGAGAGGTACTTATCTTATATTTGCTACATACTTACATAGACTGACTTGTTTCTTTCCTATATTTCCTATATCAGGTCCGGGAGGTACCTATATACTATACCCGGTATATTATCTGGTATCCCATCGCTAACTACAATCAATATGATTTATACAGCACCGAAACCCTTCTTCTACAAAACCGGAGGAAAAGACGCGAACAATCGTCCGAGCGGACCGTGGGGATCCAAACGTATGTTCTCGAATTCATCCATGTCGGTACTTTATCCTACCTAGACAACCTGTTAACCATCCACGAATGCAGCCAATGCTATGGCAAACGGGAAGGATTTCTTCCTAGAGCTTCGAAAGCAGGTGACCACTTTGAAACAGGATGGGAATATCGCGGGTGGTTGATCATACGGGTGAGGAGTGCACATAATCTGGTTGATGCTGGGATATACATATATGCTGTCTATCTCTACTGAAAGATCAATATGGAGAACTAGGTGGTGGAGATATGTTTTTGGTCGCTGGTCGATTTGATAACATGTCTGGGTGATATCTCTGGATTCGGGGGGAAATATGTGGTTTTTGATCGGAATATGAGCTGGTGTTATCTTCTAGGATTAGGATACATCATGTATTCCGGTAGTAAATTCTCTTGATCGACTAATAGCTATGACAAAGATTCAGTTCGAAATGTCTCGAGTGGATTTGGAGATATTACATTCCGTAGATATTGTACAGGAGTCTATATACAGTATGGCTCTGAGCGAAGTTTGCGACAAATATACAAGGAGTATAAATAGTACACAGGACCAATCCGTAGGGTCTCCAGATCAGTTCACTTGATACCAACCCGCAGGGCCTAAAATACCACCATCGTCCGCTCGCGAGTCAAGAGACCATTTTCTCAGCGCGCGACCGCATAGATCACTCCTCCAGCCCGCCTCGAACATTTCAATCCCGGCCCATCCGATCATGGCAGCGTTATCGGTGCACAAGGAAGGCGGCGGCGCAATGATAGCAACATGTCCGAACCCGCGGACATCCAGAAACGAACGAAGCACAGTCATAAGGAATCGATTAGCCGCCACCCCGCCACTGACCACGAGGGTTTTCACCTCGTCGCCGGTCCCAGTTCCAGTTCCCTCCAGCTGCTGAACGGCTTGAAGTGCGATGACGGTGCGGGATGCAAGATGTTCGAAGCAGACGCGCATGGACTCGCGCGCCAACGCGACGCGCTCCGCGTGCGTCATGTTTTCACTGGCTTTGTTCTTCAACGAGACGAGTTTAGTGACTGTCGTCGCGATGGAAGAGAAGCTGAATTGGAGCTGTCGGGTTTTGGCAAACGGTGTGGTCAAGGACCATCCCCATGGGGTTTCACGCTTTATTAGCTCCTCGCCGCGCGTCATTGGGGGGCGGTAGTCAGCGTAGTCTATGCTGCCGTTGGGGAAAGCAAATTGTTCAAGCATCTTGCCGTACATGGTATTATTGGCGGTCTGGAGTAGTGAATCGGGGAGGATTTCTCTGGCGGCTTTGTCGAGGGAGTCGCCGATCGCAATGTCCGCAGTAGAAGCCATGATCTCGTGGTCGGTGATCGAAGACGACTTGACAAGAATCGAGTGTCCGCCGGAGACGAGGATCGACAGGAAGGGGAATTCGGGCGTGACGGGTTCGGGTGACACAGGTGTATCGGTATTTTTTTCGTCGCGGGCTAGAGAAGACACCAGTCGGGGTGTCAGAAGATGCGCCTGCATATGATGCACACCGACGAAGGGGATCTGCCATGCAACCGAGAGAGCTTTTCCCGTGTCTAGTCCGACGAAGAGATTGCTCCGCATCCCTGGTCCCCTGGTGGCAGATACAAAATCAGGTTTCCGGCGCGGAGTCGAGTCGTCTGATAGATGTATGGTTTTGTGTCCACTATTGTCCTCTTCCGACGACGCGGGTAAGTAGGACAGAGCTTTGTTGACAAGCTTTGCGAGGTTTTCTTGATGCGATTCGAGGGCCAGCATGGGGTGCACGCCACGGTATGTGCTCAGGTCGGCGGTGATGTTTTCTAGGAAATGGGCCTTGGCTGTAGGACCAGACGGTCCGAGGCTTTTTTCGACGATTGCAACGGAAGTATCATCGCTGGCTTGGATGTTAGCAACTCTGGTCGGCTGGTCATTGAGAAGATCATGATCAACTCACCAGGACGTCTCGATGGCAAGCGTGAGTAATCCGCGGCTCCGGGGGAACAAACTCCATTTTGTAGACGTATAAAATGTCTTACGACAGGCTGCTGCAGAAAGTCCTGGGCACAACATTAGGAGGTGCAAGAGAAAAAGATGCAGTTCCAAGGAGGCGACAAAGCGGAAATCACAGACTTGCACCGCACGGGCCACGGAAGCCCTGAGAATGTGCCCTAGTGGTGCTAAAAGTGATTGTATATTATTGTACTCCACGTAAATAATAGCTCCTCCGTACGTTATGTTAGTTCCTTGAATTACTTATGCAGCTAATTTTGGAATGGGCTCATGCTACTATAAATAATTTACTACTGAGTACATGCTACGAATAAGATGGTATACTAGGTGGAGCGACAACGAATGTATTGGATTCCTTCAGACTAACGCTCAATATATAAATAGTAAACAACACTAAACTCCAGATCATATCATCACGTCATAAACATAATAGGTCTCATATACACACTGATGCAATGCTCTCCTTTCCAAGGGGCAATTTCTCCAGTGATGCTCATTCTGAAACTCGTCACTCTGCGCCGATAGTTTCATCTCCCGCCCCGCAGCACGGACAACTGCAAGTTGAAGTTGACAGGCTGGTTCAGAGAAGGTCCGGTCGTAAGCGCGGGGAATCATGTCCCAGCGAAAGCGCGGACGAAATCCCTGGCCTCGCACTGTCGTATAACCGCCGGTATTGTGGTAATTTGTTAGCCACATGACCTGGTCGCCCATTCTTCATTCTCGCACCATCCAGCGTCGTTCTTCGCGGGATAGCTTGGTGTATGTGCCGTAGTATTCCTCGGGGTTCTCAATTGGCGTGACGCAATGGACAGTCGGAGTGCCCTTGAACTGGATGCGCTTGGTTGTATTGCTGGGTGGCCCCATCACCGGATTTTTTTTGAGGATGCTCTTGGATGAGCACGAGTTGGTATACTTGTAGGGGGCCAGTTGCAAGGAGGAATATCGCTTTCCACCAGGACTAGCAGGAGGTGGAGATATAGGGGTACGTGGCAGAGAGACCGGGGATTTCAGAGACAGGGACGGTCGGGATGTGTTTTGTGCCGCAGAAATGCTCAAAGACAACTTGGGGCGATACATCATGTCAATGCGAATGACCTTGAATACTTAACGAGAACAGAACGAAGGGTGGGGGGAATATTAAAGACTGGAGAAGTGCTTGGGCAAACGACTTTGATCAACAAAGTCGGTGGCAAAAAGGCCAAGCGCGTAAATGATACTATTATTGAGACGAGGTGCAGATCCCAAAAAAGAAGCCCAAAAATACTAGCTATCGCCTGGGCCAGCCAAACGAATAGACGACAAAAATAGAATGGAAAAGAGAACGAAAAGTCAGGCCCCAGAAAACCTCAAACACAGAATGTCCCAAGAGTTGAAGCAGGGAGATATGTGCGGCTATATAGTCTCTCGCTGGAGGGGCAACGGGGGGGCGGCAGGCCAATGATGGCAGACAGTGGCCTCGAAGCGCCAGCACCCTGCACGACGAAGCACAGTCTCTCCTCCATCACACTCTAGTCCAAGGGTCACTGCAGGAGACAGGCGAATCATACAACGCGGACAGGATCTCCGCTCGTGGAGACTCAGTCATGCCATGATACCAGACTGGTCCAACGAGATCTGTCCCCCGGTGATGGGGAAATTGATATCTGCAATTGGTCTGGTTTATGGGACAATGGTCTGCAGCATTCGATCAGGATGATTTGATCACTTTCTGCAGAGTTTATTATAGAATGGTGGGTCTGGTGTGTCAAGTAACTAGGCATGGTGTTGAATATATTTAGACTGAGGTCTGATAATTGTGCGGCTTCGACTTTCCTACGAGCTGTCTTTCTCTTTCATACAGATCATTCGTCCTTCCCATCTTTTGAAATAAAATCAAATCAACGCAGAAATAATGATCCTCTACTTATCCAGAGAGTGAGAGAGAGATAGAGATAGAAAACCATAGCAAGATCGTATAAAACTGGCACCCGGCGAGTAACCATAAAGCTACCAATGACAATCTTCTGCATTACCATCACGGTGACTGAAGCCATGGGATATCTTCACCTGCAGAATTAGCGTGTGCAGTCACACTTGCTGAGTTGTAAGCTGTCGTACGGAGTACTACAGGGTGAGTCCGCGAGTGGCAATAGTGCGGATACCACTCTGTACAGGACACTACGGTCTTCTAATACTGGTCCATTGAGTTCAAATATTATTGTTGAGTACATGATATTTTTATGAACTTTGTAGTACGAAATGCAAATATGTAATAAGTGAGAATATACTTCGGTAGGAGTGAATAAACTCGGTCAATTGTCTCATTCCGAACAAACATCTCAATGCACTGTTCAACTTGAAACCCATCCTGACTTCAAGCTGACATATACATACAGGAAAATTTGACCCAATGTTATCTTGAGTTCTACTTCGCTTGCAATCCAACGCGGTATGAGCTGGACCTCACAGACGGAAGTCACGGAAGACCAGACAGTTCATGGCGGCTGCCGTCTTCATAGTCTATGCTCGTTTCATTCAACTTGAATATTTGAATGGACTGGCCTTTTATTTATTTATTTTTTTTGGTATAGTTCCTCCTCCTTAATTGTCACTCGTTTCTCTCGGTTACGTTCTCGATTAAGCTCATCCATCGAATCCCTTGGCAGGGCTGAAACCAAGTCCTAAGAGTTGTGGTTATTGCATGCATACTATTAATTCCGCCATTAATCATGAGCCCTTTGCGCAATATCATCGAACCTGGTGGTAAGTTATCAGGCTATCCTCTGTACGAGCCTCTGGGGCGTTCTGACGATCCCATCACAGCAATTGTAGCTACCTTCACGGCAGGGACTATCATCAACAGGCGCAGTAATGTCCGAATACGGGAAACACCATCGGTCGAGGATCCATTGCTGGGTGACAGCCAGCAGACACCAAAGCCAGCAAACCAGGACCTTTACTTTCGCTCTCCTGGCCCCCGTCGCACACTCCAATCCCGAATCCTGGCACATTTTCCTTTTTTACTAGAGATATGGTACTGGGTGCTCACGTACTGGGTAAGAGTTCCATCCATTACGGCTGTTTCATTCTGTTCCGACCAGGTCGAACTGACCGTATCTGACGTAGATCTATCAAGGTCTGCGAGCATTCTCTGCCCGACAGATTGCTGGCCACAAACCAATCTTTGACACCGCCGAGTGCCATGCCCATCAGATACTCGTCCTTGAACGCTTCCTCCACGTCGATATCGAACTGTCGGTGCAGAGGTTTGTCCTAGAGAAAATCCCATGGCTGATGCCCGTCCTAGCAAAGATATACTACTCGCATATTGTCCTCGGCATCATGTTCCTGGTGTACTGCTATACGTTCATCCCACGGGACAAATACCAAGGAATCCGACGCGCACTTGCATTAGAAAACGTGATTGCATTTTGTATCCTCACCGTTTGGAGATGTATGCCTCCTCGTCTACTTCCTGAGGAGGACGGTTTCATCGATGTCTTGCACAGGGACAGAAGCGGTTCCGCATGGACTCAGAATAAATTCCAGTTGACGATCGCAGCGATGCCTTCTATGCATTTCGGAAACTCATTCTTCATCGCGTTTTGCTTGCTGAACTTCAGCCCTCACTCGTACCTTCGCGCTGTTGCGCCGCTGTGGCCAGTGATGATGGGGTATACGATTTTTGCAACAGCAAATCACTTTCTCCTGGATGCTTGCGTCGGTGCCTGTGTGGCGATGACTGCGTACCGGTTCAATCGTGTTATGCTGGGTCTGTTGCCGGTGGAAAGGTCTCTGTTTCAGCTGCTTCGGGTTGAGAGGCCGGAGTAGTAGTGACTGGGCAACGAGATGAGATAGTTGTATTCTTATACTGTCTAAGTCTGACTCATTATTCTTTGGGCATGTCAAAGATTCTCCTGTTATCCAAGATTGGTATAAGAATAGGCATTGCCTCTGGGTACATAACTTTGGGTCATATTATCTTTTCAGAGAGACTTGAACATTCCTAAGTAAGTAATAATTTCCCCCTCAGGAGGCCCCAATAAGTCAAATTAGCCAATAGACGATAGAATGAAGACAGTTCTATAGCTCTTAATATTGAGTAGGCTGTTTACTGATTACCTCGAACTGTCTGGAAGTATGCACACTGACTAGCGCCTTTCTACGTAATCCAAGATGTTAGTGGAAGTTATACATCTTATCACGATGAAGACATTCAAATAGACAAAAACACTAACTTAGAGCAACCATGGAAGTACACAATACTATAGAACCTGCGATACAGATATATTAGAACAAACAGAATATATGACATCCTGTGATACCCATGATTTCCGATTGTCTTGGTCCTTGACTACGATGCACGAGGTGCATGATTTTCCTGGATTGGACAGCATCACCATGATAATACAAGAATATGACCTCCTACCAAGCGAAGGGAAAGAAAATAACCTACATATTTCCCTAGCTCTCCAGGAGTAATGTACGAATATCCAAACGAGAACGACACGAGCTACGGAGGGACCACCAGGGCCCGCCTGGTGCAAAGACGAATGGTCGGAGAAGATGTGAACAGCAAACGAAAAGATAAGTTTTCACCCTAGCCAGCAAGGGCATGGCAAGCAGCAACTAGAGCATTTTGAGCAAGAGAAGGCTTAATCCGGGGCCGCCGTTTGCTATTATTATCACTGATTTTATGACGCCCCAGAAAGTTCAAGAGCTTGCTGGTCTCTCATCGCCCCCAATGACGACCAATATTGGTTCGGAGAAACTTAAACCAGAAACTGTCCAGTATTGTGTTACTGATAATGGCAATGAGCGGGACCAGGCTGGGGAATGTTCCGAAAGACAGGATATAGTTATCTGGTTTGAGGGTAATCAAAGATGTGCATCCAGTATCTTCAGCTAGAGTGTTCGAGCCAGACTCAGAATTGGAGCCTCAGTTTCCTATTATTGTCACTGATTTTACAATGCCCCAGAAGGTACATGAGATTGCCAGCATGCCATTGCTGCCAGAAATAAGATGGACAACAACAACAACAACAACAACAGACTTTGGAGCCGAGGAACCTGCTGGGCCAGAAAGGGTTCAGTATTGTGCAGTTACTGGTCGAACAGAACGGGCCCAGACTAGGCAATGTTCTGGAGGAAACTACACACTTGTTTGGTTTGAGAGTGAAAAATGATTTGCCTGGATAGAGACTTTAACAGGAGTGATTCAGCCGTATATAGAGCCGGACCCAATGCCGCAGTTTCATATCATCATCACTGGCTGCATGACACCTCAAAAGGTGCAGGAGATTGCCGACCTGTCATCGCTTCCTGAAGTCAAATGGACGACCACGACCTACTTTGGGTTGGAATTTGAGATACATGACATAACAAAGGTTATGAAGGAGCCATGTACCTCACTAAGTGCCTTAATATGCAATGTAATATGCCATGCACCGGAGTGAATGAATCATGCACCTTGAGTGAGGTATTTTGTGTTCATTTCTGCAGTCTGCAGTCTGCAGCTTGTGCTGAGACATTGGCATAGGTACTACTCTGTACACAGTACTACACGATCTGCATCTTCCGCAGATACAACTTCTCTCAGCAACTCATCCGCCAGGAGTCATTCACTGACAGGTAGTCTCCGCGCTTACCTCTTCAGGTGGTGTTTAGCTAGTCATCCTGCTGTTGATTACTCTGTAGTTAGTTATCCACTCGGCTCGACTTATTTAATCTTAGTCGAGAATGTGTATCCAATGCCAGAACTGTCTTCCCTCGGCACTACATACTCCTCATCGAAGGGAATAGGATAGCTAATTCAGCCCGGATTTTCAATATGCCAAGAGATCCCTTTCGTCAGTAGGTTCTAAAAGTTTTCTCACCTACGTACCTATTTCATTCTTGTCTTGTGCATAAAAGTACGTGAGTATTCTGGAGTACACAGATTGCTGTCAGGCTTGTCTACTCCAGTTATTTGCATCTCATCGCATCCTTTTGTCAGAAGCCGACACAACAAGTCTGCGAATCTGCTCGGCGCCTTCAGGTTGAATAATGGGTAGTGACTGGATGCTAACAGACTATCATTCATTGTATGTGGCTATCAAAATAATCAGGACATACTCCATACTCCGTACAATTATCTGAAGTTACGGACGGTTCGAGACTGATATGCGGGAGAGACATCTCGGACCAAAGCCGAGTGAGGAGGAGCAGCGATACCGGGGCTGGATGCCTGAGGCTGCTCAGTTTCTCCAACGCGGACCCACATTTTCCCCCACCGAAGGCGGAGACGGTGGTTGCGATTCGCAGCACCACAATCCAACCCGCCCTGATCGGGCCGAAATGGGGGGAGTGGAATGCTCTCTCCTCTTGGTTTTCGTGATGGAACATGGTTTTACTGGTCTCGTCAGGTGGCAAAGTGTCATGTGAAAGGTCGGGTTCTCACCTGGAAATTCCCATCCCGACATTCTGAGTCCCTTCACTGGAACAGTAGGTAGCCAATACACTCTGTACTAACCAATCCAATAACTACTGCCACTAAGGTAGTATGTACGGAGTAAGAACTGTCAGTTAATTGCTCAGATGTAGCATGTTTAGAATGGAGCCTTCGTGGTTTGCCCCAGAGGGGTCTTCCAGCGGCGGTCACTGGATGTTGGACGTTCCGGAGTTTGCCGGGTGTGGCTCGTCCCAGCCCTCGGGACATCAACCACTGCGAAATCTTGGTTCAGGACCTCTAATCCTTGATTTCCCGAAGCAGGACATAATTGTTATCAGAAGTGCGACGAAGCAGGGATTGCGGAGATAAGGCTGTCTCACCTAGTGATTCCATCCGATTCTCCTGGTGCTGTTGCTATTTGCCATTGCCATTGCCATTGCTGTTGCTTGCTCGGCCCCAAGTCCGATTGCATAAACAAAGTCCCTCACCGGGTAATTTACCGCATTCCAGGGGCGGTGAAGCTGCGTCTGGCCCAGTGACTCGTGGTCGATTCCCTGGGATTTATTGCCCTTTTTTTTTTTTTTCTGTGTTCCCAAAATATCAGCTGAGGCGAAGAATATCTTGCCTGAAGGTACAAAGGAGAGAAGAAAAATAAGAACAAGGAATTTATAGACAACATAGAGTTTTTCTTGAAAGACAATCACTGGTTTGTTTAGACTTCCCCCTCAGTGAGCTGTAACTGTTCTTGTCATTCAGTCCCCCGTTTCTTTTTTTTTTTCCATAGTATCCTGTCTCCACACAGTTTTCCTTATCCCAACCCCTTCATATCTCGTTCTCGTCACACCAGGAATTCCTTGGGTTCTTCCTCCTGGGTTTCCCTTTCTTGGATTTTGGCCCTCCAGACCTTTGGATTGATCGTTTCTTGGGTTGATTTCTTTTCCCCCTGTCACAATGCCCATCACCAGGGACGCAGTCAAGGAGTCCTTAATGGGCACTTCCGATGAGCCCCAGCCGTCACAGCAGGCCAAGGCCAACTTTCACCGTCATGCGCGAAAAGATGAGACCACAGGGGAATTGTATATGACGGAAGATGACTTTGTTAATGCTATTGCCCCTAAGCATGAGGACTATGTACGTTTCGTAACCCCTATTCTCGCATTGCCTTGTTTTCGCATGATGTGTCATCACAATTCGTGGCCTCAGCTAACGCAGTCTTCCACCTCAATAGCACAAAATCAAGCGCGAACATTATGCTATCCTTTTCAGAGTCGCGGATAAGCGCAGATCCGGCAGACTCTCCCTCGGAGACTGGTCAACGTTCGAAAACCTTCTGGGTAAGCCGGATGCAGAGTATGAGATCGCCTTTCGCCTGTTCGACTTGGATGGCACAGGCACCGTGAAATGGGAAACTTTTCAGAATCTTTACAACCTCAATAAGACCAAAGATAGCATCCCCTTCGATTGGAATTCAGAATGGGCTTCCCTGTATACCGGACGGACCAAGAGCCGACACGACATGACCTACCCCCAGTTCGCTCAAATGCTGCGAGGCTTGCAGGGCGAGCGAATCCGGCAGGCTTTCCACATTTTCGATAAAGACGGGGATGGCTACATCGACCCCGAAGACTTCCAGCACATCATCCTCGAAACCTCGAAACACAAGCTGTCGGACTATGTTTTGGAACACCTTCCTAGTCTGTGCAACATTTCGACCGGCACCAAGATCTCTTATGCCACCGTCCGCGCCTTTCAGAACGTCATGCGGGAGATGGATATGATTGATGTGATTGTGCGCGAAGCCACCCAGAAGAGCGATGACGGGAAGATCACGCGCTCCGATTTCCTCAACGAGGCGGCACGTGTTACTCGATTCTCCCTTTTCACTCCCATGGAGGCGGATATCCTGTTCCATTTCGCTGGATTGGACGCGCCTTCGGGAAGACTCTCTCAAAAGGATTTTGCCAAGGTCATTGATTCGTCATGGCGTATGCCTCTTGCGGTCGCCGGACAAGCCGCAGCGGACGCTGCGCATAAAGCGGCGGACAAGACTAAATCGATCTTATACGGCGTGCTTGAGTCTGTCCACCATTTTGCTCTAGGCAGTCTTGCGGGTGCTTTCGGAGCTTTCATGGTTTATCCCATTGATCTGGTGAAGACCCGTATGCAGAACCAACGGTCGTCCCATGTTGGCCAGACTTTGTACAACAACTCCCTTGACTGCGCAAGGAAGGTTATCCGGAACGAGGGGTTCACAGGCCTGTATTCCGGAGTTATTCCCCAGCTGATCGGCGTTGCTCCGGAGAAGGCTATTAAGCTCACCGTCAATGACTTGGTCCGTGGGTACTTTAGCAATAAAGAGAATGGCAAAATTTCGTATGGCCATGAGATTCTGGCTGGTGGCACGGCCGGAGCATGCCAAGTCGTAAGTTCTGACCCTCGCATCAATCGGTGGCCCGTTTTAACAGCAGGTCTCTCTGTAGATCTTCACCAACCCTCTGGAGATCGTCAAGATTCGTCTGCAAGTTCAGGGCGAGATCGCGAAATCAGTTGAGGGTGCACCTCGTCGGTCTGCTCTTTGGATTGTGAAGAACCTGGGATTGATGGGGCTGTATAAGGGAGCCAGCGCCTGCTTGCTTCGTGACGGTAAGTGCAACGTGCCTGTGCTTCCCTGGACCTAATTAACACTAGCGGACAGTGCCGTTCTCCGCCATCTACTTCCCGACATACTCCCACTTGAAAGCCGACTTCTTCGGCGAGACCCAGAACCATAAGCTCGGCATCGTGCAGCTGCTCACCGCCGGTGCTATTGCTGGTATGCCTGCGGCCTATCTGACGACCCCTTGCGACGTCATCAAAACCCGTCTGCAAGTTGAAGCCCGCAAAGGTGAGACGAGATACACCGGCCTTCGTCATTGCGCAACCACTATCTGGAGGGATGAAGGTTTCAAGGCCTTCTTCAAAGGTGGGCCCGCCCGTATCTTCCGTTCCTCTCCCCAGTTCGGTTTCACTCTCGCAGCCTACGAGGTGCTGCAGAATTGGCTGCCTATGCCCGGATCCGTGCCCGAAGTTTCCCCTTCCGGACAGATCGAGCCCGGTGTCGGCCTCCAGGTCGCCAGGGCGCCCCTTCCCTACCTCCGGTCGAGGAACGCTCTGAAACTCATCCTCGACCTGGACGAGAACATAGGCCGTACCCCGATACCGTCGACAGAGAAATGGCCCAAGTTTCTCCAACCTTCGAGGCAACCGTAAATAACGCATGCATGCCCATGTATTTCAATAGCGATATGATCCATTTCCGCCTTGTTTTCTCCTTTGTTCTGCCATGGAAATACCTTGTGTTTTTATACTGTCCAACCTCATTTGGGTTCTCGGGGTTTTGGTTCTGATTGGGCGAAGACCATGCTTGTATTCCCTTCATTTCATCCATCTTTTCCCGTGTCCATACAGGAACCATCTTTTGCATATTGTAACAAAAGCAGATAGACCAGGGGGAGGGGGAATTACCATTCCCAATTTGCATGAACATCCTAGACCTTATCTTGGCTCGTTTCGCAGTTCTTGGGTTGGTGAGATTCACCGTTTTGTACATTCTTAATACATGATGCCAAATATTGTTTTATAATTTAGAAGCCAATGCCCTATAAAATTTTCTTGTGTATGTTTTCAAGGAAACTTTTCTGCTGGAACTCGCGGCAACTTTCATTTTGCTTAGTGAAATGATTTCAGGCAATGGTTGGAAATATGGATCACAATTGAGGCTCGTTGACTAATAACTTGGAATAGGATTGTAGTTAAAGTAAGTTGCTGGAGTCCCGTTCCATGCTGGCAATGCCCCAGTAATCCACACGAAACGCTGCGGGTATCATTTTAAAATATATACAAATCTAATAGCTAAACCAATGAACAGTTGCTTCCGTACGTCTCTTAATCAATGTGGTTCTAAAGAATGATCTCATCAGCTCGGTTCTTTACCAATTGGAGTTTTAAAACGTACCATAGAGAAATAGGGATAAATGACCGTGTTAGATCCGTACTATCGAAAATCATATGTAGATGTTCTGTGGGCAGTGCAAAACAGCGCTGCGAGCTTGACAAGTAGATGTATTTAGAAGAAATTGATCTTCCGCTGTGAGGAACTGTCTTTCGAGGGTTCGGCATTCTCTTTCTCTTCTGGTATCACGGGTTCCTTGTCTGTAGACACCAACCACTTCTGTTCTTTCTGAACTTCTGGCTGCTGTTCCGCTCCCGAGTTTTTGGATTTGCGATGCCACAGTGAATCCTCTGCTTCGATCTCCCGGAGCACTGCAATGCAAGAAAATAAACAGTTAGCAGAGAACAACCCCAGTATACCAATAGTAAAACAAACCTTCTTCCCATTCCCTCTCTTTCCCTGCATCTCCGGTCCCCAACAGTTTCTCAACGTCAACTTTTTCCCCGTTCTTAACCCTTTCAATCACCTCGCGGAGGAGGAGGATCTTAGCGTCTGTCGTTCGCGTGTACGCCTTGTAGTCGTTTTTGAGCGCGATCATCCGAATGGCTTGCGAGCCGATCAAGATAAAGATGATGATGTAGAAACTGGCGGGATTCCATTCTTTCGATTTGGGAGTATCCGATGCGTCCTTTGCACTTCGATTGCGCAGGAACTTGGGGATCATAGACGTCCATACCGAACGTTGAGCCAACCTTGGTATGGCTTTGGACGTAGAATGTAGACGGACTTGTACAGGGCTGGATACCCAGATCGACTTAGCAACCCGGGGAATGAGTAGCCCATTAGTTGCAATGGATCTAAGCAGAGGCATTGCAGAGAGCATTTTCGGCATGTCAGAACCCCAACAGCGTGGATGTGACCTCAACGTCGAGACGAGATGTCTCCCCCGGCTTCTCTCCATGCTGGCCATGACAGGCGAAAAAGATCGGAGAGTCGGAGTCTTGGCGACGCTATTCCCGTCTGGGTTCAGCTCGCGGCCGTTGCTGCGACAACGTGAATTGGGCTTGGGTTACGGCAAAGTAATCGTGTACATCGTTCTCCCTGAGTTGAGTCTCGAATCTGATTGTTCACGACTATTGTTTGCGGATGGCGAGAGCAAACATATCATATCATCTATTCGATACAAAAACGCTAGCCCCCCATGACGGTCTCTAGTATACTACCCGACTCCTCGGTGGAGTCGGTGAAGCAGGCCGTACGCTCTACTGCGGCATGCTCGAATGCCACAGTGTTGACCCTCCAAACCCTTTTTGGAGCTCCCTCGAAGACTTCCCCAGACCTTGAAAACAATGCTACGAAAAGACGAGCGAGGACCACTAAGGGTTCTGGGACGAGTACGACCCGGACAAAAACGTCGACTGTGTCGAGGACGGCCTCAGGGCGAGACGCTGTACTGAACACATTAGCAGAAAAGGATGCTGCACACTTATCACACCAGGAGAAATTGGTTCTTGCCACGGACGTGTTCAACGCGTCCTTGAAAACGCTTTCGGATGCAGTGAAACTGCATCCGTCATCGCAATCGACCTCGCCCAGCCTTGCCAGGAAATCACCACGAAAAACTACAGACAGCGGGTTAATAGCGGTATCTGAATGTGCGTCGATGGCGCTGGCCTCGTTGCGGATTTTGAAGCTCGATCAGAGCAATCAGGACAATGGGATCCCGAATATTCAACTAGAACAAGGTGCATGCGTCCTAGCAGGACGATATCTGTCGTTAGGGCTGAATGACATGGCTTACAAGGAGTTGAGGGGGCTAAAGAGAAGGATCCAGCAATATCTGAATAGCCAGGCCACAATACGCAAAAAACCGACGGACAGGAAAAGGAACGAGGAAGGCCACGAGGACGGAACAAATGAACACATGTCGGATCTCATCGTATTCTCCAACATCACCGAGGTCAAGCCGCTGCTTTCCTTGCTAGTCCCATTTCAATCAAATTCTCTACGGCTCATCGCTTCAGAAAAGAAGGTCTCAACGATACAAAAAGTAGCGTCGTCGCTACAACTGTCGAACTCGAGCAGCCCCGCCAACGTTATACTTGCTGCATTGGACCATGGGGCCGTTGCAAAAGACAAGGCAGCAGTTCAACTTCAACTGCTATCGAATACGGTGTTATCTTTATCTTCGGGATCTCAAAAATCCACCAACGACAGCACGGCTAAAGACCACCTGAAACCCATAACATGTTTGAATCTTCAGCTTCTGGCGCTCGAAATCCGCTGTATTAGTTGGCACATCTCAGGACACATTTGCGATGACGGAAGAGAAGTGTGGGATCCACTAGCACGCTACCTTGCTAACTTTTCCCATAATATCAAAGGAATCGAGAAGACTGAGTTTGCTTTAGCCTACAAAGCAATTGTTCGACTTCAATCGGCAGTCTCCAAAACCCCCAAGCGTACAGACTTGAAAGACAGCCTCTCAGTAGCAAAGATCGCGACAGTTTTGGGGCAGCTTGCTCAGGAAGCAGGTTGCTTGCATGAAGCTTTGCAACTTTTTACCGAGTCCCTGACTCCTTTTTCCAGCATGCAGTCCCTTACGTTAGCCACTGTGCGCTGCAAAATCGCATTACTACACTTTGAAGGTGTCCGGAAATTTAAAAAGTTTACCCTCACTGGTGTTTCGAATGCGGTGGCCGAAGCTACCACCGCCCTAGGTATGCCACTGAAAGGCAGCCCTAATGATCTCGATGAGCTGCTTGTTGAAGCGGCCAAATTGAAGAAGCGTGCGATGGCTTGGTTTGGGGATATGGTTGCGAAGCAACAAGGCAAGAATCTGGAAGAAAACGGCATGGTACCTCAAATTCATCAATATCTGTCTGGTTTTCTGAGGTTTCTACGACGCTATATAGGACGCCCACCGTCAGAAGACCACGAAACAAAGGAACACGAAACTTTCTCCAAGCGAGTAGCTACATGCCAGAGTATTGCTCTTGCGGCTGTTGATTCAGCTGCTGCTGTGGGCAAATTGTCGGTTATGTCGCAGAGGCCTTCTTGGGAGGATATACTTTCCGGCTTGGCAGACTGCCAACGCCTTTTGACAACAATTAGCTCCACAGAAAGCACGGAAGAATCAGTGGCCGAGCAGACTGGCATGGGATTTGTAAAATTGTCCAACCTTTTTTGGTCTCGGTATCTCAAAGAAAAGGAAGCCGGTAAAGGTTATCGCGAGCTTCTGCCTCTGCTGAAGCAGTCCGCCAACTTATTGTCCCCTTGTTTACCTGCCCAACGCAGCACAGGATTTGCAGCTCTCAAATATGAAAGACTTGCGCATGTGTATATGGAAGGTAATATGGTCTCCGAGTCGGAACAGGCATTCTTCCAATCTATCAAAGAGCATATAGAGGCAGGTGTGTTGGAGCAAGTCGTCTCCGATACCCCCAGTGGCTTTCCTCATCGCACCAGCCAAGAACCGAAAAGCAATGGCTTTATGTTAGGCCGGGTGCTTGCTGCATACTTGAAAGTGAAGCTGCGGGCCAAAAGATCGAAGATCTCTGTGTTTGATGACGAGACTTTATCTCCGTTGCTACGGGGGCACATACTGGAGTGGCAAATGGGAATATTGATGGAACTGCATCTCTACGCTCAGAACGACGATATTTTCCATAAAACCTTGACCGTCTTGCTCACTAAACTCCTTGACATATACTCTCCGAAGGCCAATCCCATTCGGCGTCTGCGTGTGGTTTTCGGTGGGCTCCGCTTCTCGTTAGAGCGCCCGACATCTTTGGAATTTTCGCTTTTACAACAATTGTGTGACGAAGCTGCAAATGACATTAAAAATGATGACGTCGGCCAGGATTCTGACCTATCTCCATTTGAAACTCATCTGAAGAACTCGGTTCGGCTTACCTTAGGACTTCACCAAGGAGATCTTCAACCTAATCAACTGGACAGCGTCGTATCTTCTTGGACCTCAATCATGCGACGCTGTCACGATTTGAAATCGCTTGTGTCGCATGTCGGCGATGTGGACTACTGTATCCTGCAAATGAAGGCCGTCGTGGACTACACAGAGATTCACGGTCTCTGGAAACTTCAACTTTCTGCCCTCGAACTGATCCTCCGTGTAACAGATATTCAAGAGTCCGGAGACTTCTCCGAGGCTATTATTATCCTTTCACGTCTTGTGCTGCAGTGCTGCCGGCTTGGATATTGTAAAAAGGCAAACGACCTTCTTGTTCGCGCAGACAGGTGCCTTGCCCAGAATGAGGTATCTTGTCTAGCAACGTTGTCTCATCGACTGGCACGAGTTGGACATTCACTTGAGACGGGGGATATCGAGAAAGCAGCAGCAACACTATCTGCAGCGAGGTCTCTTTACGAGAAGAACCGAAAAAAACAAGATCTAAACAGTTGCTCTGTTTTAACCAAGATAGCATGGGAAAGACTAGTGGCGGATGCCGCCTTTATGAACTCCCGCCTTTCGTTTGCTCAAGGCTCCATTAATGACGCGCTTTTCTTTGCCAAGTTATCTGTCAGGTTGAACTGCAGGATATGGGCCAAGGTGGAAAAAATTGCTCAAAGAAAACAGGACAAGAGTTTGCCGGCAGGTGAAAACTCCGAGCTGGAAACAGTTGTGGAAGGGATGGCAAAGCTTGACGTGTCTCAAGCGGCGACTACATCTATCAACTATTCCCAAGGCGCACCTTTCTGGCCTCATATTGGCTCTCACCACACTTCTTTGCTTAATCTCTCAAGCTTATCTGCACATCAGGGTCTGTTCCAGGACGCTATATATTATGGAGAACAAGCTCTGAAGATCAACAAGACGCTGAATGCAAACGTCCGCTTGATAGCATCCCAGGCACAACTAGGCTCCCACTGGATCTTTGGGGGCCACATTTCTGAAGGACGAGAGCTCCTAGAAGAAGCAGAGGCACTTTCAAAGGATCTCGAGAGCAGTATCGAGCTTGTTTCTTTGCATTTGGGACTCGCCGCGCTTCACAGAGCAGAAGGCCACCATCAGCATGAGCTACAAGCCTTGCTTGATGCTGACAAGTTCATTACCAATTTCATTTCTTCGGAAGTTTCTGATGGCTCCACGTCACCCAGCCTCCCAGACTTGGAAGAGAATATGGGAAAACTCCAGGTTCGACCCAGCAGCAGAAGAACTAGACAGACTACGACAACGACAACACGGAGGACCCGTGCCGGGACAACAACTTCTCGAAGTGTGCCAAAAGCAGCAAGCCCGAGCACTGACCCACCTACGACAGACTCGACGTCTTTGCTTCACATGAGGAGTGAAATTTTCCGGCAACAAGCATCTTGTTCTCGTGCGCTCCGTGAGTTCGAGAAAGCTTCGGCCTTACTGGATGATGCACGGAAGTTCTCAGTCTCTCGAGACAGTCAAATCTCTCTCCATATCGGGGAAAGTGAGCACCTTCTGGCTGACGCCATTCGGAATTTCGCCAGCCATGCAGTATACTGCGTGCTTCCAGAGTCGACGATTTCGTTGCCATCGTTGCAATCTCCCATCAGACCTACGAAAGAGACTAATTCGTCCAGCAAGACGCCCACTACATGGAAACCCAGAGCACCTACCCGAGGGACACGATCTCGAACTCAGAAGGCGACTGAAGACTTTAACGTTTTGCTATCCAAGGCTGGTGATTGTCTCAACAGCGTTTTCTCGTCTGCTACAGCTTTGGGTTCTACACTTGATAGTCACACAGCGTCTCGTCTGATGAGTCGGGTCTCGATGTTGTCACATGTGACCTCCCATGAGCCTTCAACGTCGTTGTCCCTGTCCCCAGCTAATGTGAATGGTAATCTTCTCCCATGGACTTGAAAATAAGTAAGGAAAAATCTAACAGCAGCAGAGATTGGCCGTATTGGCGCTTTTACACGGGAGCACGCTGCCATCACCGTCGACAAACAACTGGCGGACTTGTGCGATCCACTTCTTTGGCCGACAAGTTCGAAGGAAACCTTCCAACTCACTGATGATCCGTGCTCGAACTTTACGAGAGAATACGTTGACATACTGCCTGAGAGTTGGAATGTTCTTTCTTTGACCCTGAGTGCCGATTGCAGCGAGTTTATCGTTTCGAGGCTGCACCGGGGCCGTTCGCCATTCCTTTTGCGCCTACCTCTCAAAAGGGGCAATTCTGACGATGACGAGGAGCAGTTCACGTTTGAGGATGGCCGGGCAGAAATGCAGGAGCTTATCAAGCTCGCAAACGAAAGTGCACATGCCGCCAAAGCTCAGAGTGACCGACAATCAAAGAAGGACTGGTGGAAAAACCGGGAGGCTCTTGACATGCGCATGGAGAACCTGTTGCAGAATGTCGAGAACGTGTGGTTTGGGGGATTCCGGGGTATCTTCTCGCCCGTGCCCCATGATACCGCCCCGTTGACACGATTTGCAACTTCTTTCCATGGCATTCTGGATAAGCACCTTCCGTCCCGCCAGAAGGGTCGCCGGACTGACAGCCCAAGATTGGCACTGCATCCGAACGTTCTTGAGCTGTTTATTGGGATCAAAAACCTGGATAACCAAGAAGATCGAGAAGACACATTAATGGACCTTCTCTATTTTGTGGTAGACATCCTACAGTTCCAAGGGGAGCGGAATGCGTACGACGAGATCGACTTCGATATGATGGTTGTTGAGACCCTCGATGCGTTGAGGGCCTATCACGAGACAGTGCGAACCGAGGATAGACAACAATCTCCGAGCCATACTATCCTGGTTTTGGATAAATCCCTGCATCTATTCCCCTGGGAATCTCTCCCGTCCCTACAGGGGCTGCCTGTATGTCGGGTGCCATCTTTGGAGTGTCTGCGCGACCGGATTTTGCGATTCCGGGACGAAGGCAGCAGCAATATTGATCGGGGGTTTGGGATTGACCGCGAAAATGGTATCTACGTTCTCAACCCGACGGGGGATCTGCAGACAACGCAAGAGACGTTTGAGAAGGGCCTGGCCGGCTTGGAGAGTTGGACCGGGATTGTCAAGCGGCAGCCCTCCGAGGAAGAATTCAAGGACGGTCTGGAGTCGAAGAGTGTGTTCCTCTACTTTGGACACGGTAGCGGTGCCCAGTACATTCGGGGGCGGACAATCAGACGCCTGGACCAATGCGCGGTCACCTTCCTTATGGGCTGCAGCAGTGGTGCGTTGACTGAAGCAGGCGAGTATGAGCCCTACGGCACTCCGATGAACTACCTGCAGGCAGGTTGTCCAGCCCTGGTGGCCACCTTGTGGGATGTCACCGACAAGGACATCGATCGATTCGCACAGTCGACGTTCGAACGGTGGGGATTGATGAGAGAGGAAAATGGGGGATCGAAACGCCGATTCACTAGTCCACAGGCAACCCTCGACGAGGCTGTGTCACAGTCTCGAAAAGCCTGCGTGTTGAAGTATTTGAACGGAGCTGCGCCGGTGATTTATGGTGTTCCTACAGTGTTTTTGGGGTAGAGATTGGTTTTGCATAAGGGATGATATTGGCGCTTTGATGAGAAGGTGCATGGATCGGTGTCTATTTTGTACATGTAGATTTAGCAATGCGAGAGCCTTTGGTGCTGTATATCAAGCTGAGTTGTTCTTTGTATAGACTGTATGGCATGTCCCGAAAGAGTAAAATTTCCCGGTGAGGGGATTCCCCACACTGGGAAGTGGCTCCCCTCACCGTCGCATCGGAGCTCATTATAAACAGCCCCTCCACCTCCATTCTTAACTCCATCTATCAACTCGAGTATTCGTTCATCATGGCTGTCACCACCAAAGCAACGATTGCCTCCTTCGGTGGAAAACTCCTCAAACTGAGCCATGTCACCTCGTCCACAAAATGCGAGATGAACTTCAATCTCTATCTCCCGCCACAGTCCTGGCAGCAGCCCTCGCAGAAAGTTCCCGTGCTCGTGTACCTGTCGGGGCTGACCTGTACGGCTGACAACTGCTCCGAGAAGGGGTTCTTCCAACACGGGGCCAGCAAAAAGGGGATCGCGGTGCTATATCCGGATACGAGTCCCCGTAAGTCCATCATTCCATCCATTGCATTTCATGCCACCTCGAGCTCGTCTGGAAGTATACCTAGTATACCATTGCTAACAACCAGTAGGAGGCCTGGATATTCCTGGCGAGAATGATTCCTGGGACTTCGGGACAGGTGCGGGGTTCTACGTGGACGCAACCAAGACACCTTACCACGACGGATATAACATGTATACTTATGTTACGGAGGAGTTGCCCAACACTGTCTTTGCGGCATTTCCTCAGCTGGATTCCAGCCGCGTCAGCATTACGGGTCATAGTATGGGTGGCCATGGAGCTCTTACTTTGGTATAGTATCCTATCCTCTACCTTCATTGGCTTTATTTTTTTGCTTGCTATTTATTCTAATTGAACTGTGGTTAGTTCTTGCGTAACCCTGGAAAATACAAGTCCGTCTCAGCGTTTGCTCCCATTTCCAATCCGATTAACTGCCCATGGGGTCAGAAGGCGTTTGGAGGATACTTTGGTGATGATCAGCAGAAGTGGAAGGAGCACGATGCTACCGAGCTGGTGAAGAAATGGAAGGGTCCGTTGGATGTGTTGATTGATGTGGTATGTTATAAATTCCAGTAAACCAAAAAAAAAAAAAAAAAAAAATAGAGAGAGAGGAGACGACTGACTAGAACAGGGCACTGGCGACAACTTCTACAAGCAGGGTCAGCTCCTGCCCGAGAACTTTGAAAAAGCAGCCAAAGAGGCGGGCGTCGAGGGCGTTAGGGTGCGCTACCAGCCGGACTATGACCATAGCTACTATACTATCGCTACATTCTCGGATGAGCATATCGAGCATGCGGCAAAATACCTGTTTGCATAGTGGGTGTTTCTATCTTTCTTTGGGAGATGAGTTCATACCATAATGTCATGGATATTTCTTACACGGGTCATTTTCTGACTTGTGAAGTGACCGTCAGATAAAATCATTGATGTAGTGTGCGAATTTGTAGAAAGACATGAGTACTTCCAATATATTACTGGAAATAGTACTACCAACGCCATGCTGTGCCGGTCCGGACCCTAGTTTATACTGATCGGCACACCAAATGGTCAGCTCTCAATTGGAATATAGATGAGATAGATTAGAGAGATCTTCCAGTCATGAGGGCTCATGTCTTTAGCACGGTCCATTTCGTTATATACAATGGAAGAATAGATTACAGAGAATATAGAGAATATAGAGAAATCCGCCTCAACTCGTATACAGACCGTAACCCCATCATCAACAATCAACATACAGTACAGCCTCCGTCTTACATCCGACTCTATTGATTCTATCCTCGACATATAGCACACTGACGACACATTCCATCCACATTCCAACATATCAGACCATAACACCGCTCTAGAGCGCTGATGATCACAATAAAGAATCCAGGGTCAAGAATCCATCCCTTAGAACGAACCTTTGAAAACATAAAAGTACCATGTCTCACTCTGCTACACCATCCATTCCTCCATTCCTCTACCTCCCTCAAAATGCAATCCGTCCAACGTCTCCTCCTCGCAGGTCTCGTCGCCGCCCAAGTCTCAGCCAAAACCCTCAACATCGTCGCACACCAAGACGACGACCTCCTCTTCCTCAGTCCGGACCTACTGCACAATGTACACGGTAACGAACCCCTAAGAACCATCTTCCTAACAGCTGGCGACGCCGGCAACGACGCAGCATACTGGACCCGACGTCAGGAGGGGTCTATGGCAGCCTATGCGATGATGGCCGGGGTACCCAATGAATGGACCCCCGAGGACGCGGGATACGATAATGTGCATATCCCTATGTTCACACTGGAAGGAAAGCCAGATATCTCGCTGGTGTATTTGCAACTTCCTGACGGGAACATGGACGGGTCTGGGTTCGAGTCCACGAATCATGAAAGTCTGAGTAAGCTCTGGAAGGGGGATATCCAGACCATTAATTCCGTGAATGGGAAGGCGACCTACACAAAGGACTCATTGACGAGTGTACTGACGCGTCTCATTGATGATTTCGATCCATTGAGGATCAATACCCAGAATTTCGTGGACAATATCAGTGATAATGATCATAGTGATCACTATACGACTGCGTATTTTGCCCATCTGGCCGCCTCTCAGGCAACGAATGAGGCTGAGTTCGCTGGTTATCTGGGTTATGATGTCACCGCGAGGGGGGCCAATGTCCAAGGGGAGAATCTGCAGACGAAACAGAACGTCTTCTTCTATTATGCGGGCTTTGATCCCGGTACTTGTCCGAATCTCCCGGCCTGTGCTGGAAGACCAGAGCCTTCGTGGTTGGAGCGTATGTATATTATCTAGTTGACATTAATCTGACGGTTGGACTCCCGGACGAATTGAGAGGATCGGATTAGTGAATAGGCATATAATGAATCATCTTATCATCATGTACCGTGTAAGAAGCAAATTGATACATCCTAACCTCCCCCATCACTTTCGTCACCACCCCGATGACATCCCCCTCCAGCCCATCCAGCATCTCCTCGTCCTCGTCCTCAACCGCGGATGCAATCGCCTCGCAGTCCCAGCAGAGACAGACCTAAAATCGCTCTCCGAATAGCACCTGGAACAACTCCTCCGTCGTCCCCATATCCCCGTGCAAAACAGATGGCGCCAACCGATCATTATGGTACTTGAATCGTCCCACCTGCTACACCATGCTGGTGCTATACCTCTTCGCGCTGCACTGATGCGTATGCCAGGTCATACGGGAAATATCCAACCCGATGCGGAGACAGTAACTTAGCCAAACATATCCTGGCATATCCCTTCGACACATGGTCCATAATCGCTCTGCATCTTCATCGGGACCGGTATTTCTATCCATCTGGCACTACCGGCACCTCTGATGCCCAGACTCTCTGGATGCGAAACCGTCTCACCGTTCTTACTGCCTCGTTCATGCTCACGCGCGCAGCGACCGCCATGGCCCAGTCTCCCAGCTTCTGTAAAGCCACTGCTTGGCTGCACACAGGGATTCAATGTCCCGTGCATTCATACGGAATCAATGCTGCTGTTCATGGTCTACGATCTCTTCTGCGCGTGGTTTCCAGGCCCAGTCAGACAGGAAATAGTGAACATATGTCCCTTCGTCAAAATTGTGGCTGAATGGCTGGGCTAGATGGATCCCTCCCAGTTTAACCCGTGAGAGGGACAGGATGATGTGTCGTATCCCTTTTACCACACGACAGAGGTTCAGACCACTTTTTCGTTGTGCAGAACAAGTCCGGCGAAGCGGGTCGGTCGTATCACGGATTTGAGGGGGAGGTTACTAGTATACGCCATACAGAGTCGCTTCTACATCATTGCCATTATTCATAACCCGTTCCTAGGTCGAATGATGGTGATGCTGGAGGGGAGTGTGTTGATTCTCAGCTAACGACTGCTCGACAATCTCTTGCTGATTATGATGCCGCAAAAGATCCGACGGTGAATTGTTCGTCTGTGTGGGAGCTCAGTCATGCCCAGCGTGAGTTGCGAGTCTAGCTTTGGAGGGGGAGGATAGGGCTCAATCGATGGAGGATGGGGATCTAGAGGTGAGAGAGGTGGTGGTTATAGTGAAGGCAATAATAGCGGAGAAAGCAGTAGAGGCGGAGGCGGTGATAGCGGTGGGTGGTGGAGGAGATTGGGACAGCAGAGGAATGTAATGGATTACTATATTTCAAGTGCCCTTCAATTATCTATTCTGCTCTCCAGAAACTGAACCAAGTACATACATACATAACAAAGCATATTGCAACCAGTCACTGCGAATGTCGCCAAACCAAGTCTTCTACAGAGTAACCTAACCGTAGAAACTATCTCTCTCGCTCATCCTATTCCGCTGCCTCGACCAAGACTTCTTGTTTCTTTTGCTTTATTTCGCGTTGTTTTTGCTCGTTTCATGGCTAACGATGGTGGAAAGTGAAATGCGTCGTCACTTTTTTCAATGCGCGGCTAATTCAAGGCATATGAAACGCTCCGAATGCAACGCCTGATCATGCAGAATGTCTCTCAAAAAAAAAAAAATTATATACTTTTTGTGTTTTGTGGTTTCTGATTCTTTAGCAATTTTCATGGCAGGAAGACGTGCCGGCGACGGAGCTATCAGCGTAATGGGGAGCACATGAGAACATCATTCATCAAACCAAACCGTGGGGGAATCTAAGACAAAGGGAAACCTCTGAAGAATGATCGAGGAGCATAGGGACAAGAAATGATATATGAGATGGAAAAGGAAGAGAGAAATATAAAAGTGTGGGAATATCATGCGCTCAACCGCTGAATAAACGACTGTAGACAAAATATCATTAGCAACGGGAACGAACACAACGACAATTGGAACCTACCGGGAAGAACTGCCGGAAGCCCTTCAAGTCCAACCGACTCAATGCATTCAGGAACTCTTCGATAAGATCCGCACCCATTCCCATGCCAGGTAATTCCCGGTCCCGGAGATACTCAATGTACTCCATGCCCGTTTTACAGTAGATCGTACGTTGCAGTCCACCGGCTTCGGCCAGAACCTGCTTGGCTTGTGCGTCTTTGGGATTGAAAGATGGGGTGGCTGGAAGAGCCCAGCAAAGCGGCGACATCCGGTTGATCATGAACTGCCCAAACCCAGGAAGAGCAGTCTGCTGCGCGGAGGCACCATTTGATGTCTCGGGTGCGATATCCGGACCGCCCCAGGAGCTACCCATCTTGGAGAGCAGTGAAAAGGCCATCTTGGCCGTCGTAAAGTCCTCTACGTCCTTGGCGAAATGTTCAATGGTGGTGATCACAGTATCAAACATGGGTTGATTCCCTGATAGAAGTTAGTTTTTGGCCAGGCAGGGCACGAAAAGAGCGATGGGCAATGGAACTTACTCTCGCTGATGATCACCGCACCCAGATCGTTGTTCAAGACCGCCAACAGGAAGTTGAGGTATTCTCGCTTGAGTTCCGCCAATTGGATCTCATCATCCGTGCCCGTGGTGGGATCGGCAAGTCCAGAGAACACTCGCTGTAAGAAAGGCGTTAAGAGGGCATCCAGAATATTATAAATTTCTCCCTTGAATCCAAAGATAACCTGATCCAGAAGACGCAAAAATAGAGCCATCTCGTCGCGAGAAGAGGTCTGGGTGAGCAGACCGTCAATCCACTGTGGAAGCTGCGGCAGGATCCGGGAGCCAAGGACACCGATCAGTCGCGAGAAGGTGAACCGAGCAGCGGTCCTAACGTTGAACGACACTTTCAAGGACTCAAGGGCCACAAGGGTGGCTTCGGCCACCTGTACAAACGCTTCAGACACTTCTGGTGCCGGAAGAGCGGATGGGGTGGGTGTTCCCGGCATCCAATCCGAGAACCCGCGTGCCAGAGTCCCAAGCGCCATGATATCATGGTGAATCTGGAGCAACACTCGCTCATCATTAGATTTAGCGGGGGTAAGGTTCTTTTCCATGTCCACAAACACCGGGCTCAGCACCGATTGTGCATAGAACACCTGCTTATCAGCCGGAACGGCTGGAGTCGAGCAAATGATACCCACAGCCTCGAACAGATAGAGTTGGCTGTTGAAAACGGCGTCGGCGGACCCTTCATGGTCTTCGGAAGACATTTCATCTCCGTCCGATCCTTCTGAGGGCACCTCGGCTTGAATCACCAACAGATCGCCCAAGGCGTCAACGACGGTCTGCGCGACATTGCCAAGGTGTTGCCTCAACTGCTTCACCAACCGCTGGAATAGATACCAAGATCTTGTCTTCACCTTCTTGATGGGATGATGAACAAGTTGAAGGAAGCTTTCCAAGACGCCCGGAATAAGGTGGGTGTGGTATTGGAAGAACGAACTATAGCGGACACAGATTTCCATGTACTGCAATTGCGTTGCTGGGTGCGTAAAGGACCGGATATCTGTGGATTGTTAGGCTATAGCATCAAAACATTGTCTGCATCTGCACTACCTACCAGACTCGACCATCCTCAACATCATTTCCACCAGTCGCTCTGCAGCTGCATTGTGCGGAACATTTTTGACATAGAGACTGCCGGCCTTGACAGCAATGTCCCCAAAGAGGAACATTTCATGCAAGGCGAGGTCCAGGTCCCGCCAGTCGAGCTGATCGCCCGATTGGCGTAGATTCTCAAACGTCGTGGCTACCACTTCAGAAACAGCATCGATGTACAGTGGCTCGTTCACTGTGGAGATGATCTGCTGGAGAACCCCCAGTCTTTTGCGGAGCTCCTGGAACTCTGCCTCGTCGGTCTGGTCGTCCTCATCACCCCATGAAGAGGTCTCATCGTATCGCATCTTGGCGATAATTGCTTTCAGGATAGGGAGAAGGATGGACGAGTGCTCCGCGGCAAGGGCAGGGTTGGCCTTGGCAATCTTACGCAGATAGGAGAGAAGGTCGCTGACACAGGGGATGACGGTGGAGCAAACTTCGTCGTATTCGTCGGAAAAGTATCTCAAGATATGTGGGAGGAACGCTTGTAGCAGCCTGTTGGCCTTCCCCTTGCAGTCGGCGCTGACCGTTTCCTGCTCCAAAGCACGCACAACATCCACGACAGTGATGTTGACGAGCTTCGCAACAGTTTCCGCCAAGTCGGTGTCGTACTTGAAAGTGAACCTATTGTCATAGAGGGGGGGGCTATTCGACAGTTGAGACACAATGGTGTCGAGATTCAGAAAAATAATCATATCAATCTTGTCCTCTGGCTTCATTTTTTTGCCGATGATCTCCGTGAAGACATCAACCGCGGCATCTCGCACCTTCTCCTCGCCGGCTCTCAGCTCCGCCTTTTGCACCCGGCCTAGTTGCTGGAACAAAAGGTCAAGCATTGTCTGATTCACCACGAGACCGATATCTATCCAGCTGACCCAGCTGCCAACCGCCTTCAGAGCCATCTCGACGATCAGATCATTACCGTCCCGCCATTCCGACAAGATCTCCTGCCATGCTAGTGCAATCTTCTGCATGTCCCGCACTCGAATCAGGTCCTTCAATGAATTGGCTTTGTCTTGCTCGGTGCGAGATCTGGACACTAAAACATCCCCAATCTCATCGTGGATGGAGTTGACCACGCGAAGGTAGAACACGATTCCAAAAGGGTTGTCGCGAGCCGTGCTCGAGGGGCTCTTGTACGTTAAGCCCAAGAGATCATCGAAGACCGAATCCCAGCCATTGCCATACAGCGCAGAGAAGAGGAATGTAATGGTCTGTGCAATTTTGTTTTGGATATTGGGAGGGTCAGGGTTTGCATTTTCCTGGCCGTATACCTGGCGGAGATAGGTCATCAAGCCATCCCGGACATACCCCAACGCCTGGGGGTCAATAAGTCCCGCTTGGGCAGCACTATTGACCACTTCTAATGCCACATGCCGTACGATTTCAGAATGCGGAGGGGTCTTGGTGAAGAGGGTGAGGCACACTTGCCATCCCGAGGGATCGGCGCGGAGTTGATTCAGATAGTCAAAGGCTTGAGCCTTGAGGGCTTGGTCTGAGGAAGGATTCCAGGCGATTTCTATGGCATTCGCTACCTGGGAGATAATAGTCTATGTCAGGTATAGGGTATGACCATTCTCAATTTAGACAAATTGCTAAACAACAAGGAAGTTAAAAGGAGGGGCATGAGGGGAGGGGATATTAATTGGTGGGGTGGCCTTTTTTTCTTTTTTCTTTTTTTCTTTTTCTTTTTCTGTTTTTCAATGCTCCCATTTTTACATAGCTGTACAGACAAAATGTGCAGATATTTGATCCTTACCTGTTCTTCCATCTTCGACCAGCCGAGCTGCCTTAAGAGTCAGGCGGACTCAGAGAGCAAGTCAGTGGGAGCTCAAAGGGTGAATGCGATGTTGTTGGGTTAAAATTCAAGCAACGTTTATCGAAACATGGCTTAGTCTAGTTCGTTGGAGCAACAGACGGGGCGGTATTTCGGGGCTTTGCCTAAGGAAAGGAACACTAGTCAGACCCAGTCTCTCGGGTAAAAGAAATGGGAATAAAATTCTGTCGGTGGATCAGGGACATGCACTACCTACACAGATCAAACAAGATGTGGCATACAGACAGTAGATGCTTCTCAGAGGTTGGGACAAAAATAGAAGAGATGGAGATAAATGACCAAAAGGAAGAAGGAGATCGGGTCTAATAGATCGAGTGTTGTAGAAGAATCCATAATGTGTGCGGGCGACGTTGAACGACGTCCCAAAGAGGTAAGGCGCACATCTTTTCTGCCGGCAGATTCAGGCACTCTATGACACCATTACTACAGAAGTAGAAGATGTATATCCCAACCATGAATGTTATTAAATATGTAAATCTAGGATTATATTCATAGCTGTCATCATCATATATTTCAAATTCATCATGGTCGTCACCACTTGCGCTCTGCCTCCTGCTTCAAAACCTGCGCCTCCATCTTTTCAAACCCTTCAACGGCCTTCCCATACTGTTCAAAGACTCCTTTTTGGTAGCCTTCAGCAATCTTCTCAATGAAATCCTCCTCTCTCCATCGTTGTCCAACCAGGTCTTCGAATGTCTGACCTCGGGATCTCTCAATGGCCCATACCGCCTTGTATGCCGCACCCAGTGCACAGGCATTGTCTCCAATCTCCAGCTTGTAGACTCCATCACTACCACCCAAGATCTCTCCTGCCAGCTTGGCGATAGCTTTGTTCTTCGATCCGCCTCCAACAAGGTAGACTCGCCGGGGTTGAGCCGGCATACCGCCGGCGGGGCTTTGAGTGAGACCGCGGGACCGAAGACGAAGAGAGAGCAATTGACTTTCGACAATCGCACGAGCTTCATCCAGAGGATTATTCCATTCCTTACTGGATTCGCAAAGGCTACCATCGCTAGGGTTGTAGTTGTATCGCCATTGCCCCGAGGGAAGGTTTGGAACAATCTCGGGTCGGGGGAAAAATAGCCCCATTTTCATAGGTTCAGAGCCTGATTTCTGGCCCATATGAGCTGCCTGGAGAGTGATCTTGTCAAAGTTCGCCCATGGATCGGCTGTGGCATTACCCAGTTTCTCATTGATCGCATCACGGATCTGCTCGCGTGCCAGGCCGCCATTCTTATAGCAGAGCATAAACATATAGAGTCCTGGGGTCGTTGGGTGGTTGAAAAAATGCGTTGCTGGGTCCGGTTTGTAGCTGGGAGTCGACATGAGGAACGTAGTCGAGGTCCCCAAAGAGACCATCGCATCGGAGGGTCTCAGCGGCAAAGCTAGGATCGTGGCCGGGTTATCGCCGGTTGATGGGACGACAGTACAGTCGAGAGCGAACCCATACCGTTCCACAAAGTACCGATCAATCTTGCCCAGATGAATTCCCCCATCCTCAGGTACATCGCCGAGCTTGCTCTTCAGGTCGTCCACACCAAAGGACCCAGCACAGAGCCGCAGTAGGTTCTCATCGTAAACGCCCTTTTGAATATTCCACAAGTTCATACCACAAACATCCGAGATATCGAGCGGCGCAACGCGACCCAGAAGCAATGAGGCAAGGAACGAGGACACCAGAGAAATGCGCGACGTCTTCTTGTACACGTCAGGGTACTTTCGCTGGAATCGGAGGATTTGAGGCCCTGTGAATCTCTAGAACCCCCACTCGTTAGCCATTGGATAAATCGACGGATGTTCACCTCCATTGCAACAAGGAAACTTACATGATGGGCCTTGCTTCCCGTGGCATCTGCCAATTGCTCTTGGCCACCCAAAAAGGCATCGAACTCATCACACTCCTTCTGCGTGCTCGAATCCTGCCAATTGGGGCTATATGGATGAGAAAACGCTCCAGCCAACTGCTCTTCCAACGTCTTGGTCGAATCGAGGGACTTGAGTAGGATCTCCGCGTTCTCCCCCCAATATACGCTTCCATGCTGCTGACCCGCGCCGCTAATACCCTTCACACGATGGAAGTCGAGTCCCTGCTTGCGGAGTCCCTCCAACACTCCATCCAGAGCCTGTAGCCATAAAGCAACGGGAGCGTAGACCTCACGTTCGGCTTCGTTGGTCATCACACCCTTTTTGATGGAGAAGCCATGGGAGTCGACGTCAAAGTCAAATTTGGAGATGTGGACGACCTTGAGATCGGAATTGACTACCAACCCCTTCAGCTGCTGGGTTGAGAGGTCGAACCCAACGTAAAATGGGTCTTGCGATACTCCAGAGGACATTGTAACACTGTAAATCTACCGTTGTTGGGGGGGAAACGGGGAGAATGACGTCGACCGAGTATCGCTGATAAGATTCCGGGAAGAATAAGCAAAGGGAAAAGAGAACGATAAAAAGTGGGATAAAGGGAGGCCACCGGAAACCGAACAATAGAAAAAGAGAGAGGGATAGAAGATGAGGAAGCTCCACACAAAAATGTATGTCAGGAAATTTATACAAAGCTGGGGATTGAAGCGCTGCTCCACCAATCCCTTACTCCATAACGTAGTTATTTATCCCCTCGCTCGGTGAGTGGACGACTGAATAGCCACACGATGGCTAGGAACCGCTCTGCAGCCATGATGGTTAGCTATTTTACCGAAGGTCCCTTGTTATTCTTTTTCTTTGTCTTACATCGTAGCCGGCCCTGATAAATTAGCAGCGATGACCATGTTGTGATGTCAGCCCAACTACGGACCACGGAACCCCGTTTGATACTGGATCTGGAACCCCCCACCGCCGGGAATTTACCCGGTTCATCTATCAGAATTCTACCTTTTATCAGAGAAGACTCTTTTCCCAGTAAGTTTGATACACAAGAGAAAAAAATAATAATAACAATAAATAATAACCGACGGCTCTAGAACTTGCGCGCTCAATTGCTATAGCCGCTAAAACCATCCCAAGGCAAGATAAAGAGCATGGCTATTCTGACAATACGTATTGCTATTCTGACACCTAGCCTATACCCCTTTAGGAAAATATAAGTGCCAACTTGGAACTTGACCGCTCGGCTGCCCGCCTACCTATACTGTAGGTCACTACCTGCCGCCCAATTTCAACACACCACGGCCATGTCGAAAATGAAGCTTTTGAGCCACATACAATTTAAATTATACAGAGATATTTTCAGGTACTGAAAATGAGGTTCTAAAGAAGCTATTCACAAATTTTAATCGCCTCGAAAGCGATGTGGAAGCCGGATCTGCCTTCCTCGGCGATTTACCGTGATAGAGGCTTCTCCAACAACTTCAGGTGCTGGGACAACAATATCTTTCTAATTTGGAGTTGCTGGAGGATTCTTCTTGTATTTTCTGGACTGTTTAAAGTCATTTTGAAGCTGTATATTGGCCTCTTTAGCCAACCGATCCTCTTCCTTCTGGCGTTTCTTTTCCTCCGCTGCCTGGGCACGTATCTCTTAATTAGATGCCCTGATTCTTTTCCTTTCTTTAATTAATTGTCGTTTCTCTTCCTTTTTTGAAGCCTTTGAAAGCTGTATTTGCTTCTCTTTTTCTGCTTGAAGGTCCCGAGCTTGCTGGATTTTATTAGGAGAATAGAATACTGCATTACCATCCTCAGGAGCCTGTAATTTAAACTGTAAAGACTTTGCACGTTGACGTCTCTTTTACTTATTCTGGAGAGCCTTCTGGAGGCCCCTATTCTGTAGCTTAAGTAGGATATTCTCGGTAGAGAGCATCGTTCGGCTTAATATTTTAGTGTTTGGTCACAGAAGTCTGCAAAAAGTTCTCTAAGAAGCTGCTTAATCTTTCTCCAATCCTCTGCTTGTATAACAGACTTAGAGGAACTACTAGAAGAAGCCATTTTATCCTCTAACTTGCTAAACCGTGCCAATACTACTTTAGGATTAAAAGGCTATAGCCCAACAGTTCTCCACGCGCTTTTAATATTTCTTGCAGATAAGGCCTTAGTCCAGCTTGGCCAGAATAGCCTGAAGAAATCCCGCTTGGTAATACAGCTTAGGCCTTGGGATTTATATAAAAATACTTCCAATTAAACTCTGTAGGCTGCTGAAAGCGGTCCAAAGATACTGACATCAAGCGGCTGCAAGGAGTGTGTAGAATAAGGTGGGTAGATAGCTATAAAGATTTTATTAGCCTTACAGTAGTCTAAAAACTTTATAGCAATATGGGATCCATAGCTATTAAGAATTAAAAGCCTCCAACGCCTCCTAGCTTTGGCCTTTGTTTCCCGGTCAAATATTTACTAAAGCCATGCAAATCCTAGCTCATCGTTGGTCCACTAGAAGGTAAAGATGCAAAGAAACATTACTGGTTTGTAGTATTAAAATCTTAAAGCTAGGAGTCTTGTAGTTTACCAGATGCCGCTTGGTATATTAAACCAGGAGAAAGAGAGGTCTGGTCTGCACAAATACACGTAATTGTAGTAATCCACTCCCGATTACTATCCTGTAGGCGTTGCTTGAGGCCTCCTTGGTTATATAATTGCCTAGAAAAAATTCTCTTGCCCTTAAGAAGTATCCTAATAAGAAATCCTTTCTCATCCATATTATACATATCCTCTTGCTGTATATTGTATTGCTTGATTTTCCAGCCCAGATATTCAAAGTATAAAGTATATTTAAATGCAGAATCAGCCCGCTTGTGTGCAGAATTAATACCAGTTGTACAGCAAGATATAAGATCCTTTTAATACCTGTCTAAGAAGCGGCCAGGCCAGTTCTTTCCTGGCTTTGTTCCAGCAATTTCCTTGCAAAATTCCGTAGCATCTCATGCATATAATAAAGGCCTCGCTCTGATTGCTTATTTATAAAGAACACAAGCTCTTTGGCCTGCTAGTTGTTAAGTAATCGCTGGTCTCTATATTGCTCCTACCTCGGCTGCTGAACTCCGCGGTGACGCTTTGATAGCGTTGATCGATTAACACTAAACTGTTTTGCAATTTGAGTATAGTTAATCCGTTCTGCTGGTCCCAACGAATTGATTGCAGCTAACGGGGCTTCCATTAAAGCCATATTAAATAAGATATGGTAAATTAAACACCTATGTTTATAAAGTTGGTAAGTAAAGATTTTGGGCAGCAGGCGGTATCGGGCGGCAGTTGGTGATCTACAGTATAGTCATTGTAGGTCAAATCCTACTAAATATACACATTTTTCAATGAAAATAAAATTCACCATCCTCAGTCAAATGCCGCTTCTTGCATAGGATTAATTAGCCGGGCCGTCTTCATAGAAACACAGTAATAGTAATCCAGTAGGATGTTGCAGGAAGAGCCAGCGGCTGGATTCCAGGCTTTGAATTGGTCGAGCGTGAGATAGGTGAGCAATGAATAAAGTGTCAAATAACGACTCAGACGTTAAAAGCAAAACTAATTCTCCAACACAGAAGGTGGAGGCTTAGAGGAGTCATCTTCGCCCTCAGATTCTTCATAGTCTCCAAAACAAGGCTGGGGATAACGGGTGCCAACCGTTCCATCCATACCATCTCCATCTTTATCCCAGTTCGCCTCATCGTCCATGCAACACTGCTTCGTATTCGCTCCTTAAGATTGCAATAATTTGATTATCTCTTGATCATGTTTCTGTTTAGCCACGTATAACGCAAAGTGCCCGGTTACATGTGCCAGGACAGCTTTGTCTAATAGAAATCGAACAATAAATCTATCCCCTCTCTGCACAGCAAGATTCAAAATGCTTGCATGAGAGCTAGAACTGTCGCTATGATTGATCAACAGTTGGACAATATCATGTCTACCGTCCTCGACGGCTCGGTATAGCGGAGAAGGTCGGTATCGGTCGGTATCAGTCTGGATCAGCTACTTTGTCCAGCAAGAGTTCAACCAACTCTCTATGTCCGTACTTGACAGCTGTAAAGATGCGTGGAGAGGATTCCGCACGAGGGTCTGAGCGGCGACCCCAACCAGGCCTATGGTAGCGAAATTGCCACGATAGAAGTTCGCCTGAGCACAGTAGTCAAGAAGTGTTACGAGTGTTACGATATCTGTGTGACCAGTTCGGATCGCAGTGACAAATCCCTTCTGGATTTGAACAATGTCCACAACGTTATATTGTGCCGCCTTCAGTGGATGGGTTACGATATCGCGATTGAAAGGATATCGTCTTTTGCTGTTGGAAATATAGCTATCATCTGGGTCCTTCTCCCATTCCTCGTCGGAGGAGACATCGCGTCTCCTTCCTCTTGATGTTAGACTACACGACTGGGTACGCGCCGCTTCCACTCCCTTGAGAGTAGTTTCGCCACTGCGACAGCATCTCTGCTACCGAAGAAAGTGCTGAGCCATGCAAATATCGACTGTTGTATTGATAAAGGAAATCTCTTAGGATATGGTAAAGATGACGGCTGGTCGGTACCAAAGCATAGACGTCCTTTAATAGGGTTAAGTATGAGGCGACAGCGGGAAGGTCTCAATCGGTGAGTGAGAAGCATGACCAGTGTAGTTAATGACGAAAAGCCAGAGGCCATCACTAGTAATTATTACCATTATGGAACATGTACTGTACCTCGATGGAGAAAAAGGGGGAGCAACCAACTTCGAGTAGTAAATACAAGACTTTGCAATGAATGGTGACTCCTTTAGTGGCGGATAAAACCATTTCTAGACCTCGGCAAAACCTGAGATCGGGATTGATTGGTTCCCATAATACTCAGGTACTATCTAGTGTATGCCTGAATCTATACGGCTGGTTCATAAATAGTATGTATGTATGTACATAGATAACTGTCCATACCAATGATTGATCTCCATGTACAAATGGCCAGAAAAACTGGTCGAGTCTGCCGGCTACCATGGAGAACCCAGAACCGTCTGCCCTATCTCCTCTCTCTTCATCCCATTTTTCCCAGTAGGTCTCTGCTACCGGTGTGTCCAACGTGGCTTGGTCATCCTTTCACCGGCAGAACAGCCTTGTTCATTCCACTCCGCGGGGGTATCATATGATCCTCTGTATGAGAGTTTGAGGGAACGGAACGTTGAAAAAACATAGCGAAGCCTCGTAAGACCCTATACATCAGCGAAAATGAAGACAACAAACCAGAGAAAGCGCATAGCACCCTATTTAACGCCTCCTGCGCGTAGAATCTTCATGCTCATGGTGTTCGTGGTGCGCATGCGCCTCGCATTCCGCCTCGATTTCATCTTCTTTTGGCTCCGGGCTACCTTGCAACGTGACATCGGTCGAGATAAATTCCTCAGAGAACGTCAGCTCTTCATGCTCCAAGGGCACGAATCGTACTTTGACTCGTTTGACGCCGCGAACGGCCGCACCAATCGCGGCTCGGACAGACTCCTCAATCTCTCGTGAACGGTGGATCGGCCATACTCCAGGCACCGCTAGCTCAATATCCATAAGGTAGTTCTGTCCTGATTTCATGCCCTGCACATGGCGCACCTTGACCGCGTCGCCATCCTTCAGTTTCGCAATCATCTTCGATGCAGCCTTTTGTACGGACTCCTTGATGTCATCTTCAACGGTTGTATCAGCCAACTCCAAGAGCGACGTTGCAGTGTTCCCCCACCCTGCCTTAATAACCATCAGTGAGATGAGCAGTCCACCCACAGGATCCAGCCACGAAGCATCCTGGAATAAATAGGTCCCTCCGATCGTAAACAAAGCGACAATACTCGTAAGCGAATCGATGCGATGGTGGACGGCGTTGGATGCCAGGACCGATGATTTTCGTTCATTCGCTACTTTCATGGCTACCAGGGATCAAATTGTCAACACTCACGTCTGCAGACTCAAGTCCGTAGCGGGGGATTACTCACTTGCACGGTAAAGCCACTCTTTTATAATAATAGACCCAGCTGCGAGCCATGCAGCATGGATGCTAGGTCCAAGGACTTCTACTCCGTGACTGTGCGAATGACTATGCCCCAAGGCCCCCAAATGAGAAATTGCCTCCGCAGCTTCAGGGTAGAACTGGGCCAGCAAGACCTGACCCGAATTCAGACCCATGAACACGCCTCCACAAAGCAACAATGCACTCACGCCTAGAGCGCCAATGCTCTCGACCTTCCCATAGCCGTTGGGGAACCGTTCGGTCGGGGGCTTGAGCGACCAAGCCACCGTACCCAGGGTCAGAATATCCGACACGAGATCAGTGAGGGCGTGATAAGCGTCGGCAATCAGAGCTTGCGAATTAAAAACGTAGCCTCCGATAAATTTCCCAATTGCCATGGTTAGGTTAGCGACCAGGCCGATTCGCGTGATCCGAACTCCCGCATCATGTTTATTCGTCGAGGTGAGGTATACATTGCCGTGATGGTGGTGATGATGGTGGTGGCCACCATGGCCACCGTGGCCCCTTTTCTGGGACGCCATGGGTGACAGGGGGATCGTTGTGGTGTTGGTGGTGTTTTTTATGATCGAAAGGGGTGGAATGGGACGGACATTGGCGGGGAGAAGGGAATTCTTATGATTGGGGAGGGTTGAGGTGCGCAGAACACGAAGTTGAGCTCGGGGGAAATGCACAATTCCTTGTCGAGACCTGGCGATGGAATCTCGGAGGACTGAGCGTGGTAATGGAGCTGGTGATGGATGGACCCTGCACCGCAGGGGCTGCGTCAGCAGCATCAGGCCGAACGTAAGGGAAGAGCAGAAGTCGTCAACTAGTGGATAATAGCGGAGTCGGCGTAAGAATTAGGAGCGACACGACTATCTAACAGGACACAGTGTTATTGGGAGCTGACGGGGGGTAGAACGAACCTATCCATTCTTTCCCAGGATTTAAGGGAAAGACAAAGATGAAGTTCCGACTGAATTGAAGCTCTGGACGGTCGTAGGAATCATATAGTCATAATCAACTTCCGGCAGAGGGAATCCCGACATGCGCTGACTGACGACTTCGGTTCCGAACGGAGGCTTTCGCCCGATTCCATCATAGTATCGCCTATGACTGGGGGGATCATTACATATTCCCACTCCGTACATTCATGGCATGACCACCGATTCTTCGCGTCCGGAAATCTTTCCGTCTCTTAATCATCATTATCAATCTCTAGTTAGTAACTAGTTCCATTGGGTCTAGGTATTTATTCGTGCCTGACTAACTAGGCTACAATAGTTAAGTACCAGTCGTCCATACTCTGAGTATGGAGTAATCGAATCAAAGACAGCCAATTACCAGGTATCCACTGAGGATATTCTCAGGATAGCAAGCAATCAGTAGCACTGTCGCGAGCGCCTGGGAACCTTTCACTACAGTAACCCAGATAGCCGATGGATCAAGAATATGGCGCGTATTAAGGCGATTCATAATATATCACGTCCTATCAGATAAAAACTAACTAAGAAGAGGTCTAGTATCCATACAAGAGGAAACCCTAGGGAATTCAATAGATATCTTCGGGTTATTCTTTACCATGCTGACTGTGGGGTGACATATGGAACTAAACATGTCTACCCTTACTCCGTAAATGGGCTTGGCTATATTGGATCTTCAATACTTCATCGCCAGCAAGGAATCACAAAGCTTTACTACCGTGGCTGTAGTAGTATCCACCAATGATTCTGCACAGAATTAGCATTATCAATCACATCCATTGTGATATAAAAGCGCACAAGTCAAAATGTCTCATGTTCACTCAAGAATCACTAGGCCAAGTCGGGACTAACCTTCCACACTCATCGCCATAGTATCTCCAGGTATACCATCCATCCCAGAGTTTAAGCCCAAAGTGTCCAGGGCTTCTTCAGCCCATCATCCTTCAATCCCCTTGCTCCAAAAATCTTCGAAGCTTCGGCCCTTTACTCCGTTCTCGTCCTCTCTTTTCTTCAATTGACCAACATGAGTGACGCAATAACCTCCGCAACTACAACTATACACACTACCCTCGATGTCTCCCTCGATAATTTCGGCTGATTACACTTCCTCCAAATCTATACGCAAATCTGTAGCTGCTACTCTCTCCCCGATACATCATCCAGATCCACCTTACTCGACACCCTCACCAAGGGTCTAGAGCGACTGACTGCCAGTTTTCCATGGGTGGGGGGCAAGGTCGTCGACGACGGCACCAGTGAAGGCAATAGGGGAATTTCAAAGATCAAGCCATTCCAGAGGATTTCCAGACTAGTTGTGAAAGATAACCTAGATGGTATCTATGGATTCCCTACGATACACCAAATTCCCGATTGCCATGCTTGACGTATCGATCATTGCCCCGATCAACACCATTCCAACAGGCACCCAATTTCCAGACGGAGCCCCAGTCTTCATGGTTCAGGTCACTTCATCTCTATGGGCCTGATCCTAACCTCTGTCGGCGAGCACAGCATAATGGATGTGACCGGTCAAGACCGAGTCATCCATCTCCTCTCCAAGACATGCCGCAATGAGCTGTTCTCCGATGAAGAGCTGTCTTCCGGGAACCTAGCCCCTTTGGATATTATCCCTTTCCTGGACGACTCTTACATCCGAGGTGATGAGCTCTCCCATCAAATCATCAAGCCGGGCAGAGTTTCCCAAGTCCACGTGGGCCTACTTCTGTTTCAAGTCCAATTCCCTCGCTGCCCTCAAATCCATCGCCAAAGAAACAATAACCATTGAATACGTATCCACAGAGGACACTCTCAGCGCATTCATGTGGGAGTCCATCACTCGCACTCGTCTACCTCCCTCGGACCCCACAAGCGAGACCACCTTCGCACGCGCGATTGATGTCCGTCGATTCCTCAACGTCCCATCAACGTACTCGGGACTGATCCAAAACATGGCGTATAACGATTCAACTCTACAGCAGATATCCGATCAACTACTTGGCTGCATTGCATCCCAGCTCCGACAGGAGATCGACCCACCGAAGATCGAGTTCCGAACCAGAGCCCTGGCAACCGAGCTGCACCGTTCCCGGGATAAAAGCCACGTCTCATGCACAGCAACCGTCAGTCCATCGACAAGCGTTTCATTCAGCTCGTGGGCAAAGGTTAATCTCTGCTAGCTTGGTTTCAACCTAGAGCTAGGGAAGCTCGAATCAGTGACCGCAGTTTATTCCAGTTGGGGGTTTGCTATATGTGATGCCCAGTGATCATAATAGCGAGACCGCAGTCGCTATTTACTTAAGTGATGACGACATGGAAAAGCTGTAAGTAGATGAAGAGTTCGTGAAATATGCATCGTTTATTGGTTGAGACTCTTGTATGGAAGTCTATCAATAGTATAGATCTCGGAAATGTATCGAAAGAAAGACTAATGCTCTACTTACCCTATGTCATTTAAGATATCCATTATACTAATGAATGCACATGCTGAACTCAGCCAGGGGCCATAACTTCCATATACCATTTCTGTATACTAGAATCTAGTATTCAGCACCATCCATCGAAATAAATCTCATACATAGTAAATACACTCATCTTCATCCCCGAGTCACTCTCTTGGTATTCTCTGTACATGACCTACAATTCACTCACATCTCATACAAATCCAACCACGCACCTATACACATTTCACATACGAATCCAATTAAAAATTAAATAATAAAAAAAGGATATGGCGCTGCCCGGAATCGAACCGGGGCTGGCACGGCCACAACGTGACGTCCTACCACTAGACCACAGCACCTCTGAAACGAAAAGAGAAATTAAGACATGGAGCTGCCCGGAATCGAACCGGGGCTGGCACGGCCACAACGTGACGTCCTACCACTAGACCACAGCTCCTGTTTCTTGGGAAAAAGATCAAATTTTTGACTATATAAGGCTGGGCTAGAGTTTAGGAGCTAACCTCCTTACGGTAAGGACTCTTTTACTATATGATAACTAGGTACTTAAGTATATGAGAGTCATGTTTAGGTCTCATTTTGTAACTTTTTGACTTTTATATTTGGTGGTTGGTTTGTACCTTGGTTGAAATATAGGTGGCCCCGGTATAGCTGCACAAAATGGATCTGTTTGTTAATATTGCACAAGTATAAACTGAATCAAGGATGTATTATTTTTAAACTACGAATCCGCAACTTTGAATTTCACAAAAGCACCCCCTCATTGCTAAATGCAGTATAACAAAGCTAAAAGTTAGACCTCATAATTTGCTGTAGCCTGTCCTGCATGTTGCAGAATATATTAACTGCCTATTATCATATAAGTGATTATTGCCAAATACTTCGCATTACCTTTTCATACCTGTATGAGTTTCTCCTCACTTGCACCATGCAAGTCCCGAGTGAATGCAATTCTATATGCCGGCTCATCATTCACATAGGACAAATTAGATGGAGGCACGACAACTGGGACGTTGGCATCAAATAAGGACTGCATCCCAGGAGCAGTGGCTGACCGTGAGAGCTCCTCCAGGAGACCTGGGGGAACAGTAATGTGCCGTTCGCCAGCAAGGGCAAAGATTTCATATACCGAGGCCAAACTGGCAACGATAACCTGGGTCTTTGCCTCGATGGACTCGTAGTATTTCTGGATTAAGACACATAGAGGTAGCAGCTTGTTCGGATCGGTGAACCTGATTCAGTGTCAGCGTGGATGCTACACGAAGGCGACTCTATATACCCTGGCTCAAAGTGAACCCTCAATTGATTAACATAAGGTGCTACATAGGTGCAGCCTACTTCCGCAGCGAGAACAGCCTGTGTCATGGTGAAGAGGGTGGTGGCCAAAGTCCGCACCCCGGCTTGCTCGAGGGTCCGGCAGGCCATCATGCCTTCCCATGTACCTGGAATTTTAATGCAGATTCGAGACTGCTCAAAGCCATGGTGCAGATGTTGGAAAATCCTGACGATTCCTAGTAGGAGACAGTCACTCAATTATATCCTCTTCTCCGTGATAGCAATATATTCTTACTCAAGGCGTTTTCAATGGTCTTCTCAGTGGAGTAAGAATAATACGGATTGGTCTGGACATGGACGTTCCCTCGAATATGAGGAGCAATCTTCAAGGCCAATCTCACCATCTATGCCACAGTTTGTGAGTCACGGATATCACGGGATCGACCGTGCTAGAAGTATAAATACCGCAACTTCTACTGCTAATTCCTCGACGGAGATGTTCGGGAACCTAGACAACAGAGACCTTGCGTCTGCAACTGAAGCAACAATCAACTCGGCATGCTCTGGCTTGCAAAGTTCGCTGTACGCGATCGCCTGAATGTGTCAGATCCATAGTCCTCCCAGGACAATTCAACCACCCCCACCTGATTCGAAGTGCAGTCCTGGAATGGGCCCAGCTTCTTAGCCACTATGGAATAAGACAGTTAACATCTTGTCTCGGTCATATGGAGTCAAGTGACAAGATTATATCAAATACCCTGCTCATCCAAGGTGTCACAATCAACAATAGTCCTCGTGCGGAGAACATCTAGCCCAGTTTGAACTGCCATGTTGATGATTGGAGATAAGAGACAAGGATTGTAAGGGCATAGAAGTAGAAATAAGCTAGATATCACTGGAAAGGGACGACAGATAGAGATCGATGCCTGATTCTTTAAATAGACAAGATAGTAGCCACCCCTCACCCCAGCTTATGTTATAAACCCGAATGACCATGTCCGGAAGCTACCGCCCGGGCTCTCGGACCGAAGCCAATCATCTTCCCTGACGTCAATAGAGAAAGGAATATTTACTAGGTTGATCTTATGCAGATCTACCTCGAGTATAAGGCTAGCCAACGCCACAAATGAACGACTGCCGCTGAGGCAGCGGAATGGATCCGTCAAGGTCATCTTAGTCGGCCCAAGGCAACTAGTCAAGGCTGACAGTTGTTCTTTCAATTCTGGGCAACTAGGTCTGCCCCATAGAGATCGTAGAGCAGTAACATATTTACAATCACTCCGTATACTTCAATCCACTCTACGGTTGATATCAATAACAGAAAATTGTGTATATGTGACCCTGATATGAAACCCCTTCGTCCCATGAATAGGGAAGAATGGGCGATTAACGACGGGCTGAACTCTTTCTTCGGGCTCTCATTAACCTCGGCGACCGCGACAGAATGCCGAAACCAGTGAGGTTCTGCTAAACACGTCAACATCATTCCAGGGCAGTGGTAGACAACGTGGGCGGAGACCCGTGAAGAGGAAGAAGAGAGGAAGAAAATCAACACACGAAAAAAAAAAACAATTTATTGACAAGAGGTAAATCCGGTTTCGGCAGGCGGAAGGGGAATGGAAGAAGAATTTTCCGGATGGTAATCCAACGACTATCATTGGTCAACAGGAACGTCACACTGTCGTCACGTGACTAGTACCTCGCCCGAGGTTGTCCGTCCCGTGATTCCGAAGCGCTACGAGAATCGGGAGTTTGTACCGACTTTCTTCGTCGACTTCTTGCGTGCATCGCTGAACGGGGATTTTATTACCCATACACACCATGATCTCCCAGAAGGTTGCTCAGCAGTCGCTGCGACGACGTACGTACCAACCATTCTATATGATCTGATCTCCTGTTGGATGGTGGTCGCTAATTGTTCACTGCAGTCGCCGTCCAGCAGCCCTACGCCATGCGGTGGTCCCTGATGAACTCCGCGTCACCCGCCGCCGTCGCTATTGGCAGGAATATTCAGACACGGTGAGTGGTTATTTGGGACAGGTTTCATGGAGCCGTCTCGTAGAGCTTAAACGAGGGGATGGTTTCGCGACACATGGCCGCTACGTCATGGATGGGTGATCCTTATCCCTGCGGATACCTACGTTGTTGGACTAGAACGGCTGTATCGTCAGTATGACATGGTTACTAATTTCTATGGATAGGCACACTGCTTCTACCACGAAAACGTCTGATCCGACGAAGATCCTCGCTCAGCAGCGGTTGAACCGTCCCGTTGCCCCCCATATCTCCATTTATCAGCCCCAGATCACCTGGTACGGTAGTGCTTTCAACCGTATTTCCGGAGTCGCTGTGTCGGGAGTCCTGTACCTTTATGCAACTGCCTATCTTGCCGCCCCATTGCTTGGTTGGCATCTGGAGTCGGCTTCATTGGTGGCTGCTTTCGCTACTCTCCCCCTTGCTGCGAAGGCCGTTATCAAGGGTACTGTGGCCTTTCCCTTTGTTTATCACTGCTTGAACGGATTGCGCCATTTGACCTGGGATCTTGGCCGCGGAATTACCAACCAGCAGGTTATGAGGACTGGCTGGACTGTGGTGGGCTTGAGTGTTGTTAGCGCTCTTTACCTTGCTTTTTACTGATTCACTTGTGTCATACCTTTGAGTTTTGTCCCTTTCCAAAATATTATTCATTGTGCAGTATATTTTATATCGGCCAATTGAGACTACTGTTTGTTTCTGGATTGTTGCACACCTGACACCATCTTGCCAGGCCATCGCATGGCAGAGTTAACACGCGGATGTAGGAAGTACTATGACGCAGCACCTCAGTAGCTCAAACGAGCAGGAGTAGACAAAGGTTCGGGGACTCAATTTACTCTCCATGTCTTTGTTTTTGTACGACATTGCTGAATACCCTACAACCATACTTTCTGGTTCCATGGGCAAATGGCAGAGATACCAGTCATCTCATCATTGTTCGACTCAAAAGGGATATTCTCTGTCTTCTCATGAGACAACATTGTATTCCGAAAGTTAACAAAAATTGATCTGCTCTTATCAACTCCTTTCCAGACTCCCACCCATGAACAGTCTATTAATTGCTTTCGATAACAGGTTGCCTTTCTAAAGACCGAACCCGAACCCGCATTTTATGACAAGATGTACAGTCCATCTCACACCCCATGCATATTCTTGTTATTTTGATCACTGTATAGGTGGTTGTCGAGTAGCACTGTATCATCTGTCAGTCTTCGTGCGAATACTTCGATTAGAAGCCAGGGCCTTAAGGCAGTCAGGTAGCTCCATGTCGGTGATAATGGCTAGATATTCTGCTCAATTCAAGTCGAATTCTAAGACTTACCTATCATCTATCAACTAAGCAGCCACCGTTGCACCCCACAAAAGAATTAGACGGGACTCGGAGGCGGGTTAGGTGGAAATGGCTTTGGCGAAGGAGGATCTTGCGAGCAATCCATTCCAAAGCGTTCTTCGCTGTTGCGATCACGTACTTGAGAGTTGTCCTCAAGGCGGTGTGAGAGGCAAAAGGTCATCTTGTCAAGGACACAGGCCATTTTCTTCTCGCCAAAAAACTTTGCAGAGTTCAATGGTCGTAGTGGGCTATGAGATGAAGGATCAAGGATGCTTGGAGTTCTTCCGTGAGCCTTGGGACAGACAAAGATGACGATGAGGGCGTGAATGACGAATGGATCTCATGGATGGGCTAACACTTGCTGCTTAAAAGCACCAGCCCAGGGCTACCTGGAGCAAGCTGTACACCGCTAGACATCTGATCCCACGGGAAAGAACCGCGTGGAGGTGGCTCTCCCGACGCTCCAACCGCGACCACCATTGGATATTTTCCAGTCTAGAAAGTTTTTCTTCGGGTTTCCCTGCAAGGGCCCGACGGAAGTTTGGGGGTAATGAAATGTCGGACAGCGTACTTGCAGCCGACAATGGCTATCTGTCACGGGATTGGCTCTCTCAGATGGTGGAAAACGGCAATCTCGAGATGTCTCTAACGTCTTTGCATTCACTCGTCTACAGCTCTTTACGGCGACCCTAGTCCGACATAACTGCACCCCTTCGAAGTGACACCCGCAGGCCCCAGAGAAGAGGCCTTCCGGCTCATTGCAGCTAATGCGTTACTGGACTTGTATCGTTGGCCAGTTTTTGGCTCGCCTACAAAGAATGGAGCAGCTACTAGCCGCAATGACCCTTTACAATAGCAAATCCCGAAGAAGCTGATATCTCTGCTTTCTCTTATTCTAGTTCTGTTCTCTGTTTGGCGCTTTAGTCGGCTTGATCCCCAGAAATGTTGGGGGCGCGTTTAGCCTCGCAGGCGTTGAGCGCGGTAGTTATGGGCGCATCTGCAGGATCTTATGCTTGAAAGCAAACAATCACCCCCAGATGACTGGACAAAAGAGGCGGAAAATCTCTCAATCAATTGATTTAAACATTGAGGCCTATATTGTTCATGTTCTGAGGTAGGAGTGCAGCTCATCCGTTCCTCTCTATTTGTACTCATGCTTGTTTTATGATAGAGCCCATATTTCCATCACTAATTGTCAATTACCTCAGTGACAACCCTGGTCTGGTTGACTGCTTCCATCAACACGGTCCAATAAAAGCAAACACACAGATATTGGGGAAAGGAGTACAAGAAGAGTCCTTGCACGACTTGGCTCCAAGGTTTGAAATGTATTAAATAAAAAAAGCATGCAGCACGTGGACTACCTCCAAGTTGCTATTGTCATACGGAAAGAAGGAAAAGGACAATAAACGGGAAGCAGGTCTCCAATGCTCTTCCACACAAGCAGTACCACGGAGCGGTGGCTTTGCAGAATCCGCAAAAAGAAGCAACAGTAACGGGCAAGGATTTCCACACCGGCTCTTTGAATGCCCAATAACTGCCGACAACCGACGAAAGAACTGAATCCGGTGTAGCGAGCCTTGCTTTTGTCGACACTGTCAACCATTTCTTACCCTTGCACAACGCCTGAGTGGAGATGATTGGGATCTTTGCTTTTTTCTTCAGCATCAGCCCGTGAACGGATATCCTATCGTGGCCCAGTCAATCAATGGTCTGAGCGAGACACTGGTTTCGACCTGGGGAATGGGGTACGGATAAACAATCCATCTGAACATTCCTGCATTGGACCATTTTCTGTGTCCTTACCTTTCTTCTCCTGAGAGTTCTCGGTCGAAGGACCTTCCATACAACAGAACCAGCCTGAGGTTACAATAATATACCGGCTAACCATGGTATCTGCCGTTCTTCGCTTTACAGCAACCATTTCCAAGCCTTGGCCGCTGACTTGGTGCAACCGTAGATCATATTCACCGGGGGTTTTCCAGTATTAGACCGTCACCATCGGCTTTGTCTACACCGGTAACTATTCCTATAAGACCCAAGGCTCACGGCAGACGGGAACAGAGCATGTGAGGTCAAGGTGTGATAGGCCTTCATACTGTCCAATTGCTTGGTCAATTATTTGGCTAGTTGCCGCGAGGTGTCCGGTGGATGAGCAGATGGATCGATGCCAGACCACCACAGGTATTTGCTTTCCCCCTTTACACATTCCACCGGTTTTTCTATCCGAGGTGATTTTGAAAGTGACCTCCGTCTCTAACGGTTTCTTCTAGTGGTACGTATTATGTAAAGTAGTGGCATATAAGTCTAACAGACAGACAACACAAGAGGTTCTTAAGGAGCTCGGTTAGAGGGCTTTATCAGAGATGTTATTAGCAAATTATTTGCGGGAACGCTTGGTATCAGATGCTGTGGTGTCCCTCTACAGATATGCATAAGTCATCTTGTATGCTGAGGCACATAGCCAGCTTAGCACTTGGTGCATGCCAATGCAGGCCCACCAAACGTGAGAATGGCCAAATTTCCCCAAAGCCAAAACGTAGCACTAAGGCTAAGACTGTTGTATAATCGTCTGCCAGGCTGGGTTCAACAATACTAGTTGCCCATGGTAGGGTAGGTGGCATTTGCTGGAAGCTGAGCACCAGTTTTTGCAGTACCATAAAGTGAGGAGTATTGCACAAAGATCAGAAAGCACAATTCAACATGATTTGACAATGACTTGCACCCTCTTCATGGATGGAAGTGGATGTTTACCGCCGAAATCCAAACGCCACAGAAATATGACCGGCCGCGCTATGTCCCGATCAAGACTAGCGTCGCATCTCCGAATTCTTTCAATCCATCCATTTTCAAATCAATCATCTGGAGTGACTGGTCAACGGCCCTGTTTCCTCTCCCACCTGCGGCAGCTCGCTTTCTCCCCTCCTGGATATAGATCATGGCTTCAATACTCTCGACCCGAGCAACCAGGACATTCTCCTGTTCCGCCTGCCACTCTGTCGCCAAGCCCGTCCTCCTCTCCAAGCGTGGATTGTCGACATTCGCCGACCAGACACCAGTCGACTACGCAGAGAAGCCTCGATGGTCCTACACTCCGCCCCGAGCGCAGGCTCCGTTCAGCTTGCGATTGAACTCAAAGAGGCGTGACTTCCCCGTCAACTCCGACCCGAAAGTTCTAGACCAGTTCTACATCCGCATGCTGGGCAATGACGGCGACAAGGTTCTCTCCGACGAGGTCAAATGGCTCGCTGTGACACATAAGAGTTTTGATCAGGGTCGGAGAGGGTTCAATGATCGTCTGGCTTTTCTAGGTGCGTGGGATCTTGTCCCCCATGTCCGCTTTCCTCTTTCAACGGGACTAATCGTGGCTTTGGTTTATAATTAGGGAAACGAATTGTTCAACTTCAAGCTTCTCTAGCTTTGGTACAAAGCCCTGGAAATCCTGCCAATGCTGCTCCGGATGCATTTGGACGGGAACCTTTCTCTCATGCGGCATTGGATGGCCTGAACAACCTTTCCATCAGTACGAAGAACTTCCTGACGGAAAAGTCGAAACTCGCGGAGCTTGCGCAGAAGTACGAGATGGAGAAGGTTCTCAGATGGAGTCCGAGAAAGGTGCGAATCGTTAGACCTTTTTTTTTTTTTTTTAATATATTATTTTTTCTTAAACCTTGGGGCTTTCTCTCTTGACCCGCCCGTCCATGCTAACAGATCTTTCATTCTCAGCCCAACAACCTCGCTAGCTCCGGGATTGAGCTCGTCCTCGCCCATACCATGTACGCAGTGGTTGGAGCCGTGTCTCTGGAGAAGGGTGGGCACGTTGCCAACAAGGTCGCCCGGGAGCGGATACTGGCACCGCTGGGATTTAAGATCACTGCTTAGATCCGGGGTGCCGTTACTGGGAAATGGCCGCGGGAGCATTTCAAGGCGTTGTCTCCTCTTTTCCTTGTTTTCATCTTCTCTTGTCGGATGTTTTCCTACATGTTGGTCTCTTCATCCACCGTATATGTATGTATTTTTACTACGACCTGTGCTATATTGACTGCAAATACCATCGGAAGGCTCTTTTCATTTATTTCTTATTTCAACCCACAGGGATAAAACAGGTAGATGTACGGTTCCTCTGACACCGCCCGAGTAACAGAAGGCAAAATACCCGGCCAGCTCTTATGGAACCCTCGTTAAGATGCATAGTCTTCGCACCTCTGTATCGCAAGTTCAGTAATGGAACTGGAGACGGAACAACAGAATGTCGACCGAATCCAGAAATCACAGAAGGTAATTTGTACTGCCTTGCACTGTCTATTGGGAGCGTGAAAAGGAGAAAGAGAAAGGAAAAGAAGAAAAGAAAATCTGCGAAAATAAATACATTCCGAGCCAGCAAGTCGCTAGTCCCTACTGGTAATAGCGCAGTGTGTTGCGCTAGCCGAAGTGGGAATGATAGTGACTTCCGGCGACACCAAGAGGGGAGCCAAAAGAGAAGAGAGACTCTTGTTCATACCTCATTCATTCTCCATTCGGGCATTGGGACCTTCACTGGCCTGAAGCTTCCGTGCATTGGTATATCCTCTGCCTTCTCGATCCTCAGTCCGCGGAGACTAATGCACTTGGACAGTTTCCCCCTTCTCCGTCCCTCGAGCAGCATGTCCGACTAGTTGGCCTCTCCCGTCGAATCTCGCTCAGGAGCCTCCCCGTTGCTGCCATACGATTGACGTCCAACTTTCCTCCTAATCCATCCATATATCACGTGTCTTTTACCGTCTCCTATCCTCTTGACCTTCCGCGATGGCCTCGGCCATCTTCTTTCTGGACCTGAAGGGCAAGGTACGCCATTCCCTGATGCCCCGATGTTGACATTCCACCGCATCTCTATTCCCCTGGTGCTGACTATCCAGTAGACCCTTCTGGCCCGAAACTATCGCGGAGACATCCCTATGTCCGCCGTCGAGAAATTCCCCATCCTCCTGAGCGATGCCGAAGAAGAAAGCTCCGCCGTGCCCCCCTGCTTCTCCCATGAAGGCATTAACGTATGTTGGCTGTTTCCCCCACCACCCGTTCCCCGCAGTGCAATTCGCTTCCCCTATTCTGTTCTTTTGGGGCTACAACTTGGGCTCCTGCTGGGAATAGAAAAAGGGAGGGAAATTTTTTTAGAAAAAAGGAAGAAAAACTATTAGAATATCGGCGTGCTAATATTCAATGGTTTAGTACCTCTACATCCGTCACAGTAACCTTTACATCCTTGCGTTGACCAAGAAAAATACCAATGCGACTGAAATCCTCCTCTTCCTTCACAAGATCGTGGAGGTGTTCACGGAATACTTCAAGGTGCTAGAAGAAGAGAGTATTCGAGACAACTTCGTCATTATCTATGAATTACTGGACGAGATGATGGACTTCGGCTACCCACAAACGACAGAGAGCAAGATATTGCAGGAGTACGTGGCCAGTAACTGGTGGACGGAAATCACGAAATTCCATGTAGCTGACCAACAATCAATCAAATAGGTACATCACGCAAGAGTCACATAAGCTGGAGGTTCAAGCCCGGCCTCCCATCGCAGTCACCAATGCAGTCTCGTGGCGCAGTGAGGGTATCCGATACCGCAAGAACGAAGTCTTCCTTGACGTTGTCGAATCGCTGAATCTTCTCGTATCTGCCTCCGGAAACGTCCTGAGATCCGAGATCCTGGGCGCCATAAAGATGAAATGTTATCTGAGCGGAATGCCAGAACTTCGGCTGGGGTTAAACGACAAAGTGATGTTTGAGACAACCGGCCGCGCCACGAGAGGCAAGGCGGTTGAGATGGAGGACGTCAAATTCCACCAATGTGTTCGACTTTCTCGATTCGAGAATGACCGAACGATCAGTTTCATACCGCCAGATGGTGAATTCGAACTCATGAGCTATCGTCTGAACACGCAGGTGAAACCTCTAATCTGGGTCGAGTGTCTGGTAGAGTCGCACTCGGGTTCCCGTGTGGAATACATGTTGAAGGTGAGAAACCTTCTCCGCCCTCTCAAATAGAGCTTGGAAGCTGACCGCTCAACTCAGGCCAAAGCACAATTCAAGAGGCGCAGCACCGCCAACAACGTCGAAATCGTGGTACCTGTCCCCGAAGATGCCGATTCGCCGCGCTTCCGTACCAACATCGGCACAGTCCACTATGCGCCCGAACAGTCGGCCATCGTCTGGAAGATCAAGCAGTTCGGCGGAGGTAAGGAGTTTCTGATGCGTGCCGAGCTGGGTCTCCCCTCGGTCAAGGGCGACGACGAACACGGCGGAGGCATGACTGGAGGATTTGGAGGAAGCATGGGAGGTGCCGGTCCCGGCAAAGCGAAACGACCTATCAACGTCAAATTCGAGATCCCTTATTTCACGACAAGTGGTATCCAAGTACGGTACTTGAAGATCACTGAACCCAAGGTATGGTCTACATCTTTATTTTTGGTTTTTATTTTTATTATTGTTGATAATACGACCCCAAACTAACGATTCTTTTATATAGTTGCAATACCCCTCCCTCCCATGGGTCCGATATATCACCCAATCGGGCGACATTGCCGTTCGTATGCCTGATGTACAATGATGTAGAGCGTCGTTATATAACTAGTTCAATTAGAATTTGTCATGCAACTAATTAAATTACCCTTTACATATACTTCGCTTCCTGGTAGTTCTATGTTGGAGTAATTTATCGGTATTGTATTCATCCATTTGATTCATTTGATTTTTTGGCTTTTGATTTTTGTATCCTATTTGCAAGCCTGATCAATCGTGTCCCTCCCTTTCTTTGCTGAATCAATTAGATATTGATCAACTGACCCAAATCCAAAATCAAAGTAGAAATTTCCTCCTTTTTCATATATGTATGTAGGAGTAGGTCGGTAGGTTGGTAGGTAGAATATCGAAAGCCATACATGGGTATCTCACAAAAAAGAACGAATTAAAGGAAGGTGGCATGGACTGTCAAAAAAGAGAAAATAAAAGGAAAAGGAAAAAAGAAAGAAGAACAAGAAGATGAAGAAAGAAGGAAACGGAGGTTGATCGGGTAGGAGTCAACTGAGGATGCCTGTTTTGGTTTGATCTGGTTTGCATTTTTATTGCTCATCGATGAGTTTTTTCCACAGGTTTGAAATTCCATAATTCAACTGAGGTATCAATTGATGTATTGTATTACCCATGGGAGTTAAAGGCTGTTTCACCATCCGGTGAATCCGGCGCAGGGAGGGGAAATCCATCTCCCTGGCCTGTGGCAGCGGCTTTAGAGAACCCCTCGCGCGCCAGCATGGTATTCATAACGGCGCAGTTGTACGCGGCCTCACCTGGTGGGACAACCATGAAGATATACGTGTTGTCGGTGAAGCGACCGAGAAAGACGTTGAACTGGGGGGTTTTGGTGTGCATGACGACGAAGCCAGCTGACGCCGGAGTAGTATGGGTATTGCGGGCGGCGCAGTGCTTGAACGCCTTCATGATGTTGGAGAGACGTTCGTGGCGGTCATAGATGGGGTTCAGGTCACCAATTTCGGAGGCCACGGAGGTGACGGTGAGGAAGGTGGAGCGCTCGAAGAGGATGACCTCTTCAGCGTTGATGCGTTTTGCAAAAGCATGCAGGAAGCGTTCGATGACGGTGAGGTTGGGGATGAGACGGTGCACAATGCCGGCCCAGGCCTTGTACAACGATTGATCCCAGATGCTGCTGCCGAAGGTGTCAATGGAGAAATGCTCGGAGCGGCTGCGGATGAGGGCGGATCGTTCTTCATAGATGCGTTGACGGTGCTCGGCCTGGATCAGGTCGAGTTTGTGCACGAGGCAGAACACGTATGCATTCGGGCTAAATTCTTTCAGAGCAGCGATGATGGCGTTATACGTGTCGAGGTCACGCTCGACCTCACGCGACTCAATGTCGAAGACGTAGATGAGAACCGCTACGTCCGAGAAGATATTGCTGCGTTGCGAGGCGAGGTAGGTCTCCATGAAAGCATCTTGTCTGAGGAGGAAGGGAAAACGCTGAAGTCAGCTTCGACCAAGCCGAGATGAAACAGGTCACCTACCCTCCACAATCCCACAAATTCAAGGTGAGGTTCCCCATGAACTTGACATGGCTGTGCTCCACATCTATCGTCGCCCCCAGCCGACGGACATCTTTGGCAACGTAATTGCTGAAGATAATGGACCGCATAGAGGATTTTCCTGAGCCACTCTTCCCCATGAGTAGCACCTTTCTCTTTTTCTTCCGCACATCCATGGCTGTCCAGCCCGGAGGTGTGTTCGCGGAGCAGAATGACGGTCGTTGGTACCCCGCAAGAGTTACTGGGCGGGCTGAGCAGAGAAAGGACGGAACAGAGGGGTTGGATTCATCAGCCAAGAGTCTCTAGACCCATTGAGGCCAGTAACCAGCAGAACAGGAGACGATACCCGGGTACAAGCAATGGCTGGAGGACAGAGGCAGGAGCAGATGCGTCCCACCGAGTTCAAATCAGCCTCTCGTCATTGCCCGTCACGTGTGATACGGGACAGGAGTGGTTTACATAATCTCCTCTACCAGGTTCTCAAGTTAACTAGTCAGTAGTTAACTATAACTAGTTAATTACGATAGCTATAGACATCCAGACGGTTCATCAGCTTCAAGGCTTCCAACCCCGTCAGAAAAATAAGAAGCGAAAAAGAAGCTTGTATCACCAATGCTTTTTTCCCCATCCACATGTCCCAGAACTGAAAATGGACACCAAACCCAAAAACAAAGGTATACAGAAACAGATCATCATCTCATAGCAGTATCTCTACATCAAAGGAAGATTGAAATAGGTATAGCTTCTCCATGGAACCAGTCGATAGAAAAGGAGAATGCAACAAGGGTGCGAGGCATATAAACATCTGGTCATTAAGAGGTCGTAAAGACTGCCGCTAGCCATCAAACTCGACACGACGCAGGCGGAGTCAGGTATCCATGAAAATTAACAAGGTATGCGAATATTAAAATACGGTGCCGTCGGAGAGGATCATGATTGGGGGTTCCTTCGTATTGGGCCTGGATACCTCGGCGATCTCGCGGCCACCCTGTCATCACAATGTCAGCTCCAATGCCCTGCAATCCAAGGATGAAGAAGAGGATGTCGCACCTTCCATGAGCCTGCCTCTAGCATCTGCGCCAGGGTCAATTGATTCTCTCCAATCAGTCCCAGCTGCGAATTCACTTCTATGAGTAGGTTATCCAGGAACCCCACGGTGACCGCTCGCCATTCCACCACCACATCGTCATCGGTCGAAAAAAGAGGCACCACCTCCACATTCGGTTGCCCCTTGATCTGCGCATTCTGCTTGTATGCAGCGATTCCCCGCTGGAAATCACTCTCTCGGAGGGTCAGCAACCCCATGTCAATCAGTAGGCCACCGTTCCGGTATTCAGGGAGACCCGTGAGCAGATCACTGCCAGCAAAGTGAATTTTCATCAACTTCGACATCGGGACCATGATTGAATAGCACAACCATTGGGTGAGCTTGTGGAATGGCACAATGCTCTCCCATGGCTGCGCGGGAGGCGACTGTGGTAGGCTAGAGCAAGGCCAAGCGTCCCCGATTGACAAGCCATCGATTTGCGTCCGGGAAGGGGGCCAGATCGGGGTCAGACCATCCATGAGAACAGTCCATAACGTGGTTATCGGGACAATTGGCACCGACGAGGCGAGCGTTGATGGGTGAGAGAGAAGGTAGTCTACAGAAAGGGGGTTATTAACAAGGCACGGACACCGACGATAGCCAGACCACCAGGATAAGTCCTTACCAAGTAGATTCCCCGGCCTAGCATCCACACCAAAGAAGTCCTGGTTGTTCAAGGCTTCCGAAAGACGAGCGAGTAGTCCGGCACGGCCTTCCAGGCCAGCCAGTTGATTATTTTCGGAATGCTGCATTCCCTTGGCCAACGCCTCCACCGTGACCTTCTTCAGCCCCGCACCATCCACCTGGCATGGCTCTGTGGGATCACTACTGAACAAACCGGTCTTGAACATTTCTAGAGTAGCCACAGCCAGTCCTTCACTTCGCGAATAGATCTTGCCCGACTCCTTCGATTTGTAGGACCAGGTAGTGCCCGCGCCAGCGTCGAGAAGGACGGAGACTACAAAGAGATCGATCAACCGCCGGGTTCTTTCCTGCGCATCGATTGTACTGGGCCAGGACTGCAACAGTTGGTTGACACGGGGCCTGCCACCCACGTCAAAATGCTGCCAGCGGCCATGAGGGGGGATTGATTCGTAGTCGGGAGCGTAGTCTCTCTATACGGGCAAGCGACATGGTCAGTGGTCATCACATGATGATAAGAGGGGAACATACCTTGATCATCGAGACAATATAGGATGCGGTGGCCGTGAATTTACTCATGTCGACGTCGAAGTGGTTCAGTTGATTTCTCTTGGCCCTTTGCAGGACCAGACGGGACCGTTCGCGTACAGCATGGATACTTCGCAGATATGCAGCAGGGTCTAAGGCTGGATCGGGTGGTTTGGCAATCGACAGCTCGGGGATGGAAGCGGGTAACCCGCTGCCCTTGTAGCCGGGAGACCGCAACGAGGCATTGGAGGTGCGAGCACTATTTGCGGACACAAATGATTCCTGTTCGTCCTTCTCACTCTGGATCGAGTTTTTGGAGTCCTTGCGTTTGAAGAGACCCATGGTGAGAAGGTGGTGAGAGAGGACGTCGGCGATGTCCTACAGTGGGGATGAAAGGGGGGCAATTCGTTGCGGACAGATTGACAGGGAGGACACAACGGTGATTTAGTGAAGAGGGTAGTAGGTAGGTAGGGGAGAAGGGTTTGAGCTGCGAACTGTCGCCCAAGGAGAGAGATTGGAAGGAGACAGGTTAGACTTAGGAGAGAAGTGGTAAGTAGTTAGTGGGGGGGAAAGAACAGGAACATAAAAAAGATGATGATCTGCGACGGTTGCGCGGGAAAGAAGGAGCCCATTTTGAGATTATATTTTGTTCCTGGTTTTATTTTTTATTTTTTTTTTTTAATTTATTTATTCTAGGATTGTTATTATTATTATTATTATTATTATTATTATCTTTCTTAGCTTTTTTTTTTTTTAACCCTGTCTCCAATATGAGAGTAAGGGGATTGGAATCACTAATAAAAATAGCAGTAATAAATCCCCCGTCACCCACTAATACGGAAGCGGGGCGGCCGACTGGTCTTGGAGAAAGAGTTAGCAGGAGGACCGAAATTTCAGCAGCCTTCATTGGAGTAAACAAGCACAGTAGATTATTATACTGGGACACACTGGGACTAGTCGAGGCTCGGAGCCGGGAGGTGGAGAGCTTGGAGTCGTTTATTTGTCGTCCAGTCCACGAGTATTTCGAGTCCAGCTGTTTTTATATCTTAAGAGACTGGATAGAGAGAGAACAAAAGAGAGAAAGTTAAATTACCGTCAAACTGTATCGGTTACCCACCGAGTATGTTCTTACTGTACTTACTTGCATGGCGGTTACCTCTCAATCTGTGTGGCAAGAGACTAATACACATACCGTCGAGGTATCATATGGTATGTACATGCAGTGGTCAGATATTAGCCTGGTTTAAGTGTCGATTGTCTTTTCTGTTCAATTCTAACTCTCTCTCTCTCTCTCTCTCTCTCTCTCTCCAGTGGAACGAGGTCGTCCCCACGCGGGATAAGTCAGTGGTTCATGTTCACGTTAATAATAATATTGAACGTGCCAATTTCCGCCGTGGAGTAGTAACTCCCAACGGGTCCAAGTTATCCGACCCAGCATTCGAGCTACCAAACCCAACTCAATTGCTAACTCTCTAACCTGTCGAGATCGAGAAAAGAGGACGAGAGCCCACTCTGGGATGCACGGACGGACTGGGCGCACAGGGCCATTTCGGGCCCTTCTCCTGTCCTGACTTAACTAAGGTACTCCACCGTCCCATGCTACTGCCCCAATCAAGAGGATCTAGATTTCTTTTCAGTCCGAATCCCACAAAAGACAAGTAATCCTGGTCCGGCCAGTTCCATTTTCAAACGATATGTGTGTGTTCTCCGTACTCTGTGCTCTGTTGATATGTAAGGTCGATTCGATCTATTCCATCTCCGGTTGGAACTACGGACAAGGAGTCAAGGACACGTAATGTACCTTTGAATTCTCTGCAGAGGAAGTACAAATAGTCCATACTGCCAACGTTTGTTTCCTTGGGTCAAGTCCCGTCCCCACTAAATAGTCCAAGTACGTACGACAAGTACGAGGACCTACCGTTATCGAATTCAGAGTTCAAAGCCAAAAAGCAAAAAAACATCACATATGCAGCACATGCATTAGATGATAAGTTGGGCATACTTGGCTGTATAACGATTGATAAATACCCAATCACCTGCGAACCCTACCCATAGGGTTAGTTACTACAAAGACGAGGCAGATGTTGGAGGATGATAAGAGAATATTAATAATTCCCCCTTTTTTTCCCACTCCCATTCCCTGGAAGGAAATTATAGAAAGGGGACTAACCTAAAATAGTCACCCCTCATTAGCCCACTTCGTGGAGAGAGCCGAACACTAACAGGATTGTAGCATGAATGCTTTGTTCCGAGGATCCACTGCTGTATTGGCTTGTTTACTCTTGTCAGTATCAAGTAATTCTAGGTCATAGGAACTTAGGAAGATACTGGGAAGGAACAATGTAGAGTACCAGATGGCTCTCTCTCACATCTTACTTACCCTTCCTTCCCCCTCATTTCCTTTCTGACCATGAGAGCGTATTTGTACGAACTTGCATGCAGGTGTCTGCAAACCATAAGGAACCATGTCCAGCCCCGTAAACGCTCTCGGGGGTAACATTCAATGAACCTGATCAGGGTCTTGATAATGATATGAATGCCCAATGCGGAGTACTAGCAGATAGGGCGGCACTCTCGGGACTGGCTTCCCTGCTGCCCCTCATTTCTTCCCGATATCTTCCATCCTTGTTAAACGTCCACCAGCGCATGCACTAACGCAGTGCTGGCCACACTGCTGGGTTCGGGTTTCAATAATAAAGTTTCCGCATTCCCTCGGCGACTATTTCATTACTCTGTGCTCTGTAGTAATAATAAACTCCGTAATAATAGAGAACAATGCCAATGTCAACAACAATGATTCTAATTTAAAATAATAGCTACATTCAACCCGAAATTAATCGAAAATTCTCCGAACCTCAGCCGCTAGTCAGCCATCTATCCCGAAAGCGTGGCTTGTCCATAAACAAGATGCAAGGCAGAGATCCATTTTGATGGCCACGATCGACTATTAGGATCCTAACGAGGTATCGAACCGCGTGGGAATACCGCAGAGTTTTTATTTGATTTCAATATGAATAATATTATTCAGCCATAAATTCACCATGGACTCTTTGTAGGCTCTATGTTAGTGTTATTATCATCCATATATTTTCCGACATTTGATTCATAAACTCCGAGCTGCCGGGCTGGTTAATCTTAGATTTCGAGCATACCTGCGTAAATGATGCTCTCTCGAGTGTTTGATCTCTGGGTAAACTGTAAAACTAGCATTGTGGTTAAATGGATGCTCGAATATCGACATGAAAAATGTCATTCAGCCATAAAAAGCACCATAGCTCTATGGAATCTATCTCGGTACTATCATGCGTATATTTCGTCGACAACAGATGCCGGTGTGAGGATCATCAATCTATATGATCCACATGAATCTTTGCCGGGTCTCTGCTATCCGGGACGTCGGCGAAGGTATGATTCGATCCATTGTGGAATATACAAGGAAGACTGGAACAGTTTGCTTGCGTGTTTGCAACGTCCCTAGGTCAGACTGGAGGTTTTTGGTATTCGCCAAAGGCTACATGACTCCGAGCGCCCGGAATTGGTTTCCAATCACCTTCAATGAATTTTCACTGGACTAAAAGCGACCAAGCTCATTAATTGGCCGATTAGAATTCTTCAGCAAGTACTTCAAATGAACATCCTCTACCCTCTCATACTTTACCGTCTGTCTATCATAACAGAATGTTTTAGTTTTTCTCTTTCTATTCCCTTCCCCGTGGGATTTTTCTTTTGGCTTCCCATATTCTCTATTCTTTCTGTTTCACGACCATTGTCGTGAATGGAGGGAAAGTGGAGTGTTGCGGTAACAGCGCCGAACCTGCCTTGGGAGGCTTATTCCCAATATGGAAGCTGCTGAATGCGGAAAGGGAGACTCGTACCTTTTCCTTCTTCCATGGTAATCATCTCATTTTTGTGGCTTCAGCTAGTATTTGGTATGTGGTAGAAATATATGCATATAAAATATTTTTATATATATAAAAAGAAATTAAGGAACAGCCGTGGATCGAACACGGGACCTATAGATGGCTGCATGTTGATAAATATTGCAATCTACCGCTCTACCACTGAGCCACTGCTCCATTGGTTGATGTGCTGCTTGAAATTAGGGCCTATAATAACTAGATGGCAACAGGCCTTTTTTCCAATTTCTGACCCCGGATTTCCAATGGCAGGAAAATCCAAAAGCTTCGGTTTTTAGATATGTTTATTATATACGTCAACTTTATTGCTCTTCCACATCTCCGGGGAGAATTTTGCCAGGTTTCTCACACTACTTATACCCATCTTCTGGGTGCCCGGATTTTGGGGCATGCAGATACATAACATAAATCTTAAAAGTGGCGGGTTTCGGCCAGCACAAAAAAAAAAAAAATCAACCAGTTTTTAACATCCAACTATACTAGCGAGTATTGATTGCTTGCTTAATGGGTGCTCCTACGGAAACCACTGTACAGACTACCATATGACCAATGTCGGATGTTTGCTCGTCCTCGCAAGTTCGGCAGTTTGCTCTTGGGTGGATATTCTTTTGCAGGTAAATGCAGTAAACTAGACTGCTTCGTCGGGATTGTACCTTTTTTTGTTCTTTCCCTGTCCCGTGCCTGATATGTAGGCATATTATACCCTCTGTCGTAGTGAACTGTATTATTTTAGGCCAGCAGCAGTAGATTCATCATAAGTCCCGAAATATATATCTATGTTCGGAGCTCCATGGAAAAATCAAATACCACATATAAGCCACCTCAGAGTACGCAATAAAACCCATAAATGCCCCTGGATAACGTCCTTTCTATTCTAAACCTAACTTCTCTACTTTCCAACCTTCCGTCAACCGGGCCGGCACCAACCAAGGGCCGATAACCATACAGCATCTATAAGATTCGATTGGCGCACATTCTTTGCCATGTGCCTCCTAAACCAATTGTCCCAGTCAAAGATATACCCACGAATTTGTCAAAATCGGATGCTCGAAAATTGAGTCGCTTCAAGAAGTCGGGGTTGCTAGAATTTCCGTACGCATGCCGTTGCGATTCGGCATGCTATGCGTCTGGCTCGGATGCAACTAGATGCGAAAGTTATCAGCACAACCGAACAAACATAGTCCAAAACTATCTTTCCTAGCATAGTAGATCGATAGGTTGATTGGAGGTCTGGAAGTGATATCCACTATCCTTGATGGAATACTTCCCGATGTTCCCGGATTTCGTCATCTTCCGCTTATCGAATTGACACCTTTCTATGGCAGATTCTTCGGGAATATGCTGAACAGAATCATTTTGAACAAAATGCATAATTCCCGAATTTTTATCCAAGGCGGGGAGCAGTAGCTCAGAGGTAGAGCGGTAGATTGCAATATTTAGCTATATGCAGCTATCTATAGGTCCCGTGTTCGATCCACGGCTGTTCCTTCTTTTTTGCATTTTCGGGCTATTCTTGGTCGCCCGAAGGTGATTGTTGGTAACGCGCGATAGTATTCTTTATAGGAGTTGATGGTAGGTAGAAAGTAGGGCGTGTGTTAAGTAGGGAATATATCTTGCAAATCGAGTACAGGGTAATAAAAGTAGCCACTGTGATAGTGTGAATGAACGTAATTGTCGAATTCTGTGGCGATTTGACCTGACCCATCGGCAATTACTCGGAGTAGGTACGGTAATCTCGGCGGGTCGAGTAGTGCTTGAACTATGTGAACTTTCCACAGACTGGACGGTGCATTCGAAATAATGAAGTGGATACTGCAGACAACATATATATTAGCTTATGGCTGTGTTGAAACCAGTTAACGTTTACATTGTTAGTATTCAGCTTGTTTTCTAGCCATGGCTGTCTGATTAATTATTCACGCATAACTAAGTTAGTAGATGACTAACCAGCAACACGTGTAACAAGCGCGTCATCAGCCACATCCTTAGCCACAATTCCCATCTTTAGGAGAGGGTCAATTACATCCACTCTGTAAGTCTGCCACGGTTGCCGCTACATGGACGCTCTCCTCACTCGGTGGTTACACCCGTTGTTCTGTTGACAGACGCTCCCCTGTCCTCCTCGCCCCAGGACTAACTAATTTTGTTTGCCCTGGTGGCCGTCGATGGTGAGATGAAACAATGGAATCCTCACGTCACCCAACTCCTGCGACCTATCTCCTAATGCAAGCCTCCCAGACCCTCGTCTACATCTTTTGAATGCAGAATCATCATGGATGACCTGAATGGTATGAGTTGGTCTACCAGCTCCTCCAATGGACCCAAGAAGCCCCCGCCTATGAGCTCTAGCATCATGTTTCCGAATGTGAGGCCCAATACTACCTCTAGCCGGACTACCCCCCTCTCATCCACGTCTGCTCCATCGAACCCGCCTCCCAAGTCCACGACACTGGATAAGGACAGCTTTGCCAATCTTGTCTCCTTTGCATCGTCGAATTCAAACAAGAGCCTTTCACTCCTAGAGCAGCAAAGGAGGTTACAGGAAGAAAAGGCCAGGAAGGAGGCGGAGAATAGATCCCGACTGGAATCACAGTACGGAGGGCAGAACTCTCAATTCTGGGACAATTTGGAAAAGGGAGGGAGCAGACAACCGATTGGATTCGGTACCATGTCCTCCGTGAATGCACCCTCGCCTGATGAAGATGATATTCTTGCCGCTTTTGACGCTTCAGCTCCAGTGGATGCATCTACACACTTCCCCGTTCCCAGCCTAACCCCGTCGCCGCAGGTCGGTTCAAGCCCATCACAGGCCCCCTCTAATGGAGCAGCCTCAGCACCCCCCACTAGTGACATGTCTTTCCTAGATGATGATGACCTATTTGGTCTTAACCAGTTGAAACCTAAGTCGGCACCGGCACTGCAGCCGGCCCAAACCAACGAAGATGACGATTTTCTTGGCTTGCTGGGCAAGCCTGTCTCTGAGATCCCTAAGCCAGGGCTTCCGGTGAAACCATCCACTCCACCCATGCGCGAGAGTCCGCCTGCTAAGGCTTCAAACGGAGTCGATCGGGCTGTTGCAGAGCTTGTCGACATGGGATTCCCTGCAGACAAATCGGCCCAGGCGTTACAGATGACATCATCTGGTACTGACGTACAAGCTGCTGTCGGGTTGCTCCTTTCACAGGCGCATGAAGAATCTCGGGAGAGACCTAAAAATCGTCTTACAGCTGGCGACCTCTATCCCGACCATACAGGACGGAACAGAGATTGGAGTGAGAGGTCGGATCGCAACGTTCCGTCGTGGATGCAGCAAGAACGTGCATCTACGTCAAGAAACCGCAGCAGTAACAGGAGCCCCTTATCCGCGGATAAGGATCCAGCGCAGGTTGCGTCGGTTTTTGGCAACAACTTATTGAAGACTGCCAACTCTCTATGGAAGTCTGGGAGCAAAAAGGTCCAGCAAGTTGTCAACGACTTCAATACGGAGCAAGACTCCAGTCAACCAAAGTGGCTGAGAGAGGCTTCCATGCGTGAGCGCGAGCAGTCGTTTTCTGGCGACCGCCACCAGGTCCCTGGCAAAGCTCATCAGCAGCCTGCTGCTCTCACTGACGAAGCTTTACTCCTTGAATCCGGAGGCGATCTACGGTCATCCCGCAAATCTGAACGGTCGAATGATGCGCGACCTCCATCTCGCACCGCCAGCGATGGTTTCCGCAACCAGCCGTCGTCTGCAGGCGATAGGCGAATGCAGCCACCAGCTTTTATGAGAGAACAAGCGAGAAGCGAGACAAGAGACCCCCGATCCCGTGTGTCCAAGACCACCGTGGAACAGCAGTCCGTACAGGCATATGTCAGCCCTGCCCGGAGGAAACGGCCTGTCGCGCAATCTCCAGCTCCAGAACCAAACGTTGATCTGTTCGAATCGTCCTCTCCATCATTCGCCGATCAACGGCCGAAACCATCGTCATCGCCTGGCCAATCTTCACGACCGTCGACTCCCTCGAAACCCTTGAAATCCTTGCCTGTGCGACCAAAGGCTCCACCTCGGGTTGTTCCCCCCCTGTCACAAGAGGCTCTTTTATCTACACACCGTCATCGGGAGAAGGGCACAGAATCATACAAGAGGGGTGATTATGCCTCCGCCCACAACTCTTTTACAAAAGCACTCGGCATGCTACCGGAAAAACACCCGATTACCGTGATTATTCGCAGCAATCGTGCAATGACCGCTCTCAAAATCGGTGAGCCGAAGGTAGCCATCAGCGATGCCGACACGATCTTGGAAGTGATCGGGCCATCGAAAGGAGAAGCCGAGAGCATTGAACTCGGCAACGGTGAACCAAACAAGCCCATGCGGGACTTTTTCGGCAAGGCCCTAATGCGCAGAGCAGAGGCCCTCGAGCAACTAGAACGATGGGCCGACGCCGCGCAGTCGTGGAAACAGGCGGTGGAAAATGGCCATGGCGGTAGTACCAGTATCCAGGGCCGCAATCGATGTGAGAAAGCCGCGGGTATCAGTAAGCCCACGCCTAAACGCTCAGCATCATCACGGCGACCCCCTACCCCTGCCACCAAGAAGCCCTCTGCCCTGGAAGGTTTGCAAGGTGGATCCTCCTCGTCCGGTATGGACTCGACCGCGGTGAGCCGGCTACGTGCCGCCAACCAAGCAGCCGAGCTTGCGGACGAAGAAAAATTTGCTTTAACAGAGTCCGTTAATGCACACCTGGACGCGTGGAAGAATGGTAAGCAGGACAACCTGCGAGCTCTTCTGGCCAGTCTGGACACGGTGTTGTGGCCCGAGGCCGGATGGAAGAAGATCAACATGTCAGAATTGATCATGCCCGGCAAGGTCAAGGTGCACTATATGAAGGGGATTGCCAAGGTGCATCCTGATAAGGTATGTTTATGTTCCTACCGATGGATTTGGAGAACCCATCTGGGCTGATGAAGAGTTGCAGATTTCCACCGGTGCGACGACCGAACAGCGGATGATTGCCGGCGCTGTGTTTGGGGCTCTGAACGAGGCTTGGGACAAGTTCAAGCAAGAGAACAATCTATAGTTGTCTTTCTTGCTGTTCACGATAGATTTTTTTTTCTTTTCTTTTTCTTGCCTCCAATGATACGTCAGTTACTCTAGAAGACAAGGCAATCGTGTATGTAGATTTACTTGGGGATTATGAACATTAATGCCGACATGAATGCTATCCTAGAACTCATCTGATGATAGATCTGAAGTTGAGCTTCCAAAAAGATAGCTTATGCATATTCATTTATCAAGTCATGTCCATTGTAGACAGCCTAGACATAATTACAAGAGTATATTCTCATTCAGGAGCATACGAGAGAGAGCAAGGCGAGGTATACTCTCAACTCGGCCTTCTGTTTTTAACCCAGTTATAGATTTGGTTCAATCCAGGCCCAGTCCTAGGACTGCTGCTGTGTTTCCTTCTGTCGAATCTGCTCCTGTTTTTGCCGCTCTTTCTCCTCACGTCTCAGCTGCTTTTTCCCCTTGCTGGACCCCGGTTGGGCAGACTCCAGCACTTGGCTAGGCGGCCATTTCTCCCGGCATTTCTGCTCGTCTTTGTCCGTCCATTCTCGGGGTAAGACAGCGAAAAGGAGATACGAGGTGTGGGTTTTCAAGTCCATCTCGGTGCGGTGAGTCAAGCGACCTTGCATATAAGACGGGAGGTCAGATCCTTTAAGAGTAGGAGTGGTAGCGGTGATGGGTTGTTTTTCTGGTTCCGGTTTGATGTCCTGCTGCGGTTCTTCCTCCTTCACTCGCGTGCCCTCATCATCGCTATCTTGTTCCATATTGGCGCGGAACTTCCTCGTCCGTTCCTCAATCATATACATACGCGCGACGGCCTCCTCCACGGATTTCGGGAACACAACTGCCCCTCTTGATGAGCCCTCAAATTCCAGCCCGGTCCGTTCTCGCTTGACTTCAATTCTCCGATGGTCCACCTCCACCATCGATATCGACAGCCACCCCAGTTGACGCAGCGTGCTGATCGTCCGCTGCACCTGCTCCAGACACGGCGAGAATGTACAGAGGTATACGGGAGACGACGGATCCAGTGGCGACTCCGCCCCGGACGCCGGATGTCGAACTAGATGCTTCAGCGCATGCCACGGCGCCGGCAGGTCCAGAAAGACGGCATTAGCTTTGGGAGATGCGCCCGTCTTAGGGTCACCCAGGAGAAACCCGTCTTCATAAACGTCCCGATGTGTCACCTCTACGAGCCCGTTTAGTCCATGCTGGTGCACCTCGTCTCGAATCTTATCCGCGCGTTGCGCGTGGAATTCAAAACTGCACACCTTACCCAGCTTCTTCTTCTTGTTCGCATGACGGCCCTCATCCGTCGCAGGGTGAGGATACCCGTTGAACACCGCGCGCACCGAAGCATGCGTGAAGGAGCCACTGCCCGCGCCAGCCTCGATGATCGTGCTCCCCGGTCGCACGCACAGGCGGTGGAGGATGTAGCTGTAATCTGGGGTATAGACGACCTGGGTGCGATGCGGTAGGGAGGCAGTCCAGAGCTCGGGGGTGGGATAGAGAAGATGTAGAAATCCGCGCGAGGCTGCGACGGGGACTTTCGGGGCCGATCTCTGGCCTCCTCCTGGGACGGGCGACGAGTCGACATCATCGGCTTTCCGCTTCAACTGCGTCTGATCCCTGCGACCACGCGCCCCCGTGTCGACCTTGGAGGCGACGATCTGCGACCCCCACGGTTGGGCGGCAAGCGTGCTATGTGGGAAGGAGCCGAATCGGGTGTTGACGACTTTTCCTTCGTCGTAGCCTTGGTCTTCGTCGTCGTGTAGTTGTAGCACGGCGGGGATGGTCTGGTCTCGACGGAGGTGGAGGAGGGAGAGACCGTCGAGTTGCGACTCGGCACCGGGTGTCAGGAAGGGGGAGGGCATGGTGACTGTGGATTGGAAGCTTTTGACGTCGCAATCTCAGTCGACTGACTTTGGCGTCATGGAGAAAGTTGATGAGGATCTAGACCGCTCTGGGCGGGTTAGGGCTTAGGGTTCTGGCTAAGACGATATCAGGCACCAATCTATCAGGCCACAAGGCTGCAAGGTACACTAGTATCACTATCTCCGATCACATGCGGAGAAAGCACATCAACAAATGCCTCTTCCCAGCATCATTGACATCTTGCATATCGGGGAGAGTGGACATAATCCACGGACTCTCCTTCTCCACCTCTTTCTCCGAACTCTACCATGCCACTATCTGGGGTAATCGGCACCCCCTGAATACTACTAATCACGGTGTCTCCTCGGCCACGGAACCTCGGTAATCGGGGATCCCCCACACCGCGGTTACTCTGCTCTTTGATCAAGGGCCAGCCTCATTTATAAAATAGTTCTGCCGTTATATCTCCTCCTGAATACAACTCGGTATCGAGAATCAATTAACAATCATGCCTTTCAATACAGAACTGACCCGGAGACTGGGCATCGAAGGTACCTCAGCTAGATCTATACCATGTGATAGGGACAACGCTAACTGACCACCACAGTGCCTGTGGTCCAGGGGGGAATGCAATGGGTCGGATACGCCGAGCTGGCAGCGGCTGTTAGCAACGCAGGAGGACTTGGAATTGTACGTCCACTCCATCAGGTCCCCTAGGACAGGAGGGGGGACGAACTATACAAACTAACCATTGCCTACAGCTTACAGCTCTCACACAACCCACCCCGGAGGACCTGCGCAAAGAGATCCGCAGATGCCGCACCTTGACCTCGAAGCCATTCGGGGTGAATATCACCTTGCTCCCTGCCTTGGTGCCCCCGGACTACGCCGCGTACGCCCAGGTCGTCATCGACGAGGGTATCAAGATTGTCGAGACGGCAGGTAACAACCCCGGGCCGGTGATCCATCAACTCAAGAAGGCTGGCACGATCATCTTGCACAAGTGCACAACGATCCGCCATGCCAAGTCGGCCGTCAAACTCGGGGTGGATTTCCTGTCGATTGACGGGTTCGAGTGTGCGGGCCACGTGGGCGAGAACGATATCACCAACTTCATTCTGCTGAGCCGGGCGCGCCAGGCCCTCAAGGTGCCGTTCATCGCGTCGGGCGGGTTCGCCGACGGGCAGGGACTGGCGGCTGCGTTGGCACTGGGCGCTGAAGGCATCAACATGGGCACTCGGTTCATGTGCACGGTCGAGGCGCCGATCCACCAGAATGTGAAGGAGACGATTGTGAAGGCGGACGAGACAGACACGGCGCTCGTGATGAGACGGTGGAAGAACACGACGCGGTTGTTTGGCAACAAGGTGGCCAAGGAGGCGCTGAAGGTGGAGAAGGAGAGCAAGTCGGACGAGTTCAGCGTGATTGCCCCGTTTGTCAGCGGCAAGAGAGGACGGGAAGTATTCTTGAACGGGGATGTGGACTATGGGGTACGCCTCTCCCTTTCTCTTGACTTGTTTTGTTGTTTGTTTTGCTAACGTGCTGTAGGTGTGGACTGCCGGCCAGGTGATCGGGTTGATCCACGATATTCCCACATGTGCGCAGCTTTTGACGCGCATCCAGAAGGAGGCGTTGGAGGCGATGCAGCGGACACGGTCGTTGTACGCGGCAACGGCGAAGCTGTAGTCCGGTTGCCCCTTGCATATATAGAGAGTATACTGTTCAGATATATATTACTTGCTACTCAGTGTATCCATGCATCTACATTTACCAATCGGACGGATGAGATATATTACTTCTGCAGAGCATACGTACAATTCAATATATAATTTCCACCGCGTATAGTTCGACCTTACTTAATCCTTGCATGTCCTCTATACACTATAATATACTATAATATACTATAATGTTTACTCCAATAACCCGAATACCTGGAGTCCCCAGATTGCATCCAATAAATATGCATGTATGCACCAGAAACACGAGCACCATGGAAACAAACCAAAACAACGTGTCGAGAGAAAGATATATAAACGTGCCACACAACCTATCCATCCATCAACATCAATGTCACCATGAATTGAAACCAAACAAAATGTGCACCCTTTCATTATCGACGATATTCTTCTCGTGTGTTCATCGAAAATCCAAATCCAAGTCGACAGAAGACATCGAGACACCACCTCCCGTTCCAGACAAAGAGCCAGACCTATATCATCCGGGTTCAGCATATATCTTGGGGGATGTATCGCGACAGACAGAAAGGGACAGGACTGGAGCTAGAAAACTGGTGAAGAAGTCGTCCATTCGTCTCGTAGAGAGGGATTCGGACTCTACTCTGATTTCGGAGTCCTATTCTCCTGGGATTAGGAATATTCCTACAGACACAGACACAGATACAAAGGGAGAGAAATATGATCCAGATCCAGAGATCCACGATCAAAACCAACACGAGAACATACCAATAGCGATATCCACACCCACCTCCCTACCGGAAATCAAGTCTCGAACAATCGAGGATATCCCCGAAGAAGACGAGAAAGACCCCCAGGAGAAAGACCTCACTGTTCTACCAAGGACAGATCTAGATCTTCATCCTCATCATGCCTCTCATTCGGATGGAGACCTACAAGAGCACACACAAACACAAATAACAAACCCATCTCATCGAACCTCGCTCATCGAAATGGTCTACTTTACAACCTCCCAACGACTCAAGCATCTCAGTCTGCGAGTTCCAAATCTACCATCAGAATCGTTGCGCATCCGCCCGTCTGTGTTGTCCATGCCGGAAGCGTCGAATTCAAATTCGGACCTGACAGACGCAAACAGAAAAATCAACCCAAACCGACGAATGGGAATCCTCCTTGGTAACGGTAATAAGTATATTTTTTGCTAAGAATGGAGTTTGGGGGTCTGGTGTTTTCCTTTGGTGCATATGGTCCATTCTGCAAGGGTTTCACAGGGTCATTAGGAATGTTGTATATTAACTGCATAATTCATTGTAAGAGGTTCATCTGAGACAACGAAGGAGAAGAATAGAAAGACTACAGTCTAATGCACTAAAATATATGCGAAAGACTGCGCCAAAAAATGACGCCAAGAATAAAGGAACAGAACAGACTTCTTTCGATGCCACACAACCCATAGGTAATGATACACAATTGCCAGAGTTTCCAATCTACGCCATCGCCATGGACCTGATGCGGATTCCTTACACCAAGCCCATCGAAACCAACAACCTAGAGGATGGAACCAAGAGCAATGCAAGGAAGACCGAGACCGATGAGGTCGTCGCTCTGCGAGAATTAGCACATAATCAATATACTTTTTTCTAAAAAAGAAAAACTTACCGCATCGGAAGGCGAGTTCTGGCAGCAAGCAATGTTTTGCTTGCACTGCTGGTTGAGGAGGTCCTGCAGACCAATCGCAATAATATTGACCTGGAGCGGAAGCTTGGAGCACTGGTCAAAGAGACCGATACCCTCGCTTCCGGAGCCAGCGCCGAGGAGATTGCTGAGCGCACCGGCGAGGATACCGTCATCGATAGTGGTGGTATCGCCGGCATAGGTGGCCTTGTTGCAGCAGGACAGCTGAGCCTGGTCACCACACTTCTCGGAGGCTTGCTTGATGGTCATGTCCGCGGGGACAGGGAACCGGACGTCGTTGTTGCCCTTGTTACCCTTACCATTGCCAACGCCTTCTAGGTCGCTGTGGGAAGAAACGTCACCGGGTGGAGGCAGAGCGGCAACGGTGGTGGCCAGAGCCAGGACGGCAGCGGTCAAAGAGAACTTCATTTTGATAGGAACGAGTGAGTACTCGAGAGGGTATATATGAATTAAGTAAGAGAAAGTATGTATAAACGGTCTTGGAGTCTGTACGGAAGGAGAGACCTGAGCGATCAACGAGAGTACGCTGGAGAGGATGAGAAAGGATGGAAGGAGGACTTGACATTCATCGGCCTTATATAGACGACGGTGGAGGCTGTTTTCCCACTCCTCGTCGTCACGGACTAGGGTGCCCCTGTGGAATGCGACACGCAAGGCACTGAACTAACTCCCTGGTATGGATCTTCTCTCATGGGTGGAGCTGGCGGATTCCGAGACATGCCGGATGTGTTTGGGGGAGGGAGCAACGCTACTGTCTCATTCCTTGTTCCTTGGTGTTGATAGGATGGCTATGGGAGTGGATCCTAGTTATTTGACTGTACTGTACTTCACTGAAGGATCTAGTCATCCGGTCCCTTGGTTGAAGCTTTGCTGTTTCCCAAGGACCCTCGTAAATCCTACATGGCCTCCATCACAGATCTCCTCTGCAGATGTCACGGAGGATTTCTGGCCAAGGTTGCAGCTCTGGGGTGTTGCATGCTTGGATCGGCAAGGGAGGGCACTGTTCCCCTTGACAGTCCATGTGGACAGAGGTTACAGTAAGGGGCAGTGGACTAGTGGTTCAGGTCATTTCCGAATGCAGGGGTCAGATGGTGGATTGTTGCTTTTGAGATTTCCGTTTTCACTTCGGTGGCGAGTTTATCTCCATCCATGGAGATTACCTGGATGTCAGGTGGGAGTGGCCAGTCCACAGAGCACGTTACAGTTAGCCAGATGGATTCACAGTGAACGGCCTGTGAAAAGATGCGGTGGGATAAAAAGATCTATACTTTTTACTCTAGAATGACAGAGGTCTGTCTCGTCTATCCACGAGTCAACACCATGAACTGTAAACATCCCTTCAACATACCTTCGACCCAAGGGATGATGGGCGGTGGGATTGTGGCGCCATTTTTGCTGAGATTTGGCGTTGTTACAGTGATGAAGTTTATTTGGATATATTAGTGTTCATGTGTTAATTCTTGATATTGTAGAGTCGTATCATAGTGGGGGTATAGATCTAGGTATGACAGTTAGGGCTGTATATTAGTAGTATGTATAAATTTAGCAGGGTTATATGAGACAATTGGTAGAGATCATGGGCATCAGCGTACAAATACGTATATCTGAACAGCTGAATATAGTATGCAGTAACCATTTAGCAGGATATATATTGCCTTATCTTCGTTCTGTGTCGAACCGATATCAGACAATATTCTGTATGATGACCCCTGTCCTGTACCAATAAACCCTACCCCATCCTCATCATCTCCACAAGTCCAACCATAAGACAAGCAATAGAACCAAATGGACCAGAGGGAGAATGAATAACGACCTACCGAAAACGGTACTCACGAATCCGGCACCACCGCTCATCATCTTACCGAAGATGCAGTTCCAGTACCACCTGCCGGAATAGGAACAGGTCTGCTGGTCTAGAGGGGTCTAAGGATTAGCTCTGGGGAAAGATTTGAGGAGAATATGACATCTTGCGTGACGTATGTCCATGTGTAGAGAATGCTGAACTGCGACAGACTGTATGATTCGGCAGATGACCCGATTTTAAGTGATTCACTCGTCCTTTCCCAGAATCAGAACCACTGTATCGTATCTGAATCGAATGACCATGAATTTCCGTAGAATTAAATCCGTTATGTGTTGCTTCTGAGTGGAGAAATACTGCAGACTTACTGCGATGTAGATGGGGAAGAGCAAATGTAGCTTACTAAGATATTACTAACAGTCTAATTCGTCACGCGGATGAATCGAATCCATCGTGCATAATACTCCAGACTCTATATTCTCGATGGCCAAGTCCCCGGAGTGCTAATCCAGAATGTCCACTCCCCAACACGCCGCGGACAGCCCTTCGGGGTCTCCGTCCGGACCATCCACAGAGAGAAAGGAAAGCAGTCCAGAGAAACTAGAGCAAGAAGCCCAGGAGACGGAGTCAGAAAAGAAAGCAGTACAGGAATCAGAAAGGAAAGCAGAGCCCGAGTCGGAAGAGAAAAAAGATGGAAAAAATCAAGAACAGCAAAATGATAATGATGATGATAATGATGATGATGATGATGAAAGCTCCGATCCTCCACTTCCGAACGAAGAACCCCCTCCTCTACCTAACGAGGCTCCCCCCGGCGAGGATGACGGCTGGGAACCCGTTTGGGACCCCTCCGCCCAAGCCTACTACTTCTACAACCGTTTCACCGGCATATCCCAATGGGAGAACCCGCGTGTTCCATCAGAGGGAGTCGCGGCCGCGGCACCAGCTGATGCCGCAGTCGACGCAGAAGACGCCGACCCGTCCCTAGCATCTAGGAAACCAGCTGGCGTGGCCGGTGGGTACAATCCCGCCATCCACGGTGACTACGATCCGACAGCGCCGTACGCGCAGCCGTACGAGGAGCCATCGACGTCGATGTCGACGGGGGTGGCAGCGGCGGCGGCGGCGGCGGCGGCGGCGTCGGCCGGGGTGCCGGGGATGGACCCGACGGGGTCGTATGCGGCGGTCGGAGCGTTCAATCGGTTTACGGGACGGTGGCAGAGCGATGCGCAGAACCCGGAACTACATAATGATGACAATAAGTCGCGACGGCAGATGTATGCGTTCTTCGATGTGGATGCGGCGGCCAATAGTCACGATGGACGCAGTCTGCGGGCGGAGCGCAGTGCGAAGAAGCTGAGTCGCAAGGAGCTGAAGATGTTCAAGGAGAAGAGGCGCGAGAAGAAGGAGGAGAAACGACGGGCATGGTTGAGGGATTGACGATATCATGTTACGCTAGACTATTACTGTATATTATTATTTATTATTCGACTCTCTATTGTCGTAGACGACAAGCCTGGAGTAATGTATAGGATCCACATGTCACCTGACCGGGCAAAGTTCTCGTCCGCGGAGAGCTTCAATCATCAAGAACACTGCATTTCCCACCTCTGATTCTGATTGATTATTATTCTTGTTTAGAAATCCCATCGGGAGTTATCCGCAGTCCATACCGCGTCTTATATTTCGACGCGACTTGAATCAGACCGATCTGAGGGGCACGCGGGGTAGATCATCTCTCTAATTCAGAAATAACCCATCACTAACAATAAATATAGACAGATAAATAGAGTATAGAAAATGCTGACCCTTCCCCCCGACACAATCGACGATCTCATCTACGACGCCCGCGCCGGCGATCTCCCCTCATTACGAGAGACGCTGACGAGTCTGAGCCAGCAACACGCCTGCAGCGTATCTGATCTCGTGGCCGTCGCGATTGACGTCGCGCCGGAGGAAGAAGGTGGAACAGGATGTTGTTTGTTGCATTATCCGGCTGCGAATGGGAATTTAGGTACTCTTCCCTTCTTTCTTCAATCCAGAGACTAGACCGATATAAGATGATACTAACAATATATAGAGATCCTAACATACCTCCTCCAAACCTTCGATGACTTGACGAAATCCAAAATCATCAACCATAAGAACCATTCCGGGAATACGCCGTTGCATTGGGCGGCACTGAATACCCATCTGGAATGTGTCAAGGTCTTGGTGGATGCGGGCGCAGATATCACCCTGACCAATGATGCTGGGTTAGATGCGGTGTTTTTGGCCGAGAGGGCAGATTGGTCTGGCCAGGAGGTGAAGGACGGCAATAAAAATGATAATGATAATGAGAATACTGCTTCTGGGACCGAGGCCGAGGCTGATGTTGAGATGGAGACTGCGGCCGAACAGGCGCCTCCGTCGAAAGGTCGGCAAGTGGTTGAGTGGTTGTTGGCATCGGAGAAGGGAGGTGAGCTTGAGAGTGGTGTGGGTGGACAGGAGGAGGATGAGAAATGAGAAGATTTAGTCAAAAGTTATTTTTTATTGAATATTCCAGCTTTCATGTACAGGTTCATCTTCATTCATTCATCTTCATGCATTCATCTATCATGTCTATCGTCTAATCCTGTCGTACTTTGCTGCCGTCTGCCTCTGTCTGATCAATCTCTCGCACTTTCATGTCCAATCCTACGCGGAATCGTCGATCTCGCCATGTTACCGTGACACCGCCATAAAACGCAGTCAGCCAGATCGGAAGGGCCAACATCTCTCGCCCCAGCCATGCTGTGAACCACTGCCCGAATGTCCGTCGGGTTATGCCCCCTCGAGGGGTTCGCGCAAAGGATGGCGTGTCCGCGTCCAGTTCCACAGTCTTGGCCGAATGAAGCTTGATGTACAGCGTCCAGTCGAGAAGGATCCATGCCACGATGCTGAGACAGAAGCACGAGACGAATGCCGTCCAGGTCGTCAAATGTACCGCATTGGCGTATCCCTTCGCCATCAGCCACTGCGCCAGAGATGTCGTCACCCCCCAGGAACCGTACAGTGAACACAACATCGACTCCGTACCCGGCTCCACCCAGGTCGCGAGGAGTACCGTGAACTTGCGCACACGCAGCCAACGCACCCGACGCGCTATGTACGACTCCACGCTCATATGGGCCACAGGCTGAAATGCAAGATCCCCGAAGACCATGCCATGCTTGCCTAGTCGCTCCCCCTGCTCCCTCTCTTCCGGTACTGCATTCTTCCACAATAAGTCGCCAAACAGGTGGTCCTCACAGATGTTGTCCGAGAAGTAATCGATGCCGGGGTTTCGCCTGTGGGGATCCCCTGACGACGGAGCCGTCAAGTAGTCCAAATGAGACCGTCGGAACATGTTGGATTTACCCACAATGCACGGCGCAATCAGCACCGTGTTGATCGCCGTGTACATCTTGGCGTGCGAGGACGAGAGAAACAGCTCCTCCAACCGGCCCCCGCCCATCGCAAGAACCCCCTCGACGTCAGCGGCCTCTGCATTATAACCCAGTTCACTCGTCACGTCGACCACGACGGGGAGGTGATGGACGAATTTGTATTTCTTGCCGTAGTGAACTCCGAACCCGCACAGTCGGTCAACCATGCGTCCGCAAACCCCCTTGCCGACCCACACATTGCAGTCGATAATCCAGACGATATCGCCCTTTGCTTCGCGGTACGCCCGACTCATATTCCGGATTTTCGGATTGGGGCCAAGGCTGTAGGCGGATTCGTTGCCGGGCTGGAGCAACGGATCCTCCTCTTCCACGTAGAGACGCGCATTGGCATGAGGGAAGTCCGACACCAGTTTCTGAAGGGTTGGGTACGCAGTATCTTTTCGGGAGGACACGCAGAGGCAAACGGTTAATCGGTCGCGCGGGTAATTCTGACGGAACGTCGAGGCTAGGCAATCATACAGATGTGGCTCTAGGCCTTTGATGGGGCGAATGACTGTGACATGAGGAGCGTTTGTTGCGTCGGAGGCGGAATGAGAAGGTCGAGGGCGTTGTAGGAAGTATCGGCATCTGATACGTGTCAGCTGGGAGATGCTCTAGAAGGGACAGGAAAAAATCTAAAAATAAAATACATTTGGATGTAGCCTAAAAAACAGACGGACACCACAGTAGTATACCAGACCAGGCAAATCCAGCCCACCACGACGGAGAATCCACCGTCAATGGCCGGTCCAGAATCAAGGGGAAAACGCGGCTGAAGCTTTAGCATAGGCAGACACGTCGAGTGGCTGGAATGCCGAGGAATGAGAAAGAAGACAAAGAAATACAAAGAAAGGAAGGAAGAAAGAAAGATCAGGCGGCGACGAAGTCGGTCGGCGGGTGATGGGCCGGAAAGGGAAATCCAAGTCGCTTCATTGGCAAAACGGAACTACGGAGTAATATAGTATAGTCCACTCTAGACTAGCAGGTTTACAGGGTAAAAGCATATTTACAAAATCGGAATTACCGTGATCCAAAACAACCAGAATTCTTTTCGGGAATGTCATGTTGCCCAACAATCGTTAGAAAGACCTGGTCGAGAGTGATCTGACTGACGGAATAATATTGCAGGCTCAGAAGAGCCTAGTACTCTTCCAGACAAGAGAAGGGTTGCCAACGCCAATTCACCACGGGTCGGGTAATCTCTCTCAACCGTCGAGGACTCATCATCCCTGTCCTCAGAAGCCGGAGTGCTAAATCGCAGTTGAGCGTGATATGTCTTCTGTTCAATGAACGTGTATGGGGATTTTGTCCTCATCCAGTCGCGGATGCATTGCATCTCGGCCTCTGTTGTGGGGGCCGCATATGCATGCACCAGATGGACATGGTATATGTCTCCGTACTTGGACCGGAGAAAGCCTGTGGTCCCCAGAGCGAGCGCGGTGCGCCAAAGCGACTGCCTCTTCCATGGAATGGGTCGTGAGCCCATCATGGCGATGCCAAGGGATAGCTTGCGCTTGTTGCTGCCGGGGAGTTTGGCGGCCATTCGGTGCTAGAAAGGGATGAGGCCGACGGTGCGCATGACTTCGTTTACATTGTGTGTGACGTCGTGAATGTCTCGAATGCGCGCGTAGTAGAACGTCAGGTGCTTGAGAACGGTCATTTGATCCACGGCGTCAAATTGAGGACAGACGCCTAGACAGGAGCGCACCGCTGCGAGGCGCTGCAACACGGAAATGCTGTCGACGAAGATGTCTCCGCCGTTGCGGTGGAGGGGGGTTGGACGCCGCCTCGGAGGAGGGAATAATGGTCTTTCCGGCATCATTGGGGCCCAGGAGCGCAAAGAGATGGCCGTGAATTTTTTGAAGGACTTGGTGAGATGAAGCACTTGCAGTCCGTCGTCAGAGTTGGTTACCCTGGCCATTTCCTTGACGATATCTTGGTCGACGGGGTCTTTTCGCTGTCGTTGGTCTTGGATATGGTCCGGAAGAAGCAAAAACCGAGCACTGCCGTCAATCCAACGAACCAGCCCGAATAGCACGAAGGACCGCATGATCAAATAGAGAATGTGTCCCCCATAGAGTAATTACACGGGATAAGACGCAATTTCCCGACCCCGACACAGGATGGAAAACGTGTTCATCGAAACAAACATAACGGGGGGCAGGTTCCTAGCTGGCGATACAATGCCGATGGTGAAATGGGCAACCTCGAAGTGCTCGATCCTGACTGAAGGGGAATAGGTCAACACCGACATATAGGCGATGAACGGCTTGCGCGTCCATCGGGTTAACTTTGATGGAAGCCAGATCCAGACGGGCGACTATAACAAGAAATCGGATAAAAACGATCAGACCAATTAAGACGCTGTACAGCTTTCCATGGTACACTGTATGAAGAACTTGGGAGAGTCTTTGTTAACATTTTTTGAGTGTGTGGGAATTACCGTTGACACCGAACATGGCAAGACTGAATGGACCTAGAAGGGTACCGGTAAAGCAGGCCAGAGACGAATTTTCTGAGCCAATGTCGCCATGCCCTTTGGTGGGACGACGGCGGCGGCTACGCGGTATGATACCGAGATATTCTTTGATAACCTGCCGGAACGATTGATCCGGAGATTGACTCTGAGAATGAAGCCACTGAACTGACCGGGGGGAATACCCATTCGGAAATTCAGTCAATCAGGGATACGTTGGGAGCAAGAGACAGGAGTCAGGTCGCCGAAATTCACAATCCTAACGAGGCATCTGCATGAGGTAAGGTTGTCTGATGACCTCGACGCTGGGTTCTCACTGACGTGCTTCACATAGGCAATTGGTCTTCGCATAGACGGAAGGAACAAACATAATATCTACTTGTGGACTTGGGCGGATCGTTGTATCGCTCTGGTCTGCAGGGTGAAGACAAGACGATTATCGACAGCGGCAAAGCAACTTTACAGGACTTGCCTTGGCTCATCTCAATTAATTATTGTCTATTCTTATTAGACCGTTCTTGTTATCAATACAGTATGAATTCCTCGAGTTAGTTAGAATTTTTGGAAAGTTAGCATTTAAGTAGCCAAATGAACAGGATTGATTGAACCACCATATTCGACTGACCAAGCCTTATATTGGTTTCTATCCGAAGTTACAGAAAATAAACAAGCCGTTAAGTTCCATATACATGTGTAAATAATAATACAATCGCCAAATGCAAGAATCCCGCTGCGTATCACCTCCCGATCACCGTTTCTGCCGCTGTCCCCGTCCCTGTTGTCCCCGCTGTCCGGAAAGAGCAGACTTCTGTCGGAGGTAGTTCGACACGATGTTCTCGACGCTGCGCATGTCATGCTTGGGCTTCCTGCAAATTGAAAACATAAACGTTAGTCAATCCTTAATGAGAGAACCAAAAAAATGCCACTTGGAAATATGTACCTCATGTAGTACAACCGCGCGCGTCTCTTTCTCTTCTCGGATCTTTGTACGATCTCAACACTCTCGACGTTAGGGCTGAACACCTTTACCCACATCTCCACACCCACCCGGGTGAGTTCATTTCGCAGCAGGAACGAGGTATCAATTCCACGCAGGCGTATGCTCAAACACACCCCAGAGAAGGGGTCCCCGTTTTTTAACGTCACACGGAGGATGTCTCCGACTTTAACACTGCGGTGGTTCCTTCGGTAGTCGAAGAGCGCTTTACGCTCACCGGTAGGATCCAGAGTGGTCAATTGAGTGTCTACTACTGCTGCCACGGGATCTTTGCACGTCGCACGAGTCGAAGCTGGTGGGGGATAGACCCTGAGTTTCTTGCGTCCTGTACGAACTCAAGTTAGACGTATATCTATCTTTCTTTCCTTTTGTGGAATAGAAAATGAATGCATACCAAAAGTAGGCTGCATCCGAGGTGGTAACTGTGAGAGCAATGATTTGGGCATTTTCGTAGGAAGAGGCATTTGTTCTGGTTTCGGCGAATACTTTGTCGTGATCGATCGTCGACTGATCTGGGATGGCTTCAGCACCAGAGGCTTCATGAACGACCTGAAGTAGCCCAGCTGCCGCATAACTGGAGAAAAGGCCGCCATGACCGCAGGACGAGTTGGGTGTGAACGTGCAAATCGAACAATAGTACACGGTACAGAAGAACTGAACTGGAGGACTAGAGGTTGATCCGACCCGGCAGAATTTCCGCCAAGCCGCGAATTGCCTGTTTGGGCCATCCTCTAAAGAATCACCAAGTTTTCTGCCGCTAGTCGATGAAGCTGACACTTCTCTTCATCTGGATCTGACGTTAGCCGGGAGAAAGTGCCCGTACAATTTTATACCCCGGCATAGACGTTTACACCCCTTGAATTTGCGACCAGGATGGCGCAGATAACCATTCGCAGTCTCTTCCGCGGCCAGAGTTCAAGCGCTCTCCGTCAATTGATCGGCGCCATTACTCAGAAGCGCAGCTACTCGAAGAATGGTAACTACCTAATATTCTCTATACTTGACTCCCGGTCTTCAATCCGATGCAGTGGGCTGATTTTGATGACACAGCAATTCCCACCTTCTCCCCAACATCCTCCCCTGAGCTTGACCAGGCCTTTAATCGCTTCCGGGAAGAACTCTTCATACCATTTGGACTGGGAACCTCGCAACGAAAGACGATGTTCAGGCAGAAATACGCTCAGAAGCTAGAAGAGGAACCTGTGTCCGTAGCCATTGGTGAAAATAACGAAACATTCCTCCTACGGCCCATGGACCCGCAATCGAGACCGACGAAGGAGGAAATTGTGGACCTGATCTCCATGATGAAGACAACAAACGATTGGCAGAATTTACTCCCCTTCTTATCTGGACTACGGATGTCGAATCGACGTCTTAACCCCAATCGTTGGGAGTGGTTGGTGCGCAAGGCCGGACAGGCCGATGCGCTGGGAATTGTCCTAGAGTGCGCCAAGCAGCCAGAGCGGACGAACCTTCGCCTCAAAAATGTCGGGTTTGTTCAACGCTTGTTCTTTGAACTCCACCGGATGGCCCAGATAAGGGAGTTCAAGGATCCAGCCGTCTCGAAGGCCCTGAGCCTAGCGAAACAGTTTGTCTCTCTCATGGAGGCCCCCGAGCACATCGAACGCAATCCGGAGCTGGACCCTAAGAGGAAGCCGGTGGTTATCGGGACGTTGCTTGAACTCAGTGCTGCTCGATCCTTGAATGGACTTGAGGGGAAGGACGAGAACGGCGATGTCCTCGCCTTTGCCCAGCGTTTATTGGGAAGCTGGTCCCTTGGCAACTTCAATAGTGAAACTAAGCAATGGGTCAAAGTCGACCACATGCTCCAAGAAAACGTACCCATTTACAATGGAATGAAGCTTGCCCTGCAAGTGAACGGAATCTCAAATAATAAATCGGTTGCTCCGGGGCTGAAGACACGCATTAACGAGCTGGGCACTTTAATCGCGAACCAGAAGAAAGCAGCACCCGAGCATATCAAGCAGCGACCAACGATCGGGTTCGCACAAAGTCAACTTTTACATTAGGGTTAAAGCCGTAGGTTTTACTCTCTGCATTGTCTATGAAACTGTACATTACTACCTTGAACGTTCGGGTCTGTATCTTATCTGAATTAAATGGATGCAATCTTCTTTCTCTCATAGAGTATAAGCGACATTCGACGTTTCCACCTTACTAGCTTGCATCTTCATCGAATCTTAATTTCACTTCATCAAAGGGACATACACCAAAAGAAATAGCAGTCGTAAAATCCGAACTGACGGTAAAAACACTCAATTAATCATTTTTGAGCAATCTTAGGCTAATTCCAGCGTATTGTCATCACGAATGCGACCTTGGGCGGGCAACGTTGTCTTGCCGGAGATAACGGCAGGGCCGGCCACGGTAATCTGTTGTAAACCATCAGCATAAATAGAGAAGTGCGCAACGTACAGAAAACAGCTATCACATACTTGTCCCTCAGGCTCCTTGTCCTCATCCACACCAGTTAAAAGAATCTCGACGCTGCTTAATGGGGCTCCGAAGGGGCTGGACCCATTGAAACGTCTATAATCGAAGAGGTTTGTCTGAGAGACGGCGCCTGCAATCCCTGGTCCAGTTAATGCGTACACAGTGCGAGCGCCGGTTAAAACCCTCAAATCCGTCAGTTGGTCGAAAGTTAGGCGAACTTCACGGTCTGCGTCAAACCGATGGGAGATGCACAACAGGCGAAGTTTATCCAGCGACAGTTCAGCGGTTGGGCCGACTGTAGCTAGTTGACTCACCAAACCATGCGATGGCATGGTGCCAGCATCAAGATCCCTCACATGCCACCAGCGAGCCAGCGAAGTAATGATGCCGGAATTTGGTTCCATAAACTGGTCATGATAGTGGGCCATGGTGCGCGAAGATGCAACGATAACAGTAGGAGACACCCCCACAGTGGCGAGGGCGAAGTCGACACTTTCGCCAGCGACGGAATTGACAGCAATGGAGGCGTTTGAATACAGAGCAGCCATGATTTGGCACAAGGGATATGACCGGGAGAGTGAGTCAATAGAGAGCACCAGATCGGTGGGACCGAACCGTTGGTTTCGAGGCAAAGAGAAAGTCAAGCCAGCGATACCGGAGATTAAATTCTGCAGTGGCTATCAGCAGTGAAGATAATAACAGGCGATGAAAGCGTACCTCTGGCTTATACTCAACGAAATCGCCTGGTCCTGACTCGGATGTCCAAATGGTAGTCAGGGACGGGGTAGGGGAACTGGGGTCCCAGCTAGGAACATCCAGCCCAGCCAAATTTTTCTTTTCTTCAATCAACTCGTGCCAGACCTTGACTTCCAAGCTGCTTTTAACATCCTCGGAAACATCGTTCCAGTCCATATGTCTGCTTCCCAGCTTTGCAACCCAAATAACTCGGCGAAGTTGCTTGTTTTCCTTGGCCACATAAGACAAATCAAGAGCACCGGCCTCAGCGATCAGGGCTTCGGCCTGAGACTTTTGCAAAAGTGCGGATAAAGATTCCGGGTCGAGGTTGTGCGGAATGATGATTATTTTGAAGTCGTAGAAAGCACCAGCTGATTCAAGACTTGGTTAGTACGAAGTAGCTAATCAATGGTAGGTAGCGTCTAACCAAATATCGCAGCCAAAAGCTCAACCGAGTCTGTAAGACAGATTGCAACGGTTTTCGTTTCACAGGATTGCAAATGGTGACCGATAATGTTAATATCCTGGGTTACTTGATCCAATGAGTGCTCTATTGCCTTCCTTCCAAGCACCGTGTAGATCTTGCCCTGCTTCCCGGAGCTCTGGCCATTCTCATCGACTGCACCGCGTACAGCAATTTTCCAGACATCACGAAGATCTCCTCTCCTTCCGCTGGTCCATTTCGGAGCCCCAGGGTCCTTCACGTTCAGTCCGGATCTGAGGGGAAAGCCATGTGGAGTCTCGAGGCTCCTATAACTTGAGGACTCGCCAGGTTGGCGTACAGGAAAAGCGGACGACTGACGGGCAAGTAGGAAAGGGTGGATATCAGGCTCCTTCGAGGAGAGGAAGGAGAGGACCACGAAGGCCACGATGGCACCTGCAATCGCGGTCGTATATATGTTCCAGTCAGCTAGAACATCAGATATCAAGGCATCCAGCTTCGCCACTAGCGATGTTTCCAAAGCCATATTTAGAGGTTAGTATCTCGCGACAATATGCAATCACATAAGACAGTAAATAAATGAGTGAATTGGTTGCGAAAGGATCCCAGCCCTTACAGAACCAGGCGGAAGTAGTTGAGTAACACAACGCGGTGACGTGAGAGGGCTGAGTTGCTGCGGAACGGTGGGGGGTAACTAACTAGGCCGAGTTAGTGGAATGGAAACTTTCAATGCGCCTGTTCCGTTGCTAGTGAAGGAGCTGCTTGGATCGTCAAAACAATTGCTTGTCCACCACCACTTCGGAAGAGCTCGCTGTTCATCTCGTTATGACAATGGAGTTTCCTGGATCTTTGTTGTAGAACGAGACCAGTCTATTACTCCCAAATGTCCGCGTGACAGTCTCCAGCTAAACACTGCTGCAATTCTTTTTACAGGTAGGTTCAACGATTGTCTCTTTCTCGTCAAGGTACGTTGTTCCACTCCTTATTATGTCTACAGCAGTGGGATAGCCGATACTTATTTTTCTTAGTCTTGTTTTTTCGCTTGTTTTGTTTGCGTTGTTGTGAATGCTTCTATGGCTTCTGTATCCCTCCCCTCTACCCCTAGAGCAGCCTCTGCGCCTGCTCCTACCCCCGACGACACTCGCACACCTGGAAAGTGGCGCCATCCTCATCTGAATGAGATCGTCCGGCGTCAGAATGCTGGAACATTCGGGGATCACAACGTCAAACGGCTTGTATGGAATGTCGCGGCTTTAATTGCGACGTGGGGTTTCGGGAACACTTTCAAAACATAGTGAGCAAATCCAAGTCCGAACTGTTAATCTATCCAGTGATATATGTTTCTAACTTGGTTACGTGTAGTTGTCTTCGACTACAGAGCATTAGCAATTACTCTACATATCCCGACCTTTCGCTCCTCATTTTGCAACTGATCTTCCTTCTGAACATACTTGTTGCCCTCTATCCTCTCTTTCGACCAAAGGACGACCTCTCCGATATTCCTCTTACTCCCACGCAGCGCTCCCTCCTGGGGCTTGACCCGTCTGCCACGCCCCCGCTAACACCGGGCACGACATACGTCACCCCACCAAAGTATCGGCTTTCTGCGTCGCGGACAGCAAGCTCAGCTGGCAAGGCTACATCTGCATCACCTCTGTCAACAAGTGCCAGCGCTTCCGGACGTCGACTGTCCTCCGGCACACCGTTCTCCCCTTCCAGCAGCCCATTGTTCCACAAAGCTGTTTCGAACGGGGGCAAAGACAGTGGACGGCGGCCCAGCTTTGGGTCGTTATCACCACTGGGGAGGAGTTCGCCGTTCGCAGAGTCTAGCATTGGACCGGCCACTCCTTCCCCTGTAGGTGGCAAGCGTGTGAGTTTGGGATTGAGTAACAAGTGGTTGTATGAGCGGAGTAGGCGACTGTCGGCCAGCAATGGTAGTTTAAATTGACTTTATTGGTGTTGGACTTCAAATTATTCTCTATATTTTGGGAGGGGGGCGACTATTACCTAGATTACTGAGTTACTGGGCTCTTTTAAAGACAGCGTTTGTTTCAGATTTAGAGCCAATTATATTATTCCCCCATTGCTTCGTAATTTTCAAGAGAGATGGGTTGAAAATTGCCATAAATAATAGTCAAAAAGATGAAACTAATGGAGTAGAATAGTTGCATCAAAAGAACTTGAATGGTCAGGGAAAGGGAAAAATGAAAACATCCAACCAGGCCAAGCACATTGTCTAGAGCGAATCTCCGCGGCTTAAACTGTTCCCGCAATTGTGCCAACGATAACCAAAGAACGAGAACGCCAACATACCCCTTCTGGCTACTGAGACACTCCCAGATGCAATCTACGTCCACCCTATAGTCTGAACTTATTCTCAATTTGCAAGACTACTCTATTGCATGAGGCACATAGTCCCGTGAATAGCGTCGGTGGCTATTATGGGTGCCTCAGAGTCAAAGTTGGTCTTCAAGCAGGGAATCTTCCGTCTGTCGGAGGAGAGGGATATCGCTGCAGAAGATCCTTATTGGGCTAGGGTTTGTTTCTTCCCCCTTATAATGTCCTGTAAAAGATAGTCCTACCCGCTGACACTCGTGCGGTAGTTCTGGGAGCTCCCAGAGTCGACAGAGGATGTCTTCAGTCTGTTCACCCCCGCAGATATACGGCGGACTCGCGATCATGCATTATCGAATTTCGAAACGCTCTTGCTATCAATAACTTCTCGCCTGACTATCCTGAAAAACCATCCTTCATTTCCAGACCCTGAACTTGCCCCCGACCGTGACGCGCTCAATTGCATCCGCATCCTCACCCGGATCCTGCCTTTCGTTTACGAAGCTGATTATTTAGTGGAATGGGAGGACAAATTCTTTTGGGGGCGTCGCAGGCGAAAGACGAGGGAGGCACAAGTGGCAACTGAAGTCTTATTTGATGAAGCCCAGGCGGAGGAAGCACGCGATGAGACATCGCCTCGAGCCAACGAGTACGAGGAAAGGAAACCCCTGGCCGAGGAGCTGATTGACACTTTATTGGATATGCTCTTTTTTACGGACTTCACCATCCCTAAGCTGTCTACGGCAACCAGCAAAGTCTCTTATTCGATCTGGCAGAGTGGGGTTGGCTGCAATACCTCCATGGGGTCCAGCAAAGAACTGGAGAACAACCGCTGTGAGGTACTTAGGCTATTGCTCACATTGACAGGAAAGGCTATGTATATGCCTTCCAGTAAGTGTTGATCCTCTTTATTGGCGATGTTTTTACTGACAGTGTCCTAGGTTTATTGCCGGTACAGGGTGTGAAGGCTGTTACGTATATTACAACCTGTACCGACAAGCAGGCCGTATTAACGCTACTTTGCTCACTGCTAAACACGGTATGTGCTAGAGGATTTTAACCATGGTGTCTGGATTATATACTCACACAACAGGCCGTCAAATACAACCCTGCTTCGTGGAGAGTCCCCTATGACCATGTTGTGTGGAAGGACCCCAAGCAGATCCTGGTTATATACTGTCTGCAACTCCTTCTTGTACTTCTGTTATATCCAATCCCTGAAGATGGGCGAGGAACTCCACCGAAGAACTATTACCGGCACTATTTTGGAAGGTTACACAGGCCGCAGGACTTCCAGTTCCTTGTGGATGGCATGACAAGGATTTTGAATCAGCCCGTAGGTCAAATTTTCCGTAATGTGATTCCACATGCTCACTCTGCATTGATAGATGCAAGCGACCACGTCCTACCTTCCTGGCAGCCAAAAGACAGTTAAATGGGCACCTGAGATGTTGATTCTCTTCTGGGAAGCCCTGCAATGCAACAAACGATTCAGGTCGTTTATCATTGACTCGAAACGCTCACATGATTTTGTCATCCTCTGCATATTCTACGCTATCGAGTATAAGTCCGACCCTTCTAAGCAAGGCGTGGTTCGAATGTGCATATTTATATTGCAGACAATGAGCGTTGAGCCTAATTTTGGAAAGAGTCTGAATATGAAGTTCGAGGCCCAAGACACTCTCCCTCTAAGCATCCGTATTCCTGGCTTTAAAGGATCTTATGCGGATTATCTTATCATGGTGCGTCTTTTCCCTACTTGTAGTCGTGAACCCGCTGACCTGTGTAGTCCGTTCATACGTTGATCACAGCAAGCAAAGGCAAACTGACTGCTGTCTATTCAGCACTTCTAGCAATCATAAATAATATAGCACCCTATGTGGAGCGTCTATCACCGCCGGCGTGCTCCAAATTACTGCAGCTCTTCTCGTCGATGTCTGCGCCTAGCTTCTTATTAGCCAACGAGTCGAACCATGCCCTTCTGGCCTCTGTGCTTGAGTCCATCAACTCTATTCTGGAGCATCAGTTCACGAGTATGACGTCGATTTCTATTCTAATTACGAGAGAACATTCGCTGACTCTTCGTAGATAATCCTTTTTTGTTGTATGCGATCCTGAAGCATAGAAGGCGCTTCGAGGCGGTTCGGGAGTTTACACTTGAGAGCGGACAACAGGAAATAGAGCGCCAGAATGAGAGAAGAAAAGCTGAAAATGGATCTAATGACTTGACTTCCAGCCCAGCCCTTTCCGCAGCTGACGAGGACCCCTATGCCTCCTCCGGAGCACGGTCACCGCTGGGCCGCATCCCTGAAGAAAATAGTCCCTTCGCAATAGGCGGAGATGATTCTGATGACGAACAGGAAGGGCAGAAAACACCAGCGAACACATCGCCGTCTGTCCAAGGCTCCCGGAGACCTTCCATGTCATCATCAGTTATTGATGAGAGTGTTCCTCTACAACTGCGAGGCATGTCTGAAAAGGCGAGAGGAAAAATGCCCGCTGGGCAGCCGTCTTTTTCCCGGCAGAACAGCATGACCAGTCAGAGTAGCTTGTCGGTAGCGCTCCAGGCGTCTCCCAATAATGGTTTTACTCCGACAGCAGCGTGGGTGAGTTTTGACGCAACCCTACTATACGCATACTCTACGGTACTGACAGCACAACCTTCAGCTCGAGTCCTGGCTACCGGAGCTCCCTCTGCATACTAGCCTGACCATCATTTCGGCCATTGCGCCCCATATCCCTGAGTCTGCCTTTCATGCTATCTCAAGTCCGGAAGCTCGCACTCTACTCGAGAACCTTCACTCATTTGCGGAAGATCCGACCATCCGGAACATCATGTCAGAGCCTTCTCCAGTGCGTGTACATACGTTTGAATGGTCGGCCCTTTCGTTGGGCTGGTACGAGTCTCTGCTGTGGGGATTTATTTTCTCGAGCGAAATGGTTGTCGGCTCTGCGTCGGGTGCAACCCCAGGCACCGTCGGCGTGTGGAATGGAACTGGGATCAGGTTGTTCAAAGTCCAGGAGGCTGCCGCACAAGGCCCGACATTACTAGCCCCCAAGGGTGCGGTGGATGCTGTTGGAAGCAATTTGGTCCAACGTATTGGGAGCCTAAGCTTACGACGCTCAAATACGCAGGACTCCCAGATGAATTCCAGATCAGCATCTGTTCGAGAAGTTTGATGCCTCTCGTTTGCTAGCTATCTTAGTCCAACTCGGCCTGTCGAATGCGAGGTGCATTCGCGCGGTGTAAGGCACATCATTTGATTTGTAATGATTTATCCCGTCTACATGATACCTGATAGGCGTTTTGCAATGGAGACAGTGGTTTTGCGCCGATTAACCGTGGAATATATCCATTTGGCGGGGTCGGGTTTTGTTTGGACTGTCTCGATCGACGATCTAAACTACTATATAAAGTATCCCAGTAGCGTCTAAAGTGATGATGTCCTCGAACGCAGCGTAGCACTCCAAATCAACTACAAGGGGCCAAACATAGACATAAAAGATATGTAAGCTATATCTGATCCCTGTGTTTCATGGTATTCGCCTCGTGTTGTCGCTGTCCTTCTCAGGTAGTTAGAAACCGGCCTGGCCTGCCACGTGAGTCGTCCAGCGGCTTTGTTTGGCAGAGAAAGAAAGCTCTCTTGTTTCTCGGCATTCCTCGGCATCCTCCGCAGTTCCTGGAGTAATTAGTTATTATTATAGTATTCTTATTTCCTAGGATTCTGCCTTTATCTTTTCCCTGAAGTTTTGTTAATTCCTTTTTCCCGTTTCTCGCAATATGTTCCTGTCGCCGTCGCTCCTCCTTGCCGGATTCCTAGTGTCTCCGAGACTGGCCGCGGCCCTTCAGTCAGGCTTGCAAAACATCCTGAAGAATACTCATGGTAGTGAAGAATATGGATATCCGACAGATCTAACAAGAGGAATAATGCCTGTAGGTCTCTCTCTTTACGTTAGTCTGATGGGTCTGGCCGAACCATGAAGCTCTGGAGAGTATGAAGTGTACGGATGAACGATAAGACATGGCTAAGGACTCTACTCCCAGATCCCAGTGCATTCCCACAAGTGCGTTCTTGAAATCAGTCTCCTTACAACGAGACGAAGCACTAATTCTATACCAGTGATTATTGGAGAGACGTACCTTTCTACACCGGTATACCAATGCTACTCTTGGCAATCTCTTCGATGAAGAGCTGACAAGCTCCTACTCTACAGGCCTCTCGAGGGGATGTATTTCCACAGAAGCTGATGTGTGGCTGTACAATGACACCCTTTATGTGAGTTTTTACATTGTTGGTGTTTGGCGGTGCGCCGGCCTGACGCCAACTAGGTCGGACATGACGAGTCTTCCTTGACTGAAAAGCGGACACTGGAGTCCCTCTATATTAAACCAATGGTGGATGTCCTCGAACGCCAAAACCCTCGGACGCCTTTTGTTACGTCGCCCACAAACAAGTGAGTATCATACTGGGTTTTGTTTTACGCACCAGTACAAGGAGTAATGGCTTGAAACAACAGTGGTGTCTTCGATACAGATACGTCCCAAACCTTGTACTTTTTCATTGATCTAAAAACGTCTGGACCGAAGACGCTCGGGGCAGTGATAGCTGCTCTGCAGCCGCTTCGTGAGAAGGGGTACCTTACGACTCTGAAGGGCAACAAAACCATCACGAAAGGGCCCATCACTGTGATCGGATCAGGAAACACGCCACTGATTCTGGTTGCACCTGTTGCAGACAGGGACTATTTCTTTGACGCCCCCCTAGATTTTCTGCATACTCCCATATATGCAGGGGTCACCTCTTTGATTTCCCCCATAGCGTCAGCAGGTTTTAAGCGTGCGGTTGGGGCGATCAATTCTAGCGACGAGGATTCTGTTCTGAGTAAAAAGCAACTGAAAACCCTTCGTTCCCAAATTAAGACAGCGAAGGACCGAGGAATTGGTGCTAGGTATTGGGGCACTCCTCACTATCCAATCTCGACACGCAATGCCGTCTGGAGAAGCCTTCTGCAGGAAGGGGTTGCGTTGCTGAATGCAGATGATCTGGATGCTGCAGCAGGCTACTTCTGAGTCTGTACTACAGGATGTAATTCCCGGGGATATTCGGATCCTTTCGACCACACTCCGCTTCGGGATGCCGATGATGTCATTTTTATAAGTACTATGCATACATTTTTACGCCGGTCCAGCGACTACCACCAGGACTTATCATAAGCCACGTAGAAACCGCCAGTATTGATTATCCGCAGAAGAGCAATCGGGGTGGATGATAATGTTCATCAAGCAGATATTCTGCACTGAATAGAGTCAGATGCTGGCACGTGATCCCCCGGACCTAAAGAAAAAACGAAAAGAAAATCTAGAAGAGAGGAAAAGTTAGAGTCAAGACCAAAGATAAACCCGCATCTGGTGATCTTCACTTTCCTCCTCCTTATGAAACTGTCGCTCCTCTACAGCTCCCTCGACAGGCCGTAATGTCTAAGGTCGACGTTGATCTGGGGGACCTCTTGGCCAAAGTACTACCCACCGGCGTGAAGCTCATCATTCGTCATGTCTCGTCCGTTCCAACTCGCTGTGTAGCGCTCTTTGCGCCACCACCAGACGAAGAACCTGAGATTACCTTCTGTGAAAGCCATTTTCTGACGGCGTCTATCGCCCCGGACGAGAAAGATGGATCGGAAATCATCATATTCGGAATTGAGGTGTTGGTCTACAGCACAGCGCATCTGACGACGATCTTTGTCTCGAAAGCCGACTCGACAGGCCATCTACATCTATTGAAGAACGCGTCCAAGGCCTCGCTTCTCCTCCGGATCTCCAATACCTTCCTCTCCTTCCTTGTCCGGACGCGGCAGCGCCCGGGGGTCCGGCTCGTGGTGTCGTTGTTTGCGCGCGCTCAAAACCAGTACCTGTTCCCGGGCAGCATCGAAAACGCAGAGAAGCACGTTTTGGACGACAGGGGCTTGATCAAATGGTGGTGTCGCGCCGTGGACCCAATTCTACGCGAATATGAACCGGAGTCGGGCTCTCTTGATAAAGGACTCCTGGATCGGAAGATGGAATCTTCCAGGAGTTCGGCGACCGCGTTTCTCATAGTCCCGGGATGCGACAGGTTTGAAACGCGAAGCTTCTTCCCTTCCACGTTAAAGACGGATGACCCGGATCGACCTCGATGGCTGAATAGTTATCCCCTCCGCCAATTATGCGACAATCCGGATGCTCCTCCGCGGTGCTTGATTCCTCGCTTTCCCGACGATCCGAAGACACGGTTCCTTGTGGACCTGGACGATGAACTTCCCGAACAATCAGAGACGGGTACGACGGGGGATAGGAGCTGTGGACAGTGGCGGAGTGTCCGATCTCTAGACCAATTCTGGGAGATGATGTCCTTCCGACAGGAGTGTTCGGCTGGAAGGCTGGTTGGATTCCTTTGGCTCGTTATCAATCCCCCAGGACTAGAAAATTCGGTCCAAATAACTAGCTCCCGACCGATCCATAGTCAGACGGTTAAAGGTCTGTCCGATATTGCTGTCCCTACCACATCTGAGCACCCAAGCTCGACCACCAAACAATCTACAACCGGACCGTCATCGACCACAAAACATAGCCAGGAACAACCTACAGACTCCCAGCCATCCAGCGTACCCGCTAAACCCGCTTCCCCAGCGCAGCAAACCACTGACGCCGAAGAGTTCCACTGGCCATCAGCGGGCCGTGGACACGCAGTCCTCAGCGAAGAAGACTACAAGACGACGATCAACTTTCTTCTCGAACAGGACTTCCACAACAAAGAGATATCAATCTCCAGTACCAAAGCCTGGAGCGAGAAAGTCGCTTCCATTGCCGACCAACTCTGGGTCGGCCAAGAAGTAGTCGGAAGAAACACCAACGGCAATGCTCCTCTCACTCCCGTCGTGACCACCACTTTCATGGACAGTGCACTAGTTCGAAAGCGAAAGAAACACGATGGAGGAGACGAAAATGTACCTGCTCTTGACGAGAAACACGGGGCCACGGGCCCTAGTGTCTATGTCGAATCGTCGAGACAGTCAGCGCCGTCACCGTCGGGAGTCAATGTACTCCAGGCGAACTTGATCAGGAAAAAGAAAAAGACGTAGGTTGATGGCACATTCATGCATGATATGGGAGTTGGGAATATGGTATATTGTATGGACAAGTTAGCGAGTTTTGCCGGTATTTTTGGATCAGACTGGGGGCATATTGTAACATTTTGTAATAGAACGGGTGTATCTTCATTAAGGGAGATATTGACTGAGCAATTCTTTTTCAATATAATAGCTATCTATTATCTATTCTCCGGTTTTGAGGTTTAGATGCTGGGTATTAACGGAAACTGAAGTCTTGAACAATCACCAGATGATGCGATTATTATACTTGTACTCCATCTGTTGAACAACATATGAATCTGTTCTTGCGATTTATTTTGCACTTGATTCTTTTTAACAAGAGCCATGAGATATTCTAACACCCCAGTGAGAATAATAAACCCGGCCTCAGGAATTCATGATAAGTTGGGCTGGACATACAGAAGCAAATACTGTCGAAAAGAGACTAGAATATCTAATCTCATTCACGCTCAAACTATCTACACGATGTATCTTAAATATCGAGTCTATACTATGAATTTGGGTGAATGGGTTCGGTAGGAATCAGACCAACAGTTAGAAAAATTTAACTTAATAGATATATCGGAAGCTAGATCGCGGCGGTCATTAGTATTCAGCTCTTTCCTTTAAAAAAGAGACAAAAAAAGGAAAGGAAGGGTTTATACTTTATATTTTCCCTATCTGTCAGATCCAAGAAAGCAGTAGAATTCAAATCCCTCCCCTCCAAGCCACCCTCCATTTGGGACTGAATCCGGTCTCGTTTCTTGTTCTCCCAGCGAAGAAGAACCCCGAGCATGCAGATAAGGAGGGCTTCAATCAAATGGGAGACGATCATGGACCAAATTCCGAGCCCGTAAGTAGGTCTTGTAGAAACATCGTGTGAGGAAGAGCCTTTCACTTCTTATTTTCTTGATGGGTGTATTACGTACTTTTGTTCTTCTTTATAGAAAAACGGGCCGGTGATGTTTCCAGTACAATAGCCTAGGAAAAGAACAGCGTTGGTGACGACTTTCTTGGTATGGCCTGAAGAAACCAGCCATTCGGTTAGTGTCATGTTTTGGATCCTCCTGGGGGAGGGGGAGACAGAAGATAGAGGTTCTTGCCTGCTGTGTTTGCAATCTGCATGCTCAGAATCAGGACAAAAGCCGCATTGTATGGCCCTGTCAGATAGTAGCAGATCAAGCGGCCAACTCGTTGGTTCTGTGGCACAAACCGCAAGCCGAAAGCTCCGGTTATGTTAGGAATGAGAAAGACAAGGATAAATAGGCAGCGTCTATTTTCAAAGCGATCATTGAGATATACACAGACAAGGATAGATAAAGCGATCAGTGCCCCGTATGGGATCTGACAGGGTTAGTACTTCAAACTCGCTATTTATAACTGGTTCTCTCTCAGACATACCTGCATTAAAGTGGTTACGAGGGTAGAGTATCCAAATCCTTTGATAATAATTGTTCCAAAGTTCGAGATTCCGCCATTGGGAATATTAGCTGTTCACAGAATAAACCCTCATTAGACATGGTGAGCATCAGAGTAAGAAAGCCAAGGAGGTACTTACAAACCAGACCCAAAGTAAAGAAAAAATACATTTTGTAATCCAAAAATGCTTCCAGCACTTGATAAGGCTTAAGATGCTTGTTCTCTATACCGGTCTGGTTTTCTCGAATTCTCTCGACCGCAATTCGCCGTTCCTTCTGACTGAGGCCAGGAGCAGAGACAGGCGAATCAGGGAGAAAAATGAACATCACTATTCCCCAGGTGGAGCAAAGTGCTCCGCTGCAGCAATTTCAGCATGTTATTCCCGGAATCAATAAACCACAAGCCCTTACATTACAATAAACTCATACTTCCAGGATGGGAGTGCACCTCTGATGTGGCCAATGCCATAACCTAGCAACCCACCAAGTGCGATTCCAAGTCCGTTGGCAGTGTACCACAGGCCAATACGCACCGGTTGTTCGCGTCGTGTATACCACATACTTGTGATGAGCATGAATGCTGGGTCTGCACAGGCCTCTGCAGCACCTCCCAACGCTCGGAGCACAGCAAGGGTAGCAAAGTTATGGCACACCGCTTGGATCATCAGAAAGACGCCCCTTCGGTGATATCTTAGCGGAAATGTAATTCGTTCAGAGGTTATCAGACATACCACATGAATATATTCGCTCCCAAATATTTCCCTAGTAGGATAAGATTAGTGCATGCCCCTAAGTATCAACTCTAGGTATATCAAGTACCGATAGGCAAGCGTTGCATAAGGAAATTTGTAGGAAAAGCCCATGCTAGAAAGCCAAAGTAGAATATACTGCTAAGCCAGCTATATTGTGTACCGTGGAGGTTGAGATCCTCGCTAATTCCAAAGATGGCAGCATAACTCAGCGTTGTCTATTGATCAACTTCGGTGTCAAATAGTGTTTCAACCCTCGAGCCGAATCAATGGATATACAAGTTGAACTTACTTTGTCAATATAAAAAAATGCATAGCAAACAGCGAGATATGGCAGAATCATAAAGTCGATTTTCCAGAGTAGCTTTCTCGCTTCAGCCGGGTCAACAGGCTCATGGATCTCCGAGTCATGGAAAAGCGCCATGGCCGTGTCGCCTTCGTTCGGCTTGGGAGCCTTCCACGCTTCCTCAACATGATTGGTCTCGCCATGTGCAACCGTAGGCATTTCTGCTGTAGTATCTTTGGAGCCTGAGGGTGGACTCGAGAGAGGACTTTCGACCATTTCTGGCTGCTATCCCTCGCTCTGTTCAGAGAGAGACGCGGTTAATGATCTAGAGAGATGGAATAGACAAGAATAAAGCTTACAAGTGAGCGGATATATGGGGACGGAAAAAGTAGAATCCTATAGAAGAGTTGCACGCTATCAACTCCAGCACTTGCCATCCTGCGATGCTCTCGTCAAGCTCACTTACGGAGTATATTTGTGCAGAATCAACGCCTATTGAGTGTCTGTCTCCACATATGGACCCAGCTGGTAATCCGGGGCTCGGTTGGCAATTTGTGGGGAAGTGTCAGAATAAAACTAGTCCATACCTATTGGGACATCATGTGTAATAGTCATGACGTGGTGGATCCTGAAGGGGGAGGGGTCAACATAACAAAACAACGATTCGGAATACTGAGAATATTCAAGCTCTCATAGAATTACACCTATAGTTCTGACAAGACGATACGATCCATGATAGAAGGGCATTGCCCAAAGTGGGGGCCGGGGGGAGCAGGAATCCACCAAAAGACTGTTCATCTTGGTAATTCGTGTTTATATCGGAGGAAGACCGTTTGTCTGCGGTTGAGAGACATACTTGCGTTCTCAACCGTTTGGCCAGTCTGCTATCATGGGGGTTTCTGAAGCTATACGATTGGTCATGAGTAGAGGATATCGGACGAAAGCCGAGAAGATGCCGGGAGCCGACGTATTGAGGAGTAACAGACAGTAAGTAAAAGGATGATAGGTGGAAGTTTTGCTGGCGAGGGTGCAGATCGAGAAGGATGAGTCTAAGAATGCGGAGGCGTGGGGGTTGGTCATGTGTGGGCAGGTCGTATAATTTCGACTATCACAGTTTAGTCCCTACTCCTAACGTATCTACATGGTCTGCTACGTCTGATACGGCTGCTAGCTACCTCCTTGACCATGAACGTATATCTTATCTCCGATTGAACCCCAAATAACGAGCCTGTTGCAAATCAATGAGCTTGAGCGACAGCACAGTAGTACGAACCTGACTTACTGCTAGGAATATGATTATGAGATTCGACCCGATGTAGGCAATATAAATGCCCAGGTCGCGCCATCGGTGGTCAAAGTTCATCGTGAAGGTTTGGTAAAACTGGTCACCAACCTTGAATGCGCAATACTTGCAGGCCTGGGTCGCATTCTCTGCTAAATAGCCAAGCCCACCCCGATCGAAGAATGGTTGCATATACTCGCCGCAGGTCTGACCTGGAGGTGCCTGGAAGTGGTTGTATTCGTTAGGGCGACACACTACCGGTCGACCGTAGAGTTCAGTTGTGACCATTCCGCTTACGATGCGCGTGAACGGATCGAGTTGGTGAAGCCAAACTCTCCAGAACTTTGGAATCTGCGGCTTTGGAACCATAACACCACAGAAAAGTGAGAAAAGAATGGTGATAGGGGGGTTAATCTGAGCGGCGATAAAGCTGTTCGGTGTCAACGCTGCGATCATCTGGCCCAGTGTGACGGCAAAGAACTCCGTGATCAGGATCATGAAGAATTGGTACCCAGCACGACTGGACGCGGCTTGGAATCCTGGGATGTAATATAGAGGCAGAAAGAAGATGACTGCGCAGAGGATGCAGTATGGAATTTCGGCTATAACCATGGACACCGCGAAGGCGAACTCCTTGTATGTTTTTGACGCAGACTCTCGATAGAATACCAATCGAGACATGTCATACCGTGGCTCAACCTGTTGGATAATGATTATAGGGATGATGGTCACATTGAAAATAACGAAAATCCGATATTGCAAAGAGGCCCGCGAATCATTCAGCTGTAGGAAAGCAAGACCGGTGATCACAGCTATGTTCAAATGGGTAAAAAAGCGTGTGAAGCCGTACTTACTGGATCGCCAAAAGACGATATGAGTCCGCTTACAGACGACTTTGATCTGGTGCCACAGTGGCGTCGCATACTCCCTATTGATAGCTTGAGAGACATCGCTCTGGCGGACTTGCTGTGCACGGCTAGCTTTGATCTCAATGATCTCTTGTTTGACTTGCTCTAGTTCAGGGGATATGCGCCAGACCTCTCCCCAGTCACGATCACCGATCTGGCGGGTCTGCCCTGCTCCAATGGCATCGAGCATCCACTCCGCCGGGTTGGTGTTGGGTGGACAATCAGCCCCATTGCGGTGGAAGTAATCCAGCAGCACGCACGAGTCTGTACCAATATCACCAAAATATACACATTCGCCTCCTCTTTGCAGCAAAAGAAGACGGTCGAATTTTTCGAAGAGTGCAGAGTTTGGCTGATGTATAGTGCAGAGAATGGCCTGTCCAGCAGAGGCAAGTTTTTGTAAGAATCGTATAATGTTAAAAGCAGACTGGCTATCCAGGCCCGAAGTAGGCTCGTCCAAGAACAGGAGAAGTTCTGGTTTGGCAGCCAACTCAACTCCAATAGTAACCCGCTTTCTTTCTTCAACCGAAAGGCCAGTATCAGGGGTCCCTATGATGGCATCCGCCAAGTTTTCCAGTTCGAGGAGTGCGATTATCTCTTCAACGTAAGCATACTTTTCTGACTGGGATGTTTCATATGGTTGACGAAGATCGGCAGAGAAACGTAGCGCCTCTCTTACAGTTTGCATCGATTCGTGAACATCCAACTGTTCTGCATAAGATGTTCCGCGCTGGAAGGACGTGGCAGGTTGTGCCCCGTCTACCAAAATGTCACCACTGATGACTCCGATATTCTTTCGTGCCGCTAAAACATCCAGCAGCGTCGTTTTGCCTGCCCCTGATGCTCCCATCAAGGCTGTCAGCTTTCCAGGCTGGACATATCCGTATACAGACTTGAGGAGCCGGCGGGTGCCAGATGGCACAGGTACATCGTAGCAAACATTCTCCCAGGTCAGGACGGACTTGGATGTTATATTGAGCTCAGTTCCCATGGCCTCTTGTTCGTTTGTCTGCCGGCGAGCCAACCTTGCCATTAAAGTCTCGTTCAGATGTTTTCTTTGCTTATTCTCCTTCTGATAAAAGGTGACGGTTCTGCCACCGGCATCGAATCGAACCGCTTCGCCAAGGTATAAGTTCATCCCGAGAAACCCGACAATAAGCGCGATCATGATGCCAAAATTCCGCCAAAGGTCACCTTTCAAATAATCGAATGTGGTCGCAATGTAACTGGCCCCCGGGACAATAGCAGAACCAGGTTCCCCACCGGCCAGCGAACATGCTTGGTGAGCAATGTCGCTGTATCCCGGGCCGCTAGGGATCAACGACTCCTGGGTGCATGTCATATTTAACCGGCTGAATTCGTTTACCATCAACCCTGCAAAGCCAAGTCCGAAGGGATTCACGAAATATATCCACCGAAGCCAAACTTGCGCGTTTGACCACTGAACCAAATACCCCGAGGTCAAAACAAACAATGTAATAAGTACGGACACAAAATTGATCGCATGGTCAAAACCAGGACACATGCAGCCAATTGTGCGGAAGAAAACAGTCATATCAATGTAGCCAATGAAGATGATCAGGACAAACGTGAAAAAAGCACCTGCATCTAGAGCCAGGCCACACATGAAGTAAACTATGATGCAGAAAATAAGGATCCTGGCTATAGCAAACGTAGCATCGACTAAGATCTGGGCAATAAATAGCGCGCTTGGTCGGTAGAAAGTGAATTGGCGATGCTTGTTCACGATTGCGCGACCCATCATAGTGGCAGCAAGTTCAGAGAATGCTTGAAATCCGTTGAAGAGCATGCTAGTAAACAAAAGACCACCTCGAGTAAAGGCCCCTGCGCTCGTTTCGGGCTGTTTAAGCCAAACAGTGCCCAGGACAATAGCCACCCCGGTAGATGTAATCCAGGAAACTGTCAATGCGAACTTATCCTGCCACTTGATCAGAAACTGACGTTGCATTAGCGCCCAGATCTGCAAATAAAATGGGACGGAATACACAGAGGACTTGGGGGTAAATTTGCGCTTCGCTTCTTGGTTAGCAATTTCAAATTCGTCATATACATGCTTTTCTTGCTGTATTTGTTTCCGATATGCGTTCATTTCTTGCGAGAGACTCTCACTATACGAGGACTTGTTGAACGCTTCCGCGAGGGCATCAGGAGTGGAGGGAACGTCGTCCGAGCTTCGACCTTCTTTAAATTCTCGTTCAAAAAAGTCGGTACAGCCAGTGAGGTAGTCAGGGGTAGTTTGACGAGGCTTTTCCTTGAATCCAAGGCTCTCGAAATATGACCTTGCTTCAGCAACAGGACCAAAAAACACCTGGCGGCCATTATCAATAAGAAGGACTTTGTCAAATTGTTTGTATATATTCTCTGAGGCTTGATACAGGGAAACAAAGGTCGTGGTCTTGTATATATTGGTCATGATCCGGAGTGATTTGGCAAAGTCGAGAGCAGTCGATGCATCCAGTCCACGGGTACTATTATCCCAAGCCAACACTGTGGCCGATGTAACCATCATTTCAGCTATGCTAACCCGTCGCTTTTCTCCCCCAGAGATTCCACGGATAAATTGATTTCCCACCACGGTATTGGCGGTGTGCTCGATGTTAAACATCTTAAGCAGCATGCTGATCACTTTCTCTTTGAAGTCAGCCTTAGACACTCCCCGTGGCCGCTTGCCTGGTGTCTTCGTATCGAGTGCAAATCCTAGGGTCTGCTTGACTGTGAGAGTTGGTTGATGCACATCGTCCTCTTGATTATAGACAGCCTCTCCTCTGTATCTTTTCGCAAAGGTCTCAGCATCGAAAGGGCCATACATAACTTCTCCATCTACCCCAGTGTAACCAAAGCGTTGGTTCGTAATCGCCTTGAGGAATGTCGTACACCCCGATCCGGGACGTCCTAATACAAGAACCATCTCTCCGGGACGCAGGACACCTCTAAAGCTTTTCAAGATCTCAAGCTCCTTGCCCTTCTTTCCACATCCTAGTAAATTCATTAATAGACCTGGCACATTGAAAAAGTCCACTATCGCGTCGGGGAATGTTTTAATGTATGTTTTGACGCCCCCAAGACCGCGCACCGTAAGGTTGTCCCATATGACACCTGATCACAAGTTAACAATGAGTCCAAGCTTCAACGGAAAACATAGATTGCTTACCAATATGTTTACTTTTAATACCAGCCTCCGTCTCGGCAATCTGGCTGCCGCGAAGAGCAGTCTCCAGATTCCATGGCTCATCGGCATCATCCAAAGCCGCCGACTTCTCCTCATCCCCACCCTCTACGACCTTTGATTTTCTCGAGGCTTGTTTAGATATACATTGGGTATGGTGTGAGATGGTGGAGAACTGTCTGTTCAGTTCCGAGAACTCCTGCTCCGCCCTCTGGACATCGACGCCCGACTGATGAGATGAAACGCCTTGCGGGTTAGCGTTCCTGATCAACTCCCTATTGATCTCGTGAGCGTCTGCAGTGTACAAAGTGTCCACATCCGACACATTGCGAACATCAGATGTTGCGTTTTTCTCGTGCATGAGGGCGAATTCTCCCCCGTATTGTGACTACCTGCCGGGAAGAGTCCACCCTGGGGATATACAAGAAGAATCACAGAGAAGAGAGCGACATCGGAGCAAGGAAACTTGATAGGAAGCGGAAACCCTTCTGCTTATAGCGGTATTTCAGCTGGTTGATACCTAGCAGCCTGGATGTCCAGGATCACGGTCAGGATTCCTATGTCTAACGAGCAGAAGTTTCAACGAGAGGTCTAGGTTAAAGCTGGCTAAACTGGGAATGTATGTAAAATGGACCAATAGCATACTAGCATGCATGGTGACCATCCATCAGGACAGTCTGCTCTGCTCCAAATGAGTCATGAATTAGGTATAGTTAACAGTATCTACACAGATCTGGTTAGCAGGGTGAAGAGTTTTCATGGGAAGGCTGTCAATTATGAGCCATTCAGCAGTTTTAATTGACTGCACAACGCCCTAAAATAATTATTTGGTAGAATCCTTGGCCCAGGTAGTGCCAATCCATGGAGATAAGTTACAGGGGCTATTAGTCACCGATTGCTACCTCTTCTCGCTAAGAGGCAGCGGGCACCGGATTTGGACTTAGATCGCGTGGATGTTCCAGTTACGAACAAGCACAAGTATTAATTGTTGCGGTCGGACAATGCCGTCGGCCAAGGTCGGCTCTTCTGCACCCTCCCAAAATGAGGGGAAGTTGAGGGCTTTGGCAGTAGATAAAGGACCCAAATGTCAAGGGTGAGAAGATCCTTGTTTTGTTCTGCTTAGCCCGCCGATGAGGTCTGGGTGCAATGGAAGAGAAGAATTGTTCAGAGAGGAGAGCAGAAGTGACTATTTCCAGATCACCTGATACTGGTTTCTCGATCAGGAATAAAAGAATTCAGTTACATAATCCAGTGACATCTTGACAAGGAAGGGCATATTGACAACATAGTTAAGTTATATGATCATTCAATGAAGCGAAGGATGCAATTATACTTGCTGGCCAAGGGAGCGTTAGCTAGGTTTCTTCGGGTTAACAACCAAGTGTGTGCCCTTCAAATCCGCCAAAGTTGACCATAATAATCCACGCCTTTTCAGGTACCTCATATTAGGACCTGATTCTACATTCCTCTCGATCGGGATTCTTCATGATGAAGCAGGTCAAGTACCTTCATTGGCACTCTGTGGGTGCTCTGCAGATATTTCGAGTATATACGGCAGCAGCCAAGTAGACCGCAGGATTCCTCGAGGTTCAACGTGTGATCGTACATAGTAGGCGAAAGCACACCGACATTCCTATCATACGGAATGTAGATAGCTTTCTAAGACGAAGAGCCTTACTGTGGAGTGGGATGCTCTTTTGATTATTGGCTATACAGAGCATGCACATCACACACGTCTCAAACAGGGGAGAATTTCTCACATGCCTCATGGCCACCGAGGAATCTTAATTTTCCCCCGGACTCGGCCGCCCATGGGAATTTGGTATCAATAATTCGTCTCCTTCGCCATGCTTCATTAGGTTAATTGCGGTTAGTCTGCCTTGCCTTGGTTGGTTTTCCTTATTATTGGCCCGCCAGACCCATGATACTGAAATTGCTCCTTCCTGTTCGGTCAACTTGCCTTTCGGATTGCTCTCGTCCGGCCTGGCGCCTTTTTTTTTTTTTTTCTTTTTTTTCTTTTTTTTGGGTTGCTATGGCGGTAATCGGAATATAAATTGAAATTTAGTGAAGTTCATCTCAGTCAAGCCATCTTGGTGCCGAAATGTCATTGGTCTTAGCCGTTGAATCACAGTTACTAGGGCAGGTAACGTTCGGGACCTGGTTTGCCCGCCCGAGGGTTCTAAATGGGTGGCATCTATTGGCAGCGAAACAAAATATGCTTAGCCATCTCACCCGTGACCCAAGATTACAAAGAACCACGGATATGCACTGTGATCGAAAGTATTTATAAAAAGTATTTATAAAGTCCAACGGTTTACTCCGTACCTGTGGACGATGGACGATGGTTCAACCAACCCGAGGAAATGGACCCTTAATGCGTAGGAGACTTGGCTTCTGGAAATTTACCAGAGTTGGACTAAGAGGTGTGATGATCGGAAAGGAGAGGGAGTTTCCATAGTTCGCCTTTTGACACCTTGCCAGAGAGGCGATGCGTTAACTACATGATGCTCGATGTAGGCGTCCGTCCTGCGAGATGAGGTATGAAATAGGGTTTGGATTTAACTATGCTGGCAAGCCCACGATGTAGATTCCATTTATCACAGCAAAACCACTGCTACCTTGATATAGAGGCTATGGTAGCCATTCTTCTTGAGACAAAATACCTTTGTTGAACACTAGATCAAGGGATGACTCCACAAAGTTGATAGACATGTTAATACACCTGATCACAAAGGTCCCTACTGTAAAAAGTATCATATGTAGTGCTACGATCATGCTCCAGAAATATTGTTGGGACTCAGGATATGGCACGAGATACATGCTCATCATGCAATCAAACCCCCTATAATACTAAATTTGCCAACCGGCTAACTAAAAGAAGACGCAAGTGTCCCAACAACTGGTACAATTCGGATTCTCAGGTCAACAATCTTCTAGAGATCTCTACAAAGTACAGAGTATGGGTTCCACGACGTCTCTTGATAATATCACGACAGCTCTGGCACTAATTTCTCCGCCAGATTTCCAACCCCTCTTACATCACATTGGTTGGAGCCGGACTGTTTGGGTACTTCACCAGTACGGCCCACAGATGTCTCTCAAACACTGTCAGCGATTGGCCTCGATGAGATTACTTCTGATGGGACTGTCCGTGATGTGAATTCCGAATCAACGAATCCCCTTACCTCTCTCGGAGTCCGCCACGCCGATCCGAAGATCTTTGATGTGGGGGGATATTAGTCATGGGCTAGGAACCACCAAATCACAGGGGAGAGGAATGCATGAAAATGTGTGTGTTGCTTGTCCAGAAATTGGGAATCCCGGGGAGCAGCCTAGGAGTTGGACTGGGGTTGATTCCCCGCATTATGCACCGAAACAAGTGAATGATGAAGATCAAAGGGATAGGAAGATGCACAGTAGAAAGATGGGCAGACTGACTGGCCGAAAGACTGAAGACTAATCAGATAGGAGGAAGAATGGCTAAACTAGTAGACCTTGACAGGACTAGACAGATAGATCGGGATGGGCCAACATGACGGTTCGATGATAATACTAATACTAAAACAACAAAATGGCGTACTGCGTAGTGCAGCATCACCTGCAGTGCCAATATCGTCACTGCCGGGAAGCCGTGCGAAATGACGTAACCGACCCCTTCCCTAGCCCTGCGATTCCCGAGCCACCGGCCCGTTAGTGTGAAAAATGGGATCTGAGGCGCCGACCCTCCTCCGACCATAGTACCCAGGGTCAGGATAAACGGCCCTCGACGGTAACAAGCCGTCCAAAAGTCACCAGACTGTATCGCGTGAATTTCCCCAGGAACACCACGCATTCTGAAGTTGCATCGATCGACATTGGAGGGGAATGACGTACTTTCTGCCCCCCTCCTTTTGCGACAACTCATGCACCAAGGGTAGCCTCTGTTTGGGAGCTTAACATCCACAGTCGACCCACAGTCGACCACTCTGGATAAGGAAGTGTGGGTAGTCGCAGTCATCGACTGATCCTGGACGGCCCATTTAAAAAAAAAGGGAGGGCCAATCCAGCCGACTTCTTATTCCTCTCTCTTTCCGTATATACTCTAACCAACCATCCTACCACCTTCCTCTTCCTCCCATTCTTTGTTCCTCTCAAACTCTCTGTCTACCACTTTTTGTTACCACATTTAGAAAATGATCATGTCACGAATGAAGGTCCTACTGGTCGGAGCAGGTGGTGAAACGGGCGGCTCGATCGCAAATGGGCTCCTAGATAACCCATCTTTTGTATGAGACATCTTAACCATGATGTTTAATCTATCTAACGATGTTTTTTTTTTAAAAAAATAAATAGGAAGTTCACGCTATGGTTCGGCCTCGGTCGGTTCAAAAACCTGCCATACTTGCTTTACAGGAACGAGGGGTTCAGATCCGTAGATGCGATCTCAGAAGCTCTGAAGAAACCCTCGTCGATGTTCTGACGGGAATGGATGTCGTTATCAGTTGTGTTGGTGCGGCAGAGCAACAGGACCAGATCACTCTCGCCAAAGCAGCGAAAAAAGCGGGCGTGCAAAGATTTGTTCCTTGTGCGTTCATCACCGTAGCACCACCAGGAGGCATAATGTGGCTCAGAGACGAGGTGGGTTGTTGGCCTTTTAAATGCTTATTGTCATATTATATTTTAATATTCTCATTTCATCGGCTAACAATTGATCTTGAATCGTCCAGAAAGAGACGGTATACAACCATATTAAACAACTTCAGCTCCCCTACACGATTATCGATGTCGGCTGGTGGTATCAACTCTCGTTCCCTAGACTCGAGTCTGGAAGAGCCGACTATGCCATGACCACCGCCAACAACGAAATTGTGGGCGACGGCAACACGCCCCTAGCTTTAACCGACTTGAGAGACATTGGACGCTACGTAGCCCGGATTATCGTCGATGACCGGACGTTGAATAAGATGGTCCTTGCATACAACACTGTGCTCACCCAAAATCAAATTTTTGACCTACTGGAGGAGATCAGTGAAGAGAAAGTCGTTAGAAATTACGTAAGTCGAGAGACTGTTGCTGACGGTACCGCGACATTGGCTAATTTCCGCCTCTATGCAGATCCCGGAAGAAACGGTTTACACCCGAGTGCTCGCAGCCCGACAGGCCAGTGAGACGTATCCTTACGATCCCGTGAAGTTCATTCCCCGATACATTGCTGAATACCAACTGTCTTGGGGTATCCGTGGCGACAACACCCCCGAATATGCGAAATATCTCGGCTACGTGACCTCGAAAGAATTATATCCCGATTTTAAGCCAACTGAATTAAGGGAATACCTTGAAAGCGTCCTCAAGGGCACAGCGAAGGGCGTTTACCAAGACCGTACCATTTCCAGGGCTTACCAGCGCACCTTCCCACGCAGTGAATCTAGCGACTCCCTGTACACGCGGATTTTCCCCCGGAATGAGTCCAGCGATTCACTCTATATTGGCCGGTAGAGCACTAACGCAGTGTTGAGAATGAATATCGAAGCGACGCTAGACATGTCTTTTTTGCAATTTATTTTGGGCGCAGCGGTTGTACATCAGTTTTTGGCCTTTTTGGGAGACCGTGTTTACTTTTGCTGACGGCCACCTGCATCTCTTACTTTTCCCTTCCTACTTGAGGGTTTTAGACTTGGGCTTTTTCTTTCTTTTCTTTTATTATTATATCCCTTTGACACTGGTGTCACCGATTTTGGTGATTTTAGATGAGCTGCATACTGCATACAGGTTTATGGGAGCTACGAAGCAAGTGGAATCTTGCAATCTGAACAAATATACCCCACAAATCTTACTTGGTTGCGCTACGGAGTAGACTCGATAGACTCGAAAATAGATACTGGCATACGGAGTACAGCTGCTACGTAGATCCTCCATTCAGCCTACGTCTGTTGAATACCGAAAGCAAAGCCTGAGATACGCTAGTATTGGCTTTATCCAGGGTACCGATTTAGTCTGTATGCAGTGCAACGTTTTCCACTTCGTTGATGCCACCGCCTCATGCTGTTCCATCTTTGCCATGATGTCATCCGGCCTCTGGCAACCAAATCGCATCGAGCTAATGCTATAGAGAGCTGTTCGCTGCGAGTAAGTAGGCAGCTTGATCTCTGCAATTGGTAGTAGCTAGCTTGCACTTGTTTCTTGTCACCTGAAATAATGGCAGTCTGCCTCTGAAATGGTTCCTGGATGTGATTTCCTATAATTTCACACTCAAGACCGGACGAATATTAATGTACCCCGTAGAAATTAGCATTTATAGCTTGTAAACAGGTAGGTTTGCTCTGTTTGGTACCCTAGTTCAAGACTTCTACTCTAGTTCATCCTGAACTTAATAAATCAATAAGTATGGGCAGGAACAAATTATAATAGCTAAGGCTATATATACCTCGTTTATTTAAGAATACATTCTTGTCTATTCCCTATGTACAGCGAGAAGCCTGCTCTTGGCGGCGGGGCAATGTTTACACGGCAACGGCAAAAGAGCCCCCAACTAAACCATGGTAATCACCCACTTGTTTAGTGCAAGAAAGTTGACCTCTCAAATCAGCGGGATGCCGACAAATACATTGAACATGGATGTGTCTGTATGAATCCGGATCCCCGGTGGTAACCTATGGATAGCCACAATGGTACTTACATTCATTCCATGACAGAGGCACTAGGACAAAGGTACTAACTGGATGACAGAGCCAAATGCGCCAATGCGGTTCGTCGAGGGGCCAATGCTTCTTCGAGTCGTAAATTGGCCAATTGCTGAACCACCACCTCCCGTGCCTGTCGCGTTGTGTGGGTGTTTTTTCCTTACCCCCTCTTCCTCTGGGTCCTGGGGACTTATTTATTCTTATCTATAATCATGGGGGAGACAGAGACTATTTCTACATTTTTATAATAGAGTATGTTCCTGTTTCTGTATGCACTTTGTGGTTGTCCCGTCTTTGCATAATGGAACTGACAATCCCCTCGGGGAGGATTTCTAGATCAATTGCATTGCCATCATTGTTATCGTTATTATTGTCGATTTCTGTCAATTTTTGTTTTAAATGCAGTTTGGCTTCTCAGAGGGTTCCGAAGGAGATGGACTTCCCCCGCACTCCAGTACGGAGCGGGAAAGAGCTGTACCAGCTGATTGACACGCTCAACAAACAGTTCGCATTGGAAATCCCCAATCCTCGGATCTACTCCCCCTCCACCGCACGTGACGACAAGTCCCTCCGATGGCGCAGTTATCGTGGTATCCAGCGGCTTTATTACGATCGCAACGTTGATCTGAATCGCATCCTGAATAGTTTCGACGAGTGGGTCTCTTCCCAAACAGCGCCACCGCTGGTCAACAATGCACGTAAGCGGGTAGCAAATAACTTGCTTCTGGACGGGGGTCGTGGACTGCTTTCTCGACAGGACGGGAACGAGCGTTTGAGGTACTTTGTGAAATTAATCGATGATGAGTTATATCTATTGGGTAAGGGTTCCTTCGTGTCCCATCTGGGTGAGAATGAACAACAGCCTCTGGTGGAACAGCCAGCTATAGAATGCAGAAAGAGAAGATTATCTTCGGAAGATGACGAATTCTATACTGCCCCAAACTCCCCGGTTAAAAACGCCGATTCCTCTCACTCGCCTCCTCCAGGCACGGACGAGTTTCAAAATCTGACAATTGAACATGTGGCTGGTGAGCTTGACGCCGACACAGCCGTTGACAGCCTGGCCCGTGTGTTTAAAACGCCCAAATCCACAGAGACAACAAAAGCACCGTCCAAATTCCTGGAAAAATTAACTGCGCCAGGCAATTTTCGGCAATACGATCCCGTGCCATCTGCGAAGACCAAACCGGAGTTCAGTTTCACGTCAACTACCACAGTTCCAAATACCTCGATCAATACCAGTCTCAGCCGGTTTGATACTTCATTCACATCAACTGTCACAGATGCCACCGATCCAATCACCGACTCGGACTCTTTATATGAGGATTCCGTAGTGAGCCATCTGCTAAGTCAGGAGATGCGAATGACTCTGGAGGCGCAGCAGTCGTTCAATGAGGGATCCTTCCAAGCACCCCGCTACTCTTATGAAGGAGAGATAATGAACGAGCTCCTTCAAAATGGGCCCTTCGCACTCGACCACAAATTCCCCGGCACAGTGCCGCTGCGGTATCGATACGAACTGGAGAGAATAGGCCGATCCTGGAATGTGCCGCTGGATCGCATGCTTGTAGGAAACAACATATCTTTCAAGTCAAGAGATGACTTTTGGAAATGGATCGAGAGACATAATCAGCGAGGAGCAAACCCGCTCCCAGAAAAGCCATCCAGTAGGGCATGGGATGCTGCCACTGGATCTTTTAGGACAGACAAGCATTCCGAGGTGGTCGTCCTCACAGGTGATTTGGATTGGTGCAGTGATTCCGAGCCTGGCATTCTAAAATTGAGCCTGAACCCTCTCAAGGCAGAGAGGACGTGTCGGTTCCACCGCCGCTTTGGCTCTGACCGATTCCTTAGCCTGACGATCCCTGCTCCGGCTCGGCCTCCTCCTTATCTACGGTTACCAGCGCAGCCCTCACTTTTGCGTGAGAGCTTAGCCTTGTGGCTGACACAAAACGTCCACCGATGTCTAGGAAGGATATGGAAGCCATTCTTCGTGGAAGAAGTTAAGATGAAGCGCAAGGCTATGGCAGAGCCAAGGTTTAGAGTTGAATTCTTTGCCATTGACGGGGTGGATTTTGATCATACTCCTGATCCGCCGCTCATTGCTCTTAAGCAGGAAAGCACAGGCCATACTCCAATGGCCCTCGACCCACTTATCCAGTGGCATATGCCAGCAGACCCAAATATAGGCCAATCCAATTGCAAGCTATTCCAACGAATTTCTTTGGGGCTTTCTAAGACTTTTGCAACGGTGACCGTGAGGCCAAAGCAGGTTTTGCACCTGAAGGACATTCCTAATCGCCCAGTCATGAACGACGGCTGTGCCCTTATGTCCCGGAGTCTAGCCAATCAGATCTGTGATTCACTGGGGATTACAGGGAACACACCAAGCTGCTTCCAAGGAAGAATTGCGGGCGCTAAAGGCTTGTGGATGGTGGACAAGCATCAGTCTCAGGCTTCGCCGGGAGGCGATGATATCTGGATTCAAATATCCGACTCGCAGTTGAAGATCAAACCACATCCACAAACATGGCAAGATCCTGTAGATGAAGAGCAGCTGACCTTTGAGGTTGTAAAATGGTCCAAGCATCTGCATCCCGTCGATTTGAACACCCAATTGCTGGCGATTTTGGAGCACGGTGGGCCCGTCAAGGAGCGTATAGCCGAGCTTACACGGGCCAGCATCCGAGCTGTGTATCAAGATTTCGCAGAGGTGCTTAAGTCCGACAGCCCTGTTCTCTGTCGTAGCTTGATCCAGAAGATCCGACCGGTGGCGGATGACAGCACCAGGCTGGCGCTTCATAAAGCTAGGCGCCTGGATCAGTGGACCGCAAGTGATGCTGAGACCTTAATTCGCCTCACCGAAGCCGGCTTTACACCCCGAAGCTTCTACCCCCTTCGTAAGCGGCTTGGAAAATGTCTCCGAGATGTGCTGGACCGACGAGTAGAGGAACTACATATCGAGGTACCGCTTTCTACGTACGCCTTCTGCATTGCGGATCCATACGGAGTACTAAAAGAGGATGAAATTCACTTTGGCTTTTCCAATAATTGGCAAGACGCCCAGGGTCAATTCGAGGATAATCTCCTGGATGGTATGGACGTTCTTGTGGGCCGTCTTCCGGCCCATCTTCCTTCTGACATCCAGCGGCGCAAGGCCGTATGGAAGCCAGAGCTTCGCCATTTCAAAGATGTCATTGTGTTTCCCACTGCAGGTCAGATTCCGCTAGCCCATATGTTATCTGGTGGGGATTACGATGGCGATACGCCATGGATTTGCTGGGATCAAGGGATCGTCCAGGCCTTTGCAAATTCTGACCTGCCCGCAGAAGAGAAACCACCGGAACACTTCGGTCTCACCAAGCATTCTGTTCCCATGGAGCAGATTCACTCGGTTGACGAGTTCCTCCAGAGTGCTTTTACGTTCAACCTGACTTTATCGAATCTAGGTAGGTGCACTATCGAGCACGAAAAAATCGCCTACGATGAGTCAATTGACTCACACAGCGCCAAAGAACTTGCGTGTCTTCTAAGTCACTTGGTCGATGGACGCAAGGGCGGGGTGCATCTGTCAGAGCATGCATGGCAGCAGTATCGCAAGAAAATCAGTCCGAAAGCCCGAGAGTTGCCGGCGTACAAGAATCCCGATCGGAAGCCCAAAAAGACGAACATCATCGATTACCTGCGATTCGATGTGGCTCGCAAAGAGCGGCATGCTGTATTAAAGCAGCTAGAGAGTTTATTCCCGGAGTCAGATCACTCTTGCAACAGAGACGAAGATCTCATAGGGCCATGGAACGAGGCCTGCAAGCAGGCTGAGAAGGAGAGCAAGAGCGGACAGCTTCACGACGTACTTAAAAGGGTTGTAAATGAAGTCGAAGAGCTGTATAGCCAATGGACTCGCTCATTCTCCTCAGAGGGTTCGTTTTCGGTCCTGGCATTGGACATCGCTGGTCGTGCGAGAACGATTCTACCCCCCTCTACAGGGGATCACCCAATGATCCATCTCTGGCAAAACAGTCGGGACGCATGGCTGCAACTGATCGCGTCGTATACGTACAAAAAACACCCCCACTCCGGTTTTTGGATCCATGCGTTCGGCGAAACCTTATGTCAAGTGAAAACAAACAGTGTCCCCTCGCGCCCCGTGACCCATGAAATCCTGGCTTGCTACCGAGTCAACCACAAAGTGATCGCGCGACTGACGGCGCAGGACACAGTAGAGGAGGAGGAAGACGACGAGGACGAATATGAGGGACAGGAGGCAATTGATGCGATGCTGTATGGGACGCAGGCATCGGGAGCTTATTATGACCCGGACGATGGAGCATCGCTGGAATGAAGGATCACAGTTCCGTCGGGGAATGGAGGGATCGATAGACGATTATTGGAGGGATAACTTCTCAAGGTGTCGAATACTAGTTAATAGTTAGTTACTGTAGACTAGACTCCTTGGAGGCCTAGACTAGCAGTGTTTCACCCTCCTGAGTCAGGAAATGGACACGATGTCCTGGACAAGTAAGCGGTCAGCGACGGCTTCGTACCCGCCAGTGTCACATGTCTTCATGAGACTCGATGAAGTTTAGTGAGAGATGACTCAGCATTATATGGCCCAATAATATGACAGCATACCGCCGGATTACTTCATTTTCAGAGCAAAAACCATTGAAACCATTGAAACCTACGACGGCGGACCAGAAAACCAAGCCCCTCCGGCAGAGTCAAACACTATCGTGGTTTATCCGAGCTCCAACATGTGACGATCAGATGTCAATCAATTCTGTTGAGAGGTTTTGATGGGGCAAATCCACTGTATTACTTCATATGAATCCAACCAAAGAATCACCGGCGAATGATAGGTGAACGTGGGAGGAGAAGTTCTGCGTTCCACGCCAATTCAGGCCATTATACTCTATTGCTACCAGTAAGTATTCATCCCATCCTTGCTTGTGACGAGGTTGCAGCCGGCGTACTACCTACTTACTTGATCTATCTACAGCTGCATCATTGAATCCCCTTTATATCCATCACCATTTGTCTTAGAACAGCCTGCTTTGCTCGGTATCCAGTTACCCTGCCCGAGCGAACCTGGAAACTGCCAACATTCTGTTCCTTTCTTTCTTGGCTTGTGCCCGCCCGCTTTTTTTTTTATTTTTGCACGTGAAAAACAATCCCTGTCCTCCGTCATCTGTCCTCCTCACAAGCGATCGTCGCTTCTCCGGATCTGTCCAACTACTAGTCATTTTGGCTTCCATTTGCATACTTATCACCTTCACTAGCAGTTAGCTTAGGCCTCCGGGCAGCCATGGACCACCGTCCTGACGGCACTTCGGTCCCGAACCCAAACTCCTCTCTTTCTGCTGGCCGGGACGCTGCTACGACGCCTACGCCCAACAACCCACGTACGACAATCCCTGCCTCTACCACCAGCGCTAATTCTTCGGCATCACCCCCTGTTTATCCTTCATCTCAGCATGTTCCTTCCATGATGGAAGTTGACAACAGTTCCGTGTCTGGGGATCGTTCTCGTCGAGCCACTAGTGTTTTGTCCATGGATGATATCGAAGCTGCTCAAGCTCTTGAGGGTCTTCGTACGGGTAGGTCCTCGTTTTCGTCGCTTCTTTTTCAGGATCCCCCCTTTTTTTGGTCTTTTCTCTCTCCCCTTCATCGAAGAATACTAACTGCTTATTAGAATACGGACAATCTCCTCGAACGTCGTCGCAGACCTCCTCTGCTTCTGTCGATTCGCAGCCGCAACCAGAACCCCTACTTTCCTTGCTAACTTCCACACATCCCTTGATCTCTTCCGCCATCAACGGCTCCGTATCTGCCTATACCACTTCCAAATCCTATTCTTCTAGGTTCAGATCCGGTGCCGAGTTCATCGAGCGCAATATCGGTTCCCCCGTTGCCAACACTGTTGGGACGGTGGGACGAAAGACCGGTGTTGAAAGCGGTCTTCGGTGGGCTCTAGAGCGCCGTGCATCCGGCTCATCTGACCCCAAGCGGTCCAAACGGCGCAAAGTAGGCGAAGAGAACCCATCAATAGACATGGACGTCGAGAAAGGGCTGGAACAATCAGCATTGCCCCATGGGATGCGTAGCTCCTCGGACCTGTCTGTGCCCGAGCCCCTACCACCATACGACGATCAAACATCACCCAATTATGATGAGATAGGTCCAGAACCCCCTTCCCGGCCGAACTCCACCTGGCAGAGCCGACTGGTCATCTCGACATCCGGTCTAGGCGTCGCAATGAGCGAGGAATCGCTTCGGAGCCTGCAGTATTGTCTGACCTGGCTGCGATGGGCCAATGGGCGGCTGGGCAAGGCCATTGTTGCTCTACAAGGTGCCCTGAAAGAGTGGGATCAGAGGCAGCAGGATGAGAACGGGTTGGCCGCTACTAACCAGGATACCTCGTTGCTTTCCCAGCGTATTCAGGCGGTCAGGGAGGATGTCCTGTCGACTTTGAAACAGGTGGTCAATGTTGTCTCCAAGTACGCGGGTGGAGCCTTACCAGAAAATGCAAGGAATCTGGTCCGTCGTCATCTGACATCCTTGCCGCACCGCTTCCAAGTCGCATCAACATCGCACCCTCCACCGGATTCGTCTGCTTCGTCCTCCGATGCCACCATTGGCGCCCATCGTATATTGGTGTTGGCACAAGAGGGGCTAGACATGATGTCTCAGGTTAGTGGAGTTGTTAATGACACCCTAGTTAGCGCAGACCATTGGTGCGAGAGGCTGGGCAAGAAACGGCCCGACAGCAAGGTCCCGAATGGCGCTCCACAGCCAGAGTCGCGCAATGAACCGTTCCCGGCCGATATCAAGCGGCCAATTCCTGAGGCGCAAGATGTCTCCATGACGGGAACGGAAGAAAAGACATAGTTAAAGATGATAACTGCGATTGTCGTCGTCATTGGGGTTTACTCAGCCGGCACTGAGTAGGATGATGATGGAAATTAATTGGTTCCTTCCAGAGTTGCGCTTCTTGATCACTACAGCTCTTCTTTATTCTGTCTGCCACTCGTTTTTATTCCTTTTGTTTTCATATACATTCTTTCCAGTACTGGTACATTGTCTTTGGTGGATGCGAAGACAGATGGCGTTGCTTAGGTTCCTGGTTACTGATTGATACCTGATTGTTGAACTGTTTGAATTGCTTCCTGGCTCAGAGTATTTTTCCTTTCGGTTCTGATTTTATCTGTCTGTGAATGCCATATACTGGTGTTCTTGCTATCTCTTGAATATACTGGCAATGCTATCCCGTCCTACAATAAAAGTTCCTGCATTGTTTGTATCTATCTGATCTGCTCGCCAAACCGCGGTTCTCCCAATTCCACCTCCCTCAATAGGGTCTTATCTCCTGACCCCCAGACCAGCTTCATATTTACGCGTTTCGGCTGCCGTCGTCGCCTTTCCATGACTGTGTAGCCCACTTGACACATGCATCATCTACGCGTTTCCGCCGACGCATCCATCTGTTTATCCGCAGGCAGTCTGATACATCATGAACAAATGGCTGTCACCTGGCCAACACCATTTCCTGGTCCCCGGTTTCTGAGAAGGATCCTGCGGTACGCTCACACCACCATCAACGGCAGCAGGACCCGAAGTCACCTTGGTAGGGGAAGGAACTGGAGGATTAGCCTCTAGTTCGAGCATTTTCCATTTTCAATTCCTCAACTCATGCATCCTTAACATCCCGACACAAGGTCAACAGCCCTCGCCGACTCAGTAAATGCAAATGCACGTGATAATCGACCTGAAATCGATCAAATGGTGCATCGCGATCTGAATCTTCATAGGTACATTTCTCTATCTGTTCCCTGTAGGTTTGTTTTTGGGACTCGGTCATGAGATTATGATAGCCTGGCTGAGAGGCGCGGAAAGGCGCGGATTCAGAAGAGGTCGAGTCTGCGCGATCGCCGTCACAATTATCTATAACGATGATAGGAGAGGGCGTAGATCTCCCCGCTGCGCTACCAAGTCCGAGAGAATAAACGGCGGGTCCGGAGTAAGCCCGTAGATTCTGGATTCGAGACGTTTTTTGAAAAGTCGATATAGGCAGGTGGATAGAGCAGGCTGTACAGGATAGACATTCCTCCAGAGATTTGTTCTAGTAGATGAGCCAAGATGTAATGACTGAATACATGGGATATGATAGGACAAACAAAACTCACTAGTTCTCTCTCCGATACTGAAGGCTTATATTCCATTTTGATAGGCATGGTGAATACTATGTGATTGTGGTATTTCTGGTTTCATTCTATCTGATATGACTAATATATAGATATACCTGGATACAATATACAAAGAACCAGAATCTGAATATTCTCGTTCTATTTCCATTTATCCATCCTTTCAGCAACCCTTTATCTTGACAATGAATACCCACCTATATTGTACGTCAGTTGGCCGACGGCTTTGTATCTTTGTGATCTTGTCATTTGTGGAGTTGTGTAGATCAAAGAATGATCATGAATGAATGGGTCTGGGTCATTGGGGTTATTATTATAGGAATCTGATTGTGCCTATTGTCTGTTTGTTTGTTCTGTGATTGTTTTCTCGGTTGACATGGTTTGGTTTTTTGGATATATTCTAGAAAATAGAATAGATGGATACATTGATACATTGTATATAGATAGATTAATAAACTATATAATAATGTCTACATTAAGTATAGCTTGGTATCTACATTATAACATCTAATTGAATCTTCTATATTAGCTGTCCAATATTCACTATTCACTATTACCAAACTCATCAGACCAAATCAATTCAGTTCACCACATTGCACTCACCCAACCAAACCATTACACCTTCTAATCCATTACAAGACAGAAGATGAAAATAGTTAAAATAAATAAATAAAAAGAGAGAAGAAGAATGTCAGACATTATCATCCCCCTCTTCCCTGCTGTCTGTCTGTTTCTCTCCTTCCTCTTTGTCATCTGTGTATATCGCAGCCCCATCTCCCATGTCCAACGGTTTTCACTAACAGGGATATGGAAGAAGAAATGCACGCCTGTTGGTTGGAAATCTATGTCCGAATCTGAATTCGAATTCAAATTCGATTCCCAATTAGAGATGGAAAGAGACCGGTCGTCGACATCGACAGGGTACGTAAGCCACCAAGCCAATCCTTCTAGTTAATAATAATCCCATACCTTATTAAATATGGATATAGAAAGTTAATGAGCACAGGATCACCTCTCAGTGCACTCCTCTCGCTGAATATTTCGATCCTTACACCTCCCTGCTCTACGATCATCTTCTCGACCCCGCGCTGCCGCCAACACCGAGGTGGGAATGGGAGCTCCGTCAACGAATCGACGAAGGAAAAGGCTTGGGTGCATGGAGGGATCGGCTCGTGGAGAGGATAGTTCGATGGTTGCAAGGCGTGCAGGAAGCGGTGTAATCTGCTCGAATTAACGACCAGCTCGAAGGACCTTTTGGGACTAGATTACGACTTGGGAATACTCCGCAGGTCACCGCTATCTACTCCGCACGCCTCGGAGAACCAAGAATGCAAGCTGCAAGCCACGGCATGCAAGGATTCGTGGCACCCGTCGAGTACCTGCGATAGACGACGCCACGTCGTATTCTTCAGGACACATCGAAAAAATTTCATTCATTCCTCTATAGCTCATATCATGAAGATGTATGGTAGGTATCCGCCTCCAAAAGAAAATCACTGCGTCCCAAATTCGCTTTTGCCAAAAAATCAAACAACACAACTACTTAGGGAGCACAGTATCCACCGTCGACCACGATATCGGCTCCCGTGGTGTAGGTGGATGCATCTGAAGCCAGGTAAAGATAGGCTCCCTTCAGCTCCTCAGGACGACCTTCGCGACCCATGGGGATCTTGTCCCGCCAGAGGTCCTTGGTCTCCTTGGGGACAAAGTTTGAGATTTCCGTAGCAATATAACCGGGGGAGATGGTGTTGGCGCGGGCAAACTTGACCCACTCGACAGCGAGGGATTTGCCTGGATGGTTGTCAGCATTTGTCAGGATTCATTCCTTTCGAATGTGGGGGAGATACACATACAGAGGTGGATTACGGCCGCCTTGGCGGCGTTGTAAGCGGCCTGCATCTGGGGGAAGTTCACTATATGTCCGCTCATGGAGGCTGTAGCGACAAAGCTACCGTAGGTGAAGTTGGTCAACTTGTTGCCGTTCAAGTCGGTTCCCTCCTCCTTCTGTCTCCTCCAATGCGCCGCGGCTGCTTTTGCACAATAGAAAGTACCATTGAAATCAATGTCAACAACGCTGGAGTAGTGGTCGAGCGGGCCGTCCACCATGGGACCCTTGGTCCAGGGGATACCGGCGTTGGCGATGAAGACATCCAGTCGGCCGTTGAAATCCTTCACAACTTGATCGACGACCCGCTGAACGGCCTGGGCGTCGGTGATGTCAAGCTGATACGCCTTGGCTGGAAGCAGTCAGTGCATACTTTTCCAGCTTTTATGAAGGTGCGTGGCCATACTTTGAACACCGTACTTGGATGCCACCTCGGCGGCCCGCTCGGGACACTTTGTGTTGGTGTTATACAACATGGCGACATTAGCACCGGCCTCCGCCAGACCCTCCGAAACAGCAAGACCAATACCGGCACCGGCACCGGTGACAATGGCGGTTTTACCCTTCAGGGAGAACAACCCCAGAAGGCTTGGGTGGGCTGGAGGAGTGGTGTTGTGGTGCAGGAAATGAGCACTCTGGTTGATGGGAGTGGCAGCCATGGTAGAATAGACTCGACTACTATTGAACGGACAACCAAAAAATAAACGAAAAACAAAATGAATAAAAGTCCAAAAAAAAAAATGAATTGGGAGACCAGAGAGTGAGCAAGAAAGAAAGGAAGGGGAAAAAAAAGCCAAACTAACGTAGCCGCCCCTATATATACCCTGTCAGGCAAGCAAGAGCTTAGTGAGCTATAGACTACGCCGTACAGCTGGTCCATGGCGGGGTCGACCGAAAGCTCTGAGTCTGAGCAACAAGGTTCATCACTAAGACTGATGGTGGATTGGGTATGACGCTATGTTGCCCCAGAGGATCCGTTGAAAGTGTGGGACAATTCGTGGGTGAACCAGCACGAAACTTCCACAACGCAAACCGGCTAGTGGGCCGTTGCCTATCAGTTCCGCATCCCCTTCACGGGGATTCCATCTGGTCCTTTTGTCTTTGTTGATACCATCGCAGGTCCATTCTTTTTTTCTCCTAAGAGACTCTGAGAGACAGTTGAATGGTGAGCGTCACTTCCTCATTCTGAAGGAGGGGACATGTGGACCCGTATCTACATTCTTCCCGAGCACGTGATCTAAAGTCCCGTGATACTCATTTGGAGTTGTGGATTCCATAGATTCAGCTACTAGTGGATTATGAGGATGGAGCTATAGCTGGAATATAACGGATTTACTATAGGAATCTTCCGGTCTCCTAGGAATTGTAGCACCATCCCCCAAAAGTCCGGTCAAAGGATGGAGAACTGGGGCAAACCAATGCATCTTTCTCCTACTCAAGATCTAGTCTCGGAAGGACCTAGGCTGGTGTAAGGTGATTAAAAGCATATGGGAGGATTGATCCGTCAATTATAGGTCTAACTGACAAATGACAGGGGTACAAGGACCGTCCATACATGTTTCTGATGGATGGCCAGTCCTGGTGGTCCTCTTTTAGAGCTCATACATTCACTTCCAACAAGGCCATCTCTTTGTCTGCCTATAAGTAGAGGAGTGAATGAGACCAGTGGATTCGACAGTGTCTAGTTGTTAATAGTCTTGGATATCTCCTCCAGCGACTAGCAAACACTGGATAGGCACTCAAACACTTAATCGAACAATGTTCGATTGGTTTAAAATAATGCAGCTATTGAAGTAATCTAATAAGGGGACTCAATTTAGGGATTGGCTACCATGCACCATGTCAGGTGTAAATTAGACATTTATGTAATTCCCCCAGGCAAACGTCATGGGCCTAAGAAACTGTTAGATATTAATAGCCCGCAGTCCTTGAGTCCACTTACTAGGTGCTGGCCAATAAGGGCTACAAATTTGTCCTTAGATGTAAAGAATACTCCATAATTAATTTGTGCCCTGTCAAAGTCAATCCACATCAAATTTTTGGATCGCTGTCAAACACCATATTTCTAGGATGGGGGGCATCACGGAGGATGCCAGCCTTATGAATTTCCTGTACTACACGGAGAAAACCCTTTGCACGTTCCTTAGAGTAGGTGTCGATCCAGAATTTCCGCACACCTGGAATATACTCTAAGATGATGGCACTCAGGGAAAATTTATCATTGGAAAACCAGTCCAGACTTGGTTCCCAGAGCTTAATATTAATATCTCAATAACACCATAAAACTTTGGAACAAACCCTCGGACACACGCGCCATGCTGGGCTAGACGCTCATATGCCGCAGGTACATAGGTTTGTTTTTCTCTTGGGATGCTTACTATCAGGGCCTATTACAATGCTATATAGCAGTTAGCTAAATTTAGTTAAGTAGCTATAGATACTTACCACCTTCATAATGCATCTATAGCTGCGTATATCCACTACTAGGACCTGGGCGCAAAATTGGAAGTATTTAACACCTCCTTGATAGTGACCTCGGAGGCAGCGATGTTTGTAAACCACATTATCTCAAGAGGCCAGATCACCTCGGCTTGAAGTATAGTCCACGCCACTTGATCCGACAAGAAGAGTTAGGCTTTAATGGGAAAGCTTCAAATATAAAATCTAGATAGATATAGAGCCCCCTGAAACAGCAACAAAGCAATTAGCGCGCTGAGAGGCGGTCAACAGGAAGTTTACAACGGAGATCCAACTGAAATGGGCATACGTAGAATGAAGATGTTTCCAGAGTCCAAACTATTAGTCAGGTGACCATCCCCAATCGCTGCATTCATTACCAAGTCACGGGAGCTCAGGGCAGCGCCACGCACCTACCAAAACCAGAAAGGCTTCAGGATGTTCGTAGATCTTCCCACCTTTCCATAAGGCATGAACAGTATTGTCCCTAGAAAGTTGAATGTAATAAGATTCTGTAATGCAATTTCCCCCGAGTACTCCGGCATCGACCTGGGCTTGTCAAACCTTTTCTTCATTGGCTGACGCGTGACCCCACAGTCGATGGTCATCAACGTCAACCATAGCCCTAACTGACAGCCCAGTCAATGCATTCGCACCCGATCGCATGATGCTCCCAACTAAAACAGTGACATCGCATCACAAGGGATCTGAAATGAAGCGTTTAGCAGTCATGTTTTCGATGAGGAGGGGATCAAACCATAGCCAGCATTCCTCGCGTCCCCAACGGCAATGCGTCAACATTCCTCTGCTCCAACTGGATTTCTACACCCATAACAAAAAGCACTCCCCCTTCCTCCCCGCGTAACCAGCCTCCTCGCTATGCTCCTGCCTGATTGTTATCTCCTGTATTGCGAGCCGTGCTTCCTTATGCGGTTGGAAGGCCTGTAACCTTTCCCCGGAATCAATTTAGGATCCTGGACGTCAGTCGACTGAAACGAGATACATCTTGACGAACGACGAGAAGAAAGCTTCCAGAAACGGAGGAGAAGACAAAGAGAATTTCTGTGGATGGGCCAATTGGTCCTCACGTCGTGTCAGAACCAATCGTGGGTCCCTGGGATAGAGCTCAAGTAGTCAACGGGCATTCATGATGCCAGCATTGACTACAGTTGTCGCCATCGCTGTCTCTTGCGCGGCGGTCGTCATTGTCGCGACAGTCGTGGGCACCATTGTCTGGCTGAGAATTCGTCAGGAGCGGCTGTCGCTCGCAGTGGCCAATGTCCGGCAAGGCCCATACAATGTACGCCTACAAACCTTCCCTACCGACACTTTAACGGAATTGTCGCGCGAAGAAGGCTCGGCTCTGAGGCAATATGGCCAGCTACCATATGGAAAGCCAACCGAATGGGGCCTGTTGGCGTCACGGGAAAGTCTTGTTCAGGACTCTGAAGCCTTAACTAGTATTGCCGAGAAGGCGCGCGGACTCCGGAGGTCTTTGTCACGGTCTCAGTCCGTTAGACGGTCCAAGAGCTTCACACGACCTTCTCGGAAAAGCTCTCTAGCACCGTTAAAGGAGACACAAGTTAGACCGGTATTTCACACCTCGAATGCGGTCGGTGGAAAAGTTGATGTTGATAATCTGCCCACGTCGGCCGTGGAAGGGGTGGTCGAGCTGCCGACGGAAAGAACTCCCCGACACACTCCAGAAAGAGACGAGGAGGGATCTAGTGTTGCGTCTAGTTCACGGCCTCTCTCGGGACCATGGACAGCAACGCATCAGAGAGAGCGCTCGAGCAACCTTTTCCCAGTGATAGAGGACAACCTACAAGGGTTCGAGCAAGGGAGGCCGCGCGCAGGAAGCATTACTGCCCAATCGCCTGGAACAATGCCAGAGCAGCCTATGCCTCCTCCTCCTCCCACTGCTTATCCTCCAAACCGTTTCCGTCTCTCCAAGAATGACTCGACGTGCTTCTCTTCGCTGAGCCTGGAAACAGCCGATAGCTCCATATTGCTGGATGACAGCCGAAGGGCCTCCGCTGCTATGGATAGTGATTTCACCTCCCCTGCATTGCCTCCTTGCCCTATGTTTGCGCCGTACAGTGCCAATGACGTTGGACGCATGGAGTACGAGCGAAGGAGCTATGTTCCATCCTGCGCTGTCGTACCCGCACCCTTCGTCTTCCCTGCCAATTCGCCAGCACGGGAGGTCCAGAGGAGGGAACCAGATCGGACGTCGCCTCGTCGCAGTCTAACTGCACGTAGCCCAAGCCATTCCCTGGAGCGCATCAGTCCACCACCACGGAGGAGTGAGTCGCTATCCAATGCCACGAATCATTCGAGACGGGAATCCATGTACGCAGATCTGGATCACATCCCTCCGTTAAATCCCGCAACCCGGAATACAGGTCTTCTGCCATACTTCAGCCAGATGCAACGACATTCCCTGCACGGTAATCCTCGGAAAGAACATGACCCATTCGTTGGCGGCGTCCCTGGTGCCAACGGGCTCACCGGCCATCCCAATGCGCCAGGACGGAGACCGAACAGTTTCTCCATCCAAGAAACCTATTCGCAGACCTCTGCATGTCACCCCAGGCCACCACTACCATCCGCACTGAAGGGAGGTAGTGGCCCTCGAAAAGGTCATCGACGGCAGAATTGCGTTCGCATATCAATCCACCCACCTATCACCTTCGGCGCACCTACATTCTCTCCCATGGTAGAAGAAGAGCCCGAAGAATTCGACGATAAGCATGGGCGCCGATCAGACATCTCAGAATTCTCAGCGTCTAATGTCTCGTTACTGAATTCTAGTGTATCGTCTCTGCCAGTGGAACCGAACAGTTATCAGGACCTCCAAAACGAACGACCCCAAACAATAGAGAACAATGGGAGTCGGCCTACCTCCTATGGAAGCCCGTCGAAGAAGAGGAAACATACGCGAAACGATTCTGGGGACAGTTTGCTGAACCCCTCTGGCAATGGCAAAGCCCTCCCTGAGCTTCTTACCTCTCTACCTACCACTACCGAAACCAACATGTCAAGCACTCCATCACCAGAGAAAGTGATCCCCGTCTGGATGGCGCCAACCTACAGCTTGTCACCTACGGCGTATGAAAACTCGCCGAGTCCTGGCAGTCCACGCCGATCAGCAGTGAAGGGGCCGCGCATTCAGCCTGCAAAATCAGTCCGCAGCAGCGTCCAATCCTTGCACTTAGAGGAAAACGCCAAATCGATAATGACAACACCGTCCAGTCCGGTAGACCGCCATCCTGCTCGCTCTAAAAGCACTCTGAAAGTATCAAGTACCAAATTGGCTGACTCGGTGCAGCATACAAGGGGAAGAAGGGGGAGCGTTCCGGATTCATCATCGACAATGGACCGAAGCACGAAAGAGGAGGCTAATAAGAATAGTAGTAGCAAACAATCGGCAACGCAGCAGCCTAAGAAAATGCCTTCATCAGGCGCCAACGAAGAGCCCAGTGCAAACGGTGCACGTATAGTCCCTATCTGGGAAGACCGGATCAAGGAACGACGCCAATCGACGCCGAAATCCACCATCTTCCTGGTCAACGATCCCACAGAGTTACAGGGCGAGATATCACCGTCGCCCAAAAACCGGATCAAGGGTCGACAACGATCCAAATCAGCATTCGTGACCCCAACTAAGAAGACAGTAGGGTTAGGGATTGGAGCTGCGACTCCAGTTAGTTTGTATGATGGAGATGGATTTTTGAAAGAATGATAATGTCCGGCTCAGGCAGCCGTCCCGTTATGTAATTTTCTTTTTCCTTTTCTTTCTTTAATTGTTGGCTCATTTGGGAGGATAGGAATTGTTAGTTGTTTTAGGCCATATGCGATCATTTGCCTCCGTCGACAATTTTGATTCTTTTTCTGCAGACGAGATGTTGTTTGATATCCGATGTTTTGACAAGCGTCATCAGGACAAATGAAAACTTATCATACCTCATGGAATTCTAGGATGCCAGAGTCAATCGCCGTATGATTCAATTTCCAATTCAAACCTTGAAACTATTTTTATGAAGTCTATCATTATTGTATTACCATATCGCAGTATTGTCCTGCAGCCCCGGGACAGGTCCGTGGCTTGCTGTTTGAAGATTAATCAGTTCGCCTCCATTTGGTTTCCTCTCCTTGATCCTCACCCTGAATTTCTCCATCCTGCCCATCACTTTCTTCGTCTCTTGGTCTCACTATACCAGCCCCTGGGCCGAGTGGCAATGTCGGCCCCTCTCCACTGGCAATCCAGTTCCCTTCCTCGTCGAAGTACTCATGCATATTCTCGGCAGTAATCCACCCTGAGCTACCTTCCACAGGTGGGGGGAGACCTCCATCCCCGCTGCCCATGGAAACGATCCCAGACTGGAAGAGCGAGTTTTCTTCCTCATCTTCATCGTCTTCCTCCATCGGGTCCGGATGAAGGTTCGAACAGGCAGACACAGCCGCATACAGCGCCTGCGTGGGTGTTTCTTTGGGCTTATTATCGTCCAGATCTTCGGTAGCTGTATCTGTATCGGTCGGCGGAACAATCGTTATAGTCATACTCTCTTCTTCATCATCATCTCGTGTGGGTGGCTCCGGCTTCGCAATTTGCATATAAAGACCCTGGAGTTCGGTATCAGAGGTATCAGGGAGTCGCAGTCTCTGGATCGCATGCAAGGAGATGGATGGATAAGGGATAGAAACGCCTGCGGAAACGGAGGGGTTGTATAAGAGGAATTTGCTGAGAGATGTCCGTTATACTGTGTTCCATTTTTTGTAAATTCATAGAGTAGGAAGAATATGACTTACTCCGATGTCACCCAAATGTCCACGTTGTCAAGGACGATCTCTTTTCCATCGCTCTCACCGTTCGCGTTACTCTCTGCTGTCGCGGTGGGGGCATGGCCGTCGGACCCATTGACTGTCGCCGCTGGTCCACGAATTGCATTCAGAGTAGAAGATGCGACGAGGTCATGTTCGGGGATGACTAGCTTGCACTGTTTGCTGTGGTAGTGGAGGACGGCGGGACCAGAGTGGAATGAGGATGGAGTACGCGACTGGTGGTCGGCAAGAGGAATAAAAGACGACGTCTCCGGGGCTGTTCGAAGGGGTTCCATACTTGCGAATATTCGAGTGGAGAGCAGGATAATTTTGAGACGGTGGTTGTTGAAAATAATTTCAGAGTGATGATGTTTCTTGCTGTGGGAGAAGCTTTGGCGGCAGCCTCTGATGGTTTGACGGAGCATGCGGGGAGTTCCGCCTCGCTAGATTGTATTTGATGGATGCACAGCTTGCAATGGTTGATATGCGCCCAGTACTTTAGAACAGGAAATTACAGTATGTATATTATGCTTCAGAGTACATTTTATTATTTATCTCTCCACACCACGTCATGCCAATGCAGTAGCGTCGATATCACCGTGGCACAGTTCTATATAAATAGCTGCTTGACAAGAAAAGTACGCCATTTCGTTAAGTACACCCTGTGGATATAAGGATCTCACCAATCTTCGTAACACTTTGTTGATCATAACAACTAGGCTCAATGCTGCATCAGAGCTATCGTGTGCTTCCACACTGCAAGAATGAGGTAATGCGGCACTGCAAATGGGCGGTTTCGAAGAAGCCTTGTGACAGTCAGCCAGTACGTCACTTGCCCCTGTTGATAAATTCCAACAGTCCCACCAAATATGGAGCAGCGATACGGAATACAATTTTGATGTTGAAGGTGCTCGTGACATCGTTATTTCACATCTAGTCTTCCAAATGCCTTATCCAGCTCTTTTCCCTCATCCCGCGGTATCATCGACGGTAACCCAGACGCGGTGGGATCAGTCGACGAGCTGTCCAGCAAACTCTGTGTCGACTGACTCTGTGATCCAGAACCTGGCATTTTACTCGGCTGAAGCAGTTTCTCTTCTCGGTCTAACCAGCCAGGAGCAACCCGTCTTTTCTCAGCAAGCTCCCGCTGGGATATGGACCCTTCCCAATCTTTGATGGCATTCTCTGCGTCATTTTGGATTTTGTTTAGATGTTGTTCGAGAGATCTGCAGGAAGTGAGTATCTCCTCTGGAGATGCCGCATGTTCACCGCTGGCGGAGACGACGTAGCGGTTTTTGGTATCAGCGTCGGTAGGATCAACCAGTACGGAAGGGGGAAGTGTCGAAGGGACTGATTTGTAAGTATAGGGGAGAGTGACGGTGGTGGGAAGATTGATAAATGGGGAGACGGTCAGTGGGACCTGAGCCAGCAGGGGATGAGGACCTGGGAGCGGTTAGAACTGTAGGATCTGAGGGAGACACAGGGAAACATACGATAGGATTCATACATGGTGGAGATGAGCGGCGGAAGACTGCCAGTATCAGGAAGGTGGAGGATAGGATGGATATCGATTTGGCTTGACCCTCAAGGCAGAGAGCAGAAGTGGACGAAATACAGTGCAATACAAGAAGTGGGCGAAACGCGGGTAATTAATTACCTCTCCGTATACGGGATGGGGCTGATCATCTAAGATCAACAGTGGCATCGTCGAGGGATCTTGTCTCGTTGCACAGCCATTCTCCCCATCTATCTCTGTTTCTCATCATCATCACCCTTCGGACTCGTCGTCTTTTTAACGCACGACCCGAGCTCGATCCTATCGACCTGGTCGCATTTGTCTCTCCACTTTAACGAGCCTCGGAAGAAAACCCCCTTTCAATTTCCCTAGACTTAAATTCTCAGACTACCTTCTACAGCCTTGAGTATCGGGAAGGGGATATAAAAAAAAAGGAAGACAAAAAAGGAAATAGAGAGAAACAGAAAAAAATAAGCTAGATTTGCAGCGGATCCTTGTTCCTGGATCTCGAATCGTCTCTTCTGTATCACTTCTCGTTTTAACTATCGTCCCATCGGTCTCGTGTGTGAATTCCCGCCGCGCTTAACCCCACCATCACAGAGCTAGTCGGTCTCCGCGCAGCCTCCGTCTTTTGCTCACTAACTCTCTCTCCCTCTTCCCCCTTTCCCTTCGCGCTTGTTCCCATCCTACCGGGGTTCCGAGCTCTTGCGATTTTTTCAAGATCCAAGACCTGAATCTTCACCCCCCTCAGCTCTGTTCAAGATGGATCGGACAATAGCGCGTGCGGTAACGGAAAAGAAGCCGGTCCCGGAGATCGACTTCACATTACATACCATGGAAGATGGCACTCAGGTGTCCACACTGGAGCGAGTAGTTAAAGGTATGGGGTAGATTCTGGTCCTGACTTTTTTGCTTCTTGCACGCTCTCGCAAATCTTTTTATTTGTTATTTTATTTTTTTTATTTTATTTATAATATCTAACGGTTCTGCGGTTCTCCAGAGGTGCAAGCGCCGGCGTTGACCACCCCGACGGATGAACAGTTCTGGTCTCCAGAGGACCCCTCCAAGCCCAACCTCCAGTTTCTCAAACAGCACTTCTACCGGGAAGGCCGCCTCACAGAGGACCAGGCGCTATGGATTATACAGGCAGGGACACAGATCTTGAGATCGGAACCCAATTTACTAGAGATGGATGCACCCATCACCGTGTGTGGCGACGTTCACGGCCAATATTATGATTTGATGAAACTCTTCGAAGTCGGTGGCGATCCCTCCGAGACGCGATATCTGTTTTTGGGAGACTATGTGGATCGGGGATATTTCAGCATTGAGGTGAGTCTCCGGGCTGTTGGGTTATCCGTGTTGGTCGATGGTGTGGCCAACCTGACTGTATACAGTGCGTTCTTTACCTCTGGGCTCTGAAGATCTGGTACCCCAATACACTCTGGTTGCTTCGAGGCAATCATGAGTGCAGGCATTTGACCGACTACTTCACCTTCAAGCTAGAATGTAAACACAAGTACAGCGACCGGATCTACGAAGCCTGCATTGACTCGTTTTGCTCATTGCCACTCGCGGCGGTCATGAACAAGCAATTTCTCTGTATTCACGGAGGACTGAGCCCCGAGTTGCACACCCTGGAGGATATCAAGGCGGTAGGTTGACTGCAATCTGTGGGGTTACCACTGGCTGATATTGACATGCGGCAGATTGACCGTTTCAGAGAGCCCCCGACTCATGGCCTGATGTGTGACATCCTGTGGGCCGACCCCCTCGAGGAATTCGGACAAGAAAAGACCGGCGATTACTTTGTCCATAATAGCGTTCGGGGATGCTCATATTTCTTCTCTTATCCTGCCGCCTGCGCTTTCCTGGAAAAGAATAACCTGCTTTCCATCATCCGAGCCCACGAGGCGCAGGATGCGGGATACCGCATGTACCGGAAGACAAGAACGACCGGATTCCCTAGTGTAATGACCATATTCAGTGCTCCGAACTACCTGGATGTATACAACAACAAAGCCGCCGTCCTGAAATACGAGAATAATGTGATGAACATCCGCCAATTCAACTGCACTCCTCATCCGTACTGGCTGCCGAATTTTATGGACGTGTTCACTTGGTCACTTCCGTTCGTTGGTGAGAAGATCACCGACATGCTCATTGCCATTCTCAACACCTGCTCCAAGGAGGAACTCGAAGACGACACCCCCACATCTGCCACCGGCCCCTCTTCCCCTCCTCTTCCGATGGATACAGAGAGCAGCGAATTCAAGCGACGTGCAATCAAGAACAAGATACTTGCCATCGGCCGTATATCTCGTGTCTTCCAAGTGTTGCGTGAGGAATCGGAGAGAGTCACAGAACTCAAGACCGCTGCTGGGGGCCGTCTTCCAGCGGGTACTCTGATGCTTGGAGCCGAGGGCATCAAGCAAGCCATCACTAATTTCGAAGACGCCCGCAAGGTTGACTTGCAGAACGAACATCTACCTCCCAGCTCGGAAGAGGTTTATCGGCGGAGTGAGGAAGAAAGGAATGCGGCGTTTGAGCGTGCTCAGCGCGAGGCTGAAAATGACACTGGGTTGGCTACTGTGGCTAGACGTATTAGCATGTAAGTTGTCCTCGTCTCCAGCGTCAGAAAGTGGAGTATTCACTAATCTGCTACAGGTCGGCCGGTTCGGGCAGAAGTCGCCGATATCGAGATGCTGCCAGGGAGGTTCGAGAAGCATAATAAACTACCAAGAGTAGGTAGCATCGAAGTACTCCACTTCCGACTTGTATCTCTCTAGCATTCGAATCCGTCTTGTCTACAAGACTTGCTCGTTTGTTCTTTGGAATAGCATTCTCCACACCTGTATAGAGAGGTCCCAAGTATGTTATGGAGTCAGAAAGGGATCCATACGCAGCGACAGACTCATTGACCTATTTTCCTAAGTCCTGTCTGTGGTTGAATGGGGATGGATGGTTAATGTACTGAGTATTGAGGACGTGAAACAGGGAGCCTATCGCTGTATTTCCTGCACAGAAGGCGTCCGTGACGTCTGACTACATGAGCTGATGAATCGATACACCATGAACTTATATTTACCTTTATATTCTGGATTTCCTTCCCCAAGTCTATCCTTTTGAGTTGTAAATTAATCTAAAAATTATTCTTGGGCACCTTAACCTTGTCTAAAACTGCATCTCCCCCAAAACTGCTGTTTCCCTAAAACCATGGATATATCAGAACAATGTAGTGTAGGGAAAGTCACGGGCTGCACGCGCAATTCCGCAACTGCCAAGACCGGCCATTTCCTCCGCCCTGCAATGCTCCTCCAGTTCTCAATCTTCCCTTCCCTACCCAACTTCTCTCGGTAGTTTCTGCTGCCAATGCCTCCCAAATTACGCGGTTCCTTATCAAGGAGTCTGTGGCGTGCTCAGGACGCTGCACCAGACCTCTATTGTCCGTCCTGCGCAATCTTCAGACGAACGCTTTCTACGCGTCGGCCCGCCAGCACGTCCGACGGAAATCGTCCTTCGGCGTGGACTTCTCCTCGCGTGCCCACCACATCCTCCGTGATACATTCGGGAAGACATGTACCGCCTCGTTTAAGGGATCTCTACGAGGCTTTGAGCCAAGTGAAGGATGTTGCGACGGAGCAGGTCAATCTGAGTCGATTGCAGCTTGCGTTGCGGGGGGTTGGAGTCGGAAGTGCCTCAGATCCGAGTGGCTGGTGGGTATTATCCTTTCCACCCTTGTTTTGATAAATTATACTTCGCCCGGATAGATAGGAATATACTAATTAGTCCCGATAGTTCTAGGATTAAATGATGCGACGGCCGCGCGAAAGCTTGTTCGTCTGTTGCTGGCTGATCCATTGAGCCCCCCCGGGAAAACTGGGAGGATGCACTGGATGCCTACGATGCGGATTCTTCACGAGGATTATTAATTCGGTATAGCTCACTCTGTAATATTCATGGGGACATTGCTGACGCATGACAGATATGGGGAAGTGTCCGAAACCATCCCGAATAACCTCCTCCCGACTATTTCGGTTCCGTCCTCGATTCTGAAGAAAGGCAACCTTGAAATTCTGGTCTCGAGTCTCGGTACGGAGACGGAACTCCCAGGCGCCCAGTTCACGGCAGATACTTTCCTCGTGCCCACCGTGACGATCCAAACCTCGCATTCCGGGCGACATAACATGGTGCGGTACCCAGTGCATAGAGCCATTGTGTGTGGCCGTGGCGTGGACGGTTTGCTTGCGTATAGTAATCTGATCGCTCGATCGGATTTGAAGAAAGAGAAAAAGTCCGTTTACGGAGCAATTGAGTTGGCTGTCTCTGATTCCCGGAAGAGCAATGATCGTATCGCCTTTGTGGATATGGATCAAGCTGAGGAAGCGCTGGAGAAATTCCGCGAGTCCGTCCAAAATGCGTCGCTTTATGAAAGGGGCTGGAACAGCAGTGGTGTACAGCCGGTTGTAGATTGGCTGTCCTCGTTACGGGGGAAAAAGGGTAACCTAGATCCTTCCTTACGGTCACTGATCACGTCTTTGGTTGATGCCGCAGAGCTGGGCGTCAATGCCGAAGAGTCAAAGAAGTATCAGGAGCAGCAAGAGGGGACAGTCTCTGACCCGGCCCGAGGGTCTTTGGACCGCTCGGTCACTGAGTGGGCAGAGAGAGCTCACTCCGAGCTCCGCAGCTCCCTTGAGGAGGGATTCGCCAGCAAGCAATGGAAGGGACTAGCGTGGTGGAAGCTATTCTGGCACGTTGATGATGTGAGTATGATCACGTCTGAGATTCTAGAGAAGAAGTATTTGCTGCGGGCAGAGAGAGAGGTCATTTGGACTGCGGGCAAGTTCCAGCAGGCTGGGCTTTTGGGTGAGCCCCAGCAAGAGAACGGAGTGGTTGCCTCTGACCCAGCAGCGGAACCAACAAAGGATGATGATTCCTCTCCTAGCCCTGTCGCCTGTCCCGCGACCACAGACATCCCCTGGCCGACTCAGATCAGCGCAAGCCGCACCCGGCTGCTAGAGACGAAAGTACCTTCCCTGCAAGCGCTGGCGCAGGGTCTCGTAGCTTTCAGCGTCACGACTACATCGCTGGCTTCGGTCCTGTCTGCGCTGACATACGTCTCCTTCCCAGCAACGTCGGTATATGAGACCTGCACCATGGCCGCCGTAGGGCTGATCTACTCCCTCCGACGACAACAACGGAAGTGGGATTCTGCCCGAACTTTCTGGGAGAATGAGGTCCGTGAGGATGGGCGTACGGCCCTGAGAGAGACGGAGGAGCAGCTGCGAACCTTGGTGCAGGAAGGTGGAAGACGCTTCGAAGATGTGTCGGAGACCCATGCCAGAGAGACCATCGAGCGGGCGAAAAAAGCGCTCAAGGATATGAAATAACTGATACATAGCTATGAGTTAGACCATGCAAGACCTGTACAATATGCCTATCCCATTTTACGAGTATTATTCTTATTGTCAATATACACCCATTTCTTTCACATCAATTCCAATCAAGTAATCTCCACACTCCCGTCCAGCACTCCCTGCCAACTCCTCAACCGTCTCGCAAAGAAGCGCATCACGGGCATCATCTCCTCATGATTCCTCGGCATACCATCATCCTTCCTCGAATACCGATGTGTCTCCACGAAATCGAACACCTGTTCCGTCCTCCTAACAGCCTCCCCGGTCACAGTGGCGGACTCCCTCCCCGCAACCAACAACACCGGCGTCCGATTCTTCTCTCCCACCGAACTGCCAGACAACGGATACGGTGCCCCAATCGAAACTACTCCAGACAAAGACGTCTCATGCGCCGTGTCTTTTCCCACCTGCTGCTCGAATTCCCGAGCCCCCACCAACCCCAGCATACCACCCTGTCCGAACCCTAGGATCAGGATCTCCCGTGCCCGGTACCCGCATTTGGCAATGAGTGTGTTGCGGAGCACATCCGTGACAAGAAGACGTGTCGACTGCACGAATCCCGCATCCATGTCTAGTCCGCCAGTGCTGGCATCGAAGGAGATGTCATCGCCCCAGTGGTAACCGGGGAGGTCGAAGGGGAGACGCGTCGGAGCTTGGAGGGTTAGGATGGTGGTTTCGGGAAGGTTTAGCGCGCAAGCGAAGGATGTGAATGCGGAGGCGGAGTCGCCGAGACCGTGAAGCAGGATTAGGAGGTTGGGAGGTGGTCTGTTGTTATTATTATTGTTGCTGTTGTTTTTCGACGATGCCGTTGGCGGGGAAGGAGGAGGGGTGATGGTTAGTGTGAGATGAGAGGGGAAGTCGGATAGTATTGGTGGTCTTATTGGCATGGTGGATTGATTTGATTTTGATTTTGACTTTGATTTGATTATCAGATGTTAGGTTCTTCTGGTTTTGTTTTGGCTTGGTTGTGGTTGTGGTGAAGCTGTAACAGAGTTGCGCAGGTGCGGTAGTGGGCAACGTAGGACGTTATATGTGTGGTATTTATAGGTAGGGAGAGAAGCAGCAAGGTCATTGGTGTTTGTCTTTTTCATTGACCGTAGGCAGCATATTCCGGAGTCTCTCTTGTTTAAAATCTGTTGGATCCTGTAATGGAAATATTACTCTGTATGTAGGAACTCAGTGAATAAAGATATTGCTACTCCACTCCATATATATAATTGGCTTTGTGACTGGTAACAATGCATAAACCAATGCTAGATCTGATTGGTTCGGGAATAGCCAGACAATGATGCATAGTTAATATATTTCACAGGCGAGCGTTCCATACAAAACAAACATTCCGCCTCTCCCAATTTCAGCATGTTAAATTATTTGAAGCAATTCAGTGTACAAACAATTTAGAAAAGAAGGAGATAAGGTCCAATGTTGAAATTGGGTGGGATGGAATATCTATTTTGTATAGAACACTTGCTTGTGAAATACATTATCATTATAAAGTAAGGACCTGTGCATTCCCTGCTGCGGTTAGTTTGTATGCTTAATTCCATGTTAAATGCGGCATATATTTTTTAAACTTTGGCTGAGCTGGTTTTGTTCCTCTGTAAGAATGCATACACTGACAGATGTGATATAGAAAAGAACAATACAAAGGTTACAAGTGGAGTGAAAAAAAATAAAGGAACACAATAATTTGTATAGGGCTTACTTTACATTTTGTTTGCTTGAAATGACTATAATAGCTTGAGAGCATTTTGCTGATCAGCGTCCCCATGCTTATTGCACTATACACTTTTTCTTGTACCACCATAAAATAACCTCCCACCTCCCTTATTTTACTTAACTTTGCGTCCTAGTTGTATCCTTTAAATCAGTTCGTATAGAACTGGCCCTTCTCAATATCAGGGCCCATTTGTAGGGGTAAAAGTGACATTGAATTGACAAATGACTGGTTGAAGTTGTTCAGAACATAGGTTCCAATCATGTCCAGACCTTGATAGGTTCAAATCGATCAGCTTTTGGCAGAATAATAGTGGAATACACGACATACCTGCTCCTGCGCCCCCACCAGTCCATAACTCGCCCTTGCCCTCCCCAGCGTATGGCTTTTCATCTATCACCCATCTCTGGTCAAGCCAATTGACCTTAGGGTGCAGTTTCTTTGCAGCGGGGAGCACTCCACGATTAGTCGTCGCATTGTGTCCATCTAGCACCCCTGAGTCGGCCAGCCACATCGCCCCAACGCAGGTCGTCATCCACACTCGAGTGGTCTCCCAGGCTTCTTTCATGTACCGATCCGCTGCCTCCGGGCGGACCGACACTAACGGTCCTCCCGTGAGAACAATATCAAGGTCACGAGGACAGTCGTCGTAGGTCTCAGTTGGGATGATCTTCGTTGATGGGGTCAAAGTCATAGGCTCCATTGTAGACGACACGTAATGCCATTCGATCTTGGGGGCAATGTCGAGGTACTGCGCTGCTTGGGGCATCATACTCTGGACACTAGTCAAGTAATCTTTGCCCAGGTTGCCGAAGATGTCGATTCCTGCGATATCAAGGAGCTGAACACTTTCGAGCATCACTCCGATGCGGAGGAGAGACTTGGTGTTTCTCATTGTGCCAGGCAATCAGTAGTACAAATAGAGACGAGTTTGAAATGGTTGGGTGTGGTTATATGGAGTTCTCTGACCACAACTTGTCTTTTATACCTCGTCGACGGCCAGCAAACTGCGGATCGGAATCAACCTTGTTCATTCCATGACCCCGATTAGCAATCTATCCCTGGACTTGTATGGTTCTTATCCTTGTCCAATACATAGCTTCCTTCCCATCTCGACTCATTTGTGTTTCCTTGAAGATACAAACCCTCTCAAACCCCCTCTCATCCCGGACGCTAGTAGATCTTGGTATGAATCGGTCTATCATTAAGCAGCATAATTCCCTAATGCGCACTCATGGTAGCTTAAATGCACACTTGATAATAGTGATGGATTCTATTCAGTGGGCCGCTCGTCCTGCCGATGTATCCGACATCACACCTGCTGAGTAAATATTATTCTCATCTAGAGTTATTGTAGATTGGCGTCTTTTCTTCAGCTGGTCGCATTTTGAAACTCCGATAACCTGGCAGTGACATGCGATTGCATTAGTTGGTCGGCGTCTATTTGATTAGAGTTTGGATTCCCAAATCCTGTCAAAGCCCTTTCTTGAGTTATTGTGTAAAGGATCGGTTCGGATCTGCTAATCTTCCATCTCAGCGGCTGTTCATTTGTGGCATGGTATTTCTCTGGAATTGACAAGTATTAAGTTTACGACTCTTCAAGTCAACCTTACGATGATCCTCCTTACTCTCTCCCAAGTCTCAAGACTCACCCATCCATCCAACATCAGTTTTTTAATTTTGTGCCTGCAGTTCGACAATCGTATAAGAATTTAGGATAATACTGATCATGAGTATTATTATTAGTAGTAGCAGCAGCAGTAGTAGTACACACTGTACTTTGGCTCAAGATACACAGGACAGGTCCGCGCCACCCTATAATCTTCACATTTTAGAAGAGAGGCCGAAGCTGCAACAGAGGGCAGTCAATATCTAGAGCAAATTACGGAAGTGGAAGGACGTCTCAAACTCAGTCTTTCACATCTACCCATGGTTAGCTTAAGTGTAGGATAATTCCTAAAAAAAGTATACCTACCTTGTTCTATTTACCCACCCGAATACGAGCCATCAAGGGCCAATTAAACAGCTGCTGTAGTACTAAACTCTAGCCCACGTAGTAAATTACCTTTCAAAATCAACACTATAAGCGTTGCATAACTCAGTTGTACACCAAACACCTTGTTGAGCCACTCCTTAAACTTCATATGTTTAAGCATCTGCGGCTGTACCGTAGCATTCAATTAATTAAGAGAGTAGATTGTATTCACTGCGTTAAATCCTTCTAAATTTAATTGTGATCAGCTGTATTGGCGATCACTCGCCGTAGAGCAGCAATACCAGATGTTGTTATTAATAAATTAACCACTCAGAATGGAATTGCCATGGTGGAGCAGCCACTATTATAGTGTATATCTAATGTAGGTTTTTGGCTGGTCCACCGACTGATATAAGCACCTTACTTCTTCTACTTTAGCCAGGTGACCGTCAGCGTTGAACAAGCAGACTAGAAAGGGGAATTAAAATTTCAGACCTGGCACATACGGCTATTGCCGTGTGTCTTATTATAATATGCTTAATCGGCTTTCCATGAGAGTGGCAGCAGGACCAGGTGTGAGAGATTTCTGCCTAGTTGTAAGATAATTGTCAGGGGACCTTAAGATAACTAAATAACTAATATAATATAGGGAGTAATAGCTTTATTTACTTCGTCCATACAGTGCTATTCTCTAATCGAATGCCTACCTCCTCGACTTCTTTCCTTTCCGGAAGTCAGGTGTTCTTCTAGAATAATTTCCTCGAGTGGAAATCGGGCATGCCACGCTTTAACGGCAAAATGTTTGCTTCCTGAAGAGTGTTTTGATAGTAGGAGATAACTTGTCTAGATGATGACGAAGCTCAGCGTGTTAGAGGTTATTTCACTACATATTCCAAGGATAAGTGGATTTGGATCCAGCAGCTTTTGTTTAGGACAATATTAGTATAAAAATGGACTACTGTTGAGAACTACTGACCAGGAGTAAGATTTATTAATAAATTCTACTGGACGAAAGTGTATGGATATCCTTTGGAGTAGTGTTATAATAGATACTGGGTAACTACTCTGCGAGGTAAGTAAATACATACTAAGTATGGTGAATGTCAAGGCAGAATGACCTCCAGCTTCAGCCATAGTGACTATTGGTTTCCACTTCACTCGAAATGCCCTTAGTTACATAAAAAAGTACGTAGATAATTCAATCTACGCCGTGCAACCCCCAAGTGGATCAGGGCAGACAAAACATTTCACTCCACTCGAGACCCCAAAATAGATGGCAATTCGCTTTAGTAGTTAATTAGTTGTTAGATATACAGCTAGTCCCGAAGAGGAAATAGAGTACGATTGGTAAAAAGGTCTTATTTGAATGAATTGAGCTGGTTGGGCTCTTCTTGGTTATTCTTGATTGATTATTTTGTTGTGTGCTCCGCGGGGGTTTTACCCCGATCCAGTCACATGATTCTGGTCCAACAACGGCCATATTATTTGACATTAGTTGGCTAGGGGAATGAAACCCCTCCAGATGATTTCTGTTTACTACTGTTCAACCCGTACAGTACTGTAATATATTCCTCTTCTCCCAGGTTTGTTATTAGAATACGAGCATCTATAGTGATACCCATGGACACAGGGCTATAGGGCGACGACAAGCCTTGACAAGCCTAACGAGAGAAGCTTGGCACCAAAGTGGCTCGGTTGAAATCGGTTGGTGAGATGGAGTAAGGATGAGCAACGCCCCATGGGCGGATCCATCGGATCAACGCTGCTTTGGCATCGACAATGGGGCACGTACACATCCTCAATTAATTCTAGGAATCACACACGATCGACAAGGCTGGGTTTGACCTGGCCTGCGTTAGGACCTGTGATTCCTTGCACTTTCTCTTCTACGTAACTCTACATCAGGGAAGACTCTGATACACCTTCGTCTGAGATATAATGATTGGACCGAGGCGCTGACAACACGTACCAATTGTTGGAGTCAACGGAGCCACTTAGTGGCGCTCGCCAAAGCTAAACGCCAATGGGCCTGTCCTCTTCCAGGCTGTTTTGGACGGCTGGTGTTTGTCTCCATCTCCAAATCCTTCCAATCGGTGATCATTGTCCAGGTATTATATCCTACTAGGGACGCGGGTTGGGGGCTATTTCGGGCAACGTGACGGTCCTCGAATAATGGTGGCCACTGGTTCTGCTTTTCCCTCGATCCACTCATAGACACAGTGGTCATTGAAAGTCCTAGAGACAATTCCATACCATTACTGCCTAGTTGGTGGGGCAGATGGTGTATGAGGGGGCAAAGATAGTAGCTGAGGAGCGCGAGGTAGTTTAACAACCCCTCCTTTGGGTTATATAATAAGAAGCGCCTCCCTCCCGCTCTCCCTTGTCTTACAGTATTGAATTTTTATCATTCTTCCTCGTGCGACTCACAATCTTTGTCATCCATCCAACCTCTTTTCTAATACGCTAATACACCATGGCTTGGGGCTGGGGTATGTCATCTCCCGCATCAGATCAGTCCTCGTGGTGCACGTCGCGGGGGCCTCCCTGGTCTTCCATGAGCGCTATTTCTCATATCGAGAATGAAATGGATTTCATGGCTGACTGTTAGCTCCGCCCAGGCGAATCCGAGGATGCTCACCGTGAAATTTACGGCGAGCAGAAGCACGAAAGCCACTTCTCTCACGAACTGATCGCTGGAGCCGCGTCGTTTGCTGGCATGAAGGCCTGGGAGGACCACCAGCGCAAGGAAGGTAGGCATCTCACGGCGTTTGCTGCCCTGTACGCTATTGCCATATGACCCTGGCCCATCTGACAACTCCCGACCGTTATAGGCAAGCCCGTCAGCCACGCCTTTGCCAAGGAGGCCCTTGCAGGTATTGTTGGAGCTGAAGTCGATAAGCTGATCGAGACCAAGGGTATGGATCAGGTCGACAAGTTCAAGGCCCGCGAGCATGCCAAAAAAAATGCGGAGCGGATGTATGTGGAGCACTACGAGGAGCGACATGGTGCTGAGCAGTACGATCCTAATCGCTATGAGCGCCATGAGAGCTTCAACCGCTGGTAAACTGCATCATCCGAGAATTTTTGGTATAGTGGTTGGAGAGAATATGCAATGTGACGACGACTGTATATCAATGAATTGAATGGAAGAGAATATTTTCCCATTTCGTTTCTTTTCTAATATTTTCACCATCTGAATCCATCCGATGTGAGATTGTGCCGTCCAATCGTAGCTTCAACTGCATGTATGTATCGATGTTCAAGGTTGATGGGGTTACTTTGTAAATACCAGGGGGAAGAAACCACGCGGAATAGACACTTAATGGGACGTAGGCCATGGATACCATTGGTCTTGGCAGACAATGCCTAGACTCCAGTTATGTGAGAGGTCTGACCCAAGCTGCAAGTGGGATCATCTGATTGATCGAGCGAAGGACAGCCTGGTGGATGCCTTACACAGTACGCATGCCTTATCCGACATTATGTATTCGAAAGACCCCCTCCCGTTTGATTCGATTCCCTCGTTCTTGACTGTGTTGATATTTCCTACTTGGGTACTTCTTACTTACTAAGGAAAGGTTAGCAATGAGTGAGTAGCCAACCAGAGTCACAACTGAAAACATGCCGGGCAACCGGAACGTGCAATTGGCTGAAATGAAAACTTAACGGCTCAGCACGTGCAGGCTCCCGGTCCAATCAGACGCCGCAAATAAGAATCGGCTTGATAGATCCGACGTTCCTTACAGCCTGCACAGCCCATAATGGATCATCTCGACATTGGTAAAGCCCGATTGATCTTCGTCTCTTGGGCGCACAATACATTCTTTTCTTTTTTCTTTATTCTTTGCTTGGTTATTCCTTAATTGCCTATATCAGGTGTGCCTTATGCCACAATCCTCCACCTCCGGCGTCTGCTCGGCTGTTATAATTACTGAGCTAGCAGCAGTTCAGAGCCAATTGATTTGATGCAGTCACCAAAGATAGGAGATTAAAAAAAAGCATATAAAAGGATAGAAAGAAGGGAGGGGGAATAAGAGAAAAGAAAAGAAACGAGAGAGGAAGATAGACAGAGAGCAGACCGTTCTCTGGGAACTGACCGCTGAGGGAATCCGGGTTTGACCTAATCCTTGTGTCCTCTTGTCCTCTTCCTATCATGCCCGCTTACATTCCCTCCGCAGGATGAAATTCGCCAAGTTGGTCTCTCCCGTGTTCTCACTGTGTGTGATGGCTAATATCCGACATTTTCCAGAGAGCTGGAGCAGGAGCTGGTTCCAGAATGGCGTGCCAAATACCTCGACTACAAAGTAAGGATTGTGGTCATAGAATTGCTCCTTAGCTATATGTGTGTGTGCTAACCATCTCCTCCCATTATGGCAGGCAGGAAAAAAGAAACTCAAAGCGATTTCCCGGGCCATTCAGAGATCCAATCGCAATCCCAACCACCCGTCCCCTCGACGTGTCGTCTCCGGTCATGATACTCAATCGTTTACCTCTCCCACCGGTCGCGATCGCGCACCCTCCATCCATCACTCGGACAATAATAGACAGGATACCACCGAATTCGCAAATAATCCCCCGACCCCCGCAAGAAGCGGTGTGCTTCCACCTCGCTCAACCACCGGCCCGCGAAATGAACGTCAACCGTTACGAGGGTCAGGATCTCGATTCTCCACCACAGTTGGAAGTTATGGAAGTATTGTCCCGACTCCACCACTGCATCCCGCTGCGTCCGATGTAGCCTCCTTAGAGCTGCCAGACCCCGCGCTCGACCCCAGAGAATACGACCAGTTGTCGCCGAGTGATATCAATACTCGATCCATGCTCAGGTCACCGTCACCGGCCATGTCACGACATGCTAGTACAAGGACCATGCCCATAGATGCCTCCAATATGAGCCCGTCCGCGAAGCATTCTACCGCTGGCAGGGGCCATAGAAGGAATACGGTGTCCAGTTTGTCGGCTAAGAGAACCTCCCAGCTTTTGAAACGAGTCTTCTCTTCGGATTTGGAGAATGCTGAGAAGCAGGCTCAGGCGGACCAACAACAGTCGGAAGTGGAGCGGCGACAAGACGAGTTCTTCTTTTTCCTGGACGCGGAATTTGCCAAGATCGAGACGTTCTATCAAATGAAGGAAGAGGAGGCCAGCCAGCGCCTGAATGTGCTGCGGCAGCAGCTTCACATCATGCGGGACCAGCGGATCCAGGAGGTTCTGGGCACCAGAAAATCTCGTGAAGCGGACGGTGAAACGCGCCACTCCAATGGATTCGGAGGACTCAACGGCTCCCTCTTAAAGGAGCTTTTTGCTGGACGACGAATTGGGAAGAACTCGAAAGCACTGGCGGAAATGGCTACTCCAGGACCTTGTGCACAGGAGCATGATCCTACCGTTACCCGCAGGGACTTTACTCGTCGACCGGATGATCTAGCGAGTGCAGTTGTTCCTTACCGTGTTGCAAAGAAGAAGCTGAAGTATGCGCTTCAAGAGTTCTATCGTGGCCTGGAGTTATTGAAGGCCTATGCCTATCTTAATAGAACTGCATTCCGGAAGATTAATAAAAAGTACGACAAGGTTGTCAATGCCCGCCCGACTATGCGATACATGTCAGAGCATGTCAACAAAGCTTGGTTCGTCCAGAGTGAAGTGATCGAGAATCTTATGGCTGCAACCGAGGACCTATATGCCCGCTACTTTGAGCGCGGAAATCGCAAGATTGCCGCGTCAAAGCTTCGCCACACGGCCACGAAATCAGGGGACTACTCCCCGAACACCTTCCGCTCTGGAATCCTCTTGATGGCCGGTGTTCTATTCGGCGTCCAGGCTTTAGTATACGCTGCTCAAAATCTCCGTGACTCAGACCCTGTTATCCGGGTCCAAACTAGCTACTTGCTTCAGGTCAGTTGGACGCTTTCAGAACGAAATTCATCTACGATCCTGGGCTAAATATGTTGCTAGATATACGGGGGATATTTTCTCGTTGTTTTCCATTTCCTGCTGTTCTGTTTAGATTGCCTGGTCTGGACAAAGACCAAGATCAATTATGTTTTTGTTTTTGAATATGACACGAGACACGCTTTGGATTGGCGTCAATTGTCGGAGGTATGGCAGCCATTAGTACCCCTTTCCCAGACCTTTCTAACCCCAAGGCAGCTACCCTCCTTTTTCTTGTTTAAACTAGGTCTTTTCATGTGGTTAAATTTCTTATTGATCAATTCCATGTATCCGTACTGGCCGGTTGTGCTTGTTTCGTTGACGGTGATCGTTCTCTTCCTCCCTGCTCGTATACTATACCACCGAAGCCGAAAATGGTGGGCATATTCCAATGTTAGTCAGCACAAATCCATCCAGTATGCGAATTACGGCTGACAGAAATCAGTGGCGTCTTGCACTTGCAGGATTTTACCCCGTTGAATTTCGAGACTTCTTCCTGGGAGACATGTATTGCTCTCAGACATATGCCATGGGGGTAAGTTGATCAGGACTCAGCCGCGGAAGAGGTCATATTGCTAACCCCCTCCAGAACATTTCACTCTTCTTTTGTCTTTACGCAAGGCATTGGAACGACGCCCCATATTGCAACTCCTCCCATTCTAGATTGCTGGGGTTTTTCACCTGCCTTCCATCCATATGGAGAGCTCTGCAATGCATACGCCGCTATGTGGACACAAGAAACGTTTTCCCTCATCTGCTGAACTTCGGAAAGTACACGTTTGGAGTACTTTACTACGCCACCTTAAGCATGTACCGCATTAACAGGATAAAACGGTTCGAAGCCACGTTCATCACCTTTGCATTGCTGAACGCAGTTTATTGCTCCGTTTGGGATCTAGCCATGGACTGGAGTTTAGGAAACCCGTATGCAAAGCACCCACTTTTACGAGAGGCGCTAGCGTTTCGAAGGCCATGGGTGTATTATGTGGCAATGGGCCTTAATGTCATTGTGCGCTTCAATTGGATATTCTACGCTATATTCACCAAGGACATTCAGCACTCAGCCGTCTTGAGCTTTGCGGTTTCCTTTGCCGAGATCTGTCGGAGGGGTGTCTGGACAATATTCCGAGTGGAGAATGAGCATTGTACAAATGTCCTGCTTTTCCGAGCGTCCAGGGATGTCCCCTTACCCTATGAAGTACCATCACCGCAGGAAGAAACCGATCGCCCAAGTGAGGCGCAATCTCATGAACAGACTACAACCGCGGTCCAACAACCCTCTATAGATGTCGAGCATGGGACACCGTCAACCCCTGGCGCGTCGCTGCGTGCTCGTGGGATATCGCGTGTTGGAACGATGCTGGCCTCTGCACATGCGCAAGATTTCGAGCGCAGAAAGCGGCCAGATCAAATGTCTCCAGCTAGTGTGTCTCGCGGCACGGCTGAGAGCCCCGACGACTCCAGCGACGATGACGATTTTCCAGGAGACTCCAAACCCTACAAAGATGCCAACGATGTCATTGACGAGGAGGCCCCGTCTCGAGGCTCTCCAAAGCATTGAAATTTAGAAAATAATGATGCATTTCGGCGGAATTTTTGAGAAACATTTTTTATGACATTTCACGATCTATTTACTGGTACATATTAGGAGATATAGAATATATACGAGACTAATAAAATAGAGAATTTTATAACACTATTGAATAGTGCTCTTTATTTTCCAGTCCACCTACTGTAAGCCAATATTCAGGTGTCAGAATGGCCTTCAAATCATAGTATATGCTGCTGTTGACAATTTGGTGCCTTACAAATCAGGCATAAAATTACGGTTGTCATGTGATCCCGGCGACGTCACAATTCTGGTTGCCTCGCATCACGCTTTCTTTTCCCAACGTTTCATATCCTCCTCATCTTAGACCCGTGAGTGACTTCGCCAAATCCCAAGCTCCTACGAGTTAACAGGAGCACAGTAAACATAAAAGCAGTATGGCTGCGAATACCAGATACGAGCCAGCTCCCCAACGGGACTCTTTTGAGGAGCGGGCATACCCTCAGCCGCCGCCGTCTTATCAGGCAACGGCTGAGCGCTCACAACAGCCACGCAGCGAGGACGACAATGTCCCCGATGACTTCAAAGTATGCTTCCTGCAGTCCTGCATCTCTCCATATGATATACCTCCGTGTTGAAAGCCGGAACCGCTAACATGGACATCTAGTTTGGCGGCATGGTGGCGGAGGCCACTCTACCCATCCGTATGCAATTCATCCGCAAGGTCTATGCAATCCTGTGAGTGTCTGACAGATGAGTCGTTGCACCGTCGCTATAACTCCATAGATGGACACGGGCCCACTAACTCAGATGATCGCGCACCATGTAGGACAGCACAACTACTTCTCACGACGGCCCTCAGCTCGGTCTCTTTCTTCAGCGACAGCTACCGGGTTTGGATCCAATCCAACTTCTGGCTGATGCTGGTATCTGTATTCGGTGCTCTCGGATTCATGCTCATCACGTACTGGAAACGCAAAAGCTACCCAACTAACCTCTTCTTCCTTTCTGGCTTCACCGTACTAGAAGCCTACGCGGTCAGCGTGGTGGTATCCTTCTACGATGCCCGTATCGTGGTCCAGGCGCTCATCCTGACCCTGGGCATCTTCGTCGCCCTCACCCTGTTCGCCTGCCAGACCAAATACGACTTCACTAGCTGGATGCCCTACCTGTTCGGCGCGCTGCTCTTCCTTATCATGTTCGGCTTGGTGGCTGCTTTCATGCCCGGTCGTACGGTCGAGCTTATCTATAGTGCGTTGGCGGCATTGATCTTCTCCGCCTACATCCTCGTCGATACCCAGATGGTCATGCGTCATTACCATGTCGAAGAGGAAATCGCTGCATCCATCTCTCTCTATCTGGACATTCTCAATCTCTTCCTGGCTATCCTGCGCATCCTCAATAACCAGCATAACAACTGAGAAACGTTCTTCTATCAGCCATAAGTTATAACTTTGGGATATATGGATTTGGCAGATAGCAATCTATTTGGTTGTTTTTGAAATGTGATTAATCGATTAGACCGGTCTGGTCTATCCACGAACTCGAGGCAGGCAGGCAGACTGATTTACTTCCGGAGAAGTTATCATACACGCACAACTAGTAATTTGTTATTCTTTGAATCGACTCTCAATGTTTGCTCCATTTCTCTTGTGTTTGTTACTCGTCTTACCTTATCCCAGTTAATTAGCTCTAGCTCTCTCCTATCCACCAGATGTGAAAACTCGATACATATATATATTTTCTTTCAGATTTTACTACAAGCCCATCCATCCCCAAGATATATATTCAGTGTAATTGTCTTGTGCAATATCCATGAATACTTCAATGATTGAAACATCCGTTCCCTATACTATATCTAACTGGTCATACCATAGACTCTGTGCGTTACTTAGGCAGTTTTGCCATCCATCTAGCAAAATCTTAAAAACTAAATGATGAATAACACCAAAATGGATGACTTTCACCCAAATATACTATAAACAGATATATTCAAGTCTGGTTCTATGGACATATACATGTCTCATCCTTTGCATTCTAATAACCTGATGTCGTTGACGATAGCAAATGGCAATAGCAATAAAGGAACGGTAGTAAGACCCAACACAGAAATTGGGAAAACAAAACCAAACAAAAAAAAAAAAAAAAAAAAAAAAAAAAAATTGAGTAGGAGAGAATGATACAATCATGTAACGAAACTTAAGGAAAATCCGAAAAGAAAGGCTGTACACAAATAGCTGGATTATACCAAGACAACAGAAACAGAATCACAAGTTAGAAAGATCCCCAGCGCCAGTGCAATGATATGAATAGCCATTCAAGAATCCCAATACTCTGGTCATAAAATTGAAAACAAGAGGAGTTGCTCTAAAAACGTTCCGTGAGGAAGAAGGGTATGTATGGAGTAGGGTTGGTTGGTCTGTCCGTCGTAGTAATAACGATTCAGGTTTTATACCGGATATATGAAGTCTAGATCCACAGGATACTCTAATGTGAAGCGATGAAGACGGAGTTGGTGATTAAGCATACGACCATGACGATCACACCGTAGATGGCGAGCGCAAGACTGAGTTTCCGAAGCAGTGACCTACGCCAGTGGCGGATGCCAAGACGCAGGATACCACTGTCGCTGAGTGGATGGACCTGAGGGCCGTTGCTGTCATGGTCACTATCGCCATGGGCGGCTTCATCATCTTCCTTCATAAGTCGCTGGTGAGAGGGGGAGTCGGGTGCGGAGATTTTGTAGTAAAACAACCCCGGAAGAATGAAACTGATGCTGGTGCTTCCCGTACTGCCGACATAGGCGAGCACCGCTTCCAGCGAGGACACAGTCATGGCGACGATGTAACTCAGAATGAGAATCGTCGTTGTGATGACCGAAAACCGAAGATCGCTCATCGGCTCAGGTGTTCGATTGCCCCGCGACCCTAGAAGAGGGTGTCGGTGAGGAGAGTGGTCGCTGCCATTCACTGATGGCTGGGGCCTCCAGCGCAGAATTGCATCTACGGAGGCTCGACACGGATGACACTGGAGAGGATACGAGAACATGACCAGCATGACGATGGCTGCGCGACCAATCGTAGACCAGAGTCCAGGAGTGTACATGCCTACGATATTCCCTCCGATGTTGTCTCCAAAAGAAAAATAACCGGTGATTGCAACGAGGATGTAGGTTGCCGCAGCGCTTCCAATGCTGGCGAAAACCACCGATGTGGTCCTGAAATGGCTGGGAGTAGCCATCTCGTTCAAGATCGAAAACATCTATCTTCTTCGTTAGCGAGACTGCGACACACGATCGAACACATCGGCGCCTACGTTCTGGTGGCATGTAAATGCAAAGACGATCACTGGAAGACTGCTAAGGGTTGGAACCAAGCCCGCCCACTGAACCAGCCGAACTGGCCCTTTCTCGGCTACTGTGTCTCCCACCACAAAATGGTACACGACCAACACCACCAGGTAAGCCATGGAAACCAAGGCAGCGATACTTGTGTATTTGAGGGAATCCAAACGTCGGAGGTAAGAGAGAGGGATGACAATCAGCCTATGTGAATTATTAGCATATCCCGACGCCGCTCACGGCGATGCGATAAATACGTACATGAAAGCCGTGACCCAAAAATGTCGATCGACCAGGAAGTCAAAGTCCGGCGAACTACCGACAAAGCCCTGGACCACACCCGGCATCAGGTCGCCAATAATAATGAGATAACTGACACCAACACCAAAACATTTGATCGCAATTGCGGCGTCGAACACGACCGCCGCATTGGGGTATGTAATCTGGGACAAGGCGAAGAAAGACGCCGTGCCTCTATCCAGGTATTGAGCACAGCGCGACTGCAGATATAAACCAAAACCCGCTGTTGCGCCCGACCACAATACCACGCAGACTCCAAGGACGATTCCCATATGGGATACGGCAAGAGGCATGGCAAGAACGCCGGCGCCGATGACTAACGAATACGTGATAAGCCCGAGTTTGATGGAACACGACAACGAAGTATTGCAATGACTTACTCGTATTGACCAAATTGATCACACAACTAATCCAGCTGGCTTGACCATGATGCCCCGAATCTCGTTTCCCTCGTCCTCCGCGCCTGCAGAACATGCAAACCGTCAATTGACTCCCACCCAGTGTGGCAAAATTGGAACGCAGGGTTAAAAAAAAAGGACTCCGTACCTCCGGGACGCATGGCGAGCTGCATCAGCAGGGCCAATGCCGACCGTCGCTTCATCATCTAACATTATGTGAGGTTATTGTCGGGAGGATACGACGTCACTACAAAGAAAAAAAAGATAAAAAAATGAGAGAAAAGAGGAAAAAGGAGAGAAATGGGAGATTAACCGAGCAACGTCGCGGCGGTGGTGACCAACATAATAAAATAGCCACTCGAGCCGGCGAAGCAGCGTGGAAGGAGAGGAGGAGAAGGACGAGGGGAAGATAAGAAATTTGGACAGGAGGCAATTGAGGATCGATATGGACCGAGATAGAGGACAGATAGCGATGGTGCCAGCGAGCGGTGGAGTTGCGACAGGCGGATTCGCCCCGTGTGGGTCGCTGACTCAGCGGCCCCGTGCAGTATCTCCACTTAGGAACTAGCGCCCGCAATCACTGGAAGTATTAGTTAACTACTTTGCCTCGTCTACGTAATACCCAGCGTTAGTCCTAAATAGTTAATTGCGTATCAACATTTACAATTTTGATTTCCCCCATCCCCCCTGCGACAACAGCCCAAATACTTCATCCTCCAGCACATTCATATCAGACACGGTATTCCCAGCTCTATTTCCCGGCCCAGGATCATTGAATGGGCTCACAAAGCGTACGGTTTTGGACACTTCCAGCACGGTTCCTCCACGAATAGGGAATTGGAGGCCCTGGCCCGTTTTGTCACCAATGATTTCACTGACATTATCCTGCTGGATGAGAGCCAGCATCACCTCTGCTACTTCTTCGGGGGTGACCCATTCGTCCGATTTTTCGTCCACCATTTTCAATTTCTCCGGGTGATCCGTCCACAACGGGGTTTTAATGACTCCTGGCCCAACGGCCGTAACACGGATACCGAACTTCCTGTCGAGCTTGGCCAACGACCGTACCAGGCCATTGATCCCGTGTTTGGTGGCCACATAAATGGGGGCTGCCAGAGCGGGGTTTTGGCCGGCGATACTGGAAATATGCACAATGTGTTTGCGTCTTTGGTTTGTTCGATTGCTCAGGAAATGGGAAATGGCCAATTGAGTCGTACGAATCGGGTGAGTTAGGTTGATGTCCAGTAGTGCGTATCGATCTCCATGCTGCGGATCTCGACTGTCAGGCGTCCCCGGAGGGCGCCAGAAGTTACTCCAGTGCTGCGACAGGTAGGGAAAAGACGTTAGATGGATGAACGTGGGGAATAAGGGATGCCATACTGGCTCGTAGATCCCAGCTCCTGGGCACACAATATCAATTTCCCCGAATTCTCTCTCAGCAACCTTGAACATCTCCTCCAGTTGTTTCCAGTGCGTCACATCGGTCTCTTGAAAGACCGCCCGAGGGCCATTAGATGGGGTCGAGTAGTTATCCACGACCACATTTGCTTCGGGACGAAGGGCCAGATCGGCAATCAGGACGTTGCATCCGTTCTCTAGCAACAGCTTGGCAAAGGCAAGGTTGATACCTATATGTGTTGGCTCGTATGGTGCTGCATTTCCTCGTAGAACAGGCTACAATTCACGTACCTGAACCTGCGCCGGTGACTATGGCGGACCTTCCCTTGACGGAGAAAGACATACTGGAGTGATGGAGATAGGAAGGATTGGTATACGACAGTGACTTGTGTTGCTGGCCTCCCTGGCTGCTTTATACCGCTAAGTACGGAGTTATCCCTTGCACGCCGGATTGCGGTGCGGGGCTACATTGGCCGAGCTTAGGAAGTGGGCTGAATCGGAGGAAGACCGCCTCCACAGTTCCTTGAGAATACTACTGCAGCCATGATTGAAGGTCCAGCAACTATAAGCCTCTTCCTGGGAGCATGAACTCGCCTGCCCAACGAGCGAGACCAGCTCAGCGACCACTTCTTGATTAAGAAATCTAAAAGTTCATATTATTTGACATATCGTATTGATTTCTCCGTAAAAATAAAGCTAATTCAATTGTCCTTCTTCCACCCTGTCTTTGGCTGTTCTACAATAATGCCTCGATACAATGCATAATGAGTAAGCTCGGCCATTACCTTCTTCCACTGAGGGCGCAGTTTAAGTATCGCCTTCAGCTCATCGTATTCCTTTGCCTTTCTTGCCCTATATGACCTCATACAGCTCGATACAACTTCATTTCGTATACGACGTCTGGAAGCACTGACTCGTTCACTGTCGGATTGCTGGGTCTGGGTATACTCCTCAGTCTGCTGGGACTCCTCCACTTGATGTGCCTGAGAGGCACTATCCTCTATAAAAGTATCCAGGCGCTCAGACCACCGAGAATTTGACGCACGACGATGTGACTGCATCCGCTCTGTCTCCCTCCGCACAACAACTATCTCTTCTTTATCTCTTGTCACCTTCTTTAGATGCTCAGGATTGCGTTTAAGCCATCGATTGGTCCACTGAGGCCCGACTGTTGGAGGTGGAGTTGAGTCATCATTGTGAGCTTCTTTCAATATTGAATTTGCGGCCTTCTTAATCAATCTGGGCAGTACGGGTGCATTGCACTCCTCAAGCATATCGATATAGTGGCGAAGAGCACTATCCTGAGCCTCATTTAATTTTGAATTTGTTCTTGGACGAGTTGAGCGAGAATTTCGACCATTTCGCCGTTCTCTGAGGGTTGATACTGGCACTTTAAAGTCTCGCGCTATTTTTGATATATTTGGGTTATCCTTGCATCCAGCCGCTTCAAGAGCCTTTTGCATTCGTTCCTCTTTCTCAAAGTATTTAGTAGACATTTTGGTTGTGGAAAAAAAGGTTTTTTTGATCAAAGACGCGACATCTAGAAAACTGCTCACTGGGCTGGTATTGTTTGATGAGCTGGCGCGTTGCACTAGTATCTACGACCCCAGACTCATGTGCGTGGCTAGGAATGCTTGGCACCATACAAATAGGGTAATATTCCGTGCATAGATTTTCCTTCTGCCGACGGAACATCCGGCTGGGTTTATGGTAGGAAATTCATCTGTACTGGCTCGAGTTATAACTCTGATATGGCCAAGTACGGTTAGAATTGGCTTTGGCTCAATGACATTCCCCGTGGGAGGGTGCAGAGCTCCCGATACGGTCGGGACGACCAGTAGGTAGGGCTGTTTACACCCTTTTTAGGGTAGACAAAGCCATGTCTAACGTAGAGATGCACGAAAGCAGAAACAAAGTCGGACGTGACAGCTGCACCAAGTATTCTTTGCGCCACACTCAGTGGTATTATGCAAGACTCTTTGGGTCAAGCGTAATTTACACTTGCATGGCGGGAGGTTACCAAAAAGAGAAGTCGGGCCGCTTTCCTCTTTCAAATTTCCGACCGTCTCCCCATACATACATGGTTCAGTTGAGGCGTTCCCACTTGTATAAAGAAGCAGAGTCCCCTTGGAGGGGCGGTGCAAAGAGACGGTAGTCTTAACTGAGATATCGCCCAAGCCATTATCATGTCAATGTCAAGACTTCTTTCTAAATCAGCCGTCCGGGCTGCCTCTACATCAACTTCGTCGATGACCAAGGCTGCCGGAGATATCTCGAGTGTTTTCCCTAGTCTAAGACCGGACTACAAGCCGGAGCCATTACCTCCACGATTTAAGGACCTGAAGTCTGAATACTTTCACAGGAATGAGGAGGCGCTAATACAGAGCTGGAAGAGACTCCTTCCCAGCCTCGAGGAAGAGGTTGATAAGATCAAGTCAAAAGGCAGTGATGTAAGATTAGAGCCGCATTTTTATCTTTGTTAGTTTGTTCCGGGGTGTTTCTAACACGAGCTAGATCATTCCATCTGTGAACTACAGAGATATTATTTCTGGGAACGTCTCTGACCAGGTCCTTGAGGAGATCCGTCATCGTGGAACCGTGGTGATCAGAAATGTCGTACCTCGGAGTGTTGCTCGAGAGTATAAAGACCGAATCCAGGACTATGTCGCCGCCAACAAGGAGCATGTAAAAGCCTTCCCGCCAGACTCACCGGCGGTATACGAGTTGTATTGGACTCCACCGCAGGCAGAAGCCCGAGCCCATGCCAACATGCTCAGCACTCAGACTTTCTTGCAGCGTCTCTGGCACTCATCCGACTATCGCACCCCAATCTCTATCAGAAATCCTCTGACATATGCGGACCGGCTCCGTATCAGAGAGCCAGGCGACGCCAAGTTCACACTAGGCCCCCACGTCGACGGTGGCTCACTTGAACGCTGGGAAGACCCTGAGTATTCTCGGGTGTATACCAAGATCCTTGAAGGTAAATGGGAAGAATACGACCCTTGGGATGCTAAGCATCGTGTCACCGCCAATATGGATATCTATAATGGCGCGGGTGCATGTTCCATGCTGAGATTCTTCCAAGGATGGTTGTCTATGACTAAGACAGCTCCTGGTGAAGGCTCACTGCATGTTTGCCCCATGATCATTCACAGTACCGCATATACCATTCTCCGTCCCTTCTTCGATCCCCAGACCTCACAGCCAGCGATGGATAATACATTCCCTGGCTCTGTCCCAGGAGCTTGCCAGGAGTACAACCCTGTGACTCACCCACATCTGGATCTGGAGACCACCATGGTATCCGTCCCTGAGGTTGAACCTGGTGATTATGTCGCCTGGCACTGCGACTCGTTGCACTCCGTGGATAAGGAACACTGCGGTACCGGCGACTCCAGTGTACTCTATATCCCAGCCACTCCCATGTGCGAGATGAACGTGGATTACCTGCTAAAGCAACGCGAAGCTGCTCTCAACTATTCCCCTCCCTGGGACTTCCCCGGGGCCGGTGGGCCCGGGGAAATCGGCTTCAAGGGTGCATTGGACTGGAACTCGATCCGCCCTGAGGGTTTGCGAGCTATGGGCCTGGGCAACAATGCCTGGGAGATAACTCCCGACATGAGTGAAGGGGAGAAGCGAGTGGTGGAGGTGGCCAACAAGGCTTGTTTCGGCCAGGAATGAGATAGAGCAATTGTAGTGTTTTCTTATATTTGATGATCTGAAGCTTAGGATTTCTATCTCAGTAGTCTCAAACACCGCTAGAGAAGTAGTGGGACACACTAAGCCACTTTAAACTAGTGTGAATTAATAGACCAATAAGATCACCGGCCAAGGAGCCAAACCAAACTCAGCAGGCGGTGGACAATTCTTTGGCATCGAGGATGCACCAAATGCATATTTTATGGATTGCTTCTCTATGCCTCCAGATGTCGAAAAGGTACAGAATGGCACATGATCACGATTTGCACTAGATATGATTAGCGAATGGGCTAGGTTACATGCAAAGGAGGAAAACGCATGTGTCAATCGACAGTACCCCATGCCGTCCGCGGTATTTATGGAGCCTAAATGCCAGTGGCAGTTACCAGGCCTGTATAATTCTGCCGAGGTAGTGCTAGGGGATAGTATAATGACATCGACGCTAAAGTTACACAGCTGAGTGACTGGACTTACCAGGAGAAGTATAGTGGCTAGCTATTCAGTCTCCTGCAGTCATTCATTGAACATGTGGAACAGAAGTTAGCTACTCTGCTTATATAGAGAAAGGAATGCAGAAAGATCCGAACAAAGAACAACACAATCAGCATCAGGCAGTCAGGTCTAGAGAAAGCTACTACAAAATGATGCACAAGAGGGATGATGCTTTTTGCAGCAGCTAAACTAGCAGCCGGGAGGAGAAACGAGCTGCAGAGCATATTAGAACCAAGAACGCCTATACCCTCATTACCTGTGACATCTGTTCGGGTAGATGGTGTTCAGTTATCTCCTGCCATTGTGTCTCCTGCTACAGCATATTCATGAAAACGAGACAAACAACTTAATTTGGAGACATGGAAGAGATAGAGGCCTTCTAGCGAACAGAGTCACAATAAAGACATCCCATTTAGCCCCATGTCTAGAAGTGGGCATATCAGAACTCCAGCGCAGAAAGAACGTGAATCCTCAGCGTGTAAACAATCATCCAAATCCTGACCAAGCTCCGGTCGAAGGAAGGGCTTGTTGGACTTGACTTAACGCAGGAGAAGGTCGCATTTGGATACATTCAGCTAGCTTTGTACGCCAACGAAAGAGGTTTTTGATGGGCCTATGCAGCTTATGTTTAATAAAAATCCTGCCAAATAGATAGACTAGTTAAGTTACTTATTAGAGACGGCTGAGATAATGCGTGGTCATTAACTAATTGGTGTAGGCGGTCTGAACTCCGCCAAGGAATCAAGCATAATACATAAACGTCCATTCTTGAACCTCGCAACTAACCTCGCCTCCATGACCCATTCTGAACAGAGGTCATAACAATGCGGATACAGGCGACGCTTCTTCTGCTCGCCTCGTGCGTTCCTTCAACCGTGGCCATCTATTCCGATGAGATCAACCATATCGATTTCCACCATGCCTTACTCGGCGTCCCCTCGTCCCACTCGACCTTCTTCCTCAAGCCCTCTTCTTCCTCCAACGCTTCTCTGCTATATACGCTGTCGGAAAAATCGCTTCTCGGTGCTGTAAACCCCCGGGACGGGTCGGTCGTCTGGAGACAGAATATTTCGCGGTCGTCATTGCCGGCCGATCACGGTGCCAGTCAAGATCGTATTCTACGTGGCTCTGACGGGACGAACGCTTTGGTCGGCGCTGTGGGCAACTATGTTTCCTCGTGGAGTGCTCTAGATGGTAAATTGATCTGGGAGAGCTCGTTTGGCGACGAGGTTGTGGCGGATCTTGAGCTCTTAGAGTTGGAGGATGCCAATGTGGCTCCCTCCACTAAAGACGCGATTGCGCTTTTCGGGGGAAAGAACGGAGTCATCCGGAGGCTTGATGGAGATTCGGGAGAGGTTAAATGGGAGTATAAGGATGAAAGGTTTGATATCCTCTTTTTTGTTAAGAAAAATAATTGTGTCCACCTTGGTTGTTTACCTTTACTGACGGTTGCGTTTGGCTTGTGGATATAGTGGTGATATTCCCTTCCAGATCTCATCGTCTGCGACCGAAATTTTCTATATTTCTCTGCAATCAGCTCTGCTGAAAGGATACAAGATCAAGGTCACTTCGTTAGATCTATTGTCTGGACGACAGAAGCAACAGGTCTCCCTTAACTCGGAGAGTGACGTGACTGGGCCGGAGTCGGTTCTTTTCGTTGGCGCAAACACAGCTTCTCCTTTGATAGTTTGGGCAGATAAGTCAAATAAGACCTTGAAGGTGAATATCATTGGTTCGAAGTCGGTGAGTTCGTTCAACATCGACAGCACGAGTGGTGAGGAAGTCCGGTCGATTACCGTCCACGCTCCGAAAAAGCTGAATTCGCTGGTACATTTCCTGGTCCATTATGAGACAGACTCTAGCTCCTGGGCCGACGTGTATCATATCGATTTGAAGTCCGCTGTGCCGTCCAAGGCATATGACCTTCCCCGTTTACCGGGATGGTCCGTTTTCGCGACGAGCAACAGCGACGCAAATGTCTATTTTACTCGCATCACAGATTCGGAGGCTACTGTTGTCTCATCGGTTTCCCATGGCATTCTAGGGCGATGGCCCCTGCAGAACGTCCCAGTGGAACGTGCTACGCACGCTGTTTCGGAAGTGGTTGCGAAGGGAGATACTGTGGCCGTCCGATCGGCAGCCGTCTTGGATTCTGGTGATTGGGAATTGATCCGCAACGGTCAAACTGAGTGGACGAGATATGAAGCTTTGATGGGCGCCTTAGCTGCCCAGTGGGCTGAGACGGATGGACAGGAGGATTTGGTCCATCAGCTTGAAGTTGAGGGCCATGAAAGCCTGTATGGGGCATACGTGCATCGTGTCAAGCGTCACTTCAGAGACCTTCAATATCTTCCCGATTGGCTGAGAGGGTTGCCCACGCGCATTCTTACTAGTTTTGTGACCGATGATGTCTCCAATCTCGATGGCTTCGGGCTCACCAAGCTTATAATTGTCGCCACAGAGAATGGACGAGTTTATGCCCTCGACAGTGGGAAGCAAGGTTCTGTTTCCTGGAGCGTGAAGGCTGCAGAGTCACAATCATGGGGCGTCAAAGGGATCGTCACTCAACCCGGTACTGCTACAGTCTACGCCGGCGACGGCAGTTCAGTCAAACTAAATGTCACATCTGGAGCTATTATCGATCGTTCGCCGGCCAGCACTAAGCTCCGTTCAATTGCCATCATCAATGACAAATCCGCTCCAGTTACCATCGGCATCCGGGAGGACGGGACCCCCTTGCAGTCAGTGGATCAGCCTGGAATTTTCGTGACCTTAAGTGACGACGGTCGAGTACTGGGGTGGAAGACCAACGACATCAAAACCCCAATTTGGGAATTCTTGCCTACATCAGGTCAGAAAATCATCCGTGCAACTGCACGTCCTTCCCATGATCCTGTAGCCTCCATTGGTAAAGTTCTGGGTAACCGGTCGGTTCTCTACAAGTATTTGAGCCCCAATTTGGCTCTTATCACGGCTGTCGGTGAGAACTCAGCGAGTTTTTACCTGCTGGATGCTGTCACAGGCAAAGTCCTATATGCCACCACGCAGGATGCGGTTGATACCACGCAGCCAATCGCCTCGACTATTTCAGAGAACTGGTTTGCGTACTCATTCTGGGGCGATGTCTCTGATTCCTCAGAGGCCAAGGGCTACCAGTTGGTAATCTCCGAACTCTACGAGTCACCCATTCCCAATGACCGCGGGGTACTCGGCTCTGCGTCCAACTATTCCAGCGTCGATGATCTCCCCTTACCCTACGTGGTCTCTCAGGCCTTCATCATCCCCGAACCAATTTCCCACATGGCTGTCACGCAGACTCGGCAAGGTATCACCACCCGCCAACTCCTCTGCACCCTCCCCTCCACCAACTCTCTCATCGGCATTCCGCGCCCTGTTCTGGACCCCCGTCGCCCCGTCGGCCGCGATCCAACCCCCTCCGAGGCGGAAGAAGGTCTTTTCAAGTACAACCCTTTCCTCGAATTCGACGGTAAATGGTACCTCTCCCATGCGCGAGACGTCGCAGGGATCAAGTCCATCCTTTCTAGTCCTACGCTCCTCGAAAGTACCAGCTTGATCTTAGCATTCGGCGGGGATATTTTCGGCACCCGCGCAACCCCCAGCCAAGCATTCGATGTGCTGGGTAAGAGTTTCTCCAAGCTGCAGCTCCTCATGACTATCGTGGCATTGACTGTGGGCGTGGCGATTTTGTCTCCGATGGTATGTTTTGTTTATTCTCATCGAAGCTGATATATATCTTTTGAGCTATGCTAATTGTTTCAACCTGTACAGGTCCGCAGCAAACAAGTCAATCAAATGTGGAAAGCCATGTGAGGAGTTTCTTTGTCTTTTCCATAGATGTTTTTGAGTACTATCTGATGGCATGGGATGATTTCTATCTATCTATGATTTACAGGTAGTTGTATTTAAATAAATTATACTTTTAGGACCTTTAATTTTGCTTTCTTATCTTTCCCCCCTCTCTCTATTATGGTTTCCTGATTCATACTCAAGATGCTGCTCTAGCATAAGTCTTAGAAACAGCAGTTCAAACAAGACAACCAGATGAGGTATCAACAAGTCCTAGCGTGCATGCTTTTACTATAGGCAGTGAAGTGGAGAAATGAACAAGAATAAGGAATTCTAAAATGTATATAGGCATCAAAAACCGAGTCAAAATAATAGGACAAAAAAAAAAAAAAAAAGGCCAAATGATATAAGATGACTCGTCTTTTCTAGACATGCAATTATCTTGTGAATGATTCAATCATAACGGACGCTTTGGATGATCTTCCAGTACCATATTTGAAAAAAACAAGAAAGACAGAAAAAGGGACTCAGGGGGATTAAAAAAAAAAAAAAGGGATCCAAGGAACTAGGCAGTAACGGTCTGTGCAGGAGCGGTGGCCGCATCCCCATTAGCAACTCTTTCCGCGCCCACTTTTTCGTTCTCGGTGGTGATAGTGGTGGATGTGGCGGTGGTTTCGCCGTCCGTCGATCGATCGGTGTTGTTTTCTGCCGTGGTTTCTACAGCGGTGGTGGTTGTGCTGGTGCTGGTTGGGGTATCATCTGATTTGGGGGATTCTTGGTATTGAGGTGGATGGTCTTCTTGGGATGGGGAATCAAATGTCTTCGAAGACGACGACGACGGCGGGACAGGGATGGTCGACTTGCGACTCTGGCCGTTGAGTTTGCCAAGGATTTCGATGTGATCGCCCTTGAACAGGACAGGACCCTTGATGAAGCCAGGCTTGGATTCTCCCTCTGATGGAGGAGTTTCCAAAGGACGGAGGAGTTCGCGGGCGGGTTCGTCTAGATTGGGCATGTCGTTCCATTGCCAGTCGAGCTCACCGCCGTATTGCTTGGGGATGCTGGACACATCCATGAAGGAGGAGAGGGTTGGTTTGACCTCGGAGGCGGAGAGGATGAAGATCTTGGATGTGGTGACTGGGTCGAACCAGCGCTTGATCCAGCCCCAGACGGTCGGAAAGAAGGCCGGGGCACCGATGATCTGGAGTGATTGCGGTTGACAATTAGTTCCCCATTTTTGTTCCGTCTTCGCGGTGACGAGAAGCTACTTACAAAGATCCGATCTAATGTCTCCGGGTAATGGGCCGTTGCAAGAACACTGGCATCCTGCATATGTCCCTTCAGATTCCAGAATTGTTTCAAGCCGACACCGCTGACGTCCACAATGTTGGTCGAGGTCACGATGGGGGCCTCGGGGTTCGGCCGATCCAACTGCGAGCACATGGGCATGACGAAGCGGAGAAGGTTCTCGTAGAGAGCGAACAGTCGCAGCAGGCGCTGAGGCACCTTGGAGGATTGGTGTGAGTCCGCCGTCGCGGTCGAAGAGGTCATTGTCGAGTTGTATTCTGCCATGTTCTTGGTATGCAGGTGTCTGATTTCAAACACATAGATCGGGATACCACGGCGGTCCCGACGACCCGTCCATTGGGGATACTAAGTTGAGGGTCAGCTAACGATCCGAAAGGCACAAACACGTGGAAGCCCACCATCCTTCTCGCAGCTTCGTAGGAGTCTACGTCGATATTCTCGTATAACGACTCGATGGCATTCTCGTGACGCCATTCCTCAGTGTCCTTGAATTGACCCCATGCGCCATTTAGGTCGAACTTGCGCGCGCGGAGGTATCGCCTGGAAATGAATACAAATTAGCACCGCAACCCCTTGGTGTAGCTACTCCCTCTAGAGCCTGCACGCCCATCCCAGATGGTGGAGAGGGATAAGAAGAGTAATAAAATTAGTCACACACATACAGCATTGTCGCATCGTCATGGCTGGGCTTCCCCTTTTCATCCACCGACTTGTAGTACCCATTCTCCTCGCACAGTTTCTTAAACTCATGCAGAGTCTTTTCCTGCTCCTCCGTCAGATGGTTGGGATGGCCTTTCAACCAAGCTGTCCCGGCCGCCTGAGAAGCAGAAACAGCCGGATCGTTCTTGGGATCCGATTCGCTCCCAGCCTGACTGTGGTTGGATTTGGTCCGCCACAAAGGCATTTTCGACTAGGTATGCTACTCTAATGCGGAGAAAAAAAGGTCGCGAGTGGTCAGGAGAACACAGGAGAAAGAAGAGGGTAGGATAATTCCTAAGAGGAGCGGAGAGGCCGGTTAGACAGGCGGATTCTTTTTACTCCGTGGCGGAGTTGGTTTGCTCGATCGCGCCGAGGATCTCGAGGGGATAGAGTAAAAGAAAAAAAAAAGGCAGCAAGAGAGAGAAGAGCTATCCAAGCTATGCAACGCAACGAGTGGCTCAGCAACAAACAACCAGGTCGGAATGAACGACAGGGGGCAAACGAGCGCCGTCAAAGTAGGGGAATTGAGTCGATCGATGAAATCGCTAATTAGTTATGTGCATAACTTGCTGATGTCAGCAGATAGCACGAAAGTTAACTAGTTAACTATGCCCACCCGATTTACGTCAATTCATTTGCGATTATCAGGAGAAATGGCTCTTTGGTATTGTTCCTGCTCCAAGTAGAAAGATTCCAGATAGGAAAGAAACTGACAAAAAAAAAAAAAAAAAAAACAATATAAACAGGATTCATTATGTTAAAGGATCCCATCAAAAACCGGCAACTCATCCAAGAATACCCAAGATACGACAGCTTGTTGCCTGTGAGAATCGATGCAAATGAAAAGATATCTGTACAGATATTTCTAACCCTCTTCAGTGACTCAGTGAAGTCGACATATCCTACCCTCGTTTAATCTTCTGTCAGGTCGCCGTACTCCCACATGCCCCGTCGGTCCCGCTTGGCCTCATCTTCCTGGATACGCAGGTGTGAAAGCGTCTCAGAGGCCGCGCGCTCCCAGGCCTTCAGCTTCTTAGGTACCATGGCCAGGCCCTCCCGAACCACGTCGGCATTGATGCTGTGGTCCAGATTCTTCGACTCGGCGGGATCCATCAGGGTAACATGCATGGTCCCTTCCGTCGAAACGTAATCGACATTGGCGACCAATTCACGGTTGAATGTCTGCTCCTCGAGGAACTCAACCGCATCCTGCAGGTAGTCGGCAGACACAGGGAACTGCACCAGAGAAAGCACAGCGTCTGCAGCCTGTGGGCGGAGCTTCTGAACAGAGAACTGGGGCTGGGTCAAAGGTCGCAAGCGGGACCAGGGCAGAACCTCTGAGTTGCCAAAATCAATGTAGAGAACCTCCGCCTGCTGCTTTTCACGGTCATTGCGACGCACCTTAGCACGGTACCACTCATTGTCTTCGGTGAACTTGGCGGCCACGAATTCACCCGCCTTGGGTGGACCGGGCAGTGCGGTGTCGTTGGCCTTGTTCAAATGGAAGGAACGGAAGGCGTTCATCAATTCCGTCAGTGCAGAGGTACCGGTGCCGATCTGCTGAAGCTTGACGCGTGCGGTGGCGGGGTCAACGTAGGTGACCATCACGTCACGGTAGTCCTTGCGGCGGGATATGGCCTCAGTCTCAGTCCCGCTGTTGCCATCGACAGGTGTCTCTTCTTCCTCCGCTACATCATTGCTAGGATCCCAATCGTGCCACAGTCCCTTGCGAGACTCCTTGGCCTTTTGCTCCGCAGCGAAGTACTCCGTCGCATGTCCGGACTGCTCCGCGGAGTAGGGATGAACGGTAGCAAAGCCTTCTTCGAGCAGAACCTTGGTGAAGTTTTCCTTGTTCACGTACAGGGTGCCGATGAAACCACCCACCTTGTCGATGGTCTCAACGTCAATCTCGACATCACGCTGCATGCAGCGTTTGTTCGCCAAATCGTGGGCCTCCTGGCCAAAGGGTTCGGATGCTTCACTGGGGTTGCGAGCCGAACGGGGTGCGCGGATTCCGGACAGAACCAGAGTCAATTTGGCGTTCTCCCGCGGCACGAGAACCGTGAAACGTGATCCCGACTTCACGAAATCCACAATGGCGGGGACCCGCTTCTGACGCTGTAGGATAGAGACCTCCATCTTGGCTTTCTGAACACTTTCCGAGTAGTCCTGGTACTGCTTCACCTTTGGAGGCTTGGGAGACCACATTCCCCTACCCTCGTTCTGGGCGTCCGCCTCGGCAATCAACAACGAATCGTAGTCCGGAGACCGATCCTGGTCATCTTGACGGTGACGGATCACAGAAGCATAACCTGCCTCGATGAGAGCTAACGCAAGATTGGTATTGCCGTGGGTGACCGTGGCCACATCCCTTTCTTCGTATCCCTCGCTAGCCGGCTTCTTGCCGTTGATGGTAACCTTAACATGCTTGCCAATGACCTTCTTGCGCGCGAATTCCTTGGCATCGGCAGCAAACGGAGCTTGCTTAGGGTCGGACGGCTTTGGTTGTCGGATACTACTCAAACTGATCTTCTTTTCCTCGCCGGCCTTGTTACGGATAAACAGGGTATCAGCGTTCAGTACGCGGCTAACAATATAGTCCTGGTCCACGGTCCCGCCCGCAGGACCCTTTGGAGCGACAAGACCAGTGAACAGACCCTTCCTATCATCCTTAGCAACTTTCTCAGCCCGCCGGAAGACCGCCATATTGGCCCCAAGGAGAGGGGTGTGCAGATCGTGGCAGCGAGCCAGACCGGCTTCCAGAAGAAACTTGGCGATGTTGCCGTTGGGGTGCAGGACGGTTGCAATCAACTGGCCCTGGGGTGTAATGCCCAAGAGGGAAACCTGGACCTTGCGTTGTAGGATCCTCGATTCGACGAACTGTTGAGATTCATCTCCATATGGTTCGGCAGGCTGCTCCTTGCCATCTGGGCTCACCCGTTTGGCAGCCGGTGCCCGGACCCCAGCGACCGCAACCACCACCTGCAGATGTTCGTGCGGCGAAAGAAGCAGGCGGAGAACCAATCGGTCACCATTCAGCACCCGCTCCACAATGGCCTCAAGGTGCTTGTCCTTGTAGTCATCCACCAGGGATTTGGCGTCTGACAGTTCGTAGCTGGTCTCCGTGCGACCCTTTTCAGTTTCAGCCCACACACCCTTGTCTTCGGACTTGGCATGTTCCTCGAGCGCGCGGAGACGGCCGAGCAAGGTGGCAGTCTCCTCGGATTCATCACCCCGTTTACCGGCCTCCTCACGGACACGAACCCATCCTTCCTGAACGCATATTTCGGGCAAGGAGACTTCGAAGGTCGGAAGCTTGATTGTTCCATAGTCACGTTTAGCGCCGGTTGGGATGGTGTAGAGTACTTGGAACTGGATCACTTTTCCCACAAGCAGCTCTCGAAGAAATTCCCGAGATTGAAATCCGTACGGCTATGAAAGGTAGCGTAGTCAGCAAAATTGAAGTGTTGTACGTGTAACTGAATGTGTTGCATGTTGACAGAGGCAACGATTAGGGGCAGATCTTGGATACGAAGACTACATATAAAAAGGGGAAGGGGGCCAAATAAAAAGAAAAAAGAGAAGGGTAGGACGAAGAAGATAAAGACGAAGAGATCTGGAATCAGAGTAGTAGGGAGCTTGAGGCCATCTATGCGGACTAAGCCAGAATGGTAGAGAAAGACGAAGCAAGGGAGTAAAGACGTAAAATTGAAATAAAAATAACTCACTTCATCACCTTCTCGGCGTAATCTGGGAGCTGAGACGTATGCCAAACTAAGCGTGCGTTCCTGCCCCGGGTTGGTGATATGCGACAGCACGACTGTGTCGCCTGACAGGACAGATTTCACACGGGCTTCCAGAGGCATGCTGGAAAGTGACAGCGAAGTAACCAGTGAGGTAGAAGAAAGATTGACAATACTGGAGACACCAGTACAGCAGAGGAATAAAAGTAAAATCCTCTAAAGAAAAAGGAAAGATGCAGAGAAGGAATGCGGACGATCAATGGGGAAAAAGGAAGGAAGTTGTTCGAGTAGACTAGAAGCAACGTGGTTGGAAAGGGAGCTTGGGCCTGGGCGGTGACTCTACTACCCACTACGCAGTACTGTGTTCTACAATACACTCCCAATAGCACATCATGTCAACCAATTCATCACCAGTCTGATGATACATTCTCTAGTCCTGCTTTTTTTCCAGGGTCAAAATATTATCCTTGGGGTCCACTGGGACCTGTAACAATACACAATGACGGGCCTTCATATCAATTTAATTGTCCTGATGATTGATACCCATTGATTTTTATATGGTTTCTTCACAATTTTTGACCTAGCAGCTTAGATTGTCGCAATAATGTGCATTTACGCAGCAATGCCAATGACACCTGACTAAAGTCAATACCTCGAATGATTACATAACATACGGTTAAGGATCACACTTACCGCAGGCGGGACGACCACCAGCATTGCCAGTCTTCTTGGAATCCTCATGGCCACCACGACCAAGGTCATCGGTACCGGAGTGCACGACCAGAGTGCGCTACTCACTGTTAGCCTCTGAACTGTAGGACTGAAGGCCAGGGGGACAAAACTTACGCCCAGAACGCTCTCAGCGCCAATCAGCTTGATGAGCCTGTCCTGCTTAGAGCCGACGGCGTTGCCCTCAGCATCAGTCTTGAAGTTACCCAGGTCACCAACATGGCGCTCATCATCCTCAGGAGCACCGTGGGTCTTGTTGAAGGGGTTGACTAGTGTTTGTCAGCCTGGCGTTTCTTTCCAGAAATCCAGTGGGACCTGCACGTACAGTGAGGGCCAGCAGAGGTGCAGCCGTTGGTGTTGTCACCGAACTGGTGAACGTGGAAGGCACGCTCAGCGTTGGTGTCGTGGCCAGTTATGTTCCAGGAGATGGTGGTGGCTGAGTTCGCATCGGCCTGCTCGAAGGTGACGGTGCCGGAGACCTTGGAATCACCACGGAGGACAGCAACTACATTGTTTCAGTTAGATTTGCTACCATGCTCACTCATTCGACGAGGTCAGACATGATCAGGAGTTGCAGGAAAGCTTGGTCACGCCCAGGGAAAAGGCCGCCAAGCTCAAAAGGGCAAAAATAATACGTAGCCAGGAGAGCTACCAATCTCCCCCCCCTTTTCTAGTTCTACTGACTCGACCAGAGTCCGGGGTAGAAGTCCCATGATAGGCTGGGGAGGGGGGTTGGTTCACAAGGTGCTCAAATCTGCTCACTCGGGGTCCTCCCGGCCACGGTCGATCGTGGATCCCTTGTAGGAAGCACCAATAATAGGGTTGAACGCCATCAGATAATCGAAAGTGAAAAGGTACGTACCAGCCTTGACCATTTTGACGGATGAAGTAGACGATAATCCTTGTTTAATTTTGGATAAATGAGTCGATAGAGGGGAGATTGAGGTTGAGAGTCAAAAGAGATGGAAGTGGAGAGGGAGAGAGAGCGAGCGAGGGGTAATTAATTTCTACCTCCACCTCAGTAAGCACACAACTGCAGCGTATTCTCTGTACCGTGTAATTCGGCCTTGCAGGTTTCCTTTACTACCTAAGGTAAAAGAACAAGAGAGAAAAATACCCCACTTGGCGGGGTTGTCGTCGGGATGACGTTCTGCTTGTGTATTGGAACCACGTTAGCTTCTTCCGGCGATTCCTAAGCAATCGAGGTCCAGATCTTCCGTCATCCTCCTACTTACTTACCTGCTTGCTGATGATCCGGTTCGTTCTGATCCATGTATCTCACAAACACTGTGTAAGTGACTGATATATAGAGTATGGGGCGATGGATGTCAACGGAAACCATATCCTCCCCACCAGCACTCACCATGTGGGATGCACTGAATCTGCATGCCATACAGAACTACCTATTTTACCTACGGTAATGCAACGCTGACGTATGTATGTACATACATGCAACGGATACTTATATATTAGATCCTTCTTTTCCGTCAATTTTCTAGTTTTATGTGCTTGATATATGGAGTACATATCCGTCAACGGGTGGCCGCAGATTTGGTTATCGCTGGATGCCTCGGTTAACCCAATCGCTCGAGGACGTCGCGACTGAGGGATAACAAGCTAGAAACTTGATAGACTAACCAGCTCTCTTGCCTATGAGTCTCTGCCTTGTATGTACTCTCCCTACCAGGTATAGATACTTCGTACATACATACAATACAGTCCGTTCCCGATCACGGAATCATACCGTAGTTTCCGCCTGTCATCTCCGACCCTCGTATAACCGATTTCACCCACTTGAAATGCCATGTCTAGTGTACTATACCCTAGGTACGACTCGCGTGCTGTAGAGAAGATGCTAAAACAATCATAACTCAATTCGTGATTCATCTCTACTAAGCTAATATTTTATGGTTCACATCGCCAATTTTTACACATAGACAAGGGAAAGGGGACGAAACACGCAACCCATGCAAAAGTCAATCTCCCGCGCAATTTACGCCTGGATCTTCTGCTTCAAGAGGTCCTTGAGAGTCACGGCATCGGCCGCAAACTTGGAGATACCCTCCCGCAGCTTCTCCACGGCCATCGCCTCCTCGTTAAACTCGAAACGGAACAAGGCCTCGTCATTGATGAAGCTGCGCTTAGGGAGGTCCTGGGCAGCAGCACTGGCGGCGTCAAGCTTCTTAGGCACGGCGGCGGTCGAGTTGAATAGTTCCTCCAGGAGGTTGGGCTACAAGACACAGAAGAGGTTAGCAATCTTATAATGACAAAAGATACCCACAGTAGTGTCACAGAATCATACCGAGATTGTCAGGTAATCGCAGCCAGCCAATTCGGTGATTTCACCAGTGTTACGGAAGGAGGCACCCATGACAATGGTCTTGTAGCCATGCTTCTTATAGTAGTTGAAGATGCTCTCCACAGACTTGACACCGGGGTCCTCCTGCGCAGTGTAGTCCCTCTTATGGGCGGCCTTGTACCAGTCAAGTATACGGCCAACGAAGGGGGAGATAAGGAAGGCACCGGCCTCGGCGGCAGCGATGGCTTGGACAGTCGAGAACATGAGGGTAAGGTTGCAGTTGATTCCGTGCTGGCTCTGGAGGATCTCAGCAGCCTTAATACCCTCCCAGGTGGAGGCAATCTTGATCAGAATGCGGTCCTTGGAGATACCGTTCTCCTCGTACAACTGCGCGGGTCAGTTAGATGACTTGCAGTATCGGATAGCCGGAGAATACAGTACCTTAATGATGCGGAGGGCCTTGTTAACGGAGGCCTGAGTGTCGAAAGAGAAGCGGGCATCGACTTCGGTAGAAACCTTGCCAGGGATGATCTTGAGGATTTCCTTGCCGAACTCAACCAGGAGACGGTCAAGGGTGGCGTCGACCTGCTCATCGACAGTGGTGCCCTATTTGGAGTGTTAATACCGGTTGTCATATTTCTCATCAAAAAAAAAAAAGGTCCCCACCTGTTTCTTGCCGTACGCAACGGCAGTATCAATAAGTGCAGCATACTCGGGCTTCTTGGAGGCCGCGAGGATCAAGGAAGGGTTGGTGGTGGCATCCTGAGGCTTGTACTTGCCGATCGCTACGAGACAGATTAGGACGCCAATCTCCAGACAGAATTATAGTATGGTAGGGAGGAGGAATACATACTGGCAAAGTCACCTGTAAAAAGATTGATTGTCAATCTAGACGTCCGTTTGGGGAGATCGGACGAGTGGCGAATGAGACTTACCAGAGTCGCAAACCACAACCTACAAAATATGATCAGTAACGAGTTGATGCAACTTCCGGGGGATCTGGAACTTACAGTGCCAGTGGCTTTGAGCTGTTCAAGAGAAGTAGACATGATGTAGTAACAAGGGTGGTATCACTGATTGATTTCAACGAAGTACAGCAATGTGAGATGGGAAATGGAGGATGGGCAGCAACGGAGATAGAAGATGGAAGAAAAGAGGATTTGGATGCGGAGACGGAAAGAATAATAAGGGACAAGGTGGCGATGGAAAACGACACCATGAGCAGCGCGGGAGGAGGGGTTCCGGCAGGTGGGATGGTGGGGCTGCTATGACGCTATACAGCCATTCTCTTGCTGACTCCCCTTCTCTCTCGCCCCATGGTCGTCCCCAACAAGACCTCTGCAGGCTTCTACTGCATTCTGATTGATTCAATGTCACTGCTTCCTCCCAAGTTGCACCAGGTTCACGTCTCATCCCCCCCTGGGCGACCGTGGTTCTGTCGGTGCATTGTGCTCCGACACCGTATGGCAATGGTCCACTTGGCCACCAACTAATCACGTTCCACTTCCGAACAAGGTCTATTTTTTTTCACCGGCGAGTAACAGTACGGCCATACAATGATCTTCATTTTTGGATTTTATGATAATAATATTCCTGAATGATCAATCCTCCCATCAATTGGGACTCTTCTTCCCCTGGGACCTTTCCTGTACGGGACGTTCTAACATACCAATTGATTCTCATCGATGAATGCAGCATACAACTGGGGCAAAAATAAAAATAAAAAAGCCAGAGGATCAAGGCAGAGAAGAATGTAGATAGAGGTAAAAGTGAAAAAAAAATCAGTGTCTGGTGTACTTTTATAACTTTTTCTCATCAGTCATACAATTAATTCGCGATATCCCAAGAGATCATCATTTGTCTCTTCCCTCCCCTTCTTTCTTGCTAATCTTCTTCCTCTTTATGCTTTTGTATCTCTATTGCCACTCACCATGTGATAATTCCGGTCATTCAACGCCGTTGGACACAGCTCCATTCATACTATATAGTTTAGTTAGCTTTGACCCAATGGCACTTGATTTACCATAGAATACTCACCACTCGGCCGGCTTCGTCTCCGGTATAAACGATTTGTGGCAGGGCCAGAATGCAACTGATCCCAGCAGGAATATTGGCACCGTTATCGCGACTATTGTCGATGTGATGAAGCTGTCGGATCAATTCTAGTTCAAACCGTCCGCCGTTGATTATTTTGCTCCAGATCTGCAAAGCAGTCAGCCTTCGATATACAGCCAGAATACAGCAAGAATAGTCAAACTCGGCACTTACATTAACGACCCCTCTCCGGTGGCCCGTGAAGAGTAGCTCTCGCTCCTGCCATTCATTGTCGACCCCGTCGTAGAAGGCACAGGACATGATCTGATCGTCAGCTGACTCACAAATGTTTTGTTCTAGCAACGGGGTCCCATTGAGAGTGTAAAGGCTGACGCGATGCCCTCGGCACACCAGAATCTCCCCCCGTCACGTCATTTACTCGCGCACACTGTATTCTCCATGTCAGCCTAAAGAGGTCTTACCCATGTTGATGTATCTGGCGAGGCTTACATCGACTGGACCTCTGCATGGAAGCTCCCGCACAAAACATTGGCGGTTCAGGTCCCAAAGCATAACCTGACCGTCCGTTGAGGCGGAAAGAAGGGTGCTGAATGACCGCGAGACCGCGAGCACTGTTACTGGAGAGCGGTGCCCAAACAGAGATCCTGCTGGCTGCAGGTCTACGGACTTGCCATTTGAAGTAAAAGTCCATGTCGAAACTGTGCAATCTGTTCCTGAAGTGACCAATGTCCGAGAGTCGGCAAAAATGGCACAGGATAATTGGCCAATATGAAGGTGTTCAAGGTGGCCCAAAAGCTACAAATGTAAGCCACTGTGCTAACGAGGGGGAGATGTTAAGGCAGTCTGTACCTTCCGGCTGTCCGCAGAGTAGAACCTCACACTACCGTCGAAAAATCCCCATTCCATGTACTTGTCATAATTTGGTGGAATATTTAGTCTCAGAGGAGCAGCGCATAGCAGACGATCGTGTTTCATTGACAGCGAAGACACTCGCTCTCCGATATCTATCAAAGTAATTAATATCTATACATCAGGCTTACAATAAAGGCACTAAAAAGACAATGGGAAGGGCTCACCAAGAAGTGAGAGGGGAAGCTGGGTAAGTGATTCTGCGAGTCGATCTAGTCGTGAAGGCTTGTGCCGCAAGTCTTCCCTTTGGGGATGTGACCGATTGAAGATCTGATGTGGTGTTTGTCCAAAATTGTGAATGATGCCAATCGTGGCTAGTCGCTCGACAGGGTCGTCGATGGTATCAACATCCTTGGCACCCTGATACGAGAGATGATGGAAAACGTTTACGGCTTCAACAGCAGCCTCGCCTTTTTGTTTGCAACCGAACACTAAATCGATCCAGTGATGCAAATTCTGTGTCACATAAGGGCTTTCCAGAGCCTCACGATGTTTGGCAATGAAGATCTTCGGATCACACTTAGCCCACGGCGGTAACTCCACAGAATCAATAGCAGTCGTCATATTCTGCAAGAAACCAAAGTCATACTTGTTTGAGTTGACAAGAAATTCTGGAAGGTAGAAAAATTCGGGAATCAATTCCCTTACGTCCGACATATTCCTCCGAGAGGCGGATTCCCATGCTTTTCCAATAGAGTAAAAGAGGCGATCCGCATGGTCAAATGTACCCCCCTGGAGAAGCAGATATGACTTGACAAATGGTTGAAGACGTATGAGGTATGAGCTCACAATCATCGCCGAGGAATAGTGTGTGCCATAATGGAATGGTGGAGCGTCATCAGCCCCCATTTCTGCAAAAGCTTTGTATCGTTCTCTGAATTCGGCCTCTCGTTCTGGCGTCTGACAGCCCATGGGCTTGGAGAGGTCACGGAAAGTCAATGGATTAGTCAAATCTAGCTCCTCACTTGTATAATCGGCGAGTACCCAAGGGAAAACAGGGTACTGAGTCAAGTCATTAAATGTTCTTCCAGCGAGGGTGTTGATTAACATCAAGTAATGGAAATTTGAAATCTCTCCCTTAATCCATTTGCGGGTTGCTGGGTGGACTGGTGAATGGCCAAAGACACTGGCAACCTTTGATCCAAGAGACTGCGGCGCATCTTCCTGGCTTCGAAGAGTCTCAAACCTCCAAACATCCTCTGGGCGGGAGTGGCCGACGCTTCCTGTCACTTGGGGAGCTTTGGTAGCAAGCTGATTACATAGAATGTCTCGGGCTCTCGATGAAATAAGGGTAAACAGGTAGCTGGTACCATCCGTGAAGAAAATCTCAAGGGCCACATCGCGGAAAAGAAACCGTCTTTTGGAAACGCTGATGAGATCTGACCATTTCCAACTCCTGGTTTCATGCTCCTGAGGCTTCCGTTCATTCGACTCCCTGCCAGTGATCATCCCTACGTAAGGATCGCGCTCCTCAGCAGGGGCTTGCCAAACATTCACAATTTCACCATCAAGTCGCTGGAAGAAGTTGTCCAGAATGTAGATGTTGTCTTTGCCAAGAATTAACAGGCCTTCACACGCCTCTAACCCAATGATACGAGACATATTGCATACACTATCAACCTGGTCTCCCCGGTGCAAACTTCTCATAACTTTTCTATTTTTGTCTTCATAGTCTTCAAGGTCAGCTTTTGGGTCATCGATCATTTCAAAACTTTCTTCAAGCACACTCCTACTGTCAGGACTGATGCCTTGAGTATTGTCCTCAGATTGATCCGCGGGTAGAGTAGGAGCTAGACCGGGACCGTCACCATTGGATGCAACCTGCGATCCCATATCGATCTTGATCACTGGCGGCTCCGATGCTTTGCGTTTTGGTTGATAATCCTGCCGTTCCCCCGAGTCATCTGGTACGATTCGAAGACGCATACGGCTTCGACCTTCTGTCTGGTCGAGACGCCATTTTCGTTCCTTGTTGTCGGCTAGGATACCGCCGAAACGACGTAGGTCCAGTACCAAGTGAAACAATGCTGCCCACATGAACGCCGAATTATCTTGCTGATCCTGCAGAGCTCGCTGGTATTTCAGAAACTCCGACGTTGATATATTCGATATCCAATGAGGCAGTGTAGCCTCATACTTGCGTATCACTTCTTCACTGGATTTCTCTTTCTCACTCCACTCTTTTAATATTTCCTGGCGTTTATAATGACGAGTACGCACTGAATTTTCGATGTTGATATTCTCCTCTTGAACGAATGTCCCCCAGTGTTTGGCTAAAATCCCCAAAAAAAGGGTGTTGAGATCATCCTCTTGGTCGTCAATCCACTGTAAGAAAGCAGTATCTTCCATACCAGCGAGAGCCTCAAAACCGCCAGAAAGTCGATTCTGTAGGGGGGTGCTCGCGTGACTTAGAATGGTAGACATCTCAACCGGCTTTTGCACCAACATAATACGGAAAAGACTAGCTGCAGCCAGGCGTACGCCTTCGTTCTTGTCAACCAACTTTGTATATAGAAGATAACATAGCAGCTTCAAATAATCCGGTTGAGTTTCTCCTGCAGAAAGAAGTACCGCTTGCCAGTAAGACAAACGCCCCAAGAAAGAGAGAGCTGCAGTATCTTCAATTTCCGATAGTTTGAGTAGGACGACGCGGAAAACAGTAGACCGGATAGTCGCAATCGTTTGGCTGCAAAGTCTGATGCTCTTCAAACGCGAGATATCAGGCCGTTGGAGGTATTCCAAAATGGCCCCCGCGAATTCTAGAGTAGCTGTAGCACCATCAACAAACCATCCCTCATACACTGCTTCTCCTAAATATGTTAATAACCTCCCCAGGTTGGTCAAAACCCTTGGTTCCGACAATAGCTCAACTTTAGAAAATATGATGTCCTGCAATGTGGACAGTAAGGACTTTAGTATCCAGGAATTGAAGTGTGCTTGATGCTCTGGAAACCCAGGTGGGATCTTGAGATAAAGCCCAAGGCCGGAAAACTCCTTTCTCTCAAGCAATTGTTCAGAGAAAGCAGAAATGACTAGGGTGAGAATAGCTACAATTAAGGGATGGTCGGTAATTCCGCTGTTCTCTTCACACTGGAAAGTGAAAGCATGATGTATGCGTGCAGCTGATGGTGAGATCTTTGATCGGTCGGACGAGACGAGGATAAACGATGACCCACGTCTCAGTTGTCCTCCATTTTCATCATAAGTCTCTGGCTGCTCAACTGTTGTAGTTCTCACCTCTGTTGTCCTTCGCGAGCGTGGGCGGGCCACTAAACTGGGGCCATCAAAATCCGGGCCACCAATACGATGTCGAGAACTAATTTCATCATCCGCACTCACAATATCAGAGCCCACTACAACTGGGTAAAGAACAGAAAGAAGGCCTTGAACGTAATCCGGCCGCATCGTAAATTCGCGAATATTTTCCGACCTCAGTTGCATTCCAGCAAGAAACTCAATCACAGTGGCTAAGAGAGATGTTCCTTCATTGGCCGTCCTTAGAGGGACAACGGAGGACATGAGTGGCCTAGGGCTCTGCAAGTAGCCCCTAAGAGAGTTGGGATTCTGCGTCCCGGAATCTGAGAGTCCATCAGTCAGGACGGATTCTTTTAGTCCACTCTGTATCATCTCGGCAATGATAAGAAACATTTCAGGAAAGACAACCTGAGTCTGGCTGCCCGAGTAAAGCATCTCAGACAAAGCTAGTTGATCAAAACGCTTATCGCCATCTGTCTTGCCAATATCTAGCCCCAGGAGAACTGAAAAGCAAACTGGCCACAACGCAGGGATATTCCACCATCTTTTCAGACAGCTGCGCATTATACTATAGCCCCCAGTTTTCTCTGCAAACTTATTGCTATAACTTGTGCCGTGGATCACTATTAAACGGGCCATTATTTTAGTGGCAAGAACAACAATTTCAGGTTCATCCTCGCACATGAGGTATAAAAGCCACTATAGAAAGTCAGGATTAGCACACAAAATACATTATCTTTTCGAACGAACCTTGTTTGTTACAGCTCTGGCGAATTTCTTGATTGGCCCGTGGTCGTGTGTATTGCAGAGGAGAGAACAGTACATGCGAAACATCTCTGTTCCTACCACAATGGTTGAGACATAGTTGTTATGCCCAACAGAAATTTCTGTTTGTCGTGGGCCAGAGTTGAAGCGTATGCTTTTCTTTTTTTGCAGCCTACTTGGTTCTTTGGGCTTATGAATGGCATATGTAATGAATAAGGCTAGAGAGCGAAGCAAGTCTGCTGTCAAACAACTCTCCATTAAAGACCCAAAAGCAGCAGTAAAAAGCTGTAGGGCTTCCGATGTAAATTCCTCGCCCTTTAGGGCCTCGAGCAGTTTTTTACTCACACCTGTTACTCATCAGTCGACGGGAATTATTGGAGGGGAAAAAAAAAGAAAGAAAAAAAAGCCAAGTTGGATGAGGAATGCTTACGCATGCGAGCGAGACGCTTTGAATTGGATCGACGAAATTGGCTTTCGCTAGCAAATATACAGAACTGAGAATAGTATAATTCGATGAGAGGGAGACTCCCAGATCGCCACACTTCCAAGTCCACAAGCAAAACTCTGTAGGCTAATGGATTTGTGATTATCGAGCGATTGGGCTGCTCGAAATCGTAGCCTACGAATTTTAGGGTCAACCGAAGAAGTTCAAGAGCCAGCGCAGATCGCTCCTCGTAGGTAGAGCAGACGTTGGGCGTCCTGGAGTTCGTAACATGACCTCCAAATGGTAGCCCAAGCTTTTCCCGCAACAATGCCGAAAGGATCCCGTAGCCATTTTCTTTTTCCATTGCTTCACTGTTTCGCCAACTGTCTTGCACAGCTTCGTACAGTGCTTCTACTGCCAAAACCAGGGTCTCCGCAGTCTTAGCGGAGTGAATCAAACTCAACTGGACCGCTGTGCAACCGCCAATGCGCCAGCTCGCATCCTCCAAAGAGTGAGGCACTGAGACCACAGGATCTCCGGTTAAAATACCGATCCCATGCGATTGGGTCAAGGCATCATTGATAGCAGGAGTTGCACCATTGACTGCCACTGCATTTGCGCCCATTTTTGTGAGCTGGTGTAGATTTTTGGCAGCTTGCTTCGAAAGACACTTAATAAGCTGTGATTCATCAATGTTATTGCCATCATCATCGTCTAGTACAGCCAGAGGAGAGACATTAAGCAGTATCGATCCTTCGCGAACAAGTGTGCTTGCTTTGCGCCTGACGGCAGTAACAATATCGGATTCTTCTTCTTTTCCGGGATGTAGATGCTCGTTACGAAGGTTGAGTGCCGCGGAAGCTTTGTAGGTTTGAAAAGAACCCAAGCAGTCTTGGTAGTTTCCATAATACCGAGGACCAAGGTTATAGAAGACCGAAATCAAGTCATCGCTATACGCTTCTCCAAAAAGTATAGCATTCGCTAGAGACCATCGCAGGGAGGACACTCCCTTTCCGAGCTTCATCGCCAGGTCCTGAGGAGTGCCGTAAAACGCTTGAATACGTGGACCCCGGTTGGATGTGTTGACAGCAGGCAAGGAAGGGTACTCGATCCTCAGCTGCTCTACAAATTCGCCATCTATGAAGATGGAAGCACGCGAATATGATGGTGGTCTTGGCCTTTTGTGAACCACGCAAATATGGTACCATCGGTTTGGTTCGAAAGCAATAGACTTGAATCGAACACTAGGACGGGAGCCTTGTATTGATGTCTGCAATATGAAGTTGCGGGTATCCTTCTCTAAGTACGCAAGTACAAAGCAGGTTTGGCTAGCATCAAATGCACCAAAAAGCGTCGTGTGTGTCGTCGGGTCAAATTGATCGAAGCGTGCCCATACTGCAAGTGTGTAGCCAAAAGAGGTTGTAGGAGGGAATGAGCGCCCCAAGGTTGAGAACTCCAAGGAACAGAAACCATGCTGGGACATATCGAATTGTATTGACGGAGGCTCTTTCGAACTCTTCAGAGCACTGACAAGGAATCTTAACGCTTTGGGACAACTATGTGCCTTCTGGTAAAGGGACACCGCATCGTCTAAGTTGCTTATACCTTTGGAACAAAGCAGGCTAGCAAGCCCCTGATAAAGTAACCTCTCAGACTCCGGGTATCCATCGTTGAACAGGATCGGCAGAATCAAAGATAAAACCCCAGTGGCATGCAAAATTGTAGTGTTCCTCTGAGACTGTGACGCAAGCTGATAGAGGCACGATGGTAGAGCTTGCCTCTGTATTCGGTGCTTTGAAGTGGATGAAGACGACTGTATCAACCATACCCGGACTAAAGGACCTAGAAACTCCGGCACTTCAACAGTCTCAGAAGTTCCTACACATCGATCGACTTCCGCTCTAATATCATCATGAGATACTTCGTTGGCTGTTTCAAATTTCGTACTCAGGACTGTGAATATACGGGCAACTGCTTCCTGGCAGAGGACTGCTGCAAAAATGCCACCGTAGAACTGTTCCGTATCGCCTTGAATGATGTCTACTTTTCTGGCCAGAGTCAAGAAAGACTCTTCCAAAACCAATTCCCCTCCTCCTACAATCCGATTTGCAAAATATCGTTTGTTTCCAAAATGCTCTTTTAAAGCTTCAGCCAAGACAGCCAGCGCATCTTTGTGGAGTATCAACAGGAATTTTCTTTCTTCCGTCGATGATCCATGGGGGTCATAGCATTCAGAAATCCTTCTAAGGAGATCCAATATAGTTTGGAAGCCATGTAAGTGACGAAAGCTCTCTTTGGCCTCTCCGGGATGGTCGTTATCGATAAATGTGTGGCGAAGGCGCAGCAAACATTCCGTTGCAGTGATCGCAAGTTGTGTATCTATTACATATCCACCACATATAGCCTTTAGCTCCTCAAGAACTGGGGTTAACTCAGCGGCCGGCCGTTGAGATGATATGGACAGGGATGAAGGGTCAAAAGAGGTTGTGGCTTGGTTCATTGCGCCGCCAACACTTAACCCCGACTACCTATCTGATGGTCGAGGACCACCAGACACCATGAACCTGCACTTAGCGTGAGAATGAAGGCGGTCTGCATTGGTATGTCGTTTGTTGGGAACTAGCGGCCTTATCCACACAACTGCCTGGCATTGACACAGTCGGAACTGGAAGGGGGGAAGAAAAAAAGGGCTTTGTTGGTCAGAAGGTCAGCAATTGCACGAGCATAGGGATAGTGGAACGTCAAGGTTCTGGAATTCGTCGCTGAGAAACAGGAGCATTCCTGGTGTAGGGTAAGTAAGTGCTTACCTACCTCAAAAAAGCCCAGAATGTGAATGTGAACGTGATGGATTAATCCCACGTCAACGTCACTTGAGGCTGTACCTAAGCGGGGGAACCAGATTACCCGTCGAGTTCTAGCACAAGAAGCCACGATTATCAGGTGACAAAGAGGGCAATTCCACCGACTCGACGATCATTGGTCAAAAAGTAATATCGATAAGCTCTTATCTAACATTTGGGTAACCTCTCGTATCGTTCGAGGACTGTATTTGCCTCCGTACAATACCATACGGAATCCACCTAAAAGTCAGCCGAACATCGGACCAAGATAGCACGCGACGACTTGGGTTTGCCTAGGCACTGCCTACCACCTAGGTACAGGTACTACTGAACAGTGGCAAGGTGCATTCCATTCTGACCTGCAGAATAGTCCACAACCACTAGGAGCGCAGTGTACGAGATAGAACTGACCTAGAACCTAGCTACATAGGTCAGTTGATTCCTAAAGCTATCCTGAAGCCTAAGGACATGTTTCTCTGGGCTCCCTCTGCTAGTTGTAGTTGAGTCACCACTGCGCTGCCTGAGCATCCTGCTCGTAGTTAGTTACATATACAGACTCCACATTACTCGCCTCACTACAAAGATAGGCAAGGATTACCTCTACTATGCTTCGTATTTACAAACGATGGCTAAATCATATCCAATTATTACCTGCTCAATGCATAATCACCTATCATAGGTAACATACTCGCAGCTACCTTGGAGGACCTGTAGATACCCGCCTACCGCCTTACCGCCATACCCCAGGTCTTCCTACCGCCGGCGCTAGACAGACGGATCGACAGAGCTGTGTCATCCGGTCACCTACTGTAAATTACCGTATTCTGGTTGCATCATCCATGGATCCTCTCAGCTGCCCTTGCCTTGCTCCTCCTGGACGTCCTTCTCCTCTTCAACTCCGTCCTCCCCCATCCTCCTGGACTTCTTTTCCATCTTTCCTTCATCTTCATCATCATCAGTCACGTATTCTTTCCATCCATCTCAACACTCTTTCTTCCTCCCAGCCGAATCCGACCTAAGTGCCCATCATGAAAGGCTTCCTGAGCCTTTCCCTACTCCCGTTGCTGACCGCTGCCTCGCCTGTCGCGGTTGACTCCATCCACAACGGCGCTGCTCCTATTCTTTCGTCTAGCAACGCAAAGGAAGTCCCAGACTCCTATATTGTCGTTTTCAAAAAACATGTCAACCCTGAGGTTGCTGCTGCTCATCACAGTTGGGTGCAGGACATCCACGAGTCTCACTTTGGGCGGTTTGAGCTTAAGAAACGGTCACTCTTTGGCGTAGGTGATGGGTCCTTTCTTGGTCTCAAGAACACATTCAATATCGCTGGCTCCCTGGTGGGCTACTCGGGCCACTTCCATGAAGATGTGATCGAAGAAGTCCGGAGACACCCCGACGTGAGTACCCCCTGGAAAACACCCATAGAACACCGTTCATTTAGAACTTACGTGTTGGCGGCCCATCACTTTAGGTTGAGTATATCGAGAAAGACTCTGAAGTTCATACCATGGTGGATTCGGATGTTGAGAAGAATGCCCCCTGGGGTCTGGCCCGTATCTCTCACCGTGATTCCCTTACCTTCGGCACATTCAACAAATACTTGTATGCGTCTGACGGTGGCGAAGGCGTCGATGCTTATACTATCGACACTGGCATCAATGTTGACCACGTAGATTTTGAGGGTCGTGCCACTTGGGGAAAGACCATCCCTACCAATGATGAAGATCTCGATGGTAACGGGCATGGTACTCATTGCTCGGGAACCATGGCCGGCAGAAAATATGGTGTTGCCAAGAAGGCAAACCTCTTTGCCGTCAAGGTCTTGAGATCTAGTGGCTCTGGCACAATGTCTGACGTGGTTCAGGGTGTTGAGTGGGCTGTACATGCCCATCTGAAGAAAGCCAAGGAGGCCAAGAAAGGCAAGGCTAAGGGGTTCAAGGGCAGCGTTGCAAACATGAGTCTTGGTGGTGGAAAGTCGAAGGCTCTTGAAGATGCCGTTAATGCCGGTGTTGAGGCTGGCGTTCATTTCGCCGTTGCCGCTGGCAATGATAACTCCGATGCCTGCAACTACTCCCCGGCTGCCGCCGAGAATGCCGTGACTGTTGCTGCCTCGACACTTCAAGATGAACGTGCCTACTTTTCAAACTATGGAAAGTGTACTGATATCTTTGCTCCTGGCCTTAACATTCTTTCAACTTGGATTGGTAGCAAGCACGCTGTTAACACCATCTCCGGAACTTCGATGGCTTCGCCTCATATTGCCGGCCTTCTGGCTTACTTCGTCTCCCTCCAGCCCTCGCAGGACTCTGCCTATGCTGTTGATGAGCTCACCCCTGCGAAGCTCAAGAAGGACATTGTTGCTATCGCCACTGAGGGCGCTCTTACCGATGTCCCATCGGATACTCCCAACGTAAGTGCCATAGTTTACCTGCAGAAAGGGACATGCTTTTTAACTGGAATTTTTAGCTCCTTGCTTGGAACGGCGGTGGCTCTGGAAACTACTCCGATATCGTTGCCAGTGGTGGTCACAAGGTGTCTGCCGTCAAGGACCGATTTGATAGTTTGGTCAACAAAGCTGAGAAGCTTCTCACTGAAGAGCTTGGCGCCATCTACAGCGAAATCCAGGATGCTGTCATTGCATAGATTTGGGAATTATTTCCATAGCGGGCGCAGTCTCACGAATGAGAAGGCAAAGGGATTGGTCGATCGATACGCTGGCGCTGGGGTTTTTCAATATCTTTTGTTGCTTTTTTCTGAGTTCTGGAGATGCCGATGTATTAAGTTCATTGGCTTTAACCTATATGGGATGTTTTCATTTTTATCGTAGTATACTTGCATGCCCCAAACGAACGTTCAACGTCCTATCTAGAGATCTGTATTGAGTGCTCTTCAGGCTGAGAATCTTACGATGCCATTTGTCAAGGTCAATTATGGCTACTGCCAACTGTACGCTGTGCATGAATGTCACCTAGAGGGTCGACGATCAGTTTCATCTTTACTGTGTACTCCATACAGGTCATACGGACCAGAGGACATGGATGGAATTACCCGTCTAGGTATGGAATGGCTTCCTCGCAGGCGCTGATCTCCCACGCCGCATGTGATCAGGACCGAGCGTCTCACAAAAATGCCTCTGCCAATGTCTCTAGAGTTACCATACCAATCTTTGCCGTCACTTTGTCATCCGATATGCCTATCCCAGTCCTATATAGGGATGTATGCATGTTGCACAGGAATAAGCATCCCAAATATTCCTAATGGAATGTGCGCTGGTATGTCAGTCGTAAACTCATCTTCCTGAAACACCTCTAGTACCTACGTACGTCATGCATCACTCCTATGGTTGTGGGCAGCGGGACAGGCAGCTACTATTTGCTTGTCTTTGTTCCCAGGCCTTCCCATTCGTTGCGGAGTTTAATCTCATGATTGATAACTTTAATAGGACCTATGCATCATGGGATTCAAGTACTGTGTAACTGTACTCAGTAGTATTTGTGTATGCCGGTTTTTATCTATAAATAATGTATAGCTGCCATATTCTTCTGTGAGCCGCTTTGAATATCCCATTCCAGGCTCCGTTGGTTTTAAAGGGTCATATATAAGTGCCTGAGCTACAACGAGAGGCCACGCTGTCCGTGAGGATCCAAAGGACAATATCAGAGAGAAGCCGCTGTTCAAGATGACAAAGAGCATATATGTATGTGCTTATACAGACTTGATTTTCTAGAGCCGCTGCGACTTTCCCTTTCTGAGTGCTGCCGCTTTAATGAAGCTACTTAGGGGACATCACAGATCACTGCTTAGTGAGCGCTCAGGGCCTGCTCGTGTTCACGAGGCACAATTCTCTTCAATTCAGGGGGCTCGGGCGAGGTCGCAACCCGACTAACGAATCCCTTTCGACAACTCTCAGTGACCAGTTAGCATCGTATAACATTGTGTCAGAATAACGTAGTTCAGATCGGGACATCATGTGAAATATATATACCCAATATCTCTCAGTGTGGGGCCGGGCAGAACATTCTGAATGCAATCAATTCAGGCCCCCCAATAAATCGAACACCTTGCCATGACGCGAGACCTAGCTTTCCGCCGCCAAATCGCGGTTGGCTGATTGCCAAGTAACTCTAAATTAGCTTAAAATATGTGTACGCTCATCCACCTCTTCATTCTGAGTAGTATTTGCAGAAGGCTCCAACCACTATTGAGGGGGACAAGATCGGTGCTAGAGTTGGTTTGGGAGTCCCAACAGTAATTTAATCTGAAGTTGTCACCTGGCAGCGTTCGCCCATATCGACGTATTGTATTCGTCTGCGTCCCAGGGTAGTAGTATACTTGATTGACCGTGGGCACCGTGCAATCATCGTCGGAGGCGCCCAGCAAACCATTAAGCCGGCTCGGGAGCAGTGGCACAATAACGCAGATGATGTCAGCCTAGCTAAGAATACAGAGGGAATTTTTGATAGTTTTATACAGCACACCTTTCTAGGCTGGCAGAATAGCCATTGAACTGTTTGGACTGGAAGTAAAAAACCGGATGGCCATAATATAGACGGAAATCTGACACACCTGCTTACCAGTTATGGCATACAGTGCGGATTCTTTGTCTCATATGAGTGAAGCCCTTAAAGCTCCAGGCCAGTTCGTTGAAGCGGGCTTTAGCTTTAATGGCCACAGAATACCAGTTGACTTTTTGGTGGGCAAGGCTATCGCTGACATGGCCGATATTCAGTTCCATTCGAGAGGACAGGATTGCCCCGACTGTTTAAAACACTCTCACCCGCGTCAATACTGTTCATGGTGATATACTGGAGTGACAAAGCCGGGGAGGAGACGTTCGGGAGCATCAGGTATATTATGCTGATTTTAAATTGGCTGCAGCTTTATGTCTTGAATCAGGGCCGCCTATTCTGATTACAGTATTAACAAACAGTAACAATGTTGTGAATCTAATTGAACGTACAGGCTAATGTCCTACTGCCAAACGGTTGGCCAATTAGTACCTATTCATCAAGAATTTCTATGCAAAAGGGCTTATACATTTCAGCAGGGTGGATACTGACAGGAATGTTGCGGGCGGGTTCACCAAGGCGTTTGACATTGCCAAACTTCGACAATTCTGTGACATGCTAGGATCGAGAGCCGCTGGGTTGGATCTATCAGCTAATGAAGAAGAATATGGAGTCATCTTGAAGCGGAGTTTTTGTACTGAGGTTTTACCTATTCGGGAAGTCAACATGTCTTCGTTTTGTGTTGGAGGTCCGCTTGGGGAAAGGGTCAGGTGATCCCACACACAGTATGTAGCTTCAAGTTTCCTCCAAGATAGAATGATCACTTCATTTCCCGAGAAGCGTCGACAGATAGTATTTGATCAATCAACCCAGCGAGAACTATCAGTCTTTAGCATGTTATGCCACAGGAAGGAGGTCGTGGGGTCGTCCACATGCTAGAAGACGTGGTCGCGGAGGACAGGATACTACTAGGCGCGGCGTCGCAATCGAGGATGTGGGTTGGAATATGCTACAGAGATGTCAGTGTGTTCAGATGGATAAAGAGCAGTGCAGATAGACGTGCATGGACGGAGATGTACAGAGGAGATGGAGAAAGCTTAGTCGTGCGCAAAGAGAGTGATTTTACCGACCTAAAAAACCTGCAGTTTACTAAGCAAACTAGAAATCTAGACGTCCTAAGTCTTTTCTGCAGAATAAGCGGACAACTAACAAATTAGGTGGCATTATATCGGCAGAAAGGTATGATAGAAGGGCTGAGCCTATTTAAGGGTGCCGGCCAAAAAAACCAGGCGGCGGGTGGCCTGATCCAGAAGGGGGCCTTTGTAAAAAATTCTTTTATATACAGCTCCGTGTTCTTGCGTGGGCGTTTATAAACGCCAATGAAGTCATGTTTCGGGACTATACCTAGCATGAGTGCTACGATGCTGAATGCCGTTGGACGTCAGACAGATCTCGACCCCCGTGGCTACTCAAGTGTTTTACTGTATAAACGAAAAGATTTTCCATTTACTGACCTAAATGATAAGCCTACTAAAGAATCCCGGTGGACAGCTTTTGGCCGAGGAAGCGCCTGCCGAAGAGTGTGATCTCACAACGAAGTTAGGGGAGAGCCGACATCTCTCAAGACAGTAGCAAGTTCCCCCACATAGCTTGACTCGGCTTTCATGTATTTATTATCTCCCAACCCAAAGGACCACGCGACATTTTTCGTTTGCTGCTTGTCGTATGACGGTGCCTCCGCAAAAAACTTGAGGACCCGGTCATTCACAGCAGGCAACTGATTCTCCGGGAGGTTCAAGGCATAGAACGCCACTCGTTTGATAGCTCTTGTCTCGTACTCCATCGTGACGGCGAACGCAAAGCCTTGAGGGTTCAAGAATGAATGCATATTTCGAAACTCTTGCTCGGTGGGAGGTTTGCATTGAGCTAATCCAGTGTACTGTGCAGCCTGGGTCTCGGAAACCGGCCCCGGCGCAGTGAAGTATAGGTTCATGGTAGAGCCTTCGTAATCAGCGGCGAGGAACCTCACCAGCTTCAAGCCTAAGCGATAGAATGTTGGCCCATGGGCCCGGACGGAGTCTGGAACTTCTGGCGCGTTTAGGATGTCGTCGACTTGTCGTCGACCTTTCAAATTCACCCAGGTCTTGGCCAAGCCTGTTTCGGGGTGAAAATCGCACCATTGTTCGGTATGTCCATTGTAGAGGGCACTCCAGGAAGTAATCAGTCGTGCCATTTGGTTGTCTGGCTCAAGGTACCCGGCTTTGGTGGCGATGTCAATTGTGTCTAATCGCCGCCGAAGGTAGAACCTGTAATTGACAGGACCATTGTCTCGGTTGGTGGTACGCCAGATCACGGCACTGTCTTGAAAGCAGTCCTTGAAGGTCTTTAGAGTTCCCCGGATGGAGGACTCTGAATAGAAGGCACCAATGGCATCGGCAGTCTTCTTGAAATCAGTTAAGAACTGCGCCGGGTCAAACTTGTTGGCGACTTCGACAGTCATGGTCACAATAGTAAGAATGCCTTGTCGTGGAAGATGAGATGGTAAAATTGCAGTATGCGTTTACAGATTCTGATAGAGGGCAGTGAGCTATCTTAAATCTGAATCGCAGCACTCCAACGTGGGAGGCATTTTGAAGCCAGAGTGGGACTCGGACAAGGGGAGGATTGTTCCTCCTTCGGGACAAATGATAGTAGAGGGATCCTTCTTTAGTGTCGCAGTGCACATTGAATCTACAAAATTCCATTCTGATACTGTTCAATCAGACTATGTGCCAAGTGTGGTCCTTTCGACTTAGTGCGCTGGGAAGCTTTGCCCGTCCCCGATTGACGATGAATTCATGCAATGTCAGCTACTAGATGTCTCTTTTATGCATGTCGTCCTGTGGGAGTGGGTTTACCTTGCGAGTGGCTCCAAGGTTGCCTGGCCTCCGCATACTAAATTCCTTGTCACTAGCGGCAGGTATCTAATGCAGCTTATTGTCTCGACGAATTACACAGTAACCCTTCAATAATACGGAGGATTGAGCTGCTGTGAGACTTTTCTTGATCTTTCCCTTCCACAGATCTCATAGTAGAAAGCAAACGTTTTTGTACTATTTCGACGCCCATCGAGCCCTTTATAATAGCTACTTTCTATCTGCCTTCTCGACCGTCCTCCCCAGTGCATCACCTTCAGACCGTGGTTTTACAACGCAAACGTTAACGGAGCGCAATGGAAAATGAGAAAGATAAGTATTGGTTGGCTACGAACAGCCATGCCAGCGCACGGTATGGCTCTCCTGCCCATACGAGAAACAGTCACTAAATACCTGGGATTTAGTTTAAACCTCCAGCACTTCTGGAACCAACTGTCCTGCGGGTATTTGATTCACCCTGATATTGCTTTCAATGGTAGCGCCAGAATCGCGGACATTGGAACTGGTACGGGGCAAGTTCTCCGTCTTCTAAGAATAGTGATCGTGCTTTGATAACTTGGCAGCGAAGAATATGGCCGATTTCTCTATCCGCAAACTTACCCTCCACTGTGCAATTGGACGGGTTCGACATTACCGATGCCCAGTTTCCACCCAAACAGTGGCTTCCCACCAATGTCAGATTAGAGAAATGGAATATTCATGAGTCTGTGCCGGAGTATCTACTCGGACAATACGACGTTGTCAACATCAGATATTTCGCACTCGTAGTCCGCAAGGACAATCTCAGCCGTTTGCTGAGGAATCTGATTTCCTTGCTCAGTGAGTTTTGAATTCATCGCCGTACCAGCTTTAAAGCCCTTTACCAATCGCTTCAGAGCCCGGTGGATATCTTCAATGGATCGAAATCAACATTGCGGAGCAGCAGATCGTTTCCGCCCGGCCAGACACGTCCATGGCAGCGACGTCGTCTTTTAGCGAGGACGGGAAGAAGGCCATTGCGACCTTGGGAGTCAGATTTGAGTAAGTCTCTCTTGAATTCATGGTTATAGGCTATTTTCTCCATTCTGATATTTTGCAGCTGGCTGAACGACCTCCCGAGCATCTACCAAGAATTCGGGCTGGTGGAGGCAAGTCAATTTAAGCCCGATCCAATTCCCGCATTGCGACCGATGTCCTCGTATCTTGCCATTGGGGGATGGGAGGAGTTCAGTTACAACGTCTTAGATAAGAAGGGGGCACATCCTCTCCTTGGTAGCGGACAGGACCTGCGCCGACGGTTGAATGACGTGCGTAATGAAACTCAGACCGGGGCTGCAATCGAGCAATTGCACTAAGTTATGTCACGATTGGCAAGCGCCCAGACTAAGTGGCTTTGGCAGAAAACGAGCCGCGCAATCCTTCGATCCTTAAGTTGAAGGACTTTTCTGTAGCTACTAATCAAGGAGGGTCAAGTGGAACTGATAAAGCAATCAATATAGTATTTCGTTGACCTGAGGTCATTGAAACGCGAGACTCGCGTGTCAGCATAAGGCCGAACAGGAAGGACGGTGGCGCTAGCCAGTCGGGAACCATCGTAGGCACTAGCCGGGAGATCTCGGACGATCCCCTTAATGTCCTCCCACCCATGTATGTTAGACCTCCTTCGGCCTCTCCTCGACTGGACCTCGAATTCTATCTGCATGGCTGTTTCAAAATGACGCGTCCGGTCCCGGAGATGGAGTGAGTCTGGCGTGGTATATTGAGCCGTGCTGTAAGCTCCGAAGCCAGAGAGCCAGCATCAAAGACCACTAAAGTGACAAATTCATTCACGTTGTGGTAAACGCAATGAATATGGATTCGACTGAATACACTCGGGATGAGAATCCTGATGTCTCTGTTTTTCCCTTCTCGGAAGAACAAGAGCTTGCTCTGTTGATGGATCAAAAGGATCCCCTGAAGCACTTTCGCGAAAGATTTTGTATTCCTAGCAAAGCGTGTCTGACAAGCAGCCGCTTCCAATCGCCAGGTAGTTCTCAAATATCCACCCTCCGTTTCATGTGAAGAGGCTCATCGGAGCGGGCAGATTCATTGCAGGAAACTGAGCCCGGGATTTACTTCTGTGGGAATCAAATTGGTCTGCAACCACGCCAAGTAACCCAGCTGATTGACCATTACTTGAGAACATGGGCAACGCAGGGGATGTACGGCTTAACCAAGAAGATAACGGCTCTATGTTGCCGACCTGGGGCGAGGTGGACCAAGTTGCGGCTCGGCTGATGGCACCGATCGTCGGAGCAAAACCACACGAGGTGTCGGTGATGGGGAGCCTCACGGCCAACTTGCATATTCTCATGGCCAGCTTCTACCGACCAATCGGTGAACGGTCCAAGGTGATACTGGAGCGTGATACATTTTCTAGCGATTACGTACGTTAGTGTAGATATCCCCCTCTTTTATGAACGCATCACGCTAACGCCGGCCGCCATAAACAGTACGCTGTCCAGTCGCAGATCCAGTGGCACGGGCTCGAAATGGATAATATGGTTCTTATCGATCTCATATCTGATGATACGTTGGCTCTATCCACCGCCAGAATCCTTGCTATAACCAGTGAACATGCATCTACAACCGCCTTAATCATCCTATCTGGCGTCCAATACCTCACCGGCCAGGTCCTGGACATGAAACAGATCACCTCTCATGCCCATTCCAAAGGCATCATGATTGGATGGGATTTAGCTCATGCGGTGGGTAATGTCGAGCTCCACCTACATGACTGGCTGGTCGATTTCGCTGTCTGGTGCAATTACAAGTACATGAACGCCGGCCTGGGAGCCATTGGCAGCATCTTCGTGCATGAGAGGCACGGTGAAGTAGATCGTACAAAGAGAATGGAGGGATATCGTCCCCGGCTGGCAGGCTGGTGGGGCAACGACGTGAGTAGTCGGTTTTCATGCTGGATAGTACGTTTTAGACTCTTCGTTCGCTTGAACCTTGTACATTCGGGGGATTACCGGAGCTGACGCGGCTGTCTAGCCTTTGCCCCAAGTACTGGAGGTGCGGGATACCAATTATCTAATGCATCAGTGCTGGATATTGTTGCACTGACCGCATCTTTGGAAGTCTTCAATCAGACTGATATGGTTGCTATCAGGAAGAAGTCCGTCCTGCTGACCGGATAGCTGGAGTTTCTGCTGGGCAACATCGATCGTCGCCCTTTCAAAATCATTACCAGTTCCATCCCGATGGAACGTGACTGCCAATTGACTTTGCGCTTCGACGATCAACACTTGTTGGATCGCATAATGATGCGATTGAAAGACAAGGGGTTTGTAGTGGCCCAAAAGGAGCAAATGATGCAAGTGGCTCCTGTCCCCCTGTACAACACCTTCACCGAGGTCTGGGAGTTTGTAGACGAGTTACGCCGTGCTCTAGCATCCTGCAGGAGTGTCGCTTAATTTACAGTGACGTTCCTTTTCGCTGAAACATATTCCCAATGAAATTAGTTATCAAATTGCACCAAGAAGTTCTGATTTAGCGTTATCTCAAGCTACTCGCAATGTCTTAAGCCTCAACACGTGTTCAAGGATGAAAAAAGTATGTCCTTCTGCCAAGTTATAAATTTAAGACAAAAGCGCCGTCTGATCTTCGTCTAGGCCCATTCTATCATTACATAGCTCTATGGCGATTTTCAAGCTTAATCCCCAGAACGACTGCAACATGCCTACGTGGAAAAGCGCAGAGATGAAAATTCTCATCCTTGGAGACCAGTCGACTGAGACCTTCAAAGCACTGTGCAGCCCACAAGCTCTCAAAAGCTCTACCGTACAAGACTTTCTTACCCAGTGTAACCTTGCACTTCGTCGTGAACTTTCTTTGCTTCCCCGATTCGACAAGGCACAATTTCCCGATCTACCATTGCATGTGGATGCACTGCAAGACTGGGTACAGTGGGGAAGGACGCATCCTGTTCTGCGACCTGTGTTGACAGCAGCCTCGCAATGTGTGCAAATACTTCAGTAAGAAATTTGAACTTAGGGCAACCCTGTGATTTATGGTAACTCTCTACTTATTATTATAAATACAGATATGCTGATACCGAAGACATCGACCTTTCAAAACATTGCATTCTAGGTTCTTGCACCGGCCTGCTCGTGGCTGCTGCTGCAACGGTTGGTCCATATCGATCGTCTAAATGGATTCAATTAGCTGTACACATTGTCTGTGTAGCATTCCGCATCGGAGTTCATACAACAGGTGTTGGCGAGCGCTTGACAAGCACCAACGAAAGTTGGTCCCGTACTATTCAGGGAAAGCTTGACCCAGAATTGCTCTCCAAATTTCACGAAATCGAGGTATTTTACGTGTTGTCAACGTTTGAAAGTCTTTCTGAGTAAATACTGATAGAGACTAGGGTATCCCCTTACCACATTTTGCGTATGTTAGTGCTACGACCCCAAACTCAACGACAATTTCCGGCCCTCCACAGACACTGAAGAGGTTTTTTGCCTCGGCAGTATTCCAAGCAACAGGGCAGAAATCTATATCAATCCCCGTCTTTGCCCCGTACCATGCCGCTCATCTCCACCGAGAGGCTGAGATAAACTGGATCATTGGGATCGATGATCTGGTAATTTATCGCTCTTTTCAAATTCTAGACTCGTCCTTGCCATGAGGCCCCTGCTTTAACTGGTAATGCTCATGGTCTGTTGCAAGATGTGTAGCTGCCCCAAAATAGGATTGATATCAATCGAGCGGTAGTCACAGTTATACAGAAGTGAATGGGTGATTGGGTTCATCAATTGAAGCAGAATCATCGCACACGGAAGAGTCGAGATACGATTGGCCGCGATTTGCTCGAGAGTGGTTAGAGTTATTGTGGTATCTTTCCTGGTTATAGTGTCGGTGAGAAAATTGGGCGATTGCTATGTTCAGAGAAGTGACAACATACACGGTCCTGGAAAGCTGCGATGTACAGAGGAACAATATACTGGGGCCTAGAATAGCCACCAAAACTGCCCATCGCTTGCCATATCGCTTTTCGTTGTGGAACTTGGCTCGGAGTTTAGATCGTCGTAGAGCGTCATACAAATTCCAGTCGGGGTGCATGCGACGGAGAATGTTGTCGATCATCGCGCTTGCATCCCCTCGCCCAACTCCAATTGATTCTTTAGACCATTGAGGCTTTTTCTGTGACTACCATTCTGCAAGTGCCTCCTTGTACTTGGAGTCAAGAAGTACCAAGGCAGCCCGCTTTCGTATTTGATCGTGACCGATACGCAAGTCCAGCTCACACATGCAGGAATAGATATTTTCTAGGCTTTCGTATCCCGAACTACCCCAGTTTGGATCTGACAGCGCTGATCTGTCCCATAACCCGTTTACCTTCCAGTACGGGAGATTTTCCTGGATGAAACAGAAGGAATCATCTCGGATATAGTTGGTAAATCGCATCGGTGGGACTACCGGCGGCTTTGTGGTCTGCTGCTTAGAGATTCTTTCACGGGCTATCCTCGATGTGTTGTTTGAGTCAGCGTTTTGAAGATGGTTATGTTCCTTTTCTTCACTGAAAGCTTACTGGTGGGGGGGAGGGCAATAGAAGACATGCCATTTTTGTGTGATTCCTGGATAGAGTTATTTGCTATGTGATCTGTCCTCACTGTCGAAGGGGCTGCGCACTCGGCTGGTAGTCGCAGAAGATGTGGAGGCGAAGGTAGGTCTGCCGGCACTGTCACAAGATGTCAGTTATTAAGATCGCTGGTACAACAAGCTGGAGTGTAGGAGCAGAAAGAGAAACCCATACAGGCAGAGGCACAGGCCCCCAACGCCAACCCGCTGTCCCATAATCCAAGATCTAGGACTTCGTATCCGGTCTGTTCATCCTATGGTCGTCAGCATTTCAATTAAGCTTGTCTCGGTAACTAACCCCAATGAGTTAAAGGATGATACAACATTTAATACATCAATAACGAGCTCGTCAGGCATGTATGTTTGAGTTCCAGGTTGTCCAACGCTAATGTCTTCTAGGCGATAGGAACCGGCAAGTTCCGAGATGGCATGCATCTGCGCGGATGCGCCACGGGGAGGACTAACCACCGAGCCAAGACCATTATTGCTACCCAGTGATGTTGCTAACATATAACAATCCTCTTGGTCAAACGCTCCTGTGTCACGACTGCGCCGAGGTTAGTCAATATCTCACTCAGTATGGATACTGCGCAGTCACGGGGCTCTCACTGGTCCGACTGTTCATTTTCCAGCGTTAGAATTGGGCTGGATATTTTACTGCCCCCGACAGTAACTTCGCACGTCATAATCCGATAGGGCTGCAGCCGTCGGTAGAATTCTTCCATTGAAATGGCGTCAGCCTCATTAAGAAATGCTTTGACTGCCTCGGCAAAATGGGTTGTGGGTGAATCTGGTGACCCCGACATTCTGAGATCCTTGAACTGCGGACTCCTCTGAATCTCCAGGGAGACCTTTGGCTAACTCCATATATATTTTCCATAGATATGCTAATTGGCTCCTACACACTCGTCGGTCCGAAATAGAAAGGGGCAAGCTGACGCAAGCCACCTGAACACTAGACAAGGATTATATGGAGGACTAATCTGCCATCACAAAGCAAAAGGTAGTGAAAGACTCAGAGAGGGGAACCCTGAGACCAAGCGTTGACCGGAAATTCTTAAGTTTATACTCCGTATACTAGACGATTTTTAGAGTCAAGAGATAATAAATAATCATTGAAACTTCTCGACACGTTCTTATTCAGAATATCGGTGAGCTTCCCAAAAAATATAATAGTATTATGGAATACTAACTGAACACAAAAATTTACAGATAACCTTCCAAGTGCCGATATTTGTATCTCACATTCCTATAGGATTATGGCTAATAACTATAATAAACGCAATATTACGGTCTTCCACTTTAGTTCACTAAAGGAATCTATACCAAGTTCATAATTCTAAGGGATTTTTGTTACACTATTAACCAACCTATCACATATTTTTTAGTCCCCAGGGCTATCTTGGTGAGGTCTAGTTCAACCCCTGTGCATTTAATATTTTTAATTACACTAATTATATCTGGTTGAGCGGACAAATCAGGAGGATACTTGCTTAAAGGGTTTAGAGCAGCACTCTACCTGCCAGAATGCCAGTTATTATTATTATTTATTATTTTAATTGTTGTAAAATCCACTCTATAAGTCTCTTAGTAACCACTAGGGTTAATAGGCCACGCCGCCAACGCTCATCCAGAGAGCTTAACGGGGTCGCTTATTCTGCCTGGGCAGTCCTGGAGGCCAAATCACCCGTAGATGATAGCTTGGGCAGTTTACTAAAAATCTTACCGAGACAGCCATGTGCCAAGACCAGAGCTGGGCGGAGTCGAGATAAACTGCAAATAGGGTTCGACGGGTCGTCCCGAAAAATTGGTACCCAATGAACAGTGACCCACTTTCCTGGCGAGGTTGATATATTCTGTGCCAATAAATGATGGGTGGGATGCTTGCTTCGGCCTCGTCTGCGCCGGGGTACTGTTCAGGCATGTGATAGTGGCAGAGAAAAGAGACAAAAGATTTAACAGGGGAAGATCATAATACATGTTTCCCGGCTCGTCTAAGTTACTAGGATTTAAAATAATATTTGTATTAATGCTAATGGTTGCCATAATAATACATGCATATAATGTATAGAATGTGTCGGTCAGCTGAATACGCGTATGAGCTAGTATCACTGATCATATGATAATACGGATCTGCATTGAAAAGGATAAGGTCTCTTAAGGCCTCTAACTATCTGAATCTATCTGGGAGAATTGGAAGGTGAAAACAAAGGAGTAAAGTCGGACCGAACAGATGCTGAATAATGGGTAATATTGGCCCACTTTTGTTGGCAATATACTGTGAGCTTTCAGATGCATAGGCTAGTCCAGCTCGCCATGCAAAAATGGCTCAGGCAAATGGGCAGTTTTGTGGAAGCAGCACACCCCCACCTCGAAGGGAACCCACTCCAGATTCAAGATGCAGCCCAGTCATGGTACAGGTTATTTTTACTCGAGTGCCTTCATTATGTATGAGAACGAATTACACTCTTTTATTGTACTGTATGGTCCTCCTGGGTCATGATCATGCGATCGTTGTTGACAGATAAGTTAGGCGCTTGGCCGCGGAATGACTCAAAATTTGTTACGGAAACACTATACCTAATCCGCCCGAACTTGGCGGTGCGGAAGTACCTGACGAATCATTCTACCCATCGGCCCTTTAGTTAGTTGAGCACTGAGATAGGAATGCAAGAGACTCACTAGGTTGAGATACTATGATTCTTGGTGTTTCAACTGAATGACATCTACTTCCTAATTAGGCTAGTTGGCTTGTAGCTGATATAATAGTCCCCTGCACATCACTCTCCCTGAATTCCACAACAAGATTGCATGGTATAATAAATAATAATAAGCAGTACAATCTAGCTATATACGGTTTCTTTATTTCACCCCCTTACATTGTTTTTAAAGACTAGCACATGAAGAGAGAGTCAGTGCGCCGTGCGGAGGTGAGTAGTATAAGCCTATAAAACTCGCGTTGTTTGGTCTGGTGTACAACATCGCCAGCGTCATCGGGGTCGTGCTGGGCTCATTCGTGCTCGTGAACAACATAAACACGCAGGTCGAGACACTGGTCAATGTGATTGAGCCGTGCAAAGCAACTCTCTTTTCAGGCAGTAATACGCAGGCGAATGTGCTGCTAATAGATACATTCTCCGGGTCAGAGCAGGATATGATCTGATGGGCCTTCTGGGTGTTACATATTATTTGTGTGCAATTTAGCTATTGCATATTTAAATATCTTGTAAAAATATTGATGTTTGGTTGTTTTGCGTGCGAATGTGATGTTCTGAATATTATATGTATTTTCGTAGTTGGGGGATTACGTACGCTTTTGTCCAAGAACTATAATCCGGGATACCGGGATTATGGCCTGTGTTTTGCGGTAGTCGCGCTTCTGGTGTGCTTTCTTATCAAGCATAAGATGCTGGAATGAAAGCATGTGGAAGTGAAGAAGGGGTTAGCAGAGGAAGAGCGACGACTGATCTTAATAAAGTAGCGAGGGAAGAAGCAGGCGGAGGTGGCAAACCCTAGGGGAAGACATTGTAACCCTAAGGGGATAAATTGTAAACCACGATGTGTACTGCAGTAATTTAACATGTTTAGCTTTAATAGAAGTAGATGTCCTCTAACACTTAGTCTAACTAACATTTAGTTTAACTACCACTTAGTCTGACTATGACTAGGCTGTGTCTGTACTAGAATAGATGGGCATGCTTATGTATATTTGGTTTGATAGACTGTATCTTTAATAGAAAGAAAGTGACGCTCTAGCTACCACTGAACCTAAGTAGTTATCTGCTCAGTGAGAGAATAGCACTTCGCCGCTCTCGCTCATGCGAATGCCCTCCTTCGTGGCTTTATCCAATTCCTCCACCGGTAGCTCTAGCACCGCGTTGTCCAGCCCCCGCTTAGACTCATAATCGCCATCGCCGTTGTTAAAGAACATCCGACTATACAGCATTTTGGTAAACGCCTTCCAGTTGTGCACTTTCATGCCTTCCTGTCCCTCCCTGAAGCGCTCCTGCACCGAGTCCCGGGTGACTGTCCAGTTGGCATCGGTCGTGCCCGTCACGCGCTTCACACTCTCAAACATCTCCTTCTGCGTGAGTCGGAAACTCGAGATGTAGACCGACTTGTTCGCGAACTGCGACAGGGTGGGCGAGGTGTCGTTCTCGTCCTCGGGGAGTTCCTTCAGACATAGCAGTTTAGCCACAGCCCGCCCACACTGCGGCCAGGTGGTCGTGTTGATCGGGATCTCCCCATCGTCAAAGATGGTGAAGGTGCGCTTGGTAAAATCGAACCCGAACCGGTCAGGCCCCCCGCCCAGACTGAACTCGTACCAAAAGTTGCAGACAAGGAAGAGGTAAGCGCTCACGCCCAGTCTCTGGATCTCGTTGATCACCCGGTCGCGGTTGGCTGTGAGCATACTGTCGGCGCAGAGGGAGTCGTTGGCCGCCTCGTGCCCGTACCAGTTTGGCTGGATGTAGGGCACACGGGCCTTGGCAGCCGCGCGGATCAGCTTCACGATGGTGTCGGGCGGGGCCATGACGTTCATTGTGATCAGGAGCACCTGTTGGCTGCGCAGGACCTCGACAAGGGCGCTGTCGTTGTCGCTGCCATAGTCGACGCGGGCCACATGGACGCCTGCGGGCATCTTGGTGCTGCTGGGGCGTGTGATGGCGGTGATAACATGCTTTCCGTTCTTGATCAGCTGGTCGGTGAGGTGTTTTCCGATCGAGCCGCCGGCCTTACACTATTAATTAGCTTTTACCTTTCTTTAACCCGGTTTCTGTTTTGACGTACCCCGACAATGGCGACCTTTTCAATGCGGTTGGTAAAGCCGGCCGGCTGGTCTTTGGCGTATCCGACAGCCATGATGGTTCGTGCTAGCAGAGTCCTGGGGGTGATAAAGGGAGGGATGAAGGGTTTATAGTAAATATGTTAAGGTGGGAAAAAAGAAGTCGATAATTTAAAGCCTCTCAGCGCTCGGTGCTTCCTTGCTCTCCTTTCTATCCTTTCTCTTCTTTGTTTCTTTTTTATTGGATGGAGCAGCGGACATAACGGCCTTAACTACCCTCCCTCACGGATCTCCGAATGCCCCTCGTCTGCTTTTTCTTCCTTTTATCTGTATTCTGATGTCACAAATACTGTGGTTCTTTGTCTGGGAGGGGACTCCAACCTCGTCTTATTCTTCTGATTATGGCACCTGTCAGAAATCCCCTAATCTTGATAGGAGTGTGGGTTGCAGCCAATAATTTTGTTTGTTATGCCGCTGGCCTCATCTGTTGCTCCAGTAATACGCTCCTACTTAGGTTGGTGGAATTTCTTTCCTTTATACGATTATATATAAATGACGAGTTTATAGGTTGCTGGAGCAATGAAACCCTACCAAAGGATTGCACAATGTGGAATACTTAAGCAGCTGACCAACTTAGCTGTCTCTCTGACCGTTTTGCTTCACTCTGAAATCTACTCCGGAGTAATGTGCAAAAAGCCCTATCTTATCCTAAGAAGCATATTTATGCTTGCTAGTACTGGATTAAGTCCAAGCGTAACAGTCTTGTAGCTACACAGAGCTAACGACCCCTCCATTTTAACCTCATCTATCTACCTAGGAGCAATAGATGACTGACTCCGTTATTTTTCTTGGCTCTTTCTATCTCGAGTGGGTAAGCGCTTCCGGGATCGGGTCGGATTACTGTATCATATATCCGGCAACATATAATATTCCTTTACAAAGTAGTCAACGGAAGGACGGAATCCTCCACTTTATCCTAGATGGCATTAAGCAGACCATGTGTATTACTTGAATAGTATTAAAGCTAAATTTTAGAGTTAAACTTAATTTGGCACATCAGATGTGAACAAACATAATTTTTGTATATTTTTTGTATATCTTTATTAATATAATAGATATGTCGTGTCAACCATACCACAACCCTTTTAAACAGGATCGTATAATTACATACCTCCCTCACAGTCGCCAATCCTTCGACACCGTCGCACCAAAAAAAGGGTGGGCATGTAAGTACTATCCGTCCGACCGTCACAGTTGCACGCCAAAGACTTTTATGGCTACGATCTGCCTTATTTTCATGCTTATTTCTATTATCCCCCTCTTCATCGATGTTGTTGATCATGATATCTTCGGACCCTGGGACAGTCGTGACCGGGCTTTTGGACTTGGCTTATTTTATGGATTCCACTTGTTTTATGTCCACCCGATCATGACTCTCCTGGGGATATATTCCTTTTCCCCCCAGGCTCGTGAACTTGACTCTCGGACTAGGCTGCACGCTTTTAGCAGGACAGGCCTGGCTATACAGGCCATAACCTTTACCATTGTATTTCATGGACTGTTAGGGTTAAACTATACGATGATATCCTCTCGAAGCTTCCTTTGTGGAGCACATTCATGGACTGGTATATATATATATATGTGGTGGGCGGCGGTGGTTAAATGGTATTTGCTACTATCCAGGCTGGCTTGTCTTTATAAGGCACGGCAGCTGGAAGGCGAGACGGAACCCTTACTCAGAGACCGTGTTTTGAGGACACGGAGACCAAAGCGAGTAAAACAAAAGCAGACATATCTAGCAGTATTTATTATATATTTAAGATATCTGTTAGACATGCTGATTATTCGTGTTCCACAATGCAAAATTCTAGAGCATTAGATGCAGTTATTACTAGCTTTGGCCCGACCCCCATTGTCTGCTGGGTCTGTAACCTCCGTGCGCATATTCGCTGGCAGCTTAACTGTTGTGTAGGCATGTTGGTCTCGACTTCCATAATCCCACTAGTCGACAGTGCCGCCCTTGAACCTATAACGGAATGTATCTCCAACCTTCCAGGATTCTAAATCCTCCAGGATTCCCACGAGAGGTCCAAATTCTCCGGCTTCAAGCTAACAAAGTGTCGTCTTAGTATATTTACTTGATATCGGGACTATCAAGCCATATACCAGCGCATCCAACCTCCCAAAGCTCCCAGTGGTCTTTTTCAAGGCGATAGGACTGGAGCTGTTCCCAGAGGATCTAATCACGGTATATATTAACCAGTCGGTGTGATTCCCGTGGTACCGAATATGGATAGATGCTGAAGCCTCTTGTCCCGGGGTAATAGTACTTGGCCCGGTTAGCTCCACGTTTAGAACTGGTGCACCAGGTCTAATTAGAGAGATTGTGGAGTAGAAATTCGGCATGTAAAAACAGGAGACGCAATCTGCTTATAGGTAAATGTAACACTTACACCCCCTGGTAAGATTAAATCCGACCGCTGCAGATTATTTGGTGTCTTGGACCCAAGATGGTCGTTTAGAGTTCCCCAATCCCATAGGGTTATTTTGGCTCCAGACCAAAGAAACTCGTACTTTCCACCAGGTACCAACTGCTGCCTATACCGGTCGGGAAGACTCGCGCAAACGAGATAGATCCACCAGGTTTTAGCTCTATAACATTAAATGCATACCTTACATAGACCTCACCTTTCTGCACTCCGGTATCTTTAACCGAACATGGCAGGGATACCTTTTCTAGGGCACCAGACGAGGTGTATCGCAGCAGCAAAAACCCCTTTTAATAGTAGCTATTGTCAAGTGGGGACCATTTAAACACAAAGGACCTGAAGTCATTATCCTCCGCTGGTCGACGGAGGGTACACGACACGAGCGGCGTAAGTTCTAGTTTAAGTTTGAGATATGGTGCTTCGGAGATGGGAGTTGGACAAGAAGTATTTGGTCATGTTCGCGTATTTTACACTCAGGGTAAGAAAGGAAAAGTATCTATTACGTACTTCCTATCTTTGTCTGAGAATTTAATATGGGGCGCAAGTTTTCGGTCCATTTTCCAGTCTTTTCTGCGATGAAGTAAGGAGGCTCAGGTCAGGTCCGTCTTTAAGTAATCCCTTTTTAGTGCAGGAACGATGTAACCGCCAAAATAATAGCAAAACGAGATTCAAATTTTAAAACTATTTAGACTTTGATCATATTCAAGGACCTGGTAAATTGGAACATATAACGTGTAATGTCACATTTACTGCACTAGTGCCAGTTAATATTCAACATTGTCCTTATATAGTGTTTACATCACATGGGATTCATCAACACCCTCCTCCTCCACATAAGCCACCAGAGTTAATACTAAGAGGGATTGGACAAATTATCAGGCAGACGAGAAATCCCAGCTTGACATTAGGTATGTAAAGCAATTTATTAGCTGTCTTTAACTACTTTACAACTAGTTATTAACTAGTTATTAGCTCAATTCTTGCGAAGTCCAGAACTTGTAGCCTTCTGCCAGCAATATAATGCATCAACACCTGCTGAAATCCATGCCTCATTTTCAAATATTGATCGTATCTCTGTAGTTATTCAAAAACAGCGGCTTTTGTCTTATCCAGCTGGTCAAAGTTTTAATGGGGTTATATATTTATATAATACCGATCCATTTATAAAGGTATGCACGAAATAACCATTTACAAAGTACTTAGTAACCACTTAGTAACTGTTTATAGAAGTATATTCAAGAAAATATCATGACGCGCAAGATTACAAAATATAAGCCATGAGATGTTGTAAACAGCTATTAAGTAGTTAGACAGTAGTAAATAACTGGTTTACAAGTACTTAAACATTTTACTGTTGAGGTGGTGGGTATATGGAGGATGTCTTGTATTGAAAAGCTTAGATGCTGTGTAATATAAACTATGAGCGGTAATGGGCATGTGCACTGCTAGGCATATCACATGACCAGTTTCGGGGCGCCCGACCGCTTGAACGAGGGCGGCTCACCTGTAACCTGCGAGAGCCTTGAAATAAAGAGAATTGTGCCTCGCGAACAATGACCTTTAGTAATCTCCTAATTAAGACTAGCGACCTGACACGACCTTTGCCCCACCTCAAGGTGACCTGATTTCTGGCGGTTTCTTGGGTGTTTGTGGGAGGGGGCTCGGGTAGCTCCGCGGGTGGGTCCGCCATAAGCCAAGGTTAGCCCCGCTCGGTACACAACACAGTTTTATATCACGATAATATCAACCACAACGTCCAGGTTGTGAGGTTGGTCGGGTACTACAGGGTAGGTTCGGTTCCCAAAAAACTGTACAGTGCTTCTGCAAACTGGTGTCACCACTGTACACACTTTTATTGTTTTTATAATCATATACACGCGGGTGCAAAAACATTGCTTGGGTCTTACACCCCTTAATTGTTTCCTTAACCCTATATTTATCTAAAATTGGGTTAGATTTGTTTTACTCCACTTTAATACCAGAATATAATAGGTGTAAACAAAGGTATCTAAACGCTTATAGGCTAGGGTAGGGTTTAAGAGATAGTCAGTGTCACAGGCTGAACCTGTAACATACTATATAGGGCGCTAGATGCGACTGATCTTCGATCAGTCGTCTTGTACCTTTTTATATGGTCAAGTGGTTTTATCTCTACTAGCGCAGAGACAACCAAACCATCACAGTCAGAGAGTATAAGAACCAGGCACTGTTTTTGTATCCGGGAGTATCAAGGTCCGCTATTCTAGTTAATATGTCGCCCAAGACTTTTATAATTACCGGTGCCTCGAGAGGTAGGAAATTAATTTAATCCATTGCTTTTATTAATATTTTAACCTAGGCCCTTAAAAGCTAACCCATCCTACCCCGTGGTACAGGTATCGGTCTTGCAATCTCTAAGTTTCTTCTTACTGCGCCTCAATCCCACAACGTGATCGTGATCGCCCGCAGCGTCGAGCCCCTCCAGAAGCTAAAAAACCAGTACGCCAAGCAAGTCGAGGTGCTAAATGGTGATCTCGCGGATTTCTCTCTTGGTCAGAAGGCCGTCGATCTAGCCTTAAAGTTATTTGGGCGTCTGGATGGATTGGTTCTCAACCACGGCGTGCTAGGCCAAGTGGGCAAGATCGCTGAGGCGGATCCGGAACAATGGAAGCAGGGATTTGATGTTAATTTTATTAGCTTGGTAGCTTTTGTAAGTTAACCACACGGATTTTATTAATACAGGGGTTATTAAGAACAGGGCTGTTAGTCAATGGTTGTTAACACTTATATTTACTACAGGTTAAAGCTGGACTTCTTGCGCTTCGTGAATCCAAGGGCAGGATTATCTTCACTTCGTCTGGGGCTTCCGTCTCGGCATTTAAGGGATGGGGTCTATATGGCGCGAGCAAGGCGGCTATAAACCATCTAGCTCTAAGTCTTGGGGAGGAAGAGCCCGACGTGACGTCCGTGTCGATTCAACCGGGCCTGGTCGACACCGAAATGCAGCGAGAGATACGCGAAGATCACGCTACCACTCTGGACCCTCAATTCCATGCGATATTTACTACAGTCCACAAGGATGGAAAATTGTTAAAACCTGAACAGCCCGGTCATGTCATGGCCAGATTGGTGATTAATGCTCCGAACTCATTAACTGGCAAGTTCCTATCGTAAGTTCTACTCCTATTCTCTCGATAACCTTTTACTCTGCAGCGGAACTAACGAGAAAAAGATGGAACGACGAAGCTCTGGAAGCTTTCCAATAGACTACTGGAAGAAAGCTGTACATGAAAGTCAGTATATACCGCCATAGAAAATTTTCATGTGATATAAGCAGCATGATTGGGTGATAATATGCCGAAAGATGAAAAGCAGTATATTTTAGAAGCATTAGGTGCAGAGCACCTTCATACTTAGCATCAAATGTGTAGGGTGTTCATCATATTACGAAAAGAAAAAGCAGTGGAGAGTAACTCCATACCTTTGGATTTTTTTATATATTATTAGAAGTGAATTTGCTCTTCCCGACCACCAATTGACAGGCATTGGACCATCTCCAGCAAAAAAACACGATGGGTAAACTAAGCTGTAGCTTAGGACACCTAATTTATTGGAGCAAGTCATTAAAGACCAAGACAATGACTTGGTAAACACAAATGAATGTAAAAATTTATCAGTGAGTCCGTTTGGCTAGGACAGTGTAGGTCACCACAGAAAGTCTGATAGAGGCGACAAGCGATGTTCATCATGGTAAAAAACCAAAAGCTAGGAAGGTAAGAGTAACATACCAATACTACAGTTAGTGATCACATTGTCTGTTTTGAATTTTCCAAAATCCTCAACATGAAAGGATTTCAGCCACGTTTCGTCTGTTTTTGTTGTGGGAAAAGTATTTCCTTGGAGTGAAAGGAGAAAAAAAAGTTGCTCTGCGAAGAAATGCCACTGGCAGAAGCGTGAGCAGTCTAACCCCCGCTGGTGGAGAGGAAGATCTCAGCGCAATGTTCCCTGAGCGGTCCTCAGCGCGATATCCTAGCCATCCCCAACGCGCGCTATGTAAAAGCTTACAAGCTGCGCTCCGCGTCGCCCGTCGGGTCCGGACAGTTCAAATCAAAAAACACAGTGCAAGGTGAGAGATGGCATGGAGGAGCGGGAACAGACATGTGAGAGCCAACACGTAGAGGGGAGAGCACATCACGTGAGTGAAACAGTCTGTTCGCGAGGCACGATTCTCTTCAATTCAAGGTGCTTGGGCAACAGGTTGAGCTTGCACAAGTTACAGGTCACATACTAGTAGGGTCCAGGAACAGGGGGTATATCGGAGCATGCCCTGAAACGAACGTAGTGTGAGGAAGGGATAAAGTCAACAAGCCTGCGAGGGCGTACGCAAAAAGAGTGCCCTGAAACGAAGGAACAGGGTGAAAGGGATACTATCGGCCGCAAGCTACCTGCAAAGATTTGCTGGCCTCCCACCTTCTGTTTTCGCGCCAAGCGCGCCGCTGATTCGCTACTTTCGCATGCACCTTGAGCTCTCACTTTATTTCCGTAATAGGACTAATGCATCGCCTGTTCTGGTTTAGTTTTTGTCAAATAAAGCAGATATACCATTATTATATGCAAACTGGTATAAGCGCTACTTTTTGTGGTTTAGTGGTATATCTGACAGTTTTTTACTTGGCATATCTTGCTGCATGTCCCTAACTTTAATCTAAGGCTACTTTGTCATCCCCAGCTTGTTCTCAATAACTACTAAACTGCTCTTACTTGTTTACATACTTTACATAATTCACGTCCTCGCCCATGCTTCCACTCCTTTTCATTGTTTCAGGGCCTACAGCGCACGCAGCACGTGTCCCCAGTAGCCAATGCCCTGAAACGAACGTAGTGAGAGAAAGGGAAAAAGTAAACACGCCTGCGAAACTGTGCGCGAAAAAAGCTGGGGAGCCTACTAGAATGCTGTTTCCACGCCCTCCTCTCTTTGGTCCCTTTCCCATCCCTTTTCGCTCTAGTATATCTTGGCACTTTTACTCTCGCAGATTTTACACACGATTTTATTCTTTATTCGAGTCATCCCGAATGAGCCCCAGCCTTCTCCAAGCTCCACCCTCCTTTATTGCAACGCTCAAGGAACATGCCACTACACACAATCTCCGATAATAAACCGACGGTGCCCTATCCTGTTAACATCGCGCTCATCTTTAGGAGGTCCGTCTCCGCCACCGAGCCCAGAACACTATCGCCAGACTTCACAGTCTACCTCGCGATTACCCCATTTGGAGTGCACTATCAAGGGCCCAGAAGCGTAGGAACAATGCCGGGTCATACGCTCGGTTCCCACTAGCGGACGCGTTAAAGACTATGAACCTGGGAAGATTGAACGAACTGGAGACGATCGACCCACGACAGCTGCCACCATGGCGAGCCGAACCCTTCGCGGAGATTGAGATAGGGTCAGACCGAGAAACGGCAGTAGAATGGGCCGAGACTATACGGCCTAGGTCCGACATTGTCGTCTACTCGGATGCCTCTGGTCGACAGGGCCACTTAGGCGTAGCGCTCGACGACAAACTAGAGGTCGTCGAATCCCGACAGGTCCAGGTGGGACCGACGGACCGGTGGTCGGTCCACGTAGCGGAGCTGATAGGCATTTTTTATGCTGTCAGCACGTTGTTCAAGATTGCCCACCAACGCTCAAGAACTGGGGACAATGGACGAACAACAGCGACGATCCTGTGTGACAGCAGGTCAGCCCTGCAGGCAATTCAAAGCGTGAGAAACAAATCCGGACAACGAATTGTCCACGCGGTTCTCCAGGCGGCCGGCGAGATTCAAGTGGAGGGAATCACGCTCCGCCTTCAATGGGTACCAGGACATTGTGGTAACCCGGGAAACGACGCAGCAGATCGGCTGGCCAAGGAAGCCGCATGCCCAGGCAAAACCCATCCCTTTTGCCCGCTGCTCACAAGGGAGGCAGCGTTTATCTGAGGCAACATCTTTACTCAGTGGGAGCAAGAATGGAAGTCATCCACCAAAGGTGATCACCTGCGAAAGATTGATAGCACCTACCGGCTACCTACACCAGAAGGCTATATGGAAGCCTGCAGAGGAACTGGGCGTATCTACTGATGCAGTTACGCACAGGCCACAATTGGTTATCCACCTACCGTAAGACCCGTGCCCCCAAACGGGCCACCTTTCCCATACAAAATAGCACTTTTTGATGATTTTTTATTTCGCCAACTATAAAGTAATTCTTAATATAAATGGTAATTTATATTTATTCTATCATAAAAATATATAGAAATTTTTTTTAACTTAATTATTTAATGTTATGCTATATATAAATGCAATATCGCTCATCACACGGCCGGTTAGGTAAGGGACTGGACGAGGTAGTAGAACACTATGAGCTGTAGGGACAGTCGAATATGGGAAGGGGGGCCCCAGGGGCCGCCCTGATGGCGGGTTGTAGGACCGCAAGACCAGACCAGACCGCTGCGGTGCGGTCCCAAGGGAGTTTTTGCGGTCCCGTGCAGAGGCCTAGATATGGCTGCAGTCATATTGTAAAGACAATAAACAGACAGCCCCTTCTTCTGTTACTGTATGGTAGTTTCGCAATACAACTTGTGGCTACATCCAGGGCTGATCCGCATCAGTTGTCTTCCTGGTACCCCTTTGATACTACCTGCAACTAACGTTCTACTACGGAAGACTATGCCTAAGAGACAGCTTCAAACAATGTATGTATTCCATCTTGTTATTTTCAGGTTTAGTCTTTTCTACCACGATTCAACGGCCCACATTGCTAAAAATACACTTTCAAAGCTTCCAAACGATATGCCTGTTCCCAGCCGGTCGATCTCCCATTTCAGGTGTCACACTGGTTCCTGGTGTCATTGCAAAATAGAAAACGAGGTTGGATTTAGCAGTCTAGCCATGTTATATGTGCTCGCATTTTGGACTTATTTTACAATTAATAACCACGGCGACTATATAAGTATCAGGAGAGCGCCCAAGACTTATAGCGGACACAAGTAGCAGTGCGCTAAGGTATTAGCTGAAAGAAGCATACAAGAGTATTATTGTTGCCTCGGGCCTATCAGTAAGTGTCAACATTTCTCGACGCACCAGAGCGAAGTCTAACAGCTGACTAGCTGCCTAGGACTTCCAACTTATGTTCCGGGCTATTTAAACTTCTTCAATGCTGACACAAAAGATTGAGATGATACGGCCTTCTACTATTGGAGACTAGGCTATAAGCCCTCCAGTTGGAATTACAGTGGACGCAAACTCTTGTTGATCATCGAACTGCTAAAGATAGATCTACACAAGGAACTCAACCACCTGGTGGAGGATCTCAATCGCGTGATCCAGCATGCCGCTCAGGACGCCAATTTAGATACAGAGAGTTATCAAGTCCATTATGTAGACGTACAACCCTTCTTCGACACCCATCGGAGGTGTGAAAATGCCGATGGGAGCTGGCATAAACCCAAAGCAGACAGAACGGATACGTACTTTATTCTCAGTTAATGGCCAGATGTATCCATATCAACAGATAACTTGGTAAGCTTCCTATCCCAAAATCAGTGGACTTACACTACCCTCCCATTCTCTCCAACCATTACCTCCGGTAAACAATACTAACCACATAATCTGACCAGACCACGGCGGAGGAAAAGGCCGAGCTATCAGGTTTCGTCTCACAGGGCTCTATTCCATCCTGACGCAGCATTATGCAAGGACAACCTAGGAACTGATCCTGACCCATATGCAGTTGCCACTTGCAATGTTGCTATCGAGGTAGCGCGTAAGTCAACCAGCATAGAAGCGTAACACCCGGCCGCGGCTAATAAAGCTCTCGCCAATGACAACCACACAGCGGACTCGGTTTCCTTTTATCTTCCTACAAAACGCATCAAAACGTTTCATCCATGCAGCCCGGGTATAATGGCATACCTGGATGCAATTATAGATGCTTTACAAGGATAACAATTCAGCATCCTTTCTACAATCGGTCCACAGTCTTACCATTTAGGTTTATTTCTAGTCTCCATTAATTTTACTTTTAAATAATGGTGTGCTGAGATATTATCAAGAATATTATAGCGTTATAGGGCAGTTGTCTATAATTAACTTAATCCCTAGGAATGTGTGTTAAGTTTTTTTTTTTTTCTTTTCCTCAGGCATTTTGTGGCCATAGGCTGCATGTAGCCCCCTAGTAAGAATTACCTACAGTCTTCTAATCGCCTCTGGTCCTAGTTCTTAT